TATAATAGGTTCCTTTAGTTAATAATTGAGTTAAAAAGTAAGGCCTATTAGTTTTAAGATATTTTAATTCTAAAGTATCTATTATATAATAATCTATATTACTTATAAAGGTATTATCATTTATAGTATTAAAGTCTATATCTAAAGAATCTATAGAAGTTATCTTTAAAAGCTTCTTTAGTAAAATATCTTCTAAATTAATATAAACATTCTTAAAGAGCTCTTTAATCTTAGTAATAGAATACTCTATAGTATTATATTCTATAATATTTAAACTAGTTTCTTTTATAATATAATTAGTAGATTCTCTTTCTTTATTTAAAGCTAAGAGATAAGGCCTTAGAATACTAATGAATTCAAAGTAATTATTAGAACTATTAGTTAAATAAGTAGAAAGAAAATCATTAAAATCATTATAAGTATACTTTATATTATTTAACTCTTTAAAGTAGAAATATTCTATAGTAAGTAGTTTACTATTATAAAGAATATAACTAGTAAGCTTTCCTATTAGATCTATATTTTTAATCTCTTTAGTATTAATATCTAGATTAGTTATAAAGAAGTAGCTTAGAACTATATTATTTAAACTAGTATTATTATCTAAAGTTAAAGTAGTATTATCTTTAAGTAAACTAATGTAAAACTCTATAATATAAGTATAAAACTCTTCTTTCTCTTTAGTTAGTTCTTTATCTTCTAAATCTATTAAATCTAAGTTAAACGGAATAATATTCTTTAAAGCTTCTTTAGCTTCTAAGTTAATAGTAAAGTTCTTTACTAAATCAAAGTAAGTTCTTTCTTTACCTATTGTATTCTTATATTTCCCTTTAATATAACGTACTTTAATAATAAAGCTAAGTAGTTTAGCATAATAAGTAAAGTAAGTCTTAGTAGTAGACTTATTCTCTAAAGGTATAAAGTCTTTAAATACTCTAGTATTACTACTATTATTTTGATTTAGCTTTTGTCTTAATCCTAAGCTTATATTAGTGATTTTAGAATGTATATAAAGTAAACAATCTATAATAATATCTTCTAATTTATTATAGTCTATTCTATTAAAAACACTTAGATCTTTATCTTCTTCTTTAATATTATATACTAGATTTACTAAAGACTCTCTATCTTTATCTTTTAAAAAGATATAAATATTAGATTTCTTAATATAAGAGTTTAAAAGTCTATTATTATTAATATTTATATTATTATTTAGTTTATTCTCTTCTAAATTCTCTTTAAGATAATCTTTTATAATATCTTCTTTTAAATCTAGTTCTTTAGAACTATTAGACTTTTTAGAAGTAATAGATTCTATACTAGAATTAGAACTATTAGAGTTAATATATAAGTTAGTACTAGTATTCTTTTTACTTATATTAGGTATTTTAGGTATAAAGTATAGTTTAGTATTTTTATTATTACCTTTAATATATTGTAAAGGAACCTGATTTATAATATAGTTTACTTTAGATTTACTACTTTTATTACTATTAAAGTGATTAGTATTAAAGTGAATTCTAACTTCTTTATAATTAATATTAATATAATTACATTCTATACATTTATATCCTTTTAAATTTAAATCTAACTCTTTAAAGTAAAATAGATTAGGCTTTAAAATATCTTCTAATTTAGCTAAGTCATTAAATTCTAGTTCTTCTATATTAGTTTTAAGTACTTCTAATTTAGAAGATTCTTTATAACTTTTATAAATAGTAAAATGTTTATCTTTTAAATGTTTTAAATAGTTATTTCTATCTAGATTAGTTTTACAAATAGTACAAAATAAAACTTTAATTTCTATATTATAATTTAGAATAGTATTCTCTATATTATTAGTATAAGTACTTTCTATAATAGTAGAATTATTATAAGAATCTCCTTTAATATAATCTTTATTATTTATAAGTAATTGATTTAAAGTAATTAAATCCATTTTTAAATAGTTAGTTATAATTAAAGTAGTTTAAAGTAGATATAAAAGAAAAGACAAAGATAAAATAAAAAGAGCTTTCTTATATATTCTTTTTCTCTTAGTTAAACTCTAATATAAACTTAAAACACTTTAATTACTTAAAATAACTATTTTAGTTTTATTAAAGTTTTTTTTTAACTTTTCTTATCCTAATCTTTTAAATAAGTACTTATTCTTCTTTTCTTTCTGTTTTCTTTTATTAATTAAATAAAACTAAAATAATATTAAAAGAAACTATTATAGTTAAATTTATTTAAAGTTTAAGCTAAAAGGGTTTTCGAATGTACTTTAACTAGCTTCTAACTTTTTAAGTCTATTAGATTTCTTTAAACTAAAATAAATAAATAGATCTAAATTCTTATAATACTAAAGGAGTTTTTATAAAATCTATTCTTTTAATCTCTTTACTTTATAAATCCTATCTTTATAAACTAATATTTTTAAAAACTCCATTTATATTTTACTTTTTAAAAAAACTTGGAGGTTTTAGTAGATTTTCTATGGAGTTTTTTAAAAACTCCAATGTAGATACAGTTAGGGCTCCATTCGGCTCGCAGGAAGCCCTTTTGGCGGGTACGGCTACGACGCCCACACCAAAGAGCGTGCAGACGCTGAGAAGACCGGCGATGTCTGCAATCTTCATGGTGGTCTTGAAGCAAGTTGGTGGGATCCGAGGTGAGGAGGAAGAGGTGGAAATGGTGGGCGAGACGGGTGGGATGGACGCTTCTTGAAATACCTTTGAGATCGCAAGATGCGTGTCAATGGAGAGGTCGACATTTATGGCTCATATTGAGCGATTCCCCGCCGATGGTAAGGCCAAGCAAGTGACGTAGTCTGACAGGGAAAAAGGCGAAAGGCTGGAATCTGACTCTAACTTTATGGAGCACCGTTGCCTCTTTTGGGATCTCAGTCGCGGCACTACAGCCTTGGCCCCGACAGCTTAGAGTGCGGAGCGGCTGACGTCGCAAATCCAGACGACACCTCCAGCATTGTGTGCGAGAATCATGTATTGACGCAGCTTTGCAGGCTCTCAACGGCGACATCTCCCGATCATCAGGTAGAAGAGTCTGACATTCTCTGATACCCTGGCAACTGTTGATGCAGTTATTGCTTTCCAGCCTCCAGGATTTGTTCGCCGTATCCTCCACCCAAGTCCCTTGAAGTTTGTTAGGGCTGCAATGATGGTCGTTCTGAAACAAAGTGGGCTGTGCGATCGATGAAGTGTTTGCGCTCCGATGTGCATACCGAGAGGGATATCGCTTTCACTTTGTCAGCATCGCTTTCGCGTCTTTGCGTTGCTCAGCACGTTGGTGTTGACGATTCATCCGCCGATCTGTCTGTCCCATGCCGCAGACATGACCGCATTGACCTATCGCTTTCGTCATTGATAATGCTGTGATGCTCGACCAACTCTTGGCAGCCAATGTTGATCCTGCCGTGCCATCGGCTTCCGCTTGGTGTTGTATGCACTTCGTCTATCCTCGGTCGGGGTTTGGAGCTGAAGAGGAACCATTGCCGGTACAAGTTCCACAGAGCGACGCGTCACCAGGGATGTTCAAGTGCGAGAAAGTAAGAGCACAGCCTCATTCCCGAGGGCCATGACCAGCCTCTTGAAGGTGACGAACGAAGTATGGTGGTTGATGAGCTCAGGGCGTGATTATGTTCCATCCTTTGTACAAGGCGAGCGGATTGATGGCCCGCACGAAGACAAGTAGTTTGCCAGGTACTGGATGACGAGTTCTGTTCCGCGGTCTACACCACCAGAGACAGCAAGAGAACGGTGCATGAGCGAGGGGCGGGCTAAGCAGACAAAGGATGTCAGCGCAGAGATCGAAGATCCGAGACCGACAGTTTTCGAGCAAGCGAATACGTTATGGCTTTGGATCGTCCAATGGTCTTGGCCGCGATAACGGTGGTGGCTCTCGAAGATGACGGGTAGATTGGCGCCGTCTTCTTCGGTCAATCCGCGCGACTAAATGTCTCTGCAGGACTTTGTCTGCAATTCCGCGATGGCACACTGCATGGAGTCGCAGCATCGACGGAGCTCGACTGAATCTTTTCAGTCAGCACTTGCTTCGCTGGCTGTGCCGAGTCCCATCCGTACTCATCCTCATCGCCTTCGAGCACAGTGCTGATCCAGTACCTAAGGCCGTTATGATCAGTATGGAACAGGAGAGGAGTGTTAAGCCTTGCCCGTCATCATTGGTGTTGGGCGGAGTTGGGGCGGAGTTGGTCTCTGAGCATTTGTCTGTAGGCTCCGGCCGTGAGTCAAAGAAGCATGCGTCCGCAGTTCGGCTCGATAGCCTTCTCAAGGATCTGCTCACGATGCTCTCCATGCCAGTCGAATATCTCATCGCCCACATCACGCTGCACCGTAATCACGGTCCCCGAGGCTTGGAAACCTCCTCATTCATGCACATAATCGGCAGGCCTGGCGAAGCATCTATGGGAGAGATCATTTGCCCCGGCAGTAGTTTCCTCTCATGGCCTGCGCAAGAGTGCGGAGAACACCGCCTCAGCCTTCCCACAACCTACGGAGTAGATACACCCTCTCTCACATCGAGTACGTTGTCGGCGAGCTGCTGCGGAACAGCATCCAAGCCGTCGTTGAGCAACGTGGCGGCCCAGACGCGAGCTCTTCCATCATCAAAGCTTGGCTTGCGACTGCAGCCCATGCGCCGCTCCGAGGCACCTGTCCATGGCCTTCCGGCTGCACTACGCTGAAGAAGCTCTCGATGCGGCAGTCGTAGAATAGCTCGTCGGTCTACGAAGCAAAGCGATGGCTGGCCAAGACATAACCAATCCACCAAGTATTCGATGGCCGCGAAAGATTGCTCCTCCTCTTTGGCGGGCGTTGCGGGAGGAGGGAGGATGCGCAAAGTCAAACCCGGCGGAGGCAGAACTGTAGCCGGATTGCAGCGACTGGAAAGACGATGGATGAATAAGCAGTGCAGGCATTTAGGCGGGAATGTCTGAACACTTGGCAGAGGTCATTGCAAACAAATAAGCATTCTGCAGCAGAGGCACTTGACGACTATCGCTTTTCTATCAACTCAACACACACTGCTAATCTGCTTCGGTGATTGCGCCGCAAGGAAGGTTTCCTGCCACATACTGCACACTACTCTGCGTCTGCACTTGCGCAAAGTTGTTGTTCTGCCCACCCGCCGGGCATGTGTTGCTGTTCCCTGCCACAAAGCAGTTGCCAGTCGTTTCATCCCATGCGAAGACGGCGGCGGCGAACGGCACTCCGAGTCCGAAAACACAGCAGTTGTAGGCCGAATTAACCACTGCGGTCACGTCGTCTGTAAAAGCACCACCGCCTTGCAGAGCGATACCGCCAATGCCCGGTCCTTCCGGCCCACTCGCGACGGTATCCACGAAGTTGTTGGTTGCGCAGGCCGCGTAGACCGTCGTAGAAGATGTGTACTGTCTGGGAATCAGCAAACGTCTTCCAGCAAAGACAGCTGGAGGCTTACAGTTGTCGAGGTGGTTGTGCTCGTGACCGTGCTGTAGATCTTCTTCGGAGTAATCGTCGCCGTCGATGTGCTCGTCGTGCGCAGGGTGGAGCATATCCGTGATGGAACGTAGGCTGTGCATGTCACTTGCTCGGGATACGATTTTGTGACCTTCGCAGCGACGTCAAGTGCACGCTTGCTCACGATAGGGTCGGATCCTCCGGTACCATCGTACGAGGCGCCCGAGAGGGAGTCCTGGACTGCGAACCAGCTGGTTGGGACGGGCACTGTGGATCTGGATATGGAAGCTTTGGTCAGTATGGAGTGCCAATTAGGATGTCATGAAAGAAACCTACGTCGAAACAGTCGAGAGCGTTGGCGTCGTTGTGATCGTGATGGTACCCGTTTCTAGAAATCGTTTAGATTCTGAACCCTTCATGGTGAGAGCTGCCGACTTACGAGGGTAAAGGATGACCGTTTGGCTTGTTGAAAAATGCGATGTTACAGTACATTGAGTGCTGATTGTCGTAACATACGTTGGCACGTTACCGACAGAACGCGTTCCCAGCAAAGTATAGCACTGCTTGCTTGTTGCTCCTCGGGCTTCAAGCGGACTGGCAGAAACGATGCTGCCGATCATGCCAGCAAAAGCCAGCGCAGAAATGGAGGAATGCATGATTGATTCTGTGGAAGAGCGAATGAGTGGTGTTGGAGAATTGAGAGGGGCGGGATTTCTGGTGGTCGTCTGGTTGAAATGCGCTCTTTATGAGACGGCTCAGCTGATGCGGTAACATCCTTCGGCGAGGCCTGGTCGCGGGCGTAGAGTCTGGCCGCCTCTAGCGGAGCACCGTGTTTATCGCCGGCGTTCTGGAACGACGGTACATGGAGGCGAAGGCGACCCCGTGCGCCTGCATGTTGTCGAACGCTGGGTCCCGTGGAGAGCATGTCGCGTGGCGGATCTACTGCATGGTAAGCGGGGTCCATTTCAGCTCCGGACGCGCCGACGTCGAAAGCCTTGCGGCGTTGTCTCGCCCAGTCTTCTCGCCTACTAAAAGCGCCTCGCCCAAACTTCTTCGCACACTAAAATGCCCCACCCCCGAGAAGTCGAAAGGCTGTCATTGCACCATTTCACAGTGCAGTCCCGATCTCGGCGACGACACTTTTTACCATATTCGAGCGAGGCAGTAGTTCGTGCGTTGAGGCAATTGATCGAAGCAGCAGTTCATGCGTTGATGCAATTGATTGAAGGAAGACATAATCGATTTTTGCAGTATCATATGTGCAGAAGCTCAGATGAAACTATATGTCAAACAATACGTACAACAACAAAAGACTCGTCACTACTACCTTCCTGCCTTTTTACTCCCATGATCAGATCTTGGCTTTCTTCGTCGATTTCTTGACCGTCGTCGGCTTCTTGGTCGTCGTCGGCTTCGCTGTGGTCGTCGGCTTCGCTGTAGTTGTTGGCGAGGATGTAGATTTTACCGACGTCGTCTTCGATGCTAGGCTCAGCGTACTCTTCACGCTGCTCTTCGAGGATGAAGAGGACGTGGTCGTAGTACCCGCATCGCTGCCCGAGTTGTTGGACCCATCCAACCCACTGCCCCCTCCGTTCTCTCCGGAACTACCTTCGCCAGAGCCCGTCCCAGTGCCGTCGTTGACGTAGCCGATACAGCCTTCAGCAATCGGCGAGCTCGACTCAACCGGAATAATGTCCCAACTCGTAGTGATAATGTCTTTGGCCGACAAGACCAGCGCAAGCTCGTTCTCGAAGTGGATATCCCAGGCGATTCCATAGCACCCATTATCATTCGAAGTCGAGATCGTGCCGTTATCTGAAACCTCTGCCGAGATTTGAAACTGCCCTTCCGCGACGATAGAGGGTGTGTCGACGATTGAAGCAGAGACGAGCTCGTCGCCGAGAATCTCGAGACCGACACCCAAGCCCAGCGGGATTCCCAGCGAGACTGACATGTCTAGTTCCCCAGATACATTGAGGTACTTAGAAAACGTCGGCGAGCCAAGAGTGGCATAGCTGTTTGATGTGTCCAGCAGATCCATGAGAATGGATATGCCCTCCCAGTCGACTTCGGCGCCGATGAGCAGCTGTCCAGTTGCCGAGACATCGGCTGTTGCTGTGAGCCCAACGCTGACAAAAGGCCCGACGGAGATGACATCGTCGATGCCCCATTGTGCGAGTTCCACTGTTGCGATGTTGCGGTCCCATTCCTTGGAGTAGTCGACGAACGCTTCCATGCCCAGGGATAATCCAGCCGAAATGTCCGCGTTCATGCCGCACTGGATTGTGTCAAACCTGAGATGCAAAAGAGAATAATCCACCGTTCCCCAGAACGTAACAGAGCCACCAAAGCCGCAATGCACGCACCAAAGATCCAAGCCGTAGGACAGATCGCGTTCCATAAGGTCCTCCATTTTGGGCGTGCGCTTGCTGTGCCCTCCAGTCGTGGCAACTTGACCCTCTTCCCACGAGTCGTCCGGTGTGCCGCCTTCACTGCTATACGAGTAAAGAAGAGCGGCGTCGGGCCAGGGCGCAGTGGGGTCCGTACCGAGTTGGTCTTCATCCTCCAGCCAGTAGCCCCAGTCTACCGTGTAGCTGAGCGTGGCCCGACGACGAAGAGGGAGAGGCTCGAACATCTGCGAGTGTTAGTCAATGGCACCACCGGGGAGGGCTGGGAAGTTTGCGCTTACATCTCTTTTGGTGATACTGCGTCTTACGGCGGAAGCGGGTACGGCGCCCCACTGAAGACTCATATACGCTGCGACACTGTTGATGACCTCCGAGGATCCGGCAGCTGTAAAGGTGCTGGCCGTAGTGGAGAAAGTGATGGAAGACGACTTGAAATAGTAATTCGAGCCGTCCGTTCCACAGCCAGTCGCGGAGGTAATGAAGAGGAGAGGGCCAGCGTTGGCCCATTGCTGCTTTGCATACGTAAAAGCGGTGCTGCTTAGCGTGGCTGTCAAGCTTCCACCGGAGCACGAGATGCCAGAGATCAAGTCAGAATGGTCCAGTGGAACTGACGGCAGGACGAATGTAAAGTTTGCCTGAGAGTAGACCGAGCTATCACGCTTCAAGAGTCGCTGGGGGGTGGTGGAGTTGCCGGTGCCCGGAGTGCCAGCCCACGCAAGAGTAAGAGTCGTACTCGGAGCGAGGATGGAGAGGACTCCCGTGTTGACGCTTGGGGGAATGACTGGCTCAAGGGTGGTATTGGAGACTGGTGCAGAGGAGGATTGACGACGGTGATGTCGTTCGACTCGATGCTCTGCAAAGGACACATGAAGGATGGCAAGTAGGAGGAAGACACATGACAGTGCTTTGACGGACAACATCTTGGAATGTAGAGTGCAGAGTTTGTGCAGGCTCAAGGGAAAGACGAATGCCTTGAGTTCGTATCTGGGCTTTTGGATTAAATGGGATGAGTGCTGGGCCAACAGTATGGAATGTCCGAAGCCGGCCCTCGCTCGATTCCAGACCAGCACCACCACTACTTGGATCTCGAATCTTCGCGCATCCCGACGCTAACGTACTCTCAGGTCATCAAGCGAAGCCATCCGGTCTGGATCAGTGCATTCGACTTTACTCCCTTCACCTGGACGGCACGCGCAGTACACCTCGAGACCTCCAACCAGCTACGATAGCCGAGACCGCCAAGAACAAGGCTGGCGTATTCTTGGGAAGCTTATTTCGCCTAACTCAATTTGGCGCTCTCCGCGGAAGCTTATTTGCCTCAAGCCCTCATTGGGCTGGTCCTATAGTCGACCAAAAGCTGCACGTCGGCGGCTAGCCTCAAATGACCAAAAGGCCAAGACTATCAGACCATGTACGCAAGCCACAGGGAGATCACGCGAGGCCAGAACGGTAAGACGGTAAAAACGGCACAACCAAAAGGGGCGAGGGCGCAGACCAGGGTCCTTCAAGCATCGTGCTACGCAAGCCACACGCGCTGATTCGGATCTGGGCAGGGTCCAATTTACGCCTCCCCACGCTACCAAATGCCCGCGCAGCGCTTTGCTGCGGCCTCTGGACAAGTCCACGCGAGATCCAAACATGCGGCAGCTTCACAGACGCTTCGGAATGCCCGATCATACCATTGTTCGCTCGCCTAATAGTGGGCACGAGTCAAACTTTGGCCTGATCTGAGCAAAAGGTTCTTCTCCCGTGCTTCTAGACGCATGAGGAGTCGCAACGATCTAGCCTGTCTCCTCCAACCATGCCCTGGTCTAGATTGTTTGGGATGACCAGAAGTCCACCCACCGTCAAACTGGAAGCAGCGGAGTCCGGATATAAGTCAATGCTCTTCCTTTGTCTCCTCTGCACTTGCACAGCTTCCTTCCACTTCTCTTGTTTCCTGAACCACTGATTCTCTCTCCTCATCATGAAGATCGCCGGTCATACTTTGGCAATTCTGCCGCTCATTGCTCCAGTGTTCGCCGCTGCCTCAGAAATATGTTTGACTCAGCTTGGCTTGAAATCAGTCAAATCAGTGCCGACATACACTTCGACCGCAACCGCAGCTGCCCCAACGACTACCGTGTTCGTGTACAAGACGAGTACGCATTACCTCGGCGCTTGGTATACGGTCACGACAACCAAGACCGCAGTCGTAACGTGAGCATTCTACAGTGTTCACCACGCACATCAAGACTTCTTCGAATCTCTTCTGACACTTGCACAGAGCGACAGCAAGTCCTGTTACGGACATTGTCACATCGACATCAACTGCTTTCTCTACAAGCACGCAGGTCACGACATCTTCCATTACGATCACAAGTACAAACACGCAAACTTCTTATACGACGCCGACGACGACGATCGCCACTACCGCTGGCTTCCAGAATATCCAGGACACCGAAAACTCCTTCACCCTGGCGAAAAAAAAGAGAAGTTTTCCAGTGCATGCACCACGCGCTGTATCGAAGGTTGGCCTCGCGGCCTCCGAGTACCCCAGCGTCGTGCAATGTACGTATTTCTCCATTCAGCTACGCGAGAGCTCTCTTACTGACATCGATGACTCAGGTACCACAACTGTCCCCAATCGAAACACTATTACGTCGACTTCCACGGTGCACGTCGTTAAATCAGTGCCCTATTTCGAATTCAGCACAACTACTACGCTCACTACTCAGACCACAACGACCAGCTACCCGCCCGATGTGACTTCGATCTCAACAACGACGAGCACTTCAACTATCGCTACAACGAGCACGCAATTGGCGTACCAAACCATTGCAACAACTTCGACTGTAAGCAATTTGTAGGGAGAACTTGTCCAGCTGCCTCAAGATCAATTGCAGCCATCAACGCCTGGAGGGGAGGTAGCAATCTCGCGCGATTGATCAGAGGCACTGGACATGTTTTACCCGACATCATTGAGGTGACACACAAGGCACTTGCTAACCCTGGAACTTCAGTACACATCATATATCCCAGGCCCAACTGTGTACGATGTTTGTAATCCCAACAACCAATTTGGTCCCACGTTCACGAACCAAGGACAATCGTATTATGTCGACAATGGTAAGTCATTTGGAACAAACCTTCTCTAACAATACTTGCCTGCGATCCCGACTCTAACACGTAAGCAGTGGAAAACAATGGCCCGAACGTGGGCGCCATCTTCGCCATCGTCGCAGATGGAGCCGATTCTTTCTTAGAATGCTGCAACGCCTGCATGACGGCCGGGTCGTGCGAGAATTTCCTCTACCGCGCACAGAACCAGAACTGTTTCATCATGTACCACCAAGGAGAGACGTGCTCGTCGCAGGCCAACCACCCTAACATTATGTTGTCGGCTATTGGAAGTGACCCAGGCAGTGGATACCAAGTAGGAAATGGGAACTGTGGTTTTGGATACAGCGGCAACTCTGATGGCTCTGTGTTCCCTGTGGACCAGTGAAGGGTGGGTGCGTTATGTAGAGAACACTGAAGTCCTCAGCTGTGTTAGTTATCTGAATAAAACTATCGTATTTTACACTTCCAACAAGCCATCAGATCCGCAAGAGCCAAGCTCGCCAGTACGTGGCAAAGGACTGTGACTCAGGAGCTTACAGCGCTGATGCTGGCGTAGCGCCATCTTCTCATGCCCGCACAAAGACGGGCATCTTGTCTATCGGGCACGGGAAGTCAAGCTCAACTCCGCCCTCGTACACCCCTGCACCGCTCCACGGCTTCCATTGACTTCCCGCTGGCAGGTACACCTTCATTTCCCTTTGGTTGGGAGACAATACCGGTGCGACGAGGTATTTGTCTCCGTACATGTACTGTGTCTCCACAGTCCAGGCCTTTCGATCTTGCGGAAACTCGAAGAAGAGCGGTCGGATGACTGGAGTCCCTTTCTCGTGCGCCTCCTGCATCAGCTTTCTGGTGTACGGTCGGAGCTGCTCGCGAATGCCGATGAACTTTTTACAGATCTCGTAGACCTCTTCCCCGTAGCTCCAAATCTCATTCGCTGCCCCCGATGATATCTCCTCCCCGGGCGGCTTCGGCTCGCGGTCTCCGTGCAGGCGCATGACCGGACAAAACGTCCCCCACTGAAACCATCGGACAAACAATTCGTGAAACTCGGGGTCGTGTATGCAGCCGCCGTGGAATCCGCCAATGTCTGATGTCCACCACACGATGCCGCACATTCCCATGCTTAACCCTGCGGCGAGCTGAGAGCGGAAACTTCCCCACGATGATGCAATATCTCCAGACCACACAAGTGAACCATACTTCTGACTCCCGGCCCATGCACATCTGAGCAAATTGACGATATTCTCCTGGCCGGATGCTTCCATTCCTTCGTAGAATGCCCTGGCGTAGTCCTTGGGGTACGAGTTGCCCACCTGCAAAACGCTTCCGGCATGATAGCGGTAAATGTCGAATTCGTACACGGAATACTCCGGCTCCGCTTCGTCCAGCCAGAACATCTTGATCCCGTGGTCGTAGTAATTCTTCTTGACCTTGTTCCAGACGTACGAACGAGCAGCCGGGTTGGTGGCATCGAAATTCGTACTGTCGCCGCCAACTTGCATCGCCACTCGCACGCCGCGATCATGACGAATCAGCATACCGCCTTCCATCATCTCATCCCAGCTTTCGGATGCAGGCTCAACAGTCGGCCAAATGGAGACCATTAATTCGACGTTCATCTCCTTCAACTCGTCGACCATTGCCTTGGGATCGGGCCAGAACTTCGGGTCGAACCGGAAGTCTCCCTGCCGCGGCCAGTGGAAGAAGTCCGCGACAATGACATCCAGGGGCACTTCACGACGCTTGTACTCGCGCGCAACTTCCAGAAGCTCCTCCTGGGTGCTGTATCGGAGTTTGCATTGCCAAAATCCGAGCCCGTACTCTGGCATCATCGGCGCGTGTCCAGAGACATTGGCGTAGGCTTCCAGAATCTCGGCGGGAGTGTCACCGGCGACGATCCAGTAGTCAATGATGGTTGAAGAATAGCTCTCGAAGCTCATCACGTTCTTCCCCAAGACTGCACGCCCGACGGCGGGATTGTTCCAGAGGAAGCCATACCCAAGGGAGGAGTACATAAAGGGGACGCTGGCTTGCGAATTCCGTTGCGCCATCTCCAGATCGGTGCCTTTGAGGTTGAGATACGGCTGCTGATACTGTCCCATGCCGTAGATTCTCTCCTCCGGGTCCACAGACTCGAGTCGCAGCGTGGTGTGAAAATCACCTCCAGCAATGCCGCGGAAGTCCCGTGCTTGAATTGCGAGAGCGCTACACTTTGGATCGGTCAGGTCAAGTCGGTGCCTTGCATACTCCTCCAGCAAGAGCTTGCCGGCGCTGTTCTTCACCACCACCTTGCCGCGCGTCGACACCGTGGCTTCAATCTTGCCGTTGGTAATCTTGGCCGGAGCTTCCTCGGGAATCTCAACATTTCCGGAACTGCTCACTTCCTCGCTCAGCGCCCAATCGTTGAGAGGCATCTGCGCAAGCTTTGTCGCGCGCACTCGCAAGGCATTGGGCCCGTGAGGCTCGACCCAGAGTGTATGATCATCGTAGCGGAAGACCAGCCGGTTTTCGTCGCGGTACAGCATGTTTCTGGCCTCGGAATCTGCGATCGATCGAAGCTCTTCACCTTTCACCAACGTATGCTGCACCTTTGAAACTTTGATTGTAAATCTGCATTTGCATCCATGCCCAGAGATGACGTCTCACCAGAAAATGGGCTTCCGTGGGTCCCGGTGGGGGATGAGAAAATATGGCTGACATGGAACGTGCTGGGAGGGAACGCCGGCTTCCGGTGGGATTTAGCCAAAATACGATCCTTGGAAGTCAGAGAGGCCGAGAGCCGCGCGCATCTTTCACACATTGCATAATTCGCTGCAGAATGGTTCATGATGAGAGACAGTACTGATCGCGTGGTGGACGCCCACTTCCTGCTTCGAGGTCAGCGCGACACTGACCACGAACCATTTCATCATCGCAAGGCTGGGCTCGTTGCCGTCGCGTTGAAGGAAATGCAAAGACTTCGTCTTCCTCCGCAACAAACATTCCGCATCGAGGGAAAGGTAGTCACGAGGATTCATTCCACCACGGGACGTATCCCAAAGTGCCGCGAGCACATTCCTCATCGATGCACAAGTACAGCCACTCAGATCGTGAGAAACCGATTGGGAGGAAGGCAGAAGGCATAAACGTCATTGATGTCGTCCACCGCAGCCAACCCAACAACCAAGACCGGCCTGATCAGCTTACGCTGTATCGAAACGTTCGATAGAACAATCGACCAAGGGATCTTGTACGTACAATCTAAATCGAGTATAATTGACAGTTCGAGTGTACTCGTTGGCCTTGAAGTTGTCATATTGATGGTCGCAAGACGCTCTTCATTGCCGACGGATAATCGTAAACAACGACACGGACCTGACGTCAGGAGTTCACAACTTCCCTGGCCTACCTCTGCTGGAGCACGACTTTTGCGGCAGAATGGATTCCACGACCTCGCATCGTGCGGGACTCGGCATGGCTGCTCGTGCCAGCGACAACTGTCGGACCGCTTGGCAACACCGACTGCAGCTAAACAAGATCGTCGCACGTGTCGGCGTAGATGTTCCGGCCTTGCAAGGTACTCGCCACGTTGTGAACAACTCGCCGGTGGAAGGCACGGCACCTGAACGTTTGACACGGCCCCGCTACTCCACGGCCGGCTCCACGCGGCTTTTGTCAACTCCTCCGGTGGGGGCGGAGGTGGGAGCGCCGAGCCAATCGCGCCCCATTTACCCACACCAGCCTGATGATCAATGCCTATGACGAACGTCCATGAAGGCGCGGCTCCCATCCTGGGTGGACTCTACCAGGAATACAAAATCCCGCTCCATGTCCCAAGTCTTACCCCCATAACCACTCTCACGACAAGCCCAGCATGTCGGACATTGATCGGGACGAGAAAGCCTTTGACATGGACGAAAAGCCTTTCGATGATGACAAGGCCTTCGACTCGGATGCTGTGCACATCGAAAAGGGAGAGACTGGAGACCGTTCCTACTCCGTTGCTGCCGCCCAGCATGCCGCCGACTCGGAGCGTAAGCAATCACTCTGGCAGGCACTCAAACGCGAGCCCAAGTCGGTCTTTTGGTCAGTCGCAGTGTCGACCGCAATGTAAGCCAACTCATCGCTCCCGCCAACAAACACATACTGATCCCCCACCAAGCATCATGGAAGGCTACGACATCGTCCTCGTCACCTCGCTCTTCGCCCAACCCGCATTCGCCAAGCGCTACGGCACCTATCTCCCCAGCGGCTCCTACCAGATCCCGGCCAACTGGCAAACTGCGCTTGGTACAGCACCGATTGTTGGCGCAGTGGTGGGCGCCGCGCTCAACGGCTTCTTCACACACAAGTTTGGCTACCGAAAGGTCTTGTTGGCGTCACTCCTGCTCAACACCGGCTTCATCTTCCTTCTCTTCTTCGCCACCTCGCTTGGGATGCTCTACGCTGGCTTGATCCTCTGTGGACTGCCATGGGGTGTGTTTGCAACGATGGCCCCTGCCTACGCTTCCGAAGTCTGGTAAGTTGAGAGCCTCAAGTCAATATCCATACCGGCGCTGATGATACCAGCTCCGTCACCCTGCGCGGCTACCTAGCGGTATATGTCAATTTCTGCTGGGCTGTTGGTCAGCTGATTGCAGCTGGTGTATTGGATGGATTTGCAACCAGCACGAGTCAATGGGCATACCGCATTCCATTCGGCATCCAATGGGCCTTTCCTCCATTCCTAATCGCACTTATCTGGTTCGCCCCTGAATCTCCCTGGTGGCTGGTACGAAAGGGAAAGATCGAAGAGGCCAAGCGTGCCCTTGAAAGGCTGACCTCTCGCGCCAATCATGCATCCATTCCAGACCAACTAGCGCTCATCCGGCATACCAATGAAATCGAAGATGAACAACAGTCCGGGACGAGCTACCTCAACTGTTTCCAAGGCACCGACTTGCGGAGAACCGAGATTGTCTGCCTGACCTGGGCGGCACAGATCTGGGCTGGCACTTCCCTCGCTGGCACTCCGACTTACTTCTTCACCCAGGCCGGCTTGTCAGCTTCGAATTCCTTCAAATTCACCGCTGGCGGGCTGGGACTCGCGTGTATTGGTACCATCATTTCCTGGGGCCTCCTCACTCGCTTTGGACGCAGAACTCTGTATGTATGGGGACTGGGAATCCTCTCAATTGTTCTCCTCATCACCGGCATCATTGCGGCAGCCTGGAGCGGCCACATCTCGAGCTTCACGCAAGCTGGCTTCGTCATGCTCTGGCTGTTCATCTTCTACATGACCGTCGGCCCGGTTTGCTATCCCATCATCTCCGAGACATCGGCCGTGCGACTACGAAACAAGTCGGTGTCGCTTTCACGTATCAGCTACTACATCAGTCAGATCATCGGAAACACCATCGAGCCGTATATGATCAATCCGGGCGAGGCGGACTGGCATGGCAAGACGGCCTTCTTTTGGGCTGGGACCTGCTTCGTCTTCTTCGTCTGGGCCTTCTTTCGATTGCCAGAAACCGGCCGCAGGACATACGAGGAACTTGACATTCTCTTTCAAGCGAGAATTCCGGCCCGAAAGTTTAGCAAACTCAACGTTGACGCCTATGCAGCACCGGGCGAGAGGATCAAAGAGGATTGAATATTCTTCATACCTCCATATCTGTTTGGATAGATCAATTTCACCTCTATGTTTCATTTCGTCATACTGAAAGTCGCTCAGTGCCACTTTGGTGCCGATGTATGCTTGGTAATCAACATCCTGGAGACTCTGAAATGATCGATCCAACGTCCTTTTTCGTTGTACACCTCCCATGGCAGATATCAATACGCCTAGCCGCCGCCGGGCATGGCGGCGTACTGACGACCATACTCCCGGCGTGGCGAAACTGCAACTCGTCACCGAAGATCTCCCCCCTTTGACCCCAACTTCCGTACTGATCAAGGTGCACGCCGCGGCTCTCAACTACCGAGACGCCAACATCGCCAATGGCAGTAATCCATGGCCCGTGACGCCTTGAGGAATCATCGGGAACGATGCCGCGGGCGAAGTGATTGCACTCGGACAGCACGTAACGAGGGTCAAAGCGGGAGATCGCGTTGCGCCAATCACCGATACGCAGTTTTTGAACGACCGCTCCCCCGGCAGGTCGTGGCTCGCCGCGAATGAAGATGGAGTGCTCGCCGATTACATCGTGTACGATCAAGAAGTACTTGGTCGACTTCCAGACTACCTTCCCTGGGAAAATGCCTGTCTGCTTCCAAACGCCGGCTGCACGGCTTGGAGTGCGCTCAAGGGCGTTGGGATTGGGAAGAGTGTTCTCATTCAGGGTGTGTACCATCCACATCTTCCCCTCCCTGTTACTAAATCTACTCCAGGAACGGGCGGCGTCAGCAGCTGGGCGTTGAAGCTTTCCCGTGCCGCTGGACTCAAAGTCATCCTCACATCATCCAGTGATGACAAGCTAGAACGAATGAAGAAGCGCTTTGGCCATCCCGAGATCCAAACAATCAACTACGCCAAATTTCCAAATTGGGACGAAGAGGTGCTGAAGATGACCGACGGCGTTGGCGTGGACCTGACAATTGACAACGGCGGCGCTTCGTCAGTCGTCCGGAGCATGAAGTCGACTCGCCGTGGAGGTATAGTCAGTCAAGTTGGCTACCTTGGGAATCACAAAGAGCCTCCGCAATTGCAAGAACTCATCCCAACAATAATCGACCGCAGAATCGTATACAGGTTGGTCAATCTCGCGTACCACCTGAACACGACTAACAGCCAGGAAGAGGAATCAACGCGGGATCGGTTTTTGATCTTGACGATCTGTCGGCAGCATTGGAGTCCACAAGGATGAGTCTCGACGACATCATCGATACCGTCTACCCGTTTGAGCAAGCCGAAGAAGCCATGCAATCGCTGTGGGAGGGCAAGGTAGTTGGCAAGTTGGTGCTTTCATCGATTCATCGATAGACAATGAGAGTAATCAGCCATAATATAGGTCTACCGTAGGACGTCAACTACCCCTATCGAAGCATTCCAAGCTGTTCGACTTGGGAAGAACATGCCGCTTCCAATATCTGACTGCCACCCAGCGAACCAGTTGCGCCTTCACCCTTGCTTGGTTGACGGTTCTCAGCCCATATCTCATGGAATTTGATGCTCGCATCACTCGTTGCCACAACCAAGCATCCTTCACGACTCGTTCGTCTCTGGTACCATGGCTGCCCCTCGCCATCACCGCGACCTGCCCGTCCAGGAAAGCGCCGTACTCCTCGGGAGCTCTGGCTGCTCGGGCCTTTCGGGCATGGGACAGCAAAGAGGGCCCTCTCCTCGCCCCACCAAGGAATCCCAACCACCATTCCACAGCCAGGCCACGCAAAGACGGCGATGCGGTAGGGATGTTCTGGCTGCGCGAAGCCAAAGGTCGCGGCAATCTCTTTCCGGCCCGAGCTCCAAACCAGGCTCGTGACCTGGGCATGGCAGTCAATGGTGGCCAAGGTCACGCCCGACCGAGTATGGAAGAAGTGCACGCAGCGGTCATTCGACCCCCCACCGGCGGCCAGGAGGGAGGGCTGCCAAGGAGCAAATGCCAATGCCTTTACAGCAGCATTCAAGGTAAAGAGGTGTTTCTGTTGACCGAGACTGACGCCAAGAACCTCCCCTTGAGCAGTGATTGATGTTCCACTGGAGCCAGCAGTGCCATTCCGAACATGGACCGAAGGCGCGGACGTCGGGCGGGTTTGAAGAATCTTCTTGCTCTCAAAAAGGAAGAGTTGATTGTCGTTCCCGCCAGTAGCAAAATAGTCGCCATCTGGGGCCCAGGCAATGCCACAGATTTGCTGAGAGTGACAAGTCAGCCTGGCGAGTAAAGTCAAGCTGCCGTGCCAGTCCCAGAGGTCTCGCTGTGCTTGATCGGGCCACTCCACTGAATAGTAATACACACAGCCGAGCTCGTCACCAACCAAAAGCTCTTCCGTGGCGACGTTGACCTGCGTGTCTCGGAGAGAAGATCTTTCAGTGGTAGTAGGGCAGAATGAAACGCAAGACACGGGGGCTGGCTGATTGCTGTCGAATCTGGGATCCTGATCAAGCGGACTCCAGAGAGTAATGCGACCATCTGCGCGGCCAATTGCGAGGATGGCGGAACCACCGCCGTCGGAGCTGAAAGACAGAGACGTAACATGCGCTGTGCCAGGAGGGGCGGTGAGCGAATCCGGCAGATTGTTCTTGCTTCGTGATTCCGACCAGAGGTACACATGAGGACCTAGTCCGACTGCCAGGCACTCTGCGGTGCTGGAGTAAGCAAGCAGAGAGCAGTAGTAATCGTCCCGTAGTGCTGGCGCATCCAGGACTATTGGAAGAATCAGTAAGACCTTTTAATGACAGCCAGAGTACATGCATACCTCGAAATGGTATTGTCGGTACGGCTTTGTCTTTCACAACGGCCCGTGGAGCGGCTGATTCATCGTCAGTACCAGTCTCCACGAAGAGGACAGGCACGTACGCTTGATACCACCGGCGCGCTCCCACCTGCCATTCTGCCATGACCATTGCCGTTCATGATCATCAGCGCCAACAATCCTCTCGGCACCCACGTCTGCATCAGCATCGAGAGCAATCGCCAATCTTTTGCCGTGCCGGACCTCCTCCTCGCTTGGCAAATGAGTTTTCAAGAAATCCGCAATGTAATGTGGCGCGCTCGTCCCACTCGTCACTCTCCCACCCCTGCCGTTCGTCACGCTGGCCACACCTTCCGTGACGATGGAACCGCCAACCGACCAGACTACGCCAGCGCTTCCGGTCCGAGTAGGCGTGCGCTCGGCAAGATTAGCCCGTGTTGCCAGCAAGCCAAATGATCGAGGGGCTGGCGGCGGGGTCCGAATGGTGGCATACTGCTCCAGCATTGTCCTTGAGTTGCGGCTCAGCGTTGGAGCAAAGGGATCTTGAAGATGCATGAAGGCTTGGTTGAATTGGGTAGCACGCTTGTGGCTTCCATTCAGCTTGAGAAGAAGCTGGCTATCCTTGAATGACCTGGTCTTTCGGCCGGGAATGTAACGATCGGGGGAACGGATGCCCTCCACCATGAGGCGACGTTGGCGAGGTGTTGCCTTTCGTTCACAATACTGGAACAAAGCGCTTGGGTGGCGAAGACGCTTCTCATTCGTCCGTTGAGTTTCAGGCAATCTCCAAGGAAGTGGGCATGCTGGTGAGCTAGTCCCGCTGTCTCTGCTCGGAGGAAGTACGTCGCCATCCTCGGCCTCATTTACTTCAGCAGAGCTGTGACGGTCCGCGCGGAACTCCTAATCCAGAAAATCCAGCTCACAACCTGTTTCATCATCCTGTTCAATGCTTGCATCGATCGGGATCTGATCCTCGCCATGGTCCCGCCGTACATCCGCCTGACCATCAATCCACGGACACCAGCTTTCCAAAGGAGAGGAACGTTGGAGGCAGTCACTACGCTTCTGTGGTGCGGAGCATGGACTGGTCATCGGAGTGTCATGAAAACCCTCATCACACTCACTCCCATCAGCGCTGCTGGAGCTGTCACTCTGGTCATTCCAGTCCTCAACATACGCTGTGCCGATACACAATGGGCTTACGGCCTGCTCTTCTCTCTCGCAATGCCGACTGACCGTGTCGCTCTTGGTAGTCTTGCAGAGTGCTTGCGTACAGTTCTGACACTTCGCTTCCAGGTTCCGGCCGCTGGACGGTTGCCAAAGACATGTCGCTATTCGATTGCCGAGCTTTCCGCGACGGTGCTGTGACGGAGACGCTGAAGCTTTCGCATGACGCCCCACGTGCTCTTGGTAATGAGCACCCGGAGTATTGAGCGCTGGAGCTCCGCAGTCTCTCCATGGAATGAGCAAGCACTGGAACCCAGGTGGGCTGCGAGACATATCTCGGCGGGCGTAAAGCGGTCCCGTACTGGCTTCCAAGCTGGTAGTGTCCTCCGACGTAGGGGACGTAGTGCACACTTGTTCCAGGAGGAGCGTTGATGGCTCCGCAGGAATTGCAATGACCGGAGCGGTGTAGGTTGATGTCGTGACTGTGCCAGGAGCGGACGGATCCCGACGGAGTTCTCGCTCGGCGGAGACTGCTTTCGCACCCTGGATGAGGCTGTCGGTAGACTTCGTGTGCTTCGCGAGAATGCAATCTCTCTTTGTGATGCTCGTATTCCACTTTGACACTTGCAAGGCGCATTGCAATGTAGTCCAGAAGCCTTTGCGGTGAGCAAGCTGCCTAAGCTCGCCGCCATTTACTTGGGCGGAGCGCTGGAGAGGACTCCGACTCGTGTGGTGTTCTTTGATTTGGCTTTCCCCCTGGTACGACAGCCTTGCCGCCAGCCTCTCGAGTGACGAGTCGAGTGGAGGGTTTTCGACGACATGGTCCCGGAGTTGGCGCTCGGTTCCGAATGGCGTTGGCAGGACGCTCAACAGGTCTGCTGGTGTCGGCTGCGTTACGGCAGCATGGACTAGGTGGACGGAAAGCGTACCTCCGCTGGACTGAAGGCTGGAGGCTTTGTCTGTCGGGAGATGCAAAGTCCCGAACGGTGCTGACGAAACGCTCTTCGGCCGGCGTTGGCGAACACTCGGGATACATGGAGCGAGGTGATGTGTCTTCCGCGGCGAGGTGAAATCAGACGGAGGCATGCTCTGCGCCTGTCACAGGCCGGTAGAAGATCCCAAATCAGGCATCAGCATAGCATGATGGGAATTGCGTGCCGTCTGAACTGTGAGAATGCACACTCTGCTGATCTAGTTATGCCTCCCGTTAGCAGCAAATAATGGGTACGTGCAATGGAATGCACGATTTACAACAAGAAATTCATCGCCCAAAGCGCGTTCCATTCGACTTTGATGAAACGTCAGCGCCAGCGGGCAGCGCTTTCTCCGACAACACTTTCGTCGCTCCCACATCTTCCCACCACCGCCACCTGCAGGCGCGGTGCAATGAGCGTGAGTGTCGTGCAGATGGGAAGTGGCAATGAAGGAGATGAAGTTGACTTTGAGGTGAACACAGCACGGCGTACCCCGCGTCTCCGGCACCGCCACCACATCCGGCAAGAGCGAACAGGCGCGGGCAAAGGAACGACAACAGATTGAGCAATACAAGCAACTCGAAGGCGATGTGAGAGCGAGAGTAGGTCAATCCACCTACTCACGTCCTCCTCCACTCACACATGACAGATCTCCGCCCATGACTACTCCAACGCCAGCCTCCAACTCACCTCCAAACTCCTCTCCCAAAACCCCGAATACTACACCATCTGGAACGATCGGCGGCGCATTCTGCAGCATGTCTTCGAGCAAGAGCTGGGGGAAGGGGGCAAGAGCACCACAGCCCCACAGCAAGACATAGACGCCGCACACAAGGCCGGCCTCAGCCTCCCCCAGCGCGAGATCAGTCTACTCATCCAAGAAGACCTGCACTTCCTTCTCCCCCTCCTCAAGCAGTTCCCCAAATGCTACTGGATCTGGAACCATCGCTCATGGCTCCTCCGCTACGCCACCTCCCATCTCCCCCCGCACGCAACACTGGAACTGTGGCAGGCCGAACTGGGCTTGGTCAGCAAGATGCTCGCTCTCGACAGCCGCAACTTCCACGGTTGGAGCTATCGGCGAGAAGTCATTGCCGAGATGGAGAAGCTGAGTGGAAGCGGCATGGCCGAGAAAGAGTTTGAATACACCACTCGCATGATTGGAACGAATTTGAGCAACTTCTCCGCCTGGCACTACCGCTCGCAGCTCATCTCCACCCTATTGCAGAATCGCCGAGCAGACAGCGAGCAGAGACGAAGCACATTTGACGCCGAGCTCGAGCTCATCACTCGCGCCCTCTACACCGACCCTTACGACCAGAGCCTTTGGTTCTACCACGAATACCTCATGGCCACCCTCGATTCCTCGAATGCGGGTGCGCAAATCATTTTACACCCCTGCACCGATGCCGACCGAACGGCATACCTCTCACAAGAGCTGGACAGCATCCGGGAAATGCTGGATGGAGCGGAGGATTGCAAGTATATTTACCATGCTTTGCTACAGTACGCAAACAGGCTAATCGGCCTTGGAGGTCATGGTGCCCCAACCGCCGAGATGAAGGAATGGCTGTCGGAGTTGAGGAAGATGGATCCCCTACGAGCTCGGCGGTGGGAGGATTTAGAGACAAAGCTGAAACTGTAGGCTTCAATAATACCAACTATCCCGCGTGGCTGCCGTGCTCGTCATATCGGGCTTGAATCGGGCCAAAGATCCCCACGTAGCGCCCTTTGTTTCACCCATTCCTGACACACTTGAATGTCGTTGAAAGTACCTCTCAGATCGTGCGCCGCCCAGTTGTTGGAACTTCGTCCCTGGCTGATAGAGGAAGGCTGACCTCGCTGACCGCTTCGGTCTTGCTTGACGAGAGACCTGCCGTCCACGCAGATGTAATAGAGCGCTGGAAGCTCGGGCTTCGACCGATCTGTCCATCCGGCGGTGCTGCAATGCCGCTGTATGGTGGACGAACCGGAGAATGGCTCCGGGACAGGACGATTCAGGCCTTCCTGGTGGGACTTGGAGTGGTCTCTGAACGTGTTCACGATACCAATATGCAGCGTGCTGGGCCAAGTATGGCAGGGCAAGTGTCTGCCATCCTCGAAATCCGCTCTTGTAAGCATGATGGTCTGGAGATGAGGCAAATTTCGGATGAACTCGCTCCAATCCTCGCCCAGGTCAAGATTGTAAAGAGCCAAGCGGCGTAGTTTTGTCCATTTGGCCCAGACTGGAGGCTCGATCTGATAGTCGCTGGGGATCCTGGTGGAGAGGTAGAGCTCGTCACGCACGCTCACAAACTCCTCCAATGCGGACAGCGACAAAAAGGCCTTGCGGAGAGACATTCGTAAGTTTTGGCCACGAGGTTCACCCGGATAATAGCTCCGGAGCGGCATATCGATAATCAGTCTTTTCAGGTTCTTGACCAGAATGCGGAAGATCTGTGAGATACTGGTGACTACGCTTGCTTCGTCGATGGTATCCAAAGTGAAGGGCTTCAGAAACATGGAGGTGCTTGCATTCCGCCTCAGCTGCGTCGCATTCAGAGACCGTCCGGGTAGAGGCGTTTGACTGTCGTAGGACCGGATCAAGGCTCGCAGGCGCCAAGGGGAATCGATATGTAGGCAGTACAGGTGCAGCTGCTCCACACTCGTCGCCGTTGTTGCTTTGCATACCGTCAAACACGACCGCAGCGTTCTTGTGATGATGTGCGAGGCCGGAAAGGCAAAGGCATCATCCGAGATGTCCCCATCTACTTGAAGTCGGGAAACATGACTGATGATCAGCTGCAAGACTTCTGGCGGGAGCTGGACAGCCCTCTCGGCCATCATACTGACAGTGACTAGTTGTGGTTCAAGAGATGGGCTGGTGAGCCCAGGAATATCCAGAGTTGGCGTGGGCACGCGACAGCGTTGTGGTGAGTTGTCGTGGTGGTGTAGCAGTAGCCGGTGAGCTGTCGGAATTTGTTGCCTCAGGCAGAAAGTATCCCGGAACCTCACATCGACATCTCGGAGAGTGATGAATCGACTAACCCCTCGGGCGGAAGATGCCATGTATTCTCTCGCAATACCGAGTCGGCTATCCTTCATTGTCCACTACGAGCAGATCTATCCTCGTATGTGACATTCGCTGTAAAAGCGAGCATTGTCACAAGCTCCCTCATCATCTCCATTCCATTCCGTTACACAAGGCAACGGAATCTCCACCACACCCTTCTCGCAGGCCCTCACGGGATTTGTGCTGCAGCTGTAGCTACTGAGCTCGATATAACCGCCTTCCTCGCGGACAATGCGTCCGCCAACGAGCTGGAACGAATTCTTCTCGTCTCCGTCGTTCCATGCCACGGCATCCGAGAACCGCGCCCTCTCCGGAATCGAGTTTGCAAAAATGCCAGTAAAGACCTCATAGAAGCCAACGGTTAGTGCCCTTTCACCAGGCCGGAAGAAGTACTTACAAGAGCCTCTTCTGATATCCCGCCCGCCCGGCCTTCCTCCGCCCCAAAGATGGCCTTTGAATAGTTAGCCAGCACCGTGCTGGAGAGAGTACCTTCATCCCATCGAGCGCCTGCCAGCAACTGCGCCGACTTCCGTCTGGTATTGGGATCGCGACACTTTGTGCAAATCAGATAGAGGGCACGCAAAACACCCCATTCTCCAAATGTCGAGTGATAGTGCGGTCTCTGACGCGGTGGACCGCATTCCGTTGTATCGACATACTCGCCAAGCCTCAAATACTCAGTCACCACCGCAATCTGCTGTACGAATACCTGGTAATGGCGATCCCATCCAATCTCTTCGATCACTCGGCAGGCCACCAGTCTAAAGTGGGCGCAAAATGCCTGGATGATCAACAGGTGGTGACGCGCCACGACGACTGAATCGGATTTCATGAGTCCATCAAACGCATCTCGCCAGATTTCAAAGCCCCTGAGCGTATCCTCGATCCTTTTCCGCAACCCCGCATCCAGAGCAACAAATCGACTTACGCAAGACTTGAGGCATTCCTTCATTGAGAGGTCTAGACCCCTTCGCAAGAGCGGGCGGCGCATCAGAAAGTCGTCGACACACCTTTGACTGGCCCTTTGCACTCCGAGCTCGATTCTCCACACGGAGTCTTGAAGGCTATGCAGAAAGTCGGTTATATCCTGGAGGGAGGTGAACGCTAATGGTTTCGGCGGAGTTCGATTCAACGTTGATTGTCTCTTGCCAGAGCGCACCAACTTGGCCATCCAATCTCCCAGGCTTGCGCCGTTGCCGGAGCCAATCGTCAAATGTCGATCGTTTGCCCGCATCTCGAGTCCATAGAGTGGCCTCTGGACTATTTCAGCAAGATAGTCACTGCCGGCCATGGCTTTCGCTGCCCACTCCGGATGCGTATGCACCAATACGAAGAGGTGTCGCAAATGGCATCGTACACTTTCCAGGTCGCCAGTGGAGAGGGCGAGATTGACCGAGCTGCGCAGGAGAATATACTGGCGTTCCAGCACTAATTCGCCAGTTGCGGAAGAAGCCAAGGCTGTGCCAGCCGCGACCGCTCGCGCTGACAAGTTCATGGCGACATCGTATTTGACCTGGTGGCGACTGGTTAGTTTGGATTTCATCGAGACTAGAACGCCACACCTTGTCGGGGGGGAGATTTGGCAGCGTTGAACTTCGGGCCACCGCTTCAGGCGCGACCTCCATGCAAATGCACCCATCTACATGCTTTTCGCAAGTGGCACTCAGCAACGTACCATGTCCAGCGGATAAGAGTAGGTAGTGTGCACGACGGGGATGAGTGCTTGCCAGACTCCGCCGCACGCGGCGGCTGGATGGTACCATGAATTGAATGTTGGTGGATGAGAGAGCATATACGACAACGCTGCGTACATTCGCTGAGGCGTTCTGTGAAGCTTTGCCTGCTGATGTATGGCAACCCGGATGTAGTACTCCCATGCGGGACCCGTGGCGACACTCGAGAATCTCGAAAGATTGTCGCTCGCGTGGAAGAACGTAACAGGTGCGCAAAGCGGAGTGGCCACGTCGGGGAAGTCACGCTGAGATGAAGACAGCGCGAGGCTCCACGTCGTGTAGCCGTAGCACACACGACCACCCCTCACGCAATTTCGACATGCTGGACGGGTGCCGTCGCATTTCACCTTTCGAAGGCTACTTACACACGGTCAGCCGTTTCCTGCATGTTCCCTGCCTCGACACTAGGCGTAGTACTTGCCGGCACGTGCGACAAAAGTCAGGGCTTTGTCGCTGCAACAGTACCCGTTTGCGTTTCGCCTTTGCTTCGGGCATTGCAATCAACTCATGACGAGGACGCTTCGACAGCCCAAGCGCGGCAAGAAATGGCTGGCCTGAGCGGTGTCCGTATTCATACCCGGTTTAGACATCGTAGCCTCGCTGACAAGGAGCCGTGGCCCAAATCACGTGATGCTTATTAAAATTCTGTCATGCTTAGACCCTGCCAGAGGGTTCCCGGTAGCATCCCACGCCGCGACAGCAAGCTTGATCTCAATGTGCATGTGGCCCACTTCCCTTCCACATCCGCACGCGTGGTGCGATGCAGTACGGCGGGTCTTTCACCCGGTGGGGTGCGATGGGCTCGGTCCCGTGCAGCATTGATTCCACGGAGTAGCAAAGACGTGGGCGAGCGCAGTCAGCACTTTCCGAATGAAGCCTCTGTGCATGTGCCTCATCCCGGTCTCTGTCTTGCAATTCCAAGCCTGATTGGTGCGTGGCCTGGTTGTAGCAACGCTCTATCCGAGGCACGGAATGCATTTGCCTTCCCACGAATGGTCATCTGCGAGTTAACTCCATGCACATCTCGACGGCTCGGGGATTCCTCGGTCATCAGCAGGTTATGCGTCCGAGCAGATACCTAAAAGGAGGCAGATGGAGGCGGGCTGTGTCATCGATATTGAACAATGGACACGGTAACCAGTCCTGCTTCTTCTAAGGTGCAAGTGGTCTGCCGCTGGGCTAAATCCCTTCAGTCGACCCCGGCCTTTGGCATGAGTGTAGCTATTGGTAGCCTATGTGGCCTACGTCAAACTGGTCGATTCGCGCATAGAATAGACAATTCATAGAAGTCAAGAGTCAAGCGTGTCGTTGAAAGGGGATGTTGCGGGAGATTCCGAATGGCATCATCGCGAACCACCGCACTCCTTACAAAAATACTTCACTACCAGCAAATCAATGTACACTCATCTGTGCTCGCTGATGATATCGTTATTCGGGAGGACAGATACTGACAACACCTGAATAATTGGGCGGGTCGAGTAGTCTTGAACTGACATCAGTCCCGCGGCGAATCAGAAACCGACAGCTTCCTCCTCATTGACAGTGAAAGCCACAATGTCGTCGACGACCAACCCCACCCGGCTGTTTGAGCCAGTGAAACTCGGCCGTCTCAATCTCTCGTCTCGCATTGTCATGGGTCCCCTCTCCAGCGGACTAGCCGATGAGCACAATGTCCTTGCACCGGCAGCCAAAGACTACTACGGGCAGCGAGGGTGCGTGCCTGGTACGCTCCTCATCGGCGAGGCGACATTTGTGAGCGCAAAGGCCGGTGGCACGTCGGAGAGTCGAAGCGGGATCTGGTCCGCCAGACAAATCGCTGCTTGGAAAGAGGCCGTGGCCAGCGTTCACCAAGCCGGTAGCTACATCTACCTCCAGCTTTGGGCACTTGGTCGTGATGCAGATCCTGAACTGAAGAGACGGGCGGGAGCAGGCGATGTTGTAAGCAGCTCGGCCGTACCGGAGACCGAGAATAGCACCATCCCCCGGCCATTGACGGAAGACGAGATCTGGGAGTACGTCGACGATTATGTGGCCGCCGCGAAGACAGCCGTCGAAGTCGCCGGCTTTGACGGAGTCGAGCTGCATGGGGGCAATGCCTCTCTCATCGATCAATTCACGCAAGACATTGTCAACCAGCGCAAGGATCAGTGGGGCTCCAGCATTCCCAATCGCTCTCGATTCGCCCTCGAGATCACGCGTGCCATCTGCGAGGCCATTGGGCCCGATCGCGTGGGCTTCAGAATCTCCCCTTTCAGCACTTACGGCGGGATGGGGATGAAAGATGCTGTCCCTCAATTTTCACACCTCCTTGCTGGCCTGAAGGATCTGAAGATCGCCTACGTCCACTTGGTGGAATCACGGATTGCCGGCCGGGTCGATGTCGAGGCTGGGGAGTCGCTGGACCCATTCACGGAGCTATGGGGAGACGCGTCGCCCATCATCGTTGCTGGTGGCTACTCTCCCGAGACAGCACGTACCGCTGTCGACAAGCAATATCGTGACCGAGACGTGCTGGTTGCGTTTGCACGACAATTTGTGACCAATCCAGACCTTGTGCAGAAGTTGAAGAGTGGCATTCCGCTTACGGCATAACGACCGGGAGCATGCCTCTGGTTCCCATATAGAGTAGCTGCCTATTTCCCGATAAGTCTAAATGGATGCGTTGCATTGTACCGTAGCTTCCAGATCTTTGTTTTTGCCCTAGCTGCTATTTGTATCAGTCAAGATGATGAGAGACGAAGGCTGTCGGACCGGCCGGGCCACACCATTGGCTGATCCCCAGACCCCACATCCAACGTCGATCATCCCCCATCCCGGTCCCACACCTTGACCTCCACCTCCGCCCGTCCCAGCATCAACCACAATCCCAGCCGCTGGCTGCCGTCGTCGTCGTGACCCTGGTATAGATCTTCCAACGTGCGCCATCTACCCGCAATGGACGCGACGACTTTCAGTCAGCAGGAGAGATGTCGCATCCTCGAGCTCCCCGCCGAGCTCCGCGTTGCCATCTACGAACACGCGTTTCCCCCAAAGACCGTCCACGTGTGGGTGGACAAGAACGTCTACCGATGGCGCAGTTACATCAAAAAGTCCGCCGTCGCTTTGCTCGCAACTTGCCGACAGATCGCCGCCGAGGCCACCCCCGTCGTCCACGACAACACCACCGTGCACTTCTCCATTTGCGATGAGTTTGAGCGATTGCTCTCCCGTTATCATCGCTTTAGCCCTCTCGAGACATTTGACACCCGCTCCTTCAATCACGTTCGCAAAGTCCACCTCTCCCTCCACACCCTTGCCGATCCCATCTACGACCTTCTCCTTGACCACATCCGAGGCTTGCTGGCGCGGCTGAGCTTCTGTGTTGACATTCGATCCATCGAGGTCCATTTCGAATTCTGGACCAATATCACGGATGCCAATTTATTCGCCATCTACGACACGCTGTCCGACATTCAATTCAGCCGGCCGGTGGAGATCGGGACGCCTGCAGCAGGCTCGTGGACGGTATTGTACACCACAAAGTGCTTCACGTCCTGCCTCCGACAAATCAGAGACGACGTGCATGCCAAGCGCGAAGGGCTGCCCCTCTGGATGCAGAACGACCACGTCGGTGCATTTGTCGGTCCGCGAGACCTCATCATCTCGAGTCAGATCCGATAGTCGGGACATGTAGGGGTGGCAGGGACATGTTTGAGTGCGAGACGCGGCGCGTTGGCACGCATGTTGATTCATCGCTCAGTACGTAAATTCGTAGCGTAACGCTCAATCCACCGGGGCATGCTTGAACAAGAATGATACACTCTCACCATTGTGGGTTCTTCTGCACGCCTCGGCCAGCTGGGATGATCGTTAGCAATCGTGTGCGTTATGCAGGGATTCCCGAGAGAACCTACCGTAGGACTAATGTCAATCGTCTCAATGCGATCACAGTGCTTCTTCTTCTCGTCATGCGGCACCGTATTCGTCACCACCAACTTCTTCAACCGGCTGTTGTTCAGCTTCTCGCATGCATCGCCGCTCAAGATGCCATGCGTAACGATTGCGATCGCCTCCCGCGCTCCATGCTCCATGACCACGTCCGCCGCCTTGACTAATGTGCCACAAGTGTCGGCCATGTCGTCAACGATGATGGCAATGCGGTCCCGAACATCTCCCACCAGCACCATGCGGCTGACCTCGTTGGGTCGTGCGCGTTCCTTGTGGATGAGGGCGAAGCCGAGATCGAGGCTGTCTGCGATCGATGTTGCTCTATATTAAGCGTCAGAGATGTCGAGTACTCAGAGCATTCAAAATGATATACCTCTTTGCACCTCCAGCATCTGGACTGACAATCACGCAGTCCTTGACCACGAGGTTCTCGCGGATCCAACGCAGCGTGCTGGGCTCGGCGTACAGATTGTCCACCGGCACATTGAAGAAGCCCTGAATCTGGCTGGCGTGAAGATCCATAGTGATGACATGATTGCACCCTGCCGTCTGCAACATATTCGCCATGAGCTTGGCGGTGATGGGAGCCCTACTCTTATCCTTTTTGTCTTGCCGAGCGTAGGGGAAGTTGGGGAGGACGGCGGTGATGCGGCGGGCGGAGGCGGTGCGACAGGCGTTGATGAGGATGAGCAGTTCCATAATGTGATCATTGATGTTGCCCGGCTCGGTGGATTGGATGATGAAGACTGTGGAACAGAAGTCAGTCAATCGGTGGTCTTACAGGATGCGGCGCAGACGTACCATCCTCGTCTCGAACGGATTCTCCAATAGATATGCTGGTTTCGTTGTTGGAATACTGCAGGACCATGATCTTGGCCAGCTCGATTCCCAGTCTACCTTCGTATAAACATTTGCTTCCGCGATACTGAGCAAGGGAGAGGATTGGAGAAGGCTCACCTGTCTGCCACCAACTTGGCCAGTGTGCCATGGCTGTTGCCGGTCAAGAGCTTGATCGAATTGGTCGCCATCCTGGCGGAGCCGTAGGAAGACTATCAGTCGGAGGGCAAGGGCGTGTGCGAGATTATCATCGGTTCATGTTGCGGAAGAAAAGAGCTTCGCCATCAAAATTCCAGTCAATTCGGCTCGGCTGATGCTACACGTGCTGTCACAAGCTTTTCCACCTCCCGCTAGCCGTTTTCGGCAACGACAGTGAGGTTGGACGGGCACACATACACCTCGCTGAGGATGCGCACGTCGGACAAGACAGTGAAGTAACAGATAATAGAGAACTATCTCATCGCGACACTTGACATGCACAGTTCAAGGGCACAAGATCCTCATTGAGAGAATTGGTATTTCGCTAGCTTTTGGCAAGGCTTCCATCGTGGGGAGATACCATGCCCTCATTCAACGATGCGCCGGCTGTCTAATGCTGTTGATGACACTGTCGTGCTCCTACGGACCATTCAAACCCGCATGCTCACGGCATCGAACACTTGTTTACTCGGTCTTGCGCATGCTCGACGCACGTCTCTTCCGCATCTCCGCCTGCTTCGCCTTCTCCTCTGCAACGCGCTTGTGCATGATCTGGGCGTACTCGTTCTGTGTCCATTGTCAGCAATGCACGAGAAGTTCAAGTGATGTAAGACTCACCGCAGCATCACGGCTGGCTTCCGCACGACGACGCTTGAGAGCGATGCGGTGACGCTTGTGTTGCAGGCGCTGAGGAGTGACGAGGCGCTGGATGCGAGGGGCCTTGGTGTATGGCTTGGCGCCCTCCTTCTTGGGCTGGACTTCACGACGAATGACAAACTTGCGGACCTACAATACAACGTTAGCATACGTTACCTCGGCAGACTCAGACTCAGCCCGGTGGTGCTATGAGGAAGCACCGGTGGGCTGGCGAAGAGGAGTAGAGCGGGAGCACTCACATCGTCTTCCTTGCTGAGGCCGAAGAATCGCCTGATCTTGGTGGCACGCTTGGGGCCGAGGCGTTTGGGGTGGACGGTGTCGGTGAGGCCGGGGATCTCTCCTTCGCCTTGCTTGACAATGCTGAGAGCCAAGACGCTGAGGTCCATGGCCACGATGCAGCCGCGCACCGACTTCCTCTTGCGCTCTCCCGTTCGGCGGGGACGGTAGCAGGAGTGGCCATCGGCGAGGAGGAGGCGCACACGCGTAGGATGCATGACACCCTGCTTCATGGGGAAGCCCTGCTTGTCGTTGCCGCCGGTGATGCGGAAGACGTAGCCCTTCCATTCGTCGCCCACGCTGTCTGCCGGCACCTCTTGACCCATGCGGCGGTCCATGAAGACGCGGAGCTTGCGCTCATCTTCGATTTCGACAAGCTTCTGCGATCCGTTGGCCGGGTAGGAGATGTTGAGCTTCATCTTGACGGTGTGTTGGGAGGATCAAGACGAGCGAAAGGAGTGTGGACAGAAATTATTTGGAGATGGAAGCGGTGGATTTGCAGAATTGAGTAGTGTGGGCTTGGCATGTTGTGGTGCCTCAGGTTGTAAAACTTTATTCCATCAAGCTGCAATATTCCGTCACGCTAGTACCAGAAGTACGAAGGGCATCTGCAATGGCGAGCAACATCCTTCATGCATCACACCATCTTTCCAGCATCGCCATCGACATAGCATGCAGACCGGATGCAGACACTCTCGGTAGTTACTTATGCCCCTTCATACGGCATTTCAACTACGCTTCAGCGCTTCGAAATAGTCGACGGCCCCGCTCACTTCCTTCTCCACATCGCCATCCCACACCCACCGGTACTTCTCTACTATCCGGTTCGAGGCGATGGTTGCAGGATCAAACCCCTGGCTGCCACAAGCGATCTCTGCAATCAAGCGGGAATTCTCCACCACAAACGTCGGCCTACCACCGCGACGCGTCTTGTCGTATGCTTCAAAGGCATACTCCACTTCCTCCTTTGCCCGCACATTCCCCAGCAAGCCGGTCAAGACAGCAGCATCTTCGGCGACCATACTGAATCCTTGACCCATCCTGAAGCGCGGAGTCAGCAACAACTTTCCCCAACTGCATGCGTCTGACGAACCAAGGAGTCGTTGCGTGGGCCGCATCACCCATCATACAGATTCGGCCTCTCCAATATGTCGGCGCCGGTTGACTTTCCCATTGCTGGAACAACACTCCCGGGCCCGCTCCTGGGGTCAGTAGGCATTCAAAGACGCCCTCGAGATACTCTTGGTTGCCCCATTTGGCATACTTCCTTTCCAGAAACTCTCGAGTGATCGGCGTCTTCCATTCTGTGATATGTTCGTCGCCGGGGCCCGTTTTGCCACCCACAATCGCTGCAGCCATGCTTCCGGGAGGACCAGAGACGAAGAGGATGATGCTTCCTTCACCACACCGATAGCCCTGCCGAGGACTCTCCGGCTTTATGACGGTACTACCAAAGCTCGCCAACCCTTTCTCAGAACTGACCACGGCGCGCGCATCCCAGAATCCAGTATTGACAGGTGGCACTGCTGGATGCTGCGGACCAAGAATGATTCCTCTGATCGTTGAACGAATGCCATCACAACCGACCACAGCGTCTGCTTCATACGAGCTGCCATCTGCGAAGTGCAATGTCAGACTCGCTCCTTCTTCTATCGACACCAGTAGCTTGTGTTCATGTAAGCGTTCCGCGGGCAGCCTCTGCAACATTTGTTCCAGCAAATTCGTCCGGATGACCGATTGCACGCCATCGGAAGTTTCCCAGAGGATTTTGTCTTTGTGTTCTCCGTATGCCTGTAGCAGCTATCAGTCTCCGAGGAAGTGAGCAGGGGCAACAGTTTCAACTCACCACGACTGCATTTTGGTACGCGGAACGAAATGCGCCGGCGTCTTTCATCATTTGATCCCCATCCACTCCAAGCGCTCGCAGAGCATTCATGCCATTGGGGTAGATGAGAATGCCTGCGCCACGCTCTCGAAAGGTGGATCTTTCGAAGACATCGAATTGAATGTGAGGATGCTTCAGAAGACCAAGCGCCAGAGTGCAGCCTCCAACGCTTCCACCCACAATTGCAATGCGCAGAGGGTCCGGCATTTCTTGGTCGACAACGGTATCTACGATTGAATTTGGAAGCTACCTTACCTGAGTCAATATATACTGCTCGATGGGGCCTCCAGGCATCACGTCAGCGTGGACATGGCATTATTAACGTTGCACCCTAGCCTCAATTCAGTAGTCGTCACAGAACCTGCGCGCTCGACAACTCAGCCTCGCGGTCTGTGTCATCAAGCGTCTATCGAATATCAATGTGAGCATGCTCTCGGTAAAGGCTACATTTCAAATAACAGGGTCAGCATGGCTGGTAGAGTGAGAACCACGATGAAGACAGTCGAACAGTCATTTCGGATCTACGCCGTTGTGGACGCTGTGAGGACTGAAAGGCGAGGAGATCCTCTTCCAAGCTGGTCGAATGCTCATGAAGATAGAGGGTGAAATCTGCAAAGTATGTCGGTTAAGATGGCAGCGATACTTCGAACCATCTTCTACTTAGAAGCCTTCGCTCAAGGCTTGCCCATCCATGCCTTGGCCAGGAATCCATCCGCCGAAGTGAAGTGATACTCGGGAAACACACGATTCCACTCATCCGACACGTTCAGCGCGCCGGACGACGTCCCAAGAAGCATTCCAGCGGTGAGCATAGAGATGAAAGCGACCATTTGCTCGCTCTGCGTGCCCGAATGCTCCACCGAAGGGAGCCACGAAGCCTTGACTATGCCGGCCTTCAAATCATCGGCTTTCAGCCTTTCGACATTGAATGGTGCGCCTTTCGACGAGAGCATGTCAGCACCGCTCCTCAGTCAACCATTACGACAGTCTGCCATACCTCGAACTCGTTCACCCAGCTTGAGCAATTCCCCAATTGTAATCTCCGTACCCTTGATGCCGCCTAAAACTGGCCATTCGCCCTCATACTCCACCGCTCGCGCCACAATCTGAGCAAAGTCCTGAGCAGTGGTGAGAGTAATGCGATCGTCTTCGCTTCCTTCCATGATCAACGCTCGGCGTCTGTCAAAGTCGATGTGCATCTCAAACGAGTTGAAATGTTTTGCAGACTTGTAAGGGTGGGTGAGGTAGTTCGTGAAGAGGCCGGGGAGGAAAAGACAGTACTCCAATACCTGTGTGGCAATGTCTGGTGTGAGCTAGAGTTGTATTCGTCGCAACCAGCGACTCATTCCTTACCGTCCGTTCTCGATTGAGGTCTTTGAGATACTGGCGAATCTCAGCCTTGCCGGCATACCACGGCATATGCTCAAAGCTCGACCTGCGGCAGGCATCAGATTTGACCTCGGTCCTGGTGCGTACCCGCATGCCGCATACAAAGTCCACTCGCTGGGAGCAAAACGTTTCACCCCGGCTTCAACCACTGCAGTGATGAGGTTCTTTTGCGTGATATCATTGGGATCCGTCTGCGTGACGACAAAAGAAAGCAGCGTGTGAGTTCCACGCATGAGGTCGACAAGTTGCCGTACGTCCAGGTAATCCGTCTTCGCCCAACTCACGCCCGGCCTTGTTTCAATGCTTGGTACATCCTACCCATTTAGATGATCAATGGCAGCAAAGGCATCAGTAGCCATCGGTGACGCACCTTTCTCGAGAGTAACAAGATCTCGTGCTTGTTCGCAGCACACAGTGCATCAATCACCTCCAGCGCAACATCTGGTATGAGCTCAGTCAGCGTTCGAGTTCAACGCCATGAAAGCAGAACATCGTACTGCTGGTTCCCCCAGCAATTGCTACCTTCACCATTGTGCAGACAGTATGTTGAAGTTGATGGGCGACCAACGCTGGGGAGATAGAAAAGGCAGAGTTCAGCTCGGGAAGCGGGACCATACGATGTGCTTACTGCCGGAACGTGAGGTGATAGAGTTCGGGTAGAAATACAATATGTTATACAATATGTGCTAGGCAACAACACGCCGATATCCTACACAGACCAGTCATCAGGCCTTGCCGGGAGCGCAAAATGCATAGCCCATCAACTCCTCCGCAGTCGGCCGCTTTTCGTGCTCAATCTCAAACGTCTTGCGCAAGAACTCCTTGGCATCCTCGCTCGCCTGCTCGGGCAGGTCAGGACGGGCATTCTCGCTCGCCGCCCCACCACTGCCTCCAATCTTGAAGATGGCTTGCAGTTGGGTACAATTAGGATGAGGATGGGAGCCAGTGAACATCTCCACAATCAAGCAGCCCAATGACCAAATGTCGGCTTTCTTGGTGTAGGCGGTTTGGCGGACCACTTCCGGCGCCATCCAAAACACCGAGCCTTGCAGAGACACTCGGGGGCCGCCGCGCTTGAAAGGCGGCTGGGGATGGAGAAGGGAAGATGCTTCGACGCGCTTGCTGATGCCAAAATCGGAGATCTTGACAGTGCCTTTGTTATCCACGAGAATGTTGGCGCCTTTGATGTCGCGGTGGATGATGTCTTTGGAGTGCAGATAGTTCAAGCCTTGCAGGATCTGCCGGACAAAGTTGGCAATCAGCGTCTCCCCCAGCGTGCCATAGTTGACCAGCATCGTTGCCACCGAGCCGCCCGCGACGTATTCAAGGAAAATGTTGAGATGGCACTCATCGCTGTTCGAGCCCAGGTATTGCACGATGTTGGGATGTTTGAGGTCGCGCAAGAGACTAATCTCCCGCTGGAGAGCCTCAATCATGTTGTTCTTCTTCGCATCCATTGCAGTGCCACTGTTTGACGGCATTTCGACTTGCTTCACTGCCATGAGCTCGGCAGTAACGGCGTGAAGGGCCAGAAAGACGGTTCCAAATGAGCCCTGGCCAATCATGGCGCCTTTCATGTATTTGAGGTCATCCCAGCTGTCTTTTTCCAGATGTTCCATCAATTCTTCATCCGGCTCCTCCCCATCCTCCGCGATGAATTGAGATAGTCGCTGGTTGAGACTGCTGGTATCGACGTCGGTGCCGCCAGGACTACTAGCGCCCTCGTCGAAATACGACTGCATGACCGTGTTGCCTTCCGGATCGGTGACCGACAGGTTGCGGTTGAGTCCAGACTCTGATCCTCCGCTCTCCGGTCCAAATGAGGCAAAGCTCTTCCGGTCGTGCTCGAGTGGGGATTCTTCGTCCAACGGCTCCAGCATACTGCCGGTCACGGACTCTCGGTATGAATCCGGTCGGCCCAGGCGCACCACACTCAGAGGCCGCAGGCCAGGGATTCGAGCTTGTCCACCAGATTCTCGGAGCCATTGATCTGCAATTGACGGAAGAGGCGGCGCGTCCCTCAAGCTGCTCGAAACGCTAATGCTGCTGACGGTGCTCAACCTGCTGACAGCCCTGCTCAATCGCCGACTTCTTCGAATGGACATCCGCACTGTGCGATCCATCTCTTCTTTGGCCACTTCGGGGAAGTAGGATTGTAAGTCTTGGGTAATCAGCTCCGTGGGCGGACGGGCGCCGTAGAAGTCCTTCAGCTTGCGTGCTCGGGCAGATGCTGTGGACGTTTGGCTGGCATTTCTCGAGAGAAACGATTGAGAGTCGAAGTAGTCATTCCGTTGCTGCTGGCTGTCGGGAGACATGGGGTAGCTGACAGCGGCAAGCGGCTCGCCGATCAGCTTCTCGATCTTCATTTGACTTCGTGTCTTGTTTGTTGATTGAACCTCGATGGCCGGTGGCTCTGGAGACTGCTGTTCGGCGATACGAGCGGCGGACTTCAATTGCTCTCCCGCGGGCTCGCCTGCGTGGATCTTTCGCAAAATTAGCCGACCACGTTCGCTGCGGACACCATCGTTACAAAGCTTGATGAACTCCGCCTCGCCCAGCCGTCGACAAAAGGCTGGATCGGGATCTGTGCCGTCCATGACCCAGAAGCAGTAGGACCGAAAATGGTTTTCGTTCAGTGAGCCCTTGCGCAGTGTTGTGCGTATGATGTCTTCGGCGGTCCGGCAGCCTTCAATGTTGACCACGGAGCAACGGCCATTCTCGAAGATTACACGAATCAGAGGCTTGTCCACCGGAAGAGCACCAACGATGTTGGAGGAGCTGGTAGCGTCTACCGAAGGAGAAGCTTTCAGATGACCCCAACGTGCGGACTGCGGAGCTTCCAACGGAGTAGTGCGTTGGCTGCCGGTGTATCGCGCACCTGCGCTTGGCGGCTGACTGAAGTAACCGTCCTTGTTACGTGTGGCGATCATGGGGCTGGGTTCACCCCGGCGGAAAGCTGCAGAACGGCTTTCCTGGTCGGTGATGGGGGAGTTGGGACGGGAAGAAGTTTTGATGGCGAAAGGTGAGAGGCCCTTGAGATCGCCGATATTCAGCTGGCGCGACATTCGCTTCTCCGCACGGGAACTCTTGGGGGCATGTAGGGCGCGTGGGGAGCCGGAAGAGGGAGGAGTATAGGCGGAGTGGTTGTCAAGTGTGGCCAAGGACAGCTGCTCTCGGACATCAGTACATGGATAGTCGCTCCTCAAATTCATCTGACATACCCGGTTCATGTTCCTCTTGCTCGTCCTCTTGCACACGCTATTGCGAAAGACCTTGGCCTGCGCACCAATTCGCACGCGGTCTCCAATCTTCTTGACGCCCATCTCTTTCAGCATAGCCTGATCCATGTCGATCAGGTTCTCGCCGTTGATGTTGTTGCGGCGGAAGAGGTCGATGTATTGGGCGCAGTTGATGCTGCGCAGCCACTCGGCCACCTGCGCCTCGTCCCATTCCAGCACGGAGTGTCGGGGGTCTTTGCCGTAGGGCTCGGAGAATTCGGACTCGGTGGGGGAGGTGAAGACGCCGTTCATGTTGCTGCTCATGGGGATGCCGCCGTAGTGGCTTCCGGCATGCGGAGGGCGTGCAGCGACGGCCGCCATGGTTGCGGTTGCAGATGAAAGAGGAGAACAAAGGACTGGCCAAGCCAAGGGGATGGCGTCGGGGGAGTTGCTCGGCCGCTTAGTTCATTGTGTTGTCGCCGTGCCAAGAAGGTGCATCAATTGCCAGTGCAGGCGCAGGGTGCAAGCAATCAGAGTGCAGTGGACCGATCAGAGCAACACGAGGGTACAGGCGAGCGAGATGAGCAGAGAGGTGCAGGGCGGCGAATGACGCTGTCGACACTCCACCACGACTCGCCCCGACGACACAGACCTTGAGGATCGCAATATGAACGGGACATGGATGGGGGGAAGCGACGAGGTGTGGGATTTGTAAGGAAGGAGCCTCTCGGCGGGTGTCAGGCGCGCCACCTGAAACGCTCCGCCGCCCTTCCCGATCCACCCAACCACCACCCCGCCCGGCCTAGGGCGTTTCAGGCAAGCGCACGGGCCGCAGGGCCTCGCATCTCGATACATCCAACTTCATTTGATGACCTTACCTATACGAACAGACCTCGTGTGATGTCACCGTCTTCAAGTCACAGGTAAACGTGCCCTATCATTACATTCCAAGCTACGCATGGGGTATCTCCGCTACGTCTAAAGCAATCCGTAAGAAACAACCTCGGGAAAAGCCAAGTCGAACGCCGCTTTCGCCATGTGCATCTCATGTCTTCATCCCAACTCGGATATCGTCTTCGTATAATCATTAGGATGCTTGTCAACTCCGACGCGAACGCCTCCGCCGCCCGCGCTCCTCCCTGTCCTCCTCACTGCTCTCACGTGAAGGCACACGGCGTCGCTAATGCTGTGGTGCCGACCCGGATGAGGTCATGGAGGGAGGGAAAAAGCTGCCGGCCGGAGAAGAAGATCCATGCCAATCTGGTCCGCCGCCCTGCCCACTCGCTTGACTGTTGATCGTATTTCGTCGTCTGTCTCGCATTCTGGCAGTCTCAGGCGGAGGCGGCTGCCATGCCCGCCTTGCCTCGTAGCTGCTCGACGGCAGAGGGTCGCCTACTGGCCCACCCATGGATCCAGGATGATAGTTGTATGCGCTGAAAGCTGGCGCGTTGCGTGTGGAGAAGGACTCGCCGCGAAAGCCTCGACTCCCGCCCTTCTCAAAACTTCCCATTCCGGTGCTGTTTTGCTCGGGGCTGCTCTGGGCAGGATGGAGGCGGCTTCCAAATTGTTGCTCGGGCATAGCGGGAATTGAAGAGTCACTTCTGCCGAATGCACTCCGCGGCGGAGGGGAGGAGCGGTGACGTGAAAGCCTGGGTTGCCTGCCGTGCACGGATGGTGGCGAGCCGGCGGGAGGTCGTGGCTGAGTCCGTGGAGGTATGTTGATCGGCTCACTGGAGCCTGAAGAGGTGCCGTGCATCGAATTTGTCGGCACTCTTGCACCAGTTCCAGTACTCCTTCTGTTGCTGGCCTCGGCACCATAAGGCTGGGCCGGGAGGGGAGGATCTTCGCCAAAGACTCTGCCACTGCCCTCTCGTCCTGTATATGGCAGCCGCTGTCGCTCCAGCGGAACGTATGGTAGGTCGAAATCATCGTCGCTCAGAGCACCGGTTTGGCGCGGAGTCCTGGAGTACGGCTGACGCTGACGTTCGGGATACAAGCTTGCATCGCGCTGCGGCATTGGTGGCGGCGGTGGAGGCATAGACACCAATCCCTTCAACTGGTCCAGGATATCCGGCTCGTGATCTAAACTTGCCACAAGTCTCTGCTGTGAGGCAAGCTGCGGTGTTGCGGGGAAAAGACGCCGTGAGAGTTCTTTGGGAAACCGCTCGGCCATGTTGTCCGCGCTTGAAATGGGCATATGCATGACGGCCTTCGCGAGGCGATCAAACTCCGCATCTGGTTGCGCCTGGATGAGACAGGTCATGAAGATCTCGAAGCCCCGAGGCGTCAGGGACGGTATGGTTGGGTGATCTTGATCGCCTTCTTGAACCAGATGATATGGACAAGCGAGCCTCGAGTACATCCTCGACAGCGATTTGGCGGGTAGCCTGCCGAAGATTGTGTCCCATGGATAGATCTCCGCATCGATTCTGGTCTCGCTGTAGAATCTCTGCATCTTAGCTGGCGTGACGACGAGGCTGCGCTTGGGTTCGTAGTCGTCGATTAAGTGGAGGGCGAGGCCGCGGAGAAAAGAACTGAGTCGGGGAGTCGGTTCACCATCGCAGAACAAAGGTCCCCAAGCCCTTTCGAGAGCCGTTTCCTCTGGGCCTGGCGCTTCTGTTTTATGAACACCTCTCGAAAGTCCATCGGAAGCTGCATCCGCTCCCAGCTTGCTGTCCTTTCTGCCCGGTCGCGAGCTCGATCGTATGTCTTCTTCAACCCGAGCGTCATCTTCTTGCGGAAGGTTGCTTCTACTCAACCCCGCTGCTGGCCGGGTAGTCCTCTCTGACCCGCTCCTCGTAGCCGGCAGCTCTGCATCTTCCATGCTCCATATGTCGTCCGACCGTCTCCCACTTGTACCACTATGTTGACTGAAATGACTGTCGACGTCGGAGGGAGGGCGCGGAGGGGATGTCGCATTGATGCCGAAGACGGAGTCGCCCTGCTCAAGCGTCAAAGGCGTCGCTTGGGACTGAGAAGAGTGAGGAGACGATGCGCCCGAGGCGGAAAAGGGCGGCGTTCGCTGTGCTGCCATTCTCCTGGTGGCTTCTTCGACGACCCGAGCAGTGAGAAGTTCGAACATCGCCGGATCGATCTTGGTGTTCGTGGGAGGATTTGAAACGTGATCATGAGACACGTCTTGGATGATGCTGGCTGTCCGCCCGTGCGCCGTGGGCTGGCCCTCATCACATTGGGAGGCTGTCATTGTGGGCTTGGGCAAGTCGTCGGCGCGGTCGCGGGAAAACCGAGATGATGGAGATGCGTTGTTCGCGGTCATGTCGGACCATGCGCCTTCACGCCAAACACTTCTTACGATGCTCGACGCATGATGGGTTTCAGCGTCGAGAGTGCTGAGATTGCGTGAAGCGCTCGGCGTGTGGTGCGCTGCTCAATGGCCTTTGATGCGCCGCTTGTTGATTCTGGCGATGCAGAGACCTGAGTCAGTCCCGGAGAGCACGGCTGTGTCGCCACATGGCGGGCCGTCGCATGCGCTCAGACACGATTGACCCTGCGGCCATGAAGGGAGGAGAAGTTGGGTTCAGGTTGTCGACTGCGACGGAGATGGAGGTTGGAAGTCGATGCACGTACGTCATGCGCCGGAGGATCAATGCGCGGGTGCCGACGCGCTATTCCGCTTTTGGCGACTCTGCGGCAACGTGAAGCAACGGTGTTGAACGAGAACAATCTCATGAGAGCCCTCTCCAGGCACGAAAGATGTGAAACTTGATTGTCAAATGCACACACGAGCGCTGGATTGCTTGTGAGATCAGAAAAGCGCCGCTCGCAGCGCCAGAGGGAAATGTCGCAAAGACAGAGCGGGTTTTCGACGCGGTATAATAAGTCGCCTGCTCTTCACAGCCTTACTCTCACCGGTCGCCTACTGCATTCCGTCGCACAGCATGCTGCACCTCAACACATGACGCGGCGATCAGACCGTTCTGCGAGTTTCACCTGCCAGGGCCATGATCATGCCAACGTCGGCGCTTGTTCCTTGTGAGGCAAGGCAACGTGCGAACCGTCTTTCAGCGATCTGATAGGCCAGGTGAGCAACTCTGGGTGTCGTGCATGGATGATCCGGGTTCGAGGTTTGGAGGCAAGTAACGCGCCCACGACTCCCAACCCGCGCGCTCCGGTCAGATAGGATCCGGCGACACAAGCTAGGTACCCGTCCACGTCATTTCAAACCACCGTGGTTGAAGATTGGGCTGCTCGCCGGTTTAATGCACGTCGCACAGCTTACCCGATTGGGATGGAGGATTTCAGGTCAGCCGAACGGTGGCAGGAAGAGCGACCCACCGACCCGCGCAGCTGGAGTGGTTCACGCCAAATAGCACTACTTCTTGCAAACCCAACTTGGCTACGATCCGGCATGGTAGGCGTTGCGCGCATCCTCGACATCGGCTTTCAGCTGTCGTGCTCCAGCGACGCTACTCGGGTGGTGGTCGACCATCGGGCCCGACATCTCTCCGCGTATCGTCCTGTCTATCTTTTTGTACATGTCTATATAAGACGCCACGAGGAGCGACTAGGTTTGCATAACCTCCTACTATTTCCAGCATCCTGGGACTGCAGTCTATTGTTTTGTTTCATCGTTCAAGCATTTTCCTTTCAACATGCCCTCCGCCGTGGTCACATCTCGTCCAGCTCCGCCCACACCAGATGCGCGAGAGAACATTCCGGCACCAAAGGGCCTCCCTATACTGGGAAACCTGCTCGACCTGCAAGATGAGGTGCCTCTCCACGCGATTGAACGCATGGTCGATATCCACGGGCCCATATTCAAAATCACCATTCTCGGCCAGGAACGCATCACCATCGCCAGTGCAGAGCTCTTGGAAGAACTATGCGACGAAAAGCGCTTCTGGAAAACCCCCGGCGATGCCCTGGCGTCTTTGAAGAGAAAAGGAGCGCCGCGAAGCGGACTATTCTCTGCACCGAGCGAGGACTCCATCGATTGGCAGCTCGCTCATCGAATTCTCATGCCAGCATTTGGACCGCTCAGTATCCAACAGATGTTCGGCGAGATGCACGACATTGCAAGCCAGCTGGTCTTAAAGTGGGCACGAAAGGGCCCAAGCTATCGAATCCCCGTTACACTCGACTTCACACGACTCACCCTGGACACAATTGCCCTGTGTGGGATGGGATATCGCTTCAACTCGTTCTACCAAAACGAGATGCATCCATATGTCGACGCAATGAATACCACGCTCTCTGCATCCTCGGATCGACTGAAAGTCGGCTCGCTAGTACGCAAATTGCTGCCGTGGGACAAGTCCGCTCAACAGCTCGAAGAGGCCCGAGACTACATGCGTGAGGTGGCGCACGAGCTTGTCCAAAACCGCAGAGACAACCCGACAGACAAGCATGACCTGCTGAACGCCATGATCCACGGCAAAGATCCCAAGACGGGAGAGACGATGGACAACGACCTCATCTCCGCCAACATGACCACCTTTCTCGTTGCCGGGCATGAAACAACCAGTGGCCTCTTGTCCTTTGCCATGCTCAACCTCCTCAAGAATCCGCAAACATATTTCAAAGCGCAGCAGGAAATCGACCGGGTCGTGGGCCGCGAGAGGCTGACAATTGACCATCTCAAGGACCTGCATTACATAACTGCAGTCCTTCGAGAAACTCTTCGCCTGACGCCCACAGCCCCTGGCTTCTCCCGAAGCATCCGCGGAGACAATCCCAATGATGTCGAGCCCTTGCTCGGTGGCAAGTATGCCATCAGGCGAAGCGACCAGGTGTTGTGTCTCATTGGCAAAGCACAGCGGGATCCGAAAGTATACGGAGAAGACACGAACGATTTCAATCCAGACCGCATGCTTGAAGAAAACTTTCAACGCTTACCAGCGGGAGCATGGAAAGCCTTTGGCACCGGCATTCGCGCTTGTATCGGCCGGGCGTTCGCCTGGCAAGAGGCGCAAATGGTCCTCGCGTTGATGCTGCAAACATTCAACTTTAGCTTGGACGACCCGCAATACCAGATGAGGATCAAACAAACGCTGACCATCAAGCCCGAGGGCTTTTACATGCGTGCTACTCTTCGCGAAGGTATCACGCCTACCAGCTTGCAGCACTTCCTCACTGGTGGGCAGACGAATGAAGATGTGGCCACCAACGGAAGCGTCTCTGCGATCAAGGGCGCTGGCAGCAGTGGAAAGCCATTCACGGTGATTTACGGATCGAATACGGGGACATGTCAATCTCTTGCGCAGAAACTCAGCATCGAGGCACACCACCATGGCTTTTCGGCACAGGTGAAAGAGATGAACTCCGCAGTTGGTGCCCTCCCGAAAGACCGACCCGTCATTATTATCGCGGCGAGTTATGAAGGTGGGTTCTGAGAGAAGAAAAAGAGAGCTGTGCTACACCAATACTAACATTCTGTAATAAGGACAACCGACTGACAACGCCAATCAGTTCATTGCTTGGCTTGAATCGGCGAAGAACACATCAAACCTCGATGGCGTGGAGTATGCCGTATTTGGATGCGGTCACAGCGATTGGAAGAGTACCTTTCACCGAATACCGAAACTCGTGGATGACCTGATGCAGAAGTCGGGAGGACAACGTATTGCGGAACGAGGCCTCACGGACGCTGCTAACAACCGCATCTTCTCCGACTTCGAGAGCTGGATGGACGGCATTCTGTGGCCAGCCTTGGCTCCGCACGTTGACACAAAGGCGGTCGCGCTTCCCGCGTTAGAGATGCAAGTAGCCGCCCAGGACCGCACGACGTACCTGAGACAAGATCTACAGAAAGGTACTGTCGTGGACGCACGCATACTCACTGCACCCAGCGAACCCGAGAAGCGGCATCTGGAGGTGAAGCTTCCTCAAGGTCAAAGCTATAGCACTGGCGATTACCTGGCCATCCTTCCATTTACTCCAGCCGACAGTGTTAGGAGAGCGATGAAAAACTTCAACATTGCGTCTGGCGCTACAATCACAATCAAGCCTGGCTCGGCAACATTCCTCCCAACGGGAGTGACGATTTCCGCTGCGGACCTTCTCCGAGGATATGTCGAGCTCGGGCAGCCAGTGACCAAGAAGGATCTGCGAGCATGTGCTGCCGCCGCTCAAGATGCGGAACAGAAGTCGCGGCTGGAGTCAATGCTCAATCAGGCTGGACCAGGAGGAATCACCGAGCTCCGACTGAGTGTACTTGACATCCTCGACCAATACCCATCGATCGAAATGCCATTCAGTACCTTCGTCTCCATGCTGCCTCCACTGCGGCCTCGACACTACTCCATCTCATCCTCGCCCTTGCACGATCCAGAAAAGTGCACAATCACATACAGCATCATCGACGAAGCTTCCAATGCCGGAGCGGGCAGGTTCATCGGCGTCACGTCAAACTACTTGTCATCACTGCGAGCCGGTGACGAGGTCCTGGTTTCCGTCCGAGCGACCAACAAGTTCTTCCGTCTGCCGACAGATCCCGATTCCTGCCCAATCCTTCTGTTCGGGGCTGGTACTGGATATGCACCCTTCCGCGGCTTCCTTCAGGAGCGTGCTGTTCAAAAGGCAGCAGGACGGACCCTGGCGCCGGCACTGCTGTTCTTGGGTTGCCGCTCCCAGACCAAAGACCGTCTGTACGCTGACGAGATTGATGCCTGGATCAAAGATGGAGTAGTGGACGTGAAATACGCTTTCTCACGCGAGCCGGAGAACTCCAAGGGCTGCAAGTATGTTCAAGACCGCATGCTGGAGGACAAAGACGACGTGCTGCGCATGTGGCGAGCGGGGGCTAAAGTTTTCGTGTGTGGAGGGCCAGAGGTGTCGACGGGGATAGGAGGTGCTGCAAAACACCTGTTGATGCAGAGCGGGACGAATAATGGGCAGGTGATGACGGAAGAAGAGGTGGAAGAATGGTTTGGAGAGAGGCGGAATGAGCGATATGTGGTGGATGTGTTTGCTTAGAGTGGTTTATGTAACGTGTGCTGCCCATTTGAGGAGACTGGAATCAATGCACTTGCACAGACAACGATGCAGTATCTTATCTTCCATCTCGGCCGATGTGTAATAATGTCTCCTGACAAGGGTCCGAAGAGGATGGACTGGGATCAAGGTCAAGCTAAAAAGCGGGCTGCCCCGGAGCTTGTCTTTGATACGGCGAGTGGGGCGTGTCACCCCCTGCTTGTAAAATAACGTCAGCACCTGCCCAGCGACCTAGGTACTCAACGCCATTTCCTCAACTTCTCCAATCATACAGTTGCACTCCCTTAAGTGTACTACAGGCCCCTTCCCGCGTCCTACACGTTCTTCGTTCTGGCCATTGTACGACAGCATGACCTCTTTCAGGGAGATTACGCCGCTGGACATGTTGATTTCACGATAATCACTCCGCCCATGCACTAAAACATGCCGGTCCCTTTCTCACGCTCGAGGGTCGCGCTCGCCCTCACACTGGTGCTCATCTTCTCCCTCGGCCTACACCTGGCCTTTCGCGCGCCTTCTCGGCCCAAATGGACTTCATATTATCCGGCTGCGGAGAAGCCGGTAATCCAAACAAGTCGATTCCCATGTCGGGATCTTGCCACCGTCGAAGATCTGGTCGTGGTCATGCGCACCGGAGCGACGGAAATCCAGGACAAGCTGCCGAAGCACTTCCAAACCACGTTTCAGTGCTTTGACAATCTCCTCGTCTTCTCCGACTATGAAGAACTCTTCCAGGACTACCCCGTGCACGATGTTCTCAAAAACATGAACCCTGACATAGTCGCATCGAATCCCGACTTTGAGATCTACCGTCGGCTGAAAGCGAAGGGGCGATCGGCGCTACGTCCCGAAGAGCTCTCCGGCGGCGCGAGCTTTGAAGGCAGCAAAGTCGGCAAGATCGAAAATCCGGGCTGGAAACTGGACAAGTGGAAGTTTCTGCCCATGATTCGGGAATCGCTGGATCTGCGCCCGGAAGGCTGGTGGTTCGTTTTCGTCGAGTCCGACAGCTACGTTGTATGGTCCAACCTCTTGCAGTGGATAAAGAAGCTGGATCCGTACGACCCACACTACTACGGTAGCGAAAACATGATCGGATTCGATGTCTACGCGCACGGCGGCTCCGTCTTCGTCTTGTCCCGGCCTGCGATGGAGAAGGTTGCGAAGCTCTACGCCGAGAAGCCAAACTACTGGCACCACTACACTGCGCAACATTGGGCCGGCGACTGCATTCTGGGCAAAGCGCTGAAAGCGGTCGACGTGGATCTGACGTACTCATGGCCCATGTTCCAAGGCGGGCACCCCGAGAAAATGGACTTTTCGCAGCCAAAGGCATTCACGAACGAAGCGATGTGGTGCAGGCCTGCCCTCTCCTACCATCACCTCGCCTCACCCGAAGTGGAGAGGATGTGGAACTTGGAGCAAGGATGGATTCGGGAACGGCTGGTTGCGGCCGCGAAAGAGAATCGCAAGCCCTTCGACAATCGACAGGCAGACATTCTGCACCACGGAGAAATTTTCAGGAAGCTGGTCCTTCCTAACATCACCGCCGACCGGAGCGAGTGGAACAATCTCTCGCCCGACTTGGTCGTTGCGGGCAATCACGACTACGAAACATGCAAACGTTTGTGTCAAGACAACGCCGACTGTCTCCAATTCTCCGTGGGGCCGCCGGGATGCTCAATCGGTACCAAGTTCCCCGAGCTGGGCCAGCGGTGGGCAGACTACCAGTCACACTGGATGAATGATCGGGTTGATGCATGGATGGCTCGCCTCGAAGGCTGCAAGGGAGTTGAGGGCTGGTCGGTTACTTGATATGGGGGCATAGCGATGCATTTCCGCGATAGCGCATGGTTACTGTATATGATACCACATAATCGAGACTGTTCAAAGCGGCGCAAACGTAGCTGATCTTCTCGAACGTCGTTCGATTGCCCGTACTTCATTCCCAGCAGTACTGCTAGGCGCCGGCTCTCGACCTCAATATCTCCCGGATCTCAACATCTCTTCGTGCTGCACGCTCGTCGCGTGGGGCCTCCTTCCGCCTCAATTGCTAGTCTGCCTTCTTCTCGCCTTCTTGTTGTCCTTCTCCCGTCTCTTGCTCTGCACGCTTTTCTGCTTTCTTCGAATCGGTCGTCGTCTTGTCCTCTTCCTTTCCCATCTGTCCCGTAGACTTTTTGTGAGGCTCCACATCGGTGTGGGCGCCTTCATATCTTTTCAGCGATCGCAATCAGCACTTGACAATCGGAGATTGAAAGTAGGGAAGCTCTGCTTTTACTGTGTCTGTTCGCCGCCGGGCTCGGTGTCCATGAGATTGGAAGACATGGTGAGTCTGGGATGTCGATATTTGACGGAACGGAGGAAGAGACGATTGGTGGTGAAAACACGTTGTGTTTAATTGGAAGTTCTGCGCAATCAAGAAACACTTGCGGGTTGGGAGCTGCACAACAATGATGCAAGCGGGGTCCACATCAAGGCATCATCTCTCAACTGTCTAAAAGCGCCGCGCTAAGACCGAGCATAACAAAAGAGAAAGCGTTTTGTTCTTCCATCAATCATCAAAATCGAGATCCATGCCCATGAGATTACTGTGCCATCGGTTAGCAACGGACAAAGGTGGTGCTGGATGAAGACTTACCCCTCATATAACCGCATGAACTTGGCGACAAAGGCCTCGAGGTGGAAGATGACTTTCTATCGTGGTAATCAGCAATGCGACTTGGAGTGAATAGGTATCAAGGCATCACTTACACTTCCCATCCGTATGCGATGTTCGTAGAAAGCGCTCCACTTGACGACATCCGCTTTCAAGCCGTCGTCAATCTTGGGCATGAGCTTGAAGGTGAGAGTCTGGCAATGTTGTTTAGTTTCTCACTCAGAATAATGCAGGGCGCCAGTGCATACCTTGAGGATAGTCGTCGCGGGTATGCAATGCGAGAGCAAATCGTAGAGTTTCGCGCGAACCTGCAGGATACGGGCTGGTGTTCGCTCTTCCAAAATCTCCTTTGCAATAACTTCAATCAACGCTTCCCAGTCCGGAGGAGGAATGACAGTCTTCTCGTTGACGTTGTCGTTCTGGGCGTGCACAGCCTCAAACATCAATAATGCCCTCCTCAAGTTTCGACCGGAGTCTTTGGCAATCCTCGCTTCCAGTCCTGCATCACTTTTGTATCCCTCCTTCTTGCCCACCTTTGCCAGCACATCTGTAATCTCCTCTTCCGTCGGCGCGGCGACTCGCACCAACAAGCATCTCGACCGGATGGGGGCAATGATGTTGCTCGTGCTGTTGGCCAGCAGAATGAGTCTCAGGTTCGGCGAGTACTTCTCCATGGTCCGTCGTAGAGCTGCTTGGGCATCGCGAGTGAGGTGATCGGCTTCGTTGATGACAACGACCTTGAAGCGCTGCTTTGCAGCCAAGTCGACTTGCTGGGTCTGCGCGACTTCCTTCAGGAGATCTTGCACGACCACGCGATCGTATTGATTGACATCGGAGGGGGTAATTTCGAGGTGGTAGTTGGAGGAGACGATGTTGAATTCGAGCTTGCGGTTGCTGGGAAAAGTCGAGGATGAGTTGAAGCGACACCATCTTCGCAGAGTGAACGTACCTGGTTGTTTGAAAGACGCGACTATCAATCTTGATCTTCTCCACGCCCGGACCATACAAGGCGCGCAGTGTAGCGGTGATGCGCGTCTTCTTGCCCGCGCCTGATGGACCATAGATGAGCAGATGGGGGAAGTCGCCGCTGGCCGCCAGGGAGCGTAGTCTTTCTGAGAGCTCTGGGTGATAACTCAGCGCCTCCAACGTTCGCGGACGGTGCTTGTCGACGAGCAAAGCCATGGTGGTCGTTGCGGTGTGGTTGTGTGGTGTGAGGACTCCTCATCAAGCCAAAGTTCAGGAAACGCCGGCCACTTAACGCGCCCCCGCCAAACGCGGTGGTGCGTGCGCACGTGATCTTGAACTGCACTCCGTCGAACTCTCGTCTCGTCCATTCCGTCAGCTTTCATCGTGCACGCGCAATCGTCATCTTTTCTGTCCTCGTATTTTGATAATGTAAAACGTCGTCTCAAACGCACTATCGATGACTACAAAGTCGAGTCTCACGATCCCGACGGCGCAGCTAAGCTGCGAGCAATGCCAGCAACGCAAGACCAAGTGCAGCAAGACCGTTCCCTGCGCCGCATGCGTCAAAGCAGGCATTTCGTGCACCGCGGTTCAACGGCATCGGCTGCCTCGGGGTCGGAGTCGAGCACAGCGGCGAGGCACTTCCACTGTCCACGCCCTGACGGATCGCATTGCTCGTCTGGAGGCCGTTGTTGCACAATATCAACAGAATGGCTCTTCAGATCATGACGCTGTGTGTAATTGCGCATACTGCTGCGTCTCAAAGCTGATGCTTGCAGTCCAACCAACCACAATCCCATCCTGAACGGCAGGTAGGTTCAGCGATCAAGCCAATCGAATCTTTTATTGCTTCGGATTTCTGGGTAGAACTTTCGGATGCTGTGGCTGGTCTGCGACATGTTTTGGAAGATGATGTGGATGGAGAGCTGGGCGGTGAGGGTGATTCAACGCCGGCCAGTGCCACTATCTCCCCTGACGCAAGCAGTCTTCTCCTCGGTACGGGTCCACATATCGCAAGGCTGAACGAAGGCCCTGGCCCCGAAACTCGCGACTGGTTGATGGCTGTGTACAAGGAGCGTGTCGATGTCATCTTTAAACCCCTGCACTGGCCCACCGTACTCCTTCAGATCCTGTCGGTGAAGGGACAGCGGTCTCTGGAAATCGAGGCCTTGGAATCAGCCATATTGTTCACCGCTGCGTGCTCTCTCTTCAAGCATGAATTGCGAGGCACAGATGTCTCAGTGGAGTATCTTCTTCAGCGAGTGGAAGCGGCCCTCGTTGAAGTGGGATTGCTTACGACAACGAGCATATTGGTTCTGCAGGCATTCGTCATTTACCTTGTAAGTCGCCTCAGCTTCCACTCCTGCGTTGGAGTACTTGAGTCATTCCTTAGCGACGTTAACTCACTTCTCACCAGGCTGGGCTCCGAGTCATCCGAGCCAAGGCTCAACAATGGACGCTGACCGCTGTTGCCATCCGTCTCGCTAATGCGCAAGGCATACCGCATCGTCTCAAACCTGCATTCGACGGCGAGATCCAGAGGCGACTTTGGTTCTGCATCGGCGTCTTGGACCTACAGTGTTCCTTCGATCGTGGATCTCAGCCTCTACTCAGGTCAGACGACTTTCCCTCGTGGCCTCTCAACATCAACGATCATGAATTGTCCCCTGAGCATGCTCCCTCACCGAGCCGACCATTGGACGCTCAGTACACGGAAATGTCACTCAGCTCGATCATCTACCGTGCAGGGATCTGTCAGCGCCGTCTAACGGAGATTGGCTTATCAGCGGCTTCATCGAACGTCACTGTCGATCCAATCATTGTCCATCGGCAACAGCACAGCGTCCTCTCCGAATTTGAGCACTCTGTACTGCAACTTTCGTCATTGCTTGATCACTCTGGCTCTTCGATACAAAAGTTCACGCTCGCTGTCGCAAACGAAAGCCTTGTGGCTATGCGTCTGTTGATTCGTCGGCCACTCTACCGAAGTGGCAATGGCTCCAATCCTCATGGCGCGAATGTTGACGGCGACTTTGACTTGCTGAGCACAGCTACGAGCGTCCTTGAGAGCAGCCAGATGAAGCGAACGCAGATCGAATTCGCACCCTGGGCGTGGTTTTCATGGGTCAAGTGGTATGCTCTCGCCATCGTACTTGCTGAACTCTGCACCGCCCGAGGTCCGGAGGCAGATCGCGCTTGGGAAGTTGCGCAAAAGTCTTTCGATGATTACGCCGAAGCCGTAGTAAGTGCCGCGAATGCCAACAAGTATCTTTCTCTACTGACCATCTGCATGCTGATGAACGCTGTGGGCTGCTATGGAAACCAATCGCAAGGTTAATGCTCAAGGCGAAAACCATACGAGAGAAGCGTGGAGCAACGGCATCTAGACAACCAGCGTTCCTGTCAACCGTCCCCGATCAGACCTTCAGCATTCCTTCATTCACGGATAGCATCGCTTCCAATCAGGACGTAGCAGATGAGCTCCAAAACACTGACTGGCTTGCCGACTTCAGGCGTAATCATGGCTTCAACGACCCTGGCGACTATTGGAACCTCTACCTCGACGATATGAACGACAATCTTGATTTCTTCAGTAAGCGAGCGATTGATTTTGGTATCATTTCCATGCGATTCTAACGGGCTCGTTCAGCTGATGATCAAGGCCTGCCTCTATGACAACACACTACCTATCCCCGGTGAGATGTCCTCCAGCGTATCGACGAGTTCATTCCAGATCTTCTTTTGAACCGCTTGGCCCTCCTGGCTTCTTACCCAGACCCCAGCAGGTTTGACGCGGCATTCGCTCATATAACAGCCATGCGATTCGCTACCGGCTGCAATAGCGGAAGTGAGCGTTCGCGCTCCCACCTCGCCTGTTCTTCCAATCAGCTTAAGAAGATTCCGCGCAAATGCACCGCCATCGTCTTGCCGAAACAGTCCAGTCTTGCACCATCCGGGATTGGGGCAATTGATGATGACGCTTGGTCTTCCCGACAGGTTGCCTTGCGGACTATGCTTCGCCAACTCCTGGATACAGAGCAGCACGATCAACTTGCTGAGGAAGTATCTCGATGCCATGTCTGCCTGCTTCTCATCACTTAGCGCTTTGAATACTGTGCCTGCCGCCGGCTGCTGGAGTTGCGAATGGTCTGCAAAGTAATGCACCAATGAGCCGACCACGGTGAGATGGGTCGGAGATCCATCTTGTACGGCCGTCTTCCTCAGACTTGGCAGGCACAAAAGTGACAACAGAAAAGTCGAAACGACGTTGACAGTCAACGTCTGCTCAAAGGCCTCCGCAGTGAGGTACTCGTTTGTGGAAATTCCGGCATTGGCAACGAGTGCATCGAGGCGCGGCAGCTCCGTTCGAATCCTCTCTGCGAACGACTTCACCGAGGCGAAGCTAGCCATGTCGACTTGCCAGACATGAATACTGGTGTTCTTCTTCGCATTTTTCATGAGGTTGGACCTGACTTGCTTTCCCTTCGATACGTTGCGACAGCCAAGGATCAGCGTGTCGACGTCAAGCTGCACCCTATCTAACCATTAGACGTCACCATCGAATAGATAAGGACATGAAACCTTACAGCTGTTTCGCGCATTCAAACCCCAAGCCAGTGTTTCCACCCGTCACGACGACCGTCTTTCCCGCGAAACTGGCCCGAGGCAGAGTTGGCGTCTGGAAAAGCTGTCCTTGGAGGAAGCGTAGGATGTCTTGGGCGGCAGGCATGGCGGTAATACTGTGTAGTGGTGGTATTTTATCAGGTGTGTGGAGGTGATGAGAGGCTCTACAGCAACAGAATGTGAGCACCTTTATACTCTGCCTTTGTTGCAGTGTCCAGCTGAAGAGCGCCAGAACCCGCAGAATCCGTAAAACCCGGTGGAAGCCCGAACTGCGGCCATGACAATCGATGATGCGATTGGATCACGGTCTTCAGGTCCCGTTGGGGACTGCAATTTACGGTGGATACAACGCTGATTATGTCTGCCTGCTGTGCTGTGGCTCGGAGTATACGGTGATCTTACAACCTTCCACAAACTACATAATCAAAATCTAGCTATCTAGGCCAGAACCTCTCCATTCCGTCCTCCCAAGACGGATGATATCGCTCTGGGACAAAAGCCTCATCTTCTCCGTGTTCTTCCCCTCCAGCGCTTCCAATGCGGCCGACAGCGCAGCTTTGGCTACTACATGCGCGTCCTGCGCCCACGGATCCTTGAGTCGATCGCCGCTGATCCAGCCAAGAAAGGTTGCCATTCTCCGTCCTGCATACTCCCCCGGCCTACTATCCGAGCGAGTCCCGACAAGAAGCCCAGGTCTCAGAATGATAGTATGTTCGAAGTCGACCGCTTTGATCGCTTCGTCCAGCTCGCCTCTCATCTTTGCATAAGGGATGATTGAGTCGACGTTCGCGCCAGCGGTTGAGATTAAAACGTAAATGCGGACTCCTTGGGCTTTTGCGGCTTTTGCCAAGGCGAGGTTCAATTCGTAGTCGATCTTTCTTTGATTCGCGAAGCCGCCAGCCTTGCGCGCATTCGTGCCGAGCGCGGAGATGAAGACGGAACAGGTTGGTGGAAAGTGATTAGGCCAGTCAGATGAATCGGCGTTGGAGACGACTTCGAGCTTTGCGTCGGCGGAGAGTTTGCCGCGAGCGAAAGCATGGATGGAGGAGATGGCATTCTCGCTCAACAAGAGGTTTAAAACTTGGGATCCCTTTGAGACGAGTTAGTGCTGTTGATCGTGGCTCTTTCGCTTGCATGGCCGAACCACCAAACCCGTGCTTCCAACGAGGCAAGCGGCCCCCATTTCTTAGCGCAGTGGGTATGAGTTGCGTGGATCGTAAAATCTCGACTTCGACGGAGCGGACAGCAAGATATTTGATTGGAAAATGATGGATGGACGATGACGATTCGAGCCGACGCCGCGGGCTAGCTGGTTGCAAACCCCGCAAAAGCCGCAAAAGCCTTGCGTCCCGCGTCGGGCTGCAGCCGGATCTGCGAACCGGATTCCTGAAGCTCCCCTGCCTCTCATCCTTTTCTTCCGACCGTCTTTATCGCAAATGCGCCTGAATTTCGAGGCTCGTCATGGATGGGAGAAAGATTAGCCAGCTCTAGGCAGCACCGAGCCCATCAAACCAAAAGCCCTCGCCAATAGCATCTCCATCCTCGATCAGAAAGCTCGACGCCCCTGTATACCGTGCCCAGCCGCTCACTTCAACGATCACAGCTTTATGGCTTCCGACGGTGACTTCCTTAACAGCCTCGCCCACAAACGCACCCTCTCCATCGTACCGATTGGAAAGGACACTGTGATACGCCCACTTCTCGCTCAGCTTCCTTTCGCCTTTCGCGTACGCGAGTGCCACTTTTGCCTGCACCCCCGAACCAGTAGGGCTTCGGTCGACCTGAGCATCCGAGAAGAAGCAGATTGTTGTTTCCGCTCCGCCAGTACCCGGGCTTGCAAGTCCAGTCTTGGCATCTGTGACAAGCGTGCCGTAAAGGAACTGCAGATCCGAATGCTCGGCGTGGTAGAGGAAGGATTGTCGAAGGTGTTGTGAGCTGTTGAAGGCCTCTTTCAATTGTGCAGTAGCTCGACTCAGCCCTGGGATATCCGGTTTCGCCAGGGTATCCGCGAAACCCAGGGTGTCAGGCGACACAACGAGGTAGAAAGCTCCTCCGTAGGAAATGTCAACGATAATGCTTTCCCTCTGTCCTAATTCAGGCCAGCGGTAGGACGACGGGAGAGGAACGGTAATACCAATTCCAGTGGCATAACTTGGTACGGAGCGATATGAGATGGGTCGACGTATATCAGTTGTCCAGCGATCATTACTCCCTCTCCTAACTGGAACGGTGACATTTACGAGGCCACACGGAACGTGGAGACTGACAACAACCTCGTCTCGAGATCCAAGGTTATCGAAATCGATGGGACGGCGAATGGGGAAGATTTGGGATCCAGCACCAGCTTGATCGACCACCAACCTTGCGACGGCCAAGGTGGCATGGCCGCACATGGTACTGTAGCCTTCATTGGTAAGGAACAAGACGCCCAAATGCGCCTCGCCGGACTCGACAAGCTCTGAAGATGGCCGAAGAACCGCTCCGTACATTTCCCGATGGCCTCGCGGTTCGTAGATGAGAGCACGACGAATGTGGTCGTGGTGGGCTTTTGCATGAGCTCGTTGCTCGAGCAGAGTTCCGCTTGTTCGGTCAGGGTAAAGCATATATTACGGGAGGAATAGCAGAAATAAAAGCGTACGTGATATCAGGGTAGCCAGAGTACACGATCCGAGTGGGCTCACCGGTGGTGTGCATCTCAATCGTCTTGATCTGAGGGCTGTTCTGGGCGGCTGAGGAGATGAAAGAAGGGATCTCCATGTTGAAGAACGAAGATAGATGTGAGAACGACCAAGTGAAACTAAGCGCACCAGAGACTCACGTGATGGAAATATTCTCGGATTGTTCTCCTCGCGATGTCTACAGATTTATTACGGATAATGGATGATGGATTGAGTTTCTGCCCACGCGGAGTTTGTGAAGGCGGCATTGAAGCGCAGAGCGCCAAGCCCGCGGGAAGATCCGCAGCTAGCGCGACGCACTTTTAGCCTTCACACCACGCCAAATCATCAAAGACCGCACTTTTACGAATTGCGCAAGCACCCTCTCCTTCATCACCACAACTCAAGTGAAAGAGCAGTCAAGATGTGAGCTTCATCGGGATTGAATCCACAACAAAACTTCACGCTGACGCAAACCAGGTTGATTCCCAAGGCCGACCGCAAAAAGATCCACGAGTACCTCTTCCGCGAGGGTGTGCTCGTTGCGAAGAAGGACTTCAACCAGCCCAAGCACAACGAGATTGACACCAAGAACCTCTACGTATGTCTAGCCTCCCTACGAATGATTTCTGGTTGCTGACACATGTGCACAGGTGGTCAAGGCTTGCCAATCCCTCACCTCCCGCGGCTACCTCAAGACCCAATTCAGCTGGCAATGGTACTACTACACCCTCACGCCTGAGGGCCTCGACTACCTCCGCGAATGGCTCCACCTTCCCGCCGAGATCGTCCCCCAGACGCACGTCAAGCAGCAGCGTTCGCACGCTCCTCCCCGCGGCATGGGCGGTGACGGAGACCGCGGTGAGCGCCGTGGCGGTGGCCGTGGTGGCCCGCGAGGCGACCGTGGCGAATACAGGCGCCGTGAGGGCGGTGACAAGGAGGGCGGCATGGGCGGCAGCGGATTCAACCCTGAGTTCCGCGGTGGCTTCGGCCGTGGTCGTGGTGCTGCGCCACCTGCCGCATCGTAGCGCGATGGGGATGGTGCCGCAGCCTGGGCCAATGGCGACACTACTGCGACGCAGACGGAGGAGGTGGTGGGCGACTGGGCGGCGGGCGAGGGAGGACAGACTGGTGGAAGCTGGTAGTCCTCCAGCTCGTGCCTGGTAGGCTCATGGTTCTTTAGAGTCATTCACCGAAGCGACTTGGCTACATGCCAATGTGTAAGTTAGACAAACCAGGCCGCAGCTTTGAAATTGACATGTGCTCTCATCACTGTGCATCACCGTGTCAACGTAGTATTGAAACCTCTCGTTTTGCTAAGCATTGGTGGATGTCTGACAAGGCTATCAGACGCGAACGCTCATAGTTTGCCGTACCGCAGTCCCTGCTTTCCAACCTCTTCTCGCTGAGCCCTCAATCTATCATACCTCAGCACAGCCCCCATGAGCACATTAGCACCATCCGCACACTGATCAGGCGTGCTGTACTCTCGAGGATTGTGGCTCACTCCATCCCTACAAGGCACGAAGATCATGCTCGCGGGGAAACGTTTGTTGGCATAGACGGAGTCGTGTCCAGCACCAGAGGTCATGAACTTGCCCCAAGCCCCAATATCCTTGCCCTGCACTTCTGTAGCGAGGTCGGAGGTGGGCGTAGAAGAGCAGAGATCATGCCCAGCCTGCTGGACACAGGCGATGCAATCGTCGTGGAAGTGGGTGGCGGGCGACACAAAATCGGTGCGCCACTCTACCTTGCAATGTCTGCTTGATGGCGCGCATTCGGCGTTCATGCCCTCGGCATCGCCACCGCTGGCGATGGAGGTGAAGGCCGAGATGCATTCGGCTTCTACTGTGGCGACGGTCTCGTCCAGGGGAGATCTGATATCAAGCGAGAACTGTACGAAGCCCGGCACAGTGTTGGTAGATCCTGGCCGGAGAGTCAAAATGCCGGTGCTTGCCAGGGCCTTGTACCGTCTCGCAATCTTGTGGCTGGCCAGTATCATCTTACTCGCGGTCAGTAAGGCATCTGCACGGTGCTGGAAGCTGGTCGCTCCGGTATGGCTTTCTTGTCCATGCACGGTGACGGTGAACCACTTGTAAGCCTGCACGCCTTCCACGACACCGATTCTCCGGCCTTCCGCTTCGAGTATCGGGCCCTGTTCGATATGGAGCTCGAAATGAGCAGCCATCGGGGTGGCCTTGTAGCTCGCCTCCACATCGCCTAGATACCCTATCCGCTCAAGTTCCGACTTCATGGTAGCGGTGTCATTGGCGGGAATGACGGATTTGAGAGTATGAGCCTTCTCCAGGGGAATGTCTCCAGACCACACGCCGGAGCTGACCATGCTCATGGGAAACCGAGCTCCTTCCTCGTTGGTCCAGTTGATAACGCCCACGGGGTAAGAAGTCTCGATCCAATTGTCGTTGAGGGTACGGAGCATTTCAACGCCCGCCGTGACGCCCAGGATGCCATCATATCGACCGCCAGATGGTTGCGTATCGAGATGTGAGCCAGCATACGTTGGAGGAGTATCGTTGTTTAGTCCGGGACGAATGGCGAATTGGTTTCCCATAGCGTCTGTGTGGACTTTGCAGCCAAGGGCTTTGGTGGTACTCGCAAACCAGTCGCGGGCTTCTTTGTCTGAATCGGTAAGGGCCAGTCGTCGCATACCGATTTCGGTCGGGCCACTTGGAAGGCAATTGGTTAGCACGAGGGCATGTGTGTAAATCCCGATAGAACGAGACAGCGTAGCAGAAATCAACATACTCTCCCCATCTCTCTCCCTTCCCCCATTCACTTGTTGAATGAAGGTCGTGCATCAGTCTTTCGGCATCGACCCGCAAGGCTGCAAGATCCTCGTCTTTCATCTCGGTCACCATAATCTCCGATCGCGGAGTTGAGGTGAATGGTCTGCATGCTTGCCATTGCGGTCGGTGTCGAACGTTTGTGATTTTGGGAGTAGCTCCCGTCTGGACAAGTCGACCGCTGTAGCGCAGACGAGATAGCATTGTGTTACTGCGCTGGTTGCGTCAATATAGGAACTCCAGGAAGTGAAGTCGTTGATGTCGGCCGAGCTCGTTAGGGTTCGTTAGGGTTGATGTGATCGCATGGCAGCGTCATTGGGCTGGACCGCCACAACAACATGCCGTGCTTGGCTGTTGTCGAGGGTTGAAATCCTCGTCAAATTCCAAACATTTGAAGATGGACAGGAGCTTCGATTAACACGAGTGCAATGGACAACCCCGCTCTGGCGGTGCCAGCATCGCAACGTCTGGAAAGCCAGCCTCCCGTGGACGACAAGGTGAGCAGCCCAGACAAACACTCCGAGTCATCGCACTCTGCGCATGGGCAAAAACTGGATACCGAGCGTCAACAATATGTCTCCAAGAACGACAAAGGTTGGCGACGGATCGTGCGCAACTTCTCGCCCTCGTGGTTCAGCGTGACGATGGGGACGGGAGTGTGTGCCAATATCCTCATCACCATCCCATGGAAGGCGGATTGGCTCTACTATCTCAGCATCATTTTCTTCGTTTTGAATATTGCCCTCTTCAGCGCCGCCTTCTTCATCTCTGTCCTTCGATACTCAATCTGGTCAGTATCAACCACGGTCGATGCCTCATGGCGGTTCTGACTGACAGGTTGCGCAGGCCTGAAATATGGACTGTCATGATCCAAGACCCAAACAACAGCCTCTTCCTCAGCACCATCCCTATGGGCTTCGCTACCCTCGTCGTTATGATCGTCAACGTTTGTGTGCCCGCCTGGGGAGAGTGGGCAGCGTACCTGGCATGGGCCTTGTGGATCTTGGATGCGACCGTGGCCGTGGCTGTGACGGTCAGTCTCGGCATCCTCCTCATGTCCGCAAAGAATCAACGGTCACTGGACACCATCACCGCGGCACAACTTCTCCCTATCGCGGCCACCATTGTGGCAGTCTCTACCGGCGCGAAAGTCGCAGATGCCCTGCCCAATCCTCAGCAGGCTCTCGCCACCCTCATCGTGTGCTACGTCCTCTGGGGAATGAGTGTACCTCTGGCCTTCACCGTCCTCGTCATCTATTACCAACGACTTGCATTGCACAAGATTCCCGCACGAGAAGTCATCGTGAGCTGTTTCCTACCGCTTGGACCATTGGGATACGGAGGCTACGCCGTCCTCTATCTGGGCCGTGTCGCCGCGAAGACCTTTCCAAAGACCGGCTCAATAGATCCAACAGCAGGTCAATTCGCATATGCTGCTGGCTTCTTTGTTGCGCTCATCATGTGGGGCTGGGGCCTCATCTGGTTCACCTTCGCGCTCGCATCAATCTACAAGGCACGCCCCTTCCCCTTCAATATGGGATGGTGGGGATTCACCTTTCCCCTTGGTGTCTACAGCATTTCGACGATTTACATCGGCATCGAGCTGCCCTCGCTCTTCTTTCGCGTGTTAGGAACCATCTTCGGCACGGCGGTGATACTGCTTTGGATCATGCTCGCGATCCGCACGGGGATAGGAGCCTGGGAAGGGCATCTGTTCAATGCGCCCTGTTTAGCGAACCTCAAAGTGGAGGATCAGTCCGCGAATGGTACCTCCGACAGGAAAAGCCGAAGCGATTGAAAAACAGTCCATGACCATGACCTCGATCAGGGCTCTCATTATCGCGGCGCAAAGATCCTGCTTTCTCCGCTTAAAGCCGTGAACAATCACCCACATGATACACTTGTTTTCAAGGCTAGCCTCTTTCACTGGAGAGCTCCGGATGCGAGCTAGACTGTGGCGGTGAGGGATGCCACGACTGGACGTCCGGAGATTTGGAAGGGCTTGAGCACCCTTAATCCCGCTTAACACCGAGGACAAGGCTGCTCCATGGATTGTCTAGCCCGCTTGCCCCTCCCAATGGACAATGACATAAATCACCGATCCGCCTCGTTCTGGTCTGAGATCATTGCCCATCGATCTCAAGTCACATGGCGTCCAAGATTCCCACCCAACAGCGGGCTCTGGTCCTGCAAAAATTCGGGTCCGACATTCAGCTCCAGCACGTTCCCACCCCTCAGCTCGAACTGGGAACGGTCATCGTGCGAGTCTCGGCCACTACAATTTTGTCCTACCAACGGGGCGTCTACGACGGCAGTCGCGGGCTCTATGGCGTTCCCACGCCTCTCGTGATTGGCATCAGTGCCATCGGACGAGTTGCAGGCCTACCTGCCGACGCCACGCTACTGGAAGAAGGACAACTGGTCTACGTGGACTGCGTTGTACGCGGTCGCGATGATCCCTCTGCCCTGTTCCTCTCCGCGATCCATGCAGGCAGCAAATCGGGAAGCAAGAAATTGATGGCCGACGTTTACCGCGATGGCTCATTTGCCGAGTACATGCGAGCACCCTTGGAAAACTGCATCCCGCTGGATGAGACTAGGCTCTGCAAAACTCTCGGCTACCCGATTCATGACCTGATGTACATGTCTTGCCTGCTGGTGTCCTTCGGCGGACTGCGAGACATCGGACTGGAACCCGGAGAAACTGTCGTCGTGAGTCCCGCCACTGGGAACTTCGGCGGCGCAGGAGTACTAGTAGCGGTGGCTATGGGCGCCCGAGTCATCGCCATGGGCCGCAACACGACCGAGCTGGCTCGACTGAAAGAATTAGCAGAGCGCGGCAAACCCGGCGCTTGTGTCGAAACGGTCCCGATTTCTGGCGACGAAGAAACGGACACGGCGGCTCTGAAGGCGTTTGGGACCATCGACGCGGTGCTCGACCTCACTCCTCCCATCGCAAGCAAATCGACGCATCTGAAGAGCGCCATCTCCGCCCTGCGACACAGCGGCCGAGTCAGCCTCATGGGCTTCCCAGACCTGTCGGCGTCGATGTGGCATGTTGTGGGAAGCAATATTGTCATGAAAGGGAAGTTGATGTACTCGAGGGAGGACATGCTGTTGTTTGTGAAGATGTTAGAGCGCGGGCTGTTCCCCAAAGCGCAGGAGTTTGTGGACACCAAGGCTTTCGCGCTCGAGCAGTGGGAGGAGGCACTCGATGTGGCGGCGAGGCATACCGGACTTGGCAGGCAGGTGATCTTTGTGCCGGAGAAGTAGCAAGGAAGCGAAGGAAGTGGCCACGATAGGCTGAGGAAAGCATCCATCACATTGATCAATCAAACTGCACTCCAATACGATTGTCTCTGGCCCATTGCTCAAGTAAGGTACATCCGTATTCACAACCTGCAACGCAGCTCCCTCCACATCTTGAGAAGAAAGCACCACGCCCACCTCAACCTTAGTGCTTCGTGGGCCCCTGCCTAGTCAGGCGCAGCGTCTTATCCGTCATCAACTTGTTGACCATGCTGTAGCCGGCAGCAATCAGCGCGGCAGCCAACACCACGCCGAGAGGCACCAGCTCCGGCGGGATGCGCCTCCATTGTCGCAGACGCTGGGAGATGGTGTGGCCTGTGAAGGGAGTCGAGATGTTAGCCACTGAGGAAGGTGTGAGGGGTGATCGAAGGCGTGGCTACGAACCGGATTGCTCCTCTCCCTGCAAGCTTGTTAGCTCTGTGCTTTTGCTGTTGATGTATCTGGGACGAGAAGGACTTACGGGCACGGGCATGCGCATCTTCGGCGTCGCTTGTAACCGCAGAGTCCTCACCATTGAAGGCTGGGTCTTGATGATCGGCTGGGAGCGGAGCATTGGCACCGCGCGGGATCGCAGGAGCGGGGTGGCGGCGGCGGCTTGCTGGCGCAGCATATTGGCCGCGAGGAAGCGGGTGGACTGCATGGTAGCTGGTGGCGAAGTGGTGTGCACAGAGGAGGGTGAAAGGGTTGGAGGGCAGTGAGCGGGCTGGAGTTGTTTCCCGAGAGCTCGAGAGGACATCGGCTTGGCGGCGCGCACGGACCACGCGCGTGGGTGTTCCCGGCACATCTCGACTTCATCATCCATGAGCTCTCTCTTTGCCTCTCCTGCACCGCGCAATCGCACGCTTTGCCCGCCCCTTTCAATCTCCTCACGCACCCTCCGAGCAATCCCACCGCAAGCATGTCTGACGATGAAGAGCGGGTCACCATGCCCTTCAAGTTCGTGACTGGTACGTCGCCTCTCTCCCCTCTTCCTGCCATGTTCAAACCACAGCGCTAACATGACACACCACAGCCGGTACGTACCAACTCCAGCCTTCGATCACCTCTCCTCACCTTCTACCTCCCGAGATGCCTCCCAAAGTTCCTCAAACCCCTAGCGAAGACCCCACGAACTGACCTCCAACCCCCAGGCTTCGACGCCCGCTTCCCCAACCAGAACCAAACCAAGCACTGCTGGCAAAACTACGTCGACTACCACAAGTGCATCAACGCCAAGGGCGAGGATTTCAAGCCATGCCGCCAGGTAATCACTTCTTCATGGGCACATCAGGGTGCGAAAGCAGCTAACGCGGACGCATAGTTCTTCCTCGCGTATCATTCGCTATGCCCGTCTGCCTGGACCAACCGATGGGATGATCAGAGGGAGAATGGCAACTTCCCGGCTAGACTGGATACTTGAGTGTAGGAGGCGTGGAAAACAGATACAGATGCGAATTGGCCGGGGAGCGGGGGGTGTGGAATGGGTGATTGATAGCTGTTGAAAGGCGCATGCCACTCAATCAAACACATACAAACAACCAATCAGCATTGCTCACCTCTTTGTTTCGGTCTTGGTTCGTGCCATTCCTGAATACATCATGACTTTACGCTACGAACTACCTCAAGTCTTGTACAGCGTGTTCAAGAACCCCACCGCCAAATCCCGCACAATACTCTTATCTGGGATCGAGCCGGCAACTCCATACAGCGCCGCAGTGGTCCCCTTCTTGCCCACCTGCTTGCCCCTGCACGCTTGCACGACCTCCTCCAAATCCGCCACCAGCTCATCCACCGCCGCCGAAACGGGGACGGTAACGGCGACATGCAGCGCCGGTGGATCCTGCAGCGCATTCAAATGCCACCCCTTGGCGCTCATGGCGTCCGCAATGTCGTAGACGTCTACATCGCGCGTGGAGTCTTTCCGGTGAGGGAGGGCTTGGAAGGCTACCACGGATACCATGGGTTTGCCCACGACGGCGACGGAGAAGCGCAGTTTCTCGGATGTGCGAATCGCTTCTTCCAGCTTTCGAGCCGCGCTTACAATCCTGAGGCACGTGTCGAGGTACCCGTCTTCGCCCATCTTCATCAAACTCGCCCAGCAGCCGGCAATGAGTGCGCCGGGCCGCGAGCCGGCGATGGACGGTGAGGCGTACACGCCGCCGGACCACTCGGGGAAGACGTGGTATTGGTACTTGCGCAGGTCGGCAGAGCGGTAAAGGATAACGCTGTTGCCTTTCGGCGCGAAACCGTACTTGTGCGTGTCGACGCTGATGGACGTGACGCCGGGGAGGCGGAAGTCGAAGTCCGGGACGGGGAAGCCGGCTTTGGAGAGGAAGGGCATGATGAAGGAGCCTAAGCAGCAGTCGACGTGGAGAGGGAGGTTGTGTCTTTGCGCGAGGCGCGAGAGGACAGAGATGTCATCGATAATGCCGTGAGGGAAGTTGGGCGCGCTACCGACGAGGAGGATGGTGTTACTGTTGATGAGGCGGTTGACGGTCGGGGTGTGCACTTTGTAGGTTGGTGCCGGGCAAGGCACTTTGTAAACTTTGATGCGGAAGTACTCGGCGGCTTTCCAGAAGGCGGCGTGCGCGGTGTGAGGCAGGATGATCTCGGGTTCTCGCACACCGCGCTCGGCATACGCTTTTTGACGAGCAGCCAGCACGGCCATGAGAATGCTCTCCGTTCCACCACTCGTCGTCACGCCCGCTCCAGTATCGGGTGCGTGGAACAGACCCAACACCATGGCGACAATCTCCGCCTCCATCTTCCTCACCCCCGGAAACACATCGGGATGCAGGGGATTGCTGACACCGAACCTGTTGAAAGCCTCACTCTGCAAGTCGGTCAACTCGGATCCTCCATGGTATACCGCTCCCGAGACCTTGCCATCTTCCCAACGCGCATGTTTCATCTCGCCCAGCTTCACCAGCTCCGCTCGAATCTGTTCCGTCGACCATCCCGATGATGGCAAAGAGGTGAATTGTGTGACGCCGGGACCAGACGGCACAAGTTTTGCTTCGAGCTCGGTGACTGCGGTGCGGACCTGCGCCTGGACTTTCGCCTGGACGAAGGGTAGGCGAAGGAAGAGGGCATAGAGGTTGCGGTAGGTGTCTTTGTACAGTTTTTGCGCGGAGCCTACAACGCCGTACCCGCGGAGATGCAGGAAGGTTGCGCGGGTGTAGCGGAAGAGGAATAGCAGGAGGAGGATGTGCTTGAGCAGGTCGAAGGAGCGCCAGAAGAGGTGTTGGCGGTTGGTGGGGTTGCGGAGGTCGAGCTGTTTGCGTAGCTGGGGAATGGAGGCCGTGAGGCCGCTGGATTTGGCCATTGCGGTGAATGTGAGGAGGAATCGGTGGGCTATCGAGGCATGAGCTGTATCATGTTGGTGAGTGAAGAGGATGGCGGGCGTGTCTTGAAGAGGTAGAGGTAGTTATACAAGTTTTGGCTCGAGGTTCCCGCCTTTCACATGACGCGCCACGCCGAGGCGGCTGCTGCTCTCAGCCAATCACATCCCCCCATTTCATTCCGCACGAGGCTCTCGGCTCTGTCCATACGAGGAACATACGAGAGATCATCCTCGTTGCTTGTACGTTGTAGAACACGTCAACGAGGCATCTCGACACTCGCGACCTCGGTATACTCCGCCCCAACCTCTTCCCCTTCGTCATTCAGCATCTTCTTCGCCCCCATCTCGCAGATTGCAACCCGGTCCAGCACCACATTCTCCATCCACACATAGCCCTGATACCGCTCCAGCAGTAACGTCGCATCCATCTTTAATGGTGCGTTGGCGTTGGGTCCATGCCCTTGAGGTCCATTCCTGCCCGGCCGTCTGGCTCCTCCCTTGGCATAAATGGTGTTTATCACCGTGGCGTGAAGCTTCAGCTCCCGATCATCGTCGACCAAGAAGCCTTGATCTTTGTACAGTTTCTGGAGAGCGAGGCAGAGGGGATATAAGCGGGAAGTGTCGTCTTGTGGTGCGGCGTAGAGGATGGAGGTGTTTTGCGGGGCGTGCATGGATTGAAGTCCTTTCAAACTGACGACAATCGGTCCAGTCTTGGGTGGAGTTTCGTGAGATGTTGCGGGTTGTTGGCCAAACGTCTTCAGCAGGTCCTTTACCTCGCTGCCGCGCAAGTAATCCGAGGCATTGCTAAGCTGCTGGTCATCTAGAGACATGACCCCCAAGGTACAATGAATCGATCCCACGGGTCTGACGGCCTTGGGGGAGATTGTTGGTAGTCCTGTGCGGTGCGGTACATCCTCACTCGCTCCATCGGACCTGTTCGAGCGGGCATCGGAGACGCATACAGCCTCTCCAAATGTCCGAAGCGACGCTTCCAGTTGTGGCCGAGACGCGGGGGTCACAAGTGGCACGCACAGAAAGTGTGTTAACGGCGGCTTCTTTGGCTTCGGTGGTCTTCTGGGGTTCGACGTGCGAGCCATGGCGTGTAACGCTCTTTGAGTTTGACAGCGGACGGGCATGCGATGTTGAGCTTCCGGAAGCGGCGCTGTTCAAGTGAAAGGGGGTGGGTAAGGTTTGACTGGGGCTTGTTAAGCTCGCCGCTTGGCCGCCTGGCGACTTCCCTTCTCATCCTACACCTGATCCCAATCACCATCAGAGGACTGGAAATGCGACCAAGCGAGACGCGTAAATAGGCCGTGTCGTCAATCTTGTAGCGGACTCGAGTCCGCCTTCACTACTGCCTTTATCATGGCACTCCGTCCAGATGGCCGCGGTGTCGAGATCTGTCATCTCAAAGGGCGGGAATACGGTAAGCGGCATCTCCTCAATTCATATCACGTCCAGGTAAGATTGCGGCCCACTACTGTACCAGACTGATGGATTTCGACCACATGTGCAACCCCTAGACCCCCTCGGCCAGTGTCGTATGTATTGAGAGTGCATCTCGTCGGCTCGCTCTCCCCATCTTGTCAAGCCTTGTCCTTCTCTCGTCATTGCTCCTTTAGCACTACAAGGATGCCTTCACTCGTTCAGGCTTTCGTATGTCTTCTTGCCTTCACGTCGTTCGCCCTGGGCGCACCCGCGAATGAGGATTCTTGGCCAACCACCAGATGCTACACGTCGAGAGTGTCGACCCCAGGCGCCCTACAGTACACCAAGTGGGGCACGGTGTACACCTACACGAAATCCAGCACGTCGACTGTCACTAGTACGTGCCTTGCGCAACATGAGCGGTTCAGGCAATATTGACACGTTGGCTTCAGAAACTCACAAAGCACGGTACACGACCACGGAGACTTCCACAACAACGGTTACCGAGACCGCCACATTGCCTTTGCAGACGGCCACTTCTACCTCGACCACAATTTACACTAGCATAACTAGCATCACATCGACGGTATGTTGGAGCTAATCTAGCGCGTGCACGAATACTGCGTGGCATACTCATCACTGTCGCGTTTCAGACAACCATCCCGACTACGGTGACCACCGCGGTCCAAGCTCCATTCCTCGCTGTCCAGGACAGTCTCACCGGCGCGACGTACAACCCAGACGCTACCTATCAGGCAAAGCGAAAGCGAGATGTTGCCCTCCACGCGAGACACCACTGGCCTCACCAAGGCTTCCCAGGTCCCCGGCAGTGCTGGCATTACACGTGTACCACTACCACTGTGACCTCCACCTACACTAAGACCCAGCGTCCGCAGACCAGTACGGTCACACAGACCTCCACATCGACATTCACAAGCACGCCCGGTGCGACCACAACAATCACAGTAGTCGCATCAAGCACAACCACTGAGACCTCCACCGTCGTCGCTACAACCAACCCCGCGACCACCGTTACAATCGCTACTAGCATCTCTCCCGCCGATGCCTGCGCAACCAACAACTTCGCAAACTACTACAACGGGAACGGACTGGATGGATACCATAACAGCGTAAGCAACTTCAATACCGATGTGGATACAACTGCGGGCTCGGCTGCCGACTGTTGCATGGCAGCCATCATGAATCCCGAGGGACAATTCTGGTTCTTCGCACCCCCTTCTGGAACTTGTTCCATCACCGTGGGGAACACATGCACTGCTGGACAACAGAGCAACAATGCTCAGGCGATTACTGTGCCTGCTGGAACAGATACAGCCGCAATCATTGGCAATGCGCTATGCGGTGCGATAGCTGGTCAGTATGTTGCGTGATGGACACGACTTCGGATGGTAGATCTCTATGGAAAGGGTGGTTCCATGGAATACTGATGCATGCTTTATCTCGTAATTGTATAGTAGCATTCCGTAAGCATACGGCGCTCGCCCTTGTCCACCTTACCTAGCTAGGATGTCCTAATGCCGCGGATACACTCGTGTGAAGCCGCTGCTGGAGGCATCGACGTAGTCCATATTGTCACGCTTTCCTTTGGTGCCGTAGAAGCGCCAGTGTTCATTGATGTGCTTGGATCCAAGAAGACATGGGAGGATTCCGAAGGGAAGTGAGGTTGGCGTAAGCCCTGCAGCTCGGACCACCCCGCTGGCAGCCAAGGAAGGAACGTCCCTGGCGTCCAGCGCACAGTGTGAACTTCTAATTCTGCTCCCTTGTCCGCCACGTACAATGGCCCCTTCAAATCTCGGCCATCTGCAAACCCGCGCACACGTGGGAAGACTGTGGCTCTCGCGGTTTCAAGTTTGAGAGAAGCGGCGGGCGCGGCGATTTCCACGACCAAACAATTCGGAACTCTAAACTTGCCGAAGCTTGTTTGGCGTGTGTGCCGAATGAATGCTGCCTTGCCGGACGGACCCTGCTTGCCGGCTCCGCGACATTCGTAACGCGCGTGCCGATCAATTGCGCGGCTTCAAGTTGTCATCACCTCATTCCCACGGCGAAGCGTCGAACCCATCCCTCCCACATCGTCGACTACTCACACGCCGTCGGCAACTCAAGACTGCGACTTGCAGAAAGCATGTTTGATCATTGCATGCTTATGTCGATTTTAGTACTTGATGCTCACAATAGGAGTCTAATAAGTGGACGCGCTGCTCTTCACGCTGCTGCCTCAGGCTGACGAATTACTCATTCGCTTCGTCGTATCCCCACCGCTTTGCCGCCTCGCTTGCAACCTTCGCCCCATCTCTCTCAAACAGAACTTTATGCTGCGGAGAGGTATAGTCATCACCGCTGGAGCCCCGTGGTAGACATGATCTCGTTCGGTACGCGCCCGTCAGTCTCCTTCGCTTCTCTTTCCTTTCTCCCTCTCATTCGACTGTTTCCTGTTCTATCTAAGATCACGTTTTCGTCAAAATCGTCGCCTTTTTCCACGAATGGCCTTGGGATAATCTCCCATTTTCCTGATGGATCACGAAGAGGAGCATCTCCTGGGCTCGGAAGAGGCCGAACAGGTCGTACGGGCCGAAAAGGCCGCAAAGTTCCAACATGAGAGGCGGCGGACGCTGCCCTGGGTGATGGGAGGCATCGCTGGCGTCTTCGCAATCTCGACGCTCCTCCTTCTTGCCGCATTGGTGTGGCGCAAGGATGGATTTACAGACGGCTCCAAAGACGCGACATACCCGGGTAAGACTTTCGCTTGAATCGCGACTGCGCCTCCAACTCACAAACACGACACAGATCCAACGGTCCCCGATCACAGCAACCATACCGAGTTACTCTCGCTCACGTCCCCCGACGGCAAGTTCTACACCATGTGGTGGTCGACTGCGGATGCATACAACGGCAACGTCATCCCGCATCCCAGGAAGCAAGATGTGTTTTTGATGGTCGCTCATGAGCGATACGATGGCGCGGGCGCGCACAAGAGACACGAGCTATTCTGCGAGGCCCACTTCCAAGGGAATTACCTCGTTTGTGCGAATGATGCGGTGCCGCTTCCCGTCTCCGATCCCGTTCCCAACACGTGCCCCGAACCCTTCCAGCGACGGGACGGCGGGCCACGCGATGCTCGCGTGTTCTATGGCCCAGACCACCCGTATGTCATATACGGGTCGCTATCTCAGTACACATGCATTGGGCTGTGGGTTCAGGATGCGCGTATGCTTCTGGAGCCCTTCAGGTCGGAGCGAGAGTTTGTCGAGGTGTACAACGAAATTACTGAAATTGGGCGACCGGAGCCATGGTCCGTGATCGAGAAGAACTATTTCCTCTTCTGGAGCGAAGGCAAGAGATACGCACACTACAACCTCTACCCCGAGCGACACTTTGCCGAACTCGACGACGACGGCACCGCGGGCACGGACCTCGCGCTCGTGACGGCAGAGCAGGACGGGCAATGCATCGCCAAGTACATGCCAGAACTCGGTCCGGGGAAAGAAAGCATCCACCAAGCCACGAACTCCCTCTCCATCACTCTGTGCAAGAGAAGCGACGTGAACTGCGAGCCGGACGAGAACAACACGTTCATCATGGAAATCTTCCACCACAAGACATACTTCAACTTCCACGGGGTGTACGAGCCGTACGTCGTGCTGTTCCAAAGCGTCGCGCCCTTCGCCATCCACGCCATTTCTACGCGACCCCTCTGGATCCACGGGCGCACGGCGCTGACGGAGAAGACTCGCTCAGCGCAGTACCGCGGACCTGGGAAGACGATCCCTTCGGGCCATACTGAGATGTTTTACATCACTAGTATCAACTGGAGGACAGTGGGACAGCATTACCACGGCTACTTGGACGACCCCGTGTTTCTCGGGTTTGGCATCGAGGATACGCGGTCAGGCGTTATGGATGTCCGTGCGGGGGATTTGATGCATGGTTTAGCGTACTGTTAAGAAGATACCACAGTATAATGATTGTTCTGTCTCGCAGCCTTTGATAGAGTCCGAACAAGCATTTGCCAAGGAGCGTCTCGCCTACATCCCGTGCAGAACCATGTTCGAGGAGGGCTTCCTCTGCAGCCTGCCACCCTGCCCTCTCAAAGTCGTGGGACTTGAGCGCGCCTGCCACACGTCATGTCAAACCAGCTTTCAACTTTTTCGTGAGGCTGCATCCGCTCTGCTACCACCAAATCGAGCAGAATGGCAGACACCAGTGACGCCCCCGAAAATGAAACGCCGAACCAGCGCCAAGCGCGGTTACGGCGGGAGAAGCGACAGAAGAAGATGGCGGAGCAGGGCGAAGACCGGCTGGCTCGCATCAAAGCGCTGAACGGCGGCGTAGCACCACCAGAAGAAGTGCTCGGCGGCCCCGTTGCGCAGGGCACGAAATCAGCATACGTCGAAGATCCGGACGAAGTGGATATCAGCACCGTCACGCCCGGGAACGGCACGCCCAGCCGACAGCAACACGTCGATGCAGTGGACAACCCCCTCGCGGCGGCGATGCTACAGATGCAGCAAGAGCAGGCTCGGAATCAACGACAGCAGAGGGCGGAAGGGAGTGCGGAGGAGGATCCGATGGCGAGGATGATGGAGCAGATGATGGGACTAATGGGCGGCGACCCCTCCAATCCCAACGCGAAACCCCCGGACCTCCCGCCTGCTCTGAAGGCATTGATGGGTGGTGTTGGTGGAGCAGCTGGTGCGCAACAGCAAGAACCGCCGGCAACGAGCTCGACGTATTTGTGGAGGGCTGTGCATGCCGTATTCGCTCTCCTCCTCGCCGGCTACATCGCGGTGACATCTACATTCACCGGCTCGAAACTTGCGCGCGAACCCCACTTCTACGCTTCGGGCGAAGGCCACGGACTGGAGCGCCGGCTGTTCCTCATCTTCTGCACGGCGGAGCTGGTGTTGCAGAGCACGCGGTATTTCGCGGAAAAGGGGCAGTTACGGGGGAATGGAATGTTGGCCAAGGTGGCCAACAGTGGGTTCGTGCCGGAGCCGTGGGCGGGCTATGTACGCATCGTAGGGAGGTATGTGGGCATTGCGCAGACGATTATGACGGATGCCATGGTGATTGTCTTCGTGTTCGGGGCCATGGCGTGGTGGAGAGGGGCTGCTGCTGCGTGAGCAAGATTGGGACGTTCGTAGGCCACGCAATGGCACGAGATGTTTAAGCGGAGTCGGCGGGCATGGCATGATGGATATGTTGCTGATCACAATGTTTGGGCGGAGACATGACGACAAGATGGAAGGGAGGAGCGAGATGGGGCTTCGGATGGATTGCACGGCTGAGAACGATCGCCGCCAGCAGGATCTACCCCTTGACACTATTCCTGGACTGCATGCCGCTCCGCCGACCCAGACCGGACATGGTCGACAAGTCGGTCAGCAGGTATGAGCAATCTGTGGTCCGCACACCACCGGCGCATCCTCATGCTTCCTCGCAAGGCATTTCAATAGTCTCGGGGCTATGCGAATGCTGCACGAGGCCGAAGGACCAAGGAAACCGCCTGGAGCAAGCCCCTCAAAAAGTGCTGCCTGAAAAGGAGCCCGCTTTGGCGACGAGCGGAAGAGCAAGTATGAGCTTAGCTTGCGGCTTTCACTAGTCCATCCTCCAATCATTGACGGCCTCATGCACGTGGAAGATCTAATTCTCGTCATTCTTCGATAAAGTCGCTTCGACTTGCAGTCCTGCTAAACATCCTAGCGTCGATCCGGGTGCGGGCCGCGCTCGTTTAGGATCCACCTGCTATTTCGGGTGATTCTATTGAGCCTTCTACCTTCCTATTATCCGGAAAGCCTTCTACCACCGTCTGCCTAGACCGTCGCCATTTGTGCGCCACTGCACGCCGCATCACCTGATTCTCTTGGTTGCGTCTTCAAACTTCGATAGTCTTGTTGCACAGCCAAGGGCTGACGCCCGCCAGTTGCGCAAGCCAGAGCGACGTCGGCACACGTCCATCACACGCCGTGCTCCATCAACCCCCCTTTCCTGGATAATCATCGGTGTACTGCCAAGCGCGATGCATTAGCGCTCAGTCCTCCACGAAGATCAGCCGTAGCCGACGACATCATCGCGATTACTAGTTAAGGGATGGGCGACTGCAAATAGCACGAGCTACCTGATTCTAGGTAATTGGGGTGCACAGCCACGGCCGGAGGTGCTCTCGGTGGCTCTCGGGCTATTGGCGGAAGCAAAGAATTGGCGCCAAGCAGCCTTGTCTGGTTCCCCTCGCTGTCTCTGCCTGTTCTCCCAACTTCGGTACTGCGTGGTTACACTCCAGGCGCACATGCAGTAGCCATCCTCCTGTCAAGTGGCCTCATCTACACTAGAGCAGGCTGTAGGGAGGAGGATGCCACCCTACCGCCTCGCGCATCCCGAACCGGCGACCCATTCTCGCCCACAGGGTTATTTTTGTATTCAGCCCATGGCTCGGCAAGTGGTCCATAGGTGTTCCCTTCATTTCTCTATACGAGATGCCGCACGGCTCCGTGCACCTCACCTGTGAGCGGGCCTGACAGACGTAATGGATGGGCGTGGGCAGATGGTATATAATTCGCCCTCACCCACCGGGTAGGAGATGCATTCCTCAGCACAACAACTCATCTCGACAACAACAGCAACAAGATCTCTTTGCTTAATTCTCTAATCTTCTAATCCATCTCTCACCCTTTACATCAACTCAACACCAAACACCCACACCCCTCGTCAACATGAAGTTCACTCTCGCCGCCGTTGCTGCCCTCCTCTCCACCGCCGCCATTGCGGCTCCGTTGGAAGAGCGTCAAGAGGCCGCCGTCAACAGTAAGTTCCCACCCTCACAAACCCTCAGACATGCCAGCTTCTAACACCTCCTCTCTCAGTGATGGTCACCTCCACCCCCCAATGGACCATCGCCAAGTTCCAGCGCGTGTGCAACACGGCCAACACCTCGTGCAAATACTCCTTCAACATCAACACGCACACCGCCCCCGTGACGCCGTGCAGCTACACCGTCACCGGCAACAACGCCGCCGACGCCTCGGTCAACGGCAAGACGTGCGGCGTCTACACCGTCTCCAGCAACTGGTCTGGCCAGTTCGGGCCCGGCAACGGCTTCACCACCCTCGCCGTCGTCAACAACCAGCTCAAGCAGATTGTCTACCCTGCTTACAAGGATGTGCAGCTCGCGGGCAACAAGGTTGTCACGCCCAACCAGAGCTACACTCCCCAGAACTTGGGTTAGATTGTCGGGTAGCAGTGGTCTCCTGAGCAGATCTGACGGATGAGCTTTCGTATTAATCGCATAGCATAGCATTTGGCAGGCATTTTTGATCAGATACATCATCATTGAATTCTAATGTGTTTCAAAGAATTTACTTCCAGTACACTCATCCGTCCTAATCATCCCAAATACCTCTGAAGAAACGCCACCAGCCTCCAAGCAAAATCCAACTCGACCTCCTTCCCACTCCTCCCCACCATCCGCCCCTCCCGAACAGCCTCCCGCCTCAACCCATCAATCTGCTCATTAACGTACTTCGTCGGTTCAGCAAAATGCATCACCTCCCTCACATGCACCGCAAACTCCACCAACGCCTCCGACCCCGCCAAACCCCCCACCACCTCCGCCAACCCCTCCACCGTGCGCGCCAACTTCGCACTCCCAGTATTAATCGTCAGTCCGAGCCGCACGCGCCGCATGCGTTGCACAAAGCGCATATCCGCGGCGAAGTTCTTGCGCCAGAGTTTGAGGATGCTTTCGGAGCTCACGACTTCGATTTCGAAAGTGCGGTGCGCGTAGAGCTGGTCTTCGACTTCGAAGTGGATTGTGCGGCTGGTGAGACTTAGGGCTGCGAGGGAGGAGCAGCCGTGGGGTTCTAGGCGGTGGATGCAGCTTTGCGCGATGTTGATTGTTATTAGTTTCGTGGGCGAGTCCACGAAGGTGAAGATGCGCTGGCGGAGTTCCGCGGGGAGGGCCATTAGTTGGGCCATGGGGATGTTGGTGAGATTGGATTCCAGTCCTGAAGTGCTCGCTATTCCTTCGAAAGATGCTGATGGCCTGTCTTGCTGTTGGTTGTATTGGATGAGGTGTCATGTCGTGGCAGGCATGAAGTCGTGCCTGCGGGGTGAATAAGCTCTGCCGACTACACCTCAGGCAGGACTTTCGGCGGACGACAAGGCTGCAAATTTGTCCATGTATGAACGGGTAAATCTACATGTTCAAGAACAACGAACAGAGAACGAGCAGCGGAAAAAGCAGCTACGTTTCTGGGCCATTGAAGTGCCAAACTCCGGCATGCCATCTTCTCTCCCATCTTTCTCCTCGAAAGCGTTTCTCGTTGAGCTTCTTGGTACCCATTGTTCCGACACAGAAAGCCACGCGGACGCGAACCATAGATGCTTGAGTGTTGATGATTGAAGAGTCTTTCTAGATATTGTCGCCGTTCTATCATGGCGTCATACAATCCCGATACAAATGTACAATGCCTGTAGCAGTTTTGCAACTTTCCCCTTCCCTCCGGTTCCCACCAAACGCCTCGCTCTTACGAAGATGCACGCTCAAAACCCCTGACCCTCGTCTCTTGATGCTCACGCCGCCTCACGCACCTAGCCCACCTTTGGCCTGCTCCAGCAACTGCTGCTCTCTCTTCACCCGCGCTTTGTGCGCCGAGCTCACCACCCGATCCCGATCACCACGCACCTTCTGCTCCTCCAACGCCGCCAGCTGCTCCTGATCTTCCGGCGTAGCTTCCACAGGATACGCGTTTGTAATCCTCATCAAGTCCTGCAGAATATCGCTATTCGAGCGGAATTTCATCCCGATCGTCTCCACTCTGTCCGCCGGCGTGTGATCTGAAGTTTGCGAGGTCGTCGTCGTGCTTTCGGTGGGCGAGGGGCCCGAGGTGGCAGAGGAGGAGGTCTGGATGGCGTCGGCAGGGGCGAAGTGGATGCTCATGGTAGATTCGTCGTCGGGGGTCATGCCTGATCGGTCTACGGTCATGGCGACCGCTGGGTTGTGGTATTTCAGTCGCACCAGCTCGGAACGCCAGAATTTCCTGCACACGTTAGTTCCTGTTGGCCATGGGTGTGAGTCTACGGTTCGTACCTCGGGCCCATGTGACCTCCTTCCATTCGAGCAGGAAATCTCATGTGTATCCGCTTGACTTCTTTCGGGAGGATGAGAGCGCCGGGACCGAGGCGAATGCTCAGTAGCGTCTGATGCAGCTTTCGCATGCGAGAGGATAATGAAGGCATCTTGAGATGGTGTGGCTTGAAAGTGCGAGAGGGAAAGCCGAATTATTGCTCGTCGCAGACGCATGATTGCAGGACGTGGAAAATCGCGGCTTACGTAAACCACCGAGCTTCCGCAAACTCCATTCGATTTCATCTTTCCACTTCACCCCTTCGTCCATCACTGCGCATCGCCATCATGGCTCTTTCTCTCCGCCGTCCGCAGCCCATCTGCAGTGCGTGCTGTCGCACCTTCGCCACCACCTCACCACTGCGCATGCAACTGAAGAAAATCGACCGCAAAGACCTCCCAAGCGAAATTCCAGCCTACCCCTACCCGGCGCAATGGTACAAGCAGGCCGACCGCGGCCTCTACGGTGGGCAACGCATTCAATTCGGAAACAATGTCGGCGAGGACTCCGGCACCAAAACGCGTCGCAGCTGGGCTGTCAATGTTTTCCACAAGAGATTGTTCAGCAAGGCTTTGAACCGCTTCATCCAAGTCAAAGTCAGCTCACGCACATTGCGGACGATCGAAAAAGTGGGAGGATTGGATGAGTACTTGCTGGGCGAGAAGACGGCAAGAATCAAGGGACTGGGTGTGAGGGGGTGGGAATTGAGGTGGGCCATCATGCATACTCCTGCGATTCTGAAGAGATTCGCGCGGGAGAGGAAAGCGCTTGGTCTTCCAGAATTGGAAAAGAGCGTGGAACAATTGGAAGCGGAACGATTGGCTGCGATGGACCTTCACAAAGCTATCGGTCGCAAGACGCCGGTGGACCTGGATGTTGTCGATGTCGAACCAGTGGGAGAGGGGTTGCAAGAGGTCATTGACCAAGAAGTCGATCAGGCAGTCGAAGACATCGCCAACAACACGGAGGCAATCGTGCACGACATTTCTGCAGCGCCTGCCGCGGTCATCGCCGCCTCCCTTTCGCCCACCCCACTGCACTATCCCAGAGTCAAAGTCGGCCGCAGAAGAACCTACATGTACCTCACTCCCCTTGGCTGGCGCGCAAAAGCCCCTCGCACCGAACAATCGCCGATGGCCAAAGTGAAGCAAGCAAGAGAAAGTGCTACTTGGTCGGAACGCAAGGAGGCTCATAAGCGCAAGCGTGTACTGGCTGCCTGGCGGGAACAGGTGAAGGCGAAGGTGGGCGCAGCACGTGCTATCCTCGATGCTCAGAAGACCTCCGGAGAATCCACACTCAACCCCAGGACAAGACGAGCGGTTCTGCACCACGTACGAGTGATTATGAAGTCGGAGGCGAAGCGGTCGAGAAAGTTGGGGGCATCTGCGAAGGCGAAGATCACGCCTCCGGAGCGAACGGCAGGGCTTCGCGAATCGTCAGAACCTGTACTGTAAACAATACATCGTATGCGGCTTGATATTCAATATGTGGAAGCGAAAAGTAGCGCGCCCCCTGAAATTCCGCAAAAGTAAAAATCCGCAATTCGAACCTCCTTCCTAATTCAGCATTATCACACTCGAACGCGCGACCAAACAAAAAACGAAACGCCATCCACGTCACCTCTCTTTAAGAGGTGCGAGACCAGACGAAGCTAAACTCAGCAGCGCACATGCATCCCTTTCGGGCCTCCCACGGGGCTTGGTTTTTGCTTTTAAGAGCCTAGAGTTAGCAGCAGTTAAAGGGGGGGAGGGGTAGGACCAATCCACTTCAGCCTTTGGTCACGCGCTGAAGTGGTGGTTAGAGTGCGGGCACATTGTTTACGTCTATGTAGTCGTGAAGGCGTGGCGAGGTTTAGCCGGCGGGAAATGAGGTAATCAGGGGTTGGTTTGTGTGACTGCATGTGTGAGGTCACTGCTTGTGCTCATGCACGTGATAGAGGGTTGAATGTCTTTCGTTACACGCTTACTCCCTAGGGTCTTCACGCCCACGTCTCTTCCGCACCCAGTAGCATCTCCTCCGTAACTCAGAGATCACCACTCCCAAGGGGAATCACACCACTCCTCTCCAGCAAAGCCACCAGCTCACAGAACTTTCCTTCATTCGCCGCCTTCCATTCCACCTCCAGCGTCTCCAACTTCTCCACCACAGCCTCCACCCCCTCGACCAGCGCCAAGTGCGCCCTCGCAAAGTCCATCACCTTCGCGAGTGGCTCCTGCACGCGCAGAGCAGTGAGGTCGGCGAATGCGTTTTGCATGGCTACCGTGACGATGTCCTTATTCTTCTTCTTGTCGGCGTTGGCTTTTGAGAGTTCTTTGCGGCGATCGTGCCACTGCTTCTTCTCCTCGGGCGTCTTGGGGCGTTTCTGTTGTAGAGATTGTTAGCGGGAGACATGGCTAGGGAGAGAACGGAGAGGGGGCGCGTACGTTCACTGTCTTTGCAGGAGTTCCGGTAAGGCTGTCTGCGATCGCGTTGGCATCTTGGGGAGGTGCTTCGTTGCCGGCGACGATGTTGCTGCTGCTGCCGACGACGGTCGCGGTATCTTGAGTCGTGCCGCTTTCGACAACGGCCCCGGTTCCTTGCGTCGCGCCAGTGTCTTGAGTCGTGGCAGTGTCTTGAGTCGTGGCAGTGTCTTGAATCGCGCCGATGTCTTGAATGGCGCGGCCGATCGCGGCGGTCCTGCTTCCGATAATGGCGGCCTTTTGATCTTCGACGTCTTGCTCTTCAGAGATATTGGGATTGTCGATCGTAATCTCCTGACCTTCAGCGATGTTGGTGCTTGTGTTTGCTTCTGCTTGAGTTTTGTCAGCCATGGCCTCCTTGCTCGTGTTTGAAGACATGATGGCACGAGGCGGTGGAGAGTGTCGTGTGAAAGGAGAGGGAAGCAGCAGAACGTGAAGCCATTTTATGCTGCTTTCAGGTGAAGTTTGGTTTGTGTTGGAAGCGTTATTCACAAGGACGAAAGTTCACTTGTGGTCTCGTAGCGCGTGGAAGTGAAGGGAACTTTCGTGTGACATACATACCTACAGCTCGAATCAAGCAGTCAAAGCCTCCGACACCAGTCTCTGCCGTGCTCGACCTGCCAATTGCACAACGCCGTCTCCATCACCACTCCCAAAAAGCCAGCAACACAGATCCCCGCGGAATCGCTGACGGTGACGGCGCTTAGGCTGAACTCGCGGTCTTCCTCCGCCACTTGCTCCCGCACGAGAGCGTACGCCGATACGTACACCAGCCCACCTAGCAGTCCCTCCCACAGCACAATGGCGAAGACGAAGTAAACGCTGGGAATGAAGGGGTGGATGGCGTGAGCGGTGAGTATGGCGAGGTTCAACACCTGCAAAAAAGAAGGGACGTAGAGCGCTCTGATTTGGAAGAGGGCGAGAGAGGAGCGCGAGATGAAGACGCCAGTTTGGTAGAGGGCGCCGTAGGTTGGGTAGAAGGCGCGATAGCGGTCGAATGGGGATTCTTCCAGCGGGAAGAGTAGAGTGGGCGCTACGCCTTGGTTGATGGTGTATTCCGCTAGGTATACCAGGAACAACGGCGCCATGTAGGGAATGATGAGGGAGCGCATGCGATGGAGATCTGACTTGATGTGTGCAAGAGCTCGTTTCAGCGGATGTTGGCTGGTGTCGTGATGCTGAAGAGGGATTTGGGCACTGGTTTCGTCCAGCAGCCCGGTCGTTTCTTGCGTCACGTCAGAGTCATCGTCCAGATTTGACAAGGGCTTGTGGTCAGGCCCATTGCGAGCGGAGAGTTTCAACGGATTACGTGGAAGGAGGGTGAAGAAGGTGAGCAGCATAACAGCCGGCAACAATGCACTACCAAGCAGCGTAGCGCGAACGGAGATGCCCAGCTCGTTGGTGGCGAAGGCGTAGAACCCAGCACCTATGAGTCCAGCACCACCAGTCCCGCTACCCCATGCCGCCAAGCTGAAAGGACCATAGAAGTGCGTCAAGCTGAGGAAGTTCGACTCGCCCGCTCCCGAACTGATGTTGGCCAGGATGATACCGGCGAGTTTGGCGGAAATGCTGGATGCATTGGTCGTTGCTGGAGAAAGAGCGACGGCCAGCATGCCACAAGTGGATAGAACAACCAGGAGGACGATCCGCATAGAGTAGGGAATGAGATGGATGAAGAAGGGCACGACGATTTTGGTGGCCAGGCCGGGGATGATACTGGCGAGCAAGACGGTCGCTTTGGGAATGGAGGGTCCGACGAGATCGAGCGCAGCGGTCAAGATGATAACGTAGAGGATGTTGTTGACCAGGCCTGCGATGCTACCGTCAGCCATTTGGATGTATCTTCCTTATATGCGTGCGAAGACGGCTTACCGAACAGCCAAAAGGCAACACAAACGCGCCAATCAGCTCCCTCGAAGCGAGCAGCAATGCGCGCCTGGAAACGGCTCCATGACCAGGCGGGAGAGCCGGGCAGGGGCAGCATTGCACTGCTATCGCTGGCGTCGTGCAGCCATCGCGCGTTGATGAGAATATGGATGTCCAGCTCGAAGCACGTGAGGAAGGGGCCAAGATGTGGCTTGGATGACGAGCTAAACTTGCTTGATGGGGTTAAGGCCATGTCGGAGCGGGTCATCCGTTGCACATGCGCTAGCGCGGACCAAATTCCATTGGATTCAGGGCGTCGATCCCGTCACCCTCTGCTGTTTCCCTCTGCTTTCGTCCCTTCTCTTGCTACCATCTTCTCTGTCTTGCTTTACAATCCGACCTCTTTCGGTCTCTGGTTCATTTCCACGCTTTGCTCGCGATTCGCGCCCAATCTATCCCTCCTGACGACTCACCCGCCTCATATTCCGATGATGCGGCCACCGTAGCCAACACACGAGCGAACACCGATGCGCTTCCGCGAGAGCAACACCTCCATATCACCACGGCCAGTCGAACGGTCGACATAATGGATCGCATCCCGCCGTTCAGCTCAGCAGACCGTCACGCCCACCCTTCGTCGCGAGCGCCTCCTCCACCCGTCTACCAACAATCCTTCCCTACCTCCGCCGCGCCTCCGCACACTCAATACCCCTTCGACCCCTTCCAGTCCGCCCGAGATCCATTCCTCACTCGAGGCCATGGGCGCAGTGATAGTCTGGGTCAACCTGCAAGAGCATGGCCATCTCCACAGGGTACGTCCTACAAACCTCCCCAGTTTTATCACACAATGGCACCCAAACAAGCCAGAGAGTGTGCAAGGACGGCAATGACGAGCGAATGTGCCTCCTCGTCACGGGAGCATACAGTGGCGATGCGCTTCCTGAGCAAGCTGCAAGCAGGAATGCGCCATGCCTCCGCATGCTGCTGTGTGGCACGAGCTCTGACGGTACCTGACTGTACCCCGAGCGTTTTCGAGCTGCGCCGGTCATGCGAGGCCGCCCTTTGCATCGCGCGCGCGCGCCTTGATGTGCGGGGACGCCGCCGTCTGCGCAGCGAGATGCAGCCGTCATCCTCGACACGCGCACTCTCATCACACGGCCACCTTTGCGACTCGGGTGCAAAATCGCCTCGCCCCACTTTGCGAGCCGCACCGGGGAGGGATGTCGGTTCCGACGAGCTGTTCCACCCCCCGCACTTGCATCCGCGCTAGCCCCTTCCAGCAACCAGCTACTTTTCCCGCTCCCTCCACGCCCGCACTCGTTCGTCACACTGACATGCCGCGTCGTCTTTCTTCTAGGGAACAGCATACCAAATGGCCAGCATCGCCGCCCGTCTCCGCACAATCCGACTCGTCCATTTCCGCCACCACCGCCCACGAATGGCGTAGGACCCATGTCATATCCTCAAGACCAAGGCCGCCCGCGATCTGTCGGCGCATCGGGTAGCGCACCCCAGCACAGCCATGGTCAGTAGACACCGACAACTCCTGCGCCCTCTCGATCGTCGCTCACACCAGTCTTAGCCTCCTCCGACCCCATTCCTCCCCCTCCGCAATACTCGTCCCGCCACATGTTGCCCCCTTCTCCCTCGCAAGCCTCCTCCCTCCCGGGTTCTGCTCCGCGCGGCCCTCCCACCGCTTCTCCCTTCGCCGGAGCTCGTGATCTGGCCTCTCATACCTCCAGTCGACCCTCGGGGGGAATGTCCATTTCCTCGTTGTTAGGTGGAAACGAGGAACGTCGGCCGCATGGCTCACCACCCGCTTCCACGCCCAAGTCCATGCCACCACCGTCGCCTGCAAGAGCACGATCGTCGAGCTTGCGTGAAGCACTAGAACGTCCTTCTAGAGATAACTCGCCTCCGCGAGCGATGATTACGGAACCGAGAGCTGCATCTGCGGCTTTCGGCCACGATCGATCTGCATCGGAGCATCGACGCGAAGCCCTGTTTGCGCCGCCACCATTTCCCGGAGACTCTATAAACAACTTCCGCACGTTCCACCAGGGCTCACCAGAGAACCGACCGGGATTGAACGGACACGGCCCGCCCGGCCGACCAAGCAGTCAGCCAATCGAGCATCAGGCACCGCATCGCCTTGGGGAGACAATGAGCCGGGAGCCCTCTGACGGTGGTCGCTTCGGTGCGTTTCGATCGTATGGCGAAGCACAAAGACCAGCGTTGCACAACGACGCAATTACAAGGCAGGAAGGAAGTGGGCACCTTAACGGACACGGTCCCAATCCTGCCGCATCTGGGCACGGCCACTTTCACAGCCCACACATGCAGCACGAACGCCCCCGTCCGGACTTCTCCCGCTTTCCTCCAATTGCACACAGCACCCCAATGCGAGAAGAGCAGATTGGCCCGTTTCGGCCAGCTTACCAACCCATATCCGAGCCACCCAGGCATCCTACCGAACTCCGGTCGTTTCATGATCCTCGCCACGAAATTGCGCGATCATCACCTCCAGCACCGGAGTACGCCTCTTACGATCGTCATCGGGAGCGCCCAATGACGTTCGAAGAGCATCAGAGGATGGATTACCTGCAACGCGAGCCACTACGCAAAGAAAGTGACGGTGCCCTCCACCGGAGTGTGTTGAATCTGAGTCCTGACATTAATCGAAAAGGGCGCAATTCCCCGCTGCCGCAAGCTGTGCAAGGTGCTCAACCTCGCCACATCGGTCCCGGAGGTGACAATCCCGGCGTGAAGATGGAATTTGGGAGAATGTTCTCAGGCCTGGGCAGCGGGGTCGGGACGGTGACCCCTACCGGCACGCATGGCAACGGCACAACCACACCATCGCGCCTCACTCCTATGCGGCAAGTCCAGGGCGGAGATCTGGTCCGCACGGCTGTGGCGGAGATTGAAGAAGGACGACGGAATGGCAAAGTGGATGGCAGAAAGAAGAACGGTCGACGGGTGCGAGAAGACGAGGAACGAGTGAATGGGCGGGAGACTCCTGATAATGCCCCGGGTTCGAAAAGGGCGAAGACAAACCCCACCACCCAGCATCATCACCATCATCACCTGCATCCACGCCATCACCACCACCACCATCAGCCGGCTGACAGCATGCCGAACCCTTTCAACACAATTCGCTTCCCATCCAACCCCCCGTCCCAACAAGCGACCGCTTTGACCAACACACATGTACACGCCCCGCATACACACACGGTCCAACATCATCACCATCACGCAGCACGGCCTGTGCCTGCTCGCAAACCCACCACAACTGTCGTGAGCAAGAAACTTGTCGAGGAGTGCGCGAAGAAGCCGCGAAGCCACCTCGGCTCCCAGGTCTACAAGTCGGAACCGTCCGTCCCGCGACTAGAGGCCATTGACGTGCACGCCAGAGTGAAGCATCACAACAGCATGACGCCAATCCCGTACTTTGAAGGCAAGGAGAATTGTACTTACACTGTTCGTGTGCCGCGAGATTACGTCGCCCACCAAAGCAGCTCGGATCAAGGCTCCTCCTGCTTGGAGGAGATTTGCAATCATCGTCAAGTGTGGGGCACAGATGTGTACACGGACGACTCGGACGTGGTCGCTGCTGCTGTGCATTCTGGCTGGCTGAAGGGCGACTTTGGAGAGTTCAACGACGATCTGCGCGAACTGGAAGCCGAACCTCGCGAAGACGGCGAGGCACCCGCTCAAGAAGGCGGAGAAGCCGAGGACGCAACAGCACCACCACACTCTCTTACCAATCGACCCCGCAAACCCGCCTCGCCTCCTCCCGGCCGCGACGCGCACATCACCCTCCTTCTCCTTCCCCCGCTCGAACACTACGCCAGCACCACGCAGCACCACATTCGCTCCCGCGAATGGGCAGGGAATCACGACGGCATGTCCTTCATGATTCACCGGATCGACTTCGTGGACGAGGCGCCGGGCAGCCGATTCCGGGAGCGAGGGGCCAAAACGCGCAAAGCGAGGATTGCAATTGAGGAGGGGAAGAGGAGGGATGCTGCTGCCAGGGGCTTGCTGGCGTTTGCTTCTGCAGCTTCTGAAGGGCACGTAGGCCCCGTGCCTGTTGGGGTTGGTGCGTAGTGATGTGTGAGAGGGCTTTGTGTGGGCTTGAGTGCTGCACTGGTGCGATTGTAGGAATATGATGGTGCTTGACTTTGATAGCGATTGATGGGTGTGTATATACTATTACGCTGTCGTCCAATTCTCTCCTCCTTGTTTGCTACGATGCCATGCCGGACGCAGCATTGGTTCCTCGAATATTATTCTGCACTGATGAACAACGCTCGCTCCGCGTTTCCCACGAACGCGAGCATCGTATCTGCGCAGCCCCAACCCCCAAATTAAAAAGTATCAATCATGCCCAACAACCACTGCACATGCAGAATGGACGCCAAAGGCTGATACTCCGGCTCCTGGTGTCCGCATTGATCCGTCTCGACCCACATGAGGCCGCGCTCGTAGTGCCATTTACCCACTACATGCCGCGATAAAAGCAGTGTCAGCGAAGATCTTGACATCGAGACTTTGGGGATCGGGAGATATAGGGAGGGTAGAGGAAGTGACGTACTTGTACCTTGTGCCGCGCCGAGGGATATACCGTGGAGCGATTCAGATTGATTCACGATGAAGGGTGCCGTGGGCGCGGATTGGAAGCCTAGCTGGCCGTTCCAGGTCATATTCTGACGTGGTATTAGCAAGGGCACTTGAAAGAGAGAGATGTCGAAGGAGACTAGTTACCTGGATCGACAAGAGCGTCCCGTTCGTCTGGATAATGTAATCCCACATGCCATTGCCGACGAGCACGCGACTCGTAGCTTCAATGACTTGCGGCAGGACATGCTGGATGGGGTCGGGGGAGGAGTCGTCTTCCTGCTCCGGGCCGAAGGGGTGCGTTTGCGAGCCGACGAACACGGGTTTCGGCGAGCAGTCGTGCCAGGTTTTGTTGGGGGCGTGGATGGCTGCTTTGACGTCTGGTCGGTTCCAGTAGACGGCTAGATTGGGCTTGGGCGAGGGGCAGGTTTGCACGATGTGGTACTGAGGGTTGTTATTAGTTGAGGGGCGTGGTGGAGGGGTGAGTTTGTGATGCTTGCTTACTACATCGAAACAGGGGTTGATGATTGATGCTGCTTCGTAGATGATGTCGTACATGGCGCAGTTGCCGTACAGGGACGAATTTCCTTTCTCGCTGTAGGGGTAGAAAGGCGCTTGATTCCCTGGGGGAGGGAATTGGAGGTATGTGTTCTAGAGCTTGAAGTTAGTTGTGTTCCATTCAAGCGCCAGTCCCGCGTACTGGAAATATGACTTAAGTTGGGTCGGGAAGACATACCACATAGTCAGTGTACCCGCACTGCTGGTTCAATTCTCCCAACTGGGACATGAACGACGCATTCAAGTTCAGAATCTCGTTGTTGGCCACGGCGAAGTCGTAGGAGGTAACGGTTTCCTGAACATATTCCCACGAGCCAATGCACGGATCATACGCGAGCGCACCTGCGTGATTGTGAGTGTACGAAGTCGCCCAAGTACTTCAAGAGTCCTACCGGTAAGATCAAAGTAGGTTGTGTCATTCTGGTCGAGCATGGCTGCCGAAACGTACGGAACATATCGGCCCGCGTACGACTCGCCCTGTCTACTGTCAGCAATGGCATGATGGTTCCGATGCTGGGAGGTCGCCAGCTTACGGTCACGTAGATCTTATAGTTCGTAATGTTGAACAGAGTCTCGAAATTCTTGAAGAAGCCGAGGAATTGGTTGGCCACATCGACTTCGTTCGTCGCTGTTGGTTTGCCCGTCGAGAAGCCAGTTCCGACGGGTTGTTCCACTGGGCAGGGATTAATTGAAGTGTTGAAAGTGTTCAGCTTGGAACTCACCCCAGATCATGTTTGTAAGCGTCGACCAGGCATGTTTATTGCGGCGAGGGTTTGCAACGCCCGGTTGGTAGGACTGCAGAGGAATCAACGTTTAGGTCCTAATCCCAAGGCTAGGAACGTACAATGGGGCCATTTTCTTGCAAAAAGCCTTCCAAAGAGCTGCATCCTGGCCCACCGTTGAACCAGATGGTAAGAGTGTCTACTGGAGGGCCCGAAGTGGGCTTGAAGATGAAGAACAGAGTGGTATCTGGGTCGGTTTCATTGATGGGAATGGAGCCGGAGTAGAACTCGCCCGTGTCGAATTTGACATCGGGCCAGGATTGGATCAGGTAAGGCGCCGTGTTGTTGTTGTAGTAGCGATAGCAGGAGGTGGAGTTGCACTGCGAGCCGGCATCGTCTGCGAAATCATCATCCATCGCTGCGAAGCGAGTCTGTGAGAACCTTCCGAGAGGATCGAAAGCGGCATTGGCGGCGGAGGTCGTGACAAACGACAGCCAGGTCGCTAGAAGCGCGGTCCGCGCAGACATTGAAAAATGCATTCTTGCTCATACGAGATGGTGTTGGTAGATTGCGATGCGAGACAACAATGGGAGAGGGGAAATGTAAATAGGCAACACAATTGCGCCTTTTTTCTCGTCGGCGGATCACCTACCGCCTCTGCGCGATAGCAGCGCAGTACTGGATTGTGTAAGGTTACATTCAGTGAGACTCGGTCCACTTGGTCGCTGGATAAGAGGCTTTAGCTGCTGGAATGAGGTACGGGAGAGGCCAACCACCGTCGAGCTAGCGTGGGCTATCGTGCCTTTCCCCGCTTTGGCATCATCGCAGTAGGTACTGACGACGGTGCTCGGGAGAGGCGTCTGGAGATGTTGGACGACGTGAGGTTGGAAGATGCTTGGCGGCGGCCATTGCGAAGTCGGAGTTCCCCAGACAGATCTGGGGATTCCGATGACTTATATACACAAGGCTGAATGGCTTACTGTTTACTGTGTAAGCTACAGAGGCAGAGTCATCCTGGGTGATCAGTAATGTAGATCTTATTTCGAGCGACCCCGCTTGCTTCATCCCACGTCCGGCAAAATCTCCGTTTGGTGCCTGATCCGTCCGTCGAACACAGCATGCTTTGCGCCTCAGGCCACCAGCTCATGACTAAGCCACTTTTGGATGATGCATCTCTACGGCGTTGAAACTTCCAGATTGCACATTTCTCGATGCTGCTCCTACGCCCATTTCTCCCCGTATCTCGTCCTCTTGATTGATGGGATGGGGTCTTTCTGTATCTGCTCCAGAAGAGCATTGGAGCTGTTTGTGCAAGAGGCATGCGGCGTCTCACTCCGTACATCGCGACCTACGCCCGTCACCCCATTCTCCCGAGGACGCAATCTTGGAACCAGACCGCGCCTACGACAGCTCCAACCTGCCGCATTGACTCGCCAGGACGACTCTTTCATTCCCTTTGACGCTGATGGAAAGAGCGCGGGATCGCTAGCAACGCCTTCGAAAGGGGAAAGATCGGGACATTTGGGGCAAGCCGAGCAACTACCTGACAAGGACACTCTTGACGACGAGTGGCATGCCGAGGTGGAGATTGTTGCGCCATGGCCGCAAGAGACCAACCAGCCCCGAGCCGGCGAAGCGCAGGAAGTAGCCGCAAGCACTCGGGATGGCGTGGCGGAAACCACGACACCATCGGTCGATGATGCATCTCTCCAAAAACCTCACGAGCCTCCTCCACAATCCAAGCCTATTCAGCTTCAGGGCGCACCTTCATTACCACCCGATCTACACCAAACAGGTACCGCGGACTCAGGTCTCGCTCGGAGTCGAACAGAGAACAGGATGCTGCGGAAGCTGCGGCGAATCCAAGCAGGCACGTTCAGAGCCACGGCAGAGACAAGAGTGAGAACTGAATTGAAAGATTCGACGGTGCGCTCGGTCCTCGGTATCATGAAAGCTACCAGAAACATGCCGCCAGCTGAGGAGCAAGAGGAGAGCACCAGGTCACCACCCGTGTTGCAGGCAGCGACACCAAACTCGGAGGCGCAAGATGTTGACAGGACAGATACTATGCTCCGACCGAAGAGTGCAGTGCGGAAGGCCACAAATCAATCAACGGCAGCTCCAACCACGAGGAGAGCGGCTCCTGTTGCGAAAGAGTCAACATCGAAGAACAAGGCGTATGCGACAACTACTCAACAGAGATCGAACACAAAAGGACGGGCATCCAGAAGCAAATTGGACGCTTCCCCAACGAAACAGCCAGCGAGTGTGATTGAGACCAACCCGAAGACCAAGTCTGAGCGAGAATTATGGCAGACGCAGAAAAATGCTCTGAAGGAGAAATTTGGCGAACAGGGATGGCAGCCACGCAAGCGCCTGTCACCAGATACACTGGACGGTATCCGCGCTCTGCACGTCTCTGATCCCAACGCTTATACAACACCCGTCCTCGCCGCACACTTCCAGGTCACTCCCGAGGCCATTCGTCGTATCCTCAAGTCCAAATGGCGGCCCAATACCGAAGAAATCGACGATCGAAAGGACCGCTGGGAGCGGCGAGGAGAGCGCAAGTGGAAAGCCATGGCAGAGCAGGGCACGCGACCCCCAGCGAAGTGGCGAGCGAAGGGCATCAAGACCCCGCACGCGGAGCAAAAGAGAGCTGCCAGGCGGCAGGATGGACGTTATGTCAGATGGGAAGATGACACGCTAGAAGGTGCTGGCTCCTCGCTCGCGCAGAGGATTCGGTGACGGAACTCGGCACCATTCAAACCCCCATCATTCCGCGCGAAGAATACACCACCGCCCGGGAATAGAAAGAGAAACATGCGTCAATAAAGCAAACCCCCACACGAATACCCGTTCGAGGCCAAAACACCCGAGGGAGTCGCCACAACAGTCATCCCAACTTCCCAGGTTGGTGAAAGAAGCGGCGCGTTTGTCATGCGATCGCCGCCTGACTAATCGAAAGCCTACGCATGCTTCACACACTAACACGGGCCGTGCTCTGCGTACCGACCTTCTGCCAACCCATGTCCGGCCCACGTTCTGCAAAGCTCAGCCCAACGCCCTGCGCTGTCGATGGAAGGCCCTAGCTCCGCCGCGGCGACTCAGGGCATCCGGCGCGCTGTCTCTGCGATGTTGTGCTCCACGGCCAGCAACCCTAACCGTGCCCCTGTTATGGCCTAAATTCAGCATCTCATTTGCCACTCTCTGCATGCATGCTTGCAGTTAGGTTGCGATCACTGTACCCCACGTGCTGCAGCATGGGCCGGGCCTTTTAGGGCTCACTTCGTCGACCATCCGGGAGGCGCCTTCCTGCCAGATGGAGTATGGCCGAGGGAAAGCATGTGAATCGTCATCGCCGTCAGCGTGCTGCATCTCCGGGGGCTCGAGGCCACGCTTCGATGCGACACTTGACGATGTAATGCTCCCTCGCCTTCTTACCTTCTAATCAACAAGGGCTTACCTTCTAATCAACAAGGGGGCTGTGTATTCATTATGCGGCAGGCGAGTCGTAGATATGAATCTTGGACTCGCCGGTAACCAACACCTACAACATTGGCTTTCTCGGTCGCTTGCAGTTTCGGTGGTTTGACGCCTCCCGCACACCTCACACCGCTACGGCTCCATGATCGCCACCCAGCGAACTTTTGCCACTCACATTGCGAGATACACGAAAGAGAGGAAATGCGACCGGCTTACAAGCATCCTGGATAGAGAAAAGGGTGTCACCACAGCAGTGCCCATCTCTCTGCTTGCCCTTGCGCCGTCAGGGTTCGCATCAAAGCATTCTCGAAATCTGCCAGCAGTGGCATAGATGAACTCCGGCACCCTCCCGGCCGGGTTCAAGCTCCCGTCGTCGCAGCTATCAACCGCCTGCGCCGCATGCATCGCCGGCCCCGAATTCCTCTCTCACTCCATCGTTGCGGCGCTCGACGCCAAGGACCACGAGCATTCCTCTCTCACGCACATCGCGTCGAATCTCCGCTTCACGCACGACAACATTGAAGCTACGGGACGAGAAGCGCTGTTCGAGGTACTGGCCGACATACCGGGAGAACAGCGGTTCCACGTCACACGCTCGACATCGCAGGTCTGCCAGGCCACGGGACAGGCGAAGATCTGGCTTTCCGTGGAGGTGAGGGGGTGTCCGTCCACGGGGCGCGGCGTTCGCGAGAGCGTGGTGTTGCTGCATTGGCGCATTGTGCGTGGAGAGTGGACTTGTCACTTGTGTCGTGGGCTTCAGCATGGGGGAGCGGGGGATGACTGAGGGCGTTGGTAATGATTGGGACGTTGGTTGCTCGGCCGTGTCAGCCAGTGACATACATGTATAACGGACCGGTTGTGCGTGACAAATGCTAAGTTAGACGGAGGCGCTGGGGGTGGTCGACTTCAATAACGCGGTACGCGAGGGGTAGAACGCCGTATCGGGGCAATAAATAGAGAGCTAGCAATCTTGACGAGAAGTACCGACGAACCGCTGCGCACCCTTTCGCCCTACTGGTAAGGTCCTCGGCCGATATTCCGTGCATCCCTAGTGAGGGGGTTTCGTGAGATGTAGTGTGGTTCGAGTTGGATTAGTAACATCACGGCTGCGCCATGGAATCGTCACCTCCAGGATGAGTTAATCGCGAGAAAAGTAGCCCACCACAGCGGTGAGCATGCTCTCTGAGGGTACGGCCTTGGTGCGCGCTGTATACATACTTGGTTATGCCTCGAGTCCATATCTTCCTTTACTCATCTCGCATGATCCCCCACGCCCCCTTGGAAGTCTAAAGCGCCACACTCCACTCCCGCATTTCCCGGGTGTGGAGCCTGGCCCGTCCCGAGTCGCGTGGCGGTGCGGGAAACCGTCAGCCACAAGACGCATCCGCGCTGGCAAGGCATCTCTACGTCAAGCTGCACTTCCCCAGCAAAAGGGCCCTGAGCGTCTTCACGGATCAACACCTTCTCTACAAATCCTCCGAGTGCCAGCAGATGGCATCCGAGGACACACACGCGCCTCGATCGACTGTCATCCACGATGGTGCTCCGGCGTAACGAATCCACCCCTCGAGTCTCGGAGCCCTGGCGGATGCCCATGCCATGGCCCCTTCACTCGCCCCCTCGAACATAAGGGCTTTTGTCCGCTGGAAGGAACCGAGTGTGTACGCGGGCGATAGCATTGAATGCATCATCACGTTCGTGAACGTCGTGCCGGCGTCGGGACAGGCGAGGGAGCAAGAGCAGCATACTCGATTTCCCAATGGCGATCCGTCGCGCTTGTCGGGCGAGAGCATCAGGTCGTCTGCTACGCAGCGCACGGAGAGTACTCAAGTGACGGCGCGAGCTTCGGGACATCGACCTCCTCTGTCGCTCAGTGTTGCGGGCGACTCCTTCGACTCCAATGCGCCGAGCTCTGCTGCCCGTGGCCATGGTAGATCATTATCCATCTTGTCTCTTCGCAGCGATCAGGGGAATGATTCCCGGGTACCACCGCAAGGAGGACCTGCTGCAAAACGACACGATAAAAGCCATGCGCGAGGTGCGAGTCTGGCGACGCTTCCTTCAACTGGAACTTCCCCGGGCGGTACATCTACTCCTGTTGCACCTCGGCAGCCTTCTCCGCTTAACGAGTCTTCAACCTCACCTCTTCGGGATGAGACCCAAACCGGTCAGTTACCTACACGCCAAACAAAGCGACGACCGGATGCTGTTTCTTCACACAGTACACCGCACCTGGCTCGAGTGAATAGCTTGCAGAAAGCTTCGCCCCGCACCGATTCTCCCCAAGCCTATGAAGCGCCCGTCTCGCAAGCAAAGACCAAAGAGGGATCAGCACAGCAAACTCCAAAGGCTTCTCGGAATCCCTCGGGTGCCACCTCCGGCCAACCTCGCGGGGTCTCTCCCCGTCCTCCGGAAGGTGGTCTAGACCCAGTGACTCGAGTGATGTCGGAGTCTTCAGCTACTGGAACGCCCCGCACAAGCAGCGACTTCTACTCTGCGAGCAATCACAGCAACGAGACGGTGACTTCTGAATTGCCCACGCAAGCGCGGTCGTCACATCATCGCTGGACCTCGGAGACCGCGTCGGCACCCGACTTCTCCGTGTCTGCGCGACAGAACAGACGACCTGCAGCTAGACCCGAAACACTCATGCTGGGCTACGCGCAAACTATGGGCCACTTTATACTCGACGGCAGCCTAGTCAATGCAGCGCCGTTCGAAGAGATCAAAAGAAAGGGTGTGCAAGGTGGTGGCGGCGTCGTTGGCGTCGACCAAGCCAAAGCTTCTGCCGGCATGTTTGGCGCGTTCAGCTGGGGCAGCATCGGCGACTCCCTTGGCGGTCTATTAGGAGTGGACGAGAAGAGCTCGATTGCGCAGATGAAAGCGACGGCTGGGTCGAAGAGTATCCCGTTACTCTCCACGCCGCAGAATCTGCTGTTTGTTGACCTCACCTTGGCCCCGGGGGAGAACAAAAGCTTTGCTTATCGCTTCCCCCTTCCGCGCGGCTTGCCTCCGAGTTACAGAGGCCGGGCAATCAAGGTTTCCTATCACCTCTCGCTCGGCGTGCAGAGGCCTGCAGGCCAGACGGTCAAGCACATCGAACTACCATTCCGTGTGATAGGGAGTTACAACGCTCAAGGCGAATTGCTTGGCCACGATCTGATGTCTCCTTACACTCTGCTGCAAGACACTGCCCGGAGCAAGAGCATCGCGCCTGATCTCCTACACTCCCTCCAATTCCCCGAGCTGTTCCGGAGAGACAGCGCCAAAGCCACACCCCAACAAGGCCTAGAAGACTTCCTCCGCTACACAGAAAGACTACTCGAAAAATCCGAAGACTCGACCAACCCTCTCGCCTCACCCACCTCTCCGGGCCCCCAACGCGGCTTCTCCCGCACCTCGAGCATCGTCGAACCGCTCCCAGCATCCACGAAAGAAGCCATCGACCTCGCCATCATGCGCGCCAACCACATCGAGCGCGTCGCAAAGCAACGCCAAGGCGACGCCAATCCCAGCGCGAACCGCTTCAACATCAGTCGCGCCGGCCAGCCCGTCGCCGTGCTCACGATCCTGCGGCCCGCGTACAGACTCGGCGAAGCGGTCATTGGCACCATCGACTTTACCGCCCCTTCGCCATCATCCGCCACTACAGCATCTCCGCACATCCCCACTTACGCTGTCCTCGTGGAGCTGGAATCCGCCGAGCAGATAGACGCCTCCCTGGCTTTGCGCAGCAAGAGCTCCATCCATCGCGTCACACGCAAGACGCACGCCGCGGTGCGGGAAAACACGCTTTTCGCGCGCCGCATCAGTTTCAATCTAACGATCCCGCCTACCGCTACGCCATCATTCGATACCACGGGCGTGAGTCTAGTTTGGCGACTGAGGGTGGAGTTTACGGTTCCGCGGCAAGGCCAGCCGCCGCCTGTCATTGATATTGGAGGTGATGAGGATGACGATGAGCCGGAGGCGGGGACGGCGAAGACGGATGCGGGGGATTTATTGGAAGAGATTGGGAGGGATGAGCGGGGGGCGACGTTTATTGCAAAGGAAAGGCTTTGGGCGGAGACGTTTGAGATTGGTGTTCCGTTGAGGGTGTATGGCGTGCCGGCTGAGGGGGAGGGAGAAGGGCTCGAGTCTGGGGCCTGGGAGGTGTGAGGTATTGCGGAGCAGCGAGAGAAAACGGAGAGGCATGTCATTCATTTCATTCAGCGTCAATATGTAAGCTCATGGAAGCTCATGGATCAGCACTATGCCTTTTTCCACATGAGGCGGCTTCTCGCGCCTGTTCGCGTCTAATTCCATGACCGTCGGACTCCCGGCCAGCTCGGCCAGCGATGTGCTCATCAGCTCGTGCTTGAATTCCGCCTCGCCCATCTCGTAGAATGTGCCTTCCGATTCGCCCATCTCGCAGGGTGGCGATGCTATCGGCTTGATGAGCGTCCGCCGTTGGATACCTTGCCGTCTGCGTCTGCGGAAGAACAGGAACATCAGCAGCGCCGTGACGGAAGCGACGAAGGCGCAGCTGCCTATTGTCACGCCGGCGATCATCCCGTCGGAGTACGCAGGCTTCCCATTTTGTACCTGCGATGATGAGACCGCGATGATATCGGGCGCGGCTGGGTGATGGATGGCCTGGGCAATAGTGAAGTTCTGCCTGCCCCAGTCTACAAAGACGTAGGCTTCTTGCAGCAGGGTGCGGCCTAGGGCTTGTTGATTTTGGTTCTGCGCCACGTGGATGGGGAAGTAGTTTGTGCTTTGGTTGAAGAGGGGGATGCCGGCTTGGATGTCGAAGGCGGCGTAGGGGAGGACGATGTTTGTTGTTGCTGTTGAGGCGTCGGATTCTGCGAGCGTGAATGTTATGGATGGGTTGAGCTGGAGTAGGGTTTGATGGGTGGTGTCGTTGACTAGGTATAGAGAGGTGGACGGGTCGTATGTCAGGTTGAAGGTTTTGGCAAACATGTCGCATACGCCTTGCGGTAGGCCAAGGCCCGCGACCATGGAGTTGATGCTGCTGAAAATTGCCTGGTCGTCTGGAAGTAGCGATAGAGTACCGTCCGGCAAGTTGTCGGCGATGATGCTCCGGATGACGAGCGAAAGCGGTTGGCCTACCCCTTGGCCGACTGGTAGAGTAACATTGCTGGGTGAAATGCGGGATTGGTCATAGCCTCCGAAAATGAGGCTGCCGGGAGATTGTACTGATGAGTGAAAGTCAGATATCGGCTCACAACATCAAACTCCTGCCTCCTGCACGACTTACGATAAGCTGCGCCTGCCGTGTATCCAGCGGATGAACTTGGAATGAGATTCTGCTCCAGCATTGCGTCCAGTAGACTCGGACTGTCTTCGCTCTCTATGGGAAACTGTGCCACAGCGCTGCCCATGCCCAGACTGCCTAGCCACACGGCTTCTGCTGCAACGCCCGCGACGGCCTGCGCAGGGAATGTGATCGGCTCTCCAGAAGTCGACTGATTAGCAGTGAGGGTGTCGTAACCGTACAATCCATAAGTCGTAGAGTTGGTCCACAGATTCTTGCCTCCAGCGAGCGCGTAGATGCCGATCTGTTCCCAAGTTGATGATGCATTAGGCTGGAATCCCCGACTCGGCTCGTTGTTGAAGTTGTCGATGCCTCGTAGCATTCCACAGTCGGCAACGTTCGCAAGGATGCCTCCGCAGTCCGGTCCATACGGTATCCAGATCTCGGACGCGCTCGTGGCTGGCAGGACTCGGAAGCCTTGCGGCGGAGTGCCGACCTCGATGGAAAATGTCGACCATGGCCCGTCGTCGCCTTCCCATTTTTCCGTCGGGGTGAACGAGAAGGGCTGCGGTGTCGACTTGTCGGACGGCATTGTGGTTGCAAATCGTCCAGGCGGAAGTCGTTCTCAGCAGTGTGCGGAGGGAAAAGGGAGAGGCTCCACTCGCAGCGACGGCGTCGTGGTTGGAGTCGACTCTGCACCGCCTGCCCCGTCTTCCGCAATGCCCGGACATGACGAAGATTCGGGAGCACCGAACGCGTCCTAGCCGTCGCACTCGCAACGCACGGGCACCAAGCGCTACTGTATCTCTGTTTTACGCAGGAACCTATGATCTAGCGCAGGTAACGTCGGCAGCCATCCGCGCATTGGGCGGATGTCGTCTCAGCTGAATGCTTAGCGCGCCCAAGGAGGCTTAGCTGGCCCCTTTGTTAGCTTTAGCTAGCCCTTCCGTCGATCCTTCCACCGCTCCAACCTCACGCCCTCCTGAACCTTGTCCTTGACACCGATCACCCGAATGTATCTTGCCCTTCACACCGATCACCCGAATGTATCTTGCCCTTCTCCCCGACGACCCGAACGCCCGTGCATTATCATTGAGGACGATTCAGAGTTCCTCCTCGCCGTATGCGTATCTTTAGAATCCCCGTCCGCAGCACATCAACGTTTTCCGCCAATGATTGTGTCCGTCGCCACTACTCCGCCAATACAACGATCTGCATGTCTCGGGGCTGAACACAACGTTGTGCCCTCGGAATCAGGAGTTGCACAGCCCTACCCGACCTCGGCGTTCCGATGTGAGACGTCCACTAATTGCCATATGCTGTGGGTTATTTAATAACACTAACGGCGCGACACTGTAACACTCTTCACAACACTCTTGTCAATTCTTCCGCTGCTTGCCCCAGTTCTCCGCTCACTTCATCCTCCGTCTGTCACGATTTCCTAAGGCACACGGCCGTCTCTTTGACGGTGCGGGGAAGCGCCATCCCTGACAGCACTCATGGCACTCTCCACGAACCCCTGCGCACCATGTAATTTCGGCAACCCAACCTCGACGACTCTTACGTTCCCGCTTCAAACAATACACCCCATCACCGTCGTCTCAGTGCCGCACGTCACCGTCTACGACTCCACCAGCAGCACTACCAACTATGTCGTGAGCACCCAAACGGATTCGGCGTACCCTGGGCCCGACGCGAGCAATGCATCGACAACCTTCTCGGACTTCAACAGCATCACATGGACCGTGGCAGGCGCAACCCTTACATGGCCGACTTCATACGTGTACTACATCGGAGACTTCTCTGGAGGCACCGTTCCCACGACCGCCACCAGCACCACCACCCTTGCGAACAACAGCTGCCCGACAGCTCCGTACGTAAGCATTGTGTCGTTGCCAACAACTACCAATGTCGCCTCCCTCATCTACCCACTGCCGGTGACGGCAACGGGGGACAATTCCCTCCCAACAGCATTGATGGAATACCTGGACAGTCTGGACGGTGTTGCCTCGCAGTTCAATGGAATACCGCTGACCGACTGCGCGCCCGTATCATCCAGCCTGTACTGGTCAGCTTGGGGCGGCACAGCAAGCGCGACATTGACTAGCAACCCAAGTTATGCCAACCCTAGTTATGCCAACCCTACTGATTCGCATTCGACCGGCTTTGCGATCACAGCCATCACGGGTCCGCCCATCATCACCCACGTACCGAGATCACCTACTCCGGAGAACCCGACCTACAGGCCGGGCCCAGCGGGGTCGCCACACACGAAGCCTGCGGTCACAAAGCCCCCGCCGACGCCCTCTCCCACGCATAGCGACGAACATGCACCAGGGACAACCAAAGCTGGTGACAGAGATACCACAATGCCGCACCCATCACCTACCAACGCAGGCGGATCCCACGGTCATCCAAAGCCCGGCCCAACGGTGTTCAGCTTCCCTCATACGAAGGTCACGGCGAATGCTGGAGGAGGCGTAGTCATTGACCATCACACCGTCTTTGTGGGCCAGGAAATCACAATCGGATCAGGAGATACGAAAACGACAATCGCCTTGCAGACCAAAGGTGGTTCGACACAGCTGGTGGTCGATGGTACGACACACGCCCCGCAAGCTCCAGACGCAACGACCATGGCGCCCGCCGCAGTCATCACCTCGAACGGCCACAAAATCACAGTCGTGCCACCGGATGGCTTAATCGTGGAGACTGTCATAACAGCGGGTGGGCAGACTCTAACGGCGATAGAGGAGTCGGATGCCGTCCTCCTGCAAGGAGCCTCATCGACGACCGCTGTGAAAGATGGATCAGAGGCCACGTTCAAGGGCCAGACAGTCAGTGTCGGGCGTCAAGGAACCGCTGTGGTCGTTGACGGCAGCATCGTCCAGCTCTCCCCATCTGAAACCTCGGGTACATCTTCTTCGAGCAGTGCTGGTCACTCTAATGCTGTACCGGTCAGGTTGAATGGGGCATTCATCTGTCTAGTAATGTTTCTTCGCTTTGCGTTCTAGCGACAGCCTCGGAGCTACGAGATACGCAGGGGCTTGGAAGCTCGCAATAATGCATGGATCTGGCGTCTTAATCCTATAAACTCTGTAAAATGAATGTGTAGACGATCACCTCATGCTCCCGCTGGTACAACGTCAAAAATGGTGGTCCCTGAAATCTGATGCCTGAGGCACGATGTCACGGCTATTCCCGCGTCCACGCAAATTCCGCCAAGACCAGCAATTTTCGAAATCCACAACCTCGCTGGATTTGCAACACACACGCGACATCCTCACCTCCCACGACACACTCATTGCACCCGGTGAAGCTACCAACCGGTAAGCCAACACTCCAATGCACTCAATGCTTCGCAAAGATCCAAACGAGGCATTGGCAACAACACATGGACTTCATGAACACTCACTAACAGCATCTCTTGCAGTAATCTTCACCAACCGCAAACATGGGGTACAGTCTTCAAACCCTCCCATCTCTCCCCTCCATTACACACCCACGCTGACCAGACGCACAGTATCTCCCGTGACTCCCGTCACAAGCGCAGCGCCTCCGGTGCTAAGCGCGCACACTACCGCAAGAAGAGGTGTGTGCAATAACCCGATCGCTCCTGTCCCACTCACCATCACTCATCTGATCGTTTGTGACTCCGCAGGGCTTTCGAGAAGGGCCGTCAGCCGGCCAACACCCGTATCGGCGCGAAACGCATCCATCTCGTGCGCACGCGCGGCGGCAACCGCAAGTTCCGCGCGCTGCGTCTCGACTCCGGCAACTTCGCCTGGGGCAGCGAGGGCATCACGCGCAAAGTGCGTGTCATCGGCGTCGCCTTCCACCCCTCCAACAACGAACTCATCCGCACAAACACCCTGACCAAGGCGGCCGTCATCCAAATCGACGCCAGCCCGTTCCGTCAATGGTGGGAGGCGCACTACGGCCAGCCGCTGGGCAGGAGACGGCAGCAGAAGACGGAGGGCGAGGACGAGAAGAAGAGCAAGAGCGTCGAGGCCAAGCAGGCGGAGCGGTTCAAGAAGGGCGGCAAGGTCGACCCGGCGCTCGAGAGGCAGTTTGAGGCTTCGCGTCTCTACGCCGTCGTTGCTAGCCGTCCGGGCCAGAGCGGTCGTTGCGATGGTTACGTGCTCGAGGGTGAGGAGCTTGCTTTCTACCAGCGTGCCATCAGGAGATAGACGTGGACTTGGTGTGGGATGTGGCTGTCTTTCAGCTTTCGTTCGAGGGCGGATAGGGCGTTGATGTGCAGCGCTTGCATGGTCTCGCTGCTGCAGTGAAACGTAGGCAGGAAGCTGCAAAAACAGACGAATGTCAAAACTTTCAACTACTCATCCACTTCTACCGTCACTTCATGATCTGTGCAAGTAAGAAGTAGACCACTTTGATTCTATCTACCCGGATTTTACCTAACGCTGCCCTCCACGACGGCCCTCCAGGCTGTGAGAGCAACAGTATATACAATACGTACAATAGCAAACCAGGATCCAAACAAGCGCCTCCGCTGGTGAGTCCGACGAGCATTCGCATCATCACAAACCCCGTCCACCACCCTCAAAGCAAAACCACAACCCCAACAAGCGCACTAAACAGCGCTACCACACACAACCCCCCCTGCGCCGGCCCCCCAGCAACAGTCGCAGCCCCGCTATGCGCCTTTTTGTACCCGCCCTTCCCACTCGGCAGCGTAGGCATAGCGTGCACGGGGACCTGGCTGCTCGCGTCGGCGCCTAGCGTTTCCGCGTGCAGGTGCAGCGTGTGGCCTTGGGTGGTGAAGATGGAGGCTTTGGCTGAGGAGAGGACGGGGTTGTTGAGGGTCATTGGGTTGCCTGTTGTTGGTGTTTGGGGGGGATTTTTCGTCGCGCTTGGGGTGGAGGGTTGGGCGATTGTTGTTATGGGGGTGTTGGTGGTTGGGGTGGAGGTTTTGGATGTTGTTGGAGGGGGGGAGACGGGGGTTTCTGTTGTTGGGGGCGGGGTGTAGATTGAGCTTGTGGTTGGTGGTGGTTCGGTTGGCGTTGTCGTGGGAGATGTTGTCGGCGGGACGTAGGGGCTTGTGGTGGGGGATGTGGTGGGTGGGGTGTATGGGCTTGTGGGTGATGTGGTGGGCGGGGTGTACGGGCTCGTGGGGGAGGTGGTGGGTGGTGTGTACGGGCTCGTCGGCGATGTGGTGGGCGGAGTGTACGGGCTCGTCGGCGATGTGGTGGGCGGAGTGTACGGGCTTGTCGGCGAGGTGGTTGGCGGGATGTATGGACTCGTGGTTGGAGGTGTCGTTGTCGGCAGCGTGACAATCGGAGTCGTCGGGAGAGTCACGATTGGAGTAGTCGGGAGGGTGATGATTGGAGATGTCGTCTTCAGAGTGACAATTGGCGTGGTCGGCAGGGTAACGATAGGAGTCGTGGGAAGCAGGGTCGTGAGTGGGCTGGTCAGCGTGTTGACGATGCTGGTTGCGGTGCTGATGATTCCGCCGGCATTGCTGGTCGCGGTGCTAATGATTGCACCGGCGTCGCTGGTCGCGGTGCTGACGAGTCCGCCGGCGTCGCTGGTGGCGGTACTGACGAGCCCACCGGCGTCACTGGTCGCGGTGCTGAGAAGTCCGCCGGCGTCGCTGGTAACGGTCTTCGCGGCTGACCCGACAACATCTGTGACCTTGGTAACGACAGAGTTGACAGCGCTGGTAGCGGTACTCGCGAGTCCGCCGACGTCGCTAGTGGCCGTACTGGCGAGTCCACCGACGTCGCTGGTGAGCGTCGCGGCCACCGTATTAAGGGCGCTGCCGGCGTCGCTGAGCACCGAGTTTAGCCCGCCCAGACCGAGTGAGCGGCCACGAAGATCGAATGCAGAAACGAGAGGATTGGCGCTGAAGAGCAGCGCAGTGGCAAAAGAGTGTGAGGGGCGCATGATTATGCAAAAGCCAATCGCATAGGCGATGGATCAAAGGGAGAAAAAGAATGGACGTGGTGATGAACACCACTAAGATGAGGAAGAGACCGTCAAGGTCGGACAGCGCGTAAGGCTGGGGGGAGTACGAGATGGACGACGATGAGATAAGAAAGAGACAGAGACGAAGCAATAAGCGTGGAGAGAGGGAGGAGGACTCGCCGCCGCGCCTGCGTAGGGCCAGCCATTTTTGCGTGATGGTGAGCCCAGGCCTCAGGCGCGGTGGTGGCCGTTGTGGCACGCCTAACAACCACTGGGCCTCTATGCGGCGTGTTTTGCGCAGAGATCGGAGAGATTCTGCTTGCTGGCGGCAGTTTTGACTCGGGGCGTGGCGTCGGGACCGTTGTGACTCGGGAAATTACCCCAGGGCTGAATCCTTCGAGACTCTCTATCCAGACATCGGAGCATACTTTCCATTCTTGAATAACGAGGAAACAGGGCCTGTTAGGGGGACAAGAACTTGGCCGATAGGAAGTTTGACCAGGCAGCAGCTGTGACCACTTGTCCCGTAGGTTGCTGCCCACTCTACTCGGGCGGAAGTTGAGCAAAGTTGGAGTCGGTGAAAAGAGGTGAAGTCGATCTCCCGCGCGTCGTCCGCTTTCGGCCCCGAGCTAGTCTTACTCTGAAATGAGTTGGAAATTGCAGCTGACCCGCGTTGCTGCTATCATTTCCCCGTCTTCACGTCTGCACGTGAAGCCGTGAAAGGGCTGGAGGGATCTTCCTGGCTCGACCACGTGCATGAAGTTCGCATGTTTGTGGTTGCGTTGTCAATCGCTGTCGTCGATCCGGCCTGCAACGGAGCGTGGTTGGAAGTTGACGATATATCACGTGACCTTATAGACGTAGCGTTGTCTTGGATTATACGGTACTTTAGCACCTGCGCAAGTGTGTTGGCCGCCGCCGGATCTCTCGCTCCAGGGTCTGGAGATCGCGTGGAATGTGCCTTGTCGTGAGCGTTTCCCTGGGGGTCGATGAGGTGGGCGGAGACGCCCGGATGCTGCCTTGGCACTACAACGTAAACGTGCAGCCCACGCAACCTGTGGCCACGACGCTTCACCCGCCATCGTAGACTTGATCATCATAGACATGTTTTGACCGAACCATTGCAGTTCACGGTGCTGGCCATTGCGTTCTCTTCTTGGAGTATCTTATTGCGGTGAACGTGAGGGCAGCGGCAACATCGACATTCCCCATCAGGCTGCCCCTCACGATGGCAGCCTGGTGCACCATGCGAAGCCTGGCGCTTCTCACATCCTGCATCTTACTATCGCCGGCACGCGCGGGAACCATCGTAAACCATGCAAACCATCTCTTCAACGCCATCCACAGCTCCATGCGGCAATTTGGATCTTCCCTCAACCACAATGGCATGTCGCTCTTCATTGCCCACGTGCCTCCGGACACGGAACTCTATCATGGCTCTTGGATGCCCAATCGAATCAACGGAACCGAGTGGCTCGCCTTTGAGCCCGAGCATGCCCTTTTCTTCTCCCAGCCCTCGGAGCGGCCCCCGCCGCGCGACCATGAGAGGTCATCGTTCGACCAATTTGTCCACCAATATGCCATCAGCTCTACCGCCGCCGATGGAGAGAGTATACACGGCTATCTACACACGTACAGGACCAGGCATGCGCTGAGACTGCTCTACTTGGATGGCCAGTCAGCGGCCAAGTCGGACTTAGGCACGCTGGATGTGCAAGACTTGGTGCTCCTGCACCACCAGCCGCCACCTCCCGATGCAACCCGAGCAAAGTCACAGGCGCCGAAGTCACCTGTCGCAGACACGAGCACTCGAGGCCCCGCTGGTCCTCCTGGCGACGCTATACGTGCCATACGACTGTGCCGGTTGATCGAGGAGGAATGGAACGCAAGAGTGGACGGCATCCTGCGCATGGAAGAGGGCTTCGAAATCATTCTCTGCAACTTCTCCAAGCACCTAGACGTCGTGGAAATTGCACAGACCCTCGACGACTCGTATGATGGTGCCGAGAACTTTGATGGCATAATGTTCAGCTCGTTCAAAGCCGCTGCTGCGAGGTATGACGGGATTGGAGGGGGCAGAGTGGCACTGAAATACGACCATTTCGTCACCCTGTATGATTATCAGGATGCGTTGTACTTCGACGAACATAGTCGACCAAGAGTACGGAACGAGACTGCACTAATAGAGCCGGTCCGGACTGCGATCAAAGAGATGGTTCTCCACGAAAACAGCACATCTGGCGTAGATTGGCAGTCAGTCACGGACATGCTGGTCCTTCGATGGGCAGACCGCATCGCATATCTCGCGTCTGGGGATGTATCAAGTCTGCAATCCTTCCAAGGCGAAATCTGGCGAGCATTCCGAGCATTCGCGGACTACAGTGGCGAACGCGATTGGGAGAAGGAAGGGATGCGCTGCACCCTACAGTACCTCCCTGCCAACGTTACCGACATGGACACGCTCGCCGCGAGAGCGGTGTTCAACGTATCGAGTGCAATTTGTCGGGCGCTGCAATCTGCATGGCAAGCGGACACCCTTCCCCAAGCGCTGGCTGTGATGCAAGAACTGAAGGCCTGGCTGGGCTGGACGGAGTGGAAGAAGTGCAGAGGCTGCGGCCCACACGAAGTGTGCTTCATCCCGATATGGCCGATGGGCGAAGAGAAGTATTTCGAGCGGCCGGAGTGTTTGACCAATGTATCTCAGGTTCCTCTGACTTACTGGTTTGATGATTAAAGGGCGTGGTTGGATTTGGGTTGGATGGGAATTGAATAGATGACATCACGCGCGATCGATCTTGCACGCGAGCGCGATCGATTTGTGGATGATGCAGAGATCGTTTGACGAATGCAGACTCTTGTGCTAGACACCGCACCTCCTGCTTTCCTTCACTCCTTGTAACTCCCTCCTTGATCGCTCTTTCCCTCACTGCTTTACATGCTCGCCTCCTTGGCACTTCGAGGCAACACCGCACTCCGGCACCTGCGACCAACAACATTCCTCCTGTCACTCCATCTCAATCCTCCAATTCACCAAACAGCAATCAGCATGGCAGCTACGAAACGCAAGCACACAGCAGTCGATGTCGCTCCCCCTCCCAAACGTCGTGCATCCACCCGCGCCGCCGCCGTGATCGTCAACCCTGATTTGACGAACGATGTCTTTGATGCTCCGAATGCTACGCGAGCTTCTCCTGATAGTGATGTTAATGGTGATATTGCGCCTGATCTGATGAAGCAAGAGGCGAATGGGGCATCGGAGAGTCCGTTGAGCGAGGCGCCGGAGACGGTTGTGGAGCCGGTGAAGCGAGCGAAGGGTGAAAAGAAGGCGGCTGCCGCTGCCAATGGCGCAGTCGAGGCGAATGCAGTGGGCAGTGCAAGAAAAGGCCGTGGCAAGGGAAAAACGAGTGGCGTCGCAAATACTACCGATGGCGAGAAGACACCAGTGTCCAAGCCAAAATCAAGAAACGATGAAGACGGATACGACCCCGAAGCTGAAGGCGAGGAAGAGGTTGGCGAGGAAGAAGTCAAAGCGGCCCTATCCAGACCACCGCCCGTCAACAGCGACTACCTCCCTCTCCCATGGAGAGGCAGACTAGGCTACGCCTGTCTCAACACCTATCTCCGCAACTCCAACCCTCCCGTCTTCAGCTCGCGCACCTGTCGCATCCAATCCATCCTCGACCACCGCCATCCCCTCCGCGATCCCTCGCAGCCCGAGCACGCCACCAAGAACCGACCCGACAAAGACCAGCCGGCCGATATCGAGCGGGGAAGGCGATACGTGGAGGCGCTGTGCCTGGCGAACGTCAAGGATATCATCAAAATGGTGCGCTGGAACGACAAGTATGGTATCAAGTTTATGCGGCTGAGCAGCGAGATGTTCCCATTTGCGTCGCACGAGGAATACGGGTATAAACTAGCGCCGTTTGCGTCGGAGGCGCTGGCGGAGGCCGGCAGGGTGGTTGCGGAGCTTGGTCACAGAGTTACTACGCATCCCGGCCAATTCACGCAGCTGGGAAGTCCAAGGAAGAGCGTCATCGACAACTCCATACGTGATCTGGACTATCATGCCGAACTGCTGAGCCTGCTCAAGCTCCCCGAGCAATCTGATCGAGACGCCATTATGATTCTACACATGGGCGGCATCTTCGAAGGCAAGCAAGAGACCCTCCAACGCTTCCGGGAAAACTACAAAGGCCTCCCGCAATTCGTCAAAAACCGCCTAGTACTCGAGAACGACGACATGGGTTGGAGCGTGCACGATTTGCTCCCCATCTGCGAAGAGTTGAACATTCCCCTCTGCCTCGACTTCCACCACAACAACATCGTCTTCGACTCGTCGCAGATACGCGAAGGCACGCAGGACATTATTGCCCTCTACCCGCGCATCAAAGCGACGTGGGATCGCAAGCGCATCAGGCAGAAGATGCACTACTCCGAGCCCACGCCCGCCGCCATCACGGCGCAACAAAGACGCAAGCACAACCCGCGCGTGGCAACGCTGCCACCTTGTCCGCCGGATATGGATCTCATGATTGAGGCGAAGGACAAGGAGCAGGCGGTGTTTGAGCTGATGCGCACCTTCAAGTTGCCCGGGTTTGACCGTATTAATGACGTGGTGCCGTACACGCGCCATGACGATAACAAAGTTGCGCTCGCGCTTGTGGCGAAGAAGAATACCAAGGCGGCAAAGAAGAAGCGGGAAAGCGCTGCCGATGAGGGAGAAGAATCCCCTGAGCCGGAGATGGTGGACGATAATGAGGTTGGCATGGGCGGGCCAGAGGGCAGGGTGTACTGGCCTCCGGGTATGGAAGAGTGGTTGCGCCCGAAAAAGAGAGAGGTGAAGGCCAAGAAGGAGACGGTGGCGGAGAAGTCGCCCGCGCAGGTCAAAAAGGAGGCCGCGGATGCGTATGCCAAATTCGAAGCTAACAAGGCGGCTGCCAAAGCCGATGCGCCTGGCGTGGTGAGCAAAACTAAGACACCTGTCAAGAAGGCTGCGAATGGGACGAAGGGCAGAGCGAAGAAGGTGTTGGCGGTGGAGCCGGAAGTCACTGACAGCTCGGAATTTGAAGAGAGCCCGGATGAGAGTAATGTCGCCCCACGCATCACCAGCAAAACTCGACCGGTTGCTGCTCGAAAGTCGAGTGCGAGGAAGGCGAGCAAGGCGGCGGTCAATTACAACGAAGAGAATGGTGATGAGGTGGAGATGGAGGACTAAGCTGAGCTCCGGCCCATACCAAACTCCTGAAGACACCTGACTCTCGCCACCACGTCCAATATTCTCTACCACGCCACACGACACCACACTGAATTTCTGTCTTTTCCAACTGACTTTCGCTCCAGACTCGTGTTCAATCCGAGTAAGTATAAAAGAGCAGCTGATTGTCCTTCTCTTCTTTTTCTTTCACGCTTCAATACTCAATCACATTCTATCAACTTCAATCACAATCAATCACTTTCCACAATCAACACTTCCAATCAATCACAAGCCGACAACACCACCATCATGCTCCACACACTCATCGCCCTGCTCCTGACAGCCGTCGCCTTCGTCGCCGCCCGCCCGGCAGATCTCTGCTGCTCCTCTGCCCACTGGGCCGCAGTCGGCTCCCCCATGCCGGCCAGCATCGCCGCACACTGCGTCGCGATGGAGCAGCCCCCGCTCCCGATGGAACGGCTGCCTCTCCACGAGGAGCGCGGCGTTGAGCCCACCCCAACACACGACCCCTGGCTCGGCTACGTGGGCGAGCCCATCGAGACAAGGCTTTCCTTCCCCGTCACCACCCGCTCCATCCCGCCTATGACTGCCGTAGCCCCCGCGCCAGCCTGGAGCGTCTCCGCCCCGCTGCCAACCGCCGCGGCGCTGGCCAAGCGCGCCAACGGGCTGGAAGGCGCCGTCTTCGTCCCTTCCCAGGACAACTGTCTCCGGGACGTGGAGCACGGCTCCTACGAGTGCGCCGGCAATCTGATGTCGCCCGACTACCGCCACAGAATCGACGAGCTGTTTTACGTGCCGTCGGACATTGCAGTCGTGAGCGCAGAGTGGATGCATCACAGCTGGGGGCAGCCGTACGACTTCACGCACCCGGGCGTGACGACGGCCACGACGACGATAACGCGCCGGGTTTCGCCCGCCAGCACCACCACACCGCGTAAGACGCTCGCCGGACGTGCCGCTACTCCTGCCGACGCGCCCATCACAATGGCGGCGTCGGACGGTCCGTGGTACTCGAAATTCGACACGTTGATGGAGCTCTTCTTCACCACCACGGATGTCGACGGCCACTCGAAGATCACCCGCGTGCATGTGAGTGAGAACGAGGACGGGAGTTTCCGGACGCTCACGAACAAGCGACCGGCGCCTACCACTACCAATACGACGACGGTGGTCCTGGAACTTGTCACGATGACGACGACGATCGCCAAGGGAGAATGAGGTGCTTGATGGGAGGATGTTACGGGGGCGCGGGTTTCTGGTTGTTGTTGTTTTTTTGCTTCTTGTGCTTTCTGCTGTGTGTGGCTGTTGCCTTGCGTGCCTTTTTCGCTGTGCTTGTAGCTCTTACTGCTACATGCCTTGTTGCCTTTTGCTTTGGGAGAATGCGAATATTGCAGGACGTTGGAGATGGCTACCTTCAATACCCATAGTACAAGGTATACCACTATACTAGTATTGATCGTGTTCCACGCTTTCACCTTGCACCACTGCGAACAAAAGAAGAAAAGGGGTATCTCTCAAAGCACCGCACGCACAACACAAAAGAAGTGAAAAGCTCAATACTCCTCCCCATCCCTCCCCCCCGTAAGCCCACTCCGGTTCGCGATCTTCAAAAAGCTCAGCCGCGTCTTTAAACCGCCGCCACCACTAACACTCGAAGCCTTGTCCGACACCCGACTCGACACGCTCGGACGCCGCTCCTGCGCATCAGCGCCACGATCGCGCGACGAGCTGCGGAAAAAGCTCAACCGGCGCGTTAGACTGCCTGATCGCTGGCGGCTGTTGCTTCGGCTGCGCGGGCGTGATGTGCTGTCGTCGTTGTTGTCGATACCGCCTCCGGCTGTCGTATTTGCAGGTCCCGTGCCGTTGACGGGAAGTCTGTTTGATGAGTTTGAGCCAATACGGCGGAGGAAGGAGCGACGGCGCGAACGACTCCGTTGATCCTCGCCTTGGGTTGGAACTGGCTCTTGCGCACCAGGGACGACTTCAGGCTCAGCAGTTCGTCGCGGATCCACCACTGCCACGAGGGTTTTAGGGTTGACTTCCGGAAGCGGACCGTCAGGTTGCTCCTCCACGAACCCAGCAGCAGCCGCCTCCTTCTGCGGGAACAGCAGAGCTAGCTCGCGCTCAAAAGTCGTTTCAAACCGCGGGACAAGCTCGGCTTTCGTAGCACGATGTTCAGACCGAGTGAAGCGCGCAAGACAGCGGCGGATAGCGATCGCGTGGTCGAGAAGCGCAACGTTCAGTGCATTCTGCATCGGATCCATCGCTTCGTCCGCTTCGCGTTCGAGCATGGAGTACGTTGCGTCTTCGGAGGTGACGTCGCCTTGTTCAGAGGAGGGGAGGAGGGTGCGGTAGCGCGCGACGCTGCTGTCCGAGTCCGGGTCGACGGAGAGCAAGATTTCATCGGACAGGCGGCCCATGATGTCGCCGTCTTCGCCGTTCTCGACGCGCTTCTCCAATGCATATAGTTCTTGCGTCTTCCTCGTCGTGCGTTCCACGGCCGCTTGAATGGGCGACAGAGTAATCGTATCCGTGGCAACGATCTCACTTCGACGCAGCAAAGTCGGAAACGGCTCGGCAGTGGTGTAAATAGTCTTCTCGACCACCTGCTCGGTGATCGGCACATCGTACTGCGGCTGGCGCGAAGTAGTAGTGAACAGCTGCGGATTCGACATCAAAGCGTATTCGCGCGCGGCCTGCGAGACGCGCATGCGCTGGTACACCATGTGGTTCAAGTCCTTGTTAGGGCTGACAGGATACACATGCAGGTACTGGCCGTCGATGTCGGGCTCCGTAGGCGAGTGCAAGATCGTGGCGTTGGGGTGTTCTTGCTGCAGGCGCTCTTCGAATGCGGCGAGGCGGTCGCTGGGCTGGCCTTCGAAAATGAACTCCTTGTCGCGCACGCTGAGGGGGAAGTCGAAGCCTTTGTAGACGACGCGGAAGTAGCGGGGGACGACGCGATCGCCTCGCGCAATCCGCTCGTGCATCGTAGCCTGAGAACGCTGCGCACGGGCGAGCTTGGAGTAGTCGAAAGTGTTCTGCGCATACTGCATGGCAAGCTCATGGTAAGCCATCAGCGCGGATTGCCAGGCATTACCCTTTTCAAAGTGTTGGCAAAGGTCAAAGTAAAGGCCCTCCTTCCGCTCAAAGGCCGTCTGCGCAGGCATTTGTGGATCCGTCAGTGCAGGCAGCTGAGTGTTCGGGTTCCACTCGTATCGATCAGCGTGCATCTTCAGTGCCAAACCGGCTTCGGTATGGTTTCCAGCCGCCACTTGCAGCGCAGCCAGCTGGTGAACGTATCTGACAAACGCCCCTTCAGACTGCACGTCTTTGAGGGACTCCATCAGCCGCAACGTGTCAACAATGCGCATCGTCTCATTGCCGACACCTCCCTGATGGACCTTGGTGAGCAGAACCAGCAGCGCTGCGATCTTCCGGAACATCTCCATGACGGCATTGTACAGGCTGTCCTCGATCGACTGTTGAAGAGGCTGAAACTGCTCGGCCATTTCGTTGATGAATGTCGTCCGCACTATTGTCTCCGTCATCTCTTTGGAGCGGCAGAGCCGGTCGAGGCAATCGACCATAGTAGACTGAACAATGGACAGATCCTGATCGAGCTCCCACGAGCTGATGATCATTGTGCGTAGGACCTCAATCGCGACGGAGCGCAAGCCAGCATGCACGCTCAGACACAGCTCAACAATAGAAGGGATGAGGTCAGGGACAAACTGCACCTGGTACCCGCCCATGCGCTCGAAGCCGTGCAGCTCGCGGCTTTCGGGATCCGTCTCCCAGCCCATGGCATTCCAGCTTCGTCGGACCAAGTCCGCGCCCATCTCTCGCACATCCCCAGCGATTTTCCAAATCGCTCGGCGCTTCTGCTCTGGGAAAGTCTCCATTGCGAGTGCCGGGCTACTAACAGCCATGAACAGGGTGTCAAAGAAAGCACGCCACAGGTCTGTATCGAATTCAATCGCATCGGCCATGTCGGCTCCACTGGTATGGGGCAGGAGATCGACAAGTGCTTCGTAGATGCGCTCCAAACCGGTGATGACAAAGCGATGGTGAACAACATACAAGCTCAGCCACGTCTTCGAGAAGGCCTCGCCATTCAGCACACTCTGCTGCACTTTAAGGCACTGCAGCAGGACGGCAGCCACATCCACCTGACTCGTGTCAAAATGCAGCCTATGCTGAGACGTCATCGTCGCGGCGAGGAGAGCAGTGAGTTCCAGCCTGGCCTCGTCGACTGTGATTTCGTTCGGTGTTGACTTTGTCGGGAACGGATAAGTGCAGGGGAAGAGCAGGCTGAAACTCTTCTTCGCTTCGTGCGGGCTGTTCTGCAGAGCAGCATATGAAGAGACCATCTTGGGAATATACTGGCAACCGCCGTCGCCCATCTCTTCCATTTGCGCTGCCACAATTGAACAGCACAGCCGAACTTGACTGCTCCATTGATTCGTAACGTCGGGGTTCTCCCCCCAGTATGGATCCAGCCAGCGCAAGGTGTTCGCAATCAGCAACGCCCTGACCTCTGGCGTCTTGAAAATGTCCAGATGAGTATAATGCCAGATAAGTACCAGGCGGTGAAGAATCAACTTCCCTTTGGCGTGCGCACAGGCGTCGAGCATGTTCGTCGCGACTTCGAAGATGTCGGCTGGCGGCATCAACGAAGCCAGCTCTGGAAGCCAGGTGTGGAAGTGCTGGACAACAAGCGTCTGTGTCCCCAGCAGGATAGCCATGGGATTACGCATGAGGGCCATCACTGCGACGAAGAGGCGTTGGAGATCATGTGCGAAGTCCGGATGGCGTTCAGAAGAATCGGGGTCGCTGTCGCCATTCACTTGATGGGAGCTGTGCGGTCGTTCCTTCTTCGTCTCCACGATCAGCCTAAGCATCTGGTCGCCGACTTTCAGAGTAGCCCTCAACTTGCGAGAGCTGCTCGAATCCATGGGGTTAGACACCAGACGTTGATAAGCCTTGACGAGGGATTGGCTGGCGGATGGCCAATCATGAAGCGATGGCGCATGATTTTCGATCACATTGTCGAGCGAGAAACGCCTGTCGCGCGCAATGCCCATGATGATGACGAAGTTGTAGAAGATGGGATCTTCGTAAACCTCACTGCCGGCATACTCGTCCAGCATCTGGAAGAGCGAAAGAATGATGTATTCCAACAGCTTGACGATTTCAATCTCGGGAACAAAGGGGAATCGCTCCAGCAGCTCGATGAGTTCCGATCCGTGGAAGTTGCGCCAGTTCAAGAGGCCCAGCAAAGTGGGATCTTGAGAGTATGCAGTGCTGCAAAGGAAGGTGCTTACCAAGATGGTGGCCGAGGTGCCATACGCAGGCTCATTCTTTTTGTCATGCCACGGAGGAAGGGCGAGGTATGCGCCTTTGCCGCCAATCATGCTGGATGAGTATTCGTCGTACACATAAAGCGCGACTTGGTGCTCTCCGTCTCGAACGAAAGCCTCCGCTTCCCAAAGTGGGATCCACGCGAGAGCAAAAGGGAAATTGGGCGCATCCGCGATGCTCATGACGACGTGGCTACCCGGTATGTCTTCAGTAGGCACGACAAGCCGGATGGTCTGATTCCAAGCCTCTTCCCGCTCGACGCCTGTTGTCCGCCAAGCAGTATGCCCGTCGGTGTTCGCGGAAGTGAAAATGCAGTTCTCAATACGCTCACCATTGGCCCGGCGCACCTCCAGGGTGAGCTGCAAATTGCTCATGGCGGAGTGCGATCGTTGACTGAGCGGGATGTTGCCGAATTTGGAGTGTAGAAGAGCGGCGTTTCTGGCGAGAAGCGGTTCCGCCAGGGTCAGGTAAATGTCGTTGCGCTTTTCCGTGGGCACGCCGGAGAAGCCGATTTTGGGGGTCATGTGCACGTTGAAGAGCTGCGTGGGATTGTTGCGATACAGCGCCTCGAGGTCGCTTTCGGCAAATGCAGTGATGCCGACTTCGAAGCGTTTGAGAATACCGACGCGCGAGTAGCTGCCGTTGGCACTGCGGAGAACGTCCCGTATTACCTCGCTCCAGTCCTCGGTCTCATTACTCTTGTCTTCTTCCATAGAGAAGTTTGGAGCCCAGAGCGTGACATCTGTGACCAGCACAGACTGCTGTCGCGCTACTTTGCCAATGTCAACGGCCCCTACTCCGGCAATCCGCTTCACCATCTTAGTCTCGCGCAATCGACTCGAGTCAGATCTCGAATGGCTGCTATAGCCCTCGGTTCTCTGCGACAGGCCAGTTTCCGGGCGAGATGCAGAGTCGATGCCTCCGCGGATAGACGGATTCTTCCGGAGCACACTTCGCCTCCCTTTGATAGTCGGACTTCGCTGACCTGCCATGGATGCCTCGGAAAGACTCGAGATTGACGGTTTCTGCAAATGTCCGATGGACGATTGAGGTGTGATGGTCTGACGTACGGGCTCGTCCCGGATGAGTCGAAAGATGACATAGAGCTGCGATGTGTCTGTGCCAATCCCCACGTCGGTGTTGCTGAGGTCGATGAATAACGTCTTGGTCTGCTTTGCTGCATCGTCGCTCAGCTCGGCAGGCACGGGTAATGTGATGGAGTAAGCTTCGCTGATCGTTCTTGCCTTCTCGCCAAATGCTTTTGCACATAGATAGATCTGCAATGTCGCTGGAGCTTCAAGGTTCCCGACGATGTTGCGTACGTCAACCAGAACATGATAGTGCTTGTGCGGATCGACAGAGGTCTGCGGTGGGCGATCAAGTATGCTCATGTTGGCCTGAAGCTTGGTCATGTCGATGACGGAATCCTGGGCAGTGAGGATGCGGCCGCCTTCGCTCGGACTTCGGACGATGATATCGTCGTTCATCATTTTGTTGCCGGCCACCAAGTCCCATACGGTATCTTCACGAACTTTGACAAGCTCCGTGCCCGTCAAGACATCGTGGAGAAGCTGCTTGCGACTGGTGTCGAGGCGCTTGATGAGCTCGGTAATGGGCCCAAACTCAATGTTCCCCTTGGAGAGCAGCATTTCGTGCAACCGTTCGTCGTGCCATTCTCGCAGACATGAGGCAATCTCGTCAACGAGCGGCTCCTCCACCGCTTGGCCAGCCTCGTCGCCCACCCTCAACATCGGTACAGGAGCAAGGGGCTTACTGCCATTGGCGTCGCGGAGCAATGGGTCGGCCACGCTGACGAGTGCTGGCCGCTCCCGCCGAGGGATGAGGTCGCCCACACTCATCCTCTTCGTGAGGGCTTTGCTAAGGCGGCGCAAGTTGTATACTTGACTCTTCCTCTTCTCCGCAACATCCTCCTCGTGCTCATCGTCGGCGCCATCCAAGCCACCCACGGGACCATTGCTTGTATCTCCATTGCTTTTGTTCTCTCCCACCAGCTCTCGCACTTCCACGCAGTTCCGAGGGAAGATGCCAGTGAAGACGCGATGATCTAAATGCTGCCCTCGCTCACTCGTCAAGCCTGACAGTAATGACGGAGGCGCCACCAGATATCCCCGACACCACTCTTGATCTGGTCCGCCGAGCTCGATGATGTACAGGTTGTCGCCGATCTGGAGGGGGAGGTCTTCGGGCCGCGTAGCCTGGAAAGGGTGACTGCAGACGGCGAAGGCGACAGCGCCGCCTGGAAGTGGCCTCCACGGCATGGTGTGCAATCGTCTTATCGATCAGTAGTTCAGTCGGTCGGTCACCGTTCGGCTCCTTCAAGCCCAATGCCTGCCCAGCTCTGCCATTCGCCCAGCAACCCAATGCGCCCGCTTATTCACGTACCTGTGAATAACAATGCAAAGCCAAACGAGTGTGGATGGGGTGAATGCGCCAACGCGATGCGATGCGACGAGATGCAATGCGGCGAAGAGGGGAGAGACGATGCAGTGGTCGTGTGAAGGCGCGGGAAGGATCGCGAGGTTGAAACGTTGCGGAGGCGCAAGGCAGGCGCACGGGCCAGCGACACACCACCTCCCCTTTCAAATCCATGCAGGGTCCGCGGGCAGATCACCACAACCACAACCACAACCTCTTCGTATGTCCCATCTTATCTACATGTACCGGGTACGCGGTAGTCGTGGTGTAGTGATGTCTACTACATCAGCACAGCTAGCGACTGCTTCGCAGTCAATGACTTGCTTTCTACATCCCTTCCATCATCGCCGTGAAGCAATCGGAGAATAGAACAAGTCCCCGCCTGTCAAACTCTTGGCTACAGATGTAATGCTTGTCAAACCCGAGATCTTCCCGCAACCCGGTTTCATGAAAGCATGTACAACAACCACGCGTACACACAGACGCCCTCAAATACTAATGAAGAAACTCTTCTCCCCGTCCGCAGCCTTGACCTCCGCCCTCTTCAAAATAGGATCCGCACAACTTACCCGAATCCGCTCCACCGTAGCCGGACTCCTCAACTCCAAAACATCCTCACACCCCCACTGCGACCTAGCCGCCTTAAGCGCATCGCGAATCGCGAAAAACACACTCGACCCCAAGAACAAAGGCGGCTCGCCGACGCCGCGCGAGCGCTGGATGGTGCGCAGGTTCTCCCAGTTGACGTCTTTGAGCAGGCTGACGTTGAATTCTTGCGGGATGTCGCGGAAGCCCGGGATTTTGTAGGCGCCGGGGCCGCGCGTGAAGATTTGGCCGTTGTGTCGCAGCCAGAGGGATTCTTCGATTGTGAAGAGGCCCATGCCTTGGACGAAGGCGCCTTCGATTTGGCCGTAGTCTGGGAGGGTGATGTGTCAGTATCACGATTCCCATGTCTCCTTTGAATGTAGTGATACGCACCTATCGCAGGGTTGATAGACCGTCCGACATCCATCTTCACATCAGCCCGTCGGCACGTCCAATCGCCCGTCAGAGTGTCTACCTCCACCTCCGCGGCAGCAACGCCCTGGGTGAAGTAGTAGAACATCTGCCCCGTATTCGGACCCCAAACATAGCCAATATCTGGCGTCTTGTAAAATCTGTCATCGCCATCAGCTTCGCCCACAGTAATACGTGCAGTACTCGTGTCTCACCCATTCGCCGACAAATTCACTCGGTCAAAATACGCCGCATGCGCCAACTGCTTCATCGTAGCCTCCGACCCCAGCTTTTCCCTGTACGGCGCCAAGCGCTCATTCAGCTGCGAGCAAGCATTCCAAACCGCATACCCATTCAAATCGGACGAAGCAGATGCCGCAGTCGCAGACGTATTAGCAACCGTATTCGTCGCCGTCTCCGAAACGAACACGTTCTCCAACGGCACGCCCAGCGCTTCAGCGGCAAGCATCGTCATTTTCGTATGCAGTCCTTGCCCCATTTCGCAACCGCCGTGCGCGACGAGAACGCTGCCGTCGTGGTAGATGTGCACCAGAGCGCCGGCCTGATTTAAGAACAGAGCGGTGAAGGAGATGCCGAATTTCGTCGGGACGATAGAGAGCCCGCGCTTCTTCCACTTGCTCTTCTTGTTGAACTCTTCAATCTCCCCCCTTCGTCGCTGGTACTCCGAGTCGGCCAGGACTTGCTTCCACATTAACGGAACATACCAGTCCTTCAGTTCCTGGCGGAAGTGCGTCTTCTCCAGCGACTCGTACATATTGATTTCTCGCAGCTTCTCCACCGGCATCTTGAGGTGATCCGCAACTTCTTCCATCATGGATTCGCAAACGAAGATGCCTTGAGGTCCGCCAAAGCCGCGGAAGGCGGTGTTGGAGACCGTGTTCGTCTTGCAGATACGCCCGCGAACTGACACGGCTTTGAACTTGTAGCAGCCGTCGGCGTGGCTCAGTGCACGATCAACGACCGCAGCACTCAGATCTTGCGACCAGCCACCGTTGTTGAAGACATCGGCGTCCAACGCTTGCAACTTTCCGTCCTTGTTGACGCCGACTTTCCACCTGGCGAGGAAAGGATGTCGTTGACCAGACGTCAGAATGTCTTCGTCGCGATTCAACATGCATCGCACCGGCCTCTTCAACTTCTTTGCTGCGATCGCGCAGATCCCAGCGAGTTGCACGGATCTAGTCTCTTTGCCTCCAAATCCACCACCCAACCTCTTCACCTTTGCAACAACTTTATTCGCCGCGACGCCGGTGACTTGGGCAACGTACGCCTGCGTCTCCGCGGGATTCTGCGTCGACGTCCAAACTTCCATCTCGCCATCTTCTGGCTTCGGAATAACGACGCATGCGTTGGTCTCGAGGTAGAAGTGCTCTTGTCCGCCCATGCGCGCAACACCCGTGAACACGTGATCCGATTCGGCAAAGGCCTTGTCGAGATCGCCGTCGTTGATGTAGTGATAATGGTCGAAATAGCTGTTCGCCTCGATTGCCTCTTCAATCGTGAAGATAGCAGGCAGCTCTTCGTATTCGACTTTCACCGCCCGAGCACCGGCTTCCGCTTGCTTAGCTGATGTCCCCAAAATGACGCCAATGGGTTGACCGGCGGTAAAGACTTCGTCAATGGCGAAGAAAGTTTCGTCGCATTTCGGTGCTCCCCACCAGTTCGCCTCTGGGTTGGGCAGGTCATTGTGGTCGACGTAATCCACCACACCCGGCAGATCAAGGGCAGGCGAAGTATCAACAGATAAGATCCTAGCGTGAGCTTTGGTGCTCAACACTAGACACGCCAAGAGCTCGTTCTGCTGCACAGGAATATCGTCGGTGTACTGCGCCGAGCCAACACATTGCTTGAGAGCAGCCACGTGCGGCCGTTCTTTGCCAATCGTCTGTTTCTCGTAAGCGACAGCAGAGGCATGGTCTTTGAAGCCCTTTGAAATTTCCCGCTCGATCTCGGGGATGCAGTCTGCGTCAGCCGTAGATGAGGATGTTTGTAACTCTTGCAGAACCTCGTTATAGAATTTGTAGAAGAAGCCAAGAGCGAGCGACTTCCTGTAAGTGGCCATGCCGCCAGGAACTCCGAAGCGAAGGTTGAAATCCTGCTCAAGAGCGTTCATCACCCCCTCGAGTGTGCTGGGATCGGTGAACGTCTTGCCAGTCAGATATTCGACGGCTTGTTTCGCAGCGATGGTAATGGGAGCCATGCCACCGTAGATCAAGCTGCAGTCCTTGACAACATGACTGTCGTCAAGCTTGACTCTCAGAGCAGCGTTTACGATCGCAATATCGTCATCCTTTCGCTTGGCCTGCTTGTACGCTCGCATGTGCTCGCCTTTCTCCTGGAAAACAGGGATTCGGATGCTAGCAATGATGGCATCTGGAGGAAGAGCGGTAACTCGGTAACCCTTGAAGAAGTCGGCCATTGGTAGCTCGATTGTCTTCTCAAGCGACTTCGCAACCAAAGTCGCATTTGTCGCCACGAAAACTGGATTCAGATCGGAAATCGGCGATGCTGTTGCCAGATTGCCGGCTGGTGTGCCTAGAAGAAACACCGGATGAGTATCCATGTCCAACTTGCCCTGCGGATGAAGCAAACTCACCAACATTCCGGATCTGCCTGCCAGCAAAGTACCTGATCTGCTTCAGGATCGCCGCAAACGGCTGTCCACGCTGAGCTCCATAATGCTCAACAGCCTCCTCAGCCAAGCCCTCCAAATCCGTCAAAGTGACATTGCCGCCAATCTCGAGATACTCATCATGAAAGTGGTACTGTCTCAACTCCGCGATATCGCCAACATACACCGAAGCCGTGTACTGCATGCCCTTGAACTTGACCTCGATCTGCGTTTCCGTGCTGCCACCGATGATTTTGGCGGACGGGTACGCACTCTTGATCTCAAGGAGCTGGTGCAAAGTCGCCGGCCGGAACCAGCGTTTGCGTTTGTTGCCGAACGCCAGCGCTTTGAATTCGTGTCGTTTCAATGCCGGAGGGAAGATGAGTTCTGTGTCGGGTTTGTACTCGATGAAGCCGGGCGGGGTGAATCTCTTGATGGGCTGATCATCGTTGCCATTGGATTTGCAGCACCCGCCGCCAGCGTCGCCATTCTCCATACAACATCCACTCCCGCCATTCGCTTTCGCCATCCCGCAGCTGCGCTCGGCGCTGAACGTCTGCGCGGCGTCGAGGATAGGCCTGTACCCCGTGCACCGACACAGATTGCCATCGAACGCCTCCTCAATATCATGCTCGCTCGGCCGTTCATTATTCCTGAGCAAGGCGTAAAGACTCATAACAATGCCCGGCGTGCAGAATCCACACTGGCTCCCGTTCCCCTTCGCAATCCGCTCCTGAGCCGGATGAGGAGACTTGACATTCCCAATCCCCTCGACGGTAATAACATGCTTCCCATCAACGGACACCAGCGGCGCCAAACACGCATTGACAGAAGCGTGATAGATCTTCTTCGTGGTCGGATTATACTGCGAGACCACCACAGTACACGCACCGCAACCGCCTTCGGCGCATCCCAGCTTCGTCCCAGTCAGACCGATTCCACGAAGATATTCGAGCAGCGTCACCTCGGGATCCGCGCTGTCGAGCGTGACTTTAGAGCCGTTGAGATAGAATCTGATCGTGTCGTCGTAGTCTGCTGTGATGGAGGCCAGGGCATGGCGAGTCGTGGGCTCTACTGCCGGGTCTGGAGATACTCGCCCCGGAGCCATTGTGTTTGCGGGTGGTTCGTTGGGGGGTTTGGTCTTGTCTTTCAATGCGTGCCAGGTACTCCTTGAAGCGATGCAATAATCAAAGCTGCACCTTCGAGTGCGCCGCAGATTGTAGATTCGAGAATGACCCCTTTCGACAGCTCAGGTAAGAGTGTAGCCGTTGTTTCGCGCCTGCGAGAGTATCAAGAGCAGAGTCGCCGCCAGCTCGGAGTAGCGCAATCAATCGCGCGTTATCTGGATATCGCAGCGCGCCGAATCAACCTGCAGCATGTAGCTTGATAAGGTAAGCTGAGCTTGGAGGATTCTCGACCAAATGTAAGGAACTACCTTCGAGAAGAACAAGAATCGAACAACGGGTGAATTCTTGTCAAACACAGGGCTGAAATAAAGGAATGTATTGGAGGTGGACGTTCTAGACGAGGTGCGGTCTCCGACGTGTCGGAGATGGCCGATGATCTGCCTTTCTGCCTGAGGCGCAAGTCCACCGACAACGAAGATGAAATGACCTGGAAGTGAACATTTGGAGAGAGAAATATGCTCCATTTTAGGACTCTCCCACCCAGGAAATTAATGCATTCTACCAGGAAGCCCTTTCCATGCGAATACCCATCCCAACACCCTCATCAAGCATCATGCCGCAACTAGGAAGAACAACAATAGGCCCCAAACCCACTCAGCCCACGCCCAGCTTTACAACTCATCATCAAGCGAAGCATCAACCGGCCCAGTACCCTCATCATCATCCGCCCCATCCGTCTGCGCAGACAGTTCCTCCGAATACTCCGGCGCCTCGTTGGACCTGATGCGCTTGAGCTGCTCCTGCACATACCGGTTGATGGGATCATCGGGGTCGTCGGGCACGCCCTTCTTCGGGTCGTCTTCGTTGTAGATGGTCCAGGAGCGGCCGTCGCCGCCGGTGTCGCCGTTAGTGTTGGTGTTATCGTCCTCGGCTTCGCCGGTCGTGCCGTTGGTGACGTCGCTGCGGCCAGTCTCGCTGCGGTTGCCGATGGAGCGTCTGCGAGTCACACTCCGCTTGATTCCGCTCGGCCTACGGCCGGCAAGGGAAGCGCGACGTTGACGGAGGAAGGTGTCGTCGAAGTAGTGGGATGCTGCGGCGGATGGACTGCGGGGTGTCTGAGGCAGTCGGCAGTTGACGCTGAAAAATGTTAGTGATGGACAAAAATTCGCGAAGAGCAGACGAGCTTACCCCGTGTCATGAATCATCTTGGCCATAAGGCCCGTCCAGCCAGTCTGATGGCTCGCACCAAGACCACGTCCAGTATCGCCGTCGAAGAATTCGTAGAACCACATGTAGTCCCTCCAGTGCGGATCATTGTTGAGCATCTTGTTGCCATCGTGCATCGCTCGCCGGCCTTGCTCATCGTAGGTCATCAGATGCTGCAGCCGGTGCTGAATCTCTTCCGCAACATGGCCGAGATGCATGTAGTCTCCAGAGCCCGTCGGACACTCGACCTTGAAAGTGTTGCCGTAGAACATGTAGAAGCGCAGCAGCGATTCGATGAGCAGGAAGTTGACCGCGAGCCAGATAGGCCCGCGCCAGTTGCTGTTGCCACCGAACAGGCCGCTGTCGGAGTCGCCAGGAACGTAGCCAACGGAGTAGTTCTGTCCCTTCACGTCCATGGACACAGGGTGTTTCTGATGGAACTTCGACAGGGACCGGATGCCGTTGGGTGCGAGGAACTCCGACTCGTCGAGCATGTACTTCAGAATCGATCGCAGACGGTCTTCATTGACAAGAGAGAGCAGCAGGCGCTGATCCTTGCCTCGGCGGTCTATGCTGGCAATGTTGCGCTCCACAACCTCCTTCTTGTTCTTGATCACCCAATCGACGTGCCTCCGGAACTTCGGGAAGCTCTTAAGCACCTGTGGTTCGAGGGTGAGAGTGGCGTACATCGGGATGAGGCCGACCATGGACCGGACGTGCATCTGGTGTGCATGCGATCCGCCCCACGTGATTGCGTCGTAGTAGAAGCCGTCTTCGTCGTTCCACAGAGACTTTGCTTCGGAGCCCAATCGGTATTGCATAGCATCCGAGATGAGGATGAAGTGCTCAAAGAACTTCGAGGCAATGTCCTCGTAGATTCGGCGATGTTTGGCCAGCTCCAGGGAGATGTTGAGCATGCTCAGGCAGTAGAATGCCATCCATCCCGTCGCATCGGCTTGCTCAAGGGTGCCACCAGTGGGGAGAGGGTCAGATCGATTGAAAAGACCAATGTTGTCGAGACCGAGGAAGCCGCCCTCGAACACATTCTTGCCCTCGTAATCCTTGCGATTGCACCACCACGTGAAGTTCATCAGCAGCTTCTGGAAGACGCGCTCCAGGAAGTCCAAATCTTCGCGGCCGTACATTTTGCGTTCAATCTTGAACGTGCGGAACACCGACCAAGCATGTACGGGAGGGTTGACGTCGGAGAAGTTCCATTCATAGGCTGGCAGCTGCCCGTTAGGATGCATGTACCACTCACGAGTGAAGAGGTCGAGTTGCTTCTTGGCGTATTCGGGGTCGATGATGGCGATGGGGATGCAATGGAAGGCGGTATCCCAGGCGGCGAAGAACGGGTACTCCCACGAGTCAGGCATGGACAGGACGTCGTCGAGGTGCATGTGCTTCCACTGGGAGTTGCGCACCGACTTTCTCTCCGGCGGTGGCGGAGGGCTGCCGGGGTCGCCGTTCGCCCACTGATCCCAGATGAAATGGTAGTATTGTTTGCACCACATCATGCCAGAAAAGGCTTGACGTTGGATGTTGCGCAGGTCGTCCGACATGGGCATGGGGTTGATCTTGAAGTAGAACTCATCGGCCTCTGCCAGGCGCTGGTCCATGACATCGTCAAACTCCTCTTCGTCGAGGTACGAGTCGGCATGCTTCGTGGACACTCGGAATCGGACGACGGCACACTCTCCCGGTGGCACACCCTGACCCTGGTTGAACGCATACCACGCCGCGCTCTTCGTGCCGGTCTTGTCCGGATTAACGGCTTTTTTGTCACCCTTGACGACCCGCTTGTGGAAGGCGTCTTTGACGTAGGGAGTGGGATTCTTTTTGGAGCCCCAAAGGTCGACGAGATTGGAATCGTTGTCGGTGAAGAGAAACTCGGGCTCAACATCGTCGTCGCGCCCACAGCTGTTCGGGGAAGGAGAGAATTGAGCGTAGCGGTCGCCAAGGTCGCGATGGGAGATGTGAGTCTGCAGCGGGCCGTCCTGCTTGATGTTGGGCTTGTAGTCATCGCGACCCCACGCCCAGGTGTTGCGGAACCAGACGTGAGGCAGAATGTGGATCTTGGCGGGATCGGGACCTCTGTTGTAGCACGTGACACGGAAGAGCAGCTCATCCGGGTTGTCCTTCTCTTTGGCCGTTTCAATGAAGCAGTCCCAGTACCGGTTGTCATTGAAGATGCCGGTGTCAACGAGCCCGTATTCCCTGTCCTTCTTTGACCTCCTCTGATTCTCCTTGATGATGTCTTCGTAGGGGAACTCTTTCTGCGGAAGCTTGTAGAGATACTTCATGTAGGAGTGGGTGGGGGTGTTGTCAAGGTGGAAGTGGCACTCTTTGATGCTCTCGCCGTGAACACCCTGGGGGTTGGAGAGACCGAAGAGACGCTCTTTGAGGTGGCCGCTGTGTCTTGTCAGCTGAATGTCACAGAAGCCGGACGGGCAACGTACTCTTTCTCGTTCCAGAAAGCAAAGGCAATGTTCAAGCGGCCGTGAGTGTCCGAGACGCCAGCAATGCCATCCTCACCCCAGCGAAAGGCTCGACTGCGGGCCATGTCGTAGGTGAAGTGACTCCACGCATCTCCATCGTGGCTGTCTCACGTGAGCAGGTGTTCAAAGGTTAGGCTCTTCGGGCGAAGGGTGATGGCGACTCACGAGTAGTCTTCTCGCACCGTAGCCCATTGTCTCTCGGCGACGTAAGGGCCGAAGTGTTTCCAGTACTTGACTCTGTCCTTGTCCTCCTTCAACCGCTGCTCTTCCGCGCTGGGAACCTCTTGCTTCCCACCCACGAGAACCATGGTGATGGCCTCTTGCAGGGAGATGGAATGTAGTCTAGCAGTCTAGTGGGCGATTGCGTATGAGGAATGGTATGCGGTGCAAGGCTGCAGCACAGTGGCGATGGGTCGTGAGGATGGATAGGTGGCGGTGTAGTCGGCTAGTGCTGGAGGGGAAGTGGTCGACACAATGCTTGCAATGATCTTCTGCAACTAGATACAAGCTCGAAGGGTAAAAAGAAACGGGAGAGTAGACAGCGAAGGGCAGACAGAAGAACCAAAGATGCGGGTGAAGGTGATGTTTACACCCAAGAAGACACGACAGGCAAGCACATGTGAATCAGAAAAAGCAGGTGGCAATCGATGCGGCTCCTGATCCGTTCCTGACTACCGTCTATAGCTTGTCTCCAGCTTCCGGCGACTGCTCGATGGGCAGGTGCGGCGTCATACCCAAGAAACTTTGAAGCCACTCACGCCAGCAGCTCCTGCCGGGTTGGGATGGGCAAATGGCGCGGCAGCCGGGCTAGTCGATCTCCCTCCCGCTTGCCTTTCCCAACGCTTCATCGTTCCTTCCTCTGACCCCATCCGCCACGTGCGGCCGAGGTCTATCTGTGATGGAAAGAATAGGATGATCAGGCTGGGAACTTTCGGCACGTGCAATATACGTGTAGTGTTCAGTGTAACCTATAGCTACCTATGTAGGACATACGTTATACTGAACCGGCTCCAAGGAACGACCCCAATGGCATAAAGTAGTACATACTATCCACTATACCAATATCCACTCGCGCACCCGCATCCCTCGCCAGAACGAAAACGCAACCAGAAGCCACAAGAAGGATATGTAAGGTAATGTAACAAGTAAGCAAGCCCTGCCGTATCCCAATCGCCCTCTGCACCATCATCCATCTCGGCCGACGAACCCAAAGAGACGATGAAGCGGAGGTATAACCGACGAGGAGGAGCAGCCAGAAACCCCCATCAACGCCACGCTTTTCCCCAAGTACACAAGAAAACATAAGAGCAGAGACGTCTCAAGCACGATGAACTCAAGCCCCGCCCGGCTTCGCCTTCTTGGGCATGCGCGGGCTGGGCTTGACGCGATTGCCTCCCTCGCCGGCATCATCCCCCTCCACCTTCACCGTACTCCGCCGACGCTTGTTATTCACGTTCGGGCTGGTGTTGGCGCTCGCCGCACTGCTGTTCGTGCCCTGCTGCGAATGCTGCGGCACCATGCCCGGCGCCACCATGTGGTTCAGCGAGGGCGAGGGGGTGTGCGCGTTGCCCATGTTGCTCATGCTCGCTGCCAGTCCGGGCGGCATGCCGGGGCTGCCGTTCATGCCGTTTTGCATGGGCAGGTTGAGGTGCGACACGTTGGGGGAGGAGAATTGGCCGGCGTTGGGCATTTGCATGTGTGCCATGCTCGGCGTGCGGTTACCCATGCCCATGGCGTTGGGTGGGGGGCCGCCTTGCGGGTTGCCTTGCTGATCTTGATACTGTGTTACCATCGCTTCCAGCGCTTGTTCGGGTCGCACTTTGCGTTCCTGGGCGTAGGCGATGAGGTCGGCCATGACGCACATGGTTTCGTCGATCTGGTGGACATGTTAGTCTTCACTGCGGCCCAGACATCAAGTACGAGTTGCCTCACCTCGAGGAACTGCTGCACGCGCTCCGTAATCCCCAGCTTTCCCTTGGAAACCCGCGGGAAGTGATCGATCGTCAACCCTTCCAGCTGCGCCTGCATCTTCTGCTGAGCCTTGGGCAACTTGTTCTTCGCCATTTTCGGCGAGGCCTTGTTAGCCATGGTTGGACTCCAGCTCGACAGCAATCTCTCAATCTCTGCCCTCGTTACATGCTCTTCGGTGTTGGCCGTATAAAGCTCCATCAACTCGATGAAGTCGGATCCAGGGGCAAACAGAACGTTGACACTCCCGTTCATCTCCAAGCGAGCGCCGTTGGGGTATGCAACGGTGAGGACGGCGCTGGAGAAGGACACTTGATGCCGATTCGGTGCAATGGCCGTCTCTCGCACGTGCTCAAGATGCAGTCGTATGTATGCGGCGCTGGAATCAAAGTACGTTTGGAAATATCTTGCAATCGTGGGCCGCGGGACCTCGTATCTCTTCGCCTTCTTCTCTTCCGGTCCGGGCGGGGGTGCAAAAGTGTGGATGAAGCGGGCGTCAGGGGCGAAATGCCGATCGACAAAGTTGTGCCACAGTCCAATGTCTTTGCCAGACTCGCCGTCGAAGCTGCTCAGATGATCTCCAAATTGGATGACCTTGAGAATGAAGATGCCGCTCTGGCCCTGCTGCTGGGCCTGCACCGCTTGGACCTGCGCCATCCGCTGCAGAGCAACATTCTGTTGCTGCTGCATCTGCATTTGTTGGCGCTGTCGCTGAATTGCAGCCAGTTGCTGTTGCGTCATCCCTTGTGGAGGCTGCCCCGGCTGCCCCGGCTGCTGCCCGGGTCCTGGTTGACCCTGTTGTTGTTGCTGCTGCCCGTTCGGAGCCTGCTGCTGAGGATGTTGTTGCTGGGGGGTCTGGCTTTGCGCGGGGCTCGCCTGGGCTTGCGCATTTCCTGGTGGACCACTCGTAGGGTTCTGCTCGCTGGGATTCGGCCGGGACTGCGGGCGCATCGCTTGCCCAGGATGTTGTTGCTGTGGGCCTTGCTGGCTGTGTGCTCCTGGCTGCGCGCCCTGATTACTCTGTTGCGAGCCTGCTTGCTGCATGGCGAGGGCCTGCTGCTGCGCTTGCTGATTCTGCTGCTGTGCGATGGCTTGTTGCTGCATGCGCATTTGCATCTGCTGCTGTTGCGCCAGCAGGTGTGCGGGTAATTGCACACCCTGGGCATGCATCGCCTGGTTGTTTTGTTGCTGCTGTTGCTGCATCTGCTGCATTTGTTGCATTTGTTGTGGACTCAGCCCCTGCATGTTTCCCGGCTGCATTCCCGCCATTCCGTTACCAGCTTGCGCGAGTGCGGAGGCGCGGCGATTCATCATCACTTGTTGTTGCAGGGCGAATTGGGGATTGTTTTGCACTATGAAGAACAGATGATGGTTAGCAAAGGTCTCAACTCAAGCAATTGCTCGCGTGGGTACATAGAGATATGCGATAAGGAGACATACGATTGTGCTGCATGATGGCCTGTTGCTGTTGCTGTTGTATCTGTTGGGGAGTCATCTGGCTCATGGCGATGGCGTGCGCATTTTGCATGCCGCCAGCCATGGTCTGACCTCCCATCTGCGCCGGCATACCGCCCATTTGTCCAGGCATGTGCTGAGCACCCATGCCGGCGGGGTTGCCCATTGAACTCGCGCCAGGCTGCATGGCGAGCATCGCGCCGCCTTGTGTGACGTGAGGCCCTGGTGTTACCGGGCCGCCAGGATGGCCCATCTGCTGCATCTGCGCCGGAGTCATCGGGGGTTGTCCTGGTGTTAACGAGGGATGGGCGTGCGGCGCCATTCCAGGGGGCATAGCACCGGGCTGTGGCGGATATGTGGCCATCATCTTGCTCGTCGGGGCAGTCACTGTCCCGTTCTCTGGGACTCTTCACGTGAGCGTCGCCGGCCCACGCCTGCCAAAGCTCCTCCGAGCCCAAGCCAACGGCCGGGTCAGGGTCGCGCAGCTACAAAGACTCTGCCAGTGCAATGCATAGGTTTACTTCATCCGCCTGGCCTCGCCCGTGGTGATAGTTTGGGGGTCGCGGGGAAGAAGCGCAAGAGTACGCGCCTCGGAGGTGAGGTGAACGGAGGAGGTCCAGGAGCGACAGAAGCGCGTAGCCAGGGACTCGGAAGAAAGCGTGTCGGGGAGCACGCTCGAGCCGTGGAGGAGGGTTGTGTAGGTGGTGGTGGTGATTAGCGGCTCTGGGCAGCGCGTGGTGGAGTGTGAGAGAGCTGGGGTATGGCGGAGTGGGGACAAGCGAGCGACAGCAGCGCCGGAGGGCGGTGGCGCGATAAACGCGACTTCACGGCCACGAGCGCTGTGTGGAGGGGGGGAGGATGACAGAAGCAGGCGCTGGCGAGGCCGTGGACAGTGAAGAGTGGTGGTGGATTGGGGAAAGGCGATGAGGTCGCCGGGGCTCCAAGTGCACGGGCAGGATGTGGGCGACGCTCGGGCCCCTAATTTTGGCGGGTGGTTATCAAAAGTTGCGGTGTTTGTATAACCGAGTCGTACGTCAGATGAATGGTGTCAGAGTGGTGCAATGCCCGCTATGTCCACGTAGAGACCCTTGCTGATCCTCGCATAATCGATTGGACTGACCTACGAGAGACTGTCCTCATTATTCGACACGAGCCATCTCAAAGTAAGGCGAATCGCGATAAGACAATCGAAGGCGTCCCATGAGTTTTGCCACCAGGTCTGTGCAGATGCCACGACTTGTGGCCGCCTGAATTTATTGATATTCCACGCCGAGAATTTCTTCCAGCCTCCCAACTTCTCCCATTCACTCCATCCACGTCAAACAATCCTCCGGATGGCGTCGACCTGCTGTCATCATGGCATCGGGTCTGTCCGAACCTGACGTGTAAGTATTTGTGCCCCCTTCACCCTTACCGCCCCCCCTCCATCACGAGATGATCTTCACATACATTCTTCTTTTCCCAATTGATTCGACCATGAAACAGCTCAGTCTGCTCGTCTGCCTGTCGCAGGGCGGATGTAATACTTGCCAGTAACTCTTGTCTGACCCGATGCCTGCCTCGCACACGATTGCTACTTCACGAACGTCCGTCGGGCAGTGCGCTGACTTTGCATCACAGGACTTTGCATATGTTTGACCTTGGCCTCGGGACCTCCACCTCCACAGCGGATGAACTCCCCTGGATCTCCCGCGTTGACCGGGCCTACCACGATTGCACCGACATGATGCCTCTTGGCCACCTCACAGTACGTTGACGACATTTCTTATTCCTTCACTCCTTGCCTCCCTGATGAAAACCTACCATAATTCGCAGTTTCCACTCTAGCTCTCGCTCTTAGAACCTAATAGAGAGTCGATGAGGGTATAATCTTCCTTGGATGTCTGATCTTGCATATTGCCTCTGCCTTTATCTTCGCGCAGCTTTCTTGTACAAGGACTTTGCTGACCAGAGGAAAGACTAGGAAATATCGTGCAAAGACCGTCCAGCCGGAGGGTTCCAACATCTTCGGTATGTGATCCGAAGCAGCTCTTCATGCGTTGTGTTTGTCGCCGCCCAGTGAGCATGCTGTCACAAAGACTGCATGTGCATGTATTCGCTGTACCCTCGCGACTACTCCCGATAAGCAGTTTAGCTCGGGACCCGCTCGATCGTACCTGTAGATTGACCCCTCTGAAGATCTTTGGGCAAGTTGTGATTGTGAACACTGTGCCATGTTCTAGCTACCGACTAAATAGCAAGAGTACTACTGCTCCCTCTGTCCGAATCTCGCCTCTTCAATTGTGCGGATCCGGCGGCTATGCCGTGGTGCAATGCCCGAAGGGATGTCCGTAGCTAGCGTGAGCTTGGCGTCGGGCCCTGGTGGATGAGACGCACATGCAAGAGCTGGGGTTGGGATGAGAATGCCGACTGCAATCTGGCTGGACCTGCAGATCACCTCCCTCCTCGCCCGTTCCATTGGCCCTCCCTCGTAACCCGATACTTTGACGCCTTTGACACTCGCGGGGTGCACGGAAAAGCTCGCCCACATTCCTCTGCCCCTCCCCTTCTCCGCATTGCGCACGACATGAGGTTTGTGCGGTGCAGCGTTGTTTCTGGGAATGGGGAGTTCAAGAGCTGCTGCATGATTGATGGTCCAGCCTCGGGTTTGGGAGGAAATTTAAAATTGTAGAGGGCAAGGACCAGGACCAGGACAAGGACAAGGACAAGGAGGGCAATGTCGAGCTCTGCAACCCAATCGAGACGCAGTTCCAAGTCCACACAGTCAGGCCGCGATCGGGATTCGCAACCTGCTCGGAATGACAGGAGGCAGAAGGCACAGAGTGTGCAAGTCGAGACGGGACGAAGGAGACCTAGCCAACAGATTGAGAAGCAGCTGCGGATTGCGGACGAGCGGCCGTCGGTCAAGAGTCGGATCAATTCTGCTCCGTTGGTATCGAGAAGAGTAGACGATGCCTCTCGACAGGAGGATGGCCATGATGATGCACAACCGCGGGCTCAAGCTGCGTCCGCTCGGGCGTCAAAGGCCATCCCCGATTTAGGTGCACAAGACGAGGACGAGGTCGCGGGAGTTGTGGGGGCAATACGACACTTCCAGCCTTTCCAACCACCAGAGGTATGCTCAGTCCAGGCCTTGAAGCGTTGGACAACCTTCTAATTCTCCCAGCTTTCACAACCCTTGCCCGACATCAACATTGCCATTATTGGTTCGCGAGGCGTGGGAAAATCGACATTCATGCAAAAGGCCTTGGACCTACCGTTCCTTTCCGACTCTCAAGCCGTCGAGCGAAAGATCGGGATCGACGGCACGGATTATCTCTTACGACTTCTCGAAGTACCCATTGATGATGTTGACATTGACGACGACGACGAAACGGTAATTTGGCCGGAGACGATTGAGGACAAGCTCATGCCGCAGATTGACGGCGCTGTGACGCTGTACAACGTTCAAGACCGGGGTACGCTGGAGGACGTACCGAAAATGCTGAGTACGTTCTATCTGACAGACGCCTGTCTTTTTCCCATCATTTGTACTTCAAAGCAAACGGGGCAAACGCTGATACGCCCTTCCGAGCAGATGCAATCGACAAGGCTGGCCTTCCATCGCTTCTCGTTTCCAGCAAGTGCGACACTTTACCCCAAGATCGTGCCGTAGATCCTCGAGTGATTGAGCAAGCTGCAAAACGACAGATCAAGAACCTCGATGCTTTGCAGGTGTCCTCTGCCGTTCCGGATAGTCACAAGCAGGGCATGGCGCTCATCTTGCAGGCCATTGTAGCCAGCGTGCCAAGTATGCCCTTATCTTCCTCGTGTATGCTGTCCTAAAACTCAAGCTGACTCATCTACAGGCGACCAGCTGCAAGCTCCGTCAGCACTCCGTCGACGAGCCCAGTCAAATGCGGTGCGACCCGTCTCGCCACGGCCCCCCAGCGAGCGCGGTCATCTTCGCGCCGCCTCGGAACAGACTGGCCGCCCATACAAAGATCAAAGCCCCTCCCGTCACGACTCGAGTCTTACGGCGTACAGCTCTGAAGATTGGTCCCATGCCACGTCCGAAACGGCCGACCATGACATGCAAAGCTCCTTCCTGTTCGAAGAGTCCATGAGCGAAACTTCCGAGGGCTCATTCGATGTGCCTGACCAGATGATCCCGCAGATCGGTACTGTCAGTCACACGCCTCCCTTCTATACAGAGGACGGAACGACTTTCGAGGTTCTGGTTGATCGTCTTTTGGCACAGCCATCTTCCAAAGCAGACGGCAAATTTTCTGCCATCTTTCTTGCGCTTTACAGGAAGTTCGCAACTCCCGGAGAACTACTCGAAGCTATCGCTCAATATTTTGACAAATTAGAGAGGAGCAGTGATGCCGGTGTTATCAAAACGTCGAATCAGCTTCGGGTCCTGGCCATCTTGGAGCTCTGGATCGGCACATATCCAGGTGACTTTGCCTATCCCAAGACGAAGCAAAGGATACGTACGTTTGTTGGCAAGCTGGCAGAGAATCGCATTTTCGCATCGGCGGCGAAGATGATGACTGTCGATCTGGGTGCAGTTCGTGAAAACGACGACACGAATTGGGCATATTGTGACAAGGACCGACAAAGCAGCGGCGCTCGTAACCGACTCTCGCTATCTGCTTCTGCCAAACGCTTGCTCGACGACCCAGATCACCATGCCGTCAACGGTTCATCGTTGGCGAGTGAAGACACGGCTGCATCAGATGGCGCAACATCCTCACACACCTTGGCCAGGGTAGAGAGTGCACAGCAGCAAGCTGCATTGCTGACTCCAACCCCACGCCACCCCGTCACCAAGATGCAATGGCGCCTCCTCATGGAGCTATCCGACGACAGCATCGCCCGAGAACTGACCCGTATAGACTGGGTCATGTTCTGCTCGACCCCACCTCGGGATCTCGTCCGGCAAGTATCTCTCAGCAAAGCGCAGAAGGCCGCATGCAAGAACATTGTGCACGTCAACCGCGCAATCGACCACTTCAACCACCTCGCCTCCTGGGTCCAAAACTACATCCTGCTGCGCGACAAGCCGAAACACCGCGCGCTCATGCTCGAGAAGTTTATGCGCATCGCGCGCAAGCTCCGCGAACTCAACAACTACAACTCCCTCGGCGCGATCATCGCCGGCATCAAATCCGCCCCCGTGCACCGCCTCGCCGCCACGCGCGAGCTCATCCCACGCCCCGTCGGCACAGACTGGCTGAAATTGGAGATCCTCATGTCCCCGTCGAAATCGCACTCCGCCTATCGCTTGGCGTGGGAGAACAGCTCTACTGAACGCATCCCGTACCTCCCGCTCCTTCAACGGGATCTTGTCGCTGCGGCAGCGGGGAACGAAACGTTCATCGGGGATGAGAAGGAGGGCCGGATCAACTGGAAGAAGTTTGAGATTATGGGCGAAGTGGTGGTGGATATTCAGAAGGCGCAGGGGTTGCCGTACAAGGGCTTGCTGGGCGGGAAGGGCAATGAGGTGATTAAGGAGTTGGTGCTTGATGTGAAGCTGATGAGGGATGAGGAGGTGAGTATCTTCCCGGCGGTCTTGGGAGAGAGAGTACATGGACTGACTTGGCTACGTGTGACAGGAGCTCTTTGCCCGCAGCAAGCAGCTTGAACCCACGGGCACCCCAGCGGTTGGAACGACGGCGAAGTTCAAGGAATTGTTCAGACGGTGAGCAAGACGAGAAGACGGGCTGACGGTCGACGACTATGATGTGGACATGCGTTTGCGCAAACGAGATGAGCAACGAGTTCTCTTCTGGATTGCACTTGTTTTGGAAAACGGAAACGAGCGATGAGCATTCCCCCAAAAGCATGATGTTTATAAATCAACATTTACAGCCTCGCGGCGCAGGATGGCGGGATTCGGGAAGCTGGGAATAGGAGCATACGGCGCGGATCATGATCTAGAAGTCTTGAGTGGGAATGAATGATAGCGTAACCATCGAGTTCAAGTCAATTAACATGCCGGGCTTAACTGTGTATATCTCCTCTCAGCATCGTGGGTATTCCCATGCTCCTCCTACTCCCTCCGCATTACCTTGCACACAAACCCCCTCGGCATCACAAACCAATGATTCCGCACCCTCCACTCCCGCTCCGGCGCGCCCAGCTCAAAGTCAAACCTCCGCAACACCTGCGGCACGACCTTGGACATCTCCAAAAGCGAAATATGCCGCCCCAAGCACGTGCGCGTGCCCGCTCCAAAGGCCAAAAAGTTGCGCTCCATCGCCCTCAGCTTCGCGTCGTCTGCTTCCAGCCATCGTTCCGGACGGAAGGAGTCTGCGTCTGCGCCGTACGTCGTTTTATCCCGCGCTGCGACCCACGGGTTCATGCCGACGATTGTGCCTGCGGGCAGCCAGTGCGGACCTAGTTGCGCTCCGCCAGCGGGCACGACTCGTTCGAGGAGCAAGCCGACGGCGGGATGCATTCTCAGGCCCTCTTTGATTGTTGCCTGGAGGTATTTGAGGTTTTGCGCTTCAGCGAAGGTGATGGGGTCGGAGAGTTGACCTGCGCGATCCGCGGCGTCGATTTCGGCAAGGAGGGCGGCGTGAGCTTCGGGGGAGCGGATGAGGTAGTAGAAGATTGCGCTGAGGGAGGCGGCGGTCGTGTCGCTGCCGGCGAAGATGTTCGTGATTGTTGCGCTGAGAAACTCGGCTTTGCTCATTTCGTTGCGCGACTTGCGGAAGCGGGAGAGCAGGTCTGGGAGCTTGGGTTTGTCGGTGCTTGGTGTTTCCGTAGCGGCCTTGTCGTGGTGTTGGATTTGTTGGGCGGTGAAGTCGACGAGGTGCTTCGACGAGTTCAGGATTGCGATGGAGGGGATGAAATTCGTCAGCCACGCCACGAGGCGGTTGCCGAACAGATAGGGATGGAGGGATGGGGCCTGACCGATGATGGCGTTGTAGCTGCGTCTCCCGTCGACCGCACGGATGATGTTGTCGACGTCTTCCTCCCGCTCCATGAAACCTAGACGGTTGGAAAAGGTGACGGACATGATCACGTCGGTGGCATACCAGTGCAGCCATTCGCCGAGATCGACATTTTGCCCGACCAGGCCATCGAGTTTGCTGAGAAAGATGGCAGAGCACTCGTCGTTCATTGGCTCGAGCTCCTTCAGCGAGCTCAAACTGTAGGCATGGGCGATTGGACGCAGAAGGGCCTTGTGTTCAGCTTCGTTTCGAGAGGATAGAGTGGTGCTCATCCGACCGGCGGGACTAATCACGTCGAACATGGAATAAAACTCTGATTTGTCGAACCTGCTCGTGATGCTGTAGACCTGGGAAATGAGCTCCGGGTCGGAAAAAGAGACGTGATTAGGACCAACGCGAACGAAGCGGCCGAACTGCTTGTGGAGTCGTAGATGGTAGTCGTGCTGCAGACCTTTGGCACATGACCAGATTCTATCGAGATTGGAGATGCTGGCCAGGAACGGGCCCGGAATCTTGCGAAGGCCTGGTCGGCATCGCGTCCGGACGTACGAAATGAGAAGCCATACGAGCAGAAAGCCCGCGGTGAGGGTACTGGTACGAGCAATGACGTTCCATACGGGCTCGTCCCCTTCAGTAAGAGAATCCATGAAGTCGGATAGGAGATGAGAGAGGAAGAGTATGAAAGCCGTCGAAAGTGGGAGAACAATGAGTCTACCTTACCCATCATGACAGAGCGTCCATTGTCCCGAGGGTCGACCTGAGTTTTGGTGGGATGTAAGGTAGGTACCGGTTACATGCAGGCCGATTGAATCGAGATCTCCCTGCGCTGCACAGCTCGAGATATTCACATCGCAACTGCACCTCTCGACGACCAGCCCGCCGCAGAGTTGCCGCCTCTCTCATTGCGCATGTCATCGTTTCTCCGCCACAGAAAGCAGGCACGATTCAACATTGCGGGCCCCAACAGCCTGCATTTGAGGGTTGACGTAACGGAGCTGGCGCCGAGCAGAACCCTAATCCGCGGCCAGCTGCATGGCGATGATCTTCGGGCCCGAATGCCGACCTCCTCCTTCCTTGTTGGGCAGTGTGCTACTTGATTATTCAGTGATCTGAGCAATCTGTACCCTGTCTCGTAGTAGAGCTATTCGTGTATCTCAGAGTGCATGCTCCAGACCAGCGGCGAGCGGATCGGGACTTAGGTTCGACCGCAAACGAACCGATTCGGCATGTCCTGCGCAGTGAAGTACGATCAAAGATGTGAAGTACTTCACGCAGTCACGTGTGTGCAACTGACGGTCACATGACTACGTGTGACGGAGGCGACAAGGCAACAAGGCAACGAGCGGGAGTGTCGCACAAAGGTGTTACTAGCCTCGTTCACGGCAAGCGGCATTCACCACTCAAGGTATACACCTGGCTGTTCTCTTCCCCTTTCTTCATCCTTCTTTTACACAACCCACCGCTCAGCATCTCTGAGATCCGCAAAGCTGCAAGTCCTACCAAAGCGTGCCGACGCCCACGATGACCTCGCGGATGACCGTTTCAAGCATGGGCTTGGCCTGGGCCATGCCTGTCAAGCCAAACGAGCTCGTCGCGCAGCTGGAGAAATACGAAGCGGCTCTTCCAATCATCCACACACTTCGTCTCTGCCATCGTTTTGGCAAGGGTGACAACGTCCACGTCATGAAGCTTCCCGTGGAGGTGGAGCAGCTCATCGAAGACCTTGTCCTCAACTCGGCCGTAATCCCCGATTATGCACACGGACCTGATCGCATGATCGTCCACTTCGAAAACAGATGCACTCCCAGCACCCATGCGAACCATACTTATGCCGACGTGTTCGACGCTGTGATTGATGATATGGCTGACGACCTGTGTGACACCTGCCAAGCCTCTGAGGAGAGCTTATTCAGCCCGAACTGCATTGAGGGATGCGAAAAGATGGTTGATGATGAGATCAATGCAGAGCTTAGCGAAGGTGACGAGTTCTTCGATATCTGTGAGCAGAAGCGAGCGAATTGGTGGCAGTTGATCAACCAAAAACCTGGTGGCGGTTTCGTCAGGTTTGACAAGGTATAACACGCCCGAATGTCTGCAACGCGGCTGGACTTGCTAACGCGACTATAGATTCTCCTCAAGCATTTCGGTTTAAAGGCACATTTTGCAACGACGCGCGCAACGGACGGGAACGAAGACAAGTGGCCCGAGAATCCAAATCAGTGCTGGCATTCAACCCGACCCGTGCAAACAACGACCTGCTACCTCACCTTGCCCCGCCGTTCGTCGGACGAAAGCAAGTACAGCGCCGTGGAATTCGAAGAAGGCGACGAGTTCCCGTGCATCGAGGTAGGGGAGGCCTGGTTTGTCGACCTTCCCACTTTGGAGCAGCGAGAGAAGCATGTCCGACAGTTCAAGCTCGTCCGTCGTCAACTGCGACTCAAGCCGTCCATCCATCCCAGTCAATTGGCGAAACGAATCTCTGCCGAAGTGGATGCTAAGGATTCCGGGGAGGCTACAACCAAACACGGTAAGAAGAATAAATCCACCAACGGAACCGAGGGTGAGGCTCCGACGAAAGGGACGGGCATGTTAGGTAAGTCGCCTGCATCGACTGACGTATGGTTGTCGACATACTGACATGGTCTAGACGCAACGAAAATCGAATGGCCCCAGCTCATGATGCTCCTCAAAGCTTCAACCAATTGAGTCCATTGAGGAATTCAGCGAAGAAGATCCGGCGTTCAACGCGCGTGCGTGAGAGGTCAGAGAGATGCATATGGGAAGTTGCTTGCTGGAAGAGCTATGCTCACAGTTCGAGATGATTCCGTCAGAGGTTCCAAGGAATGAGAGGGTGTTCTACAGTCGCGGCATTTGTCTGTGTGGACATGGCTGCTGCTTTGCTGTGCTTTGAGAAGGCACGAGATACGCGACTGCCGCAGAGTTTGTAGTTGCTCCTACAAAGTCTACGCTCGCACCACCGACTCTCCTCAAGAACGTCATCGCCCTCACCCCGATAATGGGAACCAGGATGAAGTGCGGTAGTCTGCGGAGTTGATGAGCCGGAGCTCACCAACCCCGACTCCGTTGGCTGCTGCGGCCTTCGGAGCTCGGAATGGCATTGGACGCCTCACGCGGTCTGGAGCAAGGGTACTTGGCTACAACGTTACCACCACATCTCAACTCCGTCAGCATGTCAGCCCTGCGATAAGCGAATAATACTGGCGCCTATCCTTCCCTTCATTCCATTCCTTGCATTTCACCATCCTTCCCCTGTCTCTCCTTCAACATATAATCTCGGTGCCTAACTCTCTTGGACCTGACGGAGTTGGTCCTCGTGGTCTTGCGTGTCCCGCATTCATTATCGCCCAATCACATCATCATCCCCTCGGCGCCCTTCCTTCTTCACCTGGCGATCACCGCTGTATATGGAGCTGGTCTGAGAGATTGTGCGCGGCCATTGCGCGGATTCCTCGTCATCCTCTCCCGTCCGCGGCGGACGCGGAGTTTCCACTGCCCTCTCCTCATCTGAGGCATATAAGGAAGACATCTCCGGCCATCTTGCCCCTACGCACCCTACCCGAACTACTCTTCCATCTACGTATCCCTGCCTGAGTTCTAGAGACCATGTACGACGGCGGCGACTCTTCCAGCATGGCTTCGAGCAAGGCACGGCACACCACGGTGACTGCGCGCGAGTACGCAGGATCAGACGAGACCACGCCACTGCTCCCCTCCTCAACCCCAATCCCCAAGCTCATCTCCAAAGCCTCTCCTCGCACCCTCATCATCCTCGTCATCGTCGTCATCCTCCTGGCTTCATGCGGCGACCAACTCATGGAAAGTCCGCAAACACGCATCTTCGAATCCGTCATCTGCTACCGCTACTACGAAGCCACCGACCCCAGCAAACTTCTAGTCGGCCGGGAGGCCGTCGGACCCGGGGCCATCGGCGGCGTGGCGGAGATGTGGTGCAAAGTCAGTCCGGTGCAGAGCAAGGTGGCCTCGTTGCGCGGTTGGCAGTTCACGCTTGAAGGCATTCCCTCGCTCCTGCTGGCCCTGCCTGCCGGCTGGGCCGCAGACACCATCGGCCGCAAACCCGTCGCGATTCTGGGTCTCCTCGCCTTCCCTCTGCGCGCCGCATGGATGCAACTCGTCACCTTCTTCTGGCAGGCGTTTGACGTGCGCATGTCGTGGATCTCCGCCGTCTTTGCGTCGATCGGCGGCGGCAGCACCGCCTTGACGAGCGTCATGTATGTCATCGTCTCCGACATCACCACCGAGGCCAACCGGGCCAACGTCTTTGTCCTCCTCTCGGGCTTCAACCTGCTGGCAGCGCTGTTCATGCCGCCCCTGGCCGCTCTGCTCATGGAGACCAACCCCTGGATCGCCTGTCTGGCAGGCACATGCCTCCAGCTCCTCGCCATACCAACATTCCTCTTCTTCCCCGAAACCTTGAACTACAACCACTCTCCCCCGCCGCCCATCGTGCCAGAACCCACAACCGCACCTCACGGCAATCACGCTGACTCCCCCGCCCCGCCCCCAGGATTCTGGCGCGCCCTCCCCACCAGAAGCAAAAACGCCACCGCCTTCCTCACCCGCGACTGGCGCATCCTCGCTCTCACAGCCCCCTTCCCCTTCCTCTTCCTCGGCGGCAACGCCACGCAACTCCTAATCCAATACGTCAGCGCGCGCTACGAAATCAAGCTCTCGAAAGCCATCCTCATCACCACAATCCGCATGATAGTAGTAACAATCATCCTCTTCGCCGGCCTCCCCCTCCTCTCCAAACTCCTCCTCCGCAAATACGCCTTCTCCCCGCGCCGCAAAGACCTCAATCTCGGACGTCTCTCCCTCCTCTTCGGCGCCCTAGGCTGGATCCTGTGCGGCTTCGCGCCCACCATCCCCGTCGTCATCGTCGCCCTGACCATCAGCGCGCTCGGCGTCGGCTCCGTCCCAATGCTGCGCAGCTTCATCACCTCCATCGTCGAGAAGCAGCATATTGCGCGCGTGTACGCCATCATCACCGTGCTGGACACGCTGGGCGGCATGGCGGGGTCGCCGGTGATGGCGAAGCTGTTTTCGCGCGGTTTCGCGCTCGGCGGGTATTGGACGGGGTTGCCTTTTTACTTTCTCGGGTCGATGACGGGCGCGTGCGCGGTGTTGATTTTTGGGGTGAATTTGCGCAAGGGGGAGGATGTGTGTGCTGTGCAGGACTCCGAGGAAGAGGAAGAGGAGGCAAGAGAGGAAGAGGTGCCAACGGTATAGATCAGGCTAGATGGAAACGAGTATCCATGTAATGAGCAAAGAGGGCGAAAGAGTATTTGAAGCGACTTTCATTCCGCTACTATTTCCCTCTCTTGTCTATCTTCATATCCCCTCACCCAGCGTATCAACATCATCTAGACGACATCCCCACCCATCAAATCACACCTCATCAACAAAAGCCCGAAAACTCCTCATCCACCATAGCGCAAACCCCAAAAACAAACAAACATCTAGGATGTGCGAGAATCCCCAAAACTAGAGATTATATCCATTTCGTATGGACAACCCCCTCCCATTCTCCGTTATGTCCAGCATATGCAAAACAGCGCACAAACGAGAAGCAAAAGTTCCTCGCGAATCCCAACCCAGAGCGATGCGTGCGGAGACCGGTGCGGTGTATAGACAATAGTGACGGCGCAAAGCAAAGTTCAACAACTCCATCCGAATGCACAGAAGTACACCCACCCTTCTCTTGTATCTTCCCCCTTGCTCATGTCATGAAAAGCTTGGCGACCGTGACGAAACGCTTCCGGAAAAGGCAGGCCGTAAATGGATTTGTATTGGCGAGACCGCTAAAGACGATTCCGAACCCAGTCCACGGGTTTGCGTAATAAAGCGGAAGCAGTAGACGAAAGCGAGGAAGGCGAGGTGGTGGCGAGCGAGCGCTTGTCGCGCAGCTCCCTCTTCCGCAGCCTCTGCTCCGATCGCTTCGCTTTGCGGGCCTTGGAGCTGCTGCTCGACGCTGCCTGGCAGCCGTCCATGTACGAGTTGGAGGGCCACGAGTAGCCGGTGGAAGCCCTAAACGTTGCAGGTTAGCATATATTAATTGGACGCAGTAGGCATGGAAACAGATGCACACTTACCAGCTAGTCATGTTAGGGTTCAGGTACGCCTTGGGGTGGTTCGCAATGTACTCGGTCGTCTCGTAGCCGTCCGGGTCACACCCGATTTCTCCGTCGTCGTCCTGGTAGATGCGGACATAGTCGATGCGCATGGTGGCGGGGAAAAGGGGCGCGAGACCGGTGAAATTCAAAGGCGCGAAGTTCGATGCCATGCCGAAGTTCACAATCATGCTCATGGGTTCCTCCGGCATGACGCGCTGCCCGACGTTGCCGTTGGGGCCGATGGCGCGTGCATCGATTGTCCAGGTCGTGTCACCGCCCACGTACCAGGTTACGTAACCACTGTCGCCGGGTTCGTACTCGAAGCCGTAGGATTGGTAGGCCTGGCCGTCGTACCAGTCGTTGTTGAGGTTCGTTAGGCCCGAGAGGGCTTGTTGAAGAGGGCCGCCCTGGTAGGGGTTGGCGCTGGACACGGAACGGTCGTAAATCTCGATGAACTCGGTGTTTGGTCGCCAGAAGACGTCAAAGGGCGCCATTTGGAAGGATTGCGATGCTGAGCCGATGGCGTCGAAGGCTGGTGGCGTGAGGTATGTGACCGTGGCCTCGATGGCATCGATTTCGGGGGCGCTGCGACTGGTTCCGGCAGTGAGGCCGTCTTGGCCCTCGCATACACAGGCTGGGAGTCTCATGCCTGGCAAGCTGCTCACGCCGCTGGGATCGGACTGATTAGGGGTAATGCCAGCGTCACATTCGTCATGGTAGCTGTATGGCCACATGCCCTCTGTCGTGGCCAGGTAACCGGGTCGACCAAGGTTGCCCATGGCCCAGAAACCGGGCCAGAAGCCGCTGGTATCACCTCGGCCGGGGAGAGAGATGGATGCTTCCATGTAGCCGCCCTTGAAGCACAGCTTGTTCCAGGATTGCAACATGCCAGATCGGTAGTTGAGATCGTGGTTCTGGAAGGCATCGAAGCGAATGGCCAAGTAGCCGTCGGCGGTGGTGATCGCATCGGGGTCGTAATACTCGATGTCTTGCGTCGCGCCATACCACAAGTCGACGCCCTGCCAGAAAGCGTCATCACCATCGTAGAAGGTGCGGCCGGGGGTGTTGAACTCGTCGCTGAAGACGAGATTCTGCGTGCCACCCGTCGAGCTTGTCCGTGATCTCGCGCTGGATGGCGTGTCGGGGTCGATGAGGCCAGTGCGCACGTTCTTTAGAATCGAGGCTTTTTGATTTAGGCAGAGGGGGTTGGATGAACATGAATTCACCGGATCGATAAGGGGCTTGACAAAAGTCCTGATGATGATGATGCGTCAGCGCTATACCATCTTCCGCACAGCACTAGAGCGGGGAAGTACTCACAAGATAGGATATCCGATGAAGAGCACCAAGATGCCGAGGGTGATGAGCAGCAATCCACCGACGTTGACAATACCACGTTTGCTGAACAAATCCTTCAACTCCAGCTTGTCTCTATCGTTGGGATCGGGAGTATGAAGCCAGTCGTCTTTCTCCACATCCTCGGGAAAGAGTAACAGGCCGGCGGAGGGCATGATGTTGTACTTTTCGCTCACGGTCTGCGTGTTGACACCCTCGTCGTCACTGCCCGCTCTTGACGGAGTGCGCGAGTCGTCAAAGGGGCCGATGAAGGGGGAGGTGTGGTGATTGCTGTCTCTGCTCTTGTCCGAGCCCGAAGACCAAGATGTCCGTCTGCTGCCCGCGCCATTGGGAGTGGGCGAGCGTATACTGTCATCGTCGCGAAATCGGCGAGGCTTGCCTTTTCGGGGAGGTAGGAGCAACTCGGAGGACTCGGCGGCCTGCTGGTACAGCGAGCTGCTTGACGTGGCGCCAAGGCGAGCGGTGCCAGGTCGAGATGAGGGGGCGGATTGTGGCATTAGAGAGCGTGATGCGGGTTGTCGAGAGGTGTTGGGGCGTGAATGCGAATTGCCTTGCTGTGATTGCATGTTGAGGAGATCTTCGCTGCCCGAATTGATGCGGATATGCGGCGGTGCATGTCTATCGGGCGGCGAGCCATCCGATGACATGCTGGGCGGCGGCGTGTGATGCGGACGACGCTGGGGAGGAAGCGCGCCAGAGGAGGGGGAGGAGGAGAGGGCCGAGAAGGAGAGCGCGTCACAGTCGTAGCCAGTCACGGATTATGTGTCGCGGTGGAGGGGTCGGGGCATGTGTCTTTAGGAGATACAATGCAGCGTTGAGGGATCGACGCCAGCCGGGGCGGGAGGGGAGGAGAGAGGGCCGGGCGCGTGTGCAGGTCGATGAATGTGCTGGCGATAGCGACTGTCGGGATGGCGATGGAGGTGAGGTACTGCCGGAAGGGGATGGGAGGGTATGGAGGGCGGATGGAGGGTGGTGTGGATGGAGGGCGTGAGGGTTCTGGAATGGCTGTTGACCAGAGACGCCTCTCAGGAGTCTTGCTTCTTCACTCCCGGACCCACTAGCGAAACTCTATTTGGGGGGGATACGACGACTGAGACGACGACGCAATCCCGCCGTTGGACCAGCGTCGGCACAACGGAAACATGCGAATCATCATGTGCATCTCTGCATCAACCCTCCCCTTCACTGGCGGCCTTCTTCTCGCGTTGATTGACATACGGTTGCAAGGGCTGTTGTTGTGGTGTCGCGCCTGCCTTACGGCAAACAGTCGATGCATGGGTGCCGATCTAACGCCATCGAGGAGGCTTGGCGAGGCGATCGTGCAGTTTCTTCCCTCTGGTGATGAACTTTGCAGCGCCACCCGCACGCCGCGATTCTCAGCCTCAACCCGCCGATCCTTCAGGTGTTTTGGAATTAAACGTCCAGCGCAACTTCTGCCCATCTCATCCCAACCATCACCAGCATTACTGACTGTGGGAGTGAAAAACAGAATGCCGTGCTGACAAGCAAGACGCGCTTCACACGCGACTCGTATGTTTGGGTAGGGGAGAGCTGTCGGTCATGCATAACACCCCGTTCCTGCATATGCGCCCACATCCCTAGTGTCTTGGGCAGCGGGACGGAGCTCTAGCGGGTCTTGTGTCTTTCTCTCGTTATCTCGTCACTGCACTTCCACACTTGACCAGTCTCCTCATTCGTATCCAGGTGCTCTAACGAGGTCATGGAGGAAGACCGGGCTATTGCAGACCTGGGTCCCGACCTCCCTCCCGACCTCAACGGCGAGGAGTTGGTGGAGGAGAAGCAGCCCAAGCGACGTTTCATCGGACGGAGAGCGGCCGAGAGCAAGGCTGCGGCCGCCGCTGCTGCGACAGCACCACAAGAGCAAGGCGCCGGCATCGAGGAGAGCGGGGCGATACAAGGTGCAACCATCACGTTCATTGCGGCCTGTCAACACACAGGAAACTAATCCTCCTCCGCAGCCGTGCCACGCTACCGACGTCCAGCCCGCGCCCTGAACAATGTCCCCGACGAAATCCTCCACGATGAAGCCCTCAACGCCGCCATCGCCCTCCTTCCTCCCAACTACAGCTTCGAGATTCACAAAACCGTACATCGCATCCGCACCTCCGGCGCAACCAGAATAGCCCTCCAAATGCCAGAGGGTCTTCTTCTCTTCGCAACTACCATCTCCGACATCCTCACCCAATTCTGTCCGGGCATATCTACCCTGATTATGGGCGACGTCACATACGGCGCCTGCTGTATTGACGACTATACCGCCCGCGCCTTGGGCTGCGACATGCTGGTGCACTATGCCCATTCCTGCCTCATCCCCGTTAACGTGACCAAGATCCAAACGCTCTACGTCTTTGTGGATATCCGCATCGACCTCGAACACCTACTCGCAACAGTAGAGCGCAACTTCAAACCCGGCAGCAAGATCGCGATGGTGGGCACAATACAATTCAATGCCACGCTTCACGGCACGGCGCAACAACTGCGCGAAGCCGGCTACGACATCCTCGTCCCGCAAATCATGCCTTTGAGCAAAGGCGAGATCCTCGGCTGCACATCTCCACACCTCGCCAAAGACCAACGCGTCGACCTCATCTTATATCTCGGCGACGGACGCTTCCACCTCGAAAGTGCCATGATTCACAACCCCACCATCCCCGCCTACCGATACGACCCCTACTCCCGCCGCCTCACGCACGAAACCTACGACCACGCCACTCTCCTGGCGGACAGGCGAAAAGCGCTCTCGCAAGCACGAAAAGCCCGCAAATGGGGCCTCATCCTCGGCTCACTCGGGCGACAGGGCAATCCGCACACAATGACACTGATCGAGAACCATCTTCGCGAAAAGGGCATCACCTGGGTGAACCTGCTTCTGAGCGAGATCTTCCCCGGCAAGTTGGCCATGATGGCGGAAGTGGAGTGCTGGGTGCAGGTGGCGTGTCCGCGCTTGAGTATTGATTGGGGTTATGCCTTTGCTCGACCCCTTCTGACCCCGCATGAAGCGCTGGTGGTGTTGGGTGGGAGGGAAGGGGCGTGGGAGAAAGGGGGGATTGGTGGCACAGATGGCGGGGACGTTGTGTATCCCATGGACTACTACGGCAAAGAAGGCCTAGGGAGGGTGAAGGCGGAAGGCGTGAGTGTCAATGGATGAGAGTGAATTTCGTCCTTTCAATGATGCAATTCTACGGCCATGATCAGATACTCCAACAAACGAAACGACAAACCAGCACAATCCGAATCCCATCCTCCATCACCTTTCCTCCTCTCGCCACCGACTCCCCCCACTAGCACTCTCCCCCTCCCCCTCCCCACCACCCCCCTCAGCAAGCCTCAACGTCTCCTCCAGCACACAAAACTCCCTCTCCAGCACCTCCACCCAATGCTGCAAATCCCCAAACCCCTTCAACCCCTCCGTCATCCTGGCGACCTCGCGCTCGCACGCGGCACTCTCTTTCGCCAACGCGGCGGTGTGCGAGGCAAGGGCGGCCTCCTGTTTTGCTATGGCGGCGCTGTTGGCGTGCAGGTCGTGGGCTAGTTGCTGGGTGTGGGTGTCGTGGTGGGTTGTGCCGAGGGTGCGGAGGGTTGTTAGGATTGCTGTGCGGGCTTCGGTTTGCGCTGGGGTTGCTCTGCTGGTGGTGGATTGAGAAGTGGCCATTGCCTATGGGTATGGAGGTGGGAAGGGTGAGTTGGGCTGTTGTGTTGGGTTTTGGGAGATGTTGCTGATGGTTTGGGGTCACGTTGCATTACAGGTTGATACTGTGGATGATGAAAGGTTGGAGACGAGCAACCATTTATCGTGACTACATGAGGTGTACGGCCATGCTTGTTCAGTGATCTTGTTTCACCGTGAGTGATATGACTCGGACGTGTCAATGTGTACCTGAAGAGCCACATTTGACGATGAACACCAGTCCACGACTTTCAAACAACATCCAGAATCTCACAAGAAGTCGAGACCGTCGGCACTGGATTCCATCGACCCCAACCCCAACCCTTACCCCGCCAAACACTGCGGCTCGGAGTTCCTAATGCGGCCGCCACGCCCGGCCACGTTATCAGTAGCACGAGGAACTTGCCCGCCGCCTCCAATCACAGTCCTCCGCCGAAGTCGCCAGGCAATATGCAGGGCATGATCGGACGCTTATCGGCAACGATGACTAGTCCTGCACAGTAGATGTAGAAATGCAGAGAGGGTAAGTTGATCCTCTTCCGCCTCTTTCCCTTTCCTTCCCTCCACTCTTCCCCCCCGCCCATTCCTGGCCATTGGCACCGGCAAGATGACCAACATGCCTCGCCTCCGCCGGCTCAGCATCAACCAGGAGCCCACCGACGGGCGCGACGAGGCTCTGCTAGCCGAGCAGGGCTACAAGCAAGAACTCAAGCGCGACTGGAGCTTGCTGCACAACTTCGGCGTCTCCTTCGCCATCATTTCCGTCGTCAGCGGCACGACGACTTTGTTCTCATATGGCCTTCACAGTGGTGGACCGGCCGTCATGTCTGGCGGCTGGCTGGTTGTCAACTTCTTCACCATGTTTGTCGGTCTGGGCATGGCGGAGATCACGAGTGCGCATCCTACTAGCGGCGGACCTTACTTCTGGGCTGCCATGTTGGCTCCTGACGATGATACGGCTGCTCTCCTCTCCTGGATTACCGGCTGGTTCAACTTTGTCGGCCAGTTTGCTGTGACCACTGGCATCACCTTTGGCCTCGCGACTCTGATCGCCACCCTGGCCACCGTCAAGACCGATTTCGCCGCCTCCCCAGGCCAAGTCATTGGCATATACGCCGCCTTGCTAATTAGCCATGGCCTTATCAACAGCTTTGGCGTGCACATTCTCCGCTATCTCAACAACTCGTCCATCATCTGCCAGAGTTTGGGTGTTGGGGCTCTCGCCATAGCAGTCGTGGCCGCCGCGCCGAAACATCAATCCGGGGAGTTCGTCTTTGGGAAGTTTCATGATGGAACGGGCCCGGATGGGGGACCGGGTTGGTCGATTCGTGCGTCGCCGGAGTACGTGGCTTGTATTGGTCTTTTGATGGCCCAGTACACGATCACAGGTTCGTTGCACATCTCTAACCCGTAACCCCATTTTCCAAGTCCTGATAGCATGATCCCCAGGCTTCGACGCCAGCGCCCATCTATCAGAAGAAACCCGCAACGCAGCCTGGAGCGCCCCCATCGGCGTCCTAACCTCCATCGCCGTCTCGACAATCTTCGGCTTCTTCCTCATCATCTGCATGCTCTTCTCCATCCAAGACTTCGACCGCACCGTCGCTGCCCCAGAACCCGTGCTGCAAATCCTCATCGACGTCTTCGGCGAAAATGGCGCCATAGTCCTCTTCACCCTCATCATAGTCTGCATCTGGCACGCAGGCCTCTTCAGCCTGACAAGCAACAGCCGCATGATGTTCGCCTTTGGTAAGCTCTCCCCATTCCTCCACCCAACTCCACCAGTCCTCTAAAACCGGCCAGCCCGCGACCGCGGCCTCCCCAAATACTTCCACAAAGTCGACGAGCGCCACAAATCGCCCATCCGCACAATCTGGCTCGCCGCAGCCCTAGCCTTCATCCTCGCCCTCCCCTCCCTAGGCAGCAGCGTAGCCTTCGCCGCCGCAACCTCAATCGCAACCATAGGCCTCTACATCTCCTACACGCTCCCCATCCTCGAGGGCCTAATTTTCCACCGACACTTCAAAAAGGGGCCCTTTGATTTGGGCGTCTTCTCCCGCCCTGTAGCGCTCGTCGCGTGTTTGTACGTAGGCTTCATCACCATCATCTTCTGCCTTCCGAACGAAACGCCGGTGACGTCGCAGACGCTGAACTACACGCCTGTTGCCGTGGGGATTGTGCTGGTGTGGATTTTCGCGACGTGGTTCCTGTCGGCGAGGAAGTGGTTTCGCGGGCCGATTAGGCAGATTCAGGCGGCGGAGTTGGGGATTGATATTGATGTCCCGGGGGAGATCGAGCGGGCGGAGATGGAGGGCAAGTTGCCTACCAAGGCGCTGGGGCAGGAGAAGATGGAGCCGGTGGAGGATTGAAGACGATGATTGTGTGAGACGATTGATTCGTATTGCATGATTTCCCAATGTATACCCATTTTTCCGGCGCACATCCATCGATATATTACTCTACACCCAAAAACACCCGGCCAAGAAAAAAGATAAGTAAAGCCCCCTACGTCCCCGTCTCAGTCTCCACATCCGGCTGCCGCCCATCCAAATCCCCCACCATCTTCCCCTTCAACTTGCGCATCCCAATCACGCTCTCGTCCTTTGCGAACTTCAGATTCCGCATCGGCTTCCACTGCATCATGCCGCGCTGCTTGCGCTCCTCCGTCTTCTTATTCTGCTTGTTGACGTCCTTGGCGCTGAGCCCGCCCGCGCTGCTGCCATACGTGTCGCTCGTGCCGGCCGTCCAGCCGGACTCCATGGAGCCGCGGCCGTTCATGGTGGAGGCGTCTTGGATGCCCATGTCGGCGTCGGAGTCATCATCGTCGTCGTCGTCATCGTCCGAGGAAGGGTGAGCGGGGTCGTGCGGCTTGTCGACGCCGGGCTCGCGTTTCTTTTTGCCAGCCGAGTCGAGGAAGAGCGCTGGGTCGTCGCCGAAAGCGCCGCTCCAGTCTGTGCCCGTCTTGCTCAGCCACTTCTGCTTCTCCTCGGGCGAAGCATCTTTCAGCACGTCCCTGCCTTGCGTGAGGCTCTCTTCGTGCAACTGCGCCACGCGCTCCGGCATCTCCTTCTCCACCTGGTGCGTGCGCACGCCCTCGGCAAGACACGCTTCCCACGTTTCAAACGTCTCGCGGGAGTCGTTGTCCGCGACGAAGGCACCGTGAGACTCGTCCATACCCGCCTTGAATTTGGCGCGGAACACGAGCTTCCCGCATTCCGTCAGGTCATCGAGGCCAGGAAGATCCTCGCCCTTTGCCTTGGCCTGCGCCACAATTTCCGGCGTGACGTAGTTCTGCACCAGGCGGGCGGGAGCTGAGGTGCGATAGATGGGGATCTCCACAGGCGTATCCTCGTTATCGAGCATCATGTTCAGCCACAGCACGGCGTACGCGTCCGCCTTGCGCTTGTTCGCAGTGTGCAATTCGAAGACCACCGGCGAGCGATAGCGGTACTTAACCGGTAGGCGCACCTGCTCTCCTTTCTGGTCCTCGTTCTCGTTGCTGGCCTTGGCGGTGAGGTCCCAGTAGTAGCCGTCGCCTTCGTCCAGCTTGTGACAGGCCGAGCGACCGATCTTGCCCGTCGAGCCGCCGGTGCGAAGCTTGATGCGGGCGTGGTGGTCGTATCCGCGAGCTTCAATGGTGTTGCTTTCGAACATGAACGTCCCCACATCCCAGCCGAGTTGCTGGGGTGGCAGACGAGTTTCGACGGAGCGGAAGAGCAACGAGATGCGAACACGTCCGAAACCGATGCCGCCGTCTAGCGGGTACCATCTTGTGACTTGACTGCTGGTCTCGAGGATATCGCTGAGCTTCAACGGCACGACGCCGAGGATGGGATCGTGCTGTCGGTTCCTCGAGTCGCGCACGGTGATGGTGACAATGGCAGACCTCCAATCGCGGATGAAGCGCTCCGTACCAGCATTGAAGATCGGCTTGCTGCTAACTGCCTTGGCTCGAGTGCGGTACACCAATTGGTCGTTGTAGAGGATCGTGCAGTAGGATGTGGGCAGGTGCGAGCCCGTTTCCTCGGTGGATTCACCGTACGGCTTCGCGGGCTCGAATTCCCTACCCTTCCTGCTGCCCTGAGTGCCCATGACGTTCTCCAGCTCCAGATTAACGATCTGATGAACAATCACGCTGCAGATACCAGACGGCCAAAGCGGGTCGGGGGGAGTATGTTGAACAGCATCGTCTTGAGCCGTGTTCTGCACACCCTTGTCGTCTTGCAGCTCCGGGTGATCCTTAAGGGCATCCGGCAAGTTCTTATTCTTGCCATCGGTCCTCAATGCGTGGCGGAACTGAGGCTTGCCAAAGAATCCGCACTCCCAATGCAGCTCACCCGGCATCTCGCTCCCCTCGTTCATGCCAGCCAGCTTCGACACGTAGGGGTACATCTTGCCCGGGTGCTGAATCATCTTTTGCATGCTCATTTCCACCTTGCCCACAATGTCATCGGCGCTGTGCCGATCGCTGTCCCATAGTTCAACAGACAGATTCTCATCCGCCTTGATCAGCTCGGGCGTGACGAGTAGAGCGGTGGTCTCCTCCCACATCGGATTCAGGTCGTCGGTGATGACACGCGTGCAGTACATGGGCTTGCCGTATTTGCTGAAAGTCAGGGTGATGTAAGGATCGCTTCCACCCCATTTGGAGCCACGCTTGTCTTGCTTGCTGAGTCCGACTGCGCGGTGGATGCGAATCCAGAGCACACCAAGTGCATGCACGTCCTTAGTGATGTCGTCGCCCTGGAGGATGGCGCGCATATCGATCGACATGCTCTTGGGCGCCACGTACATGCTCGCTGCGGCGCCGATAGCGTAGTTGACGAATTGGGAGATGACCGGGAGGTTGAGGAGATTGACGCCCTTTTCGAGCATGGGGACACAACCTGCCGAGACGTGCGGCACGCCCATGAGGGTGAAGGTGAGGGTCTTGAGGAAGGGCGGTTCGGGAGTCATGGCCATGCGTAAGCGCACAGTTCCCACGAGTCCTTGCAGTTCGACGAAAATGGGTAGGGGCACGCCAAACAAGCCCTTGATGCCCAAGTAGAAGACCAGCTGCATGTGCATGTTCCTCGCCATCTCCGACGCTCGCTTCCCGCTAGGTGCAGCATGGTAGGCAAAGCTGATTTCGAGATTGTAAAAGTCGCCGCCTTCAGCATCTGCCGCGGCCTCTTGCGGATCTTTGGTCCGCTTGCTCTCTTCGTACATGGCCTTTTTGAGTTTCTGGATGTCCTCGTTGGAATCCGGCAAGGCTCGCATTGACAGGATGCGGATGGGGTTGCTTCCCTGGTTGATCTCCGCCACGCGCACGTTTTCGATGACGCCGGGCACGGAAGCTTGCATGACGTCTTCCAGTGTATCGGCCACGGCGGTGAACATGTCCGGGTTGACAAGACCCCAGACGATGGAGAGGAGGGTGTTCATCCATTCCACGCTTTCGGGGAGGAGGTTGGCGGTGGCAGTCTTTCCTCGCTCTTTCTCACTCTCCCATTCCACCTCGCGACCGCTTCGCACCACCTCTCTGACCCAAAGCCAGATGCCAGAGCTTACACACATGGCCAAGGGGATAAGGCCAAGGTAGCGGCCGCCAAACGTCTTGCCAACAAGAATGATAGCGACAAAGACGCCCGCCACCAACCACAGACCCCTCTGCTCCAACCGGGCAAACGTGGGCTCATAGCTCACGCTCGGGGTAGGGTGGAAGAGGATGTTGGTCTTTTCGCCGTGGATAGGCACATCGCTCGTCGAGCCTTCAGCCACGGGGTCCGGCGGGGCAGTAATATCCTGATTCCGCCTGTATTCCTCGCCACTCTGGCTCGACTTGGTTTGCACGGTGGTATCCTTGCCGAGGTTCGCATTCGGGACAGAGAGCATGGGATTCTCAACATTCTTCATAAAGTCCTTGTTGACATTCTCAATGGTAACCTGCTTGCCGGTGACGGGATCAGTGACGATCTTCTGCCCCGTCGCCTGCGGCTTCTCGTTCACATGCGCCTGCACATCGGAGTCGCCGGCTTTGCCATGCTTCTTGGCCTCGTCGATCTGCCGGTCGCGCTCTTTCTTGTCTTTGTCGAGACTGTCGATGAACTTGCCGATGGTGGGGATTTTGTTCGCGCCGCTCCAGTGGCCTCCGGGCCCGACTTGCTGCTGCTGAGCAGCCGGGTCGTCTGACATGTTGATTGCCACTGGTGATGGTGTTTCTGGTGGATGAGGACGGGTGAGACGGAGGGTGGAGCTGGTTGGTTCTCAGCCTTGCTGGAGGGATGAGGCAAGGTGGAGGAAAGGGGGTGAGCAGCGCCGGCGCCGAGGGGAAGGAGGCAGGGACGGCAAAGACGATGATGAACTACCGTCTGGCTGAGAAGAGGGAAGAGATATGAGAAGAAACAGCCCTGAATGTAACTGACCCGACCAAGAGCTCGTTAGTGAGATCAGGGAAGGGAAGCTTGCGATGGATCTCTTACGTCTGCCATCACCGCGCGTCGACGTCATATCCTTGGCAGTTCTACCGCCAATGCTTCCTCTCATCACAATCAAACGGCAATGCAGCTGTAATTTCGCGGCACGATCGTGATCTTTGCCCGTCTCGTAATTCATGCATCTCCCAAGACACCAGCAATATAATAGACGGTGTCCAGTCATGCAATCCAAACTCCATCAATCAAGCCATCCGTCATCACCACCACCACCGCCCTCTCCCTTCTTTCCCCCAAGATCCAAATTCAACTCCAACTCCAACTTAGGCGCCACATCCTTCTTCTTCCCCTTTTTCACCGGACTCCCCTTAGTAGGACTCCACCCCCTAGCCTGCTCCTCCATCGTCGGCCCCTCACGCACAAACCGCGTCTCCCACCCATCCTCCACCGCAGCCGCAACCCACGCCCTTAACCCATCATGCACGCCCGCGTAGAACTTCTCCTTGCACGTCCGCAGCGTCGTCCCTAGCACCTTTTCGCAGCCTGAAGCCTGCAGATCCGTGCGCAACGTGTTGCGTTCTGTGGCCGTGGTGATGGACGCGATTAGCCCGTTGAGCAGGTCGAGGTGTGCGGTCAAGTAGGTTGTTGCATCCCACTCTACGCCGCCGATGTAGGGTGCTGCGGGCACGGGGGGTCGCGTGCCAGGGAAGTGGCGGCGGGAGTAGGTTGCTGCGAGCACTTTCGCTCTTTCCGCGGCATCACTGTCTACCGGTGCTGTTTCCTCCGTGGACTTGGGGAGAGGGACGACGTTGAGATGGTGCAGGAAGATCCAGAAGACTTCTTTTGTGACGTGTGTCATTTCGCGGCACCAGAGCTTGTATGGTCTCGCCGTGTGCATGTCGAGCACGAAGTCTACTGGTCTGGCCTCCACGGGCTTCGTGGGTTCGCCCATGTATGCGAGGATCTGGCGAGCGCGCTGCTCGAGTCGTTCTGGTGTCGCTGCTGCTAGGAAATTGACTGGACGACAGTTAGTTGGGTGAACACCAGCTCGCTCAACAACGTAGGTAATCGACTTACAGAGAACGGCAATGATGATAGTCCGAGTCGAATACTCCGCCGGACCCTTCTTCTCTTCATCGAAGAGCATACCAATCAGAGCCGGGAACAATGTGTCGGCAACCTTCTCCAACTCGGCCATCGCTCGCTCGGTAGTGCAAAGCCCCTTCAGGCACAACAGCGTCTCGTGTAGAAGCTGATCCTCATGTTCCTCTCGCCACTCCAACTCCATCGTCCGATGCAGCAAACCAACAATCTCCGTCATCCCGCCCAACGACACAAATGTGTCCACCCACGCGACCGTTTCGTTGCGAAGTAGGATGCGAAGTTTGTGTAGCCGTCCGACTTCCACGGTGACGGGGTCCCGATTGGCGCGAAGATACGAAATGAAGTCTGAAGGAACGGCCGGGCCAGCATGCCCTCGTCTGTCCGTCGAGCTGCGAGGCATGGTGGGAGTGGAGGGTGTGCTTTGCCCGTCATGCTTTGCCCTCGACTTGCTGGTGGATCTCACCTTCTTGCTCGGTGAGCCGTCGCCGCCTTTGTCCGATTTGGAGAAGGTGAAGGTGCGGCTGCGGGCTCGTGATCGCTTCGTAGACTTGCCGTCTTCTTCCTCTGTCGCCCGTGACCTGTCTGGTGAGCTTGGGCGTGATTTGACGGGACTACGAGGCCCGGTTGACTGAGCACTGTGGTACTCCGAACGGCTCTTGGTGGACATCTTGGAGGCTTCCTGATCTTGCTTGATGAAATCCGCCTTGACTCGCAGGGTCAACGACCTCATCTTGTCTCTCATTGGCTCGGGAATATTTCGTGCGTCCAGAACGGCCTCGAACGCCTCATCAACGCTCTTGGGATCAAGCGGCGACTCCGCCTTGGGCGTTATTGCTTGCTGAGTCCCCTTGCCCTGCAGAGCAGCGACGGCTGCCAGCACTCTGCCACCACGTTTGGCGATGGTCAGCTTGGCTTCGAACGGTGCGTGCTCGGCACTGCTTTGGCTGCTCTTGCGATCGGTACTCCTCCGCCTGGCTTCGAACATTTGTTCACCCGATAGACGTCTGCCTCCATCTTTGCTCCTCCTTCGTTCATTCCCATCCACAATGCCAGTTGGTCGACTTGCAAGAGTCGGCCGTAGCTGTGGCTGATCCAATCCTCCGTTGAAATTGCGCTGTTTGGACGGAGAGTACTCCTGCGGCGTATACCTTGCAATCTCCCCCCTCAGACTGACCGGCGAAGCATCGTCCCTAATACTTGGTGGGGGAATCGGTTTCGCAGTCGTAGCAAATTGAGCCCAGATAGGAGTTTGCGCTGGCCCACTTGTTGAGGCAGGGGGTGTTGTATTCTCTTTATCCTTCGGCCCTGCTTGAGAAGCCTCCTTGACCGAGCGATCTTTCCTTGCGAACATGCCGGCTAGATTGGTGGAGGATTTGGCCTTCTTTGGATTCAGCTGTCCCTTCTCCATTGACTGAGGGCGGGATAAAGTGGGCAAGTCATGAGTCGTCTTCGCAGTACCAATCCTCTTTGGCTTGCTCTTCGAAGGAGATGAAGGGGGAGATTGCATGTTGCTTTGTCGCTCACCAAGCACCTTGCCCTTGGCTGCATGAGGGTGATCCGGCGGGAGAAGAGGGACGCTGTATCCGGTGCGGACATTTTGTTTCGAAGGTGATACGCCCGAGGCCGCGTTCTCGGGACGAGGCTTGGAGGAGACCAACGCTCTCAAGACGTTGGATTTGGAGGATGCGCTGCGGTGGTGTTGCGGGCGGGCTGGAGGAGCGGTCGAGACGCTCCCGTCTGCCATGTTCGGTCAATCTGCTGTTCACAAAGCTGTGGGCAGTGAGGAGGGGGCAATTGGATGACAGTCGCGGGTCATTGGTGTCGGAGACGTGTGTGCTAGCGTGAACGATGGGTTGGAGCGGTGGTGTTGACGCCATGTTGCCATGGGAACCCGTCTGGGGAAGGAACGAAGGGAAGGAAGGCGGCAGGCACGTGCCTTCCCTCCACGTGCACTCCAACGTCAGCCTCGCCTGTGCATCCCATCTTCACTTCATGTGAGCTGTGTAGGTCGTTGTCAAGAAATAAGTGTTCAGCAAAGAGGGATGCTACGGCACATTTGTCACGCGTAGTGAAGCGTTGATCCCGCGGAGTTAAAATGGATACCGCCGACCAACAACGTCATTACCCCAATGCCAGAATAAAAGTCATCGACGACTGGCATTGATCTCCTCCATCCTCTCCATCTTCCTTTTCCCCAATCCATCTCATCAATCATCAACACCCCAACAATGGCATCTCCCGTCTCCGTCTTCCGCGCCAACGCCACCGCCCTCATCACCGGCGCAGCAAGCGGCGTAGGCCTTGCCGTAGCCAAACTCTGCGGCTCCCACTCCATGAACGTCATCCTCGTCGACTGGGACAAAGCGAAACTCGAGCAAGCAAAAGCAGCGGTGAAAACGAAAGGCTACGTCGAGGCGCACTCGATCGACGTCTCCTCGCTCAGCGACTGGGACACGCTCAAGACGGCCGTCGAAAAGGACGGGCGCAAGCTCGACTTCCTGCATTTGAATGCCGGGATCCAGTTCACGAGCGACTGGACGGATTCCGCGTACTTCAAGAAGGTGTTTGATGTCAACTTCTTCGGCGTGACGAATGGGATTAATACCTTTTTCCCGCACTTCCAGGATAATCAGGGGGAGGCGAAGGCGATTATCGTCACGGGGAGTAAGCAGGGGATTACCAACCCGCCTGGCAACCCGGTGTACAATGCTACCAAGAGCGCCGTCAAGACTATTGCCGAGCATTTGAACTTCGACCTGGCCAAGTCTTCGCCTTCGACGAGCGTGCATTTGCTTGTGCCCGGCTGGACTTTCACCGGACTCACGGCTCAGAGGGGCGTGACGGAGAAGCCGGCTGGTGCGTGGGCGCCTGAGCAGGTTGCCGATTACTTGTACAAGAAGATGAGCGATGGCAAGTTTTACGTCATCTGTCCGGACAACGATGTATGTTTTACTGCCAGACCCTCACAACTGAATCACGCTGACTGGTTACAGGTTGATTGGGAAACTGATCGCAAGCGAATGACCTGGACAGTAAGTCCTCTAATCCCCATGCATGCCCACAGCCACCACTGACACATGCAATTCAGATGGGCGACGTCGTCTTTGAGCGCCAGCCGCAAAGCCGGTGGAGAGACGAGTACAAGGATGAAGCGACCAAGACAATGGACAAGATGAAGCTGGGCAAGAACCAAATCGATTGACTGGCTGGCAGTACCCGTAGCAAGTCTGAGCATGCAGCAAAGTTGTAGTCTCACACTTGCTCAGTGGATCTCAAACCAAACGTCCTCTTTCCCATCAGCTCGGTGCCTTTTCACAGCTTCACCATACATGATACCATCCACGTAGCACACGCCGACCAAATTGTAGTATTCATTGACACGGCGCAGCATAACCGGCAGCGCCGAGCCATACACAACAGCAACAATACCATCCGGCCGCATGCTCCGCGGTCCAAGACCAACCAATCCCGTATCGGTAGTAAAGAATCGCCGATTGCGCGCCGCGCAGTGGAACGCCTCTTGGATCCGTGTAACTCTCAATGCAACACTGTCTTCGGCTCCATTCTCTCGGCCTCGGTCTCGATTGTAGCGTTGCAAGTCTGCGGGGATGGTGTGGTTGGCTTTTACGAAGTTGAACCATTTCCGGACGTCACGCGCTTCGTCGTCGGTTGGGGCGTCGAGGTAGCAGTTGATTCCGGCGAGGAGGGTTCTACCGAGTCGCACATCGGCGTCCTCATCAGCTGCATCATTAGTATTATCGTAGAGATCTTGAATTTCTTCAATCAGATGGATGGTTTTCTCGGAGAAGTCCCAGAACGCATCGTCAAACACATCGGAGATGGTAGCGACCTCGCCAACCACGAATCCATTCACCTTGAGAACATCTGGATCATCCCAGTGTTTCCAGTGACTGGTATCTTGAACTTGGCAGCCCTCCGCAGATCCATCCGCAGAACATATAAGCGAGAACTCGTCAGCATCAGTAGTCCTGTCCACGCTTCCATGCCACGCAGGCGCCCACGAAGGCAACTCGACATCTTGAAGCTCCGCGTGCACACCTCCAAGGGATCGAAAGCAATCTAATCTCCCCGATTGCTGAATCATAGCTCGCGTGGCATCGCGCAAGACATGATCAAGGGACTTGTCTTGCTGCGGATCCAGCAGCTTCGTGATAGCTGGGTCAGAAATGCGGAAGAGGCCTAGGAGCCCGAAGACGTGGTCGCGGGGATCTTCCGTTTGAAAGCCACGGAGAGTGGCGACTGTTTGGTGGAGGTCGAAGGCGTGCTCGGCAGTGCTCGAAAGTGATCCGGAAGATCGATCCATCACCAAGAGTATGCGGAGGAGGAGCGAAGGGTCGAAGTCGTCGAAGATGTTGTCTGAGAGAAAGTCAAGCTTGTGATATGCCCAGCTTGCGCTCCTGAGGACGTCTTCGAAAGGGATCTCGTGAGGCCCGCAGAGACAAGTGTTCCGCCTTGACAAGGCGACTTCCTGGACAACCCATAAGCGCTCAAACCACGGACGACGGTAGATGTCGAGAAGCGCCGGGAGATCCAAAGCATCGTCGTTCCACGTTTTTGGAGAGATGGCATGCTTGAACGAGCCATGGTCGTCGTAGAGCTCGGAGTGGAAGGCTTCGAAGCCATCCGTCTCTTCCCTGGCATTGTCTACAATCGCCTTCATCGTCTCCATAGCTCGAGCAGTAGTCTCAGTCTCCGGACCCAACCAGACAATATTCTGCCGCCCACACGAGTAAATTCGTGCCATGAGCTTGATCTGCTGCGCCCGCTCGACCTGATCTTCCTGATTAATGCAGATCGAATCGATCCAGAGAGTGCGATCGCAGTTTGGTCGCCGCATGCGGAGAACGGCAAGTTTCGCATTCACCGGGACCATGGTCGCCACGCCGTCGAGGAAGATCTCGGCTCTGCTGCTCGCATCGCCCCAGCAGTAGGAGATGGTCTCGTAGCTGGGGGCTTCTTGCTCTGCTTCCAGGAAACGGTGCTGCAGTTCGCATTGTAGCGGGTCGCTTCCTGAGCCGGCTTTGACTATGAGAAGTCGGATTTCTTGACGACGTTCGTCGAGTGGGTGGTACACCATTTTGTTTTATGATTGACTTGCATTTGAACGGCTTCCCTCCACAGCACTCTGAGGGTTAAAGTCAGGCCCAGTCGGGTATGGCGAGTACTCAAGAAGCCGAGGACTGGCATGCGGACGGCGAAGTCATATTTGGGCACACATTGAGTAGACAAGTCATCAATTTTCCACTATAGCTTGCGCTCAGGCTGGGAGCAGACACACGTATGTCCGTACCAAGCGCAAGCATGGATGGACTCGAGCTGAGTGAAGGTGGTCGCAACACGCTTACCTAATCCTATTTCCCGACAACGCCCGAAAGGGTTAGTGTTGCCGTCATTGGCCCGAGAGGCTTGTTAGCAGCTCCGCGAGCGCCGAGCAGCTCCAGGCTTTTCGAGAGCTTCGCCTCCTAAGCAGAACCGACCCAGCAAAAACCCAGCACACCTCTCTCTTCCGCCCCCCTCAACCCACCACCCTGCCCCATTGGCTTTGCGCATCAGTCCATTGACCTTCAAGATGGGGTTCGTGGACTACCTGTCCGACCTCTATGCCTCCCTGACCATCCAATCCGCCGAGGCCGAGGAGCAGCAGAAGGAAGAGTCTTCTGGTGAGTGGTGCGGATGCGTTTGGCCGCGGGCGAGGACGCGCGCTGGGATCTGTTGAAGGAGTGCTGTTTGCTGACAATGGGTGTGATGATAGATTCCAAGGAAGAAGGCGGAGAGGAGGGCGAGGAAGGCAAGGGGAAGGAGTCTGAAGAGGGTAAGAAATATTGCATACCCGGCCGAGCATGAATCGCCAATGGAACCCCCTGCTGACCAGTCGCTGCAGGCGGTGACGAAGAAGAGTCCGGAGGTGACGACAGCGGCGAGGGCGAAGACAAGGAGGAGGGCGGAGAAGATGGTGGTGAGGAGGGCGGAGATGACCAGGGAGGAGACGATGATGAGGAAGAGGAGGAAGAGGAGGAGGAGCCCGAAGACCCGCTGCCCAAGCTCGAAGAGGGTGAGTTCCCACTATCCGCCGCACGGGATGAACACAACCGCTGACACGGCTCCCGCTAGAATGCCTGAAGACCGCCGCATGTGCTCCGCTGAAACGACACTACGACGAGTGCGCCGAGCGCGTGCAGCAGCAGGAGGAAGAGAAGGGCAAGGCCGAAGAGGACTGTGTCGAAGAGTGTAGGTGTCCTCCTATCAATCTGGTTTACGGCAAGGAGCCGCGTGCTAACTACCATCTCCCCAGTCTTCCACATGATGCACTGCGCGACCCAGTGCGCTGCACCCAAGCTATTCCGCCAGTTGCGATAGATCAGGAGACCCTCGGGCAAAAGAAGATGGACGGAGAGGTGAGAAGGCTCGGACGTGGCATGGAAGCCGGCCAACTATGCATTGTTGTCGCCTGTATAGCAATCTCCAATACACTGTACTATGTCGGATAATACATGCATTTCCGCGCTTTTGCCCTACCTGTGTATGACTTCAAGGCATGTATAATCGTCATGTCCACATCACAGATGGGAAATGCTGGCAGGAAGATCTGATATCGTCTTGTTGCTGAACTACGACGGCACTATATACTGCGCCGCCCCTCCTATTTTCCTATCGCCAATCCACCAGCTTCTCAGCCTAGAATAACGCGAGGGCATTAGGCGGCGAGCCAATGCCACCCGGCACATTCAAAGGCACACTAGTCAGCAAAAAGCTGTACCTGCCCAGCCTCTTGCACGTATCCGAGAGCTCCTTCAGATCCCACAACTCGCCAATGGGCATCCCATACAACGCCAAAAAGTACTGGTGCAGCACAAGCTCAGCAACCCCAGCCTCCTTCCCATTGACAATAGGCGGAATGGCCTCGAAAGCAATCGCATCGCCCGCCACGGCGGCAAAGTGCTTGTTCCAAAACCACTTGGCCGACTCCTCGGTGCCCTCGACGCCGCACGTCTTGTGCGTGCCGAGGAGCTCCTGCTGCTTCTCCGGCGCCTGGCCCGTCAGGCCTTCCGTGAAGCCGGAGCGGATGATGAGCACGTCGCCCGGGCGGAAGTCGACGCCCTGCTTCTTCGCCACCTTCTCCAGCACGTCGATGGAGATGCGGTGCGAGTCGAACGGGCTGTACGAAATCCCGTTCTCGTCGGCGTACAGCTTGTAGTCGAGGAAGACGCCGCGCGCCACCAGGCCGCCGCGGCGATGCCAGTGGTCCAAAGTGGGCAGTTTGGCCTCCTTGTCCTCCTGCCCGTACTTCTGCGTCAGCGCCTCGACGTTCGTCTGCACGCCGTTGTACCCCTTGGCGGACGCCTGGTGGTGGAAATGGCACAGCGAGTCCCACTGGGAGCTGCACTGCGTGTTGAACTCGACCTCGTCATCGTACCCGTGGCAAGCCAGCGGCGTGTCCTGGAAATTGATGACCTTGTGGACGAGGCCTTTGCGTCCGAAGCCGGGCGTTTCAATGGCGCCGATGGGCCAGTTGAGCGAGACGGAGACGCCGTCGCGCAGCTCCTTGTACGCGGCTTGCACCACTTCGGGCGTGAGCAGGTTCAGCGTGCCGTAGACGTCTTTCTTGCCGCCTTTGTCCCAGACGCCCCAGGCGCAGCCTAGAGGTGGTTATGGGTGTGAGCAGTGTTCATGTCGTTATGGGGGATGGAGTGGCAATGTAAGTACCTTGCGGCATGCCCTCGACCTTGGGCAAGTCATCGAAATCGGGGAGCTTAGACATGCTGGCGAGACCTTGATGGATGATCTGAGGACTGGTTTTGATTGAGATGGAGGCGAGCGTAGTAATCGGATGACAGAGACTTTGATGGTAAGGATTGATACAAGGGAGACACAGGGGAAAGTACTCGAGTCAATCGTCTTCTTACTCTGACATCAACTGCGACAAATCGTGTGGGAGTCTAGCTGCTCCGCCTGATTACCAGCTTCTCCATCCATCCACCCCTCACCATGCGGGGTAAGGGAGGAGCATGGCGGAGTCTGCCAAAGTGGATGTCGTCTTTTCCTCGGCCACCCAATCCACCTCCTCATGCCTCGGATACCTTGCCCTACGATCTGCCGGCACACTTGCTCTAATTGCATTCTTCGTTTGTGCAGTAGCACTACAGCGACAGACGACATCCTACCCCAACCCGCCCAAAGCAGCAGACCAAGCAAGATACCAAGTCCAACTCGCCCCACCATCCAGCAGCCCCAACCCAAACTCCCCCGTAGCATTGCTGAAAAATTCCCAACTCGCCCCCGCATCAACAATCGCCAAATTCGCCATCAGAATCCCCCTCCACCCGCTCTGCAGCGTCGGCGCCACCGCCCCCAACTCATACGCCGTCCACTCCTGCTGCACAAACGTAGGGGAGCGGATGAGGGTGCTCATCGGCATGAGCGGCAGCATGTGGATGCCCTCGATGTACGCCACTTCGTTCCCGAAGTACGTCGTGTGGTCGATTTTGTTCTCGAACAGGATGCCGCTTACCTTGTTGCCGGTGAATTGCGCGGGCTCGACGGCGTTGGTGTCGAGGTAGAGGAAGTAGTCGGACAGGCTGCGGGCTTGGATGGCGAGCATGAGGTTGCCGCGTGCTTCCATGTTGGTGTCGCCTGCCACGAAGCCCCACATCTTGACGCCGTAGCTGGCCATTGTGTCTTCGCTGGACGATTCTTCGTTCTTGCCGTCGGCGGATTCGAAGAGCCCTTCTGCCCAGGAGTGCCCGTTGTACCAGTCGAACATCCGGCTGAAGGGGAAGTATCTGTGGCGGTAGAGTCAGCATGCTGCGTTCGGAGACGACGAAGAGAGACATGCGAGTCATCTGTGATTGAATTGGCATAATCACGAGCCAGCATATCCACCCAAGCCTTGTTTGTGCCTTCCTGTAGCCACGATGGGTTTATGTAGCCGACAACAGCGGCAGCGTACAGGAAGTACCCATAGTGGAAATGGTGGTCCTGATGTTCAGTGTCAGCAGCCACTCATCTTCTGAGAAAGCCCTACACTACTAACATTGTAATACGTGTTACCAAAATCATCCCCCGAATTCCCATTGAGATAAGTACTAATACTGACCGCCCCGCCCCGACAGGTATCATACACCAACGGGTACGTTTGATTATTATTCACATGCAACTCAAAAGCCGTCTGAAGCTCAACAAGCCCCGTGAGAGCTAGAGTATCGTTGTCCGCCAGTTCATGGAGAACGTAGACAATGGCTGCAAACTTCGCCAGTGCTTTGCCGTCGTAGTACATGCTGCCCGTGTTGGTTTGCTGGGCTATGTCCTCTGCTAATTCGACTGCGCCTGCCTGGTTGATGGCTGTAATGGCTGCTGCCGGGAGGGTGTCAACTGAGCCGAGAGAAGGTGACCAAGGAGCGAAAGACATTGTGATCGGTAGGTCGGGCTCGAGGAGTGTCCAGCGGTCTCCGCAAACGGCTGTACTGTAACCCTTGGTAGCCGTCACGAGCTGGACGTCCGTGACTCCTGCAGACGTATCGGATGCAAAGGACGAGATGTGATGGGGCAGAGCAAAGATGAGTAGAGGCTGACTCGTGGTTCCCGCTTTCGTCCAGCTCAGAGAGAAGGTGCCCGTAGTGTCCTCGACAGAGCCGCTGATGTTGACGGCTGTTGCGTATGCCCCGGCAGACCCATCGTATACGGCTTCTGCGTCTGAGGTATTGGCCGGAAGCTTGGCGACTTGGATGAATCCGGAGAAGCCTGATGCGCCTTGGATAGCAACTGGACTGATGAGGGTAAAGGAGTTCTCTTGATATCCACTGCTGGACGGCGTAACGTAGATCAGCCACGTGAAGCCGTTCGCAAGGAGCGCGGTGTATTTGAATGTGGTGCCGTTGAGCACGCTACCCGTATAGGTGACGCTCTGGATACCGAGCCCAGATTGCAGGAGAGGTGTAGCATCATTGTAGACGCCTGTGACGAATGCCATTCCTTGGACCAAGGGGAAGGTGATGGTGGGCGAAGGGTCCCCATCAGCAATCAAATTGACGTTGACAGAGAAAGCCTCGAGCGTGTCCGTAGTCAATGTGGTGCCGTTACCGAGCTCCGTTGCAGACAGCACCAAACTCTGAATGCCGACTGGATTGACGAAATACGCCCACTCTCCAGCATCCACGCTCGTAGCAGGTGCGGTTGCCAGCTGGTCTCTTTCGGTATGAGATACCGCCATACCCCAGCTATTGGTTTCGCCTGCGCCCTTCGACCAAGCGATGGAGTAGGGATGTGTCCATGTACCGGCACTCTGGTCTCCCAAGTAGAAGTTGCCATAGAACTTGTTCGTTTCGAGTTTCTGCTGCTGTGGCACGATCCCAAGTCGAGGGACTGGATGATCGGAGCGGGAGGATATCTGCGGTGGCGGGGCATTTGTTGCAATTGGCTGGAAGATATCGTTGACTTGTAAGCCGGTGATATTTGCGGATGCGGTTGGGCCGATGCTGCCGAGCGTAGATGTGTCGACGAGGGACAGCGTTCCTGTACTACTGACTGGCTTGGTAGCGAAAGGCTGTGAAGATGGATTGCCCGATCGTTCGAGGGTGGTTTGTATGGATCCTGTTGTATCGGCTGGAGGAGCAGCCGTCACATTTTGCACCGCAGATGTGGTCAGAGAGGATAGGGACTCCTGTGGCACGCTCGTTGCGAAGGTCTGCGTTGTGGCCTGCGATGCCGGTACCGCGGGAGAAGCAGAACTTGGTGCTACCGGCGTGTTGCTTGCAGCAGCATTTGTCAGAGGCCAGCCTGGCTGACTGCCAGTGACGAATACAGTAACCAAGAAGGTACTGGTTGAAGTAGACTGTATGGTTGTGGTTGGCAATGTCGCCGCGTTCACCGAGTTGAGCGTATTTGGGTTGATCCAGCTCGGAAAAGCTTCCACTTGTCCGTCTGGAAGTTCCCATACCGGCATCACCGACGCCACGTATGGATTTGTGGTAGAAGAGGTAGGAATTGAAATGGCATAGTTGACGCCATCAACACTTTTGAATGTGGGTGGGCCTCGGAATCGTCGATGGATCGAGTCTTGTGGAAGGCTAGGGTTCTTGGGGAGGGCGATCAAGGGCATTGCTAACGCCGCCTGGAACGGTAGACATTTTATCAGTGTGAGTATTGGCATTGCGTGTAACCGGACTCGGAAGTCCATTGTAATGAGAATGGGGTAGGGAGAGAGCCGTGCGGTTCAAGGAAAGGAGGAGACTTAGCGGAATAAGTGTGTGCTACGCGTGGTTTCGCGAGCGCGTCTCGTCCAATTTCACCCTTTCGGCAAGGTCTTATCAGAGGGGTTAGGCTTGCGGCAGAGTCGGGTAAGGTATTCAACAGAGCAGCTTGATAGAAGACGTGATGCGTGCCGTTCAAACGGGGTTCAGGTAAGATCAAGCACGACTGGAAGAAGATGATAGTGATGGGTAGCTTGAGAGATAATGTGACAAACTTTGCAAAGTACAAAGCAGGTGTTGTAGCAGAGAGAAAAGTCGAGGCAACCCGGAAGGCTGAGTAGAAGAATGCCAGGGTGTCGGCGAGGAGAGCCATGAAAGCGCTGGACGATGAATGTTCGATCTATTCCAGACCTGGCAACCATTGTATGGTTTGAAACTTCATCTTTCACTGAGACAACGGATGTTCGGGGCGGAATGTAATGACCCGACCCGTGCAGTGGAATGCAGCTTGCCGTTAAGATGGCTCGTCCGGAGGGATGCGAGAATGATTCATCGTTTGTATCTCGACAATACTGCGAACCCTCTGGCACATCACCGCGCTGCACCACATGATCGAAGATGTCGTACGCCATGAAGGACGAAAGCGAAGGTGGAATGATATGAAGATGGGAGGAGGCGGATGATGTGAAGTCGAAGAAGACGCGCACAGACCAGCGGAGTGGGCGGCGCTTGCCTGACCGCTTCAGCCTTCTCCCTCCTCCCCTTTCATTTGTGTTTCATCCAATTACCATCCACACCAATGATCCTGCAAGATATCCTGCATCAATACCCGGTCATCTGTGCTCTCCGCGACCAACCGCGTATCTCGTAGTACCAAACGAAGCACTCGGCGGTGTAAAAGGGGCGATCAAACAGCATGCCCTGGCAGATGTAGTTCGGCGGCTCCTGATAGATCCCTACGCGGTGAATGCATCTAGAACATGCATCAATGTAGGTAGTCAGCAGTGAGAGACAATAGGACCATTGCTGTTGATGGCTTTCCCCATTGTTCCACACGATAGCGAGGTACTACACACTTGACCTTCCATCTTTGGCTTCTGCTCTTTCCCTTCTCTTCACCAACGCTTCTCCTCCTTACTCTCATTCGAACAAGCCACACGGCAGCGAAGACACAATCATGGCCATCCTCAAGCTCCTCTTCGCGCTCATACTGGCTGTCGTCAGGCCAGCCACCGCCTTCCCGTTAAATGTCACCTCAGTCGGCAAGTTGCAGTCTCAGCCTTGTGTCTCAGCCACCTCGCACTTGCTAACAACCCCGCCTAGCTTCCATTCAAGCTGCCGCGAGTACCCTAGCATACGGTCTCATGTCGTGGTACTCAAACAACCAGTCCAACACCCCAGCCACGGCCATCGGCACCTTTCCCCAACCTCTGTACTGGTGGGAAGCAGGGGCAATCTGGGTTGAGATCTCTCCCCCGTCACTCATATTCAGGACTCGCTTGCTGATATTGTGACAGGGCGGGATGATCGATTACTGGGCATACACAGGAGACGACAGCTACAATCCCACCATCACCCAGGCCTTGCTGGCTCAAGTTGGTCCCAATAACAACTTCATGCCGCCGGCCTACTTCAGCTCGTTAGGGAACGATGATCAAGCATTCTGGGTGAGTTTAAGAGACACATAAAGGGATAACACTAACACTCAAACCTTCACAGGCCATCGCAAGTCTCAACGCCTACGAATACAATTTCCCCGTCCCCCCGGCAAACGCTTCGACCCTCTGGCTCGACCTAGCAGAAGCAGTCTTCAACACCATGGTCCCACGCTGGTTCACGCACGAATGCGCCGGCGGGCTCCAATGGCAAATCTTCAAATCGAATCCCGGGTGGGGCTACAAAAGCAGCATCAGCAACGGCGGCTTCTTCCAAATCTCCGCGCGCCTGGCCCACGCTACAGGCAACCAGACGTACCTCGACTGGTGCGAGAAGATCTACGACTGGATGGCGGGCGTGGGGTTCATTGATGCTGACTACAATGTGTGGGATGGCGCGGAGGCGAAGGCGAATTGCACGCCTGTGGATCGCTCGTTGTGGGGGTATAATCCTGCCGTCGTGCTGTATGGGGCTGCGGTGCTGTTCAATGCCACCGGGTCGGAGGTGTGGGCGGAGAGGACTTCGGGGCTGCTGGAGGCGTGCGCGAACTCCTTTTTCTCGCCGTATCCGAATGCGACGGACGTGTGAGGTTGATCTTGCTTCATACGATGGAGCATAGCTGACACGTACGATAGCATGTACCAGCCATCGTGTGAGCCCTTCAACAACTGCAACAACGACCAGCTCTCCTTCAAAGCCTACCTCGCCCGCTGGATGGCGCAGTCAGCCGCCGTCATGCCGGCCATCGAAAGCACCGTTGTCGCCTTACTGTCTGCCTCCGCAGAAGCGGCAGCAGAGTCGTGCTCGGGCGGGGCCAACGGCACCTTGTGCGGTGAGAAGTGGTACGTGGGTGGCTACGATGGGCATTATGGCGTGGGGCAGCAGCTCAGCGCTCTGGAGACGGTGCAGGCGTTGTTGTTGTTTCAGTAGAGCACGAAAGAGAGCAGAGCAGGGATTGTCAAGTAGATCATAGCTTCGTCGAAAGTAGAGAGTGTGTGCCCTCAAACGAGCTACAACCATCTCACAACTTGGGAATGAACATTGGCGTATTCTTCTTCCACTCCTGGTAGTCCTTGCGGTCGCCATATCGCTTGTCGTACTTCTTTTCGCTGAGCGGCACACCAGAAACCTGGAGACACAGTCAGTAACGAATTCCATGATCGGACAGTAGTAGAAACATACCTTCAACAACAAAAACGTCACAAATGCCGGACTCACACCCGCCATAGCCAACGCGCCCACCTTGGCTCCCAACCCTCCACTCAACCCCATGCCCGCCTGCCCCACCGAACTCATCATGACGCCCGCAGCAGCAGTAGCAATGCCCGTCCAAAGCGTGCTCTCCCCAAAGTAATTGGGATGCCGACTCTTGCTCCACAACCCGCGCGTCAAAAAGTCCTCCTCGTGCTTCTTCTCCTTCTTCTCTTTGATCCACTGGTTCTTCTGCCTGTCTGCTGTAGCCTCGAATGAAATCCCGCCTACGTAGAGCAGTAGGCCGAGGATGTCGGTGATTGTGAAGAAGGGGAGGGCCGCGAGGGTGGTGGAGGGGATGCTGTTGACTGCTAGGACGGGGAGGAGGCAGAGCGATACCCAAGTTGCCTGCGCGACGAAAGCGCCGAAGAATTTCGCGGGGGAAGAGCGGATGTTGTCGAAGCGGGAATCTTTCCCATCGTCGGCGGTGATGCGCGAGAACAGGAAAGTGCCGAGTCTTGCAGCCCAGAGCGTCACAGCAGCGGAGAGAACAACCTGGCGCCAGTTCCACGCATTCAGCGTCCCCTTGCTCGTCAAGCTGGCTAGCAGACTCGGCCACGCGGGGGCTGTAGAGGAGAAGTTGGCTGCTGCGCGGGCGCGGAGGGTGGGCAGGTAGAGGGACAGGGCGGTGCAGGAGATGTAGGTGAGGGAGCCGGAGAGGTCGTAGAAGCGCTCTGTTTGGAAGAGGATGGAGGGGAGGGCGGCGGCGGCTTGGATGCCGAAGGCGAGGCTGATGGAGGGGACGAGGGTGCGGAGGAAGGGGTTGCGGTAGTTGGTTGCGTTGAGGAGGGCGTGGAGGAGGGACATGGTGAGGGATTGAGGGTGGTGGTATGGTTGGTGGAATGTACGTTTTGGGAGGTCACATTGTGTAAGGCGGGGAGGAAGAGGGAGGCTTTATGTCTTTCCCCATTGATGGGAGCTTGCACGCGTTTGCGCGTCTGGGGAGAGCTGAAGTTGAAAGTCGTCAACGTCATTCATGCGTCGCCCAACCGGAGGCGGAAGCAGCGTCGTTCCGCGTCGCAGGGATCAATCCTCCACCACTCCTGGACTCTTCCAAGTCTAGCCCGAGATGAGAATACGAGATGACGCTTTTCGGCATGTGTTGCCATTGTGTTGTGATATCGACTTGCTGGCTCGTCATGTCTCATCACATCAGGTAATACAAGCCGTCTCATCTCTCAATCTCAGTAAGCAAGGCTGGCAGGAACTGAAACAGTCCATCAGCCTCATTCCCTTGCAGCAACTTCTGTCTCTCGCGCTTCACTAGATACAGTGCAGGTTGCCCGCATCGACCAGACCGTCTGAGCTTCGAGCATTGCCTGTCGCATTGCCGCCCATTTGTCGTCGCCGCCCACAGTACAGCGTCAGCAGTGTAGGCACAAATCTCTCGTGCTCCACGAACTCATCCCTGCGTTCTTGTGCGATGATTTGTACATCGTTCCTTCTCTGCTGTCTTCACTCCCGGCATCTCATGACTGACCGTATGCCACTTCAGATGGTCGTCGGTCGTCAAACCTCCGTAGTCAAGTAGAAAACACTGCAACCCCCTCGTCACCCCGGCGCATCCAACGACAATCGGATCCGTCGATGCATCTCCGTACAAGTCCAATCCAGCACCTCCCGATACCCCGCCCCCCGATGCCGCCTTTGAATATTCTCAAAAATGTCCACCGGCACATGCACGACCCCATTCATCGCAATCTCCACCAAACACTTGCGCTTCCGGTTCGCGTCAATAGCCATCAACACCATCGGCTCAATCCACCCCGCCGCCCGCTCGTCGGGAGTCTGCTGAATGATGGCCTCAACGAGGTAATTCCTCTTCAGCTTGAGATACAAGTGCTGCAAGCCGTACGTCTCGTTGGCGAAGAAGGCAAACAGGTCGCTCCAGTCTGTGCGCGATCGGGCGTTGATGTTGGGGTGGTGGGGGAATTGCATCGCCCAGCGGAAGCGCCGAATGCAGCGCAGGCGTTGCGGGGGAATCATGATGCGCAGGAAGCGCAGGGCCGCTTGGTTCTGCCAGAATTCGAAGGTGTTGGCGCTGTACAGCGTTTCGATTGCTTCGGAGTAGATTTGGCGGCAGGTTACTAGGAGGGGGAGCAGGCCGGTCGCTTGCGTGTAGTCTTCGCGGGGCGAGGCAGATGGTCGCCGTTTGGTGGGGGCTAGACATGCCTGGTGGTCATCATCGTGCACGATCCCCTCGGCGCGCTGGCAGATGTAGCAGGTCATGCGACCGGTGGTGTCGTTGCCGATGTGGAAGGCCATGCCGCCGAGGACCATGTCGTAGATCAGCAGGCGGATGTCGAGGGGGAGGGTGGTGAGCAGGGCGCATTGCGTCTGCGGGTTTGTGCGCTGCTCTGGCTCTGGCGTAGACCATGATGGCAATCTCTGCCAAAAGGAACTGGGCGCCGTTTCGTGAAGTGGCGCCGTCAATGTTCGTTGTCGTCGGGGTGGGCTGGAGTGCAGCAGTGTGCCGAAGGGAAGTCCTTGCCCGCCCCAGCCCTTGAGCGCGCCGGTGACGATGTTGAGGTCAACCATTGTATTTCCGCGGCAGCAATCAGATCATGAGAGGCCGCCGTGGCCCCCCGCGGTACCAGGTTTGATGGATAGATGGTCTGTTCCAGGTGGAAAGGTTGCAGGCGCAATGCGGCGTTCGAACGACATCACATCATCCTCGGGCTGGCTGACACCATGCGCACATATATATCCCTGCCCCAGATGACCCCGGCTGAACGAGGAGGTGAGTTGGTCGTCTGATAGAGGCTTATACGTATCGCTGGGGTGCATGCGCAGGAATATAGATATACGCAACGTCCAATCGGGAGTGCTTGTCGCGCGTCGATGTCGGAGGTTGGACGACTTGACGGAGGATTTGGCGGGGTTGGACTTTGGACTCGCTCGGACTTAACCTGGCATTGCACGCCGATGAATACGCAATGCTCTTACTCGCCTGCCAATCAGAATGGTCTGTCTTACTCGATATACGATGAAGTAGGTGTCCGAAAATAGGCAAGATGGAGGTGAAGGAGCTGTTTGTACTACGGACCGGGCTTTGCTGTGAAAGGCAGAAACGAACGACCAACACTGCAACAGCTCACAACTTGGCCTTCATCTTGTCCCACTTATCGCTCGAAATATGGCGCTCCCGCAGCGGCTCACCAGCAATATCAAACGGCACGCAAGGCAGCGCAACCGCCACGAACCTCGCCGGCTTCGTCTTGGACGCATTGTGCCAGCGGTGATTCGTCCCTCTCTGCACAATGTGATCCTACAGCATAGCATAGTCAGCTCGAATCGAGTACTTCCAAGCATAAACAAGGTCGCGGCTCACTCCAGGATGTAGCGTCACCGTCTCGCCGCTGTCCAGCTCATGCACAATCTCCCCCTGCACACAAATGGAAAAATCAATCGACACCGTCCGGTGCATCGTACCCTTCGCCCCCGGCTCCAGATCCACAACTACAAGATTGACGCCAGAGGGCTCCTTGTTCACAATTTCGCGGCCCTGGTAGCTCGTAGATCCCGATTCTGCCCGGTACGCTTTGATGTCTTGATCGTTCGCCAGGTTTGCGGGCACGGAGGCTACGGCGAATGAACGCGCCAGTCCGCCGAATCCGGGTACACCGTTGAAGAGCTGGTCGGGGGATTCGGCGTAGACGCTGCGCCCGTTCTTGTCGTGCGTGCAGATGTAGCGTTTGCAGGGCTTTAGCAGGCCTGCTGCAGCGCCTATGAGTTGCACCATTTTGGTATCCTACGCAGGGGATGCGAGATTGTCAGAAATGTTGTAGGTTCGAGCGGCGGGTAGTCCGGCTAAGGAGTTGGACGTGGAGAGGAGACGCCGGAGGCGAGTGGAGCTTGCAGCAGCCTAGGCTGTAGCTGCTTCATCATCCACCAACTTGAACGTAACATCACCCCGACAGATCTGAGAGACTGGGCTGTATTAGAGTCTACCAATCTGTGGATGCTACTGGAACAGACTCCTCTGCAACCAACCGTCAAGCATGGCTCCTCAACCCAAGTCGCCGGGATCAGCAACTCTGCTGAACCCACACAAAATCCGCCAATCGCCCTTCTACTCCCACATCGCCCAAACAATCGGCCCAGTAAACATAGTGATGTTCGCAGGCCAAATCGGAGCGCGGCCAGACGGCAGCGTAGCTTCAGATCCCGTCGAGCAAATCGAAGAAGCATTCAACAATCTTCGCCGCTGCTTGGAAGCCGCCGGTGCGCGCGTGCAGGACATCGTCAAACTGACGTACTACATTGTCGATTTCGACCACACCAACCCGCGACATCGAAAGCCCTTGCTCGAGTTCCTGGGAGAGCATAGGCCGCCTACGACTCTGGTTCCCGTGACTGCACTGGCGTTGCCGGAGTTTGTCTTTGAGGTTGATGCTACTGTCGCTATTCCTCAGAGTCCACCGGCGAGATACGATGTCGTGGTAGTGGGCGGTGGTCTCAGCGGTCTCCAAGCTGCACGAGACCTCCACAGAGCCGGGCTGAGCGTCAAAGTACTCGAAGCTCGCGATAGAGTGGGCGGCAAGACTTACTCCCGCCCGGCACAAGGCAGTGTCTGCGATGTCGGTGCCGCGTGGATCAACGACACGAATCAGTCCAAGATGTTTGCTCTGGCTCAACGGTATGGATTGGATCTTGTTGTGCAGAATACTAAAGGCAGTATTGTTGTCGATGACGGCATTGGCGAATTCAAAACGCATCCTTACGGCCAGTTGAATGCAAATGAGAACGACAAGGAGCGGATTGCAGATATTGTACGCATTCGGGATTTGTTCGAAGAGACGTGTCAAAAGATCGACATTCAAAATCCTGTCGCATCTGGACTTCGAATCCGCGCAGACCTCGACAAACTTACATTCGAGCAGTGGCTCAGATCGCATGGCCCCTTCCATGAAGACGTCATCAATGCGCTGGCAGTCGGTACAAGAGCCATGCTCGGCGTGGAGCCATCGGAGCTGTCTGCTCTCTACTTCCTCGACTACTGCAAATCCGGCGGCGGCTACATGCTCATGCGATCAGACACCAAAAACGGCGGACAGTACTTGCGAATCGCCCAAGGAACGCAATCCTTCAGCCGAGGACTAGCAGCAGAGTTACCCGACGATGCCGTTGCCCTGATGTCTCCCGTCCGCCGCATCGAGAACATCCCTGGCGGAGTGCGAGTCTCGTCCGCCAGAGGAGTCTACGAAGCTTCGCGAGTCATCGTCTCCGTCCCCACACCCTTATACAACGAAATCACCTTCGTTCCCGCTTTGCCGCAGAAGAAACTGGACCTCGCGGCCTCGACTCGACTAGGAGATTACTGCAAGTCCATAGTCTTCTACAAAACACCCTGGTGGAGAGAACACGGGCTCTGCGGGCTGGCGCAGTCGTCGCACGGCCCGTTCGCCGTGACGAGAGATAGCAGCGTCGACGCCGACGGGCATTACAGTCTGACGTGTTTCGTGGTGGGCCAGCCGGCGCGGGATTGGATGGTTCTTCCGCGGGAGAAACGCGACGAGGCGGTGCTGGAGCAGATTCGGAAGCTGTACGGGCCGTTTGCACCGGTGCCGGAGCCGGTGGAGATTGTGGAGCAGATTTGGCAGGATGAGCAGTGGAGTCAGGGATGTAGGTCTAAGTTTCTGTTCCGCAATCATGAGTATGCTTGGCTGACTTTGTGTTTAAGGTCCTTGCCCCGTCATGGGTCCTGGAGGCTTAACGCGGTTTGAGCATGTCCTCCGAGCACCCGTTGGCAGGATCCATTTTGTCGGCACGGAAACGGCTTATGAGTGGAAAGGGTGAGTGCCTAGTAGCCTGGCTCTTACCAAGACGAGTGCTAATGATGTGAGTAAAGGTATATGGAGGGCGCCGTGCGTTCGGGCGAAAGAGGAGCACAAGAGGTGTTGCTGAGTCTCAATCGAGCGAAGATCTAGAAGCAAGCGCCGAGATGCGGATAGTAGGGCGCGGTAGAGGCGCGAGAGCCATCCGGATGTCACTCCCCCGCTGCTGCGCCTTTCGGGCTGAACAGAATGAGTTCGAGCCAAGTAGTCGACGAGATTCATCGGTGTGTGGCGTATCGTTGCAGCGTATCGGGAATCGCGACATTCCTCATTCCACGAGGGTCCATCACAGTGCAAATATTCAAGGATGAGAGTGCCCATCCTCGAATAACGTAGTCCGCCAGCCATTGGTGCAAGACTAATGCAGGTGTGTCATGATTCCGTTGCCACAGTACAAATCGAACAGTAGCCGGGAGCACGTATGCATAACGAGCGAACAACAGGTTGTATTGTGACCCATGTGCTTTGTCGATCTGATAGACCAGCAGACAGGTATCAGCGATGATCCAAGCGGACACTAGCCATGCGGGGAGGAACCGCTGCAGCGTCCAGTAGGAGCAGCGAGAACGCCAGACCAGAGCGCGTAGAGCCTCTCGGCCGCCCATCGGATGTCTCTGTCCGACACTCCAGCAAGCTTTGTTGATCTGTCCATAGCGGAGGTGGACAGCGTATGCTGTGAGGTCGCCGCCCGGACATTTTTAAGGTTGCGACTAGCTCCACCCAGGCGGAGGCGGACCGCACCGCGCATCGTTTTGCGGGGCGTGGCTTCGTTCAAATAATTTTTGGGAACGGAATTTCAACTCCAGTACACGATCAGGAAGAGATCTCGTTCGCTCAAGGTTCTCTCACCCCCACTTGCAAACCTGGCCGAAACCCTTCCATTCCGGTTCAAGGCCGGCGACAACGGTCGCATGGCGTCCACGAACGCGGTGTCGCAACATCACCACCGCTCCACGACCAAAACGATTAACAAATCGTTCAAATCTCGCCATTCCTCCAAGTCGGCATTGAAAGATCAGGCAAAGGGCAAGGTGGAATCGTTTGAAAGAGGGCAGAGAAAGACACCGCATCAACAAGTCATGTCGAAGCTTGACAGGAAGAATCATGCAAAGCAGATCAGGATCAATAAGTCGGGAGAGCGGGAGAAGGAGAGCAGTGTCTTTGCGGGTCGAGATGGCGCTCCCAGAATCATTGCGGTCGTTTCGCTCTGTGAGGACGTCAACAGCGTGGATGTGGTGCAAAGCCTGAATGAGAGCGTCGATGTGGCGGCGGACGTTACAACTGGCACAATTGAGATTCCAAGGTTCAAGCAAAAGGTGCAATACCTGACGCCACGACGAGATCTCTTGGAGTCCATGGACGCATGTCGAGTTGCGGACTTTGTGCTGTTCTTACTTAGCGCGACAGAGGAGGTGGACGAACTGGGCGAGCAGGTGTTGAAGTGCATCGAATCACAAGGAGTCTCCACCGTCCTGACTGGTGTGCACAACCTGGCCACCATCGAACCGGCGAAGAGAAGACCCGATGTCGTGAAGAGTCTCAAAAGCTTCATCAACCACTTCTTCGCCTCGCAAGAAAAGGTTCACGACCTTGGTAATCGACAAGAATGCAGCAATGTTATGCGAAGTCTATGCGCTACCATGCCCAAAGGCATAAGGTGGAGAGACGATCGGAGTTGGATGGTGGCTGAGAAAGTGAGATGGGAGGGTGAAAATGCTGTGGTGACTGGTATCGTTCGTGGACGAGGGCTAAACGCCGATCGACTGGTGCAGGTGGGCGATTGGGGCGACTTTCAGATCGAAAAGGTTACCGCCGCGCCTTTAGTCGTGCAGAGAAAAGCACAAAGGACTGAAGGCATGGTCGTTGACGCGCCTCAGCTTGGTGATGTCCTTCAACAGCCCTCTGAGAATAGAGACGACCTGGTGGCGCTTGCTCCGGAGGAAATGGCAATGGATGGAGATATGGCGGCATCGATCGCACCGTCAGAACGCAAAGCCGTGCTTCTGGACGACCACCACTACTTTGATGAGGATGACCGGGATGACCTGACAGTACCAAAGAAACTGCCACGCGGTACTAGCAACTACCAAGCCGCGTGGTATCTAGGTGACATGTCCGACTCTGGCTCTGACCTCGAAGATGTCGACTCCGAAGACGATGGCCACCTCAGCGTGAATGGTTTCACTGGTATCAACCCTGCAGACGGCGAGTTTGACGATGCCATGGCCGATGCCACAGAAGCTGGAGCATCGGAGTATCCCCAAAGCGAGGTGTTTGATGATCGCGCCCCGGAGGACGAGGTAGCGGAACTAGAGGCATACCGAACGCGAAGACGAGACGAAGCGCACGACGATCTCGAATTCCCAGACGAAATCGAGCTTCACCCCCATGTCTCTGCTCGCGAGCGCCTTGCAAGGTACCGAGGGCTGAAAAGTCTGAGAAGCAGCAAGTGGGATTTCGAAGAGGACTTGCCACATCAACCGGAAGATTGGTCTAGACTGCTGGAAATTGCCGACTACAAGTCCGCCAAGAACCGCGTTCTGAAGGAGGCACTGGTGGGTGGAGTGAAGCCAGGGACCAGAGTGGAAATCTACCTTCGAGTTCCGGAAGACCAAGTTGCGAGATTGCAGGCCTTGCCGGAGCCAACAGCTGTCTTTTCTCTCCTGCGACACGAGCACAAGCAAAGCGCAGTCAACACGTCCATCTCACTTTCTTCAGATTTCGAGCGACCGCTGAAGTCAAAGGAGGATCTTATTCTGCAATGCGGACCGAGAAGGCTGATCATCAACCCGCTGTTCAGCCAAGCTGGAAATACACCCAACGACGTCCACAAATTCGACCGATACCTTCACCCCGGACGCACAGCAGTCGCGAGCTTCATCGGCCCGGTGATCTGGGGCAGCGTGCCATGCCTCTACTTCAAGCGTCAAGCACAACCCAGGCCGGCCGATGCAATCGAAGACCTAGCCCAAAGCATCCACGCCAATGGCTCCCCGTCGTCCAAACTGGACTTGATCGCAACAGGCACATCCCTCCCGCCCTCAACATCGCGCGTCATCGCCAAACGCATCATCCTCGCCGGCCACCCGTACAAAATCCACCGCAAACTCGTCACGATCCGCTACATGTTCTTCAACGCCGAGGACGTCATGTACTTCCGGGCTCTGCAACTCTGGACCAAGCGCGGAAGGTCGGGCTTCATCAAGGAGCCGCTGGGCACACATGGGTACTTCAAGGCTACGTTTGACGGGAAGATCAATCCGCAGGATTCGGTGGGCGTGAGTTTGTATAAGCGGGTGTGGCCGCGGAAGGCGGCGATGTGGCAGCCTGGAGCGGAAGTGAGTGAGGAGGTTCCGGAGCTGGTAGAGGATGGAGGTGTTATGATTGAGTAGATGATGCATGAAGGAGCCTTGACGGAAGGTGTCGCATCATATTATTAGAAGTTTGAAGATCCCGAACGAAACGCTCAATCTCATGGACAGCCCGGCAACTTCAATCCCATCTAGCCGCTTTGCTTCACCTGAATTTGCTGACAACCACAGCAATGATCAAGATAACCAACACAGTGATGATAGCCACTGTTACAATCTTGTTGGTAGCCATCCTAAAAACACAAAAGGTCAGCACCATGCACTCGCCAGCTCGCAATCACCAAAGACTCGGTAAATACCTTCTCGCCATGCCCTTCAACGTCTTATTACTCCGATCCGTGTAACCCTCGCTCTCCAACAGCGTGCCACGCGTATGCTCAATCGTCTCCCGCTGCCTGCTGAGATCCGCCAAAGTATTGCGCCCAATATCCTCCGTCTCCAGCGCAATCCGCTGACTCTCCCTCAAACGCCCACTCGACCTCTCCAACCTCTCCGTCCCACCCAGCAACTGCTGCCTCTGCTCCAACTGCTGATCCTGCCCGGACGGATCATCCGTATATCGCTTCCCGAAAAGCGCCTGCCGATCGCCATCCAGACTCTTGAGTTTCCTTTTCGCGGCATCGACATCGCTCTCGTAGTTCCGGAAGCGCTGGTTGACTTTCTGCTTCGACGTTTGCGGGATGTTTTGCTTCTCTAGGCGCATGGAGTCGAGGAGTTCTTTGGCTTCGTCGAGCGCGCGCTCGGCTTGCGAGATGGCGGCTTTGCGCGGCTCGCCGCTTAGCTCGGGGATCTGGTCGAGTTTTTGTGAGAGGTCTGCTTGCACTAGTTTTAGCTCGGCTTCGTAGTTGCTGAAGAGCTCGGAGCCGGCTTCGGTGTCGAGTGGGTTCGACATGGCTGGAGCGGGAGGAGCTTGTGGGTGACGGGGGCGGGTTGGGATGGTCGGGATGCGCTTCGTGTGTAGCAAGGCCGTCTCTGATAGCGCAGAGGAGGATCCGGGTGGTGGTTGTGGGGTTTCGTGGGTGGGCGATGTTGGTGATGTTGGTAGAAGAGTCCAGGTTGACACGACGCATCGGGCATGGCTGACGTCTCCAGCGTGGCCGGGCCCGTCACGTGGCGGGTCGGAGCCTAAACTCTATTTGGGCTACATTCTAACCACGAGTCAAATCCGCGACCTCTCCTCTTTCTTGTAACAGCATGTTCTCCGAACTAGATATCAGGCAAGTCTTTTGGCTGACTTCGTACTGGCATAATTCTTCGACTCCACTCCAGAAGACTCAATCCTCGGAAGAGAGATGGCCTACCAAGACAGATGTTCTGCTCTTCTTCACAGTGAATCCATCGCACAACCTATGAATACGAGAGGAGGCACAGTTCAGCGCATTCTCAGGAGCTGACAGTAGCCCGCTGCGTTCATCTCCTGCCATCTAACATTGACTATAGATGATGTGATCCTCTTCATCCCTGCGAGTTATCCCTCCAGCTTGGCATCGTCCTTAGCGACCGACCCCGCATGTCTTCGAACTACCCGATCCTTGGCGGGCGTGTGAACATACCATGCGTGATTGATTGTCCTGACCGCTATTGGCTTCCGTTATTGGATGCATAGTTACTCACCATGGTCGTTACCTCGCTTCCACAGGAGTGTCGTTTCCCCCTGGCTTCAGCCTGGTTCATTCAAGTCTACATGGAAACGGGGCGAATGTCGCGATGTATATATAATGACGCGCGCATCCCCGTGAAAAGTAACGGTAAGTCAGCGGTAGCTCTTCTTCTCTGTCCGTCTTCGACTTATTTTCAACTGCGTGCAAGATGCATATTTATTCTCAGCTCTTCGCCGTCCTAGCCTTTGGCGAGGCTTTTGCTCTCGCAGCGACCACCAAGGCCAAAACGTGTACGACAAGTCTAACGCCCAAGTATGCCGCACCATCTCTGGCTTCCGGATATGTTGCACGCCTGGTGGCCACGGGCCTAACTACACCCCGAAGCATCAAGTTCGATACGAACGGAGCATTGCTCGTTGTTGAGTCCGGCGTAGGCGTGACCGCCCTTACTCTGGACGAGTCCAATCCCAGCTGTGTCATTGAAAAGTCGCGGAAAGTCGTCGTTGCCAACAATGCGCTCAACCATGGCCTGGAACTCTCTCCCGCAGGCACGACGTTGTATGCATCTGATACCGGGTCTGCCTACGCTTGGAGCTACTCGGCCTCGAAGCAGTCTGCCACCTCGCGAAAGACAATCATTAACAACATGACGAACTCAGACCACACGACTCGCTCGCTTCTTCTGCCCAAATCCGCGCCCGGCGTACTCGTCGTATCGCGCGGAAGCAATTCCAATCTCGACCCAACGTCGGAGAACATCTCCTCCGGAACCGCGCAGGTGAAGGCTTTTAACATCACGAACATCAAGCAGCCTTTGGGCTTTACCAGCAGCGGCAAGCTCCTTGGCTGGGGTCTGCGTAACGACGTCGGACTCGCCGAAGAACCGAAGGGCGGTGGCATCTACACTGTCGAGAACAGCGCCGACCAAATCACCAGAAACGGCGTGGACATTCACAACACGAATCCGTCCGAGGAGATGAACTTCCTAGGCTATCTGAACGGGAAAAGCTCACCCAATCAAGGGCGCAACTTTGGATATCCGGAGTGCTTCACGGCATGGTCTCCCTCTACCATTCCCGCTTTCAAGGGCAAAGTGGGCCAGCAGTTCGCCATTGGGACGATCGGGCCGGGGAACAACGATAAGTTGTGCTCGAACAAGTACAAGCAGCAAGCAGCCCTAGGCTTCCATCCTCACATGGCGCCTTTGTCAATTCTCTTCAACCCGAGCGGCGATACAGGCTGGGTGACGTTTCACGGAAGCTGGGATAGTACGGTCCCCGTCGGTATGTACAGCCCTCCTCTCGAATCACAATGACCCGCGAACTAACTCCTTCCCCAGGCTACAAGCTCAGCCAAGTGGACTTCGCAAAAGGCGCGCCCGTCCAGCCTTCCAACAGCACCACGGCGGCCATCGACATCATGTCGAATGCGAATACGGCCAACTGCTACAACACCACCTGTTTCCGCCCCGTGGGCCTCGCTTGGGACAAGAACGGGAATCTGTTCATGAGTTGCGATACGACCGGGGAGGTTTATGTGATTTTGCGGACGGATGGGAAGCCGACGAACTCGCCGCGGAGTTCTTGAGATGTTAAGTAGTAGGGTTGAATATATATGACATCTTCAGTATCGTAGCTACATTATGTGACCGTAACGTTACACAAGGCATTGGGTCCAGATTACCTCCCAATAACATCAAGCAAAGTGCACCCGGCGTCGATCAGGCTGTCGACGTTCGTGGGCCCGTCGACGACGCTCCTCGTCTCTGCGCCTCTCCTCCTCCGCCTCCCTCCGCCGCTCCATTTCCCTACGTCTCTCCGCCTCCCTTCGTTCCTTTGCGTACAGCTGTCTTTCGTACTCTCGCCGTTTCTCGGCTTCTCGTGCTTCTCTCTTGGCTCGTCGTTTCCTCTCATTCTCTTTATCCTGGGAAACGAATAGCGTTAGCGTTGCATGGCTCATTCATGTCTTTATGTGAGGAAGTCTTACCCTCCTCGAAGCACCAAACCCTTCGTCTTTGGGTAGCCCAAAGATCCAGTCGACGATCTCGCCGAGATCGTCCATAGCACTTGATGATTTTCTGCGATGCCCGGATCGTTTGACAGAGGTGGGTCTCATCTGCAAGCAGGGCGGATGTTATTGGAGGCTGGGAGCGTTGGGTCTGAGAGATGAATTGACGAACAGACTGAACCTTCTGATACCGTGGTTTATATACCGCAGGACTGCGAACTACTCGCCTTCAAGTCTTTCAAGAGCGCGGGGGGGCATACGCCCAAGGAGACACGCTGGCTCGGCGACCTTTCTTGACCGGTCTGGTGACGCGGTTGTCACGGCACATCGAGGGCGAAGGCGCGGCAGAATAGGATCATCAGGCATACCAGGCCACTGACTCACGGATGTCCCTCACGGCGTAGACTTCGCAATCGCGCGAACCGCTGCACCGCGTCGCACCTCGTGGGCGCGGGAGCTGGGCGTGGGGTGTCGACTGCACGCTCAGCCTTGCGCGTCAAGAAGGGCACAGCCACTGTATTGGATGACACGGGAGGTCGACGGATTACACGAGAGGTCGACGCGTGCTGATGCATGGCGTTCGACATCGCCGAGGCTCGGTCTTGGCTGTTGGACGCCTGCATCACATGTAAGAATATGGGCGCAAGACGTTACGCCGACGCTTTCCACCCGGAGCGACGGCGACAAACCGGTGATGCGCTGAGGTCGAGCAAATGGCGACATCAAGAGGCATTGACCGGTGTGAGAGGAGAGGTAGGGTGAGGTGAGGTGCAGGTGCGCGAACAGCTGGAAATGACTCGTCCGCGGCTTTGCGGCCCCCTCCGTCTGCAGATGCACCCCAGGTTTGCTTTGGCGTGGGGTGGACTCTTCCTGCACGTCTGCGGTATTTACTACGACTGCTGCCGTCCGGATGGCTATCTTTGGAGCACAGGCTAGATTGCTGAGACGGGAAGGCTCGTCGTGTCGTCAATAAGGTAAGCAGACTCGCCCGGTAGGAAGGCTGCGGTTGTCTTTGTCTGATTGCATCCTCACGTCACTCTTCGGAAGACGGATCGTGTGTGCTTCCGCCTTGGCGGCTGACCGGTGGATGACGTGGTTACGGCGGCGAACAGGGGAAGAAGGCCTGGCCGAAGGCTCGAACTTCGCGGTTAACACCACAAAAGGAAGTCGCGACACTTCACCATTCGAAACGGCTGGCGAGGATGGCCGATGAACTCAACGCTCCCTTACGCCCTCGGTGTGACGGCACTTCTGTCTTCCCCACCACGAGCCATGGCTGACAAGTCGAAGGTCATCATGGCGATGGCACTTGGCAGCACTCCAGATGGTGGCGCCTCAGTCGGATCCGCCAGGCCCCAATACAGTGCAAACGACACCAACTCCACCACATGGCATCTCTAGACGTCGAGGTGGTGGAATACACGAACTCTGCCACGCGTATCGGGCTCTACCGAATGCCCCAACCAGGCCCAAATAGCATCTTTCAGTGGGTATGCTGTCCGGAAGCGGCTGCTCTCACTTCCATGTGCGTGCTCACTTGAAGTGTGGCTCCGGGCTCCGGACTTTCACGGGCGCCCAGACGGAGGGTGCCTCTCATTCTCCCAGCTCCGCCCCGACCTCAACGACGCGTGCATGTTTGGATATTTGAGAACGTTTCTCTGTTTCAATCTCGTTTTGCTTTCAGCTTCTTGCTTCCTCACTGTAATTCTTTTGTTTTAATGAGCTTTTTGCGAATGTCTCGCCGTACTGACCGGTAAATACCCAAGCCTCACGACATCATGCCTCAAAGAAGCTCGTCCTGGGGCACACCCATTGGCAGTGGTGCTGGGGAGGAGATAGTCCGCACGATATCGAATGCTCTGTCGAGAACTTTCTCCAACCAGAGTTATCATCATGAAGATGCCGCCCTATCGGACTCCAGCATCGATGAAAAGTCAACGACCAAGGCGGCTGATTGGCACATGAGGGATGAAGTCAAGGCCATGGCGGAGCAAACCGAGAAAGATAGTGGCAAGGAGCGACGACTCGGTGTTACCTGGACGAATCTCATTGTCAAAGGCATTGGAGCGGACGCTGCCTTGCACGAGAATGTCCTCAGTCAGTTCAACATCCCGACTCTCATCAAGGTACAGCATCATCCCGTGGACAGCTTAAGCCATTGCTATGGCGTGCTTGGCGCTCGACACCATCGATCCCTTCACCCACGAGCCATCTGCTGACATGTCACAGGAGGGTCGACAAAAAGCTCCACTCAAGACCATCGTCGACAACAGCCATGGCTGCGTCAAGCCCGGAGAGATGCTGCTTGTTCTCGGTACGACGCACTACTTCCCGAACCAACGCATTCACTGACGCTCAGCAGGTCGACCTGGTGCCGGCTGCACAACGCTCCTCAAGATGCTGGCCAACCGCCGACTGGGCTATGCCGAAGTCACGGGCGACGTGAAATTCGGCTCGATGGATGCCAAAGCAGCCAAGCAGTACCGAGGGCAGATTGTCATGAATACCGAAGAGGAGCTTTTCTTCCCGACCCTCACCGTCGGCCAGACCATGGACTTTGCCTCACGGATGAAGGTCCCTTACAAGGTGCCTTCGAATATCAAGGACCAGAAAGAATTTAAAAATATGATGCGGGACTTCCTGTTACGCTCCATGTCGATCGAGCACACTCATGACACGAAAATCGGCAACGAGTTTGTGCGAGGTGTGTCGGGCGGAGAGCGAAAGCGTGTCTCCATCATCGAGACCATGGTCTCCAGAGGATCAGTGTTCTGCTGGGACAATAGCACGCGCGGTCTGGATGCGTCGACGGCCCTCGAGTACACAAAGTGCGTTCGTGCCATGACGGACATCCTCGGACTCAGCTCCATCGTCAGTCTTTACCAGGCGGGCAATGGAATCTACGACCTTTTCGACAAAGTCTTGGTGCTGGACAACGGCAAGCAGATCTTCTACGGACCCATGTCCCAGGCGCAGCCCTTCATGGAGGAGTTGGGCTTCGAGTACACCGACGGCGCCAACGTGGCCGACTATTTAACGGGTGTCACGGTCCCCACAGAAAGAAGAATCACGCCTGGCATGGAAGACCGATTCCCACGCAATGCCGATGAGCTCCGGGCAGCATACGAGAAGACGGACATCAGGCCGCAAATGGAAGCAGAGTACGCCTACCCCGAGACCGACGAAGCCAAACTATACACCCAGAACTTCCAGGAAAGCGTGCGGTCGGAGAAACATCGAGGCCTGCCCAAGAAGTCGCCTCTCACCGTCGGTTTCTCCACGCAAGTGAGCGCCGCAATCACAAGGCAGTACCAACTCATCTGGGGCGACAAACCGACCTTCTTCATTACCCAGGGACAGACGATCCTGATAGCACTCGTTGCCGGATCTCTCTTCTACAACGCGCCCAACAATTCGTCGGGGCTATTCGTCAAAGGGGGCTCGCTCTTCCTTGCACTGCTCTACAACTCGCTACTTCCCATGTCCGAAGTGACCGGCTCCTTTGCTGCTCGCCCCGTTCTCGCCAAGCATCGTGGATTCGCCCTCTACCACCCGGCGGCGTACTGTATCGCCCAAATCGCCGCAGACATCCCCATCATCTTCGCCCAGATTACGCTATTCTCCCTCCCGCTATACTGGATGACGGCCCTCAAGCCTACAGCGGCTGCTTTCTTCACCTATTGGGTCGTCAACTATGCAGTCTGTATGTGCATGACAGCACTTTTTCGCGCGATTGGAGCCGCGTTCTCAACCTTCGACGGCGCTTCGAAGGCGTCTGGCTTCATCTTTGGCGCCTTCGTCATGTACGTGGGCTACCAGATCCCCAAGCCAAATATGCACCCTTGGTTCGTGTGGATCTATTGGATCAACCCACTGGCCTACGGCTATGAGGCGCTCTCTGGCAACGAGTTCAGCGGAGCTATCATCCCTTGCGTCAACAACAATCTCGTGCCGAACGGGCCGGGCTATACCAATAACCAGTTCCAGGCTTGCACGGGTGTCAGGGGCGCTCCCTCAGGCGCTGCATCACTGACGGGTGCCGAATATCTCCACGCTCTTTCGTACAGCTCCTCGCGTATCTGGCGCGACTTTGGCATCATCTGGGCCTGGTGGGTGCTGTTCGTTGCTCTCACAATCTTCTTCACGTCCCGGTGGAGTCAGGTCTCCGGCAACACCGGCTTTCTGGTGATTCCGCGCGAGAAGGCGAAGAAAGCAAAGCATTTGGTCGCGGACGAGGAGTCACGAAAACCGTCGCCATCTGGGTCGGATGAGATGGTCAATGTGGAGAAGCCACGGGAAAAGCGGGACGACGGGGACAATCAGCTGATTCGCAACACTTCGGTGTTCACGTGGAAGAACCTGTATTACACTGTCAAAACTCCCTCTGGGGACCGAGTGCTTCTTGACAATGTTCAGGGGTGGGTCAGGCCTGGTATGCTGGGTGCTCTGATGGGGTCTTCGGGTGCGGGCAAGACGACCCTACTCGACGTCCTCGCGCAACGAAAGACCGACGGAACGATCAACGGGAGCATCATGGTTGACGGGCGTGACCTACCAGTGTCTTTCCAACGATCGGCGGGGTACTGTGAGCAGCTCGATGTGCATGAGGACCACTCCACCGTCCGCGAGGCCTTGGAATTCTCTGCTCTGCTACGACAAAGCCGCGACACCCCGCGAGAAGAGAAGCTCAAGTATGTGGATACCATCGTCGATCTGCTGGAGATGCACGACATTGAAAATACACTGATTGGATCAACGACTGCTGGTCTTTCGGTCGAGCAACGCAAGCGTCTAACGATCGGAGTCGAGCTCGTCTCGAAACCCACCATTCTGATCTTCTTGGACGAACCGACGTCCGGCCTCGACGGACAAGCGGCGTTCAACATTGTTCGCTTTTTGCGTAAGCTGGCCGACGCGGGCCAGGCAGTGTTAGTTACCATTCACCAGCCTTCCGCCTCACTGTTTGCCCAATTCGACACTCTGTTACTCCTCGCAAAAGGAGGCAAGACCGTCTACTTTGGCGACATTGGGAACGATGCTCAGACGATCCGCGACTACTTTAGCCGCTACGATGCTCCTTGCCCGCCCCACGCCAATCCTGCAGAGCACATGATCGATGTCGTATCCGGCCAGCTCAGTAAAGACCGAGACTGGAATCAAGTCTGGCTGGAGTCTCCCGAGTACACTGCCATGACCGAAGAGCTCGACCAGATGGTCTCTGAAGCAGCTTCCAAGCCCCCCGCCACTGTCGACGATGGGCACGAATTCGCTACGACCTTGTGGACGCAGATCAAACTGGTCACCAATCGCAACAACGTTTCCCTCTACCGCAACGCGGGGTACGTGAATAACAAAGTCGCCCTGCACGTCTTCCAAGGCCTGTTCACCGGCTTCAGCTTCTGGCAGATTGGCGACGGCGTCGCGGATCTCCAACTCCGCCTGTTCGCCATCTTCAACTTTATCTTCGTCGCGCCGGGCGCGCTGGCGCAGCTGCAGCCGCTCTTCATCGACCGCCGCAACATCTACGAGGCGCGGGAGAAGAAGTCGAAGATGTACCATTGGGTCGCCTTCGTCACGGGGCTGATTGTCTCCGAATTCCCTTACCTCGTTGTCTGCGCTGTGGGGTACATGCTCACGTGGTACTACACCGTCGGCTTCCCGCTCAACAGCAACAAGGCCGGCGCCGTCTTTTTCGTCATGCTCTTTTACGAGTTCATCTACACGGGTATCGGGCAAGCCATCGCCGCGTACGTCATCTCCTCCTCACCGTCCCTTATCCTCTAACTAACAATACCTTCCAGCTACGCCCCCAACGCCGTCTTCGCCGCCCTCGTCAACCCCCTCGTCATCACCATCCTCGTCCTCTTCTGCGGCGTCCTCGTCCCCTACGCCGAAATCCAAGCCTTCTGGCGCTACTGGCTCTACTACCTCAACCCCTTCAACTACCTCATCGGCAGCCTGCTCGTCTTCACCACCTGGGACGCCAAAGTCGTCTGCAAGCGCTCCGAGCTCGCCATCTTCGACACCCCCGGCGGCGGCACCCAGACGTGCGCCGACTACCTCGCCGACTACCTGCGGGGCGCGGGCGCGCACTCGAATCTGCTGAACCCCGGCGCCACCGCGGGGTGTGAGGTGTGTCAGTACCGCTCTGGCTCGGATTATTTGTACACGTTGAATTTGAAGGAGTATTATTATGGGTGGAGGGATGCGGGGATTGTAGTGATTTTTGCCATTTCGTCGTACGCTTGTGTGTATCTGTTGATGTGAGTCTTCCCCCCCCCTTTTTGCTCGCTATAGAGGAAGTTTTGGGGCTGACGATGCAATTGTACAGGAAATTGCGAACGAGAGCTAGTAAGAAAGCTGAGTAGTGTGGAGATGGGATCTGGAAATATTGGAGGTGGTAATGACTCGCGAGACGGGCAGTGTGCTTCATGGCGTTGACTCCGCGACGAACAGATCGAAAGGTCGCGGCATAAAGGACTGGATACTTTTAGATCTCCTTATTCATTAAGAGACGAGAAGATAGAGCAATAGACATGACCGGTGGACGAGAAGGATGACCGCCGAGGGATCGTATTAGAGCATAGATGTAGATTAGATAGAGAGGGCGGCGTTACAAACAGAGGGTTCACTCTGGTTCGCACTCGAACGCATACCCATTAGAATCGCCTGCTCATCGCAGATGGAAGTGACTACCTTTATGTGCTGCCATGATCGTTGAAGCGCGCACATTCTCATGGATCGGCAGGCAATTCAGCCTTGTCGGCCGGCCGTGATCAACGGCCCGCGTGGCGAAACCAACGCAACTTCACGCCACGCACTTGTCTGTTCGACTCGATGTCTTGCTTTTGTCGATCAACGCTTCAGTACAATGAATTGCCTTTCATTCCTGCAATCTGCCACCCATCCACGCTTTTCTTTTTCGTATTCCATTCCATCACATTATTCTTGCGCCTCTCACACAGCTCCACTTTCCCTCGAGCAGCGGCCCGCTTGCGCTACATTCGATTGGTCTGTCCCGCACTCTTGACGTGCTACATCTTTCAACAATCAACCAAATCAGACAATCACGCAGTGCTACGAGACAGGCCATTCTTCACGCACGTCTGACTATCCTTCGGGCCGTCAGAACCAGCCGAAGATTTCAAAAAATTCAAAAGACCAACTTCCAACCGCCACCATGGCCGTGGGAGCAGATGTCGAGCGCACATCCATCTACAAGCGAGTCGCCATCATCGGCAGCGGCTGCGCAGCCCTCGGCGCCGCCTACGCCATCAAAGACACCGACTACGAAGTGCACATTTTCGAAAAAGACGCCCGGCTCGGCGGGCACACCAACACCCAGACTTGGACGAAGAATGGCCACTCGACTCCCGTGGACACGGGCTTCATCGTCATGAACTCGGCGACGTATCCCAACTTTATCAACTTCTTGAACGACGTGGGGGTCCCGATCAAGGCTACGGAGATGAGTTTTGCTGTGTCGCGGGATGAGGGCAAGCTCGAGTGGAGTGGAAGTGGGAGGGGAATTTTTGCACAGAGGCGGAATCTTTTTCGATTAGGGCACTGGCGAATGATTCTTGATATTATGCGATTCGAACAGCATGCGTTGGACTTGCTGCGGAGAGATGACGAGGAGGCGCGGAGTATCACCATCGGCCGATATCTAACCAAGGAGGGCTACTCGCAGGCTTTCAAAGACGACTACTTGATCCCCATGACGGCGGCGGTTTGGAGTACTTCGCCTGACAAGACGAGTCTGGAGTTTCCGGCGCAGACACTTATCCGGTTCATGTGGAACCATCACTTGCTCTCGACCGTTTCCAGAAGGCCTGACTGGTATGTTGCCTTCTGTCTTCGTACCTCAATGTTGATGCATTCGCAATGCTAACAAACACAGGCTGACTATCCCCGGCGGCTCTCAGCAATACATAGACGCCATCGTCCAAGCATACCCCAAAGGTCGCCTCCACATCCACCGCTCGGCCCAAGTCATCGGCATAAACCGCAGTCCTCCCGGAACCAACATGCCCGCGCGCCTCTACTGGCAACAGAACGACCAAACCCCCGCAACAACGCACAACGACACCTTCGCCCACGTCATCTTCGCCTGCCACGGCGACCAAATCCTCCCCATTCTCACTGGCTCCCCCAAGGACCAGCCCAACAACACCGCCACCCCCGAAGAACGCGCGCTCTTCTCCGCCTTCCAAACCACGCGCAACGAATGCTACCTCCACTCCGACCTCTCCCTCATGCCCACCCGCCCCGCCACCTGGAGCTCCTGGAACTACCTCATCTCCACCTCGCACGGCCCGCCGTCGAAACTCCCGCACCCGGCAGGCGTCAGCTTAACCTACAATATGAACATCCTCCAGCACCTCTCGCGCAAACTCTACGGCGACGTGCTCGTGACCATGAACCCCCCGCATCCACCCGTAGCAGACACCATCCAAGGAACCTTCTCCTACGAACACCCGCTTTACACCGTCGCGGCCGTGCGGGCGCAGCAGGAACTCGAGACCCTGCAGAATAAGCGCGGCGTCAGCTACGCTGGCGCGTGGACCAAGTACGGCTTTCACGAGGATGGGTTTAGTAGTGGGGTTAGAGTTGCGATTGAGCATTTGGGCGCTACGGTGCCGTTTGAGTTTGTCGATTCGACGTTTAGTCGGGGCGCGGTGCCGCCGGTGCCTGCATTACTTGATCTGCTTGTCAGGCTTGTGGTGTGGGTTTTGGGGTTGGGAGTGAGGTTGTTGGAGGGGGTTTTGGGGTTGCCTGGGGTCGGGCTGTTGGTTGCGCTCGTCACCTTCGTTCCGTTGAAGATGGTGGAAACTTTGGAGACGGCGGGGGTTATTGCTTAGCAGCGGTGGTGGTGTGGATGACGCCGTCGTTGATGTCGTAGATACCCCACTCTATAGAGCGATAGATTAGACTCCACTGCGAATAGACACATGAAGAATTGTGAAGCTTCGTAGACTGTTCTGATTCGTCTATGGATGCTACATCGCTACCTTTGCGAACGCCGGGAATGCTGGGTAGAAGGGCAAATCGCAGGAAGACTAAAGATTGGTGAGGTAATCTTCAATCTCCGCTGGACTCAGCTTCCTGAATCTCGGTCCCTTTGCTCCCTCTACGCCTTCGTAGCCGAGAAGATGGTCTGCTGGTGGACCGACGATGCCTGTGCGTCATGTTAGCATACTATCCTTTTCGATCCAAGCCCAAAAGACGTACCAATCTCGACGGTATCCCCATTCATCTCTCCCTCGATCGTCTCCTTGAGGGTGAGCAATGCAATATGCACCGCATCTTCCAACTCCAACCCTTCTGTGTATCTCTTCTCCAAAAACGTCTTGGCGCTCGTAGCACTCTTCCCAATCGCCGTCGCCTTCCACGGGAAATAAGAGCCCGAAGGATCCACCTGATACAGCGACGGCCCACCCTTCAAGATTCCACCCGTCTTCGAGCTCTTCTTCTTCTTATCCGCCGCCGCGTCATCCACCGCCATCTCCTCCGCAGCAGCCTGCTCTTCCTGCTCCGGCAAAATGCCATCATCCCAGCCCGCAATCAACAAGCTGACCCCATACGGCCGCACGCCACCCGACTGCGTCGCCTCCTGCATCACGCGCGCCACATCCTGCACCAAGATGCGCGTCGGCGGGTACTCGTTGTAGATGCGCTTGTACCCCGTGTGGCTGACTTTGCGCGCCTTGTCGACGAGCACGCGGTAGTCGGGCCCCATGCCGGAATACACCATGCCGATGTTGGGGGTGATGAGGGAGACTTTGGAGGAGGAGGAGGCGTCGATGAGGGGGGTGGAGGACTTCTTTTCGGTGGCGAGGACGATGCCGTTGGTCGCTTTGATGCCGAGCGATGTTACGCCTTGGTTGACTGCGTTGAGGGCATATTCTTGGGGGTGTTAGCGGTCGCTGGGATCAGATGGAGGGGACTTGGAGTAGTACCTATTTGTACCAGCTTGCCGCTGTTGAAATGTTAGTAGGTGGTGGTGCAATGTGGGACATGCGAGTGGACTTGCCTGGGGGAGAAGGTGGTGAGGGAGAAGGAATATCTGTCGGCCATCTTGGGCCTGTTGACGGTGGCGTTGGTGCAGTGAGCGCTTTATCGGGATGATAGTTTTGTGACAGATTTGTTTGATGATTCGACAGATCAAATTGAAGACGAGAGGTCGGAGAGGTAGTGGAAGGTCGATCGTTCGAGCATGGAGCTTTTCCAGGCAAACGCGCCGACGCGGAAGCTAAGGTGCTCTCGGGACCAGCCGAGACATGAGGTCGGATTTGCTTACATAATTTGATTAATCACGTGATGAGCCCCTGCTATGTTCAGAACGGTATCTTAATTTCCCCAGCATCCTCACCACCTGAATACGAACTACCGAACAACGGCGTGCCGAACTTCATCAAAAGCTTCGCTCAGAGCTTCACCGAATGTTCTTCACATTCTCCCTCCCCTCGCGGCCCACGCGGCACGCATCCGTGGTTCCCAAGTACTCTCTCATCCTCTTTCGTAAACTCATCCAACCCAGTCCTCTTTCGTACTCTCCCATTCCAATTCAATCTCGTGAAAGGGGATTGAGTTGTGCAGTAAGACCCGTAGTGGCATTGCTAATGGGGAGTTGCATCTGCTCCCCAAAACATCTGCCTGTCGCCCATATTAATCATGGGCATCACCCTCCCTCGTTGTCTTCCCATCTCCGTCGGGAGTAACCTTTCCATTCGTTGCTTCGCTTTTCATTCTTGTCATTCTCTTGCTTCCAACGATGCAGCTCATCACCTCCCAACTGTCACAAATACCAAGACTCTCGCTCCAACCACCACCACGGTAACCAGAACCAAGATCGTCGAGCACACAACCACACCGACCACCACCGCAACCTCCATCGTCACGGACACCATTACCGACTCGACCACGCTCCCTCAGGGGTCCACGACATTCACCACCACCAGCTTGTCCACCTCTACCATCACCGCCACCTCGATTCTTCCTACCTTCTTCGTCACAACGACGACTACGACCACGGTGATTGAGACCCATACTTCTACGTGAGTTACAGAAAGCCTTCGGGCTGGTATGCTTCATCACGAATCATGCGCTAAGCCCCGATATCTTTTGATGCAGTTCCATAATTCCTGCCGCTGCTACCTTCACGAACATCTACGACAGCACCGGCTACACGACTGAGAACGACGATGGTCCAACCAAACGAAGCGAGGTCCTCGATGTGCTCAATCGCCGTGGCGACAAGAGCCCCGCAAAACACCACAGACATCATCAGCACGGTTCAGTAGCAGAATCGGTCCGATGCGTCGTCACAGTGCGGCCGACATCGACAGTCACCACCACAAAATCGTCTACGAGCACCGTGACCGCGGACCCAATCACCACCGCAATCTCGACCGAAGACACCACCAAAACGAAGACCATCCCCCCTGCGCTCAGCACCATCACTGCCACAGCGGCGGCAGTGCACACATCGACGACAACGACCACCGAAACTATTCTTACCGTGCTCAAAACAGTGACCGCGTAAGCATTTCATCCCCCCAACCCCACTCACTGCTCGAGATCCGATCACGTCCCGCTGACAACACAACCCAATCAGTACCACCACCAGCACCACCACAACCGCGACCTCCTTCTATGCCGCCTGCGCCAGCAACAATATCCTCGGCCCCGAATTCACGACCCCCAACGGCGCAGGCATGTACGTGGGGCATGACGCAGATCGACCCGAACGCGGGACACGTAAGCATCGGCGAGGACAGCGTGTACGATTGCTGCGTCGCATGCCTGACTGGCTCGGCCCTGAATTTCTGCCAGGCCGCTTATTTCGAGGCCGGGGTTTGTAATGTCTACGGTGGCGATCCCGTTTTCTGTAACAACGGTGCGGGCCCGCAGGCGCTTGCGTTGACTATCACTACTAGCACTACGCCAGGCACCATGGTCTTTAGCAACGGGCCGTGTGGATTGGTCGAGGGCGTGTCGGAGTGAGGCGCAGGTTTGTAGCAAAGCAGTCGTGGCTTTGGGACTCGAGGGTTGCGCGGGGTGGAGGGGCGCGACGGCGCCGGACGTGTATGCAATATTTCGTAATTATCACATCCCTGCCCGTCAATTCACCTCCCCGGCCTGCGAAATGGATGCGCCTCTGTATTAAACACAAACTCATCCAAGCTCACCAGACTAGGCTCGGCAAACGTCAAATAGAAATACTTCAGCGTCTCCGCCATCCAAAAGCTCTCCATGCGATCCGCCTGCGTCGGCGGGCTAGCCGTGACATCGTCCAGAGCAGCATGCGCAATGCTCGTCCGCGTATGCTTGTCAATGCTTTGAAACATGGCCCACGCCTTGTCTTGGTATGTTCGGTCGCCGCTAATGCGGTACCAGATGAAGAGCGACTCGATGGCTTCCGGGCGCAGGATGTAGCGCGTGTCATCGATGGCGACGTAGCCCGGCGGGAGACGGTGGGTGCGGATGCGAGTGCGGACGCGCGCTTCGTACGCAGCGCCTGAGACGCCATTGGAGTCGGCGGAGTCCTGGCGCGCGAGCTCCTCGTACCAGCGCGTTTCATTCCACTCGCAGCTTTGCGCGTTGTCGCAGGCGATGTGGTGCGTGACTTCGGCCATGAGGCCGTTCGGCATGCTCTGGTAGGCCCAGATGCAGCCGTCGACGAGTCTGCGCGCGATGGCGAGGTCGTCGGAGCGGGAGAAGATTCTGGCGCCGATGGCTACCATGCCGCCGGCGAAGCAGACGAGGTGTTGCATGGAGTTGTCGAGGATTGCGGGCCTCCCTTCGCCTGCTTTCTGCACGAGGGCGGAGAAGAGGATGTCGGCGTTGTCGATTGTCATGGGACGGTAGAAGTTGTGTTCTTTGAAGGTGGCTGCTGCGTTTAGGTAGAGCTTGCGATACTGCTCGGTGCGGCCTCCGAGGAGCATATGTTGCTGTGAGCATGTTAGCGATTGCGGCGTGATGGGGTGAGGTTTGGTTTACCTTTGGCAGATATTCGTAGACCGAATCCGCCATCGCGCCGAGGGTGTATGAAGTGTCACTAATGAAGTCGAGGTCGCGGGCGTTGACTGTGATCGGCCACATCCCCGGCAACTTCGTCTTCATCTGTTGCTTGTCGAATTCGTCCATAACACGCTGCACAGCATCATAAAAGCGTCCATCTCCGGTGGTTTGGGATAGACGGGTAAGTTCGAGCGTCATTGATCCCAATTCGGCGACCAGAACATTCGAATCTGCTTCTTGCAACCCGCCGTCTCGGGCTTTCTTCCAGTCCCACCTAGTGATAGGCATGCGATTCGGAGTATCGAATGCCACCAATAACATCTCCCCGAGTTCCACCGCCTTTGCAAGCAGCGATGGGTACTTTGCGCCCGACAGATCATACGCACTCAGCAGCCCGCCCAGATATCGGATCGTCGTTTCGAAAACATTCAGCGTCGTTTCCTCGGTGGTGGTGAAATCGAGTTCGCCAATCGCCTCCACGGCATCTTCGAATTGCTCCTTCATGTCCATGATCCAGAGCGTGTCCAAGGCGTCCACTAGACTTGCTGCCCATCCGCCAAAGGGATTGTGGCGTTCTCCTGACAAGGGGCCGACCTCGTCTGCCATCCAGGCGTAGTTCCTGTACCCAACCCACGCATGTTGGAAGGCGTCTCTAACTGCGGCCAAACGCTCAAGACGGACGGCCTTTGCCTGCGTATCTTCTTGCGAGGCTGGATGTTGGATGGTGGGAATTGGCCTGGCAGCTCCCGATGGCAGGGGGATCAAAGATGTGACTGGGTAATGGACCGGGAGTTTCTGCCAGTGGAAAAGACCATCATCTACAGGAATTGGGGGCGGCGTAAACGGCGCATGTGCAGGGCCAGGCCGATGAAGCCAGTCTTTGGCGGACTGGTAAGAGCCTCGATAATAGAGATTGAATATGAGGAGGGCCGTCCCTACCCACAAGACCAGTGCGATGACATTGCGCCGGGTGAAGAGAGCGAAGAGTCTGGGGGGAGGCATGCTTCATTACGATGCGTTGGGCCGGACGGAAGACCAGAGTAGCATGTTTTGAGGAAGAAGAAGAAGATCACACACGCTGTGCTGCCAGGCAGCAGGACGAGCGATGTGGTGCGGTTGGCTGCTTGCTCTGGTTGGCTGGAGATCGGCATGCGGGGAGCGGGCGTGTCACTTTTAGCGCCCGGCGTTGATTTGGTGCCTCGTTCTTGCCTCCACAGCCACATCAACCACACCTCTTCCGCAGTTATGCCTACACCAGATCATGGGACTGTGGCGAGTGTTCACCGCTCATTGTCTCTCACAGCGGCTCGTATACGTCTCTCGGCCTTCTTGAACGCGGCGCAACGACCTCAATACCAGCAGATCGCCTTGGGGCGAAAACAATGACGACCTGAGGCACCATGTCGCGCGTCTAACGCTGCAGTTGGTTCCAAGTTGCAGACACTGGCGCTTCTATTTGGAGCCCTGTCGTCTCAGGCCGAGTCTTTGTAGTTGGCCCCTATCCTTCGCAGCCGAGTCCCGTGCGCGCTTATATACCATTTTGTACTTCCACGTACTTCCACCCTCTATCGATTCTTTAGCCTCTAACGAAAGCAATGTCGATACAAGCCTCGACGCAAGGCCGTGTACTTTCAATCCTCCTCTCTTTTCTCGTCTTGTCTTCTTTCCAAGTCTCCGCCATCTGCTACTATCCCGATGGCACAGTCACACCCGGCGACGTGCCTTGCCTGACCGGCAACGACCCTTCCTTCTGCTGCAGCTTCGGCTACGCCTGTCTCAACAATCAAATCTGCATGACCACCTCTCATACCCCGAATGCGACCAACACGTACGTTCGCGGAAGCTGCACCGACCCCACCTGGCGCTCCGCAAACTGCCCCAGCTTTTGCGTCAACCCTGATCCGCCGTGGAAGGATGACACGGCCGGTGGAGAGGGCATGGCGCTCTGCGCTAATACGACAAACACCTTCTACTGCGTCGACTTCAATGAAGATGCCGTCAATTGCGCCGAACGGGTTAATATCGCGGTGGAAGCTGCGGGTAGGAACCGATCTTGTGTTCCTCGCGAGGACTTGAAGCTGAGCATGCAAATTTAGGAACACCGGTAGCACTTACAACGATTGGCTTCTCCAGTTCAACAACGCCTACAGCCAGCTCGACAACGTCAGCCTCATCACTCTCGATTCAGAGCTCATCAGCCCTTCAGACTTCGGCGCGCACGTCGACTTCAACCCCGGCGCCTGCGAAGCAGACCTCGACCCCTACACCAACCTCAAGCCCGGCACCCGCTGGTCATGTTTCGCCGCACCATACAGTGTCCGAAAGCGCGATTGTACGATCTGTCGTTGGTTCGATTGCCGGCCTTCTGGTTATTGGCTTGTTGGCATTTTTCATATTTCACCGTCGGCGACGAGGAAGACGCCATGCGACACCAATGGAGAGCCAGCAGAAGACATGGTCTCATGTGCCAGCAGCCCATTCGCATTCGGAGTTGGCACATTTGCCAGTGAAATACACGGGTCAGGCAGCATATGCTACGCGGTGGCCGCCGTGGGAGCTGGATGGGAGGCGGCCAGCTCAAGAACTACCGGCTGGATCGCCCACGGTGTATTGAAGACGATGTCATCTGTATAGCGTTCCATTCCATTTTGATATTGAACCATTCTTTCCTCAATCCTTGTGAATGGACGACAGACAGCCTTGCGCCTCAGCAACCCTGTCGCCAATGTCCAACCGCTCTAGTCAACCGTACTCCTGGACTTCACACTTCGTTGCCTACAGATGGGTAGATCACTCCCAATTCTCGGAGCGCAACCAAACATATATGTGCGCGGGTGGTCATCCGGGTCCGATAAAGACGCCGTGAGCTCTGTCGAGCGGAACGACGTTGCGGCGGGGTGAATACGGGTACGAATGAGTCCGCGAGGAGATACCCCTTAAAGAGCGCGAAAGCTAAGCACGCAAGTCTAGAAACCAGAGCGCGCACTGTCGATTATCATTCTGACTGCTGTTCCCTACGACTGGAATATCCGGATCTGCTGCAACCATGTTGTCGCATGGGAACGTCATATTGGTAGGCGTTCTAGTAGGCGGCGGCGTTGGACTGGTAGCCTTGGGTATCGCTGGGTACTTTGTTCGCAACGATCTGCAACGAAGAAGAGGCCGCGCGACACCTGCGACCGAGAATCAGACTGCGCAGTCTACGGTGCCAGCAATGTCATCCCAGCGCAAACAAGACACGAAGGCAATGCAGCACGAGCTGGATCAGATACAGCCTGTCCGGGAGTTCTACGCTGCATCGCCAAGGAACTGTTGAAGTCAAGGTCACGGACTTGGTGTTGGACTTTTCACTCTGAACTCACGGTCGACAGCATTCACGCGAGACGGTATGATGGGCATCAAGGGCAGCTTTCTGTCCCTTCTTGTGAATGAGCGGCAGCCTTTTTATAGATTTCTGCTATTGTGGCCAACCGTAACCCCAGACTGACTCCACTCGGCAAGCTTCGTGAACTTCATGCACGAAGTTCATACGTATGACACAAACACTCCCAGGCAACGACATCCACTTCCGAGAGTCAGCCGGCATGACAAGACCTTGGCAATCTGCTCGCTTGATTCAAGCCTTTGACGACGCCGGCTAATCATCAACCCCTCCCCAACTACCTCGCATCGCACAGCCATGGCAGCGTTCGCCTCTGGCACCAGCTGGTCCTTCCCCGAAGACCTGCCCGGCGGCTGGGTGAAGGTAGAAGAGGAAGATGACACACCAGACCAGACGCAAGAGTCCGAGAGCAATCAGCGGCAACAAGAGCATACCACCCCCGACCCTCCACACCCCGAACCCCGCCAACGCACCCACTACCCGCCCCGCCAGTGCCGCATCTGCCTCGACGTCGTCCACCCCACCTTCTACACCCCCGAACCCCTCAGCACCTCCCTCCCCGCCTCCCTCCACCCCAAACCCCAAGTATCCTACACCTCACCCCCCGGCGACGGCGGCCGCCTCCTCCGCCCCTGCAAATGCAAAGGCAGCCAGAAATACGTGCACGAAGACTGCCTATCCGCCTGGCGCATGCAGGATCCCTTGCAGAAGCGGAATTACTGGCAATGTCCGACGTGCCAATACAAATACCAACTGCAGCGCTTGACGTGGGGCAGTTGGATCAGTAGCACCACCGCACAGATCGGGCTTACGGTCGTCATCTTCGTCACAGCCATGTTCGCGCTCGGCTTCGTGGCGGATCCCATCATCAACCTCTACCTTGACCCGGTGGAAACGATTGCAACCGCTGGCGGGCCGACAGGAAGTCTATTCTTCGAAGACGAGCCCGCTACCTGGACGGAGCACTTCATCAAAGGCCTCGCATCGCTGGGCCTACTCGGCTTCGCTAAATTCCTGCTTACCCTGAGTCCCTGGCATTGGTTCAACATGCGCGGCACAGGAGTGTACGTGGGCGGCGGAGGCAGAGCAGGCACAACGGGACGCGACAGGTTGAGTCAGCTGAGCTGGTTCACCATCGTAGTAGGCATTGTCACCTTCCTGTACGCCGTCTGGAAAGGCGTGCGCGCTTGGAGTAGACGCACATTGGAGAAAGCCGGCGAGCGAGTGATGGATGTTCCTGGAAACGACGACGACGATGACGATGCGGAAGAGTAGAGACTCTTACACGATACATGAAATCTTTGCTGATACGCCAGATATACCATCCATCTCCGCTGCACTGTCCACCCGCTCCATCTCACTTCCTTCCAAGGCAGAATCCCCGAAATCGCAGTACTTTAAGTTGACACCGCCTGACTCTCCCTCAGAGAGCCCTCCCATGGCGTGGCAATTAGTCAAAATGCGAAGATCGAAACCCCCCCATTCAACCAAACTTGCTGTAAACCTCCTGCACAGCGTTTTGCTGTTGTGGGTTTGGGTGACGAGGCGCCGGTTGGATAATTTCTGTCACTGTTTCGTGCCAACGTTTCAAGCTCCTCTTCCGTCTACCTGACTCTGTTTGCAGGGCGAGGTAGTGAGATCTAGGTTGGGAGGCTGTTTGTTGGTCGGGGTGATACATTACTTGTGAAGATGAAGGGAAGAGATGAGGGGATTCGGTCTAATCTTTAGATATCTACATCGTTAGCCTCATGTCCAGGCCGTTCCTCTTGGAGCTTTACTCCGCTCTCACTGACCAGCATCGCGGAGATATGGCACGATCCGCCAAATAGAAGTACATTCCAAAACAACGTAATAACGTACACCTAAATCTACACAAATAGTCCTACAACACCGCCTCCAACAGCATACACGCCAAGGCATCCTTGCCTCACAATCATCAATCCCATTTCCAAGGCCGCCTCGCAGCAGAACTAACAGCATCCTTAATACTGCCTCTGCGCCGACTAAGCAAGCCCCTCATCCCAAGCCCCCCAGCACAGCTGCCCTCAAGGAAAGCATGCGGCGGTCCTCCACCGTTACTGTCCGCGTGCATCACCGACATACTAAGTGGCGGCCCTTGCTTCGTACTATTGCTTCTCCGGAAAGGGTTCTTGCGCTCAGCGCCGTGGTTGATCGGGAGAGAATGAAAGGTAGGAGGAGGAGCAGGAGCGACTGGACCACTCGGCGGCGCGGTGTTCATACGCGACTGCAGAGGTGGTCTCGAAAAGGCGGTGAGTTCGCTTGCGCCGCTGTAGCTGGTGCCGGGCCTTCTCGCCTCTTTGGGGAGGTCGTTGATGTATGTTGAAGATGGAGCGGACGTCAACGTTGGTAGGGCGGGCGACTTCTCCCGCTCTAACGGGACGCCCTCTCGCGAATGAGAGTTACTCAAGCGGCGGAGGAGGCCGTGGGCTCTCTGGCCAAAGGTCCGGGCTGGTGAAGGGGAGGCGCGGGTGGTAGCTTGCGATTTGGAGCGTGAGAAATCCGGCGACGCGGTCTGCGCTTCGATGCTGGGCTGGACGAGGGTGCGATTGCTGGAGGAGCCAGAGGTGTACGAGCGGGGACTTGTCAAGCTGCCGTGGGAGGAGTGGAGGCCTTGACTGCCTTCGTATGCATGGTGCATTTGTGGGCTCGTCTCGGCTCTGTTTAGGTGTGGTTTGCGCCGATCTGCGGATGGCTCGCTGCTTGATTGTCGGCGAGGGAACGGCGGCGTTCGCGTTTGCGGAGCCGGGGCGTCGTAGCCATCGCGTGCAAGAGGAGCCGCGAACGGTTTAGCATGTTGGAGAAATCGAGACGGCGCGCCTAGATCACGAACAGCTTCCGATCGAATGTCCCCGTCGTGAACACCATTCACCATATCGAATCCAAGGCCTTGATCCTCGCGCCGCTGGACATAGCTTTGATACGCAGTGTTCAGCTCCACCGACGAGCGCATCTGCTTCGGCGCTGTACGCAAGCCCGGCTCGAGTGCGTCATAGCCCCTGACAGTCGCAGGCGTGGAGTCGAGAATACTTCTCTCGTCATTCATGCTGGAGCGGAAAGCGTCTAGCGTTCGCGTGCTTGCGCTTTCTGGTGTTGGCGGTAGCAATGGCTCGCCGAACATCGGACCGCCGAGACTCGTTGGGAGAGACTCCTTAGCCAGCTGTGATTTAGCTTGGACTGCGAAAGGTTTGATGTATTCGACAGGCTGCGGGGTCTCGAGCGAAGCGTGGTTTGCTGAATCGGCACCTGCAAAATGTATACCATTGGGTGATTGACGGTTGATGTTTTGTTTGGCTAGCGGAGAAGCCATCTGTTCCAGAAGCGGGGATGTGATCTGATTCGACTTGGATGGCGTCTGCTCATTGATTTCGCGCTCGTTCATCCATTGGCTCACCCTTTTGATGCTGTCTTGGCGATGGTGAGGAGATGGTTCGTAGGTCTCCGCAGCATACCGACTCGGACTCATGCCTTCTTTTGGGCTATACAGGGAGGGGAAGCTACTCTCGCTCAAAACACTGAGTCGGGGAGAGTGAAGGACATCTTCGCCATCCTCTGATCTGTTGTCTTGTTTTGTGAGCAGCGACTGGAAGCTCTGAACGGGATGGAGGGATTGCGTCGCTTCGAGATACACGCTGCGGAGGGCAGTCGTGCTTGCCTTCTTATGGCTGAGCACGTGAGGCTCTCGCCGTGTACGCGCTAGCGTCTTTCCGTTCACCGCGGCGAGGAGGCGGTTCGTGGCCGCTGATGCAACAGGTGGTGGCGCGTCACGTGCACCTTGCGGTGTTTTGGGTGGTTTACTGAGCTCTGGCGGGGATGATGGTGGGCCTTGCTCCTGCGTCTCCGTTCCAGCATAACCAGAATCTGCATTCGCAGTCGAAGGTCTCGTCACGCTGTTCCGCTCCTCCAGATCGGCCACTTTGTCTTCCAGATCGCAGATGATGTCCATAGCTTCCTCCACGGCGCGATCGCGCTTCTCCAGCTCTTCCACCAGCTGGCTGTTGATCTTCAGGAGCTCCGTGTGCTCCTCCAATAGATGTTCGGCTCTTTCCGCCTGCAAACGCATTCCCTCAATCTTCTCCTGCAACTTCGACTGCTGCTCTCGGCGATGGTCCAACTCCAACTTCAAGGCAAAGTTCTCCTTGGTCAGGCGATCCATGTGCTCATGCATTCCTTTTGCACCCAGTCCTCGAGTCCGGCCACTGTCGCTGTGTTCCGCCACGTCTCGTGATCTGTTTACCAAAGGCGAACTGTCAAAGGCTCGTGTCGAGGTATTCCTGCTCTCGTCTGCTTCGTTGATGAAGATGTCATCGTCGCGTCCAATCTGCGGGCCGAAATCAGACTGCCGGAGTCGCTTCGGTCGGACATTACGCGTGCGCCGTTCGTGAAGTCGCTCCTGCAGGTAACGAGAGGTTGGGAAGACATCTGGTGTCTCTTCTCGATCCGCACGATGCGAGCTGCCGTGAGTCGTCTCCATGCTTCGCGTCGGATCAGGGAAAGGCGACAAGAGGTCGGCCTTGGGGGAATAGGGTGTTGACATTCATGAGAGGGTGCGCGGGCGTGTTCTCGATCGCACGGATGATAGCCTGGGTCGCCGAAGGTGCTCCTCGGATTGGGAGAGGCGTGGTGTGATTCGGGCAAGCGCCAGGTCTCGGACGCGAAGAGTACAGTGTTGGAATCGGTGTGTAGGGAGGTGAAGTTGCGCAAGCACGGGTCGCAGTCACACGTGCGGGCGTCACATGTGTGCGACCATCATTCACATAGCGAGACGGTTGTGAGGGGTGAAGGAATGCTGAAAAGGGAGAGCGCGGCGCAGGCGGTCGTCTCCTAGCGACCGGAGCGAGGCGTGAAGGTCATCAACCCAATGCGCCGAATGTTTGGGCCACCTCCAGGCGGCAAATCCTTAGCGCGCGCCGGCGCCTGTCCGCGACTCCACACCATCCGCCCCTGCTCTTTCCCCGACAGCTGTCAGAACTCTATTTGCAATCCCACCCCCTGCCATTGGAGCGGCAAGTGTGATGTTCGCGCCTTCCCGCCGTCTGCGCCCCGCTTCCACCTCCCCTTTCGCCGAAATGGGTGCCCTTGATACACTTCCCCCGAGAAGAGGAGACGTGAAACGCGCTGCAAACGCAGGTCCGAGTCTGGCTTGTTCACCGAGCTGCGGCAACCCTGTCTTGTGCCGTGCCGGTTTGCATGAATTACGAGAATTGGCTGCAGGAACGGGCACGCGCGGACTTTGCTGCTACTGCAACTTCATGCATCCCCCTGCGTTCGGCCGGTCACACGCGTTGTTCGAAAAATTGTTCCGACTGACAGCGAGTCACTTGAATGGGAAACGTCTCCTTCTCCGGCGATAAGGAGAGGCTCAACCGCGCCTGCTTTTCGACATGCGGCGTGTGGAAGTCGCTGCAATGCGGAAGTGAAGGTAACAAGACATCTGTAGTTACGCATGTGGCTAATTGTCGTCCGGTTTGCGGGAAATGTAGCTGCAGTCACAAGACTACCTTGGTACATTCGATGGTCAACAACACGAAACAAGAGAGCAGTGAAAACAATAAGGTGTACCGCGGAAGGCATGCCGCTGCAACCAGGTTGGACTTTTGCATTGCCATGTAGCAATGTACCGCGTCGTGGCTTGCATCATGCATGTCCGTGGCATTACATCACATCACATTCGCTGCACTCGGACGATCGGTCATGAGAGGAAGGGATATTGTTAGTATAGTAATAGGTCATAGGAATCATTCCGTCCACGCAGCATCAAAAGCTGTATCCAAATTGCCTCCTCATCCAAAAGTCATTATATGTCGAGTAGTCCCTCCGCCCAGACAACCCCAGCTGACTCGCGACATTCACGTAGCCCTCCTGATTCGGTCTGCCCATCTGCACGACCTTCTTCAGCGTATCTTCATCCCCTTCCCACTTCGCCCGACAAAAAGGACAAGTCACTACTTGTCCACTCTTCGTAGCCGCCCACTGCTCAAAACACTGCTTGTGGATGTTGTTACCACACGACGCCTTGCAGTACACCACTGCCTCGGCCGTGTTCTCGGTTTCAAAGTCCTCACAGCAGATTGGGCATTCGCCCTCCAGGGCTTTCCGCTTTCCATCCTCCTCTGATTCCTTCCCCTGCTCCTCCGGCAGAGCTGGCGCCTGAGCGAAGATGGAGCGGAGCTCAGATGTCAAGAATGCAACTTGGTATTCGAGTTCCCAAGGCACGCGCAATACTCTGGCCAGTACGTAGATGACGTGCTTGCATTGATTGCCTTTTAGTGCGTGCGGACAATTGCAACTGGGTACCTTGTCGATGGTGATGGTGTAGACGTTGCCCGTAGTGCCTGCCAGCTGTATCTGCTCGATTGGGTGCTCACCAGAATTGGTCGTTCTTCGCTGGCGGTCCAGAACAAACATGCGCTGGTTCAGAGCGCGATGTCGGACATCATGATAGGTTTTGGGAGCAGCGTGGCGGAATCTCCTAAGCCTCTTTTCCTCGCTTGGTTCTGCTGCCTTACTGCGCTTCTTTGGTGGCGTGTCTTCTGTGAGATCTACGACTTCTTTACCCTTGGGGTTGAAGGGTGGCGATGTGTCCGCTTTGCGTTTGCGCGAGTTGGATTGGGCCTGTGTCGATGCACTAGAGCCACTGGCATCATAATGATGACGCGAAGGTTGCCAGCTGTCTGAATTGTCCAAACCCATGGTGCAATGATGTTGATGATGAGTACCTTATGTGGTAGGTGTTCATGAGAGCTCTGTGAAGGCGCGTCGCGCGCGTTACAGCTGTATGACGATAGCCAAGATATGATTGGCTGTTCAGAGCGGGAGCTAGCGGAGGTACTTGGCATTCACTTGCTATCCGCAGCTCCCTAAAGTGAACGTCATCAACCCCAAATCACTCACATCACTCGCGCCGGGGCAGTTGTTGGAGGCTTTACAGATCTCGCGGCTTCTGGATCATTGGGTGCTTCGGCCCGGCTGGAAGTGAGTACTTCATGGCCGACAGGGGTGAGCGGACTTCGACACCCTCACCCCGTGACAGCGATGCCACTCTTGAGGGCAGTGATGGGCTGAGCTACCGGGAGTCCTTCGCCTTGAAGATGGCCGACATGAGGGATACCGACGCGGCCGCTCCAGAACAGGCGTTACTGGAGCATGAGAAGACCACGCCAGCTGCGGCTTCCAATCGCACGCTGCTACAGCGCACCCTGTTTACTGGCCAGATCTTGCTGTTGGTTGTCGTCATCGCACAATTCGTGCTGTTCTACAGAAACGAGCTGGGCTTCTCGTCATGTCATCTGCCTCAGTCCACCCCACGGTTCAAGACAGATGTCGCCCTTTCGAAGGGCTTGCCGGAGTACTATCAGACCTCTCCGGAACTATGGGCTGGCGAGTACTCCCATACCCCAATCCATGAGTCCATCTAATGCGAAGCAGGTCCGACTCCTACCGGCCCAGCGGCATTCTTGGCGGCGACGAATCCAGCGCCGTTTCCATCAACCACTTACTTGCCAAATGCACCACTGGAGACTCAAGTTCCGATCAAAGGTCGGGTGCGCAATGGCAACATCTTCGAAATGCACGGCCAGCTCTCGCACTACTTCCCGAACCCCGATGGTTTCGGCGTGGACGAGTACGCGTTGCCGCATAATGCGAGCATCGTGCAGTTGCACATGCTGCATCGCCACGGCGCTCGGTATCCGACTGTAGGGGCCGGCGCTCAGCGACTTGGCGAGAAGCTTCAAGCCTACAAGGCCAGCACACACGGCGAAGTCTCCTTCACCGGCGAACTGTCATTCCTAAATGACTGGGAATACAAGCTGGGCAACGAGATTCTGGTGCCGATAGGGAAGCAGGAGTTGTTCGATTCTGGCACGCTTCATCAGATCATGTACGGCCATCTGTATCCAAATGATGACACGAAGATCCTCGTCCGCTCCACCACGCAGGACCGCATGGTGCAGTCTGCCGAGTATTTCCTGGCGGGGTTCTTTGGGCTGGACTGGCCGAAGAATGCCACTCTTCTTCTGAACAGAGAGGACATGCATTACGTCCCCTGGAACAACACACTGGCTGGGTATTACAACTGCCCGAACTCTCGAGCCCCTCCCAATCGCGGAGGCCTCAATGCCTCCCGCGAATGGTACAACCTCTACATGAACGACGCAGCGAAACGGCTCAATGCATCCTCTTCCGGCTTCCCTTGGCTCGCCAGCGATGCGTACAACGCCCAGTCTCTTTGCGCATACGAAACCGTTGCTCTTGGCTTCTCCCAATTCTGTGGCCTGTTCACGTATGAGGAATGGGAAGGGTACGAATACAGTATCGACATTAATTTCGCGGGCGAAAATGGCTTCCAATCGCCCACCGGCCGGGCAATCGGCATCGGCTACGTGCAAGAAGTCATCGCCCGCCTGGAACACCATCTCATCACCAAGCCAGCGGGAGTAGTCAACACCACCCTCGACGGCAACGAGGAGACATTCCCCCTCGATCAAACTCTCTATCTAGACTTCACCCACGACACCAACATCATGTCTATCCTCACAGCCTTCGGCCTGAAACAATTCGCCGAATTCCTACCCGCCACGCACCTCGTCCGCGACAGGCAATTCATCGTCTCACACATGGAACCCTTCGCAGCCCGACTCGACATCGAAATCATCGAAGCCCCCACACCCATCGCAGGCGCCCGCAAAGCAGGAACAGCCTACGAAAAAGGCAAGCGCACAAAGTACGTCCACTTTATTCTCAACCAGCGCACGCTGCCGCTCGGCGTATCGTATCCGGAGTGCGGCGAGCGAGATGACGGATGGTGTGAGCTGGAGACGTTTTTGAAGGTCATGGGGACGAAGTTGGACGAGGCGCAGTTTGAGTATGCTTGTTTTGGGGAGTATGAGGCTGTGCCGTACGGGACGTTGACGGATGGTGTGCCGCCGGGACGGAAGGGTTGATTGATGGGTTTGCTGGCTTACTGAAAGACCCGTATCCCATGAGACATCGGGGCGGCAGAGAATAAACGCTGATTGCCTATCGGCGCTCGAGGTTGCTTGTCTGACGTTTGTGCGCATGAAAGCAGGAGTGAATGAAACCCTACTAAGAACAGCTGAATTGCCATACTGCAACTCGCTCATTCGACTCCTTGTCCTTCATTCGATGACACACAAGCCCTCACGCCATGCTTGTCTCTCGCATCACCCGCTCCTTCCGTTTCCGACGCATCTCAGACCCATGGCACGCGTGAATGTCCATGCAGGTGGCATGTGCGACGGGTGCCTGCAGCAGCGCGCATTCCTCCCCGCGCTTGCCTTGCTTGCCGATGCATCATTGCAACACCTCACCTCACCTTCCAGGTTCCCATCCCTACAGCCGGCAAACACCACCGCTTCTTCGTCTTTCCGCATTGTCATTGGACGGGCATTCTTCTCGGACATCCATCTATCGATCCAAACATCGCTGGTCCTTCATTCATCAACATACCATTGGCGGCCGGAACCTTTCAGCCTGGCAAACTGGATGGAAACAGATCACATTCACTAGCTCCGTTCGCTCGCCGTAGGGCCTGTTTGTTCCACTACATTCTCAGACATCATCGAATAAGAGTACAAACCTTCTGCGACATTCCCAAGCGAGCGGGAAACGCCCATTCGACACGCTCGCTTCCGCCTTCCATCGTTGACTGAGACGCATTCATTGAGTGCCTGAAGGTATATCAGCCCTCCCTCTTCCTCTGCTTCCTTCTCTTTCCCTTCACACACTGACCTGTCTTCTAAGAAATTCGTTCACTTCACCTGTCTGTCACACCCAAAGCAACATGTCTGGCCAACGCGGTCGTGGTGGCAGTGGTGACCGCGGTCGTGGAGGAAGTCCGTATCGTGGCCGTGGTCGTGGTGGCAAGGATGATGGTCCAGCCGGTCGTCCCCCTCCTGGCCCATCTGGTCAGCAACTCCCCTTCCACGGTGGTCCACCAAGAGGACGTGGGGATGGTCCGAGAGGAGGCTATGGTGGGGGCCAACGAGGAGGGTACGGCCAGCGTGGAGGAAGAGGTGGTGCGCCCGGAGTTGTCGATGCTGGTCCTCTGCCAGGCATCTACCAAGAAAACGCTACCGTCCCGCAGCCCGACCCCTCCATCAAAATCGCTGAAGACGCCCTCGTCGAGCTCACTCGCGGCAAGTACATCGATGGCTTTCCTGGACGTCGCGGCTTCGGAACGAAAGGAAGACACATCATCCTGCGCACAAACTATTTCAAGATCAACACACCTTATGACTCCACGCCTGCCGCCGACATCCCGCCCAAAGGCCTCTTCAAGTACGATGTCTCAACTACCCAAGACGTCAGCAAGAAACCTCGCCAACGCCTGATGCGACACATTCTGGAGACTTTGCCCTTCTTCCAAGGCAAGACCTGGGCAACGGATCTCAGCGGCATCATCATCACCACCGACAAAGCCGACCTGGGGCCCGCCAACGTCTGGGAGGGCGAGATGATGATTCCCCCTCGCAACGAGGAGACTGATGTCTCGCAAGGACAAGTGCCCGATTTCGTGCAGGCTGCTCGTGCCCGCAACACCGTCAATGTGAGGATCGCACTCGCCAGGGAGTACACGATGTACGAGATCATGGACTATCTCAAGGACCCAAATGTCCGACCAATGTCCGAAGACCACGAGAACATCATCCAGCTGCTCAACATCATCATCTGCAAGGAGCCCAAGATGAAGGGGAACGTGGTCAATGTCGGCAACAACAAGTTCTACCCCTTCGGAGACAACCCGATGAAGACGGCTTACCCTCTGGGCGCCGGTTTGGAGGCTCTGAGAGGCTTCTACACCAGCGTACGCCCGGCCATCAATCGACTCTTGCTCAACGTCAACGTGTCCAGTGGAGCTTTCTACACGCCCGTGCCGCTGATACAGCTGATCTACGATGCAGGCATGAGAGATAATCTCGGAGCCGCAGAGGAGTTCATACGTGGCTTGAGTGTGAAGGCGGAATACACCAAAGACGGCAAGGTCACCATGACCAAGTTCAAGACCATTGCCGGTTTCGCCAGGGAACTCGATCCTCCAACCTTCCGCGTGAAGCGCTTCGGCAATGCGAATGATGTCAACTTCAAGTACTACGACAGATCGCTCCCCAACGCCCCCGAGCGTCAGACGACGGTCGCCCAATACTTCCTCCGCGAGCGTGGCATCACACTCGAAAAACCAACCGCGCCGGTGCTGAATGTGGGAACGGCAAAGGACCCGCAGTACATTCCAATGGAGATCTGCACGGTCCTTCCTGGCCAACCCCACAGGCGCTTTCTCGAAGGTGAGCAGACGAGTTCGATGATCAGATTCGCTGCCCGACGTCCGAACCAGAACGCCGTCTCCATTGCCGGCACGCCTACCGACCCTGGCACTGGACTCAAGCTGTTCGGTCTTGCAGGTGCGGGGAACGCTCAGCTTGCGACGGTCAAGAAATTCGGCTTCAGCGTCGATACGGAGATGCTCACTGTTCCTGGTCGCATCCTGCCCATTCCACGGGTCGACTACAGCGGCAAATCGGTCACTCCTTCTGGCGGTTCCTGGAACCTAAGCCAACAGCGATTTCATGTGCCTGGCAGTATCGGGAACTGGAAGGTTCTAGTGATCGACACCGAGCGACGTACCGCATTGCAAGACCAGCCAGCGGAGGGGCGTACACCGGACGATCTCATTGCAGAACTGGCAAGGACACTTGGGCGCTATGGGATCAAAGCGGGACGCCGCGAGGCCACTCAACGCATCAGGCTTGCGGAGCTCAACTTCGGCAATCGCACGCAGAACGATGCGATGATTCGCCAAGCTTTCCAGAACGCCGATGCACAAGGCGTAAGAATGATGATGGTTGTCCTTCCGGTGGTCGACAAGTGGCTGTACGCTCGCATCAAATACTACGGAGACGTCAAATTCGGGATTCACAGCATCAACGCCGTCGGCCAGAAGCTGCAAAAGGCCAACGGAGAGGCAATTTTCATGGGCAATTTGGCACTCAAGTTCAATATCAAGGGAGGTGGTGTGTCCCACAGAGTTCCAAACACCCTCTCCGGGCCTCTGGACAACAGCACCATGTTGATGGGTATCGACGTCACCCACCCATCGCCTGGCTCTTCCGAAGGGGCACCAAGCATCGCCGCTGTCGTTGCCAGCGTTGATGAGAGCCTATTCCAATGGCCAGGGAGCGTGCGCACGCAAACAGGCAGGAAGGAAATGGTGGACTTTCTGGAAGACATGGTTCTGGAGCGTCTAGACACCTGGCGCAAGAGACACAACAAGCTTCCCACCAAAATCGTGCTCTACCGCGATGGCGTCTCCGAGCCTCAATACAAAGATGTGCTCAACCTTGAACTGCCATCTTTCGAAGGCGCCTTTGCCAAACGCTACGGCGAAAAGCGCAACTGGCCCAGGATGGCCATCATCGTCGTCGGCAAGCGTCATCACACCCGCTTCTACCCCACCAAAGCAGAAGACGGTGACCGGTCTTTCAACCCCCAGCCCGGCACCGTCGTTGACCGCGGGATCGCCGGCCGCGTGCTGGCGGAATTCTGGCTGCAAGCCCACCAAGGCCTCCAAGGCACCGCCCGGCCGGCGCACTACGTCGTCATCAAAGACGACATCGAGTTCAAAGCAGATGACCTAGAGCGCATCACGCACCACTTGTGCTACCTCTTCAACCGCGCCACCAAGGCTGTGTCGATTTGTCCTCCTGCATACTATGCTGACCTGCTGTGCGAGCGCGGACGAGCGTATTTGTACACCATGCTGGCGGAGAACCGTGGAGGGGCGAGGTTTGATCCTCAGCAGGCGGAGTGGACACAGGGGGTGCATCCGAGGTTGAAGGATTCGACTTGGTACATTTGAGCGCGGGGTTTCTTCTCACGACTGATACGAGGAATGAATACGGGAGATGAAGGAGATTCGCGGTGTTTTTGATTCAGAGATGGATGATGCATTGAGGGCTGTCTCCCGTGGATACGGCTGCGGCTGGACTCTTGCATCGATGATGATTGTGCTACTTGTTGCGTTGGGTCATGCGTTCATTTCTGCATTCTGTGGCTGCTTTGATACTGGAGCGTGCTTGTTTCTTCGCTGCGCAACGATGCTCGCCTTTGCTGCGATGCTCAACACGCTCGTTTGACTTGCTCTGAGGAGAGAAATGGATTAGCTAGCATTTTCATCACACTTCTTCTCCTCCAAACACTCATGAACGTTTCTCACTACCCAGCTCAAAATGGCTGATATGGTTCTCCCAGCACTTGGATATCCTCCATCCGCCGCCGCGCCATCTTGCCCTTCTCATCACACTCCATCCCACACGCACTCAACACCGCCCATCGGATCTCGTCGACCCCCAACTTATCATGCTGCTGCCTCCCCAACATCTTCTCCGCACTGCAACATAGAATATCGCCGACATAGCGTCTCCCATTCCCGCCTCCCACCTCCGCATCAACCTGTTGTCTCATGTTGTCCATAATCCCCTGCAACTTCGTCAACCGCGCATCCAACGCCATGCGTCCCGGCTCTTTCTTCCCCCCCTGCGTCCAAAGCACTTTATCAACCTTGCTCAACAGAATCGTAAACGCAATCCCCTGCCGCGCGAGGTGCGTCAAGAGCTGCAAATCCGACCCCTTAAGCCCATGCTCCGCATCAACAAGCACAAAAGTGCGGCGCAACTGCCTCCTCCTCTCCAAAACCTTCAACGCCTCCGTCCCCCAATCCTCCCGACTCCCACTCCCATAACCAGGCATATCAACAACCACGACCCCCCCAGCGGGAAAGCGCTTCCAAACCTCCTCCTTCCGCACCGCCGCGCCCTCCGCAGACATAACCCTCGGCGCAGCACCCATCTCCGCCCCCCCGGAAATCCCAAACCCGTTCATCGTCTTCGTCCGCCCCGGGCGACTCGACACTCGCGCGGGCTTGGCGTTCGTGCGCCCGAAGAGGGCGTTGAGGAGCGAGGATTTGCCTACGTTGCTGCGGCCTAGGAAGGCGACTTCGGGGTGCGGGGAGGGGGGGAAGGAGCGGAAGTGGGCTGCGGAGAAGAGGAAGGTGGGGGCGGAGGCGCGGAAGTAGGTGGAGGCGAACTTGAGTTGGGGCGGTGTTGGGGGTGGGGTTGTGGTGTAGGAGTTGAGGGTTGAGGGGGTGAGGGTTTGGAGGGGGGGTTCTGTTGCTTTTGCTGGTGGGGGTTGTGTGGTGGGTAAGGCTGGAGGGTGGGTGTGGGTTGATGAGGTTGTCTCGGTGGTTAGGAGTCGAGTGAGGTGGAGGTGGAGGGTTGTGTGGGTGAAGACTATGCGGCGTAGTGCTGGTGGTAGGGTGAGGAGGTGCATGGCGGCGGAAGGAGTGTGTGAAGATGTTTCTATGTTCAGCATTCTCGCTCTGGCGAGTAGATGAAGTTGCGGAGGTGGTCTGTGCTTCGGCGTCGCCCAAGCCTTGCAGTATGCTGCGCTCTCTGGCGAAGAAATGTAATAAAATAATAGAAATGGTAGACAATTGACTGTTGAGATCACGCGGCTGGGCCCAATGCTAGCCTATACATGCTAAAACGACCATCTCGCAGGCTTCTATAGAATCGTGCCAAAGCCAAAAGTCGTCTTGATGCTGCGCACGTAATACTCATCCCAATTCCGCTTCGTAGGCTCCTCCTGGCCAACCGGCACGCCCTCCCACTTGACGTTCATCACCGTCACCGCGTCCACATTGTTCTGCTCGAATTTGATCTTGAGCGTCGAGAAGTGGCCCGCCGGCCATTGCGCGAGTCGCCACTTCTGCTCGATGTATGTGGGGGAGTCGAGTTTAACGTAGGAGCCGGAGACGTTGCCGCCGAAGATTTCGAATTTGCCACCTGCTTTTGCACCTTCGAAAACTTTGGGCGGGGCGCGGGTGAAGGCTGCGATGCGTTGGGGGTCGGTGCTGGGTTGGGATGTTAGCGTGGAAATGCCGTCAAGGACAGGAAGTGGCTCACAAGGTCTCGAAGAGCTGCTCAGCAGTTGTTCGGAACTCCTGTGTGTCTGAGAGACTGGTCACGTTGATGCTTGGTCCGTTCGTCCCTTGGTTTGAGGAGGTTTTGGATTTGCCATCGTCCTTTGATTTCGCCACTGACGAGCTCTCTAGTATCCGCGGGGTAGAGAAGCCAGACGTTGGATTGGATCCAGATGCATGTTGTATGTCTTTGCCGTGCTCGGCGATCAGAGTAGGTGCGAGTTTCTGCAGCCGTGACCGGATCTGTGGTGTGATTTCTCGCCGTACCAGCTCTTTGACAGGCTCTTTGGACAGATCGGAGGAGTAGACTTCTACCTCAAACTAGACGACCATGACAAGTCAGCAACATCCCTATCGTCGGCTGTGAGCATTGGGCAGAATGAAGACGTACAACATACTCATCTTCCTCGGTGTCGTGTGCCACCTCCGGAATTGTGATGCTCCCCGACACCTCCTGCAACCCGTCACCCTCCTCCTTCTCCTCATCATCCGCTTCCTTCTTAGCTTCCTTTTTCGCCGGCACCTTCCCGGTGAACTCCAACTGCAGCCGCACGTCGAAAATGGTAATGACTTTGCCTTTGCGCTGCGACACATCCACATCACCCTCCATGCTCATGACCCTGCTGATCTCCGCCGTTGTGCCATCTCCCTTCGCCGCTTTGATGCCCACCAGCTCTTTCGAGAGGTAGTCTTGCGTCCAAGGTCGCACGTCTTTGTTCACCCAGTGCCAATTGTTGGGGTTGTGGAGGGCCATGGTGGAGCCAAAATGTGCAAGGGGTGCGCTCGGCGCTAGGAACCTGTTCTTGACCTTGCAAGTCGTCAGTGCAAGATCCTCCCTAAGCAGTGTACACGTAGCGCGGAGTGTGAGGGGGTGAAGTCAGGGCAAGAGAAGCAATTCTCGAGCAATGAAGCTATTCAGCAGCAAAAAGAGTACAAGTCTTTCTCAGCCTGGTGCCAGCTCGTGGTCTCATCATATCAAGGGGAAGTACGAGGGGGGAAAAGAGAGTAATCGCACGTACCTTATCCTTGGTGGTTGGCTGGTTGTACTGGACAGTGGGTGGGGAGGTTCAAGCGAGACCGTCCACAGGTTGGGTTGTGGGAGAGAAACGTCTAGAAATTGTGAAGTGCAGTCTCGTTAGAGAAGGGGATTTGGTAAAGTCAGCTGAATAGAGTTATCTTGATGTGCTAGTTTACTACACTAGGCTGTTTTGGGCAGTATCGCGATGCTCGCAAATTACAATTCCGCGAGACTCACGACGGCGTGATGGAGCATCTCGTGAATGGCAAGCCGGTGATAGAAATCCTGGAGAGCCATTAGGCGAGGCTCGTTGGCCTTTGAGGGACGGAGATGATCCACTTCGCTGCTTCCGCGCAGCTATAAATCTCACGAAAGGCGCGGCCGGTGAGCAGCCTGTATGCTGCCTCGGCGGTTGGCCGCCAATTGCAAAACCACGAGGAGATGAGACATTCAGGCAAGCGTGGCGGAAAGAAATTAATGGTATTGGTAATCTAATCTATCTCAGCTGCCAGGGGGCGGTGCTTCTCCACGAAGCCCTCCAGGCTGCCGTGGAGCTCTTCAGTAAACGGCGCGTGAGAAGGCGCAGTTGGCCGGACGCGAGGGAAAGGAGAGCACTTACTTTGAACTGGCTGTCTGCGGCCAAAGATAACGATCTCGGTGGTGGTGATGGCGGAGAGGGAGAGCAGGAAGTGGGGGAAGGAGGATGTGGTTTGAAAAAGGGGGAAGAGAGAATGTGTGTGGGCGAAGTGAAAAGTTCAAATCAACAGGTGGTTTCACAGCACTGCACGCCATATTGGATGATGTCATGCCATAAACACGGGGCTCATGCATGCAGGAAGGACGCCATGTTTGCCTGAACAATACTTCATACGTCAGCAAACCTATATCATGTAGCGTCTAGGTCTTTGAACCGGCAAACAGATCCCGCCAGAACTCTTTGAAACCATACTGCGGTTTCCTCTCGTCGTACACATGACTCGAATGCGCCGTGGAGAACTGATGCAGCACGCTGCTGGGCTTGCCACCAGTGATCTATGGCGACAAATGGCGTTAGCAAAGACGTACTGCAAGAGGAGGCCCAGCAACGAAGCAAACATACCTGTACGTCTCTCACCTTGGGAGCCAACGCTCTCTCGCGAATGAACGATGCGATTTGGGGAGCCACGTCTGCAAAGCAGGCCTTGAGCTCACGGTCAAGATAGTAATACGGCTTCCGGGCGATCGAGGGCGCCATCAGGTTATACGATCGGGCCAAGCCGTTGAGGTGATTGATCGCCGCCTGATGATACCCTCGCTCCGTCTGCTCCCATTGAGGGTCGCGGAAAGGTGGAACGGTGGGCGTTCGTACGGTCACTTCAGGATTGACGGCCTCCGGTTGATGCGATGGCTGCTCGGCGGAGATGGTCACGGTTGCGTCTGGCTTGGACTTGAGCGTACCATCATCGTTGAACGATTGTTCCATGATTTCGATTTCGGCTTCCACTTTGGCATCGTTCTCATCTGCAGACACGACTTCTGCCGGCGTGACTTTCATTTCGCCAGCAAGAGTGATCTGGGACAGATGCCCGGCGCCGTCGACGGCATTGATCTTGAACTCCTTTTTCCTCGGTGGATTCTCAATCGCCTCCGCAAGAGCATACTCTTCCGCCAGCCGGAGCTGCTTATCAAGACCGCCGCCTTTACTGGAGATGAGACGAGCAACATGTCTCCTCCAATCCGCACGCATTCGACTCCGAAACTTGGATGCCGTCGACATGAGCTCCTGCTGTTTTTCGATCCAGGGAGGGACAATGTCCTGCTTCTGAATCATCTTGTTCATCAGATATTCGGTCGTATCGATGAACGGACTGTTCGCATTGTGGTCCCTTTCGAGTTTCTTGCCACGCGGTAGATTCTTGAATTGGCCTCGAGCGATGGCATCTTCGATTCTTTCATTTGCCAGAGAAGCCAGTCCTTGTACCGATGCAGCGACATTCCGGGCGCCAGGGGCGAAGCGAGCCTTCATGCTCTCGCGAAACTTCTGCCGCTCTTCTTCAGACAGTCCGGAGTCCTTGGTCAGCTCGTAGCTGGAGACTTTGTCCCGGGCATTGGCCAGGCGGACGCCTGTTGCAGGCTTGTGTTTGGGACGTCCAGTATCTATCTTCGAAGGTGGTCCACGCGGTCCACCAAGAACAGGAGTTTTGGACGGCACACGGATCCGCCTGTGTGCATCATCTAGCATCCGCAAGGCTGCATCTTCTGTAGCTTCCTGACCAGCCCACGGTCTTGCCGCAGCGATATCTCTTGTACCCCTTCCCGCACTCGCCGGCATGCCCACCTGCGCAAATGCCTGAGGATTGTCATTTCGGAAGTTGGCGTTGGCGACCTTCTCCATCAGACGATTCTTCAGCTCCTCGCTGAAGCCCGCCTCTTCCACGGCTTTTACTGCACTCCGGCCTCCACTCTCGATATTTTCTTCACTCATCTGCGCCAGTCGACGAGAGAATGCACCACCACCTTCCTCCTTCTCCTCCTCCTTCTGTCGAGGCTGAGACTGCTCGCCATCGTTGATTGCGTTGGTCTGCGACGAAGCGGGGCGATCGTGGGCGTATCGCGCCGATGCCGGTCGCCGCACGGCATGTTGAAGCCGAGGGCAACGAGCGGTGGAGATTGCAGGCCTTCTCGCGATGCTGCGCATACGGTATGTGGACTTTTGACGATGGTGCTGAAGAAGTAGAAGCGTAGACGAGGAAGGCGGCAGCTCGCTGATGATCCAACGCCACCTCGGTCGGAAGCGCCAAGACGTGACGTCTAGCCGGCAATCTGCAAGCCAGGCTCCTCGGAAGCCTCGTATGCTGCTGCTTCCTGGGCCATTTCAACTGCGAAAGGTTTCCTTCTACGGAGGAGTCTTCAAGCATCTTTTGAGTCTTGGTATGGCTTCCTGGAAGTGCAGCGCCCGTTCGCCGGGTCTCTTCCGCCCTCCGCGGCGCCACACTCTGCATCCCACCGGCGGAGGGTCGCTGCTGCATTAGATGATGGTCAACTGTAGATGAAAAGAAAGAAGCGAGCAGTAATCAATTAGATACCCGGCAAGTCCCTGATCCTGTGCTTTTGACGCAGATGCGCTGATGCAAATCGATCACTTCCAGTACACATCAAGCTAGCTGGACAGCGTGACACAATGCACTCCTCGAACTCGACATCCATCGCGCAAGAACCCATGCCCAGGCGACCAGTCTCGACCGGCATGCGGACAACGGTCAGGCTGTGTCTGCGTTCCAATAAGTTTATACAAGTGTCACATTCGGCTGTCGAGTCCGGAGACAAAGGCAAGTTTCACCATTATGGACTACTTGTGTCATCGACAGTGCTCCATCTACTCTGCAACTCCTCGCTATGTAGCTCTGCAGAGCAGATGCTGCTCCACTGAAGGTAGGAAGTATGTTGCCCCTACTATCGTTGTTGCCGCGCAAAATCCACAGCCATAGCAGGACGGCATCTGGCCCTCCGACTATTTATCAGAGACGCTCTAGCCGACCAAACCAGACCGCAATACACAAGGTCGCGTGTCCAAAAGCCTTAACGGGCCGACCAGAGCATGGCCCCACGATTCAGAGGCGCCATTCGGCCTCCACCATCTCGATACCCGTCGATAGATGCACTAGCTAGGCAAATAGTGCGTACCAGCGACCCGCATTCGAGTCCCCCGCAGCCACTTCCTTCTTTCTCGAATACCCAGTGGCCCCGCCGTGGAATCGAAGGGAGTACGCGACAATGTTTCACTGTACCATGTCGTATCGAGCCATCCAATTTTTTCGCCTTTGTGCATCACATTACGATGGTAAGACCGCGTCGAGCGCGAAGCAAGGCGGTTCAGTACACCACCTGAACATCGTCCACGCACCGGAAGCGTTTTTCCTTGAAACATGATCGGTGTACGGGATCACGCAAGAGAGATTGGCGAGAAGACTAAGCATTTTAGTGTCGAGATCGGCCATGTCGACTGTGGAGCTCCGCCAAGGAAGGCCGGGGGGCGGACGCGGAGTCATGGGCGGAGACTCAGAGCGTTTGGATTGCAACTTCTCACTCCTCAACCTTCTAGATCGTCCGGTCTTGTGTACGTGTTGTGATGAACTTGTTCAAAGCGTGGAGGATCGTCTTGCGAAAGCGAGGAGGAATGGTCACGCGAGCGATCATGCGCAACGGCAGGCTGTCGCGCTCAAGCGCGCCGCAACGCTCGCACACGATCGCGTCTCGACCGTCATCTACACATCGCAACAGCATAGAAGACCTCGACGGCATCCTCTTCACTGTCGTCACGTGATACATCGCAAGAGACGGGGTGTTCGAGGACAAGACAAAGCGAGATGAAAGGAGGCAAACAAGGCGCGCAGGGGACACGACGCAAACACTTCATGAACATCTCATTCGTAGCCTAGCTATTGAGGGATATGATATGAGGTTGAGGGAGGTAGCTAGGCCTATGCCTGCCCGCCCGAAGCCTTGCGGGCCGTGGCGTTTATCTTTCGGATCTGAGTCCGAAAGATCTATGACGAACTGTCCCGTCCCCAAGGTTCGCGCAACGCTTCGCCAGGCTCGTGCTCGCCGCGCGAGTGTCTGCAGCCGATGAAGACCGCCTTCCTCTTTCTGATTCGTGGGCCTTGCTCGCTTCCGACTGCCATGCGGGTTGGACAGGGAATCCTCGTAAATTTTCGCAGCAGCATGTGCTGAAGGCGCTTCGGTGAGGTCACTTGCGCCTTGGCAACTCGCGTTGCGAGGCGAGTGGTAGGCCACTTGGGTATGGTGATCTGCCGGCGATTCTCCAGGTCGTATATGGCTGGAGCCGCGCGCGTCCGTCACTGTAGAGTGACTTGCAGAGGCTGGAGCGCAGATTTAGACGCGAGAGTGGCTCGCGCAGAATGTGCAGAGTAGAAGAGGGAGAGCGAATGAAGGCGACTCCATCCGAGGATTATGGAGCGAGTGTCGCGTGCCGAATGGCGCCTCTCATAACAGCTTTCCTGCGTCTCAGACAATGCCGTGGTTGACGTTTCTGGACGCGTAGCTGCTTCGCTCGTAGGCGCATTTCCGCGCGAGGCGGGGGTTGGGGAGTTCGTCCATCCAGTGGACTCACTAGTTCTCCCGGACAGGATCCCAATATCGAGTGGGCGTCTGATTTATGCTGCTTGAGGTGCCGAGACTTGTGCTGGCATCTGCGTGGGCACTGTTAGCTGGGCTGTAGTCTGTGGTCCGCTCATCACGAGAATCTACGTACTACTCGCGACAGGAGAAGTGGAAGTGGAGGCGCCGCGAACGGAGCCATGTGTGGCCAGATCGGTGGCAGCTTCGTCGCTGCTGGGCGAGATCTGCCGCCGATGTCGATTTCGATTGTCCCGATAGCGAAACACGTGCCACAGCATCCAGCGGATGATCCAATTCTCCTCCTCCACCCGCTCATTGTCGTGGCCCAGGTCGTAGATCTCGCGCGTCTCGCGCCGGGCGGTGTGGTAGATGCGCATGATTTCGCGGTGAATGGCCGTCTCGCTGATCTGGGCATTGCTATACGGCGGTTCCACGCGGGGATCGTCTCTATATTGTGGTGCGAGGGAATCCGGGCTGGCGGTCATTCGTTTGCGCCCCTCCACCGCTTCCTCCTACAGGCGGGGCCAAGTCAGCTCTCCGATTGTTTGCCAAGGGATTCAAGGGAAACAGGCTGGATCGGCGTACCTTCATCATAGCGTACAGGCGACGATGTACTTCATTTTCCTCGCTCAATTCCAGACGCTCGAAGAAGCGGGCTTTGCTTTCGCTTTGGGCGAGGGGGGCTTTTATCGGAGCCATTTGGGGAGGGGGGGAGAGGTGAGAGTGATGGCGGAGTAGGAAAGGCGAGAATGGGAGTCGGCGAAGGGAAGTAGCCAGACTCAAGGGTGGGATAATTGCAAACAGACGGCGCACGCACGGCTTAAAGCGGCCAAATTAGCCCTCGTGGGTTGGGACCCAGGGTCATAGGAGGTATATAAGAGGAGCGGACGCCGGCACGAAAAGGCTCGCAGGAGCTGTGCTGCCGGCGATTCATACAAGGTCGCAGGTGACGACGCCGTCGAGAATTGGGCCATACGCTACCTACGACACGGCAAAATTAGCTTCCACCCAGCGGGCCTGGGTCAAACTCTGAAGGCCACTATGCATGGAGTGGAGGAACGAGGGTTGGCCAGCCATGCGCACCTACACTTATGACGCTTGGGTCGCGAAGTTGTCATTACCAAGGCTATCTGTCCCGCGGCTATTCACGCCTCGTCATCAAATGCAGCGCGCCCTCTTTGCTCGTGTTTGCGTGCGCCGCCCGGCGCATTCGGCGGCACACTTTTCGAATTTAGCCTCTTGGGAGCCTGATTTGCTTGGCCCCGAGGCGCCCGCGCGCCTTTTTTTATGAACGGCAAACCGGGGGGAATGGCTTCTCTACGTTCCGGCGTGCGACCAGGTTGGCGCCGAGAGTGGCAGCAGTCGAACAGGCTGGGTACGCGGGTTTCTCAACCCCTCACTCTCACCACCGACAAGCAGAGCGTGGTGAGCGGTGCGTGCAGCTGGGCAGACCCGGCGGATTCCGCTGTGCACCGTCAGGGCGCCCTTGCCACTGACTCGTGGCAATGGAGGGAACAAGGGAGCGCGTGGTGTTGATGCGCCAACAGCCAGGCGTGCGCACGTTGGTCGCCGAGCGGGCAGTATGGACACCCTGCAGCAATTTAGTCGAATACGGGAGGCAACGGGTGGTCTAGATCCGGCGGTGTGTACATCAGACATGCAGTCATCGGGGATTGCGCAAAGCAATGGGAGGGGGGGGCCCAATTTCGATGGAACGAGCGCGCAACTCGGCCCATCATCCGCGTGGAGTTTTAGGTGGTCGGTGGGGTGGACGGCCGCCGGGCGCCAGCCGATGACGAGATGCTCTCGGGATTCTTTGGGACCGTAAGGCAGGCTAGCAATGTACACGCCCGGCTTGGAGGAATTCGAACGCCACGACAACCCATGCACCGACAGGATGGTAAAGGTTGTTTTAGGGCGCCGCAGTCCCGGGACTCCTTGCCTTCCCTTCCCACCAACTCGTCCCCAAAATCCAACCCCAAGTCGGGTGGACACGCGAGGGATGTGTCAATAATGTCATCACCACGCGGGAGTCGGTTGAGCACCCCGTGACAAAACATCCGGGGGCGGGGAGTAGAGCAGAGCGCATGTGGGCGTGCGTGCAGCGTTGAATTGCGGCAGGCCGCCAGGCAAGCTGAGCAGTCTGATGTTAGGTATTGAGATACCTGCCTTTCCACCACAAACCCTGCGCTCGTCGTCGACCAGCGCCATTGCATGGCATGCCTGCTGGGCCCTAGGCCAATCGGTGCTCGCAAGGCAGATTGGCCGGGTGATCTGCGATCCCCGGCAGGGCCTGCAGGGCCTCCTCTCGCTTATTCGACGCCCTAGCCAGCTCCAAACACACCACCACGATCATTAGCTTCACCGCCCCCGGCCTGCCCGCCTTGCCCAATCGCGCAGGTCGAAAAGACGTCGACTGCCGCCCGGCGCTCTCCGACGCACGCATCTGACTCCTCCATTGGGCGGAATCGGCTGGCAGGCGCCGTCACTTCCCGATTGCAGCATCTCTGCAAAAGAGATGGCCCTCTCATCAAACGGATCTGATAATGCGCGGATAGGTTGCCGGGCGCTGTCACATCTCACTCTCCAGGGCTCCGTACACCTTCTCGGTGCGATATCCGAACCCGACCCACCCTTGGTGCGCGACATTTCCCTTGTGCTCCAACCACCCCCCGGCACGGCAGAGCCGCCAACCCACCAAGCATGCTTGGCTGTGCCGCAACGCTAGGTTTGGGAGGGATGCATTGCGATTCGTCCTGCATGGCTGCCGGCACTTTGCGGCACTATCCTGTCGTGCAGTCTAGCGGTGCGGATCGCGCCCCCCGGACATGTCCAATGGAGGGGAGTTCCCGTGAGAGTGGTAAGTTGGCGTGTTGCCGCCGGAATCGTCTTCCGAGGCAGCGGCGGAGCCTCGACTCGGCACGCTTGGCTGCTCGCACCTCACTTTCCCAGTCTTGTTGTGCACAGCGTTGTTGTCCCACCCCAGTCCGATGATGCCGAACGTGCATGCTCCGACAGAGGAGCTGGCTGGCGATCCCCCACCAGGCCCGCCCCCATCGCGACTGCCGCGGTGCCGAACTCTAATAACTGCAGCAAGCCTGACTACACCTCATCTTCTCACCTTTACCCGACGTTTCCCCCCGACATTTGCCGACACCACGTCCTGGTCCCTGGGTGATTAGTATTTCTGATTCACCCTGGGCCACTCCAATCCCTCGGCTTGGGCCCACACACCCGCTGTCATCCCTACCGGCCCGACTTGGCCTGTCGCACATCACGTTGCGTGTGGCCCGCCAACTCCTTCTCATCTCCGCCAACTCCCGAGTGCAATGTACCTGCCTCTTGCCACTGCCGTTGACCAGGCTGGTGCAGTAGCGACCGTGAACCAGATTAGGCAGGGCTTGACGGCCTCAATGCTTTCCATTCCTCGGCCCACGTCTGTCTGTGATACATATGCCTGCCCGAGCTAGGTCGACACGGCTTTGGTACTGACGTCGCCAACAACCACTCTTCCTCTCCAATCTTCCAATCAGTACTCTATCCCTGGAATCCACACCAAGCAGACTAGTACTTGCCCAGCAGGCCCAGGCGAGATCCAAACCCATCCAACCTCGGCTCATCAGATCCCGGCGCATGCCAGCCGTACATGCAACATTGGTGTGGGGATTCGAATGTTGGCATGCCGATCATGCCGACCCACCTAGACTCCTCTGAATGTACCCCGAGCAACCACAGCTCCATCTACGATGCCTCACCCGTCAGGCAAGGCCGGGCATAGGATGCCGCCGAGCACATTGACGTTGGCACGGGAAACGCCGTGTCGGCTCCTACACGACTATGCACCAAATCCGCATCTCCTACACGTTTATGCACGATCACTGAACGGCAAAGCCTTGCCACCTTGAAACCAATCAAATCCGTCGCAATACTTGACGCTTCGATCGATGCCCTACGGCAATCTCGCTCGGCAATATTGACCCATCCTCGGGACACGCAAGACCACCGCGCTCAAGCGTCCCGGGCCTGCGTTTCACTGGACGAGCTCGCGATTCGCAATTTTCAGCGTCAACATGACGATCACCAGGGGGAATCAACCGACGCCTCCTGCCTGCCCGAACATCTACCGAGCGCGGCTCCTGTCGTTCCGGGTGCGGCCGAGCCCCCTTATCAACCGCAGAGACGCGTCGCGACTCCTAAGGGTGTGCCAAGTTGGCGAGGACAGCTGGTGACGGCAAGTCATGCTCAAACTCCCGCCTCGCCCGCGAGATTGCTGTTGCGGCAACTTCGCAGGCGAAGTAGCCGTGTTTTCGCGTTGGCCTTTGGCTCCACGGCTGCGGATAGCAGACCGGCCAGGCTCTGGCGACCCCCTGCAAGCGGGCATAGTACGACGAGATTCACCGACTTGGCAAACCACCCCTTCGCCCGTGCGTCGTTGGCTAGTATGGAAAGTGTACCATCCATACGAGGCGCGAGTCCTGCCCATGAGTCGCTGTCTCATCCCACCCCTGGACTCCTCCAACCACTGGAGGGGCCCGGTGGAGCATGGCAAGCTTTTGCGCCAAGTTCGACGGCGGCGGCGACGGACGAGGAGCTTGGCAAGCAGCATCAGAGTCCCTCGCAGCGCGCTCTTCGAAGGGCGTCAGGCACTGCAATCATTGTAACTCCGCGACGCGCTCGAACGCAAGCTGCGGCGGCAAGTACCTTTCGCTCTGTCCCTCTACCGCAAAGGCAAGCCAGTCAAGCCCTGAGTTCGGATGGACGCACCGAAGGCGTCTATCCCGATGCATCCATTCGCACCACAGACTTGATTTTTCGATTCCCTGCGCCGCCGAGTGATTGTGCCCGCTCTAGTCGATTTTATCATTCTGATTGCCCGTCCACCTCCTATGCGGACGAGTGGAATAACCGCGAAGACGTACGATCTGTCTCGCGAGGCGTAAGAGGTGGAGATTGGAGTCGACAGACTGTGTTCCAACAAGATGCACCACCAGGTACATCTGGCCCATCATGGGCTTCTACTGAGAACGAACACCAACGCCTACGTGCCTTAACGAACGGAGCCCTGAGGTTCTCCAGTCACAGTCAACGTCCCGATGCAGCACAACTGCCCACACAACAAGCAAGATGCACTCATCACGAGTCCCATTTCCCTCTCATCCCAATCACCATCACATCAGCATCAGGCCAATACTGCCGACATCGTCCTCTCAACGCACAAACGAACCACTACGAGCTAGACGGCGCATCGCCTCCTCCACCCCTATTACGCACCACCGACGAACAACAACAACCACCTCTCCGCCTCACACCAGCGCAACACGCCGCCAACGCCGCCCGGCGCGCATCTGCCTCCACAGGCCACAGACACTTCATCAACCGCCGCATCAACCACGGGACCTGGCGCACGCGAATGAAGCGCACAAAGTGCTGGCGCTGCGAGCTGGAGTCGCGCCGGAACGCCGCCAGCGAAGCTCTGTACCGTCGCACGAGGGATTGGAAGGGGTGCTTGGTGCGGTTCAAGGAGAGGCTGCGGTGGAGTTGCTTTTGTCGGTATACTGCTTACGACGACGATAGTGAAGACGAGGAGAGGGTTAGGGGGGAGCAGGAGGTGGAGGAGCGAGTGCGGTTGGGGCGGATGGGGGGTGATTTGACGTGATGCTTTGCCCTGTTCATTTCGGTATTCCTACGTTACCTTCTGCATCAGACAGCATGATTCCAACAACGCTTCATCAGGGGTTATGGATCACATCTCACGCACGTGACCGTAGCCCAGCTTACATTACACACACAGTACATGCACTGCAAGTAACCGCAAGCAAATGACTTGCATCAACCCTGCACCGCACCCACCACTCGCCATCCGCATGAACGCCCGAATGAAGGCCCGCGCAATCATTACCCTTTGCGCAAAACCCGGCTTTCACTGGTTCGGGAGGGATGCGTCCTGTACCTTTGTTCCATCCCACCCACCCGGGCGAAAACGACGCCACCCACAAAGCCAAAGCAAAGCCAAAGCCGACGGCCACGTGGAGCAGGGACCAAAGAAACGAATGCGCGAATCGGCAAAACGCCACAAAGGCGCACCTGCAGGGAATGCCAGAAATTGGGGACTGGATGGTGGAAAAAAAGACCGGCCTGGCCACAAGCCCGACGGCAAGCCATGAACGCCAGGTGGCGTCACGTCGACGACTGTCTGTGACGACTAGGATACGGTGAGTGTGATGATGTAAATCAGCGCGGCGCATGCGGCGAGCTCCGGATTTCCGCCCCATAACCGCCATGCCACTGACTCGACTGGTGGTGGTGGTGGTGGCTGCTGCTGTGCCGCATGCATGCGCGCTCGCTGCCGGCCGCCGCGGAAGATGCATGTACCCTGCCTGCCCTGGCTGGGTGTCGGCGTTTTCCCATTGCCACCCTGCACGCCCGGCAGTGGTGGGTGGGGAGGGCAAGATACTCGTCGTCATCAGGATCCTCCGCGTGGCTGGAGGGGGTACTGTAGGCAGAGCACAACCACGCGCGGCCGGCCCTGTTGCATCATTTCCCGCACGGGGCCGGGGCGGGACGGCGGACGACACGCGGGCGCTCCACCCACCTCGCCGACCTGGTGAATTTTGCCTGGGCCCCCCTCAAGCGACTTGCCTGTTGCAGTATGTACAAGCAGCACAACGCCGGGTATAATTTGTCGTTGGGTGGGATTTTCCGTTATGCCCGGGCTATTGCCCTTTTGCCGTCAGAGGGAGGGTTTGCGTCACGTCACTGCGGCGGGCTAAGAGCGGGCATTGGGCGAGCGAATGAAGCAGGAGAAAGGACGAGGGCAACTTCAAGCGAGCGCGTCGAGGGCACAGAGGGCCCCCAAAGGGCAGCACAGCGCTTCCGCTCTCTCCCGTCCTTGAAGTTTTAACAGTATCATCCGCCCTGCCCGCGGCTGTAGCAAAAGCCACGCACCCGGCAATGGATCACAGCATGGGGCCGTCTGGGAAAGGCCCAACCTGGTTGCCAAGCTGGGATCAGATGCCAAGCCAGCACATGTGCACCGCCGCCGAGTTGGTGAGTGAGGATTCCACTTCCGCTCGTTCGCCCGTCTTCCCCCCGTGCGTGCGCGCCCATCTGCCACGTGAGAGAAACTCAACGGCTCGAACAAGTGCGACGCGGCACAACCAGATTGCCGGGTCAGTCTGGGACGCCAGGCTGGCCCGCGGGCGAGGGACACGAAAAGCGGGGAGGGGGGGGGGGCCGATCGCCCGGCGTGTCATGACCAGCTCGTCGGGACCACCAGGATGGCAAAGCACATGACGACCGCCCTCGCGCCATATTTCCTCGGTTATTGCCACGCAAACCCCATTCCTGCAGGCAGGTTGCACGTCCGACTGCCGGAATCGGTCGGAGGCGTTCTGGCGTCGTGAAAGATGGCCCGCCGGGGAGAGGTGCATGGGGGGTAGACGCCACTAGGGACGGGGGCGCCAACGCCACAGGATGATGAAAGCGGCCGAGATAGGAAGGTGAGGGATGGCACTGTGGCTTGAGGCGCTCTGGCGCCGCCTCGTCGGAAGAGGGCATTGCAACGAGAAAGCTAGGTGCGTTTGGCAAGGGGGCGCCGCGCGAGGGAGTTGCGTCAATCGTGCAGCGACGCGCCCTTGCTGCTGTTGCTGTTGCATCATCGCCGGGAGAATGTATAGCAACATCCCTGCCAGTGGCGAACCGGGGCCGATCAGTCGGGCCGGGAATGCCGGTGCATGCTTGAGAACGGAGGCTCGTAAGGCTGCGTGAGGTTGAAGGGCGAATGAATTGATCGTCATAACTGAGATATGAGAGAGCACCGGTAAAACAATGTGTGAGAGTATACACATGCTCAAACCACGTCTGCCACGAACGCCGAAACATGAATAAAACGTCCACCTGCCAGCCATCAATCACCCAGCCCTCCGACTCCTCTTCTTCGCCGGACTACTCAACCCAGGCACCTCCCTCTCCCCAAAATCCAGCGCAGGAGCAGCAGCAGCCACCCCAAACATCCCCGCACCTCTGACACCCCTCCCCTTCTTCGCCGGACTCATCAATCCCGGCACCAGAGCAAACGTCTCCTCCGGCAGCGCCAATTTCGTCTTCCCGCCCCCCAGATCAAACTTGGGCGCAAACGTCTTGATAGAAGGCACGCCGCCCGCGGGCGCTGCGCGCTGCTTCTTGGGAGGCGACGACAGGAGATTCTCCTTGCCTTGGCCCAACGAGGAGCTCGGGAGGGATGCCGGGGCGGGGAGTTTGGAGATTTTCTTTGCGGTTGTTGTTGATGCTGATGATGCTGGGCGGCGTTGGTCTCCTCCTCCGACGGTGGTAGGTTTGCTTTGCGATTCGGCGACGAGGTCTGCGGGGAGGAGTGACGAGGTTATGAGGCCTTTGGCGGGCGTGGCGATTCGCGAGCGTCGCTTTGTCGTCGAGGTAGTAGGCTTGCTTGGGAGCTTTGCAGCGGTGCTATCCGATAGCGACAACTTCTCCGTCTCAGCTGCTAGGATTGCTGTCGGCGCTGGGGTAGCCCTGCCCGGCGTTGCTGCTGTTCTAGACGGCTTTAACCGGCGCACTCTGGGCTTGCTGGGGGTCTCGGCGGGCGGTGGGGCGGATGTCAATGCGGCCTCACTCTCTGTCCTTCCCGACTGCTCAACCGGGGCCGCACTCAATTCATCGCTGAGAAGGCTAGAATCCGTGGTTTCGCCGCCTTGGTAGAACTCCACGAGTGTCTCTGACCACGTGACGTTGCGACCCCTTCCGGGCTTGCCGTATTGGAAATCATCAATGTCAGCCGCGCTCGTGTCTTCTTCAGCGCTGCTCGTCTGGCTTGATAGCTTGACAAGTCGCAGCGGCGGGAGGATGGCACCGCCCTTGTTCTTCCTCGTGTTTGTGCGAGTCAACAAGGCAAGTTCTTGCGCTTCCGTCTTCTTCAAGACCGTGTAGTCTACCCCACCGCGGATGGAAATCTTGTTTGGCGCGAGAGGCATATTAGGCTGTCCGCGTTGCGCTGTGCGATCGCTGCGACGCGTGACAGGTCCATCTTGTTCATTCTGAAGTCGGTCCGGGCTGGGGATCGAGCCGAGATCAATACCGTCAAAGAAGCCTGTGTTGTCAGGAGCGGTGTGAGACTTGCGCGGAGCAGGCGTATTGGGATTCATCTCGCCCAATACTTCTCCCTTTGCTGGGCTCGCCAGCGCCTGCCGGATGCTGTCCGAGTCTCGGCGGTTCGTAATGGACTCGCGTCTGGAGACGGAGGCGCGGCGCGAAGTTTTACTTTCCGCTGCGCGATTGAGGAACGCTTGCAGCAACGCCGTGTCGTCTGAGATGCGCGGTCGGAGGGACTTGCGCGGTGACATGTCTGGCTCTTCTGGTGGTGCAGATGCAGCACGCTCGATTGGGCTCGCGGGTTGTTGGATGCTGTCAGGGGATGAAGTCGTCCACGGCTGCGACCTTGCGGGTCTGAGGGGAGTGAAAGCAATCAAATGCGAGGTCTCCTTTGACGTCAATATAGAGCTCAGCTTTCGAGGGGTAGAGGAGTTCCGACGTGGTGACCGCCTAATTGCCAAGGGAGAGTGTTGGGCGTCTTGTGCTGCCGTCGATCGCACCTTTGTACGGTCTTCTAGCTGTGGTGTGACAGGGCTTTGTGCGGCATTGTCTACCGCCTCCACTGACTGTACAATCTCCTCAGTTGGTGTAGCATACACTGTGTCCGGGCTGCGTACGATGTTTGTTGCTTCTTCACCATTGGCATCGATGCTGACTGGAGTATCCGACAGGGAGCTTTGGACCGAGTCGACTTCCAGATGTTGCTCTTCTTGTTCCAGACTCTCGGTATCCGCTTTAGTCTGTGATGCCGAGGGGGACTCGACGTTCGTCATAGCAAGTGTACCGGAAGAAGACTCTGACTGCTGCGTGTTCTCATCCTGATCATCGACGGTCATTTTCGCAATGGTCAACGGAACAAAGTGCGCCGGCAGAGTTCTTCGTCGAGAGTCAAAAGACCGTTTTGCCCGGGGTTTGCTGACCAGGCGCTTAGCAGGGGAGACGAAGCCCTCCGGAAGAACGAAATCTTGAGCTCGAGGTTGTGGATGGACTGGGTCCGTCTCTTGTAATTCGGGTGCCGGTGATTGGCTGAGCAGAAGCTCGGTCTGAGCAGTGTCAGTGCCATGTTCATCCCCTTCGGTGGGCTCCAAGTTGGCTACGTCGGAGGTCACGCTCGGCTCCTCGTTTGGAAGCGTAATCGCAGTAGGACAGATGAGCTCATCTGCATCGCCCTGGTGCAATTCCTCCTCATCCTCCCACTCCTCTTCGTTCCCAAGCTCTTGGCCACCGATCTCGAGAACCGTGCCATCCTCGTCCAAAATCTCCACAGTAATATTCCCCTCGTCCTCAGACGGTACATCCTCCTCCTCTGCTTCATCCGGCAATGCAAGCATGTCCCCCTCCGAAGTGTTCCTGCTGCGCGTTACAATCTTGCGCACCGGGCTTTCTATAGCCTCCCATTGCAAGACCTGCGGAAGCATGCCGAAATCAGAGTCCAAGCACACCTTCTTGACCGGCTTCAACGGCGCAGTGAGGGACGCGCGGGATCGTGAACATTTACTCGCGCGCGCCACCCCGGGTGGTGATGCTGCATGGGTGGAGAGGTTGGAGGATGTCGCAGGCGTCGTCCTTTTCCAGACCTTGCCAACGCGCAGTCTATCGCGCGAAAAAGGCGACAAGGGTTTGCGATCCCAGCCTCGTTGCACTTTTGCGATGTGCAGATTCCCCGGCTGCAGGAGCGCAGCGTCTGTTGCCTGCCAGGTCGCGCTGAAGCCGCCTTCCGCCTCGGCTTGGCCATCGTGTTCGTAGTCGTCTGTAGGGACAGAGGACTCCCTTTCCGGATCCATCTTCGCGCGCGGTCGTCGCAAGAATGAAACAATACGCAATGGTCGCGTGGGCTGGCAGATGAATGTTTAGACTCGCAGGCGCCAAAGCCGAGCTGCAAGTAAACAAACCCGGATTAATTTCGGCGAAACCCACGAAAGCCGCGCCGCGGCATGTGACCACCACTTTTTCCCGGCTCGAAAGTTACAGGTACAGCTCCCACCAGCACATCGATTTTATCATCTTTCTATCCATCCAATGCTTCCCTGAAGTCCTGCCAGAGCATCGAGCTCAACATGGTCGCCGGCAAGAATACTCCTCAGGCCCTGGCGCGCGCTGCGCCAACGCCCAAACTCCCACCGTTGCCGAAGCTGCGGGTGCGCAAACCGACGCAGGGAGATGCGAATCCTTGTCTTGGGATGATGACGAGTGTTCTAGGTGCGTGCGTTGCAATCACATCTACACGATATGGACAGATGGATCTCCCAGACTCCTGTACTGTCGCTATGCTTCTCGGTGATGACATACTAACGGTATGCTTGCGCAGGTTGCTGGGCGTCGCAAGGGTACACCACCAAAGGCTGCGCAGTACTGGAGACACAGTTAAGAGCATGTATGGATGCACGGGTACGTTCCTTACATGGCGCCTAGTACGACGTGAGTGATTGGATGGCTGATTCAATGCGCCATGCAGAAATCGCAGCAAGCGACCAAGAGCACCATCAACTCCACCCTCGCACGCTTCTACCCCAAGATCATTGGACCACATAAGAGGAAATGAACGAATTCAGGCGGTCCAGGGTGGATGGATGGCATTCGATGGCGTATAGAGGCTTGGGCATTCGAGGGAGCGGCATTGCAAGGCGTTCTACAAAGCCCTCCCACAGGCAGGCCTTAGGCGTGAGGCTGTTTTGCTGAAAGCATTGAACTGCATGGGTTGGCGGCACTGCATACGCGGGTTACAACCGGAAGCGCTGGGTCAAAGACGTGAAGGCTTGCGATTCGCGTGGGTGGTTGCATGGCCGGAGATGCTCAAGCTCCCTAGACGCTTCCGGCAGAGTGCATGTGGATCTTCCACACTGGGGGCGATGCTCCTGACATGGAGCCATGAGGTAGTCAACGTGATTGACGGAGACTGACCGAGATTTTACGACTTCAAGCAAGAGATATTTAGAGGGAGACATGGTATATATGTCACTCGGTGAGCTTCCTGTCATCGTGCTCAACAGTCATCACATCGCGCATTGATTGAACTGTATCATGTCTTATGTGTCAATCTGCACATTTAGTATCAGACTCACTGCTGTCCTCCACGGTATTCGCGCAGTGACATATGTGCAATTGAAGACGGACGAGGCAAGTGAATGACGAAGCTCGGACCACTTTGCGGTCCGTGGTGGTTGTCGTGTGGGAGAGCGGGTTTGTTGACTTTCGACACCAGCACCCCGAAACTTCGCGCACTCTTGATCGATCAGTTCAATTGCAACGCACAGCTCTGCGACACACGACCTCCTACGGGTATTCGCATTTCCTACTGCGCATGTTTCTTCAGTAGACTGGTCCGGAGATCTCGGCAGTCCACCGGCGAGCATCGATTCAGGCAGCGACCACCTCCCACTCCCCTCCTTGCTCCTGCATCTCAGATGCTGTCCTTTTAGAGACACACCCGGCGCAACATCTCATACACCTCCATCGCATCGAGTCATACCATCTCAATCAACGTAGCGCCTGTACCACCATAATCCGCAAAGATGGGCGACGAAGAAGACTTCACCCAACTCCCCCTCCCCGACCAATTCGCACACAAGAACTGGAAAGCGCGCAAAGGCGGCTACGAAACGGCAACAAAAGACTTCAAAGTCGCACAGCCCAACGATTCCCTCGTACGCGAATTCACCGATGGCCAGATATGGAAAGCGGCGGTGAGCGATAGCAATGTTGCCGCGCAGCAGGAAGCCCTGGCAGCATATAATGCCTTTCTAGACGCCAGTGGCACGGATGGGGCGCGGAAAACAAGAGGGAGCACAGTGGCGGGCGTGGTGGAGAAGGGGTTGACGGGTCGGCCGGCGGCGAAGCAGGCTGCGCAGGAGACGCTGTTGTTGTTGATTGAGCTGGACAAGGCGGATCCGGTGATTGAGGAGCTGTTGCCATTCCTCGCGCACAAGCAGCCCAAAATCATTGCTGCGACCCTCGCGGCGCTGACGGGTCTGTTTCACGCGTATGGGTGCAAGACGATCGAGCCCAAGCCTGTCATTAAATTACTGCCCAAAGTCTTTGGCCACGCGGACAAGAATGTGCGCGCCGAAGCACAAAATTTGACTGTCGAGCTGTACAGGTGGCTAAGAGAGGCGATGAAGCCATTGTTCTGGGGAGAGCTGAAGGAAGTGCAGCAAAAGGATCTGGAGAAGCTGTTTGAACCTGTCAAGGCGGAGCCAGTGCCCAAGCAAGAGCGATTACTACGGAGCCAACAAGAGGCCAGAGAAGAGGCAGCGGCACAGCCTGATGACGCAGGTGGTGCTGATGGGGATGTCGACGGCGATGAAGCGGGAGAGATTGATCTCGAACCCGAGTACATCGCCGTTGATGTCTTTGCCAAGATCCCCAACGACTTCAGCGAGCGACTGGCGTCCGCCAAGTGGAAGGATCGAAAGGAAGCACTGGATGACTTGTTCACTGCTGTCAATGTGCCTGCCATGCAGGATGGGCCGTTCGATGAGGTGCTTCGAGGGCTGGCGAAGAGCATGAAGGATGCCAACATCGCTGTCGTTGCAGTGGCGGCAAACTGCGTAGAGTGCATTGCAAAGGGTCTAAGAAAAGGCTTCACGAAATACCGGAGCACCATCCTCGCTCCGATACTGGAGCGTTTCAAGGAGAAGAAGCAGACCGTTACAGATGCGCTCGCCGCGGCATGTGACGCCGTATTCATGAGTGTTGGCTTGGCCGATATCGAGGCAGACGTCCTGGAAGCACTCAAGAGCAAGAACCCGCAAGTCAAGGAGCACAGCGCGCACTTTCTGGTTCGATCGTTGAAGACGACGAAAGAGGCGCCATCCATGGAGCAGACCAAAGAATTCGCAGAGGCGGGCAAGAAACTCCTCACAGAGTCCGTGGCGACACTCCGAGATGCCGGTGCAGAGATTCTCGGGGTACTATGGAAGATCATGGGCGATCGCAACATGCTCTCCCATCTCGACGGCCTAGACGACATTCGCAAGAACAAGATCAAGGAATTCTGTGATGCGGCGGAAGTCAAGGCGAAGTGGAAGCCCAAGGCCGCCGCTCCTCCGCCCAAGGCAAACGTTGCACCTGCTGGGAAGAAGCCGGCCCTCGGAGCGAAGAAAGTGGCCCCTGTCGGCACCAAGAAACCAGCAGCAGCGCCCAGAATAGCCAGTCCTGCTCCCGCAGAAGAGGCGCCCTTGCAACCACGACCAACATCGAGACCCGCAGTAAAGGCGCCAGCTGGACTCAAAGCCCCCGGTACCGGTCTGAAGCCCCCCTCAGGCCTCCAAAAGCCCGGCACCGGCCTCAAAGCCCCCTCCGCCATCTCCTCCAGCACCGCCTCTCCCCAACGCCACGGCGTAGTCTTCGACGAAGCACCCCAACTCGCCGCCCCGAAATCCGGCATCGCCGCCCCAGGCAGAGGCCTCGCTGGTCGCCCACTCGGCAAACCCGCGCTCCCCACCTCCCCCTCCCGCAACCCAGAACCCGCTTCCGCGCGATCGCCACCCCCCCAATCAGCCCTCAGCTCCATCGAGCGGCAGGAACTCTCCGAGCTGCGCACCACCGTCGAATTGCTGCAACAGCAAAACGCAGATCTCCGCAACGACAAGCTGCGCACCGCGTCCGCCATCACCGAGCTCCAGAACCAGAATGCGCAGCTGATTGAAGACCACACGCGCGACGTGCTGCAGATTAAAGCGAAGGAGACGCAGCTGGTGCGTGCGCGGTCGGATGCAGAAAGTGCAGAGGAGCGGGCGAATTCGCTGGCGAAGGAAATCGAGCGCCTGAAGCGGGAGATGGGACGATTGGGGCGAGGACGCGCGCCGAGCGATGCGCCGGTTGATAGCCCGGGAGTTAATGGCAGCGACGCACCACGGCCCTCCGCGTACGGAAGCAGGACATACAACGTCCCCAGTGCACGCGCCTATGGGGTCGACGCCTACGCCGGCTCCGGGGGAGCACTTCCCTCAGCAGCAGCAGCGACAGTACCAGGAGACGGCGAAGGTAAGGAAAACATTCCCGACTCCACCACGGCGTCGCATCTGCGCTTCGGCCTCGAGAACAACAAGCTGAACAGCGCCGCTGGTACGCCTTCCGCAGTCGCGCCTCCTTCTCGACCGCTCTCGTATGGTTCTCGCGGCGCGCAGAGTCCTGATGAGGGGCTGCCGTCTACGCTTGCGCATGCGCCGTCGCAGCAGCAGCACTCGTATCGCAGCTCGACGTCGGTGTCTTCTTCTTCGGGTGGGGCTGGTGATGGGGTGGAGAGTTGGAGGCGGGCGGCGGAGGTGACGCAGAATTTGAAGGCGAGGATTGAGATGATGAAGGTGGGTTTTGTTCTGCTTCCTTTTCCCATGTTTGGTGGTATGCTGACTTGTGTTGGATTTACAGGCGCGACAGAATGTGTCGAGAGGGCAGTGATGAGAGATGTGGTATGGGTGGCGTGAGTGGTGGATGGGTATGAGTTGATGAGAGCGCTGTTCTTCTTCTTGGTTCGCTTTTCATGCATGTACAGATCTCCACCTGGCTCTTGGGAGTCTGTGAATACCACGTTTCCTTCTGGTGCCTTGCTCCGCGGACTGCACACCTCACTCAGTCTTGCGTATCAGGCGGCAGCATCACCCTCTCCTTCCCCCTACCCTTCGCACCACCATCACCACCAACCTCCTCCACCCTGCGCACCCCGCCTACAAACTCCGCACTCCAATCCCTGACCCGCCTCCACTTCTCCATAACCGTCATCGAAGGCCTTCCACCCCCACTCACCACCTGCGGACTCTCCACATCCGACAAAACGCTCAAGCCCGTAGCATTCCCCCTCGCGAACCGCCGACCCAAATTCTGGCCGTAGACATTCCCTCGCCAACTCGAGAGAGCCACATTCGTTAGCAGTAGGATGTTTCCCGGCCGCAAACGCAGAAGACTCTTGCGGAGAGGGGCATCTTCGTCTTCCCTGATGTCCTCTGTAGTTGGATTATTGACAGCAGGAGGCGGTGGATGCAGCCAGAAGGTAACGCGGAAACCCGCGCGGCTTTCGTCGCCTACGATGAGCTCTAGAATGTCCATTGAGGTTGTGCCTTTGTTCTTATGCCGGGGCCGGCGAAGGGGGACCGAGCGAGTTAGGGTGAGGGTTATGAGGGCTACGAGGAGGTTGACGGTGATTGTTTGCGGGAGGAGACGGGTGATTTCTGCGGCTGGAGGGAGGCGTTTGAGGTCTGTCAATTGGCCTGGGAGTTTGACGGAGGTTGCGGTTGTGGTCGTTGTGAGTGGGGAATTGGAGGTCGGAGAGGTGCAGGTCGCGTTGAAGGAGGTGTTGGTGTCTGATGTGTTTGTTGAGAGGAAGGAGATGAAGGTTGTCATTTGGAGATCGGAGGTGTTGTTGTCGGGGTGGTTTGTGCTGATTATCTGCGAGCTGTCGAGGTTCTCGAGGATTGCTATGGAGTGTTCGAGGAAGTCGTCGTCTGCCGTGTCTCCATTTGGAAGATGAGGGGCGCCTCGTAGTGCATCGTTTGGAGCCGCAGGATCACCGTATACCACGCCGTCCAGTGGTATCGACCGCCATTTGGCGTGGTGAGCCCCCGAGGGCGTTGGAAGAAGAGAGGCATCGGTGGGTGGTGTTTCAGTGTGTAGATATCTTTTTGAGCGGCCGTCGAAGTCGCTGAGAAGAAGCTGTTCATCCCACGTCAGATGCTCGCTGTCTGGAGCGCCGGTGAGGAGGATGACACCACGTCGCGCGGCTGCCATTGTGCTTGACCCGTTCGGACATGATCGGATGGTCAGAGACGTTGTTGTTCAGATGCTCAAGTCGTCCAAATCCACAGTTGACGCAGAGGATGAGAAGTCGAATGCAGCTTCTCTTTCACGTTCGCCGGTCTTCAATGAAACATCACATCGCCGACATGGCATGTCACGTCTCCGTCTTTGAATGCCGGTGGTAAAGATTCATCCCCACGCCATCGGCAGCCGCGCGCGTCGGAAACCCGAGGGCATCGGCCGAACTCCGTGCGATGCCTGCGGATGTAGCGGCGTTATGTTCGCAAGGGCAAAGTATTAAAGACGCCGACCTTTCGCACGCCCGTGAGACCACTCTCCCCGTCAGATTCCTTCGGCTCATATTGTGCGTCTTGTCGCGTCGCATTCGCATCGCGTTGAATTGATTACCAAGCCTGCTGCCTTGTCGCGCCTGCCTATCCAGTCACCAACCCGGCCTCATACAAAGCGGCGGAACATCTCCGACCCTCCGACGTAATCAGATAGATTGATAAACATTTTGGGCTCACTTCACATCCATCCCCACCTCCACGGAAACATCAGCACCGCGATCCAACGGAGAAGCCACTCTCGACCATGACCTTCCTCCGCAGCATCGCCGACCGCTTCACCCCCACCCCATCCTCAACAGCCACCAAAGCACGCCCGGACGGCTTCCTCACAGCAAAAGGCATCGACGCCCTCTTCCCCCGCACGAACCCCGTCCTCGACGGCGAAGACTGCCTGCACGACTGCGACTCCTGCACAGCACACCTACCCCGGGGGTTCAAAATCGACGAGGAGGATGCGCTGTACGGGCACATCAACGGCTGGAGTCGGCATTTGATCGTCGCGACGGGGAAGACGGATTGGGTGCGGGATGTGTGCGATGAGAAGGGGAGTGTGATGGAGGCTGTGGGGAAGCACGATGATGCTGTGACGGGTGGGAAGCTGATGCTCAGCGCGAGCAACATGATGCTACCCGATCACAATTCCGGTCCATATGGAGCAGATCGCCCGACGAGAGTCCTCCTCATGCCAGCATTCCAATTCGTGGACGGAGTGACACCCAACTTGGTCCCAGGCCTGATCAAAAGCGTCATCAACTCTGCTCCAACAAACACGTCTCCCCTCCCCTCCACCACCTCCTCCTCAGCACAGAAACAACAAAACGGCAACGCCCACCCCCCAAAGCCCTCCCGAATCCACCCCTCAGACCTCCCCGCCGGCATGAACCTCCACAACTGCCCCCACAAAGCCGTCATCCTAATGTGCTCCCAAGCCACCCGCGACGCCCGCTGCGGGCAATCCGCGCCCCTCCTCCGCCGCGAATTCGAACGCCATCTGCGGCCCCTAGGCCTCTACCGCGACGCAATGGACGAAAGACCAGGCGGAGTAGGAATCTACTTCATAAGCCATGTGGGCGGACACAAGTACAGTGCGAACATCATGGTGTATCGAAGGGCGGAGAGGAAGAGAGATGTAGAGGGGCAGATGGCGAATGGTGCTGAGGATGAAACGGAGGCGGCGCAGTGTATTTGGCTTGCGAGGGTGCGGCCGGAGGACTGCGAGAATATTGTGCGGTACACGGTTTTGCAGGGGAAGGTGGTGAAGCCGGATCGGCAGTTGCGGGGGGGTTTTGATCGGGAGAAGGGGGTGGTGAGTTGGTGAGGACCCGTTACACGGAAACAAGCATAGATGTAGAGGGGACTTTCGGGATGATACCGTTTCTCCAGAAGCAGAGCAAACATTATCTCTATCATGTCGCAAAAACGCCTGCCTCCACGCAATGCAACCGGCAGCAATCCACCCCCAAAAGTTCTAAGCCCCTTCCAACACGCTTTTCGGAGTAGGGGAGAGTACACTCGCGCCTTGTTTCAAACCGGCAGAGACAACGCTTTACATGATAATCGCGGGAACTGTAGCAAAAAGAGTCAGCAAATCTGTCAAAGTCCGCAAGAGGGATTCCCGGCACTCACCATCCACGTTCTGCTTGATGCTCTTGTGCGGCAACACGCTCGCACCATTGCAGTAGACCTCGTCGCCAATCGTCACATCATCGCCCAACACGCTCACATTCTCCATGCGCGCCCAGCGGCCAATCGTGCTGTTCCACCCCACAATCGTGCTCTTGACCCACGCATGCTCCTTCACCTTGGAGCCCTGCAGCAACACGCAGCGCTGCAACCGCACGCCATCGCCAATAACCACGTTCGGCCCGATGACCACATTCGGTCCAATTTTGCAATTCTTGCCAATCTTGGCCGACTCGTCGACCATGACGTTGCCGCCGTGGACCCACGACTCGGAGGTGGAAGCGAGGGCTTTGCTGTTCTTCTTGGCGAGCGAGGAGAGGTAGAGACACGTGCCGGAGAGGAAGTCCTTCGGCTGCCCGACGTCCATCCAGAAGCCGTCGAGGTCGAAGGAGTGCAGTTCGCCGTCCGTCACCATGGCGGGGAAGGTCTCCTGTTCGATGGAGGTGGGGCGCAGCTCGATGCGCGACAGCACCGAGGGGTTGAGGATGTAGATGCCCGCGTTGATGCGGTTGCCCACGAACTCGACGGGCTTCTCGACGAAGCGGTCGATGCGCGAGGGGTGGTCGGGCTTGTGCACGATCACGCCGTACTTGCTCGGCTCCTCGACTTTCGTCACGACGATTGTGCCCTCTTGCCCGTGCTGCTTGTGGAACTCGGCGAGCTGCTGGAAGGGGTACTCGCAAATGACGTCGGAGTTGAGGACGAAGAAGGGCTCGTCGCCGCGCCCGAGGATCTTCTCGGCGAGCTTGAGCGGGCCCGCGGTGCCGAGCGGTTCGGTCTCGACGGAAAACTCAATCTTCACGTTGTACTGCTCCTCGTACTTTTTCAGTGCGGCCGTCATGACCTCCGGTCGGTAGTTGACGGCGAGCACAATGTCGGTCACGCCGGCTTGGGCCAGCGCTTCGATTTGGTGGGCGATCATGGGTCTGTTGCCGAATTCGACGAGCGGCTTGGGGAGGGAGAGGGTGAGGGGGCGGAGACGGGTGCCGAAGCCGCCGACGAGGATGAGGGCTGGAGGGAGGTCAGCGAGAGGTGTTGACGCGGGCCATCGCTGCTGATTTACCCTTCATGTTTGCTGGGGGGAGATGTGAAAGAGTGTGCAGCTGGGTGGGGTGGTGTTTCAATGGAGGAGGTGTTGGATTGGCGGGAGTAAAGAAAGTCGAGAGGTCTTGCGATGGAGTACAAGATCCTCTTCACGCGTAGACGGATTCAGACCCAATGGTGTTGTAAGCAGGAGTTGTGCGAAGAGAAGAGAGAGAGAGAAGGAATGGAAAGCGGTCAGGCTGTACGACGACTTTTTCTCCAGAACCCTCGCTTGCTTTCGTGGCCTCAAGGCCTCGCCTGATCTGAATCCAAACCCAAAATAGTTTAAGCTACGAGCCCCATTCGGCAGGGTCTGGCCCGGCTGCAAAGCTTAAATCCGGCGTCGCGATGCAGGAACCGAACCGCGTCGGCCTTCCCGAATCTCCCACGTGCTTTAACCATTGCTTCAGCCGATCATAGCCACTGCACCTTCATATCCGTTTTTATAATGAATACGCTTGTAGTTTGATTACAGCGAGATGATTAGGCCTGCAATCTATCACCTCGCGGTGAGCCTTACGCAGCCGAGGCCTCCTTACTCCACCCCTTCATTAATCCCTCCCTCCCCACTCTCCCCCTCATCATAAAACAACCACCGCACCCCCAACAAGCACAGCCACACCAACCACGACCAAAGGCCACAAGGCTCCAGACTCTCCCGGCCGCGTTGCCAACCGCACTCCCGGCACCGCCGCGGCGTGAGATGGTGTGCCTGTAGCCGTGTACACGCCGGTCAAAGGCCCATCGGGACTCACGATAGTCCTCAAAGGAGACCCCGGTTCGCCGGCCGAGACCGTCGTGCTCGGCAACGCAGAGACTGGATTCGCGTTGTCCAGGTAGAAGATCCCGTTCGCGACAAGGCCTTTGCCCGCAAACATGGCTTGCGTGTCGGCGTCACTGCAGCTCTGGTTCCATGCTCGCACCCAACATGTCGGAGCGGGTGAGTAGGAGGCGGTGGTAGTGAATGTCGCGTTCGCGGGCCCGCTCGAGCCGAAACTAGAGAGGTCGACGGGATCGCCCGTCGACAAGTCTTGCCCGTTGATGATGCGCGTGAACAGCGTAAAGGCCGTTTCCGGCTGGAAGTAGGGAACAAAGTGCCCCGATTCGTAGATCCGGCTGAAGCTGAGGTTGCCATATTGCCGTGCTGCGCCGCCCACGTACGTGCTGTTGACGACGATGTCGGCGTAGCCTGCCGATGCGAAGCCAGCGGCGTAGGAAGGTGGAGGAGGTGGATTGCCTGGCATGGAGCTGGGGAGGGGTGAACTTGGTACGAGGTCTGCGATGGCGAAGCTAACGGCTTGCCCGCCGTACCAATTGCAGAGAAAGTCTGCGTCGCCGTAGACCAATGCAACGCGCACGCCCATGGCCAGAAGGGAGGCGAGATCGTTCGTGAGCCCGCCTCGGATGGAGTCTCCTGTCGCGACGAACCCATCTAGGACGTAGGGGCTGCTTTCAGTGTAGTTCACCTGTGCTCCAATCGCTTGCAGCACCGAGGGATAGTTCAGGTACTCCTGATATGCAGCCGGCGGGTCCGGGGTGGGGTACTTTTGCCGGATGTCGTACGGGTCGTAGCCTGCTGCCACGTAGGTGCCCAGAATGCTGTTGCAAGTGATTTCGGCATTCGAGCACAGATCGTTAGTGGTGCTGACATCGCCGTAGCCTTGCGGATCCGTGGCTGCCATTGCCGCCCGGCACTCCTGGATCTGCACCAGACACATGTTGGTGTATTCGTTGATTTCATTAAGCTCTTCGACTTCATTAATCGCTTGGATGCCGTATGTGTTGTTGTATGCGAAAATAGGGTAATAATAATCTTGGATCAAATCATCAATCTTGCCGTCGAGGATGCCGACAGTCTGCAGCTGAATAGGAAGGCTCGAGCTATTCGACAGCGGTCCATTCACCCGAGCCTGGTTCTGCGCTTCAAAGAAAGAGGCGAACACGGGAGCGTATTTTCCGCCGTAAGATTCCGTAAACAGATTGACGCCCGCTGGTGTGTTCATTGCGGCCCTGGGCGATGTGGCATTCGGCGGAACGGCAGGGTTGTACTGGGGAAACGCCGACAGCCAGGCCTGCAGAAAATGCCACGTCGCTTGCGCAGCAATCTCGGTGGTATTTGCTGTTGTATTCCAAGGGACAGATTCGCTTGAGCTGGCAGTGCCAAAAGTGCCATTGAGGTACATGTAGCTCGGCAAGCCTTTGGGACGCAGAGTCGGCGGCTCGAAGACGTCGCCGGAGAAGAGGTTGAGGGAGGCATTGGTGGGTTGATCAAAGGAGAATCCGACCTCATTGGGCTGGTCGATGAACAGAATGTTACTGCTCCGGTCCCAACCCCACTCATTGACCTGTGTGCCGTACGTTCCATCCTCCATCTGCACCACCTGACACGGGCCCACCTCGTTGAACAGGCCAAACATACTGCTCGTGCCAGGTCCGCCGCTCAGCCATATTGTTAAAGGTGCCGTCTGCGGGGACTGCCTGGCTTCGATGAACCAGAAGAAGGTGTTGATATTGTAATTTTGCTGGATGGGGGCGAGGGTGTAGGGCGGGAGGTTGATGTAGCCTGAGTACTGTTTCTGCGTTGCATAGGCGGTCGTGCAGGTGCCCGCATCTGGCTGGAGGTATGAGATGGTGATGGCGGCATTGAGCGGCGACTGGAGTACGGTCTGGTAGGAGGCGGGAGGGATGTATTGAGCAGAGGTTGGGAGGGTGAGAGCGGCGATGAAGCCGAGCAACGTCGGCGGCAGGTCGAGGAGCTGGAGTGGAAGTATTAGGCCAGGCTATCAATGCGCCGCTTGTGTTTGTCGACTCACCTTCATGACTGTCTGCTTCCAGCCCTCATCCGCATCACGCAGGCACCAGCATGATTATCGCGGGTCGGCGGCTCCTCCAAGATGATGGACGTGGGGTTCGTGAGTGAGCACGGAAGTCTGAAATGTATATCAGACGGGAGACTTCAAATCACAGTCGGCAGCCGGGTCTTCCTGAGTAGGCGATGCTCTCAATTGTTCGTGGTGTGCAGAGTGGAGAGTAGGTAGGTCGTCGTATGCAACTTTGTCGACCCCGGTCCTGTCACTTGCTTCCCCACACTTTGGACGCCACCTGCCTGCAGGTCCGAGCCCACTCGAAAGAAGTGGTTGGGAACCGGCACTTCAATCCCATCTTGCTTCTCTTTTCACACACCTCCGTTCAGGCGCGTGGAATGGCGGAACACATGGTACCCCTTGATTTAGCGGAACGTCGCCACAAGCTATTCGACAACGGCCTGCGCAACGAATCGGCATGGCAGCAGTCCGTCTTCGAGCAATACCGGCCCTGGATCTCCAACGTATGGCTCCTGGTCGGCAGCAACAAGCTGCAAGACGGCACATAACGCGAATCCTACCGCTGCCGCTGCTCGTCGGATGCCAGACGCTCGCGCAAAGACGCCGGTGGCACTGGCAAGAGACAGCGTGCCTACTACGACAAAGGCTGTAGCGCCACGCTGCACGTCAACTATCGCCTCAATGGCACCGTGGCCATCAAGCGGACGAGCAAGACTGCTCACACCCACTCGCTCGAGTACATGGACCAGCGGGCGCTCAGCGATGGCCTCAAGGCCGTGATTGAGAGTCTGCACTCGTTGATAGGAAAGCCGGCGGACATCTTGAACTATCTCCATATCAGCCCGGTGTTTCGAGCCGCTGGCTTGGAGGGTGCGACGATCACCCGTGTGCAGGGTCTCCTATACAATCGATTCGCAAGGCCACATCCGCACAGAACGAAGTTGGTCAACAAGGCCTCTACCTGCACAGATATCGAACGCAGCAGCAGCGCTAATCCCAAAGTACCCGCTGAACCCCACGGTGAACGCTGCAATGCGTACCCCAACCGCGATCAAGCAATCTCCCCTGGCTCGCCAGACACCACCCGTGCCACTTCCGCATCCTCGTAAGCTCCCGGTAGAGCAGCAACCTCGATCGGAAAGTCCTCCTCCGCCATGAACTTGCTATCACGCGCCTGACCTCCTCCAAACTTGGCCCGCTTCGTCACGATGACGTCCATGTTCTTGTGAATATAGAACCCGACCGCCTTCTCCTCAAACGGCTTGGCCAGGCTGCAAGGCTGCAGATTAAAGCGGAGAAGGGTCTGGGAGTAATCAGCATCTCGTTCATGCACAAATGTCCCGCCAGCAGATTTCGACGCTTACCTCGATCACCGCTTTGTTGAGCTCCATCAGCGCCACGCCACGCCCCAGACACCCAAACCTGCCTGTGCCAAAACACAGCAGAACAGTCTCCGTCATACGCGCGACTCGATCACGTTCGCTGTTGCTGCCATCAATCGGCAGCCAGCGCTCAGGTCGAAAGATCTCGCAGTCGCCGCCGAAGATCTTGGAGTTGCGCATCACCCCCCACGGATTCCACGCAATCTGCGTTTCCCCAGGCACGAACTTGTCCACGCCGTCGACATTGATTACACACCCAGTTTGTGGGACGAGCTTTGCCAGGAGCCCGGTAATCGGAGGATACAGTCGGAGCCCTTCCTTAATGCATGCTTGGAGGTAGGGCAGCTCGCGGGCCTCGGCGTCTTTGATGACTGGTCTGGTAATCTGTCCCGCACCGATGGCGTTCTCTACTTCCCCTAGTAAGCGCTCGCGTACCGGTGGAGTCGTGCAGATGAAGTGCAGTGTCATCCGCAGAGACGACGCCGTGCTGTCCGAGCCCGCTGTGATTTGAGTGAGCGTCTCACTTTCCAATTCTCCTTGCGTGAGACCACGATGGATGAAAGAGCCAAGCATGTCATTCCGCACGACTGGCTTCTCACCGAAGCGCTCTTGCACCCGTTCCCGCGCAAACCCCATCGCACGACCGAGGCCACGCTTGTCAGTCGACTTCGGTAATGCGGACTTCAGAAGCGGCATCTGAAGGATCTTCGATAGTTCCGTGTAGACACCAAAGACAATCAGGGCGGGAAGGAACTGCTCGAGATTCTCGAGGTAGCCGAAGGGATCTTCATCGCGCTCCAGAAAACCAAAGGTGTGTCCGAAAGCAATCTGCGAGATTGTGTCTAGTGTGAAGAACGAAGTCGCGCGGGAGAGGTCAATGGTCCTGAAAATGCCGCTTTCCGGAACCGCGACATATTTCTTGTTGATCAGCTCGAAGAATTTCAGCAGCTGGGTGTCGACGTCCTGTTCCAGGTGTTGATTCTCTCGGCCCGAGTAGCCGGGAATCATGCGGTTGCGAAGCTCGGTATGCTTACGCTCATCAACGAGAGAGACGATATTCTCGCGCTCTGGATGGAGCTTCAAGCACGAGTACCATCTGCCTCGGGTGAATGGCGAACAGACTGCATTCATGTGACGAATAAGGCTTGGATCCGTGGTGATGAGCATCGACGGCCCAATGCGGGCGGTAGATCCTGGCGCGCAGAAGTCAGCGAGTGCCATGTTCCCTTGCGGCAAGCCAGAGGTCTCATCGCCAGTTCAGAAGCCATATGGCCACAACAATGCGCAACTGCAGCCGACAAGTGTCACGTGTGCGACGTGCACAACCGAGTACAGACGAGAAGGAGAGTCAAGAAACGAGGGTGTCACTCACCATACTTGTTGTTGACCTCGGTGAATCGCTTGTGCATCTGTCCGCTACCTTGGGTCCTCAGTAGCCAGAGACGCGACCAGCCCACCGACCAATGGCCACCAAAGCGCCTCAAAGAGCAGAAGATGCGGACGCTTCGTACGACGTAGAAGGCAACGAGAGCCAAGAGGCAAAAGGCCGCTGCTGAAACCATGGTGGTGCTGGGAATCACGCACGCGGTGAGCGAGCAGGAGGTGAGAGGATGCCGCGCCGTTTCGAGCGGAGTGCAGGAGAAGATTTGTCACCAGGTGTATCTTCACGACACCGAGCGCTCGGGTCGGGAACGAGGGAGCGAAGGAAAGAGCGGCTGGAGAGGGAAAGAAGGCGGGTGTGCGTTTGACAAGGCGAAGCAAAGGCGACGAGTCACGCAGATGGAGATTTGATATTTATGCGTGCGAAGCGCGAGACGGCCAGCTGCGTGCGCTCTTCCGTTGAGGGGCTGATCCACGTTTTTTCTCGGAGGGTTGAGAGGGATGGGCGGTGATCGCGGGAAGGGGGCAAAGTGAGCACGCACGCACGCACGCACGCCGTTTGCCCCCCGGTTTGCGTTTTATTCACTCTCCACTGCAACCTCCCCCGTTGCTTGGCCTACCTCACCACGAGTTCTGGAGCTCTCGCTCGAGCGCCGCATATGCAGCACGGGCTGCTCGACAAGGATTACCACGTGGTAAGTCCAATATTGACTGACAACGACTGGCGTTTGATAGACGTGCTGCAAAAGCGGAGTGATCCGCTGCAACAATCATGCCTCCTCGTCTCCGTCTCCATCTACCTCGTGAAAACCTTCAGCTTTCATTCCAATGGGGGCGAGAAATTGTTGAGGGCGCCGCTTTCGCATGAATGCATACGCCTCGTCCCACCACCGGATGCACAAAGTTCGGTTCTGTGCTCCCGGCTTTGTGCAACCACCCATTTGCCACAACGCCGCGGCCACGTCGAGTGTGCCATTCACAGAGAGGCGGGGGTCGCGGCGTGCAACACACGAGCCAAAGATGCGAGAATGAGACGAGTCGCAAAGGAAGTGCCCACGAGCCAATTCCCGCGCGACATGGGCTGTAGCACTGTCTGACGCGAGATACGCCCGGTTGAATCCACTGTCGTCCACGATCCCTCTCGTGAGAGGAATGACCACTGCGACGGTATTGCGGAGGAGCCTCTCATCCAGCTTTGTCGTGGGAGAGCGGCTAGGTACTGGCACCATTTGCAGTGTCGTGTACTCTCAATCGTCGAACGTGCGAGATGGTGAAGGTGCCCATGGTGTAACGGTAGTTGCTATTCCTTGTTCGCCAACCGTGGTGTGGGAAGTGTATAAAGAAAACGTCCAATGCTGGAAAGGCAGAGTTTCATTCATGAAACTTCTTCCCCGTCGATCTAATGGAGACCGAAGGCGTACGCCCTAAAACTCCACCACAGCCGAGCGAAGACGGCAAGTCTACGCCGGCTCTCGAGCACGCCACAGACCAGGAGGCCGCCAAACCAGACGAGCAGCCTCAAAGTCTCGATGTTCCAAATCCGCCCGCAGCTCCTGACAGTCCACCCGCAAACGCTTCCGAAGCGCCTGAAGACCAGAGCAGCCTTGCGCCGACGCTGACATCGGATGAGGCGAACTGGGACCAGGCCGTTCAGCCGTGGCTTGAGAGCCAGAACGCAGAGGAGCAAGATTTGGTTCCCGATGCACGTCGCACCTCCGATCCCCTTGCCTTGAGCGCCAACGCATCGCTCAACCCGATTTTTTTGCTGCTCACGGAAACTTACTTTAAGTAGGACATCGACACCGATTCTGCGATCGGATCAGACACGTACGTTTCTCTTTTTTTTTCCGCATTCGCTCTTTTGACTGGCCATGACTGCGGAGCGTCGCGAGGCTGACATACGGGCAAGGGAGAGCGCGACGACTAGCCTTGCTGAGAGCATCTTCCACTTTCGCCAGGAGCATGGCCGGACATATCATGGTGAGCGGATTTCCTGTCTCGAGCGGAATCGGCGGTGAACGGGCTGTCACGCCACATAGCTGTCGTGACTGTTGCATCGGAACCGCTGTAGCTCCAAGGCTGATCCGTTGTGCAGCTTACAAGGATGGGAAGTACATCTTTCCGAACGATGAGGTACCATGCCCCGAGCCATGTATCCCCGCTTTCGAGGGGAACCACAGTTGGCACACATCGTCCTGTGGTCGTCTTGTACATCTTTGGTGGAGTTGTTTGCTAACGTTAAGTCAGCGGGAGTCCGAACGGCTGGACATGCAGCACCAGCTTCTGAAGATGACTTACAGGAACAAATTGTTCTTCGCGCCATTGGATCGTCCCAGAAGGGTATTGGATGTTGGTACCGGAACTGGAATATGGGCGATAGACTTTGGTATGCGGACGTCTTATCTTCCAAATGGGATATCTTGCTGACGAAACTTCAGCGGATGAGTATCCGGATTGCGAGGTGGTGGGCATTGACTTGAGTCCTACTCAGCCCAATCTGTAAGTCATATTGACCTGGTAGAGTTGCACATGATTAGCTGACTCGTCAAGGGTGCCGCCGAATCTCAAGTTCGTGGTCGACGATGCGGAGGACGTGTGGATCTACGATGCCCCGTTTGACCTCATTCACCTGAGATTGATGGCGGGTTGCTTTGCAGACTGGCCAAAGCTATTCCGGCAAGCCTATGAGTGAGTGGTGCCGTCCGAATTGGAAGCCGCATAAGAGCTCCCTCTAACACCGTAGACGCCCAGACACCTTGAACCCGGCGGCTGGATTGAACTCCAAGACTACGGTCTACCGGTCAAGTCCTTCGACGGCACTCACCTCAACACCGACGTCACACGCTGGGGCGAACTGCTATGCGAAGCATCGATGAAGCTCGCTCCCGTAGGTCGGCCATTGGGCAGCGATGCCACGCTCAACTACCCAGGCTGGCTCGCCGACGCCGGCTTCGTCGACATCCGACAAGAAATGTTCATGTGGCCGACGAATTCCTGGCCCAAAGACCCCTTCATGAAGATGCTGGGCCGCTGGAACCAGATCAACATTCTGGAGGGATTGGAAGGCTTTTGTCTGGCGCTGTTCACCCGAGGTCTGGACTGGACGAAGCAGGAGGTGGACGTGTTTGTTGCAAAGGTGGGCCGCGATCTAAGGGACAAGAACATTCATGCGTACTTTCCCATGCCGGTCGTCTATGCCAAGAAGCCGTTCGTTGGTGAAGCACTACATTTCCGCTGAGGATGTTTTGGGCTGGGATTGTCGGGGATCTGTTGTGACGCAGCAATGTTGATGTGGACTTAATAGAGAAGACGATGAATGAAACGGCCGTGCTCACGATCAGACCCGCGCATGTGTGAATCAGGTTTGTAACAACCAGGTCGGCTGGAAACGGCGATCATTCAAGAGTGAGGTCGGACGTCCTCTGGATGAACGAGAATAGACGGAACCGTATCTCCGACATCGGGCCTGGCCACGTCTCCGTGCACTGTGGCTTGGGGAAGCGCGTACGCTTGCACGCAAGTGTACACGCAATGGATTGGACAGACTGCTCCACTGATCCATCATCACCTTGAGTGAGCTCGCAACACCGTCAAGCTCTGAATGCTGTATAGTGAATCCATCCATGTGATGACGCTATTATGCAATGTGATGCTGGAATCACTTCACTGGCAGCCGAGTGTTTCACGTGATGTGAATGTGGTGGCTGGAAAGAATCGGGTAGAAGCCGGGTGAAACCTTAATCGGGCGAAGTGACTGGTCGCGCCTGCCCCCGCCGCGCTTAGTCAAGAAACCATAAATACTCCGCCACTTCCCATCCCACCTTGCCACCTACAATCCACTCTCACACCCACGACTCTTCATCTTGCACCTGAACACCATCATCACACCCATCCAGAACATCATCAAAACACCCCAGCGAACTCGCAAACATGCAGATCTTCGTCAAGACCCGTAAGTCGTGATCCCGGCGGTCCCCGCCACCCCGTTCACTCGCAGCACCGACCTGTGCTAACAACTAGGCAGTCACTGGCAAGACCATCACCCTCGAGGTTGAGAGCTCTGACACCATCGACAATGTCAAGAGCAAGATCCAGGACAAGGAAGGCATCCCGCCCGACCAGCAGCGCTTGATCTTCGCCGGCAAGCAGCTCGAGGATGGTCGCACCCTGTCCGACTACAACATCCAGAAGGAGAGCACTCTCCATCTCGTCCTGCGCCTCCGTGGAGGTATGCAGATCTTCGTCAAGACTCTCACCGGCAAGACCATCACTCTTGAGGTTGAGAGCTCCGACACCATCGACAACGTCAAGTCCAAGATCCAAGATAAGGAAGGCATCCCGCCCGACCAGCAGCGTCTTATCTTCGCCGGCAAGCAACTCGAAGACGGCCGCACTCTCTCCGACTACAACATCCAAAAGGAATCCACTCTCCATCTCGTGCTCCGTCTGCGCGGTGGTATGCAAATCTTTGTCAAGACTCTCACCGGCAAAACCATCACACTCGAAGTCGAATCAAGCGACACCATCGACAACGTCAAGTCAAAGATCCAAGACAAGGAGGGCATTCCCCCGGACCAGCAGCGACTCATCTTCGCCGGCAAGCAGCTTGAGGACGGCCGGACGCTGAGCGACTACAACATCCAGAAGGAGTCCACCCTGCACTTGGTGCTTCGTCTGCGTGGCGGTCAGTAAGTGCGTGGGCGGAGGACTTCATCACGGCGTTCAGAGGTGTGATATGACTACGAGATTGAGTGCAGCGAGGCACACATCAGACTTTCTTCATCAGATAGCGACTTGAATGCAGTGGCTCGATAGCTACAATCATTGAAACTGCCCGTCAATTCTCCAGTGCATCTTATATCTTAGAACGTAGAATCTATCAAATTGCAATAGTCCATACTGGCAATGATAACTGCATGACTAAGATTCGCGTCGGCTCTTGCCACATCGCGAGAACCTTCCAAGCCAAGTCCAACCTCTCATCTTCACTCTTCCTACTTGTCAAGACCTGCAGACACACGACTTCTGCTGTAAGACATCCGCGATGTCGCAAACAGTAGGTGTTGAGCTCCTCACTCCTCTCTAATGTATTTCTTCCACCTCAAGCTCGAGCTCTACCAAGCCCCTGCAGCAGCGAAACTCCACCTCGCGCAACCGCCAGCAGCCAGGACGGTCCATGTGCCACCACCGGGCGCAGACATCTTCAGGACTGCCCTGCCCGCTCACAAGACTACGAAGTGGTCGTCACACACCTTCACCGACCGTCCAGAGACGCCGTCTCACAGCCTGTCGTCGTCCATCTCCTCACACTCCCCCAAGCGATCTTCGCTGTCTGAATACCCTGATTCACACGGCAACGCCCTCCTCCTCCCTGAACGAACGGCGGCTAGGAAAGACGTGCCGAAATCCCCGGCGCTCATACCTGTCAAGCCGTCGAATGACGCCGCGGCGCGGGACTGGAGATACGATCGCGTGAGCATCGAGAGCATCGATATGCAGAGTCAAAAGGCAGGCGGTGCCGCCAGTACGGCGGGCAATATACGAGCGAAGAGCGGTGCGATCGGACTACACACCAAAGCGGTCTATACGCCTTCCGAGCCGAAGACGACGGAAGTGGGATGGGGCGTTGTGCATCTTTATCGAGACAGCGAGGAGAGCGGGCTGGTGGATACCAAGCCTGCTATGAGCGGGCGGAAGAGTGTGGATGAGGCTGGTTCAGAGCAATTTGATCCCGACGAGTGCTCGACACTGTGCATCGTTGCTGTGCCGTCGTGGATGATGCCATCTGACCTTCTGGGGTTTGTTGGCGATCAAGCGAGGGAAGACGTGAGCCACTTTCGCCTGATCAGGACGGGGAGGACCAACAAGTACATGGTGCTCATGAAGTTTCGATCGGCGCGGAAGGCGAGGGACTGGCAAAAAGCGTACAACGGCCGCTTGTTCAGTGTCGCGGAGCCTGAGAATTGTCACGTGGTGTTTGTCAAGAGCGTCGAGTTCTTGAACACCGGCGTTGATGAGCACGACAATACGTTCCCGCAAAACAATCACGATCCGTTCACGCCTACACATCCGAGCGGTCAGGCTTCGAGAACGGAGAAGAGCCTGAGCAGCAAGCCGTTCGCTCCCCCACCGCCGAATCTCCTCGAACTCCCTACATGTCCCGTCTGCCTTGAGCGCATGGACGAGACGACCGGCCTACTCACCATTCTATGCCAACACGTCTTCCACTGCGCATGCCTGGAGAAGTGGCGCTTCACTGGCTCCGGATGCCCAGTCTGCCGCTACACACAAAACCCAAGCCACACATTTCCCTTCCCGCGTCCCTCTCACTCTGCTGGCGGATCCGAAGACGCAGAACCGGAACCCTTGTGCTCCGTCTGTGCCACGAACGAGAACGTTGGACTATGGATCTGCCTGATCTGCGGCAACATTGGGTGCGGCAGGTACGATTCGGCACACGCCTACGCTCACTATGAAGCTACATCGCATTGCTACGCGATGGACATCAACACGCAGCGTGTATGGGATTACGCGGGAGACGGCTACGTGCACCGCCTCATCCAAAGCAAGCCGGACTTCACCTCGCAGCAGACAACGAAACACTCCGGCTCAGCAGTAGACGCCAGCAACGATGGGCGAAAGCGGCACGCAAACGAAGCATACCGAGCAGAAAGCGACGACGTGGTCCCCCGCGAGAAGATGGAAAGCATGGCGAACGAGTATGCGTACCTCCTGACTTCGCAGCTGGAAGGACAGCGGCGGTATTTCGAAGAGCAGGTGGAGCGCGCGGTTGACAAGGCTAGCCAGGCGACTGCGAAGGCCGATGCTGCGACCGTGCTTGCCAATTCTGCGCTTGCGGATATGAAGAGCAGCAAAGCGGAGCGTGATAGTTTCGAAGCCGTGACTGCGCGACTAGAAGCTGCTCTAGAGAAGGCGGAGAAGTCCAAGGTCAAATTTGAAAAGTTGGCTCGCGATTTGTCGGCGCAGTTGAGGGAGGAGAAGACGATGAACGAGGGGTTGATGAAGAGGATCACAGCTGCGGATGAGAAAGCTGCGGCGGCAAGAACGGAGGCGGAAAAGGCGAGGGAGGAGAAGCGGGAATTGGAGGAGATGAATCATGATCTGACCATGTTCATCTCGAGCCAGGAGAAGGTGAAGGAGTTGCAGGCGCAGGGGGAGGAGGTGGTGGATGGGAGTGTGAGTTTGCCCCCTGCGAAGAAGGGAAAGGGGAGGAAGAAGTGAGAGTCTCCTCTCTAGTTCTCATGATTCTGGCGTTTGGCATGCATCACTAGGTAGCATAGCGAAGATACCCCGGGCCCTTCCATTTAATGAACATGACATACATATCAGCTATACACATCAGCTACCCGCAGTGCAAAAGCAGAGCCCTCACTTCTCCTCGAAAAACACCGTCAAAGGCGGCTGCCACGGCTGCTCCACCAGCGGGTTCGCCACGCGCTTCAGCACCTTGTGCGCCTCGCACTCCTCGTCGTAGTACTTCATGTCCTCGAGGTTGCGGAAGCGCGTCATGGCGACGAAGTTGTAGCCCTTGCCGCGCTCGCCGGAGAGCGAGGGGGAGACTTTGATTTCGAGGATGTAGGGCTTGTTGTCCTTGTTTTCGATCAGTTCTGCAAAGATGGGTGAGGCGGTGAATAGGGACGGAGTACTTTTTGCTGGGATTGCTCGAGGGTTTTGTAGGCGTCGAGGAGGGGTTGGTGGTTTGCTTCGTTGGGCACTTTGAACATTGTTACGCGTTGGATGGGCATTTTGGCGGTGGTGGTGGTGCTGCGGCGATGCTGCTTGCTCTTGTTGTTTAACGAACGATCTGGTATTACAAGTGGGATGACGGAAGGGTACGGGTGAGAGAGAAGCTGAATGGATGCCAGGCATTTCGAGCTCTGGATTAATAATTGAGGGTTTGCCGTTTCAGCTCCGAGCCTTGCGGTGCTGTACTGTGCCTGCAATAGCCGAAAGGTGGTGGGGTTGTCGTGAACGTTCAACGATGCATTCCACGGCGCCTCTGACTATCGTCTTCATCGAAAGGAGGCAGCTGTGAGAAGTGCATGTACCTACAATGCCGGACTGAGGTACCGAAGGAACAGGCAGTGGAGCAGGTGAGATGCGCAATGGCCACTTCTCGTGACCTTCACCCGAAGATCGAGTCTGTACAGAATCTCGAAAGCTGCAGCCACCTCCACCACCTCCACCAGCTCCACGTTGCTTGTGTCCTTCGAGACACCATGCAAGAACGCTTCCTGCTCAGCTTCAGATTCACGACGCATGACACGACAGCGAAGCGACCCAGTGTGACGCCGATCCGAGACGTGATGGCACTCTACTGGACGACACCCGGCTCACCGCTCCTTCATGCATATGCACTCCACACCCGTTGGCGCTTCTCCACGGCACGACACACATGTCGCCCCCGTCACGATGCTGGACGGCCAGTCGCCAACGTGTCGAGCTTGTCAGGATCTCCTCGCCCTTGCCCTCGCCTAGCAGGCTGAATTGGGCCCAGAAGCTGTCCTGCGCCTGGCGATATGTATCGTCGGGCACCTGCATGCCAATGACATGCATGGGCGAGAGGTGCCATGTACGGCGCGTGTCGACCAATCACCGACTGCCACACGATGGCCCTTCATGCGCGATCCCATTAGAGCACTGCGGATGCGTCGAAGCCTGGCGCCTCCAGCTATCAGGCGTTCCCGTGTGGCGACTCCGTGACACCTCTGTCGACGGCGATCTTGGGAAGAATTACTCGCCATCTGGATGCTGTGTTACACGTCGATCTCATAACGCAATCGTGGCACAAGCTGGCCATCAACCGGTTCTCCGCACGGTTCTACACTTCTGCAACGCCTGAACATCAGTTCGCAAGCCATTCATGTACGATGGCCGGGGGCTGCATGACAAGCTCTGCAACCTGACAACACATACTCGTCTCTAGGACCGTTCAGGCAAGGTGTCTGCCCTCGCTTACCTGCTTGCCGTCGCTACCTGCCTGCATGTAGCTCCACATGGTTGCGAATCATCGAGGAAAGACAGCCAGACAATCCCGCCGGATCTCGAGAGGAGACGTCGGATCAACCTTGCGAAGCAATGGCGAACACTCCCCGCAGCCGTTCCAGCTCCCGATTACCGGATAATCCTTTTTCATGGCGTTACCTTACGCGATTGCGTACTGCTGCATGTTGAAGCACATCTTGACGTGTCAACGCACATGCATACATCCTACAGCTGGATGCCTGGGACTCGGTCGCTCACTACGACGGAAATAACTCCATTTCTTTGTTCTCGACGTGCTACACGGCCGTACAGCATAATTGTCTGGATTCACATATGGTACATTCGCGAGGCCGCAACATCCTCCTGCGCAAGTATTGCCTCGGGCTCCCACCTCAACCTCCCTACCTCGGAGAGGTCGCAGCATCTCGACCCGCACAATGTCTCGGCTCGCCCGCGCTCCCATCCGTCATCTGGGGCTGGCTCTGCCGCCCCATTTGCCAGCACATCGGTATGGGGCCGGTGTGGTGCGCGGGTGAGCTCTCAACAGAAAGTGTTGCGCTCGTCTGTTATCATCCCTCCCTCAGAAAGCATTGCAGAGCGGGAGGGGTACTTTGGCACTTCCAATCTCTGGCTGAGGCGTCGGTTCGCGAATTATGCGTTGTTAGGGATCTGCGAACTACTTGTAAGTGGAGCTTCGCCCGCCCATGCATTTCATCTCTCTCTGTTGTCTCGCCACTCATCTCTCGTCTTGCCTGGCTGTCGTTCTCACTTGCATTGGTCACTGGTGTTGTCATTCCACCGACTGCGATCGTTGGTTCGCTTCCTACCGTATTTGCGCATTGCATGTGGAAACCACCTTCCCATTGACGACTGGGTACGCTCGACGCCTCAATCGACAGGAACAGACTTAACTGCAGCGGACATGTACTACCAAAGATACCTGTGGAGTAAGTCAACACAAATACCCCACATTACCTCCCCGTCCAACCACCGCACCGCCCACTAACGCTCAACATCTAGGCATCTGCAACCGCCGCGAATGGCCCGAACCAGAGTACAAAGCCTGGCAAACGTCGCACGGCCACTACTGCATCGTGCGCGTCAACAACAGAGAATACACAACCGGCCTGCCCTTCACCACCCACGCTGGCGCGCAGGAAAACGCCGCCGCGCAGGCCTGGATGATCTGCCGCGCCTTCTCGGCCAACGACGGCATGCTTCCTGGCCAGCGGCCGGGGCAGGTTGCGCCTAATGGCATCCAGCAGGGCAAACGGGTTGCGATTGGAGAGGGGAGACGGAAGGCTGCTGTTCCGCTGCCAGCACTGCCGCGGGATGAAGTTGTGATGAGTGAGCAGGTGGAGCGGGCTGCGTTGCTGTCGCCTCATCGGTTGAGTTCGAGCAGTGATGAGGATGGCTCTAGCCCGTTCAGCAGTCCGAGGGATAGTCTGCGCAGCAGCGTGGGCGAATCCAGCGGTAGTGCGAGGAGCAGCATGACGAGCGTCGAGGGCATCAGTCCGAAGACTAGCGCAAGCAACAGCCCGAGCAACAGCGTGAACAACAGTCCCAGGAACAGCGCGGATAACAGTCCGCGGAACAGTCCGCGCGACAGCGTGATGGAGATGTCGCTGCTGGACGGCGCGGAGCCGATGCCGCAGTATGGCAAGCCGGCGCAACGGCATTCGTACTCCAAGAGGGGGAAAATGTAAGTTGCCTGCCCGCGTTGGCTGATTCTTTCTGTCTTTGTTTTTACTGACTACTTTTGCGTATGGGAGTAGGTGCAAGTGTGCTCGCGGCCTGCCGATCAAAACATACAATCGCTGCGACTTCTGCCTCGCTTACTTGACGTAGCTGGTCTCTGACGATTGCATTTCTTTTGGAGAGGTTTGGGTGTGCATATGGGCGATCATGCCGCGAGGCTTATTAACGATTTGCACGGCCGATGTCACGGACGCTATTTTTGAGGTCTGCGTGTTGGAGCATTTTCGGTTGAATGATAGCTGAATTGTATTTATTTGAGAGAATGCATGGAGTTCTCAAACATTCGTTCGGTCGAGTACGATTGTGTTGTCGGGGTTGTGTGGGACAAGGCTGGCTGGGCTTGTGCGGTCTTTGATAAAGTGCCGCCTACTGCAGTGCGACATTTGCCTACGACCACAATTAGGATTAGCCAACTTACATTGTATGCAAACGGGAAATACTGAACACGATGATCAAGTTGCAAGAAACGGCAGTCCAATTCACCTGGCCAGAGTTCACCTGGTTCCTCAGGCTCCATCATGGTCGGCGGTGATTTTGCTTCCCCATGCGGCATAGCGCGCATCCTTGGGGGGACTTTTGGTGGCATTGAAACATGCACAATACCACGCGATCCAAGTATTGTCCCCTTCTCCAACCTCTTCCACGCGTAACGAATCTCTTACCGCGTGTCACAGTGCAAGAGCACAGCATACATACAATCAATCACGTCCGCGCCATCACCATCGGAAGAAGACAAGCACGTCCATCTCCCAACTCTAGAGGTTACCAAACCACGGCCATCAAGTCACGAACACGAGAGGAGCGGAGCGACAGAGGGTGGATGGACCACTCCAGCAAGGCGGCAAGATGAGCAATCTTCTCACCTCCCGCCAGGCGGAAGAACTGTGCGCTTCCACCCCCATTTCCCTCCTCCTCCACTCGAACCAATGCTGATTGCCCCCCTCGCTAACAGCCACAAGTCGCTCATCTCCTACCTCAACGCCTCGGGCTACACCAAAAGCGCACAACAGATCCGCGACGAGCTGAACCTCCCAGAAAGTAGCTTCGACGCCGCGACGGCGAAAAAGTACGAGGGGCTGCTGGAGAAGAAATGGACGAGCGTCGTGCGGCTGCAGAAGAAGATTATGGATCTCGAGAGCAAGGCGAGTCAGTTGCAGCATGAGTTGGACAACGCCACTCCGTCTTCGCTGGCGGCGCGCCGGAATCATGATCCTGCGACGTGGTTGCCGAGGGCGCCGGCGAGGCATACGCTGCAGTCGCATCGGCAGCCTATTACTTGCGTTGCTTTCCATCCGCTGTTCTCCAGTCTGGCTTCCGGGAGTGAGGACTGCACGATCAAGATTTGGGATTATGAGCTCGGAGAGCTGGAGAGGACGTTGAAGTCGCACACCAAGGCGGTGCTGGATGTGGACTTTGGCGGGCCGAGGGGGAATACGTTGCTGGCGAGCTGCAGTTCCGATTTGACTATCAAGCTGTGGGATCCGGCGGAGGAGTACAAGAATATCCGCACGCTGCCCGGACACGATCATAGCGTGAGCAGTGTCCGCTTTATTCCTTCTGGCGCTGCTGGTGCCCCGCTGTCGGGGAATTTACTTGCATCGGCGAGCAGGGACAAGACGATTCGGATATGGGATGTGACGACGGGGTACTGCCTGCGGACGCTGAGGGGGCATGCGGACTGGGTGCGCTCGCTGTCACCTACATTCGACGGACGATGGCTGCTATCGACCTCCTCCGACCAGACGAGTCGAATGTGGGACCTCTCGCAACCCGACTCCAACACCATGAAGCAGACCTTCACCGCGCACGAGCACGTGGTAGAATGCTGCGCCTTCGCACCCCCGACATCATACCCGCACCTCGCAGCACTCGCAGGCCTGAAAAAGCCACCACCCGCCTCCTCCTCGGCCGAATTCGTCGCGACAGGCGGCAGAGACAAGCTCATCAAACTCTACTCCACAAACGGCGTGTGCATCAAAACGCTCACGGGCCACGACAACTGGATCCGCGCGCTCGCATTCCACCCCGGCGGCAAGTATCTCCTCTCGTGCTCCGACGACAAGACAGTTCGCTGCTGGGATCTGGCGCAGGAGGGCAAGTGCGTGCGCACGGTCGAGGCGGCGGATCACTTTGTGTCGTGCTTGCGTTGGGCGCCGAGTATTTACAAGGAAGCGCCTGCGCGGGAGAGTATTGGGGGAGGGGCGACGACTAATGGGACCACGACGACGACAACGACGATGGCTAACGGCACGAAGGAGGAGGGAGGAGGGGTGAAGGAGCAGATTCGGTGCATGCTTGCGTGCGGCAGCGTGGATTTGAATGTGCGGGTGTTTACCGCTTGATACCCTGCGAGCGTGCGTGTAGCGATGTGATTTTAAGTACGAATTCTTTCATGCTGTTCAGGTGGTTGATGATTTATCATCTGCTCGCAGCTCTTGATTTATCATATCACCGGCATGCCTTCTGGCCAATGACGCCCTGATGTGTGTGTGTGCGTGGGTGGTGGTGGCGAAACGCATCTCATAATTCAACCCCACACCCACCTCCGGATGTCGAGCATGTACCCCTCGGTGGCAATGCGCCATTTATCCTTGGACCTCCAATTGCACGCAAAAAGACGAGGAAAAGCGACGTGGAACCGCAAACATGCTCAGCAGACTCCGGCGGACCAGCAGCAAGCAACCATCCGAGTCCAGCAGCAGCAGCAGCCCCAACACCAGCAGACAAGCCAGCCTGGCCGTGGCGCCCAGCAACCCAAGCCGCTCCGGATCCACCACCACCACAACCACAACCTCACAGCAACAGCAATCCGTCTCCTTCCTCTCCCTCCCAGCGGAGATCCGCAATGTAATCTACTCGCACGTAGCAAGGCACACCCGCGTCCTCATCCGGCCTACACCGCCCACACCATCAAAAGGGAAATTCAACACCGCCAAAGTACCTCCAACACAACCCGCAGCTCCAGGCCTATTACTAGCCTCCAAACAAACCCGCGCAGAATACCTGCCCATCCTTCTCTCCACCGCCCCAACGAGCATCACAATCACAGACTTCGACTTCCGCAACCTCGTCCGCATAACGCGCAGCCTCTACGCCACCGAACTCAAAGCCCTGCGCCTGAACCCGCGCCTCACGATCAAATGCCAAGCCGCCCAGCCCTCCAAAACCTCGCTCGTCAATCTCCGCCGCTGGCTGGAGCAGCGGTGCAGGTGTTTGGATCGCTTGCCGTGGAGGTATGAAGTTTGCTGGGGCAGGGGGCCTGGGGTGGGGGTGCCTACGGGGTCGACGACGGGACAGGTTGTGAATGCTTTTGTGGCGCGGAAGCGGGTTTTGGGGGAGAATTTGGAGGCGTTGGGGGGGTTGAGGGAGGGGTCGCAGGAGATGGTTGCGGCGGAGTTGGGGCCTTTTGTTGAGGCTTTTGAGGGGGAACTGAGGAGGATGGGCGCGGTGGTTGCGGGGGTGGGTTATTGAATGGGGATGGGTAGGGGATGGTGATCTGTTGAACGAGCCATGGATTTATGATTTAGGAGGGATGAATATGATGTGGTGGACATGCTTTTAGTTGTCTGGAAGCGACAGCATTAGGATATCTGAAGCACCGCGATTCTACTTCTTCAAACTCGCCGCGAAATCCTCCACCGCCCCCACAAAAGGCTGCTCAGGCAACATGCCCAAACCCAGCGCCTTGCTCACATCAAACCGCACCGACCACGACTCCAACACAGCCTTGACATCCGGCGTCAAAGGCTTCCGCTTTACCAGCTTGACCGCCTCCTCGCCGCCCACCTTCTTCAACGCAGCCAGCATCTCGCCGACCGTCGCTGTGATACCCGGCACATTGATCTGGCGGATGTGCGGCGGCATACAGTCGCTGGGCAATTTGAGCGCAATCATCAGATTCTGCGCGAGGATCTTGGGACTGCCGAGCCAGCACTCGAAGTCGTCTGGACACGGCAAGTCGGCTTCCTGCCCTTGCAGTGGTTCGCGGATGATGCCGCTCATCCAACTGCTAGCTGCAGCAGAAGGTTTGCCCGGGCGCACGGAAATGGTAGGGAAGCGGAGGGTGATGGCATCAATGTAGCCGCGGCGACTGTAGTCGTTGACAAAGTACTCCATCATCACCTTCTGCGTGCCATAGCTCCCCTGCGGCGTGGGGATGTTCGTTTCCGAGGGATTGTGCGGCAGCGGCTGGCCGTACGCGGCGCACGACGAAGCGTACACGACGCGGATGCCCGGGCACGTTTTGCGGATGGCCTCGATCAGCGCCATCGAGCTGTGCAGGTTGACGGAGTAGCCGAGATCGAGATTCTCCTCGCTGCCGGCTGACATGATGCCGTGGAAGATGTAGGCTGCGTTGAGGTCGGGGGACAGGACGGCGTGCGGGTCGGCGAGGATGTCGGCTTTGATGCTGGTGACATTTTGTTTGAAGGCTGCCGCGCCTGCTGGCACGGGAGGCTCGAAGATGTCGGTGAGGACTAGGTGGTGCTGTTCTTTGAGGAGGTGTTCGGCTAGCAGTTGGCCTAGGAAGCCGCCCGCCCCGGTGATGAGGATCTTCATGGTTGGAATAGGGATTATGTACAATTCAATGGGTATTGGTTCAGACAGGAGAGATGTAGACGTGGCAGGAAAATGACTCGTGAGGTTGACGTGCGAAGCCTGATGTCTATGTATTGGCCGGTGGAGCCGATATCGCGGACAACACCTCGAGATGCCGTCAAGCCGTCTGTTGCCGTCCAGCATTACGAGTCAGCGCCATTGGTCCCGTTGTTAATGACAAGGAGTCATGGAGCGCGATTTGTTGGAGATCGAAGATCTAGGAGAGTTGACAATGTCGTGGAATGAAGGTGGATTGCATGTAAAACTACAATGTCGACCATATCACGTCGAAGCGGCCAATGGACTCAAGGGTTCACGTTGATCCAAGGCTGAAAGCAGCGATTGAACTACCAGTAGAAATGCCTAAGCATCTGAGACTTGCACAAACTTGCATTGCAGCCATGTGGTGGTCGATTCGACAGCGTGATATGACTGATGAACAAGAGTGAAAAAGAAAATTTCCTTAAACGAGACCGACACGCAGACAACTATTCCCCTGACATGCAACTGCAAAAAAACGACACCTGTGTGATTCGAACACACGCTCCCGAACTTGAGGATTGTTAGAATTGAGTGAAATCTTAGTCGCAGAGCGGCGCAAACTCACGGAACTGCCTTAGCAGGGCAGCGCGTTAACCACTCCGCCAAAGTGCCAAGCTTACGTGGGGCGTCGAGATGGTATCGTATAGATACTTTAAACGTTATGCCGAGGTTGTCCCGCAGCTCCATCGCATGATGGTACAAGTGTAGAACAACAAGAGGCTGTAGGATGCCTCAATTCCGCGTCGTTCAATCCCTCATCAGCCGAGTCGACTCAGCAGATTTCTCGCATGGCCAGCCGTGGTATTCACTTCTTTCACGTAGGACTCTCCGTCCAACCTCGGGGTCGGGACATCCATCCACGCTAGCCCGTTAGTCCACCTCGGCGCCGATCGGGACGGGAAGGTCTGGCCCAAGGCGTCATTCGTGAAATCCGTCCAAATCACCACCTCGTTCGACTGATACAAGCGCATCTCGCCGTACTTTGTCGCATTTGAATCCGAAAACAATGATATAGACTTGTCAGTACACCATTGAACTGCTGTCGAGGGCCACGGGAGCTTCAAGAACGTGGAGGAAAGATCATCTCAACCGGCGAACCTCCGGCAGAGCCTTCAATCATCCTGTGTCGGCTGCGCCTGCGCCGTGTTAGCATAGGGTGTTGCGCCCGACATGGCCATCACTAATGGTGTCGCCAAGTTCGACACCATCCCGGAGGCCATTGAGGCATTTGGTAAGACATCATGACCATTCGCGCTCCCCTCATTCCACCACACCTAACGAAGCACGCCCCAGCCCGCGGAGAATTCATCGTCGTCCTAGACGCCACGAACCGCGAAAACGAAGGCGACCTCATCATCGCCGCCTCCGACTTCACCGCCGCCAAAGCAGCCTTCATGATCCGCCACACCTCCGGCCTCATCTGCGCCCCCATCCTGCCCAGCCTGGCGGCCAAACTCGAACTCCCCCAAATGGTCGCCCACAACACCGACCCCAAAGGCACCGCCTACACCATCACCATCGACGCCGCCGAGGACACGACGACGGGCATTTCCGCCCACGACCGCGCGCTCACGTGCCGCTGGCTTGCGGACCCGAATGTGCGGATTGACTCGTTTCGGCGCCCGGGGCATGTGATTCCTTTGCAGGCGCGGGAAGGCGGGGTGCGTGTGAGACCCGGCCATACGGAGGCTGCGGTGGAGTTTTGTCTTTTGGCTGGTAAGGCGCCTGTGGCGGTCATTGCGGAGTTGGTGGAGGATGGCGAGGAAGTGCTGGGGCAGGGGGAGCGAGCGGGGGAGTATGGGATGATGAGGCGCGATGGCTGCTTGGCTTTTGCGAAGAAGTATGGGCTGAAGGCGGTGACGATTGAGGACTTGATATTGCACCTGGATGGCGCGAAAGGGATACAGAGGAACTAAATCGACTGCCTTTTATGCTTGGCCTTTTGCTTCCGAACGCTCAGATCAACATGATGGTACTGCTGATTATCTACACTGACCAATCTAAACCCAGCCGCAGAACTTCACCGGACGCCGGCACGATCTCAACATGAAAGCAAACCTCCAAAGCACGCCAACGCCGAACACCCGACCACCTCCCGCAATCCTCTCTGAGAGATCGTCCACCATCTTTACCCATCCTCCCAGGATCATCTCATCAACGCGCTCACCGATCACGCCCCTGCCATTACCACTCACCACCTTTCCATCCCAGACTCCAGCGGAGAGAACCGCCCTGCATCCACCATCGCTCCCAGGATCATCTCATCCCGACCACCATCAACAGACCCCTCGCCATCCCCACCCACCACCTTTCACTCTCCTCCAGCAGGCAGAGACCCCTCCTGCTCAGCCATCGCCCGCTCATTCTCCAACTCCTTGGCAAACGGACTGCGCTCGCGGAACCACGCGCCCTTGAAGTAGAAAATGTACACCGGAATGCACAGCAGGATGCCGACGCCGCACAGGATGAAGGAGGGGATGGGCAGCGTCCACTTGGTGCCCGGGTCGATTTGGGTGAACATGCGGCGGGCGTAGACGGCGGCGATGCCGGCGAGGAAGTCGCGGCAGAAGCCGTTGCCGCCGGTCGCTGAGGCGGAGTACTCGCCGTACGCGGCGATCATGTAGTCCACTGTGGCCATGTAGATTGCCTGTGCGGGTATTAGCTGATGCATTGTGGAACAGGGAGAGGAGACTCACGAAGTTGGCGATGCCGATGAGCGCGGCGCAGATTTGCGGCACCCACCATGGGAACTGGGGTGGACCGAGCGACGCCCAGCCGTAGATGAACAGGCCGATGGGCTCGAGGAGGACGGTGAAGAGCAACCACCACAGTCGGCGCTCAGGCGGGTACGGCTTTCCGGCTCGCATGACGCGGCGATCTCGCCAGTACACAACCATGAAGCTGACGTAGGCGATGAGGTAGCCGAGCAGCAGCGGGATGAACGACAGCCCGACTTGGATGCGCGTGAAGTTCCACTTGGCCATGACGAGCCCGTACGAGTCCAGACCGGTGAAGATGAGGGCGTCGCTGAAGCCGCTCAGGAGCGACAGGAAGCCGACGATGGGCTCGGAGTAGAGCATCTTGTATGGGCGCCACATGAGGGTGCAGCTTTCCTTCCAGGAGATGCGCTGCCAGAAGCTGCCGCGGATCTCATTCGGCCCGTATGCGGTGGGATCCTCTCCAGTCTTGCGCAGGCGCTGCGCATAGTGGTCCAGCATGACGCTGCTGCGCGTCTCCGGCACGAACAGATGAATCGTCTGCGCGACAACCCCGAAGATGAGCGAGATCCAGAAAACCCAGTGCCACGAGAGGTAAGTGCCAATATACCCCCCAGCAACAGGCGCAATCACACTCCCAGCAACAGAAGACAGCACGACAAACGCCACCGCATACTGCTGCTCATCCGCGCGCCACATATCCGCCACCATGCCCAGCGTCACACTCCCGCCCGCACTCGACAGTCCGCCGAGCGCGCGGAACGCAACCAGCGTCCCGAAGTTGGGCGCCAGCGCGCACGGCACCTGCCACACGTTCACCAGCGCCAGACTGCCCTGCATCACCCATTTGCGGCCCAGCTCCTCGGACCACGGGGCCCACAGCTCGCAGCCGAAGGCGTAGGTGATGAGGAAGACCATCTGCCCGATTTCGGCGAGGTTCTCCGTGATGCCGAATTGCGTCGTCAGGCCCGGGATGGCGGTGGAGTAGATGGCCGCGTTGAAGTTCCTGACGTTTTGGGGTTAGCAAAGTGGCGTCGTCTCACTTCAGGGGTGTTCGGGGAGAACACGGGGAGTGCTTACATGCTGAGCTGCACGATGAAGACGGACGTGAGAATGGCCCATTTCTTCCACGAGGGGAAGGCGAAGCCCAGGACGGAGGGGTTGGTGGGGACGAGGTGGGCGGCTGCCTCTTCCTTGGAGGCGGAGGGGAGAGGGGTGGGGGAGGAGGTGAAGGGGGTGGAGCCCATTTTGCCTGTTGGCGAGAAGGGACGGATGGGCGGGGAGGGGAGAGTGGGTGCTGATGTTAGAAAATTGAAGAAGATGGATGATATTGGTTGATCTCAACAGTTGACTTTGTGAGCGTGCTGGCAGTAGATAGTGCGAGCGGGTTGGAAAAAGGAGAAGGGGATGGGGGGACGGCGCATTTTATACACAGCATCGTGGAATATTCGCTCTGAATTCATCTTTTCGCTCGCGGCTGTCTACCACATCTCTCTACTGGCAGTAAGCTATCAGGTTCTCCCCGTGGGGCTCGCCACCGCTGCTTGAGGTAGTCAGTGGTGGGATGCAGCCAACCACCGCCAGTCGTAATAAGCAACGTCAAGTCTGGTACTAAAGCTGACCGTAGCCTTAAGACCCATCTCTCCTCATATCCAGGCTGAGAGCACCCTATCCTCTGATGCACGATCGTCCGCCACCTCTAAACTTTGCGGCGAGGCGGCCAAGAATCACCACTCATCGTACTTCTCGCCATCCGCCAGATGAGCCTCAGTATGTTCATGTCCAGTCGTCATCTCGGTGAAACCCCCAGTCCACATCAAAATCTCCTCCTCGAGCGCCGTAATCTTGTCCTCAGCCTGGTCGCGCAAGCGCTTCAGCTCCGCAATCTGCGCATCCTGCTCTGCAATCCTCTTCTTCGCTCCTTCGAGCTCCGCCTCAAGTTGGACAGCATAGGACCCACTATCCGCTTTGAGAGGAAGTGCGTTCTGAATCGCTCCATCAAGCGGCGAATCACGAGCCACACTGTCCTCAATTTGAGTGGCGAGAAGCTGAGCGAAAAAGTCTGGCCGTTGCGCGCGAACTTTGTGACGGAGGTGTTGCGACGTGTCTGCTCCCGTCGACTCCAGCCTCTCTACTGAAGTGTTGCGCGACGAAGAGATGAGATCATCTTCTGGTGCGGTAGGGTCGACCATCTGGTACTCCATATCTCTCTTTCGCTTCTTGCGAGCAACCGGGTCGTCGGGCAGAACCCACATGCCGTCCTCTTCGTCTTCGTCGGAAGGAATGTGGTGTCGATTGTGGAAATCTCGACGCTGCACGCGCGGCTTTGGCAATTGTACAGCGGCGTGCTGGGGAGCTTGACCGAAGAGTCTCGCTTTGTCAAAGGGCCGCTGAGGACTGGGGTCGCGTCGCAGGAAGGCGTTGATTCTCTTCGTGGGCCGAGGAGAGTGCCCGAGGCCGAGAGCGCCATACTTCACTAGCTGATCCAGGGGGGTGTATTGATTGTGACCTTGGACCTTGCGCTTGCGGGCCTCTAACTGCTGCTGGATATCCTGTTCAGAAGGCGCAGGGGGCTCTGGCTCAGAGCTGATGTAAACGATAGGGCGGTAGCCCGGTTCGCCAGTGAAGTAGTATTTCTCGTCTTTCGTCCCGTGCTTCTCAAAGTAGTACTTGTCGTCTCCCTCTGCGTCTGGATCACCAATGGCCCCGCGGCCGCGATGAGGCCGCTTGACGCGAATTTTGCCTTGGTTCGCAAAGTCGTGCGGCCACCATTTCGACAGATGTGCACGGGGTAAGTCGGATTCGATGAGGTCGTGTACGGCGCGATCGTCGAGGATGACGAATTTGGGTGGCTCGTTGGCGCCCTGCTTGATGGGGCCGTTACCGGTTTTGGACTATGGCATGTTAGAGAACTCGGGTGTGTAGAGAATATGGGATGAGCACTAACCTGATAGAAACGCCAGCGCTGCTCTAGTGGAGGCACAGGGCCGGGCTTGTCAAAATAATCCGCAGCTTTGGCGCCGTCACCGTCACCTTTTGGGAGCGATCAGATGAAAGGTAGCTCTTCATGTTGACCACGTGGAACTTACCTGGCCGCCAGACTTCTCGCTGCACGCCGTTCTTGCAAAGATCCCGATGGTAGCGACGTTCCGAGTTGGCGGGGTCAAGGACGATGGCGTTCTCTTCATCTTGATCATCGGCGGAGGCAGGCAGTTGGTGGCCGTGCTCGGTGATGGGTGAGCGTGGAATTGGAGAGTGGCCAGCCGGCCCCGGCGGCTCGTTTTGAAGGTCTTCCTGCATATTATTGTGTGGTGATAGGATGGACAGCTTTCGCGCGTTGATGAGGATTGAAGTTGGTGTTGTGAGCTTGCGTCATGCCAAACACTGCTCGACAAACGGAGATGGCGCGGTCTACGTAAGCCGAGAGCATGTGATTGCTGCAGCAGGAGATTGAGAGGCGGCCCGCTCTCGCTTCGTCGAAGGTGGAAGTAGGTTTCGTGTGACTGTTCACCGGATGATCATACTCCGCGGAACGCCAGAGAGAGGGCTTCTTGGCGATCACATGAACAGTCGAAATGTCCATCTCTGGCAAAAGACACTTCGAAAACTCGTTTCATCCTGCTCGACTGTTAGACGGTTCCATGATGCTGAATTGATGTTATTCCGCGATGCCAATGCACGAGAAGTTGCGGCAACCTTTGTTTGGTGATGATCTGGCCTCTCCTATTCTGTGAAAGCGCTGAAGCAGCAGATCCCGAAACGAAAGTATTATGTGATTTCCAAATGATTGAGAGAGATGATCGATGCATTACCTGCCAGTATGATGAGATGGGAATGAGATGGGAACACAGTCGCGCATTCAACGCGAACAGGCAGGCAAGCACGCCGCCGATGCACCGAAATGCTGGACGCAAAGGGCGTGCGTGCCAAATGACAGATCTCGTTCGCGAGCCTGTACATATCAACGTACTGTATATAAAATGGCTCGTAGAATGAAGGACACAGGTTTCGTGAGGTTGGAGATGTCTAGAAGCAGTTCGTTCGGCAAGTTGACCAATCAGAAGCGTCTAATTAAATGGATGACCACACCTCAAAGCCCGCAGCTCCCAAACAACCGAAAGCGACTTCCTCCACCCCCTCACACCACTCGCTGTCCACGCCACTCGCTATTAACTCCCCGGCGACGAAGCCACCTCCATCTCAGCCGCGCGCTGACAACAGCATCATCGTCCACCACCATGCTGTCCCTGCCTTCAGCAAAGACGGCCCTCCGCTCGTCCGCCACCGCCCCCGCGAGGAACACCCTACGCACCCTCACCACCTCCGCCACCCATCAGACACTTAGTCAAGATGGCCAGCAAAAGCGCACAATGGCGACGGTGCAAGACGCTCCGCCCGTGAACCACTCTCGCTCCCTTCAAGACAAGGATCGCATCTTCCAGAATCTGTATGGCCACCATGGCGCCGACCTCAAATCGGCCATGAAATACGGCGATTGGTACAAGACGAAGGACATTCTGCTCAAGCATCATGACTGGCTCATTGCCGAGATCAAGGCTTCGGGCCTGCGAGGGCGAGGAGGAGCAGGGTTCCCGTCGGGCATGAAGTGGAGTTTCATGAATTTCAAGGGATGGGAGAACGACACCAAGCCCCGGTATCTTGTCGTCAATGCAGACGAAGGCGAGCCGGGCACGTGCAAGGATCGTGAGATCATGAGAAAGGACCCGCACAAGCTAGTTGAAGGGTGTCTAGTTGCGGGAAGGATGATGAACGTACGTCCCGGGATCCACCTGGCCCTTTGAAGCCAATTCCTACTGACTTTTGGAAATCTAGTGCACTGCAGCATACATCTACATCCGTGGCGAGTTTTACCACGAAGCTACCGTTCTCCAACGTGCCATCCAGGAAGCCTACCAAGCGGGCTTCCTCGGCAAGAATGCGTGCGGCAGTGGCTACGACTTCGACGTGTTCTTGCACCGCGGAATGGGCGCTTACGTGTGTGGAGAAGAAACATCCCTCATTGAATCGCTCGAGGGCAAGGCGGGCAAGCCTCGACTGAAGCCACCTTTCCCGGCTGCCGTGGGTGTCTTTGGCTGTCCCAGTACCGTCGCAAACGTGGAAACCATTTCAGTCGCGCCGACAATCATCCGAAGAGGTGCGAAGTGGTTCTCTTCTTTCGGGCGGGAGAGAAACCAAGGCACCAAGCTTTTTTGTATATCCGGCCACGTCAACAACCCCTGCACTGTCGAAGAAAGCATGTCAATCCCCATGAAGGAGCTCATTGAGAAGCATGCAGGCGGCGTGCGAGGCGGCTGGGACAACCTCAAGGCCGTCATTCCCGGCGGCTCCTCCACGCCCATCCTCCCCAAGAAGATCTGCGACGACCAACTGATGGACTTTGATGCTCTCAAGGACAACCAATCAGGTCTCGGGACCGCCGCCGTCATCGTCATGGACCAGTCTACCGACGTCGTGGAAGCAATTGCGCGACTGGCGAAGTTCTACCACCACGAATCGTGCGGACAGTGCACCCCGTGCCGTGAGGGCAGCGCGTGGCTCGACAACATGATGGCGCGTTTCGTAAAAGGACAAGCACGAGAGAGGGAAATCGATATGCTCCAGGAACTCACGAAGCAGGTCGAAGGCCACACGATCTGTGCTCTTGGAGAGGCTTTTGCCTGGCCTCCTCAGGGATTGATCAGACATTTCCGCCACGAACTCGAGGCCAAGATTCGAGACCGTGCTTCAAAGGAGGGAGCACAGACATTGGCTGGAGGCTGGGAGCACGATGCTGTGAGGAAGGGAATGCTGATCTCGCCGGGACAATGATGAGGGCGGAGATATAGCATGCAGTCGGTGGCGTGTACATACCGTAGTTCCAGTGTTGGCTTGTGGCGCATTCGATAGGCGTAGATACTTCTTATTATTGCGAGTTTCGATGATCACTCGATTCTCGGACCTTATGTCTGTTCACGTGACCCTGCAATGGATGACAAAGCGCGTGATGACACAATCTGCGCAGAGTGGGAAAGAAACACCACCGCCGCCTTCGCCGCCCAACCACTTTCGCCGCCCATACGTAGCTGCATTTGCAGCATCACGCACTTATCCTACTCTTTGTGAACAGTCAAGGTGTAACCAACTGTCCATCCTTTATTCCTTCCTTCAGACAGAGTGGTTTTTGTACCGCCTGTCCGACCGTGGTGAAGATGGCGCTACCAGCGCCGGTCGGTCTAGGCCAAATGGCCTCGGCCACGACTGAGCTGTGGCCTGCGATGGTGAATGTGATCAAGGCCCCGTGGCAATCGAGAGGAGTTCAGGAGGCTTCAAAGCCAAGGAGGCATACACCACAGCGGGTCGAAGCAAAGCAAGAGCTGGGCCAGCAGCCGAGGACCAACTCTCTGCCCGAATACATGACCACCGTTCCCTTATCCGCCCTGCGACAGCGACATGTGTCGCCTTCGGGCCTGCAGACTCCCCTCACGACATCTTCGATCCTGGCTGCGATGCCCAAAGGAAGCCTTCGCTACGCTTCACCTCTCACCCGCACCTTCGCCTCCCTCTCGCCCGCCGCACGATCCTTCTCTACAACCACCCGAATTGGCCCTTTCACCCTTCGTGCACCTTCTAAAGCGCTATCTCCCGGCGTCAACCAGCAACGAACAATCTTCGGCGCCACATGGGGCTCCAACACCAGCAGGAATCAACTGGCGCATATGGAGCAGACGGCCAACAACAACCCGAATAGCCCCACTGCCCAGAATGCATTCTACCAAGCCCTTTTGCGAGCGAACATGCCCGAGATTATGGTGGAGCGGTATCAGACTGGGCGCTATGCTTCGAACCAAGCATGCGAGAACATTTACACGCGGGCCCTGGAACGAATCGGCGCGCAAGAGACGGGGGCGCTGGGAACTCTCGCAGGCAGGACACCGGGAGGACAGAGCCACCAGATGACGAATGAGCAGTTGCAGGCTATTGGTCAGGCAGTATCGGCCAAGACACACGGCGGCAATGTCAGCATATCCAAGCAGGCTTCTGGTGCGAAGAATGAACCGCTGTATGTCGTGGTGGATGAGACCATGGGCAGCACCATCTTCAAGTGGGTGAAGTTCATCCTTGTCTTTGCCCTGGTCGGATACTGTGCTTTGGTCATCTTTACACTCATGGTGGAGGCGACCGGCGTGCTCAAGAAGGTCGGCGGTGCGCAAAACGCAGAAGCAAAGCCAGAACTACAAACCACCCGCTTCAGTGATGTCCACGGCTGCGACGAAGCAAAGGAAGAGTTGCAGGAGCTTGTCGAGTTCCTCAAAGCACCCGACCGCTTCAGCACACTTGGCGGCAAGCTACCCAAGGGCGTGCTGCTCGTCGGTCCTCCAGGCACAGGCAAGACGCTTCTAGCTCGAGCTGTGGCGGGAGAAGCTGGTGTACCTTTCTTCTACATGTCTGGATCGGAGTTCGACGAAGTATACGTGGGTGTTGGCGCCAAACGAGTGCGTGACTTGTTCACGGCTGCGCGAGGCAAGAGCCCGTCCATCATCTTCATCGACGAGATTGATGCTATAGGAGGCAAACGGCATGAACGCGATGCGGCCTACGCAAAACAGACACTCAACCAGCTCCTCACCGAGCTTGATGGCTTCGATCAGAACTCCGGTGTCATCGTCATCGGTGCTACGAACTTTCCTCAGAGCTTGGACAAAGCGCTCACACGACCTGGACGATTCGACCGAAATGTTGTCGTTGCTCTCCCTGATGTCCGTGGCCGGATTGCGATTCTCAAGCACCATCTTCGAAACATCCGAACGGATACTGCCGTCGATCCAGCGCTGATTGCACGAGGCTGTCCCGGCTTCAGCGGAGCGGATTTGGAGAATGTCGTGAATCAAGCCGCCATCCGAGCGTCGAAGAACAAATCCCCCAAAGTCGCCTTGGACGACCTCATGTGGGCCAAAGATAAGATCCTCATGGGCGCCGAGAGGCGGAGTGCAGTAATCCAACAAAAGGACAAAGTCATGACCGCCTATCACGAAGGCGGCCACGCACTCGTCGCCATGCTGACCGAGGGAACCACCCCGCTCTACAAAGCGACCATCATGCCTCGCGGCCACGCTCTCGGCCTGACACAAATGCTGCCAGAGCTGGACAAAGTGAGCGAAACGAAGAAGGAGATGATGGCGCAGATCGACGTCTGCATGGGCGGCAAGGTCGCCGAAGAACTCATCTACGGCCCGGAGAACGTCACCACCGGCGCGTCCTCGGACATCTCCAACGCTACCAAGGTGGCGTACATGATGGTCACGCAAGCCGGCATGAGCGACGAGCTAGGCAACATCGATCTCGCCTCCGACTACCGCCAACTCAGCCCCGCCACGAAGATGAAAATCGAACAGGAGGTGCGACGGCTGGTCGAAGAGGGGCGCGAGCGCGCTCTCAAACTCTTGTCGCAGAATCGCGAGGGCCTCGATCGGCTTGCGAACGCGCTAGTTGAGTACGAGACTCTGGGCAAGGAGGAGATGGAGAAGGTGGTGCGCGGCGAGAAGTTGCCGGACCGGTTGAAGATCGATCCTGATGCTCCAGTTAAGATGCCGGAGTCGCCTATGGGAGTGGTGCCGCCGTTCCCTGTACCGCCTCTGGGTCCGGCTGGCGGTGCGTCGGGAGAGGAAGGAGGTGAAGGGGAGGAAGGCGGGAAGTTGGCGGGGAGTCCTTGAGTGAGAAGGTCAGAATGCATTTGTGTGTGTTTGCATAGACTTGGAGTCGCTTCGATTTCCTATTGAGCGCGGCGTCGTGTCGAGGAGGCATGGTGTGCTGTGCCAACCTGCTGCTGGAAAGACGAGCGGGTGGCAGTGAGCATTCATCGTTCGGTAGTGTAGCGCTCGTTCTCAGCAACTCTGCTTCTCTTTAGATGTTTCGGATAGTCACAATCATGTGTGCGAGAAGCGTTCTTTTCAGATACCTCTCTATCAAAGAAGTGACGCGCTCACCTTCAAAGGGTTCCATCTTCAAACTCCTGCCTCGCCCTCTCCACAGCTGCCATGGGTATCACAAAAACAGGATGCACGAAATTAACCAGATCCTCCTCGTCCACTCCCAGCTCCCTCATCTCCTCCTTGCTCGGCCCTCGCGCCGCCCAATTGAATGCCGCCAGTGATCTGCCCTCCCCAGTAGTGGGAGCCCTTGCATTGTACGTGAAGACATTCTGCGCATGCGACAGGCCCGCCAGCGAGTAGAGCGTGTGATACGCATCCGGCCGCGTGGAAGGCTTATCGCGCATGCCGCCTTTCTTCTTGCCCGGTTGCTGGCAGCAGGTGAGCAGGTATCGGACGAGAGCCGCGCGGTTCCAAAGTGCAGCGCTGTTGCGGGGTGGTTGTTGGAGAGCAGCGGTGATTAAAGCCCAGCATCCCCCGACCCAATGGCTGTAGCAGGCGTCGACGAGTTTTTCTTGCCGACCTTGGAACCCGCCTTCGGGCTGCGTTTGTCGCGCTGCTAGCCAGGCTAAGAGCGCCGGGACATCGAGGTACCGCGGGATACTGATGTGCGGGGCGTCGAGGATGCTGAGGCACGCGAGGGCGCAGAAGGCGTACGCGCCGTGCGCTTCGTTCGTGGGCGCGCCTGCGATGCCGCCTTCGTACGTTTGGCAATGGCTGATCCATTCGCCTAGCTTGTCTGTGAAGCGCGTGAGGCCTGCGGTGCGCGCGAGGGAGTCGGGTGGTAGCTCGAGGGGCAGGTTGAGGAGGGTGAGCATTGTCATGGCGCAGTAGGCGCCGCGGATGTCTTCTTCTGCTCCGATGGCCATGCGGAAACCGCCGTCGGGTTGCTTGAGGGTTCCCAGCCAGTGCCAGGTTGCGCGGCGGTCGACAACGTGCAGGGCGTCGGCGATGGTGAGGGCCAGTATGGTGGCGTAGGAGCAGGCGCAGTGGCTTAGTTGGCCATGCCCGCCGCCGAAGCCGCCTGTGGGATTTTGCAGCGGGCGCACGGTTGCGATGAGAGGTTCGCGGTAGGGATTGATGTCTTCGCCTAGGGCGGAGAGGCCGCTGAGGACCCAGTAGAAGAACCAAGGGCGGCTGGCGTCAATGGCGACGTACGGGGCGGGTAGAGGTTCGAATTGGGCGTGGAGGAAGGCGGCGTGCTGGGTGCGGCGGAGGTGGGGGAGGCCGTGGGAGTTGAGCTCGAAGCCGGACGTGTCTTGGCCGGTGAGATGGGGGAGGCATTCTTTTGTGACCTTTGCTTGGGCTTGGGTGGTTGTTGTGGTGAGATCTTCGTGGAAGAGGCCGAGTGTTGCGGCCTGCAGCCAGGGTGGAAGGGGTGGTTTTGCTTGCGTCCTCGCGGGCTGGAGATGGTTGCCAGGAAATGGATGGCCGTTGAAGTCGTGAGCGGTAGAGGAGTGCGCGGGTTCAACGTCCTCGTATCCATCGTGCTCGGATGTCAACTCCTCGATCCGGGACTGCTGGAGAAGTTCCTCGAGTGTGTTCCTGGGATCATCGTCCTTTCGAACAAGAGGAGACATTTTGTGACGGGGAAGATGAATCTTTCGATGACCTTTTGAGCGAACGGGACGAGATGTCATTAGAGTTGCAAAGGGCGGGTCTTTGTATGCAATCTGTTGTCGTTACTATTGTTCTCCGGCATGCCTTCGTAGAAGCGTTGTCTCATCGACGCATTTCGAAACCACGGCGAATGGTATGGCTCAAGAGACTCCCTTGCCTTCGCACTCACGACCAGATATCCAAAGGGGGCCGAAGATGTCGACAAATCACGTATTCTTGGCTGGTTTGGAAATCAAGCACTCGTCTGTTGAAGTTGACGTGCCTTTCTTCCGGATTGAAGATGGCCAAAGCTCAGCGATGCATCTCAAGTCATCCCCACCTCACCTCACTTCATCCCGTCCCATCATCTCATCTTCAACCAACACCTCGTGATGTGACCTCACCACGGCACGTAGCCTCCGAGCTACGCACATCTCAACCAACAATCATCCCCCGACATCACCACCAGCCATGGCGCGCACTAAAGGCCGCATCCTGCCCTTCCGCATCCCCTTCTTCCGCATCTTCTACAGCACCACATACACCACCGTCTACTTCATCACGCTCTGCTTCCTCGTCATCACTCCCGCCTCTCTCATCTACCAGTCCATCGACCAACGCGCCCTCCAATACGTCGTCATGATCGGCGGCGCCTACTTCCTCGTTGCTACCTTCGCCATCTTCATCTACGCCAGCCGCCTCTACACCAATCGTACTATCATGGCCGCTGTCGGCAAGACTTATGTCCCCGTCGAGCCGGGTGAAGTGGGCAAGAAGGTCAGAAAGATGATTGTCAAGCAATACGAGCGCAGCGCTGTCGTCGCGTGGGAGAGCAGACCACGCGATCTCCTTGGGGAGATCCTCGAGGCGGAGCGCGTCGGCATCCTGGCGCCGGAAACGGCGGGATTGGGACGCAATGATTACACCGTTGGGCGAGAGATCCGCATTGATCCCGAGATTCCTCCGTGGGGTGACGTGCGTCATGCTGGATGGTCGTCGCCTGCACAAGGCAACGTCGGCGAGCTGCCAAACATTCAATTCGCACCTGTCATCCAGGAGCTGCCGAACTTGATTGAAGCCAAAGCTGTCTCACTCGCGCCTTCCGATCCCGTCGACAACTCTACCGCCGATCCCCAAGTCTTGGAAGTTCTCCAACGTCCATCAACCACGGGCATGCGAGATTACCTCACGCAGCTTGCGTATCTTGGCCTGGTCAATCCGCCTGAGATAGGGGAGGCCTTCTTAAATCAGTACGAGTCTGCTCGATTTAGTGGCTTGCCGCTATCAGAAGACGAATTCAGAAGCCTAATGTCTGCTTTTGCCGAGCTTCTAGCCGGCATGACGGGCCTGCAGCCGGAGATTGTCGAGCAAATACGCATTCAGACCGGCGAGACAGCCTCTCTACTGGGCTCCGATGATACATCCCAAAGCGACCTAATGCCTGAGCTGCCCGTGATCCGCCATGCACCTTCTCCATTGATGCTGAACGCTAACCCTGGAAACCCAATCATTATACGAACACCGAGTTCACGGGACATCACACCGCAGGTCACTCGGAGCCCGATGAGATTTCCGAGGGCGCAGCAAGAGGCCTCTCCACTGGGTCAGAGCAAGCCTCGCGTGGCACGCACCACTAGCAGCGCCTCATCCAGCCTCCTCAGCGATCAAAGTGATTCGGGAAGTGTGATAAGACACAGGTCCAGTCCTGAAAATGGATGAATGAACCACGAATCTATATCTTCGACTTTCAACTGATCCTGACGCCTTCTACTGACTTCACCGTCCCCTGCTCCACACTCTCCGGCACATCTTGGCCGTTGATGCGCTTGTAATACAAGTTATTCTCGTCCGCGTTGATCAGCTCGCCAATGTCGGCCGTCGCACCATTAATCATAGTCTCCGGCTTCCGTGGGATGATCAGGCGTTCCAGATACGTCACCACTCTTTCAAATCCATCGAGCGGGGCGACAAATCCCAGGATGCCGTCTGGACGAAGCACCGCAATCACGCCACGCTTGTAGGGTATGTCGTATTGGCCGTGCACACTTTGATTAACGTCCCAGTACGCCCAGCCAAAGGGCTCGACGCCCAGGCACTCTCCGTGTGCGGGCCCCCGGCCGCAGATGATTGTCCGGAATTCGACAGCATGTTGAAATCTACCAACGTGCTCATCGACGTCCCTCCGGAGCTTCCCAAGCTGCACTTTCGTACTTCTCGGATCTCCGGCAAAGATGAGAATGTGGAATTTGCCGGTGTATTTGGTTATCTCGTGCAGACGGACTGTATGTCCGGCAGCGCGAAAGCCCGGCTTTTGCAGCATGGCATCTGGGAAACGATAACCCGGGACGACTCCGATGGGCGGACTCGAGCCAGTAACATCGTTCAGCAGACTGGCCGGGTAGCTGATGCCCATGCCCATGGTAAAGTCCCACTCGGCGTGAATGAATTCGCTGAAGAGCACGAAGTTGTCTTCCGGTCGATCTTTGAACCGTTCTGGTCTGCGTCCGGAAATCAGCTCCGCTATGGTCTTATCGTTCTCTATCAGGTGCCGTGCTACGCCATGGCGCTCCGAATGGTAGTTCTGCAGGACACCCGGCTTGTACATGCCAGTCAAGACCCCTGCGAGACGCCAGGCCAGTGACACAGCATCATGGACCCCGGTGTTCATTCCCTGGGCCGTGCCGGACGAGTGCGCGTGAGCCGCATCTCCCGCGAGTAGGATTCGCTCACGGTCCTGCAACTTGACCGAAATAAACTGCTTGATCGTGTAGACAGTGTGCCAGTCCACCTGGTCGAATTCGAGCTCGAATGGTGCGACAGCGGCCTTGGCTTCCTTGACCGCATCTTCCTGCGTCATATGCTGGCCGTATTTGGCATACAGCTCCGGCGAAAGAGCGAATCCGACCCGGGTAGCGCCGTGGTCCAATTGCGCCCACAGCACCTGGCCGTGCGTCTTCGACTCCAGCCGAATGTAGGCGCTCCTAGCATCGGGGATGTTTGTCCGCACCACCCCATCGACTCGCACCCAATGGTCTTCCTTCTCCGCCCCATCAAACCCAATACCCGCCAGCTCGCGCACTGCGCTCCGCGCGCCATCACACCCAACGATATACCTCGCTCGCACCGTCCACGACTTCCCATCCGGCCGCGCGAGCGTAGCCCTGACCTTGTAATCATCCGCCGCGTCCTCATCCAGCTGCAGCCCCACCAATCGCACCGGCGCCTGCACTTTCGGCCCCAGCGCCGCCACGCGCGCGCGGAAGATGTCCTCGCTGTACTTCAGCCGCAGATTCATCCAAAAGTTGAAATAGGTGCCGCGGAGGTGGACGGCGGTCAAGTCGGCGAGCGGTTGCACTTGCTTCCCATCGTAATAAGTTGCGCCTGCATCGGGGTTCACCCAGCCTTGCTGTGCCATCTCCTCCCATAAGTCGAGTTGGTCGAGCATCTCGAGGGTGCGGGCTGCGATCCCGATGGACGGGCGGGAATCAGCTGCATGGACTTCTTCTGTGCCTCCTCCCTTCTTGCCAGGGAATGGAGGTGAGGAGGAGAGTTGGAATACTCACGGAACAGCGCACACGCTCGACCGTACATGGCTGTGTGGATTCCATACGTTAGCTAGACTTCTCCATGGCGGAGCTGTACGAAACACCACTCCCGTCGTCCGCTTTCCTCGTGACAGCAGGAATGCAGGACTCACGAAAGTTCGGCGACGCCTTGTCCGCAGCGTCGACGATAAGTGTCGAGATGCCCAGCCGGCGCAGCTGCAAGGTGATGAGGAGGCCCACCGGCCCAGCGCCCGAGACGAGGACGTCGACTTTGTCTACTGCTCCCTCGTCCATGGCCAGTTGATGGCTTCGACGGAGCTCTTTTGCACGGAGACGGTGTTGGACAGAGGGACAGTCAAAGTGTGCAAGCAGCGGAAGCAGACGCTCGGAGCAGGGCGGGCGTGATGTATCAAGACAAAACACCGAATGCACGTAATAAGATTTCCTCTACCGTTATCAGTCTGACGTGAGCGCACGATCGTCATCTGTGTCAGCAGCGTGGTCCTTGTTATTAATGAAGTCATTCAGCCGTGTGTCGTGGGATTCTTTTCAGCCGCGCTTTCTGCGAGCCATACGCCCGAATCGCTAGTGCAGCTAACCGCCTGCCTACTGCTCACCGAGCGGCGTCACTTCATGGTATATTATACCCGTGATGGGCGCATCGAATCCCCCGAGAAGCCTGCGGTGCTTCCATTCATGAGACTAAACAAAATCAAACGCATGAGCACCTCAAACTCAATCCACGGCACAGCGCGCATGTCTTCCTCCTTGGGAAGGAGAAGGACGTCGGTCGCGAGTCTAGCCGGATGCAGCGCAAGTGCCTATAGCTAGCGACCCGACCAAAACCTGATGCATTTCCCGTGCGGCAGCAAGCTGGGTAGGGCTTCATTCCTGTGCCTAAGATGGGCCCACTGTCGCTCGCCAATGATCTATAGCCGCGCGCTGCACGCCGTCTATTTGCTCTTCTGGCGCTCCACCACCTGCGGTTATCGGGGCGCGTAGGCTCTGCGCGTATGCAGCCGGCAGCCTGCCTGGTAGTTGCGCTGGGCCTGCAGGGTAGAAGGCCTGATGCTGATAGGGCGGGATGTAGGGCTGGTTGGCGTAGGGTGAAGGCATGAAGGGGATAGAGCTGCTCAGCGGCGGCTGGACAGCTAGCCCATTGCCGTGATATGGCGCGGTCGCGAAGCCTGTGATCGTGCCGAACGGCTTCCCGCTCGCTTGCCGGTCTCGTTGGAGACGTGCTTTGCGCTGCGTGAGAGTTTCTTCCTCGCCCTCGTCAGCCGTTGAAGCCAGATCAGCTGCCTTGGCTGTGTTCTGCGCGGGCTCAATGGCAATGTCGAACTCGGCGAATCGACTCAGAACGTCATCGGGGAAGGCTGCTTCTTGTGTTGCCTGCGGCGCAATGGGAGCAGTCTCGCCGGGTACGTTCAGACTCCTGATGCGCTTCTGTCTTTGCGCGAGCGTCTCCTCTTCGTCCTCCTGCTGATTTGCGATTGCACCGTTTCCATTCAACGACACCTGGCTCTGCATCCCCAGCAGGCCGCCTGATCGTATACTGCCCGGTGCAATCCCATTCAACCGATTCTTCCTCGCACTCAACGGCTCTGCGTCTTCCAACTGTCTGCGCTCAAGCAGACCCACTGGCCGCTCCCAGTCTTTCATAGGACCAATAGCCCGCAGCATCTCAGCATCTTTGCTACGGTACAGCATACCCAAAGGCAAATCCTCATTCTCATCCTCCGCCTCTGGCAATGAAGCCCTATCCTCCGGATCCTCCCAAGCGAGCGCTATCCGCCTGGCTTTGCGATTCCGCCTCGCTACCTCCTCCACTGCATCGAGTTCCAGCAGCGTGCTGTACATGCCGTTGGGATAGGCAGTGGCGGCCGTTCGACTTCGGGATTTCTGCTGTGCTTTGCGGACCTGAAGTTCGGCGATGAGGGTGCTGGGTTTGGCGTAGATGGTTTCAGTTGGGAGCTCCTCGTCGCCATGCTGTGATTCGTGCTCGGTGTCTGCTGTCAACGGACGCTCGTCCGTCGCTGTGCTGGTTTGAGACCTCGTTTCGACTGACCCGGTTTCAAGATCCATGCGGCTGCGTCGTTTTTTTAGCTTCTTTGGGCCGGTGGAACTTGCTTTATCGTCACTGGCTCGAGAGGGTACACTTATGCTACTAGTCGCCTTTCCTAACGGACCGCTGAGACTGCTGGTAGGTCGCTGCATTGCTTCGCCTGCGCCATTCTTATTCGGTGAGTCCGGATAGTGTCGAAATCCAAACCCATGGGCCGGCGCCAAAGCCGACGCAGCCAACATCTCGTCTAGTGCAGCAACGGCCGAGCCGGACTGTGGGAGTTGAATATCATGCTTGACAGCTTGACGGCTGAAGAATAACTCCGCACGAGCTTGAGGAGCGAGGTTGGCCACGCTGGAGTTCAGTCTGCGGTCCAGACCGCGGCTTGTCGATGTTCGGAATGACGCGGTTCTGGAGTCGTTGTGATCTCCATTCTCGGAAGAATGCCAGGACGCAGTATCCCCAAGGTCTCGGGTCGCCTGGTTCGCTAACTCCGCCCTTCGTTTAGATTGAACGGAAGCTGCTGGCAATTGGGACAACTTCTTTGGGAAATTGAGGATCTTGGGTACAGGCGCCGGGTAATATACCATGTCTTGCCCTAGGCGTGGCATGGCCGGAGGGTAATTCGGGACATATGGCGCTCGCAAGAGTGATGGAGTGATCGTTGATGAGGAATACCGCTGAGACGGAGGCGGGATCTCGTGGCCATTTTGATCGTAATGCGGGGTGAAGTGAGCACCGTCGAAGTCGTGGAATGCTGTTTGTGCATGCTGAAAAGTCGAGGATGAGATTGGTCTTTGACATGATGGAGCCGCATCCGGTATTGCTCCTTCGCGCTCCTCCCAAGAATTAAGAGGAGGACTGGACCAGGGCGGAAATTCAGTCGACACGCCTTGCTGCGCAGGTTGATAGAACGGCTGGTGATGCAGCGGCGCAGAAGTAATCCGGTCCACCGATGGCCGAGACCATGTAGGACTCGTAACAAAAGCATTCGACGCATGCCCCGTCGAGCAGCGAGAAGAAGCCTTCCGCAAGCTATGCGGACTGCCAGGCTGCGAAAACGAGTAGTAAGAGCTCTGCCGACTCGACTCGTTCATCTTGCGAATCTCTTCGCCAATGTCGCTGCCGCCGGCGCTGAGTTCCTCCGCGCTACGCTCCAGCCGCTGCACGTTCTGCACGTACGCGCCTTTCAGCGTTTGCAGATCTGGAGTGGGATGGCGCAGGGGGATGCGTGCGCTGGCGCTGGCGCTGCGGGTGCTGGTTGAGACGTTCCGAGGCATGCTCTCGACTGCGGACATGTTGCACTTGGTCCCCGTCACGTCCAGGACATGAGGTAGATTATTTTGGTGTTCTGTTCGCGTCGCGTTCTATTGGAGGGACATGATTGATCGCGGCCAAGACGCAGGATTGAGTGTTGTTGTCGCCGCCGAATCCCTCGAGATAAACTTCGGCCTCGTTTCGGTTTAGCGTTGGGCCCGACGTTGACCAGGGAAAGAGGCGCTTCTATCATCGCAGCAATGATTCTCCCAGTCGTACAAGGACGAGAACACTCATTCTGGCTGTCGATGTATCTTAGAGACATCGTAAATGTTTCGCTGGGCTTGCCTTTCCCGCTGCATCTATTACTGTCCGTGCAGCAACATGTTAGTACTCGATGCATTGATAGATTTAAGGTTGTGCTAGCGAGATCGAGTGGGTCCTCAGCCCTGCGGCTGCAGCCTTTCCACATTCTCACCTCATGAGGCATGCTGTCCATTCAACTATTTTCCTCCATATCTTGCACACGGAGCGGTTAGAACAGTATGTGAAGGCATTCTCAGCCAATTGAAAAGAATAAAAGAGAAGAAAATGGCGCGAGAGTGATTGATAGCCTAACCCAGCAGAGTGAAGACCAAAATCGATGGAGTTACATGCTTGCAGTAGAATCCACCCCTGCACAATGCCCTGCGCAGTTTTTCCTCCATTCCCAGTCGAAAATTAGTATTCATCACTTCCGCTTCCGTGATGGAAGCAAGTCGCACACATTCAGTTCATTGTCTGATCATGTCATGTCCATCGTGAATTCATCCCTCGTAGAACACGTAACGCATCTCAATCCCTCCCTTGCGCAAGCTTGTGTGAATCCGGTGTTGACTTCTTGTTCAAAGCGGTCCCACACAATCTTCAGCGGGAGATAGGAAGGGTGTACTTGAAGCGCACCGCATCGCCTTTGGCCGGGTAGCCCTGTTCGAGTAAAGTCAGTAAGATTCACAGCCAGAATGGACCAAATCCCTCCACTCTTTCGTGAGGTGCCAGCACTAAAAGAAACGCAAACCCACTTACCACATATTGCGGGTTCCCCAATTTCACATACTTCTGCAGCACCCATTCCAGCTTCGGACCAGACTGGCCCTCGAGGTACACCACACACCCCTCCGGCAACCAGCGCATGCTCTCCCAGATGGGCGCCGTACCAAGCGTGCACTGCAGCGCGTTCCCATTGTGTTGCTTAGGGTTTTGAACAGGCAAGTAGATGACGAGCTTCTTCAACCCAGCAAAGTAGCGCAGCGACAAGCGTACGACTTTCGCGAAGCGGTCGAGAACGTCGACGTCAGTAGTGGGAATCTCGAGCTCCACGTTCGTGATGAGGCGACGGCTGCGCTGGTGAATGCGCGCAAGCACGTCGATGGAGCCGAAGACGTCAAGGTGGACTTTGTTCTCGCCGTACAGGATCGCGCGCGCCTCTTCGTAGATCTTCTTCGACACGCGCAGGATGACGGGCGTGAGGGGCGCGGCGGCCTGGAAAGCGCGACTGGCTTGCGGGTGCGTGGTGGTTACGTCTTCGATGTGGCGGATGTAGACGGTCTTGCTGCGGACGTGCTTGTTGCGGATGATGATGTGGTGGTCGCGCTTGAGGTAGATGCGGTAGACGGCGTAGCGGATTTCGGTCGGCAGGTCGTTGAAGCGGAAGGGTTCGTCGGTCGTGTTGGGCGCTCCATCTCCGTTCTCGCAATCCGTCATCAGACTCGTCTCCAGAACCGTCGTTGTCCACGTTCTCAACCGCCACCACTCCACCATTGCCAATCGTCGTCGTTCCCCCACCGTTCCAAGCAATCACCGCCCCTCCACCATTACCAGCAGGCGTCACACTCACCCCAGGCCCAACAATGATCGTATTCCCACCATTTGCAACCAACACCCCCGTCCCAGCCAGAACCGCAGCCGTGGCAGCCGCATGGCCAACGCCCAAAGCTCCCTGCCCATTGTTGCCGCCCGCTGCAGCCGCGCTGTGCGGAACAAACCTTACCGGGAGAGTGATGTAGCCCGACGTGTCCGCATGTGGAGCAGACGCCATTATTACTGTTTCGTGCGTTTGAGTCGTTGTTGCAAGCTTGTTGACTCGAGAAAGGCTGTGAGGTTGATGAAGGCGTGAAGAAGCGAAGTTGAAAGAAGACAACAAGCTACCGCGGAACTTCTCGAACATCAAAAGTTGAGAAGCGAAGAAAACGAAAGAGTGCACGGGGTTGGAGGTGTTGTCCAACCTCACCGTGCAAACGGAGACCTACATATGTGTGTAGCCACCATCCGCACGCAAGCATGCCTGTTTACACTAGGCCCGTTTGGGAAGTTCACCTCCAAGCACGAAGCATGATTGGCTGAGCCTGTAGCCTCGTAGATGAAGTTCACGTGCAAAGTCCACTTCACTTGCCCTTATTCGAGGAGTCAGTTGCGGTAGTTCGCAGGGTCTTGCGATGACGAGGGTAGAGGGAGGAAGAGGCTACGTCACTTGATTACGATCTTCATCTGAAGGGTTGGCTCATCAGTTATTCGAGTATCTACACCAAAAAAGCACCGCGAGTCAACATCAAATCCTGCACACAGCTCGAAGCAAGCGAAGGCAGAAGAGCGCGCGTGGTGCGAAAGCGATGAACGATTCGAGGTAAGGGGACATAAAATTAATTCGAGTATGATATGTAACCCCACCAAAAAACCCACAGCAAAACAGCCAACTCCCGAACCCCAGTTATGCTAAATACTTGTACACACACACCGCCCAGCAAGCCAGCCTGCCCAGCCCATTCTTCGCTCTCACTCCACCTCCCCTTCCCAACCCGCACATCGTCCCAGTCATCACCGTACGAGCACAGCGACAAAAAAAGTATTAGTATAAAGAGCATAGAGTATAATTAGCTCCGGGCGTGTCCCCGACCAAAACAATACCCCCCGCAAAGCAAGCTCCCTTGTCCGTGCGATGGCTGCACGTGCCCGAGATGAGCAAGCAGTAAGCCCATCGCGGACGGAAACGAAACTCGGCCCATAAAACACCACCCTTGCAGCCCGCGAATGCCGAACCATGTCAATCCTTCCGTCCCAACCCATCCACCGGCTGCCATCGATGCGGCAGCCGGTTCATAGCCGTCCTTGTCTCCACGAATGCCACGGGTATACCCATTACGAAAGCCCTCACCAATTCCAATCCCGACTCCGTTCTTGCAATGAAAAGGATGTTCTTTTGCCTTGCCGGTTCAGCCATGATTTTGCACAGTCATGCACCACCCGGCTCTTTACTGCTGCGGCTGCGCCCACATCTCCGCGCCCCGCATGGAGCCATGGTGATAGTCCAGCGGACCGGTGCTGTGTGGCCGCTGCACGCCGCCGCCCTGCTGGTAGTACATTTGCGGGTTGACGTTGTAGCCGCTGTTCGTCGCGTCGGCGTAGCCGTAGTCGTTGGCCTGGTTGCCGTTCAGGCCGGTGTGCGGGGATTGCCAGCCCATGGTGGCGGAGATGTGCGGGCTGTTGTTGCCGCTGCCGTTGGGCTGCTGCGCGTTGTTGGGGGTGGGTTCGAGGATTTGGGGTGGGTTGTAGCCCGAGGAGGGGTTGGAGGTCAGGGAGGGACGGTGCTGGCCGTTGTTGGAGGGCATGGGGTATTGAGAGGGGGATTGCGGGCGAGGAGAGGGTTGCAGCTCGTTGCGCATGTGGGGTGGCATGCTCATGCCGCCGTTCATGGCGTTGAGGTAGAAGTCGGATGTAGAGCGCGGCAGGCCTGGCACGCCGTTCATGCCGGCCGCGGATGCGACGGAAGGGGGCCGGTCGGGATGTTGGGGCATGGGCGACTTGCCATCGGAGAAGTCGTTCTCATCATCCGATCCCTTGGATCGTTGGTTGGCCATGGTCGCACGGGACGCAAGGGCGGCGGCGGTGGCTGCCTGAGACTCTTCAATGGTACCGGTGTGGTGGTTTTGATGTCTGGTCAAGGTGGTGCGCCGGGTGAAGGTCTTTTGGCAGTCCGCATATGGGCATTTGTACGGTCTCTTTCCCGAGTGGATGCGACGGTGGCGGGCGAGGGAACTGGAATCGCTGAATGGCTGGTCGGAAGTCAGCACCAGCGATGAGGGGAGGAAGAAGAGGAACTGTCTCACCTTTCCGCAGCGTTCACACATGTGCGGCTTCTCGCCCGTATGGACGCGAGAGTGCACGGTCAAGGCGGATCGCTGGATGAATTGTTTCCCACAACCGGGGTGATCACAGACGTGTGGTCGCACGCCACTGTGAATCCGCTCTGCCGCCAGCGTTAGTCTCAGTCAACGCGTGTGTGATGACAGGCCAGCTTACCGTGACGCGCAAGATCACTACGTCGAGCGAATCCCTTCGCGCATGTCGAGCAGGCAAATGCTTTAGGGAGGGCAGTGCTGCCCGTGCTGGCTCTTCCACCGTCAACAGACCCTTGATCGGGCTGTATGGGCTGCTGCACTGCCCCTAATTGAGCCTGCTGGTATGACCGATCATTGGTGGCGGACGGGTGGTAAGAGTGCGGCATCATGGGCATCATGCCGCCAGCGTGCTGCTGCTGCGAGGGCGACGGATATCGCATGTTGCCATTCATCCCGTTGGCCAAAGTGTTCGCGAGGTTGTAGCCCAGCTGATTTTGAGGGGTCTGCGAGGAGTATCTGGAGGAGTCGGCGGAGGTGTGTGGCGAGACGCCACGCTCGGAGCCGGTCTCGGATTTTATCCTTCCATTGCCATTTGGCACGTACAGATTCTGCTGTCCGTAGTGTGGCGCGTTGAGGAGGTCGTGATTCATCGTGTTCGAGATGGAGACTTCGTATTGCATGTTCTGAATGTCTGGGGAGGAAGCGGACGAGTCAGTGTGAGGTCGGGGGTGGGAGAGGAGGTGTTGTGGGTTATGTAGCCATCCGTCTCTTGCATCCCACGTCGCGTACGACACGTGCGAGGCTCGAGAGCCACGCTCGTCGATGGGGGGGATGTGTGTGAATGTTGTGCAATGTTGGAGGAGAGCGGGCTCGACGGCGCGTCGATTCCCACAATCGCGACGAGGGAAAGGAATGTGTGTTTCGTGCTCACCTTTTTCTACTGACCACAAGGCGCAATGCGAAGTGGTGGGCCAAAGCGCTGGCAAGGCCGAAGGGAGGGAGTGGCCGTGGACGGGTTGGCGGGAGGTCGTGCGTCTCGGAGGGTCACAGCTTTTCGAGGGTGGGTAAGGTAGGTTCCAACCACGACAAGAACGCAGTGGAGGGCGAGAAAAAAAAAGTTTCTGCGGGTGCACAATCGCGTCAGTATAGTGTTGGCCGGGGCGAAGATGCTGGAACCCGCGCGGCGATTGACGACAAAGGCTGCACGTCTCCGGCGCTCGCAGAGTGGATGGAGGATGGATGGATGCTCAGGAGGCAGAGATGGGACGGGAAAGGACGAGTTGACCGCGCGTTTCCTCGTCGCGCGAGTCACGGGACCAACGCACCGTGAGCTGGAGATGTGCCCTTCTGCTCCCACGACGGCCAGCGAACGGCAAAGACTGGACGGCGGGCTCGCGGCGAGTCGGTAGGCGTGGCACGAAAAAAGTGTCGATGTCAGCGTTTCGCGTTCGATGTGGACAGTGCGCAAGTTGTGAAGCAGGAAGGCGCCAGGCGCTTCGCCCCTTTCGAAAAAAGGCAAGCCGCTTAAGGTTGCGGCCCGCAGTGCTAAATCGGGCGCGCTCCAGCCAGTCGTTGTTGGCGGAGTGTCTCTCACAATCTGTCGCCATCTTCCATCCCTTCCACTCCTTTCCGACCCGTCTACCCGGCTACTAGTTGAGTAATTGCGTATCTTTGACTATTCACCTGTAGACCGTTGCTTTCTCCGAAGAATTGTGCGCTATCTGCAAGGCCCCCTCTGCCATCTGATTTGATAATAGCATGTCGCGTCTACGCCATGACCTGCGTACCATTCGTGACTGGCCGTCCGCACGGTAATGATTGAAAAGCTTCCCTTCTCAGCGCTTTAATTGCGACCTCACCATACGGGAGATATGTAAATTCGACAGCTACAGTGGGACACGATAAAAAGTCGTTCCGTTACTGCCATCTCAACTAGGCGTTGAGGTACATTTTGCCCCAGGTGGTGCATGGTCGCTTTCGGGTCCTTGTGACCGTCACATCGAAATGAATATTGAGAGCGCTATGGCATTCACTGCTAGAGTATTCACAGCGCTGTTTCAACGGTCGCACCCGTCGCAACCATCGGAACCACAGCAAGCGATGCCGATTCTTCATTTCGTCGAAGATGGATTCTCTTGCTCCCTGCCTATGATGATCTTTGCCTTCAAGGTCTTACCGCCATTCACCATTGACTGGAGTATTACCAACGCGCAGGTATCCGTGTTCCAACGCGTTGAATCAAGCCGATTACGAGATGTTGCAAGCAGATGGGCGACTCGGATGGTGGATGGCGATGGCTATTTAGGCTTGGTGAATGGATATCACACCCTCCGTCTCATGTCGAAAGACATCGTACGAATCGGCCCCAACTTCTAGAGCGACAGCGACGAAGTGGAAGATGCAGATTTTCTGGTCTTCGGGTTCTGCAATCAGTGTTGCTGGAAGCAAGGAGGATATAAAAGATCATAACCCAGCGCCGTGCAGAATGGTATCATCGCAGACTTCGATCGAGGCCGTGACAAAGAAAAGAGTAAAATGAATGAAATCGTGTCGTCGTTCCCGAGTGGTGAGATCGGGCAGGTCGTTTTCGTCAAGTCGAGGCAGTCGGCTTAATTCGCGCGAATGACCAGCTTGCTCAAGAACTTGTTGCTCAGGCAATCAAAGTCGTCGCGGTCGAATTTCGCATTCGATCGCTCCTTGAGGTACGTTTCTGTGATCAAGTATTAGCATGGTCGTCCGTATCGGAGCGAGAGGCTTAGCAACATACCATATTTGTTCACGTGCCCCTTGACCTCCGTCAAAGCATCGCAAACTGCCGGATTGGAGCCGAGGAGATGATGGTGCTTGCGCGTATCCCACTCCTGCAGACCGGGTAGCTTGGTGGAGATGGCCTGAAAAAGGCCGACGATGACGCCCACCGGAGTCGTCTCCATCTCGTCGCAGAATTTGTCGACGACCTTCTCGTCCGGGATGCGGTAGTGGCAGTCGAACTGCATTTCTTCCCACAGGGCGAGGAGGATGGCGGCGAGCATGAAGATTGTGGGCCAATTCTTGAGCTTGTCGCCCGAGTACACCGAACTGTACAGCGCGGAGAGTTCTTCGAGCATGTCCTTGTGCAACTCGCGCCAGAGGGCGCCAAGCGCGGCTTTGATTTGGAAGTTGAGCATCACGGGTGCGACGATCTTGCCGTGGTAGCGCGAGCCTTCGACCTCGATCCTCCCGCGGAACTCCTCTTCGTCCGACAGTCCCTCGACCATGGTTACTTGCTGCGTCAAGTTGTACGCGAGGAACAGGCGGAGCGCCTTGCGTACCGCGACATTCTTCTCCTTTTCGTAGAAGCGGAAGGCTGTCTTCAGAATCTCGGTCAGGAACGGCGTGCCCTCAAAGTGTCCATCAACAAAGTCCTCGAAGCCCTGGTCGAGGTGGCGGTCGAGGTATTCCGAGAGCTTATTCATGTCGATGCCCTCCTCAGTGGCGGTTAGCATAGCCGTAGTGACCTCAAAGGCGCGCGGAGTGTCGTGGATCGACTCGACCCAGTCAACTTCAAAGCATTTATCATCCGTCACAAAGACGTCGCGCACGTTGATGGGAAAGTAGTGGCCATAGCCGTGCGTGATGTAAAGGGTGCGGCAGGGTTTGCCGAAGCCCTTCACATTGCTAATGCTGAAGCCAAGGGTGATGTGCCTTTCAAAGTCCGCCGTCCAGTCCTTCATAAAGAACGCAATGTCTTTGATGTCCATGCGAGTGCACGGGACCTGCCACAGCCGCGCATGGCTCGGACGGCATCCTGCGCACGGCTCGCCGGTGTCACAGGTCTTCTTCAAGAACTTGCAACGAATGCACGCACGCATCTTCCGAATCTCATGGGCCTGCTGGCGCTGCTCAGGGCGTAGGGGTCCACGCCTGCGTCCAATCTTCTTTTCTGCGGTGGTGTCTCTCCGCGATAACGGCTTCTTGATGACGGGTTTGGTGGTTTTGCTCGCGTCCGTGAGTGCCCTGCGTCGACGGAGGGGCGGGGAGGTGGGTCCGGATGAGGTTGGTGAGGTGGAGGACGAACTCGAGGAAGGTGCCGAGCGATATGCAGTTGTACACACGGTGGGCGGGACAACAGCGAGAGAGGAGGATTGACTTTGTTGGCGGTGGTGGTGCGAGGCAGTTACGTCGTGAGCTGGCTGGGGGATGTATTGCGCATCGAAGTAGTCAGCGCTGTGGAAATCGTGCGGAGAGTGCAGTGGCCAGGGCGGGATGTCTTCGTAGCTGCCGGAGAGGTCGTTGGAATGGGGATCATCGGAAAAGTCGGACGAATCGGAGTTTGTGCGAATGTGGAGGTTCTGGCTGGGATTCGACACGGTGCCGACGGAATCAAGGGAGTTGCGGCTGGCGTTGTAGTTGACGAGAGACCATTCATGATCGGAGACGGATTGAATTTCGTAGAGGGTGTTGCTGGGCGAGCTTCCTGCGACACTCGCAGGGGCATGGTCGCTGGGGTGCTGGTTGAGCGCATGCTGCTGCAGTGCGGCGTTGTTGAGGGCGGCAGGGAATGGTACACTGGTTTGGTAGTCGTTGAGAGGGAAGCCAAGCGAGGCCATGGTCTCGATGGGGCCGGCCATGGGCATGAAAGAGGCAGTGTCCATCCCCGTCGTGACTGCATAGTGGTTCGCGGTTGTCGTGGGCATGTAATTGACGGGTGAGCCATGCAACGGGCCTCCAAATGCCGCAGTGTCGAAGGGCATAAGAGACAGTTGGATATGCTGCTGCAAACTGAGCTCTGACCGGGATTGAGGTTGTTGCAAGTCGTGTTGATGAGCATGCGGTTGACATTGATGGTGATGTTGGTGGTGTTGATCAAGCGTGTGTTGTTGAGATGCATGGGCGAACTGGTAGGACCAACCGTGCGGCAACATGCTGGCATATTCGACATCAAAGCCTGACGGATGCAGGTTGAACGACTGATCACTGTGATTGCTGCTCGGTCGACTGCTGTAATCCTCCTCTTGCGCCATGCCCTGCTGGCTCGAGCCGGAAGGCATGAAGCGCTGCAAGGGTTGGTGTTGGAGAGGATGATACATCCGCTCTTCCCTGTCCATGCTTTCGAAGCCTAGTGCTGACCAGGTAGGGTGTTGCTGGGAGGAGGATGAGGAGGAGTGAAAGGTAGGATGGGATTGGGCGCGTGGATCGGAAGAGTCAAAGGCATTGCCAACATCCACATATCCTCCACCACCGGCGTCGTGCGCGTTGTACTCGAGATGGTCCATCTCCGTCTATCCGCCGAGGGCGTAGTCGTGTTGCGCAAGCAGTCAATCAGCTCATCCGGACGGAGCGAAAAGGGCGCCAGTCGAAAATCGGTGTGGGCGGTGACATTGGAGACGGCAGAACAAGACCGAAGAGGACCAGGCAGGGCAGCGAGAGTGCTGGGGGAGTCTCTCACCGCCGGCCACGGGCGCGCAGAGGCACGGCGAGGTGGAGCGCGGGCAGAAAGTCGGTGAGGGTAAAGCGGGGAGCCAATCCTGGCTGGACTCGGACGTGGCACCAGCCTAATGCACGAGGCCTCCTCCGCACCTTCCCTCTTCCGTCCATCTCGCTGACACCTGCAGTAAGAGCGATGCAGGCGGCATGAACACATTGTATCTCTCCGAAGTCGAACTGCGTCGCATGAATATGCTACATGTCCCTAAATCTTCCGCAGAAGCCCGGCCATCCCATCGTCACCGTCGACAAGTGAGGTTGGATTTGAGCGGAGTGAAACATGGAATCTCGGCCCTTAAAATTGTCTCCGCTGGCGTCCCAGTGATCATCCCGTCGCACAAAGTGGGGCGCCGGGGATTTCGCGTCCATTCACGCTCAAGCGCTCTCACTTGACGGGGCACGTTTCCGGACCCCGGCTACGCTTACTCAAAGTTGTCCATGCTCATCGAGGGTTGAGTCTACGCACTCACGGCCCACGTTGTCTTTCCTGTCCGGTTGCACGGATGAAGATCAGTCTGGTATCCGGCAACATCCAAGGCACAACAGCCTAGACGCCATTATCTCGCGCATCAGCTTGACACAGTCCAGTCTACATGACTCGCTGCATGAAAGATGGCGAATGCGGCACCGGAAACGGGCGCAAGCGTCCAACCACCCCTTGCTTCGCCAGCGATGTGTCACCATGGTCATCAGACACCCATTAACGGAAACCTGCAGGCAGAGGTACATAGCTAATTGCCAAGGCTATCTCGCTTTCCAACCAGTCTTCAACAAGAGTTCTAGCTCAACGCAACAGGCTGCCGTTTCACCCATCTAGTCGCCAAGAACATGGGGAATGGCACCACGACCCATGCAATCACGGCTTGGAAGATGAGCCCGCGGATAATCGAATTCGGCGGCGCACCAGGCCATCCACCCCGCAGTGCGTCCATGATGATAATAAAGATGGCTCCCAGCAGCTGTCCGAGCGTCCAGTTGATTGTAGACGTGATTTCAGGTGACACAGGATGCGTGACCACCACTAGGTACTCCAGGGCGCACGGCAAAAGGCTGAATGACGATGCGCCCAGGATGGAGAAGACAGTGTATGGTCCGGCGAGCGTGCGCGTACCCGGCATGAAGATGAGCACCAGGTAAGAGACTGCCACGATCGGAACGAGAACCTTGATCACGGGCGCGTACTTTTTAGTTCTGTCCACGATTGGACTCACCACTGCCGCGGCAATGAGCCCGACGATGATGAGCAGCCCGCCCGCTATCCCAGCATCCGTCTCAGAGAATCCGTAGGGTCCAAGGATTTGGTTCACCAGGGAAGCCGATGCGTTGAAGAATCCCACGTAGACAGAAAAGGGGAGCAGAATAAGATAGAAGGAAACATTCTTCGGTAAATCGTGGAGTGCTGCCCGAAGGTCCAGTTTCTCGCTCGCTGCGATGGCAGATGGAGGCGTTGGCGGTGACTTGGGGATGAACGGGGCAGGGAGGGTGGCCACGGTAGATAGGATCGAGGTGTACAGCACCATGTTCGGGATGCCCTTTAGATTCGTTGCCCAGATAGGTCCAATCAGCTGCCCGAGGGCCCCGCCCAAGGGATTCGCCAGCGACGCGACAGCTGTTGCAGAAACACGGCCGGTGTCGGAAAACCACAGATTGCTGTATCTCGTTGGAGCGGCAAGAACAAACGGTTGGGCAAAGCCGATTAAAATCTGCCCGAAAACGACCACCCCAAACCTGGGCGGCTGGGCGCGCGTGCCCCCATATCTAATCCAATTCCCCACGAGAACGAGAGCACTCGCCACGAGGATCGAGTGTTTGGGCCCGCCTTTGTTGAGAGTCCAGATGACCAGCGGGGCAACGGGGACAAAAGCGAAAAGAAAAGCGGTGCTTAGCCAGTTGATGTCGCTTTCGGAGACGCTGAAGAACTCCGCTGCGGTCGTCGATATTGCGGCGAAGGTCAGCCAGTCCCAGCTGACAATGATGTTCAGGAGCACAAGCTGGGCGAGGCCGAAGAAGCGGCGGCGGTACCGGCGATATTGCGGCGCATCGTCGGATGGGGCGGCGTGTTCTCCAGAGACCAGTGGTGAGCCGCTGTCCTCTGACGATACTACGCGCAAGGCAATGTCGGTCTTGTTAGTCTTGCTGGGGCCAGGTTGATAAGGCTGCGATGGTTGTTGTTGATTAGAAGGGCCTGCCGGTGAATTCGGGTCGCTGTCGGGCATCTTGTTGCAGGCGAGGGCGCCGGCGACGTGTATGCATCAATTGAGGGAGAGTGTGATCATCGCATATTCGCTGATGAATGATACACACGCATCTCACATCAACGCGACTTTGCCCCGTCATGCGTGGACGTGCGTGCGGAAGTCGGCGTCAAGGGGCGACGTGGGGAAAGGTTCGGGCCCGACCGCATGGTTCGGCTGTGCTTCCGCCGCGATGACATGGCACATGCTCTAGAAACATCCATCCACGATACGCCACAGCTAAAGAAGTCCCGCCCATCTCTCCCTCTTCATCCACCACGCCGCCCATCTCACCCTTCAGAATAATGCAAGAATGCAGCATCCGATATTCACCGGCTCGTCACGTCGACAACGGCAGGTGAACCTGTCAGGCCGCCCCACCAACCCGTTTGCCTCAGCCTCATCTCACAGCTCCGGCCCGCAAGCAGCGATAGCATCAGCGCAGCAGGATCGCATAGCTCGTCAACAACAGCGCGAGAGGCTGCACGCATCATCACGCATTCAACGAGTCTGGAGGGGCCATAGCACTCGGCGGAAGACCTTTCGAGCGTGGCGACAGTTGTGGGATCAGCGGGAAGAGGAGGCCACGGCGGCGAATCATGGCGCATATCAGTCGGCAGAGGAGACTTTGACTCAGCTGAGTCGTTTGCTACTCTTCTATACTCCTCGCGAAGATGTCAAGAGGTTGAGTTGGTATGGATCACGCCAGATGGCTACCGACGCGGCTGTAGCTTGTCAAGGCGGCCGATGGCCCAAAGCATACTTGGGTCTGTTAAGAGCTTGCATATCGGCGCTTCGAGAGAGGACATCCGCAGATCCAGAGACGGACAAAATGCTATTGGTCATCTCTGCCTTTGCGTCGAGGAGAACAGTGGTGGACCGACGGGATGCGATATCATACTACGATGCCCTTACGAAGCTACGAGATGTGCCTTCCGAAATCTTCCAACAAGCGCTCATTGCACCCTTGCAAAACTCCCCTGAAGCATACACCGGCCTTGCAGTCTTACTATCTCGACCACTCGCATCCGAAATGCTCACCTTACTACGGGCATCCGTCGACGCAACGGCGCTCACCCATGCTTTGGCACGGACGAAAGACCCAAAGACTCGTGCCTCTCCACAATCAAACCTCTGGCTATTGGGGAATACGATATACATCGCTGGTGCCTCCCCAACCGAAGCACTGATTGCAACTGTGGCGAGACTGCTCGGCTCGCTTGCAGAGGATGTGGATTTCGAAAGCACCGCCATTGACCTGGACAACGTCTCTTTCGATCGCGACGTGCTCTCCAAGATTTCCACCGGACTTCCCCTTAACACCTACCTACACGAGCAGGTCAACTCGCTGATCGATCAACACTCCATCCGCAACCTCCTAGTCCGCAGCAGTGGCACTCACGATAACGACACAGTCAACGCACAGCTTCTCGCCGGCTATGCTTTGACTCTCCTTCGGTGCTTTCCACGACGAGCTGACGACATTCGGATGTGGCTTTACCTTGGCCCTACCAACTCTACCACGTCCAACACGCCTGCAACGCAATACTTCTGGAACTCTGCTCGAAGTACACCCGTCTTCTCTACCGTGTGGGGAAACTCTCGAAGCGTTGTTGCTCTGCTGACTTCGGAGCCTACATCGGAAGTGAGAGACCAGTGGACAGTCATCCTGGTTTTCTTGGAGCTGTACACATTCCTACTGAAGATTATGGATGATGAAGAGTTCATGGGCACGGGCAAGAGGACTGCTGCGATCCCACTATCTCAGGTCGCCGAGCTAGTCACCTTTTTGAAGAACCTCGGATTCACTCTGTACTTCAACGCCTCCGACCTGAACACCGCGGGCGGCGCAGGTGCAGGTGATACCGCAAGCATCGATCTGAGCCGTCACTTTGGGAATGCACCAAACAAGGCAGATAGCGCAAGGTCCAACGATGCAACGAACCCGCTTGTCGTGGCTGGCCTGTCCGGGTTGACGGTAGACTATCTCAAAGGGCTCGTCACCGGTCTTTTGCGAGCAATCTACGAACGAGACTCCAGACGCCATTTCCTCGGTCCCGATCATTGGCTCATGACCTCTAGATTTGACATGACATCTTTCATCTCTGGCGTGGTGTTGGAAGAAGAATCACGACACTTGATCCAGGAGCAAGATGATGAAGACAAGGACCCCGAGTCTGACGAAGAAGATGTGATTGACAATACCCCTCGTGCGAGGGGTCACATGAGTGCGCTTCGCTCCCAAGCAGCCAAGGCAAGGGCTCAACGAAGAGCCTCGAGGAAGCGATACCTGGAATCTGTGGCGCCTCGCCTCGAGATATTGCAGAACATGCCTTTCTTCATCCCTTTCACGACACGAGTTGAGATCTTCCGGCAGTTTGTCCAGCTTGATCAGGAGAAGAGGCGAGGCGGCCATACCGATCCGGATCTCTGGAGGCATAACATGATGTTTAACCCTTCCAACGGCGTACCCGGACGAGACTTGCTGTCACGGCACCATGCCAAGATCAGGCGAAAGAACGAATTCAGCGACGCCTTTGAACAGTTCTACGATTTGGGTGCCAACTTGAAGGAGCCAATCCAAATCACCTTTGTCGATGAGTTCGACATGCCAGAAGCTGGCATCGATGGCGGAGGGGTGACGAAAGAGTTCCTCACCAGCGTCATCACGCAGGCATTCGACATCAACAATGATCTTGTCGAAAAGTTCTTCATAGAGAACGACAAGCATCTCTTGTATCCGAATCCAACTGCGTTGGATGACCTGAAAGTTCGTTGGAGGGAGATGGGATTCAAAGACAATCATCCAGCTGTTCGGAATGAGGTTCGATCTTTCCTGCAGCAGTATGAGTTTCTTGGGCGGATCATCGGGAAATGTCTCTACGAAGGTATCCTGGTTGATGTGAACTTTGCGGGCTTCTTCTTGAAGAAGTGGGCTCTCACTGGCGGTGCTGGATCTGCTCCCAACGAAAGCGGGTACCGGGCAAATATCAACGACCTCCGAGAGCTGGACGAAGATCTCTACCGCGGCCTACTCAGTCTCAAGACTGATCCCGATGTACAGCAACTGGGCCTGACGTTTACCGTCGACGACATGGTAGGAGTGGAAGGCCGCAAAGAAGTCATAGAGCGCGAGCTCGCCCCCAACGGCGCCAACACCACCGTAACCAACGAAAACCGCCTCATCTACATCAACCGCATGTCGCGCTACCGCCTGCAAGAGCAATCTGCCCCGCAATCCAACGCCTTCCTCCGCGGCCTCGGCTCCATCGTCCAGCCCAGCTGGCTGAACATGTTCAACCAGTCCGAACTCCAAACGCTGATAGGCGGCGCCTCCGCTTCCATCGACGTCCAGGACCTCCGCCAAAACACCCTCTACGGCGGCACATACGTCATCGGCGACGACGGTCGCGAACACCCCTCCGTGCAGCTGTTCTGGGACGTCATGGCCTCCCTGCCGGACGCGGATCGGCGTGCGGTGCTCAAGTTTGTCACGAGTACGCCGCGCGGCCCGCTGCTGGGGTTTGGCAATCTGAATCCGCGCTTCAGTATTCGCGACTCGGGCAGTGATGAGAATCGTTTGCCGTCGACGAGTACGTGTGTGAATTTGCTCAAGCTGCCGATGTACAAGACGGAGAAGGTGTTGAGGGAGAAGTTGCTTGCGGCTGTCAATAGTGGAGCTGGGTTTGATTTGAGCTAGGTGGATGGTGGTGGAGATGAGCTGTTTGTTGGAGAGTAGCATTAGCGTGTTAGTTCGTCGTAGTTTGGGAGTATTCAGCGTCAATATTGAGGAGCGAATGATCGAATATCGTCCGGCCTTCACCCTGTCATGTGACACTGATTGGTCCGAGCTCCGGGAGTGGCCGGGGCTAGGGAATGTCCAAGGTTTGATTCACGACGCGCCAAACCTCACTCATTAAGCAAAGCTCCGATATTGCATCTCGCCTTCTTTTCTGCAGCGGAAAGATTCCTTTCATCCCTTCTACCTTGTCCTTTCAACTGGTGACGAGCAAACGCCATTGTCGATGGAGAGCGTGGCCGTGTTTGCTACTCGCGATTTGTGACTGAACGCGCCCCTCCTTTGTTCTCCTTCACTAAAGCTTCGAGGTACGACTCACGTTCTCCTCCTTGCACGCGGCGAATCACCCACATTCCACCACTGTGACTCGCCTTGAACAACGCAAGCATACCCTCGACGCCTTTTGATCCCTGCTACTACCGGAGGCGCCATCCACAGTGACTGGCCTCCGGACTGGAGCTCGTCCTCCACATCCCAGGCACCCGCGTCAGAGCGCGACAATACTCAGGCCAGCGCTAAAGCATCAATCTCTAGGCACCCACGAGGCTTTCTGCCTGCGATTTTGCGATCCTTCCCCACGCGATTTCGACGTCACCTCGCCTTTGCGCTTACCTGCGCCTCATCCCTTTTCTTCATCTCTGACGCCTGCCCTCCTCGGCCATCATGTCGTTCGGATTCGGGAACAACAACAACAACAACAATACCAACAACACTTTTGGGGGCTTCGGCAGCTCTAATACAGGAGGAGGCTTCGCTGCGAACCCCGCTTCCACGGGTGGCTCACTCTTCGGAGGCAACACTGCCACTTCAGGGGGGTTCTCTGGGTTTGGCGCCGCGAACAACACTAATACCGCGGGCTTCGGCGCTCCCAAGCCAGCCTTTGGCGCGTCTACCACAACTACTGGCGGAAGTCTGTTCGGTGGGAACACAGCTACGTCTGGCGGGTTTGGAGGCGGCGGTGGTTTCGGGAACACCGCGAACACCGGAGGATTTGGAGGGAATACCAGTGGGGGTAAGCGACTGTCACGGCTTGGCCACATCTCGAAAACGGTAAATACTGACATCACTTCCGCAGGACTGTTTGGTTCCCAGCAGAATCAGCCAAAGCCCAGCGGGTTCGGCTCGACCAACACCGGTGGCTCGCTGTTTGGCGGCGCCAACAATACCACTGGCGGATTTGGAGGAACGAATACTGCGACCAGCAATCCGTTTGGCGGGAGTACCTCAGGTGGCTTCGGGGGCAGCACCAACACGAACACGAATACCGGTACCGGCGGCTTCGGATTTGGCGCTGCTTCTACCGGCGCTGCAGCCAACAACAATGGAACAGCCAACACCCCATTCAACGCCTTCAGCGAGAAAGACCCAGTGAACAGCTCGACGTCCTTCTACCAGTCCATCACGTTCCAGCAGCCTTATGCGAACAAGAGCTTCGAGGAATTGAGGACGGAAGATTATGCCCAGGGCAGACGGTTCGGAAATACCAACGGTCAGGCTGGTGGCTTTGGGCAGAGTACCGGCTTCGGTGGATTTGGAGCTACCAACACGACCAGTGCAGGCGGTAGTATGTTCGGAGGCAACACAGCCACCACCGGCACAAGCGCGTTTGGCAGCAACAACACCGCCACGAATACCAACACGTTCGGTGGCTTCGGAGGAAACACAAACAACAGCGGGAGTCTCTTTGGGAACAAGCCGGCCCAAACCGGCGGACTGTTTGGTGGGCAGCAGACTGCTGGCACGACCACTGGCGGGTTCGGATCCACGGCGAACACTGGTGGAAGCGTTTTCGGAGGCGCCAATAGCGCGTTCGGCGGCACGAACAACAACAATACCTCCACCACCGGCGGAGGTCTGTTCGGCTCGAACAACAACCAGCAACCTCCCAAGCCGGCCTTCGGGGGCTTTGGGGCCACGAATACAACCACGAACACCGGTGCATTCGGAAACACTGCCAATACGGGTGGTAGCCTGTTTGGTGGCAACAATACCAACACTGGTGGTTCACTGTTCGGCGGTAACAACCAACAACAGCAGAGCAATCCCTTTGGGGCCAACAATACCGCCAACACAGGTGGTAGCTTGTTCGGCAATAATGCACCCAAGCCAGCCGGTGGAAGTCTGTTCGGCAGCACCAACAACACTGCCAACACTGGAGGCTCACTATTCGGTGCTCAGAACAATCAACAACAGAGCAATCCCTTCGGCCAGTCGACCAACACTGGTGGGAGCTTGTTCGGAAATCAAAACCAGAACAAGCCTGCCGGTACCAGCCTTTTCGGTAACAGTACGAATACTGGTGGGAGTCTGTTTGGTGGGAATCAAAACAACCAGAGCACTGGAGGTGGTCTCTTCGGCGGCAACAACAACGCCGGTAGCTCGCTGTTTGGAAACGCGAATAAGCCGCCCGGCGGCAGCCTGTTCGGGAATACTGGCAACACTTCCAACACTAACTCTGGGCTGTCACTGTTCGGCAACAACCAGCAGAATCAGCAGAACAACGCCGGCGGTTCTCTATTCGGCGGCCTCAACAACAATGCCAATCAACAAGGCTCCAACTCAGGCTCGTTGTTTGGTGGAAGCCTCAACCAGAGCCAGGGTCCGGCGCGGAACCAGCTCCACGCTTCTCTTACCGGCTCGCCTTACGGCAACGAGCAGCTCTTCTCCTCTCTCGCCGCGCCGTCACCGCCCATCGGTCCGCTCGCGACACCTCTTAATGGCGCAAGGCCTTCACCACGCAAGACTCCCAGCTTGCTTGCAAGCGCAAGGGTAAACACTCCCGTCTACAGCCCTCGCGGCGGTTCTTTCGGTCGCACGGGAGGATATGGCTTCAACTACTCCACCTACGGCACTCCTGGCTCTGCGTTTACTTCCGGCAGCCTCACGCCCGGTGCAAGCAGCTTGCTTCGACCAACTGGGAGCCTCAGCAGCGCGCTGACTAGCCGCTTGACCAAGAGCTTGAGCGGTGGCAACCTCCGCAGTGACTCGGTCGCCAGTGAAGGACGCAGCTTGCTCCGCCCGAGTGCCTTCTCCCCTGAAGGCACGCCCGGCTCGTATGCTAACGGCAACGTGCGCAAGCTCAAGATCGATCGCAGCCTCCGCACTGACCTGTTTGGACCGGAGCCGAAGGCGATCGAGACTGTAAAGGAGAATGAGCCTCCCGCCTTGAGCAAGACTGTGAGCTTCGAAAAGAGCGCCGACCAGGAGAGCTCTACGCCGAAAGCCAACGCGTCAAACGCCCTTGCTAGGACTGAGGATCGAGAAGACGATCAGTCCCCGGGCCTGATCCGTTCCGGGCCGAGCAAATCGAATGTCTCCAAGACGCCTGAGATGGAACAGGTCAATGGTGCTTTGACTACGGTGCCAGAAGATGCCGAAGCGCCTCGCTCCGCGCCTGCCTCCAGGCCGGTCGCTCATACGTCCAAGCCGCACGAGGTGGGCGATTACTGGACGAAGCCTGCTTTGAAAGACCTGAAGAACATGTCACGCCAGCAGCTCAAGAACGTCGGCAACTTTGTTGTTGGACGCGAAGGCGTTGGGCGCATCGAGTTTGGCTCTGTCGATCTCACCAACACCCCGCTTGAAGACATTTGCGGCAATGTCGTTCAACTCAACCCTCGCTCCGCCACGGTATACCAGGACGACCAGGACAAGCCGGCAATGGGAAAGGCGCTCAATGTCCCGTCCACCATCTACCTCGAGAACTCTTGGCCTCGGTCCCATGGTGGCCGCAAGCCGGTGACTACCAAGAGTGGCAAGGAGTACGAGAAGCACATTGCTCGCCTCAAGCGTGTGGGCGGCACTCACTTCCTCAACTACGATCCAGCCACTGGCGTGTGGAGCTTCAAGGTCGATCACTTCACCACCTACGGTCTTGATGATGACGACGAGGAGTCGGACTTTCCGGATGACAGCAAGATGGTCGATCCATCGAGCCCCCTCAGCGACGCTCCTGAGACCCCCACAGCTCCGCAAGACCTTACCATGCAAAGCGTCGACACTGGCACGGGCGAAGTGGACGATACTTTTGAGTTCATGCTTGACCGTCGCTCCCAACTGATTGTGCCGGGTGGGTTTGACGAGAGTGCTATGTACGACTTTGCCGATGTGGAAGCCAACGAGAGGTTGGAGGAGCCGGAGCAGCACGTGATGTGCGGCGGACTCGGCGATGCTGAGATGAACAATCTGTTTGTGTCTCCTGGCGGTGCTGTGCAAGCTCCATCACCTGGAGCAGTGGAGCGCTACCACTCGAGCCTGATGGAGCCCGATGATGACCAGGAGGCGGAGGAACAAGGGATTCCTGGCTCCTTCGTCGAAGACCCGAAGCCTACTCGCTCCATCTTGAAGGCCGGCACCGCCCTCAGCATGCTTGCCTCGCCTCAAAAGCTGGCGACTGAGAGCTGGGAGGAGCAATTGCAGCGCACTTTGAGCCCTCGCAAGCGCGATCGCCAAGCTTTGAAGGAGATGCAGCATAGCTTCTTGCGTGCTCGTGCCGACGACTTGATGTCAAGCCCCTTCAAACAAAGCATGCTCGGTCAGAGTGTGTTGGGCCAAAGCTATCTTGCCCAGAAGAGCGCAAAGAAGGCAAACACGGCGGCAACCCATGCCGTCGCTCCTCAGGAGCTCGGGAAGAGCCAGGCGTTCCGCACCGCAATGGATCTTATGGATTCTATGTACTCGCCGGAGAAGCCGGGACGAAAGGCTGGCGCGGGTGCGAAAGGTTTTGAGGTATGATTTACGTCCCCCATCCGTCTTCCTCCCCTCCGCAGAATGCACATCCTTCACCACGCACGTTCAGGATATGTGGGTCAGCAATGTAAGGCTGAGGTGAAGGGAGTCAACATTCACATCTTTGGGCGTTCCGCACTACACACTCACACCCCCAGTCATCTCACATTCACCCCTGCATAGCTTGATTGAAGAGTACATAGCTGAAAATGACAATAGTTCCCCCATTCCAAGAAGCCTCGCCATTCGACTTCCGACGCTGACGATGCCGCGTGGCACGAAACGATGAAGCCGCACTTCTCCAACGACGGCACCCTGGTGTACTCCGTCCCAGCCTCGTGGCCTCAACACTTCGGAGAACTGTCGACCACCATGCGCCCTGTAGTCAGCGAGCACCACGACGTGCGCTTCGGCCGCTTCACACCCGCCTCTGACATCAATGCTATACCACTGCTCGCGCAAAAGATAGTCACCAACGTCGAAATCTCGACCGGCTTTCCGATCGCGTACCCGCCAGAGGACATTCTCTTCTCCTCGCTGAGTGAGAACGTGGACGACTCGCCGGCCTTTCCCGAGCGCGAGAGAGCGTTGTGGCAGCTCTGCAGTATCTTGTACGATCCCACTCGCCACGGGTGTCGTCAGCTCCTAGAGGGCGTGTCATCCGAGCAGCTCGCACAACTTGCACCGCATGAGGAACGCATTCGGCTGGATACTGTGACCGCCTTCTGGGCGCACCTCGTCACTCCCTCCGTTCAAGAGGGGCTCAAGCGCGCTCGTTCAGCCGAGGAGAAGGCGCTGCTTTTGCTGACGCAGAATGATGTCCCCGCGGCTTGCGACGTGCTGATCGAAGCGAAGGACTTTAAACTCGCCATGTTTGTTGCGCAGTTGCCGACTACCGAGCAGAGTCAGGCGATGATGAAGAAGCAGATTGACGCATGGCGCGACCGGAACGACTGGAGCGAGATGAGCGATGCCGTTCGCGCGCTGTACTCCATCCTTGCCGGCGAGCTGTGCACGGTTGTGGGCAAGTCTGGCGCTGCGGAGGATAGGGCGGCGGAGTTTAATCTTGCGGAGAGGTTTGGCCTCAGCTGGCAGCAGAGTCTTGCGCTGCGGTTGAACCTTGGAGGCTACGCGACCGTCCAAGACGCGGTGGAGGCATATCACGCGCAGCTGGAGAGTGGACGTGAGAAGACAGTACCGTTCAGCACGACTACAAATGGCTCGAAGACAGACGATGTCTTGATGGAGCTCCTCCGCCTCTACGCCGGCTTCCCGAACACGGCCAAACTACTCGACCCGAACGTGACGTCCGGCAGCCCTATGGATGCCAGAGTAAGCTGGCAGCTCGCGTCGCTTCTCAGCGCAAGCAAGCACTGCAAAATCTCGAGCAACGAGCTGGACCAGCTTGCCTATGAGTATGCAACGCAGCTCGAATCTGCCGGCAAATTCGTCACGGGCGCATGGATCACTCTTCACATTCGCGATCCACAAGCGCGGCAGCGCGCCCTCGGTGCACTGCTCAACCGCCACGGCGACAAGATTTCCACACCTGGTGACCATACCGTCGAAGACAGCAAGACATTCGAGTACCTCACGCAAGACAACAAGGTCCCCTCCGCGCCCGTGTGGAGAGCAAAAGCGCTGTACGCGAAGGCCGGGCTGCACAATCCCGGTCTGCAGGCTGAATGGCTTCTCCGCGCCGGCGATCTGGATGCAGCGCACGAGGTGCTGTGCACGACTGTGGGCCCGCAAGCCGTGATTGAGCAGGACTACGCTCTGCTGGCGAATCTGCTGCAGCAATTTGGACAGCGGAGAGTGGGTGGGTGGGAGCGAGGGGGAGAAGTGTACGCGGATTACCACCAGCTTGTGCGTGCGAGGCAGAGCGGTGGTGCCAGTGGTGGGAGACTCAGTGCGGGTGTGCAGGCTGCTATGGTGCGGTTCAGACGGGGGTTGGATGCGTTGAAGGAGGGGGATGCGAGTGGGAAGTCGAGGGGGTTACTGGAGACTGTGGCTGTGATTGAGATGAGGAAAGTTCTGGAGGAGATGGAGAGGGGGGAGGGAGTTGTGGAGAATGAGGGATTGGGCATGGGCGTGAAGGGCGAGGTGGGAGGAGAGATGTTGCGCCGGTATCAGCGTGCGATGGGCAGTGTGGTGTGATAGCGTTGGAAGTGAAGTTGCTTTCTATCACGTGGTCTCTACGCTTGATCGTGCCGGGCTGACTCATCTCACAATACGTTCAATGTGTCTTTGAATCACCCCAAATTGTTCAGTCTGAGGCATATACGTCAATCGCAGCCTTCACCATTTCGTCTTCCGGGTCGCCAACACGGCAGGCACGCGCTAATGCACGCTTCCTGCAAGGCGGAGCTAGTCTTGGCGCGAGGACAGGCTGAAACGACACCTCCACGGCCTCCACCCACGGCCGCACCCGCTCTCGTGCATGCCAGAGCTCCATCTCTCCCAGCCATCGACTTCTCCAGCTGCACGTTGCAGACGAGTCCCCGAGGATAGGGACGGAGAGAGGGGGGTGTGACCGCGGTGGAAGCGGCGCACATCCCACTTTGTAGCCTTTCTTGTTCCTGCATCTTGCAACTGCATCTGTCTTCTTGCTTCATGACATGGTAGGCACGGCATCTCGTTCTATCGTCACACTACTAGCTTATCTCGTGTCGCGGACCACCAAGACATCGACAAACGGAGTCTGACCCGTCGGTCAGTCTCTGCACCCCCCCCTTCCCCTCCCTACTTCAACCCTCACCTCACTATTCACATCCCGCACCTCCCACCCGCCACCTTCCTCCCAACCTCACAACTGCCGCATGAACCGGCGCGGCCAACTCGAGCAATGACATCGCGCCAGGCCTACCTCGAATCCCACTCGAGCATCACCGCCTCCATGGACGACTTCGAAGCGCGCGAATTCTCCCCCACCCTCCCCCACCTACCCTCGCAACACTCCGGCTTCCGCAGCAACAACGCCTCCGAATACAGCGAGCGCAGCGCCGGCAGCTCGCGCCGCTCCTACAGTCCGCCGGCCTGGCGCAAGGCTGGCAGCGGCTGGTTCAAGCACCAGCCGGACCTGTCGCCGCATCGGAGTCCGGCGGGGTTTGGGGGGAGTAGGGAGACGAGTCCGTTGGATCTGAGGGTGAAGGAGGAGGAGGGCGACGGCGATGTTACTGCTTTTCGGAGGGCGATGAGGGTTCCGTTGCCTGCTTCTCCCGTCAAGGGAAGGAGTCCGTCTAATTCCCCTGAGCCTGAGGTGGGTGTCAAGGTGGAGGGTGGTGATAAGGGCGGTGGTGATACGACGCTTGTCGATGAGCAGATTGTGAGGGAGCTGGAGACTGCAGATGACTCTACGCCCGTGCAGAGTAATTGTGAGTCTATCTGGAGGGTCGTTGCTCGGCATGCCAGGCATGGCTAATATCCCACACAGACATCCGCTTCACTGGTTCGGTCGCAGTACAACAAAAGACCGACAATATCGAAGCTGTGATCTGGTACATACGAAGTGTGATCCACCATGCCTCCCAGTCGAGGAAAAACATGCTGCTCTACACCGTCGCATCGCTACTATTCTATTCCCTATGCGCAAGACTTCTATCAACGCCCCTGAGTGGCCCGGTACCGGACTTGATCAAAGTCGCCGGCCTGGCACAGTCTTTCGAACCCGTCATCTACTACTCAGAAGCCGGACACCAGCAGATCGGAGAGCTCCAAGACACGGGCGTCGCAGTCTGGGATCTGGGGGAGAGCGTGCGGAACACGAACATGAGCTCTGCGCCCATGATTGTGCAGCAATTGGAGGATTTGTCAGGCAGCCTGACTACCCTGTCCACCGAGCTGACGAGATTTTTCGCTGGTCTGGATGCAGACGTGGACGCAATCCTCCTTGTCATGGAGTGGGCGGGGCGCGAACTCACCAAGATTTCCCAGCCGGCAACGAGCACCCTCAGCACCGTCTGGTCGAATACGCACACCCTTCTCACTCAATTTGGCATCGTCAATGCCGACAGTCGACTTGTGAAAGAATTGCTAGGCCAGACGATCCAGCAACGTACCCGCAGCGCGCTCGAACGCACGTTTACCGAATTCCTCAATGTGATGGAGGAAAGCATCAACAACGAGCTGCAATTCTCCATGCAACTCTTCGGCCTCTTCGAAGCCATCGACAAGCAGTTCCTCAACCTCCACCGCACCGTCATCCGCGAGCAAGATCAGCAAGAGCGCATCGAATCTGACTTCCTCTCCTCGCTATGGACGCGCGTGGTAGGCGCGAACACTTCTCGTCTCAGAAAGTACGAGCGCAACAAGAGCCTACTCCAAACGGTGCGGGATCGCACGGTACGCAACAAGCACGTCCTCGTCGACCACAACCAGCGCCTGCTGCAGATGAAGTCTGCGCTCGAGAGGCTGCGGCAGCGACTTGTTAGTCCGCTGGTGCGCAGTACTAATTCCAGCTCGCTGTCGGTTGAGGAGCAGATTCGCGGGCTGGAGGGCACGTATCAGCAGCTCAAGTCGGTGCGCGAGTCGCAGAAGTCGAAGAAGATGGCCATGTTGTTTGGGGCGAGGGACAGGAGGGATGAGTTGCAGCAGCAACAGGGGCAGGGGATGCGGAGGGATGGTGCTTCTGGGCAGATTGGGTATGGGTCGAGTTGAGACGGGTGGCTGTTGGGCTTATCATAGATGGAATTGGAGAGGCGTACGGTCTGGTGTGGTAGGTGTTGGGCTTCGGATTGGGCTGTTGTAGTATGTAACGCAACGCAGGAACTGCCACTTCATCATCATCGAGAGTCTCTTCGACATGATCACTCATGACTGATGATGCCTCAGGCGTGCACGGCAAGGTTCGGCGCGGAAGGTGCGGCTAGCGAGCCGTGCCAAGTCCCGCCAAGGCTACTGCGCCTCCTCCGCCGAGGGAGCAAGCTCCCAACGTCATCCGTTTCCATTGGCCGCCGACACTCGCGCGCAAGCTGTCCATGATCCTCTCCACCAACTTTTCCACTTCTGTCTCCCCCTTCAAACCTCACGACCCTGTATATCCATTCGACTTGTCGGTACAGACAGCGACAGTACCCCTCCTTGCCCTCCTCCTCCCGAACAAATACATCCGCGCTTGTCACTCGTTAGATCTGAGATTTGTTCAAGATGAGTATGAGTAAGTCTCCACCCGTCCATACACAAGCACCAAGATCAAGAAATCGGGGATGGGATAGCTGCTTGGCGTGACGGTCAAGACCTTTGATCATTGCGCTCAGCCTCTGCCAAGGTGGTTGCTTGTGGCATATCACCAGAACGAGGAGAAAACCCGACAGACTTTGCAAACAACGTTTGCGCGAGAAAGAAGAGACACAGTGAGACTGATGATGATGTCCTCAACAGCAAAAATCCGAAGCGACTTCCACCGACAAGGCCGCACATACACCGGCAGCCTCGTGCGAACAATGACGGAAAACTCGCATACGTCCTCCCACAACCAACCCAATGGCACCACCCACGACTCCGAGCACACTCCCCTCCTCTCCCGCAACTCCACCTTCGCCTCCTCCGGCGGCCGCGGGTGGCACGAAGATGAACGAGCGTGGATTCGGTGGCCGGCGACATTCCTGCGTTTGACGTGGCTGACGCTCGCGTCCAACTACGTCAACTTGCTGCTCGTCTTTGTCCCGGTGGGCATTGTGCTCGGCGCGCTCGATATCAATCCTACGGCCATCTTCGTCACCAATTTCTTCGCCATCATCCCCTTGGCTGCTTTGCTTAGCTTCGCTACGGAGGAATTGAGTGTCAAGTTTGGAGAGACGCTTGGTGGGCTGATGAATGCTACTTTCGGCAATGCCGTCGAATTGATAGTATGTTGGCCGAAAGCACTCTGGATATGTTTGACGTGCTGACTGATGTTGCAATAGGTGTCAATTGTCGCTCTTCGCCAAGGCCAGATTCGCATCGTGCAAGCCAGCATGCTGGGCTCCATCCTCTCCAACATCCTGCTCGTCCTCGGATGCTGCTTCATCGCTTCTGGCATCCGTCGCGAGCAGAGTCGCTTCAACGAGACCGTGGCCTCTACCATGTCATCTCTGATGACCGTCGCCGCCACCTCGCTCATCATCCCCGCAACTCTCTACGCCACACTCCAAAAGAGCGAATCCACCGACACGGAAGCCAACGTGCTAGTCGTATCGCGCGGCACCGCCATCATCATGCTCCTCCTCTACGTCCTCTACCTCTTCTTCCAGCTCAAAACCCACGCTTCCCTTTTCGACTCCGAACGCGGAGACGGCGACGAAGAAGAAAAGGAGCCGGAAATCCTCGGCCCCATCGCAGCAGGCGTCGCCCTCGTCCTCGTCACCCTCCTCGTCGCAGTCTGCGCCGAATACCTCGTCGACAGCATCGACGCCATCGTGCAAGAAGCGGGCATCAGCAAGACCTTCATCGGCCTCATCCTCCTCCCCATCGTCGGCAACGCAGCAGAGCACGTCACCGCCGTCGTGGTAGCGTGGAAGGACAAGATGGACCTCGCCATCGGCGTGGCGGTGGGCAGCAGCATGCAAATCGCCCTCTTCGTCACCCCCTTCCTCGTCATCCTCGGCTGGATCATCGGGCAGCCGATGACGCTCAACTTTGAGATTTTCGAGACGGTCGTCTTCTTCCTTTCCGTGCTGGTTGTCAACTACCTCATCCAGGACGGGCGCAGCAATTACCTCGAGGGCTGCATGTGCATTGGCACGTATGCGATAATCGCTATTGCGTTCTTTGTCTATCCTGAGGATGCGGAGGGGCAGGGTTTCGTGGTGATGGCGAAGGGCATGCTTGGGTATTAGGTGGAAGGGAATGGGATCTGGAGAGACGTGGATTTGGACAGTTGAAAGTAATTGAGATCTAATGAAAAGAGGAGAAGAAAATGTAGAAAGCTTGAAGGGCAGTCTGTCTCTTCATCCTCGATCGGAAGTGAGAGGGCTGTACGATATGTATCTCTTACCACACCCGGTATTCAGTTTTCGGGGTTGCCAGGTTTGGCGCAACTCGAAAGCTCCAATCCATAAATCGTGCAACCGCATTCCACGCTGAGTAAAATCAATACTCGAGCAATTGAACGTCGAAGACATGCCCAAGGATTCATTCGTGGTGGTGCCCTGACAGGCCAGGGCAAGCGCGTACCCTCTCACGCTCCCCCGCTAGCTCCCGGCGCGCAAACTCTAAATCTCTCCAATCAAACTGCAGGCGCTAGTCGTGAATGTTCACGCGTCAAGCACGCGCCGTCCACTTTCCTTTAAGCATCATATTCCCGATTTGCTCACGACTGCTCACGTCTCCTTCTCTTGCGCCGAGTCTTGGAACACACGCATCAGAACCAAACACGACTCTTCCTCTCGAAGGATTCTCTCCGCACACCATGTCCGCACCACAACCCCCCTTCCCCTCGCGACCCTACACAACAGCCCTCCACAACCGGCCCAGCACCTTCCAAACCCCCTTCTCAACCGCACAAAACCCCAACCCAGCAGGCAGCACAGCAGCATCCAACGCCGCGGCCCCCAACCTCCCACAAACCACGCAACAAAAAGAAACCATGCGCTTCGAGCGCGAGCGCGCCGAACGCGCGGACCGCGAACGCCGCGAAGCAGAGAACCGCAGCGCCTTTGAAGCGCTGAGCGAAGAGCAGCGGGAGGAAGTCAACGAGGCGTTCGCGCTGTTCGATCTCGACAAGGATGAGTACGTGGATTACCATGAGTTCAAAGTTGCGCTGAAGGCGCTGGGCTTCGAGGTGCCCAAGGGAGAGATTCTGGGGTTATTGCAGACGTACGGCGTGCCTGCTTCTTCTTTGCAACAGGGGGGGAAGCAGGCGGCGATACAGCAGCAGCAGCAGGCACCCACATTCTCTGGGCCTTCGCGCTTATTGCTTTCCCATGCGCATTTCCTCGCTATTGCTGCGCAGCGGATTCTGGCGCGCGATCCGCGCGAGGAGATTCTCAGGGCTTTTGATTTGTTTGATGCGGATGGGAAGGGCCGGATTGAGTTGGAGGATTTGCGGCGCGTGGCGAGGGAGTTGGGCGAGGGGTTGCAGGAGGAGGAGCTGGCGGCGATGATTGAGGAGTTTGATGTGAGGGGGGAGGGGGGCATTAGTCGGGAGGAGTTTGTGGGGATATGTCTTGGGTAGATGGCGTAGAGTGGAGGGAGTCTGGTATTGATGTGCTTGGGGCGTCTTGTTTTGCTACTGGCATAGGTTGGGCTCATGATGGTAACGTGCTTTTCTTGATGCTTTTGAACATAGCGCTGGGGTTGGGAGTAGATTGATTACTGCTTGGTTGTGCTCCAGACGTTGAGTCTACTTCTTCCCACACATTCTAGCCTCAAGTTTCTCGAACAGAATTGGTTACATGGCCAGCCTGACAGCTTGTTTTGCGACTTGGCATATCATGTCAGGCATTAGGTTTCACGTTGAAGTCAGAGAACAAGGCCTGGTGAGACGTCAGCGCCATGATCCCAAACACTGGCCTGCGTAGTGCGAGTTGCAGATGACGGAAAGAGGAAGGAGGGTCAGTAATGCAACTTTGTCGTCGTGGCCACTACGAGAGCAGCTTGGACATATGCTTGTCGTTCGTTGAATTGTATCATCATGAAGGCGGCAGTGAAAAGACAAAGGGACGCGCTTACCAGTTCATTCTATTCATCTCTTATCAATGCGGACATTGCGCGGAGACTACATCTGTTCGAACATGTCAGCGCCGATCGGAAGGGAATAAGCGAAAACAGGCTGCATTGTGCTCCAGAATCAGGTAAGGCATGAATGGTTAATAGAAGTTGTGTCGGCAGCGGCAAAACCGGATACGACTCGTCATCAAGATTCATCACGAGAAGCATGGGAGGAAGATGGGATGTGTCAACTTACCACGTCATCAAGTCTGGTTGCAGAACGCATGCAAAAGGGTGGACATGTCTACTGAGACGGACGTCAGCACTCTTTTCCTTCCTTAATGGAAGAGAAAATTAACAGCGATAACCCTGATCAGTGGACGAGGTTTTCTAGGCCTGTCACAAAGTGGCATATCGGCTCATGGGGTAGTCGGAGCCCAGTGCCATATCATCATGAAGAGGGGGCGAAGAGGAGATGGAAGAGCTTACCAGATACATTCACGCGAGTTGGGGCTGTGCTACCGAGCTGCAACAGCTCAAGGTCGAGCAGCCACCACCCGATGATCATCCCTACCATAGTGCAACTGATATCATGGCCTCAGCTCAGCTCCATGAAGGTTTCCCTGCCGGAGTAGATGATCAGCAAAAAGTCCCCGCCAATCATCAACAGCAGACGAGGGAGCGGAGCAAAGTGTTCAGAAAGCGGTGTGTTTTATCGCCATCGACCTGAGAGTCTCGGCCGGTAATTCCAATATAGCGTATGATATTTTAGGTGATTCATCATAAAGAGGGGTGGTGCAAGCAGAGAAGAGGAAAAAAGTAACTCACCAGGGAAAAGTCGGCGTGGCTGCCATGCTCGACACTCCCATCTCTAGGAGATAAGGACAGCGGTGGTTACCTGTGAGATGACTGTCAGATCTTGTGCTCGGGAGTGTGTTCGAGACGAGCAGAGGGTGCGTAGACGGTCGAATCAGACTGACGTAGCAATTGAAGTTTCAGTCCTCGGGAGAGGTCAAAGACTCTAGTTTGATTGCGGTTCTTGCGGTTTCATCAGGAGATGGGGGAAGGATGAAAGGACGACTTACCAGCTCAAGGCATGGGCTTGTTTGCATGGTGGCTCTGCATCCTGCGGCGGGAGGGAGTTGCGCGCAGATGAGGGATTGTAGTTGATTGAAATGTGTGAAAAGGAACTGAAGTTGAACTTGAGATTTTTGCTTGGCGAGCGCGAGTCAGGGTGCAAGCGTCGCTTATGTAAGGCGAACAACCGCTACAGCTCCGTGCTCTCAATAGATTGATATCATGTACAAAATTCTCGCAATACGATCCTCCAGTGCTTGCTGCCTGCTCTGCTTGACGCGCTTAGCAAGGGAAGTTGCACTGCACGACCGATTCTTCGTAAGGAAAATGGTCGTTATTGTACGAAAAGCAGTCGTTGGCCTGCGTGTAGCTGTGCCCATCATACTGGAACGAGATGCCTTCAATGTCGCTCAACCCGATGAAATTGGCGCCATAGCTAAGTTTTCGGGATTAGCAAGTGCTCGGTCTCAGTTCAAGGGGGTCGGGTAAAACATGTCTAGTGCTCTGGTCAATTGCGCGAGGTTGCCACTAGGGGTGGTATCGATCGCTGCGACTGATTTTATGGCAGCAGGACAAGTTCGCCCTAAAAATTGCTTACTACAAGGTAGGCCCATAGGTGGTGACGAATTGGGCCGAAAAACCTGGGCTGTCGTCCTGCAGTTGCCCGGAATAGAGGATGTTTTGGCAGCTTCCACCAACAATCGAAACACCGCCACCACTGACCGTGGTACCCATGATGCCGAGAGATGAAGCACTCGCTGCCGTGATGACAGCGCAAGTGTACTCGCCGGGGTCTCTACAGGGACCTGCTCGCTTCACCAGTGACTGGTCGTGTTAGCTTGGCAAACCCTGGCAAAGGAGTGTTCTCCAAGGGTCTGTGCTTACAGCGTCAGAGGTCGGGAGAGCCATGGCGACACCGGCCACGCCAAGAAGAAGGCTGAGGATGCTGGTAGACAACATGTTGGATGCTTTGCAAGCTTTGTCCGTGACTTGGGGTTTGGAAACGAGGAGTCTGTTTCGGTCGATATCTTTCTGCTGATGTTTTGTATTGCGCTGTGGCTCGCTGGACGATGGGGGCTGTTTGACCACATATTTATATGTCTCTACTCACAGATGATTCCTCGACTCCGACAAGGACCATGACGATCGTGATATCATCGCTGTAGGTGATCGAGTTTAGCAAGAACCTTGAGCAGCGCGATCGAATCGATGATCCTCGTTCCCGTTCATTCCGTAGAGAACAGACCTTTGCACAGCAAGCGGTAGGCGTCGGAATCACGGATGCTCATGGTATGAGAGGAGACATGGAACGATCTTCGTCCAAAGGACAGAACAGGCTAGAATGTTGTGCGATTGTGCAATGAGAGGAAGAATGGACTGGGCTTGAGTCTCACGGGGGAATGCCCGAAAGTAGCCTTATCGTATACGCTGCACGCGTTGGCGGCATGAGCGACACCAGTCTTGTCCGCCCTAGCGACGGGAAACCGTGATGAAATGACGTCGCAAGCGTGCTGCGACGGAGCAGCGGCACTTGGTCTCTGGTTCGAAGCGAGCTCTGCTTCGGATCGTCAGTCGTGTGGTCCTGCTCGTGCGCGATCACGTTGCAGGCTTGGATGATCGCCATCCTGTCGAACGGCTAGTGCAGCTCAGCTCCCCGTGCGGTGCACCGTATCGTGTAAAAATAGTAGCACTCGGGGGGGCGGGTCGGGCAGAACATCGCTCGTCATTCACCACATGCCATTTGAGTCCGGGGTCGAGCAATGGGAGCCATTCGCCGCCCATGCCGAGGCGTGCACAATCCCCATGGCAATGTTCTTGTCCACGAACGCCTGCATAAAGAAGCAATGTGCCGCCCCCGAACTGGTACGACGGAAGCAGGTGTTCCCGCGTGGGTTTGGGCAAGTGGAAGAGAGGTTGCCATATCGCGGGGCCATTCCGCTCGTAAAAGTTTGGCTCGCGAGGCCCACAGGACTATGAGCAGCTAGCATCCCATTCAAATCGAGTTGCAGGAGAAATCGCGCCCGCAATTGACCAGAGCGACGTTGACGCCATGAACGAGGATGTACGCGAGGTGCACAAGTGCTTACTTGCTTGCTATGATCCAACAGTACGACGCTGGAATGTCTGGGGTGCAGCGACAGGCGCGGAGACATGGGCGGGCTCGAGGGTAACGGGGGTACGATGACATCGTTGGTGTGGTTTGGCTAAGGTTGTCTAGAGTTAGACTGACTATTTTTGCTTCGCTCGTATAGCATTGAAGTTACCTGTAGGGCGCGCTGAAGCGTTGCTTGCATAAATCGTGACCTGCGTGTGCGTGTGGTTGCACGTGAGGTGGTGTTGCACGTGAAGGGGGAGATGTTCGGGGGAAGTCGGGGATGAAGAGTCGGAAGAAGTCGCGTGTCTGCCCCGCAGTCAGAGGTGGGATGGAAGGGCAAGGCTGCATCATTGCCAGCTCTTCCATTGTTCTGCTCCTTCGGCCTCGACGGAATTGCCGCGGCACTCGATCCATCTTACGGTCAAGGCAGCCGTATCGTCTATCCATTCGGCCATATCATTCTTCGAATACACACGCGATAGAGCATCTCCTGCGGCCATCTAATAACTGCTGTTGACATTGAAACCAAGCCTACTCCACTTTTGACGTCGTTCGCAAAGCCGACACAAAGCTTCCATAGTGCCGAGAACGTTCTTCCTCTCGACCTCTAACTTCTCTACTTTCTTCAACCCGTCTTGTATACAGCATTCTGCAATACCGCACACCACAGAACCCTCCAACAAATACAAGCAAGAATGGCAGGCAACGGGGACAACGATGCCGGGGCGGTGGGCAAGGAGAGCATCAATACCGAGATCATGACCCTCACCCGCTTCCTGACAGAAGAGCAAACCAAGCACAAGGAAGCCACCGGCGACTTCACGTATGTCCCACCACCCCATCTCCTCCCTCCCCCTCTACATCTCTCCTAACACTCCCCCTCGCGCCCTGCAGCCTCCTCACCCACGCCCTCCAATTCGCCTTCAAGTCCATCGCCTACTACATCCGACGAGCCTCGCTCATCAACCTCGGCGGCCTCGCCGGCTCCTCCAACACCACCGGCGACGACCAAAAGAAGCTCGACGTCATCGGCAACGACGTCTTCCTCGCCGCCATGCGCTCCTCCGGCCGCGTGCGCCTGCTCGTCTCCGAGGAAGAGGAGGACATCATCACCTTCGACACCAACCCCGACGCCCACTACGCCGTCTGCTGCGACCCCATCGACGGCAGCAGCAACCTCGACGCCGGCGTGTCGGTCGGCACCATTTTCGGCATCTACCGCCTCAAGGATGGCTCCAAGGGCACGAAAGAGGATGTGCTGCGGCCGGGGAGTGATCTTGTTGCTGCGGGCTTCACCATGTACGGTGCCTCGGCGCAGCTGGTGTTTACGATGAAGGGCGGCGGGGTGAATGGCTTCACCATGGACAATGGGCTGGGCGAGTTCATCCTCACCCACCCGGACATGCAGATGCCGAAGAAGCGCGGCATCTACAGCACGAACGAGGGCAACAGCAAGTACTGGCCCGAGCCCGTGCTCGAGTGGTGTCGCGAAATCAAGAATGCGGACAAGCCGTACAGCTCGAGATATATCGGGTCCATGGTGGCCGACGCCTACCGAACGCTGCTGTACGGTGGCATCTTCGCCTATCCCGCGGACAAGAAGAGCCCCAAGGGCAAGCTGAGGATTTTGTACGAGTGTGGGCCTATGGCGATGGTGTTTGAGAATGGTGAGTGACCCATTACCCTCATTGTGTTGTGTGTGCTAACACTTTTTCACAGCCGGCGGCCAAGCCGTGGACAGCAATATGAACCGGATGGTCGAGGTGGTGCCGGAGAACATCCACGACCGCAGCGGCATCTTCCTGGGCAGCTACGACGAGGTTCAGAAGGTGATTGACATTCACAAGAAGCACGGCATCACGGGCACGGCGACGAAGTAGACCCCCATCTCTCTCTGCACATTAGCTTTCAGTTCCGTGTATCTAGCATGAAAGTCGGCAAATTGTAAGACACTTGGAGTGCCACCAAGCATCGTACTCTCACTTCTTCTCCGCCAGCTGCCGCTTCAAGCCCTGAACCTCCGCCGACAAGGCCTCACACTTCTCGCGCAGCTCCTTCAAAGCGTCCCCATTCGCCAGCAGAACCTTGCCCTCCTTGGCCCGCACACGCTGCTTCCCGGAGAGCTTATGGTTGCCACTCTTCTCATACCAAGCCACACCCTTACGCGGACACACGTTGCAAGGATGCGTGACTTGCTGACACCTGGCCGCGAGAAGGTCAGCTCTCAGCAAACGCGAGGCTGAGATTGCGAAAAGCCCGCACTAACCATTGACATTTCGCCATGCATTTGTACCATTTGTGGTCTGCGCTGTTGCATGTAAAGCACATGCCGTTTCGTTTGGCTTTTTGACGCTTGCTTTTCGACTGCTTCGGCGGTTTGGGAGGATCTTCGGCGGCGTTGGATGAGGCGTCAAGAGGGCGTTTTGGTTGGCTTTTGCTGCTGCTGGTGTCTTGCGAGGTATGAGTCTGAGGGTTGGCCGGGAGGGAGGCAGTGGGTACAGTCGTGGCGTCGTTTCCTCCCTGCGCCTTGGAGATGCTTTGGGTGGTGGCCGAAGGAGCAGCGGCGTCTGCTGGTACCTCTTGCTTGACGGCGGATGTCATTGTGACGAGAGTGCGAGGCTCCTGGAGTGTGGTGTCCGGATTGTGCGCTCCAGTCAATCGTGCGAGGGAGAAGGGAGGAAGATGAGAGACTTTGGTAAATTCGACTTACACACCACCTCGCTCCTTCCTCAACTCGACATCCCAACACGTCATCTCCCTTCCCTTCACCACTTACAGCCAACTCCAAAGGCAAGAGCAACCCAAGCCTACCCTCACCACACCACCGCCTCATCAAAATACTCCACCGGCGGCCCCGCCTCACCCAAAAGCCACACAACAGCCTGCCGACAAGCATGCGACATCTTGGGAGGAGCACAGCTCACAATCGCTAACTTCGTCAAGCACTCACTCCTCGTGGACGTCATGACTTCGTTCAAATCCGGCCGACCACTGCGCAGCTCATACGGCCGACGTTCAGACGCTCAGTCCACAATACGTTACCGTGATGGCGGGCAAGGTTGCAGCAGGAACCAGGCCAAGCAAGCACGGCATCGTTCGATGCATCTGGTAGCATAAGTCCGGCTGGTCTCTGTCAATACTTCCAGCCTATTCCCCAACATGCAAGACCTCGAATGAGCCTTCGAAGCACTTCGGTCTGGAAGCTCGCATGCCTCTGTTGGGCTGAGGGGAGTTGGCCTCCTTCTCAAAAGTCGACATTGATGACCAGACGCGCCAGGACACTTGGTGTAGGAGAGCTTTTCGTGCCTTGCTCAGAACCGCTAAGACGATCTCCTCCAACACTTCGGCAGCGGCGCAAAATAGGGGCCGATCTCTGTCAGCCGGCGGATCCAGAGGACCGGTCCAGGTACATGCACATCAACGCGCAGCCTGTGATGATGTGCTGTCCGATACCGGTCTGTCTGTATGAGTAAGAAAACCACAATGGGAAGGAGAGTATTTCCAAAGAAGGGTGAAAATGCAACGACTACCTTCCATTGCGATCGGATGGTGAGATGTCCGTCTCCGCTCACTTTGCTGCTCATGCAGTGAGCACACCCGCTCTCTTCGAGTATGGTACCGGCAGAGTTCCGAGTGGGAGCATGTCCGTCATCGTAAGCAGCCAGCCCGTGGTGGTCTCAAGGCAGGCGCAACGTCAATCGCGACTTGATGCTGACGGCAGTCGAGAAGTTTCACAGCGGCCTCGCTTTTGTCGTAGAGGGAGGAGTCAATTCGCTACTTGCTGTGTCGTAAAGTGAAGTGCAAACTGTTTCGTCATACAAAACACAGTGGCAGGCGGCGCGACATCCTCCGACCCTCCGCGGGCGGATATGTCGGGGACAGCGGGAGGGCAGAAGGCATTGGAGACAAGACGGAGATTGGCTCGCTTATCGTCATCCTGGTTGGGGCATTGTTTACAAAGACGATGGAGACCCTGAGCGAGGTCGCAAAGCCGCATTAACTCCAGCGAACCCCCGAACAATGATGACGCAATCCACGTGCTCCGATCGCCGACGTCCACTCCACGTCCACACTTTATCTTGACGCAAACCCCATTGCCACACCCTCAGCTACGCGGCCCCGAAAACTGCTCCGAAACTGGAAGAAGCCGTGGCCAGGATGTGATTCCTATACATACCTGGATTATACCTCCCTCTCCCAGCGTCTGATCTATTGCCCATCCGCACCGCCCCAACCTGTCATGTTCGCTGCCCACCATGCCGCTCCTCAGCAGCAAACTGCCCAACTACTCTGGCGAGTACGGAGTCGGCGTCGTCGACATCGAAGTGCCCATTGAGAAGCGCATCGTCGCCAACGCCGTCTTCCAGGACACTGGCAAGCCGGCGTTCGAACTTGAGACCTTGCTCTTCTCCCTGTACTACCCGGCGGCCAAGGGCGACGAAAAGCCGCGGAAGCACCACAAATGGGTGGCGAATATTCCACAGCACGGCGAGGGGTACGCTCGCGTTGCCAATATTGACCATCTGCCTGGTGTGACGAGGTTTTTTACGTGGGCGCTTTGGTCGCTCGTTGGCAGCACGACCATTCCCGCTGATGTCGATGCGCCGCTGCATGGTTCGACCAGTGCTGGAGGCCCTCAGGCGCAGCAGAAATTCCCAGTCATTATTCTGAGCCACGGAACGGTGTCGAACCGCACAAGCTACACGGCCTGGTGTGGCGAGTTGGCTTCGCGAGGCTATCTTGTCGCCGCGGTAGAGCATCGAGATGGAAGCGGACCGGGCACGGAGGTACTCCGAGAGGACGGCACGAAGCGCGACATTTTCTTCGTCAACCGCAGCATGCTCCAGCCCGAGCCAGAGACCGACGACGAATTCAAAGCGATGCAGCTTGCCTTTCGACAAGCGGAGGTCGAGGAAACCGTGCGCATCCTCAAACTGATCAACGCCGGCGCTGGAGACGAAATCTGCCAGAAGAATTTGAGGAAGGAGGGCAAGGAGTTGGCTGGCTTCGAAGGGAGGCTGAACGAGGAACGCTTCGTCGTCGCTGGCCATTCCTACGGAGCCACTTTGGCTCTGCAAGCACTCAAGGGGTGTCCGTCGGAAGAACGACCTTTCGTCGCCGGCATAGCACTCGATCCGGGCAAGAGCTCTGGACCTCTGAACGACGATATCGCCGTCCCGCTCCTGGTTCTTCACTCGCAATCGTGGTCGTCCAAATTCAGCATCTTCATGGGCCGACCTCACTTCGAAGTCGTGCAGGACTTGGTGCGAAAGGTGCTGCGTAAGGAGAAGGACAAACCAGGTCAGCCGGCTTGGTTCCTCACATCCAAAGGCACCACGCATCCGTCCGTCACCGACGCACCACTCATCGAGCCTTTCCTCCTCGCATGGACGACGTGGTCATCAATTGACGCTCGCGAAGGCGTGTTGCAGTACGTCATGGTATGCAACGAATTCATGCATTTCCTCCAAGACGGCCGCCGCGAAGGCGTGCTGGCGGAAGACGAAACGCACGCGGGCTATGACGAAGACATCCGGAGCGAAGAGAGGAAGGCGAAGATGTGTCGTTCGATTTCCAAGTACTGGCAGATTCACATTAGTCCCCCGAGGGCGGATGCGGGCGCCACGGTGCAACATGTCGAGTCGGTGGGCTCTACGTGAGTGCGAGGCACGCCGAAGGAGGGGTGACAGGAAAGTGGGTAGAGGTGCGGGTATGCACCATGACTGGCGCTTGGGATGTATCTCTAGGGTTTGGTGCGGGATGGGTACGAATGACGAGGGACGATCTAAGGCGGGATTTGCGTGGAGTTCTAGCGATGCTTCTAGACGTATTCGGGATGTCTTAGCTTCGATTGTTGTATTCTACTGTACAATGTTCCGTTGTTTGAGCTTTTCAGTATGGCATCAATCACTGTGAGTTTCAAGGCCGAAATAGTGACAGCTTTCCCATTCGCGGCCGACGTTCAAACTTGTCGATGGCAAGTGGGATTCCGGATAAGGAATCGACACTAAATTAAGAGTCACAAACTCCAGCACTCAAATGTTCTCGTGAACATCAATCCGATCGCATTTCATACACCACTGCCGGCATGGCGTATGAGTTCAATGTGAAGCGCGAATGGCGCCGCCAAACATCCGACGGCGAGTACGTGATTCTAACAGACCCGACGAGTATCAACCTCAAATTCGTGAACGAGGCATTCGCAACGGACGACATGGTGAGGCAGTCTCCTCTACCATCTCGCGGAGGAGCCATTGCTAATGACATGCACAGTTCTGGGCAAAAGTCCTACCAGAAGAGCAGATTCGAACGATGCTCGCCAACTCTTTCACCTTGGGCCTCTACAAAGTGCTCCCCGCCGTGCCCGCGGCCCAGAGTTCGGACTCGCCTTCTTCACCTCGAACTCCATCCCCAACAACCGAGGCACAGCCGGCAGAGCAATTACAGCAAGTAGGCCTGGCGCGCTACGTGACCGACTACATCACCTGGGCCTACCTCACGGACGTCTACGTGCACCACGAGCACCGAGGGACGGGGCTGGGCAAGTGGCTGATTGCGTGCTGCAACGAGATTCTCGGCGAGATTCCGAGTTTGCGGCGAGCACTGCTGCTCACGACCGTGGATGTGGGTAGGCGCTTTTACTCGCGGGAAATGGGCTTTCACGATGTGCTGGAGGAGCGGGAGCATTTGGCTTGCATGACGCGGAAGACGTATAGGATGGATGGGAAGTGAGCGCGGGTCGTCTTGAAGCATGCCTTGCTGCCCTGGAGAGCGGTAGATGTCATCTTGAATCGTCTCGAATTCACGCGTCATCCGAACGGACCACAGTCCGGATCTCGTTGTCGTAATCGCGGCAGGCACAAACCCAAACGGGGCACGTCGTGGCTGGCGAATCGCAAGGGATGACGCGGAAAGCGTGTCTGGCTGGGGCAAAAAACTAGACGAGCAGCCTCGCACGACCCACCATCCCCGGGGATTCGGCGGCTCGCGGTTGTCGCGGGTGGATTTATTAGCCTTCAACCAGCCTCCTTTCACGATATTACGTTCTCCCCAGGCTTAATCTGCTACGAGGCCACAGCCATGGAGAGCAGTTGGTCCATTCCGTATCGCACCGCTTCGCTCGTCCCCTTCTGGGGCCCGCAGACTTCTGCCGTCAAGTAAGCGTGGTGCGAGGTTTAATAGGCGGTACAGAGGGCTGACACGATCTCACTATAGCTTCTGTGAAGAGGTGAGCTCGATGTCATACTCCCCTGCAAGACATATGTATGCTGACACATTCTGCCAGGACTACATCATTACCCACTATGTCGCCGAATTCTTCAACACCCTCACCAGTCTGGCCTACAGTGCGCGCCATCCCTCTCCTCCATGGAACTGTCTTCCTACTAACACCATCCCACAGTTGGCTACGGAATCCACGGAATCAACCGACTGAGACGCCGTGATGTCGGGCCCTTCTCCGCCGTCAACCTCCCTTACTGGGGCCTCATCGGAGTTGGCATTTTCTCCGGCCTGTACCATTCCACCATGAAGTACCACACGCAAATGGGTACGCCTCGACCTCACCAAGCAAGACCCCAAAGAACCTCCATCAGCTGACTCCCACAGCGGACGAAATGTCCATGCACCTAGCAATGGGCTGCGTCCTAATCCAACTCTTCACCTTCCAACAACCACCCCACCTCGCCCGGCGCAACGCAGCCATAATCGTGATAGGCCTCGCGTCCTTCGTAACCTACCACTGCCTCACAGACGAATTCGTCCTGCACGTCATCCTCTTCTTCAGCCTGTCCGTGCTCGTAGGCCAAAAGACGCGCGCCATCATCCGCTCGACTGTCAAATCGCAAGCCCACCGGGACGCCATGTCGTCTCTCGCGACCGTGGCGACGTGCACGGCACTTTTCGCCTACGGCCTCTGGAACATTGATGTCAATTTTTGCCCTACGCTTACGCGGTGGAAGCGGCAGGTGGGCATGCCGCTGGGTGTGGTGTTGGAGTTGCATGGCTGGTGGCATATCCTGACGGCGATTGCGAGTTATATTTTCATGGCGCTGGTGGAGTTTTTGACTTATGCGCAGCATGAGGGGACGCATGGGGTTGGGTTTGCGTGGCCTGCGAAGAAGGTTTTGGCGGGCCTTGTGGCGAAGGAGGATGAAGGGGTGAATGGCAAGGCGGGGAACGGAAGTCTGAATGGGCATGCGAGCAAGACGAAGAGCACTTGACAGAGTGCGGTGAGCGAATTGAAGATAGAGAATATGCTTGGCTAGACTCGTATAAGGTAGACATTAGATATATCAAAGGGAATGCTCGCTGAAACTTCGACATGACAGTCTGATCTCCTGACTTCCGTCGCCGTCAATCATAGTTGCTTCTCCGTATGCTCATTGCGACTCTCGACTTTCTCCGTGAGCGAACTCCCATCGCTCAGCGTCTCATCGAACACATCCACTTCCGTCGAGGCAAACTTGCGCGCCGACACCTTGCGTTCGAAGAGGAGATCCAGTTCGGCAAAGGTCCTGCCGCGTGGCTGAAACATGTCTGTCAGTATGTATTCTTCACAAAAAGCGAAGACGACTCACTTCGGGTACTCGGAAGTACGAGTAGATAATGCAGCAGAAGCAAAGCCCACACCAGAAAAAGCCGGTGTAGTTCGACCAATCCCAAGCACCAGGATTAAGCATATAAGGCGTCAAAACCGACGTAATAATGCCCACAACAATATAACACATCCGTCCCAGCACCACAGTCTTAATCTGCAAGCGCCGAGTCGACAGCTCCGCCACAAGCGAATAAGCAACACTGCCAACAGTGATTTGGTAGATGAAAGCCCACACAATCATCAGACTGCCCGTCGCCAGACCGGCTTGCTTTTTGTCGGACACCAAGCCGAGGAAGCCGATGACAAAGAGCATGGTGAAGAGGCCGCAGAGCCCGGCGATCCAGATTTTGCGCCGCCCGAAGTAGGTCATGAGTATCCAGGCGCCGAAGACGCCGACGATGTTGAGGGCGTATTGGCCCATGGCGAAGTCGTAGCTCGTGCTGGCTGGTAGGCCGGCTTGCTCTCTGGGACTATTCGTCAGCAATCGTATATGTAATCGGCATTGGACAGGACTACTCACAAGAAGTAGGTGCTGTAGTTGGAGAATGCGTTGCCGCTCAGGTTCTGGTCAAGTCAGCTTCTCCCTCGATCGATAGTGTCCGGCGGTTCAAACGTACCTGCATAGCCCAGACGGCGCACACAATCTCAGTCCTGCGCAGATCCGAGCCCTTGAAGCAATCCAAGTAGCCGGCGCCAGCGGTGATTTTCTCCTCGAGAGCGGTCGTGTGCTTCATCATGTCAATCGTTTCGTCGACGTCGAAGTTGGTCTCCCGGTTGTTCGATGTGATTCGGCGCAGGGCTTTCCTGGCCTCTTCGATCTTTCCTTTACGGACGAGCCACCTGTAGAAGTCAGGATGTGGATGATGGCGGCGGATTGGTGAAGACATAGGCTTACCAAGGTGACTCGGGTGCGAGCCAGATGCCGACAATCAACCATGGAGGCCACATCCACTGAGAAGGAAGATAAGTATGTTTACAGTAAGAGGGCGTGGACGGCGCATAGATACCTGAAGCGCGAATGGAATCCGATATGACCATTGGGTGTTGTTGTTCAGGAAGGACTTGAGAACACCAATGCCGATGAGCTGTCCCCAGCCCCAGCAAATGTTGACGTAAGTAGTCAAATATCCACGTAGAGCCACAGGGCAGACCTCACTGGCATATGTGATGGTCAAAGTCTGGAAGATACCCTGAAATAGGGTCAGCATAGATAGATCAGGGGACCAGTTTCGGTGTTCCTTACCCATGGAACGCCACAAAGGATTTCAGCGGCGAGTAGAGCATTCACGCTCTGCGCGGTGAAGAAGATGGCGGTGAACCCGGTGATCGCCACGAGACACGCGATGACAGTCTAGAGGGGCGTCAACACAAACTATCTCATCAAGGTCCAGGTTCAACAGACTCACGTAGCGGTATCCGAATCGCTCAGAGACGTATCCGTTGATCAGCAACCCGAAGAATTCGCCGACGTTGGCACCATTGGAGATACCAGCTTGCCACGGAGCGGGGACTTGGTAGGAGCCATCCTTGATCAAGCGGCCGTATTTTCTGTTGACTGGAGGTCTAAGTCAGCCTGGTAGCGCTAGATGATAGAGGGGAAGACACGCGATCCGCGAGCTCATGTGTACGCTAAATCCACCCCGGTGGAATCTTTTTATGCGCAAAACATGTCCCAGGATGTTGTCGATAGCATTTTCGGACGGTAGAACGCTCCAATAACGTACACATCGGGAAGCCGTAGAAATTATTGATCAAAGAAACATCATATCCTTCCATGGCAATGCAGGTGGAGATGATGACCGAAAAAATGATGGCCTTTGGGTACAAACGAATGCCCTGGAGCAGCGTCATCTTGTGCTCCTTGTCCGTAGCCGCTTTGGCACCAGCAATCGTCTGTCTGAACGATTCGGAGTGCTGTAGTTCATCCTCGACGGGGAAATGGAGCGGACCTCCGTGTTGTTGCTCCACGACGTCTTTCGCAGGGTTGCCCGTTGCGTTGCCGGCATTCGCGACGGAGCCCTGTCGAGACATCGTGCGAAGGTCGGAAGGATGAAGAAAATGGTGGCAACGGGATGATGTTCGCGACAGGGTAAACAAATTAATTTTTCGAAGCCTCGAATCTGGATTAAATCTCGCTCCGGACGGAGAAATTGTGGACACGCGCACGCGACACCCCGCACCGTCTTTCCGCCGCGACTTGCCACATCACACCAATGAGGTTCGCCGCCGCCCAGGCTGCATGTCGCATATGCAGCTACGAGGCGTCTAGATGGTATGGAACCGGTAATGAAAGGCGTTTGAACCGGCAATTACCTTATCCCCAATTACGGCAATCGTGATACGCTAGCTGTGGTCTGGTTTCCAAACAGCATGCGGGTACGTACCAAATGGAAAAGGCGGTGCATGGACTCGGGAAACGGCGCAACCAGATCGTGAGTCTCGAACACGGCATTGGAGGGCGTTGCGACTTTGGGGCATCGCTCCAGCGATGTGTCGAAACCAGTATATTGCTGCGTCGGTCCTCGCTGTGCACACTCGAGCATCCAGATTCACGACGGTCCCGATGTCTGCGCAGATCGCACCGCAATGGAGCGTTGGTTGGATGGCCGGGCTGACGTGATAACCGAGATACCTGGTGGTTGAATATCGTGTACGCTGTCATGTCGAGGAGTGGGTAGCAACCTACCCGATGAAAAAGATGTCGTTGAAGGGCAAGGCTGTGTCTCACTCTAGCGCAAATCGATGCACAACTGAGGCTGTCTTCTATACCGCTGCGTCTCCCGGGAGTCTCGATTGAGCAGATACTACGCCGTGCGGTCGCGTTGCCACGGGTAGCTTTGATGGTGGACGACGTTGTCGACGGAGTAGTTTGGCGCACTTGAAATGGGGAAGCGCAGAATGAGTAGAAAAGAGGCGGGCTGAAGTGGCCAATCCAAAGGGCAGAATCACCGCAACAATACTTTGTAGGCATGATTTTGAGTAATCCTTTGTCATTGCTTCGTGAATGGTGGAGAGGTAATCGCTGCAACGTTTACGTGAGCGACGAGCTGGCGAGCTTCACATCCAACGACGCACACTGCAACCTCTCCTCCACCGTCTCAACCCGACATGGCCGACGACAAAGCTCCCAAAGACTACGGAATCGGCGGCAGCGGCAGCGCGGACGGAGGCTATCCTCAGTGCCTCCTCCGACGCAAACCCGGCCTCTCAGTGCAGGCATTCCAAGCCGGATGGCTCGAACACGCACGCTTCGGCATGCCATGGGCGGCCGATTGCGGCATGACCCACTACGTGCAAATCGTCAATCCGACCGTCGCTAATCCAGCAGCAATGCCTGCGGGCGTTGCCATCGAGGACTTCGACGCCGTTGCAGAGATCCGCATTCCCAGCGAAGCGCCGGGCAGCGAAGCCGACAAAGCCATTCGAGGCGCGTACTTTGAACAATGCATCATCCCCGACGAGTGCAGGTACTTTGCGGGACCTAATCGAGACCTTGCCGTTTGGATTCCGCCTGGTACGGCGACGGGGAAGAGGATTGAAGTCATGGTAGATGGGGAATGGGTCAAAGATGCCCATGGCAAGCCTGTGATCGACCTCGAGCAGTCGACCAAGGATTACGAAGATTGGAAGAAGAAATATCGCGCCGAACATAAACTGTAGATGCAGCTACAGTATACACCTTACCATGTAGGCACAGAATGTTTAAGGGTGCAAGACAAGAATGAAGGCGTCAAGAGAGAAGGGTTAGGGTTATTGGGCACGGTGGTTGTTTTTCGGCCATACTTTGATCCGAGACCCTTGTTTTTCCGTTTTCGATATATCAAATGAAGTGCTCCTTCTCCACATCCACACGAACCATCTCGAAATACATGAATGCACTTACCGATGCTACTGTCCAGAGTCGATCAGTGGCCTCTTCTAATCTCGGCCTACACGGATACAGTGCTCGCCGCCATCAACACGAACGCCACGCGCAAGATCATCACCTCAACACCCCAATCACCATGGCAAACAGCACCTCACCCCCATCAAAAGTAGAGCTCAACGGCCACACCGCCCTAAACTCCCAAAAGCAAAATGAAATCACCGCCGCCCTGCTCCAAAACGGCGGCTTCCGCCGCATCCAGGCCACCCTGCAGCAACGCCTCGACGCCGCCGGCTGGACGCAGGACCTGAAGGAGTACACGACGCAACTCCTGCGCAGCGGCACGGCCAAAACTTACGACGACGTGCTGGATATCGTGATGAAGAATATCAACTCCGAGCAGGATGTGGAGAATCCGGGAGGGATTGCTGCGCCGAATTTGAGGGTGCCGAATGCGGCGAAGATTGATGGGTCGGAGGCGGTGAAGAAGGAGTTGAGGCTGGTTGGGGTGGCGAAGAAGTAACCCTCTTGCTTGGGAGGATGAAGCTACTGCTATTGGACTTTGGTATTACGCACTTTGCTCACGGAGACTTCTTGGACTAGAGCGAAGGGCGAACATGACGGCCACCCTAAGCCACGCCTTTCATGCACCCGCTGCGATGAGCGCTCAGTGTGGTGTGAGAACTCCGGACGCGGGATGGCGTGCGTGCAGTGCGAAAAGTACGGCGAGATTTGCAGCCTGGCTGTGCGCGAAGGTCGCCGTCGAAAGAGGGCTTGAGTGTGAAGCTTCAAGCGTATGCATTGGGAGCAGCGACTCACAGAAGAGGGTCAACAATCCCCTCTGAAGGGAAGGCTGTCTGCGATTGGATCTGGATGGGAGGTGGCAGAGATGGTACCCGCGATTGGCAGAGGGTAAAACAGTTTCAGCAGCGATTTCGCGAAGCTGGACCTATGGGAAGCCGTTGGAAATTGATTGACTGTACTTCTACTCTATCTTCTTCGCGACAGTATACGGAGGCCCTGCTACAAGCCTCGTGAATACCCGAAACAGCAATTCCAATGCTGGTCTGCGCCACGAGGTACCTCTACCCTCGGCCGGAGGTCCGTTGCTCAGCCGCGGCAATCCAGACAAGCTCGACCTCCGCATCGTCAACGACAACTCCATTATACATCCCAGCAACACTCTCTTTTATTCCAACAACAGCAGAAAGCAGAAAACCAAAAAGGCCGTCAAAATGAAAGCAATCCAACTCAAAAAACTAGTCACAGGCCCAGACGGCCTAACCATCTCCAATCTCCCCGACCTCAAACCGTCCCCAGACAAATACCTCATCAAAATCCACGCAGCGGCCACCAACTTCTTCGACGTGCTCCAAATCCAAGGCAAGCACCAGCAGAAACCCGACTTCCCATGGATCGCGGGCAACGAAATGGCGGGCGAGGTGTTGGCGCAGCCGACGGCGCTGAAGACGACGCCCAAGTTTAAAGTGGGGGATCGCGTGTTTGGCGCTACGCTGGGGACGTTCGCCACGCAGGTTCATGTGGAGGAGGAGGGGTTGCGACCCATGCCGAAGGATTGGTCGTTTGCGCAGGCGAGTGGGCTGTTTTATACGGCGCCGACGGCCTATGCGGCGTTGATTTTGCGCGCGAGGGCGAAGAAAGGTATGGAGGGATGAATGGTGGTTGTTCACTTACTCGGAAACTAACACGTTGGTAGGCGACTACGTCCTCGTGCACGGCTCCGCAGGTGCTCTCGGACTCGCCGCGATTCAGATTTCGAAAGGACTAGGCATGCACGTGATCGCGACTGTCAACTCTGCCGAGAAAGGCGAGGTAGCGAAGAAGTTCGGAGCAGATCACGTCGTCGACAGCACGAAAGAATGGGAGAAGGAAGTAGCAGCACTCACGCCCAACAAGCGCGGCGTGGACGTCGTGCTGGACCCGCTGGGCGTCATTCAGCGCTCGCTAAAGTGCACGCGCTGGGACGGGCGATTGGTTGTGATTGGTTTCGCCGCCGGAGAGATTGAGAAGATCCCGACGAATCGGTATCTGCTGAAGAACGTGAGTGTGTCGGGTTTGTTCTGGGGCATGTATGCAACCATGGACCCGGAGTCGGTGGTGACGGTTTGGGATGCGCTGTTGGATTTGATTGCGCAGGGCAAGGTGAAGCCGATGATCTATACGGACAAGAAGTTTACGGGACTGGAGGATATGCCGGCCGCGTTGAAGTTGCTGGCGAGTGGTGAGGCGTGGGGGAAGATTGTGGTGGAGATTCCGCAGGGCAAGGACTCGAAGCTGTGAGGTGGTTATGGCTGTGTCCCGACTCATGAGTGTGTATTCGATTGTACTCTACTTAGCACGGCCAATAATCGGTGGACCGTTTCAATTCAAAATCGGCGCAAGGCTCGTCGTTGAGACTCATGATCTGTTGCATCGACTCCACTCTTGAACGCTGACTCATCAGTTCCGGCGTCGACTTTCAACGTCTCCCAAAAGTTCGCGCTCTCCACCACCGCCTCTCTCCACTCAACACACTCAACCACTCCCAATCCCCTCACCATGGCAGACAATATCTACGATGAGATAGAAATTGAAGTAAGCCTTCTCTTCCCTCACACCCCCAACCACCTATCAAACCCCTCTCCTAACCAACCCCAGGACATGACCTACGACTCCACCCTCCAAATCTACCACTATCCCTGCCCCTGCGGCGACCGCTTTGAAATCAACATCGACGACCTACGAGACGGAGAGGAAATCGCCGTCTGCCCGAGCTGTAGTTTGCAAATTCGTGTGATCTTCGACAAGGATGATCTTCCGAAGCCGGATGGGGAGGGGGCGAGTCAGATGGGGGCGCCGGTGCAGCAGGTTGTGGCGGCTGGTGTGTGAAGGATGGATGGGAGAGATAGGTGAACATCAAGAATGTGGCTGAGAGACAGGCCAGAGATGCCTTGTGGTCCGAAAAACTTCGCCGAAGACCACAAGCTGGCCCTGTGTGCTCTTCTGTCGCGACCAGGGACGTGAGTGGAGGACGACACGCCTCGAATGGCAACCGAGAGAGCTGGCGATCCTGCTTGTCGCACGGAAACAGTGCCGAGTCAAGCCCGGCTAAGATCAAAACACAAGGAGGGGGACCGGGCCAAGTGCCCACAGACGCAGAGGGTGTATACACTGAAGGCTGGTCCGAGAAGAGATGCCATATGACGAACGTAATGCCACCAGCTACTTGTGAAGCATCACCTCTCGCCGAGTACGCTCACTCCACTGGCACTCCTCTTGTCCCATCAACAACCGCCCACCTCTTCCTCTTCACTCCGTCAAATCCCGACTTTGCTTCATACTCTCCTCATGCCCATGCAAATCAATCACAATGCCCAGTTCACTGCTCAACAGATCCGTCAAGCTGCTCCCATCCCTTATGTACACCCAATCGCCCGTCCCCCCGCCCTCCTTCTGATGCATGCTCTCCCCCGACACCACCCAATCGTATCGCTTCGGGCCGGACGTCGGCGAGGAGATCCAGATTTGTTTGTTCGGGGGCTGCTTATTGATGATATAGGTGCCTTGCGGGGGCATGTTGATTGAGAGGACGCCGGCCTGGTGCGATGTGTGTTAGCTAGGTAGCAATACCGGGGTGACCTGGTGAGGGCATGGAAACGCACACTGTACTCCACATCCACATCCTCGCGCGCCTCTTGCAGCGCTTCCGCCTTCTCGTGCACCGCCTCCATGTACTCGTCCGCAAGCGTGTGGTACTCTTCATCCCCAAGCTCGGTGGGTTGCTGGATGACTGTGCCTTCGTGCTGCTCGGGATTCGGGGGTGGCGGGTCGGCGGACTCGGGCGTCAGGCGGGCGGTGCGAAAGAGGGAATATGACAAATATCGTTGGAGAGGTGGTGTTCGGACGGCGAGGAAAGGTGCTCTGTGGTTGCTTCGCAGCTGGCCGACTACTCGTGCTCTTGCGGTGGAGGCTGACTGTCGGGTGGCTCGGCTCAGCGCTCTAGTGGCCATTGGAGCCGACATGTTGGCACTGTTCGAGCGTCTTACTAATTCAATAAGGCGGAGGCGAGCGGCGAGGTGAGGAGCACTCGGCGAAAGTAAGGTGAAGAGACAAGTTTGTCGTGATACAAGGTGCTGGCCGATGACATTCGCGGAGAAGCTTGGACCCCGCGAAGCCTGGGTGCGACTCGGCTTCGCTCACGCACTTCCTCCTTCATCCATTAACGACATTCGTCCATCAATCGTCGTGCTCGATTTGAAGAAGACGGTATGCAGCGAGTTCTATTCGCTCCGGACGGGATGAGCGGCGACGAGAGCATCACCCATTCTTTGGTGTACGGATCACGACTATCATTATTCAGACTAGAGAGCCCTGATCAACCGATACTAAGCCCACCATCTCGTGCGCCAGCAGTCTCTTGCAAGAGACATCCCTCTTACCCTCACTCCCCTGGTCCAGCCCAGAACTCCGTCTTCCCACACGAACTCGCCCCTACTCAACGCGCAGGAAGCACCTCGAGCTTACCAGAAAGTGCTCCACTCAGACAGTGACGATGTACGGATCAATCGGGTTATACGCGCTATTCATGTCACAGACACCCGGCGGGCCCGCGGGGCCGATTTGGATGTCGGATGCGAAGTCGTCGTCGCAGCCGTAGAACTGGCTGCCACCATTCCCCGTGCACGTCAGTGGGCACGTTCCATCGGCGTTCTGGACAACGGAGCACGAGATGGCCGTCGCTCCTTGGGTTGCTGCATCCGATGGCTGGAGGCCGTACAGACTGTCTGCCTGAGCACCGCTGAACAGAGCATTAGGGTCGGTGTAGATACCGTCCCCCGCTGCGGCCGCCGCGTCACCTAAATCGGCATTCGTGCTCACAACGGTGAGGGCACCGGTGAGGCCGCCATTCGTGAAATTGAATGTCGACAAAAGCGATGATTTGAAGACTTCCGTGTCTTCGACCGCGAAGCCCGACTCTTCCGTATTGGCGTCGATGATGAAGAACGTGCCGGCAGAAAGGACGGTAGTGGTGGCGGTAGCGGTGGTGGTCGAGGTGATTGTCGTCGCTGCAACCTGCAGAATGGCGTTCTTGTCAGCTCTACGCAGTTGCAACCCACGCCCTTCTTGGAGCAACACTTACGATGCTTGTGGACTGGACCGTAGACACGCTAGTCACCGTCAACGTGGTTGTCGTCGTGCCCCAAGCCGTGGTCACAGTCTTGGTATGCCAGCAATGAGGCTTATTGGGGACGTCGCGTTTCGAGGCAGTAAAAGCTGGACTGGTGCAAGAGAGAGTCGACGTCGGGATAGAAGTGGTTGTGGTTGTAGAGGTGGCGGTTCCCGAAGAAACAGTGGAAATGTGGGTTATTGTTGACGGGTATGTGGTCGAGGTTACCGTCTTTGTGGCCTTCCACTTGTGCCGCGTCACAGTGCAACAGTCAGTTCCGCCTGGAATAGCAGCGACGCCGACGACAGTCGCCAGAAAGGCAGCAAGGAAGGCTGAAGGTCGCATGTTCGAGGACACAAGGTGAAGTGCTGCGTACGGTGAGGATGGAAAACAAGCAGAGCGGTCTGCCCTCCTCCCACGGCGAACCGCATGGTATCTATACCTATGGTCACGTAAGTTGTCTAGCCTCCGCGGCGCGTTAACAAGATGCAGCACGTTCCAGCGATCCCTTGCCGCATGCAGCAATTAGCGTTGCGCCTCATATTGAAAAGCTGCATCCCCGCGATGCTTCCATTTTACGGCCGTAAGACTTGTCACCCCCCTTAATTTCGATCGAGCACAATATGTCCGCGGAGCAACGGCTTTGGAAAGAGACTGTGAGAAGCTGCCTGCGACGTCAAAACGCGGCAGAAGTCGTAGCCCATCCAGCCTATGGCCATCTCTGTCCACTTGATACGAGCACTGATTCGAGTGGAGGTACAGCATGAAGTCTCTCATCTCACGTGCAAACTCTACACACAGCTCCTAGTTGGTGCCTATACTGTCCCAGTTGGACAAGACGCCCTGCACCCCCTCGGTGGTGGTGATCATCGCCTTCAACTTCCGCGTCCATTCGACAGCGGTAGACACGGCGTGCGAGTTGCTTCTGTAGCCGAGTCGTCGGGCGACGGCTTGGGTGTTGGCGAATGTAGGGGCCGGGAACAGGTTGAAGCACACGTTGGTCATAAAAATGCCAGACGTGTGAACACGCCCTTTCCAATGCATCGCGCGGGCAAGTTGCTTGACGGATCTCTTCGATTTCTTTATGAGTCCGTCTGGGGTCTTGAGTTTTTTCGCATGACCGGATTCGGGGTTCCAGCTGCTCCGCCAGACGACAACCATCGAGGTGGGACGCTGCGGTAGCGCGGTGTCCGATTGGAGAAGGTACATAAGACGTACTATCCCCTTTGAATTTGTAACGCTCGACATATTCGACGGCCTTGATCCCATGAAAACCCCGGAAATGCCCGTCAAGTTGGGACTGCTTCATCCAGCATTTGTAGCTGCGACATTACACTATGCCTTCTTTCGCGGAGTGTCCCTTCAGTTGTTAGTGCAAGCGCAGGCCTTGTTTCGTGGTAAACGCCGGAAGACAGTCGTGACAGCTGAAGGCGTTAACGCGATGGAAGTCCAGGACATTCTTCGCGAGTCGGTACAGCTCGCCGGTGTGCATAGAGACGAAATGCTAGGCGTGTGCTTTCGGGGTTGCAACATTTCCGAGCATCCCAATGGCGCGAATCCGCATTTGATGTTCTGGCTATGTTGCTCGAAGCAATGTAGCCTCATGAGCTTTTGGGTGAGGAAGAAGAGCTTGCAGTCGTGTGGGCATGGAAACTTTTTAAGCATGGCTCGCAGTGGGGAGGTCTTATCTTTCTTGGCTCGCCGGTACATCTGTTTGGCATGCTTCGCCAGATAGTGTGGGTCGCCATCTGTGAGGTGCGTGAATTCCGACTCACAATCAATACCGTATTGGACGACACGGCACTTCGCTTTGTTTCCGCCACATTCCCTGTGTTTGCGGAGTCCATCAACTCTGATTTCGCGCTCGGTTGGCACGATTGTGTCTGATGCAGATTGGCCGTCGGATACGCGGCGGCGCTTTGGCCGTGCATCATCGTTGTCGGCATGTCGACGTTTCAACTGGGCGGGGAGATCCTCCTGGTGGCGACTTGTTTGAATTGGTGGGTTGTGCGGCGCTTCATCTCGTCTCCGGACCGCCATTGCATCGTCCCACAGTCCTTCGATTGTCGCACTGCGCAGTCCGGTCACATCGAGCAGACCACCCGGCAAATGCCGCTGTTGTGCCTCTCCATGCGCGATCGCCAATGCGAGGATGCCAGTATCACACGCTGGAACAGATGAGAAGCGAGTGCGTGAATCGACGGTAAATCCGAGCCGGCTGACCCGCTTGCACAGCTTCCGAGCTCTGTTGTTATCTCCGATCTCCGAATTCCTCCCAGACGCGTACTGTCTTGTTGTCGAGGCGGAGGCTGACGAAGGACCAAGAATGCTGGGTGGGATGGAGATCGGCCAGCTAAGCTTCAACCATTCCATCCGCGGAACTCTTCTCGCCTTCAGGTCGATTTCGTAGATATCCTGCCCGTCTGGCAGATCGTATCGACCGCGCAAAGACGTCATCGGGATGTGCGGTTTTCGGCATCTTGATGACTGTGAGGTAGAGTTGTGGGAGAGTGAGTGTGAGGTGAACACGTCCGATGAAGCATTGGGTTCCACGTGTTTCGGTCTCGGAACCTGTGGTGTTTCGGCATGGCGTGATGAGGAAAAAGCAAGCCAGGATTTGATACGATATACGCAGTTTTTGTGACTTTAGGGAACTCTTCGGGGAAAGGCATCATAGTCTGGCCGCATACACTGTAAGGCGAGGTGCTCTTTCTTTGCACTGCTACCCGTCCGTCTCTGAGGACCTTCCGGCCCTTTTCCCTGACGACAAATGATCTGCCATTAACAGCTTGAGTTCTGTACCCCTCGCGTAATGGTCTGTAGCCGCGGCCACCCTACGAAACGGGTCCAACAACGAACGTGGAGAACGTGGTATACTCGCTGGCCGAGTCACATCCCCCTGGCGCGCCCCCGGATCCAAGGGCGATGAGAGGGATACCGCCCGAGCAATAGTAGAACTGACTGCCGCCGTTGCCCGTGCATGTCAATGGACACGTTCCATCGCTTTGCTGTGAGATGGAGCACAACACTGCTGTTGCTTCGCCTCCCTGCGCTGCCGCGTCCGCAGGCGTGAGGCCTATCAAGGTGTTGTCGGGAAAGCCCTGGTCGCTGGCGGAAGTCGGGTCTGCGTAGATTGTATCGCCAACTCCAAAGCTGGCCGCCACCACGCTGAGCGTGCCGTTGACGAGAGCAAACGCACTCGCGAACGTGGTTGTCGTATCGAGCGTGATGATATCGGTGCTGCCGCCCCTGACGAAGTTGACATCAAAGGCGTTTTGCCCGGAGCCGTCGTAGATGTAGAAGTCACCCGCGAATTTCGCAAGCGAAGTCTGCGTGGATGCGCTTGTGACGGTCTTTGTCTTTGTGGTCGTTGTTTTAGCAACCTAGCAAGGGTATCAAGTCAGCCAAGTACGTTTCGCGATATCTCTGTGTGATCGACTGCACTATTGCTGCAGTCGCGCAAGTGTTCCGCGGGACCAGTACGCCCTTCGACGTGTTACTCACCGTGCGAGTTGACTGGACCGTGCTCACGGCCTTCACTGTCACGGTTGTGGTCGTGGCCCAGTGGTGCGTGACGGTGTTGACGCTCCAGCAGTTTTCGCCCTGGTTTCCGCGCTTGTCGATGGGCCCGGTAGAGGCAGGCGCGGCGCAGGAAGTAATTGTTATGGGACTGGCGGTCGTAACTGTCTTGGTGCGTGTCGTGGTGCTCGTTCCGGCGGTGACGGTGTGGACTTTTGTGGTTGTCCCAGTATATCTTGTCACCGTCGTCGTTACGGTGCTAGTACATCTGCCGACAGTCGTAGTGCAGACCGGCTTATTCCCAGGCTGCGGCGTAGCAGCGGCGATGGTGGCCAGGAGGGCGACGAAGAAGGTACCGGTGAGCATCTTGGAAACGGGAGGAATTGATGAGGAGTCGAAGAGACGTGCTTCATCGTCTTGGGTCATACCAGGTCTCGTTTAAGTACCCGTCCATCGACCGAGTGAAGTCCAGTGTACCATTCAATGTCCACGACTTGGCAACCCTTAGCGCGTCTGTTAGTCGATGGATCTTCGGCTGACTTGTGGGCGCGTGACGTTAATTCAGTTGCTGACGGAAGTCCGATGGCGGAGTATCATCAGTGTCGCGCAGTCTTCAACCACGAGGCACGTCTAAGCGCGTCTGCGCGGCTCGCTGCTGCTATGCAATTATCAGACATGTGCCGGCGGCAGTTGATGAAGTCCCGAAGACCTCGCAAGAGATGTTCAAGGCTTCAGGGTGAAGGCGAATAGGGTAAGGTCTTGGAAAGGATCTCGAACGCTGCAGGCGCAAGCCACAAAACGCCGCCGATCAGGCACGGACCGGGGGCGAAGCTGATGCAGTCCACATTATTGACTCGACGACCCAACGCCACAAATCCTACTGTGGAAGATGTTTAAACTCTTGTCTCCTGAATCTGGAGTACTATCCTAGTTAAAGATGAAGTGCACGCTGGAGGAGCAAGACGCAAATCTGCCGATCTGGCAGTATCGCATAAGCATTTTCCCGCAGAGTCGAGCTTCTCCACATCACCCCATCGCTTCGAACTTGGCGCCAAGTCATGCAAGGCTGCTGTCGCTAGTCGATGGATCGCGCCCTCGGCAGCCCCGGACGGCCTCGATTTGGTCAGAGTGTCTTTGCGCGCTGCTGATCGAGAAACTTAGTTACCCCGCGGAGCAACGGCTTGAGAGACAAGACGGCAGGAACACTCTGCACCCAGCCTAGCCGCTCCTTGCTTGGATGTAGTATAACATGGAGTTAGGGAATGAGATTGTTAAGTACAAGCCCCCCTTCTCTGGCCCGCCCGCCGTCACGCCCCAGCCATTACCAGCTCCTCGCCCCCGCATTATTCCCCTCTCCATTCGGATAGCTCGTGCATCCTTACTTACAAGGCATCGAGCGACACAACATACGCCGAAATCTCTATTGTAGCCACAAAATTGCCGCAGTCCCCACCATCATCCGTGTCGCCAATCTCGACGTTCTCAGTCTCGCCGCAGGTGTAGAAGTCGCTGCCACCGTTCCCCGTGCACGTCAACGGGCATGTGCCGTCGCCGTTTTGGGAGACAGTACACGCCAAGAGCGTCGCGTCGCTATCGGGGAGACTGGCCGCGTTGAATGCGAACACGTAGTCTGGATAGACTTCGCTGTTGGAGGCGAAGGTGGTGTCGGTATAAAGCTGGTCGCCGACGCCAGTGGTGGCATCAAAGACGGTCAGGGCCCCCAGCGCGAGGCTGAACTCGCTCCCAGCTGAGGCCAGCTGAATAACGTCGTCTCCGGCGCCCAAGTCACCCTGAGCAACGCTGAACTCGAGTCCACTATTGCTGTCAAGGATGTAGAAGGCGCCGACGAAGTTGGAGAGGGCAGTCGCCAGCGCCGTGCTAGCGACGGTAGAGGTGATCGTGGTGGTCGTCGAAGCCGTCTAGCAGGACAGAATGTCGTTAGTCATGTGCTACAAGAGGACCAAAGCCCCGCTAAATCTTTCGACTACCACTCACTGTAACGGTGGACGTCACGGTACGGACGCGAGATATGGTCGTGGTGATTGTTGTGTGAGGTGCTGTAACGGTGGTAGTAGTCCAGCAGCCATAAGTGTTAGGCTTCGAATTGTCACGTTTGCTGGGTAGTATCGCAGGGGCGACGCAGCTACTGATCGTCGGCAGGCTCGTGGTTGTCGTCGTCGAAGTCGCAATGCCCGATGTAATGGTGTTTGTCTTGGTTGTCGTCCTAGCGTGGCGTAAGTCAGCGTGGCGGACAGTCTGCGGCGAAGAGGACGCGTACGAAGTGTATTTTGTTTTTGTTACGGTTCGCGCCCCTTTCCCGACTGTAGTAGTACAGACTCCTCCAGGGTGATGATGGGGTCGTCGGCCGTGAGAGGCGGCAGTCACAGTAGATGCAGCCCAGAGGGCGAAGAGAAACGAGGGAATACGCATGGTAGCAGCGCGGAATTGTACGGTGAGTGAAAGGACGAGTGGAATAAGAAGCAGACTTCCAGCTCTATGAAGACAAACGAGGATCTTATATCTCGCCTACATGTCTCAAGACGGCGTGGGTCAAGCCATCGTAATTTCGGCGCAGACATGCCCGCGGAGGTGATCAGCCTTTGAGCCGCGCTAGCGTAGCCTCGTGGAGATTAGCCTTGCGTAGATTGGGGCTGGGCGTTTTTGTAACGCTTCACTCTTGTCGCTCCTTGTTCAATACAACATGATATGGAGCGCGCAATGTGATGTTGGAATAGCCTACCCTCTCCGAACCTCCTTCCTGAATGGTAGCCCCCTCCATCCTCCCTTACAAGGTGTCACGCATTAAATCTCACCCGTGACATCCGAGACAGCATACGCAGTAAACGGTATGTACGTGCCATCGCCAGTGGGGCAAGTCGTGCCGCTGCCGAATGACGCATAGTCATATCCATTGCAGTAGAAGAACTGGTTGCCATCGCCCGTGCATGACAATGGGCACGATCCGTCTGGGTTCTGCGAGATGGTGCACGACAGGGCGGTTGCACTACCATTTGCGGGAACATTGGCGGCGGTGAAGCCAAACAAATAGTCTGGCTGGTAGTCTAGGGTCGCGGCATAGCTTTGGTCGGTATAGAGCTGTTGCAAGGTGGGATCTTCGCTTCGCCCCGAGGGGGAGATGACGGTTGTGCCGGTGAGAGCGCCCGCAAGGAGAGTAAATTCAGTTCCATCTTCGGGAGGTGTGAGCCCGACGAGAGCGAAGTTCCCGTCTGATGTTGGAGCTGATGATAGCCGGAATCCAAGGCCGGCACCGGGGCCTTGGATATAGAAGGGGCCGACAAAGGTGTCGAGGACATTCGTAGTAGCGGTGCTAGTGACCGTCGAGGTCGTGGTAGTTGTGGTTGCGGGAACCTAGTCACCTCTATCAGCGGGATCCTCTTCGCCATTCCGAGTTCATCCTGTCCGTCGATCCTCGTTGGCATGCCGCAAGCACTTACCGTTTTCGTGACAGTAGACGTGCGCCAGACTATGGTTGTGTGGTGAGCGTAGACAGTCGAGGTCGTCCAGCACGCATGAGGGGTACGCTGGTAGTTATCGCGCTTGCGGACGGGGATCGGAGGGATGGCGCAGCTCGTGATGACGGGCAGACTCGTAGAGGTTATGGTCGTAACAGTCGACGCGGTTACGGTGCCTGTAGTAATGGTTCGGGTGGTAGTTCGCGTTCTGAGCGGCCGATTTCAGCGTGAAGAACCGCAAAGAGCGCGACCGCTTTGATTTCAAGGGTACGCACGACGTTATTGTCTTGCCCGATTGCCCGACAGTGGTGGTACAAACGCCTTCGGGATGCTGGTGATGGGCTGCCTATGAGGATGCTCCCCGTGAGGGTGCCCCCAATGACGGTGCTGCCGACGAGGGGACGCGGCAACGACAGCAGCCAGCAGGGCGAAAAGGAAGGTGGTAGGACGCATGTTGGAAACGAACGGAAGCGCTGCGGTTGGCGCGAAACTGGGGAATGTGCAGACGAGAGAAACGAGAAGCAGAGGAAGCGGTCTGCAGCATTTCGTTCGTGGTGCATGCCATTTAATAATATGTATGCCATTCCAGAATACGAGGCCGTTGATCTGGCAGCCAACCACAGACCAATGCCCGGAACCATCGAGGGCGGAAATTGGTGCCCGATCTCCCGAATGCATAAATACTGTTCCGGGTTGTCCCTGAAGGAGATGCCCCTCGTAATGGCATCTTACCAATGCGGTGCGGCGTGTGGCTGACTTAGAGCATGCATATGCGAAGATTGAAAGCCACCATAATTTCAATCTGCAAGCAGAGCAGAAGCTTAATAACGGGACTCGGCAATCAGCCTGGTCGTTGTCAGCATAATGTTTCCCCTGAGGAGTACAGCAGCACCGACGCGTCGCGAGTCACGTTGTCAGCGTCGAGGCCACGATGCTCGTCTCTCCCTCGGAATGTTCTTACTTCGTGTTGATCGATGCAACCTGCCCTCGAGGCAAAGGTACATTCGCTGAAGAAAAGATAACGGTACCATTATGTATACTGCAGTAGAAACGAAACTCCAATCTGCTCCGCTCAAAGACCTCAAACCGCATTACGAACATCAACAGCCTCTCCTCTTTGCGCTCTCACCACCCCGGACTCCTAACAACTGCGTCCGTCCAACGAACGACGGCACTCTGACACCGAAATGACGAACGGAGTGACCTCGGTATACGCGTCATCGGTGGCACAATCCCCGCCCTCCTCGCCGATTTGGACGGCATTATTGAGGTCGTCGCTGCAGGTGAAGAACTGCGAGCCGCCGTTCCCAGTGCAGCTCAGAGGACACGAGCCGTCCTCGTTCTGGGTAATGGAGCACGTCAAGTCCTGTGCGTCGGTCGGAAGAACAGCTGTTCCCACGAAGGCAAAGACAGTGTCGGCGTCCAGACTGTCAGTGCCAGCCTGCGTAGGGCTTGTACCAAGCGTGAAGCCGAGATTCTCGCCCGCGGTAGTAATCACGCCGGCTGTGAGGACGTATTCCTGGTCGGGGTCGGACGCCTCAGTGATGTAAGCATCGTCGTTATTATCATACGTGATCTCGAAATAGTTGTTCACTGGTGCAGCGGTGTCGTAGATTTGGAACGGGCCGAGGAAGGTATTGACAACGCCAGTAACGGTAGCTACAGAGGTCATCGTGACGGTGGTCGAAGCGACCTGGAACCGCACCCTGTCAGTGTGATACTCTCCATTCTCCCTGTTTTAGGGTACACTCACTGTCGTGCTAGTCGTCTTGGTTTTAACAGTCGAGAGCGTGGTCGTCGAGGGACGAGTAACGGTAGTCGTGGTCCAGCAGCCATGGTAGCCGGAGTTGTCACGCTTGCTGACTGCCGCCGCCGGAGTAGAGCAGGTGAGGATCGTGGGGATGCTCGTGCTAGTCGAGGTGGTAGTCGTAGTTGCCGTTCCCGTAGTGATGGTCGACGTCTCGGTGGTCGTCCTAGCGGAACACGTCAGCGAGAACGGAATGCAGAAAGAAAGACGAAGCCTGGGGGTACGAACGAGGTGTATTTGGTCTTGGTCACGGTGCCTTTGTACTTGGTCGACGTGCAGATAGATTGGTGTTGGTGAGGTTGATGGCCGTGGGGCTGCCACGGGGAGGCAGTGGCCACAGCGGCCATGAGGGCGAAGACGAGTGTGGTAGGACGCATATTGATAAACGAGTGTAATCGCTGGCGCGGGATGTACAATGGGTTAAACGAGTGTGGATGAGATGCCGTCGAAACAGTCCAGCTCCACAGGGCCTGGCATGATTGATATATGGCCGTCCAGAGTGCCTGGAGCCCGACAGCTACTCGGTCAGCCAGCCACGAACGCCATCTTCGCCTGCGGAAATTAATGAAGATCTCATATACGCCTCGATATTTCCCCGGAGAGAGGTGCTGGTAGGGGATGTGTCCCGATGCGGTGCGGGGAATTGGTCGTCGTGTCTCAAAGCGTGCTGTCAAAAGGCTTGTTTGGCCGCTGTAATTTCGATCCGCGCGCTGATCGGAAGCTTATCAAGAGTGCATCCAACCTGGCCGTGTCGCACTTTCATCTGTATGGACGCAATGCTCGGCAACATTTTCCCACCGCGAGCCAAGCCAATACTGTATCAGTTGCCTTGATATGATCGAAGGCGTTTGCCTGTCGGGTTCGTATCCTTTCGCGCTGACCAAGAAACGTCGGCTGCGAGGGGAAGGTAACAGCAGGATCAACGCGTCGCAGATCGATTTCCGAGCGCATGGCAGCAGCGCACGCGTCGGCAGCCCCGCAAGGCTGCCAATCGCTTTCGTGTTACCGTCGCAGTCCAGGTCGGCGTCATCTGCTCACGGAGCAACTGTCCAATGGTAAATAGAACAAAGATTGATGCAGCGCGTAAAGGGCTATGTATAGTAGGAATGAAAGCTGACCAGCCCCCTTTCTCGAAGACCTCGAACGCGTTCCAACCAGAAACGTCTCTTCTCGCTCTTACTGTTGCAACCCCCTAGCAACCCCCTAGCAACTCCGTCCTTCTAACGAACGAGGGCACTGCGCCGCAATTGGAGCCGACACGATAAACGCCGAAAGCGATGTGTACGCGTAGTTACCACAATCCCCAGGGGAAGCATCGCCGTCGAGTTGGATAGCATTGCCTTCATTGGCACAATAGTAGAACTGGCTACCACCATTTCCTGTGCACGTCAAAGGGCAAGTTCCGTCGGCGTTCTGCGAGATTGAGCATGACAACAGCGTCGCAGCATTTCCCTCCGCAGTTTCCCCGGCTGCGTCGGCTGTTGATAGGGCTAGCACACCATCACCTTCGATCAGGTTTTGATCCGTATAGAGGAAATCGCCGTCGGCTTCACCGTTGTTGCCTGATTGGAGAACACTGATGGCGCCGGCTACGAGGCTGAATTCATCTCCGTCATCGTTATTCTGGAGGGCAAGGACATCGACGAACGTGCCGTGAAAGACATAGAACGTGTCTGCGCCTGTTTGGTCGTAGATGAGGAAAGAGCCGGCAAAGTCGGTTTGGGTCGGTGCTAGAAGGGAGCTGACAACGGTTGAAGTCTTTGTGGTGGTGGTCGCAGCAACCTAGTTTGGCATTCTGTCAGCCTCCGGCCCTTCGACTCTTCGATCGCCTCGTCATTTGCATGCTAGCACTTACGGTAGAGATGGATGTGACAGTGGACACGCGGGAAACAGTAGTGGTACTCCAGCATTGCTCGTGATGAGGAGGCGGAGTGTGCTCGCGACCGCGATAGCCACGCTTGCCGACTCCACCAGTAGTGGTCGGCGCGACGCAGCTAACAATTGGCAGGAGGGATGTCGTAGTGGTTGTCGACGTGTGAGTCGAAGTCCCCGTCGAGAGGGTGCTAGTGATCGTCTTCGTCCTGAAGCAGTTGATATTAGCAGGGTAGATGGAAGAGGAGCAGAGAGAAGCGGCGTTGATGAGGTGGGACGCACGACGTATACTTCGTGGTAGTGCACACCGACTGATGCCAGTGAGGCGGATGCTGATGTTTGCGGTCTAGCGAGGCGGCAGCAACGGCGGCCAGAAGGGCGAAAAGAAATGTGGTGCGCATGCTGCCAACAGTCGACGAGAAGCTGTCGGGAAAGTCCGAGCAGTTCAACAATACGCCCACCGGTCGGGCGCTGCATCTATATAGCACTGAAAGTTTCACCAGTCACATGGCGCCGCCAGCATCCATGGAGATTAGTAGAGGCCTCGAGCGCTCCATTCCCCTGCAAGGCGTCTTTGCTAAAGTCCCGTGCGTGCAGGGGTGATTGTAGAGCGACGCGCTTGCGGCGTCTAAGCCGTGCGAATGCAGGCGTTTGTTTGGTCGTATGCTCGGCAACTTTTCCCACTCGCCGTCGTTCACTTCCCGCACAGCTGACCCAGAAACATTGTCGGCATGGGATGCCTCATCTGCAAGACTCAAGAGGTATAGCAGCACATGGAGCGCTTGTGGAAGGTAAAAATGAAATCCCAATCTGGATACGCCAAAAATCTCCGTTCCCATTTCAAGAGCACCAAGAGCTTTTCTCCGCATTACAGCTACTCGAGCCTCCGAATGAACATCCCGGATTTTCTATGGAATACTGGCACGCGTACGCAGCGAAAACGACATAAGGGGTAATCTTCGAGTAATCGGCTGCGGTCGAACAAGTCCCTGGCGGCTCCGAGCTGCCGAGCTCGATCTCGACGGCTTCGCTTTTACAGTAGTAGAACTGGCTACCCTCGCCACCCGTGCACGTCAGCGGGCACGTCCCGTCATTCGGGTTCTGCGAAACCGAGCACGATAGCGCTGTGCCAGTAGTAAAGGTGGGTGGCGTGAGGAAGCCTTGGACTGTGTCGCTGTTGAAAAAGGAGTGAGCGGATTCAGGATCTGTATAGAGGGTATCGCCAGCACCATCTTGTAACACGCTTGGGTCATCGATAAGAGCGCCAGCCACGAGGTTGAATTCGGTCCCCTCATCGAGAGTTCGAAGGGCGAGGAAATCTTCATCTTGGGCGCCTTGCTCCGCAGTATCGACAGCGAACGCGTTTTGTCCCGTCTGGTCGGTAATGATGAAGGGCCCGGCCAAGTCCGCAAGTGTCGATGGGAAAGCAGTGCTAGTGACGGTAGAGGTAGTCGTCGTCGTCGTTTCAGCAAACTGACATAGCGATTTGATCAGCAGTATTCGGAGACGAACACAGCCCTCGCCGTTCGGATGGAGTCGTCGCTCACAAGCCACTGGCACTTACCGTAGAGGTCGATGTAGTAGTAGACTCGGTCGACACAGTGATTGTCGTCTTGTGTCGATGGACCGTAATGGTGGACGTGCTCCAGCAAAGATGCTGGTAGCCAGCTGGGTTCGGCTCCTGATCAGGGAACGCTTCTTGGATGCAACGGAAGGTGCCGCACAGCTCGTAATTGTTGGTAGTATCGTCGTTGACGTGGTCGTGGTCGATGTCGATGTCGCGGTTCCCGTAGTGATGGTGATAATTTTACTCGATATCCTGGGTAGCGACTGTCAGACAGACGACAGAGATGCGGAGGTAGGCTTCCTTGACGGAGAGAACCCATACCCGGTATAGACAGTCGAAGTCACGGTGCCCTGCGCCTTCGTGACGGTCGTCGTGCACACAGGCCGGTACGGGTGGCCATGAGGCTCATGATGGTGATGCCGAGGGTGATGTTTGCGGCCTGGCGATGCCACGGCGACGGCAGCCAGAAGGCTGAAAAGGAACGCGGTGGAACGCATGCTGGACAACGAACGTACGATGAGGAAAACAAGCGTGAAGGAGAAACAGTCGAGGCAATGCTGCTTCCAGTTCGATCGTTATGCACCGCATCTTATACCTCGTACTGCTCAACCCTTACTTCCGCAGTCACCCAATCGCCAGACGCCACGTTCGTATGCGGAGATTTGAAGAACGTTCCGAGGGGTTGGAGTTTCCCCAATGCGGTGTTTGCATGTTGCACCGCGCGGAGACGCCAATGCAATTTCGGCCGGGGCCGATCTGCGGGGTGCCGACCTGGTCGTATGCATAAAGTAGGCATAAATCGCAGCCTCGTCCCTTAAACCATTCTCCCATTCGCGTCGGATCCAATTCGAAATGGTTCGGATTGTCCAAGAACATCTACTTCGTGCATCCATTTGCGCTCCCCGGGAAGCGTGTTGCAAATGAACATGTTATAGCAAGTCTGTCAACGCGTCGCGTCTCGTCATGCAAAGCGTAGCCCTCCATTGATTCGTAAATACAAGCATCGAAAAAACAAAACAGGTATGAAATTGGAGAACTGGCCTTGATGATTAGACAGCAACGCAAGTCTTGAGCAGCCCGGAGACGGTGATTGGCGATAGACGCTCTTCCCTCCTCGAACACTCCATCAGAAACCAGCCTAAACCTCAGGCCCGACAACGAATGCCGAAAACAGCACCGGCGTCGATCCACAATTCTTCCCAGCCGTGTTCGCAGGACCAAGAAGAACAGTAGGCTCAGGACCATCTGCAGCGGAAGGGCAGTAGTAGAATTGGCTGCCGCCATTCCCCGTGCACGTCAAGGGACACGTCTGATCGCTGTTCTGCGTGATGGAGCACGACAATGCCGTCTCACCCTGATAATCCGTAGTGTTGAAGGCAAACACGGTGGTGGGTCCATACTCGCCGCCGATATAATCGTCGGCGATCGTGGCGTATGCCGGGTCTGCATAGAGCTCGTAGTTGCTGCTGTCCTCGACGGTGAGGCTGCCGTCCTGAAGCGAGAAATAATTGGCGTCGGAAAGCGGTTGGAGGGAGACGTATGCGGAGTCGATACCCAGTTCTTCGAGGGTGAAGTAGGTTGTATCTGTCGGGTCGACGATTAGGAAGGGGCCGGCGAAGCTCGAGACGGCGGCCGTGGCGATGGACGTGACGATTGACGTTGTCGTCGCTGATGGAACCTGGCATGTTGTCAGCTGAGAGCTCTTCGCCATTTCGCCGTATTCCAACTCACGGTCGTAGGCTTTTGCACAGTAGACACGGCAGACACTGTGACCGTGACTGTTTTCGTGGCCGCCGGTTTGGTGACTGTGGTAGTACCCCAGCACTTGTCAGGGCGCCACGTGTTCCATTTGGGAAGGGCTTCACGCTTCTTAGGGACATCAGCAGGCGCGATGCAGCTATTGAGAGGAAAAGCCGGAGTAGTGGTGGTGGTGGTGGTTGTCGAAGTGATGATCCCGCTAGTGATAGTAGACGAGAGAGTTGTCGTGCTGGTAGACGTCAGTAAGAGGTGAACAAGACGAAGAGCGAACAACACAGATGGAACGTACGAAGCGTAAGTGGTAGACGTCTTGGTCACGGTTTTCGTCTTTCCATGAACGGTCTTAGTGCAGAGGTGTTTGTCGGAAGCGGTAGCAACAGCCGCCAGAAGGGCGAAGAGGATCGTGGTGGCACGCATGTTGGGCAAAGCGAGGGCGACAAAAAGCAGTCGAAGCGGTCGGCGTCCCCTTTCGTCGCTGACGACATCATATACATCCGATACTTGAGCTCCGCGGCCGATGTACCAAAATCATACGGCCGTAACGTTGCAGGGGCTATCCAATTAATAACTTATGGGCGGGCGGGCTGCTTGCATGCATAACTAGCCCAGCCGCAATGTCCCAATCTGGCCCTGGCGTTGCGCTGTAATTTTGTACCAGGGAGATCTGCCCGCGGAGCTCCCAATCTGGCCACTCATGTCCACCCTTTGCTTTGACAAGCAGCGCCGTGTGGGCGTTAAGCTTGTGCATTGCAGGTCACTTTGTCGCGGCATGACTTTCATATCGATCTTGATCTGCCCGCGGAGTGACGAGCTTGGCCATTGGTCGGTCTGCTTGCAGCATCGTGTGTGTGAGGGTAAGCTTGTCCACTGCAGCTTGTATCGTCACGCGGAGACTACGGGGTCGAGCCAATGAATCTCCCTGGCCCGCTCTTCACCCGGTGCGGCGGCCTGGTGCCGCAGTGTACGAGGTTAATGTCACTCTCGACAAAGGGGGAGTGAACACGCCAGGTCTTTACGACCACATGTTCCGATTTCGCAGCTCGTGAAATTCACCATCGACCACACACTCATCAATTCAACAGCGGCTGGACCACTAAGGTCACCGCATCGTAGCCGCTATTCAGAGAGCCCGCAGTGTAGAGGTAGTCTTGATCATCGGTTTGCAAGACCGTATCGCCATCACAGTTGCAGCGAAGCACCAACGTGAGGCCGTCAATGGAGCAATCACAGATATCTCCAAGCTCTCCATCCATGCCGAGCAAGAACTTTGGTAACAGGAAGACGGAGCTGAGTTGTCCACCAGTACCAGCAGCGTTGGCGACGGCGTTCGTGGAAGGCGTGTACAGCTGGCCGTTGGACGGATCGAGTTCCCAGACGGTGTTGCCGCTCTGGAATTGGCTTTGGCCGTTGTTGTCGCCCAGCGTGTAGCCATCTGGTATCTCAGGGTCATTGCTTGCAAGGATGAGAAACGAGGAGAAAACTCGGGTCACGGTAAATGTCGTAGTAGAGACTGTCGTGATGCTGCCGGATGTGCTGACAGCCGTTGATGTCGAAGTCGAAGTCGTCGTTACCTGTAGAGTCGTCAGAATAGTTGTGCCGTAGCCGAACCTCGCAGACTCAGGTAACATGCAGTATAAGTTTTGGTGACCGTAGGAGTGGTTCTGACAGTGATTGTAGAGGTCACAGTGGCCTGCGAAGCAAGGTTTCATCAGCTCAGAACAGCGTGGTGGTCGTTAAGGGCTCACATGACTTACGGTCGACGCAGCCTGGGTGTGAGTCTGGGTCTTTGTCTTGGTAGAAACCCAGGGAGTGCAGTGCCACTCCCAGACCGTGCATTGGCATTCCTGCTGCAACGTTTGTGGTGCTGGGGGCGCTGTGCGACGGCGACCAGGAGCATTGCTCGGCGGCAGTGTTCCCATAATCTCGTAATATGTAACGAGCGATGTCGAAGTAACGCTGCTTGTGGTTATGGTCCTGTGTCATGTTATGAATGAGCAAGAATAGTGCATGGCGAGTGGGGGGAAGAGCGGAAGTCGGCAGCTTACGCTGAGGTGGTGGTTGTGATCGAGGTAGCGCTCGCAGTAGTCGTTGTTATGCTAGTGAATGCAGGTGCGGCGATGGTTATGGTCGTGAGGTGTGTTGTAGTCACTGCCGGCTTCCTTTGTGTCGTGGTCTTTGTGACTGTAGAGGTAGAAACAGAGTGACATTCCGAACTCGTCTGCGAAGTATGCCACCACGTCGTCCTCTTGCTTCCGTAGAAAGTGTGACACTCGACACTCGACTCGACAGTAACATTTGATGAAGCGAGCGCTGCCAGCGATACAAGGCCCAAGAGTGTAGAGAGCAAGAAACGCATCGTAGAGTTGAGGGGTTGGTGGTATGCGAGGGAACGCGGATGCGGATCGCCAGAATGGAGTCGATGTGGAATGAGAGTGTTTATAGCAGATGATCTTAGCTGGTACGCGCACTTAGCTCCGCGGCGATCTCGAGATTGGCGCGCATCTCGTGCATCTGCAGTGCATCCTGGTCTCGACGCTAGCTGGACCGTCCAGCCTGAAGGGGAAGGCTTACGGCCGTAAGGATTTGCAGCTGTAGCAAGTTGGCCGAGTTGGGGAGCTGTTCAGGCGGACAGCTAAGATCATGCAAGAAGCTGTTCAACTGACAGGCAATCTCGAGATATCAGAGCCGACGAGAGATGTCTGGCACACCAACCTTTCGAGCCTCGTGATTCAAGGCTTCAAGTTCCGCTTCCACGAACGGAATTCCCTCTTTCAGCCTCTTCTCTTCCGTCAACTGTTCAATTTCTCCAGGAAAATAGATTCGATCGACGCCGGCCATCTTCTCGCACCCAACGCATCGTTGATACAAATAGTCCACCCTCTCTTTGAACTCTTCCAACCCCATGAAAAGATCGGGCTTGATTGCCACAAGAAAGTGTCCCACGTCTGCCGGTTTGCTGGGATCGTATGGATTGGTAACGTGACCTGCAAAAGCACTGCCCGAAAGCACTCCGGAAAAGAGGTCCATCATGATTGCCAGCGCTGAGCCTTTGGGTCCGCCCATGGGTAGCATAACGCCTTGAAGTGCGGCAGCAGGGTCGGTCGTTGGACGCCCTTCGGCATCTAACGCCCAATCCTCCGGAATCTTCTCTCCTCGCCGCTGTGCTTTGTAGATTTTGCCTCTGGCCGCCACCGACGGAGCCATGTCGAGGATGAAAGGCTTAGCCTTCCCGCCAGGCGCCCCACACGCTATAGGCGAGACTCCCATCAGCTTGTCTCTGCCACCCCATACAGGCAACGCGGGAGAGCTGTTGGTGAAGACCAAACTCATCATCCCCGCATCGATGGCCTGCTGCACGATCCAAGCCGACATGCCAAAGTGATTGCTGTGCTTGACGCTCACCATCCCTATGCCGTAGATTAGGGCCATGGCAACGGCCTTTTCCATAGCCATATGTGCGGCGACAAAACCGAAAGCATTGTGCGCGTCGACCTGGGCCACTACTGGCGTGACTTCGTGGAGGGTTGGCTCCGCTTTGGCATCTAGGACTCCTTTGCGGATGCGTTCGCAGTATGACGGGAGTCGATTGATGCCGTGAGAATCGACGCCTCGGAGATCCGCTGCGACTAGACCACGGGCTATTGTTGCGGCATGTTCGGCGGAGACACCGTTTCCTTCGAGGACGGCCTGTGCGAAAGATTGTGCAATTGAGGCCTGAACAAAGCAGTAATCCCGAGAAGGATCTTCTTCAGTCATTTTGCGATTGAGATCAGAGAATACTGATAAAGCTGATGCGAGCAAGAGAAACAGGATGATAAAGTGCGGTAGAGAAGGTAGCAGCAGAGTAGACAGCTTCACTCAACTACCTAGCTTTCCTTCTCACCTCGACGGACTTCATGAGTGGAGCCAACTCACATCATCACGTCTGCATGGAACCTGCGAGGTATGCATCAGCGAGGAAGAGACGATGGGCAAGTGACAAGTGATGATCATTGACAAGAAAGAAGATGTAGCTGGGTAAAAGAGGAAGGCACGGCCCAGCGCGGCTTCCAGCACTTGCGCCATTCCTCCTCACCCCGGCTCGGCATTTCTAGCCGACCTCTCGACCCAACCGCCGCCTCCAAATCCACCCGACTTCACCCAAAACCCCCCACACCGATGTTTGTGGATAGTGGGGATGCACGATTCGCATCTCCTCCGCCCTTCTCCCCCTAACAACTCACCCGGCCGCAATCCTGGACTCAAGGAGGAGATGGCGCCGCGGCACTCCTGACCACCATTACTCCCCTCCACCCTACGCAGACGAGGCCGGCGTGGAATTAGCAGCGCTCCTACCGCCATCCGCTAACCTTGACGGTGTCTCCTATTCGCGTGACAAGCCTCGACTCACCCCTGCCGCACGTACCCGTCGCCGACAGAAGCTCTGCCAGCTCCTCGAAGCCGACATGAAGTTCTCCCACAGCATCCAGTTCAATGCCGTGCCCGACTGGTCCTCGCACTACATCGCCTACTCTAATCTCAAGAAGCTAATTTACCAGCTCGAGAAGCAAGTCAATGCCAAAGCCAACTTGGAGCGGACGCAGAGCCACGATGCCGAATCATCCCCCCTCTTGACCAATGGAGACATCCAGGACCCAGACAAGGTTTTCTCGCGCAAGCTGGATGACGAGCTGGAGAAGATATGCGGCTTCTACCGCATGAAAGAGCTGGAGATCTATGGCGAGGTGGATGCCTTGTTGAAAGATGTAGAGGAGTTCGAGGCGGAACATGAAGAGGGCGAGCGGGATGGCGAGGGGGGTGGTGTAAGGAGGCAGAGTGTGTGGGCGCGCGCACGACAACAGAGCATTTTTCGCAGCTTTCAAATGCCTCCCAAGCGACGTCGACCGTCCACAATGGGCAGTCAGAACCGCACGATCCCCGAAGAGGACGATAGTGAGGGCGAGGACGAGGATGAGCGCACATCCCTGAGCAAAAGCCAGACGCTCGACCGCCAGCAGGCTACGCGAGGCAAAGACCTGGCGAGCGGAGAGCAGCTTGATCGCACTTCTGAAGATCTCCCCACGTCGCCCGAGCTGTCGCGACGGAGGCCAAGTGTAGCCTTCAACGACTTCGGAGACGACACCCTCCTGCAGGCACTGTATGACGAGGGCATCACGCTGAAGAAGCGCATTGTAAATCTCTACGTCAACGTCTGCGAATTGCGCTCCTTCATCCAGCTCAACGAGACTGGCTTCAGTAAAGTGCTGAAGAAGTACGACAAGACGCTCGACCGCAACCTGAAGGCGCGCTACGTTAATGCCAATGTCAAACCAGCCTACCCCTTCCAATCGAGCACGATGGATCATCTGTCCGAAAATCTCACGCGCATCGAGAAAGCATACGCCGCGATCGTCACCAAAGATGATGTGGACAGCGCACGACAGGAACTTCGCCTACATCTGCGCGAGCACGTCGTGTGGGAGCGCAATACGGTCTGGCGAGAGATGATTGGCATCGAGCGCAAAGCGCAAGCTGCGAATCTGGGCATTCGGAATACGATGTTAGGGCAGGCGAACGATCCCAAGAAAGCACGCTTGCAGGGCGATGAGCAAGACGGCTCATTCAAGGAAGTCCTCACGCCGCTGGGTAGGACGCAGTGTCCGAAGTTCCTCCTTTCCGGCACGTTCTGGGTGCTCGTTGCTGTGATTGTCGTCTTCGCGGTGCTCCTCGCCGTGCCGACTATGGAGAAGCCCGAACAACAAAACTGTCTTGCTCTGGTCGTATTCGTGAGCTTGCTCTGGGCAACAGAGGTACGTCTCCCGATCACCCTTCCCCAACCTCCACTAACGCAAACCCCCAGGCCATCCCCCTCTTCGTTACCTCCCTCCTCGTCCCCTTCCTCGTCGTCATCCTGCAAGTCGTGCGGGAAGACGCAAAGCCGCACCACCGCCTCACCTCCAAACAAGCGACCAGCTACATCTTCTCCGCCATGTGGACGCCCGTCATCATGCTCTTACTGGGAGGCTTCACCATCGCCGCCGCCCTCAGCAAGTACAACATTGCCAAGATGATGGCGACGTTTGTGCTCAGCAAGGCCGGGACGAAGCCGCGGACGGTGCTGCTGACGAGCATGGGCGTCGCGACGTTTGCGAGCATGTGGATTTCGAATGTCGCGGCGCCGGTGTTGTGTTTTAGTATTATTCAGGTGAGGACGTGATTGTACTTGATTGGATTGGGTTGTGACTAACGCACGGCACGCAGCCCATCCTCCGCAACCTCCCATCCGACAGCGACATGTCCAAAGCGCTGCTCCTAGGCATCGCACTGGCCTCCAACATGGGCGGCGCAGCGTCTCCAATTGCCTCGCCGCAAAACCTCATCGCCCTTCAAAACATGAACCCGCAGCCAGGCTGGGGCATATGGTTCTTCATCGCCCTGCCCGTATGCATCATCACCATCATCTTCATCTGGCTGCTACTGCTCGTCACCTTCCGCCCAGGCCGCAACACGACCATCGTGCCCATCCGGCCGATGAGAGACAAGTTCTCCGGAATCCAATGGTTCATCTCCATCGTCACGCTCGCGACCATCGTCCTGTGGTGCCTCAGCCACCAATTGGAAGGCTTCTTTGGCGACATGGGTGTCATTGCCATTATCCCCATCGCTCTCTTCTTCGGCACCGGCATCCTGACGAAAGAAGACTTCAACAACTTCCTCTGGACCATCATCATCCTCGCCGCGGGTGGACTGGCTCTCGGCAAAGCAGTCAACAGCTCAGGCTTGCTGCACACCATCGCCACCAGCATCACCGGCAAAGTGGAAGGGCTGAGTCTGTACGGCGTGATGTGTGTGTTCGCCGCGCTGATAGCAGTGGTAGCGACGTTCATCAGCCATACTGTCGCGGCGTTGATTATCTTGCCTCTCGTGCAGCAAGTTGGCGAGGGCATGAGTGATCCTCATCCGAACTTGCTGGTGATGGGATCGGTCCTGATGGCTTCTGCCGCGATGGGGTTGCCGACTTCCGGCTTTCCGAATATGAGTAAGTTTGCGCCCTGCTTCCGTTGATAATCATGCGGTGCTGACGTGAACTTCGTAGCGGCCATCATGATGGAGGATTCGCAGACCGGCCAACGCTACCTGCAAGTCCGGCATTTCCTCACTCGAGGCATTCCCAGCAGTGTGATTGCGTATGTGGTGATTATTACCCTTGGATATGGACTGATGTACGCCGCCGGGTTGTAATGAGTCGTCATTTGGTTGTTTCCGGAGTGTTTGATATCCGCTGCAGAAGAAAGTTGGATAGACCGTGGAATGCATCAGTAGTGCCGCCTCCCCAGGAGCCTTTTCTTTCTCATCAAGCATCATCACCTTCCGGATCCTCCTCGCCATACATTTCTTCCTCCTTCTGCTCGCGTGCAGAAGCGGCTGTACCACTAGGAGCACCCGCAGCAGCTTTCTCCTCCTCCATCCGCTTAGTTAGAAAGACATTGACATCCCCTTGAACTTGGGAAATCCCGGTTCGCAAAGCCTGCAGAAACTCTGTCTTTTCTTGCACGCTTTGGGTTTTGGTGTCGGTTGACTCGGAGGGGAGCTGGGATGTGAAGAGGTGAGTTGTGTCTGGGGAGTTGTAATTTGCCGTGAGGGCTGATTTAGACATTTTTGATGGGATATTGGTTGTGTTTGGTTTCTTGGTGGTGGCAAAAACACAAAGATTGGAGTGAGGTGAGGTCAGGCCTGCTGTGGGTCGTAGAGGGTAGGATGACAAAAGTCTTGGGCGCGAGTCGCTGGAATGAAGCACTTTGGTTTGATGTCGGGCTACTTCCGTTGCGAAACCGATCAATGGGCATTGCTTATGGATTACACATCCATTGCATCTACAGAAACGCGACCGAACTACTGCTCACGCAGAGCCGCAGGGAGCGTATGCCTCATGGAGCCTCGCACAGGGTGAGTGCCGAAAGTCGCGGCCTCCTGGCGACGCGCTCATGGCGTGCTCACCCCGATCAGCCAAAAACGGTGCCTCTGATCTCATGCTTCCTCGACTTCGTCGCTGATGTCAGATCGAACCGAGATGGCCATCAGAAGGCCAAGCAATTATATCATGAGCTCTGCATTGGCTGGATCTTGGCGCCTGTCAATTGATTAAATCTTGCATGCGGAACGAAGCCTCGCCGCCCCTGGAGAGTCTCTTGAGCCTAGAGTCGAGGACACTACGAATGCTAGAAGCCTCGAGGCTACCGTCCGGCGCACACGGCCAGTATGGAGCCCGACGAGTCGAACTACGAACTCGACGCCTTGCTGGAGGACGATGGAGTCAGTCCTCGAGGATCCACTGGCGAAAGGACGTCTTCGGAATACGACATGGTGGAAGGTGGTCATTCCCAGCTACGAGAACGGAAACCTGGACGAAAAGCTGCCGGTGATGACCGACTCTCAACGTTCTACCAACCTGTCGAGTCGTACGAAGGCAGGCATCGATGGGATCCCAAGTTTCAATGGACGCCGGCTCAGGAACGGAAAGTTGTTCGCAAGGCAAGTCGATCCAAACCAGGAAAATCGATATCCCACCTAATGATGAGGTCAGATTGATCGAAGAATCTGCATATGGATCTGCGTCATGTTCTTCGCCCTGCAAGTCGACAGAGGCAATATCTACCAGGCACTCTCCGATGATATGCTCGACAACCTCAACATTACGACAAACGAATACAACTACGGCCAGTCGATCTTCTTCCTCGCGTTCATCCTTGCTGAGCTGCCATCACAGCTTGTGTCCAAGCGACTAGGCCCCGATACTTGGTTGCCGATGCAGATGGTCGCTTGGTCTGTGATCGCCAGTCTTCAATCGCTGCTTTCTGGGAAATGGTCATTCTGGATTACTCGAGCACTTATCGGAATCTGTGAAGGAGGCTTCATTCCTACCGTCGTCCTTTACCTGTCTTATTTCTACAATTCGACCGAGCTACCCATCCGCCTCAGCTATTTCTGGTTAACCAAAGAACTATCCGATATGATCTCCGCGCTCATTGCATACGGCATCCTTCACATGCGCGGAGTTCTCGGAATAGCAGGATGGAGATGGCTCTTCGCCCTCGAAGGCATCCTGACCGGCTCCATAGGCATCATCTCCTACGTCTACCTCCCGCCCTCCCCAACGCAAACTGCATCCAAATTCCGAGGAGAAAGGGGGTGGTTCAGTGTCGAGGAAGAAAAGATCATGGTCAACCGCATCCTCCGCGACGACCCGAGCAAAGGCGACATGCATAATCGCGAAGCCCTCACACCATCCATGATCTGGCACTGTCTCACCGATTACCACCTCTGGCCTATCTACCTTATCGGTCTCTCGTGGGAAATGCCGGTCGAGCCTATAGCGCAATACATGACGCTCACCCTCCGCGGCGCCGGCTTCGACACTTTCACCGTCAACTTGCTCACGATCCCCGCGTACGCCTTTTGGATGATGAACCTGCTCATAGTCACTCGCGTATCGGAATGGATTAACGAGCGCTTCTTGCTCTCTACCATCTCGCAATTCTGGATCTTGCCAATCTTGCTTGCATTGGAGTTGCTTCCGGTGCCGCGCAATCACTGGACCGTTTGGTTCCTCACTGTTCTTGCTTTCGCGCAACCGTACGTCCACGCAATGCTTGTTGGCATCGCGAGTCGCAATTCGGGCTCGGTGAGACTGAGGGCTGTCTCGGCTGCGCTGTACAACATGAGCATCCAGGCGTCGAACATCATTGGATCGAATGTGAGTTGACCATAGCTGAGAAATTTCGAGACGAATTGGTACTGATTATCTCCCAGATCTACCGAGAAGACGATGCCCCATATTACTTTCGCGGCAATAAGATCTTGATGGGAGTGGCATTGTACAATATCTTTCTATTCGTGGGCACGAAATGGTTTTACGTCGTCCAGAATAAGCGCCGAGATCGCATATGGCTGAATATGTCGGAGGAGGCGAGAAGGCAATATCTTGCCAACACTCGGGACCAGGGAAATAAGAGGCTAGACTTTAGATTTGCTCATTGAGCTGGCAATGCATAGCGTATTGATATCTATACTGCATTGCGTTCTTATTGATCATTCCCACTCGGCGGCAACAAATCCTTGCCTGGCCCAAGATCCTCGCCCAAGCGCTGCCCGCCAACAAACAGCGGCTTGCAGTCCTGCCTGTGAGATGTCAAGTCAGCGAAATCTACACTCCGCACGAAAGATGAAACTCACAGCACAAAAATCATCCGCGACCACTCGGTCTTACTCGGATTTCTCCAAGCATGCATCGTAGCCCTCTGCACCATGACATCCCCGCGCTGCAGCAACTGCCTCTCCCCGGAATCCAGAATACTCTCCACGCTCCCCTCGAGCACAATGCCGTAATCCACGCTCTGCGTGCGATGCATCATGCACTCATACTCGGGCGCCATGTCGACGTACCGCAGCACGGTGCCGCCAGCCGTGACAAGGCCGAGTTTGCCCGAGGCGAGCTTGTCTTCGTGGGCGGCGACGTCGGCGTCGTTGTTCAGGTCGGGCGGGAAGCTGGTGGTGTAGGCTACGCGCATGGCCATTTGGTTGTTGTCGAAGGTTTCCCATTCTACGGGTCGGGCGGAGTGGACTACGGCTTCGCCTTTGCTGTTGTGGCCTGTTAGGTAGGCGGTGGGGCCTGGGAGGTCGGTGGAGAGTTGGTTGGCGGTGGGTTTGCGGGCGGCCATGGTTGTTATGTTGGGAGAGTGCTAGATACTTAATGGACGATGGTGACAAAAGTGGATTGTTGGAGGAGGTCTGGGAGTCTGGCGGCTGAGGTGAGGGTTGACTGCGGGGAGCTTCGAGTGTTTGAACCCTCGACCCCACCATCATCTCCCATCCCACTCCACATGCCGTGGGGGCCACCAGTTCGTAGACTCGTCAAGATATAACATTCCCTAATGTCACGAGGCAAACTTCATCTCACACAATTGAATGAACTCCTTCATGCCTTCCGCCACATCCTCGCCGCCCACGTTCCCCGTCCGCATCTTCGCCAGCACACCAACAGCCTCCTTGTCTCCTTTCGCCTGCGTCCAAGGACCACGCTCTCGTTCTTCGGATGCATTGTCGTAGCCACCTCTGCCACCTCGATCATTCATCCCACGTCTACCGGTCCCTCTGCCACGTCCTCGCCCTCCGCGCGCAATGAAGCTCGGAGGCGCAAAACCAGGCAGCGGCCGTCTATTCCACGAACGAGCTTCGTCTGGTCCAGGCTCCAATGTGAGTCCGTAGATGGTCTGCAGTTGAACCTTGAGAAGCGGATAGCGGGCGAGTAGCCTTTGGAAGTCCTTGTCGGCCTCGAAATTCGTGAAGTCAACTTTCGGCGCTCGCTGAGTCGTTCCTGGGCGATCTCGAAGTGTTGGCAATTTCTTTTCAGGGCCCTCTTCGCCAGCATTGTCGTTCTCATGGGTTGATTTATGAGTTTTATAACATGCCAGGGAGCAACTGGGTCCATGTTAGTGCTTGATCAGATTGATTTGTCCGAGACGGTCTTACTATCTCAGCTCGCAGACGGGGCATTTGTATTTCGAGTCCTTGTCGAGGCAGACGCCACATTTCGATGCCATCTTGATCGTCGCATGTTCAATTTGAGTCGCCTGATTGAAAAAGACCCTTGTTTGATTTCAGATCATACTATGAATGTAACCTTCAGGTGGCCGTTGGAGAAAAGAAGTCGAGAGGAAGTCTGATGCAGGCTCGAGTTGTCGAACTTTCCCGCCAAGGACTTTGATTCGCCGCGATGAAACTTGACGACATCACTTCTAGAGCTTTGCCGCTTCGTGCATCTTCCAACCACACGCTTCCTGTACACCTCCATCCACCACAATGGCGCCGCCACGATATCGAAATTTGCTGGAGCTCGCAAAGAGCAGACAGCAATGGATGTGTCAGTCATGTGCACGGAATCAGCCATTTACACCGCGGAGGACGAATGGGCAAATCCGAAGTCTTCAAACCAGCAAAGCGACGAGGCAGAACAGCGCACCAAGCATGGCACAGATGCGCAAGCCGTTTGAAGAGCGGAACAAGAATACAGCGTGAGTCTCCCGTGACTCTGATAAAGACAATCCCACCATTTGCACAACAGCACAAGCCTAATCCCTCCACAGCCTCTACGCCCTCTCCATCATCATCGGCACCGTCGCTCTCTCCTACGGCAGCGTCCCCCTCTACAAAACCATCTGCCAACAAACAGGCTGGGGCGGGCAACCGATCAAATCCGCCGCGCACGGCTCCCCAGAAACGGAAGGCGACATAGCCGCCAAACTGACGCCCATCACCTCCTCGCGCCGCCTGCGCATCACCTTCGCCGGCTCCACCTCCGACATCCTCCCCTGGAAATTCAGCCCGCAGCAGCGCGAGGTGCGCGTCCTCCCGGGCGAGACGGCGCTGGCGTTCTACACTGCCACGAACCAGAGTAAAGAGGAGGACATTATTGGCGTGGCGACGTACAGTGTGACGCCGGCGCAGGTCGCGCCGTATTTCAGCAAGATTCAGTGTTTTTGCTTTGAGGAGCAGCGGTTGAATAAGGGGGAGACGGTGGATATGCCGGTCTTCTTTTACATTGACCCGGAGTTTTTGAAGGATCCGAATATGAAGGGGATTGATACGATTACGTTGAATTATACTTTCTTCAGTGAGTCTGCATGTGTCGGTTGAATGAGAGTCATTGCTAACGATGAATGCAGAGGCGAAGTACGACAAGAACGGGCATCTTGCTCCTGTTCCGATGCCACACTAGAGCAGCAAATACTCAAGCACGCTATCAATACTGGCGACCCATCGCGTGTTTGGTGCCGAACTGAATCCCTCCGTACGCCCAACCAATTTCAGGCATTTTCAGCGGCGGGACCATGCGAGTGCGCCGGCATTCACGTGAGTGCCAAAGTCACAGCCGGGAGCCAGTCGTGACTTCCTCATTTATTTAGTCTTCGCAAACGCGAACAAACAACGTCATGCATAATTTCCCGGCCGCGCAGCGTCTTTCCGAAACATCTTTCCCGTAACTTCTTACACTTCGCGCAAAATCTCTGCTCCCACACGGTCTGATATCAAGATGGCCCCCAACGTCGGTGCGAGTAACTTTACCGCCGTTCGCGCTCCAGCAGCGCAAGGACTGGAGTAAGTGTGCGTCTTCCTGCGCTCTCTAGAGCTAGCTGACCTTCTTGAACGTAGTGTCACTGCGGCCACCATCACCGTCACCGTTGGCGCGGCATCCGAGCAACGCACATTCTACATCCACTCAGGGCTCGCCTGTAACCACTCTAAGGCCATCGTCAAACTGTACCACAAGCCAGGAGACGAGGGACGCATCATACGCCTTGGGGAAGATGACCCTGAAGCGTTCGAGATGTTCGCTCGCTTCCTCTATTCGGGCAAAGTCCACAGCCGCATGGAAGGGGACATCGATTCAGACCAAGCGGAAGTCTATGATAATGAATGGCCTCGTCTTACGTTGGGCTGGAGGTTGGGCGATAGGCTGCAGAGCCCATCGTTCAAGGACGCAGTGGTGGACGCTGTGTGCGAAAAGATGCAGAACGACCGGAGATACCCGGTGTCGCTGTATCAGGATATATATCCTCACACTTCAGCTGGAGCACCGCTCAGACGCTTGATTGTGGATATTGCGGTTTGGAAATGGCATGCGCACAACTTCAGGGCCACGGAGTTTCATGGAAGCTGGAATGACTTTTTCCGCGACCTGGCCGTGCGACAGTTTGAGATAGGCAAGGAAGGGCGGAAAGATCCAGCGCCATTCTCGACTCCAAATTGCATCTACCACGAGCATGGAGATGACTATCCGTGTTACAGAACGATGTTCTAGGGCGAGGGTCATTTGAGAGTGGGTGGGAAAGGGTTCTAGCGTGAGCTAATGTCATCGGGGCGACAATGGGAGTGAGTACAAGAAGCGCGAGAGAAGAAACGAGTCATACGGATGTGATAATACAACGATGCTTCAAATTCAGCGCAATTCCTCATCGATTAAGTCACATTCCTGCAGACAACGCGTAAGGCTGGCAACGGACTGGGCTCGTCCGCCTACCACATTAGGAAACTTCCCCAGAAACTGGCCAAAAAACCCGCCAAGGTTCTCAGTAAACAACGCTGGTTTGTTCAAACAACCAGCTTGTTCAGTAAGCCGCAGATTGCAAAGAAATTGGCACCGTTTTCACGGCGACAGTAAACAACGCGTAAGACTTCATGGAAGGTGAAGACAAGAAAGATCTTTCAGTATTGTCACTGCCTCATTATTCTTTAAATTCATCGTCGTGACTGCCTCGTCATCTCTTCGAGCGCAATACGGCAATCGCGAGCAGCATCACGTTCACGTGTGCAGTCCACGCCCGCGCCTATCTTTTCGAAGCATCCTTTCTTTCGATCCCTGAGACCTCACGGAATCTTTACGTATGGTTATACGTGTAGGACATCGGGCCACATCATGATGGACCCGGAACCTCCTGCGCATCGTGGTACCTCTTTCGGCGTTCGCGCTTCAGCGGACCACAGAGTGGAGTGAGTGCGCGACCTATGCTGCACACGGATGTAGCTAATCTTCTCGTTGCAGCCTCAGTCTGGGCCCCAACGTCACCGTTATTGTTCGGCCACCACCCGGTGAATGGCACTTTGTCATTCATAACGAGATCCTCTGCCGACACTCCGAGTTCTTCGAGTCGCAGTTGGGTGAACATTGGGGGGAAGAAAAGTGCATACGCCTAGAAGAAGAGGACCCGAATGCCTTCGACATGTTTGCCAGCTTCATCTACACTGGCAGAGTACACAGCTGGGTGGACTGGGACATCCTATACGATCGTCCAGAGCGAGAATGGGGTCGCCTACTTCGAGCGTGGAGGCTCGCTGATCAACTCCGCAGCACTTCATTCAAGGACGCATTGGTAGACACAATGTGCGAGAAGATGCTACAGGAGAGAAAGTACCCCACCATACTGTATGTGGAGGCGTATCCACACACATCGGCGGTGAAGGAGGACACGAGATACGCCACGACGTTGTACGCGGAGGCATATCGTCGTACTTCGGCGGGCGCGCCGCTTAGGCGTTTGGCGGTCGACATTGCTGTGTGGCGCTGGTCTGCGAAAGCCTTTGAGCTTGTGCCTTTTGACGACAGTCGGGATGAATTCTTCCATGACATTGCCGTGCGCCGGCAAGAGGTCAGCCCGGAGGAGTTGAAGGGCCGTCCACCATTCTTGAGTCCGAGTTGTCGCTATCACGAGCACTGCGAGGGCGAGAACGGCGAAGGCGAGGACGGTGAGAAGGGCGAGGATGAACACGGCGATGGTGAGGACGAGCACATGGACGAAGACGAGGACGAGGACAGCAAGAAGATCCCGTGCTATAGGACCATGTTTTAGTGCAGCGGCCACTCTTCATGAAAGAAGAGATGGATCATGCTTGGCACCGCGAGACGAATGTGGACTGAGTGCGGGAGTGTGAGAGCCAGATGGTTTCCCCGAGAGCATGGTGGCAATGACGCTTGATCTTAAAAGCAATCTTTAAACAATTGTACTCGTAAATACATGTACTGTGCAATGGACGAAGTCGCTGTCACATGCATGCGAGTTGTGTTGTACTCGCCCAAAGCGGAAATCTGTTTACCCCGTCCCGAACGTGTTTAGCGGCTGCAACCAATTTGTCCGAGCTTCAACACAGCGCAGCAACTATCGATCGACCCTCACCTCAACCAAACCCACCAACTCCACAACTCCACAAGATCTCTGCTTCTTCATAGTCTCTCGTCTTCTCCCAACTACACCGTCCTCGCCTCCAAGTCCCTCCCATTGCAAGAACCCCTCGAATCGCTGCCGTTCGCCCGCGACACGTACGCCGCCCAATCCCTCATCCCGTTTCCTGGGCGCCCAGCTAACCGATGGAATGAGGTATACAGACACAACCACTCTTTGCGCGCACCCGTCATTCAAGAGGCCTCGCCTCGCATCTGCGCCCGGCCAGCAATGGCTTCCTTCATCAACACAATGTTCGTATACGCCGTGCCCCCACAGCCCTACTCTCCCTCCCCCAAACCCCTGCCCGCGCTGCACTGCAACGTGCTGGCCGCCTCGGAATCCTGCGTGCACTTCCCGCCGCCCTCCAGCCCGGAGAAGGCGTACACTTCGCCCCTGCAGCAGCACATTCAAGACATCTTCCACCATGATGCTGTCGACTACTCACACATTCCTGCCCCGCCTCCGCACGCCGACCATCGACGCAGATACCGGGGCTTGGGAGACGGCCTGAACGACATAGGCAAGCAGGCTGACCTCTTGACGCACAGCAATAACAATGCTCGCACACGCAATCAGCCCGCTTTTCAGCCGCAGAAGAGAGCGAAGGGCACAAACTCGTGGCAGCTGAAGCAGTTCGCCGAAGCCACGCTGGGCAGTGGGAGTTTGCGCAAGGTGGTACAACTACCTGAAGGCGAGGATAGAGATGAGTGGCTTGCAGTGAACAGTACGTCCCCTCTACACCATTCAACACGTCCCAGACTAATCCTCCCAAGTCGTCGACTTCTACAACCAAATCAACCTCCTCTACGGCGCCATCACCGAATTCTGCTCCCCCACCTCCTGCCCCGAGATGAAAGCAACCGACGAATTCGAATACCTATGGCACGACCCGCCCGCCTACCCCAAACCCACGCGCCTCCCTGCCCCCACCTACATCTCCCTCCTCCTCTCCTGGACATCCAACCACCTCTCCAACCCCGCCGTCTTCCCCACGCAACCCGGCGTGCCCTTCCCCGAGGGCTTCGAGAAGACGGTGCGCGTGCTGTTCAAACGGCTGTACCGCATCTACGCGCACATTTACTGCCATCACTACAGTGTTGTGCGGGGGTTGGGACTTGAGGCGCATCTGAATACGGGCTTCAAGCATTACGTGCTGTTTGTGGAGGAGTTTGGGTTGGCGGAGGAGAAGGGAGTCAAGTCGCGGAGTGAGTGGTTTGGGCCGCTGGGGGAGTTGGTGGAAAGTATGTTGCGGAGTGATTGATCCGAGGATTGGACTGATACGACGGGTGATGGTAATGAATGCGTGCATGGGATCAGGCGTTCGACTCTGGTGGATCTGGGACTGGGACCGGCGTACATAAGGTATGACTTTGTAGCTTCCTTGTCGAGAAGGATAGAGGCATGCCTCCTTCGAATTGATCGATATGTCAAAGCCGAAATTACTCTCTATTAGCCAACAGGGGCGATGGTTGGCGCAAACAGCCAAACCAACAAAGGCAGTGCATCCTCCGTCTATAATGATGCGCACGTAGTAAAGCGGCGGCCAGGACTACCGCTTGATACTACTCCTCTCCAGCGCCTCGGACAACTCCGGCCTCTCCCTCAGCGCCTCCTTCGCCTTCGCATAGCTCATCCACATGCGCTCCCTCTTATGCGCCTCCGGCCAGCTCGCCTTCTCCTCCTGCACCCGCACCTCGTAGAACCTGTACATCGCGCCCGGCCCCCCGTTACCATTTTTATGACTCCCATTCTTCTGCGCCTTCGCGTCGTCGCTGTTGCTGCGCCGCCGCTCCTCGATGGAGCCCAAGTCGTGCACGATGCTGCATTCGATCCCCGCTTCCTCCCACGCTTCGCGGCACGCTGCTTCCTCTTGTGTGGATTCGTCGGTTTCCCAGCCGCCTTTGGGGAGGACCCAGCCTTTGCGCGCGGAGGATTGGATGAGGAGGACTTGGGTGCGGTCGGTGGAGACGGGGACAACGCCTGCTACTAGTCTTTCGCCGTTGGGGCCGTATCTGGGTGGGAGGAATTAGGACGCGATGGGAAAAAGAGAGCGTTGTGTTTCTTACCTCTGCTTCGCTCGGCCTACGCGCGACTCCATTGATCTCTCGGGTTGTACGCCATCGGCCTGGGCCATGACTGCTGATCCCGCGGCTTTCGGGTTTTACTCCGCAACCGAGTACAAGCAAATGTCAAAAGTTGGACGGGAGGTGTAAATCGGTGTCGCGGGAGTAGGTGGTCAAGTGCGGCGCCGGACGGAGGTGGTCACGAGATCGCGCGCAAGAAGGGGGCGCAGGCCACGGGAGGGAGTGAGCACGTATGGCGGAGAGAAGGGGGGGGGGTGTGTCAGAGGGCGCAAGCGAAGGGTGGAGTGAAGTCTGACTCGGAGGACCGTCAGGCCCGCCCGCGGTGAAGCGGAGGAGGAAGGCCGACTCGAAGGAGGAGCGGAGCGTGAGGAGGGGCCAGCATGGTGAGAGGAAGACAGAGGGAGAGTGGAATGGGAGAGCGGGTGAGGTGTGGGTGGGCGGAAGGAAATAGGACCGTCGACGGCGCGGTGGCGGCTCTTTCCACGAGCTACCCATCACGGGCCTGCCTGGCTTCCCTTACGCGAGCCTTTGGCTTTTTTTTTACCTCTGCCCGCGCACGCGCGCGGTCCGCCAGGTCAGATTTGGAGATCAGGCGCGGCCGGGAAATTTCTGCGGTTCCTTGGCTTCCAACTCCGGACCTGGCTTGCGGTCTGGACGGCACTTGCCTTTTGGAGGTGCCTGCTATACGAGTGTGCCTCGGCGCGGACAGGGTAATTCTGAGGAAGGCGCGACAAAGCGCGTGCACTTTAGGCTGCAGTGGCCATTACTGTTACACCGCGCCGCTTGTCCTGTCCATCAGCTCTTCCGACGTCTCACCAAACCGTGATGACCTATCTCTAAGCTCCGTCTAAGTCCGACGTCATACGTGCTCGCTGCACTGCAGCCCGAGCAGCCTTTCTTGAACGACAGGCACGACATTGTTTAGCTCCCTCACTACTCCGTCCCCCTCTCTCCACTCCTTCTAACTCCACCTCCATCCCTCCATCACCTCCCTGCTCTCTCTTCACCCTTCACCGCCCCTACTCCTTCTCCGTTTGACACGCGACACCTCCAGCCCGAAGCCGATGCGCCCCACCGCTCCCTGCGCGCTACTCTAACACGCTACTGTACCTCCCCTAGCTCTCCGCGCGGGATCCTCATGCAAGAGGCGGCCGACGAGGGCGAGGGCGGGAGGAAGACTTACCTGACGCCCATCGGTACGCCCATCCAATCGTTGCAGAACGTGCTTCCCGGCTGACTTTACTCTCTTGCTTTCTCTTGTAGGCTATCAAAGTACGCCTTGCTTTGCCTCATACAAAGCTACCCTTCCCCCAATCTTTCATTACCGCAGCAGCTGATTCTCGCCGCTCTCATTAGGTGGCAGTTGCGGCTATTGCAAAGGCGAAGCTTCAAGTAGAACTCCCGATTCTCGTGCGTCGGTCGACGATCTCCCCTTTCATTACCTCTCTTCCGTATTTCCTTCATCTCACTTTTCCCGTCTCGTGACATTCACATCCAGGTCGGAACACGTCTCCTAACGCAAGCAAAGGTGCTTCATACTACCTCACCTCCACCTCACTATGCCCTCGACACTATCAAATCCTCATGGATCGAGGGTGGAGGAGAAGTGGCTTCCTCCTCTACCTCCCTGATGCCTCCCGGAGCTGTTGCCCGCATTACACCATCAAACTCCGAGCACCAGACCTCAAGCCCACGCGTGACCAACGCCACGCCCTCAATCGCTGGAATCGATTCGTCCTGGGGGAGAGATACTTGAAAGAGAAAGCGGCCAAGTATCCTCTTGGCAAAGAGTAGGCCCATCACTGCTTTTCAATCAACTCCATGTCAAAACTAACAATTCAGGGAGAAGAAACGGCAGAACACAACATTCAACCTCATCGAAGCGATCCACGAAAGCGAAGCCTGCAACCTCAAACCCGACCTCCATCCAGACCACCAATACACCGTCACCCTCGAGCCCTCCACCTTCACGGAAGAAAAGTTCCAACTCTTCAACCACTACCAACGCGACGTGCACCACGAAACCGACTCCGACATCTCCCGCCCCGGCTTCAAACGCTTCCTCTGCTCCTCCCCTCTCCACCGGACCGCCCAATATGGCAGCTTCCACCAATGCCACCGCCTCGACGGCCGCCTGATCGCCATGTCCGTCCTCGACCTCCTTCCCGCAGGCGTTAGCAGCGTCTACTTCCTCTACCACTCCGACTACGCCGCCTGGTCCTTCGGCAAACTCAGCGCCCTCCGCGAAGCCGCGCTCGCCATCGAAGGCGGGCACGACTGGCTCTACATGGGGTACTACATCCACTCGTGCAAGAAAATGCAGTACAAAGGCGACTACAAAACGCAGCTGGTACTGGACTTTGACGCTCTAGCCTGGGACCCGCTAGACGAGAAGATGAGAGCTCTAATGGAGAAGAGGAAGTGGGTGAGCATGAGTCGCGAACGCGCTATCGAAGCCTCTCTCGCAAACAATGACCCCTCAGACCGCTCCTCCCTCGAAAAAGCCCTAGTCGAAAAAGCATACGCCGTCCCCCTCGCCTCCCCCGTCGAAGCCTCCCGCGCTCGCGTCCCAATCTTCTCCCTCCACATCCCAGGCGTCATGCCGGCCGCCGAAGTACGGGAGCACATCGACCTGGCCAACGTGAAGATTACCTTTGGTTCCCGGATGGAGATACGGATGGGGAGTTTGGGCTCCTTTTCCGCGGAGGATGGGAGTGGCGGGTGGGGAGATCCGGGGACGGCGAAGGGGTTGGCGGCGGAGTTTGCGGCTGTTGTTGGGCCGGTGCTTGCTGCTGAGGCGCTGTTGGATTTCAGTCGGGGTGGGAGTGGAGGTGGTGCTGCTGAGGGGGATGATGAGGATGAATCATGATCGGTGGGCGGTACACACGGATCCAACGAAGACAATTGCATGCACAGCGCAGAGCAGGAGTAAGGTATACATGATTAGAAGAAGAATACTACCTCCACCAATCCATCTATTCCAATCCATCTACTCCCAAGTCGCCCAGTCCTCCCGAATCTCCCTCAACTTCCTCTGCAAGCGCCTCCTCTCCTCCCCCGCCTCCTCTCCACCCACCCCCTCCAACCGCCGCAACCGCTCTCCCAACCGTCTATACCCCTCCTGCAACCCCACCTCCGCCTCGCGCCTCTTCCTCGCCCACTTAGCCAACAACTCGAAATTCTCCTCCTCCACCGCCTTGGCGAAAATCCCGCGCATATAAGCCCCATACAACTGACAGCTCCGGCCCACCACCACGCCCCCCTTCTCTTCCGCAGCAGAAGTAGAATACACCACTCCCTTGGCGCGCGGGAACCCCTTGACGAGCAGCGACTTGCCGCGCGCGAGTTCGGGCTCCACCACGGAATCAAAGCAGTCCTCGCAAATGGTGAATTCTTTGAGGTGCGGGTGGTGGTGCCAGAGGACGTTGGGCCCGAATTGCGCGTCTTTGGGACACTCTTGCAGGCGGGCTTTGCGCTGGACGAAGTCGGTGAAGGGGGTGGGGTCGGTGGGCGTAGATTGCTGCTGGCGGCGCGTGGTGTCGTGGAGTTTGGACAGGTGGGTGATGTAGGGTGTGAAGCGGGTGGAGGTTGTGCGGAGGGCGCATTTGCGGGGTTGGGTTGTAGAGGTGGAGGTGCGGTTGGGGAGGGGTACGAAGAGGCCGTAGAGTGTAGGCATGAGCAGCTCGAGTTTGTCCACGTCTGCTCTGCACACGCTGAAATGCGGGATGTAGTAGCCGTCGCGGTCTTTGACGCCGTACGTGGCTGCGGAGCGATGGTGGTGGTGCAAGCTGCTTTCGCCCGGGCAGTCGCCGGCGTCTTGGACGGCGGCGATGCCTTCGAGGAGTTTGATATCCGGGCGCTGGCGTGCTAGTGTAAGTTGCCAGGCGAGGCGAACCCAGGGGTCGCCGCCTAGGGCACAAAAGGTTTCTTTTTCGGAGGAGCGCGGCGGGCTGGGGCGGAAGTTGAGCCGGTAGACTGTGCGGTCCATGTGGGAGATGCATTCTGGACAGAAGTCGAGGGAGGAGGTGCTCTTCAGTGAGTACCAGTCGGAGTACCCGGCGACGGGCTTCGCGCGTGGGCATGGGGGAAGACCTTTCTTCAGGAGGATGGGAAGATCTTTCTTTGCTTGCGATGGGTTGTTGAATGATGATGTCCGAATGTGTTCAGTGGGTCGGGACTTCTCGGGTTGTGCGGGTCTTTCCATGCCTGACAGATCGGTGACCGAGCGGCGTGGTGGATAGGAGGGCCGCGGTGGCCGAGAAGCGCTGAAGGTGGCGCTGGTGGGAAGTGGTGAGGCAGCGCGAGACACTGGCTTTGCCTCTTGCGCAAAGGGTGGCTGCAGGCTGGGCTTGGGGTCCGGGAAGAACTGGTGGTGACGCTCGGAGGGCATGACCACGCTTGGACTCCATGGACCATCGTCGACGGGGTACGGCAGGCTCGCAGCTCTGTTCAACGGAGCTTGGCCATTGTCATCTCGGGGAGAAGTTGGTGCGAACTCCTGGCGAAGCGAAGCCACGCGAGCTGGTTGTCGTGACGGCCGGGCTGCATTGGCGGCGAGGACTGCATTCCAGTCCAGGTCAGTCTTGGGAAGTCGGGCAGACTCTGTCGATATTCCGGCGGGAGACGATGGTCGAGATCCAGAGACTGAGCCTGCTCTGGACGCGGGTGAGCTGTTCAAACTAGGGTTACGATGGAATTCGGCACTCGTGCGTGGACTTTCGGGTGGAGTGGGGTTCCGCTGTCGACCGGAGAGGCTTCCAACCGGCGATGGGTTCTTCGAAGATGAAATGCTCGCATTTCTTGAGGATGGCACAGGCAGCTCGGCGGTCGATCTGTGGGCGGTGGGCGAAGCATAGATCGGCGAGCCAGTTAGATTAGGAATGCGTTGTGCAGTGTCGAGCGGTGCTGGCCGTCTGTTCTTGTCGACATTCAGCCTGGGCATCGAGGCATCCGTATCGGTGTTCCGTCGAGCGTCCAAGTGAAGTCTTCTGGGCGGAGCCAAGCTGGGTTGCGCAGCAAAATCCTGTACCTTGGTCTTTTGAGTGCTTTGAGGTGCTTCCGGTCTGGCGGAGGGGTATGTCGATGGCTTTCGCCGTCTTGATTTGGAAGCAGAGTCGCTTGTGTCGTAATCGGTATCTTCCACCGCACTTTCATTGGAGGACGATGAGAAGTAGTCATTCCCCGTCTTCGACTTCGGTGAGCGTGCCGGCATCTCTCGGACCGGGGACGTAGGCTGCGATCTCGAAGAGTATTGCCGTTGTGGGCGGCCGTGAGACGTGGCTGGTGGTGGGCTTAGGAGAGTGTCAGGCGATAGGAGTCGTTCGGGAGCCGATCCTTCTCGCGCCAACCCGCGATCCTTGGTGTAGGAGTACGGGCTTGCTACTCGACCGCCAAGCTCGGGCACGACCTCTTTTGGCGAGTCTTTGAGATTGATGTTGAGTCTTGAAGGCCGACGAGAGGCCTTCTTCGCTTTCTCATCGTCACTGGTCGGTGGGGTTGCCAAAGCGGATGGTCGAGGGGCGGCGGGTGCCTTCTTGGAGTCGTGCCGGGGAGTGGTAGCATCCTGGATGACCGGCTCTTGGTCGACTGTGCCTCGGAGGACAGCCTCATCCCTGCCAATGTCCTTTAAGAGAAGGTGGGATCCAGCTTCCTTGGCTAGAGAAGTGATTTCGTCTTCGCAAATTGGAGTCGGCGGTCGTGGTCGAGGGCTTCGTTGTCGACTTCGGGAACGGGAGCGATGCCGAGACGCATCATTGGTTGGAGGCAGGAGGGAAGAAGAAGAGCGACTAGTTGACTTTGATCGAGCTTGATCGTCTCTGCTGCTGTGGCGGCTCTCACTTCTTCGTCTGCTTTTCTCATAATTTGGACCGCGTGCGGCTTCTGGCGTTAGGAAAGAGCGAGATCTTGATTCGTCATGGCGTGATGGGGGAAGTCGTGAGTCGTAAGGATCATGATAGGAAGCCATTCGGGCTTCTGAAGGTCATTGCCAGCGATGAAAAGTACATAGAAACCAAGGATGAAGCGAGGAGAAGAGATGAGGTCGATGGAGAGCGAGGTGAAGTGATGGAAGCAAGAACAACGTCAACACGCGACTCCGCAGAAAATCACTTCACCCGCAGCATCTGCAAGGGAATGGGGTTGAGAAGTTCCACAATTAGCCACACGAAGAGGCGGAAACGAGGAGGTGGAGAGACGGTGGTGGAGCCAAGTACGCAAGAGTTATTGCTTTCTGCATGCACGCACCGCCCGCCCGGACTCGAGCTGCTGCACCGCACACCGCCCAGAGCGTGGCTGAACGGACGAGAAGCGTGGGAAGGAAGCAAAAGAACGCGCTTTGGGGCTGTGTGATTGGGGTTCCTGATGCGGGATCGGCGGCTTGTCATGCACGCTCACGCCCCAACGCCCGCGCGTGGCGAGTCGGAGGAGGAGGCGCAGTGCACTGCCGGAGCATGCGGAGGCAGGATTGACGACGTTCATGCATCCAAGCATCGCCCAGGATTGTCAATAGAATCAATGCTTGACGGAGTGTTAATTGCTGCCCTACGAACATCTTGCACAGGAGTTTCTCGATCTGCTGCACATATCCGTTGTTGGGCTGCCAGCAAGACACAGCGTCTACCTCGCACTGCATCTACATCACTCCTCATCCATCAGGGCAGGACATCGATATCACTCCACCTTGAGCTAAATACGGCAGATCATGCCTAGTTTGATTCACGACTGAACCCGTCGTTGGTAAGAGAGATGTTCAATTGTAAAAGTCAAGACATCCTGTCGAATCCTGCACGTGACGACACGACTTGTCGTTTTCTTATGTTTCGACGACGGACCCAGCCTGTATAATGCCTTTCAATGTCTCTGCCATGAATGTCCTTATGCCAATCGAAGCTTCGAGCAGGGATTTCCAATACCCATTGACCCCGTCCACTCTAGGCATGAGCATGCGACGGTCGTACAACGCTGTTCGGTCCAGGAATGTGGAACGAGTATCCTCTGGCAAACGTGACACAACATCCAAGCCGATCCACTGTTTCCACGTCACGCCGGCAGCGCATGAACGGGGACTCAGGGCCGATATGTGCTGACAACAGCGTCACACCACATTGGGGTCTCCGCTCACCTACCTGCTTACCACCGAGAGTTCCGCCGTGCCGGAGATCTGTTCGAAGCCACTCGCCGTGTTGTCACCACGGAAATCGCTACAACAGTCGTCAGCATGCAGTCATCTAGCGGATGGAAGGTAGACAGCACGCACCTGCCCATCCCATTGCCAAAAGCTCCCGGAATCCGCCGGCGTCTTGCTCTCCACCACTCCAATACACGCACCGACGCTCTCCTCCACCGACATCTGCCCAACGACATCCCATCCCAGGTCAAGATTGGCCATATCCGTCGCCACCTCGCCCGGGTGTACGGCGAGGACAGTGGTCGTCGTATTGCCCTTCCGCTTCAGTTCCGCCGCCATATGCCGCAGGGCTTGATTGAGCGCTGCTTTGCTGGCGGCATACGCAGCGAAGCCATCCTCAAACTCGTTGAAGCGTTGCGCTGACCCGCTGTCGCTCGAGATGAAGACGAGGGTGCCGATGGGGATGCCGGCGTTGAGGAGCTTTTGGGCGCAGATGATGGGGCCGATGGTGTTGGTGTGGAGGTGGAAAGCGAAGTCGGCAAACGAGCTGGGATGATGTTACTTACTGAATATTCATTACTTCAGATTAAAGTGTGTTGCCTACAGCTCTGTTGCTCGATTGGGGTATCTGAGCACGCCGGCGTTGAGGACGACATAGTCGATGGCCTGACGTTGGTTCACGGTGACGAGGTCGGACACGAAGCTCTAGGCGTGATAATATGCATCAGGCTTCGTCGTCAAGGGGCAATCGAGATGTCATACACTGATACTCTCTTCACTCGTGACGTCGCAGTGGAAAGCCTTACACGCGTGGCGCTGGTCGGCAAAATACGAGGTGGTATCGCCCCGAATGGTTGCGTAAACTCGGTCGCCACGCGCGAGCAGTTGTCTGACGAACTCGTGACCGATGCCGCGAGAAGCACCCACAATTAACCAAGTCTTCTGTGCATTAGCCATGGGTAAGAATAGTGAGTGGCCAACAGCAGTCTCATGCGCAGATGGGCGCAGGAGGTATGTGGCGTCAAGGAAATCGTTGACGCCGACATTACCCGACGCCTCGCCCCGTGCGCCGCTGGGAAACGGCGGACCATTCCGGGACGCATCATTGGCCGGTTTGGGGCGAGTTGGCGGCAACGAAGCTGGCGCCGTTCCAAACTGCCACTTTTTTCTCTTTTACATCATCCTAATCCTACACACGACCAGCTTGTATCGACTCTCCTTCCTCACTCTCGCAACACCACCGCTACACCCATATTCCCATCCCTCCACACATCACTTCACAATGGCCAAGGGCGGCGACAAGAAGAAGGGCGGCGATGGCTTCTCAGAGGGTATGCTTTCTTTTATCCCATGAACCCCCGTGGCGGATGCTGGTCGGGGAGGTGCCATGGCATATCCTCGCTCTGCAACACCGCGACAAGCTCCGGATGATCATGCGAGCGACTTCCAAAGCCTTCTCCGCCGCATCCGGCCCCTCACATCCAATCGCCACACCAGCCATCTTCGAACTCCCAGCTGACCTCACCTGTGACAGGCGACACCAAGAAGGGCGCCAACCTCTTCAAGACCCGATGCGCACAATGCCACAACCTCAAGGAGTCCGAGGGCAACAAGATCGGCCCCAACCTCCACGGGCTGTTCGGCCGCCACACCGGCTCCGTCGAGGGCTTCTCCTACACCGATGCGAACAAGCAAAAGGCTATCGTATGGCAGGAGGATACTCTGGTACGTGGCGTGCAGCATGAGGAAGAGAAGAGGACCCAGCCGGCTAACGTGTACGCTACAGTTCGAGTACCTCGAGAACCCCAAGAAGTACATCCCCGGCACCAAGATGGCGTTTGGCGGGCTCAAGAAGGCCAAGGACAGGAACGACCTGATCACCTTCTTGAAGGAGGAGACGGCTTAAATGTCGCACATCATCACAAAAACAACCTTCGGCTACCTGAACCTGAGTCTGTAATACTACCTACCTACCTCCCAACCAACGACACCCTTCCTTCGACCTCGACCGCATATCCATCATGCACACCAACCCCTTGCTCCTAGCGAATCTGTCTTCTGGTGTTTGGGGATGGACTGGATTGGCCCGCATCGATTTGGATGGCGGGCCGCCAATTTGAGTGCGTACGTACTCCTTTGGTGTGTGTGTTGGTTTGGTGCTTGCATAACTGCTGTGTATAAATCTCTTCACTCCAGTCTTCCTTGCTTTCTCTTCACTTGTAGCTTGGTTTCAGAGCACGTGCACTGCGACAAACGAGTGCAGGTCGCTCCTTCCTCATATCGTTCCCTTCGCGTCATGCGGCAGGTTCCGGCTGCCTGCTGCTTCCATGTTTCATTCAGTTGTCTCAACGCATGTGAGTATTGACCATTTCCCCTTTTTACTTCGACTTTGCCACACACAACCTTTCTCTTCTTCCACACTTCTCTTCTCTTCACTTGTGTTCCCTCACTTCTCCTTTCATCCTTCATCCTTCCATCCACGAACACCGTGCTCAAGGCCGGAAGCCTCATCTGCAGCATCTCGAAGCCACCGAACAGCGACCAACGTCATCATGGCCAGAGGCAAGTGGTCCAACGGCAACATGGGTGGGCATCACTACGCCCGCAAGATCACCGTTCCTGAGGGCATGGAGTGAGTGCTGCTCCTTCTTCGCGCTCCCAAATGCCTCGCACGGAGACTGACACCCAGAGCAGTATCAGGTGTGCTTGGTGCAATGGTGAGCCAGCGGAGGCCCTCGAACCTGATAAGCCATGATATTGACGGTGACTCTTAGTCAAGAAGAACAAAGGTGCTTTCTCCCAGAAGAGCATTGATCAGATTGAGGCCAGGATGTCCGACGACAGGAGCTTTGATCCGGCCGAAGATGCGATTGTGCCGTGCACCTGGTGCAGAAACGGTGGCGGCGACGAATACAAGTGCAATGGCTGTAAGCTTAACGTCTTGAAGCGGCACTGGGAGTACCTACTGACGACGGCGCAGGTAACAAGTGGATGGCCAAGACCAGATTCTCCAGGCAGGAGCGCAACAGTGAGTCAAACTTAGATGAATTGGTGCTCTTGACATCAAACTGACAAGCTGATCTCTTTCCAGAGGACGATCGCAGTATGTTGACCGGTCGGAACATCATCCTGGCTATTGGTATCACTACTGACTCCAGCCGCTCAGGATGTGTGCCGTGCGTGGACGAAGATATGGCCTCCGACCATGACAACAACTCAGGCCATGATGACGAAGGGGGCGAAGACGAAGACAACGTGGGCGGCGGCGGTGGGAGCACCAATGCTGGAACAGGCACCCTCGCCAGTGGTCTCAGCGCCATGAGCGTCTCGGACAACCAAGCCGGTGGAGTGGCACTTTCGAATAGCGCAGGCTCCGACTACGGAACGAACACGAGCACCCACTGGGCCAGTGGCACTTCTACCGGCGGAGTCCTGGTCGGCGCCCCTTCCGCTCCAGCCACCTTCAACAGTAGTCGAAGCAACGGCTTGCCAGGCGGCTTCAACCCCAACGGCTACAAGAGTTCTTCGAAATCCGCGGCCGCATCCACCTCCCGGCCCTCCGGATTCGCCAAACCGAACAAGGTGAGAGGTTCCCGTCTCCCCCGTCTTTCCACGTGGTGTACTCACTATCGACAGGGTCCGAAGCGCAACCCGGCAAACAATAATGGAAGTCACGCCGGAGGTGATGAGGGAGGGGTAGACCGCCTGGATGGTTTGTGTGCTGAAGAGTCCGAGCCGGAGAGTGAGGAAGACTGAGTGCAAAAATGGTGTAATACCGGGGCCGAATCGCGACGGGAAGAGACTCATTACATCCTGTGCGTTCGTTTCTCAGTCCAGAGCGTCACTGTTCTAAGTTCGGACAGGCCGATGACGAGATGAAATATCTGAGGTGGGGGAAGGTATGCGGTATGCAGGAATGGTTCTTCAGCGATTGAAGGGTGGCAGCTTCTCATCCCTACATGGGGACATACTAGCTGCTCTCCAATAGGAGGAGTCTATGAAACGGACAACATTCTCTCATTTCTCTCTATCAACCAACAAGATCAACCTTAGCCGTCGCCCCATTAGTCTCCCTCCAAGCCCCTTCATCCTTAACGCTAACCTTCGCCGCCGCGCCCCCAGCCTGCTGCTCCTCCCAATGCAACACCTCCGCCTGCTCAATGCACCGCATATTCGCCGCCAGCTTGTTCAGCGTCTCCTCATACTCCTCGCCCTCATCCGAATCAAACACAATCCCGCCGCCCGCCTGCAAAAACGCCGTCCCGCCCTTGATGAGCATCGTGCGCAGCGCAATGCACGTGTCCATGGCACCTTCTTTCTCCTCGCCTGAAGTGACGTCCACAGAATCGTATCCGAAATACCCGACGGCGCCGGCGTAAATGCCTCTCGTCTCGCCTTCCAGCTCAGCAATGAGTTCCATCGCCTTCACCTTGGGCGCACCAGACACCGTTCCAGCGGGGAAGATGGAGCGAAAAGCATCGAAGCGCGTCTTGCCCGGGCGGAGAATGCCGCTGACTTCGGACACGAGGTGCTGCACGTGGGAGAACTTCTGCACGACCATGAGCTTGTCGACGCGGGTGGAGCGCGGGTCGCAGACGCGGTTGACGTCGTTGCGCGCCAGGTCGACGAGCATGACGTGCTCGGCGCGGTCTTTGAGGCTCTGGCGGAGTGTGGCGGCTAGGGCGGCGTCTTCCTCTGGTGTGCCGCCGCGGCGGATGGTTCCTGCTATGGGATGGTTGATGATGCGGCCTGCTTCTTCTTTCACGAGGACTTCGGGGCTTGCGCCGACGATTTGGAAGTGCTGGCAGTCGAGGTAGAAGAGGTAGGGGGAGGGGTTGACGGTGCGGAGGTGACGGTAGATGTTGAAGGGGTGGAGGGTGGTGGGGCGCGCGATGCGCTGCGATGGCACGGCTTGGATGATGTCGCCGGCGACGATGTGCTTTTTCAGTCGCGTGACGTGCGCTTCGTAGCCGTTGCGGCCGATGTTGGAGGTGTATTCTTGTTGGAGCTGAATTGGGGGTTGTGGAGGGAGGGGAATGCCGGGGGTTTTGAGAATACGGAGGAGGTCGGCAATGGTTTGACGGGCGGCGGTGTATGCCTGCTCCAGATTCGACTTCGGCAAATTGATGTCGGGGAGGTGAAGGTATGCGATGACGGTGACCTTTTGGAAGAAATGATCCACGGCCACCACGGTGTCGCAGAGCATAAAGAGACTCTCGGGCACCTCGACAATGTCTTTTAACTCTCTCTTGGTCTTGGGCTCGAAGTACTTGACGCAGTCGTAGCCCACGTACCCGATCGCTCCGCCTGTGAGAGGTGGAAGGCGTAGAGACGGCACCTGGGCGACACGGTATTCGGATAGTTCGGCATTGAGGCGAGGAAGTGGATCGGCCTCGAGGCCATGTTTGGGGCCGGAGAGGAGGACTTTGCGGGGAGAAGCGCCAATAAAGCTGTATCGACCAATCGTCTCGGAGGTTGCGGCGGACTCGAAGAGGAAAGAGAAGTTGCTGTTGGAGCTGGCGGCGATCTTGAGGTAGATGGCGGAGGGAGTCAGGAACTCGGAGGAGATCGAGGCGCAGACTGGGAAGAGGTTGGGAGGCTTCGACAGCTTCTTTGATCGTTCTAGTAGTGTATGGATCTCGTCTAGCGACGGCTGCACGTTTATCTACGAGATGAGGTCAGTCCACGTCAACTCAATGGTGGTGCTCACGAGGGGTGTGATGAGACGAACGTTGGCCGCCATCTCGCGAGATGCTTGTATGGTCAGGGAACCGGTCTAGGAGAGGACAGGAAGATGAAATTAGCACACATCAGTCTCTAGGCGGAGCATTGCAAAGATGGATCAACACAAAACTCGACAATGTAAGAAATGCAGCGCAGTGTGTCACGCCGCATGTCTCGGAATTTTGGAAAGCTCGAAGTGCCCCCAATCCGGCCTAGCGCACTAGCCACTGGACAGCCACAGCAGGGGAAGCTGCACGCGAGCATGGCGCCTAGCGTCAAAGGTTCGTCATCAGCCACGCCAATTTGTGTCCAACCAAGGCAGGTGCGATCTTGGAATGCAGCCCTGCCCGCCTGCCACTCTTCTACTGTATCCTGGCCTGGTCAAAGTCACGAGGCGGGGCAGTCTATCCCACTTCACCTTCTCTTGTGCAACCTCACCTTCTCTTCTTCTTTTACATCACCTTCACCTTCTCAACTTGCCTTGCTCCCTCTCCCCGCCACGATCACAAGAGCATGCGCAACGCGCACAACCGCGTCTAGACCCGTCCACCCACAATCTTCCCTTCTCGCACCACCGTCGAAACTGCGCACATTCACCGAAATGGCGACAAACGCACCCGCCCACTACCCTACCAATGCCCCCATCACCCCCGCCAAAGCCCAACCATCAGACTCAAAGCGCCTCCGCGACTCTCCCTTCAGCGACTACTTCACTGACGACGGCCGCAGCCCCGGCCCCGACGACAACAGCAACCACCTCACCGTCCCCTCGCCCGAAAAGCGGCAACTGCTCGTGCGCCTCAACAGCCTGCAAACCCAGCTCATCCACGGCGAACACGAATCCGAACGCCAGACGCTCGACATTGTGGAGCGCAAAGTGCACGAGATCGAGAACCAGCTGAACGCGCTGCACTCGCAGACGCGCATGCCGCCGGAGATGGAGGATTCGGGGTTGTTCATGGAGGACGATGACGAGGAGGAGGAGCAGGAACGGAATGGCAGTGGACATCACCATCATCACACCGTGACCCCTGCACAGAAGCAGGCCGAGGCAGACTTTATCCTCCTCGAATCTCAACGCGTCCTCGAGTCAGTCACAAAAGCCAATGAACAGCTGCGTCAACGCCTCGCGGAAACGAAAACCTTGCATGAAACGCACCTAGTCGAGCTGGAGGCACGTGACCACGAACTCGCTATCTTGCGTGCGGAGAGAGAAGCTCTACAGTCGGACCTCGAGGCCAACAACTCGGAACTACTCTTCTTGCAGCTGCAGTTCAAGGCGCTGGAGAGGGAAGTCGAAGCTATGGACGTCGGAGCGGCGAGGCTGGAGACGTACGCGCCCGAGCTGAGAGAGGACATCCAACGCGTGAAGAGAATGCGAATCGCAGAAGAAATGGGCAAGTGGAGCAAAGATTGGGAGGGAGTGGGAGCTAGAATGGCGAAGAGGAGGGAAAACGCGTTTGGCGAAGGAGTCAACAGCTCAGCAGGGGGAGAGGGCGAAGAATGGCAGCTTGAGACTGTCAAGCAGGAGGACGGGAAGGGCAAAGTGGCCAGCATCACCGTCCGGCGTGTCGAGGGCAGCCATCAGCCTCCTACGTTGGATGACGCGGAGATCAAGGAGGTCGGAGCTGCCGAGATCACCCTACCGACCGAAAGCGAAGGGGAAGAAGTCATTCTCATCCAAGAAGATGCAGAAGGCGCAGCAGAGGGAGCAGAAGAAATCACGCACATCGAAGCCATCGACTGCGCAATCACCACCTCATCCGACGACGACGACGAAGAGAACGACGATACGTTTACGATTACGCGCAAAGGAAAGGCCGAGTCCGTCGCCTCTGGGCGCAAAACAGCGTGGCAGGAATTATGGGACGGTCTGGCCGTGTTGGCAGGCATGGGGGAGGAGAGATTCTAACGTGATCCTTGACATGACACGATGCATGATGAGGTTACGAGCCAGCCATAAGCTCAAAAGCAAGCAAATGAAATGAAATATTCTCTATACACATCCCGCAACTCAGAATCAGAGAGACCGACCGATGTATACAAAAAAGGCCAACTCATGCACTCGTATCAATCAAATCCCCCGCATCATCCTTCTTCTGCCCCGACGAACTCCCGTCTCCATCCTGCTGCTGCTGCTTCTTCTTCCCATCCTGCTCGCCATTCTGCTGCTTGCCCTCTTCCCCATTATCCCTCGTATCCTTGTTTCCCCCCGCCGCCGACTTCTTCCCCTGCCTCTGATAAAACTCATCCAACACCTTCTTCGGAATGCGATTGAGCAGCTCCTTGGGGTAAATGCGCAACAACTCCCACGCCATATCGAGGCCGTCGAAAATACTCCGCTTCTCGTACGCGCCCTGGTTGATATACGTCCGCTCAAACTTCTCCAAAAACTCGAGGGACAGCTTGTCCTCGCTCGACAGCGCCTCCTCGCCCACCACGGCCTTCATGGAGGCCGCGTCTTTGCCGATGGCGTACTTGGCGTACAGCTGGTTCGACACGTCCGAGTGGTCTTTGCGCGTGTGGCCTTCGCCGATGGCGGATTTCATCAGGCGAGAGAGGGAGGGGAGGACGTTGATGGGTGGGTAGACGCCTTTGTTGTGCAGTTGGCGGTCGACGAAGATTTGGCCTTCGGTGATGTAGCCTGTAAGATCGGGGATGGGGTGGGTGATGTCTGCGAAGATGGAGTTAGTAGATGGCCTCATGTTTGGCACTGGATGGATTTGGCTCACCGTCGTTGGGCATGGTCAGGATGGGGATTTGGGTGATGGAGCCGTTCCTGCCCACCACACGGCCCGCTCGCTCGTAAATGGTGGACAAATCGGTGTACATGTAACCAGGGTACCCTCGACGACCCGGCACCTCCTCTCGCGCGGCAGAGACTTCTCGAAGGGCGTCGCAGTAGGAGGATAGATCGGACATGATGACCAGCACGTGCTTCTCCAGTTGGTAAGCGTAGTATTCGGCGGTGGTGAGGGCCAGACGAGGAGTGATGATGCGCTCGATGCTGGAGGTGGCATGTTAGCAACGCTCAATAATTCATTGATCCTTGACGAAGATACTCACGTCGGATCATTGGCCAAGTTCAAGAACAGGGTGACCCGCTCCATACTACCATTCTCCTCGAAATCACGAGTGAAGAAACGGCTCGTCTCCAAATTCACACCCATGGCACCAAAGACAATGCTGAAGTTCTCCTCATGGTTGTCATGCGTGCCCTTATTCTGCTGCTTATCCTGCACCAATCCAGCCTGCCGACAAATCTGCGCTGCAATTTCGTTGTGCGGCAAACCGGCAGCGGAGAAGATGGGGATCTTCTGGCCACGAGCAATGGAGTTCATGGTGTCGATGGCGGAGATTCCGGTGGAGATCATCTCCTCGGGGTACTCGCGGGCGTAGGGGTTGATGGGGGAGCCGTTGATGTCGAGGTAGTCTTCGGCGAGCACTTTCGGGCCTTTGTCGATGGGGCGACCGCTGCCGTCGAACACGCGGCCCAGCATGTCCTCGCTCACGCCGAGTTTGAGGTTGTGGCCCGTGAACTCGACTCGTGTCTGGAGGGGGAGGTCAATATGATTACAGGCTACGAGGTTGTGGAGTTGAGACCGACCTTCTTGACGTCGATGCCAGAAGTGCCTTCGAACACTTGCACAACAGCTCGGTTTCCTGCCATACATCTCCATCAGCATACACAACCCAGACGACCAGCAAATGAAACAACGGCAAGACTCACCTCTCGCCTCCAACACCTGTCCACTCCTCTCCGAGCCATCGGGAAGAGTCAAAGAGACAATCTCATTGAAGCGCGGGAATTTCACCTGCAGACATCCCAACCACCCGTCAGTAACCGTATCTTCACAACACCTCTACTCCTCACCATGCATGGGAAAGACGTACATTCTCCAGGATGACCAAAGGCCCATTGACGCCGCCAATGGTGTTGTACCGTATGCGCGGCTTGATGGACATGGGCCGGTGCCCGGCTTCCTTGTCGCCCGCCATTGTCGCTGCAGTCTTTTCTCTTTCTTGGATACCAGCAGGACGGCAAGTCGGTGCTTCCTCGAGTAGGGCGTGGCTTGGAGGGGAAATTGGAGATGGTCGCAGGGAGGATGAGAAGGTGGAAGGGCGATGGGGAGGAGGGCCAAAGATGAAGTGGAGGTGTCGTCAGTCGAGAAAGCCAAGCAAAAGCTCTCAGCCACGTGCCCCACCTTGGCCGTATACAGTAGTACAAGCACTACTACCGAATGCAGTGCAGAGATGTGATGGACACACTCACTCAAGTTTCCATTCTCTCACTAAACAATACAAGCAATTTTGATACACGGCAGCGTCTTCCACGCATCACCCCAGCCAACCAGCATCCGCAAAATTCAATCCTCGCTCCACGCCAAAACGTTCAAGAACAGACTAAGCCATCCTCCTCCTCTTCCCCTTCCCACTCTCCTCCTCCACCTCCTCCTCTTCCCCTCCACCACCATTGCCCCCAGCCTCGCCCCTCCACTCCCGAATCTTCGCCTCGACATCCTCCATCATCTCCCTCGTGAAGCCCACCAGCCCATCCTGCCCGGGATTGAACATGACCGCATTTGCAAACATCCGCATCACCTCCTTCTCCAACTGCCCCGCGTTGACAATCGCCTTGGGCGGCTCAACGTCTTCGCTGCGTTCGAGTTCCAATGTCGCCTCGCCCGTAGCAGGGTAAGTGTTCCTCCCAGGCGTCTCGGCGACAGAAGGCGACTCTCCAGCCGTGGCGGCGGCGGCAATGGCTCGCGTGCCGGCGCTGATGGCTGCGCGAATGCCCTTGAGGTTCTGCGGCTGCTTGATAATCTCGCTGTAGCCCGGAGCATCGCGGTCACGCACGGGATTGGCAAAGTAGGAAGCGTGCTTGTGGCTGTTGATGTCGTTCATGAGCGTCGCAGAGAGCTTATGGAAGTTGCGTGTCGCGATGACGGTGTTGGAGCGCGGAGGCGGTGTTCCGAGATCGTCGTAGTCTTCTACATGCTCGGGAATGCCAAAAGACGATTCGTGGCGCTTTCGTTTTGTAGGAGGTTGATGCGACTGCAAGGTTCCTCGTCGTTTACGAGTCATGCGCCCGACAGACGCCGGTTCTTGCGTGGTGTCCGGGGTGTCCTCGACAAATGCCGCCGGTGTTGATGGTTCGGCCTTGACGTTGCCTCTGCTGCCAGGACGGTCATCCGAAGGAGGCAATGCGCCCGCAGTCGTGCTAACAGATTGGCTACGCGTCATACGGGCCGATTCGTCGGCGGTCGAAGACACCACTGAAAGCGGACTACGCTCTCGCTTGCGTCTTGCACGTGAGCGAGCGGGCACCGACAGGCCGTCGGTCTCCTCCGGTTGCTCGGAGAAGGTACTTGGCCGATTTCGCGTGGACCGTGTTGCACGACCCGTTGGCTCGGTACGACTAGTCAGTGGGCTAAGAGGCTCGATCTCAGGCCGTGGCACCGGCGTCCCTCCAGTGATGGGGGGCAGACGCTTCTCGCTTTTCCACACCGCCTTGCGTTGCTGCTGTCTGGGTGGGGTGGCAAGGGCTGCGATTATATCCGAGACCATGCGTGAGTTGTCTGCTCTGGGAGGCTTGGATGCCGTGGATGGCGCGGTTGCGGGATGGGGTGCGTAGGCAGGGTAGCCTCCAGCATGGCCAGGAGCATGATGCGCTGGACTGTGCGGATGCTGCTGTTGCATGGCAAGCATTCTGGAATCCTGTGTTGCTGGTGGGTATGGCTGGTGTGGATAGTTTGCACCGTAATTCGGGTATCCAGGAGGCACTTGTGGCTGCTGAGCAGTTGGGTATGGCTGTCTCTGGTCTGGATACGGCGAATGTTGATAGGCGCCGGTGAGTGGGGGTGGCTGATTAGGTGGATGGCCTGGTGGGTACGCGTACGGTGGTTGATTCGGGCCTTGGTGCTGAGGTTGCGCGGGATATTGTTGATGGTACGGTGGCTGGTTAGCCAGATTCGGGGAGTGGTGCGCGGGGGAATGAGGTTGCAGTGTCATCGCAGTAGGAGGCGGTAGTACAGGCCGAGGAGAGGACGAAGGTCGGGACAGCGATTGCTGGACATTCGGGCTATTCACAACACCAGGGATCGGGTGGCCATGAGAAGGCATGTACGCCGCTTGATGTGCTGACGGAGCATGGTTGTATGCGTGTTGGTGGGCGGGTGGTGGTCCCGAAACCACCGACTCCGGCGCCATCTGCGAAAGAGGCGGAAGTGCGGTGTTGGACGAGTTTCTCCGGTGCTCACCAACCCCGTTTGGCGGTTCCGGGGTGGCATGGTTGATCAAGGCATCAATCTTGCTTGGATTGAGAGCTTTCCCTTCTGGAGAACCGTCTCTCTCCGCTACATCTACGCCATTGTCGCGTTGTGAACGCGACTCGTCCAACAGTACCGGAGTTGGCGTTTGCGAACCCGATTCAAGCTTGGACAGTCTCTCGTCCCATTTTCCGGCTTCAATGTCCTCGATGTCGCGGACCAAAGCCTCGTAGCGCGTCTCATGCTCTCGAATCTCCCGGACGGCATGCTCCCGATATCTCACATACAATCTCGTGACGAGCTGAGGGATGAGATGGGCATGCTGGCTGGCATCGTGCACAGTGGGCAGGGTGGGAGTGGCAGCCTTGCGCTTCCTCGAATTGGACGAGGCATCTCCATTCTGCAACGCCTTCTCGCGCTCCCACTGGCGATCAAGGTCTTTCCTGACCTCCTCTTTCAGCAACCACAAATATAATGCGCGTAGAGCATCGGGGCTCAGTCGGCCGGGGTCGTAGTGCGGGTGCTCGCGAACGACGGGCAGGCTTTTGAGCTGGTCGGAGATGCGATTGAAGACGGCGTGGGAATTGACGCCTTCAAAGCGAAGGGCTTGGAAGAGCAGAAGAGTCTCGAGGGGGGTGTAGGCGGTGGGAAGACTCATGAAGCCGGGGGAGGCTTGGGGCGTGCTTGCTTCCCTCGGACGCCGGCCGGGCGGCAGAGGAGAGGGAGGATGGATGGGAGCCAGGTCGAGCGCGAGTTTTCATGATCGAACGGGCGGGACGGGACACGGGATGATTAGTAGGGCATGTCGGGGGGGAGCGGTTGGGGGTGCGGCAGCAGGGCACGTGAGTTTTGCTGATGCGGCGGGTGGGGTTTGGATGGATTGTTTCCTCCGCGTCCACGTTTGCTGCCAGCTTTTTCTCTCGCCGTTTGAGGTGTCGGAATTGCGACCGCAGCGGTCGGCGGAGGGAAGGGGCGGCGGCCAAAAGTGGTGGGACGGCCAGGCATTTTGGCCGCGCTCGGCTCGTCTTTCCAGGGGTCGCCCTTTTGCCGCGATGAAGTCCGGAATGGGACTACCGTCGTTGCAATATCTGGCCCTAGCCTTGCGGAGCTCACAATTTATTCTACTCGAGACATCTGAACATTCATCTCGAAGCGTCAACATCGTGGTCTTGCAGTCGAGAGGCTCGAAAATCGCTTATGCATCCGTTCAACCCCTTGCAGATCCCCGCGCCTGCACAGACATGCACGCCCAGCAACCGCAGCTTGGACCCTTGCTGCATCATCAACCAAATGTCGTCTCAGCCGTTGCTCCCTACTCCATGGCCAACCATCCCTGAAAAGACAGCATCTCCGTACAATCCCTTTGCCGCACAAAACACTCCCATTGCTGTGGCAGAGCCACTACTCACACTCGTCAATTCCTCTCCTCAATTGCGCGAACCTTTGACAGTTGCGCTTCGTCTTGCATAGCCATGGACGCAAGAGGGGGAAGAAGGGAGGACAGCACAGCCCAGGCTGACTCGTATGTGCCTTCGACCTGACACCACGGCAGAAGGATGCAACACTTATGAGAAATCAGCTCCGTTGTCCAAAATTTCGCCACTGACCTCGACTCCATGTTCGGCCTCAGTCACGGCATCGCTACCCTGTCGCAAACCGTGGAGGAGAAGTGAGTGCCAGGACCGACGCTCCGCGACAACAGACTGACGACGAATGCCCGCTATACAGAAAGGCGAGTGTGAGCTCAGGGCAATCCGAGCTCGAGGCACTGGAAGCCAGACTGCGCGAGACAGAGGACAGGCTGCGGAAAGTGTCGAGGGGCAGCTCGCCGGCTCGACAAGCTGATGCCGGCGCTGCGACCTCCACTACTGCGGCGAAGCAGACCTCACCTCTCACGCATAGGCCTGCGTACCCGGACGGGAGACCTCCGAGTGCTAGCAAGAGACAGCAGGCCGGAGCGAACCGAGCAGATTCGATTGTGGACGATATGAGGGAGACGGCTCAAGCACATGCCTATAATGGAAGAGATGAATATGTCATGGTGGACCGGGGGTATGGACAATCGAGATAGAGAGCAGCGTCGCGTGCGCCGAGATGGTTCGCTTCAGCTGCGTTGACTTGGTGTCATCTAATACGACGGCCAGGCTGACCAAGACGAAGCGAAGCATGCTTTGCAGATGAACTCGCGTCGTGAGCCTCAGAGAGCAGTTATACGTATTTGCCCTTCTGTCCTTGAACTTCGATCCTTCCGTTGATCGTCGATTGATTGGTGGCAGTAAGCTTGAGAGTTCGATGTCCTGCCTTGCCGTATCTCGGATACCTCACCAAGATCGCTTTTCCAATGGAGTAGATGGCCCAGATCGCCCATACACGCCATCGCCGGCGAGATGGGCCCATTGGCGCTGCCACGGCGATAACGACGTGACATCATGAGATTCAATCTGACCCGCAAGGCTAGCGAAAGTCTCCATCTCCACTCTCTACTTGGCCCTCGACACAATCCTGGCTTAACAAGCGACACGGGATGTTCCACTGTCGCCCAATGCGATACAATGCTGAATACTTGTGTCCTTCTCGACGCAAAAGCTCGGCTTGCAGTAGCGTACAGTGCAATGAACACCTCCCAAGCTGCCGACAGACGCCACCTCAGAAGCTTGACTTCTCTCCAAAAGCCATTCGCACATCCCTTCCGAAGGACACGGTTTGACTTTCCCCTCCAGTCTTATCGCTCACGCCACCGGGGAAGCTGGCCCTCACCTCATGATGATAATGGCGGGAACATCGGAGCGCTAGCGGCGATTTTCAATCCCACCCCCCGCACAGGATGCGTGCACGACTGCTCAAACAGGCAGGCCCGAGGCTCGCGGGTTGATTTGTACCTGACCGCCATCACCAATCGATCGCAGCTCGGAGCTCCACTGCAACCTTCGGCCGCGTTTACGAGGACGACCTGTCCCGCGAGCTCTTTTCGCCGCCGCCACTTGGCGCGGGCAGGTACGACGTCGAGCCAGTGAGCGATGGTGAATCTCAATCCTGTAGCCTTTTGCCTTTCGAGGTGGATGCTCGAAGATGCTACGACGTCGATCGTGGGTGCAACCTTGAGCCTCCCATCCGCTCGCGTGAGCTCTTTTAAAGGTAGGTCGTCGTCGTTCATTGGCACCCTCTCCCTGCATTGACAAGCCGATATCCTGCTCTCCTTGCCCAGCATGTTGTTCAACAGTATTCTTGCGACAGCCACTCTCCTGCTGTCTTGCAATCCTCTCGTTTCTGCTCTCCTGGGTGGAAACAAGTTCCATTACATTGACCCGAAATGGGCAAAGCATGCCAAACGCGCCTATCTCCCGAAGCCGGCCACGAATGTGAGCACCTTCACTACCCCCACGGGTGTTAAGATCAGCTACAAGCTGCCGGGTGATGCTGGTATCTGTGAAACAACGCCGGGTGTCAAAAGTTTCTCGGGATATATCAGTTTAAGCCCTACTATACATACGTTCTTCTGGTAAGCGCTCGATGCAAGTCGACGTTGGAAGACAAGATTGACATAACGGTCTGTACAGGTTCTTCGAATCACGCTCGAGTCCTGCCAACGACCCTCTGACCATCTGGCTAAACGGCGGCCCCGGCTCGGACTCGTTGATCGGCCTCTTCCAAGAGAATGGACCATGTCGCGTGACACCAACCCTCAACACCACCCTGAACCCATACTCCTGGAACGACGTGTCCAACATGCTGTACATCTCGCAGCCCGTGGGAACCGGCTTCTCCTACCAAGAAATCGCCAATGGCTCGCAGGGCAACAACTACGCCGGGATCTTCCTGAACGGCTCGTCCAGCAAGATGTTCCCCGAAGGCACATTCCCCATTCTCGACCCCGATAACGTGGGCAACGTGTCAACGACAGACATGGCCGCCATCGCAGCATGGCACGTACTGCAGGGTTTCCTCTCCGGGTATGAGAAATTGGGTGCAGTCATTGGACAATCGAAGGAATTCAACCTCTGGACCGAGTCTTACGGGGGGCATTACGGGCCAGGCGAGTTAATCTGAGGGAGAACTGGTTCAGCTGCCTCAAAATTAATTGTAGCGGTCGATGCGTGGCACAGAATCCACCTGGTGGCAGCCTCGCGCAATTGGTCTTGGCACTAGACATGTTCTACCCGACACCCTTGAAGAGAGATCACAACACTTGCTAACCCTGCAACTCCAGCATTCTTCAACTACTTCCGCCAACAAAACGCAGCGATTCAGAATGGCTCGATGCCGGGCTACCCACTCAACTTCAACACTCTCGGCATTGGAAACGGCATCATCTCCGAATACATCCAGGCGCCCTGGTATCCGGAATTCGCAGTGAACAATACATACGGCATCAAGTGCTACAATGACACCGTGTACAACTTTGCCAAGTTCGCCGCCTACTGGCCGAACGGATGTCTGGCGCAGATCGAAGGGTGTATTCTGGCCGCCGCGCAAGCCGCTCCAGGAGGTGTGCTCAACGTCAGCGCGGGACAGGTCATTACGCAGCAGGCGCTCAAGTATCCGGAGATTGACACAGTCTGTTCGGAAGCGCAAGACTCATGCCGTGACAACGTTGAGACGCCGTACTACATCTACTCTGGACGTGGCGCGTACGATGTAAGTAGAACCTGAAGACGATTGCTCGATCGATTCTGATCTCGCACCAACAGATCCGCCACCCCTCCAACGACGCCACGCCCCCGGACTTCTTCGTTGAATACCTCAATCAAGCCTACGTGCAAGACGCCATTGGCGTTAGCGTGAATTACACCGAGTCCAACGACGACATCGGTCTCCTCTTCCAATCGACCGGCGACTTCATCTACCCCAACTTCCTCGCGGACCTCGAAGCCATCCTCGACGCGGGCGTGCGCGTCTCGCTCTACTACGGCGACGCAGACTACATCTGCAACTGGTTTGGCGGACAGGCGGTCAGCCTTGGCCTCAACTACACGCACGCCGCGCAGTTCAGGAAGGCGGGATACGCGCCGTTGATGTATGGTGGCACGCAGTATGGCGAGGTGAGGGAGTATGGCAACTTCTCATTCACGCGGGTGTACGAGTCAGGGCATGAGGTGCCTTACTACCAGCGTGAGTCTTAACAGCGTATGTTTGAGATGACGGCAAAAGGCTGACGAGGATGGTGACTACAGCTCAAGCGGCCCTCGCCATTTTCAACCGCACGCTGCAGCTCGTCGACATTGCCACGGGGTTGAAGAAGGTGACTGATACACTTGGCAGCACCGGGCCCATCACTGCGACGGTAAGAATTTCTAGGGAGAACTTGTTGGGCTGCTTCGAGATCACCCTCAATTGAGACAGAAGCATTTGCTAATCCTAAACTCGCAGCACACGGAGACCGCACCGACACTGGCGGCTGCGAGCGGCGCGCCGCATTCGGCCTGGGCTGCGTCCATCCGGAAGAGTTACGAAAGCGATGATCTCAAGCCACTGCCATCGTCCTTGAGCGCGGTGTAATGATGTCGTTGTGGTGGAGCTGGGCAGATGATGAGCTGGTGGTGTCATTGATAGCATGACCATCGATTTAATCGCAGTGCTCCGCCGTCAGATATCATACTCTCTGCCGGTCCCACCACGGCGGCGTCGCCGAGTCACATAAGCTGAAGATCTTGTCGATCCGAAGCTTCATCGAGTCTGTGCCGCGGCACCCTCTGACTCGACCACGTGATCGAGTACTGAGGTAACCTGCCGCGGCGATGCGTTATTGAAGGCTACCCCATGCATGGCGTGAACACGGTATTTGCTCTGCAAGAACCTGATGATCGATAGTCGCAACTGCCCTCACCACGTGCCACGCTAGACCCCACGCGGTGGAAAAGCTTCCATTGAATCTTCGCCGAATCGCGCGTGGCGTGGCTTATTGGCTTATCGTTACCGCACCTGTCCGCAACGGCCTCGAACACTTTTGGCTTTGCACGGGGTGCAATCCTACACTACTCTCGATTTATAGTTTCCCTCCCCATGGCCTAGATGACTTGCTTCTCGCACCCGCCTGCGCCCCTCTCCGCGCCCCTCTCCCTCCCTCGATTCACGCCCATCGACATCCCCGGCATCCGCGCCGCCAGCGAGATGCATAAGGAGGCCATAGCTAGTCCAGCCACACACGCCGACATCCCCAGCCGATAGCGATGGTGAAGCTACTCGTGGAGTCGTGGATATGGTGGTCGGTGGTGATGGTGGTGGCCATAAGCCGATTGTAAGGGATGAAGTTCTCCAACCTCCCGAGTTGCATGGCTAACACAGATGCCCGCATTCCAGTGCCTCACGGCGAATGACCCTCGGCTCCTTTCGCAAGTTCCAGGCCGATGACTACCTCATGCTCCTCGCCCTCTGCTTCTACACCACCCTCATCTCCACGATCAACATCGTCCGCTACACCAACTCCAACCTCCTGCCGCCCGGCTTCAACATCAACACAATCACCCCGCACGATAGAGCACAGCGAGAGTATGGAAGCAAGTTGATCCTAGTGGTGGAACAATGCCAGTGCGCGACCGTCTGGCTCGTCAAGGGCTGCCTCGTCCTCCTCTACCTGCGCCTCACCTCCGTGCACCGCGAAAACATCCTCATCAAAATCCTCGGCGCCTATGTCGTCATCACCTTTGTCGTCATGGACATTCTGTACTTTGGCGTCTGGTGCCAGCCCTTTCACGAATACTGGGCGGTTCCGACCGACTCGAGTCAATGCGATGCGGCGACGAACCATCTCATCACCAACGCCTGCTTCAACCTGAGCTCCGACGTGGCCATGATACTCATCGTGCTCCCCATCTTCCTGCGCATGCGACTCCCGTGGCAAAAGAAGATTCCCTTGATCTTCGTCTTCAGTCTCGGCCTGTTCACCATTCTCGCCGCGATTTTGAACAAAGTGTACTCCTTTTCAGATCCCTTCGGCTCCCTTTGGACATATTGGTACACCCGAGAATCCTCCACAGCGCTACTCGTAGCCAACCTCCCGTTCGTCTTCACTCTTTGGATCAAGATCCCCGGTCTGAGAAAACTCATCGGATACTCAAAGACCCGGTCTCGGAAAACGGGCTTCGACGACACCGGGCCGTCCGCGGTGAAGTCACCCAAAGCCAGCCAAGCCGGCATCGACGATTGGATGATGGAGGACGGCACGGAAGAACGGATGAAGGAAAGCGGCGACATGACGTTCGCGGAGATGTTGAGCGAACGCAATCCCGCAGCTATGGATTCGAAGGAGCCCACGCCCATCACACATCCCGGCTTATTCTACTCGAAGAAGCAGCCCACCTTTGCGGAAGACGATATTGATGATGAGATTAAGATGGTGCATCATTCTATTTCCAAGGAAGATGGCAGACCTGCGAGCAGTACCTTGCAGTCTTCTGATTATACTTCCGGCCGCAGTAATACGTCTGCCGGGTCATGAGTGATGCCAATGGGCTTGGGAGTTGCTTTATACTGAATTGGAAGGGCTTCGTCTTTCTAGCGTGGAGTATGGGCCAGCGCAACTTGCGAGTATCTGGCGCATATGGACTCGAGATACCCCTTTGTCAATGTCATATTACCTCATCTTCACTGCTGCCGCCTATGCACTTCGATCATTCGGGATCATCTTTATATTATCAGCGATGATGTCGAAGTCTAGCCATCATCATAGCAAGCCCCGCAGCACCGTTTCCCCGGGCCGAGTCGTAGCCAGCCCGGTCGGATGCTTCTTGTCGACAAATATAGTATCATGCAAGCAGCCTGCGACCCGCATAACCGTTGTCCGTCATCAACTGCCCGGAGTCGCGGCTCGGATGTCAAGGTGACGTGAATTCCCCATGGAGTGTGGAGTGTCGGGAGCAGCCGGGCGGCTCGTGGCTGGGCCTCCCCACAAAATCCTCCTACGCGAAGTGCCCCCCAAGCCGCTTGCCATCCCCCTTTCAACCACCGAATAAACAAAGGCGCAACAATTTTACGGCCAAGCGAGCAGGCGTTCACTCGAATGTGGGAGTGACAGTGAGTACCCCGTGTCTCGGGCGAAAATACCCCGCAAAACCGCGCCTTTCCGCCATTTCGCGCTGGGGGAGGCGGTGGCTGGGGCCCCAGCCTCGCCGGCCCAGCCTTGCGCCAATGTTTGACTACTGCCTCGCACGACCTCCTCTTTGTTTCAGCGCGCGTTAGAAAGGCATGGTGAGGCTGGGCAGTGGCTAGGAGCAAATTCATATAAACCGCGAGGTGGCTGTCCTGCCCAAGCGGTCGCCATCTTTCCTCCTTTCGCCACGCAACCGCACCTCTCTACCTTCCGACGCACCTGCAGCGACGTTTGTTGCGCTGCGAACACCTTCGTCTATCCCCCTCGCCCCTCGTCTCCCCTGCTTCTACCGAACAACACAGCGCAGTCATGCAGTCGTTTCTGCTATTGAGCGCGCTGGGAATCGGAGGCACAGTCGGTAGCAACATCTTTCGAAGAGAAGCCTCGTGGCAACCGAGCACCACCGCAGTCTGGACTCCCACAAGCACACCCTCGACATGGCAAGCCTCGCCCACATCATCAGCGACCACCACTTGGTGGACGCCCAGCTCGGTAGCAGAGGACTTTGCAGCCGCGCCCACATCTCTCCCAACGTACACGCCAGTATCGTCATACCTACCAGAGTCGCTATGGATCCAGTGGCCGTCATCAGCGAGCCCTGCAGCCACAATGCTACCAAACCCTCTCAATAACTCCGCCCAAGTGGGCAACTCAGTACTTGGCACTCTCAATCAAAGAACCTTCCCGAAATGGATCGACACGCCGTCTGGAGATTCCTACACTGCGGCCCCATGGGGCAACTGCACACCTGCCACCTGCGACGCTCTGGCTGTTGACACCATTCCCAACACCAACGTCACCCGCCACTACTACTTCTCCATTTCCCGCGCCGTCCTCTCCCCCGATGGCGTCGCGCGCGACATGTTCCTCATCAACGGCCAATTCCCCGGCCCCCTCATCCAAGCGAATTGGGGCGACTGGGTCGAAGTGACCGTGACGAACAACATCCAGGCGCCGGAAGAAGGCACGTCCCTCCACTGGCACGGTCTCCTACAAGCCGGCACACAATGGCAAGATGGCGTCCCGGGCGTCAGCCAGTGCCCGATTGCGCCTGGCGAAACGTACACGTACAGGTTCCGCGCCGACCAGTTCGGCTCGAGCATGTACCACGCACACTACAGCGCGCAGTACACCGCCGGCGTCTATGGCGCCATGATCACGTACGGCCCGACGCAGCTCGATTACGACATCGATGTCGGCCCGGTGATCGTCAGCGACTGGAACCACATCCCGTACTTCAGCATTGTGCAAAATGTCATGACGATGAACATGTCCGAGTACCCGACGTACAGCGATAGCGGACTGATCAACGGTCGTGGACGCTTCGACTGCTCCAAGCCTTCGTATGGACAGAGCTTCAACGATTCGAACTGGCTTGCGAGCAACTACCCTTCCACGCTGCAATGGTCTTGCGTTGATGACGCGCAGAGGTCGCAGTTTCGCTTCCAGAGCGGGAAGACGCATCGGCTGCGGTTGATGAATGTTGGTGCTGATGGTAAGTCAATCTCCGAGTGCGTAACATGTTGGCGGTAATACTAACGACTCGACAGGCTTCCAAAGATTTTCCATCGATGGACACACCATGACAGTCATTGCCCTCGACTACGTTCCCGTGCAGCCATACACCACCGATTCGATCATGCTCGGCATCAGCCAGCGCGCAGACGTGCTCATCACCGCCGACGCATCCTCCACCTCCTCCTTCTGGATGCGCTCCGAGCTCCTCAATGCCGCAACATGCGGCGGCCTTGCGCCACCCGGAATCAACGAATTCCCCATCTTCGCCGAAGTCTACTACGAAGACGCCGACACCACCCTCGAGCCCGTGTCCACCACCACCGTCAAGAGCACCAGCTGCAACAACGCGCCCATCGACATCACGCAACCGGAATACGTCATCCCGCCCAGCACGCAGCCCTTCTACCAAGACCTCGTCCTCACCATGACCGTCAACGATACCGGCTCCTGGGAATGGGAAATCAACGGCCAGACCTACCGCGCAGACTACAACAACCCGCTGCTCTACGACGCCGCCGACGGCCAAACCTCCTTCCCCTCCGACCCGCAGTACAACCTCTACAACTTCGCCTCCAACACGTCGGTCGTGCTCAACATCACCAACGCCACCCCCTTCCCCCACCCCATCCACATGCACGGGCACAACTTCTACGTGCTCAACGTCGGCGGTGTCGGCGCGCCGTGGGACGGCAGCACCGTCAACCCGACGAACCCGCTGCGCCGCGACGTGCAGATTGTGCCGCCGCTCGGCTTCATTGCGATTCAGTTTGAAGCGAACAACCCGGGCATTTGGCCGCTGCATTGCCACGTTGCGTGGCATTTGAGCGGCGGCTGGTATATCAACGTCATGAGCCAGCCGGAGTTGCTGACCATTCCGGCGGGAGAGAGGGATTTGACGTGCAAGGCGTGGGATGCGTGGACGGCAAAGAACGTCGTCGACCAGATCGATTCTGGATCGTGAGTCCGATGTTTTGAACTCGCTCTGATTTTGATTTTTTTGCTGCGATCTTTAGCGATTGGCGCTGGCGGCGACTATCATGGTGATGCTTTTTTTTTGCTGCGCATAGATTTATGCGAATGGGTTTATAGATTATCGACTTGGCTAGGGGTCGGATGGCCTGCAAAGCTGAGCATAATGTATTTTGTGTAACTCCAACTCACTCCCTGCCTATCACACTATGAGCAATCTCTGTTTGCCTAACCGTCCCGTGTTCTTGAATATCGCAGTTCGGGCAAGGCTGAAGGCCGGGGCAGTGATTAAGTAATTCTTGACTCAAGCCATTAGAAATTTTGGGGAAGGCCCGATAAGGTATGACGAAACTCAATGCCCATCAGTCATATCTCCCATCCATTCGCACATTTCCTGGATTCATACATTCCAGTCCTTCTCGGTCTTCGTTCTTGTCTTCCGAGATCCCTCGAGATGTCTCTTCGTCCATGCAGTAGGCGCATCGGCGCTGCTCTGCGCCAGCAGACCTGCATCCTCCATCAAACCAAGAGACGATGTCTAGCCTCTGCATCGAGTCTCCCGCGAGAGACGAGAGAAGCAATCGAGGTACACACTGCATCACCTCTGCAATCCCTGGCAATGCAACTAACAAAGACAACAGAAAGAAACCACCCTCCCCACCCCCGACCCCGCCTCCGACTCCCAAACCGCGCGCCTCATCTCCTCCCAATCCCCCTACATCGTCCCCACCTACGTCAAACCCGCGCCCATGTTCCAAAAAGGCGAGGGCTGCTACCTCTGGGACGTCGAGAACCGCCGCTACCTCGACTGGACCGCCGGCATAGCCGTCAATGCCCTCGGCCACTGCGATCCAGGCATGTCCGCTATCCTCGCACAGCAGGGCCAGACGCTCGTGCACTGCTCGAATTTGTACCATACCCCGTGGCAGGGGGCGTTGAGTGAGTTGCTCGTGGAGAAGACGCGGGCTTCCGGAGGCATGAAGGATGTGGCGCGGGTGTTTTTGTGCAATTCCGGCACCGAGGCGAATGAGGCGGCGATCAAGTTTGCGAGGAAGTATGGGAAGATGGTGGGAGGGGAGGAGGGAGGGAAGGTGGAGATTGTGAGTTACAACAATGCGTTTCATGGGCGCTCCATGGGTGCGTTGTCGGCGACGTGGAACCCCAAGTATCAGAAGCCTTTTTCGCCGATGATTCCGGGGTTCGTGCAGGGGAATTACAACGATATGCAGTCCATCAACGAGGTGGTGACGGAAAAGACGTGCGGAGTCATTGTTGAGCCCATCCAGGGCGAAGGCGGTGTCAACGCCGCGAACGTGGAATGGCTGGAAGCACTGCGCAAACGCACGCGGGAAGTCGGAGCACTCCTCATCTTCGACGAGATCCAATGCGGCCTATCGCGGACGGGATGGCTCTGGGCTCACGCGGAGCACGGGAACCGCGACATCCATCCCGACGTCCTCACCACCGCAAAAGCACTAGGGAACGGCTATCCAATCGGCGCAACGCTCGTAACGGACGAAGTCGCAAGCAAAATCGTTCCCGGCGACCACGGGACGACATTTGGCGGCAACCCGCTCGCATGCCGCATCTCGCACTACCTCGTCACCCGCCTCGCCGACCCGGAGCTCCAAACGCATGTCCAGCACCAAGGCAAGCAGTTCGAGAAGGGCCTGCGTGAGATCGCACATCGCTTGCCCGAAGGCGTGGTGAAGGAGATTCGCGGCCGAGGTCTCATCATCGGCATGCAGCTCAACTCCGCCGTTGCTCCTGTCATTCAAGCTGCGAGGGAGAGAGGGCTGTTGATCATCAATGCCGGAACAGACGTGTTGCGATTCGTGCCGCCGCTGATCATTGAGGATGCGGAGGTGGAGAAGGGAATGGAGGTGCTGGAGGAGGCGCTGCAGTCGACTTTCAACAAGGATGGTGGCCAGGATTGGAGGAAGGCGAGGCAGGCGGTCAAAGATCGGGAGGAGGCGCCGGATACTTGAGGCTGCTGAACATGCAAGCAAGAGTTGATCGTGTTGACTTAGCGCGGCGTTGTCGGGAAGACACTTCGGGTCGGATGCAAGGTACAAGGAAACCGCATCGCGTTGCATAGCTGCCTAATCGGGCAGGAGGTTGAAACAAGGCTATGAGCCAGCTTACTCCGGCACGAAACGAACACGCTCCGACTTGAGACGGCAGATCTTACGAGTCAAACGCAGCGGGTGGGTGCATCTCCCTTGTGTAACCTCTGGCGAAACTTCACGTGAAAACAGAAGAGCGCAGAAGAACATTTTGCACTGCAACAAACTTCACGTTACACCCTTCACCTCCTTCGTTCATGTTTTTTCCACCGTCTTCCATTCACCAAGCCTTCCAGCTCTCTACTCTGCCTCATCGCTTCCATCGCTCATTGGCACTCCCCCCTTCATCGCCCTCACAATCAAGCAGTCAAGCAAGATGGCCTCCAACTACCGCAGACCAACAGTCGAAAACGAAGACGGCACCGCAGATGTCGACACCCCAATGACAGCCTCCAACGACAACGGCGGCACCACAATCGACCCAACAGCCAACACCAATACCGAAAAGGACACCAACACAAACATCCCCGACCGCAGTCCGCGTCCGTACGGCGCAGCAGGCCCCAATCCCAACGCCAACACAGCCACCAATGCCGTCCCTAACGCCAACGCCATTCCCAACGCAAGCACCGCCGCAGGCCCAGCTCCAATGTCCATCCGCGTCTCAGACGCCGCTCACAACGAGCTGGCGTTTCGTTTGAAACCCAATACTCCCTTGTCGAAGGTGATGGTATGTTGACGTCCATCCTCGCGACTGGTGGGAAAGCATACTGACGAGAGATGGTGAACAGGAGTCCTACTCGTCGCGCACCTCTCGGGATCGCCGGACGCTTCGCTTCCTGTTCGAAGGTGTGAGGGTTACGGACGAGTCGACGCCTGCTTCGGTGAGTTCTCCCTCTTTTCCGCCCTCTTTTGGGTGCCTTCGGAGAAGTGTGATGAGGAGACATGCTGACGATAGGCTTGTGTAGCTTGAGATGGAGGACAATGACATGATTGAGGTGTATATGGAGCAGCTTGGGGGCGGGAATGGGTGGTGAAGGGGATTTTTGTTGGTGTGTCTGCGTCTCTCACTTTGCTGATGTCTGGTTGACGAGGCGAAGGAGAGTCAGGAGGACAAGGCTGGTTGTTACGTTCAAGCGGGGCTGTACTGCTACTCTTAGTGGCATTCGGCGGATGGAAGTCTCTTCATGATGATACGAAAACAATGGGCAATGACATGAGAAGTACGTGAATGGTGTCAACGATTTTCCGATGCTCGAAACGACGGTGCTACAAGACGGTTTAGATCTTGATTTCACGGTCGGCCCGCTCCTTCTTCTTCCTCTCACGGGCCTGTGCCTTGGCGCCCATGATACCACCACCCCAGTGACGTCTTGACTCCTCGTTCTTCTCCAAGTAGCCCTCCTTGACCGCCGACACGATCTTCGACAGCTCCGACTCGTCCTCCTTGCGCACCTCCGTGATGGCGAGAGCGGCGGCAGTCTGATCTCTCGAGTTAGCAGGGCAGCAGTGAGAGACATATATGAGGATGACGAACCTTCTTGTGAACGACAGTGCCGGTTCGGGCCTTGCCCTTCACGATGGCGTACGGGACACCCATCTTGCGGCACAGCGCGGGCAGGAAGACGACGAGCTCGATGGGGTCAACATCGTTGGGGATGATGACGAGCGCAGTCTTCTTGGACTCGATGAGAGCAACGACGTGGTTGAGCCCGTACTTGACGGCGTAAGGCTTCTTGCTGACATCCTCCTTCTTCTTGCCCTCGGCGACGGCAGAGGCCTCCTTGAGCAGACGCTCCTTCTTCTCCGCCTTGGTCTCAGGTCGGTACTTGTTAAGGAACTTGAAGAGCTGCGCGGCGGTGTTGCGGTCGAGGGTGTGCTGGAATTGCGCAATCGCAGGCGGGACTTTGAGGCGCATGTTGAGGATCTTGCGTTGGCGTTGAAGGCGGACATACTCCGGCCATTTTACCATGCGCGAGAGGTTGCGTTTGGGTTGGATGTCCTGGCCGATACCGAAGTTGCGGGGGCGGCGCTCGATGAGAGGGTTCTATCATCAGTCAGTACATACGGTTAGGATGGCGGGACATGCTGGACTGGTCACTCACCTTAGCCTGCTTCTTGCCAGCACCCGGCTTGGAAGCTGGAAAGGGCGCGGCGGCCACTTTCTTGCCTGATTTGGGAGGCTGTCATTGAGAGTAACAGTCAGTCACTGTTGCATCTCTACAGAGACTGTTCCCAGCATTTCCAGCATGGGAACAGCTCAAGCCATGGCTTTCACCGACAGGATCTCCATGGGAGTCTGTGGTGGCCTGAGGGTCATCGCTGTTGCGTGCTCGAGCTCGGTTTCCCGGTCGGAGCAGAGGCAGACAACTAGGGTATCTGTGGTGGTTGTTGGGAGGAACTTACCATGTTGGCGAGTGCGAAACGAAATGGACAAGAGGTTGTAGTGTTGCAGATGATCGGTCGTCGTAGAATTTGCAAAAGTTCGAGGGGAATTTCAGTGGGTGCGGGATGAGCCGCAATGCCAAGCATGGGGCTTCAACGTCACGTGAAGCCGCGTTTCGACGTTGAGATAGCCCGGGGATACGCGGCTGGTTGCAACGGCGACGATTGACGTTCTGACACTTGTGACCTACAAGTCGACGAACTCATGGATTAGCCAACCTTTGTCTCATCGCCACGACTTTTCTCCAACATGGAAGAAGACGGCAAAGACACCTTGAGAGTCTTGGTCACTGGGGCCAACAGGTATGTAAAGCCTGATGGATTTGTGCGCTACCAATGTCCTAACGAATGGCAGCGGTCTGGGCTTTGCAACATGCTGCCGTCTAATCGACGAGTTTCTCGCCACAAGACCTCAATCGCAAACTTTGCACCTGCTGTATTCCACTCGGGATGGAAAGAAAGGCGATCAAACCCTGCTCAACCTCAACAAGCACCTTCAAAAGACCCTGGAAGCCGCAAATGCCCGAACTCCGGGCATCAGTCTGCTCTTAGAGCCTCGCATCGTCCTGGAAGGCGTTCTTGTGGACCTGACGAAACTCCCCACGATTAAGGCGCTGGCCCGCCAACTGCTGGCTCGCAAGCAGCGCCTGGATGGCGTAGTATGGAACGCCGGCATTGCAGGCTGGTCAGGGCTCAACTTCGTGCAAGCAACATGGGACATCCTGACCGGGCTGGTACAAGCAACGACATATCCCAAGTTCTTGATCTGTGATGTGGGCATGGTCACGAAGCCGCAGCTCGCCGGTCATGGCACCATTCACACCTTCCCTGAACCGCCGCTCGCTCAAGTATTCTGCTCGAATGTCTTTGGGCATTATATGCTCACGCACTGGCTCGCTCCCCTGATGACGCCAGATACGAGGATAGTGTGGATCTCAAGCACGAGTGCCTTGCCTGACATGTTCAACCTCGACGATCTTCAAGGCTTTCGGTCGGAGATGGCCTACGAATCTTCGAAACGCTTGACGGATTTGCTGGTCATGACTTACGATCTGCCCTCCACGCAGCCATTCGTCCGGAAATTCCTCCCGGCGGTAGGGAAGAAGGACGACGTCAGAGACCGCCCGCAAATGATCCTCACCCACCCAGGCATCGTCCAGACATCCATCGTCACCCTCTCCTGGTTCAACTTCTACCTCAACCTCCTGGCCATCTATGTCGCGCGGTGGATCGGCTCGCCCTGGCACACCATCACCTCCTACAAAGGGTGTCTGGCGGCAGTCTTCGCCATTCTCGCACCTCCCGCTCAGCTTCTCGACTTTGAAACGAGGGATGGAAAAGGCAAGTGGGGCACTTCAACAGACGTCTTCGGCAACGAGCGAGTCGCACGAACGGAAGTCGAAGGTTGGGGGTTTGGGCGTGAGCTAGGAGTGGTGCCAGCTGGAAGTGTGAGGACGAAGCGGACTGGGTATCGCAAGCCCACCAAGGAAATGCGCGAGGAGTTTGAGGAGGCTGGAAGGAGGGTATGGCGGGAGATGGAGGAGTTGAGAGTGGAGTGGGAGAAGCGGCTTGGACGTATTGAGATTGATGGCGCCGACTCCGTGGATATGTAGAGCCTAATAAGTCAAAGAATGCAACCATGTGCAAGTGAGAATCAACCTAAACCCCGAGACCTAGATGTAGTCCTGTCGATAAGCCTAGAATGCACCCACATCGCCCTCTTCACACGTTCTCCACTCTGGTGCCATTCGCATCGCCTTTGCTCCAAACTCAGTCCTCGTCGTCGGAGATCACCACTGTATCTGCCCGAGCTTCAGGAGCTTCACGGTAGAACGACAGCGAGCCATCTTCAACCAGTTGATCATAGAAGACCATCCACGGGCTGCTCGGCTCCCTCTTCCTCAAATTTGTCGCTTGGAACTCCTGCCACTTGTCCGCAGTCAGGAGCTTGACCATCATGCCATCCAGCCCCTGTTCAGTGCCGAAAAAATCCCAACGCTTGGCATTCGCCCGTGGTTCCTTCACCCGCCTGACGATCACGCATGCAGCCAAAACTCTGAGGGGCGAATTGTCGCTGTTTGTGTTCTCCCAGATATACCGGATGTGGGGAACGCGCAGGTTGTGGGGATTCTCGACCAGTGTAGCCAGGCGGCGAAGCGTGATGACCTGCAGATCCTGGATCAAATAGCGGGAACCGAAGAGCCAGAGGTTGATGAACGTCGTGGTACGCTTCAGACGCTGCTTGTAGGTCAAATTGTTCAAAATCGGCGGGAGGTGGTCCTGAAGCTGTCAGTATAGGAAAACAGTAAACGGAAGGGTGAACGATTTACTTTGAGGATCCAATGATGGAACGCTCGCACGGTAGCGAGCTCCTCGTCAGCCAGTCGAATCAAGCCTTGAGATTCGTTAGCACTCTGACCGCCAAGTCTGCATGTCGCCCGAATACGTACCATCGTTCGCCTCTGCTAGTTCGGCCAAAGGCTCGGACCAGTGTTGAAGGAGACCCTTGGGAATCTGCAGTGCTCCTCCTTCGCGCCCAGCGAGGAAGGTGACTGCCTGTGTCTGGGTGGCATTTGTGAAGGCTTCGCCGGTGAGCCTAGGCATGGTGGAATTGGATGTTGGGAGTTGGTATTGAAGAGGATAGGTGATGGAAGTAGGAGAGTGAGGAAGGTGGGACAAATCTTTTGCTGAGGTAGTTGTAGATTGGAAGGTTGAAGAGGCCGTGGAGAAGCAATATAAAGATGATGGGAGTAGTGGTCATGTGGTCAGAGGCTCCATAATCACATGCGGATGCAATGCAGTGAAGTGAAACGAGTCCAGATCTCAGACGAAAGTGAACAGCACGTGCATACGCCTGCGGAAGTGAAATGATGCGGAAGTGAAAAGAATTTGAGGAAACAGTGATGAGAGAGTGAGAGACTCGTGAAAGTTACACGGCACTAAAAAGCACCTCTGAACTGATCGACCAGCCCACCGATGACCCCCCTCCTCCTCGCTTGGTCGCGATTGGCATCCACGTCCACGCCCGTTGTCCGCCCTGCTTCCCCCTCCATCCTCCGCCGTAACGTATCGTATCGCTCTTTCTGTGCTCTTCCGCCCAGGATCCACCCGGGCAATCGCCACTTGCCCGCACCAGGGAGAACGTCTCTTCTGTACGCAAAGCCCACAAGCCATCCGATCGCGGCTACGATGGCCGAGCCTGGAAGTTGAGAGAGGGCGAGTTGAAGGGGAAGAAGGTAGGAGGTGGATTTCGATGTGAGCATGAATCCGCGGTCTGGCCCAGGTGGCAGAGAGCTTGATACACGGTATTTGTAGGCGTAGGGGATCGCGGCGTGATACTGTGCCAGCAAGGAGAAGATGATGGCCGTAGGTCCCGCGGGCAGGTAGTTGATATGCCCGAAGCTGAGTGGGCGGATGACGACAGCCAGAAGGATGGGCGGGAGGAGGGCAGTGTAGGGAAAAGTGGAGATGATGAAAGACTACCTACCTCGTCAGTCTAGCTCTTGGGAGACTCGTGTCGGCTCGCGGGGATTGCATACGGCAAACTTCCGACTGCCCCACAGTCTCTCCACGATGCGGAGTTGGTAGAGAGTCATGGCGGCGAAGAGCACCTCGGTACTATTCGTATAGCATAGCTGCCACGTGAGCAGTCTCCAGTATTGCCAGTAGTCGAGGAGATGCGGGCGCGGCTGGATCCAGAAATAGTATTTGGTGTCGGTGATGCTGGCGAGGAAGGCGGAGAGCACCACGCCCACCACCAGCGCACGCGTGACGGGCGTGTTTGCAAAGCCGGAAGCCAGCATCTTGCAGCGGATGGGGAGCGGAGCGTGTTATTGCATGAGCATGATGCGGAATGAGGGCCGATGATGGCAGAAGTGAAGAGTGATGCCAAGCTTGAAAGCACAATTCACCGCCGCCGGGAAGCGACAGGGGTGCTGACCCCACATGGACTGAAGGATCCAACCACCGTTGAGTAGCCCCGAGCTAGGCGGTGTTGATTTCGACGTCGCCTCTTCTTTGTCCCTTTACTTCCTCTCATTCCACAGTCGCAGTCTCTCTGTAGAAGCTGTGCTGTGTAGCCCCACGGCTCGAGGCGGCTTCGTAGGACGGTTTCCGACCCTCGCACCATTCACACGGCTCCCATGACGCTCTGCCGCGCGCGATCTCCAGCTTCCAGTGGCCATACCAGCTGTAGACAACATCGAAGAGGGTACGACACAGGACCGGCGCCAGCTGCTCCCGATCAGATGGAGAGTAAGATCGCGATGGCCCGATGAAAGCACCGGACAATGCAGGTGATGCCAGGTCCGTTAGCAACCACAAGAACGAGAGAAAGAGATGAAATGGACTGCGACGAGCTTGGATGAGAATGGTTGGAAAGAAAAGGGAGCTCAAAAACTCCTCCAGCTGCTGGCTGCGCGTTCAAGAGCCTCCCACGGCACGCTGGCAGTCATTGGCGATGCAATGGCGGCAGCATGACTGAGCACACTTTTCTTCTCACCGCCATGTGAAGCTTCTCAGGGGCGTGCAGATCCCAGCAATTGCAGACTGTACTGCCGCCAGCATGCAGCAGGTGTGTTGATGGAAAAAGCGTGCGACAGCGGGCGCAATCTCGCAAGCGCAGCCCGGCCGCACCCCCGATCACAAGCCGCAATTGCAACATCTCGACATCCAAACATCCAAACAAGCTCGAAAAAACGCCAGAACGCTGCACGCATCTCCAATCTCACCATGCTACAGAACTTGGGGCACGACGTGGCTGTAAACCGCATTTGTGGGCGAGTTCTGAAAATGGGCTTTGCTGGAAATATATATTATTTCCAGCGAGTGGATCCCCGACAGAGTATCAGGAAAGACCGATCGATCGCCCCTTTCCAGTCCTGAGTCAGAATTTTCTACCTCAGAGTCAACAGCCAGCACCCTAGCGTCGTTCGCGGCTGCATATAGACCGCTGCCCGGCTTTGCATCAAGCACCCTAGCGTCGTTCGCGGCTGCATATAGACCGCTTTGCAAGAATGGGAAGGCGAGGCTTCAGATGAGTCCGTACTGTGCTCTGTCTTTTTTTTTTCGCCTTTTGCCGGGCATGGAGGGCTTTGCTGGGGTGGGCCGCGACGTTCGAACGCACGACCTCGTACGCGCATGCGGCCTCACAATGTCCACACCGCTCGTTCGATTTCACAAAAATGATGAATAGAAAGCTCGCGCCAGGACGAATAAGCCTATGCATGTTCAATGTTGTTGAGGTGTGGGAAGATGCGGCCAACAGTTTTTGAATGTTGCGCTCCTGCTTACTCTCGTCGGCTCGAACGCGCGACAGCCGAGGGCGCACGCCGCTGCACAATGCCACCATACTCTCCCTCGATCTCACAAAAATGTTGAATGGAAGCTGCAGCCAGGAGAAACGGTCCTTTGCATGTCTGATATTGTTTCGGGCACGCGGAGAAGTGCCAGCGTTTCTTGACTGTTGCCCCCTTTTTCGCGCACGGCCACGGGCATGCCGGCACGAACCCTCCACAACACTCATTCACTTCCGCAAAAATGACGGATGGAGAGATCCAGGCAGGAGACGTAAGACCGTGCAAGCTCCATGTTGTTGAGCGCGAGAACAAAAATGATTCCAATTCTAAGATGTTGCGCGCCAGCTCGCCGCAGCCACGATTCGAACCCGCATCCTTTGCCAGCGGAGCAAAAGTCCCAAAAAGGGGCAAAACGAAACCGCCCCCAGTAAGACTGGAAGCGGAAAGCAAACTCCCCCGGGGCAGAGGGGGTTTGGGCACTGAACAGGGGGAGGAGGCTGCTCAGTGCACACTTCTTCAGCGTATTCAAGCTCTTCCCGGAGAAGAGCAGGTGCACCCTCGGGGGTGCTAGCTGGACGTCTGCTCAGCAAGCTGCAGCCTGTTGAGCACGGTTGACCAACGCAACCGATTAAGACAAACTTGGCTGCTCGAAAATTCCTTTTATACCCCTTTATTTCATTCGGCTGAACTGCGGGCTTATCACGTGCGCGTGTTTTTGCTTGCTTGCCCGCAACTCCTCTCTATCTCCTTTTCTCCATGCCCTTTCTTTTTTAATTTGGCAGGACTGTTCTCATCAAGCGGGCGTGCCTCTGTTTGCTCGCTGCTTACATATTCAGTGCCTTTTGCCAGCGAAGCCGACCAAAAAAAAACTGCCTCCACTTGGGCAAAACGAAACCGCCTCCAGTGAGAAGGAGGCGGAAAGCGAACCACCCCGGGGCAGAGGCAGTTTGACACTGAACAAGACTCCTCGGAGGAGTCTGCTCAGCGCTCACTTCTTCAGCGTATTCAAGCCCCTCCCGGAGAAGAGCAGGTACACCCTTGCGGGTGTTAGCTGGATGTCTGCTCTCCAAGCTGTAGCTTGTCGAGCACGGCTGACTAACGCAACCCATTAAGACTGTCCAACCTGGTTTCGATGGTGTTGACCATCGCACCCAGGCAAGATAAGTTTGGCTGCGTGCAAATTCCTTATATCCCCCTTTTTTTTGCATTCGGCTGAACTGCGGGCTTGGTTGTCACGTGAGCATTCTTTCGCTTGCTTGCTGCTTTCATGCCGTTTTCCTTACATGTGCTTCCTTGCGAGGGTCGCAGTACACCAGTTCAGTCTGATACATCGAATTGTGCAGTTTCTCTCATCATTCCTTCTAGAAGAGGCTACACAAGACAGCGCGTTCAAGCCAACTCACGTGGACACACTCTTCGCAAGAGGTTCACGGCATCCTGCCCAAGATCTGCTTCATCAACCTCTTCCAGAAAGCCTATTACTCCCTCCACACCACTTCCACATTTTGTCACTTTCTTTTCAAAGGGTTGCGATGAAGCTCATTTGGATTTCATCGGGCTATCTCCAGCACGATACTTTCGCACCTCCAGCTCTCGAGGCGGCTGGCTTCGCCGTGTGTGGTTTAGATATTCAAATCAATTTCGACCGCGATGCTCGTACACATTTCCTTTCCCATGAATATTCCCTTCAAGCATGCCAACCAATCTCAACACACACACGCCCAACATGTAACAACACCTAGAACCTCAAATCCCACCCAATCTTGGGCCCAATCTTGGGCAACTCCTCCGCCACACTCTGCACATCCTTATCACCGCGCCCAGAAAGACAGATGACGATATTCTCCTCCTCCTTCATCGTCTTGGCCAGCTCCATCGCGCCGAAAATGCCATGCGCCGACTCCAACGCAGGGATAATGCCCTCCGTCTGCGCCAGCACGCGGAAGCCAATAAACGCCTCGGCGTCCGTGGCGGCGACGAACTTTGCGCGCTCGCTGTCCTTCCAGCCGCTCAGCTCGGGGCCGACGCCGGGGTAGTCCAGCCCGGCGGAGACGGAGTGGGTGTCGGTGATTTGGCCGTCTTCGGATTGCAGGATGTAGGTGCGCACGCCGTGGAGCACGCCCGGTTTGCCGCCAGACAAGGTGGCGGAGTGCTTGCCTGTCTCGATGCCTTCGCCTGCTGCTTCGACGCCGAGCAGTCTGACGCTCGGGTCGGTGCTGAAGGGGTGGAACATGCCGACTGCGTTGCTGCCGCCGCCTACGCAGGCGACGACGGCGTCGGGGAGGCGGCCGGTGATGTCTTGCATTTGCTGCTTGGTTTCGGTGCCGATGACGGATTGGAAGGTGCGGACCATGGTGGGGAAGGGATGGGGCCCGATGGCGGAGCCGATGATGTAGTGCGTGGTGTCGAGGTGCGCGACCCAGGAGCGCATGGCTTCGTTGACGGCGTCGCGGAGGGTTTTGCTGCCGGCGTCGACGGCGACGACGGAGGCGCCGAGCAGCTTCATGCGGAAGACGTTGAGCGCTTGTCGCCGTACGTCTTCGGCGCCCATGTAGACGGTGCATTTCATGCCGAAGAAGGCGCAGACTGTGGCGGTTGCGACACCGTGCTGCCCTGCGCCCGTTTCGGCGATGATTTCTGTCTTGCCTAGTCGTCTTGCAATGAGCGCCTGTCCCATTGCGTTATTGATCTTGTGGGAGCCGGTGTGGTTGAGATCTTCTCGTTTGAGGTAAAGGTTCGCTCCGTAGCCGGGTTTGCAGTCTTTCCGCATGTGGTCGGTCAGTCGCGAAGCTTTATGCAGCGATGAAGGTCGGCCCATGTACTGGTAGTATGATCGGAATTCCTTCCAGAACTCCGGGTCGTTTTGCGCGTCGTTGAAGCCCTTCTCCAGTTGTGCCAGACAGTCCATGAGCGATTCCGGAACGTATTGTCCACCAAACTGACCGAAACGTGAAGGAATGAGCTCGGGATCCGTCTCGCCTTCGCTGTTTAATGCCTCTAGTTGATCTGCTAAGCCTTTCCCATCTTGATGCGTCACAACGCCATCCACATGTACTGTCCCATTTGATGGGTCGCTTTCGCTCGCGGGCTGTGTGGAAGGATCCGCAGTAGAGACTTTGTCAGCCATATGGCCGTTGGTCTGTGAGATCCAGCCACTCCCATCTCCATGCCGGTTGGCATCGGTACTGATGCCGCCATTCGTTGACCCGTTCGTTGTCGGAACCGATCGTGACTTCCGTCGTTGTGTGATTGAGTAGCAGTACTCTTCCACCGCCTTTGGTCCCTGCCCTTCTGGTGCGTTCTTGAGCGTCGTCACAATCTGGGAGCCGATGACCACGCCCTCTGCAACCTTGGCGACCTCCAGGAAATGTTCGCGCGTGCTGACACCAAATCCTACTGCTGCCGGGATGCCTCCAGAGTACTTGTGCACGCGGTCCAAGAGGTCAGGAAGACCAGAGCTGAGCACACCCGTCGCACCCGTAACGCCCATTCTGCTCACGACATAGATGAAACTGTCGGCAATACTGCACAGCACCTTCATGCGCTTCTCGCTGGTGGCAGGGGCAATGAGTGGCACATACGACAGGCCGTGTTCGGTGCAATGCCGGCGAAAGCGCACCGCCTCCTCGGGGGGCAAATCGACCATGATGAAGCCATTTACGCCCGCCGCCTTCGCATCCTGCATCATCCTCGCCTCACCATATGCAAGAAGTGGGTTGTAGTATCCCATCAGCAGCACAGGCGCTTGTAGACCCTTGCTCCGCGCATCGCGCACAATCTTGAGACAGCTCTTTGTGGTGGTGCCGTTGGCGAGAGAGATGGTGTTGGCGGCTTGGATGGTAGGGCCGTCAGCGATGGGGTCGGTGAAGGGCAGGCCGAGCTCGATGATGTCTGCGCCGCCTGCTTCGAGGCCTACGAGGATGTCGGCGGAGGCGGCGATGCTGGGGTAGCCTGCGGTGACATAGGCGACGAGGGGCGTGCGGTTTTCCTTCTTCGCTTGCGCGAAGGTGTGTTTGATGCCCTCCATTTGGGCGGGTGGGTTGAGTGGTCTTGTTTCCGACGAGAGGCTGGTGAAGGTGTGTCTTGAGGGTGTGCAGGTAGAGTCGGCGGCGAAAGTGGTGTGTGAGTGCAGTGGGTGTGAGTCAATGGCCGATGCTAAAATTCCGCCTCGACATGACGCTTGCGCAGGTCCCCGGCTTTTGCCCCACAGACTTCAGGGTCCAATCTAGACTGAACAAGATATTACAGAGTGACAGCACGGAATACAAGCTTGATGAACTGGTTAGACAGCGTCAGAAGCAGCGTGGCTCATGATTCTAGCGTATAATGTATGCTTCTGATCTCAACAGCTGGCCGTCAGGCTGAGCCACATTCACCAGCAGTCCACATTTCACGCCAGGTCGCAGCAGCTCCAAGCAACCTCATGATCCGCCCAAGACTCCCAACCCCCCCTTTCAATGCGCTCTAGAATCTATACACTAGTCGTCGTGCAGCCGGATCACGCATCCTCCATCAGCTCCACCGGCGGCCGGGAAGTATGCACAAACTTCTTCTCCACCCCTTCCATCTCACTGTGGGGCTCAAGACTCTCACTAGTATCCTCGACTGCAATGGCCGGCAGAGCAGGACTATGCCCATGCTCCTCCGGATCATACACCACCGTACCCGTGCCTGATCTCTGCCTCGTCACTCTTCCTGTCGGTTGTTCCAGGGCAGCATCTGGGGCCGGGCGGGCACTCAAGTTGGCCAGCGCCGCCGCTAGGTCCTCCGCGTGCACTTCCTTGTTCGGCGGCTCTTCATCGCGCATTTCCCAGCCCATGGGCGGAGATGGCGGGGGCGAGATGAAGAAGAGTTTGTCGCTCTTGGGCGCGCGGAGATGGCGGTCTTCGTCTAGCTCAACCTTTGTTTCCACCCCAAAGTACACTCGTATTCTCTCTCCCAGCACTGCTTCGCCGTCTAGCAGCTGCCGTATTCGGATTGCATCGTCGGTGTTGTAGAAGGTGCAGATGATGCGGCGGAAGGACTTGAGGGGCGAGAAGGAGTGGAGGAGGGCGTGTTCGCTGATGGCGCGGTTGATGAAGTCGAGGTTGGCGGCGGTGAAGATCTCGGGGGCTTGGAGATTGGTGATGAGAAGGGTGTTGCTGGGTGGCGTAGGCTCGCTGAGGGGCGGGAGGTCTGACAGATCGATAGACATGTTTGCTGGGCGGGTCTTGCGGGGACCGGATGTTGGAGATGATTGGGAGGAGTGAGGAGGTGTGCAAATTTCCATTGTTGTGGTCGCCATGTAACTTGGATTGCTCTGGTTCGTATAGACGGAGGTTGAGAGCTACAAGAGGACGTGAAGGGGGAGGAAGAGAGAACGAAGATAAAGGCCGCCGCTCGCCGTCATGGGTGGCGCAGCGAGCAGGTCGGGGGCACGGGACAAGGCTGGATGCGGGTTGCCAAGACTGGCATCGGCTTCGGACACCTTCCAGACTGCCGGCACTGCCTCAACTCTTTATCATCATCATCATCATCATCATTCCATCGCCAGCCGAGCCCGCCAACGCTTTGGGCATCCGGTATGGAATAGACTCGAACAAGCAGGATATGACTGCGCCTCGCCTCGAGGAATTTGGGGGCTTCGACACACGAGCATGTTATCCCATGATTCGTCTACCGAAAGCAGTTACCAGAAGAAAGACGAAATCATCACACCTGTTTGTGAGCTGCTCTCGCCGAGCTCCCCACCCTCCATGTTTGTATATCCTCAACACACCGGTGCCCGAGATGAGACTCAGAACCCAAATACAAAGGCCGCCGCACCACCCGCGAACATCAGTTCGGAATCCGCCGAATGCGATGTGGATCTCACGGCTGGACGGTACGCCGACCAGTCCTCCCTCCCTCTCCTCAGACACTGTCCCAATCCACCACAGCAGTCGGCGTGGCTAGAACACACCACCCTTGTAGCGAAGAGCCGCTTACGAAAAGCTTTCATTACCCTCAGCGTGTCCTGATCCATGTCCGCATGGCCGCCGCACGCCCGCACACATATGGGCCCGGTCTTGATCGCCAGGGGACACAAGGCTTGTGCGATCTCTTGAAATCTCTGGGCTCCCCCGCGGTCTCTCATGAAACCGCGATGAAGGTTGAAATGAACACACAGCTCCCTGGCTCTCCAGAAGTAGTTGGCGGCGTCTAGCAGTTTTTCGATCCGACCAATGAACTCCTGCCTCCGCGGCCTCCCTCCCGGCTGGATGATGAGCGTCACGTATCGCATATGACTCAAGAGTCTCTCCCATCGATCCAGTGTGCCAAGAGGCGTCCGACACGGCTTGTACCCCGGACCTGAGTGGCTAGACACCACAACCAGCGTAAAGTGCCGCTGCTCATACAGGAATTGGACCGCTTCCATGTATGCAGCACGGCACGTCAACAGCAGGCCTGTCCCCGTCGGGCGGCGTCCTGCACTTTTCTCGCAGCTGATAAGGGCCACGTCGGTGCACGAGTGGAGAACCTGATCCTCAATATGGAAATGTGGCGCTGGCTCACTCCAATCAGGCGCGAGGGTGTACTTCCATATCTTCTGTCGGACTTCGAGTGGGAGTTTGGAGAAGAGAGGGCTGGCGCTCTGCGGGTGGATGGCGGGCTCTTTCTTCTGGAATCGCGGAATTGCACGGCAGACTCGTCGGGCGGTGGCCTTCGATCGTGCGACGGCGCTTTTCACGGCATCGCGCACTTTGCACTTGGGATCCAGTCCTGCAGTGCTTGCTGCAGAGTCCACGTCCTCGCTGTCCGTCAACTTCTCGTACGCGTTGTGGGGGTTGCACAAGGAAGGCATATTCGTTCAGGGTCGCATGTAAGTGCGATGGATATATTTGGACGAGAAAGCTAACAGCCCTGGAATTTCTGGAGACCCCCATTTAACATCCCGAGGCGAGCGAATCCATGGTGCGTAGAAATCCGTTCTCGAGCGCTGCTGGGTCAGGTGGTGCGATGCATCCAATCCGAGCTCTGTCGTTGGTCAAGGTCATCCACCAACCTCCACCAAGACTCGACGCCGCGGCAACATGCCAGTAGTACGCGCCAATCTCTATTTTCAGGACGATCGTCAGCCAGCCTCGCAAACCGTCCGGGTGTGGACACCTCATCGCTGTCATGCCTGTGGTGTAGGGCGACACACACGTTTGAGGGCTCGGGGTTGGTTCTCCACAGCGCTGAACTTCCGCCGTCACACCCTCTCTTCCCCGATATCCTGTGACACTTGCAATCCGCAGGACGCGGAATTGCTCCTGGTCTGTGCGACGAGAGGTAGGGACTCTAGGTGAATGGCGACGACTTGCTTGTCTATATCTTTTCCTCTGTACTCTCTCTTTTGTCGGTTCTCCCCGTACCAGATCCTCTCTTCTCACACTCGCTCACTCCATCCTTTCGTATCCACAAAACATTTGCCAACCAGACCGCTCTTGCATCATCGGCAGAACCTCTTCAAACCCACTAGCGCCCTTCCACTTCAATCCACAATGCCTTCCTCCAAAAGCTCGAAATCGGCGAAGACGGCGGAGTCAAAAACGAAGGACTCGTCTGCGGCATCTTCCAGACCCCCGTCCCGCACACCACGGCAACCGGGCTCGGGCAATGATTCGGCTTCTCGCGCACCCTCTCAAACAAAGACATTGTCTTCTTCGAGATCTGACGTGCCTGCCAAGGGTAAAGTCTATGACCGCTCCGGGCCAGCTGGTTTGGCAGCCAATCAGTCACAACTCAAGTCGACTGCCCGGCCTCAAACGAAACCCGTCGACATGGCTGGCCCACGCCGCACGGAATCGACAGATGACGAGCTGTGCTTCAGCTCCGGATCTGACCACTCAAGCGGCGGCTCTCCTCGCGAAGCTCTAATCACCAAGTCCCTGCAAAGCATCGAAGACGGGGTCACAATGCTGTATCACGGCCGCCGAATCTGGCCCAGCATATTCGGCCCACCAAACTTCATGCCACCATCCGTCGACAACTGCTTCCCGGACAGCGGCGAGCACCGCTTCCTCTCAGTCGCCCCCCACTCCCTGCACGGCCAGAGCTTCGAACTCTACAGCGGGCCGGCGTTCAAGAAACCCGACTGGTGCTGGACGGGCGACGAGCGCATCGACTTCCTCCGCTATCTCTGGTCGCATTGCGGTTTTGAACAAGGGCTGGCAGACTCCAACCCGGACATCCGCATGTCTTTTAAACTTTTCAAGGAGAGCTCGCTCGCTGAAGACCACTGGCAGCTTCGCTTGCGGGATAAGCAGTGGTGGCACTGGGCGAAGTATCAAGTCCCGGCTGGCATGGCGATCAAACCCAAGTCTGCACTGCCGCGCACTGCTTCTCAAGGTCCGCACGAGCACGGCGAGTTGGATGTCAACTTACTCGTGTCGAAGCTGTCGGATGTGCAGTTGAATCTGCAGCGTGAAGTGGCAAGGGCGAACTGGTTGATGAATCTGCCGTCGGAGGACGGCATGGGCACAAGCAGAAGCCGCACTAGAACAAGCACCGGGACTTCAAGCACAGACTCGAGCACGAAATACTACCATCCCGTGCAAGACGGAGACTACGGCTACATCTGCGACGGCGAAGACGAAGACTTCTCCGATCGAGCATCACTGCCATCGACTGATTCCGAGGAATTTGTCGTCCTCAACACCACTTCGATGCCTCTATGCCGCTGCCACGCGCGATCGACGAGCATGTCGACCGAGGCTTCTGGTATGAGCTTGAATCCCCCGAGGGCGCTGAGGGCTCCCTGGCCGTCGGAAGTCTCGCGGACGTCGGCGTCGAGTGGAGATGGCTCTGGGACTGCGTCTTCGCCTTCTTCGTCCTCTTCTATTGCGCCTTTTGAACTGCCTATTCGCCTGGCTGCGGCAGCGCAGGATGGACCGAGTATTGCATCTGGCAAGAAAGCCGCACCGGAGCCCAGTAAGCACAATGCTCAGGTCCAGTCAAAGGCAGCCAAGGTGCCAGTGCGTGAGGAAGAGAAGTCGAAGAAACCGGGCAAGCGGGTGCATGTGAAGGGCAAGTGACTGTCAATTTCAGCAGGTTTGTGTGATAGGTCGAGATGTGTTTGTGAGATTAAGGGACTGGGCGCCAGCATTGATATGACTTTGTGTTGATACGGGATGCGTGCTGCTTGTGGAGTATCGAAACGCGATGGTGATAGTAATCCGCCTGCAGCGCGGCGAGTGAGTCGGAGAGTGTGAGTATCGATCTATGGCGTCGTAATGAAGCGATCTCTAGCAGTCTTTGAATCTATGATCTTTCAAACTCACCTCTACCCCTTCAACTCCGTCACATGCCCCCGAATACTGTCACGCTCCTCCGCCGTCAACTCAATCCCAAACCACTCCCTCAGCGCCTGCACCCTCTCCGCCTCACTCACACACTCCTTCACCACCTTCGTTCTCCCCCCAAGATTCTCCTTAACAACCCCATTCACCAGCATCCGCTTCCCATAAACCTCCCCCTCCCCATCCTCCCCCGCCCTCCTCAAAAACTTGACAACAAGCGTAGTAAACGTCTGGAAACTCTCCGCCGCACTGCCCGTATACCAATTCATAACGTGAAAATCGGCGGGCAAAAACTCGACCAGCTCCGAGAAGGCGTAGAAGGAATTCCACTCGCGGTCGGCGGCGTTGCGGTACTGGTAGATCCACATTTGGCGCGCGGGGTCGTCGCGCAGCGTCTGATCGGGCAGGAAGTCGCGGGCGAGTCGGATTTCTTGCGTGCCGATGTTTGGCGTTGGCTGGTTTTCTACCAGCGGGACTGGGACGGTGGCGCCGTCGCCGCCGAAGCCGACGTCGAGCATCCAGCGGGTGGAGTCCGGGAGGGTGACTATGTTTACTATGTGGACCCTTTGAGAGAGTGGATTAGAAGGGGGAATGGGATAGGAGTGGGGATTGATCGCACGAACCAGCCGATGTAATTCCCCTGCGGCACCCCATCCGTTCGATGCCGAATGCGCACGCCAACGGTGTACGCGTGGAATCCAAGACCGCGGAGCATGTGGTTGAAGAGCAGGCTGTTCTCCATGCAGTAGCCTCCGCGCCCTCTGCCATCGAGGACGATTTTCTGGAACAGCCGCTGCGGGTCGAGGGTGACGGTGCGGGTTGCGGAGTAGTGGAGGGTCAGATTTTCGTAGGGGATTGTGGAGATTGTGTGGGTGTGTAGGGCAGTGAGGAAGGCGAGGTCGTGTGTGGGGTGCTTGGTTGGGTGGTATTTGGGGGGGAGCTGGATGTGGGAGAGGAAGTGGGAGATTTGGTCTGGGGTGTAGGCGGATGCCATGCTGGGTGGTTGATGCATGGTTTACACAGTGCCTTTGGATTGAGAAGGGGAAATGAGGGGAGGAGAGTTGTTTTGCTCAAGTAGAAAGTAGAAAAGACGTGAGATTCAGCTAGTCATATCGCCATTGGCGCCACCAAGTTCGCTTGGTGGGAATGACAAGCATAGGGCGTACCTACCTGATGAAACTCCACAATCCGCGGACTATTGTACTTGCATGAAGAGCGAAGAGGGGGAGAGATAGATGAGAATATCTCCGCATGCCAACTGTCGTTGAGGCGGGGGAAGGAAAACAGGAGGAAGTGTGTCGAGGTGCGGTGGAGGGGGAGGTGTCGAGCAAAGCCGCCCGCCGATCTCGGCAAAGCACCGACATCATTCCCGCATTGCCTGCACTTTGCTACTTTCCACCTCCATGAATGCTTTTCCTCAGTCCTTGACGAGTGCGTGTGCGCTCCACTGAACCACCTGACCATGTCGCTATATCGGTGCGCACTGCGAAAGCAGGCTCTGACTCCCTTCCGACGCTCCTTCTCAGCCTCCCCGCGAGCACTGGCAGATCACGTTCGAATCATCGAGGTCGGCCCACGCGATGGTCTGCAGAATGAGAAGAAGAGCATACCGGTGGAGACGAAGATCGAACTGGTGAAGAGACTGGCAAAGACGGGCCTGACCACCATCGAAGCAGGCTCCTTCGTCGCCCCGAAATGGGTGCCCCAAATGGCCGCATCCGACAAGGTGCTGTCCTCCATCTTGGCCAGCCCTCCCTCCTCCCCTACCCCAATCACCTACCAATGGCTCCTGCCCAACTCCAAGGGCCTCGACAACTACTTCAAAATCATGAACACCTCCTCCTCCGCCCCCGACGGCTATCCCACCCCTCCTCCGTCCCCCAAATCCGATGCTGGACCCGCACTAAATACCTCCCCGCAAAACCCTAACGAGTCCACCGCACCGAATCAAAGCCACGAAGTCTCCATCTTCATGGCAGCGACGGAGACGTTTAGCAAGAAAAACACAAATTGCACCGTGCAGGAATCTCTCGACCGCTTCGCGCCTCTGATCAAAGCCAGCAAGGAAGCAGGCTACCCCGTGCGCGCCTACATCTCTGTCGCCCTTGGCTGTCCCTTTGAAGGCCCCGACGTAGATCCCCACAGAGTTGCTGAGATCGCTACAAGTTTGATGGAGATGGGGGCCGACGAGCTCAGCGTGGCGGATACGACGGGCATGGGCACTGCGCCGCGCACGCGGAAACTGCTGCAGACGCTAAAGGAGGCGGGCATCCGGAATGAGGATGTGGCGATGCATTTCCACGACACTTTTGGGCAGGCGCTGATCAATACCATGGTTTCGTTGGATCATGGCATTCGCGCTTTTGATAGTGCTGTCGGTGGTCTGGGTGGCTGTCCTTACTCTCCTGGGGCCACCGGCAATGTGGCGACGGAGGATCTGGTGTACGCGTTGCATTCGCTGGGCGCGAAGACGGGCGTGGACTTGGAGGAGTGCAGTCGGATTGGAGAGTGGATCACCGGGGAGATTGGGAAGGGCAATGCGTCGAGTGCGGGCAGAGCTACGCTCGCGAGGCTGCGGCGGGAGGGCAGTGCGTGAGAATGTGTTCCACGATGCACCAAGGCATATCTAAAACTATAAGATGAGAAGTTTAGGAGCGGACACGGGTTGAATATTCGTTACTCAATGCCTCGACATAGCATGCAAATAGGTTAAAAGCAAGCCTCATCACTGCGCCCCTCCAGCCAGCTCATTCAGCATCTCCCTCGTCGCGCCCAAATTCCCATTATCAGAGTACAGCGCGGCAATCAAACTCCCATCCAGCCCAGGGAACTCCTGCTGCAGCCGCGCCACATCCCGATCCTGCTGACTCTCATTGCCAGACTTGTTGAGTTCGAACTGCTCCATCGCTTCGCGCTGCTCGCCTCGCTCCTCCTCCGGAACGAACGCGGCCTCCTCGAAGCTGGGTCTTCGCTGGGGAAGGCTAGGCGCTTGGCCCCGGGCATCTTGTGGTAGACCTGGCGGAGGGTCGAAGTGTTGCGATTGCTGCTGCTGTTGTTCGTATGGTTGATATTGAGATTGCTGTTGGGCTTGCGGATGGGAAGACCACGGGTTCTGCTCCTCGACGGCTTCGAAGGGATTGTTGCTGCTTTGGTACTGTTGTTGCGCTTGGTGTTGATGATCCTGAGGTTGTTGCGCAGTGGACGACCAGGGATTCTGTTCTCCGGCTACGGCGGCGGAGGCGTTGAAAGGCTCCATGGGTTGTTGGAGTGGACGGTTCTGGGCTTCATCATTATCATAGAAGCCCCGGTCTGCCATGGTCACTTTTGTGAGAGGATGTGATTTAGGTAGGAGAGGTGGTGCTGTTCTTGGTGATTGTTTCGGGTTTGAAGATGGGATGCGCGTACGTGTCCTGAGTGATGGGAGAGCGTCAAGAGGGCAAGAGGTGACGTGGGGGGCAAGGCGGCGTTGTGGCTGTGGCTGCCTTGCCGCCGCGTTGCCGCCCCGGAAAGTCCGAAAGCGAGAAGGCGCTGGACGTCCATCACCACGGTCATGATATCGACTTGCAATACTCCTTTACGAAAGGACGAAGGCATGGATTTGATTCGGAGCTACCTGTACTGCCAGCTACACCCTCTGGCTCTACACAACGCATTTCTCGAGCGGTGATGAGGTCAAAACCAACAATATCTTCTTCGAAACTGGAGCGATCTGGGAGTTGACATCGCTGAACACGCTATGACAACATGAAGTCAGTCTGTATCATCGGTGCCGGTCCAGGTGGCCTGGTGACTGCAAAAACCTTTGCCGAAACTGGACAGTTCCGCGTCACCGTCTTCGAGAAGAAGGCTCGAATCGGAGGCATCTGGGCGCTGGGCAGGACTACTCAAGACGCATTCCTGAGTCCTGACACTCCGACCAATCTGTCGAGATTCACCGTCGGCTTCGCAGATTTGGACTGGGCGTCGGTGGACTTGCACCGCGGCCAGGAGAACGGTCACTCCAAGGATGGGCCTAGGCCGCCTCTGTTCCCCAAGGCATGGATGGTGAACGAGTATCTGGAGACGTATGCGAGGAGGTACATTCCAGAAGGCACGATTCGTTGCAAAACTGGAGTGACGAACGCCGAACGAAAAGGTGATCAGTGGAACATCACCGTGCGCGACTCCAACGGCCACAGCGAGACGTTGACATTCGACTATTTGATTATGGCCTCTGGTTTCTTCGCCCAGCCACGAGACCTCCGGCATTCAGTTCCCCATCTGCCAAAATCATATCCGCATATGCCAGTGCCGACCCTCCACACATCAGCTTTTCGCTCTCTCGACCGCCTCTGTCCAGATTCACAGCCTGCTCAGGGTAGAGCCATCCTCATGCTCGGAGGGGGCAACTCTTCCGGGGAGACGGCCGCAAACATCGCGCTCCAAATCTCCGACACGCAATGGTCGCCAGACAGAAGCAAGGCTCAAAGATATCAAGACTTCAAAATCGTCCATATCACCCCGCGTCCTCTCTATCCCGTCCCTCCTTTCATCGAGTACCAAGACCACTCGAAATCCTACGTGCCACTGGACTTTCGACTTTACGACTTTGCCCGCCGTCCAGAGTCCTTGCCGTCTTATGGTGGTCGGCAGACAATGGAAGTTAGGAATATCGTCCATCAGACGCTTCAAAACATGATGGGCGGCGACCTCTCTGACATTAGTCCAGCGCTGGTCTCACACCCCGGCGACGGACGGGGATCAGTCTACGTCGCACTCAGCGAAAGCTACGCTGAGTATGTCCGCAGTGGGACGATCGACGTGGTTGCAGGCAGAGTCAATGAGATCAGACTCGGCGAAGACGGCAGTACTGCCTCGGTCGTAGTCCAACAGGGCGATGAAAAGCTGATCATCAACGACATCGCTGCCATCGTCCACGCTACAGGATACACGCCTCATCCTGCGCTAGATATACTCGATGATGCCACCAAAGCGGCAATCAAGTACGATCCAGACAGCATGCGCCTGCCCATGATCCTCGAGCAATGGCAAACAATTAATCGCGACGCTCCGACCCTCGCATTCATCGGCTTCTACGAAGGCCCATACTGGCCTGTGATGGAGATGCAAGCTCGTCTCGCCGCTCAGCGATGGACATCGGGGAAAATCCCTGCGACAAAGCCGTACGAGCAGCAAGAAGAGCTGCTGAAGCTGCGCGCCAGCATGCGAGATCGCTCACTGGATGTTCCGCAGTACTGGCTAGGCGACCATTTGGGGTACATGGAGGACATGGCAAAAGAGCTGGGCCTGCAACGTCGCAGTAAAGGCTTCAAAGAGCGAGAAGGCATGCCCTCTCCAGCACGCTATCGGACTCCATTCACCAACACCGCAGAAGCGGATGCAGTAATGGCAGACCTCTCGCAAGAATGGAACGCCTCCACACACCACACGAAATACGTCGCGCGCGCCGCTTTCTGCGCCCTACAAGGAACCTGGACCATCAAGCGACACTTCACCAGCTCAACACCCACCTTCCCCTCCGGCACACTAGAAGGCACAGCCTCCTTCCACCCCCGCCATCCCACCTCCAACGGAAACAACGGCCACCCCTTCGATTTCGAGTACCTGTACACCGAAGCCGGCACCTTTACCCTCGCCACCAGCGGCGCCACCATGACCGCGAAGCGGCGATACGTCTACCGCTACCGCGAAGCGACGGATACGCTGAGTGTATGGTTCGTCAAGCCGGATCGGGCATTGTTGGAAGTCGACTACCTCTTTCACGACCTTGCTTTCGAGAGTTCGGAGGCTATGAGGCGCGAAGGGGCGCTCGTTGCCAAGGCGGATCATCCTTGTGGACGGGATATGTATTGGACTGAGTACCGGTTGCCGATGCAGGGTGTGGCGTTGAGGGAGTGGAGGCTGACGCATACGGTCAAGGGCCCGAATAAGGATTATGTTGCTACGACGGTTTATACGAGGCCGGGAAAGTGAGCGGAGATGTGGAAGCAGTTTTGTAGAGGATGATAGACGAGTGAATGAATGGCAAAGAAGTAAGACTACATATAAATTGCAAGGCTACGCGGCGATTTGTTACTGATGTGCGTGGGTGGAGCGGCTCCGAGGCGGGGCAAGAGCTTCGATTAAGAAATTCCGAATGAAGCTGCGGTGAACTTCTGCACTTCGATCACTCAGTTTATCCACCACCTCGCGTGAAAGTGTGAATGCTTCATGGTGAATATCTATCCCTCACTCCACTCAGAGCCACCAGTGGATGGAGAGCGCAGACCCCACCACGGCCCCGCGCCAGCCCTTCACCCTTCTAGCAGCGGGCTTCAATGCCTTCGGACAACTATCAGACCATCGTCTCGACGACATCCGCGCCGCTTATCCGACTCTCACTCTACAAAACGACACTGAGATACGAATTCTTTTCGCGGGCTGGAGTTCCACCGTCATCGTGGTAGGCGGGAAGAGGCTCGTGGGCCTCGGGCATCAAGCTTTCGACTATGAACTGGATGCGGAGACTGCGAGGGGTTTGAAGTGCGGCTTTGGTGACCATGATGGTATGGTGGGTTGCTTGGATGATAATGGGAGGTTGTATTTGCTTCGAGAGCGGGAGGGCATCCGAGATGGTGTGCTGGAACGTGTTAGCGAGGGGGAGTCCGCAGCGCGAATTAGCCATGTCGCTCTTGCGGGGAATGGCAGGCTCGCTATCGTTCTTCGGGAGCCTGCTGAAGCCTCGCGAGATTACGAAGTCGTCAAGTTCGAGCAGTGTTCGGATTTCGTTCGATGGATGGACAACTCCAGCAACACCCAGGTGCAGCAGGAAGCGCAACGCTTCAGGCTTCCCTCGCGTCCATTGGATCTTATCGCCAACACGGCGACATTCCTGCTCCGCACAGAAAGCAGCGAGGTCTACAGCTGGGGTGACGCGCGCCATCAAAGCCTTGGCCGCTCGATCAACGACGAAAGCGCCGTTGCGGCCGAAACACCTGGCATCGTGGACGCGCTCGGTGGACTGAGAATCCGCAAGATCGCGTGCGGAGGTTGGATTTGCGCCGCTTTGAGTGAGGACGACGCCCTATATATTTGGGGCGTTGGGAGTCCTGGAGGCGATCTTACGATCAAGCCGCTGCGCGAGGTAGGCGCGGGCGAGGTCGCGCTGGTGGCCCTGGCCGATGCAGATGGAGAGGTCGTTGATGTCGTTGACGTCGCAGTGGGCGATAACCATCTGGTCGCGATTGATGAGCGGCATCGACTCTGGGTGGTAGGGAGCAACAGCAACGGTCAGCTCGCACTGGACAGCCAGGAAGTCTTCATCGACGACTGGACTCTCGTCCAATCTCCCGAAAAGACGACCTTTCACAGCGTCATCTGCGGACCCAAAAGCACTCTCGTGCTCGCCCAGCCTCCTCTTGGTCTCCATGAAGATTGGCGCAGACGCTCAGTTCATAATACTCAAGAAGCCAAAAGCCAGATTGACCAAGAAGCCAGATAACACGGCAATCTGCTTCCGCTTCGACCACACCCCGTCCTCTCTTATCAGCCAGAACATGGCGCCAAGCGGCCAGAAGAAGCCGATCAAATTGCCATACAGCATATCCTCCAGGCCCCCCGCATCTTCGCCCCCAAAGCCACCCGTGTCTTCCGCGCCGGCAGCATTGGGGTTGGAGGGATTGTCGAGCCAGCGTTCTTCGAGTGCGAGCAGTTGCGCGCCGGTCGGCATGGTATCGGGGGTGTGGGTGTGGGATTGGATGGCGAGGAACTGCGTTCGAAGCGTAGCGATTTCTGCGGGAGTGAAGCCGGCGGAAAGAAGGCGATCAAAGCCTCGCGGAGCAGGGGTGGTAGTGGTCGAGGCGGCATGACCTTGGGTAGTCGTTGATATGGCATTTTGTTGCGCTTTCGACTCCAATGCCGCATCTGCCTCTTGTGCTGCTTTGGCTTCGGAGGAGAGTTCGGAGGGAGTCAGGGGATCGCCGATGGAGCAGTGTATGTAGACTCTCGCGGCCAGAGCCTGCTTTCCATCGCGCACTGGCTGCTTGCCCAGAGCCTTCTCACTCTTCCTGTCTTCGTCATCTCGAGTCGTTGATGATGGCGGCGGAAGGGTGACACTAACACTTCTTGACACCGCCTCGTTATCTTTCAGTACCTTTCCGGCGTGGATGAGGCGTATTCGGCTGGTGGAAGCGGGAAGTTCAAGGTGGGAGCGGATGAGCTGCTTCAAGGAAAGGCATGTGGTTGAGTCAGGATGGTCGAGGGTGAGGACGATGTCGGGGTTGGACGTTGAGAAGCGGATGACCAGGTCCAGTGGTGTGCCGACTGGAGGTGCCATGATTGCAGCTCACGGCTGCTTAGACCGTAGAAGTGTAGCATGCGATGTGTTGTCGTTGGAACATGAAGCTTCGAGCTTCCTAATCCACGTGCTGCATATCGGATCTCGCGGGGCTGACTCAGCAATTGGGGTTTGACGTATGCCGCCTCGATCGTCTTCTTCTGATCCCAATGACCCGACAAGGCCATCTCCGCCATTCTCGACTCAAACACAACTTGGCCCATCGAAAGAGACGCCCATGAGATAACCACCTCAGACAGAAGTCGCGTCGACACCCGTCACGGCAGACGTTGAAAACAGCTTGCGCCGCCCCAAAACGTCATCTGCATCAATCGCTTCCAACGAGACAGACTGCACGAAACCACTTGGCGACATCGACTTCAAAGCAGGGCCACTCGTTGTACGCACGTAATTCGGCGTCCACAGCGAGCCTGCGCAGGCCAAGATGCCGATCATTCACATCGTCCTGTTTGAATTCTATCCCGTCACGACCCACGCACAAGTTGAAGACGTATGTCAAGGCCACCACCACGTCGAAGCAACAACATCACTGACATTTGCGGATGCAACGATTCAGGTCTGCACTCGCATGCTCGCGCTCTCCCAGAAATGCGTACATCCCATCACTCGCCAACCCTACGTCAAGTCTTACGGTGGCGGGAGAGATAACAGTCCCGAGGGCTTACAAGTAGTCGGAGCCCCTGTCTCCCTTGTCCCTTTTGATCTGTCTTGCTGATTGTTACGTGGTAGGGGGCCTTCACACATGGTTTTGTAAGCGAGTTTCAGAACCAAGAAGATCGGAAGTACTATCTCGAACAAGATCCGGAGCATCTGGCTTTCGTGGCGACTTTGAAGAATGTGGTGATGAACGTGAGGGTGGTGGACTATGAACCGGGCAAGTTTTGAGCGTTACATGATGAGAATCTCAATGATGGGTAAGATAGATTGCAGCATTTAGATCTCTGTATATTCGCCCTGTATCGCGGTTGAATGCTCGCTCATGAACGCTTTCAGGTGACTCAATAATGCTGTACGATGATGGTTGTAACAGTCTATCCGACAGAGAAAGATTCGCCACAGCCGCATTGTTCAGCTGCAAAGTCCTCATTGTTAGCACGTACGTGGAAGACTCACGAAGGGGACGGAGGACTCACTGATATTCGGATTCCGAAACACAAACCTCGCACTCAGCTTGTCCTCCAGCCAATCCATCTCACTCCCAATAATGCTGAATAGCGCCTTGCTATCAATCAACACCTTCACTCCATCCTGCTCCACTGCCTCGTCGAAGGCGCCGGCCTTGTCAACGTATTCGAGATGGTATGCCAGGCCAGAGCAGCCGCGATTCTTCACGCCTACTCGAATCATCTTGGATTCAGGCTGGTCGAAGAGGCCGCGCAGTTGCGAGACGGCGGTGGGGGTGAGGGAGATGGGCGCCTTGCGGGGACGGAGTTTGGATTTCTTAGGAGTAGAGGCGGTTTGCGTGGTGGCAGTTCCGGCGCCGGCGGCCGTGGGCTTGCTCTTCTGCGCTTCGCTTTCCCTTTCACTCACTTCTCTGCTGTCTTTCCTCTCCCATGGCGCGGTAGGTGGCCAAGTCTTCTGATCGCCGCTCGATATGCTCGTCTCCGGGATACCTTCATTCCGGGGTGGCGGCGGCACGGAGGAGGAGAGAGTTTGCGGTCGCGCGGTCTCGGTCATCAGCGGTCGTTTGGAGGATTGCTGGGCTGGTCGGAAGGAGGAAAAGGGACATCTCTGCGCTCGTAGACAGCGTGTGCATCTTCTTGTGGCGGCTGGTTGGGAGGCGAAGCGGAATATTGTCGCTATTGAGGGCCCGCTCGTCCGTAGAGTTGCCATGATGCGAAGACGCCGATGGCAAAGAGACGATGCGGCGGGGATAGGTGATGAGGTCGTTGAATCAGGTGGGATGGTGGTGGAAAGCGTGAGGTGACAAAAGCAAGAGTGGGCAGCGCGGTGTTTCGGAGATGTCTTTGATGGAGGGACGGTGACGCCATCCGGCGACCAATGAGAGCGGGGATTTAACTAATAGAGGCCAACACGGCTGTACTTTACGAGACATATCGCTCCGAACGCTCCCCATCCCACACTTAATTGAACGCGGTAGAAGTGAGCCTGGCATGTAGCCTGACAGGGTGCTCCTTTATCGACAAGTACCATCATGTTGAGACTTCTATAAGACTGCTCCATCCACGTGATTCCCGTCTTCGCATCCCTGCAGCAAGTGTGTATCACCCATACGCCGACCAAATCGACGAAAAACGTCAACAACTGCCGACTCGAGTCGACGGCTTCAGGCTTCTCACTGTCATCATCAGGAAAACGAGAAATCGAGTCGACTCTGGTCACGATGCTGGCAGGATTGTATCCACGCGGACGGGAAGGTTTGCCGAGGGTAAAAGTTTCCGCCCGCGCGTTTCTTCTCACTGCAACCGCGACTGCTAAACGAGACCGCCGTATGATCTCCCTTTCGTGCTTCTGTAACGCCTCCAAGTATCGAGTCACTCCTTGGTCAGACTGATTCAGGCTCTCCCACATCCTCTGACCCCAGCCAAACTCTTCCCGTCGCGCTCCTAGCTGCCGCAGGGACACTCCCATCCACCCTGTCACAATGGCGACCTCAAACGGCGCCGTCGCACCCACCCCTCAACCACAACCTCCCGCCGCGGCCACAAAGGGCCCCGAGCCCGTTTCAATATCGGAGGTCCGACCCAACAACAGCCGCGAAAACCGCACAGCAGCCCATTCGCACATCAAAGGGCTCGGCCTGCGACCCGATGGCACCGCCGCACAGGACAGCCACGGCTTCGTCGGACAGACCGCGGCGCGAGAAGCATGCGGTGTGGTGGTCGATCTCATCCGCGCCAAGAAGATGGCCGGCAAGGCCGTGCTGCTCGCTGGCGGACCGGGTACAGGGAAAACGGCTTTGGCGCTGGCCGTCAGCCAGGAGCTCGGGACCAAGGTGCCGTTCTGCTTGATGACGGGGAGCGAGGTGTACAGTGCCGAGGTCAAAAAGACAGAAGCATTGATGGAGAACTTCCGACGCGCCATTGGGCTGCGGGTACAGGAGAAGAAGGAGGTGTATGAAGGCGAGGTGGTGGAGCTCACACCGGAGGAGAGCGAGAACCCGCTCGGGGCGTACGGGAGGACCATTTCACATCTCGTCATTACTTTGCGGAGCTCGAGAGGAACGAAGAAGCTGCGGCTCGATCCCAGCATCTACGAGGCCATCCAAAAGGAGCGCGTCCGGCTGGGAGACGTGATATACATCGAAGCCAACACTGGTGCCGTCAAACGTGTTGGCCGCTCCGATGCCTTCTCCACCGAGTTCGATCTCGAGGCGGAAGAGTACGTGCCTGTGCCAAAGGGCGACGTTCACAAGAAGAAAGACGTGGTGCAAGACGTCACGCTGCACGACCTGGACGTTGCGAATGCAAGGCCGCAGGGTGGGCAAGACGTGATGAGCATGATGGGGCAATTGATGAAGCCCAGGAAGACGGAGATTACGGAGAAGCTCCGGGGCGAGATCAACAAAGTGGTCAACAAATACATTGATCAAGGAGTCGCTGAGCTGGTGCCGGGTGTTCTTTTCATTGACGAGGTAAGATTCGCGACGCCCTCTACAACCCCATTCTTCATGCTGACCACTTTCTTCCTCAGGTGCATATGCTCGACATCGAATGCTTCACCTATCTCAACCGCGCGCTGGAAAGCACCATCAGTCCCATTGTCATCCTCGCCAGCAACCGCGGTCAAACGACCATCCGTGGCACAAACTCTCCCCTCGACCCATCGTCAGGTCTCATATCCGCCCACGGCATTCCTCCCGATCTCCTCCCGCGCCTGCTCATCATCCCCACAAACCCCTACACTCCCAGCGAAATCCGCACCATCATACAAATCCGGGCGCGCCTCGAGTTCGCCACTCCGACCGCTCCTCAGCTCTCCACGGACTCATCTGCCGCGGCGCAGAGTCTGAAAGTTTCGGCGAGCTTGAGTCCGGAGGCGTTGGAGGCCTTGACAGCGCAGGGGGAGAAGGTCAGTCTACGATATGCGCTGCAGCTGCTTGCGCCTGCAGGGATCCTGGCGCGGGCGAGAGGCAGTGAGGGCGGGGTTGTAAGTGGAGGGGATGTAGCGGAGGCGGTGGGCTTGTTCATGGACGCCGGCAGGAGTGCGGCGTTGATTCGGGAGAGGGTGGGCGAGTTTATCTCGTGAGGCAAAGGGCGAGAGAGATCATGATGCAGGCTGACGGATGTGCTTGACACTGCTGCACGACTTGCCGTTCACAGCAGAAGACAAGGCTGTCTTGCTTTCCAGAGCGGAGTCAACCGTGCCGGGTGGTACCCCTCGACGAACACAGCACGCGTAAAGGCGACTTTGCGACAGCCGGATGCGAGTTGTGCAGGACTTTCGGTGAGATGGACAAGATAAACGATGGTGGATGTTTGATCAGATGTTTGAGGAGGGTTTAAGAGTGCAGTAGATATGTCCTCAATGTAGTCCTGACAGAGCAACCCAAAAACCGAAGATGGCAATACGTCTACGCATTTCAGACCGCGAACACGAGCACTGCAAGCATGTCATTGTCATTCACGATCAACTTCATGAAGTCGTTGCGGCTAGCTTGCCTTGCCGAGCAGCCGCGGCGCCATACTGTAAGCTTCGGGATGGATGAGGCAGGCGGAGCGAGAGCCGATGATATCAACGCCCGCCAGCCCGCTACACACAAAAACCTCGACGAGTTGAGTTACGTACAGTACATGCAAGATTATCCCCCACGCACAAACGAGTACATTCCGCCAAGTCAACCCCGGTCTGTTCATCAGCTGATTGAGGTACATGCAGCTCTTGTCCCGTAGGCATCGTCTGCCATCCGTCCCACCACCCGACTACACCCGCACGCCCGGTGTTCCCCATGAACTTGCTAGGAGGGAGAGCACCAGCAGCCTATCACCAACCGGAGTCACTCCTTACTCGCCCTCACGCACCCTGACCCCGAACGCGACTCAAGACGAGTGCGTTCTCCGACCGTTCCACCAAACGCCGTACCCTTCACCACCTCCCACCATCTCGTCTCCGGCTGTCCAACCCTCCCAACATGTCGCCCGCCGTGGACGACATCCCCTCCCCTGCCGATGGAGCTTCCCAGCAGCAACCCGATCAATACAAGTCTAACCTTATGCGCACGCCACAAGGCGACTTTATGCGGCCGGCAACAAGAACAAGAGGTAGCTCCAACGCCGTCACCAATGGCGTGGGCGTGCAGGCTGAAGACACTCGCATTTGCGTCGTCATGGTCGGTTTGCCTGCGCGAGGAAAGAGTCTGATTGCCCAGAAGGGTGAGTCCATATACTGTTCTTCATCGAGCGATCTCGGAGGTCCGTGTCATACCGAGATCCTAATCCTCTGTAGTCGTGCGCTATCTCGGCTGGCTGAGCATTACGGCGAAATGCTTCAACGTCGGCAACTACCGCCGCACCGCCACTCCTCAGCCCAACGCCGCCTTCTTCGACACCAGCAACAAGGAAGGCGAACGGCTTCGCAAAGCCGCCGCCGAGGCCGCAGTGGACGACATGTGCAAATGGTTCCGCTCGCCCGACAACCTCATCGCCATCCTCGATGCCACCAACTCCACCAAACCCCGACGACGATGGATCAAAGAGCGCTGCGACGCAGAGGGCATAGAAACTATCTTTGTGGAGAGCAAGTGCGATCGCGAGGACATCATACTAAGCAACATTCTCGAGGTGAAGACGACAAGCCCCGACTACGAGGGGCTGGATCCCGAGCACGCGGCCAAGGACTTCCTGGAGCGGATAAAGATGTATGAGCGGGTGTATGAGACGCTGGACGAGGACGAGGCGGACATGACGTATTGCAAGATTATCAACGTGGGCTCGCAGGTCATCATCAATCGCATCCAGGACTACTTGCAGTCGCGCGTGGTGTACTACCTGATGAATCTGCACATCAAACCGCGCTCCATATGGATCAGTCGGGTGAGTGGTGCGACATCATGACGATTGGATATGCTGAGCCTAACTTAAATAGCACGGCGAGTCAATGTACAACTTGTCCGGACAAATTGGCGGCGATGCAAACCTATCTGCACGCGGCAGGAAATACGCCGAAGAGTTGCCGACATTAGTCAAGCGATCCGCCGGTGACAGCCCCCTTACCGTCTGGACATCGACTCTCAAGCGAACGGCGCAAACAGCGCAACACCTCCCCTACGAAAAGCTAGCGTGGAAGGCGCTGGACGAGCTCGATTCCGGTGTCTGCGACGGCCTGACCTACGCCGAAATCGAGGAGAAGTATCCGCGCGACTTCAAAGCGCGCGACGAAGACAAGTACAATTATCGCTACCTCGGCGGCGAGAGCTACCGCGATGTCGTGATACGTCTCGAGCCCATCATCATGGAGCTGGAGCGGTCGGAGAACATCCTCATCGTCACGCATCAGGCCGTCCTGCGCTGCATCTATGCTTATTTCATGGGCAGCACCCAGGAGAAGAGTCCGTGGATGGAGGTGCCGTTGCATTGCTTGATTCGGTTGACGCCGAGGGCGTACAAGACGGAGGAGGAGCGGTTATTTGCCGATGTGCCGGCAGTCAGTACGTGGCGGGAAAAGGGGAGTAAGGCTGCGCATCAGGTACAGACGCTGAGCATCTCGGAATGTGCAGAAATGTGTACTGACATCGCTTGCGCGCAGGATACCCCCGAGAACTCACGACGGCCGAGTCCGTCGATAGCAGCGCAGACGAAGCCTTGAGGAAGACTTGGAAGTCATTTGAACGGGCAGCTGGATCTGCGTCATCATCGCCTGGCATATGTGATCAGGAAAGGACTCCAAAAAAGCGGGGGGGCCGGAAGTCACGTTGTGGTGGCCGGTAGCTGCGCAAACCCTACTCACTATCTTGAGTGCTGTACGATTCAATGCACTCGTTCGTCCAGAGGGCAATTAGTTGCAATGCTTGAATGTCGTCTTCAACGTGCTGCTAGAGTTGGGCAGCTTCTCTCGATGGCGCGCCGGCGACACCCAAAACCTGCTTTGATACATCAGTCCCTTACTTATCTTAACGACCACTCTGCTCATACTTCTCTGGCTGTTTGCCAGTCTGGCAAGCTCAACAAATGCCGGACGCTTTATGACGTCCGAGCAACAGCAGGAAACGTCGGGAACAATGTCCCCAGCACAGCGACCGCAGCCACAAGCCAAGCCAAACGAAGCCCAACTCCAGAAATCCATCCTCGCCGCGCGAAAAGTAGTCCAAGCGCAGGACGCCGCCACGGAGCTCTCGTCGAGACCGCGTTGCGCGGTGCGGGAGAAGCGCAGGCCTAGGAAGCTGCAAGTGCGGTCGATAGCCGAAACATTTGACAGCGTCTGAGTTTTTTTTCGTTGTGCGGCGTCTTGGGCAAACACATGGCTCGCAGCAAACCTGCCAGCAGGCAACCAGCGCGGTTTCACGGAGTCGGGCGACGAGGTACATATGTTCAGCGGGTGATGGCAGCTCTGACTTTCCACAAGACCAGGCATCTGGTCTCTGGTCCATCTGAATCCAAAAAGGGACATCATGTGCGTATGTTCGCATTCCTACTTCAACTGCAAGAACCCCTTCACACGTCGACTCGCCGAGCATCCCAGGACGATTGTTGACCAGCAATGTATGACGGCAATTTACCAAGGATTGACGGAGAACGAGATCTGCCACGAGACCCAAACGAGGACCATTAACCGGCTACTGGATGACTGCCCTGCTTGTGCTGGAGAGACCTGCCCCCGGAGCGTTGTGATCTTCTACACCCAGGCAATGATGGAAAGGGCCGCGACACGCTTTCTGCGTAACCGTCCTGACCTATGGTTCGATCCGCAGCGGTCAAAGCATTGGCCGCGGCTCTCTCGACATCTTGTCCGGATTTGCGCAAGGCGTATGGCGATGCTACCAACTGGGCGCTGGTCCACGCTGCTCTGGCTCGAGCATCAACTGTACCTGCCAGCGTCATGCCCCAGGGAGAAGTGGCCCTGAACCCTCTCTACGACTCACCGTCCGGGAATGACGTGAAGGAGATGGACATCACGCTGGGGACACCTGATCACCGAGCCTCCAGGAGTCTATCACCGAAGGCAGCCCAGCCAAAAGTTCAGGAGGCGCCACTGCGCCATTATGGTCAAGTTTCACTCGAATCAATCAGCCTGGTAGCCAGCTCTGTCGCGCGGGCGATGGTGCGCTCGCATCGCACACCACAGCATCGCGTACCAAGGGGAAGGGTCGGCGCACATAGAGCCGTTGCGAAGACAGCGTTGCATGCGGCTTTTGAGTAAAAGGGTACATCTACGAGGAAGGTCACGGTTCAAGCGTATGATGCAGCTATGATGCAACTTAGCATCCTCCAAGAGCAGTCTAAGCACACCTCACTGCTGATTGATTTTACACGTAGCTGCATCCGGACTCTGCTCCGTGGATCGCAATCCAACCACGACCCCGCTAAGCTTCTATTTCGAGAATGGAAGTGATTGACTGGCGGGTTGTGATCGCTATGTAGCATGGTGGCGTGAGAGTGCAATCACTTCATTCCATGACGGGTGGATTTGAATACTCGCGCATCCAACTGCCGTCCTGCTGTGCGAGGGTGATGGACTGCATTCTACCTCACTGCAGACCCAAGGATCTTCTGGTTCTCTTCACCATCTGCAATCGAGCTTCCGCGGAGAAAGACGATCGCCTGACGGTGTCGCCGTTCACTCTACCCCACACTGCCGTTCGATCGACAGGTCGATGACAGCTAACCGGCAACGTCGTCCAAGATCGGTGTAAGCAACACCTCGTCATCCCCTATCGATATCGATCAAATCGCGGCCCGTCCTCTCCCCCTGCTCGGCCGGATCAATCGCCGTTGATGATGTTCGCCCCATCATTGAGGCACTAGCGACACAGCCCCGGCACGGAACACATGTAGCATCACAGCAAGGCACGCTCCGTTGTCAGATGTCGTCTTTCCCAGCATGGCGCTTCTTCATGTTCGCTCCTCGCGCTCCACCAGATTCTCCTGTCATTTGCGACTCACGATCGCCTGGCACCATGCGGATGCGATTGGGGTGTTGATGATATGCCCTTTTTCGAACTCATCATCTGCTGCTCTCTGTCGAAGTTGACCTGATGCTTGAGAGAGAAGGCATGAAGGCGAGGAAGTCACGGCCTGAGTTTGTCGATCCTCCATTAACCTACAATCACTCGCGAACGGTCCTTGATTCGCATCAGTCGACTTTCTCGGACGCTTCTCTCAGAAGATGTGTACGTTTCCACTGCCGAACTTCCCCCTCGCCCGTTGCAGCATTGACGCGCACCCACCAGGCCAGTTCTACCGTCGCTGGGGCCTCTGCCCTCCACACGCGACCCGGCCGGCATTCATCATCCAGCGACATTACGAGGACGTGATTGTGCAATGCGAATGGGCGCAAGAGAAGAATCTCGCTCCAGAACAAATCTGCCGCAACGTGACGCGAGGCTTCGACATCATTAGCGGCGAAAGGTGCAACGAATGTCTGCAGACGGAGGTTGGGTGGGGGAATATTCACTCGGAGATGATCACGCTCGAGTACGAGCTGTGGTTGAGCGTTGACGCGGCGAATCTGGACACCAAGCCTGCTTTGGAGACCGAGGGGCCGTACGAGCCGATTAGGTGGTACGTGCCTAATGAACAGTTTCTGGCGTGGATGCAGAGCGTTTAGCTTCGCGGTCGTGATTGTGGACACTGGCACTGGTAGGCCTGGCAGGATTCAATGACTGGTTGTGCTCGACTTCTCCCGGCTTTTCTATATATTCCCGAGATTGTGCATACCCGGGTGTGATCGATCCGGCACAGTATCATCGTTCCCCCGGGTAGCCGCATACAGAACATCATTCCATGAGGAGCTTGGTCCACGGATGGGGGCGCAGTACTACAGATGTTTGAGGCGACCAATGACCATCGCTGGTCAATATCGACACGAGGACAACGCATACACGCATGACCATCGTGTATCACCCGACTAGAGTGGAGTGAGGTCGTCTTCGTTCACGCACGTCCAAAGGCAGAGGTATATATCGGCTCTTCAGTGTCGTGTCAGAAAGGGCATCTCTCCCAACACACACATCGAGAACAGTACTTCACAACCCCGGAACACTACTTGACTCCTTGCTGTAAGTCAAAGCCTACTTCAAGGCCAAGCCGGACAGGGGGAAAGCTTACCATGGTAGCAGAAGATGTCGAACAACAACAGCAATAACAATCCCAATCCTGGAGACAACCAGCCGACCGGAAGTACCAATCCGATTAGAAGCACCTATCCGACTGGGAGCACCTATCCAACTGGGAGCAACCAACAACAACCCGGAAGTCGCTTCTACCAGCCCCTCCCCGGCGAAGCCCACGGTGCAAGGCAAATGTACTCCTTCACGCCCCTGCCCATCGCGCCCAATACAGGGTGGTACCCCAACCACACCCTACACGCCAGAGCGGAGCTTAAAGTCTACGACAGGACACTTCCACCCCTACCAGAGCGCCTCGGGCCGCCAAACCCCCGCGGAGGCGACACAAGGGAGTCGTGGACGATGGCAGCGCGACAGCGAGCCGTGCCCGAAGCGGTGATTAGTTTGTGGACGACATCGGTCATTTGGTTGGAGGACTATGCGCCGCCGGCTGGGATGGCGCGTTCGGTGCCGATGCAGCAGGGCGGGCCGACTCCTCCGCAGCTGCCGGGTTGGGTGCAGCCGTTGGATATCCACCGGGAGAGTTTCACGCAGTGGGAGTGGAGGGCACGGCAGGCTGGTGTTAGCGATCAGGATATCAATGCTTGGTGGTGGTGGGCTGTGAATCGGCATTGAGGGTTTGACAGCCTTGCGTGTTCTCAGAGGCTGCGTGACGGTTCTCTGGCTATTGCTTTGATTTCAAACTTGTTGTTCACATAGAGAGTGAAACCGTGCGAGAAGCAACGTAGAAACAGGTTCATATGTTGTGTCAATATGTGTAGCCTGCCGTGGTCGCGCGGAAGTGCAGTTAGAAGGTGCGATGGAGGTGTAGTCGCAGATGATGCGCTTACCTAATTGTGGTAGGAGCGGAAGTATAAAGATGGAAGGGAATTGGAGCGTTGAGTTGTCCGTTGCGTACGCTGTTGCCAGATGATTGTGCAATATAGGCTGATTAGGCGAGTGGGTTTGTTCATCCATTGGGTACTTCAATACTACTACAAGGAGTCCGTTGGCCACGTCAAAAGAGCAAAGAGCAGTGAACGGCTAAACTGGGCGGTTAAAGGTGGTTGCTTCTCCAGTCAGGCTGCGGTGGAGCTTGGACCCTGCGGGAAGCTGCCGCTCACAAAGGGCAACGCATCCTCACAGACAACTTTTTGCCATTGACTCAAACACCACCCCCTCCCACCTCTCCTACCATCAATCCCCACCTCCTTCACATCCACAATGCTGGCCAGATCGGTATTGCAGCGGGCCTCCGCCGCCCCTGCTCGCCAGTTCGCCCTCCGACAGTCCCTTCGAGCCGCAAGCACCTGGTCCAACGTCCCCCAAGGTCCCCCGGATGCCATTCTCGGCATCACCGAAGCCTTCAAGAAAGACTCCAACGCGGAGAAGATCAATCTCGGAGTCGGAGCATACCGCGACGACAAGGGCAAGCCGTACGTGCTGCCGTCGGTGCGCACGGCGGAGCAGAAGATTGTGGAGCAGAACCTTGACCATGAATACGCCGGCATCACGGGCGTGCCCAGCTTCACCGCTGCTGCCGCCGAGCTTGCGTACGGCAAAGACTCGACGCCGCTGAAGGAGGGCCGCATCTTCATCACCCAGTCCATCTCCGGCACGGGTGCGTTGCGGATAGGAGGCGCTTTCCTCGCGCGCTTCTACCCCAACGCCAAGTCCATCTACATTCCCACCCCGTCCTGGGCGAACCACAAGGCGGTGTTCAGCGACTGTGGGTTCGAGGTCAAGCAGTACCGCTACTACAACAAGGACACCATCGGCCTCGACTTTGACGGCATGGTGGAGGATATCAAGAGCATGCCCAAGGGAAGCATCGTCCTGCTCCACGCCTGCGCCCACAACCCCACGGGAGTCGACCCGACGGAGGAGCAATGGCGCTCCATCAGCGAGGCGGTCAAGGCGGGCGGACACTACCCCTTCTTCGACATGGCCTACCAGGGTTTCGCATCCGGCGACACCAACCAGGATGCCTTTGCCCTTCGCCAGTTCATCAAGGATGGCCACCAGCCCTGCTTGGCTCAGAGCTTCGCCAAGAACATGGGCCTGTACGGAGAGCGGGTGGGCGCCTTCTCGATCGTCTGCGAGTCGGCGGAGGAGAAGGCGCGCGTGGACTCGCAAGTCAAGATCCTCATCCGACCCCTCTACTCCAACCCGCCGGTGAATGGGGCGCGCATCGCCAGCAACATCCTCACCGACCCGGCGCTGAACAAGCAGTGGCTGGGCGAGGTGAAGGGGATGGCGGAGCGGATCATCAAGATGCGGGCGCTGCTGAAGGAGAACCTGGCGAAGCTGGGCAGCAAGCACAACTGGGACCACATCACGTCGCAGATTGGCATGTTTGCGTACACGGGCCTGAACGCGGAGCAGACGAAGAAGCTGGCGGAGGAGCACTCGGTGTACATGACGAAGGACGGGCGGATCAGCGTGGCGGGCATCACGTCGGCGAATGTCGGACGTCTTGCTGAGGCGATCTACAAGGTTACCGGCTGAGTTTGCGTGCATGCGTCACAAACGGGCAAACGGGGGGCGCCTTCTTTTCTTCGATGATCGGCATGTTGCAGCAGCCAGCCACGCTCCGGCGGGATGCAAGATGATGTACATTCTACTCTTCTGCTTTACTACCTACAGCAGCAAGCGAGCGCGGTAAATTAGACTATTGCGCGATAGACTGCTTACCTTGTCCTACTTCTCTCCTCAGTACTCGCGAGATCCCAATGGTTTTGGATCATCCCATCAAGGTTGTGTCAAGACGATGAGGCCGGGGGGGGGGTTGGCGATGGCTCAAGAGCCAGGGTATGCCGTGAGATTCACGGCGCCAGGCTAGAAGATAGTGCAGATCGAGGGGCCAAGAGGGGTCCGCTTGTCAGCGCTCGTCGAGGTCAAGCTTCGTTTAGCGTTGCGGCCCTGCATGCGTAATGGGCCCTGCGCGGGTTCTGGCCCCGGCGGGGATGACGACGCTGGGTGGAAATTTCGGTGTGCGCAGCGCTCTCATACGAGGGTGTTGTGTATTGATACCAATGTTCACTCCATCGTTGCAATTTGCTGTCTCCGGGCTCCGAGGGCATCACCACGGTAGAAGAAGAAGAAGCACGTGGACATGGCTGCCGATGCAGGCAATGTCTGTGCAACCGTTGCTGCAAGATGTGGTGTGATGTGGGTGCAGCATCCAGTGCATTGGGAGGGGAAGGATGACGAAATATCTCCATTTTCCACCCCCGACGTGCCCTCCCCCTCCCCCTCCCGCCGTCTCCTCTCCCCTTCGCCTGATAGGATGCGAGCCGTGCGCGCAAAGAGAGGAGACCTTCGATGCTGCCCACGTGAAGGGCAGCGCTAGCATTCCGCATGGGCCACTGCTGCCCATGCTGGAGCGAGCGAGGCGACTGTTTAATCCCATCCTCCTCCTCTCCCACCATCTTCATCCTGCGTCTCACCCCGTCCTGTCCTGTTGCCATCCATCCTCTCCTCTGACATTCTTGGAATCACCCGTACTCCAGCACTGCTTCTCCGTACCTGCGTCTCGAGGCCGACAATAAGCTTTTCCCTCAGCGGTTCCGCGCTTTCATCATCATCATCGCCCGCCGTCCATCTCCACTCCACCCACGCAAGCCACCCGCCTCACCCAATCCCACAAGCGAGATATCGCCGCGCACGCTCACATTCCACCCCTCCGACGCTGCGAGCACGTGGTGTCGCTCCAACAGCAACTGCACGCGGTACGCACTCCCTCCCTCCCTCCCACCTCCCTCTCCCTCCTCGCCGGCCAAATGCTCGCGTGAAGTGAAGTTCGGGGAAAGCGTGTGAAAACAGCCAGGCCTCTGACATCATCGGGCCACGTAGGGAAAACATCGAATTCGGCCGCAACCCTCGCATGCCGCCGCCGCGACCACGCCCATTACCGCATTTCCCGCTCCCACGACTGCGCGCATTCCATTTGGTGTGAGAGAACTCTGGGTGAAAGGCGGCAAGCAATCTCTACGGCCGCCCGAGCAGCAGATTCCCCACCACACCACCATCCACCATCCGCATCCCCTCCGACACATACACATCCACCACCCGCCAGCAGCAGAATGCCGGCGCCTACTCAGCAGCGGGTAAGACCTTCGCCCTCCCCGTCAAAATCAACAGTGCAGCATCGCGAGGAGGAAACCACGGTGTGTGATGGCAATGGTCGTGTGCGCGCTCACCAAGCCGCGCCAATCCGAACTTCAATCCCACCAGCCACTGTCATCTTTCCGTCTGCGGCCTCTCGCTGACCATTCTTCCCACCCCTACAGCCTGATGGCGGCACCATCGAACTCGACAACTACCCCGAAATCATTGATCTCACCGTCTTTGAGCAGGTTCGCACCCCTCTTCACGCCCCGGGCTTTCCTCCACCGCTACTTGAACTAATTCTAACCCAGATCCTCGAAATGGACGACGACCCCGAGGATCGCGACTTCAGCAAAGACATCGTATCCGGCTTCTTCGAGCAAGCAGAGCAAACACTGGAAAAGATGAACCAGTCCCTGTAATCCCACCCCTCCCCCTCCCAACAATCACCACAAAGCATTCCCCTCCCCCAGTAATAATTCTAACCACCCCCACCCCCCAGCGTCCAATCCAACCTCCCCGAACTCTCCAGCCTCGGCCACTTCCTCAAGGGCTCCTCCGCCACCCTCGGCCTCGTCAAGGTGCAAAAGTCGTGCGAGAAGATCCAAAACTTCGGCAAGCGGCTCGACGCCAGCGGCAACCGCGACGAGCCCGACGACGCAAAGAGCCTCGACAACATCCGCTCCACCCTCGGCGACGTTGACGAGGAGTACCACGAGGCGAAGCGCTTGCTGCAGCAGTTTTTCAAGACGGAGGGAGAGTGAAGTCGGTGGCTGGCTAATTCCGGTAAGTGGTAGCGTGGTCATGGGCTGGAAGCGGACGCCGCTTTGCAGTTTGCCCTCTCTGCACGATGTCGGCGGCAGCGGTTGGGCAGGCTATGGTCAGGGCTACGGTGATGGGTGGAATGTGGCAGTGGGCTGCGGCGAGTGTGTCATTCTCTCAACCTTTCCCTTTGCGTGCGCGAAGCCAGGCAGGCGTGCATGCGGGCATTTCGGTGTAGTACAGCACTCATCAAAGAAAGCGATCCTTTTTGCATTACGCTGATGTGAACCCTTTCCCTTCCGTCCAACCTCTTCTACTAACTCGTCGACCTTGGAGGCACTTGCTCGCCATCCGACCCGCGCGCTCTTCTCACTCCTTGTTCACTAACCACACCTGTCCTTTGCTGTTAGCAATCGCCTCATCCAGCTCCTCGGTAGTCGAAGCATACACAACGTCCATCGAATCCGACCCCGATACCCCCTTACCCTCGCTCTCTTCTTCCTCCTCCACATCCGAAAACTCGCTGCTGCTCTCCTCTTTATGCTCACACACACTCCTCTTCCCGATCCCGTTCCTCGTCCACTTCCCCCGCTTCTCCACCTCCATAGCCGTATCCCGCTCCTTCACTTTGGACAAATCGAACACCTTCCCGTTAGGCGTGTGCAGCGTCTGCGTTCCATCGTTCGCTTCGAGGACCGTCATGTCGGCCACGCTGCCTACGAGGCGGTACTTCGAGCCGGGCTCGCCGACGCGCAGGAGCTTCATTACGGCGGCGGTGGCGTCTGTGGTGCTTTTGTTGGCGTCGTTGTCGGTCACGCGAGCACCCGCCGCTGCAGGGGGTGATGTCTCCTCTTTCTTCTTCTCGCTTCGGCGTGCCTTTTGACTCTTCTTCTTTTCCTTCGCTTTCTCTCTCTGGCGCTTCCTCATTGCTTCCACGACGTCGTCGCTCCCCGCCGTCTCCCCAGATGTAGTCGAAGAAGAAGAGCACTTCTCCTCACTGACGGACGAAGTCGCATCACTCCTCGCCTTCAGCTGCCGCTTCTTCTTCTCCGCCTTGCGCTCCCGCTTCCTCTCCTCCTCCCTCTCCCTCTCTTTCGCAGCAGCGAGATCGTAAAAGGAAACAGCCACGCGGAAGCCCTCTCCTTGACCCGCGGTGCGTTTGCGCTTCAAGAATAAGTCAAGCTCCTCTTCGTCCGTCATCCGCGGCTCACCAGCTTCCACGCATCCGACGACGCGGTACGGCGTTTCGTGGGACGTCATCGTCAGCGTCCTCTTGACTCCGTCTGGCTGACCCGCCGCACCTTCACCGTTAGAGCCGTTGGAGAAGAAGTCCCGGAAGTCTTGCACGGAGATTTTGCAAAGCAAGAGACGCGGACTCGCTTTGTCTGCGTCGGCGAGGAGGGCGTAGTCGATGGTCGTGTTGTGCGCGACTTCCAGCTGCTTGATGGCATTTTTGATCGCGTGCGTGCGTTCTGGCGCTGTCATTGCTGTGCGGTCTGGCGATTCCTCTTTTCTCTCACTCGTACCCGCGCGGAGGATGAGTTTGGGGATCTTCTTCGTAGTCTCGTTTTCCAGCGATGGCGACGGGTTGGGGTGCCGCTTGGAATCGAACGTGTGCACCGTCAAGCCCTTGGAAAGGAGTTGGCCGCGCAGTCCAGGCGTCTCCTTCCCCTCGTGCCACTCGAACAGCTCCACCGTGTCGTTCTTCCTGCGTCCGTGGACTTTCATGCCCACGGCATCGGTGAAGGAGGGCAAAAACGGCGCAGCGTGGAACTCTCTCTATCAGACAAAGGATGTCAGTATCATGAGCCTAGCCACTTCGTGTTCATTGCGATGGCCACTCACCAGACTGCACTCGTCCGCCGTAACGTACTCCCTGTTCTCCTTGTTCTCCTGATTCTCCTTCACACGATCGTCGCGCTCGTACGGGGCGGTGTTGTGCGTGCGCAGGATCCAGTACATGTCGTCCATGATGTCTTCGCCACCCTGGCCGTTGAGCAGAGCCATGCTGGGAGTATGATCGGGGTGAGATGGGCGCGTGTACGGATGCCAGGGGTTAGATGGCGATGGAGGGGGTGCGTGGATGCCTAAAGAGTGTCTAAGAAAGGAAGGTGAATGTGAATATAGATGGAAACGAGGAATTCATGCTGAAAAGTAGGGGGGTGAATGTAGAGGAGTGAGTGGTGGGACGGTGTGGATGCATGAAGAAAGTGACGTGGCACAAAGGGCGAAGGACATGCGTGCGAGCAAACGAAGCTGCAGCCATCCGACGGGGAAGTTACTTACAGCCCTTTGAATGGAAGGCACGGACAAAAGAAATGTTTGGAAGGCAGTAGTTGCTTTGGTATTTTCAATTCGAGTTCTACCTGCCAGCAATACTCAAGTACGCTGTGATTGAACTGCAGTGCAGAGAGCAAAGGTACTCACTGCGTGAACGCCGATTCCTTCAATGCATGCCGTGGCCCGGATCCTCCTCAGCGAGCTCATGCCGCGGTCTGCAAGTCCTTCTTCAGCGTACCCACAAACTGCTTCTTCTCCGCCGGCGTCTGGTATGCACCGTGACCGAACTTGCTGCTGGTGTCGATCCACTTGAGGTCGATCTTCTCCAGTGCACGTCGGGAAGTGTGGATGAACATGGATTTGCGGAGAGTCATGACACGCTTCTTCACACCCGGCACGGAGCCCTTGAGCAGCACAAAGTCGTTCTTGACCTCGCCGTATCGCACGAAACCACCCAATCTGGGGGATGTTAGCTGGATGTCTGATGAAATTGGACATCGGAGTGACTTACGGAGTGATCTGCTTCTTGCTGACGTCCGACTCGGTGGCGGCGTTGCCCTCATCCGAGCCCTTGCCAACGCGGTAGACCTTGTGGTTGACGGAAGTACGGTGGTGGTATCCCATTTGACCCGCACGGGCAACGGTCCACTGCACGTGGGACGGATGCCATGCACCGATACAAGCAACCTTGCGCAGACCCTTGTGCGTCTTGCGAGGAAGCTTCTTCGTACCCCAGCGGCTGGTGACACCCTGGAAACCGTGACCCTTGGTGACGGCAATGCAGTCGATCATCTCGTCCTGCTCGAAGATGGTGTCGATCTCCGCCGGCTTCTCAAAGAGGCCGTGGGCGAACTCGACCTTGTCGGCAATAGAGCCGCCGTTGACTTGGATCTCCATCAGATGCGCCTTCTTCTGCTTGAGCGGGGTCTTGTGGATCTGGGTGTGGGCGAGCACGCGGACGACGGTGCAGTACTTCTTGATGCGCTCCAGGTCGCGGGTGATGCTCTTGCCACTCTCCTCGGCGTGCTTCTTCGCGTACTTGGTGAAGGCCTTCTTCTTACTCCGGTACCAGTTCTTGTAGAAGCGTCTCTTCAGCTCGTCGGAAAGATGCTCAGCCCAGACAGTAGTCAACGAGCGGAGGCCGCGAGGCGTCTCGATGTATCCCACCAAGCCAACAACCATCATCTGTATGAATGTACGGATCAGCGCATGCCATCAATGGTATTGGCGCCAAGTCTCGTACCGGAGGAGTTTCGATGACTGTGCAAGCCTCGACGATCTCCTTCTTGTGGTTCTTCGCTCCCGGGCGGTCGAGGTCGCGCACGATGGTCGTCATGCCCGCCTTGTAGCCCATCGCCGCCGTGAGGTGCACCTTTTGCTTCGGGTCATCTTTGGGGAAGCTGGAAGTGTATCAGTCAATGTACTGGAGATTTCGAGCGGTCCAACGCTGTATCCTACCTCTTGACCTTTCCCCGATGACGTGCAGCTCGCTTGCGTGGCAAGAATGCCAGCGAACCGTGACGAGGCGCCTCAAACTTTCGGTGCGACATGTTTGAGGGTGTGAAATAGTTGGTGATCGTGCAGAAGTCGTTAAGGATGGACGTTCAAAATTTGGACCTGCTAGAATTCGCACCGTGCTGTGCCAAGAACTTGCTCGGGTACATTCCGGCTCGGGCCGCAAGAGGCAAGTTTGCCGATGAGTCTCCGCCAAAAAGTTATTGCAGGAATACTGCTGGTAGTCTCGCGATCAACTACCATGGAGCAATAACACTCTTGCAAATGCCTCATGCGACGATGGAGGTGGAGACTACAGACCTCGTAAAGTCGAATGGCGAGGTCAGACTGCAGCGCAAAAAGTCTGCACCCACTTCACAACTAAATGCAGAGCAAGAGGCGGCGAAGAAGCGACAGCTGCAAGCAAATCGGCAGTATGGGCGAGGACAGGCGGTCCGGACGAAGTCCGTCAAGGACAGGAAATTGCGTGAGAACTTGAAAGCACTCGAGGACCGGAATAAAGATGCCGTGCTGCGGGCGAAAGATGCGGAGATTCTGCTGGAGAACACTTCTGGCTTTCTGGAGGCAGAGGGAGAACTGGAGCGAACGTACAAAGTGCGCCAGGATGATATCAAGGCCAACATTGGGGTCGAGACGGCGAAGAAGGGATTCGAATTAAAGCTGGACGGTCTGGGCCCGTACGTGCACGATTACAGTCGGAACGGACGAGAGTTGCTCTTAGCTGGCCGCAAAGGACATGTCGCTACGATGGACTGGAGGAGCGGAAAGCTGGGCTGCGAATTGCAGCTGGGAGAGACGGTCCGAGACGTAAAGTGGCTACACAACAATCAGTTCTTCGCCGTGGCACAGAAGAGGAACGTGTACATCTACGACAGCAACGGCATCGAGATTCATAATCTGGACCAACATGTCGAGGTCAGCCATATGGAGTTCCTCCCCTACCACTTCCTACTCGCGACCATCGGGAATGCTGGGTGGATCAAGTGGCAGGATACCAGTACTGGACAGATGGTCACTCAGCTGAGCACAAAGCAAGGCACACCTACAGCCTTCGGGCACAATCCACACAACGCCATCCTGCATGTGGGGCACCAGAATGGCACGGTATCACTTTGTTCACCGAATAGCACAACTCCCCTGGTGAAGATGTTGCCTCATCGAGGGCCCGTTCGGTCGCTGGCGATGGACCGCGAAGGCCGCTACATGGTTTCCACCGGCCAAGACATGAAGATGAGTGTCTGGGACATTCGAAACTTCCGCGCCGTGCACGAGTATTCCCTGCGAGCTCCAGGATCCAGCGTGGCGATATCCGATCGCAACCTGACGGCTGTCGGCTGGGGAACTCAAACCACCGTTTGGAAAGACCTCTTTTCCAAGCACCGATCCGACGTCAAGGAAGAACAGATCAAGGCTCGCTCGCCGTACATGGCATGGGGAGGGGAGGGTCAGACCATCGAGAGAGTTCGTTGGTGTCCCTTTGAAGATATTCTCGGCATCGGCCACGACAAAGGCTTCTCATCCATCATCGTTCCAGGGGCTGGCGAAGCCAACTTTGATGCTCTGGAACTCAACCCTTACGAGAACACGAAGCAACGCCAGGAGGCAGAAGTCAGGAACCTGCTGAACAAACTCCAGCCCGAAATGATTAGTCTTGATCCAAACTTCATTGGCACCCTGGACTCGGCGTCTAACAAGCAGAAGCAAGCGGAGAAGGACATGGACCGCAAGACTGGGGCGGAGGCGGAGAGGGAACGGATCGAGAAGCTGAAGAATCGGGGGAGAGGCAAGAACAGTTCGTTGAGGAAGTATCTGCGGAAGAAAGGGAATCAGAATGTGATTGATGAGAGTAAGGCGAGGGTGCTGGAGATGAGGGAGCTGCAGAAGAAGAAGGCGAAGGCGGCGAGGGAAGGGAAGATGGACGACCTGGGACCGGCGTTGGCGAGGTTTGTGAGGCCCGGCGGATGAAAGCATACCAGAGGGGGGAGACTGTGCATATCAGTTCCGGATGGAGCCGCTGGGAGCTCATGCGAGACACACCCAAGATCTCGACCCATCGGCGAGAGACAATGGCTGGGCGAAGCAGTCCAGTCGACCACATTATCGCTAATACGAGAATACCTTAAGTATATGAGCAGCCTTGTGGGCTCCTCATATGATTGCGGTGTTGCTAGAGCTGCTGAGGGTGTGTAGATGAGGAGTTTGTAGCCGTCGAATTTCACGAATCACGAGGCATGAGATGCTGGATATTGTTCATACCGCGTTGACGTCTTGCTTCGCGCCTGAGAACAGCAGTGCAGGTTGTACAGAGAGTGGGGATTGACATGCATGTGCGGCGAGGCAGATGCAATGCGCGTCTCCACTCCGCTCGGGCCGAGAACGCCTTCCACTCTCGACCCTCATCACATGCAAATTGGCTCAACGTCTGCTGGCGAGTCCTACTGCACTCCAGCATATGCACAGCTGCACCATCTTCTCCCATTGTCCTTGTTCCTGTCGGTGCCTGGCCATTTGCCCCCCTATCTTCCACCATATCATACACACTTGCCCCTCCATCTCCGCAACGACCTCGATTCCCCATCCGCCGATCTCCCTGAACTCCCCAACCGATTCGCCCCCGAGTCCCCAGTATACATCCTCCACCGCTTCCGCCAGGGTATCGACACCGAAGGACCCTCCTCAGAGCCACTCTCGTCGAGCACATCATATTCACCATTGCCGATACCGAGCAGACCCGCCGGCCACGCCCGCCGCAGTCCATAGTCGCCGCAACAAAGCATCCATGAGACGATGCTGAGCATAAGCCGCAGTAATCACGACAGAACACACATTATTAGCTGCCTCACTCGGCAGTGCTTGGATTTTCGGATCCCGTCGACCCAAAACATCATCGTCACACATCATCCTCTGAGCAGCGGCCGCGAAGGCCAGCCAGGCGGCCATGGCTCAGTCCATCCCGCATGACGGCGGGCAGCAAAGCCTCCCGCTTTTCTCATGTAAGCTCACCTTACCTCAAAGTGAATGCCTGATCTAGCCGCTCACATTGACTCACAGACGCCGACCACACCGAGTGGCATGCGGGACAGAATCCCTTCAGTGGACACACGGCGGAAGCTTTCAATCAACCAGCCATCCTCGACCAAAACGACACCTCCTTCCTCAACAACTTCTTCGAAAACCCCGACGTCGCAATGAGTGGCGAATTTGCGTTTGACTGGTCCACGATGGACCAAAAAATGGGTGGGGCAGGGTCCGGGTCACAAATCGATGGCTTTGACGCCAACGACCACATTCACAACCAAACCTTCACACTTGGCGACATGCCCCGACAAACCTACCAACCCCAAGCAACCGCCGAACACGACCAGATGCCTCCACACGACGATCTACTCACTCACCAACGCCCGCAAAGTTCTGAAGATGAAGTGAAGGCGGCTTCCGGCCTTTACAACATGTCCATGCACGCACAAGACGATTTGCGCGGCGCAGCCGCTGCCGCCTGGACCAACCTTGGCAACACTACTTCTGTCAACTCACACGTGCAAGCCAACGTGCACAGTCCAATGAGCTCATCGGGGCGGCGCTCCGCTGATTCCTTCCGCGGACAACCACCCACCTCCTTCACCCCTACTCAGTTTCCAGGCAACCAGGCTCAACAACAGTTTCTGATGCAACAGTACGGGTGGGGACAACAACAGCCACATCGCTTCCAAAGCGCTCCACGCCCTCGCCACGGTTCGTTGCAGCTCGACACCCCCGTCCACCACCCTCAATACTTCTCCGATCACGCGCACGTGCCGCTGCTTAACTCCGCCTACACTTACGAGCAAACCAACGTGCGCCCGCCGATCGTGCGCTTCGGAAGTGACAGCAACTTCAGCACTCACGGGTATCAGGCTCCAGACGTGCACGCGACGCTCGAGATGGAGAAAGGCGCGAATCTCAACAATGTGCCGCTTGCTCAGCAGGCTGCTGCAAACGGACGCGCAATCCCGCAAGCATTCTCTGCCGCGACTCAGAGCCGCTCTTACCGTCCGTACACCGCTTTGCAAGGTCAGTCAAGTTACTTTCATCCTCACACAAGCATGGCCCCTTCCCCAACCACATTCGGAGGACTTCCCACCATGAGCTCGGGTTCTGCGGGTCGTGTGCACGGACACCCTTACAATGCGATGGCGGCTCGTACGGCGAAATACGAGGATGATGAGGATGAGGGCGACGATGATCAAGAGGCATCCGAGGAGGAAGTTGTTGAATACGAAGAAGCGCAACCACGCAAGCGCTACCAAATCCAGATGGAAGCCGATGACGCTTCGGAGTACAGCGCCGCCTACCCACCAAAAGGACGTGTCACCAAGCGTGCCCTCAAAGCCCCCAAAACTCCCGTTGCCGATGCATCTGAGGATGAGTATGACGAGGATCGCGGATATTCCGCCAAACGCCGCAAGATGAGCACCACCGTCCGCAGCCCCGTCAGTCGCAGCGCCTCGCCGTCTTCCATGACCTCGCCACCGACCAAAGCCTCTTCCAGCAGCAAGAAGAAAGGTCGCGCCGCTCAACCCCGTCAGAACCTCACCGAAGACGAGAAGCGCCGCAACCACATCATCTCGGAGAAGAGCCGTCGCGATCTCATCAAACTCCAATACGACAGTCTCGACAGCCTTGTCCCCGGGCTCAAGGGCGGCAAATCTGGATTGTCGCGCTCGGACGTACTCAGTGAGATTGTGACGTACGTGGAGAGCGTGATCGACGGTAACAAGGCGATGGAGGAGTTGCTCGAGGAGAGGGCGATGCCTGCTAGACCTCGCAGCGCCGCTGGGCCTGGATAGCATCCTGGCTACGGCTCTGGTCGTCGCAGGCCGGCCCCACCCCGCTACTTCTAAGATGAGGTAAAGTTCGGCGCGCGAGACAGAGGGCCCATCTATGATTCTCTTCCTCTGCAGCTCCGGACTTTCCAAACATTACCGTTTCATGCCTATCATCACGACGTCACGATACGACGAGGAGCATGAACGACCGACAATGACCGACGACCGAAACGAACGAACGAATGTGCATACCAACAAGGGTGGAATAGATATGGGTACGAAGGGGTCCGATACAGAACGAATGGACATCAAAGGGTCCTGTGTTTCATATGGGACCGACGAAGGGAATTACGGCGTTCAAGGGACAACGGTTATACCCATGGACTTTCTGGCGTGCTTGGGTTGTTTTAAGTGGCTCTTTTCCTCTCAGATCCCCAGGCGTGTTGCTTCTGGGGTGGATGTTTCCTCATCATGCGGATTTGGGCTTCTGCTTCTGCTTTCATGGACAGTCTTGCTCTGCCTCTTCCCACATGCGGACGACCGAGGTTTCATACTGCGTGTACTTACGGAGCCTAGTTGCTCTCATTCGCATACTGTTTCTTCTCTTTCTTCCATTACTTCCTGTTTCAGTACGTGCGGTAGAATTGCAAGTCCGCTTCTGCTGTTCCTGCATGCACGGAAGGCACGTGACGTCCATATTAGCATTGGCGTCGGCCCCGCCTTCCTTCCTTCAAGCCACGCCAAAAAGGATGAACGCGCAAGCCTCGTCAGCATTTCCCTCAGGTTGCGCGTCTCTGGACATCTGAAACACTCGACCTGTAAAATGTCCACGTCAGTCTCTGCATCACACCTTGGGAACTCCCGCGCGGGGAAAGCACCGGAGCAACACTCGGACGAGGGAATGTTGGGAGCCTGATCTTCGGGACTGGCAGTAGAGTTTGGCCTGTTTCTAATTCCGGTGACAGCTGTGATACGAGAGTGGCTCGGAGGTCCGCCGACGCGGCTGGGGAAAGGGTAAACGTCAACGGCTCTGCATTCCAATTAATCATGGACAGGTACATAAGGATTGGCGCCCGTTGCTTTGCTGGGCTGGCTTGGCTTTCCTCCTCTTTCATTGTTCTTACTTGAGACTGCTTTCTCTACACTGAGTGCTCCTTGTGCTATCAACCTCGTCTTGACTCATTCGAGACTTTGAAGATGGCGAGAAGCCTGTTTAATGCGGGTTTGTTGCTTGCGCTTTGTCAGTCCTCATTTCCCCAAAATCAGGCAGCATCTGCTAACACTCGAGAAGCAGCATCAATGGCGAGCGCGCAGTTCGGCCCACCCGGCGGCGGCGGCGGTGGCAGCGGAAACCCATTTGGCGGCGGCGAAGGGCCTCCCTCAGGCGACAACCCCTTCAGCGGCGGTGGCTTCCGCTTCTTCGAATCCCACCGCATCACCATCATCAGCGCCCACGCCATCTGCGCCACCCTCGCCTTCGCCTTCCTCTTCCCCGTCGGCGGCATCATGATCCGCCTCGCCTCCTTCCGCGGCCTCTGGCTCGTCCACGGCCTCTTCCAGATCTTCGCCTACATTCTCTTCATCGCCGCCGCCGGGCTGGGGCTCTTCATGGTGCATGAGATCCCTCCGCAGGCGCACGTTTGGAGCTACGCGCACCCCATCATCGGTCTGGTGTTGCTGGCTGTGCTGTTCTTCCAGCCTTGGTCGGGGCTATTGCATCATCTTGGGTTCAAGAGGGATCCTCGGCGCGGGTTCTTCTCTTATGCGCATATTTGGATTGGGAGGATCGCGATTATACTGGGGATCATAAATGGTGGCTTGGGATTGCAGCTGTCGAGGTTCTACGGGATTGTTCCCGCGAGCAACGGGGTGGTTGCGGGGTACAGCGTGGGAGCCGCGATCATGTTCCTGCTGTACTTCTTCAGCATTGTCGTTGGGGAGACGAGGAGGAGGCGGGCGAGGCGGGCGGCGCCTTTGCATCACAAGCGGGAACGATATGATGGGAGTCGCGAGCAGGTCAGGTATGCTTGAGAGGGCTCGCCTGTCGCTACGGTCTGATACCTTTCTTTGTACATGTTTTGCCATCTGGAGACAAATTGACGAATTATGATTAACCTCGCCCTTACTTTCTCTTTCATTAGTCCTTCTGATGAGCCGCATTGGAGCTTCTGAGTCCCTTTCCCTGACTCACGATGCGATGAAGCGGTCGAAAGCGGGTGCTCCGCCGCAGTTTGGAGTCATACCCTCACGCGGCTACTAAGGTATTTATTCGTCGCTTCACCTCCGTTTGGAAGTCCCGGGAAAAACTACACATGGATACGCTACAGAGCTGCAACCGGGAAGTCTACACGAGGCAGATATGAAGCTATCAGCCCGAGAATACGCTCGGCATGGCTTCTCATATCCAGGCTGAGCAGCGCAGCCCTCTGCTCAGCCTTCCGCTGGAGCTGCGGACGCAAATCTTCAGGGATGTGTTGTCCAACATCGTCTGCCAACGACCTGTCATCATCTGGGATGATGTCTTCACCAGCATCTCCGGCAAACCGCGTCCAATTCAGACAGCAATTCTTCAGACCTGTCGGACCACCTACATCGAGTGCGTTCCGATCCTCTATGACGTGAGACTGAGCGTCATCATCAGGTCCGACATCCAGGACGACAGCTTTCCGCGTTTTCAAAACTGCCTGGGAAGCCTGAACGACTGCGCCTGGCTCTCGCGGCTCCGGCACATCGAGCTAGAGATCAAATACAGCTGCCGATTCCCGGAAGAGATTGCTCGCATTAGCGATCGTGTGCACAAGTTTGCAGTGGCTTGCTTGCGACTGCAAACTATGGACCTCACCTTTGTCGACGTGACTGCGAGGAGGAAGGCTTCGGTCACCAAGAGTTGGGCCAAGGGCGTGGCCGATCCCATTGTGGAGGCTTGTTACGAGTTGGAGTGTGAACGTGTTGTGGCAGTTCACCGCAACTTCGCTGCGCAGAGAGATATGGGGAGTAAAGCCTGGAGGGCTCTGACGGAGATGATGCTCGGTAGATGCGAGCCACGTACAGGGAGCGACTGTCGCGGGTCCGCGGAGTATGGTCCCTTTGAGCACGTTCATACTTTAGAGTGAAGAAGAAGGCACATGTTATAATGGAGTTGCACGTGATGATGGTGGCTGTCCATCTGTTGACTCGTTCCTTCCTTTCTCGTAGTCCACCAACGTCACTTCATGCACACCCTCAAGATCACCGCATCTTCCGTTCTGATTCCTCAATCCTCGACGTCTCCTCACACACGATGGAATCGTCCCCTTCCACATCATCAAACGCCGGATCCGCGGTCACCATGGATGACACCCTGAAGAGCATTGACGTGCTCACCACACACTACGTGGACGGCGGCCTGAACCATGTTGGCTTCGAGACACTCTATCGCATGCTGAAGCTGATCCCAGCAATCGAAGACCAGATCGCCAACATCCTGCTCACGAGGACAATGGAGGAAGAGAAGTTCCGATGCTACAACCGCTGCATCCTCGACGTCTGCAACGCTTTCCACGAGAACATGATGTCGGCAGTCGACGACGCTCTTGATGCTCGCAACTCGCTACCCGAGCTCGATGGTGATGTCACGGTGCTGAAGGGCAGGCTGAAGCAGTGGCAGGAGCAGTTGAGGTGAGCGCCTCCCGCTCTTTTGCACGCCTGCGCGGCTAATGTGGTTCGTAGGAAGCTGCACATGCCCACGGGGAATGATACCGCATTGTTCAAGTGTATCCTGGAAGACTACGATGAGTTTGTCTATGGTCCGTTCGCCGCCATCCATGAGCAGAAGCCAGACTGGGCACTGGGCGCCTGGATCACAGAATCCACGGTCGTCCGCGAGGCGCTTGAGAAGCTGCAGTTCGTCGCCCAAGAAGCCGATCAGTTGGTGCAGAATCTAGACCAGCGATTCCGCACCGCGGTTCAACAGTTCCACGAAATGAAGAGTGAACAAGCAGCACCAGTCATCAAGGCGCCAGTTGGCAACGAAACCCTGCTCCCGCCCACGGTATATCACCCGACCGCGTCCAAGAAGCCCGTCCACCCAAATGCGATCTGGAGCAAGTCGTTTGGCATTGCAGAAGAAGAGCTCGCGCGTCGTGGCCACATCCGTGCAGCAACGTTCAGCGAAGCAGATTACACAGCATCAAGTCTGAGTGCCGGGCTCGTTCAACCACCTCCGCCTCATGGACATGTATTCCCAACCGTTGGATTGCGTCGAAAGGGAACCAGCGTGCCACGCATCTTCACCGGCTCGTTCAGTCAGCTGGAGAGCGACCTGCGTAAGCTCCACATCGACAAGGTTGAAACTCCAGTGAGCTCGAGCATCGACCGCGACGAACCCGTAAAGGTTCGGGATTTCGGTGCCACCCCTGCTATCTCGCCGTGTACATCGCCGATTTCGATGTCGTTACAGCGCCGCGAGGCTCTGGTGAGCCGCGATGCTGAGTTTCAGGACCGAGTAGTCAATGGTGAGGTGATTAAGCATCGCCGCCCTTCCAACAGAGCTCTGACAATTGACGATGCCACTGGCGGATTAGAGGCCTGGCTCGCACAGGAACCGCGTGAGAGGGACGCCGCCAACCTGGACAGCGCTGGAGTGCGACGTGGCTGCCACAGACACCGAGAAAATACCATCTAAATGAAAGGACTGTGCAAGGCCCTCTCTCAGGTATCCCCATTGACGCACGCGACCTTGGCCTTGACGACGATACTCGTGGAGTCCATCGAGATACCCTCTTGGTCGGTGATCTTGACCAGCGCCGGGAAGGTGGCAAAACGGATCTTTCGGTCCTCGTCCGCTTCGCTCTCTTCGAACACGTCGTCCATGGACGACGAATCGAACCGTGCTCCAGGAGATGGCATCACGACTTCGTACTTCGCTTGCTGAACTCGAATCAGGTGAGCTAGGTCGATAGCACGTTTCATAATCGATTTCAACGACGCCGATCTTGTTTCGCTCTCCTCGACTTCAGTCAACGTCACCAAGCATGTGTTGACTCTCTCTGCAATCTCCTGCGACGACTTCTCCGCAAGTCCCTTCACGCTTTCAGATTGTCGCAGTGCATCAAACGTTACTGCCCGGCATCTGTTGTACGCCGCGGGGTGTAGCACAGATAAGAGAGCTTCAGCCGCTTGTTTTGATCGATCCGCCCACTCCACTTGTCCGTGCAAGCCAAAGAGGTAAGGCTCGTCGAAGACCTCCATCAGAAAGCATGTCACCGTTGCTTGCAGTGTCGGCAATTTGACAGACGCATCGAAGTCTTTGTACAGAGGCTGCAATCGCTGAAACAGCTTCTCATCCGTCGCCTTCTCCAGCCTACTGCACAGTTCTTCCGAGGAGACTTCAATCTTCACCCGACGAAAATTCTGGACAACCCAGTTCTGAATCTCATGCTGGAGCAAGCCAAACTCTTCGCGAAACGTCGTGTCGCTGACATGCGTGCTCGGTCGTGTGGAGGCGGATACGCTCTTCTTCAACTCCGACAGCTGTCGTTGCAGATTCGCCGCTTCCTGCCTGTGACTCCTTGCTTCCTCGGTCACGGTGTTCAGCTGTCGCTGCACATCCGTACGCTCTTGCTCGTGTTGGTGCTCATACTCCGCTCGCCAGTACTCGTCTCTTTCTTGCAATTGTGTGTTCAATTCCTCAATCTCCTCTTCGAGGCTCGTGACCTTTTCTTCGTACGCGAGGCGTAGCTCCTTCTCTTGCACAAGTTCCTCTTTCAGAATCGCCATTTCTCTGTCATAATGATTTGTGCTGCCATTCGTCAACCGTCTCTTGAGCCCTCCCGCACTCTCGTTCACTGCATCTTGGGAGTCGTTGACCGTGTCTGAAGGGCCATTCTCAGCTTCGGGATGTTCGGGCGCGGTTGTCTCTTGACCTCCCACGGGGCCAACCGTAACCTTCTCTTCTTCTTTGCTGGCCATCATCGTCATAGCTCGGTAGAGCTTCTCGAGGCCCTATTCGTCCTCGTCGACTGGACTACCAGAGCATGTGTGTACGAGTTCCGCGGCCACGGCAGCCTTATTCTGAACTTTACTGGTCTGGACGTCCAATGGCAAGGAAGGTTTTTGGAGCCTCAACCACTGCACACGGCGTCTCCACAACGGCACAGGGATGAAAGGGTCTGGAGCGCCAGGAGGATGCATACATATCGAGCCGGCCTGTGACACAGCACGGCCCTGGACTGGAGACTCACGCCTGGTGCGATTAGAGTTTGGGACTCTACTGTTCTAGGGAAATGCCGTCCCAACGCCCTGCCTCCCTGCGCAAGGTGTGCGCTGTGTCCAGTCGTCGCGCCATCCGCCACGCGTAGAAGCCATGACCGGATCGAAAGCCTAAACGGACAAGGGTGTCCTCCTCTTCGACACGGATTCGGCCAAATATTGCCGTTTGCAACGCCGCGCTGAGAAGGTTGGGCTTTCGCATATCCCGAATTCAGCAGAGCTGTCTCAGATCGGGCCTTAGCATCGGCGTAGAGTTTAATGGCTCCGAATAGATCTGTGCTCCGAGATCCACCCGCTCGTGCTTGACAACCACCCATGCATGCTCTTCGGAGTCCGATGCGGCAGAAACTCTTCTACTCAGCCCATCGTCTTGTCTGGCTGATCACTGCTTCTGCGTGCGTCACGCTCGGACTGCCTCGAGGATAGGGGTCGAGCATGTTGATTTGATTGCACACTGTTTTACCTCGTATTCATTGCCCGCCAGAGCGAAACAACGCATATTCTTTACGCTACATCACTAGTCCTCGGCACATATTATTCCCCGGGCGCCTCAACACGACTGCGAGCACCTCTCCGACCGACGGAAGTGATACTCAGTGCCCGTCTAGCCACCCCCGACTACACTCGGCAACGCCCCCCACCCTTCTGCAGTAGCAGCTTGTGAAGGCCGCGCTCAGCTCAGCTCAACCTCCCGGCCACGCAGCAGTCGAAGGCAGAGTATGACAGTCAATGGGCCCAAGCACAACATGAGCGAGCCGAAGGTCATGAACGGATTACAAAACACCGAGTCCAATGGCGACTTGGACCACCCCACGCCAGCAGACAAGCTGATTGTAGGGGTGGATTTCGGCACAACATACAGCGGAGTCGCGGCGGCGTACAGCGGCTCGCCAGACGAGGTCGACATCATCAAGACCTGGCCTGGCGGCAACGGCATCACATCGGACAAAGTCCCGACCGAGATCTCCTACGACCTGTCCGAATCCCCAACCTCATCCGCAGCGAGTATCACGTCCGAGAAAGCCCAGGCGCAGATTAAATGGGGCTTCCAGTTCAAGCCGGAAGAGACGAGGCTGCGGTGCATCAAGCTCTTTCTCGACCGAAACCAGAAGCTCCCGCATTTCGTCTCGCCGCTCGAGACCGCTGCCCAGCTCCGGAAGTGCGATCGGACTGTCATGGACGCTGTGTCGGATTACCTGACCAAAATCTACGAGCACACCATTCAGACGCTGACGAGGAGATACGGGGAGAGCTTCATGAGCACAACGCCCGTGGACTTTGTCCTCACCGTCCCAGCGGTGTGGAGCGATGCAGCCAAGAATGCAACCTTGCAAGCGGCAGAAAGAGCTGGGATGGGAAATAGACATGACTTGCGACTCATCAGCGAGCCCGAGGCCGCCGCCGTATACACATTGAAGACCATCCAGCCAAGCGGCTTGAAAGAGGGAGACAACTTCATCGTTTGTGATGCTGGAGGTGGCACGGTGGATTTGATTGCATACAAGATCACACAAGTCTCTCCCCTGCGAGTCGACGAGAGTGCGGTCGGGACGGGTGGACTGTGTGGGTCTGCCTTCTTGAACTACCGGTTTGAGGATCATGTCAAGGAGCGGATAGGAGCGGAGCGGTACACAAACATGCGGGAGAAGAAGCCGAAGACGTGGATGATGGGCCTGCGGTATTTCGAGGAGTTCGTCAAGCGCAATTTCAACGAGGAGGAGCACAGCGAGGTCAATGTTCCTTTCCCAGGGCTGCCGGATGATGAGGAGGCCGGGCTGGAGTCTGGCTTCCTAATCATGACTGCGGAGCAGGTGAAGGGCATCTTCGAGCCGGTGATCGAGCAGGTCGTCGAGCTCGTGGACGGCCAGGTCCAGGCCATCAAAGAGAAGCAAGGCCGTGTGTCCGGCATCATTTTGGTGGGAGGCTTCGGACAATCGAACTACCTCTACACGCGCCTAAAACAGCACTTCAACTCCGCGCCGCCGCCGGCCTACACGGACACGCCGAAGCACGAAGATGGAACTGCATTGCAGCGGCAGAATGTCGAGGTGCTGCAGCCCCTGCACGCTTGGACGGCGGTGGTGCGTGGTGCTGTGCTGAGAGGCATCGAGGGTAATCTGGTCGAGAAGAGGAGGAGTCGCTGGCATTACGGCACAAGCTACGCAACAGTGTTTGACGAGGCGAAGCATCCTATGGCCGACAGATACTGGAGCCCGCTCTGGGAGAGGTGGATGGTTAGTGATCGCATGCAGTGGCATGTCGCCAAGGTGAGTCTCATTTGAAGCCCTCGTTACGTCTCCTTGAGAATGGGCTTTTGACTGACGATAATGTGTCCACGCAGGGTACGCCCATCTCCGCCGACGCACCTATCTCCTTCCATTATACCCGCAACTTCCGCCCCGGCCAGTCTCTGGTGGTGGAAGACGACGTGATCGGCTGTGACAGCGAAGAAGCGCCCGACGCTTACGACAAGACGCTGATCAACGTCTGCACGCTGACGACCGACCTCAACGCCGTGCCGAAGAGCCTGTTCACCCGTCTGACGACGACAAAGGGCGTTGAATTTGACAATCTCGATTTTGAGCTGCACATGAAGATTGAAAGCGCGGACCTGGTCTTTGAGCTGCGAGTGGATGGTGTCAAGTATGGAAGTGTACAGGCCGACTTTCACTGAGCTCGCATCTTTAATTGGTAAACTAATCTGGCTGGACATAAGGTGTCGGCGCGTCCGGTCAGGGTCAATGTGTAAAGCGAATTGGACAGGCTTATGTAGATATGTGTGCAGGGTTTATAGCGTCTGATGTGATTGTTCGTACCTCTTGAATTCTCACCTTGCGTAATCACCTGACGTTAATTGAGCTCACGTGAAGCTCGCGTCAGCGCGTGAATTTAAACTTTGCGCTGCGATAAGGTTGCCTTATCCTGACGCTTCCTTTACAGTTGTGGCGGAGACTTTTCGCTGGCTTCTAACGACTCTCGTCATTACACGCTCCGCAGGCGGACAATCGTTGGTACAAGGGAGTCAAAATGTCGGGACGAAGAGGAGGCAATCGCATTCGCGGCCCGCAAAGCGCCTTGACAGACTTTCTCGCGGTAAGCATCCTGCATGCTTGGGAGAGGAACTCCTGGCTGACCACGACGAACAGGCCAACAATATCTCCGCCGCCCAAATTCGAGACGAGTACGAGCGACGCCTACGAGAAGCAGGTCAAGACGAGAATGCCGGCGAGGGTGCATCGAATGCTACGCCGCAGCAGGCCACCGCCACCCCTTCTGCTGTAGACACGGCGGAGGAGGTGGCGGAAGAGGAGGAGGAGAAGACGAAGAAGCGCAAACGTTCACAGAAAGAGGCCATAGATAAGATCAAGAAGGCAAAGGCGTCCAAGAAGCCGAAGAAGAAGGGCAAGGGCGGCGGCTCGGACGACGACGACGATGACTACGACGATGACTTCGCCACCGACATGTACAAGAAGGCGAAACCAATGCCCGGCCAATTCGAGCACTGCGAGATCTGCAGCAAGCGCTTTACTGTCACTCCGTACAGCAAAGAAGGCCCTGAAGGTGGACTCCTATGCACGCCGTGCGGGAAGGAACTCGCGAAAGAGCAGAAGCAGGAGAAGAAGGCAGCTAGCAAGCCGGCAGGACGGAGGCGGCGAAAGCTTGAAAGTGACAGACTGGACGGCATTGCGAGCGGCGGGGCAAAATCTCTCATGCAGTTGTGCATCGAAAAAGTGGCCAAGCACCACGAAGATGTTGAAGAGCTAGGCGATATTCCTCCCACGGTGCTCGAGAAGCTGAGCGAGATCTTCTCCAAGAAGCGCGTCATGAAGTCTAGGACACTTCGGCTGTTTCTTCGTCCAGATCTCCAGTCCGTCATCGTGCACGATGCTGCCTACTTGGAGCTGGAAGACTATCGTCAGATGTTCGCCATTGTGCCAAACATGCGGCGCCTGGTGCTGGCGAATGCGTGTCAGATGAAAGATGAGGCTGTGGAGTACATGATCGAGAGGTGCCACAAACTTCAGCACTTGCAGCTGTACGCTGCCAATCTCATTACCAACGACATGTGGGCAGGACTGTTTCAAGAGATGGGCCAGGAATTGGAGGTGGTGAAGCTTAAGTGGCTTGATGCCTCGTTCGAGGATCACAGTGTGCGAGAGATGGTACAATGCTGTCCCAGGTTGGAACGGGTCAAGTTGAAGCTCTGCCGGAGGATTGGGGAAGATGCTGTTGCTGCTCTCGCGGAGCTGCCCAACCTCAAACATCTGTCATTGCAGATCGGTCGTCCGGTCCCGACAGACGTGCTCTGCTCACTGGTTGTGCAACGCGGAGCTGCGTTACGAACTCTCTCCCTGGAGAAATTCCTCGACGCGGACGACTCCATCCTCCAGGCCGTACATGACAACTGCAATGTCCTGAGCAAATTCCGCTTCTGCGAAAACGACACCGCCACCGATGCCGGGTACACCGCTCTTTTTACCAACTGGCGCAACCCAGCCTTGACCTTTGTCGACATTAATTCCACCCGAGACGTTGACAATAACAATCCCGAAGGCCCCGAAGAAGCCATTGGAATCGCATCACCCGGCTTCCGCGCTCTGATGGCCCATTCGGGCTCCGCCATCAAACATCTCGACATCGCCTCGTGCCGCCACATCGAGCTCTCCGCCTTCATGGACGTCTTCAACGGTGCGCAGACGTACCCGATGCTGGAACACATCAACGTCAGCTTCTGCAATCGCGTGGACACGAGTGTTGTGGTGGGCATCTTCAAGAGCTGCCCTGCCCTCAAGAAGCTCGTTGCTTTTGGGTGCTTTGACGTCCAGGATGTCGTTGTGCCGAGGGATTGCGTTGTTATTGGGATCCCCCGGGCCGCGGATGCCATCGAGCAGTTTGGGGTGGGGATTGGAGGTGAGTGCCAAAACATCAAACGCCGAGGCTCGTTTGGCAGTACTGACTTCTATACAGTGGACGAAGCAATCGGTAGAATGGTCGAAGTGGGTGCTTGAGAAATCAAGCGGTCACTACGAGATATGAACATGATGGGATGACGTGGAGCAGCTACCAAACGGACAATACAGACCTCGAGAAGACGACGCAACTGGGGTGTTGTGTTCCATCAAGGTCACTTCCCACTGCATACCATTTCGCACTTCACCTCGTCGTCTCTTTGCTATCTTCCTCTTTTGCCTCCCGTTTCTATGCGTGATCGACGATGCAAAGTCCCTGTCGAGTCTACCTTGCTATGTGTCTACGCCCACGCACGCCCGTTGAGCCCTCCGTCTATTTGAGATCATCACCCGACGAAAGATGCTTGGCGAACAAGATTTACTCTCCGAGCATGCCGGCCACACGGTCGAGTCGAGCCGCGCAGGCTTTCCTCGCTCTCAGACTTGCCGCGGACGAAAGCCGCGGTATATAAGAACTCTTGGTCTTCGGGTTGAGGTGGCCAAGGCCAGCCGTGGAGCAATGTTACCTCCACGTTCTGTTCCCCCTCAATTCCCGCCCCACGCGGGGTCTGGAATGAGCTGCCACTTTCAGCCATGGCCAGGGCCGATTGTTACCTGACCCCGCGGCAGATGGTTATCCCGCAGTGGATTCGTTGTCGGTGTCATGCACGACTAGCAACCTCGGCGGTTTGGTTTCCTGGCTGTTCCCTCTTGCCTTCTCTCTTCATACACTCCTGTTGATCCTTCACAACAACACCATCCCCACTTTCTCAAGCCGTCTTCCACAGCAAACATGGGTGATCTTCCAAAGAAGTACAAGGCTGTCGTCTATGACAAGCCGGGTGAGGTGAGAGGATGTACATCCGAGATGGAAGCGGCAATGCTGACTCTGCTCAGGTGTCCACCAAGGTGGTCGAGTTGGATATGCCGGTCAGTGATCGATGGGCTGATAGCCTTGCGTCTCATAGCGTTACTAACGATTACCGCAGGAGCCTGGTACCAAATGTCTAGGGGATAATGTCTGCAGACAAACAACTAACGCGATAACTGCACCTCATAGGGCCTGGAGAAGTCCTTATCAACTTGACCCATTCTGGTGTCTGCCACTCCGACATGGGCGTCATGACGAACCGTTGGAGGAAGCTTCCTGCCCCAACTCAAGCAGGTCAAGTCGGCGGCCACGAAGGCGTGAGTCCCGCGTCTCCATGATTCTTCTCGCCCTCGTAACTAAACACGATGTTGTTCCTACCAGGTCGGCAAGATTGTCAAGATGGGCCCGGGCACCGAGAACAGCCCGAGGAAAGTCGGGGACCGCGTGGGCATCAAGTGGATCGCCGCCATCTGTGGCAGTTGTCCGGCTTGTCTCTCTGGCCATGATGGAATCTGCTTCAACCAGAAGATCTCGGGCTTCTACACTCCCGGTACCTTCCAGCAGTACGTCGTCAGCCCGGCGGACTACGTGACGCCCATTCCCGACTCTTTGCCGTCGGATGTTGCGGCACCGGTATGTTATATCATAATCGATTATCTACGCAAACATCAGGAAGGCTAATCATCTACTGCTGTGCAGATGCTCTGCGCCGGTGTGACCGTCTACAGCGCCCTGAGGAAGTCAGGCGCAGAATCCGGCAACACCATCGCCATCCTTGGTGCCGGCGGCGGGCTGGGCCATCTTGCCACGCAGATTGCGTCGAGGGGTATGGGACTTCGTGTGATCGGCATTGACGCGGGCAGCAAGAAGGAAATCGCGCTCGAGTGCGGTGCGGAGATTTTCCTCGACCACGCCAAAGACAAGGTTGAGGAGGAAGTGCTGAAGGTGAGTTGTCTTGCCGCCTCTGTCGACTCTGCCAGTGCATGTTAGGCATTTCCTTTCGGGTTACTCACACAATGGCTGTTTAGGCAACGGGCGGTCTCGGCGTGCAAGCCGCCATCGTCCTCACCGCCGCCAACGCCGCGTACGCCTCGGCCATCGGCCTGCTCAAGTTCGGCGGCACGCTGGTATGCGTGGGGATTCCGGAGGGCGATCTGGTGCCCATCGCCACCGCCGACCCTGCCAGCTTGATCGTCAAGGCGTTGACCATCCGCGGCGTCGCTGTGGGCGATCGACGGGAGGCGATTGAAACGCTGGAGTTCGCGGAGCGCGGGCTTGTCAAGACGCACTTTACCACGGAGAAGATGGATAAGCTGACGGAGGTGTTTGAGAAGATGGATCGTGGCGAGTTGCAGGGCCGAGTGGTGCTTGATCTGAGCGGTTAATCACCTAGAGTGAGAAGCTGTGGCATCGACGAGGTTGGGTGGAAGGTCTAGAGCTTATTGTGCGTACGACTAGATAACGCCACATGTACCAACGACTTTTCCTGTATTTCAAAGCGCCAGTCTATTTGCTCCGAGCTATGCGGTCACCGGACAAGATGCTGAAACCAGCAGTCCTCTGCCCGTCTACGAACGCTTGCCAAACGCCTTGTCAAAGTCCGTCAAGACGTATCGGAAGCGCACTTTGTTGTCCGAGACGCCCTGCACGGCCTTTGCAATCCCGGCTTCGCTGATGGGAACCTTCTCGATCCAGCTCTTGATGTTCTGCTTCGCGGCGAGGTCCAGCATGGCGAGCATCTCGGGGCGGTTGCCGATGTGCGAGGCGCCCAAGTAATTGCCGTTCGGGGCAAAGTCTTGCGCGTTGAGGGTCGGCAGGGGATGGTCGCCGAAACCAACGCAGTGGAACGTGCCGTTGACCTTGAGGGTGGAGAAGTAGTTGGGGAGGTTGAATTTCTTGGGAGAAGAGTCAGTAGGGCGAAGATCGGACGGTTGTGCGGGTGTTAGAAGACTTACGTGGACAGCATCAGCGGTGTTGAGGATGAAGTCAAATGTAAACTGGGAACATGGTCAGCCTTTGTTTTCAAGGGTAGAGTGCGTCGCGACCGGCTACACGTACGTTGTATGGCTTGTGCCAATCCTTTTCGTTGATGTTGATGAAGTGATCGGCGCCCATCTCGCGGACGGCCTTCTCCTTGTCGGCGCTGTGAGAGAGCACGTACACTTCTGCGCCTAATGCCTTCGCGAAAAGGACCGCATAGTGGCCAAGACCGCCTCTGGTTTCGTGTATTAGCCTCGCTCTTCTTCAATGTCACGTGATGTGCGTCTTACACTCCAGAGATGGCAACCTTCTTGCCCGGTCCGCAGCCTAGCCTGACGAGCGGGCTGTACACTAACAAAGAAAGCAGGTCAGCCTCAGTACTGCTAAACACGCGATGCGTCGGCCAGGAACGTACCGGTAAGGCCGGCACACAGCATCGGCGCGGCATTCTCGCTCTCCAATGCGTCGGGGATCTTGAAGGTAAAGTACTCGTGGGAACGAATGTGCGATGAGTATCCGCCCTGCGTCTTGGTGCCGTCGGGCCAGTTCGATCCGTAAGTGTCGACCATGTTGGGGCAGTAGTTTTCCTGGTCGGCCTTGCACTGGTTGCAGGTCAAGTCCGCGCCGATTTGGGCGCCGACGCCCACGCGGTCGCCAACCTTGATCGTCTTGACATCTTTGCCGACCTTGATCGCCTTTCCAATGACTTCGTGGCCGACGCAGATAGGTACGGGAGCTTCACCCCATCCTGTGCGACGTTTCAGTAGATGTCCTCATACCGTTGGAGGCTCGTGCAGATTGTAGACGCACCTCCGTTGATGGTGTGGACGTCAGAAGCGCAGACACCGCAGCAATCAATGGCGATATCAATGTCACGGTCTCCGAAGGGCTTGAGCGGGAACTGTTGGACCGAATCGCGTCAGAAGGTATCTTGACCATCAGGGTGGCGAAGGGAAATATATTAAGGCACCACTCACCTCATCCTTCTTGAATTCCGTCCACTTCTTTGTGTCGTGGATCATAAAGCCCTCGGCGGTCTCTGGGTACGGCATTGTGACGGATAAGTTGCTGTTGTTACTTTTGAATGATATAAGGTGAGGAAAGAGATTTGAAGAAGAAGAAGGAGACCGGAGGCAAGGGAGAAATCGAGGAGGAGTATGATAAAAGACGTCGCGTGGACGTCAGAACGACGAAGAAATTGAGCGGTGATCTCATCCATCGTCAACGGAACAGCGTACCAGATGCGCGGGCGCCGGCCAATGGGATAAACTCTCCATTCAACGACCTCGACCGGACTGGGAATTATTCCGAAGGTTCGTTGCCTGACAGCGCATCGGGATGTGGAGCCGGCTCGCCTTGACATCGACCGAATGCTGTAAGGCAGCATTTTCCTAGCTCTGTGGCCGAGTCAAGTCCCGTCTGTTACCGCTGCCCAGTACTGTAACCCCGCACCATGAGGCTCACATTACGATGCTGTCAGAGCTGTGTAAGTAGGAGTTCACTCGTTTTCATCTCGTCTGCGTACCGTAGAGTAACAGCTGGCGTTTTTTCCATCATCTTGTCCACATACGATCCATCCTTCACTTCGGCAGCATATCGAATCATCGAAATGGGCAAGATGAAGGCGCAAAGGTTCTGGGGGAAAGTACGCATTTCCAGTTGTTGGGTTGCTTCGAGACCAGTAGCAGCGATATTGTTGCCGGTGGAACTTGTACTTGCCATCGGTAGCAACTTCGCGCGATGCATCACAGCACTGAACATGTTCTACCCAATACCGTCAACAGTGAGACAAAGCATTTGCCAACCCCAAAGATTTGCAGGAAGATTTGCGATATGAAGACATTGATGAGCCGCAATGCTCAGCCGGCAAGATCAAGATTAAGCCAGCGTGGTGTGGCATTTGCGGCACAGGTATTGCAATGTGTCCTTGGACAGCAGTGGTTGAAGTTAGACTCACATGCAAGCGATAGATCTCCACGAATACATGGGCGGCCCGAATCTCTGCCCGGAAAAGGAGCCGCACCCCATCACGGGGGAGAAGGTGCCGTTGACTTTTGGCCACGAGTTCTCCGGCAGGATTGAGGAGATCGGAGAGAAAGTGTCGGACAAGTTCAAAGTAGGGGACCGAGTGGTTGTGCAGCCCATCATCTACGACGGCGAGTGTGGCTCGTGTACTGAGGGCTTGATCAATTGCTGCGACAAGAATGGGTTCGTGGGCTTGAGCGGGTGGGGAGGTGGCTTGGCTGATCATATCGTTGTGCCCGAGTACGCGGTGTTCAAGGTGCCGGACAATGTACCGCTGGACGTTGCAGGTAAGGGATATGCTGCGGTTTGATTGATCGGGTGGTCTTCACGTGGCTGACACTTCGTCCAGCGTTAACCGAACCTCTTGCGGTCGGCTGGCACGCGGTTAACCTCTCTCCATACAAAGATGGCGACTCGGTACTTATTCTGGGGGGTGGGCCGATCGGGCTCGCCGTACTCCAGGCACTGAGAGCACGAGGTTGCAAACAGATCATCGTGTCGGAGATCTCAGCAACCAGGAAGAAGTTTGCGAAGGAGTTTGGCGCGCACGTCATCATCGATCCGAGCAAAGAAGACATCGTCGCCCGCTGCCGTGAACTGTGTGATGACAAGGGCGTCCACGTTGCCTTTGATGCGGCGGGGGTACAGATGGCCATGGAGCAAGCCGTACGTTGCGTGCGGGCTCGAGGGACGTTTGTGAACATTGCCATCTGGGAGAAGCAGGCCAAGATCAACACCAACGACTTCAACTTTCGCGAGAGGCATTACGTGGGCGTCGCGACTTATATGGGCGGCGACTTTGACGAAGTGCTCGCTGCGTTGTCGGATGGACGGCTGGACATGAGCCGCAAGATGATCACCAAGAAGATCGAGTTGAACGAGGTGCTTGAGGAGGGATTCAAGACATTGATCAATGATCGCGATAATCAGGTCAAGATTTTGGTGAAGAGTTCGGGAGAGATGTGATTGATAGGAACAGTATATGAGGATAAACGAGATCAATGTTGAAAGGTCCTGATCGATGCGGCCATGGACCTGAATCTGATTCCCGCCTGGTCTGATGCCAACCTTGATGGCCTGTTGACTATGGCCAACCGGATGCTGTGTAGTCGCTCTGCTGTTCTTATGTCTGGGTTACAAGAGGAGTACGATGAGTAGCACGCAGATGCCGATGCCGAGCATCACCGCGATTGGCATCAATGAAAACGTTATCGTCAGGTACAGCAAAGCGTCCCTCCTTCCTCCCCCACTCCACCGGCACAACGGGAGATGCTATCAAGCCAATCGATGATGGCGTGTCACGAGAGATTTGCCGGCAGTCGTCAAGCCCTTGAGATCAAGGTCCTTCAGGCACAGGACGTCACCAACGAGGCCCCACCGGCAGGCTTTGTGGCTGTGCCGCCATTGGGAAGTGCGAACAGGCGCGAAAGACCAAGAAATTTCTTTCTCCGCAGGTCCAGGCCGGGTCTGGGGGAGTTTGTGCAAGGGCACCTGATGCAGCGCCACACCCATGATCGGCGGTGCAGACGATCGGGCGAATCAGCAGCGGCGTGGTGGAGAAGCGAAGACGGGCGGAGCCGGCGAGAGTCGGTGAGTTGTGGCTTTTTCGTTCGTCATCGCGGGATCGTGCAGCGGGTTGGGGGAAATGACATCAGCCAACGGGCGAGTGTTGTGGCACTCTAAATACGCACGTTCCTGCTTCATTTGCGCCCCATCCAACTTCACCTCCATCGCCGACTCTCCCACCCTCTGCTCCTCTACCAGCAATCAGACTCATCCTCTACACTCTTCTCTCACGTCTTTCCATCCTATTCAGCCCGCCTGAGCGACCGTCGCGATGGGTATCGTCAAGGGCGGCTTCCAGCGCCTCTTCCAGAGTTTGCTCTACTTCATCATCTTCCTTGCCTCGGCCGTCATCCTCGGCTTCTACTCCTACGTAAGTACTCTCGTCGCCCTCATGCCATGCTCCCGTGCGCAGTCCTAACGCGACCACCCAGTTCCTCTCCGTCCTTGCGGACCGAAACATCCACATTCCCACGTACGAAAAGGCGGTCGAAGGCATCTCTGGCGCCGCTTGTCTCTACCTCATCTTCGCAACCATCTTGACCTGCTGTCTCGGCGGCATCACCTTCCTCGCCATCCTCGCCATCGTCATCGATGTCCTGTTCTGCGCCGCCTTCATCGGTGTCATCGTCCTGACCCGCCACGGTGCATCGTCGTGCAAGGGCAACAGCATCAACACTCCCCTCGGCGTTGGCCCCGCCTCAGCCGACAACGGCTTCGGGAGGGGAGGCTTCGGCTTCAGCAACCACGACAACGCCACCTACTCTGTGCACCTCGGCCTGGCCTGCAGATTCAACACGGCCTGCTTCGCCTGCGCCATCATCTGCGCCATCCTCTTCCTCTGCACCGCCGGCATGCAAGTTGCCCTCATGCGCCACCACAAGAAGGAGAAGCGCTACGGCCCCAGCCCCGACAACAACTACACCTCCGGCTACGGCAAGAAGGGCATGTTCTCCCGCTTCGGCCGCAACAAGAACAACTCTGCCAAGGCCGCCGAAGCGGGCGCCTACACCTCGCCCAAGAACAACCGCGCCAGCGCCGAGACCGGCTACACCAATGGCACTAACGGCACCAACGGCGTCACCAATGGCACCAGCGACACCTACGTTGCCGGAGGTGCGCACAGCGGGTACTACAACGCTCCCACTGGCACCACCGCCCAGAACCCCTACGGCTACAGCAACAACACCGGCACAAACTACTAAAGTGCCCGCGCTGCCTTGTGCTCTCACAAAGCAATCTGCGGACACGCTCTCGTACTTTTAAGACCTTTGGGTCGCTTTTCGCGTGTAAGATATGTTGGAGTATGGGTGGAATGGGGTTTGCAAGGCTTCTGCCGCAACCTTTAGCGATTACAACCTGTGCTGCTCGTAACGCGAGCCACGGTAGAAGCAGGGCTTCGATTTAATAGTACTCATACGTAATGTTTAAGAACGAAAGCAACGTTGGAAAATAATCGATCGTTTCAAATTCCGTCTCGTTTCACTGCTTGCCTGCTTCGTTTGTATTCAAGTGGCCTTCCAAGTTTGCCGAGTACGCGCCTGGCAACATTCCGTGCCGCGCATCATGGTAGCACCAGGAATGTCCGGCAAACAGGACTGACTTCGCGAATACGAATTCGAGTTCTTTCATCTCCAGTCCCTCGATACACCATCCCATCATCCAACACCACCCAACTCTTCGCAGTCCACCCCCTTGTGCCTGCCATCTGTTTCGTATCTCTCATCCTCCGCCTCTCGTTTGGGCTGCTCTGCCGTCAAGGCGACATGCTGCTTTCAGAACTCGGCAAGATCAAGCAGACCGCCGAATTGCTCCTCATCCTCGATCATTAACCCATCTTTTCGTTCCTCTGCTGCGCTTAGAGCAAAGGCGCCGGGGCGGTATTCGCTCTCAGGGCTCTGAACCGAGTCTTCGCGGTGCTGCGACTGGGAGGAGGAGTGCGTGTCGTCAGGAGGAAGACCAGCTGGGCCACGGAGAGGAGGCGTTTTGGCTTTCGTGCCGGAAGGGTTGTGCGATTCGGTTGCGTCAGAGGGTGCATGGTCGTTGCCAATCATGCCAGGGAGGGCCGCTGTCTCTTCAGAGGCGTTTGAAGTCGCGACCGGGAATCCGGCAGCATCTTCGAGAGCGGCGGGCTCGTTCAGCAATTTCTCCAGTTCCGCGCCCGAGACTCCAGCGCGCGAGTAAAACCGCGCGTCCAGCATGCGTCTCAGTTGTGCGCCTGTCACGGCCTCATCTTCGTCTGCTGATGCTGTCGCCAGCTCGCTCGTAGCGACATCTGCCTCTCCCTCAACGCCGTCGTTCCACATCCCTCGAACGCGTCCTAGAAACCCCTCCTCGGTCGTGCGTCGATACAAGCCCAGCGAACCCTCGGTCGCCTGGGAGTTAAAGTCGAGCTGGACACCCTCTGTTGCGTACCAGTTCAAGCCGAGTTGCGTCTCCAGCTCCTGACCGGCCATCTCGAGCTCCATCTCCAGTAGCCTTACCCACTCCGGCCCATGCCCACGGATCTTCGCGTGGATGCGCTCCTCGAGGGCTGTACGCGTCGATACGTCTATGACGACGCACTGCACTACACCCACGGGGTATTCGCTGTCGAAATACCTCACGATCGCGTCGCTGACGTCAGAGATCGAGGCTGATGACGGGTCTCCGACTTGCCAGTATCTGAGAAGGCGAGAGACGGCGGAGACGAGCGTTGTTGTCGAGAGAGAGATGTGGTTTCGATTGGTACTGTCACGGAAGAGGCAGCTGTCTGTCGCGCGATACGTTTGGAAAGCAAACTTGCGCATCGCGGTGACGGCATGTCCGACTGCTGGTGCCAGGGGCGCGGGAAGGGGTTCGGGCAGAGCGATAGGAGGTGGAGTGGGAGCGCGACTTGAGGCGTTGTTGCGACGCTTAGTCGTCTTGGCTCTCTTCGCAGTTGGAGCTGATTCTTCATCGCCATCCTTCTCGTCCACCTCGGAGCTGGACTTGCGCTTCTTGCCGGTTCGCAAATCCAACTTGATGCCCGACTTCGCGGAATTGTTGGTAGAAGAGCTGGCGTTACCCTCCGAGGAGAAAAGCTCTCGCCGGGTTGGCGTCTTCTTTCCAACACGCGCTTTCTTTGCATGTTCCTTGGTTGGGAGCACTGTCGTCGTCGCGTCGATCGCGTCCGACTCGGGCTTCTCCGTGTTTGCTACTTCGACGGTAGGAGATTCGCGAGCGTTTGAGAAAGGTGTCGAAGAGCGTTGGCGCACGTCTCTCGCGCTGTTAGTAGGATCTGTGGCCATCGTTCACACGATGCGACGCTGTAGGATGAGATGACGAATATGGGATGTCGAGGGACAAAGGCGTTGCAGCGTTGAATGCGGGAGCTTGTCGCTTAGAGCGGGGCCAGCGTGGTCTTGGGGCGAACAAAGTATTGGTAGAGAAGGAAAGTTGTGAGGTGGCGATCCGCCTTCCGAAGTGTGAGTGGGTTGGAGGTGAATAAAACGTAGGGCGATTATGCAAAGCCACTCTCAGCCATGCAGGGTTTCTTGCGGAAGCATGTTCTCCATGACGGGGAGGGGTGAACCGATATTTTCAACCTCTGACAATGTTGTGGGATTCAATATGCGGAAAGTGATTCGAATGTGCGGTGGGGAAGAAAATTCTGATAGCTCTTTGCCGGTGGAAGAGTGGATGGAAAGGGGGAAGATGGTTCGCAGTACACGCGTGGTGCTTTTTGGTCCCTTCCCTACCGTTGGTACAGATAGAGTAGGAACAAATGGGAAGAAGTCGGCGCTCCTGATTGTCGGGCGTGCGAAGTTCCAGTCCCACAACTCGCCGTTGAAGATGCATCGCCGTACATGACCACTCTAAGATGATAGCAGGGTTGAATCTATTCCTCATTCTAGGAAGCACATTCATAGAAAAGTGTGTCGATCGTGGCTGTGACTCGACATCTCTAGTCAATCTTCGAGGCCGTGTCGTGAAGCGGACATGGCGAAGGTACGTGGCTGCCGATACTGGGTGGTAACACGGGAAAGCGCTGGTTCTAAGTGTTTAAGAGCAGTAAGAGTACATGTGCCTGTCAAGTGGTTATCAGCGCCTTATGTATCGAAATGTAAACGATACATCCGACATGCCGTGTATGTCGATTGCCCGGCATCCTCACCGCCTTGGCGGCAGAAAGACATCTCCACGTGCCAGACCGGCGCGAGCAGCTGGATGACTAAGAGAGCGCTGAGTTTGGCGCTTGCCCAGAAGACAGGCAAGCACGGTCCAGGAACTACCTTCACGCCTCACAGAAAGCATCACGTCTGTCATGCCTGACTGCCCTTTCGGCATCTCATCATCACTTCCACTTTCGATCAGGACACGCCGCGAGTGAATGTGAATCGCATCTTCATTCTCGCCTGCTCTTTCCCTACTAGCAATACTGCCTGCTTTCCTGTTTCGGGCACCCTCCTTCCGCCCCGCATTCAAGAGTCTGACGTTGTGAACTGGCATCGACACGGCTAGCACATCACCTCTTCTTCATTCACCCAGCGCCGTACCCCACGACCTGCAGAACCCCCGGCGTCCTTCCACCACATCACCTTCCATCCGCAACCCCCTGCAGTCTCCTCTCAAACGCCAACACGCATCTTCCAAAGTCCAACAAACGCCGAGTTTCCAGCTCTCAACCGCCTTCAAGCAACACATCCCCTCCTACCACCCTTCTGACTTCAATGAGGGGCATCGTGGTGGGCCAGGCACAGTCATAAACTCAACCCTACCTCAGCGTCGTTGGACGCGATGGGGAGGATCAAGAAGGTCGCCACGGAGCGGCACACGGCGACTGCCTCACCTTTCGTATCACGGTTTGTCGAGCAGGCCACATCAACGCCGCTGCACCATCTACCTTCAAAGCTCGACACTTTCCCGCTCCACTGGCCGTTCCCTCGTGGTGATTTATACCACTGGATCCCGCTACTCGACCGCTTCGACCACATCCTAGAGCTGTTCAACGCCGAGTATGGACTCGCCAAAGGCCCACAGCAAGAGCAGTTTGAGAGCAGGTTGCTACAAAAGGGCGATGCGGAGGATGGCATGCCCTACCCGGCTGGTGGCGCCCAGGAAGATGAGCTGCAGAAGCTGGGCTACTCCTCTGAAGGCGACAGGGAGGTGATCGAGTCTGTCGTGCACTTCACCCGGATCATATTGGAGCATTGCGGAAATCGCAGTCTCTACAACAGCAGTGGTCAGCTCGACGACTTGCTCAACACCACATCACTGAGCCTGCTTCGGCTGGTCTTACGACTGGGTGTCCGCCTTGCTCAACGCTATCAAGTGGCACGGTACAAGAACAGTGCGCCTCACGCCCAACTGACACTGCTCGCCAACCACTACAACTTCAAGCTCGATCGGCTGCAAAAGATTGCTCAACCCTTCCCCAAGCCTGCTCAAGCGGCTTCGAGCTCCATCGTCGCAGTGGGAAAAGGCAAGGAGAAGGCTGCACAGACGGCTCCGTACAACCCAAGTGATCTCGTTGCCATCGCCAAGGAGCCTCAGACCTTGAATGCGAAGGGCGATGTTGCCGGGATCCATTTCACATACTACGATCAGTCGGCTGCGGCGAAAGATGGATCTTCAAATCAGCCCAACGATGCACCTCCGCCAACCCCAACTCCGATCCGCAGAACATCCACTCTGGGACCTTCTCGAGACCGGCCAGGGATAGGCGAGCGAAGCGCGACCACGGGAGATGTCAACGCTACTCCGACAAAGCCTAGAGAGGTCGACACTGCTCCGTCTTCAGCATCGAAGACCTTCCAGATATCCGGGACCAATGTCGCCGAGACCCCTGCTTGGGCGCTTGTCAAAGAGGCTATGTCCGAAGTGCCTTCTGAGTCGTCATTCGATATGCTTCATCGTATCCGCATCGCCAAGGCGCTGGTCCATCCCGAGGACACATCCCAAGAGCTTTTGGAGGTGAGGCTTCTGGCTATTGCCAATCTCGCCTACGCCCTTGCCGAGTCGAAATTCATGGAAAAGATCGGCATACCCGATAGTGAGGAGCCAAAGCGCTTCCATCTGGCGCAACAGCTGTGCGATCTGCTCCGACCGGCGACGGGCAGCCAGGCCGCATTGTCCCTACAGATGGAAACCGCTGTTTTGCTCACGCTTGAAGCCCTCTCTAAGAGCAGGTCAAAGTCTTCAGAAGTCTCAGACGCTTTGCAGATCTCCCACAACCATGGCGTCATCTATTACGAGCTTCGAAGAGTGATTGCAACGCTTCACTCCAGCCCTCACGAAGACTCAACACTGGAGCTGCGGGAAATTGAATGGAGAGAGGCGGTCTTTGACTTGACCAACACTCTGCTCCAATCGAACACTCAAGCTCGACACGGAGAGCGGATGGTGAACGCCGGCATCATGGAGATCTTGCTGGAGGCATTGACCCTTCGCACTTCTCGTGCAGAGCGCTTCAACGAGAAGATTTTGCAGTTCTTCGACAGCTTCATCCATGGCATCACAACCTCGTTCCAGACTCTCGTCGACGCCAAAGGCTTGGACGAGCTTGCCGAACTGATGAGTTACGAGGTCACAAGCTCCCTGCAGAATGCCAAAGATGGCCGCGGGCTGCCTGCGGAGTACAAGTCCAAGGTTGTCGACTACGACATTCCCTTCTATCAGCAATCGACGCTTCGTCAGCTGTTCAAATTCATGGTCCACATGTTTGAGCACAATGCCGGAACTCACGATCGGTTGCTTAGGAACCTCGTCGACACGCCACAGGTGCTTGGCGCTCTTCGCAACGTGATAGAGAATGCCAGCGTCTTCGGATCAAACGTCTGGAGCGGTGCTGTTAACATCATGAGTAGCTTCATTCACAACGAGCCAACCAGCTTCCAGGTCGTTGGAGAGGCTGGCCTGGTTAAGAGTCTTTTGCAGACGATTGTGCCGTGGGATCTGAGTGAAGACGACTCTAAGCCAAGGGTTGTGCCAGAGGCATTCGAGTACAAGGACGGCGAGCTTCAGTACCCCAGCCCTACTGGCATTCTTCCCGTTGGCGAGACCATGTGCGATATCCCGACCGCTTTCGGAGCCATCTGCCTCAACGAATCGGGCATGCAGCTCTTCCAATCCTCGAAAGCATTGATGAAGTTCATGGACATCTTTGTGTCGCCGCCACACGTTCGCGCCCTGGAAGAGGAAGGCCAGACGGCTTCCACAATCGGTCAAGCCTTTGATGAGCTGTCACGGCACCACCCTCGCCTTAAAGGCGAGATCATGTCGACGGTCATCGCAATGGTCAAGCGTGTCAACGAGCTGTGCCGATACTTGGCGGAGCAGAAGGGGCACGGTACCAAGCTCTGGGAAAACACGTCAGCCGGTGTCGTTGTTTCGGGAGGTCGAAAGGCCCTGGCTGGGCTGAAACATGCGACTGAGAGCACGACGATCTCCAGCAGCGACGTTGTCACCGCTGAAGGCCTGAACGAGGATGACAAGGATCGCGTTTCTGGCGTGCCTTTCGTCAGCGCTTGCTTCAAATTCTTGGAAGGCTTCTTCCTCAACGCCGGCATGTGCTCGCTCTTCTGCGAAGAGGGCGGAGCCGTGCATCTCCTGGATCTTGCGGTATCCGCAAGCAACCCTTACGATATTGTGGCGTTCCCACCGTTCGGCAAGATTGCATCGGTGATCAAGTCGATGTGTGAGGCGAAGCCACATCTGGTCCTACCTACCCTCATTCACCATACGCAAACCGCCATCAAGTGCGTAAAGCCCATTATCGACAGCGACAACTCAGAGCGTGCCTTTGCCGCTTTTATGGACCTTTCGAAACCCCAGGCTTCACCACCCTTCTCACCGCAGTCCAACGGAACCACTGTCGCGAAAGCACTTGCAATGGTCCACATGCTCACCCATCTATTCGGACGTGCCTTAGCACCGCCAGCGTACCCAGGCGTTCGCAATCAACATCCATCGAACCAACTGTTCGTCCTTCTCAACTTCACCGACATCTACGTTGAGCTGGTCGACGATCTTGGCCTCCTCCACGCTGCATGCGTGTGGGAGAATCTGGCTCTGCAACAGGACTTGTCCGATGACTGGAATCAGCAGACCGACCCTAAGCCATTTGCGATGAGGCGTGTCGACGTCAACGGCTTCGTCGAGATCAGCTCTGAGCTTCGCTCGGAGAATCCACAAAACGGTCAGGATGCCAACGGCACGACACGCACCAAAGCCGAAAGTCGCGAAGAGACATTCTCCATCAAGAATGCCAAGACTATCCGCTACCTCCTCTCCCAGGCACCCGTTGGTATCGAGTCCTTCTTCCAATCTCTTGCGCAAGCCATTGTGCCAAAGCGCGGCCATGAATCTGGGACGAGACAACATGCTTTCATTGTTGCCGAACATCTGGCCCACGCCCTAGTACAAGAGTTCACGTACAAGAAGTTTGATCCCGTGAACGAGCTGCTTGAGGCCAAGGCTCGAGCGCATGCTGTTACGGTGTGTACGAGAGTCCTGCTCCGGAATGCGAATCTCGCAGAATCTTTCGTGAGCAAGGAGACGATGACTCTTGTGTTGAACAAGTTCTACCTTGCAGGTGGCTTCGAGCGGCTTAATGAGTGCTTGAGGCGATTCGGCGAGCTCGCGCTTGAGCATGCGAAGCAGGGCGACGCTTTATATCTCACCTCGCTCGACACCCTGAGCTCGATTCTCAATCTCTACAGCCAGGTCGTCCGCGGCAAGGTCATTCACGAGTCGCCCCAATCCAGCAGTATCTCCGTTCGGAACCATGAGCAGGCAGACTACTTCATGCCTGGCCAGTTCGTTGTGGAGATCAGGAACGCGATTCTCCCCGCTGTGAATGAATTGTGGCATTCAGGATCGCTCGAGCACGTTACCGACAACCACGTGAAGAGCGTTGTCGAGATCTTACGCATCATCTTGAAGAGCGAAGGCGAGGATCGTGCGCTCAGTCGCAGCGTGAACGCCGCCAGGAGGATCCAGACCACCAAGTTGGAATTCAAGCTTAAGAACACCGAGGATGTGCGCTCATTGAAGTCAAGCGGCTACGACGAGTCTCTCGCTCGAGAAGCGTTGTTCCGATGCAATGGCCATGTTGCGAGCGCGCACGAATACTGCCATTTGCGCCAGCAACTTGACACTACACCCGCGTTTCCCATCCCCCAAGGCGAGGCAACGGCCCCCAACGGTAGTCAATCAGCATCGGCCGAGACTTCCAGAGCGACCGATACCTCTAGTGCAGAGCAATCTACCCAACCGCCCGGATCAGTCGAGATGGCGGACGCTGCTGGAGATCAGCCTGCGAATGCTCAAGATGCGCCCGACCCTGAAGATGTCTCAATCTTTTCAGAAGATCCCGATGTCATGTCAGATGACCCATTCGGTTTGAGCGTTTTGCCAGATGAGATCCAAGAGGCGGATTTGATGGCTATGGTGGGGCAGAACAGTCGTCTGCGTAACCTCTTGAGATTGGCCAACGGCAACGCGCTTCCGACTACCTCCACCAAGGATGCATCCAGCAAAGAGGAGCGAGAGCCCTTCACCACTGTGGAAGACCTGGACGAGAAGAGGGATGCGTTACGCGGCGATCTCCTCGATCGATCCCTGGAGCTCTTGAGCGCTCAGCCAACGATTAGCTTCGAGCTGGCTGAATTGATTCAAGCGGCCGTGGCCAAGAGTGGCGAAGGTGCTAGCCCTCGCGCGGACATTGGAAGCACGCTTGTCTCTTCGCTGCTGTCCCTCCAGGGCGACGAGCCAAGCGAAGAAACGGGCGCGAAGATTGCGGCCTATGCGCATCTCGTTGCATTGATTCTGCAAGATCGGGACTTCTTCGACTCCACCCTCGATGAGTTGAAAGAGAACTTCGATGCGCTTATCTCCTGGATCCAGCCGGGCTTCTTTGATAAGGTTGAGAATGCTCCCTGGATTGAGATGATTCTGTTGATCATCGAGCGTATACTTGTGGAGGATGAACAGCCTACGGAAATCCAGTGGACTACCCCCAATGTGGAGGATCCTCTCAAACCCCTTCCAGAGCCAACCATCCCCGAGCCCGTCATTTCGTTCGATCTCAAATCGACTCTATTCGAGGCGGTCGTCGAGTTGCTGCCGAAAGTCGGGAAAAACGCTTCACTCGCTCTGTCAATTAACCGAGTGCTGGTCATCCTCACCAGGCGCCGTGAGCTGGCCGCACGTCTGCGCGAGAAGCTCAATCTGTCTAAGCTGTTCGTCATGATCAAACAGCTGGCTGGCTCAGTCAATGAGAAGCTACAGAGCTCGTTCATGATCATCCTTAGGCATATGGTTGAGGACGACGCGATCCTGCGTGAGATCATGAAGACCGAGATCTCCAGCGTTCTCGAGGCTCAAAGGGTGCAGCGTCCCATGGACACGACCTCATACGCTCGCACTCTATACCACCTGGTCCTTCGTGATCCGAATCTTTTCGTCGAGGTGACGAAGGAGATGGTGGAGATCGTCAAGTACGATCATCGGCCAGAGCGTGGTCAAGTCTTGGCCTTGAAGGCCAAAACACCGCCGCCTGCTGAGAACGGGAATGCCAACGCCACAGCATCCGACCCCGCGGCCCAGCCAAGCGTGGAAGAGAGCAGTGCAAACGCCCAGGCCTTGACCGAGTTGAAGCCGCCGGTGGTTGAGACCACGGATGGAGTGGTTCAATTCCTACTCCGAGAGCTGTCCAACTACAAGGATGTCGAAGACAAACAAAATGCTCCGGCCAACGCCTCTGCCGCTAATGGATCTTCGGGAGATGTGGACATGTCTGATGAAACTAGCCCGAACAGCGGCTCGACAGTCCCAAAGAAAGATGACGAACCGCCATCATTCAAAGCCGAGGAGCATGTCATCTACATCTATCGATGCTTCATCATGCAGTGTCTTACCGAACTGCTAGCATCGTACAACTGCTGCAAGGCCGAGTTTATCAATTTCTCACGCAAGCCCGAAGCCCAAACAGCGACTCCGTCCAAGCCTCGCTCTGGAACGATCAACTACTTGTTGAACGTCCTCATGCCCGTTGGCACCCTGGAGCACCGCGATGATATCACCCATCGCAAAAAGGCCTCTACCGCGCATTGGGCAACGACCGTCCTCATTGCGCTCTGCTCACAGACGCCGCAACTCACAAAGACCGAAGAACCCGATCCAACACTCTACTTCGTGCGCAGATTCGTCCTCGAGCATGCTCTGAGAGCTTTCAAAGAAGCTACCACATCCAATGAGCCACTCGATCAACGCTATTCCCGCCTGCTGGCTCTAGGCGAGCTTTTCAGCCGAATGCTGAGCAACAAGCTGAACGCCACCAATCCCGCAAGTGCAGATGGGTTCTCCGCCCAGCGCATGGGCCGCTTCATGTACGAGAAGAACTTCATCAGCGCTCTGACATCCGCCATCGCTGAGATCGATCTCAATTTCCCGAACGCAAAGAGGGCCGTCAAGTATCTCCTGGGCCCGCTAAGGCTGCTCACCGAAATGGGAGTTACCCTAAGCCAATACTCCGACTTTTCGTCGAGTGCCGGTGCCACTACGGACGGGGAGGAGATTTCATCTGCCACTTCGATCTCGGATGTGGACGAGGAAGAAGAAGATCGAGAGCAGACTCCAGACCTCTATCGAAACTCCACTCTGGGCCTCTTCGAGTCGGGTGCTGGCCGTGGCCATGAGTCTGAGAGCGAGAGCGGTGAGGATGATGAAGAGGAGATGTACGACGACGGCTACGATGACGAGGACGGCATGGACTTTGAGGAAGGTCCGATGCCCGATCACGACGAAGTTGTCAGTGATGAGGACGATGAGGATATCGATGGCATGGGGGAAATCGAGGGCGTTCCCGGCGATGTCGATTTTGAGATGGATGTTGTCATGGCCGGGGACGATGATGGTGAAACTATCAGCGAAGACTCCCAAGATGATGACGAGGAGCGCGAAGAAGATGACGATGAAGATGATGACGATGATGACCATCATCATGGTGACTTCGTCGACGAAATGGATGAGATCACTGGCGATGATGAGAACGCCAGCATGCCCGATCACCCCGAAGAACACGATTGGGACGAAGATGACGGTGCTATCTTCGAGACGGCAGTCATTGAAGAGGGCGGATCACCTCACGGTGGACCGTTGCAACATTTCGAAGACATCATGAACAACATCCCCCCTCGTGCAGACCTCGACCCAAGAATCCGCATCGAGACCATCCGCGACGGCGAGGAAGAGTATTTCGACGACGAAATGCCTCCCGAGGACGAAGAAGGTATGTTTGACTTTACATTCAAGTGCACGTTTGGCTTCTCCGCTAATACAATACAGATGACGAGGACGAAGAGATCGACTTGGAGAATGATGTGGTCTATGAACCAGGGCTTGAAGGTTCGTTGAGAGCCCTTCGCGAATTGGTTAACCGCTTTCAGCGTTTTGACAGGGGTGCAGACGACGACGATGATGAAGACGGTGATAATGAGTTGCAATGGGACATGCGTCCTGCCATTCCTCTACCGCACGTCAGGGCTGCCGTACAGCAGCACCATCATCACCACCACCACCATCACCGGCATGGACTTCAAGATATGTTCGGAATGATGGCAAATGATGCCATGAGGAGTACGTTGACTTCCCGAGCGATTGGGTGCCCGACCGTGCTAATGCGACTTACAGTACCTCCTTTCCGTGGCCATCGAGCGCCAGCAAACGCGCGTGGTGAGGAAGACGGTACCAATCCCCTCCTTCAGCGCGATGGCAATTCCAGTGGCGGCAACGGCCGTGGAGACGCATATGTAGGGTCTACATTCGTGCGTGGCGGGCGCCATACCCTCTATACCCGACACGGCGACACCTTCTTCCAGGATCTCGTGGCAACAGTCGGAGCAAACGGTCGCGCGATCGTTGATGTCAACATTGGCGATGCTCCTCAGCGGGGTGTCGACCTCGCAACCTCACCGTGGGAACGGAGGCAAGTCCTCCACGCTTTGCTTGATCTCGACCCCGCTCGGCCATGGCGCGAGCAAATCCGGATCCCCCAGTGGCCCGACATGCCCGGCACCCACCGCTCTCACGATCCGCGCTCTTCTTCGTACAGCGATGAAGCACAGGCGGTGGAGTTCCGACCGACCGCCACTGCTGCACGCTGGCAAGAAGAGGCACGTATGCTCTTCAGCGGAAAGCATCAAGAGAAGGCCACCCGAATCATCCCCAGCTTGTTGCGGGTTCTGATTCCGCCTGCTATGGAAGCAAAGCGAATGCAAGAGAAGGCCGATGCTGAGAAAAGGGCCGCTGCGTTGGAGAAAGCGAGAGAGGACGAGAAAAAGAAGGCAGAAGAGAAGGCAGAGCGTGAGAAGGCAGAGCGAGAAGAGCGGGAAACGAGAGAAGCCGAAGAGGCTCGTGCTCGTGAGGATGCGGCGCTTGCTGCTTCCCTGGCTGGCGAGGGTCCGGCAGAGGCCACAATGGAAGATGTGACACCGTCGCAGCCGGCGCTGCCGACTTCAGAAGGCGCTCAAGAAGCGACGACGACCGAACCGGCGGCTACACCGCGAGTTACAACCACCATTCGTGGTCGTGAGCTTGACATCACCAGTCTCGGCATCGATCTCACCTATCTCGAAGAGTTGCCCGAAGAGCTCCGCGAAGAAGTCATTATGGGACAATTCGCCCAACAGCGTTCACAGGCGGCAGAGGCTGGCGAGCAGCCGAGCGAGATTAGCCGGGAGTTCTTGGAGGCCTTGCCTCCTGACATTCAGCGAGAGCTTCTTCGTCAGGAGGCCAGTGAGCGTCGTCATCGTCAACAGCAAGAGCAACGCCGCCGCTCCGCGCAAGAAGGCAATGCTCCACCGGCGCAGCCCGAGGAGATGAACAATGCAGACTTCATGGCCATGCTGGAACCCGAGCTCCGCCAGCAAATCTTGGCTGATGCTGATGAAAACACCCTGGCCGCTCTTCCCGAGGACGCCCAAGCAGAGGCACGAACACTAGGCGAACGCCGTCTCCCGCGCGCCGACCAACTTGCTCGGTTGGGCCGATTTGCTGAGGGTGATCCCCGCACCCGCCTCCTCCATCGCGGTCAAGCCGAGCAAGCTGTTCGAGACGCTGCTAGCAGGCAGCGCAGGCCCGTTATTCAAATGCTGGACAAGGCTGGCATCGCGACGCTCTTGCGTTTGATGTTTGTGTCTCTTCATCATAAAGCCAAGAGCAACCTCCACAGCATCCTGTCCGACGTGTGCAAGAATACGCAAAACCGTGCAGAGGTCATCAGTATTCTGCTTTCAATCTTGCAAGACGGCACTGCGGATGTTGCTGCTGTTGAGCGCAGCTTCGCTCAGCTTTCGCTTCGAGCCAAGCACCAATCCGCTCAGAAGACACCGACACCTCTCAAGCGGACTGTGACTGGCACGATCATCACTCCTGGCGCCGAACTGTCGCCGCTCAACATCGTGCAGCAATGTCTCGGCACACTGAACGCTTTGACCCTCGACAATCCGCGTGTCCCATCTTTCTTCCTGACGGAGCACGAGACAGTCACTAGTCAGAAGGCCAAGCCGGGAAAGAAAGGCAAAGGCCGCGAAGTCAGGGCGGCAAAGTTCCCTCTCAATTCGCTGTTGACTTTGCTCGACCGCAAGCTCATAACCGAGAACACTGGCGTGATGGAGGCGCTGGCTGCTCTGCTCAGCCGCGTTACCCATCCACTCATTATCCTCCTGCGCAAAGCTATGAGGGAAGCAGAAGATGCTACCAAAGCGACCGAGGAAGCGAGTGCAGCCGAGCAAGAAGACCGACCGTCAACTAGCGGCACGGATGTTGATATGGCAGAGGCTGCTAATGTCGATGTTGGAGCGAACGAGGGCGCCGCGCAGGCTGCATCTTCAACTGCGGCGGCCGAAGGGGTGAGCATTGAGGAGAAGCCTGCCGGAGCTGACGATGCGGAAGCTCCAAAGACCGACACCGGAAAGAAACACCGTGAGATGGTGCCGCCGGAAGTCCCGGAAGAGAACATCCGTCTTGTCGTCAACATCATCACCGCTCGCGAGTGTCCAGGCAAGACCTTCACCGAGACGCTCGACGTCATCAAGAATCTGTCCGCCCTTCCGGGAGCGCGCGAGACGTTCGGCAAAGAGCTTGTGAGTCAAGCGCAAGAGCTCAGCCAGGCAGTTCTCTTGGATCTTGAAGATCTCGCGAAGCAAATCAACGCTGCCCAGACCGGCACCGACCTTCAGGGCATGGCTCTTACCAACTTCTCTTCGGCTGCATCGATGCAACACAAGCTGTTGCGGGTGCTGGTTGCGCTCGACCATCTTTTCGACCCAACGCAAACCCCGTCGATTTCTTCAAAGGGCTCCCTCGCCACCGATCCCAGCCTCAAAGAAGACATACTTGCTGGACTGTATGAGAGCGCGACGTTCGACAAGCTCTGGGGCAATCTCAGCCAGTGCTTGACCGCCATCCGCAATAGAGGCAACATGATCAACGTTGCTGCGGTCTTGCTTCCCATCATTGAATCCTTGATGGTCGTGTGCCGGAATAGCGCTCTGAAGGACTCGGTCGATGCGGTGGCAACGCAACAAGCCTCTGTGGGCACTCCCCAACCCGACGCTCGTCTCGACTCTTTGTTCTTCCGATTTACCGAAGAGCATCGCAAGATTCTCAACGAGCTGATTCGCAACAACCCCAAGTTGATGAACGGCAACCTCGCCGTGCTAGCCAAGAACTCCAAGGTGTTGGAGTTCGACAACAAGCGCAGCTACTTCACGCGCAAGGTCCACGTCCGCCCAGCCAACGACGGTCGTATCGCGCATCCCTCCTTGCAGTTGAACGTGCGCCGAGATCAGGTCTTCCTGGACTCGTTCAAATCCTTGTATTACAAGAGCGGCACCGAGATCAAGTATGGGAAGCTCAACATTCGCTTCCACGGCGAGGAGGGAGTCGACGCCGGTGGCGTGTCTCGGGAGTGGTTCGCTGCCATGGCTCGGCAGATGTTCAACCCGGACTACGCCCTCTTCATTCCAGTCGCGTCGGACAAGACAACCTTCCATCCGAATCAGTTCAGCGCGGTCAACCACGAGCATCTGATGTTCTTCAAGTTCATCGGGCGCATCATTGGCAAGGCGCTGTATGAAGGGCGTGTTCTCGATTGCCATTTCAGCCGAGCCGTGTACCGTCGCATCCTCGGAAAGTCGGTTTCCCTAAAGGACATGGAGAGCTTGGACCTGGAGTACTACAAGTCTCTAGTCTGGATTCTGGAGAACGACATCACCGACGTCACTTTCGAGACGTTCTCCATCGACGTTGACAAGTTTGGGCTGGTGGAGACGGTGGATTTGGTGCCGGATGGGCACAACATTGCGGTGACGGAAGAGAACAAGCAGGAGTACGTGCGGCTTGTTGTCGAGCACCGCCTAGTCAAGTCGGTGGAGGAGCAACTGGAGCACTTCCTTGCCGGCTTCCACGACATCATCCCGCCCGAGCTGATTGCGATATTCAACGAGCAAGAGCTGGAGCTGCTCATCTCCGGCCTGCCGGAAATTGACGTGGATGACTGGAAGAACAATACCGACTACCACAACTACCAGCCAACGTCGCCGCAGATCCAGTGGTTCTGGCGCGCGGTGCGCAGCTTCGACAAGGAGGAGCGCGCGAAGTTGCTGCAATTCGTCACGGGCACGAGCAAAGTGCCGCTCAACGGCTTCAAGGAGCTCGAGGGCATGAATGGCTTCTCCAAGTTCAACATCCACCGCGACTACAGCAGCAAGGAGAAGCTGCCTTCGAGCCATACCTGCTTCAACCAGCTGGACCTGCCGGAATATGAGAGCTACGAGCATTTGCGTCAACAACTTTATACCGCCATCACGGCGGGGAGCGAGTATTTCGGGTTTGCTTGAGATTGTGTGTTTTTACTACTGTGGTGGCAGGGCAAGGGCGTTCAGGGAGTGGTGTGCATGTTAGCAAGCGAGCATTGTCTCATCGGGCGTTCATTGTGGGAGGTGGGTGGGAGGGTTGAGAAATTATGGGTTGCGTTTCGCGAGGAAGACAGTTGTACATCATACGGCGAGCGGCTTCTTTCGCGGTTCATGACATTTACGTTAGGAAGGAAGAAAGCATTCGCTTGCAGTCCAAATCACGTGCACTTTGGAAAGTGAAGTTGGTTGTGTATGCCATGCCGCGATGTCGAAATATCAGCCAAGGGCTTGTCGCCTTTGCTGATGGCTGTCGGGCTAAGCGAAGATGTGCACATGAAACGCCAATGCAGAGAGAGTTCTGGATGCAGCGTTGAAGACAGCATGGATGGTGTTGCGTCAGCATGGCGGACATCTTGGCAGGCTCGTCACCATTGGCTGTTGCGACATCTAGTGATCTGGTGCCAATCACGATGTAATAAAGCTGCTGCACACCAAGTCGGACACACTCTAGTCACTGAATAATTGTGCGTGACAAGCAGTATTGCGGCAGAGCTGTGCATAAGGGGGACCTCATCAAACGCAGAGTTGCCGTGCCGCAGGTCATTGGGTCCACCGTATTCTGTCCGCGCGGATCGTCAGCAATACCGGGGCTTGGCAGCCTGGCGGGACTGCGATGCCGTGCTGATGTCTACAAAGTGATGGTCGCAAAGTGTGGAGCCGAGGCTTGGTTGCTTGGTTGTGCGACGAGGGAAAGACCTCGCGATGCCGTTCCGGTCATTGCCGCCAGCCTGGGCGGCTGTCTTGGCGACGAGGGAAGAGGAGGCAGAGGAAGGAGACAGCTCATTCATATCAATGCCACCACCGCCGAGCACATACTACCGTGCATAGGGCCGCGGGGTGGCATAGGGACGTTGGAGGTCTGGGCAGTTCTCGCCCGCCGCGCCGCCCGCGCGCCTCGCGATTGGCCGATGGCAACATTTCGCCAAGCATCCTCCGCCTCCCCTTGGCCTTGGCGTCGTGAATACGCTGCTGTATACGCTGCAATGCCACAGCGGCGCCGAGCAATGGCCCAGAGGCGCGGCGAAGGGGCGGAGGAGGGGCGGTGGGCGAGGTGTGACACGATGCTCGTCGCCTTCTTCATCTCTTAAGTCTAGTCATCTTTCCTTCCTCCTCACCACCTCTCCTTCTTGTCCCTGATGTCTGCTGTTCTCTCTTACGTCGGTCTGGTTCATGCACGTGCGATCCCCGCCTCGCTCCGCCATGCCTGCTGAACGCCCTCGATCACTGCCTTCAGAAGACACCCAGAACCCCGGAGCGGTCAGCGAGGAGCGACTGCTTGCGCAACCCGAGCCTTGCGTACATCCGGCCCGGGCTGCAGCGGGCCCTCACCACCCTCAGCCTTCCCTACCACGCCAAGCACCACCAAGACCACATCATCCTCGACACCAACGGCAACACTCCCAGCGAGCGAAACCCCACGTCATCACGATCCCTCCGGGCAGCAGGGCACGGATAGAAGAATCCAAGCACGACTGGTCCGACGAAGATCGGACCCCGTCGAACAGCTCGCACAGTTTCGGTGGCGACATCGAGAAGAGAAGCCATGACATGAGCCACGGGTCGAGGCGCTCTCGAAGCTCGGGAGTGATTACCGGCGTCCTGTTCGACGACCGAGAGGATGTCGAGAACATGCGCGACCCCGCCGCAAGCTCGGAAGCGGAGGAACACACCGTGCGCGTCCTCCTCTTCCTCTCCGGCCCCGTCGTTCTCCTCTCCTTCTTCAACGTCCTCTGGCTCCTCCTCGCCCTCCTCATCACGGTCCTTTCGCAACCCTTGCGCCTCTGCTGGTCCGGCTGTACCTTCAGCCAACAACTCTCCGGCCTCCTGGCCCCAACTCTCAATCTCCAACTGCGAGGAATCTACACCGCCATCACTCCTCCATCTACGGCAACGGCCGGCCGCGTGTACAACACTTCCATGATGGTCGTTGTGCACCTCCTCTCGCCCTTTGTCAGCTTCGCCGTCATGTTCGCATCGTGGACACTGGCGATCTACTGGCTGTCTTCCGCTATGGTTGGCGATCCCGCCGGCCAGGACAAGCGAGACGACGGCAAGGAGACGGTGTTGGCTCTGCGGAGCTGGTGGGAGCGGTGGCTGATGCGGAGCTTTAATCTACAGTAATGCCCCGAGCAGGTCGTCTGAATTGGCTTTCTCCGTTTATCTTTAGCGTGGTGTTTGGGTTGGGAAGGAGATATCCTTGTTTGTCCTGCATTTCTTCGGCGGTGGGAATGGGAGTGAGTGCTGCACGAGGTATGAGGAGTCGTTTCGATCGATGTTCGTGTCTACTCCGACACTTTTATTCACAATGGAAGAGAAGGTGGCGCGTATATAATCTGTATGCCCCATTATGACTTGAATTGTTCACACCCGAAGCTTGCCTTGGAGAGACTCCGCTGTGGTGACGTTGTCAGAACGAACACACAGCAGCGCGCGCGAGTCCCGCGCCTGGCGATCGAGTTGTCAACCGCAACTTCCCAATCAGGTAGGCGCGTAGCCTTCCTATCTTAGCGTGGTAGCAACAACTTGGTCTCATATTATCGTGCCATCGACTGAACAGCACAGCATTATGATCGGTCGTCCAGCCCTGGCAATAGGTCTTCAGCCTAGCCAATGGTAGAAAGCCCCCTCATCGCTCTCCGCGCCGCCAATCTCCCAAATGTTGGACGGTCGATTTTGTAGGTCATTCACGGCGATTTCAGGACACAATGAACACGTTGGCCCAGGCGCAAGCGTGAAGATCAACAGTGAAGCAATCCAAGTTGTTTACACTCACCAGACGATCGCAGATCGAGCCAGCCTCGGGGCGACTAACGTCGCATCGCTTTATCAGCTTCTCTGTCAGCACCGCGCCGCCGACAACAACAACGATGGCCTCCGAGCCTTCTTGCTACGCAGTATTACGCGGCTTCTCTTCTCCTTGGTCTTTCCCCCTTGGCCAGATTCTGTTGGGCTGACCCTGCGCAGTTGCATTCAGATTCTGGATTTCGCGAGCCAAGGACAAGCATGAAGACCGGCCAAAGGTACATGGTTACAAGCGCAGGGCGACGCACAGTACCTGCAGAAAGTTGGCATCCGAGGCGCGAGGCGGGCTTCCGCCGTGCCGCCGTGCAGCGTGGCTTGCAGGGCTGTAGAGGAGACGACGGTCGTGACATGCGCGACTTTCCCATTGAATTTGTCATGGTCTCAGCCCTGACGAACGAACACTCGTTGTTGTTTCGTACAAGCGTTTCAACCGGAAGTAGCAACGGCCACGCGTTGTCCTTGGGGGAGATTCTTGGTCTTGGTCTTTGATGGCAGCAGAGATACGTCGTCTGGGAGGTTTCGAGATTAGACTCGGCGATCGGCGAACTCTGCTGTATGTGGCTGTAATGGCACGTCCTGCGGACACTGATGAAACCGCTTGCAGTCGCTCGAGTCGTTTCTTCAACGAGATCGCGTTTGCTACTTGGGTACAAAAAAAGGGTTGCTGAAGTGTCCCTTTTACCTCATTCGCAGCCCATAATGACTATGCAATCCGCTGGATGTGCGACGTCTCGCCGGATGCTGCTTCCACCAGAATGTGTTCGCCACTGATTGGTCTTCAGAGGGCACGGCAGATGCAGAGAAGGAAAGTCGACTCGGGAGAGCGGCTGTGGGCCTTCACTCGATCGATTGAGGCCGCTTTTCCGCTCCAATGATAATATCTGCGCACGTATTCCGTAGTCATTGGTCGGCCCTCTTTACTACAGGCACTGATTGATCCCTTCACATCCGCAGCGATGGGACGATGCTATTGAGTGGGTTCGTCGATCGCTTGCATCCGTTGCAGTGTGGGACTCGCACATGTGAATTGCCACTCTCGACACATCATCGCGAACTCCAATGGTCAGTGGATGAGACGCTGGGAGGTGACAAATAGCATGTGACTGCCATGTCGAAGGCATGCGGTTGAGACCTTGCCTCCCCGAAACGAATGCGCGCACAAGAATGTGTGGATTCCCAACGTATGTCGTGCAACAACGACGAGGCCAAGGCTATCGCTCTGCCGAGGCTGCCCAATAGCAGGCTCCCCGGCGTGCCGAGCGGGACATGATCGATCCTGGAAGCTGCATGCGTCGGGGAGCCAGGGAGTAGCCCGGGCATGCAGGAAGAGAATGGTGAGAGGAGTCGATTGAATGCGGAATGAAGGCCGGAAAAGCAAAAAAAAAGTCAATTGGTTCGCAGCAAACCCGGCCGCTGTGGAATCTTCCGACTGGGATGTGTCTTGCTTGTCCCTCGGTTACTGCTTTGGATGTCGCACTGTGACACTTTGCTAACCTTTGTGCCTTGTCTCGACAGGTCGCCGGCAGTCTGCAAGGCTCGCGACCGGTAGCCTGCCGTGCAGCGACGACCTTGAGACAAAATACGATATCGAAGATGGCGGAATGGCGGCATAGGGACAAGGGCAACAATGCCGCGATTCAGACGAGAGAGTCTAGATGCAGGATGATGCCAGCGTGATGACAGTCGGTTGGGCGAATTGCCCACTTTGCAAGCAGCGTCGCAATGCGAAGTGGGAATGTTCACCGAAGAGTTTTCCCGCGGAGGCTGGAAAGGCTGAGCGTGAGTGGTACAAAGTGTGGGGACGTCGACTGCCTACCGAACCTGCCTCCGATAATTGGCCGATGGCTTGAGGAATACTGGGGCGCGAGTTGGGCATGGTGACATGGCAAAGACAGGCGGTATGTCCGTTGACGTCGCCTGACAAGGATGATGGACGTGTTGAATCGGCGACTCATGTGACCAGGCTGCAGATTCCTCGCCGTAGCCCGCATGGCAGAGGAGGCCGGGTGAACGACCGTTGCCATGAACAGCGGGGATCGGCACGTGGAGCGGGTGTAGTGGCAGGCTACTGCAGGTCCTACGCAACTTCTTGGGAACCGGTTCCACCGCGCCCAGAGTCCGACCGGGCTCAACCCAGTCGGGCAGGCATGGGCGGTGGAACGAGCCGTGTGTCGGCCGTCACGTTGCAGCGATGCTCCACCGGCCGTGGGTCTTGTTCTGCAGTCAGCAGCATGGGCAAGCCGCGAGTCTTGTTGAGCCGGGGGAATGGAGGCGGCGAGGCGATTCTGCAAAGAGCCTGCTCGACGAATGGCGAGGCGAGCGCAAAGCCATCGGACCCTCTCAGGCGACGGCCAGACATGCGCCGCGGCTCCACTTTCCCTCGCGCCTCGTCCGAAACGACCCGCGCGTGCAGCGGTGAAGCGGCGTGGGCAAGTGTGTCGGAGGTGTCGCAGGCGCCGTGTCGAAATCGCAAAGGCGGGGAGTTTACGACGTATGGATAAGCGACGAGTTGGACGGCGGAAACGACGAGCGGCGCGTAGGACGGGCGACGGTATTATCTCATTTCGTGGGCAGGGTCGCCTGCGACGCAGCCCAAACGTGCAAATTAATGAGCAGGCCGCTAGGGAAATTGCGCTCGGCGGGAAGGAGCACGCCATTGCGGCCAACAGCAGGCTCCACCGGCAGATCTTTCGCCCTGACATGAATCGCAACCCCCGTCGCCGTCGGATCAGTCAGAAAAGGCCACTGTTTCTCCCAATTGAAACGCGTGCTTTGCGTTGCATGCCCCGTCGAAAAAGCAAGAGCAGGAAGGAACGCCGCCAGGGGGACGAGCGCCACCAGGCCGGCCTGGGCCTAGCTCCAGGGCACTCCGCCAATCAGGGCGGCGCAATGCCCCGGTTCCTGAAATCCACCTCAACGGTGCGACAGGGGCAGGTTTGATGAGGAGCGACTCCCGAAACGCTTCCCGTCGCCGGCCCCCACCCAGGGAGCGACTCCCATTGCTCGCTTTCCCAGCCTTAACCACATCCAGGGGCAACGTTGGCGACGACGTGGAGCCCTCCGAATGAGCGCCCGGCCGCATCGTGGCATTAGCGCCTCCTGCTTGCTGGGATGCCGCTTGCATACGATAGCAGGATGGGTCCCAGATGGCGCTGTCCGCCTCTGCCACGCCCGCCCGCTTCAGAGTTTTCTTGCCGTCTGTCTTGTCGCTGCTTGTTTCTCTCCTTCCCGCCTCTTGTCACCCGCGCAAAGACACCTACATATTGTTCGATTGTTCGCAACCACGGTGCCCGAGTCATTCTTTTCTGCTCGCACCGCATTCACTCATTTTTCTGTCTCTCCCCAATCGTGCACTGTCTGGATCACAGTCACTGTCGCGCGCGCTCCTGATTCACTCTCCACCACCCCTATCCACACCCACAACACGTCTACACGCGAGTCCTGGGCATCCTCATAGCCTCACGACCTCCACACTCTCTCATACCACGCGCCGCGCATCTCCATAGATCTCGCAGCCGCTACGATGAACTCCCTCATCGCCACCACGGCCCTCCTGGCCACCACCGCGCTTGCACAGGGCATTGGCAGTGCCATCGTCCTGAACAACTGCAACTACGACGTCTCTCTCAACAACGTCCCCGCCTCCGGCGGCGGCGCCAGCGCCGTCTCCCAGACCCTCTCTCCCGGCGGCACCTACACCCAGGAATGGACCCAGCTCACCAATGGCGACGGCTGGTCCATCAAGCTCGCCCCGCCCGGTGCGAGCAGCGTCATGCAGTACGAGTACACCTTCCAGAACGACGGCACCATCTGGTACGACCTCAGCGAGGTGAACGGCGACCCCTTCAACGGTGACTGGGTCATCTCCGCCACTGGCGACTGCGCCCCGCGCCAGGCCGCGTACATGTACTCCACCGACGACGCCTACGGAGAGCAGTCCTGCCCTCAAGCCTCCGCCATCACCGTCTCCCTGTGCGGTCTTTCCGGTGGCAGCAGCTCTGGCGGCAGCCCGTCCTCCGCTCAATCCGCTCAGTCCTCCCCGGTCGCCAGCCCTACGTGGAACGGCGCCCAGAGCGCCGTGAGCTCCGTCACCCAGGCATTCGGCAGCGTGACCAGCGCCTTTGACAACGCCGCCGCCGCCGTCGCCACCCCGACCACCTTCGCCACCGCCGTGGTTAAGGGCGGCAAGACGGTCACCAACATGCACACCGTCGTCGTCACGCAATACGTGTCCGCCGCCGAAGCCGCCGCGACCGAAGCGGCTGGCTCGAAGCGCCACGGCCACATTCACCGCCACGCCGACTTCCACAACCGCGCCTAGGCGCGACGTGGTGTCGGGGCTAGCGTGGTGTTTCATGGTGTTTCGTGTGTGTTTCCCATTTCCTTGCAGATACCCCCTCGCGCCCGCCTTGCAGCGGGCCGCTCCCAATCAACCAACCAACCAACCGGCAACTTTGGATCTGCGATCGAGTGCACAAGCTTTCTGGGGATGGCTCACTTTTCCCCTACCACATTCATTCAACAACTTCCCTTCCTTTCATTGAACAACATTTACTTCTCGGGGGATATAGAGGCGGTTTGGAGATTCTTTTTTTACCACCTTCTTTTGGCACCTTTTTACAACACAGTCGCAAGGAGACTCGGATGGACCTGGTCGTCGCCGCCGTCGTTGTCATGAACAGCATCAGCATCCTCACACACCGTCATTCTCGACCATTGGGTACCTCAAGCGTACGCGCGCACTTGGTTTCGCTGCTCACTTGATCTACCCCACTCTGGACTCGGGATGATGGATGGTCGTCGGCCCTGGTCATCCTTTTCACGATCTAACGACAAAGTACCTACCATGTTTTCCATTTCGTATATGGAGGGAAAAAGTGAAGTGCAGGGCAGCTTGGCTTTCTCTCGGGAACCACGGCAATCTATCCTCAATCTCGACGGCGCCCGGGTGGTGTCGGGAATGATGGACGATTTGTTGTCTTGCACATATCACACTTCTTGAGAGATAAAGCGTTGGACCCCTCAAAGCTTGTACTTACAGTCGGTCGTTATCTTCAAAGCAATGCAACTCGGATACACTCAAAAAATCTCGTGTCCTTTGCCCAAGTATCGCGTCGGTCTTGCTTGTTAGGTGATGTGAGGTCGAAATTAAATCTGCCACGTGTCTGTGTGCCTGCCGTGTTCGCCGTCGGATACCAATCCCTCGTCGGGTCACAGACCTCGTGTGATGTGGTCGTACACTTCGAGAGGGACAAGCAAGCACTCGTGCTCTCACGTGTGCTCGCACGTGAGAAGCGAGATCGACGGAAGATCTTCCGTCCTACGCAGAGCCTCCCTCGCAATCTTCCGCGCGCACCAAAGAAAGAAAGGCTGGTGGCCAGGTAAGTTTGCGAGCCGTGTGGCTCCCTACCCTTTTCCTCCATTTTCTCCGGTAGTGGGTGTGTGTTCGCCAAGCCCGGCGTTCACCATCGCCTGATCGGAACGCGAAGTTTGGTAGAGACCCAGGTTCGTTTCCTTTTTCCCCACAGCAGGATTCTAGATCGTCCCCTTTTGGTCGGAGGTTTTGGGCAACGAAAGGTGGAGGCGGGCTGGCTGGCTGGCTGGGGACATCACTCTCTTTTCAACGCGGGACGTGTCGCAAGCGAAGGGAAGATCTTCGTGGTTCCCAAGCGAGCGCGTCTACTGTATTCTTTTCCTCCTCGCCTTGTCGTGCTGCCAGCCCTTGCTTTTTGGCGATACACACTCGAGGATCGGATTTTGCCCCGGACGCGGCGGGGGGTTGCATCGCCTCGCCTTGTGGATTTGTGGTTAGAGCGTGCCGAGTCGCGTCGCGGGAACAAGGGAGGTAAGCTAATCACGGCGCGCGCGTGGGATACGAGTGCTTGTGCTTTCTGGACTACTTTGGGCCTCCATACTAGTCAGGTCTTTACGAACTCATACCACGGTAAATTTGTGCTGCTTGCTACCCGTCCAGCTCGAGGGCATGCAGTCGAGCAGCCTGTTCGCAGTGGCTGCAAGATGCAGTGCATTCCCTTCTGACTGCCTTGAATGGCTAGCTTGGGCATCGCAGAGCAAGCGCGATGCTGATCACGATGCCAAAAGGAGTCATCACATCCACCCCGCTTCAAGAGCTCTTCTCACCGCCTGCATGGTAATCACAGCAGCTTGAGATGCCCCGTCACCTCGTCGATTTTACTCTTAGGCGCGGGCCCAATGCCGAGCACCGTCGCGGAGCCGCTGGCGATCTGCGTGCGGCCGGCATCGTGAATAATCTGCGCGCATATACCCAGGCTGAGGGCTTGGGCTTGCAAGACGAGCAGGTCGTCTTCGCCACCGTCGACCTTCAGTGCGACCTTGGCCTGCCCTAGTCGCTCCCAGCGTCGGAGCAGGGGATGTGCTGCATCTGCGCGCATCAGGGCTTTGTAGCATGCGAGGGTGGCATGGGAGCACTGGGCGGCGATTTTGCCTGCATGCATGTTGTTAGCTGGGCATGCATTGATTGTAGATGAAGGATGACTCGGCAGGAGCGGCTTGGCTGTGCGCGATTGTTGTCATGATCGGGAGGAGCGGCAGTGGACGTGGAGGGGGTCTCGTGATCACCGTGGAGCGGAGCTTTTGCGCATGCAGCGCTAATGTGCGATGATACATAGACATATGAGATTGGAAGGAAGCAAGAGTGAGAGAGGGGAAAGGATAGCCCGGATGGGAATAGACCTACCTTTGGTCATGCCCAAGTCCGTACGCACGACAAGCACTAGCTTGCACTCTTCGTGGCCGGGGAAGGTGTTGAGCTCGCCGAGCTCATCATCCGAGGAGTGTGCATCATCGCTGCTCAGGGCGGGAGAGGGATGTTCTTTGTGGCGTAGGTCTGCGGCAGAGGGTGTGGATTTGGACTCGGGCCGGAAGAGGCCAATCGAGCGTGCTTGGCCTATATAGTAGCCAAGGAGAAAAGAGACGATGGCTGCGGCGGCAGCTATGGCGGCGGTGGAGGGTGGTGGGCGGTCTAGACTGGCCATGGTAGGAAGCGTGACGGACGAGGGTAGTGCGAGGGCAGCGGGGGCAGAGTGTCGGAAGCCGGGCTAGTGAGGGTGTGTCGCGGTGTCAGCGAGACGGGTGGAACGGTGGTAGCGGGTGGCGGTCAAGGGGAAAATCGGCAAAATTTGGGCGAAGGAGATCGAAGGATGAGGTGTCTTGTAGTTTTGGGTGTGTAATGTCCCCGCGCCAGCCTCCCGCCAGCACGCGCCAAGCCCAGCTCTTGCCCTGCCTGTGCCCTCCAACTCCACCACGCCGCCATGAATCCGAGCAAATCTTGCACTCGATGCTCTCGCCGGAGGGTGTGGAGGGGAGTTCAAAATTTGTCGCATTCCCGCCGCAGAGATGCTTCCCCAGCGGTGCCTTTAAGCAGTCGGCAGATGTTGCTTGACACGCCCACTACTGCACGCGCGAGCCGCATTAGGCAATTTGGCGAGGGGAATTGTGGGGCGCGGGCGAGATGTCGCATTGCGTGATCAGCCTTGTAGGCGATGTTCCGACAACCCTTGCCACCCGGCCCTCACGAGACTCGAGATCGCGTGCTATGGCGATGCAACGGGCAAATTAATTAGTAAAATCACCACGCTCCTCCTTGCTCCTGTGCCACACCGACTATTCCTCACCTTTTCCGTATATAACCCCCGCCTCCCACGTTTCCCTTCTCCGCACTCCATTTCCAACCCGCTGCTCCACCCTGTCTCTGCCTCATTCCCATCACACATCCTGTCTCTGGGTGTGCGAGAAGACGAGACCAAGACCAGCCTCCCACTAATCCCCCGTCATGGACACTCTTGATCGGCTGAGGAAGCAGCTGCCCGACACTCCCCCCGTGTCGCCGCCGGTGGGCTTCGCGGGCCAGAATGGCTTCAGCACTCCCCTCTTCCCCAGCAAGCCCAACATCCTCTACATCATGGCCGACCAGCTCGCCGCGCCCCAGCTCAAAATCTACAACAAGGACTCCCAGATCAAGACGCCCCACCTCGACAAGCTGGCCGAGCAGTCCGTCGTCTTCGACTCCGCCTACTGCAACTCCCCGCTGTGCGCCCCCAGCCGCATGACCATGATCTCTGGCCAACTCCCCGCCAAGATCGGCGCGTACGACAACGCGTCCCCCATTTCCGAGCAGACCCCCACCTACGCACACTACCTCCGCAACGAGGGCTACGAGTGCGTACTCGGTGGCAAGATGCACTTCATCGGCGACCAGCTCCACGGCTACGAGTCTCGCCTGACCGCCGACATCTACCCCGGCGACCTGGGCTGGTCCGTCAACTGGGACGAGCCCGAGACGCGTCTGGAGTGGTACCACAACAGCTCCTCCATCCTCCAAGCCGGCCCCTGTGTGCGCAGCAACCAGCTCGACTACGACGAGGAAGTCATGTACAAGGCCAAGCAATACCTCTACGATTACGTGCGCAAGCCCGCGGGTGCCCGACCCTTCTGTCTGACCGTCTCGCTCACCCACCCCCACGACCCCTACACCATCGAGCACAAGTACTGGGACATGTACGAGGGTGTCGACATCGACATGCCGAAAGTGCAGATCCCCAAGGACCAGTTGGACCCCCACAGCAAGCGTCTCCAGCACGTCGTCGATCTCGAGGACTACGACTTCACCGACGAGCAAATCAAGCGGGCCAAGCGCGCATACTACGGCGCCGTCAGCTACGTCGACGACAACATCGGCCAGCTCCTCGACACCCTGAAGCGCTGCGGCCTGGCCGACAACACCATCGTCATCTTCTCGGGCGACCACGGCGACATGCTCGGCGAGCGTGGCCTGTGGTACAAGATGTCCTACTACGAGTCGTCGGTGCGCGTGCCCATGCTCTTCAGCTACCCCAAGCAGTGGAAGGCGCGCCACGTCAAGGAGAGCGTGAGCACTTGCGACATCCTGCCCACCCTCGTCGACATCGTCGGCAGCAGCCTGATCCCGGGCTTCCCCATGGACGGTGTCTCCATCATGCCGCACTTGCTCGGTTTCAAGGGCCACGACAACGTCTTCGCCGAGTACATGGGCGAGGGCACGGTGGCGCCCATGATGATGATCCGCCGCGGACCCTGGAAATACATCACCTGCCCCGCCGACCCCGATCTTCTCTACAACCTCGAGCAAGACCCCGACGAACTCGTCGACCTGACGAAGAGCGACGATCCCGAAATGAAGAAGGTGCACGAAGCCTTCGTCGCCGAAGCCACGGCCAAATGGGACATGAAGGCCATTACCGAGGATGTGGTGCTACGCCAGCGCCAGCGCCGCTTCTGCTTCTCCGCCCTCAAGAAGGGCCAGTGGACCAGCTGGGACTACCAAGTCGACGACGACTCGCGCAACAAGTACATCCGCAGCCACATGGACCTCGACGACCTGGAGCGCCGCGCGCGCTACCCCATCGTCGACACGCATGGCAACGTCAAAGTCATGGGTGCCATGGGCAAGGATGGCATTCTTTCCATGCCCATGCAGGCTGGAGCCTTTGGGCAATAGCCGGCTTGCTGCTTTGGTTCTGTCGTCTTCTCTTTCAATCGTCGCGTTTGCAAGCGTTGTGCTGCGTTCAAGCCATCTGGATCTTTCGCTCTGTTCTGCACCAAGGACAATAGGCACGGCGCTTGGGGGTTTTGGGCAAATTAAGGGTTAGGATGGAGATATCCTCGGGCTGGAGCGGAAAGGAAAGCGTTCGCATGGGAGGCTGGGACAGGCCCCGCCGGCAGCCTCTCGTCTTGATCTATCATGGTCTACCTAACATGCGGTAGTAGTAATGTCGCAATCGATCAATCGCTCTAAACGAAATGCCTTGCATACAAATCGAATCTCCTTTATATGTCGCAGAGCTGTCTGGCACGTCCAAGATCTATTCTCGTCGCACATGCACGTCCAGAGTGGTACCCAAGCTCGGCTGTACAGCGAGCGCAGGAAGCGTGATAGCGTGCAGGTGTTAGCCTCCCTCTCCCTCGCTATTCCGCGCAAACCCGTGCAGGGAGCAATGAGGTGAGGTCGGCCGGCAGGCGAGGACGCAGATCTCGGTGGGCGAGGTGGAAAGCAGCATCATCACCGCGCCGTCATTCTGCACAGTCATCGTCATTCTTCGCAGCAATCTGGCGATTTGATGTGCGGGGAAAGGTAGATCTGAGAAGCATGTTTTTTAAGGTTCGCGCGGCCGTGGTGGTTGGCGCGTTATCCGCAGTCCGCATAGCGCGTTCAGGACTAACTGTCGTTCACGCGTGCGGCTCCAAACCTACTCGGCACAGGACAGGGTAGGAAGCTGGGAAGTTTGGTCGAAGCATGATTGGAATAGAGGGAAATAATAAGCATGATTCGTACGGATTCTGAAACCATCGGTGGTGCGAGGAATCATGGAAAAGGTGCGGGAGAGAGCGGCGGGCAATGCACAGTAGAGGGGCGGCTTGCGGCGTCGTTCCAGAACGCTGCACCGGCCGGGCTGCTGCAGGGGGGCCGCTTGCTTTTTCCTCACCATTGTTCGGTTCAATGCACAAGGGCGGCCCTTTTGCGACAGATGCGAGATTGGGGGCGGGAAGACAATAGATTATGGCATGGCACGATGCAAGGGAGTGCACATCACACTCGGTGCGCGCGGAATCGCATTGCGGTGCATGCCGGGGGAGAAATCGCGCACGGATGGTGATGGTCTTAGTCTCGTCAACCCCGCCCAACCCTTTGCACCCAACGCGGTAATGCCGCTGATGGTTCTGGTTAAAAAAAGACAAGGCTAGCGGGTAAAACGGGTAGGAAACTGGCAAGAACGGGCTTGCCTCGTGCTTTGGCGCTAACCCCACACCCGCCTCTTTTTCAGACTCACCCCCAACGTGGTATTGCCCTTTTTCCCCGTCGGCTTGAGCGGAGTCGGAGGCCTTGCATGTTGCATGCCCACTCCTGCCACCCACTTCCTTCCCGCTGCGATAGATCTACCCTGTCAGCCAGCGCGACAGGATGATCTGGGTTTACAAAGGATGCGTGAGATATGGCAGTCACCACCCTCTCCCACCCCGCGCCACGCATCACCGTTGGACACTACCGTAGATGGCCATGACGGAACTCGATCGCGGCGGGAAGACATAAGGTTTTAAACTTCCAGACTAGTGAAAAGCTGTGTGAGACCGGCCACCGGACGGCACTTCATGCGCTCATCATGGATGACACCACGCACTGACTGCTCGCCACTCTGTCCAGAGAGCTCCGGGAGGAAGGGAGTTTGCTGTTTGATGAAGGGCCAGCTCGCTAAGCATCTGACAGGTCGGACTCGTGGGATGCTGCTGTGTTCTGTGTTCTGGTGTCCGCAGTCTGCGTCTGCGGCCTACCTTCACCACCGCCACTCATCATGCCGTGCCATCATGCTTCTTTGCCGTCCATCCGAACGGTCAACGTCAGCAGCAACTCGGGCCTACTTTTGGCGTCCACCCAGACAAACTCGCAAAAGATCACCACGATTAGTGCCCTTTGCGTTTGCCACTCGCCGCTTTTGCAGTATGCTTGTGTCATGGCAATCCGCATCCGGCGCCCGCTGCTTCGATTACCGTCGGTGCATGTACCTACGTAGGCGAAAGCTGCATCCACTTCGCCGCGTCATTGGCCCGTTTCATCCAAACCTCTTCCGAAGCTTGGCCCTCAGGGTACGGCTAGGTGCATTAGCGGCCATCTCGCTTTCCTCCAACCGCCCGTGCCCTGTCCCATGATGCATGCATGTGCTGCGATGCCTACCGCTCTCCACCGCCTTGCTCTCGCCCTTTCGCCCCAACCGGCCCACGCTAGAACGTCAGCACTCGCCCACGATTGCCTCTCGGATGTACCTCATCAGCATATCGCCTAGCACCGCCTCGGAATGGCCTGTGCTCGCCCATCGAGGCGGTCCCAGCGCCCTCAACCCCTCTCCCTCGTCCACGCCGGGGCCCGCAGATTGCAGGCCTCTTAAATACCATCCGCATTCCTCTGCTGCGCTCCCTTCCACAACAACCACACATAATCCCCTCGCGCTACAAATCCCCCTTCGCGACCTCTCTCCCCCAAGTCTATCTGCCTTTCAGCCGTAGACTTACTCTCGCTCCAAGCGTCTCGCTTTCACACTCGCTCTTACCTTCGCTGCATATATCACCCTCACCGTCGACCCCCTCCACCCAAATTAATACCCTCCCAGCTCGCTGATCAAAATGCGTTCCGCCATTATCGCCTCCGCCCTTGTGGCGACCGCTGCCGCCGGTGGTGTCTCCTCGGCCATCTCCCCCACTGCTGCTGCCCCCGCTAGCTGCTCAAGCAACTACCCTGGCATGTTCCAGATCCAGGACACCCTCCTCGCCGGGGGCTCCAAGAGGTCTCTCGAAGCCGTACGTACTCACGCCGGCACGAGCAGGTCTATCGCGACGATCCGAAAGAATGTGTGCTAACGAATCTGCAGAGGGACACCCCGCTCACCATCATGCTCTCCAACGGTATCCTGAAGGACAGCGTGGGCCGCACTGGCTACCTTGCCTCCAACATGCAATTCCAGTTCGACGACCCGCCGCAGGCCGGTGCCATCTACACCGCGGGCTTCACCATCTGCTCCAACGGCTCTTTGGCTCTCGGCGACGATGCCATTTGGTGGTCGTGCTTGAGCGGCAGCTTCTCCAACATTTACTACGAATCCCAGGGCGGGCAGTGCAAGGAGGTTACCCTGCAGGCCATCCCCTACGGCGGCTCTGCCACCACCGCTCCCCCGGCCAGCGGCCCCACCACCGCCGCTGCTCCCTGCACCGAGTACAAGGACGGCCAGCCGCAATGCACTCCCACGACCGCCGCGCCCCCGCCTCCCATGTGCACTGAGTACAAGGACGGCCAGCCCCAATGCTCTGCTGTCACCGCTGCCCCCGCTTGCACCGAGTACAAGGACGGCCAGCCCCAATGCTCTGCTGTGACCGCCGCCCCCGCTGTCTGCTCTGAGTACAAGGATGGCCAGCCCCAATGCTCCGCCACCACTGCTGCCCCCGCATGCACTGAGTACAAGGACGGCCAGCCCCAATGCTCCGCCGTGACTGCCGCCCCCGCTGTCTGCTCTGAGTACTCCGACGGCCAGCCCCAGTGCGCCACTGCCACTCCCTCCGCCCCCGCTGTCTGCTCTGAGTACTCCGACGGCCAGCCCCAGTGCGCCACTGCCACCCCCACCGTGGCCGCTTGCACCGAATACGTCGACGGCCAGCCCCAGTGCCCTACCGCCCCGGCCACCGGCACTCTCGCCATTGCCTCGTCCAGCTACACCGGCGCGCCCATCGCCACCGGCGCCGCGGCCAACCTCGGCTTCAACAAGGAGATGTTCGGTCTTGCCGCCGGCATTCTCGCCGTCGCCGTGCTCTAAGGGATTCCTCATTGTTCACCCTGCATCACCTCACTCCTTACCACATCAACCTGGGCACGCTTTCAACCCACTCACGATCCTTCGGCGGGCACATCTTGGCCATGCTCTCAGCAAAATGAATTCTATGTGTATATGATCTCACTCTCTACGCGACATGCGAACTTGGCTCTTGTGTTTTTATCAATGCTTCGTTATCTTTTATGGATATCCACGGCCGCGACGGCAGCAGCAGCAGCAGCAACCAGCAACTACTGTCCCACTTCGACTCTGGACACGGCATTCACATGCATGGATGGAAGATCAAACCTAATAACCTGCTTTTGAAACGTGTACTGTTGTCATCAGATTAGAATGTGAAGACACGGGAACATGGGGGATGGGGACATGGCTTCGAGGATGCAGGAGGAAGCATAATGGTGGCGGTGGTGGATGACAAGGCCGAAGCGGCGATGTGAATCGGCTGCGAGCTTGCTTTTGGATATTGCATCCTTTCGCAGCGGCAGCAGAGGCAAGGAAGGAAGCGTTGCATAGCCCAGGAAAGGTGTTGTTGTTTTTTACTCTGTCAGGAACACATGCCTTGGTGATCTTGTTCTTGCTTGCTCCTTCTTGGCTTTTGTTGGCGTTGCATAGTTGGATGTAGTAATACGTAGCAGCAGCCTTGTTATCATATTCATCGTTGAAAACATTGTGCCTTCCTTCAATCATCATCTCGCTGAGCACTCATCTCGCTGAGCACTTTGACTACAGCTACACGATCACCATCGCCTCCAAATCGACGATGTCAAGCCATCAGACTTTGCCGCCCTGCTTTCCCGCGGCCTCAACGTGCCCACACCCCTACCCAATTGTTTTTTCCCTGCTTGCATTCCACAGACCCAGCCCGTCCCCCCGTCAGCCCATTCTGCGTGCACCTGGGATTTACCCACCGCAAGCCAGCCCACGCACCCACATCCACGTAAGCGAGGGCGTGTTTCAGGTTGTAGCTCGCCGGGCGTACCTACACACCTACAGTGAATGGAGGTGCGTGGGTGTATGCACCATAGGCCCCGCCCCGAGCTCGGAAGGCTATTCTTGGAGCTGACGCAAGCTCGGTGGCGAGAGCTCCCAAGTCTACGTATTGGCTTGGCGTTCGCATCTTTTTGAATTTTGGCCAGAATTCGCGCTCGCTTCTGTGGAGGATCTGTTTGACACACGGAATGTGCGGAATGGTGTCTTGTTCGATGCGTTGAGGAGAAGCGGGGTTGGCTGTGGTATCTGCCCCGTCCAAGCGCAAGGCGTGGGGTCCGAATTGTCCGAAAGAGGCAGTTCCGATCGGCTTGGCACGGCCTCGTATTGGGGCGCGTGCTTTTTCACATGTCGGCGGCTAGATGTGCTTGGCATTGGCCGTGCAAGTGTGATGGTGACGAGTGCGGCGGAAAAACATGGGTAGTGTTGACGTATGCACATCGATTCATCATGTCAAAAAAGAAGTGGGGTGGGTGAGTGGTACGTACTGACTGTCAAGCTTGTCCTCCGTCACCGCCGGCTGCTCAAACCTCCGAGTAACGGGACAGCCTTTCTCGTAGCGCTGTCCCCGACGTCATCGTGGTTGAGACACAATCCACGCACGATTCTTGGCAGTTGATTCACCCGCCCTGGAGCTTACAAGGGTTGACCCGTGGCTAGCTGGAAGCTGCATGGACTAGGCTTCTGCTCTCCAGATCGACGGGTGGGCATCTGATCGCCCGGAAGTGCGAGGATACCGGTTCTTGGGTTGGAAGTCTATGATCATGAGGTGTACACTGGGATGGCTCGAGAGTTGTATTTTGGGCAGGCGAGAGACATGCAGTACCCGAAGGTCGTCCACCGAGCCGTGGTACCGTGCATCAACCACGCATCGACGACGCATCAATCACAACCTAAATGCATCTCTCAGATCGCCGGCAGCCAGGTAGCTAGCCGCTTACGGATCATGCACCCCAGGTCGAAGAGCTCCCAGCACCAGCTTGTTACCGACCCTACCCTCCTTGATAATCGCCCACCTGCGCATCCCCTCCACTTCGAAGCCAGCCTTTTCCAACAAGCGTCTGCTGTACGCATTATGCTCGTAACACTCGCCGTCTAGCCGGATGAGGATGCCGAAGGTGCTCCACGCCCACGCAACAAACGCCGGCACGACGGCACTCATCACGCCCTTGCCCCAGTGCTCTTCCCCCAGCCAGTATCCAATCTCCGCGCAGCGTGCCGACACGTCCGTCGGGTCGTTGAACTCTAGCCCGATACTGCCCACCGCCTCGTCGTTGACGGTGATGGCGTAGTTGGCAGGCAGCTTGGGGCCCTGTGAGCCCGTCTCCGGCGTCCAGGGTCCCGACGCGGTGTGGTTGGCGGGGTTCGCATTGTGGTCGATCCACCATTTTGCATCACTCTCCGTGTACGGCGAGGGCATGCGATTGCGCAGGTTGGCCCACACCTTTTTGTTGTTGCCGTGCCGTGCGATGGATGCCACGTCGCGTTGCTGGTATCGTCGGACTCCTATGCCATTGGCGAGCACGAGTATCACCTCCTGCTCATCATTGCCGCTTGAGGTCCTGGGCGTCGAGGTGGATTCTTGCGCGGCCGACGCCATTGTTGTTGCTGTTCTCAGGATGCTTTTCTCCCTCGTAAAACTTTCGCGAGCGTGCTCCGATGTGTGATCGATTACGATATGTTTTCGCACACGCCTTTGTTCTGTCTCCAGGGGGATGTATATGTTGTGATTGTCCCCTCTGTGAGCAACACTGTTCGTGAGTAACATGAGTCGTGAGTCAGCTAAATACGAGAGAGGCGTTTTTCCTTTCAGCTTCCGGCTGGACGTCTAGCCCGTTCTGCTCACGTAGAGACATGTGGCGTCCAGAAATCGAGTTATCTTGTCACTATTCTTCATTACAGAAGCACGTTGCATTTTTGGTAACCGATGAGGATGGCGCGGCATCCATGCTGAGTCAGTCTTGTTGACTTGGAACTCAAGACCCAAAGATATGGAGGTGGCGTAAGGGCATACTTCACCCGCTTGGCCATATTCCTTGATGGGTTGACACACCAATGGAACGACGCCCAGTGCATCGCAGAGCTAAAAGCAGGCATCACGAGCGGCGAAGAACAGACGCTATGGAATTGACGGATTCTCCATCAGCATGCCTGTGGCCTCCCGTCATGCAGATATCGATGGCACATAGAAACGTCGTAAAGCACATCCTCCCTTAACCTCTCCATCGCGGCATCTGGAATGTAGGCAAGCTATGGTTTTTCCCAACCCTCACCGTCCGACGGACTCGGGAACGAGTAGGAATATAGCGCCCGGACAGCGCCCGCCGAGTTCGCGAAGAACTACAAGGCGGGTCCATCACATTTGCTCTGAGATCTGTCGACCGGACTTGCTCCACTTGGGTTTGTCGAGGACAACGAAAGGTTCCATGCATCGTCGAATTCGTCGCAGCACGTCGACCGAACAGTATCCGGAGACACGTCGGGAGTGCTGGACACAGATCTTTGGTGGAAGAAGAGGAGGAGAGGAGCAGGGCTTGCGCTGGAAATGAGAGGAAACTTTGATGCCAAGCCTCGTTGACGCTAGACTCGATGGGGAAGGGGCCCGCGCGCGCTTGCTCTCTTTCCTCACGTCTGCCGTGACACTTCGGGCATCTTCAACTGCCTTACATTCCCTTCAATCTTGTGGGTGTCAATCTCCTCACCGCCAAGATGGACGCCGCAGCAATCGAGCAGATGAACAAGGTCCGTGTCTCCCTTGGGATGGCTCCGTTGCCAGTTCCGGGAGCCGGACCGCAGTTCAAAACCAACGATGAGTCTGATTCCGCCGGTTCGGAGAGCGATGATTTCAGCACGCTCGACAAACGGCAGGCTGCTGCTGATGACAACTGGCAGAAGCTCGAGAATGAGAGACAGGAGAAGCTCGACCGGCAAAGACGCAAGGATGCCGCCAAGAAGGCGCGAGATGCCGCACAGCGCTTCACAAAGCTCGAAGGCAAGGGTCTGGGCGATGCCGATGAGGACGCTGGGGAGCTGGATACGAGGTCATGGCTTCTGCAGCAGAAGAAGAGGCAGAAGAAGATCGACAAGGCGAGGAAGATGGCGGAAGAGCTGGCCGCGCGCGAGCAACAGGCGGAATACACCAGCAAAGACCTGGCGGGCGTGAAGGTGGGGCATGAAATGCAAGAGTTTGACGATGCCACGGGCGAGCAGATCTTGACCCTCAAAGATGCCGAGATTGGAGAGGACAGCGGGGACGACGAACTGGAGAACGCCGACCTGAGAGCGAAGGAGAAGCTGGAAGAGAGGCTCCGGGTCAAGAAGAAACGGCCTGACTACGACCCTACCGAGCAGAATGAACCTCAAGGTCTACTGTCAAAGTATGACGAAGAAATCGAAGGCAAGCAGCAGAAGCGCTTCACTCTCGATGGCACAGGCAACACGGTTGAAGCGTTGCGGAGAACACTCGACAATGATGGTCAGGTCAAGAGCAAGGGCGTCAAGATCAGTCTGGACATGTTCAAAGACGACGCGCCTGTGTCGGACTACGTCGATCCAAGCACCATCAAAGTCAAGAAGCCAAAGAAAAAGAAGGAGAAAAAGACGCGACAAAAGACGGATGACGATGACGATATCATTCCTCCTGTTGAGCCTGCAACAGCTGGGACGCAGGAGGCCGACCATATGGATGTCGATGGCGCCCAGCAGCCTGGTGCAATGAGCAACAACAAGAAGCGCGCATTCGATTTCGAAGACGATGATGACCTGCAAGCAAGACTGGCGGAACAGCGACGAAGTGCGCTGAAGAAGCGCAAGAAGCTGGATGCAGCCGAGCTTGCGCGACAAATGCGAGAAGAGATGCCGGTAGACGAAGAAGAGCCCGAAGACGGCGGCATGACAATAGATGAGACCACAGAGTTTGTGGCGAATCTCAAGAAACCAGAGGCTGCGCCAGACGCACGACGAAGCAGAACGCCGCAGCCCGCCACCGCCGACTCTCCTGGAGATTTGGATGAAGACGAAGACGGCGATACTACAATGGCGACCTCCTCTTACGCGGAATTCGAGGATGCTCGAGATCGTAGGCGCGAAAATGCCACTCCTGCCGAAGAAGTAACGGCCACGGGTCTGGAGGATGAAGACATGATGTCTGGCCAAGGGATTGGGGCATCAGTGGCCCTATTACGCAAACGAGGCGTTCTGTCCAACACCTTCGATGACACCCTGTCGAAACAAGAGCGCCAACGGGCCGAGTTCCTCGCGACCAAGCAACACCTCATCGACGACTTCGACCGTAAAGCACGCTTGCAGCGTGAGGACGAGCGGCGCAAAGGCACGTGGGACAAAATGTCGACGCGCGACCGCGAGCATTACGCCATGCAGCAGAACGAAGCACGCGAGCGCTACCTCAACCAGCTGCTGGACGAAGAGTTCAAGAAGAACTACAAGCCCACCGTGGAGCTCCGGTACAACGACGAGTTCGGTCGGGCCATGAGTGCCAAAGAGGCCTTCAAGCACATGAGTCATATGTTCCATGGCAAGGGCAGCGGGAAGCAGAAGACGGAGAAGCGATTGAAGAAGATTGAGGATGAGAAGAAGGAGCTGGGCAAGGGCGTGTTGAATGTGAGGTCGGAGGAGGGGGGTATGATGAATGTGCAGGGCCGAGAGGGTAAGAAGCAGAAGCAGGCGGGGGTGCGACTGCAGTGAGGTCTTGTCTCTCTGGAGTTGCTGCCGAGGTCATTCAATAGCGACTTTGATGTCCACCTCCAAGGGTCAGACGAATGATTGGAAAGGTTAGTACGCATCACACGTACGAGCTTGAAATGACATTGACATCCATGCAATTCCGCTAGACGGCTGTGGACTCGAGAGGGATGCGTCCGGGTGAGTAACGCTCTTGCCGAGTCTACCATAGGTCAGGTGAGTGATGTGTGATGTCTCCACGGCCGTGAACACAGTAACACCCGCCCCTCGGGTTTAATGCTACGGAGCGACTCGCTGAGTGATGTGATGACGAATTCGTGCTTGTTGCTGCTTGTGTAGGAAGTCTCCGCCCAAGGTACTCGCCACTTCTTCGTGAGACGTGACATCCTCGGTTCTAGTGCAGTGTCATAATGCAAATGTATTCCAATTTGTCGTTTGAGTGAAAGCACTGTTCCTCACCCTCTTCCATTGCGTGTATCTGCGTGTATCCAACCTCTCCCCGACATTTCCCACTCCAGCTGTCGCAGGTGGCTCGAGCGTCCGACTTCACGTGAGGATTTGGCGAAGTGAACGCGTCCCGTGTCTCAAGCACCAAACAATATCCGCCACCCACCACACCACGGCAATTCAGGCGCACGAAAAAGTCAAATCAATCCCCGCGGCCGCATCTTGGAATCTCTTCCCGTGCAAACTGATCGAAATACTCAAGAAAGAATATGGCGCCCTCCTCGTCTTCCTCCCAGGCGTACTCCAAAGATGAGAAGGTGCTGTGTTTCCATCACGAACTGCTCTACGAAGCCAAGGTGCTCGAGCACAAATTCAAGGATCCCAACGACAAGAAGGACGGCAGTTTGTATCGCGTGCATTACAAGGGCTGGAAGAATACGTGAGTTGCTGCTCTTTTTGCTTCACTTTCCTACCCTCCCCATTATCCCACAGTGGATTCAGGGTGGTTCGCCAGCATCCCTTCTACCCCGAGTATCTTGCAATGCCTGTATACACACCCTTCAGCGAGTGGATGCTAACATTCGTTCTCCAGATGGGATGACTGGGTTCCGCAAGAACGACTTCGCAAACTCACGGAAGAGAATAAGGAGCTCGCGGCGAACCTGAAAAAGGACATGGATGCGCAGCGCCGAGCTGTATCCAGCAAGCCGTCTACCTCTACCTCCACCAAGAAGCGGCCTTTTGGCTCCGACATGACGGGCTCGTCGGCGCGGTGGAGCGAAGATCGCAGCTCTGCGGCTCCGCAGGCTTCACGGGGGCAGAAGCGGGGGAGGGAGATTGAGGGAATCGACAAGGTGAGCTCTCGCGTTCTCTTATTTCGTGATGATGTTGCTAAGCATGCATTCCCACCGCAGGAAGACGACTTTGTCCGCCGCCCCGCCGTCCGCCTCTTCATCCCGGACGGCCTGAAGTCCATCCTCGTGGACGACTGGGAGAAGGTGACCAAAGAGCAGAAGCTCGCCGCCGTACCTTCGCCTACGCCCATCACTCAATTCCTCAACGAATACTACGAAGCGGAGGCCAGCGCCCGGAGACCTGGCTCGGCCGACGCCGACATCCTGGAAGAAGTCATTGCGGGGGTGCGAGAGTACTTCAACAAGTCTCTTGGCCGCATTTTGCTGTACCGCTTTGAGAGGCAGCAGTTCTATGAAGTGCATAAGCAGATTGAGGCAGGGCATGGTGAGCATGCGGGCAAGACGTTGTGCGATGTGTATGGGTGTGAGCATCTGTTGCGGCTCTTTGGTAAGTGCCTTCCTTTCTCTTTCTGACTTTATGCGCTGGCGGGCTGAGAACACTGACCATCTTTCCCTCAGTCTCAATGCCGGATCTCATCGCTCACACCAACATGGATGCCCCATCTGTTAGTCGGCTGAGGGAGGAGTTGTCGAAGATGACGCAGTGGCTTGCAAAGCGCATCGATCGCTACCTCGCCACCGAGTACGAGCATGCGGGTCAGGATTATCTGGAGACTTCGAAGAACGGCGCTTGATTGATCAACAAGACGTAGGCGGCCCGGACGTCAGGGACTGTTTGACATAGCCAAGGACTGGAGTTTGGGATGGAAGCTCTTGGCCTGATGAGCAAACGACACGGTGTTGCGGTTGCTTTTTGATTTGTTTGTTGGCCTTGTGCCTGTCTTTATACTTATCTTTACGGCCCTTTGCCGGCTACCTCCTCCTACTTTTTAGACAGCAGTAAGTAAAAACCGCATGAGTAAGCCGTCTTGCTTGAGCAAATCCCAATCGGCCCGGAGGCCCAGCATTCTCTCTTCGGTAGACTCATCCTTTAAGCCACCCAACATCTTCTGCAAATCTCCGTCGAAAGAGCAAGCGAGCGCCACCCTGCAACGCCCGCAGAGCTTCAGCCCGCAGCCTTGTTGGCCGCTCTCGCCCTCCCTGCAACAAGAATACGCCGCCGGCGAGGGACAGACACTGCACCACTGCCTGTCCGTCTGCACCTGACCCGAGAGCAGTTCCATCCACGCAGTGCTCTTGTCCCCTGCAGCACGCGATGATGCTCCGCCGCTGAGACGTCTGAACTCGTGCTCCGAGCACATGATGATGGAGAGTCTTCTCAGCGTGCAGCATGGGCACATTCGTGTGTTCTCTACTCCATCGCTCTTGTGTCCTCCGCTGATTTCTTGCATCCCGCTTCCATTCTCCTCTTCGACGACCGTGACTCGCCGTCTTTCCAGGCCGAGAATCGCGTATGATGGCTCGGTGCAGAAGTGGCAGGGCTGCGTACCTGCAGCGTTGTCTTGGTGGTTGAAGGCGATGGGGTGGCAGAATCTCGTCTCAATGGTCTTCCGGGCTTCTTGGTTGTACTTGAAGATTTCGCTTGTCGACTCGCTTCTTGCTTCCTGTTGGGGAGACGGAGTTTTGTCGGCGCATGCTGAGCCCTCTTTTACGTCAGGAACTCCAGGAGCTTGTGCCTCATTTGAAGTGTCGGAAGCTCGCGCCTGGTTGCGCTGCTGCGGAGCCAAGCTCTCAATCGTGCAAGGCTCTCCGTTTTCTTTACAGCCCTCGCAAGCCTGACCGATGTTTCCTGCGTCTTGAAAATTGCACCGGCGGCCAGACTCAGTACACTCCACGCAAGGCAGGTAATTTCTCACTTTCACTGCCGCCTTCTTCACCGGTACTGGTTTCGCACCTTCTTCTTCCGGATACCGGAGACGAGTCCTGATGGCATCCTTCGCTGGACCCGCCACACAGCAATACCCGGCATTGTCACACTGCTGGCATGCATCGCCATGATTGAGAGTGTAGCTATACGAGCACGCCGACCGCTTGCCCTTACACCTTTCACATGCGCGTTTGCGAACTGGAGGAGTGACGAGGATGCAATCGTGCCTTTCCCTCCAGCACTCTTCGCATGGCCACGTGGCCTCGTCGTGCAGGAGGGAGCATTCATGTCCGAGGGTGAGGCATCCCAAGCAGCCTCTCGCGAAGGGATGGCCGGTTGGATCAGATGGGAGATTCAGCTCCGCACAGACCTTCTTGTAATCCCCTGCATCGTTGTACGCGAAATCCAAGACTCGCTTTCGCTTCCGGAGATCGCGGCCAGTGAGGGTTTCGTCACCGGCTGGACGTACGACCAGGAGATTGGCGACCGCATGTGCAAATTTTGCCCTCCCAGCCTCACTTGAAAAGCGGCACGTGATCAACCATCGGAGATTCTCCTTCGGCCCGGTCTCGCCGTTCCCTTCCGTGTCTTCAAGACAGCGTCTAATCGAGGATGCACAATCCTTTCCCCGCAGTCTTGCACGCTGCCGTCGTAGTCGTTCTTGGCGCTGCTCTTCACTCGGATCGTAATCTCCGGTTTGATCTTGATCGATCCAAGTGGTGGTGAAGCCTCCGGCAACTTGGCGTGTCTGGGGTCGCAGTAGATACTTCTGGGCTTCTTCGGGCGAGACACCATCATGTGTAGGATCGTTGTCGTACTCGGGATCATCGTCGAATATTAGTGAGTCTTCTCGCAATTCGCCAGGTAGAGAATCCGGAGAGGCGCGAGGCACCAAGTCGCTGCACTCGTCGTCCATATCAATGGTATGGCTGTCATCATCATCGTGTGGAATAGATGAAGTGGTGCCATTGAGATGGATGTCCCTCGTTGGACCACGGGCGAGTGGCTTGCATTGGAGTGTATTGCCGAGCTTGTCCATTGGCACGAAGGGCATGGTATGACCGATAGGGTATCTCGACCTGAAGAAGTAGGTATTCACGATTCAAGAGCAGGCCTTGCTTTTTGTTATGGCTCGGACAGAGACTTCAAGCATGAGAATGGATGAGTGAATGTATGAGAAGTTGGACTTAGTGAGAGAAGAAGAGTGCGAAGAGAAGAGCGAGTAGGATGAATGGAGCATACGATGCAAAGAGTGGAATGAGATTGACATGTGAAGATTGGGATATCAGACGGAAAGGCGCGAGGCTGGATCATGCGGATTGCAGCGGTCCGGACGGGATATATGAGACGGATGAAGCGATCTGATCAGTGAAGGTGGATGCTCGTTGGTGACGGTGGTGACTGTAGATAGTGGCTAGGAGGTTTGCTGCGACTGACAACTATTATGATTGCGATCGACCAAGCAAAGCGGTCATGGCATGTTGCCTCTCGCATCATCTCCATCGCCTTGGAGGAAGAGATTGGGTGGTGATGGAGGTGTTGTAGACTACTCTCGGCGAAACAATATTCCGCTTCCCGCAATTTATCTTCATCAACGCCATCTTGTCACGTCGAATTCTCCCCTACCCCACGCCTTCGTCCATGAAGCTCTACCTCATTCGCCATGGCGAAACGGTGGACAATGTCGCTGGAGTCTACGCCGGCTCTCGCGACTCTGCCCTCACCAACCACGGCTTCGAACAAGCGAAGCGGCTAGGCTCCTACTTCGCCGAGAATGATGTGAAATTCACCCACATCTTTGCCTCTCCTCTTTCCCGCGCCTTCCGCACCGCTGGAGCGGTCAAGGATGCTCAGACACAGCTCGCGGAGCCGGTCGACGGAGTGGATATTGTCAAAGTGCAAGAGCTGATTGAGCGAGACTATGGCGCATATGAGGGTCGGCCGTATTCGACACGATCGGAGTGGCAGAAGACGGGAAAGGATGGGGTGGAGGAGAGTGGTGGTAGTGTGGAGAGCGTGCAGTCGATGGCCAAGCGCAGTGACAGGTTCCTGGACGAACATTTCCTGCCTTTGTTCGACGAGGATCGACATGAGGAATACATCGTGGCCATTGTTGCTCACGGCATGCTGTGCTCGCACTTGTGGAGGCGCTTGCTGCTTCGGCTACCAAGAAGGAGTCTGAAGATCGCGCCCGAGATCGTGGCGGCCCGCGGGAACATTGTGCTGGAGCATCTCGGCGGCTGGTCCAACACCGGCTACTTGGAGTTGTCCATTCGGAGAGAGGCCGAGTCACGCCCCGAAGCGAAGCCCATATCAGACGGCTCTTACGATGGTGACGAATCGGCCAGTGCAACAACACTTTCCACACCCGTTCCGCCTCCTGTTCAATCCGAAGGTGCCGATGTCTCGCTCGCTCCGCCTAAGCCATCCGAGCCTGCAAGCCCGAGGAAGAAGGACTCGCGGGAATTATCGGGCTACAGTACCACGATCCTAGCCATCGACAGCAAGCAACATCTCGTCGGGCTGAAACGCCAACCGGGAGGAATTGGCAGCTTGGCCAACGACAAGGGCCAAAAGAAGCTCGACACCTTTTTCAAGCGAGAGAAGGCCACTTGAAAGCAGCGCCCGCGCATTTGCAGCTTGTCCGGCTGCTTCCATGAGAAGCTGTTCGACCTGATCAAGAGAGCAATGCTACGTACACAGCGCCTGGTAAGCCCAATCCTTCTTACCCCAACCCTTCCCTGATGAATACAACAATGATACACAGACCTGTTCTGAAAAATCATGAGGAACAATCTTGTTTTGTCCAACTGCTGTCTGATACCTTCCACTACCCCCTCTGCTCCCAATGCCTTTCGCGCGTTTCACCCACGTACTGATGTGTACCTTATTACAGATACAGAGCCGCAAGACCCACCAGATCAGGCTGAACGGGGTACGGGCGTGGCACTTTGACAGTGCTTGGTGGCCACCAGATGCGCACGGCCCTGTGCAAGGATCGCCGTCAGCGACATATCGTCCGGGATGTTGCAGCGTGTACAGTACTAAGTAGGCAGACTAGTCGGAATATTCATGAAAACCCCCTCGGAAGCATCCTGGAAATAGCAACCGTTGTTCGGTGGCCGGTGGCGTGGTGAGGTGAGTCGGACGGGCAAATTTAGACTTTACTAGCGCGGCGAGGCGGGAACAGCCAGCCACTCACAACCCGCCACTCCGCTGTAAACCTCAACCTCATCTCGTGCAATGCGGGCGGCATCGACGGACAAACAGCGTCCACACGGTAATGCACTCGAGCACAATGGGTGAAAAGACCTGGATATCCAGGCCATGGCCGTTTCCATCTCTCCCGACTCACTTTTCGGCTGCTGGGACGCATCAACCCGTAGGTTGAACAAGATGCAGCCTCCCAGGCCTGGTATTGCGTGTACAAACACCCGCCGCGAGCATATGCGTTGTGCAACCTGCAGCTCGAGTGTCGCGTTTGCACAGTGAGCATGCAGATGAGACCTGACTGAACCGTGCGTCATCATCACAAAATTTCTGCCTCCTCAACTTTCTCTTCTCTTCCCTACTCAAAAACAACCCGCCCCTCACTCCCAGCCATCTGTCTACCAACCACCACTACCACCCTTTATCACCACCACCGCTCCCTTCGTACCACTCTTTTCAATTCTCCGAACCGCTCGCTAACAATCTCGCTTCCGACATCACAGTCGCCATGCGTTCTTCCGCCGTCGCCGTGGGCTTCGTCAGCCTGTTGACGCTCGCCGCTGCATCGGTGACAACCAGTGGTGAGTCTCCTCGGAGCATTATCTCCCTCCTTCATTCCTTCATGACAGGCACGCTAACCATCCTCCTCCGCAGAGATTACCGTCGTTGCATACACGACTCCTGCGGGCAGCTTGATCATCCCGGTACTGACGACAGAGATAGTGACAGTGACGGTGACTGCGCCTAGCTGTGGCTTCGGTGAGTGCTCAAGTGCTTCCCCGTCAATCCCCTCAAGCACCAGCACCATCAATGCCCTCACTATCCTGTCCTCTGCCCTGAGCTCGCTGCAAAGCACCCACTCCTTCATCACTACTATCGCTCCTCTTTCCTCCCTGCCTACCGTCACATCATTATCTACCCCAACCCCATCCACCTCATTACCCGTAACATCACCCTCACCACCCTCCACAACATCACCGTCATCCACATCCATACCCACCAGCAATGCACTATCCATCCTGTCCGCCGCCGAACCCACCACCACCACTTACACCTTCGCCCCTGCACTCTTCTCAAGCTACGGCTTGACGATAAGTGCACGCAGCTCACCATCCACCTCGCAAACCACAGTTCCCACCCTGACCACCACCACGAAAGAGACCACGACCGCCGTCTCTCCCGTCACCACGACCACCACTCCCGTCACCAAGACCGAGACCCCCGCTTCGACGACCATCACCGTCTCCAGCTCGGCCATCACGGTCCCCATCCCCGTCACCCTCCACAGCAGCGCTCTCAGCAGCTACCTGAGCTCCGTCTCCTCCTCCTTCGAGAGCCACGTCTCCTCCGCCCACTCTGCCGCCTCCCCCACGACGCAGACCACCACGGAAGTCAAGCCCAGCACCACGACCACCCACACGACCACCAAATCAGGCGAGACCGTCGGAGCGCACTCGACCTCCACCACCTCGACGCCCACCACCAGCGCCACGTCGACCAACGCTCCTCCCAAGAACGGCGCGGGCAAAGCCTCCACCGTCGGCACGGGCGGCACGCTCGGCATCGCGGCCATGCTGCTGCTGTCGATTATGACGGCCGCGCACCTCGACTTCGTCTGATGTTCCGCCTTGCACTTCTTCCTGCCTTGCCCTCTTCGTTCTTGAGAAGCTGGGCTTGGCGTGCATGCATGGTTTTCGGGCGTTGGTGTGATGATCACAAGGATAGGAAAGGAATACCCCACGGCATGGTTTATCAAGGCGATGGAATGAAATGTGGGGACGTGTGAATCGGAAATGAAAATGGAAATGGGAAGGGAGGAGTCATCCAGTGTGCTGTACTCGTAGCTTCGATGCGAGCGTCTAATGCTAATCGGACCGGCTGTCCTTGCATCCCCACACCTTGCTCGACTCTTTCCTCTCTCTCTCTCTTTCGCTCCTCTCCTGTCTAGAACGTAAATGTGTCTACTGTCGCTCGGAATGAGGGAGGATTATGACCGAGTGAGACTCGCGAGTGTATCACGCACGAAAAGATCAGAGATGGCTAAGTATTTCTCGGCATTCTCGCGACCGAAGTGTTCATTCCGCATATACGGCCGTTATGTTCTCTCCGTCCCCCTCCCACCGCTCCCACTCTTCCCGACAAGTTGATACATTACAATAGAGAAGAAGGAACCGTTAGATTACAATATACTCCCCATCCACCCGATCCATCGCCTTCCTCCACCGGAAAGCCTGCCCATACGGTCTCCACACCGCTGCACCCTCCAGTTTCCCCCCATGCGCCCGCCCACTCTGCTGCCCACCCCTCGAGTCCCTCCTGCGCGCGCGCCTCTCCCCCGCAATCCCAAAGCCCGCGCCGGCCTCCGCGTCCGCCTCGGCCCACACCTTCTCCAGCACGTCCAGGGCGGAGAGGTTGTTGTAGAAGCCGGATTCGCGCGAGAGTTCGACGCAGCGACAGCGGATGATGAACCGCTGCTGCGCGTCCACGCACTCGGTGCCGATGATGAAGAGGGGCCAGAGGAGGAACTTGTTGACGCGGCTGGAGAGCGGGATGGCGGAGATGTGTTGTTGCAGCGCGGCCTGGACGAGGGTTTGGAAGGATGGGTGGGCGGAGGGGCGGTGCGGGTGGGCGAGGCGTTCGGTGTAGAGGAGGGCGGCGTGGCGGAAGGCTTGGTTGATGTGGAAGAGGTCGGCGTATTCGGACGGGGCTGCGGGGGAGACTCCAGCTGGGCCGGGGGGTTCGTTGGCGAGGTGGTCGGTTTGCAGCTCGAGATGGAGCGATTCCAGCGCGTTGCGGATGGTGCGCCATTCGGACCAAAATTCGGCGCGCTCATCGTGGCTGCCGGTGGTGGTGTCGGCGTCGGAATCGTCATCGGAGGTGTCGGAGGCGGAGACGATGGGTGTGCCCCAGCCGTTTCCATCCATGTTGGCGTAGTCGGCGAGGGTGAGAGTGCGGGGGTTGGAGAAGTCGGGGTTGGCGCGTTTTCTCTTTGGGTGAAGTTGCGGGGCGGAGTCGTTTGGTCTTTGTTGTTGGGAGTGTTGCTGCTGCTGCTGCTGTCTGCCGCCTGGAAGTTTGACACTTCGCCCTTGCGCGAGAAGGTTGAGCCGGCCGAGTTTCGCAATCAACATGAACAACCGTCCATCACACCCCGAAAACTGCTCCATGGCCCCGAGCCCGGAAACGCCGGTGAGCATTGCAGGTGCATTGCCCTTAATCTCCGTCTCGCGGTCGTTGACGGTGCTCGTCATGACATCGAACCAGGCAAAGAAGACGTGGACCCAGCGGGTGAAGGCGGTGTGAGTTTTGGGGTCGCGGAAGGCCAGCACCTTCTGCACGCCGGCCAGCTGCGTGCGGAACTTGCTGAAGCCGGAGTCGCAGACGTGATAGAGGCAGAGGATGAGCAAGGTGGCGAGGACGGAGTCGTCTCGTGCCGAGCGGCGGTCGGCGAGTTGCATGTTGAGCTGCTCGATGGACATTTGCTTGTGCATCGCCTCCTCCGCGGTCGTGTCGTTGACGGATGTCAAGTCATCGGGGATATCCTGCACGAAGCCCATGAGTCGGTGCTCTTTCCTCCGCATGCGCAGATTGTTGCACGCCAGCGCGGCCACGGCATTTTGGAGGCCTTGGTTGTGGAGGGCGAGCTGGAGGACGTAGGTGCGGTAGGGGTTGTCATGCCCGTCGACGGCAACGAGATGTGGGCAGACGTGGCGGTCGTAGAACTCCATGAGGGATTGGAGGCGAGGTGGGAGGGAGAAGAAGGGGTTGGCGAAGCGAGGGTCGAAGAGCATTAATTCCTGGCCATCCTCCACTTGCTCAGAATCATCGAAGGATGCGGTGGGGGCGGCGAGCGAAGTGTAGGTGAGTGCGAGGCTGGTGGGAGGGTTGGAATGGAGAAGGGCGGCATTGCCGTTGAAATGGTGCACCTCTGCTTGGTGGGCGGCGGAAGAGTCGAGGACAGGAAGGGCGGGTTGTTGTTGGTCGTAGAGCGACAGACTTGTGGGGACCATGTAAGTCGAGGAAGGAAAGAAGTCGTGCTGGGGATATGGAGGGTCAAGGGTTGGGAGACTGAGCTGCGCGACACCGGTCGTGGGCGATGGAAGCGAGGCGACAGGCTCGAAAGCGGGAAACGGGGCATTTCCGAACATGTAGTTGCTGGCCGGAGGCTCGGGCGACGGGGTATGAGGATGGATTTGGGAGGGAAAGGAGGCCGGAAGGTTGTCGGCGAGGCGAGGTGAAGGAGAAGCAGAGAGGGCGGCCGTGGTGGGATGGAGTGCAGCTGAGGTGGAGGTGGGTGCAGGATTGACGTCGTCTTCAAACTTGATGCGTGTCGTCGAGGCGGTGCGATGATGTCTTGCACCCGCGTCGGCCACACTGTCCATTGGGCTGACCGGGCTGGAGTCGACGTTCTTGTCGATGACGGGGCAGGAGAGGCCGCGCAGTTTGCCTCTGCTGGCCACGCCGACGCCCCAGCTCAACTGCGTCTTGTAGCCCGAGCATTCCCTCCCGATCTCGAGGCATTGGGAGCAATAGGGTCGTTTGCGGTCGCAGGGCACGGCGCGGCGTTTACAGGTCCAGCAGTCCTCGCCCGCCCCTCCGGCAGTGCGTCTTCGCTTGCGCGGGCGAGGTTTGACGGCAGCGGAGGAGGATGGGGGAGCATTGGGCTGGTTGGGGGCGTAGGGGTGCAGAGGAAGGTGGTCGGAAGCCATGGCGGTCTTTGGTTGCCGCGATGCATCAATGGGATCACAGCTGCACGGCGGGACGGCGAGGGCGGGGGATCGAGAGGGGTGTGGGGAAGGCGAGGGAGATGGGAGAGGAGATGGAGGAGGGGGACATGGTGGGCGGGCGGGCGTGGATGGGGCAGATGAGAGCAGGGCAGCAGTGAGGTGTTGGCGGCGTGCGGAGGGAGAACAAGAACGGGTATGGTAGTGACAGTGCCGCCGCGGTACCACACCCACACCCCCACCGGGCGCTATCAGTGCAACGCTCGGTGGACCGGTGGATCCCCTACGCCGCCCCTAGCGCCATCGGGAGAGGCCGCCGCGTGCGCCAAACCGTTTAGCAGCCACTTAGCGTGCGCAGGCACGGGCTCAGACGCAGCAAAGGCAGACGCTTCGCAGCCGGGGAGCATGCCCAATCCGTCGTCTCTCGTCATCATCGAAGGCAGAGGCAAGTCAAGGGACATGTGCCTGCTCCAATTGATCCCCCGCAGCAGCAGCAGATGGCGAGGATGATGCTGATGATTGATCATGGGCACTGCCCTGGACTCGATGAGACACGGCGGCGGGCTGGAGCGACATGGCCACGTCTTGCCCACGCCTCCCCCACATGGACCCGTTCTGCCGTGCTCCGTCCATGGATGTCTCCACCACGCTTGTCCTCTTGGGCTACGTCGGCCGACATCTCCCACTCCACTCGTCGGCACTTCGACTCTTTGCCCGCACCTCTTTCCAACAAGCCCGGAGTGGATGGATTATATTACCACACTGCCCTCGCCCCTTCTCCACCCCTCGCCGATCCCTTTAGCCGCCGCTGCCGCCAAATTGATTGGCCAGCGTCACCCCTTCACCACCTCGCCTCTCTACGCCTTGTTGGTCTTCGGCTGTGCCGCAACATGGCATCAACACGCACATTGATCTCTTGAAGGCCAACAAAATGTCTTGTGCCGATGGAAAAGTCACCTTGTAAGCGCCTCATCTCTCAAGCCCAAGGCACAGCTTCCAGGCTTTCGCTGGCGGCGTAAGTCTTCGCCCACGATTGTCCCTCCTCCCCTGCCCTGCACCTCTGCCAATGTCTCCGATTCACCCTCCATTTCCGTCGACAGCCCTCTTCCACCCTTGAATATCTGTCCATCCTCTCTCTGCCTCTCCCCGTCGTTGCGAACGATCTACCGGGTGGCAGCAAATCCTCATCTGCACGTTCAGGTGACTGCAGCTGCACGCAGAAGTCATGCAAATCCTCTGCCTGCCACGAAACGGGACTGGCCTGCAAAACCTAAACGGGACCAACAACCAACATCGGGCACAGCACCAGTGCCGTGCGGCCAATATTACCCCTTCATTCTCCCCCATCACATCTACGCCCCATGCTGCACGTCCGGCTGTGTTGATGAACGGCTGTCAATGTCCGATCTGCGCCCTGCTGCGGCACGGGCGATCAGCCAGGCACGAGCGCGGACTTCTCCCAGCTGCGCCGTTGCTTCCTACGCCTCACCCTGTTGTATGACTGGATAGTGGCCTCATCTCAACACCAACCTCTTCAATCTCCGCCTCAATCTCCGCCGCCTCGGGCCCAATCTAGAGACACGCGCGTGCAGCTCGTGCCCTCCTGGAATGAGCACCGGCCTCGCGTAAAGCGGCAGAAGAGCGATCGACGGAGCGGGGCCCGACGACGACCTGGTTGGAGGAAGTGCGGCACTGGCCGAGCTCGTGCGTCTCCTCCTCCTCCCAACATCTGCCCTTGCCGGAATAGGCTGCTGTGCTCGAAGCAGGCCTGTTAGCTCCGCCTAGCAACTTCCGACCGGCCCTAAAGCAGGTGCGCCGCATTGCCTTGCGTTGAGCTCCCAGGGGCCCTTGCCCGCTCGGCGCAGCTTCGTCTGTCATTGGTGGACAACGCATCCCACACGCCATCCCGCCCATCTCCTGCACCGTTTATGACAGGATGGATCGTCGTGTCATGTGAACTGCATGGTTCGCGCCGTTTTGGCGCGGTCTTCCTTTCGGCTAGTATCGCCGAGCCTTGTGCGACCATCGTGAAGAACCCAGCCCAACGCGAGAGTGGAAGCTTAGCGCAATCGGCCTCTCCGACGCGTCTCTGCGGCGTATGTTGGCCACAGTGATAGTGGCACGCTGGGGATCGAGGCACCTTTCGTTGTTGCCCTTTGGTGTGCTTGGTCATTGCGGCGTAGCTGGCTAAACCAACAGGACAAGTGCAGTGGAGGCACTTGCATCGCCTTCTGCGTGCTTTGCCATCACTGAAGAGCTCGGCGAGGACACTGATAAACAGTCGCTACCCTCGTCTCTTCTTTCTCCTTCTCTTCCCTCTTTCTCTCCTCCCTCTCCTCTCTTTTGTCTCTTCTCGTATTCTTCCTCACCACTATATCCCCTCGCCGTTCACTCCCAATTCGATTCCCCATCCACCACAATCTTCTCTCGTGCCCATCACCAACATGAGCTCCTCCAGCAACCAAACCAACCACCCGCCAGCCGGCAACAACCAGCTTCCCCCTCGAGACCAACCCTACGAAAAGTTCCCCTGCGCGTACAACCATCTCGAAGGGCGTCACAACTGGGTATGGCGTCCCGTCCACGAATCACAAATGTCTAGCTTCACTCTTGCTAACATGGATGACACACTCCTAAGAGCTTGGTCCAAGGCGTTACGTGCGAGCACTGTATTGTAAGTGGATACGATACTGTCGATATGGAGTTGGAGACGAGCTCTGATCGTGACCTACCACAGCATCTCGGCCGCAAGAACACCCGTGAGCCATACAGGAATGGCTATGGTGCGAAGCGTTGAGCGTTGAAGGCAGCGTCTACGCGTGGGTATTGCGTCAAGAGGTGCGTCGTCCTGCCTGCCCATCCTCATCGTGTGCCTCGACAAACAGCTCACGATGTGTCGCCGTGGACCAACGCTAACTTGCGCCTTTGTAGCAACCACGCGAGCTGGCCATCGAGACTTAGGGGCGGGTTTGGCGGTCTACTTCTTGCAGCGGTACTTTAATGTTCTTCGTTTCGGTTTCATGGGCGACGGGTCCGGCGGTCTACTGCTGTATACTTTAATGTTCTTCATTTCGGCTTGTGCGGTGATGGGTCTGGCGATCTACTTCTTGCACCGGTACTTTAATGTTTTATATTTCGGTATTGAAGGGTGGTATCTGTAGTGAGTTGCACTTTTATTATATGCCATCTGTCTCACCGGCCACGCCTCGGCCGGGATCGCAAATCACTGCACACACTTCCAACAAGGTTGCCAGCTGTTCTTGAAGGGCACAACGAAGCCAAATCTCGTTACTGGATGCCGCTGAATGGAGACCCATATTTTCCGTATATTCTGCGAGAGGAGGGCCCTTAAAATTTCTCCTGAGCCGGCCGGAGGTCCAATTCGTGTGTCCACAGCGTAGGCTCTTGCTGCGACAACCACAGACTATCCCCATCGCGTCAGCTAAGAGCAAAGTCAACACAAAAGGGAAGAAGAGGAAACTCACTAAGTCTTGCCCACCGCCTCGGCCGCGATGCGCGACCCCTTGGTCACCTCCTCGCTCTCCTCATCCACAATCCGCCCATTGGCCACGGCGTGCACGACCTGCACACCCCGCGCGCTCATCTCCCTCGACAGCGCCTGCGCCAACTGCCGCACACTCGCGCGACTCGCGCCGTAACTCCCGTACTCGGCATTGCACCTTAGCGCGCCCAGCGTGCCCGTGAAAATCAGCGTGCCCTTCTTCCCGCCCCCGTCCGCCAGCGACGCCTCGCCATGATCGGCGAAGAAGCGCTTCAGCGACTCCTGCGCAAACACCATCGCGCCGCCAACGTACGTTTCCAGCGGGTCCATGAAGGCGTCGAACGTCTCGTCCATGAACGGCTTCTTGGCGGAGTTCTTGATGGAGAAGATGGACAGGTCGAGCTTGAGGTCGCGGAAGGAGGCGTGCGATTTGATGGCTGCAAAGGCGGAGCGCAGCTTGTCGGGCGAGGTGTCGGTGGCGAAGGACTCGAAGACGCCGCCGGGCACTTGGGAGCGCAGGCTCTTGACGAGGTCGTTGAGTGCTTCTGGGCGGCGCGCGAGGAGGGCGACGGCCAGGTTGCCGTGGGATGGGTGCGCGAGGATTTTGGCTATGCCGGCACCCTGTGTGGTTGGTGTTAGTCTAGGTACTTGAGAGTGCATCGTAGTAGGTGTGTATGAGGAGGGGGGGACTAACAGTTGCTGGGCCGGCGCCGAGAAGGATTGCGAGGCCTTTGGGGGGCATGATGAAGTGTTGTGAATTGAGGTAAGTCGAGGATGGGGTTGAGGAGTGGTCTGTCGTATGTGAGGAGAGAAGAGGACTTCAATGAATCGAAGAGAAAAGTAATTGTCCTGGTCCGAAAGCCAATGGCATGGATGACGTGAAATGGATCTGATGCTTCCCCGGCGCGTGACATCATCGGAGGCCTTCGTCGAGGGATCTTCAGCAGCTTCGGCTAAGGCATACACGGAGGGGCGCCCGGAGACCGACGACCTACGGAAGAAGATGCGCGCCAAAACATGCCCAAAATTGCTCAAGTTCATTCAACGATTTGATCGTACAGACCTACAATCCGCAAAGTCCCATCATCTCACCCTCTTCGCTGCTTTTCGCTTCCCGACTACCAGTGCCGTCACGTATATACACATTCTCGGCCCTTCGTCCCACGTGTCAACGACCACACCCACGGCATGAAAGACTCCCGCCTGCGATCGACCTCCCCGCCCAAATAGCATCAGAACCACCGTCAAATACTCACAGCCGGCCGTGCGGATCGTAAAAAATGAAGGGATCGAAAGGAAAAATGGCCTCCTATGCCTGCTGTTCCGACGTCCCGTTCGTGGGCGCTTGAGACACCGCACCAGCAACAGGAGCAGAGGTGGGGACAGGGGTGGAAGCAGCAGCAGCATCGCTCGACGCCGCCGCCACTGCCAATGGCTTGGGGCTACTCTTCTGGCTTTCCTGCTTCGTAGCCGGCTTGTCATCGCCGCTATCGTCATAATTCTCATCGACTTCCATCTTGCGCGCCGCGGGTTCAAAGGCCGGGGCCGGTTGTGGGACTGACGGCGCTCGCGCTGTTTCTTCCTGAGGAGGAAGCGAGGGAGGAGGCGCGGGCGAAGGCTGAGTGATTGCCATAACGGATGGCAGGGTTGGAGGGTGGTGGGCGGCTTCCGACGGCCTGTAGGCTGATGGCGGCCGTGGCTCTTCTCCTCGTCGGAGCTCCGAGGGACTCGGTCGGGGCGGCGTGAGCTTCTCGCCGGGAGATGCGCGCTGCGTTTTGATTTCATCCAACCTGGACCGACTTTCGTCCGTGGAGAGCTTCTTCGAACTCGAGCTCGAGTCGTCCTCCCACTCGCGCAAACGCTTGACAGGCACCGTACTAGATGCCCTCTCTTCCCGCTCCCGAGCACCAATGTCAGCTGCTGTAGCCGGCGGAGCTGTGCTCGGAGGACGTGAGTTCCCGGCATGAGAGGCGGAGGTGGGGTGAGAGTCGGCGTGAGACCGAGGGTACTGCACACCACGAGGAGAGGTCACGGGTTGATGAGGAGGTCGGCCGTCTGATGACGACGACTCCGCCGGTCGGCCGTACGGCGCAAGGGCATTTTGCGGAGTACCAGAGGACGTGTGCATGTGGGAAGAGGGAGCACCGTATGCTGGCCGATGTGCATCTTGCGGCGGGGGCACGGAAGGATGGGGAAGGGATGGATGCGACGGATGCTGCGGCGCGTGTGGATATGCCGGCGGCCCAGAGAGCTGCATCTTCGGCGACCGCGACAAGCCCCGGTGCGCCGGAGCTTGTCGCGCCGGCGGCTGCTCTGGCTGATACTGTCGCGACTGGTCATGGCGGGGCGGACTAGGCTGGTGCATGGACCCTGCAGGCGGTGCTAGGTCGCGTTGATTAAAATGGTTCGAGGGCTGCCCTGGCATGGGCTGCGCACTCTGCATTTCAGCGAGGCGATTGTTGCCCCAATTGTTGCCGGCGGCCAAAGGAGGCGGCGCCGGGCCAGTAGGAGGGTTGTGATTGGCGTGTCCAGGCCATTGAGGCACGGCAGGAGCTCCCAGGGCACCAGGCTGTTGGTACGCCTGGGGGTGTACATCTTGCGGCAATGGGGCGCCGGCTTGGTTGGGAAGACCATTGGTGGGCTGCCCGTTGAGCAAAGCCAGCCGAGCTTTGATATGGACGTTGGTCGGGTCGAGTTCGGCCGCACGATTGTATGCGTCAATCGCGTCGCCGGTCTGGTTATTGCAAGACTCATACTGCAGTCACGTCAGCAAGGCAAGCATGGAGATGATTGCTCAACAAAGTATCACTTACGAGCGTGCCCAGATCGTACCACACTTCGGAGATGTTCGGGTTCAGGCGGATGGCGCGAGAGTATGCATCGAGCGCATCTCTGTACTGGTTGATCTGATAGTACAGCACACCAATCGAGCACCAGAAGGTAGGGTTTCGGCCGTCACGATAGACGGCTTGCTGGTAGGCCTCGTACGCCTTCGGGTATTTCTGCTGCGACATGTAGCATCTCCCGAGCAAATACCAGCTTTGTGCATCGGTTTGGTCTGAGCATTCGTTAGACGAATTGCAAGTCGTGTGCAGGGGGGGTTATCATCTCACCAGAATTGACCGACTTCTCGAGATACTCAATGGCTTGTTCCTGGCTGCTGAAGCTGGTGCTTTGCTGATGGTGCAACCAGCCCAGCTGCTGTAAGACCTTGGCGTGCGAGGGGTCGCGTTCGAGGACACGCGTGTACGCGGACTTTGCAGAGTCGTACTGTCACGGCATTAGCGCGATCCGCCCACGAAAGCCTCGATGTCGCCATGAGCGGCATTGACTCACGTCTTTCTGTTGCTCGTGCACATGGCCGATCTGGAACCAGATATCCTCCTCGCTCAGGGGTCTTGGGGGGTCAGTGACGATGTAGCGGAAGCACTATGAAGGCGTTAGCATGCCGCCATGCGCAAGCCTGGCATCGACTGCAGCCTCACCTCCAAGCTGGACTGGAATTTCTGTTGCTGCTTGTAAATTATGCCCAGGCGAAAGTAGACCTCGTTGGCCTTTTCAAAGTTCGGCTGCATGCGCATGACTTGCGAAAAGGCCTCCTCGGCGTGATCCAGCGATCCGTAGCGGTCGTACAGAATGCCAATGCCATACCACAACTTGGGTTCCTTGGGGTCGGGAAGATGGTAGAGGGCTTGTTGGTAGGCAGAGTAAGCCTGCTGCAAATCGTCCATCATGAGGTAGCAATGCCCCAGGCTGCTCCACACGTCGCCGTTCTGGCTCTCGATCTTGAGGATGTTTCGCAGATATTCGACGGCGGCGGTAAACTGCTCTTTGGCGCGCAAGATGCACGAGATGGCGAGCATGGCGCGGACGGACCACTGGTTGTGGACCATGGCGCGTTCATAGGCGTGCGACGCTCCATCGTAATCGCCGAGCGCTTCGCTAGCCTGCCCGATCGCCATCCACACCTCTTCGTTGGCGTTCGCCAGCCTCTGTGCGGTAGCGCTCTTGACCTGTTGCTGTTGTTGCGGGTGCATGACTCCGTTGGGCGGTGGCGGCGGGCCCGGCGGCTGCTGGTGGAAGGCGGGAGGGTAGTGTTGCTGGTGCGTGAGCGGCCCATTGGGCGAATGTTGGGCAGCCATTGCGAGAGCAGTAGGCTTGTGAAAGGAAGCCTGGCGTTCGGGGTTGGTTGTTAGAGAGGGGAGGGAGGAGGGTGATCCGGGGCCACTCACCTAAATGCACGTGCGGCTCCGCCAGACACGCAAGGAGACGCCCAGGCAGAGTGGGATCAAGAGATGGGAGCAGAGGTTATGGCATGCAAGTGTCAATGGCGTGGACAGACTCGGACGGGAGAGAGGGAGGGGGGAAACGAGGGCGAGGGCAAGGGCGCGGAGTCGATCGGGCGGGACGAGGGCGAGGGAAAAAGAGGAGAAAGCGAGGAGGCGGCGATATCCAGCCGGGCGTGGGAAACTCTCACGGCAGGCGGCGTGGGTAAGGGTTTGGGGCGGCGAGGAGTGACGAAAGCGGATTAAACCTTGCCATGCGCTGCAGCGGCTAGCGTGGGCGCGATGCTTGGATGTGGATGTGGATGTGGATGTGCGCTTGGACCAAGGACCCACCTCCAGCCTCAAGCCCGCCGCGCCCCACCCCTGTACACACGTCTGGGCTTAGCGCCCGCTCCCGACACGAACGGCAGCAACCTTGTTTGCTTTTTCCCCTCGCTCCTGCCATACATACCGAGCTGGCCGCTGTCCGGAGAACGAGTCGTGTAGCCTGGATAAGAAAGCGAGGATGCACAAGCAAGCCTCCCTTGGCGTCGGGCTAACATGCGGCGATCCCTCCTCCTCCTCTCCACTCTTGATCCCCTGTGCCCATACCCATGATAGTGATAAGACAGCCCAGGCTGCAGCGTTGCCAATTCACCAAGGCCCTCCGTCTTCTGTTCCTGTGCCCTACCTTTCCATCCACCAAGCGAGCGCACAAACTATTCTTTCCGTTCCCTCATTTAGCCGCAGGCGCCCACAGAACGTGCGGTGTGCAACCCGGGGGTCACGGTAGACGTTGCACAACCTCAATCGGGCGTCGGATGGCGGCACGCAGCAAAAGGGGGCCCGGCGAGGTTCGCGCTGGTATCCATTGATCAAGGGTGATCATCCTAGGCGCATAAAAGGTCCTGTTCCGTGCCTGCCTACTTTATGCAGCGTCCACTAGCTGCGGTATCCTTCTACCAACGGCTCGCTTGCGCTGCGACGCCCGGTCCTTTTGACAGCCGCGGTGCCAGGGGTGGGATAAAACGCGCAGCGGAGAGCAGCGGCCAGACGTCCATCATCAGTGACTTCATCTTAGGTGGCGTCCGCTCCCCCTTAGCATGGTGCTCGATGACGCTTACCCACCCACCCACCCTGTCACAGCATTACCCGTCCGACTCCAATCATCGTCCGCGGGCACGATGCGGCCTGACGCGTCCGAGGGATGATGCATGCAGGCCTTGTGTGGCCAGCTGTCTCCTGGCTCCACCACTGCCCGCGTTCCATCCCAGCCGAGACAAGAGCCAAAAAGGTGGAGCAGGCGGAAGGTAATCTCACACGCCAGCCGGTGCGCGTGCAGCAAGCCCCGCCCCGCCCATCTCGCCCATCCTTGCATGCGGCCACAGGCGGAGGGAGCAAAAAGGCGTCAGCGCCCCGGGCCCCGCAATTTAGCCTCGCGCGCGCCCCCGTCCCATCGTCCATGTGCATCCAATGCAAGCAAACGAAATCTGCCAACTGCCGCTAGAACGGGCGAGCGAACGGGGCGCGTAGGATCACAAGACCTGGACTGGTCGGCGCCGTCGCTTCTTTTACCCAAACCCCTTCGTTCACCTGTCGCTCGCCGTTACCGCTGGTTCATGCGAAGAACTGCGGCTCGTGTCACCGACGAAATGACAAACGGTCTTGTTCTGCTGATGAGGCTTGCTCGCCAGAACCTTCCCCGCTACCGTAATTCCCGCTCCCGACGCCGCGGCTTGTGCTCGCCTTAGCGGAAAGCGGCCCTCGCAAGGGTGAGTTCATTGATGACTACACTCCACCCTCGTACATTTGTGCGACCGAGACACCGTTCACGTATCAGCTGAAACGCCCACTGGTATGACTGAGAGGCAAAGGTCCGCTCCGTCTGCCATAGTCTCATGTGGCCACCCGCATTACCTGTGGCTTGTTCGCTGCCAGTTGTCAGATCTCCGACTGCCGGAACTACATGCGATTGGTCCGGCACGAATTCCGAACCCTACACTGGTGAACAGCTCCGCTCAGCAGTTGTGTGGGATGTCTAATCAACACAATCATGTCATCTCTCGCGGTCTGTTCAACAAAGGCACGGAAATGCTTGTACTAAGTCGCAAGTCGCATGTCGGAACGCGACAGCCGTTGCCTACGCGACTTTTGCTTGGAGCTGCAAGGCTGTAAGGCTCGGTAGCATCTCCGACGCTGTCGCTCAAGACTCGCCTTTATATATCCCCATGCTTCGCCATGCATGCTCGTTTGCGCATTTTGCTTCGCTACAACTGACTCTGCTGTAATCATGGGTCTGCTACGAGAGAAAAAGCCACACTCGTTCAAGGTCGTCATCGCTGGGGGCAGCGTGGCTGGCCTTGCGATGGCGAACATCCTCGAAGCATACAACATCGACTATGTCCTCCTAGAGGCCTACCCGCACATTGCCCCGCAAGTTGGAGCGAGCATTGGCTTGCTACCTCATGGCAATAGGATCCTCGATCAGCTCGGCTTGTTCAAGCCTATTCTCGATACGGCCCCGCCTATCGACAGCTTCACCTTCCGCACGAGGAAGGGAGATGTCGTTGCAACCCACAAAGGCATCTGCAACACTTTTGTGGAGAGGTACGGACAACGCTGCCACACTCCCTGACAGTGCGCTGACCTTCGCCAGACACGGCTATCCCATCATCTTCCTGGATAGGCAAATGGTGTTGCAGAAGCTCTTTGACAATCTCCCCGACAAATCCAAGGTCCTCACGGAGCATCGGGTAAAGCACGTCGAGACCAACGCGGATGGCGTCAAAGTTACTTGCACGAATGGCCAGACCCTCGCTGGAGATATCCTGGTGGGTGCAGATGGCATACACGGCGCCGTTCGTTCGGAGATGTGGCGTCTCGCGCAGGAGGCAAACTCGGACGTCTTCCCGACCGACGAGGGCAAGCGTGAGTGTCTGTCCGGTTCTGGCCGGCCGTGGCATCTGATAAGCTAACATATTCTACAGGCGTTCCTTGCGATTATGGCTGCATCTTTGGCATCTCCGGGCCTTGCAAAGGTATCGGACCTGGCATGCTCAACTCCGTCTTCCGCGAGAAAGACTCCTTCCTGGTGAACGGCGGCCCGGAGCATCGCGTCTATTGGTTCTACTTCTTCAAGTTGCCAGAGAAGCTTTATGGCGCGGATATCCCACGTTTCTCCAAAGAGGACGAGGCGAAGCTGCTTGAGAAGCTCCGAGGGGAAAACATCCTTCCCACACTCAAGTTCGGTGAACTTGTCGACAAGACCATCACGTCCAACATGACGGCGTTGCCTGAGTACATTTACAGCAGGTGGTACTACGAACGCATTCTCACCATCGGTGACGCGTCACACAAGGTGCGTCGGAGCTTATCGGCCAAGAGCGCGCGCATGTGCAATCTACTGACGCCCAGTGCAGGTCCATCCAATCGGCGGCCATGGTGGGAACGCAGCGATTGAGAGCGCTGCCACACTGGCGAACATCCTGCTCAAGAGGCTCGACAAGTCCGAGTCAGGCAAGCTGGCGACAGCGGATGTTGAGGACATCTTTCGCCAGGTCCAAAATATCCGCCGCGACCGGATGCAGCATTTGTGCGAGTTCTCGCACGATCAACAGCGCACGGAGTCCCTCGACAATTCGTTCCATAAACTCAAGGCCCTGACTTTGCTCCCATTGGCAGACGCGGAAGACGCGACGTACAACTTCTCGTGCAACATCCCGCTGGCCGAGAAGCTGGATGCGATCCAAGTGGCTCGCAAGCCGAAGTTGATCCCATTCAAGAACGAACTCAGATCAGCCCCTACATCCAGAGGCGCCGTCGGGTGGGTTCTGATCGCATTCTACCTCAGCTGTGGCGCCTTCGTGCACTACGGCATGTGGGTTTGGTCCAGCCATTACGGGCTGCGGAGTCAGTTTGCCGACATCCTCACCACCGGCATTTTCCCGCAAGACCCGACCTTTCGCTTGAAGCGCACCTATACCGGCATTGGATGGATTGACAACTACCTCACCTTCCTCTCCGCTGCGTACATGACCGGCCTCAACGACTGGGACAAGAACTTTGGCATGCTGCAAATGTATTTCCTCGGCATGCTTATCCAGCCGATTGCGGTTTGGACGATCGAGGCCTGTCGTAAGCGGCATGCGATGACGCCCATGGCCATGTAAGCTCGAGAACATCCTTCCTGTGAATGCAAACACTGACTCGACTGCGCATAGGATCATCGTGTGGTTCACCTTTGTCCAATGGGCCGGCGTTGGCATCTATATGCCGATCTACTATGCAGTCTTCACCTTGCTCTCGGACAAGGAGCCATATTGGTGGCCGTTGAACCGCGAGGTCCCCATTGCGTCCGCACACGCCCTCTTGCCCGCAAACATCATTGGCTACGTTATCCCCACAATCCTGATGTTTGTGCCTTGGAAGAATGCAGAGGCCACGCAGATATTCGAGGCCTTGTGGCAGCCGGCTCCCATGTTTGTGCCCTTGCTCACGGTCTTGTTCGCCCTCGCTTGGAGCCGCAGAAACCCAGATCAGATGGCTGCCGGCCCGAAGCAGGCAACGAAGCCATACGCGGACGTGCCGCTTCTGAAGCGAATCTACCTCATCACCGGCGCCATGGGCTTCGTACTGCACTTGTATGTGGTCTGCAAGCTTCTGGCCTCCAGCGATCCCACATTCAACCTGCGCACCGTCTTCATCCCGGACTTCACGCCACAACCCAAAGCGCTAGGAGAAGGCCTCCGTGCATTGTTCATGGCGGATTTCTGGGGCTTCTACATCGCATCCTATGTTTGGTGTTGCGCTGCCGTTTGGGACTTGAAGCGCGTCGGTCGCACAACGGTGAATGTAGGCAAGAGCAGTGCAGCCGTTTTGCTGGCCAACATCGTGCTGGGGCCCGGTTGTGCCATGTCGGCGGTTTGGTATTGGCGCGAAGATGCAATGGCCAAGACCACGTTTGATGATATTGAAGTACAGAGCTGATTCAGGCGCAGCGATGAAGCGCCGGCGTGCTTCGAGGACGTGCGGAGTCAACATTTCGGAGCATCTTGCGGTTGTGGGAGGTCGTGTTAAGTACGTAGTCTGTTCTTGCTTGTCTTTTCTTCCGATTACGCCGGCCGAGGTGGGGTATCCAACGTTCCAATAGCCCGCGATTCATGATGTATTACTCAACTCCGGCATCTCGCTCTCTATGCTCTCCCACAGCACATAGTCGGATGACGTGGCCTCATCAAAAAGACCCATCCATGACTCGTGCATAAGCTCTTCCATCGAGAACTGAGATTCAGCCCCTGCCCGAGCATCAAGCTCCACGGTCTGCCCAATGGACGCTGCCCCTGTGGTTACAACGCTGGCTTCGCCAGTTCTGGGGCTCTCTTTCAAGGTGTCGACCATGCGCCTCGTGATTGGGAAGTGCGGCTCCACTTCCTCCAGAACGCCAATGAGAGAGCGTAGGCGTTTCGCATCCCGATCACGCTCATCCGATTGGATTGCTTCACGAGCGCCCTCCTCCTTGAGGCATGTTGCAGCCAGGATGGCGTTGTCTAGCATGATCGAAGGGATGCGCCCTGCCCCATACATCTCCCGATATGTGAGAAAGAGGTTGGCAACACAGGTGGCATATTTGTGCACGAGATGGCGTTGTTCTTCGGGCAGAGTGGCCGCATGTGCCACCGCCGAGGTGGAAGCCCTCCGCCTTCGACGGTCATGTGCGGGAACCATGGCTTTGTTGATGAGCATTTGCAGCTTGCAGTACTGCGTGTGAAGCCCGTAGCCAGTGGCATCGAGCTCTCCGATCCGCCTGTTCCTCCATGTTAGCGCAGGTGGTAAGCGTGCGTGCCAGTCTTCGAGCTCATGGTTCAGCTGTGCGAGGACACGGCTGTCTCCAGGCGCAATCGGCTCTCCGCAGTTCAGGATTCGGGACACTTCGAGCGTCGGAATGCACAGACCGACCCAGGCATTGAGCTGCGGAGAGTCGGATAAGCGCTGCTCTTTGCATCGGATCGATACCGCGTCAATTACGGCTTTCGTGATCGAGCTTGGGCGACCAAGGTAGAGAGACCAGACGGTTTCGTACACGACGCAAGCGCAACAAAGCGAATAGAGTAAGTCGCGTTTCGAGGCTGGTGCCGCGAGCTCCAGCCTCTTCACGCTATACGAAAGAGCGTCTTCGAAATCATGCAAGCCTAGGTCAGGGATCATTCGGCACGCCATGCCTAGCAAGAGTAAGACGGGATGGAACGAGAAGCCAGAACGCACGACAAGGGAGTACGCACCGCAAAACATCCATCCGATCCTGTCTTGGCCACGAGTAACTTCAAACTCGCTTAATATGAGGAAGCCTTGTAAGGAAGCTGGCGATGGATCGTCCAAAGCCATGGCCATGTCCGCCCTGGCCAGTCGAGCAAATTCAGGCCCAAGGGCTCTAACGGCCTTGGAGGTGGACAGTCGGGTGGCAGAGGCTAGCATGGCGTTCTCCAGGAAATCAGAATACCAGCGGCTGGGGCCCAGAAGCTTCGCGGCCTCAAAGTTCTCCCTATTCGCAATCTCGACCCACAAGGCCTGATACTGGAAGAACGACGCGAGAAGGTGCTCGCGAAGCTGGACAGAGCTGGGGTCGATGAGGATATCGGGGCTCGCACGTGGAATCGAGGCTGATTCCCAATCTTCTGTGATCGGAGACCCGACATGCGCCAGCGATGTCCGACCAAAGAAGGCGGTATCATCGTTGCCATCGCTGTCTACTATGCCAGCGTCACCGCAGGCGCCGACGTCCGGGCCATTGCCATCGGTTTCGCTGGGGTCCGGATGGGACGCAACTGGAGCCGAGGGGACCGGTGGTTCTGCAGAGTCGAAGGGATGCGCAATAGGCCTGTCGGGACTTCTGAAGGCATCATTGAAAGTATGCGAAGACTCTCCCGGATCCGCATGCTCCGACCTGCCTTCCAGCTCGATGATGCGCTGTTGGAGATCGTGAATATACTGTCGCGACACCGCACGCCGGCGGTTGGCCGCAGGATCCACTCTGCATTGGCGACCGGTACGACGACAGTTTGTGCACGGTTGCGAAGGACTTATCGACTGTGAATCGCACTGCAATCACCAAATCAGGTCAACAAAGCGGCGTGCGCCGAGCGATGCGCCGCGGACAGACCTTGATCTTGCGTGTTCTGCAGGCGTCACAAGCGTTGGACGCTCGTGCGCGAAGGGCGGCGAAAGGACCTCGGGACGGTGAGACCATGCTGTCAGCATCGAAAGGCCATTTCACACGACAGCGCCGGGAAGAGCTGGAGGGAGAGAAGTAGTTGCCAGTGCGGGGACCCCAGCCTCAGTTCCAACAGGGCTCCCCCGCAGTGTCAAAAGCTTGCTGCACGTGACGATACTTTGGGTAAGCAGATCGTTTCGCCAATTCATTTTGTGTCGCGTGTAGGTAAGGTTGTCAAGCTCGAGCACAAAAGTCATTTCATTTCTTCTCTATTCGTGCCCTCGAGCCAACTCATTCCATCATCATCATCATCAAATCTTCGACACCTTACCCATGTTGATCAATCTCTTGACTCCAACCTAACATCATCAGATCGTCAGCATGAAGTAACAATCTCACCCACGTTGGGGAGAACAGGGAAACTCACCATCCAATCCCTTCCCTCATCCCCTTTCGCAGCCTGCATATCATTAAACTCCTTCAACGCAACGTCCCACTCCCTCCCCTGAATCGCAGCAGAAATGCTCCGCACTTGCCCCACCGTCTCCTCAGTCAGCAAGTCTTCGTTGTTCAGGTGGTCAAACAGGATGTTGATGCGCTTTTCCATATCGTCCACCTGCGGCTTGTACTGCGCCGGCGCAACCGCCTTGAGAGATGCGATGGCGGGCGTGAGTGCGTCAACGATGGGCTGCGCCGACGCCGGGATATGGCTACGGTCGCCGCGGGGGTATTTGGGTTTCGGAGTGGTGGAGGCTGGTGGCGGCGCTGCCGCTTGAGGGGGCGGCGCGAATCCCTGCGGTGGGGATGCAACCATGCTGCGAGGTGGGCCTTGAGGTGGTGGCTGCGCAACGGGCGTCGAGGAGGACTGCGTTCGAGGAGGTCCTTGTGGTGGTGGACCGGCGCGTGGTGGAGGCGGCGCCGCGGGTTGTGCTTGCTGCAGCGGCGGCTGACCGTACGGCGTCTGCTGGGGGGAGTACGGAGGTTGCTGCGGCTGCTGTGCGGCATACGGGTTCGGAGCCACGTGTCTCAGCGGCGGCTTGCCTCCAGGACCTACGGACGGTTGGCTTCCGGGAGCAGGCGCGTAGCGGTTTGTGGGAGCCGCTGTCGATGTTGACGGCGGTGGTTGGTAAGGCGATGCTCCGCGGGCAACTGGAGGAGGGGTTGGTGCAGGAAAACCCGAAGCGGCGGGAAACTGTGACGGCGCATAAGCGTTCGCTGCAGAGCTCGAGGGAGGATAGCCGAGAGTTTGCGATGCGGCGTTAGGGCTCAGTGGCGAGGTGATTCTGGGCGGCGCTTCACCAGCCTTTGGCGGAGGTGGGAGAGGGGAAGACATTCGCTGCGCACTCATGGGGGGTGCGAAAGGCTGGGGTGGTGCAGCAAGTGGCGGTTGGGCGTTCGGGAAAGGTGAAGTGACCGCCTGTGGCCCAGGCGTGCCTCGTCGCGAGTTTGGCTTGTCCTTGAGGAAGTTCTCGGGCATGTCGTTCCAGTTGGTCATACTCTTTGCAGCCGAAGCCGGCGCCACGGCCGGCGAAGATGCGCCCATCCTTGGTGGAGGGGGGAGAGGAGCCTGTTGTTGGGGAGGCTGATAGCCACCGTAGGGAGAGGGCTGGCCATATGGTGCTGCGGCCTGTGGAGGTTGATAGCCGGCTGGAGCATATGAATTTGTCGGCGGTGCGTATTGGTTCTGGATAGGTGCTGATGTCGGCGAGAACGGCGTTTGAGCACCAGGAATCGGCGCGGGTTGATTTGGAGGCGCGTAGGGGCTCGGAGCTGCGTTTCGCGCCTGGTTGATGAGCGGTTGTGGCGTTGTAATCGCAGCATTTTGTGCCATTGCCGAAGGTCTCCCAGCGGTGCGAGCACCAGCCGCCTGTCTCTGCTGCGACGTCGTTGCCGCAGCGGGAGTCTTCCGCAACGCCTGTCTGACTCTCGACTGCGCGGTCTCCGCTCCGTCGTATTTGCTCGGAAGCAGAGCAAGGTACTGCTCAGCGCTGGCCAACTGGCCTTGAGCAGTCAGAATGTCCGCGAATTCAGTATACAACTGATAGAGAGGAGCCAGCTTCCAATCTCCTGCGCTTTCCAATTCTGCGTCCCGAAAGTTCGTCACTTTGCGGAACACCGACACTTTCTCGATGAAGTCCTGCAGGCACTGCGCGTGCACGGTGAAGTTGTTCCCTTCCTCTTGCGAGGCCAGACGCGACTTTTCCTGCTCGCCCAGCTCCTGAATCCAGTTGGTTACGACTTTCTCCAACTTCGAGCCCGCGAGATAACAAAACGATGCGTCCCTTCGTAAGGCCTTGTCTTCTGGACTCGCCTGGAATGACTCTTCCAGCCGATCGCCCAGCGCTTCGCACAGATCCGCAAACTCGGTCTCGTCAGCATACGTGCAGAGCGTCGCCATGACGTCCTTCCAGTTTTTCAATTCTGCATTGTGGACCACGTCCCAGAGATTCTTTCCAACAATACTTGCAAGAAGGCGGAGGTAGTTGGGAGGGTTGTCGGTGTTCATCTTGAGATACGCATTCTGGGCCTTGTCGATACACTTCTGGCCGCCGCAGACTGCAATCATGAACGCGTCCGAGATGCGCTTTTCCTTCAAACACACGTCCAGCGCGGCTTCGAATTGGCCAAGCATGAGAGTTCGAGTAATCTCCTTATCCGCATCGGACTCTGAGCCAGTGTATAGCGCAAAAGGATTGTTCGTCTTGGCACCCTTGGTAGAGGCGAGGTTGGCGAGGAAGTTGTCGCTGTCTTCACCATTGCCGAAAAAGTCATCGGCATCGCCATTCGTCTCAGCCTTCTCTGGTGCATCGCCGTTGATGTCAAGCCCGCTGGCCTTCTCACTAAGCTCACTGTCCGTTTTGTCTCCGAAGCCAAGATACTCGCGTAATTTCTTTCGTGACTTGTCGGTGCTCAATGTTTCGATCACTTGCCAATCTGCCTTCTCCTCGTCCGTTTTCGCATCGTCGATCTTGCTGGAGCAGATTCCGGCGGTATCCCCGGCTTTCAATTTCTCTTCAAACTTCTCCGCGGACTCGCCTATCGACCTATCCGCCGAAAACGTCTGGATCGAGACTTTGCTCTTCTTAGATGCATCGACAGTCGTTATCACAATCTTGCCACCAAACCCAAACACCGCGCCGGCCGGTCGCGCATTCCACTTGGGTGTTTTTGAAATCGAGAATGAAATGCCCTGTGGCTGATTTTGTGCTTTCGCGAAGAAGTCCTCTCCATCAAGCGCCTGGCTCGTGTGGCTCTGGTCTTCAGACTTGGAGTTCGTGCTCTGGATGGAGGTGATGAGGATCTTGCCGTCGAAAGACGCACTCGCGATAAGGCTGGGATTGTGCGGGTTCCAAGATGACTGGAAAGCCCAGTTGGATCCCGCAGCAAAGTCGCCGTAACGCTCGCCAGTCTTGGAGTTCCAGCAGATGGTCCTGTTGTCTTTGCCGCATGACAAGAGCAGCTCAGGATCTTGGAAGCACCATGAGAGACCAAGTACTCCCAGTTCGTGGCCCTTCAATGTCTGTTCGGGAGCGCTGGCATTGCGCAGGCTCCAAATCAGGATCAATGGTTCCGTATCATTGGAAGTTGCAGTGGCCAGCTTGGTGCTTTGCTCCGGGTCCCATGCAACCGCACTCACCGCACGGCGGCCCTGGTTGTGCAGAGTCAAGATGTCCTTCTTCTGCTTCACATCCCACACCGTAACGAAGCCTCCACTGCTTCCCGTGGCGAGAATGTGCGCGGTCTTCTCCGACTTGTTCCAATCCAAACACTCAAAATCATCTGCTCTTGCTGCGGTGCCGCCGAGACGGAAGGGATTGGACATGTTGTTGAGGTCGTAGATGAAGATCTCGCCCTTCGAGCCCGCGGAGGCGAGGAGGTTGTGTCGGTATGGGTTCCATTGTAATGCCTTCGCCGCGCCGGAGTGCTTGGTGGTGCGTGAGATGAAGGCGTCCGAGGCCCCATCACGCAGCTTCTGTGCGTCCCAGAGATCGATGGACCCATTCTCAAGAGCACCGGCAATCACCCCAAGCGGGTGGTCATCGTCCGGCTCACTCCAGGCGATATCGTTGAAGCCGGCATCGGTCGAGATGGTGCCAAGTGGCCGCAACTCCGGGTCCCGCTCATTCTTTTCCAGTTCCAAATCCCATAATTCGAGCTTCGTCTCGCCGGAGAAGTCGTCGCTGAGAGCGCCGACCTTGGTGCCGGTGGCTAGCAGGGGCAGGTGGGAGGTTGGCGACCACGCGAATACCGCCGTCCGCTCAATGGTCCTGAGGCCCACCATTCTTGTTGGGACGAAGGGGGATGCAATGCTAAAGGACGAGGTCGTGAATTCGCATACGTAGAACAGGAAAAGACAGGCAGTTCGAAGTGGGAGGGAGGAGGGGGCGAGATGTCGAGGTGGGATGAAGAAAAGACAACGTTGCCAGTTGCAGGGAGGTGATTTGGCCCTCGCATGCCATGCATCTTCCCTCGAATTTCCCGAACCAGCGACGTCAAAAGGCAAATTTCTTGGCGGGGTCCTTCCACGTGATATCGATTTCTTCTGCGCTGCGTTCCTGACGTCTCTGGGAAGTATCCTCTTCACAACCACATCACGCAAGATGTCAGACCAGTCAAGACAGAGAGCGACAGTATTTGTCGGCGGTCTCGACAGCAACGTCAACGAGCAGACTCTCCACGACGCCTTCCTTCCATTCGGCGAGATTGTGGACGTATCGCTACCCAAGCCTGAGTTGTAAGTCAATTCCACCCCCGCGATGGTCAAAAAGCATCCGATGAAGCTCACATTCTTACAGAAAGTCCTCGACCGACAGACACCGCGGCTTCGGATACGTGGAGTTCTCTCTCGCGGAAGACGCGCGGGAAGCGATCGACAACATGGATCAATCGGAGCTGTATGGCCGGGTGATCAAATGCAACCAGGCCAAGCCGCAAAAGGATCCCAATGAAAGGCTGGGAAGCAAGACCGCCATCTGGGAGCAGGTGAGTGCTTTTCGTCCCTCCCGGATACCAAATGACAGCCACGCTGACCAACTTCTGCAGGAGGGCTATGCTGCCAAATACAATGTCAACGAGGACGAGCAACTGGCAGGCGAGGACGGAGCGGAGGGCGCTGCACAGGATCCGATGCAAGGATTGGAAGGCCTGGACGTAGCTGGGCCACAGTTGAAGTGATTACTGAACGACTGCCGAGCTACTTCTCATGGATCCGAGGCCGCCGGCCGTGTTCGTGGCAGCTTGAACGGCACAAGCTATCACGCCAAACAAGGGGGTTCGAGAACACGCATTTCTACCTATGCCACACGTGTATGGAGGGCGGGGATGCTCCGGCCAAGCTGTCTACGAACTTGTAGATGGGGCATACCGCCATCGCCTGCTTATCTGGTCGCAGGTTGCGATCAGCACCGGTGCTATAACCGGACACATCTACACCGCCCTCCTTGAAAGCACACCATACGACATGGTCGTCTCACCGCCAAGAAGAGTGCGGTGAAGGCAAAGCAGTCGACAAGAGGCACTTTATCAAGACACGGACCTGAGTCGACTCAGGAGACGAAATGCACCACAGGATTCGATGTAATTTCCCAACCGCCCCTTCTAACTACACGTACTATATACACATTCGTAATATCACAAGCCTGACATCTGCCCTACCACTCCCTCTCTCTCCCTTAGTCAGCTTACTGCGCAGGTGCCGCTGGCGCCGCCGCCGCCGGGGCTTGTCCGTCTCGGCCAGCCTGGGGTCCAAATCTCCGGCCCCTGGAAAGAAGTTAGAAGGCATTTCAAAACTCATACCAGTCGGGAGCAACTCACATGAACGTCCGGCTGAAGAAACTGATACCAATCATGATCGCCCACGAGGGAACCTTCGCAATACCCCACATGAGATAACCGAAGGGGATTAGAGCGCCCGCAATGGCCAACGGGCCGCTGAAGGGGTGGAAGAAGCCATCGTACGGCTGTGTCTCCTTGTACTTTTCCTGCAAATGCAGCGCGGCGAATTCAGGCGCCGTGGCGCTCGTGCGGTTCACGGCGATGTAGCGGATGGTGGTCGAAGGCTTGGACTGATCGGCCAGCGGCTGCGGGATTTGGAGGTGCAAGATGCTGGGGATGGTGACGGTCCAGGCGTTGCAGAGCACGCCGTCCGTCTCGCAGTCGAGCAGAGCGAGGTTAGGCGGGCTGGGCGAGGCGGAGATCAACGCGACGGACTCGTTGAACGTCTGCTCCACCCCCTTGCAATTCCCGAAACACGTCTTGTTGCCGCCCGTCACGAAGATCATCCACTCTTCTACCCCCGGGCTGGCAGTCGCTGCGCCGGGCCGCAGAACCCTTTCGTGATTGTCGAGGGTAAGGCGCTGGACGTTGGCGGCTGCGATGGCGGCTGCGCCGGCGGCGATGGGGTTCGGGATGGGGGGAATGGAGGCTTCGGGGATGGCGGAGCTTATGCTTGCGCTGGCCTGGCCGAAAAAGGCTTTGACTTGGTCGACGAAGGGGAATTGCTGGGCGGTGGAGAGCGCTGGCAGCGCCAGAAGGACGGTGGATGTGCGCATCGTGGTGGTTGGGAGGACCGCTCCGGGTGGTTGTTGAAGTACTGCTGACGTTAGGAATGAATGGTCAATCGTGGCGGCTCAACCGACTTACTTAATTGCCGGTCGTCACAGCTTCCAGTATGCAAATAAAGGATTCGGGAGGGTTGCTTGAGAGGACGAATGCGCAAGAGGAAAATGTTGTCTCAAACTGGCATTGGGCGTTTCTCACCCTGAGACCCTGAGCAATGATGAAATCCCGTCCACGGACCACGTTGCGAAAGGCAACGACGGCTGTTCCCGACACCAAACTGCATTCGGCCAAGGCTCTGCGACTGCCTTCCACGTGCACAGTTCGAATGCTTCGATCATCAGTGATGTATCGTTGAATACAATATGACATGCTGCTGTGGCTACATCAAGAGCCATATATCCACACAGTCCCATCATATCCAGGGACTATCAAACCACTGGATGTTTCCAAGCCAGCCATCCCGGAATCTACGCCAAAAACAGAGCCTCTATCCTCCTCGTCAACCGCTATGCAACAGCTTCGGCCCAAGAAGAAATGGCTTGGATCCGTCAACTCTTCAACAAAGCTTGCACATTCATCCATTTCCGCGTGAGTTCGTCGTGATCCTGTTGAGCCTACGCGCCCACAGCCGTCAGCATGCTTGCACGCCACCAGAGAACAAACATACCCAAAGGGAACAAAACAACTCACCTGAGCATGCTTCAACTTGATGTCCACCAACGCCTTCTCCATCTCTTCCACCTCCTCCTTCAACACCCGATTCTCACTCTGCACCTCACTGTTCCGCTCCAGCACGCGCGCCATCTCCTCCTTGAACTTCGCCTCCAGCTCCGCGGGCTGCGAGTCCACCAGCTTCTGCAACTCTTCCACCTTCACCTTCAACTCTTCATTCTCGTCCAGCAGCCCGTCGTTCTCCACCTTGATCCGCACCACGTCGCCTGCGATGCTCACGTGGTCGTTGTCCTGCTGCTCCGTACGCTCCTCGAGGACTTTGACGCGCGCGGAGAGCGTGCCGTTCGACGTACGCAGGTTCTCGAGCTCCGCCTCCCTCTCCTGCGTCTGGCGTTGCGTCTCCTCCCATTCGGCAGTGTAAGAAGCTAGCACCGCATCGCTGATGTCAACGTCACAGGCGTCGCGCACCATTTCGTCGGCGCGATAAACTTCCTTATCGGCGCCGCCGCTGACCGACCCAAAGAAGCCGCCTTCGAGCAGCGACGAGGCCGACGGGCTCTTGTCGATGTAGGCGTCGAAGAGCTTGTCTTTGAGGAAGGTGGTGAGCTGGCTCATGTCTTTCATTTCTAGCAGAGCGACGCGATTGTGCTGCATAAGCGCGAGCCCGAATTTCAGGATGGCGGTCAGGCCTTGGCTGAATATGAGATCGTACACGCGCAGGACGAGTTGGAGGGGGAAGCGGTAGGCGAAGAGGGTGAGGAACCATTGCGTTGCGTACAGCTGCGGGCCGACGTTGCGTCGCCGGAGGTGGCAGTAGAGTGCTGGATCACGGTCTTCCAGTAGTCGCTCGAATTGGTAGAGGCGTAGGTGCAGGCCGGAGAGGTCGCCGGTGAACATGCTTCGGACGTCGTATTTGCTCATCAGCCGCACGAGCAGAGTGAATGCTTCCTCCTCTGTCATGTTGAACAGCAATGGCATGGCGATGAAGTTGACGCCCTGAGGATAGCCGACGGCATCGTCGAGAAGGGCATATGCCTTGCACAAGCCGAATAGGCCGTCTTGCAGTCCGGCGGCCTGCGCGTACTTACTAAATGACGTTCGCGAGCCGAGATCGCGCCGGATGGCCTTCTCTAGCTTTGTCAAAGCAGCGGCTTCTTGCTTGTTCTGCTCCGCCAGTGCCTTCGCACGCGCCTGCGCATCTGCATCATCGCCGATGACGGAGGGCGGCGGACTCGTTTGGCTCGGCAAGGTAGACGTTGCTGGGGTGGAGTGTTCAGAATGCACGCTGGATTTCGAAGAAGCCACTTCCCAGTCCTTTTCGGGCGGCTCCGTAGTGTTGAAGAGCACACTTTGTGAGGCTTGTCGGGAAACTGGCGCCGGTCTTTGCTGTTGTTGCTGTTCTACGTCCGCGGCTGTGCCTCGAGCTTTCAACGTTCGGTACAGATCTTCCATCTCGGGACTTTTGCTGTCTGCTAGGACCTGCCAAACGACTCCCCGGATTGCGGCCGGAATGCCAGATGCTATGGCTTGATTGAGTTCCTCGCCGCTGGTACGCGCGACGGCGGCAGGCCCTTCGCATACGACACTCTGCCACAAGTCCCAGTTCACCGGTCGTGGCTCCTCTGCAGGGCCTGCTTCCAAACCGGAGGCGGTGCCGGGTGGTAGATTCAGCGAAAGGCTTGGGGACTTGAGCGGGCCTGGTGTAGACAATGATCGGGCAGTTTTGATGTTCAGGTTGTCTCCAAGACTGCCGTTCAGCCCAGCGTCGCTAGTCGTTCTTTCAATCGGAGCCCGTTCATCCTTGTCGGCGTCGTCGTGCCCATTTGTGGCGGGGGATGAGCTCTCCTCCTGCTTGCGCAGATTGAGAAATTGTGCTTGAAGGGTAGGTCGTCTCGGGGTACCGGTGTCTTCAGCATCATCGTCTATTGTTGCCAGGCTCTCCCCGCCGTTGCTCATGACCGACTGCTGGGTATTCCTTCGCTCAAAGGCAAATCGCTCTGCTGCTGGCACTGGAGGAGATCTGGCCGTCTTTCGCACGGATCCCATCCGGCCCAGAAAGCCCGCGATTCTCGTAGACGCTGTCCTCGCCATTCCATCCGGCCGGGGTGAGGTTGAAGAGAGATGAGCATTTGGGGAAGATAGATCTCTGGACAGGCTTCGGACGGGTTTCGGAGGGGACTGCGGACGCTTTCTTCCGGTAGGGGAGATACTTCGTTGTCGATCATTTGAGAGGGCGGGATTGGGGGATAGATTGATGGTGGTTAAAGTGGGATCGTTCGCCGCGGCATCTCCGTCTCCATTCGAGGCGGTATTCATGCTAGCGGGCTCTTTTTTAGGCGACAAAGATGCCGATTTGTCCTGTTTCGAAGGGGATGAAGCTCGGACGGAAGCAAGCGTGGGCGTACTGGGCTCTTCCATGTACGGCGATGGCTCGGAAGCTCTTTCTTCCCGGTGTGCAGCTTCTGTAACACTGGTGTTTGACGATACTTTGGCAAGCTCATTCTCCCCAGATCCGTTGTTTCCCTCTTGATCACCATTTGGTTCGGTAGGAGGTGTCGTTGGCACGGATGCATTCTCGGGAGCATCTTCAAAGGCGTCCTATAGGAGTGGGGTTAGCATTTGTATGAAACGGTCTCTTGTCCAACGCATGGCGGAACATACCGACGCAGAAGCTCCATCGGGAGTGCTGGGCTGCGTATCCTGATTGCCTTCCATGCCCTTCAATCCCCGCACAGCACCACCCGCCGGGCTCGTGGGGGAGTTATTGTTGCTCCGAGAATGGACGGATGGAGTGCGCAGAGGGTCCAACTTGATGGGGAAGCGGGTGCCCAGGCCAGCACTCCGAGCGTGGGGAGAGCGAGGCAAGGCACTCCCAGCTGCTGCTCCTCCTCCTTCTCCTCCCCCAGCCAAATAGCCCCGATTCACGCGCAGACTCTTGGGGCGCTGGCTCTTCCTGCGGTCGAGGATGCCTGGGGCAGCGTGGATGCGGACCGTCACCTCGTCCTTCTTCGCCTGCAGGGGCTGGGATGGCAGTGGGGGTTGTGGTTGATCCAATGTCCACAAAGCGTCCGTTGGGGCGCGGGGGTCGTGGTGGTGGTGCAGCGCGGTGGAAGCTGGACTTTCCGAAAGGGTCGTCGCCATTTCCCGCGCGCGGCCAAAATAGGCAAGACCGGGGGACAAAGCGCGTGGTGGAGGCTACGCGAACAAAGGGACAAGACAAGACAAGACAAAGCAGAGGAAAAAGCTGACGTGTTGTTCCCTCTCGTAACAACATGCGATCTGGCTAGGCGAGGGGTGTCGTGGTTTCAATTAGCTGCTATCGCATCATCTACACGTCCCACACGCGCCCGTCCTCCGGCCCTGCTTCTCCTCGTCTCCTATCCACCCAAAACGGTCTTCTTATTTCGGGAGCTGCAAGCCACGCCAAACTCTAACCCTCGTTGCCAGGGTCTTGTAGAACTTGATAAATGGGATGGAAAGATACAACGCGCGAGGGAAGATGTGCAAATATTGTTTTAGTGGGTTATCCGATCAAGATATGATTGTTCTAGTTGTGTGTATGAACTCGCTTTGTTCTCGACAATGCACACCCTCGACATCTGCAAGCTTGGCAAGCATGGTCGATCACCATCCCTGCTTATTTACCTTAAGGTACTTGCTGCCCCTGAAGCTCCACTGCAATGTCGACCTTTGGTTGTCTAAATACATCCACCAGTACAGCCCGTGATTGTCTTTACGGGATATCCACATTCCGCCTTGATCGCTTCTGGTTCATGTTGAACATATGGGTTACCACGAACACAGACCGTAGCCGTCGCGCTTCGTCAAATCCCGCACCCTCGTCCTGTTTACACCACGCTTCACCACACCCCAGGGAGCATGGCGAACCGCTTCTTCTTGTACTTCGTCCCAAGCTCTTTGCGATACCGGCTCTCCTTCTTCTTCGCCCAAATCGCCATCTGCCCAACCGCCACGACAATGAACACCGCCGTTGTCCACGACTGGTTGACCAACAGGATGGACAGCCACGCCAGAGTCTCAAACAAGTAATTCGGACATGTTACCCAGTCGAACCCCAGCCCCTTCGGCACGCCTCTTTCCGTGCCCCCGGGAGAGCGTAGCGATCGCAGCACCAGGTGGGCATTGAGGTTGCCCAGCTCGCCAATGGCGTACAACGCGAGGGCGGGATATGTAATTGCCGGATTGCTCGGCCCGGCCGTAATCGACGTGGGCGAATAGGTGAAGTACGCGATGAGCAGCCCCGACAATATCCAGTAGTGTGCGGAGTTTTTGAAAATGTTGCTCGCCGGCATGGTCGCGTTGCTGAAGCGATGCACGAACATGGTTTCCAGCTCGCGTTTGAGGAAGTGGAGGGTGATGAGCACGCACGACAGGGTTTGCAGGGTGGAGGGCTGCGCGGGGGCGTGGGAGTAGATGTAGGGTCGGAGGAGGTAGAAGAGCGGATGGATCAGTAGCGGGCCGCCGTATTCGATGATGAATACCGTTCGCCAGGCAATTTGCGGGCCTGCATTGTTTGTGAGTGCTGAACATGTCTGCGTGTATCCCTATCAAGCCAACATACCCAGATCCTTCACTTGAATCACATCTCCAGCCCTGAGGCCTGTACTGTCAATGGACACCCTGACATCATTGGGCACCAGCTTGCCATCGTCGGCCTTGGTAATGCGCAGGCGGTGCACGGGGAAGCCAGATTTGGAGGCAATCTGCTGATATAGGATGCTGCCGCTGCCTTGGAGGTAGACGCTGGCATCCGCCGGGAGTTTGGGGATCTTTTTGCCTATGTGGACATAGATTGATTTAGTTTGTAGTTGCATTGCCACTCTCATGGAAGACACGTACCTCGAGCTTGGACTTTGAGGGTTACGGGCTTTGAAGCCATGGTGGCAGACGGTGGTCTTCTGTCTACGCCAAATTACCGCGCAAGACGTGGATGCAGGTGTAGAAATGCCATGTGGCTGCTGCAGTGGAAGCTCGGGATCAATCAACTGTAACCCTAACCCTAACCCAGGCTGGCATCAAACAATGGCATGTCCTTTTGAACCGCACCACAGTCATCTGCCACTAAACACCCACTCAATCTGTCTCGCAACAAACCCCGGATCGATAACATGTAGATTGTGCGTCTTCAACTTGCCTTCCGCCTTCACGAACCGAGCATTACTCGACAGCTCCATCGACTCGCGGGCCAGTGCTTCATCCAGAACTGACATATTCTCCAGATGCTTGCGTGCATCGTCCCGCGCCTTTTGCGAGCCACAGCCGTGCTCGATGCTATAGTCAAGCATCTTCTGTAGGTCATTTGCTTCGTCCGCAAAGATGACGCTCAGCCTGCCGTCCCCCAATGCCTGCCGGCCCTTGAGTCTCTCGTAGAGGTCTCGACCAGCAGTGCCAGGTCCATCGGGTGCTGCGTGCTCGAGCTCCAGTTGCTGAATCGCAGCATTGGACGGGTCTTCGTTCTCCACCTTCTCCCATTCGTCCTCTGGAATTGTGTGATGCGCCTTCACGCCAACCACCTCCAGGTACCCCGTTGAGCCACACAGCTCCCCGCAGTTCGATGGCATCCTCACTGTCAGCGGCGAGCCGTCTACGATCACCATGCCGCTGACTACGTCTTTGCCGTAATCGGCGAGAAATTGTCGTATGAGCTTACCGCCGATGGAGTGGCCTACGAGTATGTATGGCGGTGCTATCCGGGCCGTTTCAAGCAAGCTCTTGAGATTCGCGGCGCTTTGTTGGAGCGTCGGCGGCTGATGAGAGAGCGGCGGACCGCTGGGTGTGTAACCTGCGCGCTCATAGACGTACACGCGGGCGAAGTCGGCGACGAGGCGCATGGTCGCGAGCCATTCGAAACGAGAGCCGCCCAGGCCGTGTTCGATGATGACTGCAGGCTCATTGTTCGACTTTCGTTCGGGTCCCGCGGACATGAGATACAAAGACAATCCGTCAGGAAGATTTACGACTCCACTCTTCTTCCCCGTCTGCCGATCCATGATATTGCAATCCTTGCCTGATGGGGAGCAGTATCCATACAGTCATAATGTCGACGAAATGTAGAGTTCGGATGTGCGTTCGTAGAGCTGACGAGATGTTCGGGATGGCCGAGCCGCGCCATGCAGGCACCAATTCTTCTCATCCAACCACCACAATCCTTTCAAGATCGATAGAATGTGCCGGGTTCAGGCGCACCTCGAGCTTGAGATTGGCGGGCATGCACGTCAGATCTCTACTTGCATCCCCACTGTTCGAGGACATGGACACGTCCGTCTCTTCCCACCGTGCATCGTCTCGGTTTCGGGGCCAAGATCACACCCACTCCATCTCCGCTGCGGCTGAGGCTGCGGCGGTGCGGGGGCCACATGAGTGGGTGAGTTGCATATCTAGCGCTTCTTCGCCCAACTGTGTGTCCACCACGCATCCGGCGAGCGCTGGAAGCATGCCCGGGGTGCACTGCAATCTACCCGCTGCTGCTGGGGCTGTGGCGCAGATCAATGCCGGCAGGCGTGCATTTGCCCGTTTGTCTTTAATAAGACCATTGACACCGTCACCACCTGAGCATCATTACATGGAAGCCGTCGGAGCCTGGCTCTTACCCTACATGTACCAGACACGCTCTACATGATCTCGTGTGGACTGCGACTTCTCTCTGTCAACGCCCGCTGTCGTACCTCAAGGCCAGCAGCAGCCACTGCAACGGTACGTACCTGTGTTCTGCGCGACATCTCTTTGTTACCATACTGGCGCTGCCGGGCCTCCGACTGGTCTTGTGACAACATTGGCGTTCCGAAGATCAGAGGCGACTCCATGGTGATGACATCGAAAGCCATTCTACCTCTGGAAACGGGGACGCCGGAGCCATAACCAGCGGCGAGCTTGGGTCAGGCTGACGAACTCCAACGTCTGCTGTACAACAGAGTCTTCCAAAATGGCCCGGAACCCGCATTTCCACCTTCTAGCAAACAACTCATCAGCCCCTGCATTGCCACCCGCCGGTCCCGAGCTCTCACTGAAAGAGGTTCTGGCGAGCCAGCCTCCCCAGGATGCGTTGCCAGACACTCGTGATTTCCCACGTCGCCTGGACTTCACTCGACGGCAGATTCAAGGCTGCTCTGTATTGCATCGGAACTCGTTGGACTTGCAAGTCTGAGATATCTAGCTAATCGCTGCCCCGTCAGGTCCGCCATGTCGGATACTCTGGAGTTTCGGGGTGCAGGGCAGCCCAATGGAGTTGAGATAGTGATTGCTCCAGCTGTTGAACAGCCATCCAGCTTCGATCTACTCCGTGACCGACTTCGCAAATCCTTCATTGACATGAGGTCTCTGTTGGCCGCCATCAGAGCACCTCTCCCCACGCAGACTGGGGATGGGACTTATCTTCCCATCCCACCACCCATCTCTACAGGCGATGACTTGGAGGCCGTCCTGCGAGACATCGGCGCTCTCGGACACAAAAACATCGAGTCGCTGGCCGATGTCGTCCGCCATGCGAAGTTACAGCAACCTATAAACGATAAGCAGTACCTCATGGAGTATCTGATCCGGGGCGCGGCATGTCTAGAAAAGGACATCGTTAGCATGGGCATCACAAATTCGTTTCTGGAAACATTGTGGTCAGACATACAGCATCCACCTCAGATGCTTCTGGACGTCGACTTCTTCTTTCGTCAGCCTGACGGAAGCAAGAACAACTACGCGGTCCCGCAGATAGGTGCTGCCGGGACGCCATATGCGAGAACAGTGACACCGCGGTACATGAGAGCAGGTGCTCTGCCCGATCCTGGCCTGGTGTTCGACGCTGTCATGGGACGAAGAGCACCCGAGGAACATCCAAATAAGATCTCAAGCATGCTCTTCTATCTCGCCTCCATCATCATCCATGATTGCTTCAAGACGAATCGGCACAACTACAACGTCTCTGATAGCTCCTCATACCTGGATCTGGCACCGCTGTATGGTAGCAATTGGGAAGAGCAGAAGAAGATGCGGACATTCAGGAACGGCAGGATCAAACCCGACTGCTTCTCAGAGACACGCCTGCTTACCTTTCCCCCGGGAGTCGGTGCCCTTCTCATCATGTTCAACCGCCATCATAACCACGTTGTCGAACAGCTCGCCTTGATAAACGAAGACGGTCGATTCACTGATAAGGGTGCGAAGGTCGACCGATATGGACAGAAAGGGCTCGACAAAAGAGATGACGACTTGTTCCAGACTGGACGATTGGTGACATGCGGGTTATACGTCAACATCATTCTCATCGACTACGTTCGCACCATTCTCAATCTCAATCGCACCGATGAAAATTGGCAGCTCAACCCTCGAGTCGATATACCCGATGGGCCTGCATTTGGCACGGGCAACCAAGTGTCGTGCGAATTCAACCTCGTATATCGATGGCATGCTTCGGTTTCTGCTAGAGACGAGAGGTGGACGGAGCAGCTCTACGACGAAATGTTCAAGAGTGGAGATGAGCCGATCGATCCCAGTCTGCCCAGCCCGCAAGACTTCCATCGGATCTTGCAAAAGATGAAAGAGTTCGAGCAAGCCATCCCTGCCGACCCTCCAACGAGACCTTGGCCAGCGCTGAAGTCGGACGTACTCAAACGAGACAAGAATGGGAGATACGACGACAACGAGCTTGCGGAGATCTTGACCTCTGGCATCGAAGACTGTGCCAATGCCATGGGACCGCGACGTGTGCCTAAAGTGATGAAGTTCATCGAAGTCCTCGGGATCGTGCAGGCGAGGACGTGGAAAGTTGCTACGCTCAACGAGTTTCGCAGGCATTTTGCCCTCGAGCCGCATCGAACATTCGAGTCTATTACGAACGATACAGAAGTCGCTCAGGCGCTGAAGTACCTTTACGACACGCCGGATAACGTCGAGCTCTATCCTGGGCTGGTCGTCGAAGATGCGAAGAAGCCCATGCTTCCTGGATCCGGGCTCTGTCCGTCGTACACCGTCAGCCGTGCCGTACTCTCCGACGCCGTCGCACTCGTAAGAGGAGACCGGTACTACACCATTTCATATTCGCCGAGCACAATGACAAATTGGGGCTACCAGGAAGCCTCCTCTGACCTGGCCATCGACAACGGGTGCGTCTTCTACAAACTCTTTCTGCGCGCTCTACCCAAGAACTACGATCCAGCCTCGATCTACATCCATTACCCCTTGACCATCCCGCAGGGTGAAAACGGCATGAAGGATATTCTCGGAGCACTTGGCAAAGCGCACAAATACAGCTTCCAGTACCCAACTCCTATTGCCCAGCCGAGTGTGCTCTTCACATACGATGCATGCATCAAGGTGCTCGACAATCCTCAGGCTTTCCGCGCCGCATGGGGCAAGCCGATGGAATTCCTCATGGGCAAGGCAGCGAAGAATTTCATGCTCGCCGGCGACGGTCCGAGGAATGTCGCGTCTCGAAATCTCATGACACCGGCGATGTACCTCGGAGCGGATCCATTCACATCGTCCGCATCAAAGGAACATTGGTACACTGCTGTCAAGACCTTCTACGAAGACCTCACCATCAAGCTGCTGAGCGAGAACTCCCACTCCATCGCCGGAACCCGACAACTCGACATCATCCGGGACGTCGGCAATCTGGCGCACGTCCATTTCGCAGCAGAGATGTTCTCGCTGCCTCTCAAGACTGCAGATTTCCCGCACGGCATCTTCACCGAGCAGGAGCTCTACCTCATCCTGTCCGCCATCTTCGTCGCCGTCTTCTTCGACGCCGATCCCGTGCAGTCGTTCCCGCTTCGCCAATCGGCGTACGAGGCTACGCAATCTCTCGGCAAGATCTTGGAGGTGCAAGTGGCCGCTATCGCAGCAACGGGCCAGATTGCCGAGGGATTGATCGAGTACGTCAAGCCGACTGCGAGACCTTTGAAGGGGTATGGCGTGCACATGATCGCGCAGCTATTCAAGCAAGACCACAGCATCGACGACCTAGTCTGGGGCAACATCATGCCTACGTTAGGCGGAGTCGTAGCTCCGCAGGCAATGCTATTCGGCCAAATCATCGACTTTTACCTTTGCGGCGAAGGCGCAAAGTACATGCCTGAAATCCAGAGACTCGCTCTCGCCGACACGCCGGAAGCCGACGATACACTCCTGCACTACGTGATGGAGGGCATCCGCCTCAACGGCGAATCGGGCGCGATGCGCCGCGTGGAGAAAGAAACGACAATCGAGGACAAAACCGGCCTGCCACATCTCCCGACTACACACCACTTCAAACCCGGCGACGAGGTCCTGCTCAACTTTAAAGCCGCCTCGCGCGACCCCAAAGCCTTCCCCAAACCAAACGACGTCGTCCTTACGCGACCCCTAGACTCGTACATCACCTTCGGCCATGGAACGCATCGGTGTCTCGGACTGCCCATGACGCAGTTGGCGCTGACGACCATGTTCAAGACGGTGATGAAGTTGCCTGGGTTGAAGCCTGCGATCGTATCTGTTGGCGGCGTGCCGCAGACGAGCAGGGTGAAGAAGGTTGCGAAGGAGTTTGGTTCTGTGGGAGGAGGAGGAGGGGTGGAGGTGCCGGAGAGTTGGAAGTATTGTGCTTTCCTGACGGAGGATTGGGATGTGTATTTCCCGTTTCCTACGAGTGAGTGTCCCTTGCTTCTTCCCTCGACGTTCTTTGCATCCTCGTTGGACTGATGGCTGACGTTTTTGAATGTAGGTTTGAAGGTTACGTTTACAGACGAGTCGAGTGGTGCGTGACGACCTACTTACATGCATGAATGAAGTCCTATCGAGGGGCAGACCCGAGACCATGTCTGGAATGTACCACTGGGCACACCTATCACGCTGCCTTAGGTTCAGCCCTGTGGAGACAGCTGTGCACGAAGAAAGGACTCGTCATTTTCTTGAATCTATTCTTTCCAAGTTGACCTCAGAGCCGCCGCCATGCAGACCCTGACACTCCACCACTCGCCCAACGCCGTCGCTATGATATGAGACACATGCGTCAAAGCAGACCCGACGAACGCCTCAGTATGGCCTTGAACCGTAAGGCGTGACCGCTCCGCCCCCATACACGCTCCCCTGTCCGTAAGCCGGAGTTTGATATCCCGGGTCCTGGCCGTAGCTGCTTTGTCCGCCATACGCGCTCGTAGCACCGTACGCGGTGCCGCCTCCATTCACCATTCCATCCATGGGACTCGCTCCCCCGTCCAACCCATCCTGCTGTCCACCCGCCTTGCCCAGCTCCTGGATCACCCCTGCCAATTTGGCTTGCAGCGTGCGAATGCCGGAATGCAGAATGGCGTCGGGAGGTAGCACGCCGGTGCCCTCGAGGGTAATGTAGAATTGCTCGGGCTCATCGTCGTATCTGAACGGCGCGCCCTCGGCCGGCGGATCTTCCCACTTTGCGTTCTTCGTCTCCGGCCACTCAGCCTGCGCGTCTGCTTCGAACCATAGTGTTGTGTGCCGCAGTTTATTGTGCGGATCGTACTCGAAGCCTATTGCGGCCGTAGGCGCCCATTTCGCGTGCTCCTTTGCAATGCCCTTCTTCGCGATGCAGCGCACCTTGACCTCCTGGTTCTTACGCAGCTGGCAGATCAGCGATCCGTTCTGGTGATCATCCTGGAGGATGGGGTGGCCGCGATTGGGCAGGGGTTTCTCGTCGCCCGCGCCTAAGCCGTTGGTATGCAGGTGGCCTGCCGGCCATCTTTCTATCGGCTGCCCTTCGACCGTCTGTACTTGCATGTCCTTCGCAAAGACCTTCATATTCTCCGACCCGCCGCGGTTCAGGGCGGAGATGGTGAGCACGACGGCGCAGTTGTTGCAGTAGTCGTCGCAGGAGCAGTCGCGGGTGTAGAGCATTTCGTCGATGTTGCGGGCGGAGAGGGGGATGAGGCCGAGGCGGTGGGCGATGAACTCGTCGGCGAGCACGGAGGTGTTGGTCTCGACTTCCACCAGGTCGATGGCGAGGGTGGGGATCTCGGCGAGCATGGTGCGGCGGAGGGAGTTTGCGAGGGCGAGGCTGGTGTTGCCGAGGATGAAGTCGATGGAGGTGTCGTTGGTCTGTGGGGGTTGGTCAGTATGTGCTATGTAATGGGCGAGGGGATGGAGAGTGCGCACATTTCGTATTGTTACTCGTGGACCCGTGGCGTCCAGGTCCATGCCGTTGTATGCATCGTACTCCATCTTCCTGGCCAAGCGCGTGCCGCGCGCTCAGAGATGTGAAAGATGCTTCACCGAAAGATGCGGCAGGTCAGTTCCCAAGCGTACTTGTAACCGACCATGGGGCAGATGCCGTGTAAATGACGCCGTATGCGTGGTAAGGTGGAGAGTGGATGAGAAGAGGACGTGAATTTCGAGAGGCTTGTAACTGAGGACAGCATTAGAGTTTGCGCCGGCCGAATTTGGGCCGAGATATGGACGTCGACGGCTTTATCCGCGGTTGACCTCGGGCAGCCTCATCTGGAGGCAACATCAACCCCTCTCGATCCAGCAGTACAAAATGACACACGCACAATCCATCTAAACATGGCGAACCCAAGTCAAAAGCCCGGCCCGCCCAATGTGACCGGATCCGGCCCGGTGAGGCTGAGGCAGATTGCGCTTGTTGCTCGGGATCTCCAAAAAGCAAAGGAGCTATTGACAAGCGTGCTCGGCACGGAAGTCATCTACGTGGATCCCCAAGTGGCTCAATGGGGGCTCGAAAACTTCCTGGTTGCCGTTGGTGGAGAGGTGATTGAGGTGGTCTCTCCTACCAAAGAAGGGACAGCCGCCGGTCGCACGCTGAGCAAGCGAGGCGATGGAGGGTACATGGTGATCATGCAGCATCCGGATGCCGAGAAGCGGAAACAGTATATCGAGAAGAATGGGTTTGCGAAGGTGATCTTTAATCACCGCGATGAGGGAAGTGTCTGTTACCAATACCATCCGAAGGGGATCAAAGGTGCCGTCCAGCAAGCCCATTGATCTGATATCGACTGCTGACGGACAGACAGGCGGCGTCATACCCGAGCTCGACTCGGAGTTCGTCACCGAATCCAACCCGGATCCTCTCAAGACGCGCTTCTCTCCATGGCATCCTTGCGGACCGGACAAGGAGGCATACATTGCTGGCATGAAACGAAATGCGCACCTCTCTCTTCTCGGGGTTGTTTGCCGCCTGGCGCCCGGCGATGGCAATGGTGAGGAGGCCGCTACGCAATGGGAGAAGATCTTTGGGGTTCCGCGGAGTCGAGATCTCATCGCTTTCACCAATGCTCGCATCGGCTTCATGCGTGGCGAGGAGGGCAAGCCGGATGGGATTACGAGCATTTCGATTGGGGTGAATAGCGATCGCCGGCGGAGCGAGATTTATCGTGTGGCGGAGGAACGAGGATTGCTGAAGAACAATGCAGGAATCACCTGGATCGAAATGTTTGGGATCAGGTGGTACTTTAGTCTTACTACCAACAGCGGCGAGGGAAGTGGAAGCAAGCTATAGATAGCCTTGCGTGCTTTGTTGGGTTAAGATCGATTATAGCTCTCATGCCAACGCCGTACATTCCATCTCGACATCTGTGCCGATAAAGCAGGTTAGTGCAGGCCAGTAGGGGAAGTGGCGGGGACGCCAGAACCATACCGGTATTGAAAGGCAACGTTTTCACAGCGACGCACCTGGAGCGGTGTCAGCAAAGGCCGCGGGTAGAAATGGGACGCGGAGCGACAACTGACGTCCTGCATGGCAGATTGGGCGCCTTGAAGTGCTGCTTATACGCCTCATTCATGGCGGAGAAGTCGTTCATGTCGGCAATGAAGACGTTGAGCTTGACAATCTTGTCCAAGCTAGAGCCGGCGGCTTCAAGGACATTCTTGAAGTTTTGGATAACTTGATGCTGGGGGCCGAGATTAGTGAGTGCACTGGAGCCTTCCGGGTAGACGCGTACGGTGCGCTCTTGTATTCCGCCCGGGACGATACTGCCGTCCTTGTCCATGCCGATGGAGCCCGAGACGAAGACGAGGCCAGCTGCTTTGACGGCGTGAGGGAAGATGTCTTTGACGGGCATTGCCACATCGGGGGAGACGATTGCTTCTCGCTCGGCCATGGTGGGAGAGGTATGTCAGGGCTGGGGAAGGATACAACTGCTGATAGGGACGATGGAGGAGAACGCTGGGTAATGTGATGGTGCGTGGACGGAAGATGCGTATACCTACGGTACGACCGACCTGATCATTCAGGGCTGAAGTTAACATTAGTCAGCCGAGCTGGATAATGGGCCCGCGTCAGCATTGCGGCTGGATGTCGAGATGTGAGAGGCTTCTCATTTGGTAACGATGTTGCCTGAGTCGACTGGTAGTCATTTTACTCCAATCTGATGCTACCAAACACGCGCAGAGGAGGAGGTGTCGTGCTACAGCGGGTGAGGCCGGAGATAAGTCAGCCTTCTCCGCAATTTCACATGCGAAAGCCTAAAAGAGTGCCGGATCACATGAGAGAAGCGACGAATGACTGCGTGCATACCTTCCACCACCTTACCTTACCTTTACCCACTTCTCCCTCCATTTCCACTCAATTCTTCTCGTTATTCTACTCCCCTTGATCCTCCCTCACTCCGCCGTATTCCGATGGAGGAGACGTGCAGCAGCATCGACGCTTCGCGATTGGCATAACAACACAACCCCCGGTGATGCTCGGTCAGCCACCTCCCACCCCCAGCTGCATTGCCGGCATCTGACCACTTCCCACAGATCACGCCCTCGGCCGACCCGATGTCCGCTACCGCAAATACCAGATCTTCGCCGTCGTAGCCGTCTGGTCCGCCCTCGTCTACGCCAAACCCCATGGCCCCAAGCCCGTCAGCCGCCTGTCGCGCTTCCTCTCCACCCGCATCACAACATGGCAGGCCCTCGTCCTCACCTGCCTCGCCGAATACCTCCGCCGAGACTTCAAGAAGTTGGTGCCGTGGCTGGAGTCGCCCGAGCCGTTGGCGGACATGTACAACAGAGACTACTTTCGCGCAACCTGGATCACCACCGCCCTCGATGCCGGCTTCTGGACCGCCATGCGTATCCGCCCGGCCTGGCTGAGGGACTTTGCCAGCGTCCTCTTTGCCGGCTACTACCTGGTCTGTGCCGACCAGGCCGATGAGATGGTCCGAAAGGTGCGTGGAAAGCTGTCTCTCGAGCATCTCCGCGTCAGCTGGAACAAGGGCACCACCCCCTACCTGTCTTTCATGAGCCGCCTGATGCGCCCGCCCCGATTGAAGATGCGTTATCGCCCGCGAAAAATACGCATCCCTCGGTCCAGCGAAAGCCCCTACAAAGACCCCGTGCACGCCTGGCTGTACTACGATGGCCCGCTTGGGGAATTGAAGAACCATGATAAGATCATTCTCGACATCCCTGGCGGTGGCTTCGTCGCCATGAATCCACGCTGCTACGATGACAAGCTGATGGCCTGGGCCGTCAAGACGGGCTTCCCGGTGGTGTCGCTCGATTACAAAAAGGCCCCGGAATATCCTTACCCCTACGCCTTGAACGAGTGCTTTGATGCCTATTACTCCATCGTGTCTTCTCACGGGAAACTGATCGGCTTGCCTGGTGATAGCGTGCCAAAGATCATCCTGACTGGCGATAGCGCTGGTGGCAATCTCGCAGTCGGTACCGTCCTGATGATGCTTCAAGGCCGGGACAGGGCAGATCGCCGAAACTCCCGCACCCTTCCTCTCCCCGAAGCATTGATACTGGTGTATCCCGCTCTGGACGTGAACATGAGTTCATGGCTCACGGATGAGCAATCCGCTCTCATCAAAGATCCGACACGTAGGAAGGCAAACAAGGCGGTTGTCAAGCGTCTGGACGGGGACTATCGCTCCATGATCAACACACCCATGCCATCCGATGACGAGCTGGACGAACAAGACATACGCATGTCCAAGGTCAAGCGCAGCAAATCATCGGGCAAGCAAAAGTTGTTCCAGATTGAAGAAGACGAAGCAAACGGCAGCGCTGCTTCTGCATGGCCCAGTACGCTGGAACTCAGCAAGACCATCACCGTCGACGCTCTGGCCCGACAAATCTCCAAGTCTAAGCCAAGACCCATGCGCACCCGCCTCGAAATGACCAGCATGATCTCCTACGTAGACGACCGCGTCCTGTCTCCGGAAATGCTTCGAGCCATGGTCATCCTGTACCTCGGCGAAAATGTCCGGCCCGACTTCAGCACCGAATACCTTCTCTCTCCGCTGCGAGCGCCCGAAGAACTCCTGAGGGAGTTTCCCAAGGTCTACATGCTGACCGGCGAACGCGACCCGCTGAGCGACGATACCGTCATCTTCGCCGGCCGACTACTCGAAGCCCAACTACACAAATTCCAGGCGCGAAAGGAAGCCGGCCTGATTCTCGAAGACGCCGAGTTTGTCGACTCCGACTACGTCTACTACGAACTCGTCCCAGGCGTGTCGCACGGCTTCCTGCAAATTGCACCCGTGTACGCGCGAGGCTTCCGCCTGATTGAAACGTGTAGCACGTGGATGAAGACCGTGTTCGAGGCCGTCGACAAGCGGGAGGCGGAAAGTGGGCCAGCAGCGGAGGAGGACGAGGACGCCGACGCCGACGACTACTTCTCCGCCGCGCTCGCGAGTCCGGAGAAGCGGCGCCTGCGCCTGTCCGAAGAAGACCAGCCGCTGATGATGTCCTCTTCGCCGATGTTGCAGCCCATGGGCTCGGCGTCGTCGGCGAGCGCACGCAGACAATCTGGCGCAGCGGGGAGCAGCGGCGTGGACAGAAGAGATGCGAGCGGGAAAGGGCGGATCAAGAAGCCTGCTGCTTTTAGCGGACGCAGGTCCCCCGTTCTGACGCGGAGCAGTCGCAGCCTGCTCAATTTGACGGCTTTGGATGTTGACGAGGTGGTGCAGAGGAGGATGGGAGAGGTGGTGAGGCCGCTGAAGGGAAGCGATGAGAGGCCTAAGACTCCTGGGTGATGGTAATCCGCGCTCGATTTGCATCGCTGCTGGGCGGATAATTTTTTTGCATACCGCGTCCGAGGAAGACAAAGAAACCGCATCACTGCTGCGCAATTGAATTGATTCTACGTTCCTGGAATTACAACAGCGCAGCCTACTTCCACATACACTACTCCGAGCTCAGCTCTGGTCCACCACACATTCCACCACCATCACTCCCGGTCCTTCTCCTTCTCCCCGCCAAACTCCCGAACCCACTCGCCAACCTCAAAGCCCACCCGCCTCAACACACTCGCCTCCACCTCCCCCTTCTCAGCCCCCTCCACCACCCTCCTAACAACAAACAACCCCACGCCAGGCCTGCCCTCCACGCCCTCCAACTCCACACTGCCATTCGACCCATTCGACGCACCACCCGCGGCCTCCACGACGACATCGCGAAGGTAGACGGTCAAGTCGGGCCCCAGGGTGCCGCGCCAGACGGTCGCGGTCCATTGCCAGTGGTCGTAGGCGTTGTAGAATTCCGTGGGGCCGATGGGTATGGTGTGGGAGAAGTGGTTGGCGGTGTGCAGGCTGTAGTTGGGGATGATGGCGATGGGTTTGGTTGCGGAAGGGGAATGGAGGTTGGTGGGTACTTGCGGAGAAGTGGCGGAGGGGTTGGCGTCGTCCTTGATGTTGTACTCTTCGTCGAGTTTTCTGGTTGGGTTTGCTTCGGTGAGGCTGGCGGTGTTGCTGTTCTCTGTTGATGCCGAGTGCATTGAGAGTGACTGAAAGATGCTCTTTCCCTTGCGGATCCACTTTGCAGAGAGATCGTGGTACATGGCCATTGATTCCTCTCGGTCCTCGCCCACTGCCATCACCGGGCCTTCGAACAGCTCCACAGCAGAATGGTCATCCTTGGCGAGGCTATCCGCCAACCACGCAGCCAGCTTCTTCACGGCCTGCGCATCATCGCCTTCGACCGCGATGAACGGACCACGAGGGACGGCCTTTGATTTGAAAGCCGGCGGCGCGACCTGTGACAACACCTTGATCTTGTACCGGAAGCTCATATCCTTCATCTGCTCGTCGACCGACTTGCCCGACCGTGGAGGTGCCGCGGTGGTGGAAGCCGATCGACCCGTTTGCAGCGGTGGGAGCACGAGAGTGCGGTCGTGCGCAGCGTGCCCTTGGGAAAGACGATGCTGCTGGTAGCCCATGCCCGGTCGGGGTGGGGGAGGCATGGACACTTGCGGGCTCGTCGCCACGCCTCTGATGCTTGGGAGGCTTTCGCGTCGGCCTGGCATGGCGGTCGTTGCGAAAGGATGTCCATGCGCATTGACGGCGTGTGGGAAGGGTGTGCCTGGTCCGATGGCAGATGGTTGCGGCGCGCCGTACTGCGCTTGGATTGGGCGATGGTTGGCGGAACGTGTGTCTATGTCGATCTTGCGGCGCTTGGGCCCGGGGCTGAGAGGGCCGACGTCGTCCCTCTCTTCTGCGATGTCGCGGTGACTTAACGGCATTGCGGTTGTCAAAGGCGATCTGCCGAGTGAGCGACGGTGGGCCGGCGAATCCAGAGTCAACTCGCGGAACACGGGGAGGGTGCGAGTGACTGGTGTCGTGGTGTTTGCAGGAGTGGAAGGTATGGAGCTGTTGCCGGCGTGATAGGGAGCGGAAGGGGTCAGGATCGTGCGACCGCCACAGGTTTGGCAGTTGGGCTTGTCACTGGCGGATGCCGAGACGTCCACGGAACCGCGACGACCGGAGCGTTTGGGCTGATAGCGGTAGCCGGGATACTGCTGCTGATGGCGGAGCTTTTCTTCTTCCGCCAGAGCCTTCCACTTGTCTTTCTGCTCTATCGCTTCGCTCCTCCACTGCGCGCCGATGATCTTGGAGATGTCTGGGTTGGATAGACCGGGGTTCTGGGCGACTACACTACCCTGGTGGTGTTGTCGATAGAGGATGAATGCTAATGGCTGTTAGTGAGGCCGGGGATGGTGGACAGTAAGGTGTCATGACTTACCGTTGCGTGGTCGGGGAGGCTTGGGCTCGGGCTGGCAGAGACAGAGGTGCGCACCAGACTCGCTGCTGCTTGTCCTGGTGTGAGCGGGCGAGATCGCCGGGCTCTTCACAAGGTGGTCTTCCTGCTCAGCGACGCCTGCACTTCGCTTTCTTCTCGTACCAAACGGAGGACTGTCTTCGGGAGTCAATGGGGTTTGAGAGCCACTGGAGAGGTTGGTTGAGCGATGACGAGCAGAGCGAAGAGAGGCAGTCGACGAAGCACGTCTGCTGGGAGGCGCGGCGTTGTTTTGAATCGCCTGCGAATTGGCAGTTTGAGACCTGTCCAAAACAACCTGCTCCACGTCGTCTCCGTTGGGCATGGTTCTCTGCCACAGTTGTCTTGTGAAGATGATACGCGGCGGATCACCCGACGAGCGAGGCAGTGTTTGCACAGACTCGATGGGTGCGCACGAAGGAGGGGAAGCGGCGGGAGGAGGCAGAAGAGGATTGTTGGAAGAAGACATGGAAGATGGAGGCATGGTTTGACGCCTTCCGATCAAGTGGCATCCCCCCTTCGACAATGAAGATTCGGTAAATGAATGCATGCATGGACAAGAAGGCGCAGAGACGAATCAGGAGGGGGGATTCTTGCGGCTTTGTTCGCCATTATCTCTCACCAAACGCCGTGGTGGCATGCAGCGGGCATGCTCTTTGTCCAATCGCCGGCCCAGGATGCGGCGATTGTCGCGGAGGCGACGGATCGGCTTGGAGCACGTCTTTCTTCCCTGTTTGCTTCTTTGTTTGGTTTGCCTCATCGCACATGCCGAATGCGGGCGCGTTGGCCGGGACGGGCCTTTGAAGACATTCCAGCGGCAAGGCACGCAAGGAGGGGCCGTGCAAGATGGGACAACAATGCCCCGAGCGACAAACACCTGTTTGATGCTCGTGCGTGCGTCAATCAGAGCGTCGGGAGGGTTGCGCTATCAATAGCAAGGCTCGTCATCCTTCCAAGGCTGCTGTCCTACACGCGCCAACAGGCAAAGGAAGCGCACCTGCATGTTCTTCACGGCTTCTATGGCAGCCTGTCGAACGTCGGAAAGGCCGAGGGCGATGCAGAGAAATGGATTGGTGGAGAACAGGCGGTGAGCATTCGCTAGCTTCATCAGTATCACCCAGCGCGGAATGAAAGCTTGCCATGTGTTGCAAATAGCACACGCCATCCATCGCCGTGTTGGGGGGTCCCATCCCGGCCCGGTGGTCCTCCAACACCTCGCGGTGGAGGTGTTTGTTCTGCAACGTCTGTCAGGTGGGACAAAGCGGAGATGAGATGTGCTGCGAGTGTCCGGCATCAAGGGCGGAAGGCGGCATGAACGATGGCGGATGCCTGGACGGTGTGACACAGGCAAGGCCGAACAGCACGCCGACAGATGCGGGCATTGGTCTCACCAGGTTGTCAGTATCATGCAACTACTGATCCGGAGATGGTGGTGGTGGTGGTGGTGGAGGTCGGCAGAACGTTACCGGTCAGGCGACCGTACGATGCATCATCCCGGCGGAGTGACGTCCGGGCGGGGTGTGTCAGTCTGCGCTCGCATCGCTCATCTCCGGCGCACGGCTCGTTGCGAGAGACACAGCACAAAGGGCCAGCGGCAAGGCCCTTTGTTCTCCGCCCACGCTGCAAGGAACGGTGGGACAGTGACGCCATAGCCGCACCTGCGCAGCGAGATGGACAAACTTCACCGCCTTGACTTTTGCACTGCAGACACGTTGTTAAGTGTAGCACGGTGGAAAGTGGAGGGAGGAGTTGGAGATGTACAGTAGTAGGTAGGCGAGATGTAGTTCGTACGGAGGCGTCGCGGCTGTCATTGGTCCAATCCCCGCAAAGCCAATCGCCAGACGCAATTGCCCATCTCAGCCACGGCCGGGGAGGAAGGAGCACTCGAGCTGCAGCTGCATCGTTCCTGCACGTCGTGGGTGATGTTGCGCAAAGTAATGGACACAACTCTCACTCCTCCTCCTCCTCCTCCCCGGTCCTTGACTCCCCAATCGACCCCATCCACGCCATCCGCGCCACACACACATACTGCTGTCCCGTCAAGCCGTATCGTCAATTAATCAATTCTACGCGATCTCGGAGACAAGGCACGTCCCGCGCTGACAGCTTCCGAGATCCCCCAAGCTTCAAGGGGCTCGTGCTTTCAATAAAGTGTCTGGTAGCAGGGATCATCGTCGAGTTCACGCGTTACCGCACACCGCCAGCACGCAGTTGTTGCGGAAATAACAGCGCTTCATCCATCTATTGCACGAGCGAGCATCTCGACTGTGCACTTCTTGGTTCGATACCCTCCGGCACAGGCAGCTGGCGCCGCCGAAATACAGGGCATGAAGTGGACGTCTCATCCCGCTGCGTGTTGATTAGTTTGGCTGAGCGAAACATCAGCTTGAAGAGGAGGAAGCCGATCCCTCCACCACAAATTGAATGCCCGCCTATCTGTGACAGGCACGATGGTGTTCACCAATCCCACCATCAACCCTCCCCGCCTCTCCTCATCCGCCAAAGTGCGCGCCACATTCCTCCATTCCCGATCCCCCTCCCGATCCCCCACTCGATCCAACGACCCAGTCCTCCGGGATCTCTCGCCAACCAAAACCCTCCTGGCCTTCTCCTCCCACCCCGAAGACCCCCGCAACGATGCTCTCACTAGGAGCATTCACAACGCCTCACCATCGCAAAGAGCATTGGGAATCAAGGTGGCTCGGGCTTGCGCCGATCTGCGCTCATGGACCACCGAGCTCGACAGCTGGCCCTGGCCCGGCACCTTCGACGTGCCCGAGCACATTGGCAAGAAGCAACGCATGTCCGACATGACTATTCTCTCCCGCTCAGACTCCGATGACCGGCGGGAGGATGAGTATTGGGGTTGCCTGCCCGTGTCGCTGGTCGAGAGATATGAACTACGCATTGACGAGGTCTGTACCGACTTCGACGCAATCGACTTTGAGGAACTGAAGCAATTCGTCCTCTCCGCCCATAGTCGAGCTGGCATCGGTGACGCCTCGATTGACGACAGTATCGGCGCTATCGGCGCTGCCACCGATCTTCAACGCCTGGACGACTTTACCGCCCTGATGACCGCTACCATCCTGCGAGCACTCCCCTATCTACCTAAACTGACGCGCTTGCTGGACACCTGGACCATCCGCCTGTCTGTGCTCCGCTCGACGCCGAAGTACTTACGCGACCTGAAAAAGGCGAGAACCGACCTCAATCACGGATGGGCTGCTTTGGCCGTCTCAGACAATCAGGCCTCCAATGCCAATTTGTCTCCCGAGAGTCTGGAAGATATGAAGGGCGTCATCTCTACGCAAGTTTACAGCCTCGGCAAACGATTGGATGGGTATTTGGATGTACTGGAAGGCCGGCCCGAGGTCGTGCCGGACGCCTGGATCGATGACTTTGAGGATCTGGAGCACGAGTATGGCGACTGGGTGGTCAAGGCGGAGCGGCGGATGCTGGAGAATGAATGGAAGAGCATGAGGGAGCAAGTCAGAGAGACTGTGCTCGGGCTTGTGAAGGAGGATGAGAGGAATCGGAAAGCGACCAACGAGCCGAAGCCCGACCTGCGGGAGGAGACCCTGCCTTTGGAGCCTGAATTCGACACGCAGACCTTGATGAGCCCAACGGTGACAACTCGCTCCGATATTGACCTTGCTGGGGCATACCGCGCGACTCATACCCTCCGTCCCAACGATGCCCCCAACTCGTCAACAATGAAAACCTTGGTGTCGAACCCCACGCACTACGTGGAAGCAACGCCACGCACATCGAAAGACAGCACTTCCAGTCAGGCACGTTATATGCCCATTCTTGTCGACTACACCCGTTCGGACCAGCCCACGGAGCTTCGCGATCCTGTGACAGGCCAGCCTCAGCCGCTCTCGCGCAGCACCTCAGTAACAGCAACTCAAACCGCAACGACGACGTCCACCGTGAAGCAACGTGCAGCCTTCCTGAATGGCGACATCGAGAAGGACCAATCTCTGATCAAGAGCAAGAGCGCTCCCATTGTGCGGCCATTCGAACACGCTAGCAACGCATTCACTCGGCTATTCAAAAAGGAAGCAAAAGACTTGGAACTCGATCGCAAGCGTCAAGCCGAAAACGATCGTAGCCCGGCTGCAAAGGCCGATCGTGCTGGATCAATCGTCTCGGGAAGCAGCAAGTCCGGCTCGGCCAAATATTCAACAGCGAGCAAAGATCAGCGAATGGAGTACATGGACATGGTACGCGCGCCCTCTGAAAGCCGGCCCAGACCCAGGGCTCCAGAGCGAGGCAGGGACAAGACGTCGAAGAAGAATGTTGGAAAAATGGCTTACGGCGACCTTGTGATGGCTATGCCACCAGCGGCAATGTCCATGCCAGCAGCGGCGATTGCCAAAGACATTGCACCGGCAAGAAAGAGTGAAGACCTTAAGAAGGCATCATCGAGCGTGGATCGCAGCAGAAGATCGAGGTCGCCTCCCAATCTGCCTCGTAATGAAGATTCGGGGAAATTGGTTGCGATGGATTTGGTTGGGCCATCGCTCGCACGGAGGTCGGAGGAAGTCCGACCGGTAGGACGCCCTGAGATCTCTGGTGTCGCCGAAACGGGCGAGTCGAACAGGCCCATGCAGCGCTCATCGGACGATGTGAGACGTTCAAAGATTTCAGCTGCCAGTCCACTGATGAATTTTACGAACCGAGATTTGACAGCGCTTCCCAGAGAGCAACAGAGAGAAGCGCATTCGAGTGCTGTACTCGAACAGGTGACATCGGGGATTTACCAACCAGGAAGGCGATCAGTAGCATCGATGAAGGAGAAGAACGTTCCAGAGATCTACAAACCAACTGGGTTGGCCGCCCCACTCCCGGCGGTCCGGGATCAGTTCCCTACTGATTGGCCGCTGTCCTCACCGGCGAGTGAGGCTGAGGGGCTATCGGACAATGACTATTTCATCGGTCATTCTGAACCAAGGCCTGCCTGGACGCAGAGAGCCCAGTCGGCCGATCGTTCGCTCGTGACTAATGATTTCGAGGAATTCTTTGTTCGCTCGTTGCCCGACCGGTCCGGCGTGCAACGCGATCATACTTTATCGAAGAAGGTTGTAGAGCGGGATTTTGGAGATATCACAAGGCCGAGCAGCGCGCCAGGATTTCGACCTCGTGAATACAAAGTCATCACGGAAAGCACTGTGTCGGAGAGTTCCAAAGGTGGATTTCGCCGTCCTCGGCCAGTCTCCATGGTTGCAGAGGAAGACCTCTCAGACGACGGTGGAATCCTGCCCGCTGAATCTTCAAACAACGCTGCCGGCTATTTTGGCCATCAAGGATTGACCCGACGTTCGAAGAGCGCTGAGCCTGCGAGTCCGAAGTTGCCTGCGCTTACTGTTCCGAGCGCAGAAGCGGTGGAAGCGGCGTCGCGCCCCGTGAGACCTGGCCTTGATGAAGACGGAGTCATCCGGCGTGCGTCCACGGCTTCAATCGAGGCCTACCCGCGCGACAGAGTGCAGAGTATCGAGATTCCACGGCGTAGTGTGGATGCGTTAAGCTTGCCGCAGACCCCAGAAGGCATCAAAGCGGGAGAACCTATTCGCCCCGTTCGAATAGTCAGACCACAGACTCCGAAAGCTCGTGAAGCAAGAGAAGCCATGTCGGAGAACCCCATGGATTTCAACGGAGTGATGGAGTTTCCGTCTCCACCAAGCGTGCCCAACAGAGCATCAAGTCTGCGGCGAAACAGTGCCTCATCTGCAAAGTCAAGCACACCTTCCAACCGAATGTCCGTCTCTTCTCAAGACGCCGGGCCATTGAATTCGCTGGTCTCCAAACAACGACAAATCCCGGTCCCCGTGCGAGCTCCGATCGGGACCGCACCCAGCTCACAGACCACGACGCCTGCATCGCACGTGAGCCTGGGCCACGATCATTTTGATCGCCATGTGAGCCAAGTGCTGGATAGGGTCCAAGCACCGATCAAGTTCAAGTCGCGAGCAGGGGCCGTGACGCCCGTGGCCAAACAGAGCATGGAGCAGCGACTGCGAGCAAAGGCGGAGAGACAAGGCAAGAATATGACGCTTGCGCCTGCCGACATCACGCCCAAGAAAGCGTCGCCCGCCGACCCCGAAGTTAAGTTGTACCACTTGACGCAGGTTGGCCGGGCGGAGCCCATCAAGTTATACGTGCGGCTGGTGGGAGAAGAGAATGGGCGGGTAATGGTCAGAGTTGGCGGCGGCTGGGCGGATCTGGCCGACTACTTGAGGCAGTACGCCGAACATCACGGCAGCCGCACGATTTCTGAAGGCGCTTTGGAGTTGCAAAAAGCAGAGGCAGCGAGCACCTCCAGCACTCCTGGTTCCGGCAAGCGCAACTTTAGTGGGCCTGCGTACCCGCCGGAGTCCTCGAAGGCTGCCGCTGCTCGGTCTCCTGTCACTCCGGTCACTAGCAAGGTCACCACTACCACGACGACCACGACCACGACCAAGCCGTCTCGCGCAGGCTTGAGCACGCACACGACTGTTGCGTGGGACACCAGCCGGAGCAAGCCTCGACTCTGGATCGGAGGCGACACCGACGAGGAGGATGGAGACGATCAGCTCTCCTCTCCGCAAGACTCATCTGCTCCAGGATCTACGAAGAGTATCTCACGACCGTCCACTGCCACGGCTGCTCTGGAGAACAGTCGACTGGGCGCTGCTTTCGACCCTGGCAACTCTCCTGGCCTTGACGGCACAACAAGGGCGGAACTGCCAGAACAAAAGGCAAAGTGGGTGGAGGGCATGATTGAGAAGGCGATGAAGAGTGCTAGCGTTGGGGATAAGGGCGAGAAGGCTGGAGAGGACCATGAAAAGTATTTTGGTCAGATGGGTAAGGTGGGCGCCACAAGACGGGTGGTGTTTCGACAGAGTTCGGGGACGGAGGCCGGGAAGTAAATGGACGGGATTCGTAATGGATTGTGGGAGAAGGTTGCACGATTTGGCAGCGGATTCCCCGAACGACGGACGGGCTGTGTACAGACCACACTAACGTGGGCTACATGCCTTCACTGCGAAATTGAACAATCGTAAGCATGCGTCCATGTCCAATACCCAGAGCGCCGTGCAGATGGATGCAGTGAGGAAGATGTGGTGTTCATCCGTCACTTGTGATGCGAAGTCACGTCAGTGAGCAGCTCGAAATCATGCACTGCTGGGCGTAATTGATGGTTAACGATGCGTGTTGAGAAGGGACACGCGGGCGGATAGAGGGCTGGGCATCCAAAAGCAGTGTCTGAAGAGGAAAGAGAGGAGCAGACTTACAACAGTGACAATGTCAGATCCCCTCGAATGCTCGCTTTCAACTCAATCTCAATCTCCAGATTTGCCTCGAGGGTGAGCTTCAGGCCATCTTGATCTTTGAGCTCGCTCTGTGGTAATCATCAGTGTCCTATGGCCTTCACGAGCAATGATGGAAAGGCCAACATACCCCCTTCGATGCCTCGGGCGTCATGTAATACGGCTGTTTCGGATTCGACCCCCGCACCGGGATCTCGCCCCTCTGCGCCCTCGCCATCGTCACCGGCCCATCCATACTCGTCGAGTCGGGCCCGATGCGCTCAAAGGGCTGCATCGCCTGCAGCTCGCCCGCCGCATCCGCCTCCTCCAGCGCCTCGAGCGAGTTCGTCTTCATGTACTTGCCGTCGTCCATTGCCTGTCGTATCCGCTTGCGCCGATCGCGGCGCGACGATGAGCGCGAGCGATTGGATTGCTCGCCTGCTTCGCGGCGTTGCTGTGCTTGGTAGTTGTCGGATTTGTGTTGCTGTTGCACTGTGCGTTGTTTGAGGGGTTCGCCGTCCGGAGTGGTGGCGTCGGGGCCCGGAGGCTGTTCTAAGTACTCTCTGCTTGACATTTTGGATCGTGACGAGGAAGTTTGAGACGTGGGTGAAATGTGAATGGAGCAGAAGGAGAGGTCAGGGAAGGGCAAGAAACAACAGAGCTCTGGTGGTAAGATGTCTTCATCCGGCATGCGATGAGCGAACAGGCATGCGCGCACGCCGAAACCTGCTTGGGAACAAGAGGCGGTTTCGCGGCAAAAGTGGGCTCGGCATCACCTCCCCTGCTCGTGGACACGGCATACCCATGTTCTCCAGGTGTCTCAGCCACAGGCATGAAATCAGCGGCGTATGCAAGCAATTACGCCATTGCGGATAACTCGGGTCCACGACAGCAGGCTCGTAATATCTGCGTGGTGGAACGGGGGTTTGGCGGGGGAGTGGAGCAGTGTGCAGGGCCAAAGCAAGGCACGCGCGAGGACGTGAAGTTGGAAATCTTGGACGGACCCGATGTGAGCTGAATCGGGAAGTCGACGCCAGCCTTCCAAGGCCGAACGTGGTTGCTTCAAAGCAAGACCGAAGCAAGACACGGCCTATTTTCGTCATATTTGTGGAGGTCATCGCAACATTTCGTGATGCTCTCAGCCTTGGTTTGTTCGACAGATGGCGAAATGCGAGAGAAGTCGTGTGCATTGATCGATCAATCGATTTTTGACGGTGCACTACCATACATTTCGAGAACTCCCTGCACCGCAGAATGATAGAAATAAAACAGAACTCGCGTAAATGTATCCAGCACTCAGTTGAGCAGGCCCAAGGTGAGATCGCCATGAATCTTCGCCTTGAGCTGGATCTCAATGTCGAGATTCAACTCCAACCGTAGTCGCAACTGCTCGCCGCCGTCGCCCTTCTCTTCACCCTCGCCCTTCTTGCCTCCTCCCGTAAGCCCTCCGAGCGCGTTGCCCACCGTGTCTCCGACTTGATTCACAGCCTGGCCCGCGGTGTCTTGCACTGCATCCGTGGCGCCGCCCACGAGCTCGCCGCCGGGGAGACCTTCGGAAATGTCGCCTAATGGGCCACCGCCTCCGGATGACTTGGCTTGACCCTGCTGCTTCTTCTGACGTTGGCGCTGCCGACGGCCACCTCCAGATGCGCTGACTTCGCTTCGCGCGATGGACTCGGTGTCGCTTTCTTGGCCACCGCCGCGTTTCCCGCGCCCTCGGCTCTGGCGGCGACGGGATGCTTCGCGTTGCATTTGCGGCTCGGGTTCAGGCTCAGCTTCCGCATCGGCGTCGGCGCCAGCTTCGGCCTCGGCCCCATCTTCGCCATTCACCTGCGCGTCGGCACCTGCCTCAGCGCCGTCTGCTTCGGCATTCGCATTCGCCTCGCCTTCAGCGCCCTCGTCGCCGGTGTTGTCGGGCGTCGGCTGCTGTTGCGGCTCTTCTATAGCCTGCTGAGCCTTTTTCGAGCCCAGTTTCTTGGGCGTCCGCTTCTGCTGGGTTTGTTTGGCTGATACACTCCCCGCTCCGCTTGCGTTGGCATTCAGCCCAGCCGAGCCCGCGGCGGCACCGGCAGCAGACTGCTGTTTTTCCTCGGTTTTCTCCGACATGATTAGGAAAGATAGATGAGAGTGCGAAAGTGAAAACGGAGTGACGGCGAAGTGTTTGGAGTCTTTGGGCACGAAGAAGAAGTAAGAAGGATGGTCTTACGACAAGAAAAGTACGAAAAGGACATGATTGCAAACCTGCTTTGTCGCGGGCGAGATGAAGTGACTTGACGCAATCCGCTCCACTGACACCCCAGCCACCAGCACGAGACGGGTTTCAGGGATATGGCCCTGGTAGTGTGGTACTGGAAGCAAGTGGACTCGAGATGTGGCGGTGTCGGGACGGATGCCGAAGCAGGCCCAAAACTTGGTCATCGCCGGGTTCCACATGACGAATGGGTTGGTCGTGATCGACTGAGTGTTCCTGATTCCGAGATGGCATTACTTGCGATGTATTGTCTGCACCGCAGCAGCTTGCCGAACATAAGACGATAGTATTGTAGGTGATATGTGAGAAAAGGTTGTAGATGTGCCTCGACCTGAGAGCCGGTTGGACTCGACGAATCAACGCCAAGAAAGCCCGGGGATTCGCATGCATACTTTCATGCAACACGTACGACCATCCATGTGCCGTCCGTCCCATTGCGTCTGATCTCTCCCATTGCGCAAGCTTGATCTGGACAAATACGGTCGAGTCGTTCGATGAGTCTCAGAGATGCAGCAAAATGCGGCCGATGAAGCCGCGAAGCAGCGCATCATCTCTCACATGAACAAAGACCATCACGATTCTGTACAGTCTCCATCCTTGAAGACTTCTCACTGGTACATACTGATTGATGAGCAGATTGTCCGATATCTAGAATACTATGCCAAGCTCCCCTCGTGGACAGCATACGACGGGGCCGTGGCGGATATCAGCCTGGACAGCATGACCATGACCTGTGGGAGTCGAACCCATCGAATCCCCTTCGATCCCCCAATGGCCTCATACCGTGATGCTCGCGAAAGAGTCGTCCAGTGCGCATACTGTTCCCAATCTGCTTCGCCTTGATCTCTGCTGACTTCGCTTTCCCCTGGGCAGAATGGACAAGGAGTGTCTCGAGGCGCTGGGAAGATCCGACATAACTGTCAAAGACTTTGTGCCTCCGACAGGACTTTACGCGCTGGTGTTCGCCATCATCGCCACGACCTTTGTCTGCTATAGCCAACGCAGATGGTTTGAGCGGAACGGGCTCGTGGAACACTTGTTAGGCCAAAAGTTTGCGGCGTTCAGCTGGAGGATACAGCCCACGGTGTTGTACGGCATGATTGCCATCCACGGCGCAGAGTTGGCGTATTTCATCCCCAACTACCTGCAAAGGCATTCGGTGAATGTGCGTTCGCCGCTGTTCTGGAAATGGGCCTTCTTCGTTTTTGTCGAAGGGCAATTTGCGTACAAGCGCTTCAACGATCTCGTACAGCGGAAGATTGAGGAGAAGCAGAGACAGAAGCATTAGATAGCAGCCTCATACTTCAGTTCGTTCGTTGAATATCAACCATACGAGTCTTCGACCGACGCCCCTGGCACGTGATCTCGGCGTTACCCCGAATCCCAGGCCCACTTTAACTTCAGCGCAGGTGCCTGACTTCACAGCCTCTTGCCTTCTTCCCTTCGCAGACACGCAATCTATTGTTCGCCAAAACCACCGTTGTTCATCATTGCAAACCACGTTGTACGCCGAGAAGGCCTCGTTACTGGCCATATCCTATGTCACGTTGGCTCGCCCCGCTCGATCTCGAATGACACACCACACGTTGCCACATCAGGAGGCGAAGGCCTGGCCATGTGCGTGCAACAATAATGTCGACTTTATGACCGGATCATCGCGCGAGCCAGTCATATTTGATCATGGACGGCTTTTGTTCGACTTCTGCTTCGAGTCTGGCCGATAACTCACTGCCCGACTCAACCCCTACTCTTAGTCCGAGGCCTTCTCCAGCAACACCGGCATCATCGGTCGCTTCAACATCGCAACATGCGCGAAAATGGAGTGGAGATGGAGTATTCTCAACAGAGGCACTAGAATTCCTTTCCGACTTCAGTAATTACTTGGCCCTGGGCTGTCTGTGTTCGCAAGAATTTCCCGCCACCGAAGATGACGATAAGTTTGACGGCTGGCGGAGGTCCGCTAATCCCCCTGCCTGTCTCTTTGCGACGAACACACTGTACACACACTTCACAAAGCTGCTAGCTGCCGGGTGGATACGATCAGAGTTGCACAGAACGGCCAAAGCACCCCTACTCTGCACCTGGACACTGCGGATCTACATATTGCCCTTCGACGTCGGCCATCGGTTCGTGGAACGCCAAAGCAGAAAGCTTTATCTTGCTCTAGAAAGCTTGACCGCCGAGCTCGATGTAAGCCAAGAGACCTGGCAGGGCAACGTCCCTGCTACGGCACAGAAGTTTGACCCATACGCTAGGCAAGAGGAGGGATCGCTCTTCTGGATGTTCAACAAGTTACCCTCACCATCGCCAAGTCCTGACACTTTGAAAGATAGAAGGTACGCACGAGAGGCGCTTGAAGATCTGCTTGACCCAGCGTCGGGAATCCCTGGCCTCCGAACAAAGCTATATCCTTATCAACGCCGATCCGCTGGCCTTATGTTGCAACGTGAGACTATCTCCAACCTGGTACTAGACCCGCGACTAGAAAAAAGAACAGCGCCGGATGGGTCAGATTTCTACTTCAACCCTCGGGAGCTTGTGTTCCTCCGTGAACCTCGCTACTACGAGGCTTGCAAAGGTGGCATCCTCGCCGAAACCATGGGCTTGGGTAAGACATTGATCTGCCTCGCCGTCATCCTCGCCACGAAAGACCAACCTCCCATCGTACCAGAGATATGCAGTCTACCGCCCGTGCGATCGTCAGTTGCGAAGCTTTCGGAAATGGCCATCTCGGCGATCAATCGGAAGTCCATACCTTGGCGAGTCGAGCTGGACAGGGTCAGATACGCAACAGGTGACATGATGGAGAGTGTACGGGAGAAACTTGAAATGCACCCGGCCCACTACCAGCTCCCTGTTGTGCCCGTACGCTGGAACAGGAAAACCATTATGCCACCGCCAAAGAAGATGATACTTGCTTCGACAACCCTGATCGTGGTTCCGCGCAATCTCTGCAAGCAGTGGCAATCGGAGATTCGAAAGCATGTCGATGAAGACATTCTGCGCATGCTCGTGATGGAAGACTCGAAGAAAATATTGCCGCCCCCAGATGAACTGCGAACGTTTGATGTCGTGCTCTTCACGCGAGGCCGCTTTGAACTCGAACTCAAAGATGGCGCCGACGACCAAGGCCGACGGATTGGTGCCACTCAACTCTCCTGTCAATGCCCCTACATCGGCGCCACACGAATTCGGGATTGCCATTGTGTTCGCTTGGACGATCTGTACGATTCGCCGTTGAAGCACTTGCACTTCAAACGCATCATCATCGACGAAGGGCATTTCTTCGCAAACACAAATGCTGCGGCAGTCTCCGTTGCGAACCGGCTTGTTTGTGCAGACCACCGATGGGTGGTGAGCGGTACTCCAGCGAAGGACCTTCTTGGTGTCGAAGTCGATATGTCTGCTGCTCATAATCTGTGGCACACTCCAGATACGAAAGAATCGAGAGACACAGTGCTAGAGCAGAGACGGCATTTCAACAAGACTGATGACACCGCTGGTGCGATCAAAAGTCTGGGAGCTCTCGCTGCAAACTTCTTGAAAATAAGGCCCTGGTGTGCTTCGGAGGAGAACGAGATGAAAGCAGAGTGGGATGAGTGCATCTACCGCCACGAGGATCTTCGAAAACGCACATTCTCCGGGTTCTCTACATCCCTTCGGCGAACATTGCAGAGCATGGTCGTGAAGACGCAGCCAGAGGATGTCGAGAGCGATATCGGTCTTCCGCCCCTGAGCCACGAGGTCATCCGCCTCGAGCCGTCATTCTACGACAAGCTGACAGCGAATCTGTTTACTCTTGTGTTGACGGCGAATGCCATCACTTCGGAGCGGACTGATGTTGACTACCTGTTTCACAAGAACAGCCAGAAGGCAAGATCACAGTTGATTTCAAACCTGCGGCAAAGCGCATTCTTCTGGACTGGTTTCAGCGAAGCAGATGTGCAGGCAAGTGTGAAGAGCAGCAACGGCTATTTGGAAAAGAAGGCGACAAATTGCAGTGACTCTGACCGCATACTGCTGGTGGAGACCTTGAAATGCGCAGATGTCATCTTGAAGTCCAAAGGCTGGAGAGCGTTGAGCAGATCACACGAAGTTGGGCTGTTCGTTGAGGATTGGCCGGCCTTGAGCGCGGATCATTGGGCTTTTGACAAAAGCCGCAATCCCCTGCTGACCGGTGTGTCTCAACTGCTGGAGGCACAGAGCCATGCCAACTCCCAAGCCGGCCTGGGAGACCCTATGGAGGGATTAGCTGGGGCCGGCGTTAAAGCACTCGCACCCGTCTGGCAACCCAGAGTCAAGACGGAGGACGAAGGCAAGGCTGAGAAGCCCATCTTGACGAAAGGCATACCAACCTCGAGCCTGGATGGCGAGCCTCTGCTCCGACGGCGATCTGGTTCGAAGGCCGGCAATTCCCCGAAAAAACCCCTGCAGAACTCCAAGGTGCTGAAAAAGAAGGAGAAAAAACGCCTAAAAAGACTCCGCATCAAGGCCAAAATCAAAGCCAAAAGCGGCCTCGAGCACGTCTTGGACGCCTCGGAAGAGTCTGCAATGTCCGACGCTCCCGCTCCCGATGCTGCGATTCCTTCCTTGCCTTCGAACTCTCCATTGCTCAAGAGCCGCATCGTCGGTACAACATCTGCCAAACTCAGCTACCTGATCTCGCAGATTCTCCGCTACTACGAAGGGGAGAAAATCCTTGTCTTTTACGACGGTGACAATGTGGCGTACTACATCGCTCAGATGCTGGAGCTATTGCACATCAAGCACGAAATTTATGCGAAATCCCTGCCTGCCCATCTGAAAGCGGAGTATGTCGTTCGATTCAACGAAGAGCCTGAGGACCGAGTGCTGCTCATGGATGTGCGCAATGCGGCGTTCGGGCTCAACCTACCTTCAGCTTCGCGAATTTATTTTGTGAATCCTGTCTGTCGGCCGAACATCGAAGCACAAGCGATCAAGCGTGCGCACAGGATTGGGCAGACTCGGGCGGTGTTTGTGGAAACGCTTGTGTTGAAGGACACGATCGAAGACAAGATGCTGGAGCGATCCAGACGGATGACGAGGTCGGAGCACCATGATGCGAAAGCTTTGGAAGACGATGGAGGTATTCGCCAGATCATCCAGAGCGCCCGGATAATGACCGTGTACAAGCGTGAGCGAGTGGGAGCTGGACAGATGGCACCTCTGGATATCCCACAGCAGGTATGGGGCAGAAACGGCTGGACGAACTTTGTCAACATGAAGAATGTACGGCTTGACAACGGCGGACAGAAGAGGAAGATTGAGGAGGTTGATGGCGAGAAGAACACTCATGCAAGCGCTCCGCCCAAAGAGAAGAAGGCGAAAGTGAGACGAACGTTGGACTTCGTGGAGTGCAAGGCCGTTCCCATCCATGACAGTGACGACGAGCCATTGGCGAACCGAGCGCGAAGGTCAAGCCAGCCTCAGCCGGCAACGAAACCCCTGCTTCACTCTACTGCTCAAACAGTCTCCTTTGCGATCCCATCGAGCTTGTCCGACACATCCTGGTATCGAGACAAGGTGGCGCTACCGCAGCCACAGTTTGAGCCCTTGGAAGAAGCAGATTCGACCTCTTGCACACCACCTATACAACCTTCCGTGCTCTCATCCATGAAAGAGGAGAGAGTGCAAGACCCCGGGCTGACGGCTCACGACATTGTCCAGGACATCATTCGTAGGCTGTAACACGAAGTGTACATTACTAGTTGAACAATGAACAATGACATGGATGAACAATCTCCTTTCATAGATTTTCGTCACAAATCTCAGCTGGCTCCATTCGTAGGACGAGAGACAGCACTCGCACCACAGCTCCTCCAAGCACTCAAGATGAGATCGACTATTTGTTCGACTCCCTTGCCGTGTTTCACCTGGGCAAAGATGGTAGGTCCGCCCTCTCTATTGCGAGGGGTTAGTCGATGCAGACAATAGACACCCAAAAGACATCCATGCACTCACCGGATCTTCCGCGCATCCCTATCCATCACACCCAAATCCGCTCCAACAATTTCAGCAAGATCAGTCTTATTGACAATCAAAAGATCACTCTGCGTGATCCCCGGCCCGCCTTTCCTCGGGATCTTGTCCCCACCGCTGACATCGATAACATAGATGATGAAATCAGCGAGTTCACGAGAGTAATTAGCAGCCAAGTTATCACCCCCGCTCTCAATCAGCAGCAGCTCGGTGGCGAACTCGCGATGCAAGTCCGTCAGCGCGGCGAGATTGGCGGAGATGTCCTCGCGCACGGCCGCGTGCGGACAGCCGCCCGTTTCGATGGCGCGGATGCGCTCGGCGGGCAGCGCCTTGTGCCGCGTGAGGAACTCGCAGTCCTCGCGCGTGAAGATGTCGTTGGTCACGGCGGCGATGTTGTACTTGTCGCGCAGGGCGAGGCAGAGCGCGAGCATGAGCGCCGTCTTGCCAGAGCCGACGGGTCTGTTTGGAGCGATTTCATGTCAGCAGCTGCAATAAGAGGAGTCTGATGGTGGCTTGGTTGGTCTTGACATGGACGCACCCACCAATGCCGATAGTGAAAGCTCGCTCCTTCCAGTCTCGGCCTTCGACTATGGGCATCTCGCGGCCCAGGAAGGAGCCCGGGCCGTCGAGGATTTCGTGCGTGTGGCCGTGATCGGCGCCGGCGTGTGAATGGCCGATGCCATCGTGACTGTGTGCCATTGCCTCTGGTGACTGTAGAAGCAGCTGTCGATTTAGCAAGGGCAAGGTGGAAGAAGAGATAAGAGATGGTCTGGCAACTGATAGACGGATGAGATGGACAGCGGCGCCGGTCACCAATCACATTACGCACTGATTTGGCTTACGAGCTTACCCATTTGGCTTAGAATGTCGATTGGAACCTTAACCTTGCAGTATGAGATATCGAAGCCTTCTGGAGATGACCAGATACCACGTAGACTGCCTCGATCTTATCGCCGCGGCTGTCATATCTTCGAAAGACACATGGCGCCTCGGACCGTGAGCCAAGTAGGTGAACAGGCTGGAAGTGGTGAATTGAGATCTGCGCTTCTCGTTCTCAAAACCTATCGTACATGGCGCCGCTGCTATGCTGTCTTGCGCATCTACGCCGCGAAAGAGGAGAATTTATACAGTGTTACGATGCCGCTTTCAGCATCGTATCTAGATGGTCGACCACTCGAGGTCGGATGCGATGTGTTGGGGTTCCGTCCCACGAACCCAGACGACATACTCCAAGCCTTGCCTATGAGTTCTTCACCACACCAACCTTGGCAGGCTAGACAGATATAGTCAGTAAGCATCGCCCAGTAGTAGGGCGCGCACACTCCACTCACCCGTATGACTCTCCCGTTCAACAAGAAGCCCTTCGATTGGGTGTGGAACGCCGTCCCGTCCTCCTTATCCTTCATGGGCGTCTGGAAGACAGCCTCATGCTTGTTGGGATCAAACTTCTCCCCCTTCTCGCTGGGATCGAATCGCTCCAGCCCGTGCTTCTTCAACGTCTGCATGAGAATGTCTTCCGTCATCTTCAAGCCCGAGTGCAGATTAACCAGGTCTTGATTCTCGGAAACGAGCTTGTCGGCAGGCACGTTGATCAGTGCACGATCGAGATTATCGACAGAGTCCAGAAGGTCTTTGGAGAAGCGCTGGAGGGCAAAGTCTTTGGCGGCTTGGATTTCACGTTTGGTTTGTTCCTGGAGATTACGGTACTCTGCGACGGATCGTTTTAACCGATCCTAGAAAACGAGTCAGGCATGTTGGATTTACAACGAGTCACTGCTCGATAGAACTGTATTTTGTCTTACCGTCAAGTCAATCACCTCTCTCTTCTTCGCCTCCAACTCCTTCTGCACCGGATCTTCCTTAGTCGCTTCTTGCGCCTTCTTCTGCTGTTCAGGCGTTGAGTCTTGTGCTGGCTCCTCTTTTTTTGCCTCCGCTTCCTGCGCTGACGAGTACCATCTTCGCGCCGGTAATCTCTGTGATGCGACTGGGGCGAATGATCTGAAGGCAAATGGCGAGGAGGAGGTGTTGCTGCGTGGTAATCTGATGAGCGGTTGGTGCTGCTGCGGCTGGCGCGCAAGCGCTTGAAGGGATCGAGACAATCGCTGTTGTAGCATGGTTCAGACGGGATGTGCAGCGGCGAGAGGAAGAGTGGTAGATGACGATGAGCACGAGACGTGATGGCGAAATGGTCCTGGAGCTTCTAACAAATTTCTCGGATCGATCTGCGCACGGGCCGCCGTCGGCGCTCGGCTGCTGCCGGCGCCACAACCCAGCCGGGCAGCCCTCGTGGCAAATTGCCGCATTCAGCCTTGCCGACGATTCCCAACTCTCCGTGTCTCCTTCTACCCTGTCACAAATCATGATGCTTGCCAAAAACTCCCGTAATACATGGCAGGTCGTAGTCGTAGCGCTCATAAACCTTGAAAAGCATCACCCCTCGCGTCTCTCCGACCAAAAGTTAGGCTCGTCCAGCAAACCCGCCGACTTCGTCCTTTGCGACTCGACCCGCGACGCAAGTTGCGAGTCGTTGTTCAGATCCGTCACCGTCCGGTACAAACTGTCTTCCCTTGCTTCGTTGCCCTCCAGTCCTTGGACACCGTGCGGTCGGAATGCTGCCCGTGAACTTCCTGCGCTCGGAGTGTCGCCATGCTCGCTGCCTTCCGGAAGCGTGATCTGTGAAGGTAGCCAGGATGACTGCGAGGATGGCGCGAGGAGAATGGCAATCTGCGCGTCCGTCAACCATCAAGTCGCTAGTCAAGCAACGATGTCCAACAGGGTAGCTCTCACCTTCCAAATGAAGACCCCAATCGGCACCACCATTAGCATAATCGCCACCTTTCTCTCCTCCTCCCTCCACGGCTCCAAGCACCGATTGTCCCTTTGAAACCTCATTTGACATGCATTCGCCCCGTGATTCGCGTCCGGAAACGGCCATGACATGTCCTGTGGATTCTTCAAACCACAGCACGAGAACGCATCCTGAATCCGCCGTATATCCTCCACCTCCCTGCCATCAAACAACCGCATCCATCTCTCGCCCAGCGCACAGTTCAAACTCCCCGGCGGCGAGTAATGCGTGCCAGCCAGCGTAGCCAAGACGGATTCAAATATGAGAAAAGCGGCCACGACGACTTGAAAAACTCGCGATGCCTGCACCTGGCCCTTCCGTGCTAAGCTGTCGTTGAGTGAGAGTACAGCCTCTAGTGCTACGCCCGCCAGTGGCGGCAGGGCCATCGCTAATGCGCATACTGCGTTGGGAATCGGCAGGCTGTATCTGTTTGCGCTGTAGAGCGCGTATGCGGCGAGCGAGGTCAGGGCCAGGAGATACTGTTTATGCGTTAGCACGCGAAACTGTGAGATATATGTGCATCACGCGTACCAACACCGACACACCGGTGACGAGATGTCTCCTTGTCAAAGCCATCGCGGGAGCTGTTTGGAGATAGATCACTCGCGCAGCGTCCTAGCACGAAGTTGCACGATAAGCTGTGGCAACCTGAAGTCGTCACAATGAGATCACGGGGGCAGGGGCGGAGCTGATCCGCCTGGAATTCCACACACTGGAGACGGATAGATTGAGCTCTGAACCGAAGAAGAATATGACTGAATGTGTGTTCGAACTTCGTGAGTGGAAAGGGTACAGCGAGGACGATTTTGCTTCTTCGCCACCGACAATTGCGCTATCGACACACCAGCCTCGTACCCTGGCAGATTGCGGAGTGCGGAGTAGAGTGGGGAGGTTGGGGCGTGAGATGATCGACACCTCCAACTTCGTTTGTCTACGCATGCATTGAATGCTATACATGTCCTACACAATCACACTACCATGATCATAGGCTCTCACTGCGATTGTCGCAGCGTCTCTTCCTCGTCCCTCGAAGATCATCTCATAGCTCTCCCGGAACCGCCTTAGCGATTCCTGCAATTGGACTCTTTCATCTCCTTCAAGCCGCACCGCAACCTCCACAAACTGTGTACCCTTTCGCACGTAGTACCGTCCGTCCCGAGCATGCCACTCCGACTGAAACTTTTCCCGCACTTGCTTCATGACGAAATCTCTCGTGTCAGGCCATGCGTAGGAAAGCACCGATTCTCTCCCCTCGCTTCCAACCCATTCATCGATACTCTGGCCAGTCGTATACGCCTCGAATTGCGCGGCACACTGTACAAACTCACGAACAGTCTCCTCGAGCCCCTTCGCCGCCTCGGTGCTCCTCCTCATAAATTGCACGCAAGGTATAGCACACCGGACGAAGTCGAAGATGGCGGCTACCGTCTTTTGAACATGCGGCAAGGTGATCTGTCCATGATGGACGAGAGCCGCTCGCAACGGGTGCAGTGCGCTTTGGAAGAGGATAGCCAGCGTCTGAAAAGTCGCGGCAACGCTTCCGTCGTCTTCCATCTGGACACAGTAGAGGAGCTTCTCTGCAATGTTCGCGCATGCCTCCACGATTGGCACCGTCACAATCCACGAGCATGCTGTGAGAAGAGAACTCTCAAAGTACGCGGGAAAGACGGCGGACAAGAGGACATGGCGCAGACTGGGCGCGTGCGGATTCCCCCTTTCCACTGTACTCGTCGCTGCCGACACGAACTGATCGATCAAGTAGGATTGATGCCCATCAAGCGCCGCTCTTTCGCTCACAGTCTGGATGAAAACCGCGAGCTCCTTCCGCTTACGACCTTCATTGAGCTTCGGCACATAGCTCCTCAGCCTGCCAATGACATAGGTAGGATCGGTGGCGGGCAATGGGAAGGCTGAAGAGTCCGTGAAGAAGCGATCCACTGCGCAGATGTCGGTAGTGTATTGCTGCAGGAGCGTGACGACTTGCTGCACGAATTCGACATACACGCCCTGCGCCTGCAAGCTTGCGACTTCCGCTTGCCCAGAGGGTTGGAGACTTTGGTAGTTTCGCTTCATGGCCTGCATCATTTGTACCAGCATGTCCGCGTAGGTTTGGCGTAGTTGCCGAAGCATGCTCGGATGCTGTCGTAGCGTGCGGTCGAAATTGTCGTACATGTTTGACAAGACAGCTGACAACATCGCCAGTCGGCGTTGGCGAAGCTCGTGCAAGGATATGTTATACTCTCCACTGCTGTTCCGCATGAATGGCAAGTTGAACAATAAGGGCTCCTCCGGATATCGGTTCAATAGAGCGCTCGTCAGCTTGTGCTGGAACTTCAGCGCTGCCTCTCGCGCCACCAACGATCGGAGCCATTCTGTGATCAAGCCGCTTTCGATTGGCTCAATGTCACCCAGCTCCGCCACCCGAGATAAGAAGTACGGGGTGTATTTGTGGTGCTGCTCCGTATCTCGCAACTGACTCCACGCATCGGAGCTGTAGCCAGCGATGTAGCTCGCCCAGGTCCTGGTACCATGGGCTATTGTGCGATGTGCCACACCAATCCATACATCGATGACTTGAGTAAGCAGGGTATCGTCTGTTGTTGTGTCTGCTCCGAACACATTGGACACCAAGTTTGCTAGTGGCCCTTGCAGACTTGTGGCGATGTCTTGATCGACCGGCTGAATCGTATCATCGACTGCTGCGAATTCTTGCAGTGCGCTGGAATCTCCGTACTCTTGACTCTCCTCGCTTCCTGGCTGGCTGTCTTTAGCGGCGCGAAACTTTTTCTCGAGATCGAGAGCGGCAATAGCAACGCGAAGGGCTTCTTGAATTGTCCCATGAAGCCGGCGATCGGACGGCTCGAACAAAGTCAGGACCTGTTGAAATCCACAACCTTCGAGGATGCTCAACACATTTCCGAAGGTGCTGCAACACTGCAAGACGTGCCTGAGTGCCGATAGAGTTTCCACAAGTGACATCGCTATCTGCCGTTGATTGCGAGTAATGGTGTCCTCAATGGTGCGGGATGAAACTGCGAGCATGCCCTCTGCAGTAGCCGCGGCAGCCTCCTGCTCCACCTCCGTCCTTGCAAGTCGATACTGGCTGATAGTGGTGGTAATGATACCGGAGATCCAGCTATTGAACGGCTCCAGGTTCGCAGAGGGCTCATCGGTCGACGCTTGGAAGCTGGCGAGATTGGACCAGGCGCGAATATTAAGTCGACAGACTTCTCGGTGAGAGCTCGAGTGATCCACCAAGTTCTGTATCAGACTCGGCCTCAATCGATGACCCGCCGGGGCAGCATAGTAGAGGGTGCAAAGAAGGTCATGGTGGTTTCGCAGCGCGTCTAAATCAGCTTGTCGCAGCTCGGCGTCTTTGCGATGCGTTCGACCATGGTTCGGAATGAATCGCCACGCTATACCACCGATTTTCTTGCTGGTGACAATGTTATGCTTCTTCAGTCCGTGCAGGCCAGACGCAAGCATCTTCAAGAAGATGGCGAACGATCGGTCTTCCGCTTGGACTTCCAGTTGAGGGTGGTGGGAAAGATCACTGAGAAACGCCGGGGAGCCATGGCTACCTTCGTTGTGCAATTGGGCAAGTCCACGTCTGGCGAAGAAGTCGAACGCGGTGCCGAGAAGCGATTCGCAACTCCACCACCCCCATCTGTTAATCAGTACGAAGCACCTCGTCAGAGCCGAGCGAATATAGTCATTCACCGTCGTGCCAGGGTGCGTGCTGGTAGCTGCGTACAGTCCGAATAACCGCTCAACGAGGCACTTCGGAAGAGTCCAGCCATCTCGGTTTCCTTGAAATCTGCTCCCCGTCCGCAATATGCCATTGACGTCTATTTCAAGAGCAGGTTGGATCGTCAGAAGGTCATACCAAACCTTATCGAGAGCGGAAACAGAGCTCAATGCGGACGGATCGACTCGTAGCAACGCTTGTGAGATGGCGGTCCAGAAAGATACACCCTCTATCTCAACTCTCTGCGTGACATGGTACAGGATGACAATGCTGCACATTACGGTGTCTGTGTCCCGCAGTCCAGCTTCACGTCGGGAAGAATGTTTGTTCGCTTCGTACGTGGTGTGCAGATCATGAAGGTATTCTGGCAAGCACATCTTGGCCAGATGAACGGTCGAGCGTGCTAATAGCTGCTGACAGCATGTTCGATCTTCTGGCTGCACTGACGCGTGCTGGCAAAGCACAACAAGCTGTGTTGACAGAATGACGGCATATTGGGCACATCTAGCGAAGATGTGGTGGTGCGTTGCTCTCCCGTCTTGATGCTCCGTGACACTCTCCAGCAAGTCCTGGACCATGCGTAGAGTCGCGTGTATGCATTCCCTGCGATCCACGGGATCAAGAAAGGCCAAACAACGAGTGAAGTATCGTACGACAGAGCGGAGCAAATAATCGACATTTGACAGAACCAGCGCCTGTGTTCCGGTCTCGGGTGAGTCGCACTGCTCTGTTGAAAGAGTTTGGAACGCATCAGATATTGCGCCGGGAATGCGATTCAAGCCGACCGCGACATCTTCGGTCCATGCTCCCCAATTCAGCACTTCACTATCGATGTGGATGCGGATTCGGCCTGTTGGGGTGTCCAGGTCCCGATCGGCGAAATTCAGGCTGGCAGCGAAATCGCCGCTGCCGATGAATGAGCTTTCATGGAAAAAGGTCCCAAGTGGCAAAGGAAGAACATCGAAATCGGTGGCATATCGGGTGCCAAACGGTCCCAGGCCGTGCAGTATTTGGCAATTATTATCTGTTGGCAGTTGCAATGTTTCTTCGATATCCTGAAAGACGGGTAACGGCTCACTCGGTTGTCGGAGTTCTTGGACTTCAGCATCGATGCGGCGAGATTGCCTTTTCCGAGGTCGGCGTGGTAGAATAACGCGCGATGGATCGGATTCGGCTGCTGCCTCATTGATTTCCTTGCTGGGCTCAGGACGACCATCTTTCCCAGTATTGGCTCTATCTGGACCAAGGTCAGGGTCGCGCAGGAAGCGAGCCAGCTGAAAGTCATTCCCGCCTCGACGATTTAGTCGTGCTACGCTCTCCGTGAGACAGTGCATGCGATGTTTGAAAATCGCAGCCCGATGATCTCGGCTGAAATCACCTTCCAACGACTCTATTTGAGCTTCACGATAACGCAAAGGCTGTGCGGGAGCTCGTTGAATTTTCGGATTTGGCCTACTCCTCGACATGCTCGCGTCCTCCGAACGGCTTTGTTCGCTTGCTCGGGTGCTCGTAGTAGTTTCGCTGAGATTACCGTTCGGCAGATTCAGCTGTATCTGGCGCGTTCTCGCCCAAGATACATGGTTCCCTGGCGGTTTTGACGGGCGAGTAGTGGTGACCTTGGATAGTGGAATCGGTAGTCGTGTTTGTCGGTTGTGCTGCATCTCTTCCAACGGTGTCCTGTTCACAGTACGTACCGATGAAACATTATTGCCATCGGATATCTCCTCGAGCTCTGTGCCAGTCCCGTGACCGCGGTATTGAACGTGACTCGGCTGATGAGGCATAATGGTGCCTTCTCGCCAGGAGCGCAGCACATGCGAGGCTTCGGCCGTCTCGTCTCTGGTTGCAAGACGCACATATTTACCTGACGGCGAATGTCGGCCAAGATTCGGTTGCTTTCGTGCTCTCCTTGCCGCAACTCGTATGAACTGGGGTACATGTTCACGATGCGTTCCCACTCCCCGCGGTGCATCGACGATGCTAAGTCGAGGTGCTTTTGTTTTGTCTGGCATTCGCCGATTGCCACGCTCGTGCCCTGAACCCTTTGTGCGAGACGCCCCCGTTATCCGGCTCATGGCAGCACGCTCTTCTGAGAAGTCCGTCTGTCCGCGCTCTCGTGGCTCCTTTATTTTTGATCGGCGCTTGACTGCGTGCTTTCCACCCGATCGAACTCGAGATGATCCGTCTAGCATGGGGTCTATCCAGTCAACTTCCATGCTGTCGTCATCAGCAAAATTTGTTGGCGCGGTTGAATGGCGGTCCCGTCGGAAGTCGAGTTTGAGCTGTCTCATTGCAGCGGGAGATGGGGGTCGATCCATCCCGTCATCCTCTTCCTCTTCCTCCTCATCGGAAATCACAATGGCATGTTGCGGCTTCGCGAACGACGCACTCTTGGAGAATACTCGTTGCGCGACACCTTTCTGCGGCGCAGTTTTGGGAGGAGACGCAGAGTTGAGCATATGCTGTTGCATTGAAGATGGAGATTCTGGCGGTTTTTGGGCACGTAGATCGACCTTGAGCCAGGACGCTGGCAAGACGCCTTTGACGCGTTTGCTTTGGGGTTGCATCTGTTGCTGGTTCACGTCGGCTTCCTCTTGCGAATGCGAAGACTCGCTAACGTGATCAAATTCGTCTGTCCTTTGCCCCGCGACAGGCGTCGATGACTGCTGCCTTCGAGGAGAAGACGGCTCGTGTTCGGATTGGTCGCCTTGGTCAGACCCAATGAGGTCGGCCTGAGGATCAGACGAAATCTCAGGGGTGAGTGGTGCATCTGGAGTGAGCCCTCGAGGCAATTTGAAGTTCGTTGCGGCTGGCCGAGTGGGCGCACGAGATGCTTTCCCACCTCGAGTAGATGGCGGAGATGGAGGTATCGAGAATTCATCCCGTGTTAGAGCTGCTGAAGCTGCTGCTCGCGCAGAGTGAATGCCGTGGGATATCTTTCTGCGCTTTGAACTGTTCCCGAGGGTACGATAGACAGGCTGATTGACCAGTGCATTGATGTCCGGCAAGTCTTTCTCGCTATCGGCATTGTCCGGTCCCATGTGGAAAGGCGAGGAGAGAGCTGGAGCCATGGAGAGTGAACCATCGACATTGGAACTTGAAGGAAGAAGAGATGTACTCTCATCGATGAAACTCTGATCGCTACGCTCATCGTCCTGGCTGGCAACAGGGTAATCTGTCTGCGCGGCACCTCGCTCCGTAACGACACGGACAGGTCGATAACCATGATCTCGAAACTGCTTTTGATGTTGTGCTTTGTCAAATAGGTAGGGATGCATCTGCTTCTCGTTGCGAACGCGCAGATTTCGTTTGCCGACCGAAGTTGGAACGAGGTCTTCCCAAGCGGTAGCTGCTTCGGTTGACTGCTCACTCGTCTCGAGTTGTTCGCCCTGCGCAGTCGAGTTGTATCGTTCCTCACGATTTTGGCGCATCGGAAACCGAAAGATCGCAGGTGGCGGTGAAGGAGAAATCTCCCGAATAGACAGTGGGGAAGATAGGGGCGTGCTTGTCACGGAATATGGCTGGGGCGTTGTCCGGTCATTTCGCAAGCCACCATCAGCCAGGATATCACGGATGTCCGGGAGGCTGGCAGAGTGATCGGATTGCGAGCTCCTCAACTGCGAGGACCGCTCGAGGTTTTCCGTCTGACGAGCCAGGGCGGAGATAGATGTGCTGCTCTGAGGCGCAGACAACTTCGACTGCTTGCCGTACAAAGCGGCGGGCTGGGGTAGCATCCATGGCTCATCCTCCACGGTCTGCTCGACATTTGCCAGGCCCAATCTACTGCTTGACGTCTCAGGCTCCTCAGAATGTCGGTGCAAGTCCTCCAGGCTAGCTGCTGTCTTCCATGTTGTCTTGGCAGCCCTCGATGGCGAAGCGAAGACAGCTTCCTCGTCGTCGGAATCCAGCACCTCTCCACGGTCTTGCCATGCTCTCATAGCTCCGAAGCCTCATCGTCAGCCCTTGTCTCCAGCTTGTGTCTGGTCCAGGAACGTTAATGTGGCGGCTGTGAGTGGTTGTCTTCTGATACGAAGTCTTGAAGTCAACCCGGAACTTTGGGTTTGGCCGTGGATGAGGAAGACGCGCTTGGACGCGCTCGTGGGTCGGCAGCTTCGGGCCGAGCCCTTGCCTTAAAGCCGCCCCTCCAATTGCGTAGGTCGACTGCGTGCCCATGTGAGTGGACATCTTCGTCTATCATCGCGCTCCCCTCCTACTTCATTCTTCACGTTTTTGGCCTACGATCGCATGTGCCGTTGAGTGTTCCAGCCTGACCGTTCTACCTCAGCAACCATGGCGCAGGATCCACGCGCGCTTCTACAAAAAGTCAGTGAAACCTGGCGTTCAACGGGCTGTTGCCTTTGCTAACAAGCTGCCTCACCAGGCCGACAAAGCAGCCTCGTCGGCAGGCGGAGGTTTCTCTTTCTTCGGCGGGAAGACGGACAAATACGAAAATGCCGTCGAGCTATACACACAAGCGGCGAATGCATTCCGAATGCAGAAAGCTGGCAAGGAAGCCGGACAAGCCTTCGAACGAGCCGCCGCAATCCAGTCTAAGAACCTCAACGAACCCGACGATGCGGCGAACACATTGACAGAGGCATTTAAGAGCTATCGGAAAGACGAGCCGGAGGAGGCGGCGAGGGTGTTGAGCCAGGCAATCAGCCACTACACGCTGAAGGGAAACTTTCGAAGGGCGGCGACATTTCAACAACAGCTGGCGGAATTATTTGAAGTGGAGCTAGGAGATCAAAAGAGAGCGATGGAAGCTTACGAGTCGGCCGCTGGTTGGTATGAGACTGATAATGCTGAGCAGTATGTTTAACACTCGCTTCGTACATGGGAGCCTTCACATTTGGATTGCGCTGACGTGTATCGGACAGACTCGCCAACAAGCTCTTCCTCAAAGTTGCCGATATCTCTGCGCTCGAGGCCGATTACTACAAAGCGATAGCCAACTATGAGCGCGTGGCGAAGAGTGCGATCAACAACAACCTCATGAAGTGGTCGGTGAAGGAATATCTCCTCAAATCTGGCCTTTGCCACTTGGCTACTGCGGACGTGATTGCAACAAACCGCGCTCTCGAATCGTACCGCGACTTGGATCCGTCCTTTGGTGGAACAAGAGAGCACCAGCTTCTGGTCGATTTGGTGCAGGCGGTCGAAGCAGGTGATCAGGACGCATTTGCGGATAAGCTGTTTCAGTTTGACCAGATGTCCAAGCTGGACAAGTGGAAGACGACCATCTTGCTTAGGGTGAAGGAGGGGATTGAGGAGCAAGGCGAGGATTTCTCATAGCCTTCGACTTCCTGGCGGATTTGCATTCTTGGTGGAGAATTGGCGTTCTGCAGCGATGTGCTCCTTCGTTAGACTATGCAATATGTCTTTGCACTTTTTCGTCCGCCGTCGCCGCAGTGTTGTATTCCAGAGCAGGCAGTACCTTCTTGAGTCGAGAGGCCTCAGGGGACAGTGTAGTCCACGATTCGTTGAGATGTTCATGTGCCACCTCCGGCATCTGTGCTGCTCTTCTGGTCGCGTGGCGCCGCAGACTCCGACGTTCGCTCTCTCGGTCCAAATAGCTTTTGTCTGATACCCCAAGCAAACCCTCCCTTTTGCACCTCCGTCACTTGCTGTTTGGCTTCTTGGAGATCGCTCATGATTGCCTCGCTAATGATTTTGTCATTCCGCGGAGGCTGCTCGAGCTTTTCGCCCGATTGTTCCGCTCGGATTCTCACGAGTTCGGGCTGCCAGGTAGTGTAGCCTGGCGAGATCGTTAGCATGTGTCGCACGGAAGACTGGGCGAGGAAGCGACTCACCAATGGCCACACCACAAATGAGGGCCCCGGCTACTCCCAGCACTGAAAACCCTCTGCTCATTGTCGCGCGTGGTTGATGATCTCATGAGAGATGCGAAGTGCCGGTCATCGAAAGAGGTACGGAAATTTGTTGAGGCCTGAGGCATCAACTCTGGAGCTGCACCTGTGCTCACTTCATGCGCCATCGACCACACTTCATGCGACGCCCCAAGAAATCGCTTTATTTTGATGGAGAAGAGGACCAATACTAACGTCAGAAGAGCATGACGTCTGCCAAAGCGCCGCCATGCATCGCATCTTCGGACGGCACGTCCAAACAGCAGTGACAAGGCCTCAGCTGTCTCCGCCAGTATCACATCGACTCCTCTCCACAACTCAGCCCCTACGAGATCGAGCTAGACATTCCAATGAAGCGCACATCAATGTCGAAGAACTCCTCTCTCAGCCAACATGGTCTGTAGAGCACTTGCTACCAGCAGAGAACGAAACGAATGATAGCCCGCAAGTCACATCCCAACAGCTTCATCACCTCCTCCGACTCTCGGCTCTTCCGCCGCCAAAGGACGCAGAAGAAGAGGCCAGGATGCTATCTACCCTATCCTCCCAACTGCATTTCGTCAAGCAGATACAAAAAGCAGACACTGCGGATGTAGAGCCACTCTGGGGTCTTAGAGATGAGACCAGGCAGGGCGAGAAGGAGGCGGAGCTGGGTGTGGAGGCGCTGAAAGATGCTCTCGAGGCGGAAGAAGTGCGGGGAAGATATCATAAGCGGATCAGACGGCGGAGAGAGGAGCCCGTGAAGACACCAGAGGAGGAGTGGGATCCGTTTCGGACGGCGGGCAAGAGGGTGGGACGGTACTTTGTTGTCGATGGAGGGAAGCGCAGATGAATTCTCGTCGCATGCCAGCACTTTATCCTGGACTGGGAATCTTCTGTTGGCACATAAAATGCTGTGTCTTCCCCGCTACCACGTCACGGCCGAGGGCCCCGTATGCTACAACGACAACGACCTGGCGTCTGACTACCAGCATGCGAGCGGAGGACTGCACGCGAGCACGTCACGCACGGCAGACTCGTATCGTTTTCTGGAAGTGGATCGATAGAGAACAACACATTTCAAGATCCAGAGGGTATCATCATTTCAAGTCGGAAAGACTTGTCCTCCCAACCCAAACTCCCAACATTCCCAGAATTCATTCCAGCGCCACCCTTCCAAACGCGCCAGCTACGGCGTCAATGTCTCTGGGAGACTCAACGATGGACTCCTGCGAAGGCGAATGGCCATTACTTCGCCGTAGCCCGGAATCAGCGCGCCCCTCGATCCGCTTGTCCAACACATCCACCCGCATGTCACTTTCTCTGTCCATTGATTTCAGCATCGTGGCTCCGTTCGTGTGGCTATCCCGTGACCTTTCTTCGAGAGCGCGCGCCGTGAGCTTGAGCTCCGCGCCGAGGTCACGAAGAAGTTGAGGAGGAACAGCGTCGCCAGGAAGATTTGCCAGCTTCTTCCGGTATGCGCGCAGATTCCGGCACACCGATTCCGTGGATGATGCAACGCTGCCGAAGCCTGGATTGGCGGGAGGAGCGAAAGAGCTCAACACGTTTTCAGTACTCTTAGACCGCAACGACATGCCGAGAGACGGTTTGCGCGTGACTTCTCTCTTTGCTTCCTTTGGGCTGGGAGGCGAAGGCGAGCGTTTCCTGGCGCTGTCACGCCGAGACTGGGCGAAGCTGGGGCGGAAGGTGGGTTCTAGACGCGGCGGCGACATGATGGAGGTTCGTGAAGTCTTCTTCTTGAGCCGCCGCGGAGATGGCGGCTGTGTAGGAGTGACCGCAGCCTGCGGTGAGGCGACTTCGTCCCCATCGATGCTCTTCTCCCGCTTGAAGCGTGATAGCTCCGAGTAAGACAAGACCTTCCGTAGGGGTGGTGCCAATGGCGTAAGCCTATTGCCTGCTCCACCTTCCAGTCCCTCGTCCGCTTCCGATATCAGCTCTTTCGGCGTTGCTGCATTGGTATCCCACATGAATATTGTCGAGTCCAACGCGACTGTGATGAGCTGTGTACGGGGTAGCCCTCCGTCCCGATCGGAAGATTCCAAGAGGGCCGCATCCGTGATGCCTTCTGTATGGCCCCAATCTCGCGCAATCAGCGATCCGAAATCGCTGTATAGACGGATAGATTTATCGCCACTCGAGACGCCAATGATCGCTGGACTGCCGTTAAGCGAATGTGCATATCTGCAAGAAGTGAATTAGTCGACAGGACTGGGAAGACGGTAGATAGCCCATGCACGAAGCATGTCGAAACCGGCCATCTTATCGTTGCAGAACCTGCGAGAACTCACATAATCTTCGACAACGCCGCAGCCTCGCCACCCTCAGAGTCTGAGCATTTGAACCCGAATCCCGACTGACCACTCTTGATGCTGTATTTGTAGACAGACCGATCTGCCGCTGATACCAGGAGTTCGTCCTGGTCTGCACCGAGACACATGGACAGAGGCGAGGATTTGAGCGTGATAGTCCTCATCATGACGAAGATGATCGAGCGCGAGTCGCCTTCGTTCCGGAGAAACGCTTCCCGGACGACAATGGTTCGATCTGCCGAGCAAGAAAGCAGAAATTGACCATCAGAGGCTGAGGCGAGGGCTGTGACGCCTGCCACATGCTCGTCCATTGTCTGCAAAAGATCCAGCTTACTGTCGCACCACGCGAATGATTGGACCATACGATCCCTGCTGGCGGTTGCGATAAGAGTGACTCCCATCCGTTCGAAGCAAATCAGGTCGACTATCTCTGCCGAATGCGCTCGTTCGTGAAGTATGACAGCGCTCGTGGCGATGTCCAAGATGGCTAGAGATCCGTACCTGTCTCCAGCCACTAGCAGAGATGCTTCCTCGATATGTGCGACCGCTTTGAGCTCGTTAGTAAGATCGTACATCTCCGGGGAGGACTCCACCGGCACTTGTAGGCCTGTGACAGCAGCCCCTGTAGAGTTCCAGATGTGGACTCCACCATTTCCGGCATACGTCAAGAAGGCAGCGTCGGGCAGCTTCTTCAAGGAAAGCCGACTCACTCCAAGAACAGCCTCGCTGTGGGCGGCTAGTTGAAGAGAAGCGACGTCGGCGTCCTTCGAAGCCGAGTCTCCAGCTTTGGTCAATGTGATACCTCGCTTCGAGTCGAGCTCCACGACGACATCACTGATCTTGGCCATTGCAGTGACCGTGATTGCATCGTAAGATGACAGAGATCGGAACTGGGCCAATGTAGATCTCCTGTCTCGCTTGCTGGTGGCAGGCGTCTGTTTTTGGAGATCTGCCGGGGTAAATCGTTTCGACTGTCCGATTGCACCTGCAACATGCAGGACTCGGGACTCGTCAATCATCGCGGCGGTAATTCTGAACCGAACTGTTCCGAGATGTGTCAAGGCCTGGGTGTTCTCCGAATCATCCAGCAAGCAGATCTCTCCTGATTCGGCACACAAGACGGCCTTGCCGGTTTCGAGCGAGACTGCAGCAACGAAGTTTGCGTCGATCAGATCACCGAGTAAACTGTTTTTGCCAGAAAGCACTTTGCTTCTCGGGCTGAGAACACTGTTGGCGAAGTCTGACGGCTTTTGTTTGGGAGTCAGCACGCCACTAGACGTTTCTGCACCCCGAGCACCGAGTGCTGCGTCGTCGTCAAGCTTCCATAGTTTTACATATCGAAGCCCGACGGTGAGGATCGCACGTCCAAGCCACGCCATCGCATTGATGGTCGATGTACATTTGTTGCTCGAGTGCAGGGCGGCCGCGCCCGTACGGTCATCGATGGTCCAAACGAAAAGAAAGCCATCATTGACGGTCCCTAGCGAGGCCAGATACCTAGAGTCCGGACTGAATGCCAGGGCATGGACGCCAAAGGCGTGTTCGGATAATGCAGTCACTGGGACCTCACTCGAGTCGCCCCTGTTATAGAAGATCAAGATGCGAGGCTTGTATCCAGTCTCTCCAATCGCAATCCACTTGCCGTTGGGGCTGAGGGCAACCGAGGTCGCTGCCTTGACGCGATCTTTGACCGTCGTGCTCTTACCGACCGGGGAGTCCGGCCAATCTCGTGTCGATACGGCCGGAGGCGAGCCACTGAGCCCTTGCTCCCGCAGGTTGCCTATGGCTTTGCTGCGAAAATCCGAAGTCTGTGGGATTGGCCAGGAGACGTCTTTCGAGGTTCCTGAGGCATGAGGTCGTGCACGGAAGAAGCGTTGTGTGACGGTCAAGTCTTGCTCGACTGTACAGACCACCGCTGCCGCGCCGGCAGTATATGCGAACTGCTTCGAGGACGGAAGACAGTCGAAGCCGTTTGCAGTCGCGGTCGTGGTACCAATAACCTTCCTCAGCTTCAGCCCCGTCTCTTCACTTCTCGAACTCCGAGTCGGCGATCGTCGAGGAGACGTCTTGAGGAAGGGCGAGTTGGAAGGAGTCAAGCGCAGGCTAGGTGTTGCATTCATCCTGGCTCCTGATTATGCCAGGGGATTCGAGGGTGCTTGCGGGTGGGGAGCATCTCCGTATCATCTCCCTCAGGACATCGTCGGGCGCTGTGATTGCTGCAGAGTCGAGGAATGAGGGGACGGTGCGTGTGGCAACTCGTGAATGGCAGATACGCCAACTCGCACCCGATGGAATGTCTCAGGAACGCGTGAAATTACCGTGCAACGTGAACCCGTCCGGGGCTTATTACTGTGTAGCTTTTTCCCCATTCGGCCATGTCATGATGTTGTCCGTGCGACGGAACAACATCGCTGACTAACACCACTCCTTCTAGCTTCAATTGGGTGATGTGTATTGCCGCGGCAAGGCAGGTTGAACGAGAGAATGAACACCGCGGCAAGTGTGACGAGCACGTGATCTTACTCACACCTCTTTGCTCTCGCAGTGCACAAGACCAAATGACTGTCAGCGCCAGGGCGCCGGTGACGGACAACTCTGGGCGAGTGACGGCGAGGGGAGGGCGGGCGGGTGGTCACACTGAGACAAATAGCCCGGCCTCGCGTGACCCGATGTCTTTCTCTCGCCCTGCGCCCGCCTCGCACCAATGGCACCGCCTGGTTCTGCATTGGGAAGGCCCTCGATCGTCTTCGGACAGAGGGGCATATGACGCACGGGCCACGCCATGCTTGCTCTCCCCTCCTTCGCCCGCGGATCTGCCCCACCCGATGTCGTCGGCGCGGGCGAAGGAGCGAGCAACGGGCAGGTCTCGTGGATATAATGGCAGCGAGAGCTCCCCGCAACGCAAAAGTAAGTGGTCGATAGAGCCTCACGTCCTCCCTTCCTCTTCCTCCCTCCTCTGTGTCTTCACTATCGCCAGCATTCCAAATATCGTACCGACTCGGGGGCCGAGACCTCGCGAATTCGCAACCACAGCTCCACCCCTTCGACCGACCCCACTAGTATCCTCGGGCGTTCCCTGCGTGACCGTCGGCGGTGCACGGGCGAGAGTTGCTTCATTCAAAAAGCCCGCAGACCTCCACGCACTTGCGCCGTTGTTGTGCTTGTTCTCGCTTTGACAGTATAATTACCGCTTCCCCCTCCACCGTCCTCCACCCCGAGCCGACAGGCCACCACTCTCTCAATATGTCCGAGTCCAAGGACAAGCAGCAGGACGAGAAGCCGCAGAAGACGGAGCAGCCCAAGGATGGCATTCCAGAGTCGCACCATGCCGAGAAATACGAAATCTCCAAGGGCTTCCATGAGTAAGTCGCGCCGGGCACTCTGCCGTTGCAAGTTACACGCTGACACCAATCCAAGCAAGCATCCCAAAAAGCCGCATTTGGATTCGCTCGAGCACTACCAAAAAATGTACAAGGAGTCCATCTCCGACCCCCAGAAGTTCTGGGCGAAGCAGGCCCGAGAGCTGCTCACGTGGGAGCAGGACTTCAAGACCACACACACCGGCACCCTCGCTGGAGGCGACAGCGCTTGGTTTCAGGAAGGCAGGCTCAATGCCTCCTACAACTGCATCGACCGTCACGCCGCCAAGAATCCCGACAAGCCAGCCATCATCTACGAGGCTGACGAGAAGGACGACGGCCTCACCGTCACCTACGGCGAGCTGCTCCGCGAGGTCTCCAGACTATCCTGGATCCTCACCCAGATGGGCGTCAAGAAGGGTGACACCGTTGCCATCTACCTGCCCATGATCCCCCAGGCCGTCTACGCCTTCCTCGCGTGCGCGCGTATCGGTGCCATGCACTCCGTCGTCTTTGCCGGCTTCAGCGCCGATTCTCTGCGCGACCGCATCATTGACGCCAAGTCCAAGGTCGTCATTACCACCGACGAGGGCAAGCGTGGTGGAAAGACGATCAGCACCAAGAAGATTGTCGACGATGCCCTGAAGCAGTGCCCGGATGTCAGCCACTGTCTGGTGTACAAGCGCACCGGGACCGAGGTGCCCTTCACCGAGGGCAGGGACTACTGGTGGCACGAGGAAGCCGAGAAGTGGCCGTCCTACTTTGCGCCGGTGAGCATGTCGTCGGAAGATCCGTTGTTCTTGCTCTACACGTCTGGCTCGACCGGAAAGCCCAAGGGTTTGATGCACACCACTGGTGGCTATCTCCTCGGCGCCGCGGCTACGGGCAAGTACGTCTTCGACATTCACGACAACGACGTCTTCTTCTGCGGTGGTGACGTCGGTTGGATTACCGGGCATACTTATGTCGTCTACGCCCCTCTTGTGCTCGGCTCTACTACCGTGGTGTTCGAGGGTACTCCCGCCTACCCCGACTTCAGCCGGTACTGGGAGGTCTGCGACAAGCACTCCGTCACCCAATTCTACGTTGCCCCGACCGCGCTTCGTCTACTCAAGAGAGCGGGTGATGAGCACGTCAAGCACGAGATGAAGAGGCTCCGTGTCCTCGGCTCGGTGGGAGAGCCGATCGCATCGGAGGTATGGAAATGGTACCACGATATTGTTGGCAAGAAATCGTGCCACGTGATTGATGTAAGTTGCTGCTGCGTTCGACGGCCCCCACTCCCCGCTCATCGCTGACATGGACGATAGACATACTGGCAGACGGAAACGGGCTCCCATGTCATCACTCCCCTCGGCGGCTGCACTCCCACCAAGCCAGGAAGTGCGACGCTCCCCTTCTTCGGTATCGAACCCGCCATCATCGACCCGGTCAGTGGCGAAGAGATCCACGGCAATGACGTGGAGGGTGTCTTGGCGTTCAAGCAGCCTTGGCCTTCCATGGCGAGGACTGTGTACGGAGCACACAAGCGTTACATGGACACGTATCTCAACGTCTACAAGGGCTACTACTTCACCGGCGACGGCGCGGCGCGGGATCACGAGGGCTACTACTGGATCCGTGGTCGCGTGGATGATGTCGTCAACGTGTCGGGTCACCGACTGTCAACGCAAGAGATTGAGTCGGCTTTGATTGAACACAAGGCTGTGGGCGAAGCGGCGGTGGTCGGTGTGAATGACGAGCTGACGGGACAAGCGGTGAACGCGTTTGTGTCGATCAAGGACGGGAACGAGATCAACGACCAGCTGAAGAAGGACCTCATCGCGCAAGTGCGGAAGTCCATCGGCCCGTTTGCCGCGCCCAAGAAGATCTACACCGTTCCGGACCTGCCCAAGACCCGGTCAGGCAAGATCATGCGTCGTATCTTGCGCAAGATTGTGGCTGGCGAAGAAGATCAGCTCGGCGACACGTCTACGTTGGCCGACCCGTCGGTGGTGGACACCATCATTGAGACGGTGAAGGAGGGCAAGGACGGGAAGGAGGGCAAGGAGAAGAAGTAGGGGATGATCTGGGGTGGTTAAATAGTCCGCACGAACGAGTGGAGTTGATGTTGGCTGGATTGCGGTGGGTTGGGTAGGACAATGGAGACAAATTGAACAAGACATTGAGCTCGACGTCTCCCGCTTCCTTCCGAGAGCCTTACCTCTGCCAAAGTCGGAGGTTGTGCCCGAGGGCCGCACGCTAATAAGGCACATGCATGCAAGGCCAGCATGTGTCGAGCAGGCGGTGGTCGAGACCCATCGCGAGCAGCTGCCGGGCCGGAGCTGGGCAATTAGACTTTCCCCAAGCGCCGCTGCATCTGCTCCACGCCCGGCACAGCCCATTTGCCCAGCCTGCTACTCCACCACCTCACCCGTCTTGATCTCTCGGCATTGTATCCATGACACGACGCTCGCTACAGTAATTCGCCCCCCCGTTCCTTCGTTAAATACTGCCGAGCCATCTTGAAACGAGCGCTTCCTATGTGACTTTGGCCTGCATGCAACCTGTTTCCCTTCGACTCTCGACTCTTCCCTTTCATCTCCGCTGCTAGTGAAGCATGCGGCTCTCTTGTCCTCCTCTACTCTTGCTCGTAATCACTTTTCTTTGCTCTCCCATTGCAGACGCAAGCTCGAAGAAGCGCAATCCAATTGGCGCCATCTCTATCATCCGCAATGCTACCATTCACACCCCCAGCCACAAGATCACGGCAACGTCGGACTTCGATCTCACATTCATCGCGGATGGCGGTCTACACGTCAAATTCAGCCTCGAACCGAACCGCGATGTGCTGCGAAGTAACAGTCTTATCACACACCTGGCGCCGGACGGATCGATAGAACGACAAGTCCCGCTGGAACGCTCAGGCCACAAAGTCTTCAAGGGTTCGGCTTGGGTGCGGAGCGGAGAGGATGGCGACGGCTCTTGGGAATGGGCAGGTTGGGTGCGGACTTTGATCAGCCGAGACGGAGCATACCCTTTCTTTGAAGGCGCCTTTTCCGTTCACCTCGACCACCATCACATCCAGAGCTCGACACACTATCTCCAAACAAGACATCGACTAGACCCGGAGATTGAAGGATTGGAGAGTGGAGACGAGTACATGGTGCTCTGGCGCGACTCCGATGTCCTCCCGGACAGTGCACTCGGACATGAAGAGTTACGGCGAAGTCTGAATGTCGATGCCGGTGACTCTGTTGCGTGTTCGGCCGACAAACTAACCTTCAACACCAACCCGGACCATCCGGTGCTCAAAGGGCTGTCCGGGCGATCGGAAGACTCGCTCGCCGGAGTGGAGGTCTCTCATCTCCTCCGGGGCCGCCAAACTGACAGTACGACTGGTGGCAATAGTGGCGGCGTGAATCTGAGAAGCACCATCGGGAATCCCGCTGGTTGTCCCACTGTTCGCAAAGTGGCTCTCGTCGGTGTCGCCACCGACTGTACCTACACCAGGGCCCTAGGATCCTCCGAAGCCGTCACCCAGAACGTCATCTCGCAGATCAACACTGCGTCGGGGATCTGGGAGGACGCTTTCAACATTGTCCTCGGGCTTCAGAACCTTACGATCTCTTCCGAAAACTGCCCCAGTTCGCCGGCAAGGGCCACGGAGTGGAACCAGGGCTGTTCGAGTGACGTGACTATCGAAGATCGTCTCAACTGGTTCTCGGCCTGGCGCGGCGAACAAGGTGGCGACAACAGTCATTGGACTCTGCTGAGCACGTGCAACACCGATTCCATCATCGGTCTTGCATGGCTTGGACAGGCTTGCATGAACACCGCCATTTCGTCCAACGGGAGCTCATTCACCGGCAACGGCGCTACTTCGGGTAGCAGCGAGGTGGTCAGCGGCGCCAACGTGGTCATACGGACGGACGGCACCAACGAGTGGGCCGTAATTGCCCATGAGACCGGCCACACGTACGGTGCCGTGCACGACTGTGACTCTACGACGTGCCAGGAGTCATCCTACGTCAGCTCGCAGCAATGCTGTCCGTACACCGCCAACACTTGCAGCGCCGATAGTCGCTTCATCATGAACCCGTACTCCCAACCGGGGGCCAACGCCTTCAGCCCCTGTACCATTGGCAACATCTGCAGCGCCATCGGCAGAAACTCGGTCAACACCAGCTGCCTTTCAGACAACGACGATGTGCGTCTCTTTGCGGGAGCAGACTGTGGCAATGGGATTGTGGAAGCCGGCGAGGAATGCGACTGTGGTGGCGTTGCAGGCTGTGCAGGCGACCCATGTTGCGATCCGACGACGTGCCGATTCACCTCGGGCTCGGTGTGCGACGACTCCACGGAAGAGTGCTGCTCCAATTGCCAGTTCAGAAGCAGCGGCACTGTATGCCGAGGAAGCACGAGTTCTTGCGACCCACAAGAGGTCTGCTCGGGCACTTCGGGCTCGTGCCCTGCTAACGAACTCGCCCCCAATGGTCAGGACTGTGGAGATGGCCTGAAGTGCGCCTCCGGGCAATGCACGAGCCGGAATCAGCAGTGTCGGACCGTCATGGGCAGCTATACTGGCAACAATGACACGCGTGCTTGCGATAGCTCCGGCTGCATGATCAGCTGTGCTAGTCCGCAGTTTGGCCCGGGAGCTTGCTACGGCCTGCAGCAGAACTATCTCGACGGAACACCATGTGGTGGAGGCGGGTATTGCCAGAATGTAAGTTGTCCCTCCTCTGGACGTTGTATACACACCTCTAACGCCATACGCAGGGTCAATGCGAAGGCACCAGTGTCAATGGTGAGGTGAAGTCGTGGATCGACGACAACAAGGGTATCGTGATCGGTGTTGCCTGCGCCGTCGGGATCATCCTCCTCATCGTTATTTTCGGCTGTTGCAGCCGCTATCGAAAGAAGAAGACGCGACGGACCAAGAACATCCCGGGCCATCCGGCACCTCCTCCAGAAGGTTGGCAAGGTTGGAACAATCGTGGGCCGATGGCGCAGGTGCAAGGCCCTCAGCAGGGCTGGTACGGACCGACGCCCATGAGTGGCCCAAGGCCTGCGTGGAATGCGCCACCTCGACCGCCGCCGCCGTCGTATCTACAGAGCAGCAACAGTGTGCGGTATGCTTAGCAGGGCTTGGGCGTGCAGGACCGATGGCGCTCCTGAGATGCTCACGATGTCGATGATGTTTACGCTTGATTGATGAGACGGTGATGATATCTTGGACTACTCCATGACGCATGTCTGAGATGATAGATCGAAAAGCAAAGATACATCTACCCACCTCTGGGTGAATTGCAGTCTGTGTCCCGTGTGTGTTCAACCGTCGCTTCAGCAAGAATCGAACTCAGACACTCCGTCGGGGAGCAAAAGGGAAGGGACCCGAAGGTCGATTATAGAAGCCAAAGCCTGTGTGTAATCAGCTACTTCCCTAGGTACGTCTGCTTCCAAACTCAATATATCTGCATGTGATTCTCCCATGCAATGTGAGTCATGAGAACTGGCGGATGCAAGATGGTCTGGCGTCCGGAGTGTGGTGGACACAACTCGTGACGTGATACCACGACTTTCGTCCAGGCATGGCGTCAAGCCCCTGCCTCAAGGGCTGGGGAACAGCTGTTTAGAAGACGGGGGAGCAATTTCGTGCATTGCCCTCACACTCCGCACCTCTTCCACCTTACCTCCCCTCATTCGAATCCCCTTCTCATTGTCCTTCTGCTCCACGCTCCTTTCTTTCAATCGTTTTGACATCTCGTCGTGAGGCGCCTAGGAATCATCCCATCTTCGAGCCGCGCACACCGGCTCGAAATTCCCCTGGGTCAAGATGAGTGGACGTATGTTCGACCGCACCCCATCTACCACGTGCTCCTACTTGCATTGGGACTGCAATCCTGTGGCAATGCATGCGTGTGACCGGTATGACTTGGTATAGAGGCTGACCCACTCCCTCTCCTACAGTCCGCTTCCTCGACCTCGTGAAACCCTTCACCCCCCTCATCCCCGAAGTCTCCGTCCCCGAGACCAAAGTCGCCTTCAATCAGCGACTAATATGGACGAGCGTGACCTTGGTCATCTTCCTGGTGATGAGCCAGATGCCCTTGTACGGCATTGTCTCCTCAGGTGCGTCTCCAAGGATCCGAAGATGGGAAACAGAAGAGGAAGATTGACCAAAATACAGACAACTCTGACCCGCTCTATTGGCTGCGAACCATGTTGGCGAGTAATCGCGGGACGTTGATGGAACTCGGTATCTCGCCCATCATCTCGTCCGGCATGGTCTTCCAGCTGCTGGCCGGCACGCATCTCATCGATGTCAACCTCGACCTCAAATCCGACCGCGAACTCTACCAGACCGCCCAAAAACTGCTCGCCATCATCATCTCTTTCGGCCAAGCTTGTGTGTTTGTTCTGACTGGCCTCTACGGCGCACCGAGCGACCTCGGTGCGGGCATCTGTGTCCTTCTCGTCGTGCAGCTCCTGACTGCGGCCCTGATTGTCATTCTGCTCGATGAGTTGCTGCAAAAGGGCTATGGTTTGGGAAGCGGTATTTCGCTCTTCATCGCCACCAACATCTGCGAATCGATCATGTGGAGGGCATTTGCGCCGACCATGGTCAATACTGGTCGTGGCCCGGAATTCGAGGGTGCCATTGTCGCCCTTGTCCATCTCCTCGTCACGTGGCCCAACAAGCAGCTTGCTCTGCGCGAAGCTTTCTACCGCCAGAACATGCCCAACATCATGAGCCTGCTTTCTACCATCATCATCTTTGGTGTTGTCATCTACCTCCAAGGTACGCTGCATTACTCCCATCCGAAGCAGATCGTCATCTAACCAAAGCCAGGTTTCCGTATCGAGATTCCCGTCAAGTCGTCGCGCCAACGTGGCATGCGCGGCTCCTACCCGGTCCGCCTCTTCTACACCTCCAACATGCCCATCATGCTGCAGTCCGCCCTATCCTCCAACGTCTTCCTCGTCTCGCAGATGCTCTACACCAAGCTTCCGGATAACCTGCTTGTGCGCATGTTTGGCGTGTGGGAGGCTCGCGAGGGCGGCGGACAAGTCGTGGCTGCTTCTGGTCTCGTGTACTACATGACCCCGCCCTTCAGCCTCAAGGACGCCCTCCTGGATCCCCTGCACACGGCCATCTTCACCGCGTACATGCTCATCGCCTGCGCCGCCTTCTCGAAGACGTGGATTGAGGTTTCCGGATCCAGCCCGCGTGATGTGGCGAAGCAGCTCAAAGAGCAAGGCTTGGTCATGGCTGGGCATCGTGACGAGAGCATGTACCGGGAGTTGAAGAGGGTCATTCCCACTGCCGCCGCCTTTGGAGGCGCTTGCATCGGCGCGTTGTCCATCGTGTCCGATTTGATGGGTGCTATGGGTGGTGGTACCGGCATTCTCATGGCTGTCACGTAAGTTTTGCATTCCCCTGATTGGACGCTGCGTTCTTCTTGCTGACACTCACACCAGAATCATCTACGGATACTTTGAGATTGCAGCCAAGGAGGGTGACATGGCTGGACTGAAGGGGCTCCCTGTTGGCTAGAGGGAGTGTGTGATCTGGTGAGGAATCGGGGATGAGTGTGGAGGAGTCAAAGCATGGATGATCTGGCGGAATGGGGAACTGCATTGGACTGGGTTCAGTGGTGTTTTCATGTAGGGCTTGGAGGTGTGTAGAATATTGAGTAGATTGTCGAGCATGGATGGCTTCAAGCCACCCGACTCATGCGTTTCATTCCTGTCACTTTCGTCCTACCACATCAGAAGCAATGAGGTTTGATGCGTGCATGTGCGTCTGGTGTCAATTAGGTTGCGCTTCCCCAGACCCACTCCACGGAACGTCGGGTGCTTAGGTAAAGTTGACGCCTTCCCCGCAGGGAAACGTGCAAGCTTGCCTGGCTGGCTGGAGCTTGAGCTGCACGCTCGCCTCCCATCCAACTAATCGGATCAGGTCGGGCGGTCAGCTTTCCTTTTGATCATGTCCTCCTTGCCATCGCCTTCTCACTTTCTATCCCATCAAACGCCATCAAATCCTCCACGCCCTTGATCCTACAGCCTGCATCCGCGTTCCAAGATGGCCCCTCTCGCGCCCCAGGCTAGCCACTTCGGCCTCATCCTGCCGCTGTGCACCAGCAGCGCCACCGTCGGCCTCGCCCTCTACCAATACCCGCAATTTACCGCCTTCCTCGGCGAGGACAAGCTGGCGGGCAAGACGTTGTCGCGCTACTGGACGCCCATCTTCAAGCAGGGCTACATCGTCATCTCCGCCCTCGGCATCGGCTCGACGATCAGCGGCCTGCTGTCCGCGCGCTTCCTGCGCACCCACGCCACCCTCGAGACCACCGACGTCGCCAAGTGGTACACCTACGGCGCCATCCTCGCCGCCGCCCACTTTGCCTTTGTCCCGCTGGTCGGCGCCCCGATTCGGCGGATGATTGAGCGCGGCAACGAGACGAGTCCGCTGAGCGAGGAGACGGTCGACCGCGAGAATCGGGAGGAGATGAAGACGTGGTTCATGTGGCATACCATCCGCACGCTGGGCATCGATCTGCCTGCCTTGTGGTGTTTTGCCGAGGGGGCGGCGCTGAGCTTCTGGGTTGCCAATGCTTAGTGCGTGAGGATGTGATTGGAAATGAAATAATGTGCGCAGGCCCGCGGGAGATACTTCTTTTGGTGTACAAGGATGATGCCATATGCGAAACGTCACATGAACAGCACCCTTCCCTCCGTGTGCACGAGAATAACACGCTTTCTATGTCTATGATGCCGTCTGATACATACTATTCACACATCCCCGCCGATTCATGCCTTTGGGATGCAATGACCCGTGCCCCCCGGAAATGATCCCATCTATCAAACGCCTTCGCTTTCGACGTGCAACGTACCTGAAGAAATGTGTCCATCCGAGGGTAGACTCGAACGGACTCGTAGAAGCCATCCTACTCATGACCCTTCAGCTTGCGGTAAATCTTCTTGTGCTGCTCCAAGAACATGAAAGTCGCGATCGTGTGAGGGCCGAGGCGGACGAAACTCGGCACCCAGCCCTTGAACACCCACATCAGCCCTTCCTCAGCCGTGATGCGGGTGACGAGCGTCAATATGCTTTCTTTCGTCGTGGCGCTCATGACGCGAGTCTTGATCACGTCCACAGGACTGCAAACCGTGGTAGCCACAAAGCCTGCCATCAAGGAGGCGCTGAAGTGGGTGTAGAGGTTGTCCCGCATCTTTGCTCGTTCCAGCAGCTCTTTCTTGAACAAGTCGTAGGTTGCGAGTTGCGAGGCGGTCATCAGCAATGCCCGGGTGCTGTTGGGCCAGACTCCACGGAACAAGCTTGCCACGCCTTCTTCGCGGGTCATGCGTATCAGTCCGTCGATTGCGTGTTTGTAATTTCTTTTCTCCGCCGCTGGCAGCGCCGCATCATTCTGCATGCGAACATTGAGGATATCGGCGGGATTGCCGACTACGCCGCCGAGGAAGCCGGAGGTGGAGGCCATGAGGACGAGCTCGAAGAAGGACGGGCGTTCGGAGTATGAGTGGGTGACATCTTTCAGTTTCTCGTAGACTCCGAATCGCGTGGTGCTGTAGGTGATTTGGCGTAGGAGGGAAGCGGTAAGCTGCACGCGCATTAGCCGCGCGTAGCACAACCCGCGGTAGCATTGACACGTACACCGCGATAGAGGCCTCGAACTCCTTCATCTTTGAGGATATGGACAAACATCTGCCCGAGTTTGCGTTTGGGCCCATCGCTGCTTTGGGTTTGCAGTCGGACCTAGGAAGGTGAGCTTACTTATGGCAAAGTCGCGCAACGGCGAGGGCTTTACCTTCACTATAGGATATGCTGGTCAGTATGATCCTCGCGTTGCGGGCGCCTAGAAACTCACGGAGATCAAGTGGATGCGTCACGCATGCTGCGAAACAACTCGCGCTCCCACCGAACCAGAACGGATACTGGATCTTGGCGGGTTTAGAGCTGGGCTTGGACATGATCGTCCGGAGGCATTGCTTCGCAGCAATACACAAGGCCTCTAGGAGGAGGAGGAGGAGGGAGGGAGAGGGTGGGAGGAGCAATGGGCGTGATGATATGTCGGGAATAAGACGTGAGCTCGCTCGGGCTTCTGCGGCAGCGTTTTATCGCCTTTCAAGAATGTTTTTTGGGACTTGAGCTCCGACCATCGGCTACATGACGTGCAAACCGCGGTCTGATCTGCCGAGAGTTCTGGCCGGGGCCAGAAGTCTTGGTATGCAAGTCGAGGTCAGGAGCCAGCGAAGATGAAATTGTCCACCCGTTCCAGTGCTGACCCTGATTGTTTGAGCGTGCGTGGAGGTGTTCGTGCTAGACTGCAAGATCGCGTAGAGCATGTTCCATCTGGCACCAGTCTCGCGATGCTCCATCTTCGGCCTACCCCCCGGGGTCCGTTGTTTGCTGCGGCCGCAATGCACTGCCATCCTGCGCCGATATCAATCCAATGGTGAGTCTTCCCGACTGTACTACATCCTCGGAGCATCTTAGTAGCACGGCCCGCGCATCTCTCGACCACCCGGTTTGCTACAAGCACCTGCGACATCGGCAGTTCTAGACCCGTCAAATGCACATGCAGCTGCTCCAACAAGGCTCTTCGGGCAAAGCCGGCTACATGAACTTTATTGCTACGACCACGCTGGACGCCAATCTCCCATGGGTGGGAATCCACATCGGTTGGGGACTAGAATGCTGATGGGTATACAGATGCACGCAAACGCTCATTGACCATCGATGGCAAATCCTATCCCTCCGACTCCTGGACTAACGCGCCGGAGAACATTCTTATCCAATATGGCAGGAGGTTGCATGTCCAGCCGAACCATCCCCTGTCCATAGCGAGGCAACTCATCGAGTCCTGCTTCCCTGGCTTCCAGCATCATAACAGCTTACCAGGCGTGGTGACGGTGGATCAGAACTTCGACTCATTGGGCTTCGCGAGCGACCATCCTGGGCGCAGCAAAACGGACACCTACTACCTCAACCAAGACACAGTCCTTCGCACTCACACGTCCGCACACGAGGTCGACGTCTTTCGGGCAAACACTAGCAATGGCTACACCATCTGTGGCGACGTCTACCGGCGGGACGCCATCGATCGAACGCACTACCCAATCTTCCATCAGATAGAAGGCGCGCTCACCTGGGATCGCAGCGCGTTCAAGTCTAGCGAACATTTCTCACAACACATCCAAAACGACCTGGCTCGACTCGGGTCCGCTGGCGTCGATGTGGAAGATCCAAATCCAACGTTCCACCCCGAACGCAATCCGCTCCAAGCGAAACATCACGCTGCGGAGGAGGCTGAAGCAATCGCTGCTCATCTGAAAAGATCGCTCGAGCACATGGCCGTCGCTATCTTCACCGCTGCCGACAAAGCTCTAAAAGCAAGCGACCACGCCGCACAAGAGGAGCAGGAGCCGCTGAAGATCCGTTGGGTCGAAGCTTTCTTCCCTCACACTTCTCCTTCATGGGAGCTCGAAGTGTGGTGGAGAGGGGACTGGCTTGAAGTCCTCGGTTGCGGTGTCATTGAACAGCCTTTGTTAATTCGAGCCGATGTGCCATCAAGGATGGGATGGGCGTTCGGATTGGGCCTGGAAAGGCTGGCGATGTTGCTCTTTGGGATCCCCGACATTCGACTCTTCTGGAGCAAAGATCAACGTTTTCTCGGTCAGTTCGATGAGAACAAACCGATCAAACGCTTCCAGCCCTTCAGCAAGTACCCAGCTGCGCCACGTGACGTCGCCTTTTGGATACCAGATGCTGGCGCAGCTGTCGTTGAAACGCCTGCGACCACCTCGTCCTCTCCTTCACCGGCAGGAGGGCAGATCACCGCCGCACCCCCCCCGGATACTCCGTCCTTCCACGAAAACGACCTCATGGAAGTCGTCAGGGACACGGCCGGAGACAGCGTGGAGGATGTGTCTCTGATCGACAAGTTCACGCATCCGAAGACCGGACGGCAGAGTCTGTGCTACAGGATCACGTACCGAAGCCTTGAGAAGACGCTGACCACCGAGGAGGCCAATGATCTGCATGAACAGATCAGGCGCGAGTTGGTGGCAAGATTCGGAGTGGAGTTGCGATGAATGTGATAGATCCCGGGGATCGGTAGGAATATCCCACCTCTTATTATACAAATGTACATTACTCTCCAACCCCTCACATCAATAGCAGCCTCGCGTTTGTTTGAGAATGTCACATGTAGGGAGTGAGTATGTTTCACCAAACACGTGACTCAGATTGAAATCGGCGTTAGCGTAGCCAATGTCCGAGCTTGCTCTGTACCTCAAAGCATCCTCTCAACTTTTGAGAAACTGCTCAACACCGCCTTCCCATCCGCCTCGAATGCGTCCGATCACCCGCTCAAGCACCCGCTTGACAAAGTACAGAAGAGATCGACCGTCTTCCTTGCCGCACAGCCAAAAGTGTCAACCAGATCGCACGTTCCGCACCGCCAGCGTCCAGCGCGCACAAGAGCCTTCGCCTCCATCGGGCAGCTCCAACCCCTCCAACCCGCACAATGAGTCGCGCGAGAAGAACGAGAAGGCAGGAGTCACGAGTCCGTGGCGCGAGCAATCCTCGGAGCAAGACAATGCAGAGTCACAGGTGAATGGTGACGCCTCTAGACATGGAATGCGAAGAACGCTGAGACACAAGCGGATCAATGATGTGCCCAAGCCACCGCCGATTCCCGACTGGTTTCTGAAGGAAAATGTGAGACTCGAGAAACATTCGCCGCGCTTCGGCGTGGAAGACGATGGCAAAGACGTCCTCCGCTGTGTCGACGCCCAGACTGGACATACGCTGTTTACCCTTCCTTTTTTCAACAAAGGTCCCCGCGAGCGCGAACTTGTGCACCCTGTGTATGCTATGCGGAGGCAGACGGCGGAAAAGTTGTTCGTTGCCGAAGAAGCGGATGCCGAACGGAAAGACAGTCCGGAAACCAAGCAGCAATCAACACCTATCAACCCTTCCGCGGAACATTTGCAGACGTTGGAAGGGAATGGTGGCAAGGATGGCAAATCCTTCCTTGCCACCTGGTTCAATTCCATGCCGCCGTCACAGAGGGACGTATCAAAATCCATTCCAATGCTTCAGTTCCTACATGTGTTGCACGCCATTGATCCAACGGCTCCGCGGTCGTCTGAGTCAGATCGTCCCAGGGTTCACTGGAGTTCAGTGCCCTTCGAACGCAGAAATTCTCGTCATACTCTGGCGTGGTACTTCATCGAAGCGGAGACGACCCTCCGTGCCGCATTTTCGCTGGCCAATGCAAATCAGCGAACATCGTCCTACGCGCTTGACAGGGTCGATCTATCTCTACATTGCCTCGATCCGAATGCTCATATACACATGGACGCCTTCGTATGCGAAATAGCAAGCGTTCTGAACGCGGACATAATTCGATTCGATGCGAATGACTTTGCCGATCTTACCGAGGATTACGTTGGGCAAGGACTCGACGAACCGGGATCGTTTGGAACGCTTGGATATGATGTGTATGACGGACTGGAAGCTGGCGGCACTCGCGCAAATGCGCCACGAGTAGTCTCAGAAGCCGAGGAAGACGAGGACGCTGAGGACAATGAGCTCGAGGATGCCTCCGCTCGCGATCTAGGGCCGCTGGCGCAATTCCCTGCCCTGGGCGATTTCCTCCGCGGACACCAAAGCGGTATCGGAAACGCGATCCGCACGCACGTCATTGGAATTGGCATCAATGGTCCACGTTCTTCGCATTCATCACGCCGGCGATCAGCTTCACAGCAACCAGACATGAATCGTGATGATGCACGACTCACCGCGTTGCTGGACAACCTGCTCGATGCGCCCAAGAAGATACAAGGCCCGGGCGAGCGTGCAAAGATGACCGAGGCGGTTGTCACGCACTTCGAGGAAAAGGATGTTCTACGCCTTGGAAACTCGATGAATCGGCTATCGGGGTACCAGTTGTGTCTCCGACAAGAGCGTAATCACCCTGCCCTTTGGCTGCCCAGAGCTGCAGATCTTGTGGCAAGCTATGTGCACCATTCTCTGGGCGTTGAGGAGAACCGCGCGAAATTGAATGTGCACTTCGAACGAGGGAAAGGGATTGCGTCGAGTGCTCCTGTAGGCGCGACGAGCGAGGAAGAACGAAGAACCATCGTCCACATCCGCGACCTACAGGATATCCTCAACTCTCGCCTGGGCGATGCAATCATTCAGCGCCTGGTGAAAGTTGTGAGGCGGCGCAGACGCAATGGCCAGCAAATTGTAATTGTCGGCACAAGCATGCAGGACGTGGCCGGTCCTTTTCGCATGCCAGGCGATCATGCCGACGACTTCCCATTTCGCACCCTCAACATACCACCTTTCTTCAACGACTCGCCTTCCAAAGACGGGTCGCGCCGGAGAGACCTTCAAACGCAGTTCCCTCGCCCGCCGGAAGGGTTCAAACCAGGGGAGAAGGTCTTGGAAGTTAACCTGCGCCTCTTGCAAAGGATGCTTCGACGGATGAAGCCAGGCGACGACATAGATCTGTGTTCGGAAGCAGCCGCGCCACGCATAGCTGCACTGTTTGAGTTTGATGTCTATTCGTTGTATCAATTTACTAACAAAGTGTTCTCGTTTGACGAGGTTCAGCGGATAGCTTTGATGGCTGTTGGCTTGGCAGAGTCGCATGCCAAATCCGAAGGTCTGCATCCCATCCACGTGTTTCTTGCGGCACACTTCACCAGACAAACCGCTGGAACCGAAAAGGCCTGGTCTGCGTCCAAGACAACCACACAGCCAAAGGACAGCAGCGAGCGCTCTAACGAGCAGCGCCGCGACGACTCGTCGCAAAGGCAGAAGACTACTGCGGAGCGGATCGAGCAGCTGAAAAAGATCTGTAACCAGCACGAGACTCGATTGTTAAACGGGATGGTGGATCCTCAGAACATCAACACTGGCTTTGCAGATGTGCATGCGCCCGCGGAGACAATCGAGGCGCTGAAGAGCCTGACGACGTTGTCTCTGCTACGCCCTGACGCGTTCAAGTATGGTGTGCTTGCCAAAGATCGATTACCGGGACTTCTGCTGTACGGGCCACCCGGCACGGGCAAGACTCTCCTCGCGAAAGCGGTTGCGAAGGAATCGAAAGCCACGGTGCTGGAGGTCAGCGGCGCATCCATCTACGACAAGGTGAGTTTCTTATGGCAGCGTTACTTGTTGAATCTCCTGTACCAATACTTGTCTAGTGGGTCGGAGAAGGCGAAAAGAACGTGCGGGCAGTCTTCAGTCTCGCGAAGAAGTTGTCGCCTTGCGTTGTTTTCATCGATGAAGCCGACGCCATTTTTGGCAGCCGCAGCCAAGCTGGTAACCGAAGCACACACCGTGAAACGATCAATCAGTTCCTTCGAGAATGGGATGGTCTGACAGAGCACTCCGTCTTCATGATGGTGGCGTCCAACCGACCTTTTGATCTCGACGATGCAGTGCTGCGTCGTCTTCCCCGAAGACTGCTTGTCGACCTCCCGACTGCGAAAGACCGAGAGTCTATCTTGGGCATTCATCTGAAGAACGAAGCGCTGGATGAGTCCGTGTCTTTGCATAAGCTGGCGGAACAGACGCCGCTGTACAGCGGATCCGACTTGAAGAACCTCGCCGTCGCAGCCGCGCTGGCTTGCGTGCGGGAGGAGAACGATCTCACCGAGGCCAACAAGGACGTGAAGGAGTTCAAACTGCCTGAGAAGCGCACGCTTTCGCAGCAGCACTTTGACAAGGCACTGGCGGAGATTAGTGCGTCGATTAGCGAGGACATGGGTTCGTTGAAGGCGATTCGGAAGTTCGACGAGCGGTTTGGGGATCGCAAGGGGCGGAGGAAGAAGGCGAGTTATGGGTTTGGGGCGAGTGATGGGGCGGAGGATGAGGATGCTGCGAGGGTGAGGAAATCGACATCGTCCCCGCCGCCGCCTTGATGCTTTAGAGTGGCAGTGCTAGAGCATATCCCTATTCTAGTCCAACTGCTCGCTTCTCGCGACCGGCAACACATACGTCCTAGCCCATTCGCCCGCTGCCTCTTCTTACCTGGTGTAGGGTTTGGCGCCCGCCTGCCTTCCCGTTTTACATACGACCAACGCTATGTAATAAGGGTGGGGTATCACTCGGGGTCGGCATCCACCATATGTCCGTAGGGATTATTCGCATGCCCGAAAGTCCGAGTGCTGTACAGACGTTCACTGTGACACATACAGTACGTCCCTCTGGCCCTGCAACCCCTCAACCCCTGCAGCCTTTGTGGGGCTCGCGCGGGGCTGCCCGCCGGTTCCCTGCGCCGCCTGCAACAACCACGCCCGTGTCTTGTGCCTTCACTAACACACCAATCACCACGACGGCAAGCGTGCTACCTTGCGGAGCCCTGCGTAGTAGCTAGCTGTCCATGTGCCTTAACCAGCCCCTCCGACATGCCTACCATACCAATCTATCCGCAGTCTCGACAAGGCGCCACTCATCACTCCAACTTGCCTCACGTCTTGCAGACGCCTTCCGGATTGGCCGTTGTGGAGATTCAGGGAACCATCAAATGCAGCACTCCGCACACCGGCGCGCATGACGATGTTCTTGCCGCGGTTGGCCGAGTGGTGTTCCCCTACTACGACGACGCGAAGGGAGCAGGCGACAACGCGTGGCAGAAACGCGTCTATCTCTACATCGGCCAACACCAGCGCTTGACGGGCGAAGTGAAGAAGCTGGCGAACCCCATGGCTCTCTTGCGGCGAAGAGCGGCCAGTAATGACGGGCACGACGAACTCGAAATCGCAGAGATTGTGCACTACAAGCTCACCTTTGCCCATCGCCCTGAACCGGTGGGGGCGAATGGCGGGGAATGATAATGATCTGCGGTGGTGCAGCTGGGCTGCACCTGCGCCGTCTTGCCGAGTGTGATCTGTTCACTGCCGTCGTACTCGATGATCAGCTCAAGAGGTGTCGGGCACACCCCCTCTCCCTCTACCTCCTTACTTAAACCCGTCCATCCGCTGCTTGCATTCCCAACGATCCATTGGCCTGCTGCCTTCCTGGACTGCACCATATTTCCCTTTCCCTAACATGGACACGGTCGAGCATCCCCGAACGGCATTGCCAGTTTCTTTACTGGCCATATTCGCTGGCCTGTCTCTGCTGTACTTTGCTGGAGTACTGATACACCGCCTTTACATCCATCCCTTGCACAAGATCCCCGGGCCTTGGATCAATGCAGTCTCTCGAATCCCATTCGCTCGCCATCTGTACTACGGAACAACGGCCCAGAATGTCCTGCGGCTGCACGAAAAGTATGGCGACGTCGTGCGTCTCTCGCCCAACGAAGTCTCCTTCATCTCGGGCGAAACTGCGTGGCAGGAGATCTACGGCCATCGTACGGGCAAGACGAAAGGGCTGCCAAACATGCAAAAGGACCTTCGGTGGTACAATCCCCCACCAGGAGGAAGGCACATCGTCGTTAGCACCGATGAGGACCATTCTCGGTACCGCAGGACACTGGCGCACGCCTTCAGCGACAGGGCACTCGCCCAGCAAGAGGCCATCCTGCAACAATACGCCAATCTCCTGGTATCGCAGCTCAAAGCAAGCCTAAGTGAAGGGCCTATTCAAGACATGACCAAGTGGTACAACTGGGCTACATTCGATATCATTGCCGATCTCACTTTCGGCACTCCATTTGGCTGCCTCCGGGATCGAAAGCAACATATGTGCATCGATTGCATCTACAACACCCTCAGCACTTTCCGGTTTCAATATTTCACCTCTTATTGGCCCGCCTTGAAGCGTTTGCAGAGCATGTGGACCAGCAACAAGCATGTCCAGGGCCGCAAAGAGCTCTATCAGTTCATTCAAGCTCACACGATGCAGCGCATGGCAACCGAGACGCAGCGACCCGACTTCATGACCGAGACCCTCAAGCACAGTGGCGAGAAGGGAGTCGGCTTGACTCCACAGGAGTTCGCCACCAACAACAACGTTCTCATCGGCGCTGGATCCGAAACCACGGCCACTCTTCTCAGTGCGGTGACATACATTATGCTGCGAACCCCGGCAGTGATGCGAAAACTCCAGGAGGAAGTTCGAGGCAGATGGACGAGTTCGGATAGCATAACTCTCGACGAGGTCCACAAAGCGCCGTACCTCGTCGCTGTGCTGCAAGAGGCGTTGAGATATTTCCCGCCCGTCCCGACCGGCTTCGTAAGACGCGTGCCCGAAGGAGGCGCGGTCGTCAGTGGCTACTAGTGAGTTTCCTCGTCATTACCAGTCGATACGTATTCACTAACCCCCGTTTGCCCGCCCTTAGTCTTCCCGAAGCCACCGGCGTTGGAGTATCGTCCTACCCTCTCGGCCGCTCTCAAAAGCGCTTCCGAGATGCGAATTCTTTCATTCCGGAGAGATGGCTGGACGATCCTCGCTTCGTCGATGACAGGAGAGACATCGTCCAGGCCTTCAATTTCGGGCCGCGCAATTGCCTGGGAAAGGTACGACTGCTGTATTGGACTTGATCTGCACCACGCAAAAGACTGACTTGGAACGCACAGAATCTTGCCATTGCAGAGTCGCGGCTTCTCCTGGCCAAGATGGTATGGTCGTTTGATTTCGAACTCGACCCTCGCTCCGAGAATTGGATGGATGAATGTCGAGTTCGTACGGTGTGGGTCAAGCCTCCGCTCATGGTTCGCGTGAAGGAGGTGGTGCGGGAGTGATTGCTAAAGACCAGATGCCTCACAACGACGAATCTGGTTTCTTCGAGGCGCTACGCAGTGTGCAATTTACAAAACGTCGGTCTGTCTGCCTCTGCCAGCGCTTTCATGCGCACTCTATTTCTCTCGTGACCCGTCATAAACGCCTCTCCCTGCTCATGCACTCGCCATGACACATGCACATGACCCGACATGTCTAGTCAGATCTCCATCTCTCATTGCGTGATGAAAGCTGGCTGAACCTCACAAACCCTCTTCCATGGTGACGTTCCTCCACCACGGCTCCCGGCCACCGTTGCGGCTCTCGTCCATGATACTCTCCGCATCGCCCACCTGCCTCCGCTCACTCACTTCCTGATGCGACAGATCCACCACCAAACCCTTGCTCTTCAATCGCATGCCTTTCCGCGCTAATGTCAGACTGGCGCCCTTGTCCAGGCCGTACTTGCTCCTATTGCTGTTGCTGGAAGGTTTATTATTGTTCGACTCGTTCGTTTGTTGTCCCCCGACACGCGTCAATCTTTGGGATGAACCCGAGTCGGTCTCGTTGGTTTTGCTGGCACCGCCGGTGCGACTGAGTTGGAGAAATTCATCCCTCATGACTGGTCGTTGTTATTGGAGGGGTTCCGAGGAGGAAGAGAGACGATTGAGGTGGAGGTAGACGTCGGTGCCGTATCTGTTGCTCGCAGTGTCAGTTCAAGGTCTGTAAAAAAAAAAAGGCGTCAGAAGACACTCACCCTTCCATGCTGATCAACTTCAAGTCCCCCCCAAAGTACCGTGCGTATAGACGCGAGATGGGCAATCCGTACCCGAAACCCGCCATGGGCGCCTTGAAGTCACTCTGATTGAAGTCCGGGTCCAGGTTGGGCGTTTGATCGATGGTGGTATACATGTACGTCCACACCAGGGGAATGTTAGACCGAGAGATGCCGCCTCCCTCATCGCTGATCTTAATGGTGATGTCCTCCTTTCCTTCGCTGACCACCACCTGCGTCACGGGGAACTCTTCTTTGTCCTGTCCGTGCCTCTCCACCACCGCTCGCAGACTGTTTTTGAGCGTTTCAAACAGCATGTGCGACAGATGTCCGGGGACATACATGAAGTTGATGTTGGGATCGCAAACGAGACGCACTTTCGGCGCGTCGAACAACCCGTAATAGTCCTCGCAGACGAATCGCGCGTTCTCGATTGCTTCCTGAGCCAACTCGCGCACATTTGTTTTGGTGCAGATGATTCCCACGTAATTCGGATCGGACGTCATACGTTGCTCGGTCAGGGCGACGTGTTGTCCGATCAACATTCGAATGCCGATGCGTGACATGTAGAAGCGATCGAGGAACTGTTGAATGCTGTGATCAATCTGCATGCGTTGCCTCTTCCGCTTGTACTCGAGGATGCCTTGGGCAATGGTGGTGACGACGCCGTCGTGCCGCCGCTTGATGCCCTCGAGGCAATTGGCGAATTTGTTGTTGTAGTCGTTCATCTCGGGGGGCCAGTCGCCGTTGCCATCGTCGGCCGCGCTGTAGTAACGTCGTTTCGCCGCCGCGGCTTTGGCCGACTCGGCGTCTCTTGCACCTCCCGATCTGTACTCGCCAGGCGCGACGCTGGGGTTCCGCGTGGGCTCTTGCAGCAACCTGGGGTGCTTTCCTTGCTCCTTTGACGGTCTCACGAGGCGCTCCTTGACCTCGCTGGACAGGTTGGGCTTGGGAAGGTTGGTGATTTCCTGGGGACGGCTAAGTCATGCTGCTCGTGTGCCCTCAAGTGGGATTGGGGAGGGTTGGGGATGGGCATACCTCGAACGACTGCGCATACCAGTTCTGCACGCGTTGAATACTCGGCATCTCGTTCAAGCCATCGGGCAGGTCGTTGAGTTCCTGCACGCGATGGGCGAGACGGATGGGCAGCTCTTCGGAGAGGAATTGTGAGGCGCGAAAGAGGGTGCCGGAGGAGGGATGGGAGCCAAACTGCACCATTTGTCGCAAACTCACGCCGGTCGCTGGGAAGCTGGAGAAGATGTCAGCGGCATTGACGACGAGCAGACCGCGGGACGCAGAGGGGGCCCTTACGAGCTGTAGTGCTTGATCGAGTTGGCCAGCTCGGGGCCCAGCTTCCACGACATGATGACTGCTGGAGCTGGCTAGGGCCGCGTGGGCCGTGAGGAAGGGATGCTCGGCCAAACAATGTAGGGCGAGGGATGGTGGGAGGGAAGTAGGAGAAAAACCACGGGAAGAGCTCGTGACTCGAAGCTGACCTGCATTCGCCCATGTGCCCGCGAATCTTCCCCACACCCGAGGCCGCTCCGCCTGCATGACTGCTGCCTCCGACTCCTGCCGAGGCTGGCGGGAGAAAGTCGGGACGCGTCCTGGCGTGCCTCCTCTCTGCCGCCGTCTCCTATCATCCATCCATCGAATCAGGTCCCAGTATACCTTACCAACCCCACGGCTGCACTTGTCGTCGTTCAACCGCCCACCGCGTAGCCTCGATCATCACCACTGCTTCATATCTCCAGCAACATACGAGCTCGTGCCTGTCCCGCAGAAGGGCTGCAAGTCGAGCCACCTCCACCACGCGTGCAGTGATTGGACTGCTGAGCGCGTTCTCATCCACTAAACCCATTCTCACGCGCATTTGTACCAGTCTCGAACATGAGACGCGTTCCGCTTTCCGGATAATAGTACAGCTAGTTGATACAGCATATCCATTCCCGTTTTCATCATAGCCCTGCGCCGAATGTATGCTCCCCAACGCCGTCCGCCATCACCTTCGTTCCTGATCCCTCAATTCTCGCCATCGAGTCATCATGGGCTCCATTTCAGCCTCGCAATTCCTTTTGGCGTCCTTGGCGCAGCTGGCAAAGTTGACGACAAAATCGCCCTCTTGATATACGCCTGAAGGTGATTAGCGGCAAGCCGACGACACAGTTCGAGGGCTCAAAAACATACCATCGTCTCCATTAATCGCGGCGGGATCTCGCGTGTAGCTATTCATGAGCCTCTGCGGCACCAACGCCAACTTGTTCAAGATGGTTCCGTGCCACTGCACAATGTGCTCCAACGCGTGATTCTCGGCCTTTTGGAAGTTGTAGCTCCGGTAGAGTGGATCGAACCACGCGTCGAGGAAGAACTTCGCCCACTCCCCCGTGCGGAGGAGGAAGCTTCCGCCGGCAAGCCCGTCCTTATCTTGTGTAAGGATGAAGTCAATGTGGTCCCCCTGGAGATGAGACATGGTTCTGATGACGCTGTCGGGTGGAACGACGGGCCGGTCGACTATCATCAACGACTCCAGCTTGCGCGGCTCGAGCAGCTTTGAAGACAAAGGTTCGTGGGGACTCATGATCAACGCCGAGCTGGCCAGGTAGAACAGCCAGGGCGCATGTGGCCAGGTGGTCATGGCATGTCTGAGCGCTGGCACCGTACTCCAGCTCTGCGGCATCCCCGCCATGAGATTGTAGTCGGTGGTGTTGGCGAAGAAGGTCGCATAGCCATGTCTTGCCGCGTAGTCCTTCCTGTTTGCCACAATGTTTTCTCGGAAGCTCGCGCTCGTGCTGGGGTCGAGTGTTGTCACAATCACCGCCCCAGGAGTGCCGGGCGGGAGCTGCCCCGTACTCGCCGGCCTGCTGAAGAGCCAGACGAGGAAGAAGATGAGGGTGCCGCCGCCGACGATATAAGCTCCATAGCGCTTAATATCGCGCGGTCGCAGGCTGGGAATGGATCGTGTCGGCTTGGGTTCGGCGGGAAGAGAGGATTTGCGCGGATATGGGAACTGCACATTGGACATGTTTGCCGGTGTGCTTCTCGCACGACAACTGCCTATGCGCCGGGCATTACACCTCTTTCATGTCAAGCTCTTAATGTTTGCCCCCGTGCGTCACTGCTTGCGCTTTCTGGCAAATCGAAGCATCGCCAACGTCCTCTGGGCAAGCAATGCAGGTCCACGCAGGCATTCGTGTGCAGGAGGCACAAAAGTACAATTCGGGTTAGCCTGCGGGCCAACGGGCGGATCTCGGGCTCGGGCCGCTCAAGACGGTCGCTAAGCCCGAAGTGAAACTCACGCTTTCAACCTCACGTGCGTGGCAACAGGTTCTTTGTTCGCATTACTCGACGTCAATGCTTGAGTGTTGAGAAACAACAAGCGTGTCATACCCCAATTGATCGGCACTTCGTCTACTTGGACGTGTGTGCCGTCACGAACAATAAGCAGCAGCCTACATTCCGCCACGGCAGTTCGCGCGATTCCGCCCATGTCTCAGTGGACTGGCACGCTGTGCATCGCGTACAGCCACGTGCATGCACATGCCTCGTATTCCTGTCCACGACGATGCAAAACGCTCACTTCATACAAGGTTCGTGCTCGAAATGAACGCAACCGAGCTACAAAGTGGGCGGTTGCGTCGAAAATCGCGCGTTCATTGCTATGAGGCATTTTCGGCCTCTCCTAGGCTTGGCAAGTATGCTGCGCTTCTGCAACATTGGCTTTTGGGCTATGCTACCATTCTCCACCGATTCAGCAGGGAAAATTACCTCTCATTCGCGGTGTCGGAAAATTGACAACATCGCAGGATGCTTTCTCGTGGGTACGCAGGGGTTGTCGAATTCACGCGCTTCATTTTCCGGACGAGATAAAAGGCAGGTGCTACCTGAGCTATTTCTTTCTTCCCTCCTCTCTCCTCCTGCTTCCGTACTCGTTCCGTTCCCATCCTTTTGTTGCGAGCCAGATAGTCCAGGCATGGCAGAAAAAAAGGAGTTCATGGTCGATCTCTCGCCGGTGGAGAGCCAACTGCCGTCGACTGGCCGAATACAGTATGCCGTCGACCTAGATCCGCGAGGAGAACAGCGCGTCGAACGCGGCGGACACGCGCGATATACACGTTCGCGCTCTCGAGACGCCATATCTATTCGTACGCTGTTTCGTTACCCGCCATTGAAGACACGAATGTACACTGATATTTGAACACAAGGCTCCGCAAGAAGAAGCGTGGATCCCGCCCTCGTTCTACCCCCCACATATCGCACGGTATCGTTTGGGATCGACGAGAACAACCGTCAAAGTCTCGCAAAAGTTGCAAAAAAGGATGGCAAGCAGCAGACGCCGGAAATCTCCTTCGGCGCCCTGGACTATCACACTGCCTCCGTCGAAGATCTTTATACTCGCTTTTCCAGCTCTCGCAACATTGGCCTTTCAAGCGCTCGTGTCACCCAGCAATTGAACACGGTTGGCCGCAACATTCCTTCCCCTCCTCCGTCACAATGGTTTCGCAAGATCATCGGCTATCTCTACGGTGGTTTCGGGGCGATTCTTTTCGTCGCGGCGATATTGGTCTTCGTGTCTTGGAAGCCTTTGGGCCAACCAGCCTCCATTGACAACCTTGCCCTGGCTATTGTACTTGTCATCGTTTGGATCGCCCAAGCCGCTTTCTCATTCTGGCAAGACTTTTCGACCTCGCGCGTCATGGCTTCCATCACCGGTATGCTTCCGGACCGCTGCTTCGTTCTGCGGGAAGGCTCTCTACAAGAAATCGACGGTCGCGATATCGTGCCCGGAGACGTCCTGCGTATCACACTCGGCAACAAGCTGCCGGCAGATGTTCGATTTGTGGAGGTGTCTACCGACGCCAGGTTTGATCGATCCATTCTTACCGGAGAGACTGTGCCTTTGCTAGGCTCTGTGCAGTCGACGGACGACAATTACCTTGAGACCGCTTGCATCGGCATGGCTGGTACCCATTGCGTGTCTGGAAGTGCCTGGGGACTAGTCGTGGACACTGGCGATCGCACAATCTTTGGCCGCATCGCAAAACTCACCAGCACGCCGAAACAGGGATTGACGCCGCTGCAGAAGGAGATTCTGTACTTTGTCCTCTTCATCTGCTCTCTCATGCTGGTCTTCATCATCGTCGTCATCGCCGTCTGGGCTGGCTGGCTGCGCAAAGAACACCCTGGCTGGATCAGCGTTGCTGGCTTGATCGTGGACTGTGTCAGCGTAGCGGTCGCTTTCATACCCGAGGGTTTGCCGATTGCAGTGGTGGCTTCACTAAGCATCACTGCTTCTATCATGAAACGCAACAAAATCCTCTGCAAAAGTCTGAAGACGGTCGAAACTCTCGGAGCCGTCAACGTCATCTGCTCCGACAAGACCGGAACACTTACGAGGAACCAAATGTCGGTGACAGAGTATGTTGTCGGAAAGGAACCTACACCGGCTACCAAAGCTGGAGGGCTGTACGACGGCGCTGAATCCGAAGGACTTCGAAATCTCGCCATCCTGAGCTCCGTCTGTAACGAAGCGGAATTCGATGCTGCTACGATGAACGAACCCATTCCGCAGCGCAAAGTCAATGGCGATGCGACCGACAGCGCCATCTTACGATTTGCGGAATCCATGGTGTCTGTGTCGAGCGTTCGTGCTGCGTGGCAGACGATCTTCAAGGTCGCTTTCAACAGCAAGAACAAGTTCGCCATCACTGTCGCAGAATCGCGAAATGAAGCGTCCAAGAAGATCTTGATGATCAAGGGCGCGCCAGACATCCTGCTTCCTCGATGTGGATCGTCCATGGATGCCGGAGGCCAGATTTACCGTCTCAATGAGAGTAGCAGAAGATCACTGGAAAACTTGAAGGACTCCTGGTCATCCCAGGGCAAACGAGTCATCTTGCTTGCCCAGAAAAGCGCGGACAACGTACAATCCAACTCAGCCTCTGAGCCTCGCGAATACGAAAACGAGATCCTCGAGTCTGCGAAGAGCGAGCTTGTCTTGGTCGGCTTGGTCGCCATTGTCGACCCTCCGAGACCTGAAATCCCCGAAGTCGTCCGCATTCTTCGCGGCGCAGGCATCAAAATCTTCATGGTCACTGGCGACTTTAAATTGACGGCTGCCGCCATCGCTGCTGAGTGTGGTATCATCACACGCGATCCAAGGCACGTGGACGACATATGCAACCTTTCCTTTGAAGATGACGACCTCGAAAGCGCAGGACTCGACGAAGAAAAGAGGTTCAGTGAAGATCGGATCCGCTCTCTGGTCCTCAGTGGGTCTGAACTCGAGACGTTGGACGACAGTCAGTGGGACAAGGTCGTGCAGTACGACGAAATCGTCTTCGCCCGTACCACTCCCGACCAGAAGTTGCGCATCGTCAAGGAGCTCCAAAAGCGCGAAATGACGGTCGGGATGACGGGAGATGGCGTCAACGATGCTCCCAGTCTCAAACAAGCTGACATTGGTATCGCCATGGGCTCTGGCAGCGACGTGGCGATTGAGGCAGCCGACATGGTCCTTCTCGACTCTTTCGCTGGCATCGTCGAGGCTGTCCGCTACGGCCGAGTCGTCTTTGAGAATCTCAAGAAGACCGTCATCTACCTCCTGCCTGCTGGATCTTTCTCTGAGTTCTGGCCAGTACTCACGAATGTCGTGTTCGGCCTACCGCAGGTTCTGTCCAGCTTCAACATGATCGTCGTCTGCTGTCTAACAGATTGTGCCGCTGCCATCGCACTGGCATACGAGAAGCCAGAGGCTGATGTGCTGCTACGCAAGCCGCGGAATGCGAAGAAAGACCGTCTGGTGGACTGGAAATTGATCCTGCAAGCTTATGGCTTTTTGGGCTTGATCGAGGCTACGTCTTCGTTTGCCATGAGTTACTGGTATGCTCAACGCGCTGGAGTGCCCTTCTCCACCCTCTGGTTCGGCTTTGGAGCGATACCGGCCGGTGTATCGCAGGCGCAGTACTATCACGTCCTGAACGTCGCCAGTTCGATCTATTTCGTCAACTTGGTTGTGATGTGAGTATTTCAACGCCAGCGTGTGGAAAGTCGACTGAGCGATCGCTAACAAAACGACAGGCAATGGTTTAACCTCTTCGCCGTGCGCGTCCGAAGAATCTCGGTCTTCACGCACAAGATGAACTGGTACCTCCTTCCCGCCATCTGCTTCGCCCTTGTCATTGCAATCTTCTTCACGTACGTGCCGAAATTCCACGCCGTTCTGAACACGGCAGTGATTCCGGCGGAGTACTGGTTTCTTCCGATGGCTTTCGGAATGGGACTGTTGTTATTGGACGAGGGGCGCAAGCTTCTGGTGCGCAAGTTCCCTAAGAGCTTCTTGGCCAAGCTGGCATGGTGATCGAATGGAATGACGGACCGCGTTTGGGATGGTTTGACTTCGACTTGACGACTTTCTAGTCCGCTTTTGTCGGCGTCTAGGGCGTAGATCGACAACAAGCGACAGTGTTTGGCTTGAACAAATGAGCATTGAGCAGTGATTTCGCGGGCTATAAAGACAAGCGATTGCCTCCACACATAGGTGGTGCAACTTATGAATAGAAAGTGACGATCCATTTCTCTTTCAGTCACAAACAAACCATCTCGTTCATCACTAGGGAATCAAGACGTCTCGCAAGCATGTCGCCATTAGCCAAACCCGAGTTGAATTCACGAAGATAATCGATGATAACGGCTTCTTCCAAAGCATCACCACCTCGAAAGCTCATGCAGACGGTACTCACACCCGAAATGTAGCATACATCCTATCCTACGATCCTTCCACCGGCGACAAAACGGTGCTGAAGCAGCATTCACCCGGCAGCTTATGGGGGGAAAACCCATCCGACGATTTCGACAAGGACACCGTATGCTCGCATGATTATTGGGAGGAGTGCTACATTATCGAGAGTCGGTTGTACGATGTGGGAAAGAAGGAGTGGTTTGCGGCGGGAAGCTATTGCTGTCGCCCACCGGGCATGTTGCACGGGCCTTGCAAGGCTGACGAAGAACTGGGGTGCAAAGAGATCTGCATGGCGCGATATGAGAAGTAGCTGGGAGACAGCGACCAGAGTCGCAAGTGGCAAGCATCAAACTTCGTTACCAGACACATTATCTTGTTCATGTCGGTGTTGTTGTCTCGCATTAATAATAATCGAGGTGGCTTTGGACGCCCTGGGAGAAACAGCCTCGGCCGGTTTAGGCAAGAGCTGGACAGGGTCCCGCACGCCCTACAATCCGCCACCACGCCCTGTCGATCCATATGCAGTTGTGATGAGCGATTGAAAGCAATTCACTGTTGGTTAAATGCCTGGGACACACTTGGACGTTGCAACAAGACATCAACGCAAACACAACCCCCCGTTGAGACACAACCGAATCCACCAACATGGAGAAGACATCGATCAAAGCAGTCTTATTCGATTTCATAGGGACTTGTTTGGACTGGCACTCAAGCATTGTCGAAGCTCTCCCGCATGAACTATCCGAGCAAGCTCGATCGAGATTCGCGCTCGACTGGAGGCAAGCGTACTTTGATTATAATGCGCGACGGGTCAGCGAAGGGCGGCCGGTAGAGGACTTCGACGACACACAGCGTACAGTGCTGGACCTTTTCCTGGACCAGCAGCCTGAGATTCAACATCACTTCTCTCCCGACATCAAGGAGTCGTTGGTAGCCGCATGGCACCACCAACACGCCTGGCCCGATGTCGCTCCCGCACTGCACAAGCTCCGGCACCATCGAAAACTGCAGATCTATGTCCATGCCAACGGCAGCACGCGTCTGCAGCTAGATCTCGCCAAGTCGGCGGGGTTGCAGTACGACATGCTGTTTTCCAGCGAGTTGCTGGGGTGTTACAAGCCGGCACCAGAGAACTACCGCAAAGTGCTCAAGCTTTTACAACTCAAGGCTGCAGAGTGCGTCATGGTAGCTGCCCATGACTATGACCTGCAAGGCGCGAAGGAGGTGGGTATGAGGACGGTGTATGTGTACCGATGGACCGACGACATCCTGGAGGACCAAGAGGCGATCAAGCGAGCCCGTGATGCATATTTGTTGGACATGAGTAGCTTAGATTCCGTTATTGCGAGTCTGTAAGATATGTTTCGCCATAGCAAAGTGATCCATCTACCGAGCTGTTTCCAAGAGAGTACTAGCGAGGAATGTGGACGAGGCAAAGGGAGATGGTGCTCCGCAATAGAATGTAGGTCAGATACTCACTTTGCAGGAGCATGGCGGATAGCCCACACCTCCACTTCATACAGCAAAGACTTCCCAGCCAGCGCGGCAACTCCCAAGACGGTATCCGGTGGGCGATGTCCATCGGCCTCGCGGTCCATAAACTCCATCCAGACTGGCCCCCAGCCACGATCGAAGATCTCGAGCGCATCCAGATCGGCATTGCCCGTCTTGTGGACGATGTAGTGGCGCACGTGAACTATGTCTCGTGGGGTGGCCCCAGCCGCTGCAAGACATGCCTGAACGTTCCGGCAGGCGATTCTAGCCTGGGAGACAAAGTCACCGGGTATGTGTCGAGTCTGTGGGTCAATGCCAACTTGGCCAGCAAGCGTAATCAGCTCGCTTGTAGGGGCCAGCGGCGTAGTGGCAACTTGGTTATATGTTGGCGGAGGCGCTGGCACGTTTGCCGGATTGAAGGTGCGAGGTTGCCCGGGAGGCTGTGGGCTGGCCATTGTGAGGGATCGATGAGGCGAGCAGGATGCAGGTCACAGACGTATATGTTACTGAAGTGATGGCCGTGTAAGTGTGCGAACCAGAGCAGTCATTGAGATGGAAGAGTAGGAGAGGGTTGTATTTATAAGCGACTTCAGTCGTCTTGTACTTGAGCTTGGCAGCTGCATCGCGGTCCTTTGGCTGGTGAGGCTAAGGTGGTTGCCTTATTATAAGGTGTGATGTAGTTGCCTTACAACGGTCAGGGCCGCTGACTTCCGTATCGGGTTAGATCGGGTGCATAATCAAGCCAATCACCGACATCGTCCGAAGATGCGCTTGGCACTTCACTCCCAAAGAATACTCATGAATCCGTCTTTCACGGGTGTCGATGCAGACCGACCATTACTCCGCCTCGAAAACGTATCGTAGCTGATGCTTCGTACGCTGGTGCAAGCCACGCGAGCAATTACAACACGTCGAAGCTTTGTCAAAGTCGGCAGCGGAGCGCCGGTGGTGTCAGGATGGGCTCAAATCCATAGGCAGCTCGCGACCAGCACATCATACCGTGCTGAGCAAACCTCTCCACGCCCCGAATCTTTTTCCGAGGGACAGCATGCAGTACCGCCGCTGCTTGCTTCTCGCGACGAGGCGAAGAACCTTCCCCTCTGCTGCCCCGGCTGCGGAGCTCCCAGTCAGACCGTCGACTCCGATGCGCCGGGGTATTATGGCTCCAGACGGGCCACCAAAGCCCCTCGGGCTACGATTGCTCGGAAGAGAGAGGACGAAATCTTCGAGAATGCGCTGAATCTCGGGGTGCTGGGAGATCAGGTACCTGCCGTGCCATCGGGGGACGAGGCAGCGAAGACGGTGGAAAAGGCGCCCATCTGCGATCGCTGCCATTTTCTTCTCTACCAATCGCGCGGACAGAGCATTGTGCACCCTTCAATGCAGTCCATCCAGCAAACCATCGAACAGTCTCCTCACAAGCACAATCACATCTATCACGTCCTCGATGCCGCCGACTTTCCCATGTCTTTGATTCCCAATCTACAGCACGCCCTCCGACTCCCCCGCATGCGAACGCTCAACCGAAGATCAAAGACTGTCAGTTACATCCGCGGTCGAACAGCAGAGGTCAGCTTCGTCATCACGCGAAGCGACCTACTCGCGCCGAAGAAAGAGCAGGTGGACAGCTTATTACCCTACCTGCGAGAGGTGCTTCGAGACGCCCTGAGAGGAGTTGGGAAAGACGTGAGACTGGGTAATGTAAGACTGGTGTCTGCATACAGAGGCTGGTGGACACGTACGGTGAAAGAAGACATCTGGACCCGTGGCGGTGCAGGATGGATGGTGGGGAAGGTCAATGTGGGAAAGAGTGCATTGTACGAGGTGGTGTTTCCCAAGGCCAGGAATGAAGTCGAAACGAACATCAATCGCATGAGGCATCAACAGAATCAGGCTTTGGCGAGTGACGCTGCTGCACTTAGTGGCGCTGAAGCTGCGAGAGTACCTATCCGAAACCTCGACGAGGACGCGCCCTTCGAGCCCTTTGACGATGCCGCAAATAGCCTCCAGGAGTCCGAGCTCGCGATATCTGACGAAGAGATCGAAGCTATGCGAGAAGATGTGGTGTTGGACGAGGATGAACACTCTTCCCTGCTTCCCCCCGCCCAACCGGAGACCCCCTATCCACACATGCCCATTGTCTCAGCACTGCCAGGAACAACCGCGTCGCCAATTCGCATTCCATTTGGCAATGGGAGAGGAGAGCTTATCGATCTGCCGGGTGTCCATCGCAGCTCTCTCGAAAGCTACGTCAAGCCCGATCATCGCAAGGCTTTGATGATGAAAACGCGCGTGGTGCCAGAACAGCACACCATCAAACCCGGCCAATCGCTGTTGATTGGAGGCCTGGTCCGAATTACGCCCAAGACCCATGATCACGTTGTTCTTGCGTATCCATTCGTGCCCTTGGAACCACATGTTACCAGCACCGATAAAGCGGTGGCTATTCAAACTGGGCTCTACGAGAATGGAGAACCGTACTCGGGAACAGTCGAGAGCATCATTACAGATTCAGCGAGGAATGACATCCGAAGCGCAGGTACTGTCCGATTGCAATGGGACGTGACAAAAGCTCGCAGCGGCCCTTTGACGCACAAGGCGGCTGGTAAGATGAAAGCAGCCAATCTGCCCTTTACCATCTACTCTGCCGACATCCTGATTGAAGGCGTTGGCTGGGTCGAACTTACATGTCAGGTACGCAGCCGACGTCGATCTGCCGACGATGGCAGATACGCTTTTGGAAGGGGCGATGCTAGTGACGACGCTCTCGCTGTTCCGGAGGTCGAAATCTTCACGCCTGGAGGGAAGTTTGTGGGTGTCCGACGGCCAATGAATGGTTGGATTCTAGGCGGGCCGAAGAAGGAGCCCAAGCATCTCAGACGTCCACGGCCCAGACAAAGCATCCACTTCGCCCGACGAAAGGCGGGAGGAGCAATTGGACAGACCACTGCAACGGCGCAAGCCGATTGAATCGCATGCTGTACCATACAGCATACTATGTTCCGCATAAAATCTTAACTTGTCTTCACACAATGCTGTCCCATTTGATGTCGAACATGACAGGCCGCGTCTGAGCGTGATACTCCCGCCGCTCCATCTTGTCGAACCACTCCGCGATGCTGGGGTACTGCTCCCTCCAGCCCGGCACCGCGTCGACGAAATCCAGATGCCCCACCGCACAAGCAACAGCAATGTCCGCAATGGTATACACCTTGCCATCTCCAATCAAGTATTCTCCTTTCCGGTGCTTGGCCAACTCGTCAAATGCTTTGAGCCCGCCATTGATCTTGCGAGTCTGTCGCTCCGCCCACTCCTTGCTCTGCTTCTCTTCTGCCCGGGCATTCTCGAAAGACCGCAGCACCATGGCATCCATTACCCCCTCGGACAAGACTTGCAATTGATATGCCTTCAGGTCGAGATCGATGTCGCCGGTCAGGAGTTTGGGCCCCTTGTTCGCAAACTTCTCCACGAGGTAGCGCTGGATATGCGCGCTATCGTACACAGGCTCGAAGGTGGGATCGGAGGGGTTCAATAGAATCGGGAGCTTTTCGAGCGGGTTATGCTGCGGGGTGATGGTCTCCTCCTTGCTATGGGAAAGTCAGTACATGATCGGTAGAGTTCGTAGGTCTATGTAGGGTGAAGACTGACTGCCACGGAATCTCGTTCTGCAACGAGAACGGAATGCCTTTCTCCAGCATCGTGATGCGATTCATTCGCGCGAACGGCGAGGGAGTTGCGCTGATGAGGGTGAAAGACATGGTGTTTGGTAGGTCCGATTATCTAAGGATATTGATTTCTTGGTTTCGTCTTGCGTTCGATGAGATCAATGTAAAAAGAGGTAGAGTCTTGCCGTGGCAAATATCAATATCGATATTCACATTGATAAGGCTCGGGGCTGTTTTCCCCACCTCCAACGTCATTCAATGATCGAGGGGTCCAACCAGCGCCGAGCTCGGATGATAGGGCGATGATCCAAATCATGACATCTAGTCGCCACTGGAGTATCATGACGATTTGTTGCGACAGGCTGATGATCAAATACCGGGGCGACATCTAGTCTCGGGTGTTGCCGGGATCGTATTGGTCAACAGTGGCTGTCAGTTCGTTCGGCTCTGCAACGTTTGGCATTGTACAGCTGCGGACACCCGGCGGACCGAAGGCTGACATTCGAAGAGCGCAGACGAGAAGGAGGGTTGAGATTGAAGAAGCAGAAATCCAGTCAGGCTAACATGTGTAATAATGCACGCCCTTGCGCGCCATGGCTGCGATCTAGGCAGGAATAGGATCAACGTAAGGCTGACAGTCAGCACTATGCACATAAGCTCTGTCCATTCTGCGGGACTTAGTACACTCAATTCACTCTAATATTCATCATTCATGATATTGCGCACTACTATGTTCGTGCTTTCAGGGACGAAGATGCAGCACAAATCCGCTCATTGACCACCAGCCTCCAATTCCGCAATCCTCTTCTCAATCTCCGGGACAGCGCGAATCTTGATCTCCAGCTCCTCCCGCTCATCCTCCAAGGCAAGCCTCTTTTCCGCATCCAGCTTGGTGAAGACGTGTCCACCCTGCCCATCAAACTGCAAAATCCAGCCGTGATATCGCCACAGACTTCGGCGATGTGAAACAGTCATGAGTGTGATGCCCAGATTCTTCGCTTCCTCGTACATGATCTTCTCCACCTCGGCCGTGACACTGCTGGTGCACTCGTCGAGAATGGCGTATTTGGGGCGATGGTAGAACAAGCGTGCAGCCGCTATCCGCTGTTGGTCGCCATTGGAGAGGACGGATGTCCATTCTGCCTCGACGTCTAATCCATTGGGTGTACGGCCGGAGCGGCTTTCCACCGGCGCAAGCTCGAGCTCCGCAGAGTGCTTCGAATTTTGCAGTTCGAGGAGATAACCAATGCCCAGTTTTTGCAGGATGTCTGCGAGATCTTGATCGGTGATGCGCCTTGCTCGCATGTCAAGCAGGCTGTCTGGATACAGGATTTGCTGTCTCAGGGTGCCTTTGCTGAGATACGGCCTCTGCGGGATGTAGAAGATGTCCTCGCTTGCGGGTTTGCGCACTTTGCCACCATAAACAGGCCATAAGCCCCCGAGGATGCGGAAGAGGCTGCTTTTCCCGCAGCCGTTCGGGCCCACAATGAGCAAGTGGTCGCCAGGTCCAATGTGGAAAGACAGCTGCCTCACCAAGACATCGCCGTTCGGGCTAACGATGGGTACGTCCAGGAATTGAATGTCGTCGCTCTCCTCCAGTTCTCCTCTCCCTGCTAGTACCACGGCGTTGGCTTCCGTAGACGCAGACGAAACGAGAGCCTTTTCAAAGTGTCCTCGCTCGGTATCCGCAATGACTTCGAGTAGCATGCTGACCCTGCTGGTGTACCCAGCAAGTTGAGAAACATCCTTGTAGCTAAACATCAGCTTCCCAAACGCGTCGCTGCAATTCACCAACAGCCTGCGGACAGTGATGAGATCTTCCGCACGCCCAGCCGCCTTGGGGCCAAGGCCTGCATTGACATTTGCAGGAACACGGAAGAAGACGGGGACCGAGATTAGCAAGAAGCCAATCGCGGTCCAGCAATACTTGACAACGTAATCTTCCATCACGCCATGCCACAGCTTTCTTCGTAAGATACGGTTGACGTGCTTGATGAGGGTAAAGTAGCCTTTGTCCAATGTGTCTCTCTCGGCATCGTGGCCGTAGTAGAGCGCCACTTCCTCACTGTAGTCGATGAGTCTGGTATGCTGGAAGCGAAACTCGCCCTCCAGCTTAGTCTCTTCGGCCACATATTTGCCAAATGGCGGGGTGACTGCTCGCATGAGAAGTGCACTGATGTGCACGGCGACACTGGCGAGTATGAAGGCCTCGCCGCCGACGCTCCGAGAAATGGACCAGCTGTTAATGGCAAGGTCGAGGACGGGCTTTGTCAGGCTGGAGTACAAATCGGCGAGGGAGTTGCTGAACTTGGACACGTCGACCACGATGAGTTGGTCGGCATTTTTGATCCGGTCGTCGAGGGCGCTGAGGGTGTAGAAGGTCATGTTGTTGAGATACTTGTCGTGGATGTAGTTCGTGAGGCGGGTTCGATATGCGAGCGCCAGAGTTGTCTGATGCCAGTTGAGCATGGAGTTGGTGAAGACGGCGGGGACGGCAACGAGCATCCACCACACGAGGAGCTTCAAGAAGCGCTTGGCCTTGCCGCGCACCAGGTTGTTGACGAGCTGTCCATCCAGCTTGGCGATGTAGAGACTAAGCAGGGTGCGCGTGACGAGGAAGAAGGAGTGCTGAAGGAGCAAGCGGGCCTCACGGCTCCATACGCCTGGTATACATATCCTCAGCAGCTTGGCGAGATTGCGGAAGAACTCTCGGTCCAGCTCGACTCTTCTCTTGGCCGTGGCATCGGGCCGGCCGCCGGTAGCAGAGGCGCGTTTGCGGGCTTGGGCGGCCTGAGCAGTCGCGGCTTTCTGCTCTTTGATGGCATGGCGGACGCGGTAGATGAGGGTGAGGAAGAGGGCAGCGTACGCCGTGCGCGAGATCTGCGTGCGGTGCCGGAGGTAGAGGGAGGAGAGGTCGGAGAGGAGTTGCTTCAAGGACCGGTTGGAGAGGGGTAGGCGTACGGGTAGGGAGGGGACGGCCATGCTGCTGCTGCTATAGATCACGTTTGAGGCCCCGTCATGCTCAGTCCAAAGTGCCGATGTTGAGAGTGGAGGGCAGAATGGTCGGGGAGGTGGAAGACGAGGATGGTGGTTGGCATGTGACAGACAACCGCTCCGCCTTCACGTGTTCGAGCTTGACGTGCCTGAGGCTGTAGATGCCTGAGGCGGAAAGCGTCTTGCCAGTTTGGGGCAAGCGCAGATCAGGGCGGGCGGGAGCGGCACGTGAAGGCGAACGTGCTGATCATGGTGATCTCGGTTAAACATCACTTGGATCATTGGCGAACTCCTCCCTGCCCCCCGTTTCACATGCCCAGATCCCGAAGTCTATCCGCCTACGCGACCCAAGCCTTGGCTCGACATGGCAACTGAGATGATGGATCGTGAACCTGCGGCTCCGCAAGCGAACTCCGCGTACCTGAGTTGGCGATTGAGGGTAAAATTAGCCTGGAACCATGGCGCGCCCGCGACATACGGATACGTATAACTACTGGCATCCCAGCGCGCCCATCGCCAGCGGGGTCCAGGTTGTGCTTCACCACGCGCTGATGCCGTCGCATTGATCTCCCTTTCCACCCCAACGCCTCCTTCCTCTTTTTCGTCCCAACCCACGCTCGCTACCTAGATAATTGCAAGGCACCATGTTGTCCAAAATCATCCTCACCACCTCCCTCGCTGTGGGAGCGCTCGCCGCGAAGTCTGCGTCCAGCGGCAGCGCTGCTGCGGGCGGAGCGGCCGCGACGAAGGTCAAGCTCTTCCTTGGCCCCAAAGTCGGCAAGAATGTGCCCTGGCAAGGCTCCGTTGTCTCGGTCAGCGACGACACCACGGTGGTCGCGCTGACCTGCACCCAAAGCCCGCAGTGCGTGCCTGCTGCAACGGTACGTCCATGCCAAAACATCTCTCACCCTGCTGTGCCAAATCGCTGATGGACACAGGCAACCATCACCAACGGCCCAAGCTACTTCGCCGTCTCCACTTCCACCACCATCAGTGGAGCGTTGGAAACCCTGCTCGAGACGTGTGACCTCCACGGCGCATCGACCGCAGTCTGCACCCAGAGCCTCTACTATGCCGATAGCTCGACGTCCACCAGCTCCGTCACCTCCCGCACCTTCACAGGCGGAGAATTAGCATACCAGCAGATCCCCATTACCGCCGGCGCATCCCTCATCTCTGCTGGCGGCTCGGGTGGGGGCTCGGGCGGGCATGGCGGGGGCAGTGGCCATGGCGGCCATACCTCTACTCCATCCTACGGCTCCGGCTCCTCCGCCGCCACCGGTTCGAGCGCCGCCTCCCCTTCCGGCTCTGCCACCGGCACTCTCCCGGGAGCTTCGTCTACCCTCAGTACCGCAGGCTCATCGGGCACATCCACCGGCGGCGCGGCTCCGACGACTGTTCGTGATATTTACAAGGTGCTGATCGTTCCCGGTGCGGCTGCGTTGTTGGCGGCTGGCGCCTTGCTTTAATCGCCGTATGGCTCGCCGAGATCGTGGAGCTGTCCCCGAACCGCTGTCGGACAAGTTGCAGACTACCTTCGTATCTAGCGAGAGTGCTGATCTCCCTCCTCTTTCCGCTTCAAATACAGCTTTTGTCCTCGCCGAGTGGCTTGAATTCTTACAATCTCCCGTGCTTTCTGTGCCTCCTCCATCGCGGCTTGCGTCGAGACGTCGCTCGATCGGTAGACCTGCGGTTTCTTCGACTTGACCAGTGGACCCACGTCTGTGCCCAGCTCTGGGTGGCTCGTAGTCGGCGCAAAGGATGCTAGGGTCAATGGCACCAGCAGTGCAATCATGATCCGCGGTAGGAAGTATGAGCCGCTCATGCTGTTGAGATTTGTTGGCGAGAATGTGAAAAAGCCCATGGAGTTTGAGCATCAATGTGATGACATGCCCACTGAGATGATGATGCTCAGGTTGTTGAGATGGAGCAGCTCGGATGAAGCGAGCGTTCTCTATCGCGGTTATAAGCACGGTCTGCAGCTCCAAGGTGGGGTGTGGGCCCCCCACTCCTTCCTATATCGGCGGGTGGGGGAACTTCCAGGTCGAAGGTACAGTGGAGAGAAGAATTCGGAACAACGTCGAGCGTTTCACGGTGCATCTCTGTACAAAACAGTCGAAGCCTTCGAGGGAACCCGGAGTCTGAACGTCGACCAAGGCAAACGAGCATGCATTGACGGCATGAATCGCTTGTTTCGTCCCGCCGTTGCGTCCAAAGGCCGAGCGCGGCACACTCTCAATGCCCCTCGGCGTCAACTTCACTCCAATGCCCGGCCGTCAACAATTGACTCGGGCTACATCCTCTCGCTACCCCGACTCTCAAACCCGGCGACTTCCGACGCCGCATATCAACGATTACTCTCGTGGTATCTGCCATCATCACTGAACGAAAAGCTCCAGCCTCGACTCAAAAAGTTCGGCGATGAAGCGGTGTCGGACCAAGTCAACGAATGGATTTCCAACGCCGAGCGCCAGCCACCCTACGTCAAGAGTCGCAACGTGTGGGGTGAAAAGTACTGTTATGACCGGTTGGTCACGAGCGAAGGTTGGAAAGCTCTAGGCAAGTGGGGGATTCAGAACGGGTGAGTGTTGTTTTCTGGTTTGTTAACAAGTCTGTCGAACCTAATAATGAGGACCAGGGTTGTCGCATTGGGATATGAGGAAGAGTTTGGACCATATCGTCGAATCGCACAGCATGCATTGTAGGTCCGCTTGATCTTCATTTGTCGTGATGTTCGCACTGACCACATCTCTGGCTAGTAATTACATCTACTCAGCTTCATCGGCCGTTTACTCATGCCCGGTATCAATGACCAGCGGCGCCGCTCGTTTGATATCGCATCAGCTCAAAAATCTGCCCCCGGCGCACCCGTTCCACGACGTCTATCAACACATCGTCTCCAGGGAAGGGAACTGGATTTCGAGCCAATGGATGACAGAGCGCCCAGGAGGGAGTGATGTCCAAAATTCGGAGACTTGGGCCGAGCATGCCCCTCTTCCAGACAATCAAAAGACTGGAGAGATGCAGTTCGACGAGGGAGACTGGCTGGTTTCTGGCTACAAATTCTTCTGCTCCGCAACAGATTGCGACATTGCCCTGATGCTGGCCAAAACCGAGTCCGGCCAGCTTAGTCTCTTCCTCGCTCCCACGAAGAAGAAAGTGACGTTGGAGGATGGCAGTGTTGACGTTGTCACGAATGGCATTCGTTTCCACCGACTGAAGAACAAAATGGGAACCAAAGAACTGCCTACCGCCGAGCTGGAGCTTGACAATGTTCGGGCATGGCTGGTTGGTCCAGTGGACCGGGGTATTGCAACGATTGCCACTCTGTTGAACGTGAGCAGAACACATAACGCCATCACCGCCCTGTCGTGCTGGCGTCGTGGCATGGCCATCGCAAAAGGGTTCGCACAAGCCAGAACAACCATCAACCAGCCTTTGTGGACCTTCCCAATGCACCTCAGACTGCTTGCAAATATGGAAGTCAAGTTCCAAGGCCTTTTACAGCTGGCCTTCTTCACCACTTCCATCCTGAGCTTCGTTGACAATGGTTTCCCTACCGAGCAGCCGGCCAACTACCCTCCGTTGCCCGAAGCGGGGGTGCAAGCGACAGTGGTCCAGCGAGCTCTCACAGCCACGGCCAAAGGCGTCAACTGCAAGATCGGATGTATTGCCCTTCAAGAGTGCCAAGAGGCCATGGGCGGTGTGGGTTACATGGATGAGCCTGACGAGCCGGAATTCAACATCTCCCGGCTGTACCGTGATACAGCCGCCAACATGACGTGGGAGGGCACCACAAACGTGTTGAGTAGCGAGGTGGTGAGACATATGCTAAATGGAAAGAATCTGAGCATTTTCAGCGACTGGTTAGAAGGTAAGGTCTTAGCCGGCATTACAGACGAAGCGCTCAAAGGGGCCTTGACCGCTTCTTGGTCCAATCTGAGGAACAGACTCGTCCTGGGTGGCGATGACATGGCGGCAGCCCTGGCAGAAGGGAGACATATCATGTTCAGTCTTGCGTGGGTAGTGAGCGGCAGTCTGCTGGCTCATGATGCACAACGAGACGGAAACTCGCTCGCGAGAGAAGTGGCTCATCGCTGGGTCCTCGAGGGCGATGGTGGTGTTGGCGAGTTCGTCTTTCCTGATGTGGTACACCAGCCTACCAGCTCTGTTGTCAGCTCCAGAGAGCGGATCAGTCGCGACTGCAGGCTGGTATGGGGGGTCGATCTTCCAGAGAATCCCGCGCTGGGCTACCGAGCACCCGTGTCGAAAGCGAGCGGAGAGCCTGAGAAGCTCGTTGCGAGGGCAGATGCAAAGTGAATTCAAGCGACACTCAGACAAGATTGGCCAATACAGAACGACCGAGCCTCCTATTTGCCCGGGGAGCAGCGAATCTCCATCTTCGTATCCGACATCACCCAGCGCGACCTTGAGCCTGATTTGACGCGTCCGTCTCACTTATCAGGCTGTCCCTTTTCGCTTGTATCTGCCGCCAATCCTGCAGATGTTTTCTCACCGCCGCCACCTTCTTTCGCGTCATCTCGGCGAAAACGAGTGCACTAATCACCAACGACAACAAGTGTCGTCGATCCACAGTCGGGTCGATTCTCCACGTCATGAAGTTTGTAATTTCGGGTGGCAGAGTAAACGCGGTGTCCTGTAGACTTCGCACTTGCGAGCAGGCATGCCCATACTGCGTGGCCACGTTGATGACCTCGGTGCAGACTTCAAAGAGTTGCCATTCTATTGGTCCGACAAGGTTATCCCAGCCATACTGAATCAGCAATTGCCATTCTTCAGCACTAGCTGAGTCCAGGAGCGGTTGAAAGGCGGCCACGACGGTGGCTGTACTACTCGAGACGTCGGCCGCCGTCGCTATCTCGCGCATTCGAGGGAGATGTGGGTGTGGGTTGAGCGTGGGTCCTCGGTCCCTTGACCCGAGTAGTTGCATTGTTGGGCATATGGATATGAGGGACATGAGGAATATCCGAAGAGGTCGTGTGTGCTGGTTGTAGGTATCCCGCTCTTTCAACGTGGTCAGCGGTCTTCTTTCCACTTCTGTTGGTTGGATCAGTCCGTCCACCTACATGCCTGCTTGACGAATAACACTCTTCCTGATGGTCACCGTCAATAATGATAGAGCTGTGCTGCGCAATGGTTATATATGATGAGCTCGTGGACATGGATGATCGCGGCGTAGGAAATACATATACGCGAAAGTCCACCTTCCTTCAGATGATTACACTCACTGGACCGGCAAACGTACTGCACTCGTGGAATGAGCTGCCCGTGGAGAGGTCGGTTGTGCTGTCAGGAGCGATAGATGTTGAAGTCGAAACTGCGACAGGTGCCATGCAATGCGGATCGCCTCCTCCAGATATGTGTCCATGTCTGTGACGATGTCGGCTTCCACAATAACACACCTCTTGCCTCATTAAGCGATGAGATGGGAATGCCCGTGATGCCGTGAGTTGCAACACCATCCTTGATGCGCACCTTCAGCTCATGTGTATATTCCATCGTTCGTCGTACGCTCACAACGCCTCTGATGCATGCTCTACGCTTTATGAATCTTTCCCCTCCTCGCCACAGATGCTTCTTGCCCAGTTTTTACCTCCCAGATCTCATTTCATCTCCCGGAACGCCTGCTCGACCAACCTCACGCATACATCTGCGACATCGCTCCCCGTCCTCCAAGTACGGAGCGTGACTCCGTTCCTTTCGAGAACACTTTTTGCACGCGCCCACCGCTGATTCCACGCGTATTCTTTCTTGTTCATGCCAGCCTCGCCGGGACTGCCGGGTAAGCTGCCGCCACTGGCGTCGCTCCAGGCACCAGAGGCGCGGTTCGTTGCCTTGCGATTATTGGTCGAAGGACTAGCATTTGCGGCATTGTTGCGCTTCGGAGGAGGAACAGGCGCAACTTTGGTCGATGCTGATGATAGCGGACCCATGTTTTCTGTGGGCCTTGTAGGGACTGTCGACAACGCGCGAAGACCATTGCCAGTATCAGCTGATGCCTTTGCAGGCACAGGCGGGGGAGGATTTGCACGAGAGCCGAAGAAGCCTTTAGATAGTGTACCGGCATCCTTCGGTCTCGACGGCAGTGCTGGTCGGTCCCTGGTTTCGGGTGATAGAAGTGTCACCTGGGATAATGGTGAAGGCTGATGTTGCGTGTTGGTCGACAAAGTTTGAGCCCTCCTCGGAGGCGGAGGTGGAGGAGGCGGCGAAGCTTGCGCAATCAAATGTGGCGGAGGTTTGACAGCGCTGGAGGGCTTGCGAGGCCTTGGAGGTGGTGTTTTGTTTGATGTGTCGGCCGCTACTTTGACAGGCTCGGCAGTGGGCGACGGACTTCGCAAATTCCGGGGTTTCGGGGGAGGTGACGGTGATGGCTTGTATTGTGCACTTCCATCTAGTTTGGCAGGAGTTGCAGCAAAGTTTGAAGGTGGCGGAGTTAGCCAGGCATGGCTCTGTGCCTGCTCGTCGCTAAAATCGATCAGGTCGTCCTCAGTATCCGACTGTGTAGAAGCCGGCCCAACCATTCGTACGGTGGAGCGTCGAGGAGGCAGATGGGGCCGTGGTGTGGCCAAATTCTCTGGTGAGGGTGAATCCGGGTTAATGGATTGTCTCGCATGGAGTGCCTCTGTCTCCATGTCTGCAAGCGACGCGGCAATCGCCGCTCGCAGCTCTGCATCGTCGTCTTGCGCATCGAGCGGTCGAGAGAGCCTCTTAGACGTTGTCAAGCCATCGGTGTTTGTACGCCTGGCCTTCGGACGGCCATACGGACTCGCTCCAGAGGGGCCATTCGAGGGGTCAAAATAGCCCGTCTTGACGGTCGTGGTCACATCTCGAATGAAAATGCCCAAGACTCTTCCGGGATTTTCCATAGCGATGTCAGTGTATACCTCGAGGTCGGCTTCGCCGCTGTCGCCAACCAAGACGAATTTGCGCTCTGGAAAGTCGTGTATGATTTTCTGCAGACTGGATTTCTTCCGCTCCGCAACCGGCTCAAAGATACCTTGCAACATGCCAGAGTACTGCTTGAGATGGAAGGAGCCTTTGGGGAGATGCGCCATTTTGAAGTAGGTGGTGAGCACTGGATATAACTGCCAAGGCGAGTTTGAGACGTAGTGGATGGACACACCCATGTCGTGAAGAGTGTTGTACCATTCTCGTACGCCGTCAATGGTGAGGTCACTCAATTCTCGGATGAAGGTGTTGCGGAAAATCTCTCGAGCATTCGTACTGACTCCGGAATGCTTGACGGTGTCATCAATATCACTGATCAAGCTCACGCCGGTTGGAGAGATGATGTGAACCTCCTCGGTTGCCGACAGACGCTCCGCAGCAAGGACTCGAACATGGGTGGGGATGAAATCGAGCGCAGCACGGCAGGTGAAATGCCCCGAGGGATTGGTGTAGACGGTGAGTTCGCGCGAAGTTGTGGTATTGAAGAAGAACGCCTTGACTGGTGCATTTATGAGCGGATTTGCCAGGAACGGCTTGAAGCGATTCAAGAGACGAGAATGAGCAGTGGCCAATTCCGAGCCCGCCATTTTCGCCGGATCCGTCCAAGAGGATTGGTGATGAGGAGGGGGAACAGGCGTTGTAGCGTCGTCATCGACAGAAGAAGCAAGGCTGATCTGCGAGAGACGATGTCTCCCACGATCAGGAGACGGGTTTCTCGAAGATGCGCCGCTCCTCGTGGTGTAGATGCTGTCGCCGTCGTTGTCTTTCTTGGGTGTTTCAGAGAAGGCTCCACGCCGTGCATATCGTTGCTCGTGCTCCCCCCTCCGCTCGATCTTCTCGGCTTCCAGTGCGATCAGGTCTTCCTCCTGCTTCCAGGCAAAGCCCGGGCTGGATGTTCGACTCGATGCCTGGGACAATTCGCCGGGTTTTGAGGAAGTCGGTGCCGGAAGACCAGCGATTTGTCTTGCGACACCTAAAGTCAAACGCTGCTTTCGATTGAGAGGCCCTTTGTGTGGAGTGTAGATCCATCCCCGGACATCAACATCCACAATGGCTTTATCATCTTCCTGTCTTTCCCATTCCCTACGCCAATACTCTTGGTCATTGACGTCGCCCGATGCCGGAGGCGCCTGGTGTTTCCGCTTCACATGTCTCCTGGCATAGCTCGGAAACAGAATCATCTCTTCGTTGCCGCTCCGCACAATCGAGGCATCTTCAAAAGGCCCAGGACCTTCGGCGCCGTACTCGTCATGCAGGCCCTTGCTTCCGCTTGCTCCGTCATCGCCACTCATATACGATTGACGCAGCTCGTTGGCAGCCTTGAGATAGCCTGCTATCTTCTTCCTCCTTGTCCCCGGCTCACTCCCTCCCTGCAGCCACGACAAGTCATACGCACCGCCAGGTCCGACAGAGGCCATGCTAGCCTTGTGTGACTCAGACGCATCTTTGACGGGGCGCCGCCTCCAAAATGCAGGAAAGCGGCGGGGGAGAGTGCGAAAGGTGGTCGAGACCCTGCGCTTCTCTTTCCGATCCTGACGCGCGGTCAAGTAGCGATAGATGGAGAGGTGGAGCCGTTCTCTGAGGCCGGGAAGGAAGAACCAGTGCACACGCTGTCGAACACTAGGCTTTCGTGCGGACGCGTTGGAAATCGGCGAGGTAGATGGCGGAGGATCTCGGCGTGATACTCCAGATGATGGGCTTGACTTCGACCGCGCAACCTGCCGGAAGAATTGCCTCCAAGAAGGAGCCACTTTGACAGGGCTCGGCAACGAAGATCGAGAGTCTGTCGATGGCGAAGGCGAGGGAGCTATCATCCGCCTTTGGGCTCGGACGACGAAGCTTTCGTCATCGGACTGACGCCTCAGGCCGCCAATCGCGTCGACGCGGCAGCTCCGTTAAAGATTACCTAAGGCATTAGTTAAGAATCCCCCGCAATTCCTCTGGCGGAACGCCTTCCGCCGGACCCTCAAAAAAGTTCAGAGGAGTGGAATTTTTGACACCGCCGTTAACATGCGCTCCAACATCCAGCAGGCACGCTGAACGGCACGACAACATGTCTCTGCACGAGAGACTCGACAAGATCCGCTCGGCGCCGAAGCAGCAGAACCAGCAGCAGACGGCCATCGTGCTCAACGCAATCGAAGAAACGCTGCAGACCCAAGCCACCGACCGAACGCCCACCGCCTACTTCGCCGCCCTCTTGAGCTTGTTGGCCTCTCAGGTCTCCAGTGAACAGGGAATCGTGCAAAAAGAGGTCGCATACGCCATCGTGTACCTCCTCGACCTCGTCACCAGCCATGTCCCCCATCCTCTCCTGCGATCCAAGTTCCCCCAGATCCTCGCCAGTCTTGCGCCAGTCCTGACCCACCCCGAAGCGGAAGCACCTCTGTTAAGAGCGAGTATAGGATGCTTGGAGTCGCTGGTCGCTGCGCAAGACTCGCAAGCATGGGCCCTTCCTCAGTCGCAAACCAGCCCACGGGGCGCCGTTGGTGGCTTGCTGCTGCTCGCGGTGGACCCGCGGCCGAAAGTTCGAAAGCGAGCACAAGATGCTATCGCACACATCCTAAGGACTCCGCCGCCCAGTCCTTCGCTAGATCACCCTGCTGCGGATATGTGTGCCGAGAGCGCGCTTCAGGGCTTACAGAAGGCCGCGCAAGAAGCGGACGCGAAGAGGAAGAAGCAAAAGCACAAGGGCCAGCAGGAGCATGATCCCGATCTACTGCATGCTCTCCAGCTCGTCAAGACTGTTGCAAGCGTTCAGAATGGCTGGCCAAGCAAGAAGATCGATGCGCTGTGTGAGGTGTTGCTTAGCATCTCGAAAAGCACCAATGAGTTTCTCACCGTAGCTGCCTTTGAGGTCTTTGAACTCATCTTCTCTGGCCTGGCAGACGAGGTCTCCTCCGGGAAGCTGGCGAGGCTGCTTGACGCCATCACTGAACTACAGCCATCGCGAAGCGACTCTCAGTTGCTCCCGCCGTGGGTAGCTGTCTTGAGCAGAGGATACGATGTCTCTGCGCAGATCGAGCCAGAGCAAACCTTTCAGAAACTGCCGACACTCATCAGAGACATCTCGAGCCTGCTGTCGTCTTCCTCCCACAATATCCGCATATCAGCATCCGAGTGTCTGATATCACTGCTCAATACCTGCATACCTGATGCCGTGATTCTTGAGCCATCGATCATGGACGACAAACTGCTCGAGGACATCGCACAAACGCTGCAAGACTTGCTCACAGTCAAGTACCAGAGCGCTTGGATGGAAGTCTTCAATGTCTTGAGCGCAGCGTTTTCAGTGCTCAAGTGGCGCTCATATCCTCTTTTGAGCGGGATTGTGAAAAGCATCGGCGACCTTCGCAGTAACGACTCCTTTGCTGGGAAGAAACAAGCAGATGGTGTTCTGGGCGCCGCTTTGCTTGCAGCGGGCCCCGACAATGTGCTCTCCATCCTGCCTCTCAATCTGGCCAAGCGACGTGACACTGGCCGCGCTTGGCTCCTGCCATTGATGCGAGACTCCGTGAGTAATACACGATTGGCTCATTTCAAATTCGAACTCGTGCCTCTGAGCGAGCTCATGTTCCAGCGAGTCCTCAATCACGGCGATGCGGAGAGGACGATAGATATCAAGATCTACGAGACCATTGTCGCCCAGATCTGGGCCTGTCTGCCGGGGTACTGTCAACTGCCAATCGACCTGCAGGATGCCTTCGACCAGGGCTTTGCTGAGCTGCTGAGCAATCTACTATATCAACAGCCCCACCTGCGAACGGACATTTGTAAAGCATTGCAATACCTCGTCGACACGAACCAAGCCATTGTCGGACTTGAGCAGGACGAGAACCTGGTACAGCAGGGACGGGTCAGCAAAGCTGAGGCACAGAAGAACTTGCAGCATCTGGCGGGATTTGCTGCCAACATTCTGGCTGTGCTCTTCAACGTGTACAGTCAAACCTTGCCGCATAATCGAGGCAATCTGTTGCAGTGCATCAACGCCTACCTCAGTATAACTCCCGAGCAAGAACTCATGGAGACGTTTCAACGGGTCGCGACCATGCTGGAGAGCTCATTAGCTGAACCCCCAGCTGCCGAAACCCCGAAGCAGCAACCGTCGAGCGAGCAATCGAAGATGAAGATGCCTCCCACATCGCATACGCTCATGGATCTCATCATTACAATGTCGATCTACCTGCCGCGAGAAAGCTTTGGCGCACTCTTCAACATGGCAGCCAACATCGTCAGGAAGCAGGATGATGCGCAGCTGCAGAAGAAGGCTTACAAGCTGATCCCGCGCCTTTCAGACTCTGAAATCGGACGACAAGCACTGGAAGATCGGAATGTCGAACTTCAGGCGCTACTTCTCGCCTCGGGTGAGATGGCTGCGGCACCGGCCAAACGGGATCGGTTGGACTCAATCGCGCGCGTTGTGCCCTTCCTGCCAACTTCCGACTTGCACTTCATCCCGGCAATTCTATCGGAGGTCGTTATAAGCGCAAAGGAAGTCAATGAAAAAGCACGCACCGCAGCCTATGATCTTCTCGTACTCATGGGCGAGAAGATGAGCGAGGGCGGTGCCGTTGTCAATGCCAAAGTTCCGCACATGCCATCTGATGCGCCCTCTGCGGAAGCCAGCCTTGAAGAGTACTTCACCATGGTATCCGCTGGACTTGCAGGCTCCACTCCACATATGATTTCTGCCTCCATCACCGCGCTGACGAGATTACTTTACGAGTTCCGATCAAGGCTGAAGGATGAGACCGTCACGGATCTCGTGCAGACAATGGATCTGTTCCTGACGTCGAACAACCGCGAGATCGTCCAGTCTGTGCTGGGATTCGTCAAAGTCTCTGTGATTTCCCTCCCGACAGACTTGATGCTCCCTCGGCTGGAAAGCCTCATCACCAACCTGATTGTCTGGAGCCACGAGCACAAGGCGCATTTCAAGGCAAAGGTGAAGCACATTTTCGAACGCATGATTCGGCGGTTTGGAGCGGACGTGGTGGAGAAATTGACTCCTCTCGAAGATCGAAAATTGGTCTCGAACATCCGCAAAACCAAAGAGCGCAAGAAGAGAAAGAGGGACGCCGCCGGCGACGACGAGCAAGAGGCGGCGCCGGAGAGACGACAAGGCAAGTTCGAGAGCGAGTACGACGAGGCCGTCTACGGTTCTGAATCCGACGGATCAGGCGAATCGGATATTTCAGATGATGAAGTCCTTGCCCGATCCGCCGCAAAAGTCCGGAAAGCGAAGCAGACTGGTCAACAATACATTGTGGAGAACGAAGACGAGCCTCTTGATCTTCTTGACAAGAGAGCACTGGCCCACGTGTCGTCAACGAAACCGTTGAGGAACCAGGGTTCGATGCAGAGAGAGAAGAAGAAAGCGAAAATGGATCTCGACGGCAAGTTGGTGTTCAACGAAAATTCCGACAGCGATGACGATGACATTGTGGCCGCGGGACAGGAACCTGGTGATGGTACTCTGGAAGGAGGAATCAATGCGTACGTCAACGCCATCAAGGGCAGGGATAGCGCAAAGAGGGGTCAGAAAGGGAAACTCAAGTTCCACAATCGTCGTGGCGATCAGGATGAGATGGACCTGGACGAGGAGGATGTCGCTACTGTCAAGTCGAAGATGAATGGTGCGGGCAGAGGTCGAGGGCAAGGACGGGGGCAAGGCAGGGGTCGAGGCCGCGGCGGGTCCCAACACCCAGCTAGACGAGGGCTGGGAGTGGAAAAGTCGAGACAGCCCAGTGGAGATGGTGGATTCAGGAAGGCAGGAGATGGTGGGATGCGGAGAGGTGGGGACGGTGGAGTCCGGAGGGGAGGGGATGGTGGGATGCGGAGAGGAGGGGATGGAGGAATTCGGAAGGCAAGAGGAGGCGCATTCCGCCATGGCTTACAGAAACGTAGGGGAGGGAAGAGGTAGAGAGTGTGGAGATAGAGAGATGGAGTGGCTGCAAGCTGCGAAACAGACAGGTAATGGAGAGAGTCGTGAGAGAGGGCAGTCACCCAACATCGTCGAACCCCTTCAGATACCATTCCTCCCTGCTCTCGCCGTCTTCGTCCCCGCTCTCCTCGTTCTGCTCGCATTCGTCTTCGTTTTTCACTGCTTGGGGGACATGCTCTTTCGGCTTCGGCTGTGGATCAGAGACTCTGAAGTCTCCAGGACACCAAGGCAAGCCGCATCCTCCATTCCGATGCACGTAACCTGGTGGCGGCTGTACCATGGTCGGTGGATCGGTAAGCTCGTGTCTGTACATGCATCTGTTGCGGGGGTCCTTGGAGCGCGCACAATGGCCGTGATACCAGAAACTGCAGAGGATGTCAGCGAAGTCTGAGAGTGGAAGAGAACAATGACTACAAGCAGGTGTCTTTTGAGCTGCCAGGGCTGGGGCCAAATATCAGTGCCTTGTCGCTGCTGGTCACATTGCATATCTTCTTCGTCGCGGGTAACTCCAGGGCTGCAACTTGTATGCGCTTCTTGGGGTTTGTGCTGCCGGGGTCTTTGTGCTTGGTCGCCTCTCGCAGCGCAATCTTTTCCTCCTCAGACTTCGGTACGATTTGCTTCATCCCGTGTCTCAACGGACATGTGGAAATGCCACACGGTTTCTTGTGCATCCGCCTCGGGATGCTGGGGGCCTTCGGCGGGAGCTGACTAGAATCGAAATGATGTGTGTGGGCACATGGTCTTTCTGGTCTTGGAGAATTTTCCGGGTCTCGAGGACAATGTCCGTGATGGAAGTAGAAGAAGCAGACTTTGTTGCTCTTGGAATGGATGGAGTCTCTTCGGAGGGGTAAGGCTGGTTCTGCAATCTCACCGTCTTCCAAGTCGCACTGCGGTTGACCGTCGGGAAGAGGTGGACTGAACGGTACTTTCGCCATTCTATTTGATGTTGGGGTGGCGTTGTCGAGGCTGGGCCAGCGACTTGATGATTCCCCTCGTTTTCGCAAGTCGCCCACGGTGAAGAGAATGAAATGTTACGTCTCGACAGGGATTGACGGAAGTACGTCGAATGCTACCCGTTCAAAGGCCGCCCTGGACAATGAAAGCGAATACCTTACTTGAGGTGTGTTTGAGAGGACACGTGACAAGGAAGTGAATTACCCTCTCACGTGCTTGTGAGAGGACCGCAGGTGAATAGCCACGCTCGCGTGCAGTCAAGTGAAGTCATGGAGAAGCTTGACGTGGGCAAGACAGACGGAGCGACGGACGACCATGCGTGATACGGCTGAGTTCGTCGTTCTATTGATGCTTGTCGCCGAGACGTGCCAGACTCGCGTGAAGTCGAGCCAATGCCGCGAAGAAGCTCGATGCGTGCAAGACGGGCCCAAAAACCTTCGAAGATGCGTGTGGTAGGATTGAGTAGATTGTTTTATTGACTCTTGTCGCCGAGACTCGCTAACACATGCGTACGGACCCGCACGACGTAGGTGAAGTGGAAAGCAAGGGCGCGGCGTGAGCATGTCTAAGAACTCCCGAGAACCGATGGAGTCTGAACCATCCTTCATGCACGTCAAATGACTTGAAAGCCGGCCAGCCAAGATTGGGCCAAATGTCCGATGGTGGCGCCAACGTGCCGCAAGCGGAAGACGCAAGTATTGGCGGAGACCCTCGATTCTTGAGGGGCATTGCCAGGGAACGTACGGCATGTATCTGCGAGGATATGCTGGTAGCTGCGAACTTATGCAGCCCCAAACAACGGATCTCTCCTCCGCATTAGCTTGTGCGCAACTCTGCTGAGCGGTGAAGCTGCAAGATATGTCGATGGACGGGCGTTGCGCGGGAGCAGCCCCCAGCAAGTCGGTAGCTGTCAAACTCCACACAACAAGCACAGCCTAGAAACGCCCAGTCGGTTACGCACGAGTCGCCCACGGGTGAAGAACGAAATGACGCGGCAGAACGTTGATGATATATCGCATCGATCTGGGCGTTTGCACCCATTTAGGCATGGCATCTAGTGACTAGAGGGCGCCACGCGCAGCTTTAACTGGCACGCAGCGAATCGGGGATTCGCCAACCCGTGGACCACGAGCACCCAGTGCATTAAAGTTATAAAGACAAGCGTCTGCCCACCGCCAGTTTGCCCTTCACTTCATGACATGTCCATTGCCTAATGCACAATCTTCGCTCTATCTTGTGTCGTGAGATTGAATTAGACCATGAACGTTGCGCAACACAACTAGCCATGGCTTTGTCCGAACCATTGATCATTCAGGTGAGCCTTGGAATGACATGACAGCGTTGTCGCCCGCAAGACTGACATTTGTGCGCAGCAAGCCTCCTTCCAATACGGACCGTCGTTTGAGACAGACCCATTCAGTGTAGACCTTCTATGCGCCAAACTTGAAGTTGCCCGGCTCGAGCAAGAAGCCGCTCGAGCTCGCTCGCTTCGCCAACTCGCAAGCATTCGCAGAGACACACAACACCAGTCCCACTCTCAGACGACGGCATGGAAGGCGGAGGAGAGGCCGAGCGGTCTCCCGATCCAAGACTTGACCGTTACATCGCCATCGCAGCCGAAGAAGCGCGTCACTCGTAAACCGCTTGCAGTGTTCACAAACACGAGTGTTGGAAGGCCAGCAAATGGGTTGTCACGGGAGGCGTCGGACTCGTCTACCCCAGCCCTCCATGTAACACGATCGAATCCTCAAGAGAGAACATCAACGTTCCCAAATCAACCATGCGTTGCACAGTCAGCTCACCGAAGATCGCTCCTAGGCAAACTTGATGCCAACATCGACGACACCCACCTTGAGAGCCGCCAAAACGAGCTGGGCCGCCCGTGCTCCAAAGACATGGCCGACCGACGATCAAAATCCTTCCCACTTCAAGTCAGCAGATCGCCCTTCAAGCACCGATCAATGAACGCCGTCGAATCCACGACGCCAGCGCACCATACCCCCCGGGACGTTGACGACTCGCCCACGGGCTTTGCATGTGAATACACCATCTCCTTCGATTTGGCGGATGATCCCCCATACGGACAAACCTATGACCATGCGGATTTGTTGCCTGCATGCCCGAAGACACAGAAACGCGACTCGCAGCCCAACTCACCGGGATCATACGGACTACGAAGTCGCAGTCTATTGAATCTATCGGGCCTCCTGAAGAAAGAAGGTACGCAAGTCAGGACGGAAGAAGTCTTCGCCCCAATGGAGGACATGCCGGCGACCTTTAAACCTCTCACGTCAGCGAATGGACATTATCACACACGCCAACAAAGCCTGCCAGTGGACTTCATCGATTATGTCGACATACACTTCGGACCAGCTGTGCATGAGAAGAAGCGCAGGAGTTTTGTGGGCTGGTTGAAGGCCCGCTGACCGCCAACATGAGAGTAAGCATCTGGTATGATGAACAGTGTACAGCGGCCTAGTACGACCAAGGACGTATAATAAACTGGCGATTTGCCTCCGGTCGCGGATGCTCGGGCACCCCAATATCTCTCTCCAGAAACATCCTGGTCACGTAGAAACTCAGAGCGTCCAGATCCGGCTTGTCCTCGAGTTGCTTTGCGCCCCATCCGTTGCCCAACCACGCCATTTGATTCACGGCCGCGCCGTTCGTCTCGCGGTGGTATTCGTAGACGTAGTCCTCCCAGCGCGGCGAGCGTAGAGCTTCGATGCAATGGAGGGTGCTGCCGGGCCATAGGCCTGTGACTATACTGCCCGATTGACCCTTGCCGTCTTTTTTGTACCTGTACAATATTCAGCAACTTCATCAAAGAGCTCAACGGAGATTGCAAAGGTACGAACCACGACCGACACTCCTCCGCATACACCGTGCCTTTGAAGTACTCGTCACAGTAGTTCAAGAAGTCTTTCACTCTCTCTGGCTTGACGACCATCGATCGTATATTCTCTTTCTGCAGTTTCCGGATAGCTTTGAGGATGTAATCGCCCACACTTTCAATCATCATCGTCAAGGAGCCCTCGCCGATTGCACCATTCGGTCCCAGCATGATGAAGTAGTTGGGGAAGTCGTCGGTGGCGAGCGAGAGATAGTTCGTTGCTCGCTCGGCCCAGTGATCTTTCTGCAATTTACCATTCAGACCTTGAACGGGGAACGGCGGTGCGGTACTGGCATAGAAGCCCGTGCAGCAGACGAGGACGTCAATCTCGTGCAGTGTGCCGTCCGCTGTCACCACGCCTCTTTCTTCGATTCTTGAGATCTCGTCACGTATGTAACTGACATTGTCTTCAACCAGCGCCTCTAGAAACCCAGGTCCAGGGGTGAGTCGTCGACAGCCTGGCGAGAACCCGGGCCGCAGCCAGTCGAAGTAATGAGGCTTCTTCTTCAACCGTTCCTTCATCCCAGCCTCAAAAAGCTTTTGTGCACCCTTTTGCATTCCGGTGCCTCGAATCGTCACGGGATGAATGCTGTTTGCGTCAATTTGAACATCCTTTTGAAATTGCTCCCACGCGTCTGCGTCGTCTTTGAAACGCTGAATCTGCTCCGGCGTGAATTGAGACTCCGTGAGGCCGTACTTGTCCTGCGTACCCTGTGCTAGGGGTGGCGAGATCCACGTGCGGTTCCGGATGAAGCATTTCAGCTCCGTCCCCTCGATTTTTTGCAGTACGGGAATGGCCTGGATCGCGCTACTCCCGGATCCAATCACACCTATGCGCTTTCCCTGGAAGTCGTAGTCCTCGTTCCACGCTGCCGAATGCATGATCTCGCCCTTGAAATCCCAAAGGCCTGGCACATCCGGCCATTGCTTGGTGTTGAGATTTCCCCTCGCACTCACGAGTACATCACTCGTATCCATGAAGACGGTGCCGTCGGCTCGTTGAACCTGGACGTGCCATTTTCCCTGTTCCTGATCCCAAACTGCCTCCTTGACTGTGTGCTCCAGCTTCATGAATCGATCTGCGCCGTACTTCTTCGCCATGCCTTGTAGGTAATCCCGAATCTCCCATGATGGTGCATAGAGCGATGACCAGTCCGGCTTGGGATTGAAAGAGAGCTGATAACTATGAGAAGGAACATCGCACGCCGCACCTTCAGGAGACTCAGTAAGCCATGCACGTGCGACATGACGGTGTATTCTTACCTGGGTACCGGTTCTCATACCAGGTTCCTCCGACTTGTGGGTTCTTCTCATAGATGACCAGCTCACAATTCCGGAGTCGTTCTGGAATCCTGATACCCATGTACAGCCCCGAGTAGCCTGCGCCAATGACAATCACTTTAATGGGCCGTTGATTCTCCACGGGTGCATCGTGTAATTGCCATTGGCTTCCAGTCTGCGCTTGCGTGCTATGTCCATCTCCATTGGCCTGAGCGCCCTGAGTATTAAGCAAGTGTCTTGACGCGGCAGCCGAGTTACTATCGTTTGTATCGATGACGGTCTCCGGGAGATTAGGAATGGCGGACATGTCGGAGCAGGAAGGGGAGTGCAGTGTAAGGAGATGGACAAACCTTTGGCCAGGAAATATGCCGCACGAGGAACAGAATTTATGATAGACGAGGATGCGGAATCTCCGCGCTTGATCAGAATGCCACCCACCTTCTTATAGGACTCCTGGAGATGTACGTCGGGTACGAAGGCTGACATGGAGACAGCGGAAGACCGGCAGGGACGGGCGCTCCGTTTGCCGAGGAGACGGCGGATCGCGGCAGTTGGAGTCATGGTTAGTCAATGGTAGATATTTGGCGAGCACTCTTCCTCAAATGCAGCTGGTGATATTGCTTTGTCCCCGGCGAAGCGCCCGAAACGCGTAGATGAAGCATGAGGTGACGTCCGAGTACAACTCGGATTCCTGCAGCAGCCGTGTCGGAGTTTCTGCCTGAGGTGTCAGTCGTAGCTTATCACAACGGGCAAATCAAAGACTAGACAACGGACGGCCTGACATTTTTTGCTTTATGAAACTACACACACATGGGGGCTACCGTTGCAATCAACGGGATTATCCTGTTACGCTTGGGCTTCAGCAGCATCCTCCACCTCGGCGCCTTCGTCAGCAGGCTCTTCGGACGGCACGCCGACTGCAGTCCCAGCCGACGCGTTGCCCGAACCCCGATTGGCAGTGGCAGCGTTTAGTCTCTGGTCCAAGGCCTTCAATGCCAGTGCTCTTCTCCGCTCGGCCTCTGCTCTGCGCCCGCCTCCGCCTCTTCCATCCATATGGCGAGGCAAGCCGTCGGACCTGGAAGCCGCACCCTCATTCCCGGCCTCGATCGCCTCGTCAGAGAAAGGCGCGCATATGCGGAGCGCAAGCATCGCATTCCATACCCCATCGCAGATTGGCGACAGGACTGGGTGTAGTGCATCTGGGAAGAAGGCGACGAAGGAGAATGTATCGCTTGCGTCTCCTTTCAGGATCGCACCCTCGCCGCCGGTCGCCGCGCCTGTGGTAATTTCGGAAATTCGATAAAAACGGAGATAGATCCATGAGGTAAGAAAGCCGGTCAATGATAGCCAGAAGGCGGTGTCAGTACCGAGCAAGGGCCCAGAGATCATATTGGCCAGCACGAAGATGGCGGGAAAGTGTTTGATGCGAATGCGAACCGAGCCTTTGAGGAGAGAGACTGTGTGTTCGGGCACGAGCTGTTTCAGGCCGACGAGGAAGCCAGCTTCGAGGGCGATGAGGCCCTGGATAGGTGTGGGGCTGCAGTACTGTTAGTGACTGACCTGTACGAGTAGTTTCCCAGAGGCTTGTCCACTCACTAAGTTGGGGTCATTGTCCCGGCATACCAGAGGACGTAGACAATGCAGGCGAAGAGATTGGGTATCATAGTGACGAACAGCAAGAACTTGCCAAACTCTTTGCTTCCCCATGCCCGTTCCAGGTATCGTCCTCCGAACCAGATCACCACCCCGCTGATGGCGAGGGAAACCAGATTGTTTTCCACCAAAGCGGCTGTGAGAAAGGTCCAAGGGAACTTGTAGGCGGTGGTGGGGAGGAGGACGAGGTAGGGTATGGCAAACTCGCGCGCCCAGACATAATTGACTGCTTCTGCTGCGCCGGGTCGCGCAGTCAGGGAGGCCGACCACTTGCGGAAACGAAGGGCGGCGTTCAGCGAGGAGATGGCGAGCAGGAAGAGGAAGAGGCCGCGGGTCAGCGGAGGCAGGTTGATGCGCATGGTTGGCGGAGGATTAGCTTGTGATCATCGTTGGGGGTGCATTAAGAGAAGCAAAGAGATTGCTGCAGGTGTCGTTCCCGATGACCAGGCGCCTGCCATGATCGACGTCGGGCGATGCAGGGGCGAGGCGCGGTCGCTTCGCGTTAGTCAGCGGCGCAGTCTTGGCCCTGGTGCCATGCGAATGCATGCACGCATCCACCGCGTCTTCGTCTTCCAATCCAACACCCCGTCGCACAACCACACCATTCGGCAATCTCGACTTCTTCGACTGCGGCTGCCAATGCGGATGTACTCCACGGCATCGCCATATCCTCGTCCGCTCGCTCTCCGCGCTCCATTGAATGCGCCGCACCCACTCGCCCTGCCACTCCGCAAAACCCGGCAATGAACCCTCCACCCTCCTCCTCTTCCGCACTTCCCACTGCTGCACTGACTTCCGACCACGTCAATTATCTCATTTTCCGGTACCTGCAAGAGGCCGGCCACGAGAACACTGCGACAGCCTTCTACCGCGACTGGCATCGCAGCCATGAATTCCGCGACCCGGAAGACTACCCCTTCGCTCCTGTTGTGCGCCGCAATGAACTGGTGCGCGTCATTCAGAGTGGTTTGCGTCACGACGAGCTGGAGGCGCGGGTGAGGAAGGACGAAAGGAGATACCGCTTCACTGGCCTCCCCCCCGGTGACGGGCAGCAGCAGCAGCAGCAGCAGCAGCAACAAACTTTGGAAAATGGAGTTGGCCCTGCCTCCTCCGGTCCTGCATCTAGGCCTGGGAGCAGCGCAAAGGACAAGTACCGACCTTCCGTGCGACGCGCTCAGCACGACTTTCCCACTCCTGCGCCAAAACGACAGCGGAGGAGCGAGGGCAGCGAAGGTGTGCATCTCAACGGCGATGCGATGGACGTCGATGCCCGCTCTCCGTCCGCTGCAGAGCCTGACGATGACGTGGAAGCTGCCTCGCCTGCTGTCGGATCCGAGCCCGAAATGACCGATATTCCGGAGCGTTACGACTCCATGGACATTGGGGTGCAGACGGACACGAAGTCTGGCCCCAAGACTAGCACGATGTATTGGAAGATTGACAAGCCAGGAGCGATGATCTATCACAGCGCTTTTGCGCCTACTTCGACATCGGGTAGCAACAGCACGCTCATGACCGTTGGCGAGTCGCTTTGTCGCTTCTACCAGCTCCCGGCAAACCCAACGGACACGACACAAATCCTAAACGTCGACGAGTCTACGCTGTCTCCAAATTCCGTTGTGACGGCTTCTGCGTGGCATCCTAACGGCTACATTGCGGCCTTTGCCGCGGACACGCTCCGCGAATTCCCCGATGATTCTCAAATCCCACGGCAACACATCTTTTGTCACGATTCCCGAAATGGCGCCAGCTTCCACTACACCATTCCCCCACTGCTGGAGCCACAGGGCATCGTTCTGGCTCTGCGGTTTAACCCTCGCGGTGACAAGCTGCTTGTATTACGTACCAACCTGAAACGCGGCTCGATACTGCTGTATGACACGCAAGAAATGAAGCCAGAAAATGCGCATCCAATCGCGTGGTCTTGCTATGAACATCAAATCCTCGATGCTGCTTGGCTGAGTGAGCTCAGTTACGTGTTGGCTGGCGAGAACGGCTTCTCCCGATACGAAACGGTCGCGCTACCGGGTGTTCTAGTAATGAGCGATGACGCCACAGCCCAGAGATCCTACCGGATTGATCGAAGCGACTCTTGGTTGCATGAGAGAGCGACAGACGATACCTGCACCTACGACAAGGTCCGCGCGAGCTCCAATCAGACCGTGGTCGCACTTGCTTCGAGCGACGACCGTAGACTCGTGATAGGCAAAAGGCCTTCATCGGTGCCATACGACGTGGCATTGACCGCAACAATAGGCCTGCAAGATCACCTAACGGCAATGGCCTTCCAGCCGTCGCTGTCAGATTCTAGCGCAAGCAATACTGCAATTCTGGCCGTCACATTCGAATCCGGATCATGTGGCGTCTACTTGTGTACTTCAGCCGGAGAAGACGAGGTGAATGGGACTAGCGGCGAAATCAATAAGCTGCTGGTCCTGTATCTGAAGTCCGGCCCCGCTCTGGCTCTAGCATGGTCTCCTAACGGCGCTTTTCTCGCAGTTGCCGGTCCAGACCTCGTACAGGTGTGGGACACGTCAGCCTTGTTGAAAGCACAGGACATGCCGATGTTGAAGAAACACGGTTCCCTCGGGGCCTTGGTGACCTGGCGACCAAATCACGCGGCGGCCGGGCCTAGGAATGGCGAACCTCGAGCCATGTCCGAGCCGAGTCTAAGCTGGAGCGCTGATGGGGAGAGTCTGGCGTTTGCCATTGACAAAGATGTGAGTGTTGATTACATCCGCCTGCGACTTTGTATATCACACACAGACTAATATTTGGCGCAGGTGGCAATCATTACATTCCGACCTCCTCTGAACAATCGCGGGGAGAAAAGACAGATCAATGGGCATCTCAGCCCATGACATTATCGGAATCAATTGTTGTTGTAGATAGCTCCTTGGATACCCTTTTGCGCTGCTTCGGCGGATTTGTAGATACCTAGCCTTCATCTCGTGCAAACATACTCGATTGTTCCATTGACGTGCTCCGCTCCCTCTCCAGCTGCGAAAAGCAAGACGGGGAGTGAGCTCGGGCGCAATCGGCTAAAGCTCGGCACACGGGTACTCCCGGGATTCCGAGCGGAGCCATCAATACCTCAAACTGCATCAAGCTCATTCTTCCACCTTATCCACCCCGTCTCTGTGTTTCTCACTCCTTGACACCCCTCAAAATGCTCGCAAGCCGTATCGCAGTGCGCGGGGCTCGCGTGGCAGCTCCCCGATTCTCCATTGCCGCCACCCGGAGCTTCGCCGAGCAGGCCAAGCCTCAGTCAGAAACCCGCCCTCCTGTTGAGGTGTTCGGGCTCGACGGCACCTATGCGAGCGCGCTGGTGCGTCCATTGACCCCTTCGGCACCATAAATCGGCAGCTAGACGCTAACATCTGCTCGAATGCATCAGTACACCGCCGCGGCCAAGACCAATGCCCTCGACACCGTTGCCCGCGCCCTCGAGACGCTGCAAACCAGCTTCAAAAGGGACCCCAAGCTCCAAGTCATCCTGACGGCGCCCACGCTAAGCAGTGGCGACAAGAAGTCTATCGTGGGAGAGCTGCAAAAAGCCACGGGCGTGCAGGATAAATCCAACACACTCCCCAACTTCCTCAACACCCTGGCCGAGAACAACCGTTTGAATGTGTTGGAGGGCGTGTGCGAGAAGTTTGGTGTGCTGATGAGCGCCGCACGAGGCGAGGTCGAGATGACCATCACGTCTGCGCAGCCACTTGATCAGAAGGTGGTGAAGCAGTTGGAGCAAGCGGTCAGCAAGAGCCAGTACGTTGGGCAGGGGAAGAAGTTGAAGGTCGTGCCGAAGGTGAGTTCTCATGGCTATCCTTCCATTCCTCGAGAGTTGTGGCTAACATGTGCGATTCTACGTGCAGGTCAACCCTGATATTCGCGGTGGTCTTATCGTCGAGGTTGGCGATCGAACCATCGACCTCAGTGTCTCGGGCAAGATGGCGAGGATGAACAAGCTGTTGAGTGACGCTTTGTAGATTTAGATATAGTGGGGACGGATGAGAGGCTGGTAGATCAACACTGCCCTATTCTCTTGTCGATAGCAATATGTCGCTCAGGCCTTGCCTCCGAGCAACCCTTGTCACACCGTCCTTGTCCGACATTCGAGCGAAAGCCTGTCCAATCCTACATACGAGCAGACTTTGCTTGCATGTGATATGGGAAATGCCAAAGGTGACAACGTATGCCTGCATGATGTGATCTGGAGATCCTCAGGCTGCCCTCATGATCCCCTACGCACCTCGACGGGCTTGGGCAGTGCGGACCGGTACTCAATTCCCGAGTTCTCGTTTGCTTGCGAAGCCCAACGCGGGTCATTCAGACCGTCTCTCTCGTAGTTTTGGCAATGGTGACCTGGGATCGGGTCCTGGACGTAGAGCATTGCTGATAATAGTATCTCCGTGGGCTTGGAGTGGCATGAGAGGCGGTTGCTCCGGTGCTCGTCGCCAGTATATCTCCATATCCTGTCACACGCTCATCACCCTTCGTCTCTGCCCCGTCTGGCTTCGGCGGGGACGGCGGCCGGTCCTGCATCCCGCTGTCCGCGAAACGATCTCATCTGCTCCGCGTACCATTGTCGCGCTCCATCAAACACCGTTCCATTCCTATCCGCGGCCATGTGGCCATCGCCACGCGCCTGTTGGACGTCAAGAAAGAAGACGCCATACACGCACACAAACAAGATGGTGCCCCACTGCGTGATCTTGACGGCTTTGTTCCACGTCGGCCGCGCCCACTTCAGCTTGCTCCGACGGCGAAAGCGACGTTCGAGGAGGAACTGGTGTCTCTGGCTCAGCTGCGAGAAGTCGGGGGGCCAAGGGCGCTTGCAACGGTAAGGGTTGGTCTTGATGGTGTAGGGGAAGTTGGGCGGGGACGCGGCGGGCTTGGAGTCGAGGCGGAAGATGGCAGAAAACAGATTGCTGGCCATCGTGAGAGCTTGCCAGTGGTGGCAGCTGTGAAGGAGAGGAGGAGAAGCTATGAGAGTAAGGTGTCGCGATGAACATAATGGCAGCAGTCCGGGTGTTGAGTGAAGTGGCACTGTGACTGAATGCGAGCATGCGTGCTGAAATGTGCGCGCTGACTCATGCGACCCCGGAATTTTTTGAGCTCTCATGAATGACACGAACCTCATGCGATGACTCGCGCACAACGGCATTGAAGCATCCCTTCGCCACGCAGATCGTCGTGCTCTCGCATGAACCCGTGACTCATCACGCTGCAGTCCCTCCGTTATATCTTGCCGCGGTTGCGTGGCCCGCACACCTCCCTCCTCTTCCCCCAATCGTCCTATCCACGCCCCTACGCAACCATGTCGTCGGCGGTAGAGGCAACGCAAAAGGCCATGGCGCCCCAGAGCCAAAGCGTGGGCACGCTCAAGATCGAAAACACGGAGAAGCGCGATGCCCTGATCAGCTGGGAAAAGCAGTCCCAGCAAACCTGGTCCTCCACACACATCTTCGAACAGAACGCCCCTTCGCTCCAAGAAATCCCCTTCCACTCCATCGCCCCGGCTGAGATTCGCAAGAAATACCCCAAGTTCATGTGCACAATGGCGTACCCCTACGTCAACGGCACTTGCCACGTGGGCCACTCCTTCACCGCCAGTAAGCTGGAGTTTGCCGTGGGGTGGGCGAGAATGAAGGGCTACAGAGCTCTGTATCCTCAGGGCTTCCACTGCACCGGCATGCCCATCAAGGCTTGTGCCGATAAGCTCATCCGAGAGATCGAGCAGTTTGGGCAGGAGTTTGAGCGCTGTCCGCTCAACGCAGTCGCAGAGGATGGCTCGAACGGAACCCCAGCCAAGGAGACCAACGGTGCCCCTCCTCCTCCTGCTCCGGCGCAAGGCGTTCCGAGGGAGGATGTGACGAAGCACACGGCCAAGAAGTCCAAAGCCGCTGCCAAAACCAACGTCCACTTGAAGTACCAATTCCAGATCTTGCTCGCCCTTGGTATTCCCATCCAAGAAATCCACCGCTTCGCAGATCCGCAATACTGGCTCGAGTACTTTCCGCCTTTGTGGCAGCGCGACCTTACCAACCTCGGCTGCCGCGTGGACTGGCGCCGGAGCATGGTCACCACCGATGCGAATCCCTACTACGACAGCTTTGTGCGGTGGCAGATGACGAGGTTGAAGGAAATGGGCAAGATTCGCTTCGGCAAGAGATATACAGTCTACAGTCCCAAGGATGGACAGGCATGCATGGACCATGATCGTCAGACGGGCGAGGGCATCGGCGTGCAGGAGTACACGGCTTTGAAGTTGAAGGTCCTCGAATGGGCGGAAGGTGCAAAGAGCAAGGTCGAGGGCAAGATTCCCAGCGGCGGTGAAGTCTATTTCGTGCCCGCCACCCTCAGGCCTGAAACTATGTACGGACAGAACTGCTGCTTCGTCGGCCCGCATCTCACCTACGGCATCTACGAAATCGAAAAGGGGAAGCAGTACTTCTTCCTCTCCGATCGCGCCGCACGGAACATGGCGTTCCAGAGCATCTTCCCCTCATGGGGTGTCTATCCAAAGGTCGCAGAGCTGCAAGGATCCGATGTGGTTGGCACGCTCGTCAATGCGCCTTTGTCCGTACACAAGAACGGCGTTCGCATCCTGCCCATGGACAGCGTGAAAGCATCCAAGGGCACGGGTGTGGTGACGAGTGTTCCGTCGGACTCCCCCGATGACTACGCCACCTGTCTTGACCTGGCGAAGAAGGCAGACTTCTACAAGATCAAACGCGAGTGGGTGCAGATTGACGACATCTTGCCCATCATCGAGACGCCGACGTACGGCAACTTGACAGCCAAATATCTCGTCGAGACCATGAAGATTAACTCCCCCAAGGATGCGAAGCAGCTGGCAGAAGCGAAAGACTTGGCGTACAAGGAGGGCTATTACAAAGGAAAGATGGTGTATGGCGACTTCAAAGGCAAGAGTGTGGAGGATGCCAAACCGCTCGTCAGGCAAGAACTGATCGACGCTGGTGATGCTTTCAATTACGCGGAGCCAGATGGTGAGGTCGTCAGTCGATCAGGAGACATTTGCGTGGCTGGTCACCTTGATCAGTGGTTCATGAACTACGGCACACCAGAGCGCTCGGGGGACAACGACTGGCAGCCTGCAGTCCTGGAACATGTGCTCGGCGCGGGAGAGGATGGCAAGGGCTTGAAGACGTTCTCGACCGAGGTGAAGAACGCATTCGAGCAGGTCCTGTTCTGGCTCGCGCAATGGGCATGTGCCCGGTCGTATGGACTTGGGACCAAACTGCCATGGGATGAGGCACAGCTCGTTGAGAGCTTGAGCGATTCCACCATCTACATGGCTTACTACACCTTCGCCCATCTCTTGCACAAGGACATCTTCGGCAAAGAGCGAGGTCCTGCAAATATCGGTCCGGAGGAGTTGACCAATGAAGTCTGGGACTGGTTGTTCTGCCGGACCGAGGAAATGCCATCGTCCACCACCATCTCCCACGAGACCCTTCACCGCATGCGCCGCGAATTCGAGTACTGGTACCCTCTTGACCAACGCTGCAGCGGCAAGGACTTGATCCAGAACCATCTGACCTTCTTCCTCTATGTTCATATCGCCATGTTCCCGCCGGAGTACTGGCCAAAGGCAATCCGGGTCAATGGCCATCTGATGTTGAATGGAGAGAAGATGAGCAAAAGCACCGGCAACTTTATGACTCTAGCGGATTGCGTGGCGAAGTTCGGTGCAGATGCCACGAGAATTGCGCTTGCAGACGCTGGCGATGGCATCGAGGATGCAAACTTCGAGGAGACGGTCGCGAATGCGAACATCTTGCGTCTGTACGAATTGCGACAATGGTGTGAGAGTGTCATCTTCGATGTACGGGAATTGAAGGCCGCCGAGATCTTTTCAGACATCAAGGACAAGGAGAAGCACAAGACCAATGACTCCATCCAACGGACTGGAGAGAAGATCATCTGGGACGAATTGTTCGAGAACGAGATGAACGGCCTCGTGAAGGAGACGCATGAGCAGTACGAGCTCACCAACTACAAAGCCGCCGTCAAGTCCGGCTTCTACGACTTCCTGTCTGCTCGAGACTTCTACCGCGAGGCGACCAAAGCCGCGGGGGTGGGCATGCATCACGGCCTCGTCAAACGCTACGTGGAGCTCCAAGCCCTTATGATCACCGTCATCGCTCCGCATTGGTCCGAATACATCTGGCGCGAAGTCCTCAAGAAACCAGACACCGTCCAAAACGCTCTCTTCCCCAGCGTGCCTGAGCAAAAGCCCGAGCTGACCGCTGCTCGCGACTACGTGCGCAACACAAGCAGCAGCATCACGAGCGCCGAGGGCGCGCAGCTCAAGAAGATGCAAAAGGGGAAGCAAACCTCCTACGACCCCAAGCAGGAGAAGCGCCTCTCCATCTTCTGTGCGGAGAAGTACCCCGCGTGGCAGGACTCCATCATCGAGCTCGTGCGCAGCAACTTTCACGACATGAAGCTCGATCTGGCTGCGATTTCAAAGTCCCTGCCCAAGGCCGAGAGCAAGCGCGGCATGCCGTTTGTGCAGCAGCTCAAGCGATCGTTGGAAACGGGCATCGATTCGTCCACGGTCTTGGAGAGGAAATTGGCATTCGATGAGGTCAAGGTGCTGAGAGAGATGGTGCCGGGGTTGAAGCAGACGGTGTTGAGGTGTAAGGAGGTGGTGGTTGTGGCCATCGATGAGGGAGGCAAGACGGGAACTGTCGTTGCTGGGAGTGAAGGTGTGAAAGTGGGAGAGAAGAAGCAGGATCTGCCGAGTGTGGCGGAGAATGCTGTCCCTGGGCAAGCGACGTTCTTTTTTGAGAACGTGTAGAGGCCAGCCAGGAGGATGAGACAGTGAGGTTGAGTTCACGAAGAAGCGCCAACAATGGCGAGCTTTGTCAGGTACAGAATCCGCTATGCAAGTCCATTTCGCCGCCCATCCCGTGTTCCACCCCCCTCCGTTCGACGCGGAGAGAAAAAATTGCTATATCAGGGGTATCATGCACTGTTCGCATTCATGCAGTCCTCTACCGCTTGCTTGAAGTGATCGACTCCGCCCGCACCTAACTCCCTCCATCCAGAATGTTGGTTGCTGCCGCTGCGCTTCACAATCACCGTCTCCTGTTAAGGGACTTGGGCAGTGGAGCCGGTGCATCCGAGACGTCACTTTCACTGTCGGAGAGATCTGATGCTTCTTCTTCCGAGCCTAAGTCGTCAATCTCGGAATCGGCGTCGTCTTCCTCATCATCGTCGTCGTCGGATGTTTCGGAAGCCTCAATATCGAGCAATCCTTCTGCTTCCTCTTCGTCCTCAGAGCTGTCATCGTCGGCTTCTTGCGCGATTCCATTCCGCGTGTCATCATCGGTGGGTTTTAAGCTTCTTGAGGTGGCGGAGTGTGGTTTCGACTTTTTTCTCCTCTCCTCCGCTTCCGCGTCTTCATCGCTGTCCGACCAGTCTTCATCCTGGCCCTCGATGTAGACAACCCCCTCTTCATCTTCATCCTCGCTATCGCCATGAACCGCTCGAGAGGCGGCCTGGATACTTCGCCGAAGCTCCAATTGCGCACTCAACAGATTCAGCTTGCCTTTCAGGTGAAGCAATGGCTGCAGACCATTCGCACGATCGCGGATAACTCGCGACAACGACTTCAGTTGCTGCATGATCTCGGGCTGGGTGGCAAGATAGCCGCCATGCGCAATGAGTGACCATTCCACCCAAGTTAACAGGCTGCCTGTCCGGCCTGGGCGTTTATGAATCCTCTCCGCCAGTCGTTGGAGCAGCGTGGCCACGTGTTGAGATTGTAGGCGTTGGATCGTAGATCGAATGGTGGGAATGTCGGTAGTGTGGAAGCAGCTCTCTAGCAAATCCTTGTCGTTGGTCTTCAAGGCTTGGGTGAGGACGGTTGTAAGGGATGTTCCAGAAGGTGCCGCGAGAACTCGATCGCCGGATAGGGGAACGAGTGCTTGGCGATCGGCCATGGGATTCGCGAGAGAGGCGTGGACATCGATTGGATCGGGGTGTCGTGCTTGCAGCATTTCGCCAAACGACGGTTCCTCCATATCCGCATCTTCCTCCACCTGCTCCTGATCATCGCCTGCCTCAGCGCGCTCCGCACCAGCGATCACGTCTAACCCGTCCGTCCGGTCTTTCCCATGGCCATCTATCGAGTGCCCGTTGTGGAGATTGTGCAGGAGGGGCGGTGGCGCCAGTTTCTCTTTGGCTACCTCGTCGTCGTCATCGTCGTCGTCAGAATCTTCGCTGCTGTCTTCCCCGCTTGAAATGCCGATGGCGTTCTCGGCACTGCTGCCGACCTCCTCTTCGCCTTGCACATCTTTCATATCCGGTGCCACGACCGCATGTGGCTCGTCCACTTGTGTTGCCCTCGAACTCGGGACGCCATTCGTAAGCCTGGCCTCGAGCTTTCTGCCGTGTCTTGCATTTTCGTCTACAAGGAAGGCGAGGCTCGTAGAAGCGGGGACGTGAGAGGTCTGGGTAGTTTTCAAGCGCTTGGAGGAGGGAGGCAGGGCGGAAGGGGAGACAGCTTTGGCTTCGGGGGATTGCCGCCGTCGGGAGCGCTTGGCCGCACTCATATTGACGGCATTTCGATTAGAGGAGGTGAAGAGATGGAACAGATAGACTGGGAAGACTGCGGGCAAGGCGTGCGGACGAGATGTCGTCGATGGAGACAAAATTTCGAAGAAGCGCTAATGCTTTAGCTTTTGGCTTTGCCGGGAGTCCGTGCGTTTCGTAGTCTTGGCCGTTGAAGGTTTGTGTTGGACTGATCCCAGCCTCAGGCAGCAAGTCGCACGCTGGCAGGTCGATGGCTTGGGAAACTCTGGCCGTTGCCGCAACGTGTTCGGTTCTGTCTAAGCTATCAATCAGACGACTGTGATTCGGTGGCGTCCAGTGGGAATAAGTGCTCATCAAAAATTTGCAACGGGTCCAAGGGTTGTCCGCGAAGGAAACTTCGCCCCACGTCCAACGCGCCAATCAGAGCAGGGGATGTCGAGCAAGCTCTGTCGCGTCAAGGAGAGACGGGCTTTCATAAGAGAAGCGATGCCCGCTGCCCGGCTTGTGATCCTCGATCTCCCGCATTTGTTCACGAGCTCTTGTACCCACCAAAGGATAAATATCGGCAAGTGCTTCAGCCACAGCCCACTTGTGTCCATCACGCATCACGTGCCCGCCTCGTATCGCGCCGCGGGCCTCCTTCCCGACCGCTCAGCATTTTGCAGCACGCTATCATTGCACGCTGGGGACAACACAGCACGGCCTTGCCTTGCACGACGCGTAGAAGCTGCACTCCGCCGCACGGTCCCTTTCGATAGTGGATCCGCGCTGTTTGCACCGCATCGCTCTCCATCTTGAGCCCGGCGTCCATCTTCCATTCGCCAGTCGTCCAGCGTCACAACACCAACCAAACCTCCTTCGCTGCCGCCTGGTGTTGTCTGACTCACCCTTGGCGCCTGCTTCCCGCCCGCCTCCGCCACGCGGACCGCGCTCACTGTGCAGCCTTCGACGTGTCACGTGCTCGGCGGAAGCACCCGGGGACCCGCCTCCCGCCACATTCTTGGCAGTGCGGCAAAGCCGAAAGTATTTAAAACTTGGAAACAGCAGTTGCACTTCTATTCGATCGCCGAGCCTCTCCGACGCCCGCTTACTCGCGCTTCGCGCACAGAGCCTTACCTCTGCGTGCAACCCTATCGACAAGGCTGCCACCCCTTCCCTTTGCCCCTACCCTAATACCACGTGCGCCTTCGCGCTTGTTTGTTTCCTTTTTTGCGACGGTGAGCGTTTTAATTCCGTCAAACGACGACGACCTTGCGCCACACGCGCGCGCCCACGCTGCCGTTCATTCACCTTTCTTCTTGGCTCACCGCGACACCTTCACACCTGCTGTTCACCTTCTCTCCACGTCACGCGCCTGCTTTGCATTCACTTGGTGACTTGCAATCATGGCATCGGATTTTGCGGCGCCGCCGCCTCCATCACTTCCACGCCACGATGAGATGGACAGCGCCTCGCAGCCCGCAGCTTCGTCACTTCTGGAAGCAACAATCAACGGGTAGGTCGTACTTACTTTGTTCCCCTCTCACCGTCACTGCTCACTGCTCTCACCCCGGAGAGTGCGCGGTGTTTCCAACGCTTGTTGACTGACTGCTTCTTTAGCGATCAACATCTCTCTGCTCCCAGCATGGATCGAGCCGACCTGATGAAGGGTGGCGAGATCACTGCTAATGAGGATCACATCTCCCCGGCACCGCGCGACCCTCTGGTCAACGGTGGCGACGTGGCCATGAGTGAGGCCCTCCTAACATCAACATCGCAAGATGACCTGGTGAACGCTGGCCAGGTCACTGCAAACGAGCACCACATCCCGACAAGTGAACCCGCCGACGCCGCGACAGCCGATAGCATTTCTGCCAACATTGACTCCATTCCGACGACTGATGTCGACACACCGGTCGCGCTTCCGGAAGAGGAGCGTTCCGCGCCAGTTGAGCACGTGGAGTCTGGCATCACACCCGTTGCGGACTTCATTCCTAAGGAGACTGCAAGTACCTCACATCCGACGCCGCCACCTGATGAGCCTCTTGTCACCGGCTCCGCAGACATTGATGTGACGATGGCCAACGTGTCATCCGAGCCAGAGCCGGCGTCGGCGCCTGTGCCCTTACCACTCCCGGCGCAAGCAGAACAGAGCCTTGTTCGACCTCGCGAAGATGATGACGATGACGAGCCCGCGGCGAAACGTAGTAGAGTAACGGATGAGCCCATTACCGAGCCTGCTCGTCCGGACTCCACACTTCCCGTCCGAACAGCCGACATTGATGCTGACATTGCAATGGATGCAGCTCCTGCCAATGAAACATCATCAGCTCCCACACCTGCCCAGACAGACGCACCAGCCGTCGAGCAGGTCACGGCCACAATCGCCGAACCCTCGTTTGAGCCGCCCAGCGCACCCATCGCCGACGTGGCCGCCGCACCCGTTCTGTCTTCCTCAGAAGCACCAGTGAAAGATGAAGTGGCTCCCGCGGAAGAGCTACCATCCGGCCCACTTGTCGAGCCATCGGCGGACACAGTGCCGGCGGCTCCCTCTGTCCCGGAGACTCCCGTTGCTGCGACGCCTGCAGAAATGGCACCTCCAGCCGTGGCTCAGCCCGCCACAACCGAACCCTTGAGGCCTGTATACAGCACCGAACCGATGACTGCCGTTCAGAAGGCTTATCTGCTGGACAAGACAAAGAACCTGAAAAAGACCAAGCATTCATTCTCTTTTCTCCGCGCTGTTGACCCTGTCGCCCTCAACATTCCTACGTATCCGGACATCATCAAGAATCCCATGGATCTCGGTACTTTGGAGAACAAGCTCAAGGACGACAAATACGGGTCGGTCCAGGCATTCGTTGATGATTTCGACCTGATCATCTCCAACTCTCGACGTTTCAACGGAGACCACCACGTCGTGACCCAGGCTGGGTTCGCGATGGAAGCATACTTCAAACGAGTGATGGAAAGCGTTCCAGGTCCAAACGAACTAGCTCCGGTGAAGCAAAAGTCGAGGTCACCTTCCATTGCAACCGAGAAGCCGCGACGCGAGCCTCGAGCGGCCACATTGCCAGCACCTCCACCCGCCGCCGCCGCCGCAACCACACCTGCCGAAGCTTTTGCCCTCCAGCCAGACGGAACTCCACAAATCCGACGTCAGTCAAGTATGAGCAACCGTCCGGCCCGCACCATCAAGCCTCCACAGAATCGCGAAATTGCCTACTCGAAGCCGAAGAGGAAGGAGCATCAGTTGGAGCTGCGCTTCTGCGAGCATGTGCTGGAGGAGCTGCGCAGTCCGAAGTACGCCGGCAGCAATCAAGTCTTCCTTTGGCCCGTGGATCCCGTGGCGCTGAACATTCCAAACTACCGCCAGATCGTGAAGACTCCAATGGACTTGTCCACGATGTCGCAGAAGCTGAAAGGTGGTCTGTATGCCACTGCGGAGGAGTTCAGGAAGGACTTTGACCTGATGATCAAGAACTGCTTGACATTCAATCCCATCGGCAATCCCGTCCACGACCTTGGCGTGCAGTTCCAGCGGCACTTTGAGGAGCTGTGGCACGATAAGGAGAAGTGGGAGCGCAAGAACCAACCAGCATCAAACCGTGCGTCTTCCGCGTCTGCGGACGATGAGAGCGGCGCCGAGGACGAGGAGGAAGAGGAGGACGAGGGCCCCGCCGACCAGAGCGCCACGATTCGCGCGCTCCAGAAGCAGCTTGCCGAGATGCAAAATGCTCTGTCGGGATTCGTTGGCGAGAAGCCCAAGACCAAGAAGCCCAAGTCCGCGAAGACCGGTGGCGGCAAAAAGCAGCAGGGCGGTTCAGGGTCATCTGCTCCTGGCAAGAAATCGTCCAAGGCGGCGGCCAAGCCGAAGAAGCAGCGCGTAGTCACCTACGAGGAGAAACAAGAGATCTCCGAGGCGGTCAACAAGATGAACGAAGGGCAGATCTCCACACTCACCAGCATCATCACTGAGAACTGTGAGAAGTACCGTAACATGGACGACATGGAGCTGGAGATTGACGACTTGCCCAACTACGTTCAAGCCTTGTTGCTTGATTATGTGCGCAAGCTCTTCCCCAAGAAGAAGGCCCGCGAAGCGTCGCCCGATGACGCCGCCGCTCTCGACGATGACGACTACGAAGAGAGGGGCGGCGGTCGAGGTGGCAAGCGCAAGAAGCACCGGCCCATGGGCAAGAAGGAGCAGCAGGACACCATCAACAACATCAAGAACAAGTTGGCGCAGTTCTCTCAGCCGGGCTTCAGCGGGAGCGAGTCGCCCACGAACTCCAGCTTCAATGCCGCCAACGCGCAAGTGGACACATCGGGTGATGAGGAGTCGGAGGAGTCGGAGGAGGAGTAGACGGTCGATTTGCTTGTTTCGCGTGGGCTGGTCGGAGGCGGTCGGGTGGTTTTGGACGTTTTCTGACAATGCAACAGAAAACGTCCTGTACATTACTCTTCGCGGTCGGGAAGGAAGCAGGCATCCTGGCAGAATGGATTAGCGAGTGAACTTCGATTAGACGGTATTGTACGATTAATTGGCCTGATCGGCGCGGATAAGACTGTGTTGAAAGTGGGCAGCAAATGAATTGCTTGCTGATTGAGCTCCTTCCTGCCAAATGCTGCCTCCTGTAATTGTATGTTCAAGGCGGGTGACATCGAGTGTTGAATCGTTGGATATGGATGCTGATGTGGTCAAGTCGCGGGTGCAGTGAGAAGCAGCAACTTGATACCAGTGTGATGCCCAGTGAAAGAAGTGAATCGATGGTGCTTGCGTGGTGAGGTAAGGTGATGGGGGCTTTTTTTTTTTAATGACCTACCTGCCAGTGTGCGAAATGAATGGTAGCGCATGTCGTGTGGCTTGTTATCATTCATAGAATCATGATTGGACAATATCACCAAGCGCAACGAAGGCGTCTCATCGGGTACATTGATGTGCATACATGTGTCTACATGTGATCTCCGATATTCAATCACGCTGCAGTTGGTATTCACTACTATCAAATCACCGCGTTACCACATCAACACCCTCGCCTCCTCCCCGTCTCGCGGCGGGAAGAATTCGCTGATCAAATCCAGGTAGTACGGCTTCAGCTCCTCCACTCGGGGAAGGTCGTCGCTCTTGCTGTAGAGATCATAGGGATTGAAAGCTTTGACGGCCGCCAGCATCTCCTCGTCCTTCTCATTCATCATCCATCGATACCCACCTGCGGAGTGCCAAGGGTAGAAGGAATGGTATCGAATCATCGCCAGCGCGGCCGGCGGCAGGGTGCTCTGCTCTTTGCAAATGTGGTAGAGGTACTCATCGTGGCCCCAGCTGAGCATGACGCTGTCGAGCCCGCAGCCCGGCGTGTAGATGCCGTGTTCGGTGCGGTAGATGGGGTCGATGTTGTCGGGGTTGTTGACGAAGGTCCCAGGATAGATGATGGATTCGTCGAAGCGGCAGCCGACGGGGAATGTGTCGCCGACTACGTCCCATTGCCCTTCTGCACCATAGAAGAAGAGAAGCTTGCCGAGATCGTGAATGAGGCCCGTCAGTTGGAACCATCGCGGCTTACCGTCGCGTCGAATGGCTTCGGCGGATTGCAGCAGGTGTTCGATTTGGGAGAGCGAGGTGTCGGGGTCGGAGTTGTCGATGAGGGTGTTGAGTTTCTCCATCGCTTGCCACACCGTCATCTCGGCGCGGGTCTTGGATTGGAAGTCGTTGCGAGCCTTGAGGTTGTAGGCCACCGTCTGCTTCTCATGTTGCTCGCGGTAGAAGTTCTTTACTCGGTCGCAGGCGTCCTCGTACTGTCGAAATTGTGTCTTGTCTTTCTCCGCGTCGAATTTTGATTGTTCGTAGGCCTTGAGCTCTTGCTGAGTCGCAGTGCCGTTCTTCACGCGCATCTCTGCTTTGAGAAGATTGACCTCGTCGATAGCGTCCGATGTTGTCTCGAGAGCAAGGCCATCTCGACCGGACTCGTTGTGTTCATTCTCATAGATGGCTGAAGGTGCCATCGTCGGCGACAAGGGGTCGTAGTTGTGAGATACAAGCTGATGGTGAGGGTGTGGGAGCGTGTGAGAGATAAATTTCTTGGAAGAGTGAGAGAAAGAGGGAAGGAGAAGAGACAGAAGAGGGGAGAACGAAACAGCGTCACGACCGACTTGGCCGTTGCACCTACATAAAAGAACCCATCCAGCGGCCGCAATGCCTAGATTACGCAATGGAGAACGACCAGATTAGCGAGTGCAATGCGCAACAGTGCCTAGAAAAGCATGTGCGCACGAGAAGCGCGGTCAGACGACCTGTGAGCGCGAGAGGGATGCGATGCAGTGGAGCACTCGATGGAGCACGAGGCGCCGTGTGTGAGGAGCCATTGGCTGTCGTCGGGGAATCTCCATCGCCCGGAAGCAAGGTATCTCCTCAACCGATGGCACTTCGGCATGGGTACCTTCCATAAATGGCAGTTCGGCACGCAGGATTTTCCGTAGAGTGGGTCACGAGGGTCATTCTTGTGGGCCCGGCGGCGAGCGGTCGGAGAATCTGTCCTATTCCAGACGTGCCGCTCAAGGCTGACGCGGAGGAGCGGAGATACGTTCCTCCCTCCGCCTTCCACGTCCATGGTTTCGCCGCCGTTCGGCGAATGCGTTTTTCCGGACATCCCGCTTCGGGAAGTGCAGGTCCAAAGTTCTCCATGCTTTGCCGACGATGTCATGGCGATGTCGGCAGATGATAAATAATAAGACATAGGATGAACCCGAGGCTGGCGAAGTGGATGCTGCGATCGACTCCAAACAACATCAAACATCCCGCAGTCATGACCGACCAGACCTTCACCCTCAACACCGGCGCTAAAATTCCAGCATTGGCCCTGGGTACATGGCAGTCCGAGCCAGGCCAGGTGAAGGATGCCGTTGCTCACGCGCTCAAGGTCGGATACAAGCACATCGATTGTGCATTTGTATATGGCAACGAGAGTGAGGTCGGCGAGGGGCTGAAAGCTGCCTTTGAAAATGGAGTGAAGAGAGAGGAGATATTTGTGACCTCCAAGTTGTGGTGTACATATCATCGCGACCCAGAGAAGAACCTGGACGAGGGCCTCGAAAAACTTGGGCTGGACTATGTGGACTTATACTTGATGCATTGGCCGGTCCCCATGAGCGCGCATGGCAACCATCCTCTATTTCCAAAGCATCCGGACGGCTCCCGAGACTTGGACACGGAGTGGCCGCATTGGAAGACATGGCAGGCGATGGAGAAGCTGCTCAAGACTGGCAAGACCAAGGCCATCGGAGTGTCGAACTACAGCGTCAAGTTCTTGGAGGAGCTGCTACCGCACTGTCAAGTCACCCCCGCTGTGAATCAGATTGAGAATCGTGAGTGCACTGCAAAAACCAGAAGGCCCGCAGTCAGCTAATACGATGTAGATCCCTATCTACCACAACAAGACATCGTCGACTTTTGCAGAGCAAAGGACATCCTCATCGAAGCGTACAGGTGAGTTGCGTTGAATGCCCGTGGCCGCAAGTTTTTCGGCGTTGCCATGTGCTGATGATTTTACCATGCAGCCCGTTAGGTAGCACCGGAAGTCCACTTTTTCAAGAGAATGTTGTGCAGGACATTGCGAAGAAACACAGTGTCGGGCCGGGAACCATCCTGCTGAGTTATCAAGGTGAATCGGATTGCAGTGTTGAATGATGATTGCATTGTTGCTGACGTCGAGCAGTGAGCAAAGGGCATGTTGTGTTGGCGAAGTCGGTCACGCTGTCGCGCATTGAGGAGAACATGAAGATCCTCAAGCTCGATCGTTCGGAAGTCGAGACATTGGACCAGATCCACAAGAGCAAGGGGACGACAAGATATGTCTATCCACCATTTGGCGTCAATCTCGGGTTTCCAGACAAGCAGTAGGAGCTGGTGGCGGGTGCGCCCTTGAGCCGTGGCTAGGGTTGTGTAGCGTTCGAGCATTGCCAGAATAGAATAGAATGCGATCACAGGAGTAGAAGAGCTGTGCAGTCCGCACATCCGATACCGTGACCTTTGAGAGGGTACACATCTCATCCATCCCTCTCGCGAACAGCTCGAGTTTCGGCTTGGAGGAGCTCGTCGAGGCCTTCGTTGCGCCGCCCTAGCAACAGCACGTCTTTGCAATTAATGGTCGAGCGTGTAGAATGCTTTGCAAAGGCCTCGAGATCGCGGGCGACATTGTCGATCTGGGCCCACACCATCTCACTGAGGCCGCCGATGAAGTGAGGACTGGCGTTGATGTCTTGGGAGAGACCGACGGAGTCCACGATCTGGCCAACGGCATACCAGAGCGCGGCTTTTAGCTTTTCGTCCTTGGTGCTCTCTTCAGCTTCTGCCGCGGACATGATTGATGGTGAGTGAGTATTGTGAGAGGAAAGTGGCGGCGGAAGGGTTGTGGGAAGGCTCGAGGCGAACGCGCGCGCGCGCGCGTTTGGAGCACCGCGCACGGGCCACCCTCTCATCTCGGGCTGAGCTGGCGCACCTCCGCCACAACAACTCCTCCCATTTCTTCTAGCATTCGCCAATTTTTGGCCGACGACATCCTCGAGAGCTGCCAGATGGGCAAGAGCAGAGATCCCGAGGACTTCCACTAGCGCCCGTCTTCCCGCATCCAATCATATCGCGATGCGTTCTCCTCTCTCGTCCGTCCCGGGCTGGAACCACTTCATTCAACCTTGTTCGAATGGCGATGAACTCGCTCAGCCATGGACATTTGAACTATTACTACGACCAATGGACACTGGCCTCAACTCGCCTATCCAGAGGCCTGGTCTAAAGTTCCCGCCGTTGGTGTAGCAGCCCGTGACACGACTTGCACGCCCCGCCAACGCGAAGAATGTAAATGCATCCACTTTGCTCTGCTCCCGCCGTCGTGACATTCCTCGCAGCCGCGGACGAGAAGGGAGCGGTAGGCAGTTGCCAGGGCAGTGGCCTTCTTTTGTTATATCTCCATCTCTTCGCTTGACTTCTCCCCCCTTCTCCTTCTTCATTGCAAAATCATCCTCCCATCACATAAACATGCTTATCCGAAAGAACAACCCTTCCGCACCATGGCTCGTCTACATGTTGATTCCGCGAATGGCGCAGGCAGGAATGGCTTATGCCAGACTGGGGAAGCGTTCCACCACCACCATTACCGTGGGCTGCGAAAGTACGCTGACTTTAGACAGTATGCCTCCTTACTACATCACCGCCGCCGCCTGCACCGCCACCTCGGCGTCCTGTCCCTGCGCCCCGAACTACGTATGCGATGAAATCGCTCCATGTCTGTGGGGTTGCGAATCTCGCAGAGGCCACCACATGCCCACCACGACCATCACCAGCACCCACATGGTGACTGCAGTTACGCCAACATCCTCCTCTATGGTGACTGCAGTCTCGCCAACTTCCTCCTCCCTGGCCAATCCATACCCGGGCCAACCACCTTATGCTGGATCCAATGTCAACAGCTATCTCCCGTGTGTCCCGGGTTCATTCATTTGCATCGACAGCACAACATGGGACACTTGCGACTACAACACGCTCGGGCAGTGGGTCTACGAATACCCTCGATCGGTTGCGGCGGGCATGATGTGTTTGCCTGCGTTGTCGTCGTCTGACAGCGGCTCTTCAACAGGCCAGCAAGGCAACACGCCCGCGGGTTACTATCGAGATGATCAGATCGTCGGGGCGGGTTCTTGAGGGATCTCTCGGTCGTGCGATGACTTCAGCCCCTGACTTTATGCAATGCTTAGCTCATATAGATCATGTCTCTAAGCGTGTCGACTATCAACTCTTCAAACTATCAATCACAACTTTCAAGACTAATCGACCATCCTCATCCTTGGTCTTGCCCGCCATGTTGAAAGCATTTGGTGCCTCTTCAAGTCCCTTGAAGCGATGTGTGACCAGCTTCGTGAGATCCGGGCCACTCTTTATGGATTGTTCGACAAGCTGGATGCTCTCGGCATACGTGTTGGCGTAGCGGAACACCCCGACAATGTCAACTTCTCGCAAGGCGGCGGCCCCGAGAGGTAGCGTCTGAATGGGGCTGCCCATTCCTACCAACATGAGACGGCCACCTGCTTTCGTTGCCTGTTTCGATTGTCAGCGTGGCGGAATGTCGTCTGTTCCAGGCGAGACTTACGTAGATCCCAGCTTGCACGCAGGCCGGCACACCCGTGCATTCGATAGTCACATCAAACTCTCCAATATCATCAATCTTCCCAACTTCGGCCGCGGTCTCCTTCGCGATTGTGAGACTCTCATCAATATCCTTCCCTCGACGCATCGGTACGGTGTAGCTAGCATCCGCGAAACCGTTCTTGACGGCAAAGTCCAACCGTCCAACGTCAATGTCCGCAATCACCACCTTGCCGGCACCTTTCAGCTTCGCCACCGCCGCCGACAACAACCCCACGGCCCCTGCACCAAACACGAACACCGTCGCATCCTTGGGCATCAGACTTCGCCGCACAGCATGCAACGCTACGCCCAGGGGCTCCAACAGCGCGCCGACGTCCAGACTGATGTGCTCCGGCAACCGGACACACCACTTGGCCGGGTGGTTGATGCGTTCCTGCAACGTGCCCTGGAAGTGCGGAAAGGATTTGCCGGAGCTGCGGAAGCGCATGTCTTTGCAGATGTTGTACCGGCCTTCCGCGCAGCGTGCACATTGCTCGCAGGGAATGCCGACTTCGAGTGCTACCTTGTCGCCAGGCTGGAAGTCGGTGACGGAAGAGCCCACGGCGGTGACGACACCCGACGACTCATGACCTAGTGAGAGGGGCTCGCGAACGAGGATGTCGCCATTGCGGAAGTGGGAGTAGTAATGGAGGTCGCTGCCGCAGAGGCCGGTTGATGCTATCTGGATTTGGAGTTCGTTTGCACCTGGTGCAGGCAAGTTTCTGGGCTCCTGGTGGCCTGTTAGTGATCTTGTGTGTGGATTGCTTCGTATTTCTCTCGTCTGTACTGACTATTCTCAGATCTTTGATGCCGTGCAGGACAGACGCTTGAATCTGTGTGGTACTCATTATGCCGGTGTCAATGCAAGAACAGCACTGTTGAGGCAGGAGGGAAGAAGAACAATCCTTCGAGTGTTCCAGTGTTAGTCACCACCGCCTCTCAAAAACACATTTCGTAATTATATAACATATCGATGCATCTCGACGCACGCGGCTGTTTGCAATGCAGTAATGCCGACGCCGGCGGCATCGGCAACTGAAGGGATTGAGGCCGCGCGGGAGGCGCATGCAACCTCAGAAGGAAGGTTACTCCATTCGGCTGAACAGAGAGCGAGACATTTCGGTCGGTGATAATATTACCCGCACCGCATTTCCTCTAAATCAATCCTGTCAAGCGAATCTTCGAGAAGCACGAAGACACCATGGCGGCACTATCAGATCTGTTCTCTCTGAACGGGAAGACGGCGTTGGTGACGGGAGGCACGCGAGGAATTGGGCAAGCCATGGCATTGGCACTGGCTGAGGCCGGGGCAGATGTGTTGCTCATCCAGGTGAGTGGTTGATGTCGGCCGAAGGCAATGCGAAAGACTGACGGTGTCTCAGCGCGACGAGTCCAACCAAGAAACGAAGAAGGCAGTCGAAGCCTTGGGCCGCCGAGCGCACATCTACACCGCCGACCTGTCCTCGCAAGCCTCCATCAAACAACTCGTGCCGAAAGTGCTCGCCGACGGCCATCAAATCCACATTCTGCTCAACTGCGGCGGCATCCAACGACGACATCCGGCCCACCAGTTCCCCGACGAGGACTGGAGTGAGGTCCTGCAGACCAACCTGACCACCGTCTTCACCCTCTGTCGCGATGTTGGCGCGCACATGCTGTCGCGAGACAAGGACTCGCACGGCAAGCGAGGCAGCATCATCAACGTCTGTTCCCTTCAGTCCTTCCAGGGCGGCATCAATATTCCCGCATATGCGTCCAGCAAAGGTGGCGTGGCACAACTGACCAAGGCCTTGAGCAATCAGTGGGCGAGTGAGGGGATCAACGTGAACGGCATTGCCCCGGGCTACATTAACACTGACATGAACGTGGCATTGATCAATGACCCCGTCCGGGCGAAGAGCATTTTGGAGCGCATTCCCGCCGGACGCTGGGGCTCGCCGGATGACTTTAAGGGCAGCGTGGTGTATTTGGCGAGCAGAGCGAGTGGCTATGTCAATGGAGAGATCTTGACCGTTGATGGAGGCTGGATGGGCAGGTAGTCTTACAATCACATTCGTAGTCGTAGAATGTTGTAACATTGTCCTGAACGACCCAGCTTTACAGTGGAGCCATGCGTCGCCTCGTCTTTCACTTTCGTCCCTTCCGACGTCGTCTCAACCCTTTTGGGAATTTCCGACAGCCGACCAATATCTGCGCATCTGCACATCCGCCTCTGCTCGTCCAACTCACACCTTCATTCTATACAGTCAATCGCAATCGTCGAAATGGTGCGAAAATTACAAGTCGCCGTTTCTGGACTGGGCCGGATGGGAGCGCGCCATGCGCTGCATTTCCTGGGCAAGACGGTCAGCAGCATGGCCCTTCCGATCAACAACCCTTTACTGACGCGTTCTTTCCCCCTTCTAGCCACGAGCAGAATTGGTGGCAGTATGTGATCCGGACCCGCGCTGCCAAGAGTGGGCACAGAGGAACCTGGCCCATTATGGCACGAAGATCTTCAACGATTTCGACGAAATGCTGGCGCACCCGGGCATTGAAGCTGTGGTCATCGCCACCGTCACCACCACGCATGCCGAGCAGGCCATCAAAGCCATCGGTGCGGGAAAGCATGTGCTTTGCGAGAAGGTGAGTCGTCTCCAAGTCCCGGTGCATCCGCTGCTGCACCTCCATGGCTAATTCCTCCTGTCAGCCACTCAGTACAAGCGTCGAAGTCAGCCAGTCCGTCGTCGACGCCGCCAAAAAACGACCCGACCTGAAAGTCATGTGCGGCTTCAGCCGGCGCTTCGATGCCTCCTACCGCGACGCTTGGGCACGTATGGACCGAGGCGACATCGGCCGGCCAGCCATCATCCGCTCGCAGACATGCGACAAGCTCGACCCCTCCGGCTTCTTCGTCGACTACGCCCAGTTCTCCGGCGGCATCTTCGTCGATTGCAACATCCACGACATCGATCTGACGCTCTGGTTCTTCGGCGCGGACAGCATCGTCAAAAGCGTGTACGCCGTCGGCATCACCGCCGTGCAGCCCGCGCTGAAGAAATGGGCGGACGTCGACAACGGCGTCGGCATCGTGGAGTTCTGGGGTGGCAAGATTGCCTACTTCTACGGCAGTCGAATGATGGCCGCCGGGCAGCACGACATGACCGAGATCATTGGCACCGAGGGCAAGGTGGTTGTCAACGGTGCTCCGCAGACAAACCTGGTGGAAGTGCACGAGGCGTCGGGTGTCCGCCGCGAAATCCCACCCAACTACTATGGCCGCTTCGAACAGGCTTTCGTCAACGAGGCGAACGAGTTTACCGAGTGCTGTCTGGACGATAAGCCCCTGCCCATGAAGCTGTCCGCTGCGGTGCAAGCCGTTAAGATTGGGTGCGCTCTACAGGAGAGCTTCAGGTCGGGGCTGAAGATCGAGTTTGATGAGATTGGCAGTCGAGTTGGCGGAGAGCAGCTCCTTGCCAAACTGTGAGGAGGCTTGGATGTGGTAATGAGAGAATCTGAATACCGGTACGCCCATCGACACAACTGATAGACGTGATCTTACAGACGGATTGAAGAGAGGATAAATTAGATGAGTAAACGATCTTCATTCATTGCAGAAGCCCATCTTCATGCTCGGTTTAGCCAGCCTGTAGGTGCCGTCGATGCTCGCCCTAACCTTCAAGTGTCCCCTATTTCCCCCCTGCTTCCTTCTGCTGCTGCTGCTTGTTGAACTGAGGGAAGTTGGTCTGGACAATGTTCGTGCCCGCAATCCTCTTGCCCTTCGGACTGGGGTACGGTCCCGCCATCTTGCGATACTGCTCCGCAGCCTTGGGCTCTTTCGCACCGGGCGCGTCTTGATTGCTGTGGTGTGACGTTTGAACGATGTCGGTGCCGGGGTACTGATAGCTGGAGCCCGGGCGAGGTTGGTGAGCGCCAGCCTTGGGGGCTTGGTTCTCGCGAGCTGGTTGCGAAGGCATCTTCGTGCGAGGCTGAGAGAGTGGTCGGAGGTGACTGAAGGTGCCGTGGTACAGCGGGGGATGCGTAGGTGGATGCGGTCACGAGAGTGACTTGAGGGCCAACTTCGGGAGCGTGGCGAGAGCGATGGAGGCTGAGGAAGTGCGAATGAAGAGTGTGTGGAAGAAGAAAGATAGAGAGCACGTACTCTCTTATATATATCGAGAGACAGACGTGCTCCAGTGAACATGTCAGCGACACTCACCTCCTTCTATTCACTGAGATCTCGAGAACGGTGAAGCAAACTCGAGAGTGAGTGCAGACAGAGCTAGTGCAGGGAACGGGTTGCACGACAGGCCCAGCCGTGCGTAACGCTGATCGGTGGCATTCACCTCGCCTTGGTGTCGCTTCCATGTGGCGCATTCACATAATGGATGCCTGAAGTGGAATTCCAATCTGTTCGTTGCAGAACACAGCGTGAATGATGCATCCATACACTAGTCGATCCCACCCGCCGGGATGCATCATCCTGATGCGACAACGATGGCGAGTTCGACAGAAAGGTCTCGTCGTGTGGGTGTTACCCGTTCATCAGTCTTTGGCAGCAGGGCACAATCGACCATCCACTCTCGAGAGCCTTCACGACACCCCGGTCGCGCAGATCAACGGATGCAAGCGCGGAGGCATTGCATGGGCGGGCGACAAAACCAGCGTTCAGCATCGGAGCATCGGCTCGTGAATCAACTCAGCCTGCAATCGCTCAGACGCTTCGTCGAACGCGAGATCACACTCGACGCGATCCGATTCAGCAGAGGAAGCGCCTGGTCAAGCAGCGTCTACTCCTCACATCCATCCGTCATGACTGAGCGACCGGTGATCGTTTTCACGCGCTTGGCCAAGGCCATCGCAGCATACGAAGGCGTACCCGGGCCGGATCGAGAGCTGTCCTTCGAGCGGAATGACGTGTTGGAGATCAGTGTTACGACGGAGGGATGGTGGGTGGCAATGAAAGCGAACGGGGAGACGGGGATTGTGCCTTCGAATTTCTTCGAGTTGTTGCCGGAGCATGAGCGCGCTATGAGCAGTCCAGCGCAACAGACGGATTCGATGGCCACAGGGAAGAGTCTTAGACCAGTGGTTTCGACACGTGAGATGAACATCGCCATGATCACTGAGAAGGCTAGGGTGATTCTGAAGGGAGCGAAGGAGCAGTGGGTGCGCCTGCGCCGATTGCTGGACTGCAAGACTCAGGAGGATGTGCAGCCATACGCGGGGACTTGAGTCGGGCTATGAAGCATAGAGGGACCAGAAGTTTGGCATGCTTCGTTGAAGGCGAGGTAACAGCAATGCTCGATTCGTCGTGACTACATGACAAAGAATTCATTGTCAGTTTCGAATAACCCGTGAGCCCAAAAATAGACACATACTCTTCTTCAAGTCCGTCTTTGTAGAGTCGAGAGGTGAAGCGGATTTCTTTGTTGGTGAAGAGGACAATGCACCGCCCAGTCCGACATTTATAACGCTTCCTTCCAGTCTTCCTCCTTCGGGAATGTTCGAGCTCCTTGCACATTTTGTCAAACACCCCAAAATGACGGGGAGGAGGAAGCCAAACCAGGCGTTCCCCGATGCACAACCTGCTGCAATGCATCGCTCCAACACTCAACCTCTGCCATCCACCCGTCACCATAACGTTCCCCAACTCCAGCAGCCGACCACCGCTCCAGGACAAAACTCGTTCTCGAGGCGAATGATCAAGAAGCTGAATGCTGTGACGAAGATCGACACCACCATCACTTCGCCACCCACCCACCAGCACGATCAAACAGGTGAGCACGTCCAGAGCCCGGGCGAAGATGCTAAAAGTCCCACTCAAGGCCTTCAGCGCCGCAATGCAGTCAGAGTCACGCCCATCGCTGCCAGGGCGAGATCCGCATCGCTCCCATTCACCAATGGACAGCAGATGTCGACTCCTCAACCGTTCAGGAAAGCAGCGTCTCATCAGATCACGCGTAAGCCAGTTCCACAACATCCAAAGGATGAGGAGTCTGACACGCCGGGGAGCATGAAGGCGGCGTCCATCAGTGATGCGGAGGAAGCACAGCTGACAATTCTACCTGATCACAATCTGCACATGATGCCATGCGAAGAGTTCGAGAACAACGAGTCTGAGAACGACGTGGTCAGAGTTTGCCGTGGCCCAGAGAGGCGTGCGAAGTTGATAGTGCCTGAGGAGGTACATGAGTCGCAGTCGTAGTCGCAGTCCATGCAATCGAGTCGATAGGGCAATCAGCAGCCAGCCCACCGTAATGATCCAATGAAATACCACCATGAAATCCGTCTTTTGAACATTCTTGTGAAATCTCCAACGTTAGTGAATGTAGACTACTGCTGTTACTCAGTAGTGACACAATGCCGGATTCCAGCAAACCCGTTCGTGCGAAGCACTTTTTAAAGGCGGCAGAGCTGCTGTCAGATTCTTGCACTTTCTCCAGAACGCAGACTTTCCACTATACCTGGCACCGAGAAAGAGACGAAGCGGCATTCCGGCAAGGCCGTCGTAGAACCATGGAGGGAAGGATGTCGGACGACAGCATACAATCCTCCGGCAACTCGAAATACGGATATGAGCCGTCGGAGGGATCGAATCAAGAGAGCATGGCAGACCCGGCAGGAAACAGGAAGGTTCGAGAGACTGAGGCGTTTCCAACGTTCACACCAACAAAATTCAACCCACTTGCGGCGTATTTCGAAGGTGGTAGTTTGGAGCAGCCGTCAGACTGTAAAACACCATCGACTGCTTCGACTCGAACTCCGAAACTTCGCAGACGGACTTCCGCCAATGATCTACGGGCTTTGCGCAGAGCAATGCCAGGGGTCCCAGAAGCGGTGAACGAGCAGTCCGCGACAAAGAACGTGTTGTCAGCTGAGCACGTCGAGGAAGCAGAAGAGAACATCGAGTCGGTGCAATGGGATCCAGCGTCAGAAGGTCTTGAGGGTCCGGGTCTTCGTAGGCGGAACGCGAGAAGAGACTCGAGCGACTCGCCGAGGAAGCGAGGGAGAGCCCAACGGCAGGTGGAGCAAGCGCAGTTGACGAGAATCGGATCTAGTCCGGGAGCAGCAGGAAGAATCAGGTCATCTGAGGAGGGGAGGCCAGCCCCACGATGCGCAGTGGATTCGGCGAGACTTGCAGCAGCAAAGGAGTACTTCCGGGTACCATCTGGCCGCAAGCTCTCTTTGTCTGCGATCGAGGCATACGGGAAGAAAGCGGGGTTGGGTTCTGGATGCCATGAGACAAAGGAGGAGAACAAAGGGAGGGGGAAAGGGTGAGTGCTGCTTTCAATCGTGACCGGCGATGCTGCGCATAAGCACGTAGGTAGATGGGGTGCAGGTAGAAGTGCAGATAGCAATCAGTTCATGCCCTCAGGTTCTTCTCTTCGACGTTGGTCTCGAAGGGATGGAAGGTGGAAGGAACGAGGGATCGCCAGACTATGGCCCGCATGCGGCAGGTGCGGCAGGCAGCAGGCCAACCCCGGATTTTGGCTTTTGCGCCATTCCGCGGCTGGCGCGGGGTTGATCCGATGTAGCGAATGGATGCTGTCGTGACCGTATCATGTGTAAGCGTACGCGGTCCGCCTGCATCCATCGCCGTCGCCATCACTCCTTCATCCATGTCCTGCTGTTGTCGCAAGCTCGAACCGCAAGCAGATCTCCTTGGCCCGTCGCTCACCCGCCAATGCTTGGCGCATTCTTGGCACATCCGACATCATATAGTCAGCGCCTCATCCGCCACTGCCGATCAGCATGAGAGAGAGCATCGCACGGCGCTTGTCCGATCTCAGCTCGCCGCGGGGATATGGGTCGAAGAGAAATAGCATGACGTTGCCGTTGGGCCTGCCACACAAGAAGTCGGAGCAGCAGCAGGAGATTCGTGAGGCGAGGAGATGGCTGAAGGAGCACGTGAGGAACGATTGGCACTATCCGCCGCTGCCGAGGTTTCAGATTCCCGTCGCGAAGGAGGGAGAAGAGACGGCGAGGACAGAGGAGGGGGATGAGGAAGAGCCGGGACGCAATGACAGAGCTGGTGATGATGAAGGGGCCGAGCCGACGGTGGCGGGCTTCCGATTCTATCACCAAGGCAAGCAAGAGAGGGAAGCTCTGCTCCACCGCTCGCCTGAGCAACTCACATTCTCGCCGGCAGAGTGGAGGGAACGCGTCTACAGTAGCGAGGAGTCGTCTGAACCAGATGACACCGACGTTGATGGAGGGGGCGTGACAGGGCCGAAGAAGACGCCGTACAAGTTCGAGAATCCCAACAGCATAGGCGAGCACTTGTCCGACCGGAGAGAAGCGCGGAAACGCAGGCGGAAGGCTCTACTGGACGAGGAGAGTACGTGGAACGATGGACTTGCGCACTGGTTGGCGAGGCGGGACGTTTGGTGCGCAGCACACACCTCGGAGCAAGTGAAGACTATGCAGCGCGAGCAAGAGGATCGACAGCGTGGCTCCTCCTCGGTCTCCGTCTCCGCCTCTGCTTCCGCGTCGGCATCCATCAGCTCTTCCGTGCGCATCTCGACCGACTCCTCCGGGACCGATGGCATTGTCGTCGCTGATGAGGCGCCGAGCACGCCTGCAACGACGCCCGAACTCCCCCTGGACCCTCCCACAAGATTGAGCGTGGAAGCGCCGGTCATCCCTACCCAACCCATAGTGCCTCCGTCAGACGTTCTCGTTCCTCTCGGCCCACCCTTCCTCGCCGACCATCCCATCCGCAAACGCATCAATCCCGATCTCTACCCCGAGATCTATTCGAAGATCATCCAACAGTCCCGCTCACCCAGCGTGCCGATCAATCTGGCGACCATGACGCGAGCGCTGGTGCAGGGATGGAAGGATGATGGCGAATGGCCGCCGAAGCCCACGGCGTATGTGTACGCGGACAAGAAGCACGCGGGAGGCGAGTCGAGCCTGAAGCACGGGGTGAAAGCCGTCGGACGAGCTTTGGGCATTACCAGTGGGAGCAGCGGGGTTGTGGCTTCGGCGAAATCGTGATGGATCTGTTCCACTGTAGCGTTCGAGCGAACATGGTTATTAGTTGGCGTTTATTGAAGACTCTTTCGCTTCTTCTTCGCGCTCCCGCCGGTACTGCTGTCACTCTGCTCTCGAGTCTTGTTCGCCTTGGGAGCAGGGCCAGCGACACCGCCACTCAAGCGCTCCTTGCCCTTTCGACTACTCCCGTGATGACCCTCGTCGCCCGGCTTGGGGCGGGGCGTCTTGTCTTCTTTCCAGTCGACGAGCGCCGCCTCGTCCTGGTCGGTGAGACCGGCAAGGACATTTTGGAAATGCAGGCGCGTCTGGACTAGGGACTACATGCGCTCGTGAGCGAAGGCGACACACGAAGGGGGAGAGGGAGGCAAGATACCTCGCATCGCTGGAACGAGTGCCAAGACAGCCTCTCATAGCTCTGCAGGATCTCGGCGGCGGCATTGCGTCGTGCGAGGGATTCATAGGATTCGGGGCTCCTGGCGACGTGTGCGCTGGGTCGGGAGAGGGTGGATGACGATGCCATGGCTGAGCATCGCGGGCACCACACGGTCTCAAGGAGATGCGGTTAGATTACGGCGTGCAGTACTGAAGCATCGGCGATAAATGACAAGCGACACCACCAACGCCACGAGGCCTGGATCGACGCGAGCAAGCGAGAGCGTGGCCTCGGCGCGGAAAGGACGCGACGCGATTGGCCTAAATCCATGGTTGACATTACTCGCGCCTACCTAACGTGGGATCTTCCCCTTCTATAGGTAGCCATCCCCACGATGAAATGCATTCCCACCCATCCATGATTGCTCGGCGCATGGTTGGAAAGCTGCATGCTATTCTTACTTAACGTGTCCCCCGGCGAATCTCACATTTCATCATCCCCTCCCATCCACCTGCCCCTAACCCGCCAATCCCCAGGAAAGCTGTAGTACGCCGCGGCGCAGCCAAGAGCTTCCCGCCCGTACGACCCAGATCGACTCCTTGAGCCAGCGCAATCTCACCCCCAACAGATGGTGTCGTGATCAGCAAGACCAGCTGCTGGACAGCGCCGTCTTCCGCCTCTCCCTCCCTCCACACTATGCGCCGGCGAAACCCATGCTCCTACCTCAACCGCCGCCTTCAGATCGTCGCCAGCCTCACCACCTTCATCCTCTTCAGCATCCTCTTCCTCGGCACCACCTCCGAGGACAACCCCTACCTCAGCAAAGTCCCATACGGCCCGCAGATCCGGCAAGGCACCACCAAAGTAGTCGGCCGCCTTCCATCCATCCCCAAGGAACTCCCGCACGTGCACGTGAACACGGCACAATGGCTGAATCGCTTGGATCCCTTTCAAGCACCCGCTCACAGTCCTCCCCCAGCGGACCAGCCCGATAGCAGGGAGGGTGATATATCATGGCACACCGACTGGCATTGGATGAACCCCTTCAGCACTGTCGTCACCCAGGACGAGCGCGCCGTGCTGCCTCCCTTGAAGCCGCGCCCGCCCGTCTACACCTACTTCGACGCTGGAGGGCGGAGTCGGGATGAGCGGAGTAGGAAGGCGGAGCAAGAGGTGTTGGAGATATGGCGGCGCGCATGGTGGGCCCAGGGCTTCAAACCCGTCGTCTTGAGTCGCTCCGAGGCAATGAACCACCCAAAGTACAAGTACATCAAGGACCTCAAGCTGGAAGCTGATATGGAACTGGAATTGCTGAGATGGCTGGCGTGGGCCAGCATGGGCACGGGAATCCTGTGCAACTGGCTGGCCGTGCCCATGGCGCATTACGAGGAACCCTTGCTCCATTTCCTGCGCGCCGGCGAGTACTCCCAGATGACCCGGTATGACGGCTTGGAAGGTGGCTTGTACGTTGGCACGAAGGAGCAAGTGGAACAGGTGCTCGAGATGGCCCTGCGGTCGACATTGATCACCACTGCTCAATTCATGTACCAACTCACGCCAGAGGACACTTTCCACATCGAGCCCAACCATGATGGCGTGGCATTCTACAGTTCGAAAACGATCAAGACGTTGTACAAGTCGATCGACAGCCAGTTGACCTTTGCCGACACCCGCGGAGATGGCCTGACCATGCTCCCCGCGCTCATCAACAGTCATCTGCACTTGACCTGGCAAAACAGCTTCCCGAAAGGCATCGCCGTCTTGAAACCCCTGGCTCAAAACACCACATACATGATCGATCCCGCCATCGACATTGCTCGGAACTTGTCGACGTGCACAGCATCTCCCATCACCACCTCGTGTCCGCCCAACCGACCGAATTGCTCGCCTTGTGTCAGCAGGACACCTATGATCATCACTACACCGCCCATCTACCGCAATGACAGCGCGCAATTCTTGATCGGCACTGTGCCTCATCCCTACACCCTGCAAAGCCTCATTCACAACAAAGAGGATTTGGACGTACGATTCATCCGACGGAAAACCTCGCGTGACTCGTGGGTCATGGCCGCCACCAGAGAGTTGCTCGGCGCGGGCATCTCCTCCTTTTCGCGCCTTGCTTCCCTCAAAGACGCCGTTGCATCCGAGCACGGCATCTCTCGCTCGCTGTGGCTGACGGCAGAAGAGCCCGTCTACCTCCGCACCGAAAAGGACTTACAAGAGCTCGATTGGATCTTCGGCTTTCGCATCCCGCGGCACCCAATGAAGGATGGCAAATCAGAGACGCCAGTGCCCGGACCAGAACGCCGTCCTCCGCCGCCCAAGCAGGACTTTGATGGGCCGAAACCCGACGAGAAGCAGCTCCTTCAGCAGATGTTGCTGGGGGAGAAAGCACAAGATATGATCAAGAAGAGCGAGCGACATGGTGGGCAGAAGTCTCTCATCCTCCTTCGGAACGCGGTCGAGGCGTGGAACATGGCGGACACGGAGGTGTGGAAGTTTGTGCGGGCGTTCAACGCGCGGAGATTGGTGGAGCGGCAAAAGTGGCAGAAGGAGGAGGATGCATATCTTGGAAAAGGCCTGTATGACCGGTGGAAGGAGACTTTGTCTGGATGAAAGCGCTTCTTACCGACCCATGGGATGGAGTTGGAATGTGCTGCGCCAGCAGACACGACTTGTTTTAGTAATGGGGGCATTTTGGCACTGAAGCCGTGAGTACTCGTTGGCGACGATCTTCTTGCATTGATCAAATAGAATCTACGACCTGCTGAACAGCAGTCTGGCTCTCCAAATCACGTGCAAATCACGTGCAGCTTAGTCACATCCGCACGATTTCCCCTGAGCATCCAATGTTCCCGGCAATGAACCTGCGCATCACCTTTCACTCTCATCCACATTGACTTTGCTCACGGAGACTTCGATACTGCTGGTATCCAGCGTGGCCAGGCGCTTCACTCATGTCACCGACGGCCTCTTCATCCCCAATAGGCACGTGGCGCGCTCCCTCCCCTATCTTTGCCCACCACGACCATTTTGACTGACATTGACAATAGGATGCACCACAATAGCCACCGGAAGCATCGTCGTCGTTGCACAAGTCCACAAATTTAGAATCGTCGCCCATTCTCATTGGTCGCGAGACGCACTGCCCCTTCAACGTCATTGCTTCAAATGAAGCTTTTGGCGTTGGAAGTGAAGCCAGCGGCCACGCTCGACATGCTCACGATTCGCAACATCACGCTTGAAAAAAGTCGACATGGCACGAGGCAAGTGCGTGCGATGAGCTCGTCGCTCGCGGTTTCGAATGGTACCGATATCATTATGCCAATGGCAATAATGCGCGTGGTATGAAGCTCGCAGCCTTGCCCGACTCCTTCACTCACTTCACCTCCCTTCTCCCAGCCACCTTTTCGCGCTCACTCGCTTTGACTTTTGCCCACAGACTCTCTTCTTGTGAAAACTCTTCTCATGATCTTGAACACTCTTCTGACCTTCCTCTCCGCACTCCTCTTTCGACTCTTCATCCATCACTTCACTTTCATCAATCCCGCAGCACGCAATCCTTGACAGTCTTTGCCAATCATTGATCAACTACCTCATCCACAACGCATTCAACTTGCCGACGAAGACTTTGAGCATCACTGCTTCTCACCGCGCTCTATCTGAACAGCTCCAACATCACCCAAACACCACCTTCAACCAGTCCCCCCAAACATCAAATCACCATGCCTTGCACCAACGAGAACCACTCTCACGCCTGGGTCACCGAAGGCTCTCTCACCATTGAGCGCTGCGAGAAAATCTGCGGCTTCTGCAAGGCGCCCTTCAAGCACGCGTGGTTTTTGAGGAGACACGTCAACAATGTCCACGTCAAGCAGTACCCCAATCTCAAAGTCGACGAGGGATGGTGAGCTACACCCCTTTCTCAACTCACTCTGCACGTTCACTGACAGCCCACAGGTCCGGCTCTCCGAACGGCAATCGTCGTCCAGGCGAGCCGCAGAAGCGTCGCAAGGGGTAAGCGTGCAACACGGAGAGAAGCAGGGACAGCGAGACTGACATTCACCAGACATGTCCGCAAGAACTCTGATTCCAGCACCGCCAGCTTCACAAGCTCGTCGCTGAAGAACGAGGTCACCTTTGATGAAGCCGGCGAGCACGAGGTCAGAAAGCACGAGACAGGCCCTGACAATGTCGGCAAGCACGAAGACGCTTGTGATGCCGTCACCAAGCACGCTGTCACGGACGACGTCAACCCTGGAGTCGTCATTGAGACTACGGAGCTGAAGTGAGCTCTCTTCAATGCCGTCTACCACCAGCACCATTACTGACAGACTCCAGGCCTGGTGCGGAGACTCTCTTCATCGATACCAACCTCACCGTCGACCCCTTCCTCACTGGCTGGCCCAACGGCCTTCCGGTGACAGCTGACGGGCAATTGCCGATCTACGCCCCTGGTCTCTTCAATGACTTCGACATCAACACCAAGTACGATCCCCTCGCAGGCTTCTTCGCGGACCCCGATCCCACCTACTTGCCCGTGGAAGACAACATCTTCATCACGCCGCAATATGTCCGCACGAACGGCATCATCATCGGCGCCACACAGCCTATCGTCGAGCACCACGGAGCTGCCAAATCGTTTGCCGAGGGGCTCAACACGCTGATCGGCGACCTGCACGCGAATGAGCATCTGTACGAAGAGGAGGTGCTGTACATCCTAGAGACCTTTGCGTCGGCCTACAAGTACGGGCAGAAGTTTTGAGAGACGGAGTAAGAGTGGAAGACATTCCTTGTCATGGATGAGCGATATCACTTTGATACCTGATGGACATAGCGATGGGGAGTTACTTGACGTGATGACTTTAGCGACGGCGCTGGCGGAGTGTCTACTGCTTGAGATGGGCGTACTCCTACGCAAGGAGATTTGATCAGAGCGAAGCATATTCTGCATGCGAGTGAGGGGAGTGTCAGAGCAGTGTGCTCACGGATATTCTTGAGACTTTGACAGAGCAGCGCAGTGTAGCGTAAACACAATTGAGCTTGCTGTCTTTCCATTCTCAACGGCTTCCAATCCATTACCATCTCGTACGCTGACGTAAATGTCGCCATACACTCTTATGAACACATAATCTGCACAACTCGCTAGTCAAATATGGATCTCAATCTATCCAGCAACAGCATCCAACGGCGCACTCGCCACAGCAGCCTCTCCCTTTTGTGCCTTCAACTTCTCCTCCAACTTGGCAAACTCGCGCATCGCCACCTCTTCCTCTTGATCCATCACCTGCTGCACCCCCTTGACCTCCTCGATGTAGTGCATCAACATGTTCTCAATCCCGTTCTTCAGCGTGACGGTGCTCGAATCGCAGGTGCGACACGCGCCGCGCAATTTCAGCAGGACCTGGCCGTCCTGGAAGCCGCGGAACTCAATATCGCCGCCGTCCTCTTGAATAGCAGGCCGGATGCGCGTCTCGAGCAGCTCCTGAATCATGCCGACGACCTCTTCGTCCTCAGGAGCGTAGACAGCCGATGCCTCGGCAGAAGAAGATCCCTGTCCCGCTTCGCCGGATTTGTTCTCGACGGTGTTGACAATCTGCGAGCCGTTGGTGATGGTCTCGGTGATGAGGCTGAAGACTTCAGGCTTCACGTGCGCCCACGGGGTGGAGCTGTCTTTGGTGACGGTGATGTAGTCCTTGCCGTAGAAGACGCTCGTCACGCCCTCGACGTTCATGAGGGAGGAGGCGAGGGGCGAGGGGTGTGGTGGGGCGAGCGTCGAGCGGGGAGACAGGTATTCGAGGAAGGAGGAGGGGAAGTCGTCCGGGAGGACTTGGTGGTTGGGCTTGAACTTGAGCGCATCGGCGTTGGGCGTGTCTTCGGTCTGGATGAAGATTGTCCGCCGGGACTGTGCGGAGGGGGAGGCTTGTTGGATCGCGGGTTGGGTGAGGGGCTGGATTGTCGGTCTATGTCGCTGTGTGGAGGAGGAGATGGGTGTTGCTCGTGATACGTTGGAGAAGGAACGGGCGCTCGCGCTGGTGGCGAGTCTTTGGCATCGGGTGGTGGTGGTGATTGTGGGTCGCGAGACGGCCTTTGCCAGGCCACTGACGGCTGATCTGCCGGGCATTATTGTGGAGAGGGCTGTGATTGGTAGCTCGATGTCGTCGAGTGCCGGAGTGTGATGTTCGAAGGGTTGGATGTCTGTTGTCTTTTCGCAAAGGATGAACTGGACGAGGAACGTCATAAAAGACCGAAATCGGCCGAGCATGCGCCGAGTGCGGGACCTTGCCCGGCGCCGCCGAAACCTCAGGCACAGATGCACATTGAGAGGAGGAGGACGTGTTGCATAGATATCTATCACGGCGAATCATTGTACCCTCCCTATCCACTTCAACGAGACGACGAGGGTTTCTTGGAGAATCTCTCCTCTATCTCCCTCGCACAGACCCGGCTCAACGCATATCCCGGGAAGCGAGAGCACATCATGCGCTGTGTTTTGTCAGACCAGAGCACCGCCCTTCCCCGCTCGCATGGATCCTCTCATACAGGCTCGGCTTCTCACCCGTCCTTTGCATGGTCGTAGGCTCGTCGAACTTTCATCCTCCCCGCGGCACTCCTGGCCTTGCTGCTCATTATAGCTCGACACTGCGCTGTGTGTCGTCTGTAGGCCAGGCTTAAAGAGGGTGGATGGTAGAAACGTGCGTGATGCAGGATCAAATGCGGTTCAGACTCCAATACATGGTGTCGTGCGTTCATTGTCATCTCTTGTGCCATGGCAGAGAGGGGGCGATGCGAATCGATGTGTCCGGGCGCTACTGCGGCTGTATCCAGTCCCCGTTGTGCTTGGGAGTCCTCCATGTTTCTCATGTTCTCTCGAAGCTGTTTGTCTTGTGATAGCATAATAGCAATCCCGGTGCAGATGAATCAGCTCTCCTCCCTCGGCTCGTTGGCTCTCCTCTCCACGTAAAAGCCAGGGTCAGGCCGCCTCAACTCTTTCATTTCCTGCTTGGACAGAGCCTGATCGACCTCCTGCACATCCACCAACTCTTTGACGGCGAAAATCTGGCCGGCGACTTGTGGCGACACGGGGTGGTAGACGGTGCGCAGCCGCTTCCGCAGGCCCAATGCTTGGAGGACGCCGCTGGTCTTCCGGGGCAGACCGATGGCGGAGCGGATGAGGGTGATGCGAAAGTATGACGGCATGGTCGCTGCAGGCTCTCGAGATGCCAACCTGTTCTGTTGTGGTGATGGAAGGGGAAGATAAGGGACATGGCGATGTCGAGAGAAATTTGGTAGCTCGTTCAGGATCGTCCGAGCTTCGCCCGGCGGAAGCAACCACACCCCGACCTTCACCGCGCGACTCGCCCAATCTCACCATCAATCTTTCAGCTCATTGGCGTTTGAGCGTCGGATGTATCCCAGCGGCTCTCTGTCAATGCATGAGTGTAACAGCTCGGGCAAGAAGGCGCCCCCATTGACACGTAGCGCGACGCCATTCCCTCCACCCGCAGCCTGTTGTCTCAGTGCCCAACGCCAACATGGTGGAAACGGCCCTCGAGGACCCGTCCTCCAAGCTCGCCGAGCTCCTCAAACACCCCGATGATCTCGACAAACTCGCCTCCCTCAAGTCGGAATTCACGCGCAAAAAGACCGCCATCGATGCGCAGCTCAAACTCGGCCTGCAAGAGCAGTTGTCTATCACGCAGGCCGGCATGTCCAGCATCAATGACAGCCAGAGGATCGTGCAACAGATCAAAGAGGAAATGCTGCGGATCGACAAGCTCTGCTCCGAGTCGCAGAACATGATTCGCGACTTTCCCGAAATCAATCGCATGAGCGTCATGCAGCGCAACTTTGCGGCGGTGGACAGTATGAAGACGGCAGTGGACACTTTCGAGCAGCGCTTAGAAGAGGTTGTGGGATTGTTGAGAGAAGACGAGGACAACCTGGAGGAGCAACCGAACCTACTGGCGATTCACGAGGGCTTGACAGCGCTGAGGGATGTGCGGGATCAAGCGATGGAGCAGGTCAAGGGAAGCGTGGAGGGAGAGAGTGGCTTGGAGATGATTGAGAACTTGCCGTTGGAGTCCGGGAGTACACTACGGGAGTATTTCACCAAACTCGACGAGGTCATTGACTGGTTCGACGAGCGCGTGGGCCAGGCTTGCATCAACCTGATCAATTTCGTGCAGGCGGGCAATCATGGTCTGGTAGTGCGATTGGCGTTGGTGATTGAGGATGAAGAGAAGAAGGATAAGCAGGTCAAGGCGTTACAGGATGCGCAGCGCGAGTTTGGCGACATTGTTTCGCGGTTCCAAGGTCTGACCATCGGACAGCGAGAAGTGCGTGGGTACAAAGACAAATTCCTGCAAGCCATCGAGGCCAGTGCCGGTGCGCAGTTCGAAGAGGTCACCCAGGCCTTCCTGAACGATCCCGATCGACTCGACAAGGCTTGTCGCTGGTTTTTCAACGACCTCAACACCGTCAAACTCGGCTTGCAGGATCTCGTGCCGAAGAAATGGAAGATCTTCAAGACCTACACCAACATCTACCACAAGCTCATGCACGACTTTTTGATTCAGAGGCTGGATGATCCAGGCGTCACACCGGTTCATATGCTGGCCATTCTGAATTGGGTGGGCAAGTACTACGGAAAGATGTCTCGACTCGGTGTGCAGGAGTCAGAACTCAACCCTCACGTCATCGATGACCGGGAAAGCGACTTGGTGCGAGAGTATCGCAATCTCATCACCAAGTCAGTCGAGGAATGGATGGAGCGCATGGCAAATGCAGACCGCAAATCCTTCAAAGACCGGGCAGAGGGATCACTGGACCAGGATGCAGACGGTCGGCTACACACAAAGACACTGGGCGACATGTGGACGATGCTTAGGGAGCAGTTGGCGGTTGCAGAGTCCTCCGGCCGGCCCGATGTCGTAGAAGGCGTGGTAGATGCGATGATGCGCGCGCTCAAGAACCGGCAGCAAATGTGGGAGCGCATGATTGACGATGAGGCGCGGCGGATTGAGAATGTCGCCGATCCTGCCCAGCTGGAAGGCGTGAGTAGTCTGCAAGAATGGCTTGCAGCCATTGCCAACGATCAAATCACGAATATCGACGACAACCCGGAGTCCGGCACGACGTCCTTCCTCGCACGCTTCAAAGCAGACTGGGAGCCGCTGGTCACCCCGGCCTACACCTCCACCTGTCAAATGGAGCTCGACAGTCTCACCAACGGCTACGTCGACCTGGCTACGCACTGCATGCACATCTTCGCCGCCGTCATGTTCTCCACCGACTTCCGGGAGGCGATGAAGGACTTTTTCACGCCGAGCTGGTACCGCAACAAGACCATGACGCAAATCACGACGACGTTTGACGACTATCTCAGCGGCGAAAACAACTACACCGAAGTCTTGCACCCGTCTCTGCGCGATATTCTCGTGGAGGAACTCTCCGACGCCCTGCTCATCCGCTACCTGAGTGCCGTGCGCAACAAGAATGTCAAGTTCCGCCGCTCCGACCCGTTCACGGACAAGATCAAAGAAGAGCTGCAGACCGTTTTCTCCTACTTCTCCCGCTTTCCGGATACGCTGGAGCTGGTGAAGGAGAAGTGGAGGGTGGTGCTGAGTTTTGAGAGCTTGCTGTCGGCGGACAAGGGCCAGGGCGTGGTGGAGGCGTTTGAGAACATGAAGGCGCAGTACTGGGATGTGCAGATTGGGTGGGTGGAGCAGGTGTTGAGGTGTAGGGATGACTTTGATCGCAGTTTTGCGGCGCAGGTCAAGAGCTCGGCGGCGCGGATGGGAGTGGAGAGGGGCCCAGATACGGTGATGGGGAAGGTGAAGTGAGAGTGGCTGGAACGAAGGGGACTTGCTCTTAGCGTTGGCGTTACGAAGGGTTGGGCAGTTTGAGATGTCGATTGTTATAGACCAACAGCCCGATTGACGAGATCTGCTCGGGAGTCTTGCCGCAATCTCTTGTCGCGGTAGTCAACAACAGGGACATCTCGGTCGTAGTCTTCACAAAGAGGAAGGCGAGCTTCTAGTCGAGTTTGGCGAGTCTCATCGCCCCGCCCAGATGCCTTGCGCGAGGCCCGGTCGACTCTCATTCACCGGCCTCTTCATCACTCTCCCTTGCGCCCTTACTCCCTCGACGATCTTGTCAAGGCTCGTCTCCACCACCACGCCACCCACAATCATCTCCCCAAGCACAGCATGCAGCGTCTCGAAATTGAAAATGAGATCCAGCTCGCAGACATTCTCGAAGAGTTTGTCGAGCGCTTCGACAAAGACGCGGATAAAGTCCAGAAGGGCGAGCGGGGATTCCGTCGAGGTGGAAATCAAGATGAAGTAGAGGGTGGCGTAGTGGCCGTAGGTGACTAGAGATGGGGCATCGTTGTGTTCGTTCGACGTGCTGCTGCTGGATGACGAGGCCAGGAGGGGAGGCAGCGGTAGGAAATTGCAACTGCTTGCTGGACGGGCGGAGACGAGGGTGAAGATCTCGGAGATGAGGCGTTGCTGGACAGAAGTGTCCTGGGAGGAGCTGTTAGTTATTGCGACTCGGAGAAAGAGGCGGCAGAAGAGTCTCACCAGCTGAGTATAGAACTTGGTCAGTCTGGGCTGGCCATTGTTATTGAAAACCAGCACGGCATTGATCATGTCTGCGAACTGGTGGTGATGGCAAAAAGGCAGCGATGCGTTCTGATCGTGAGGCACAACGTGAGGCGGGGTCCGTGCACTCCACCTTTCACACCCTCACCCAGTCGCTCTTACCTCCACTCTACCCAGTCGGTCGCTCTTTCCTAAAATCTTCAATAAGTTTGATCTTTCCTAGTTTGGCAGGTACATAGGACCATAAGCCGAAGAGAAAAGAGGATCCCGTCCGCTCTCCTGTACTCAAGCTTCGGACTGGTAGATTAGTACTCAGGTGGGTGACCACTGGGGAATCCCTGCTGTCCTATGTGAATTTTTGGCGATTTTTGGCGATTTTTGGCGATTTTTTTGGCCGTCTTTGGTCCATTTTTGCGACTTGACTGCGATTTTGGCAAGGAGCCGAATTCCGGCGCACGGGCCTGCTTCGCCGCTGCCATAGCCCGATCATCCCTCCCAACTCCATCCCTTTGCCTCAACCTCTTCTCGATCAGAATACCCCTGCAATACTTTCAGTACTCACGGAGATGTTCGGGGGACCACAACGTGGGTCCGTGCACGTCATCTCCCACGCCCTTACCTGGCTCATCCGTCCACGCTACCCTGGTGGTCGCTCTACGATGGCTGGCCTCGTGAAGATGCTTTTGCCGAGAGTGCTGACTCAGATTCATGGCCATCAGGCTGCCGCTGATGAATCGGTAGATCGGCATACGAGGACGGACTTTACTCTACCTATAAACCTCCGGATTTGTCAGGCTCGCGAACGTCAAAGCCGCGAGCAGCCAGTGTACTAATATAGAGGTAGAAGGACTGTTCCTATCTATATTATTCCTATCCCAGAAGCGATGCCACAGCAAACGCTGCATGTCCTACTTACGGGAGCCACGGGCTTCGTAGGAGGCACCATACTGTCAACCCTTTGCAAAGCCCATCCCGAAGCTCATGTCAAGGCTTTAGTCCGGCGAGAAGAGGATGCGAAACACCTACGATCCATCCACCATAACCTCGAGCCAGTACTCGGCTCTCTGTCTGACCTCGAGCTTCTGAGACGGACAGCGGCGAGTGTCGACTTCGTCATTCATGCAACAAAAGAGGACTTGGCCGCTGTGCGTGCATTAATCGATGGCCTTGCTTCCACCTTCTCTAATGGACCACCTACACCGCGCCTCATCAGCATCAGCGGGATTCGGAGTTTGATTGATAGGTCACTTCCTGTGACTGGCATTGCTTCGGAAGACGGCCGTCCGTGGAGTGATATCCAGGATATCAGCACAATCCTCTCGCTACCAAAGGAACGCATTCATGCAGAGGCAGACCAGTCCACCATGGCTCATGCATCTGCTAGCGGTGTCGGTGCGATGATCGTTGGCGCTCCCCAGCTTTGGGGACGAGGCAAAGGCCATGTAAAGACGGAAGGTGCCGCCGCTACCGCGTACTACGCTGCAGTGAGGAAGCGAGGACGAGCCTTCGTCATCGGCGACGGATCCGTTGCATGGTCGTGGTCTTCTATCGGTGATCTTGGGGCCGCGGTGGTCTTCTTGCTGGAGAGGGCACTACTAGACGATGGCGCATCTCATCGAGTCGGTGTGAACGAAGACGGATACTACTTTGTTCGATCCGATGAGGTGAAGATGATCGATCGTGCGAAGGCGGTCAGTAAGCGTCTCGGTCTAGGAGAGGTGGAAAGTGTTGCTGTTGAAGTTACAGCAGAGTTGCACCCGTTTGGCCCATTGATGTGGGGATGTGGTGTAACAACCAGGCCGGATAGACTTACGGCATTGGGTTGGATCCCCAAGGAACTGGATTGGGAGATGTTGATGGAAGAAGCAGGCGGAGAAAGAGCATGACTGCCAAGTATGAAAAGACTATCCTCTCCTCTATACGCTTTGTTGTAATGCATAACGAGTACGCGCACCAAAGTCTCAGCAAGCTACGAGGTTCAAAGACATTTTCTTGCGGGTTTTCGAAGAGCCAATGAGACATGGACCCTGTACAGATGTATACGGACGCTTGAAAGACTAAATTGCAACATCTGTCCATTCACTCTATCTCTGATCGCTCTCAGGCAGAAACAGGAATTCCGTAGGTCTCGATCCCATGATTGCCAGTTTCACATCACCAGTCTCCGTAGCGAATCTGAGCTGCCCCATCTCCATTTTGGGAGAGCCCACGAAAACCTGGCTATCTGTTGACTCTCTCCGTTGGCTCCAGTTCACCGGAATCAGCGGGGCATCGATCCGTACTTTGCCCTTTACGGAGAAGCCGTCTACAAAACCGTTCCATCCATGAGGATATGTCAGATCCAGAGACCCCGAGGTCGACAAGTGTCGTGTTACCATAGACGGTGGAAGGGGAAGCTCCACTCCGCGGTCGGGAATGGTCAGCTCGGGGAATGCCACAGTGGTATTTCCACTTCTCGTCAAGGTCTTGAGCGATGGCAGCGCATCTTGATTCTGTCCTTGGCTTCTATCCTGGTAGTCGATGCTGACATCGATCGCACCCGTCCAGCTCTCGAAGCTCAGTTCCTCATGGAACGAGAAGGTTCCCTCGATGTTTCCGGTCCGGCTTTCAACATGCACATGCGGAGAGCTCCAATGATGGATGCTGACGTTACCATACAGCGCTTCTATAAGCGTCGTGTTGGTCACCGTGATCCCGCCTTTGCGTCGTTGTATCTTTGTTGGTAGAGATGGCACCTCGCCGTCCGGCTGCATATTGTACGGGGCCTGATGAAAGCTGAAGTGGCGTAATTTCGTGAGCCAGTTTGTAAACACCGCATTGTGTGGCACGAACAGGTCAATGACGAAATCTAGGCATGGTCCCAATCCGGAGCCAATACCTGCCTTCCGCTTCTCTCGATCAGCTGCATCCCACTCTGGCCCGCTGCGCTTGCTGATGTCGGGAGTGTCCAACGTTATCGCGTTACCCACCCTCTCGTACTTCACTCGGTCGATCACATAGGGCCATGCCGTCGCAACGCTGATGCGGAGTGACATTGGTCTCCGGTCCGGGATGAGTTCGGCTTGATCGGCATCATATACGTTGACCCGAAAGAGTCCATTTCTGGCCCGACAACCCCCATTCCTGCACCAAAACGCAACATCGTCAATGAGAGCGAAGTTGCCAGTATCTTGGAGGGAAATGTTGACCTCTCGATAAGTATCAAAGTCGCATCTTGGGTCTGCGTTCCGATGTCTTGTGGGATCACGGTGTCTGGCGGGGATTGAGACATCATTCGACTTGGGCGTGATGGTCTTGAGCGTCATGGCCAGTAGAAGAACCAGCAGGGATATCGAGGTGATTGGAATGACTGCTCGAACGGGGTCTTTGAGTAAAAGCCTCACCCTCGCAATAACGAGAAGAAGAGTCCTCCAGAGAAACGTGCGCGAGGAATTCAGTGGATCTGTTCGGACGCCGGAACGTGGACCATTTGTAACATCGCGGCCATTCGAGACCGGTCCTGTGTCAACGGCGACTGCCGTGTCTTGCCCGCGTGCGTGGTGGAGGGTCGTTGCGGTAATGTAATCCGGTGGTGCGGGCTCAGCATCGAAGACTGAATGGTCGCCATCGTCCGAGACGAGTCTATCGGGTCTGATATCAAGAGACGATGTTATGATTTCGTTGTCGGAATCACGGCCAGGGCCACCCCCCGCGGCTTCGATCGCTTTGGACGCTTGTACCTCTGCCGTGCTAGGACGTGCGTGGGCTTCCAGTTCGACAGCCTCGCCCGAGGCATCCCGAGTTGCAGGAGTGTCTCCGGACAGCGATTCGACATCGTAATCGCTGTCATCGGGCTGAGATATCGAATCGCTCTCTGGGCCAAGGTCCTCGGTCGCCATTGCGCATCTTCTCACCCATGCCGAGGTCTCCTTATGCAAGCCTGAGCCGACAGCAAGGAGACAAGTACGACATTTCGCTCAAATCATGGTAATATCTTCGACCAGGGCGATTGCATAGAAGTATTGGTTGCCTGGACCTGACATCGGTTGGAGTCGGCAGCCGAACTCCGGCGCACGGACCTGCCTCACGGCTGCCACACTGTAGCCTGACGGCCCTCACCTAACCTCCTTCTGTCACTTCGACCTCTTCTCAGATCAAACTCCTGTACACAATCTTCCCGACACATGCGTGCGTCACCATGATTGAAAACCACTGAATGGACCGAGTAGGTGAATGATTATTCCCGGCATCGATTCCTTTCTTTCACCACTACTCGACCCACAATGGGCATTGTGAATGTCTTCACATTCACCTTTGTGCCATGTTTGGCCCTTTTTTTCTTTGTTCCCTCTTCCTTTCAGCTCGAGTCACAAAGCAGCCCTCAAGGCATTATATACCCGCAGTTTCTCCTCGAGAATGGCCTTGTCTTGTTCCTCCCGCGCAACTGTCTGTTATCGACGGCCAGGTACTGCACTTCCGTGCATATCTATCCTGGAAGTTCGAGCCAAACAGACCCCAACCACCCACGAGCTTTTCCTCGACCCATACCCTCGGACACTTCTTAATCACAACAAGCACTCACGTCACAGGTATGTCTCAACGATACTACTCAGCCCTCGACATGGGCTCGGAAGCTGACCCATGCTCGCTGCTCTACCAGACGTCGAATGCTCATCACGCTCCTTCTCTCAATTCCAACAAATCTACCAAGCGTAGAGTGCGGAAGAGTTATCTTGCAAGCGTGCGCAAGGGGAGGATGGGCCTGTTCCGGTCGATCAAGAAGTTCCTGACTTTCAAGTCGAAGAAGGGCACTTTCAAGATGCCGAACGAGTTCCGAGCCTCGATGCAAGCATCTATGCGCTCCCTCCAATCGGTGACGGATATCACTGCATGCCCCAACGGTCCAACTGCTCAGGTCACACGCCCAACGTCCTACCGCATCCACTCCTTCACTGGAGCCGGATCTCCTCCCACCGCCACCGCAAGCACCGTTCGCTTCTCCCATCCAGTAGTCGACGCGCAGCTATCAGCCCCCCGCCCCACGACCACCGAATCGGCCATGCTGGAGGATGATACTCCGTTCAACTTCAAGCCAAGCAATCACGACTCTGCCACTTCCAATCTCTCCATCCCAGAGACCATCGAATTTCCGGGCGACATCAGCGAGAAGCCGGCACCGCTCTGCCCAAAGAGCATGTGGCGCTGGACAAGCCAGTCTGCGACTGCCCGCGGAGCGCGCGAGACGTACGATGAGTTCAAGAGCCGTCTCGACGGGCACAGGCGTCAGGGTGATACTTCGAGCTTCAGCAAGCGAGCACCAAGCCTACAATTCCTTGCGCGACTGCCGACCATCAAGCTCAATTTTGACGAGGATGACGAGCAAACCACCGCGCCGGCCAACTACGCAAGCGAGATCAGCAATCATCGCTGCCAAGCTTTGAACGCTCTCGAGGGTGGTGTTGCATCGCAGACTGTTCGATTCACGGACGCTGACCTTCCCACCAGCTTGATTCCCGGCGGCATCAAGCAGGCCACCGACAGGGAGTCATCGACAGGCTACAAGCCATACCGCTCCAGCGACGTCTCACATCTGATCGTTCCCGACACTGTCCCGACGTTCACGCGCAAGATGAGGAACAAGAAGCAGCCTGTTGACCTGATCGGTCCGTTCGACGAGGACTTCAACAAGCGCCACAGTCAGAATTACTGTGACGTGGAGTCCGGCGTCTTCAACGAGGCTGTGATCGGTAAAGCGACCGGCGGGGCGTCCATGGATGGCAACACAGGAAGCCGTTCATCCCTCCTACCTCCAACTCCTCCCAAAACTCCCGAGATGTTGAGTGCCACAAGCAAAGCCATCAAGCGCAAACCCGTCTCAACGCCGCCCCCAACCAACAACAACCCCACCAGCACTCTCGACCTCATCAAAATGGTCGACAACGGCTATCCCCTGCTGGAGCGCGGCATCCAGCAGCGCTTCTCCTCGGCCCCCGCCTACCAAGCGCGCTTCGTCAACGACGTCGAGGCCAAGTTCGCCAAGGCGGAGAAGGTGAAGCAGCTGAAGCAGTTGCGCCGCGAGACGAAGAAGACGTATTCGATGCAGAAGCGCGAGTTCTTGACGGAGCAGGAGCGGAAGAAGGTGGAGGAGTTGGACAGGCTGGATGAGCAGTTGAGGAAGTTGATGTGTATTTGAGAGAACAAGGATGGGAATGTAGGAAGAGAAGTGTACATTAGGTGCGGGAAAGATCATTGAAGGAGTTTTTGGATGGCGGCAAATCTGGTTTTGTATTTGGAGGCAGTTTGCTCAGGCTTGAAAGACATATGGGTGAGTATCTGGAGGCGATCTACAAGAGTGACTTACAACGCTACAGCGCGACCTGCATCTTTCATTAGAGACAGGCATGCGCACATGGGTTTCAGAGCGATACAGCGTGACATGGATCAGGAGTTAGGAGTTTGTTTGTCTGTCTTTGATGGAAAGTCATGTGTTTCACTTCAGCCTTGGTTTCCCCGTAATGTCGCAATGTCTTGATTCAAAGCAAGTAGAATTTTCCAGAGTGAAGAGGAAAAACCAAGGAAAATCAAGTGCATGCCACACTTCTCCTAGTACTTCCCTTTGCGCCTTTGCTTGAATGAAGAATGCAAGGCCCGCTTCAAACCTACCATTGGTCTTCGGGGTCTAGCAAAGCCATGAATGCTTTGCCCAGAGCCTCCTCGCCCTCCTCATCCGTAAATTGTAGTCCCGGGATATCGTGGTTGCGCAGGATAATGTGCTCTTCACTCGGGATGGGATAGTAGAAGCAGTCGGACGTGTACTGCGGAATGGCGGCCCGATGCTGCCAATTTACCGTCTCGTTGCCTTCTACGCGGGGGATGCCGAGGAAGCGGCGATGCAAACGGTCGGTGGAGATGCGGTCGTCGCCTTCGTACTTCATCTCAAGTTTGCTGGGCCAGGGGGCGACGTCTTCCTTGCCTTGCAGCCATGTGGGGGAGAAGACGGTTTCGAGGGAGAGGACGGGGCTGTGGTGTGTGGAGAACTCTCTGCCGTCGAAAGGCCGGGGGGTCGTCGGGGGAGGGGCGCTTGAGGAGCGTCTGGATTCTTGTGTTGTCTTGAGTGCAAGGTGGCGTGTGCGTCCGGCTTCCCATTCCTCCTTGTGCTGGTCGAGGTTGAAGTTGGCGTGCCAGAAGGGACTTTTGGGGCAGAATTTGTGGCGGGTGGAGTTGAGTGCTTGACGTTGGCCATTTTGTCTGGATCGTGCCGTTCCCCAGGTGCGAGACGAGGGGTTAAGTCTGTTCTGAGCTTGCTGCGCTTTCAACGACGAATTGGAATCGGCGCTGTGGGATTGCAAGTGAGCTCGTATACGTCGTACTCGCCGAACCGGCCAAACTTTGAGGTGACTCAGGAGATGAATACTTACCCGTTCGCCATGGCACCCCGATTGACGCGATTCATGTCTCAGGCGTCCGCACCGGAGCGTGGAGGTTGTCGTTTGTACAACTTGTGTGTTGTGAGTCCGTGGGCTGGTAGTGGAGGAGACTATCAATCCAGTAACGTGTAGGCAACAATGAACCTGCGTTGTGCACGTGCTGCGAATAGAATGTTAGCCTTGGGAACATATGCTCGTGCGGAGTGAGTGGTGCGGTTGGGGTTGCGGAAACGTGATTGCACGTGGTGCTATCGTCGATGGAAGGTGACGATGCGGGTGTGTATGTCTGCACGTCCGAGATGCTGGCGGAAATGGTAGCGGGGGGTGATATGCACGAGAAGACGCCATGATGTCAGTCATTTGCGTTGACGGGGGCCACGGAAGGTGCACCGTTGACGGATGGCAGATGGTCAAGCGACATGAGGGTAAGAAGACGAGAGAAGACAGTAGACCAAAGCGAAGATGGGACGAAACGAGACAATGAAAGGCGGATATTTACGTCCAGAGGGAGAATGGATGGCGTCCATGACTACTGTACTGTCCCTCCGCGAAATGGCGATGTGTGCTGGAGCGGAGGAGGTAAGGGTTCTCATCATACCGCACGCCTGCATTGGAGGAGTCAGCCAGGAGTGAGATGCGAGAATTCTCCAGATGTCTATTTGCAGAAAGTTACAGTGCAAGAAGATGGAGGTGGAAGACGTGACGTAGAAATAACGCTGGCGCGCCACCAATTTAGCTTCGGGCGGAAACAGGAAGTGTGGCGGATGGCGAGTTGGCGGCGGGTGGGGCATCCGCGACCACGACCAGGCTCAAACCGGTTTTGACCTCCCTGAATCTTCCCGATGGTCTCAATAAATGCCAGACTCTTCCGTAAGGACTTGCTTCCTCCCGACGTCCCTCTTCCCGCTCCCTCTGGGGACGAGGAGAGGGCGCGGTGGAGTCTGACGAGCGTGCATGAGTCGAGTGGCCTTCAAGAGACGGGGATGGCACACGACGTGGCAAGCGTCTCTACCGGCACCACCACCGCCCTCCATCCTGCCCGTCAATCGCCCTGCGGCAAGAATAGCAGCGAGACGCCCACCCGACCGACTGGCATCCGCGCGCTTTGTCTTGCAGAGCGTCGGCGCCTACGCCTCGCGCTAATCCCCGCGTCGTTTCGCGTGCAACCCTCATCCACCCACCACGCCGCTTGATTGGTCGAGTGTTTGCGAAACGCCTTGCTCTTGCTACACTGCAACGACATGCCTCTGTCTTGGACGACAAACATCCCCCGCCGCATGACCGGCCGGCTCGTCAACACCATGGTACGTGCCATTTTCTTTGTCTGCTGCTTCTTAATGCATCCATCCGTCTTTGTATTGTCGATGTTCATTGTCCACCTCACCACAACTTCACCTGCCTCCCCGCACCCATCGACGCAACGAGTCTCATTGATTGTCGACTCGCCATCCGCGTCTATGCGCCACTGTCTCTCCAGTCACTGCTTGACTTCCAACAACCACGACATCATGTTCGCGTCACGCTGAATCCCCTGCCTCGCTCATTCCCTCTCCTTCAATCCTCATCCCTCCCTCCCTGCTCCGCGGTTGCGAATGACAATCCACTCACAACCCCTCCCTCCCCAGGCATATCACGATTTTCGCCCTCTTCCATCGCAATGGCTTCCCCAGAGAACCAACAGCACTTCCCAAATCCCGCGCCTCCATCTCCTTCCGCTGGCGGCCATGAGATGCGCAACTACTACGCTACCCGAGATTTACCACAACCTCCCTCACAACAAGAACCATACCCGACACCCTACCTCGGCCTTCGAGCGAATCTCTCCCAGACATGGATCAACCGCTGGACTATCCTCCTCCTTCTCGTCCTCGTCCGCACCCTCTTCGCCGTCGCCGGCCTGAACAACGACCTCGCCCAAGCGCGGAAAGAGGCCCTCAGCATGTGCACCTCGGTGGAAAACGTCGGCTCGGCCATGGCCAGCATGCCCTATTACATGGCCCAGGGTGCCAACGAACTCACGGCACAGGGCATCGAAAAGGCTATCAACGGCCTCATGCAGTCTCTGCTCTTGATGATCACCGGCGTCGAAGACATCGTTGTCTTCATCATCAACTTCCTCACCCAAAACTACATCTGCTTGATCACGTTTGCCGTGACTGGCAGCCTGCACGCTGGCATCGCCATCGCCGAAGATGTAGGAGGCGCCCTCAACGCCACGGCAAAGGGCATCGGAGACGACCTGGGCGATGCGGCAAGCGATTTCGAAAAGGCCATGAACGGCTTCATCGCAGACATTGACAAAATTGGCAGCTTCCTGACCGGCGACAAGCTCACGCCTCCCACCATAGATCTGACCAGCGAGATCAGCAAGCTGCAAAGCCTGCAGCTTCCCCCTGGCTACGACTCGGATCTTCAAAAGCTCAACGCCTCCATCCCCACCTTCGCTCAGGTGCACAACCTCACCCAGACGGCCATCGAATTCCCGTTTGAGGAGGTCAAGAAACTGCTCAACGACGCCTTGCCAACATACACCGTGGATCGCTCAATCTTCCCCGTGCCCCAGAAGAAGCAGTTGACATTCTGCTCCGACAACAACGGCATCACCGACTTCTTCGACGATCTGGTGGACATCGCCATGCTTGCGAAAAAGGTCTTCCTCATTACTCTCATCGTCCTCGCCGCCCTGGCAATGATTCCGATGGCGTGGAAAGAAATGAGGCGCTGGCGATTCACCAAAGAGCGAGCACGCCTGGTCAAGAGCGATGCCTTCGACCCCCTCGACGCTGTGTATATCGCTTCAAGACCGTACACATCCACTTTTGGTCTCAAGATCGCGGACAAATTCAAGTCTCGTCGCCGGCAGAACCTCGTGCGCTGGACCGTTGCCTATGCTACCACCATACCCGCTCTCTTCGTGCTGTCTCTTGGCGTTGCCGGCCTCCTGGGCTGCGCATGCCAGTATATCCTCCTCAAACTCATTCAAAAGGAGGTGCCGAAGCTCGAAAATCAAGTCATTGGGTTCGCCGATCGCGTCATCAACGACCTGAACGACGCCAGTGAGCAGTGGGCCGACGGAGTCAACGACATCATCACCGACACCAGCAACAAGATCAATCACGATGTGTTTGGCTGGGTCAATACCACGACTTCGGCCGTCAACAACACGCTGAACATCTTCGTGAACGAGACAATTCATGTCCTCAACGAAACTTTTGGCGGTACTGTCCTGTACGAGCCGATCCTGGACGTCTTGAATTGTCTGGTGTTGATGAAAGTGCAAGGCATCGAGAAAGGCCTGACCTGGGTCAGTGATCACGCGCATGTCGACCTCCCCATGCTGCCGAACAACACCTTCTCCCTGGGCACCATTGCAAAGGTGTCCGGGTCGGAGGCAGACATTCTGGCCACCGGCCCCAACGGCGGCGCGGCAGATGCCATCACCGCAGCCATGTTTCACGTGATCAACTTTGTTCAAGACGGCATTCGGCAAGAAGCCATCATCTCGAGCTGTGTCGTGCTGATCTGGGTCATTATCGCGCTGGTTGGACTTTTCCGTGCGCTCGTCTTCATGCTCAAGGGCGGTGATGACGATGCTTGGGAAGCGAACCTCAAACCCTCCGAGGAGTCTACACCCGAGAAACGTCCACGAAACGGTCTTCTCAGAATTCCGACTTACAAACAAGCGACCCACAATCGCGACGTTCCGACCGTGGAGATTCACAGCGCGACATCTCCAATCATCAACACTGGATTCAGCCCACACAGCGAGAAATTTGGATCCGTCAATGGCCAGGTCGTCGACGCTGCGATCCGCAGACCAGTTCATGTCCGCGCATCCAGCCACGGCCACTACGAAGTCACGTCACCCGAGCATGCCTTCAGTTCGAATTACCTACAGTCCACCCAAAATCCATTCGCCGATCCCGTTCGTCGAGGCGAGCAGTCATGAGCTTGCCTCGGTCCCGCCACTTGACCTTTACCATCTGATCGGCCATCAGACCTGGTTCTGAGTTATCCGCGAGATATACGATCGGACCTTTCGGCGGCTGATTAAATTTGCTCCAACCGAGCAGTGTCTGGTCCCTTTTATTCCCCTGCTGCCCATCCGCGCGGGGACTAGACGCATCATGCAGCCTCCACGGCTGGAATTTGCGCAAAATTGTGTTCTTTTGTGAGCGTTCTTGCGTCGTGCTCTGCACTCGCAGTAGCGTTTACGGAAACCCTTTCCCCCCTTTCCCCTTTGGGTTCAAGACGATTACGATACCCTCTGGACGACGTCGATTCCTCAGGAGTTCCAAGATACCCAACATCTGGATGCACTTTGAGACTCCGACGACATTGACGATACCCACTGGACGACGTGAACGGCTTTCGATACATTCTTTGCGACCGGAAAGCTTGCGGAAAGCGATGACATTTCCGTCGGTAATGTTGCGGAACTACGTTAGCCCCTTCCATCCCGCTCCTCTGTCACAATTTCCTTCTCTTCTCGCTACCGCAGATACCTCTTGCTTTCTAGACTAGATGGATGGCAGAGCTGGTACTAGAAGCGTCATGCGTGGCTTGCCCCAGACGCCGGTCAGATGCAGCTCAGCTCATCCAGCTGGAAAGATCGCAAGAGAAGCACTGCGCCAGCGGAGAGAGGGGGTGATTACGAGCCGGACATTTGTTGCCATAGCACACCGGAGCATGGCATGAGTCGCGCTCGATCTTCGGAGAAGAGTGCTTCTCGGGTATGGTCGCTCACTCGCCGACGCATCAACTTATCTCCTCCCGATGCACCGCGGCTTCATCGACCTTTCTCCTGCTGCATTTTGCGCGGAGACCGATTTTGTCGAACTGTTTCGAAGCTGCCCGTGGTACGGGAGACGAAGTGGCGTCCTGAGCTGACGGATAACGAGCGTTCTGATCGATATTTTGTTTGAGTTATTTTCGCAAAATACGATTTGAAGGAGATGAGCTGAGTGCGGTTTGATTAATTTCGGGCATCCCTCTCCTCTGGAGTGGGGTTGGCTCACATCTTTTGCCATTCGGCCATGTCGAATGCGAGGATATCTGAGGAGTGGAGGTTGAGGATTGAATAGGAGAAACGACACCGGAGGGTGAGAGGCCCTTTGACAATTTACGGCCGCATGCCCTCGGCGGACTTCACTTCGGGGAGGCTATAGGCTTTACGTAGCTGCCAAACTCTTACTCCCACCGTTCCCCTCCATGTGTCCATTGATCACAACGATTGATCAGTGCTGAGGCCAATACTGCTCGACAAACTCCACCCCCTTCTTCACCCAATCAGTCTGCAGCCCCACGCCCTCCGCATTATCAAACCCATGGTCCGCTCCTTCTTCGTAATGAAATAGCGTTCTTGCGCGGGGAAGTCGCTGCTTCAAGCGCTTCTCATACCGATATGTCCCCTCGACCGGGATACCGGTATCGGCAGTGCCATGCATGACCCACGTAGGAGGCAACTCCTCCCCGTCGGTCAGACTGTCCAATGCCTCCATCGGATAGAGCCGCCTGTCCGGCCCGAAGTACTTGCCAAACAAGCCCTGCTGCAGGATGGAAACGACCAGCTGGAAGCGGTCGGGCGGGAGAGCGCTGGTGATGACGGCGCCGGGCGTCATGCGGTCCACGTAGGCGCGGAACACGCTGGGGTCGAGCTGCGGCGCGGTGGGGGCGAAGAGCTGCTTCTCGTAGGCGGTGGTGTAGTACTTGTCGCGCAGGTCGATCATGGGGTACTGCGAGATGACGGCGGAGATGCGCGGGCGCGAGGCCGGGAGGAGGGCGGACTGCAGCGCCAGCCAGCCGCCGGCTGATTCTCCCGTCACCAGCAAGTGGTCGACATCGGGCTGCACGCCGGCGGGGAGGAGAGAGGCGAGGTTGGCCGGGGTGGACAGCCAGGTGTAGAAGTCGCGCAGGTCGTCCAGGATGTCGAGCCCGCTTGACTCCGGCATCAGGCGGTAGTCGGGGGAGATGAGGATGGCATTGTGGGTGAGGGAGAAGTCGAGCAGCCAGGCGCCAAACCAGTCGGGCAGGGCGCGATGGCCGGTGATGAAGCAGCCGCCGTGCCAGCGAACGTGGACGGGGTGCCTGCCGGGCTGGATGTCTTTGGGGATGAACACCGAGGCGGGGATGGGCACGCCTTGCACCACTTTGTAGTGTGCTTCGATCACATTGTACGCGGCGAGTTTGGGCAAGACAATGCCTGCGGGGATGGCGGCGGCGGCGACGGCGGTCGTCATAGTGTTGGGTTCTGTGGCTGCCTTGTGCCGATGGGCGGATGGACGGTCCTATTTATCTTTCCATCGAAGGCGATGCTCGTTTCCCCCGCGCACATGCTATGTCGGTGATTGGCAGGTCTCAACGAGCTGTCGGGTTGTAAACTCCGCTTGGCGCCGCCATGATTTTTCAGCGTGGTGCTGCACTTGACGCCGATCCTGGAAGGGAGTCATCGCAGAGCATTCCCCATTCGGTCAGTCTACAGATCCGTCGAGTTGGAAAGTGGTGAAGCTGGTAACCTCGTAACATCAAGGGACCGACAATCGAATTGCGTCAGCAGCTGGATACGATGATCTCAACCCGATCAAAATGGCCAGGCCTCCATCTATTAGTAATTCAGGCACGGAGTTTGTTGCGAGCCTCGTCCACCACGGGTTTACCACGGCTCCTTCGTAACTCCGCGCAATCGTAGCAGCTCAACATGTCACTTTGATTCTCCACATGCAAGGCTGAAATTCGCTGCATAGGTAGTAGATACATGCCTCCAATGGAACATACCCAAGACCAGGTCGTTATAGGCCAATCCCAACTAAGCACCAACAAGTCCTATCCTCTGGCCAGGCGGATTCTTCATGCCCACCCAACCACGTCGGTCCCGCCCCGTTCGCCCACGCCCAAGCCAGTTATACTTGAGTGCGCCCGTCAAGCGCTCCACCACCCCTTGCCCCACGTCGCCCGTTTGGCAGCTCGCCAGGACATACAAGCACTGCAGCATCCTTGCCACTGTATCCGTGATGGTAGTGGGGTCGGTAAATGTTGTTGGTGGCGACGTAGGTGCCGCAGTCGCACTGAATGAGCCTTGCGTGCCCGCAGGCGTCAAGTGGGGAAGATTTGTGCCGAATGATCCCGCCGAGGTATTCGAAGTCGCTCGGCTTCGACTTGCGAGACTCATTGCTCCCCCAGACGAGCTGCTGGCTGCGTCAAGCAGTGTAGAGCCCTGCGAGTTGAAGCTACTCATGTGCGGACTGAGGCTGCCGGCCGTGTCTGGCCGCTCTGCCCCACTAGTGGCAGGATCGCTTCGAGCATGTGGTCTCGCAGGCTCATTGAGATCAGGTGAGGCGGTGGCGTTGATGCTGTTCAGCGAAAGTCGGCTGAAAATGGCCATGAGGCTTTCGTGCCGAGGGAGGAGCACGGTGTCTCGAAAGGTGATGAGGGTGATGCGTCGCACATCGAGCTCCTCCCCCAACGTTGGCAATCGCATGGTTCCGCCGGATGACGTCGGCCGCTCATCTGACTTGAGAGCCTCCGGCATTGCGCCCCAGAACTCCTGCGCCTCCCGCACCGTCATGATGATGCCTCTCCCCTTGAACTCCAGATCCATGGGGAGGAAGACGGCTTGTAGGAAGGGCAGAATGGACCCATACACCCCTATCCACATCTCGACCAGCTTGGTGACCAACCTGTCCTCGGCGACGCCGCGTAGAGTCTGAGCCAAACTGCTGAAGCCTGTGTGGAGGAGTTCGCGTAGATCTTCCACGAGCACAACCGGCGACTTCCTCTGCACACATCGTCGAATGTGCACGCCGACCAAAGCGTTGAAATCTTCGATTGGCGTACGTAGCTGCTCGCCTGAGAAGAGGTTCAGAAGTCGTGCTTTGAGCAATGGCCAAGCATCATCGGGGCCAATCCCAGTCAGGCCCATGGAAGCGCCGATGCTCGAGAACTGTTGGGCGGAAATGGGAGGCAAGGTGTCGTTGGGAAGGGCGAAGATATTGGTGGCAGTCGAAACAGAAGCCATGTTGGAGTCATAGCTGCCAGGCCCGAACTGTTCATTGACCCCAGTCGTAGACATGTTGGACGTGACCGGAACGAGATCCAGTCTGGCTTGCGCCTTCTCCTCTCGCTTCTTCTCCCGTAATGCTCGACCGCCGTGTCGCAGGTCAAACCCGGACACGGCTTTGGAGAAGGTACTTGCGGCCGGAGAGTCGGGCACAAAGGAGTACAGTGGCTGCGGCTTGTCAGGATTCGTGGCTTGGGAATTGGAATGCGCCGATGATAGAGAGAGCTGCGGGGGATCTTCTTTGAGCTTGTTCTTTTGCCTGGACAGGAAATTGTGCCGCTTCTCCTTATCCCTTTCTGATGTAGCTGGTACCAGCGTCGAAGTGGAAGCATTGGCGGAAGAGTACAATGAGCTTGCGCTGGAGCCGATGTCTGCGAGGCTGGTAGTGGACTGATTCGGGAAGCCGGTTCTCGTCAAGCTGGGCCCCAGCACACTTTTGCTCGGCGAAGGAAGACTCGGCTGAGTCTTGCCCTCTTTTTCCTTCGAAAGAGATATGTTCTTCGGTTTGGAGAAGAGCTTCATCTTCGAAGTTTTGGCTTTTGGTTCCTTCTCCGGGGGACCAATGGGTGGTGACATGTGCAGCTGGTGCGGTTGCGGCTGCGGAGGTAGACCGGGTGAAGGCAGCGGGCTTCTACCTGTAGGAAAGACGACATTCGCAGCGGTGGTGGCCGCAAGCTTGTTTCCCCCAACAATGCCATTTGAATAAGTCATAGTGGCCGTGGACTGAAGGGGTGGACTCAATGTGTCGCTTCCTTTGCGATAGGACGCAGCCGGCCCAGTACCGATAGGCGCAAGGCCGGGATAGGATCGCTTGCGCTCGTTGCTGACAGAAGCAGGAGGCGAGACATGTTGCATAGCAGTCTGGGCCGCTATCTGCGAAGCGCTCAAGCCGCTGGTGTTGGAAGTAGCATGCGGCAGCGAAGGCTCAAAGAAGCCCTGGCTGTGTTGTCGGGCATGACGATTGACTTGAGGTGCTTGGATTTGAGGGGATGCGGCACGCGGAAGGCTATCCATCGAACCTCGATACTGGAAACGTGGTCCAAGAGGAAAACTTGCATTGCTTGCTGGCGGCGGTGGGCGCTGTGCAGGTTGCTGAATATATGGGGATCTCCGGCCCGTGGACATGCCGGCGGCGTGCGCAGAGTCGGTAGAGGTGGTGGAGAGGCTGGAATCGCTGCGCAGGGAAGTCTGAGATTGCGAACGTTGGCCAGAAGGGGAGTGCGGTGTGGGAGGGGGCCGTAAAGGCGGCAAGTTTGTGGTAGAGTAACTCGCCATGTTGTGTAGCGCGCCGGGGGTGAAGGCAGGGGTTAGCGTTATTCAGTCATGCGCTGCGTGCTGTCCGGGTTCGCGGCGCAGGTCCTCGATCCTGGAGCCAAGTAGGCATTGCTAGACCGGAAGTGCCATCCATTTCGGTTGACTCCGAGGCGATGGAAGGGGAGGATGAGATGGAGTGAGGTCTCCTTCGTGGCTGACTGCTCGGCGTGTCGGGGCCCAGACGCGCCGACGCAGGCTTAGTAAGCAGCGCTCTTGCTGCCTGAGGGCACAACACATCAACATCATCCCAACTCACCCGACCCATGAAGAGCAGAAGAAGCGGACCTTGCGATGCTCATCATTGTAGCAAGCAGCTACGTTGCTAGCCCGCTCGGGCTGAGAAATGCACATCCTCAACAAACGAATGCGCCAACTAAGAGACGGTGTACGCGATCATCGTGCACCCCCAACACACACACATGCTCACGAGTCGGTTTCCCGCCGAACAAAGCCCTTCTCCTCAACCCACAGCTTAGCGGCATTCCACTTCTCAGCCACGGCGCATCTTCGCCAGTACGTGCGGAGCGCGTCATCCCATTTCGGCGACAGATCATCCGCTGCCCACCAGTAATTTCCATCCTCGATGTCCTTCTCACTAGGCCGCTCGAAGTCTCGAATCTCAAAACTAAACGCCCTCTCCATCTCCATCTCGGCCTTGAGGATGAAGCGTCCAAAGGGCCCAGGCTCGACGTCGTGGTCCGGGTTTGGATTCTCCAGGAATTCTCGCGCCTCGAACGCTTCGGCCGTCCCTTCCCAGTACTCTTCCATCTTCTTCGTCCAGTCAGGGCCATGTAGGTCGACCGCGCGGACCCATTCCCCCGTGGCATCGCCCCCGCTCCCCTTGACCATGTATTGAAGGGTTCGAAGATCTTCCATGATTCGATGTCCGCAGATCTTCCGATCCCCAGGATCGCTCGTGAGTACCGGCTTCTTCTTGCGAGCTTCAAACATTGCCAGTGCCTTTCTCTGCTCTGCGATTTCCGCCGGGGAGAAGTCCAACATGTCCGTATCTTCGTCGGCATCCAGCTCAACGGCATCATCTTGGGGGTCATTCCTTTCCCTGGGAGGCAATCCGGCCGAGTCTCTGAAGCGGCCGAGAGATTCCCCGCGCTGTCGGTTCGGGAGCATCTCTCGCACCTTGGTCTTCTTCTCTGGTCGACATCCCCGACCACAAGGCATGGTCTTCCACACTTCCTGGCATACAAAACTGCAGTAGGCCCGTTGACCGCATACAAAGCAAGTAATGAGCGCTGTGAAGTCCGGTGCGCGAGGTAGTCTCCCGCATCTCGCGCAATATTGCCGTGCTGCACCCTCTTCCTCCCTCGACGAATCGCCTTTCCCCTCTTTCTTCGGTCGGTAGGTCAGATTATTCCGAATGTTGTTAGGCTCATCAGGTCTCACACAGTTGATGTCAGGCGAAGCAGGCGCCGTGTATCGTAAATGCCGCTTTTGGAGTTTGATCTTTGGCTTCTTAACCCTTCCCGGAGACGGACTCTCGGATCTCTTGCGTTTGAGTTTCTCGGCGCACTCCTTCCACATTGCTGCCAGATCGGCCTCGCCGGATTTGCTGAGCAGCTTCTTCGCTGCCGGCTGTTTTGGGGGGCGCCACTTCTTGTCTTTCACAGAGGCTGGTCGAGGCCTGTTGAACAATATAGCATAGTTCGTCCTGGTCTCTTCCCAGCTAGTCCTGCTGGCGTGGATGTCCTGCATCTCGTTGACGACCTCGCGGTAGACTTCATTCTCTTCGCACATGTAGTCTTGTGTAATGACGGCCTTGGCATGCAGCACCAACGCTGTCCGTTCTCGCAGGTAATTGCCGTTTTTTGACCCTCTTACCACGTTGGGGTCGCCGCGCAAGCGTATGGAAGATTTATTCTCGAGGTAGATCGTGTTATCAGCCGGTGGGGGGCCATATGTGGTGATCCCATGGCCGGCGAGGGGCTGCAGGAGAGGATTCGCTTTGCGGCAAACGGTGGTGTTTGGTGTAGTCGACGGTGTCGAAAGAGAAGCTGCCGGCGTTGATAATGCAAACGCTGGTTCGGGGATTTCCACTGCTTGTTCTGCTTCTCGAGCTGATTGGACACTGGACTGGATGCCGCCTCCGTGTCGCTCAGCTTTCCCCTTCTGCGCCTGCTGCTGCTGCTGCTGCTTCTCTTTCTTCTCCCTTTCCTAAACTCTGAATTGCGAAGCAGACCAAGTCGGCCGTTTGAACACGCCATCATCCAACTTCCGGGATTTTGGCGATGAAGGTACCCCAGAAGCATCAGGAGTAGCGGTCTCGTCTTCATCGGAGTCGACGTGCAATTGTGCTCGTTTTGGCCGCGGTGCTGGAGGGGGTACAGGAGCAGCAAATGAGATGGCCTCATCTGTGTCGTCCTCGTCGCCAACCGATTGCTGTAGCTCAGTCCTGGGCAATGGAGGTGGCACAGGAGCAGCAAATGACACGGCCTCGTCTATGTCGTCTTCGCCGTCGTCGGAGGATGATTGCTGCGGCTCGGGCCTGGGCGGTCCAGGTAGCACAGGAAGAACAAATTGTACCGCTGCATCCAAGCCCTCCGGGTCGTTGTTGAATGACTGCTCCGGCTCTGGTCTGGGCGATGGAGGCGGTACAGGAGCAGCAAATGAGATTGCTTCATCTTCGTCGTCATCGTCGTCAAACGGCTGTCGGGGTTCAAGTCTGGGCGGCGGTGGCGGCACAAGAGCACCAAACGAGATGGCCTCATCTAGGTCCTCGTTGTCGCCGTCTTCAGATGATTGCTCAATTGTGGGTGACGGAGGTGCTTCAAAGGAATCGGGTAGGACTGCTTCACCTTCGTCAAATTGCAGGTAGGGCCGTCGTGGGTTGGGCCTGGGTGTTGGAGGTGTCTCTGAAACAACAAAACCAATGGCCTCATCCATATCTTCGTCGTCGCTGGATGGCGGCGAAGGGATTGGCCCTGAGGTTGCCAGCCGCTGTAATGGGATACCGAGCATATCATGCAGTTGTCGTACTTCGGGGCTGCGACTTCTGCGCTCTGTGATGAGGTTAGCTTCATCTGAACAAGCCTCCTTGCTGTTCGTATTATCCATGCTGTCGATAGGTGCTGTATTAATGATTGCAGTTGTAGGATGATGGATGCCTGCAACCAGTGTCGGATACTTGCCCGCGCTTCATTCACCAAACTTGAAAACAGAAGCACCGCAACTGCGCCTGCCATTTTCGCGGGAAAACGAAGGTGGAAGTCGCTACTGATTGGGACGGAAGGAGTGTTCGACAGGCAAGGAAGCGGACAAGTCATGAGTCTGTATTGGAGGCTTCAGTGTGGGGTGCTCACCTCACCAATGCCAAAATGGGAGTCTTGGGCAAACGATTATGCGCTCCGTGTGCCACGTCAATGCAGACCAGTCGACTATGCTCATTTCCTTCCCTCAATTATGCAGAGCAGTGCATCCGCTGTGCCGTTCTCCATCAATCATACCGCCCATGGTCTTCCGCGAGCCACAAAGCGGCGCTCAAGCTCGTCGTAATGCTTTCGGGCGTCGGTCTCAATCATCATCCTAGATAGACGATGGTCAGTAAGCTCTCATCCATGCTTTTCGCGACAGCGGACTCACCATCTCATCCAGCACAGTATCACTCTGTACGCTCACAGCATCGTCTCCACCGACACTCTCCACTCCGCTTCCTCCAACCTCTTCATCTTCACCACCTTCCGTGCCATTCAGAGGATCTGTGAAATCATTCGCCTCGCTGGTCGGCTGATGCGAGTCGCCAGCACTTCCATCGTCGTCCCCGTCCTCGGCAAGTACGGCTGCCTTGCGCTTGGTCCCAGCACGACTGATGTCCAACTTGTTACGGTGGCTCGTTCGCATCCCGAACCACTCGGCGTAGTTTTTGTAGTCCTCAATGTTGTGATTGTAGAACTCTTCCTCCATCTTCGCATACCCCTTGATCTTCTCGAGCTCGGGATCCGCAGGCCCGTCAACTTGTTTCTTGCTCGCCTTCGAAATCGACTGCTGTTGCTTCTGGCCCAAAGCTGATCCAATGCGCTTCGTAATGGTCGCCTTGTCGCAGTAGTTTCCGTTGACACACATGCGGTCGCGCACATGCTTGTTTGCGTACCCGGCCTCGGAAACGATACGCAGCAGAATGTCGCGCCAGAGAATGTCGGGGCAGAAATCAATGATGCATTCCGCAGCCCGACGGGTGAGGATCGGCGTACGCGCGAGCTGCTGACGGGTTATGACCGTGTCTTTGACGCTGAACACGATCTGCTGGAGGTCCTGGGCATAGCCTCTCTTTCCCGGATTCCAGCTGATCATGAGCTTTTTGCATGTGTCGAGGAGTACAGTGCCTTTCTCTGCCGCCAGTATGATGGCATCTGGGGTCTTGTCACCGAACAAGGCCTCGGCTCGCGCCTGGTCGTCATCTGTTGCGAAGCAGAACTGGCCGGAGTGGTATAGCTCGCTGTGCCCACCTTCGGCTCCGTTGGCCGATGAACTTCTCTTGGGTCCACCCTTGCGCCTCTCAACGTCGGAGCCATCGGCCTTTAACTGCCTCTTCTCCGCACGCGATGAGCCTATCACAGTCAGCGCGTATTCTAAGCGCTCATTGGTGTTTCCGAAACTTACGCTGTCTGTCGATCTCCTCCCTGTCAATACGCTGGAGGATGGGGCCGTTTTGCTTACGCGTCATGACCATACTGGCCAAAGTGGCCGGATCATAGCCACTCTCATCCCATTTCGCGCTCGCTCGAGCTTGAGGAAAGTTCAGACCGCGATTCCATGGGAATTCCTGGGCTTCCGCGTGTCTACGCGATGTGCGACGAGCTGGTTTGCTGCTTGTTCCTTTATACTCCGTCGGCTTTGCTCTTGGCTCGTAAGGAGGCGTGGGTGCATCATACATGCGCACCTGCGGCTCTGCGGACGTCAGTTCGGTCTTCTTTGCTCGATATTTCCTATTCGCTACGTCAGAAACGACTCTGAAAGCTACGTGCAGCGCTGACTTACCCCTTGGCTTTCTGTGCAGGCAGTGACGCGTGGGTATTTGCGAGATGCACCGGTACACTAGGAGAGTAGACCGGTGTATGATTGGGGTATCCGGCACCTTGGTATGCGAAGGATTGATGACCAGCAGGCTGTGGCATTGTGGCCGATGCGGTGGTGCCGGAGGGAACGCGCTGGCCGTGGGGTGGATATGCCGCGCCGTACGGAGACGGTCTGATGCAGAAGTCAGCAACGTTGCCGTCTTTACTCCCTCTGCGAACGTACCCGTGATGGGGTTGAAGGCTCCTTCCAGTCCAATCAGTGATCCCAACTTGTACTTGATGGCGATATATGCGAGCGCCAAGAGTACGCAAGCGCACTCGCTCAAGAAGCTGGGCGTGTGCATCTTTCGCCTCAGGTTGCGGAGTAAGCCACTGAGGAAGGGGGAAGTCTTCGAGGTAGCTAGGGAAAGTTCATCAGCTTCTTCATATGTGCTGTCGATGTACGTGATCGGCATACCGCAACATCTCTCTGTCTTTTTCGCGTTGGTAGTCTTCCGTCACGGACCAGTCGTTATACAATGGTCGGTCCATCATATGACATAGCATTCCCTCGTACACGATGCGCGCTTCTTCCGACATGTTCTTCCATGGTCGGGAGCTCAGAGCCCACTCTGAGGCAATGTAATCCTTTTCGTCATCCGACGAGATGGTGATGACATCCGCAGCTCCGTTCGTGGTCGGCTTGTTCAGGTTGATGTTTTTGAGCTCGTCGAGGTCGTCCATGTCATCAACATCGTCTTCATCGTCTTCCACCTCGTCATCAGGCTCGTTATCAAAGTCGAACTCCTCCACATGATCGTTCTGAAAGGGTTAGCCGAGCAGATGGCGAGTTCGAAGGGGAAGGACACGAACAGCGTCAGGAAGCTCGAGATCTGGTGTCTCTTCGTTGTCGTAACGAGCTGGTGCCTTGCCTTTGGAACCCCATGGGCGGTTGGGCTTCGCAAGCGAGCGAGAGAGATTTCTACCCCGCGCGGCGGGTTCAGCGATGGTAGGAGTATGCCTCTGAGAGATTCCAGTCTGCGACGCTCCACGGCCGTTGCTAGCCGGGGGCTGTTTCGGGCGGACTACAATATTGTCGCCTTCGGGGAAAAAGGGCGGTGATTGGTTTGTAGTGCCGGCATGTCCATCACCAGCTGCAGATGCGTGAGACGCGTGAGACGGGGCCCGGCTACGAGATGAGCTCCTAGTCGTCTCCCTCTGTGAGACGTCATCACGTGTGGATCCAGACTGGCTAGGAGTGGCAGAATTGCTCTGGGTCTTGACTCGTTCGGATTCGCGGCGGCGAGGGCCTTTCAGGATGAGTTTGGGCATGGTTTGAGCGAGCGCCGCGAGACCAGGCGAGCTCTCGGATTGTAGGAAGTGTCTGCACAACAATCAGCCAGGATGTCCACGCTGCTAACAGGTTGGTGTGGTGGCAGCGGTGGATGTTGAAAGCGAAACGAAACAGATGAAAGTCGAAAATAGCAGTACTCAATGCGAGCACGCCAAGCCACTAATGCTGCATTCACGCGCGCCATCAAGAGGTGCAAGATGGAACAACTGGAAACACAATGACGCGACAGCATGCACAGTCAACAAGGATTGGAGGAAGGAACGATCGTCGCGTACCAGCTCGGGCGTCCATCGGTTGAATTGTTGAATCACGTGTTTTCGGGATGGTCTGCAAGTGAATAAACAGATCAGCCAAAGGAGCAAAAGCATGATTACACAACATATGCGTACTGGTCGAATTGCGATGGAATCAAGCGAATGAAAGAGAGGACGCGATGGTGCAATCAGCAGAGTGCATTATTGCATGAGTGAAAGGAGGATGAGGTGAGGTTGCGGAGTGGAGTTGCTTGGCCATGGCGCTAAATTTTAGCGCGGAAACAGAAGTGAATTTAAAGTGATCCATTAACAATTTGGACGCGTAGGCAAAGGGGACGAGTCATCTTTGTGAAACCACAGCGGCGCTGCAAACCGCGCCCGCGGAACGGATCATGCACATGCCGCGAACGATGCTTTTAGCTCAAAGAACGCTTTTGTCTAACATTGAAGACCGTAGACGCTCGACCTGCCTCCAATCCCCCACTGGCCGCGCTGTGATGGCTCGACTCTACCGAGACTTGACGAGCAAGCAAGGGTCTTGCCGTATGGAGAGGAAACGTCTGCATGTTCAAGACGTATTTAACTTCTGGAAGTGCTCGCCTCTGATGCGCTTCGCGTGAATGCATCCCTCACCCTCCTCGATGCCATACCATGCCCATCCAATCTATGCACTCGCTCGCCCCGGTGGTCATAGTATTGCCTCTCCCTGATGCTCGCCCTCGAATCCCAGCTCTGCCAGCTTCCTGTGCCTTCTCTTGTCCGTCTTCTTGCGGTCCTGCTCCTCTGCCTTCTTCAAGGCGAACACCTTCTCCACCGACCCTAGTTCGAACGGCGCGGGCACATAGTCGTCTTTGTCCAGATCGATCTCGCCCAGTAGTAGTACGTTCTCGCCGCGAACGAGGAACAGCCCACGGTCGATGTCGGCATAGAGGTTCTGAACGAACAGCCGTTCCACCGTGTCCTGGAGGACAAGATTGCCTGGACTCCGCATTAGCCACAAGGCCCTTCCGTGTGCAAGGCAGTGGCTGTCTCACCAAATTGATCCCAGCTTCTCAGTACTCCAATGAGCTTCCTCCCATCGCGAAGCGAAACCATCAGCTTCTTATCCGTAAGATCGAGTAGTTGTGCGGCGGTCGTAAACATCTGAGGTGGTAATTGCGGCACGGGGGGCGGTCCAGGAGGCATTTGCTGTCCGCCACCTGGAGGCTGCGGCCCCGCATCATGGAGCGAGAGGTTCTCCATGTGCTGGTCTGTATGGGTGGAGTACGAGAGTGGTGAATGTCAGGCCGTGCAGAGCCCAGCCATCACCATCAGTGGATTACGAAATTTGGATAGGCCCAAAACGGCTAGCGCATTTTGTGTCATGCCTCAGGCATCACATTCACGTGGCTCTCGCAGAACGGTCGTTCTCTTGCCTGCAGCCGTCGGTGACCAACCGATCACGGTGTGACCACCTGAAACAGGGGTCAAAGGCGAGGAATGTCATCGGCGCATGCGATTGCGCAACAAAATAGGCACTATCCACCCTATTGGGCAATGTCTTTTTTAACGTCCTTCCTCTTCCAGCAAGCTCGGCCGAGCACGGCATTTCACACGCGACAGATCCCCAGATCCTGGAAGCCTTCTGCAAAGCACAGGCCCTGGACGCGCGCATGCACTCGACCCCTCCACACATGTGCATCTCGAAGCACTTGCCGAAGGTCATGCACGAGGCGATGTTGGCCTCATCGATTCGCCTCTCGGATCGCACTTGCCGTGCTTGCATTCTGGACAGGCCGAGGCTCGTGGCTGTCGCGGACGCAAGACGTGTGCTACTGCATCTGTTCTCAGGTCTCTCGATTCCATCACTGAGATTGCATCACACAGTCGCACAGCTGTCGCCAACCATTCGTCGTATCATCATCATCGCCACCACACATCATGAACCGGAGTCGTCCAGTCCAGCCTTGCAGCGGCTTGCAGGTCATCCACGCTCAACACATCCGCTCCTTCCTCGATGAGGACACCCCATACATGATTTCGAAGCGCGGTCGGCCACGCGGGAGTTTCCCAGTATCGTGCTTTCAATCCTCGTCGCTTGGCTTCACGTATTTGTCCGCGAATGGTCCTCATTTGTGACTGGGAGAGATGACCGAACCAGACAATTCCAATCGACTGCCGGAACGAAGTGCTCGCGTAGTACGAATTGCTGACACTGTAATCTTCCGCATCCATGTCTTGCAACCGTGAGGTGGCCTTTGCATGGCCGCCTTCAGAATCAAGCTCTTGCACATCACCAGATGTCGCCAACGCCTCCTCCGGATCCTCCCACAACTCGGCCAAGGGCGCGTCGTAGAAGATGTCTCGATAGGTCTGGTTCTGTGTCATGACAGAAAACGGGGCGGTGCCACTGCCGACCACCGTGACCGCCCTCAGATGGATGTCATGGCCGTCCCAATAGCTCAAGTGACCGGCGTCTCGCAGAGGACGGAGCTGGTCTCGCACGGCTTCGAAGGTTTCAATGCCATCGGTTTTGAAATCCACGAGAAGGACGAGTGTCTGCGACGGATCTGCGTCGTAGATGGCACTTGCTCCCGGGTTCGTTGCGAGCAATCCGCTGGAGTTTTTCTGGTCAAGCATGGCCAAGAGTGGCTTGACATACATCCCTTGGAACGTCAGGTTCAATCTCAGAGAGGTCACGCCGTGGCCGACGTAAAGCTCGCCATCAAACAGCCAGACGTCTGCTTCCACTCCCGTGCAGCCGGTGCGAAGAGCATCATAGAGCGGCTCGCGACGCCAGTAATCGTTGTGAGAATGGCAGCGAATGGGTACAACACCCGACAGACCATTCGTGCTTGGTTTTGCGAGCTCATCGGGACCAACGTCGTATGGGTAGATCGTGTATTTCCACAGAACTCTCGACCTGCCCACTATAGCCTCCACAAGATATAGCAGGCCACTGTGGCAGTCGTCAGTCACCACATTGGACGATGTCGTTGGACGTTGAGACGACTTACAGCAACGTGAGAAATGATATCACAAACACAGTGAGTACAACCCTCACCGATCTCAACCACCGTGACAAGTCGAACCACCGATTTCCAGTCGATCCAGCTTTCCGTTTCTGTTTGGAAGCAGAGTGCTCCACGTCGTCATCAATCCTATGATAGGAAGGCTGTCCGTTCCAGCCGCGAAATTCCATTGCAGCTGGTGAGATATTTCGACGTTTGAAGCCGGCCAACAGACATTGACATGACTTCCCCGCCACAAACAGACTGCGACATCCCAAGTAGGGCCCGATGCATTATTTAAGACCGGACGGCACGACAGAACCGAGTACGCAATGTTTGCGAGTCAGACGTCATGATTCGAACGCCCCTATTTTATAGCGCATCTCGCTCGGCCGAGCGAAGGGCACGACGCCTCATATATGGGGAAAGATCCTCAAAAGTCAATAGCACACAGCTGCAATGCATTCTCGCACAAAACTCCGGAAAATGGATCGCAGGCTCTGGCTATACGGTACTCGGATTGTACCGGCCGCTAGTCTGTTAGGCGTTGCTTTGCTGCTCGTTGTCTCGCTTTCAACACCCACTGGAACGACAAAGTCCTCATGGACTTCTTCATGCGCACAAGTCGTGTTGTGTCTTTACATTTTCACCCTGCATTTCCTCTCAGCTTTGTTTCCCATTCGAGCGATCCGAGGACTGAATAACATTATGCGAAATTTGACTGGGGAATCTGGAACGTCGACGCGAGCCTTGTCGGCTACGGCGCGCAGCATTCGCTTTCTGGTGATCATTCCGGCATACAAGGAGGATATTGAGACGCTGGTTGCCACGCTGCAAGTTCTTGCGAGCCACCCGCATGCGAAGGACTGGTACCATGTAGGTACCGTGGCGTTTGGAACTTGATCGACTTGCGATCGTGACGTGCTGACGCGCGCGAAATCAGGTGTGGCTGGCGATGGAAGAGCGAGAGCCAGGGGCCGCAGTAAAGGCGACCAGGCTGGTTGAGATGTCGAGTTCTTGCTTCCATGGAATGGACTTTTCGTGCCATCCCGCAAACGTGCCCAATGAGTTGGCCGGCAAGGGCAGCAACGTGAATTGGGCCTTTGAGCAGTTCTGCAAACGATTCTCTGGGGTGATCAACCAAAAGACGGTCATTGTTACCATCATGGACGGTCGGTTCTCTTCTGACGCCGTCATGTCGGTGGGATTGCTAACGATCGTTGTAGCTGACACGCACCTATCGGCTCGCTACTTTGGGCAAGTCGCGCAACACCATTTGGCAAGCGTCGATACCAGGGACGAAACCATGTACGTCCCGCCGCTGGTGTTCGACCGCAATCTGCACAACGTGCCGCTGCCGGTACGCACGGCAGACATCATGTGGGCTGGTGCAGGCATCTCCAACATGACGGCTGCGTCTTCAGGTGCGAATGTGTGCATTCCAACCTCGGTCTACTCCCTACCACTCGTGCTGGCCAAGAAAGTGGGAGGTTGGGACACCGATTGCACCGCGATCGGCGAGGACATGCACATGTTCCTGAAATGCTTCTTCGCCCTTTCTGGGCATTTGAAGACCCAAGTCGTGTATGCAGCTGCAAGCCAGTGCAACGTCAGCAGCAACTCGACCGGAGTGGGCGGCGTCTTTCGTGGCCTCGAGGCACGGTACTCCCAAGCTCTGAGGCACATGTGGGGCTCGCTGGACACTGGTTTTGCGATTCGGCAGTTTGCTGAATTGCTCACACAACGCCGCCGTGCCCGATTCGACGCGCGAGTTGGTAAAGGCATCTCCAGATTCAAGTCACGCTCGCCTACGCACAACAACCGCGCAAAGGAGAGCCAGGGTCACCCGACGATGCACAAGCTGAACATGTTTATTGTCTTCGAGAGGCTGTTCGAGGCACATTTCCTGCCGACTCATCTCGTTCTTGTGTTACTGACGGCGGAGTGGCATACCTTCTTCCACCCCGAGTTCCCTTTGCCCGCCACAATCAGGGCAACGCTTAACATATGTAGTCTGAGCCGTTGGCTCAGCTTCTTGCTTGTTCTCGCCTACTTTTACCGCTACGATCAATACCATCGCCGATGCGTCGAACTACGGAAGAAGGAGATGCGAGTGGCGGGTCTGTTGCATCAACTAGACGAGCACGACGGATTCACGCCGACCTCGCTGCTTGGGGGCGGATTGCTGGGCGCCGCTTTGTTTCCTGTTGGAGGAGTCTTGTTTGGAGCCTTACCGGCATTACAAGCCGTCATCTGTCACGTCTTCACCGAGCGGCTGATGTACGTGGTCAGCCTCAAGCCGCGATTTAAACAGTAGCCTGGCGTACCACACTCGAGTGGCTAGTGTAAATTGATACTCCCTGGAACCTCATCGCTAGCTGCCCTCTATGAAGTGAATGTCCGCACTCGGCCCAGTTCGATGAAGTCGAGAGGTGGAGCGGAGGCCGCTTGGCATCCACGTCCTCCCATCCTTGGCATTGCTTGGCTCGGCCGAAATTGCCCTCTCAGTCGTGACGCGGCTACTCCATCTGTCCGCACTAGTCGTCGTGTGTGCCGAGTCGATTCGTCCATATTACCCGTTCCATTCTGCATAGCGATGTCCGATGCTGCGCCGACTTTGTGTATACGTACCGCCAGCGCACCGACCGACGAAAAATGGTGCCAGGCTGGGGTCTTTGGGGTTGGAAAGCCGACAGATGGTACTGAGGGCCCACCAATCCCAATTCCACGCAGCGACCACGCATTCTGCCGAGTACGTATGTTCGGGGCAGTAAAGATTTCAAAGCTGATGAAGTCTCCGTCTAGCCTGAGCGCAAAGTAGAGAAGCTATCTCTACCGCGGAGTGTCATCGAAGAATATCCATACGACTCCACGCCATCTGTTTAATGAGCAGCTTAGACCGTACCGACACCAACTCTGCGACAAAGGATGATTGATCGTCACAATGTCCGATGCTTCTCCAATGACAACCACCTCCAGTGGCCGTCGTCTGACGCCGCCCTTCCCGGGCTTGCAGGGAGAAAGCAAGCGCAGGCGCAAGGTCCGCACTTGCACAGAATGTCGGCGACGGAAACTAGCCTGTGACCAGGCTACTCCAGTTTGCGGCCGCTGCTTGCGCGCGGGCCACACGGCCGCGTGCCAATACTACGATGACCTTACCTTCATTCCCATGCAGACCGCAACACCTGCAACTGAAGACAGCCCGGAGCCTGCCCACTTTCATAACGCGCGGGCTGCGACCGATCATTCTCAGACATTGTCCTCTGCCACTCTCGCGACGAAGGTGGAACAACAGCATCGCCGCATTGCGCAACTTGAAGAAGCCCTGAATCGTATGGGCGAGAACATGGATCGTCTACTCGTTGCGCAGAGTGAGACGTCGACTCAGGAATTCCCCAGGCGCGTCAGCGTTCCTCCCGCGTCTGCACATCCCGCCGAGCCCGAGCCCAAATCGATCCTCCTCAAGGGCAGCTCATTCAAGACGAGATTCTACGGCGTCTCTTTCCCAGAGTCTCTGATCGCGCACATTCCAAAGCTCAGCAACCTGTCCAAAGAGATTGTCGGCAATTTTCCAATCCTTCTCAGATTACGGCAGGATGTTCGGGAGATTGAAGGCAGGACCCGTGAAATGACACCAATGCGTCTCCCCGTCGAGAAGACGGATCTTCTGGCTTTATTGCCGGCGCAGCATGAGACCGATCAGCTTGTGCAGCTCTACTTGGAGAACTTTGAATATGTGTATCATGTTCTCCACCTGCCGAGCTTCTTGTCGGACTATCGCAAGATGTGGGCAAATCTAGACGACGCTGATGCTCACCTTGTTGCTCTTGTACTCCTAATGGTGGCGATTTCGCAATGCCTCCGAAAGACCGGCCCGTGGATGTATACCGGTAAACGGTCCGCGGGCAAATCGCTCGCCCTCTCGATCATTCAACTTTGCGAGTACTGGCTCGGCGCGCAACGGCAGAAGCGCGTGACGATCTTTGACTTCCAGATCCGCATTTTATTGTGTCTGGCCCGAAACGTGAACGGAACGCAGTTCAAACGCTCGTGGATTCATGTTGGCACTCTCTTGAGATATTGCATGGCTGCCGGGTTGCATAAAGATCCGGAGCTCTTGTCAGAGAAAAAGCCAACGTCGATGTTGGAGAAGGAGATGCGACGAAGACTATGGACTGCTGTGCTGGAACTTGAACTCCAAACGTCATTCACTCGCGGCATGATCTCGGCTCCTTTATCGCCAAACTACGACTACATCACTCCGATCAATATCAATGATGATGATATGACTTCCGCGACTCAGAGCCGACCGATGTCACGGCCCATCCGCGAGTTCACCGGGATCTCCTACTTGGTCGTTGCCAACATGTCCTTGCATCTGAGGATGTCGGTGCACTCCATTCTCAATGATGAACAACAAGCAGTCACGTTTGACATGGCGAAGCACTACACAGAGCAACTAGAGGCGCACTTGGATGAAATTCCACCGTGGAGCGAGAAGGCTGCCGACGTGCCCCGCACTCTGTTGCTGTTGAGTCTTTGCAATACCTTGCTGGCTCTGCACGATCGACACATTCGACAAGCTGCAACGGAAGTCGAGCGCAAATTCTCCAAGACCGTCATCATCGATACCGTGGCCAAAATCTTAAACGCGCAGCGGCGTTTGTTAGACTCAGGGTGCCATGCAGTCCAACTGCTGAGCCAAGATCACCTTCGAGCCACACTCTCGGCTTGTCACACCCTCAGCTGGACTCGCCCGTCGTCCTTCAGTAGGATTGACGACAATCTCCTCGACATCGCCGACTGCATCGCGATGGATACCGTGGAGATACTCACGGATAAGGTGGAACGGCTTGGTGGTGGACAACAACAGCTCTGGATCGCCGTCGTTGCGAGTGCCCTGGTCAAGATAGAGCGAACCCCCGCCGACAAGGCGACACATATGCAACAGGCCGTGGACCGCATGACGGCGGTATATTATAAGATCCTGGCATGTCAGCAACCGTCCGCGATGGCGGCGCCCAAGATGAAACTCATTCAAGCAGTGAACGGGGTGAGCCAGCCGTCTAGCACGCTGCCACCGGAGATGGGAGGCTACGGGGAGAACGCGTTGACTCTGTCGGATATCGAGACAATGCCGGAATGGGCGTTTGACGAGTGGTCGCTTGAGCTCTCCTGATTTGCCGCGTTGTTATGGTGGCGCACTCTGTTAAAGCGTTGTACGTAAGAAGCGGGCAATGATCGCCGGCAATCTGCAGCTATTGCTGCAATTAATTACTGTTTGAGTACAGCACAGCGTTGAGAGATGGCATGTCTTGTCTCGGATCCAAGATTGAGCGGGTTGGAGTGCTATCTTACACAATGCTGGAAAGACTGCTAAGACCTCCTCTGCCACCCACGTGTATTCATGACCGCCTGGAGCCGTTCCAGCACTGGCGTAAAGGTCCCAAGGTAGGCTTCACAGGTTCCTGACACCAGTAAAAGCCAGCAGCCGGCGAACATTGCCATACCCGTCATGGCCATTCTCCAAGCCTGCTCGTCATTGGAGTCGAGCTCCGCACCCCACCACTTGGTGCCTTGTAGCCGACGTCGCGCCAGCATGAACGACAGACCTTCCCAGACGAAGACCAGAGCCAGGAGACTCAAGGCGGTAACGCTGACAAGTGGTAAGGCCTGGAATATCCCGAATCCGGTCTCACTGTCGTAGATGTAGTATGCAAAGCAACAATAAAGAGCAAACATGGTCATAGGGGCGGAGACGAGTCCCGCTGCGGCCGTAAACTTGACTACTTTCTCCAGCTGCGAGTGGGCAATTGGGCCTGCTCGCCATAGCACGATTGTGCACTGCGGGCATCTATCGAGACCCCGATGTCAGACGAGATCCATCGATTGAAACTAATAAGGCAGCACTCACGATCTGTTTCCTTTTGCACGCCATGCACCGATGCATTCAGCGCAAAAGACGTGGGCGCATCGTGCAACCTGAGTGGGGTCGGTAGGAAGTTCGTAGCAAACAATGCAGCGGTCTGGGTCGGTGGCAGGTGGTAGAAGCGGTATTCTCCTCAGCCCTCCGTTTGCGATCCACTCTTCATGAGAGGGGAGATGAGCCTCTGGTGACGGCGGGGTGCAACGCACCAGTGCGGAGTTGAGGAGGTGCTCATATCGGAGATAGAGATACAACAGGATTGTGGCCCCGACACTCAGGCGTGTTAGCGGGAGAAGGAGGGTAAGCAAGGGTAGACCGATGGTGAACGACGTAAGAATGACATTCGGGTTGCCTTCTATTAGATCTGTCGCAAGAGGCATGGGTTATAGGTGTATCCTAAATGGAGTTTCGATGCAGGGCATTGTGCTGAATAAGATTCTCGCCAGCCTCGCTGAAAGTGTGTCGGATGTAGTTGAGAAGCAGAGCAGAGTTGAGTCGGCCAAAGGCAGTTTTCAGGCGTAAGAAATCATCCCGACTCGCAACTGGTTTCCAGCTACTGCTCTGAAGCCATGCACGTCTCAGAGAAGTGCCACACGGGGCGGCGGCTGACGCCAAGAGGACACCCGCTAGCGCCCGCCAGCTCATGTCCAATTGCGACCAAGCCTATGAACAGCATGTCCCCAGCATCCGATGACGCTCGTCGTGCCGCTCAGATTCGAGAAGAGCAAGGACAAACACACGGAAGAATGAACCTCAGATAACACATGCCGACCGGCGGAATGCTCACCGCCTTCAAAGCCCAGGCGATCCACGAGCTGAAGCCGAAAGACCGGGCCAAGATCGAGTCTCTCCTCGCCTACGGTGACAGACTGCTCGTCGGCCTCAACACTGGCTGGCTCAAAGTCTACCGGGTCAACGAGACCTCCATCGCCGACCACCCCGCCGACAATGCCGACGTACCGCCTCCGTCACCCAGCAAAACGAAGGCTATAGAGCTGCTGCGCGACGTGGAGAAGTTCAGCAAGAAGCCCATCCAGCAGCTGGCCATCATCAAGGAGGTGAATGTGCTCGTCAGCCTGAGCGATGCCTATGTCAGCCTCCACGACCTCCAAACGTACGAGTTGGTCGACAAGCTGGAAAGATCGAAGGGCGCAACCTGCTTCACCGTGACCAGCAACGTTGTCAAAGATCCCGACACCGGAGTTCCCGGCCTGGTATCCAGGCTCGCGGTCGGCGCCAAGAGGAGAATTGTATGTTGGACATGGCAAGATATGGAGCAGCTGCCCGATGTGACGGAGGTGAGCTTGGAGATGAACATAAGGAGCTTGCTGTGGAGCACGGGGACCCAGCTGGTCGCTGGCATGGATGCAGGCTTCAGCGCTGTGGACGTGGAGACACTAGACATCACGCCAATCAACAGACCGGCATCTCGCGTCTCCAGTGACACCGGCTCCGCAGAGCTTGCTGGCATAAGATTCGGTGCAGTGAGCAGCAGTGGGATGAGCTACATGGTGGGCGGCTGGACCCCGAAACCAATGGCCACAGGACTTTCGGACGGCCAGGTATTGCTTGCAAAAGATGTAAACACGCTATTCGCCGACAACGAAGGAAAAGCGCTGGAGAAGAGGCAGGTGCCTTGGTCAGCAGCGCCTGAGGCAATCGGCTACAGCTACCCATACCTCCTCGCTCTGCAAGCTCCTGAGAGAGGCGCGCTTCAGGTTCGAAATCCCGATACGCTCTCACTGTTACAGACCATCCCCGTTCCGCTCGCGACGATACTACATGTGCCGCCTCCGAACATCAGTCTTGCACACGCCGGAAAACGCTTTCTGGTAGCCTCAGAACGGGTCATTTGGCGGATGAATGCTCTGCCTTACGACAGTCAATTGACACAACTGGTGGATAAACAGCGCTACGACGAAGCCATCAGCCTGCTTAACCTGCTCGAAGATACACTCATTGATGAGAAAGCGAAAAGGATCCGGGAGATCAAAATTCAGAAGGCCACGGGCTTGTTTCGCGAACGGAAATATCGAGCCAGTCTTGACCTGTTCACAGACGCGGATGCTTCGCCTGATCGTGTGATCAAATTGTACCCGCGAAGCATAGCGGGAGATTTGTCAGAGCTGCCCGAAGAACCCGAAGACGATGCTCAGCCAGAGAGCGTCGAAGAGAGTGACGCCAAAACCGAAGACGCACCGAAAGAGCCTCCGGCTACTCCAGGCAAATCACTACTGGACCGAGTCACCGGTCACGCCCGCAAAGAACCTGATAACGAATCCATTAAATCTTCTGCAGTCGCGGACTCCGCTGCATCAAGTCCGCACAAGCGCAACGTATCCAAGCCGACCGCCCCCGAGAAGGCGCTTGTGGGCGAGGATTTGAAGGTGGCGGTGTGGTGTTTGACATCATTCCTGGCGCAGGCACGGATCGAGGTTCAGAAATACCTCAACCCTGACGGTACGCTCAAAGAAAATCCGCCAGTGCTCGATCCTGATACCGGCCAACCCGCTTTCGCCAACTTGCTCCCGCAGGACGTGATTGTAGGGGGCACGAAGGACATTGACTGGCAAGCCGAGCTGCTCCAGGTTGCCCAACTCGTCTATACGTCTCTGTTTCGATCGTACATGCTCGCATCACCATCCCTCGCCGGCTCCTTGTTCCGCATCGACAACTTCTGCGACCCCGAGGTCGTGCAAGCGAGTCTTTACGAAAGCCATCGCTACAACGATCTGATCGACTTCCTACATGGCAAGAAGCTTCATCGCCAAGCGCTGGAGATGCTCATGAAGTTCGGCAAAGGAGAAGCTGATGGGGAAGTACCTGAGGGCATGCAAGGGCCTGAACGGACCGTGGCCTACCTGAAACAGCTGCCGCCAGAACTCATTGATTTGATTCTGGAGTTTGCGGCGTGGCCAGTGCGAGAGAAGCCGGAGGTTGGCATGGACGTGTTTCTCGCAGACACCGACAATGCAGAACGTTTGCCGCGCGAGAAAGTGTTGCACTTCCTCGCTGATATCGATGAACGACTGGAAGTGCGGTACTTGGACCACATCATCAACGAGCTGGGAGATCAGACGCCTCGATTCCACCAGCAGCTAGTAGATTGCTATCTACAGGAACTCAAGAGTCCAACAATTGGCGACGATGGCAAGCAGGATGTCCGACAGAAACTGGAGGCCTTCCTTCGGACGAGCAAGGAGTACAAAACGGACAAGACGCTCGCGCAACTGCCGACCGACGATCCGCTCTTCTTCGAAATCCGCGCAATCGTTCTGAGCGCAATGGGCGCCCACGAGCAGGTGCTGACCATCTACGTCTTTCAGATGCACGACTACGACAAAGCAGAAGCCTACTGTACCAAGACGTACTACCTCGCCGAAGAAGGCGGCGAGCAGTCGACGTTTGTAAACGGCACGACCACACCCAACCTCAAAAAGCCCCATTTCCAGCGCACGCAGACGCAAGTATCAAAGGACAAGCCCAACATCTTCGCCACACTACTCCGCTTATACCTCAAACCCCCATCACCCAACGACGCAACCCGCTGGCCGCAAGCCCTCGATCTGCTGAGCCGACACGGCGCCCGACTACCCGCCAGCAGCACGCTGAACATGATGCCCGACGACCTCGCGCTCGCCAAGTTGGAAGACTACTTCCGCGGGCGCCTGCGGCACTCGACAGCCATTTCGCGGCAGGAGAGGATCGTGCGGACGCTCGAGAGCGCGCGGCTCGCGAAGACGGAGCGCCTGCTGCGCCTCGGCACGGAGCGGGAGATTGAGCAGGGCAAGCCGGGGATGCGCAGTCGGCGCGTGCGGATCACGGAGGAGGACCATTGCCGCGTGTGTCATAAGCGGTTTGGAGCGGCTGCTATTCGCGTGCATCCGGATGGGGAGGTGGTGCATTATGGGTGTGGAGGGAAGAGGGAGAGGGAGGGGGGATTCGGATGAGTAGTGTGCTTGGTACCTGATATACCCCACCCACGTGACTGAACACTGTGTATTTGATGGCGTTTTTTCGAGTGTTACTTGTCAAATGTTGCCACGATGCCTGTCTCAATTGAGTATGTACTTGCAGGTGGCGTGGTGATGAAACACCATCTGCGCCCTTCGCACGTGGATAAAGTGGACACCAGCCAAGCAGCCTTCCAAGCCATGTGAAGCGGTGCCACGAGCTTGTCCTCACTACACCTGACCTTTTCTTTTGTGTGACACGGACAGACACGATCTTGCACGAGGGATGGTATTGCTATGTACGGCACGCTGATTACAATTACTTCTCCTTCCTCCGCCAGCTCGTACATGAACACGCAGACTGAAGAGGAAGAAGACAAGAAGTATCCGGGCCTCACACCGAGAGGCACGCTGAAAGTTGGTATCATAGTCGCAGTAACGAGAAACAAGCCCGCCCGCCCCCACGTCCTGGCGTGGATTGGTATGGAACGAACCGAGCACGCTCTCCATCTCCTCGAACCTCCGCTGGGTAACGAGCGTGGGCTCATCGGTGCATGAGCATCGTGGGAGCGCGTGGAGCGCGTGTCGAAAGACTTCGCAAGGTCGAAGCTTACAGGGCTAGGAGCGCAAAGGCTGCCGCGCCCAAAAGAGCGGGCGCTGCGGTGGCAACTGCTCCAGCTCCATGGGAGGACGAAGACGAGGCTGACGACATCTGGGATGCCGCGGAGGCTGTTAATGTGTTAGTGCACGCCTCCGATTATGGACGTTTATGGATCTCACCTGAGCTGGCAGACATTGGGCTTCCGGCTCCAGAAACAGTTGTCGAACCGGTCGTGGTCACAGAGGACCCACTGGAGGAGGAGGCGGTGCTCTTGAGAGGGGAGGTAGTCAGACCTGATCCGCCAGCAGCACCGCCAGCTCCGATGATGGTGGTGGTTCCAGTGGCGGTGGTATAGGTCTTGCCTCCCGAAGTGTAGGTGCTCTGCTCCGTGGACACGATGCCGTAGATGGTGGTAGAGCCCGAGGTGAGGGTGGTCTTCTTGCCGCCCGACTTGGTGACGTCGGTCAAGGCAGACGTGGTGACGGGGATGCCGTAGATGGTGGTCGAGCCAGAGAGGGTAGTCTTGTGGCCGTCCGAGCTGGTGACTTCGGTCAAGGCAGATGTGGTGATGGGGATTCCGCCGGCGGAATTGGTGGCAGACGATGCGCCGGAAGTCGCCGAGCCGGTGGCAGAAGAGCCACTGCCACTGCCACTGCCACTGCCGCCAAGCGCACCTGGGTGGACTGTTAGTGTCGCGTGACGGGACAGGCTTCCTTATGCGCAGACTTACTCTTGCAGTATGCGGTTCCGAAGGCGATGACTTGTTGAGCATCTGCCGCAGTTGGGCAGGACTGGGTGGAGCAGTCCCTCACGCCGTAGCCAAAGTCGACGTTGGTGCAGTAGCACGTCGCGTTGCCGGGAGCGCAGCCGAACTGGGTCTGGGCAATTTGGAGCATGTTTGCTGTGGGCGATTGACGTTAGCGACGTGGGCAGTTGATGTGGTGGCTGGTGAGTTCAGTGCGTACCTATGCACACTTGCTGTGAGGTCGCCGTTAGCTACACGTACACACCACGTCGCATTGGAAGTCAGGTCACACTTACACCGCACTTGGGAAGGCTCGAGATACCGCCGCCCTGGGCAGAGGCGAGCGCGGCGCCGGCGGCGAGGAGGAGGATGGTGGTCTTCATTGTCGCGAGAGTTCAAGTAATGATCTTGCGGCCGAGTTGAGCGTGGTGGGAGTAGGTGAGGTGGTGATGCTGCACTGAGGATGCTAGGATACGAGTGATTGATGAGAAGGCTGGCGCTGGTGCTGGAACGCGACGACCGCAGGGGCTCACCGTTTGATGTGTCGCGTAGTTGGGGGAGACGCGGATGGAGATGATGAGGTTGAAGTATTAAAGTACAGACAGGGCAGGAGCGGGGGTGGGATGCACTTGCAGCGGAAGTGGCGATGCAGTGGCAAGGAAGGAGGGAAAGAGGGAAGGAGGAGAGTTTGGGAAGGAAGAAGCTTCCAATGCAGGCACCTCACGACAGCTGAATGAAATGCGACCGAGGATGGAGTCAATGCACCCAACCGTGGTCGCGGCAACGGCGATGCCAGCTTTGCCCGGCCATTTTCCTGTTTCCACGACGGGGGGGTGAGCTGGGCTGGTTTGAAATAAGGTTGTACCACGATGCGGGCAAACCAGGCTGCACGCTACTGTACTGGGTAAATGCGCCCAATCGCCCCGGCCAGGCTGGTACAGATCGACCAATCAATGCCCGTCGTCAAGACAACGAGCTTGCTGCCCCGCGGCGGCCACATGCATGTACCTGGATCTGCCTCGACAAACATGTGCAAGGCGAAGGGATTGCAGGTGTTTGCATCAAGCCGCATCCCCCAGATTCCATTCATCTCTGATATGAGACTTTCGGGGATTTACCCCATTCCTCCTCCTCCATTTCTCCGCGAGATCGCAATCTCTCGCCATGACGTCGATGAAATCCCTAGAACCGTTGAAGCGCGCGCCAGGGAAGCGATTGGGTTGATCTCGACACAAGCGGCAACTCTAATGGACGCTCCGCCACACGTCCAAGCCACAGCTCGATCGCCATCCCTCCGCCGTAAACCTGATGCATGCATCTGCTTCCGATAGTCCGGCCGGCGTCGCCATCTTTCAGCTCTGCGCAGCATGCATGCTGGCCATGCCGAGGCGAAACATGAACTTTGTTGCCTTTCGACTGACAGAACGTGGAACACGCTTCCAGATGTCTTCATTCAGCCCCTGTCTTCCCTCATCGCTTCTTCGCACCCGCCACTAGCGCCTCGGCCTACACGAGAGATTGCATGGACGTACCTGCCTGCCACTACCAAACTCTCGGGCGCTCCCCGCATTCGACTCTAGACCGGGTGGTGGACCCTTCTCGTATGCGCAGTCGATCTCACCGTCATCCCGCAGACATCTCACTTCCTTGCTCCGACCCTCATCGTATTCCCGAGACAAGCTCTCAGGTACTGCTGATCATGACGTGTCGAGCGAGGCAATTGTGCGCATGAATGCCGTGAGACGGTAATGCTAGAGTCTTTTCACCAAAACCGCTCGTACTCAAGATCGCGGGAAATGGAATGAGATTCAATCTCCCCCGTCACGCCCGAATCAAAGCTTATTCTTAGCTTCGCACCCGGTGTCGCATTTTCGTCTCTATAACTGCACTACTCCATCAATCACGGAACGCATTCTGCGAGGCGAAAGCGGCAAAGTCCAATCCTCTGCTTCGCGCCGTCGTCGCCGCCGTCTTCATCGGCGTGCTCTCCGCGGAGACTCCCAGCGGATCTCCTTCGTATTCCTCCGCTACCGGCTCCTGTCCTTCATCACTCTTTGGCACTTTTCCTTGCACGATATCGTCCGTTTCTTCATGGCGAGCTTCTGGTGGTGCAGTGGTATTGCGTTGAGCAGTAGGTGTGGTCGGTTCGGGATTGATTGTGGTAGCGGCAGCTCCGGCGTTCTTCGATCCCAAACCCATCCATGAGCTCGCCCCATTCAGGCTGTCGCTCATGCTCTTGAAGTTGGGTGCGCTCAGAGCGGACTTCAGACCTCCACTCGTGGGGCTGCTTGTCCCCACCACAACCGGCGTTTCCTCCAGTGACGCCGTAGAGCTCGAATCGACGGATGCGTGCGGAGGGTGAGAGACCACCAGTGCTCGCGGCACATTCATCTCGCCATCCTCCCGTTTGAATAACCTGTACCACCATTTCACCTCTATCTCTCTGTCCGCCCCCGCGCGGGTGGGAAACAGAAGAGGATCTTCAACCTGGGCGACGTAGTCCGGATTGATGAACTCCTTCTCCCGAGACAGGAAATGTGACCACACCGAGCCGGCTTGATCCTTGTATTCCCTCCGCTCCTTCTCCGTGTTGAAGAGGAACTCGCCGTACTGGCAGGAGTATACGTGGTAGAACAGGCGGCAGAGCAAGTGCTCGTTGAACTCGAAAGCGTTCGGATTGGGGTGCATGAGCTGGTACACGCCCTCCAGAAATTGGTGGAAGATGGGCGACACTTCCTTCTCACTCTTTCGATGCGTCTTCTCCTCCTTGCCCGTCGAGGCGGGTGGAGAATGCAGGAGCGGGTTTGGCGGAGGTGATGGCGGCCTTGACGACGGCCCCTGGTCAGACACGTTATCTCGACTGCTGTTTTGTTGACGGAAGATAGAGCCTCGATTCTTCTCAAACCAATTCTTCGCACCCGACAATGCTTTGGCTCCCAGATTGTTCAACGAGCCCGCCTCAGAGGTCCCGTCGCCGGTACGTGATGGTATGACCCGCTCGTTCTCGATCTCAAACCATTTCTCGCTGCCTTCGATCCCATCGCGATCGCGAAATTTATGGCCAAAGGAGAGAAACTCTTTCTGAATGAGGGAGATGAAGCCGGCAAGAGTTCTCGTATGAGGATCGAGCATCACCTGCGCCAGCCCCGAGATTTGTGCAGTGCGGTCCCAGCCGTCGGAGCAGTGGACCAGTACGTGGCTGCCGCCTAGGCCAACCACCCTCGCGACCATCTCGGCCCCCTCGAGCATGCCCGCAATATGTCCCAGCCAGCCGGACTTGCGAAGCGCTTCTTGGTCCGGCTTCATCTTGATATAGTCGGAATTCGCAAAGCTGTCCACCACCTTCTCCAGTGAGGCGCGCATGACGTGAATGTTGGCTATGTTGAGGAAGACCTTCTCTACCGGCACGTCTGAAGTCCCTCGATAGTTTGCGACATCTTCGATACCGCCTCCGGTGGCTCGATTCGCGAGCGCATTGATCTTGGGCCGAGCATCGACAATGAGATTCCGTCTCGTGCTCCCATAGACTTTTGCTTTGGCAGTGGGCTTTCCTTCTGCCACTTCGTCGAGCGTGGTCTCGCTTTGGCTGATGTGTAGGGAGGACATAGCGCTCTCCAAGACGACAGTATGAGGTGTTGACACCGGCTCCGCAGTCGCATCGAGGGACGAAGTAATGACGCTCGAGGTCGCGTCACGCGAGGGCGTGTGACTCGAGAAGATGGCGGATACCAGTCGCTCGTCCTGTGGGTTCCGTCTACTCTGCACTCCCACCATGGGCTGAGAAGATCGAGTGATGCTCCCTCCATTCGAGTGCAAGTATGATAGGCATGGGATGCGCGACCGCGAGCGGAATGCTCCACCGTACTTGAGCATGTTGTCGCTTACGGTTCTCGGGACACAGAGGACGCTTGGGTATGTGGCGGAATAGGAGTAATCGTGGTTGATGTCGCTGATGCGCCAGGCGGCTCCTGGGCCAGCCGCTGCTTTGCCGCCAATGCCCATGCGTGCGTACTCCCGGCGCGCATCATACTCGACAGCGGATACGGCCATTTCTTCTTTCGGCGGGCTGAATTGGAATGCGTGGAAGCGGCGAACATCGTCGACGCAACAGCGGCTGCGAAGGGAATAGAAACACTGCCGTGCCGATTCGTCGGGCGGAGTGGTAGCGGGGCTGGGGTGGAAATGCAGGGCCATCATGCGGAAGTCTTTCAGCCGGATGCGGATTGCAGGTTGCTTCCCGGTCTCGAATGGCGCATGAGCTTCACCGCTGGGCCGCGCGGGAGAGACTGGACGAGCGGGCGAGGAGTATGGGGCCAGGCGCGAGGAATCAGTGGATGCACGGGTATAGGTGGCGGTGCCGAAGGTTGGGGGAAACAAGTGCTCGTCATCGTCATCATCTGCCTCCTCAGTGCGATGCGCGACAGCTGTTTCGAGGTGTGCAGTCGTCGCGTTTAGAGCGTGGCTGGGACGAAGGATACAATGATTGATCAGAGGGTAGGGCATCCACATTTCCTTTGGGCGGCCATTTGCCGGACTCGACAGACTCTTGTCACCATGCTTGGCGCCAGGGAGGTAGCGGAACACAAAGTGATGCTTCGACAGAACGAGCGTGCCATATTCCTTCCTTCCTAGGCTGTGAAGTTCGACATTGCGGAAGTGGAGATCGTGTTCAACGGGCGGAGGGTCCGGCATGGTGAGACTCGCGCGCCACGCGATTGTGGGAGGGCCTTCAGCAGATGGCTGCTGTTACCGGGTCATGTTTGTGTTTCCTCTGACCTCGAGATGACCAAGATCAAGCTGTCGCCTTGAGCGTCGATGGAATTCACGTTTTCGAAGCGTGAAGGCGGCAGGCGGCTTTGGGGCGTGGTGGTGGGAAACTTTCCCAGGTCTTTTGAGAATGGGTGTGAATGCGCGGCGACGACACGGCAGCAACATTGACGCCTCCTCCTTCCTCACCATACACTGATATGCTTAAAAGCTCGAAAACGGACACCACGGCGATGATGGAGCCATGCAATTCTGTCTCGTTACATTCGTCCCGCCTTGCGTAGGTGGAGTACACGATGCGCGCTGTCGAGTTGAGCCCCGAACGAGTATCCCACTCATATCTCACCACATGAACGAGATCGTCACCCTCTTGACTCGCATTTGAGATTTGCAGGTACGCCGCGGTAGAATCATTGAAGCATCTTCGCACCTGTGTCTTGTCGGCAGCGCACACGTCTGCCTGATGCGCGTCGCGTCTCCGGTAAGCCCTCGGGTTCGAGAGGAAGGAACGACTCACGGGTGGTTTCCTTCTGCATCTCACCGTGTTCAATGTCTTCCACATCTTCCCCTTGCCATCATCTTCTTCACCCCGGAATGTGCCTCAACACTCCATAATCAATCATCAGGCAAGTGTGTTTAACCCATGGCGCCACTGAAACCGGTCAGAGAAAATGCCGGCAAGAGGCAGATCGACCAACTGCTTGGTGAGTTCGCTGCTCCACGCCAGTCCCACCTTTGTTTGACACGCCATTGCGCAGAACTGGCCGAGAAGTGCCTCGATGTGGTGAAATCACGCACCGCCCTTCCATCCAGTCTACAGCATGCCCTCGAGGCCGCAATTACACGCGCTTTCTCTCCCACACCGTCGACTACCTCGCTCGCGCCATGTGCTGCCAAGGTAGATGCCCTGGCCTGTGAGCTCTGGAACGCGGCAACAAACTTTCTCCGCCATCACGAAGATCATCAAGCCACTCGACCCTTGACTGACAACGAGGCCCGTTCCATCCTCCTTCTCCGCATCCTCTCCTTCTTGCTCATCGACGCCGCCCGCCAAGCCACCCCAAAGCTTGCTTCGGATGGAGAGCAGCGTATACGTACCTTCAAGATCGCGCTCAAGGCCTGCAAGTTCTGCCTCGACAACGACGAGCTGGTCTATGCGCGCAATATTCTGGAGAGATGTTCCGATCATGTCGAAGCGATGGAGACCCCTTCGCCCCTCGTACAGATGTCGGCCCAGAGCGAAACGAACGAACAAAAGGAACATTCGCGATCTCTTGTGGCCGAGTACTATCTTCACCGCCTCGTTCATGCTTGCAAATCGGACAGCCTAGATCTGGCCAACCATCTCTTCGCCCAAATCCCTCACTCACAGCTGCAGCAGTCGCCGCACCTGTCTGAAAAAGCAGCCGATCTGTTTTATGAAGCCGGCAGGGCATTGTGCAAAAGACAGCAAACCGAGCAAGCCGTGGTATGGTTTGAGAGGGCAGTTTCTGCACTTGATGCCAGCGAGCCCGAGCACCAAAGTGAGAATGCAGCAGAGCTTCGGCTGACCGTGACAGCTTCTCTTGGTCTGTCTGTCAGGTCAACCCAAATAAAGTCATTCTGCTGACACCGCATAGTGAAGTGTCTGCGCAGCAGCGATGACCAAATCGCACTACAGCGGGCGCAGCATCTTGTCCAGCAGCTGAGCACTACCCACGGGCTGGCGAATCGTATCACCGTTCAACTATTGCGACTCAATGTTCTGCTTGTGCACTCGCCGCCAGCCATGGACGAAATGAGAAGCGCCTTGTCAATGTTGATTCGATCTTCCGTTATCACAGAGTTGACATTCAAGAAGTACGTTGTCGGTTACATATCGTTGAGGGTTGTAACTCATTCTCCCGCAGAATCATGCAAACGATCCATCGAGTTCAGAAAGTGGACTGTGAGGTTGCGAGGCAAGCACTTGCCAACTTGATCACCACCCGCCTTGTCAACGACTTTCCGGAAGAGCAATGCGAGGCTGCCGCATGCCTCAGCCGAATCGAGCAAGCGACAATCACTTACACTCTTTCCGTCTCCAACGAGCCGAGCGAGGCATCACCAGGCTCCGTTGCGGAATTGCAAAAGTTATTCGATGCCATTCACCAGCACAACGGCCTCATATTCACGGCAAAAGCAACTCATGCAGCCCAGACGCTGATCTGGAAAGCGGCAGCATCAAGCGAGACAGATCTTGCGGCCGCATGGTCCGCACTTCTGCAACACCCCTTGTTTGAGAGTGCGGGTCAGATTAACAAGACCAAGATTGGCAGAAAGATGATGGCCGTGGCACTCGCAAAAGGTGATTTCAACGGAGCGAGACAAACCTTCTACCAGATGTCACCAGGCTCACGGAACGAGAGCATGACTCGATACCTTGCATTCAAGCTGGCGCTACGCTGCGATGACTACGAAATGGCAAGGGAGAGCCTGCAGGAGATCGCGAAGAGCAGCAAGAAAGACCAGACGTTTCTCTACGCCTGCGTTCTCGAAGCGCAACAGTCCAAGATGCGAGCGATAGCCGTGGCCGCCTTGCAAGCCATTCTCGACCGGCAATCACCGGAGCTTCATATGCCCTCGCTACTGCGGTGCATAGCAAAATTACTGATTGCGGTAATTGGTACGGCAGACCGGGGCGCACATGAAGTAATGGAGGAGGTCGTGCAAGTGTTCGAGAATGCCGCAGCAAGTACGCAAGTTTTGAGCAAGGCGGCTGGGGATGGATGGCAGAGTGAGGTCCAGTGGTGGAGCAAGAATGCCTACAATCTGTCGCTCGAGCATTGTGCCGGCATGGATCCGGAACATCTCGCTCGCCTCCTCACCGCCTGCACTCATCTGATCGAAGCTTCCTCCGCCGAGGGCGAAGCGACGGATGTGGAGGGGCGTCGAAGAAGAAAAGCACTGTGTCACTTTCTCTGTGCAAGCGCGCACATTGTGCTTGCACGTTCTGTGGAAGAACGATCAGAGTATGGCTTGCAGAACTACCTGAACGCTCGTCAGCAGATCGAAGATTTCCAGGCACTGCAGCCTGCACTGGGCGAGAGGCAAGATCAAGATCTTCACAGGAAGGCATTCGAGCTTCTTAAGTTCGATCTGGAATGCATTTTGCATCTGCAGCAGTGGGATTCGCTGGATGCCTGCTTGCAGAAGTGCCTCGAATGCCGCGACGTTGACCGATGGGAAACACTGGCCGACATTGTCCTCATCATTCGCCAGCAAAGGGCAGCAGCGGGAGAGAGTGAGCAGAGCCCTGCACGCATCAACCGACTACTTGACAGAATCATCAACGAGACGTGGCAGCAGAACAAGGACATCAGCAAAGCCTCTCGCTGGCTCCGCCTCTCCTTCTCGATGGATCTGAAAGAGGGTAAAGGGGACTTTGCGCTCGAGCTACTGAAGCAGTCGGCGGGCATGGCGATGAAAGGGTATCGAAAGGAAGATGCCACGTATCCGGAGACGGAACTGCAATGGCTGGCCATCACCGCTTTCAATCGAGCAGTCGACCTTCTGTCTAGCGGGAATGTCGCCCTGGCTCGAGAGTGGATCCAGGGAGCGTTGGAGCTGGCGAGATATGCTGGGGACGACGGGGCGTTGCATGCGAACTTGACGGATCGGCATGAAATGGCAATGAGGCGGCTGAAGGATGCAGGACTGTGAGGACTGTGATGTATGGAGTCAGTCAGCTCGGTAAAGATGGTCACTTTAATGTAGCGGTGATGTACTGCGAGAGATCGGCTCGGGGAAACGTTTCAGCGGAGACACTCCCGCGTCGCGCGTCCACCTCCGCACATCCAACTAAACACCACTTCTGGAGACCATGGAATCTTAAACCGTCTACCTCTCACAACCACTCGAGCTGCATTTGAAGGATGAAGAGCTCCAAGAGCCGTCGACCTCAGGCCTGCCCACCCCGACCATGACCACCACCGCCTACACGGTCGGACAGAAAGTCGAACTCAACGACGGCCGAACAGCAACCATCCGCTTTGCAGGCACCACCTCCTTCCAAGTCGGCGAGTGGATTGGCGTCGAGCTCGAGGAGCCCACCGGGAAGAACGATGGCTCCGTCAAGGGGGAGCGCTACTTTCAATGTCGCCCAAACTACGGCATGTTCTTGCGGCCAACGGGGGTGAAGCGGGTGGTGGAAGATGCGAAGCCAAAGGCAAGCGGCAAGACGGTGGGAAATGGCGTGGCCGGCAAGCCTAGACCTGGTGTCAATGGTGTGAAGAGGCAGAGTGTGGTTGGAACACCATCGGCTACTCCAACGCCCGCTACGAGGCCGGGATTGAGTGGCATGCGATCGCCAGTCAAGTCTCCCTCCAAGCAAGCTGGCAGCAATGGGATCTCGAGTACATCTACTTCGAGGACGAGTACGCCACCGATTTCTAAGAGACCTTCTACAACAACTGCAGCCGCCACAAAATCCAGGCCGAGCTTGGCGGCTTCCACTTCAGCCGCTGCCCGCCCAACAGCAAGACCTCCCGCAGCGCCATCCACCAATGCAGCCTCGAGACCGTCATTGGCGCCTCCGTCAGCTGCTGTGAGGCTGGCTGCTTCTCGGAATGGTCTGGCAGCAGCATCATCGGCCCGGCCTTCTTCGATAGTCACCCGAGACAAACAGCGTCTCAGCTCCACCACAGAAGAGGCGACAAGCGAGGGGGAAAGTGAGCAGCCTGACGTTTTGTCGCCAAAGGAAAGCGAGAAGTCATCAGAGATCAGCCACTCCAAGAGCAATGGCGCCGCCGAGGAGGAGAAGGATGAAGACAACACCGTTACGCCCGTGTTCGCTCCAGCGGCACCACCCCCTCCTGCACCCGCTGATACCACGCCAGCGTCACCGACGTTTTCGAGACCGCGAAGACCCTCCTCACCCGCCGCTGCATCGGTGCATTCTCAGCGCACCATTCGCAGCACCACCGTGTCAAGTCGGCAGATTGAAGAGCTGGAGGCCAAGATTAGACTGTTGGAGCGCAAGCGCATAGAGGACCGAGATGTGAAGAAGAACCTCGAGCAAGCACGACAAGAGCGCGATCAGTATAAAGGCATCATCGAGAAGCTGCAGACCAAATATCGCCCACAACAGCAGGAGATCGCCGAGCTGAAGCGGGCGCTGAGCGAGGCTGAGAAGAAGGTCACCGATCTGGAGACGACGCAAGCGGAACACGATGGCGTGGTGGAGATGACGACGCTGGATCGTGAAATGGCCGAGGAGGCTGCCGAAGGGTTGAAGGCGGAGCTGGATGCGCTGAGGGCGCAGCACGAGGAGGTGCAGCTGGAGCTGGACATTCTCAAGGAGGAGAATCATGACCTTACGAAAGAGATGAACCCCGAAGAGCGTGAGAGTGCCGGATGGGTGCAGTTGCAGCACAGCAACGACCGACTGCGGATTGCGCTGCTCGCATTGCGAGATCGATCTTTAGACGAAAAGGAGGAGATGAAGTCGCACATCCAAGGTCTGGAGGACCAGCTCAAGGACCTTGAGCCTCTCAAGAACACCAACGAAGAGACACGCGAGAAATTGCTCCGCAGCGAGGCAGATACGGAAGATCTGCGCCAGCAATTGGAAGCTGCTCTGCAAGCCGAAGAAATGATCGAGGAGCTCACCGAACGCAATGGAAGACTGGAGTCGACGGTGGGCGACATGCGCATTGCCATTGAAGATCTTGAGAATCTGAAAGAACTCAACGACGAGCTTGAGATCAATCACATGGAGGCAGAAAAGCAGATGCAGGAGGAGATTGACTTCAAGGACTCCCTCCTGCTTGACCGCGAGCACACGGCGAAACTTCTGCAGGAAGCCCTCGACGGCAAAGACGACACCATCCGCCAATTCCGTAATCTCGTTGGCAACATGCAGGCCGATCTGGCAGATATGAAGGCGAGCAAGCAAATCACCGAGACGGAAGCGAAGGATCTGGAGGATAAGAGCCGCGCAATGCTCGACCTGAATTTGAGGCTGCAGACCAGTGCGGCCAAGACACAAGTCAAGGCCATCGATCTCGAGCTGCGGAAGCTGGAGGCCCAAGAAGCGAGCGAGCATCTGGCCATCGTGCAATTGTTCTTGCCCGAAGCCTTCCACGCCGAGAGGAACAGCGTGCTTGCTTTGCTGCGATTCAAGCGGATCGCTTTCAAGTCAAATCTCGTCCACGGCTTCATGAAGGAGCGTGTGGCATCTTTCGGCACCAGAGGGACAGATGAGGACGTATTTGCCGCGTGCGACGTGTTGGCCAAGCTGACTTGGATCGCCGCGATGGCTGATCGCTTCGTCAATGCCGTTTGCAGCTGCTCTCCCGCCGAGTTTGCCGGCTTTGAGTCGTCGCTTCACGAAACGGAGCCTGTGGAGCGTGCCCTCAACGGCTACGTGGATGCGCTCCGGCGAGACGAGATGAAGGAGCGTGACATGGCCGAGGAGCTGCAAAGGAGCATTGCCGTCATGCTGCACCTTGCTTCATTACACATCAAGGACGACTTGGCAAGCCACGCTGATGCTGTGCTCATGCGACTGCTCGTCTTGCAGTCGCAGCTGGAGAGTGCTGCCACCGCACTACAGACGAGCAAGGTGTTGATCGAAACGAATGTCCCTCGAAATACGGAAGAGGAAGACGACGACGAAGGCAGTGTATCAGATCTCACCATCATTCTCAGCCGGGCGGATACTTTGATCAACCACGCACGAAGCGCAAAAGTGGCTATGGGCAAGGCTCATCGTGCTTTGGCAGACCTCCAAGCCAGATCCCTTACCCTCGAAGCCAGCACTACCGACGGTTTTGAAAAAGCGGAAACGCTAGTGTCGAATGCCGCGGCCTATACCAGGCGTGTTGGTGCAGCTCTGCAGGCTTGCTTCGGAGAAGCGGGTCGCATCGAACCATTCACCGCTGCCGAGGTCGCTGGTGTGTTCTCTTCGACGGCGACAGCAGTCTTCTCCCTCGATACCCCTGAAGCCGGGCCCTTCAACGAACTAGCCAAGCGTATGCGCCAGCTCGTCGAAATCCTCGCAGACCTCGCCGCCCTACCCAACGATCTCGACAACACCATCGAGTTCGAGAGAGCACCACCCCCGTGGGTCGCGCGCGCCAACGAGCTGAAGCAAACCAAGATCACCTCCATCGACACCGAGGCCGAGCTAGCCAGTACTCTCGCCGCCCTTCGCAGCAAAGACACAGAAGTAAAGGAGAAGGAGACCGAGCTCGAAGAACAAAGCGTGCGCATCGAAATGCTAGAAGCGAGGATGAAAGACGCGGCCAAACGCTCGGCGCGCATCGCCGAGCTGGAAAAGGCGCTGCACGAAGCGCGCGACGCCGAGCGCAAAGCACGACAGGAGACGCAGCGCGCGAAAGACGAACAAGAGCGGGAAATGGACCGCGCGAGGGAAGAAATGGGCCGGCTCGGCGAGGAGCGGAGGAAGGGCCTGCGCGGCCTCGGCGGCGACGCGCTCGACGACGCCGCCATGGGCGCCGGCACGCGCATGACGGTGCAGCGGCAAGAGCACAAGCTGCGCGCACTCGAAGGCGCCGTGCGCCATCTCGGCAGCGAGAATCATCGTCTCCGTCTCCCGCCCGTCGACTCCCCGCTCTCGTCGCGAGCCACGCTCGCCTGGCTGCACGAGCCGCTTACGAAACCCGCGCCAGAGCGGCGGAGGCAAGCGGAGAAGGTGCGACAGGAGGGCAGGGATGTGATGCGGCAGCTGTTGGATTTCGCGGCTTTGTCGCCTATGGTGGTCGAGTTGAAGGATGCGGGGGAGAATCGGCTTGCGTGGAGGCCGGCGAGGGAGAGTGGGAGGTGGAAGGTGGAGAGGCGGAAGGAGGAGTGGGAGGTGTGGAAGGATTGGAGGCGGGATGTGGTGAGGTTGGGTGGGAGGGCGAAGGGATGAGGGCGGTTGTGAGTGATGGAGAGGAAGAAGGAGGTTGGTTAAATGTCGCTCCGCTGTGTAGCGCAAGATACCCTTTCAAGATTTCAAGCATGTTGCATTGCGCAACAACACGATTCATTACGAGGAAGAGAAGCGAATACTACAAGGAAGGGTGGAAGGGGAAGTTGGGGACCAAGATGTTGCATTCCGCACGATACTAAGATACAGCACCATGCCAACTACCATGTGCAGGTTGCATGTTATGGAAGAAGCGTCAACGGCAGCATGTACTGTCCACGTTCAGCACAAGCCACCGAGTAGCTCATCAATCTAGACTCAGTCATCCATCACAACCCTCAACGCCATTGCCCTTGGGGTATCATCGTTGTCAATCTTCCGAAAACTCCATTGTCCAGAATCGTGCAGTTGTCGTTCACTCCGAAGCAAAGGGCGTGGGCAGCTTAGCAGCAACCCAGGTGGTGTCCTTGCTGCCCTCGGCTTCCTTGGCGGCGGTGGCCTCCATCATCATCTTCCTGCGCAGGTGAGGTGGGATTGTGGCGGTGGTGCGCTTGGGCTCTTCAACCTGGACGTCTTGGACTTAGTGGACGGCATGACGCTTCTTGTCCACATAAATCTCGATGAAGTTGTGGCCAGTGTGGACTTGGGGCCCGGCGGCGGCGGCGCGCTCTTCCTCCTTCTTGACGGAAGCCTTGAAGGCCTGCGCCGACTTGATGAAGTTTTGGCGAAGCTCCTCGGCCTTGGCATCGTTCTTGGGACGAGCGTCTTGGGCACGGGCTTTGGCAAAGGCGCCGGTGGGGGCGGTAGATGGAATGACCCCGGCGGCCCTCATGGCGGCGAGCTTACGCGCTGGGTAGAGACTGGTGAGGGGCTTGCCCGACTTGCGAGGGTCAAGCTTGATGGTGGGCAGATGGTTCTCGTTCCCAGTCATGGCGGCGTTGTCCTTGTTCATGAAGTTCTCGTTTCCCTTGTCGGCGGCGTTCTTGCTGCGGTTCTCGTGGAGACGCTGAAGCCAGTTGGGGACGCGGGAACCACGGACCCAGATGTGCATGATGGAGGTCTTGTACTCCGTCTCGTGCACGAGGCGCCCGTCCCAGACACGCTCGAGGATCTTGTGGGTGATGGCACGGTCACGAGAGTTGGTGATGGGCTTCGTCGAGAACGGCGGGCCACAGACGAGGGGCTTTGACGGATCCAGGCGGGCAAGGAGCTTGGCGGTGGTGTCAACGTCCAAGGCATTCTCCAGAGCGCATTGGTCCTTCCAGGAGATGGGGGTGGTGTAGGACTTGGTCGTGGTGGCAGTGGAGCCGGTAGAGGAGTCGGTGGAGACGATGGACTTGACCGTAGCAGTGGAGCTGGTGGAGGAGCCAGTGGAGACGACGGAGGCGCTGCGGGCAGCAATGGCCTTGAGGTGCGGGGGGATCGTCTTCCTGAACTCGGGCGCCGTTGGACGCATGGGCGAATTGTTGGGCGTATTGGCCGGGGCGATGTTGGTGGAAAGCTTGATTCCGCTGACGATGTACTCCTTGCCGGCAGTGGGAGAGGTGGGGATGTTGGTGAGAGACATGGTGATGTCGAAGGCTCGGATGACTTGAGTGAGGATTTTGGAGAGGATTGAAGTGTGCAGATTTTCGCCGGGGCAGTTGTAGAGACTTGCTCCGAACTGGGTGGGAATCAGTGTGTGAGGATGAAGATGGGTTTGAAGGTTGTGAATGTTGTGAATGTTGGGGAAAGATGTGTGAGAAGAAGATGTGTGAGAGGAGGAACGAAGATGTACAAGACAGGCGAGGGAGCGAATAGATATACCCATTCGCTCCCCAGCCACCGTCTTTTTGCCATCAATGGGCGACAATAGGAAGGGTTGTCATTGATGGAAAGTCCAAACGTACCGTCGCACAGTGGGGGCGCAGCGAGCGAAAACGCTCTCCCAGCCACCGAGTTTCGCTGAAGATGTGGGCGTCGGCGCCGAGAATGCTGGGATTGACGTGGGCGACGGAGGGTTCGACGCAAATGGTGCACTGTAAGATGCAGCGAGTCAGCAAGTATCCTGTCGCCGTTACTAGAATCACGGTGGTAGGGAGGGATGGATGTGAGAAGGTGTGATGACGGCACGCGTGGCGAAAAAGGGGAGCGAGCGCGCCACGGCTTGTGTAACGTTTGCACGCCACACTTGCCTGCAGCTGAGGCCGTGCCGAGGGAGCCAATCAACACGCTTGCAAATGACTTACGCCGGAGGGTATGTGCTGGAAGTTGATTTGCACGCCAGCATCAGGCACGCGATACTTGATGGCGCTGGAGTGTGCGGGCAGATGCAATCGGAGGGATTCCTGGAGGACGGCGTAGAGCAGTGGCATGCTCGCTTTCGTCTGAATCAGGTCTTTGATTTTCGCCTGCTCCGCGAGGCCAACACTGTCCATCTCGTTACGTAGCCTTTGAACCAACCCAGGATCGCTGTAGATGTACCATAGCGACGAGACCAGATGCACAATGACCGGATCTGATCCCGCGAGCAGGAGCGCGATGCACGCTTCTTGCGTGTGACCACTTGGCGCTTCTGTCGCGTCTTGTGAAGGGGTGTTCGAGGTGGCGTTCAAGTGTTCACCGACTATCTCCTGCAGGTCAGTGACTCTCAACAGGCGAGATATCTTAGTGAGTAAGGGTTGTAGGCGAAAGTAGCCACCAGACAGGACAGCATGAAGCTTCCAGTCCTTTAACGCTTTCCCAATCTTGGCAGCACGGAGGGGCTTCCGAAGAAATGTGGGTGGATGGGAGGCAGTAGTGGCGAACATGACATCGTATGCGTAGCGTGCGATCAGCTCAGCAACGTTGAACTCTTCTCCGCTGCTCGAGAGAGCATGCAAGGCCTCCATGAACGCATCGTTACATGCCTCGATGTCGGCCTCGCGGCGGAAGATGTTGGCCATGCTGCAGATGTCGGCCAGGATGGGGGCGGATTGTGAGGGCACGCGGTGATGCACGGAGGCATATGGAGGCGAGATCTGGCAATATCAGCACCTGCCTGCGCGACTATCTACCCGAGGGACTGACCTTTTGAAGACTACAGCGCCAAAGAAGCCCGGCATCATCGACGCTGTACTCCCTCGGGCCGATTTGAATGAGCGGGCCGTGCTGGGCGTGAAGCTCACGGAGTTGTTGCTTGTACGTGCCCTTGACTACGTGAGTGAACTTCCACAGCCTCGTAATCTTGGCGAGTCGTGGGCCGGGGACGTTGTTGGTGAGGTTCGAGGCTATGGTAGTGAGGCTCACGAGTAGCCAGGCGAGGGCAGCAGCAGATCCGAGAGAGACGAGAGCGGAGGCAATTGAGGCGAACATTCCGACTCCGCAGCCCAGGCTCGTGCAGATGTATGATCCGAGGTTGGTGACTTCGCAGATGAATGCGAAGCTGACGAGGCTCAGGGCAAAGACGATCTGCCGGGAGGGAGGCGAAGGCTTGCTTGGAGCACTTTGGCACGGTGGGGCAGCATGTCTCTGTCGTCCATCCATCGTTGAAGTGTTTGAGGTGTGTGAAGATGGGAGAAGGAGTGAAGGGTGGGTTGAACGCAATGCAATGGAAGCCGTAGATTGTGCATGGAGGAGAGGTATAGGAGCTGAAGTTGAAGGCTACTTGTACTCACGTGATGGCAGCAAGACTACGCGTGTATAGATGGTCTGAGGCAAGAGCGAGGGATGAGAGCATGTGACATTCAACCTGGAACGTGGGAGGGGAGGGACATCGCACTCAAAGAGCAGTGAGGGGGAACTGATCCGTGGAATACATTGGAGCAACGAAAGCCGCATATGACCAAAGGTCGTTCAAATTCCAGCAGTGCGTGATGCAATGGCGATACTTCTCACGCCAGACACCAGTGCCATAAGCACATCCGCACCTTCGTACATTCTAGGAAGGAGCGAGATGAAGTTGAGATCCCTGTCAAGTCGCGGTGGTCCAAGCTTCGGCCTTACATCAGCATCTTCGCCGGCTTCGCTGACGTCTTCGAGACTCTGAGATACTTAAGAGTTGGCCACACCTACTCACTTTCCTTTCGATCCTTTGAAAATTATTCCCCTCATCGAAAATGTATTCACTCTCCCGCGCAAGCCGAACAATCAGACCGGCCTTCTCCCGCCGACCCTTCTCATCATATCGAGCCCTGCAATCCACATGGACTCCCGGGCCATCGCCACCGAAACTCCCCAAAGAAGAGCAAGAGGTGTTTGAGAAGCTGCAGCAACAGTCCAGGGGCGCCTTCAGTACGCCGAGGGAGATCCAACCCAAAGCGGAAGCGAGAGACGCCCAAGCCGGGGTCATCGCCGAGTCACTTGAGGGACAGTCGAGATCAACAGAAGCGGAGAAGATGCTCGAGCAGCTTCGAGAGCGGGCGAGGGTAGTGGCGCAGGGAGATGGCGAGGAACTACACCCGAATGTACGCAGAGGAGCTGCGCCGGAGTTCGCTGGCGATACGAACCCCAAGACTGGTGAGGTGGGCGGGCCGAAGAATGAGCCGTTGCGATGGGGCGTGAACAGTGATTGGAGTTATAATGGACGAGTCACCGACTTTTGACGGCTCTGTATCATGGCTTGTCTTCATGCAAACCTCACATCTTGGCTGGCACCGGATCAATGTTAAACTTCTGGTGCTCGCACGTGCATATCAACGCCCGGTCGGACTCGCGCACGAGCTTCGCCGTTATCAGGCACATGGCCTTGCCGGCATGCACAATCTGTGTACTTCGGCGTCAGAACATCAAACAACAACCAAAAATGATGGCTTGCGCAACTCACCTCGCATTCCATCAGCAACACCTCGCCCTCTGCAGCCGGGCGGAGATACGTGACGTTCAAGGTCCTCGTCGTCCCAAAATGCCACCAAAAATCCCTCCTCCGGATCATCTGCAGCATGATGCTGGTGCCAGTATCAAACATGGAGGCCGCCATGCCGCCTTGCAGTGTGCCTCCGGGGTTCAGATAGGTGCGCTGGACGGTGAAGCGGTAGGTGACGCGTGCGGTGGTGTTGGACGTTTTCACCGCTTCCACCACCTCGGCGGCTTGTAGCCAGGAAAGCAGGGCGCTTCGTTCATGGACCTTGGCGTCTTCTTCAAGCTAGATCATCACCACGTAGCCATCAGCTCAGGCGTCTTCTCATGCCGAGGGGTGAGGGCGCGAACGAATTTGGTAAAGCCTCCCTTGAGCACATCGTTCTGCACCCTTTCCTTGGTGTTTCCACCCGGGTTTTCTCCCTGCCACCAATCCGCCTTCCTCGGTCGCATAGTCATCTCACTGACGCCTTCCGATTTGCCTATTCGGTCTGCCAATTACCGCGCGCTCGCCTGCTTCGTTCGTTGCCGATTGTATGTCTCCGCAGCTGCGCCCCGAGGCAGAATGGAAGGAAGAAGTGCTTTACACAAACATGTACGCCAGACCTGTTGAGTTGAAGAAAATCGCAAAGCAGAGCTGAGAGTTGCCTATTGGTTGGCCTTATATCGAGAATGTGCTGACGGAGGTTCGGGTAGTTGGCCTTCCTTCGGTCGACAAAAGCGGGTCTGTCAATCCTCCAGCTGAAGGCCATGACATGAGACGGGCTTCGATCATGCTGACTGTGCGTGACAAACAACAGTACGCATCTTCCTCCTACAGCTTCCTCGCCACTTTCAGCCGCGCAATATCAGCCTCAACCTTCTCCGTCTCCTGTAGAATGTCTGCATACTCCCTCGCCAGGCCCTGCATGCCCGCCACCTTCCCATACGCCTCCAGCTTCTCCTCCACCTCGGCCGTCTTGCGCTGAACGCTCCGCCTCTCCACCCGCATCGACTCTCCTCTCTGCCTCAACGCTGCCAACACTTCCGGCGAAAGCAGCTGAGACACGAGCTGCGCGTGCTGAAGGCGTAGTTTCTTGTCCATGCCTTCCGCGACCAGCGCCAGATAATCGGCCTTGGCCCTCGCTCCGCGCGCCGCCGCGCCGTGGATGACTTGCTCGAGGACGTTGATGCTGCGTTCGCTGATCTGCCGGTACACGGTGTGCAGCTGCACCGCTTCTTCCACCAGTTTGATGCGTGACTCCGTGAGGCGGGATTCAGAGGCCGAAAGGGTGTCTTTGATGTTTGAGATGGCGGGTGGGAGATGTTGCACAGGAGGCGCTTCCTCCTCATCCAATATCAATGCCAATGTTTGAGCATCCCGTCGGAATTGCTTGGTTAAAGCAGTGTTGATCTGCTCAAGATTGTCCTAGTACATGTGTTAGCACTGTCATCATTGAATGCACAAGGGGCAGAAGTGCTCACTTGGAAGTTCGTAACATCGTCCCGCAACAAGTATCTATCCTCCTCTGCTATCTGGCCATCAAGAAAAGCAGCCACGACAGCAACGAGTCGTTGTAGCTATAAAGGCCGTCGTCAGCACATGCGTCGTCGGCGTCAAACGGGACAGCGGCCTCGCTCACCTCTTCCGGCAACTCGCCAGGTCGGTATGACAGCTCGCGCAGGCGGAGGATGACCATTTCTCTTTTCGCAGCTTCTACCCGCGCTTTGTAGAGGTCCTATTGCTCTGCATAAGTGAAGGCTCTCCATTCCTCGCCGGCGGGACGACGATACGTGAAGGCGAACTTACGTGGCCGACAGCATCTCGGTCGCGCTGGGCCTTCGCGGGAAGCTGCGACGTGCCATCTGCATTTAACTTGTTGCTACACAGATCGCTGTAGAGGGCATTGAACTTGGGGTTGGACGACAGCGTGTTGGGATCGATTAGGGCGAGCATTGTGTGTTGAGGAGGTACGTGAGTGTGAGTCCAAAACAAAGGTCCGGGAGGTCTGAAGTGGGAGGGAAATTTACAGATAGTTCAAGCAAGGTGTCACTCAACTAACACGAAATCAAATATAACACGCCTCCGCGCCTAGTTCCAGAGTGAGGAGAGGTTTTCAAACAAGGTATGTAGCTATACTACACAATATCTTCGGCGGACGAGCCTCACCATGAAGACTACGAAAACCACATCCACCTCCATAAGCTGTGTGAATACCACGGTCGCCCGGAACGGATGGGATACTTCTTGAGCTTTGCTCGTCGGTACGTCTTGCGTTCCGTTAATCATGTACAACGAAGTGACCATATGACCCAATAGGTGACCGCTTGCTTCACCCAATCGGCGAGAGTTGACGCGGGTTGAGATAGTAGCCAAAACCAGAGCGAAGGCGAGCGCAGTCAAGACATCCAAGTGACAATCCACGGAGGCTCGAGCTTAGAGTAGCAGCTTCAGTGGCCGAGAGCACCATAAGACGTGGCTGCATGCACCAAAAACAGGCTTGACATCGCACGTTTGTCGCAGACCAATATCGATCGATTGTCAAGACACGGCCAGTGGTGGGGTGTCACGGCGGAGACGGTTCAAGAGCACGCCACGCGGAGGACACATGGCCAACGAGACGACGTTCACCAGGCTGGCGATTGCAAAGTGATCATGAAGTCCAGTCACACGGCTTTCACAGCACGCGGGTCACACATGCATGTTCAATCACTGAGTGCCGGGCGCAGGCGGCGGTTGCTGTCCCAGGTTCGCCATCTGCTGCGCATACCACTGATACACGGCTTGCTGCCCACCCCACGCGGCATATGGGTCACTGGCATTGGGATCACTCGATTGCTGCTGAGCAGGCGCAGCAGCCTGGTACGGCATCTGGAACGCCGGCTGCTGCGGGGCCGTGTAGTTGCCGTCGGGCGGCACATACTGTCCGTAGCCTTGCGCGGCGGGCTGCTGTTGTGAGTAGTCGTGGTACTGTCCTCCACTCGAATCGCCGCCTCCTCGCCCGGCAGCGGCATCGCGCTGACGGACCGTTTCCACCTTCTCCCAGATTATACGTTCCGCTTCTGCCATCGCCCGTGCCGTGCCTGCGAGGTCGATCTTCCTCTCGTGATCCGGGGGAGTGGGCGAGTTGACATTGATCTTGCATCCAGTCGTCCGCTGTGTATCCTTGATTGTCTCACCACCTTTGCCGATAATCATACCCACCGCCTCGGATGGAACCCGGATCGACTTCTCAACCCAGTCACGGCCACCGGCAGCTGATCCACCGCGTTGCTGTTGTTGGCCATAGTCCTGCTGTCCGCGATCACGTGGGGCAGACGATTGGTTAGTAGACTTGCTGTCGCTCTCGACGATCTCCAAAATCAATTCCTTGGCCAGTGCGGTTGCCTGATCGTCGCCAATCAAGTTGATTGGGCGTAGGCCGTTGACGCTCTTGTTCTCCCCAACAATGTTAACATGACAACGACTGCGCTCCTGTAGGTCCTTGATAGTCTCGCCACCGCGGCCGATGATAAGGCCTACCGTCTTATCCGGCACCATGATCTGGGTGCTCCTCTCGCCCTCTCGTAGCGCTGGAAGGTTCACTTTGGCTCGTCCGGGCATGCCAGCAGTGTACGCTCCCTTCTCCTGCATGAGGTTTTGCCCGCCGTTCTCATCGATGATGGCATAGATTGCAGCCTTGGCGGCCTCGCGAGCGCGAAGAGGACCAGAGATGGTGCACTGTCGCTCGGTGGCGCGCGAGTCTTTGGCTGGAATGAACTGCACTCGCGCTCCGGAGTCCGCTTCGACTTTGCGCAGGCTCTCGCCAGCGCGACCAATGATCAGTCCGACCAGGGATCCCTTGACATGTATGGTCTCTGAGTCGCCGTCGGAGCCACCACGGTAGCCCCCCTCCCTGCCGCCGCCACGTGTATTCTGATCAGGGGATGGAGAGCGGCGGTAACCGCCGCCTCGCCGCGCGTCTTCACGCCGCTCATCGCGATACGGATTGCCGCTATAGGCATCGTGGCGCTGCGGTGACCGCGACCTTGAGCGTTGATATCCGCGGCCTGCAAGTCGTGGGTCATCGCGCGGGGCGCTGGAGGATGATGCCGACCGCGGATCGTAGGAAGGAACGCCTCTATTGGCTGCGATGCTTTTCGCCTTCGCAATGGCATCTGCTATACTTACGGAACCGCTGTTGACGGGTTTTATTGAGCTCAGATCGACGCTGCCGGTGCTGGAAGGCTGGGGTAGGTAGCTGGCGCCGTGGGGTGGTGCATTGGGCAGCTGGCCTGGCATAGGCCCAGGGGGGTAGCCCGGCGGGGACGCGTGGCTAGGCGGGGGCTGGTATTGCTGGTTCGGGGCTTGCGGTGTGCCATTTTGATTCTGAGCTATGGACAAGTCAGTGACGCGCTTCATTGCGGCCAAGTGAAGAGAGGGCGGACCAAGAGCAGCCAGGATTTGGGAGATGTCGGGTTGCGCCATGATTGCGCGATGTCAGATACCTTCGCGTCGTCCTCGTATGCGTGGAACACCGTGTGGATCGGGGCGAATCGAATCTTGCTGCGTGCGCGCTGGGAACAAGAGAATGCAGTAAAGCCTGATGCGAGTAAAGGGCTACGAGTGAGAGATGCACGGAAGAGGTTTCGCAACGCCGGTGCACAGACCGCCATATCAAACTCTATTGCCAACCGCTCGGTCTTGGCGCTATGTCTGGTTAGGTGAACGTGAGACCAGCCCTACACCAGCTCTCCCCAAGTGATTGTCAAATTACGAACAGCAAGCTCGAGCATGTATCGGCAGTGATTCCATCAGCAGCAGGGTAATTGATCACCCCATCGCGTTCACGAACAGAGTGATGACCTTACTTCGCCCTCTGCCTTGACTCAACTTCAACCCGCCAACATGACCGAAAGCAAGGCTCTCATAGTAGGCATTTCCGGCGTGTCGTCATCTGGGAAAACGACATTGGCTCGCCTGCTTCGCGACATCTTCCCCAACAGCTTTGTCCTCCACGAAGACGACTTCTACAAACCGGATGCCGAGATACCCGTCAACGAAGCGGCCGGCGGAGTGGCGGATTGGGATTGCTTGGAAGCCATCAACTTGCCCCAGTTCGAGAAAGCGCTATCTCACATTAGAGAGCATGGCATGCCGCCACCCGATCTAGTGTCGAAGGAAGACAAGAACTCTGTCGGTCAAGTCGACGTCGACCGAATAGTCGTGGATGACTTGGAATGGAAAGCCGGGCGGTGGATGTTTGAGGATGTCCCGCCAATCGCCATCATCGATGGGTTTCTGATGTACGCCGAAGGGATGAAGGAGGTTCGCTCGCTCTTCGACGTCAAGCTGCTGCTGCGGACAGACTACCAGACAGCAAAGGCTCGACGAGAAGCCCGCTCCGGATATGTAACGCTCGAGGGCTTCTGGGAGGACCCCCCTGGCTATGTGGACAAGGTCGTCTGGCCCAACTACGTAAAAGACCACGCTTTCTTGTTTAAGGATGGAGATGTCGAGGGTGAGCCGAAGCAGGACCTTCTCGAGCAGTTGAACATCCAGGCCATGCCGCCAGCAACTCAGGGAAGCATGACAGAAGTACTCAAGTGGGCATTTGATGTGCTGGAGGCTGCGTTGAGCCCACGCGATCGATAACGCTGCTGAAATGCATTCTATCATTTAGCGGCCCAAGCGGCTGCATCTGCGACGACGACTCTTGCAATCCGTTTCAGTTCCGTCTTGTACTGAACTTCCCTGTACTTGGCAGCGGCTTGATCCGCCTCATCTTTCACGTCGAAACTCAGCGTCTCGTAGCCCTGCTTGATGATCTTATTCACCTCTCGCGGGCTCAAATGCTGCTTCTTCGAGCGTTGGCTCTCGATCATCTCTTTGTAGTGCTGCGAGACGGAGATCAAAGTGTTGATCGGGCTCCTCTCCGATCCTGTGGCAATGGAGTAGGTGTCGCGAAGCTTGACCAGCACTTCGCCGGACTCGACCAACTTGTAGAATAGATCATCATAAGCCGCCGCGTCGGGCAAGAAATTCTCGCCACCGGTTAATGCGATGATCAAGACGTCCATCAATGCGTGCACGACTTCTGTGGCACGACTTAGTCTCCGTACATCTTCTTCGTACGCCGTCAGAAAGCGCACAAAGGAGAGCAACGAGCGCCAGAGTTCGGACCAATGATAGGTGAATTTGGTGCGAGTCTTGGCAAGGTATGTGAGCAGCCGACTGAGGACTATGAGACTTTGCAGGTAGAAGTTGCTGTCCAGCTTTTTCCGGAGGTTATGATTGATTCCGTCCGTCAAGAGGTCGATGATGGCTGTAGCGTAAGTTCGTTCCCCGTTGATTGCAGGCAAGAGCGGTGGCCGTTGTCTACACAGCCGCACCGGTGCTGAGGTTTCGGAGAGCAACTTGGCTGTGGTAGTATCCTCCACGAGTATCAGGAGTACCAATAGCGTGAGATACGCATAAGTCGACGCTCTCGAAGAGCGGAATGCGTGCTGGTAAAGATATGAGTTGAAGGAGACGAACATGCTAAAGGGTGGCGGCTGTGAGCCATCGAGGCTCGGCGTTGTGACGAAGTGATGGCTGAAGAGTTTGTTGCAGAGGACGAAGTCGTAGAGGGTGAGAAGTGTGGATATTTCCAGGCCAGGCCTAAGAAGGTCAGCGTTGATGGCACCCACGTAGTTGTACAAATACATACTGTTCCGCAAGCAGCTCACGTTGTTGAGGCTCAGGGAGCACGGGTGAGGCTGGCTTCGCGCCAGCAAGCTTTCCAAGTCCAACGTAAGAGAGCGTGCCACTGACGCTCCACGCAATCGGCGTATCGTCTTGGATGACGATATATTGCTGGCGTAGATTTGCGCTGGTGCTCGAGATTGCCTGAATGATGCTTTTCATGGCCTCGTCATGTACAAAATCTGCAAAGCGAACGCTGTACTGGTTCTGAACCTCGAACTTGTTGTAATTGGCAAGGAGACCGGCAAGGAGGAGCGGCTCTGCTGCATCTGGCGGATGTTGGAGTTGGTTCACCAACTGCGCTTCGTCAGTACGATCATGGCTTAGCACGCTTTCATGCACAGAAGAATTCATACCTTCATGAGAGCTGGGAAGAAGTCTCTGTTGATGAAATAAGATACCAAGACGGTTTGATAGGCGCCCGAGACGACCGCGAGAGTTGTTCGAACGGCTTTTTGTCGGATCTCATCTATGCCACTCATGAGCGCAGTCCAGAGCACATGCATATCAGACTTACTTACAGCTTCCACCGTCTTTGATACAGTGATCGAGCGTCGTTACGAGCTCGGTAAAGACGGCATCGACATCGTCCAGTCCAGCCAAGACTTCGATGATGTCCGAACTGGGGTTGGTGTATTTCTTTGCCAGGACGACACTGAAGAACACTGCCAATGTCTAAGTCATAAGTTGCCATGTCTTTCACGCATCACACCCGGGCGACATACATCAAGTGCATTTTCCGTTCCTGATTGCTCGCCGGATCTGATCTGCGCTATGGCATGGATGAGGAGCTGTTGCGATTGGTGCTATCGGCGACTTTAGTGTCAGAAATAGGCGCAGCATACTCTTGTAATTGAAGGCAAAGGCTGACCTGGATGCTCAGGAGAAAGTCGGGGCCGGTATCCGCCAAAATCTCACGCAGCCTCGTGATCTCGGGCCTCAAGAGGAATAGTTCCTTCCAATAGCCTTCTGCTCTCTCATCATCGTCGATTTCCTGGAGTCACTCAGCTTAGCCCAATAACAACAATCACGGAATAGTGCAAGACATACTGGGAAGAGATTACGGTAGAGGCCGACGACCTTGGGCTCGAATACGTCCGGCCGCACATCCTGGGTCAAGGGGGATTGTTCGATGGTCGCCTTCTGCGGCAGTCCTGCTGGCGACAGTGGCGCGACTGCTCCTACAAAAGAGAGGCGATTCTCACGCCACTCTGGCTGAAGTGCAAGCCTCTTGGGCTGCGGGGCATTCGGTCGATCCATGCTTCAAAGAAGAAGAGGATGCGGCGGATGTTGAGAGAGTTTGAGGCCCGATCCCTGGCGCGCTAGTGGAGGGCAAGAGAGACAAGCCAACGTGGCGCGGCGGCGCGCGCCTCCCCGACTCCGAGCCGTCGCCGGTGACGTTAGACTTCGCCTTGACGTGAAGCTTGATTTGGGGTCATGAACGTGCATAAAAGTCATAGGCGTCGTCAGGTTGTGACATCCAATCTACGCCAGCTGCAATCGTCTTGATCAAACCGCTTTCAAGATGGCTGGTTTATTGAAGAAGTTCCAGAATGCTTCTATCGCCGACAAATCAGCAGAAGCGGAAGAGGGAGAGTCGTTGACCACAATCTTGACCACCGTCGAGGACCGCTCTGCCTTGACAGTCTTGGTCGCCGAGTGTACAGAGGCAATGCGTCAGACATTGCTAGCCACATTCGACGCCAAAGAGACTGGCACCACCTCGGATCTCGTTGCCAATATCAAACCCCAGGATGATGCGTCCACTTCTAAACCAACACCTTCCGAGGAAACTCCAGAGCAAAAGGCCCAAGCGCAACAAGATTTGCAGCGGAGGGAGAAGGAACTCAGTGCTACCAAACTCCAGGAATTAAAGGAGGCTGCATTGAACTACTTCGACCAGTGGAACAGCGCCGTACTGGGGCGTGTCGGAGAAGCCATCAACTCGAGAGCAGAGCCGCCACCACCAAAAGCAGCGAAGCCGCAATCACCTCACGAAGAGACTCCACCTGGCGCCGTACCGCCTCAACGCTTCCAAGATCCTTCCGAGTATGATGTAGACGTGGACAAAACCCTGGTGGAGCAATATCCGCCCGTCCAGACGTCGCTCAGCCAACTACAGTCCGAAAAGAAAGCACTCATCATTCATTCTGTTTTATTACTACTGCTCAGCCTCGAGCACTATCACGCACACTCGCGCGTCCTACTGCTCCATCTCACGACAAGTCTAGGCCTTACGATCAAGCACCTTGCCGCCGATGAAAACAAGGTGGCTCGCGGACTCTTGGCCGTGGCCGAGAATCTGCAAGCAGATGAGGAAACCAAAAAGCAAGCAAAAGAGAACAAGTCTGCTCGCAAGTGGAAAGTAGGCCTGGCGGGCGTGGCTGGTGCTGCTTTAATCGGCGTAACGGGCGGTCTCGCGGCGCCCCTGCTCGCAGCTGGACTCGGCACCGTCATGGGTGGTCTCGGCCTGGGAGCCACGGCTGCTGCGGGATATCTGGGCTCTCTAGCTGGCAGTGCTGTCTTGGTTGGTGGATTATTTGGAGCTTATGGTGGTCGAATGACTAGTCAAATGATGGACAAATATGCGCGCGAAGTGGAAGACTTTGCCTTTGTGCCTGTTCAGTCGACGCATCGCCCGCGGAAGATTGAGAAGGAGTACAGGCGCCTGCGAGTGGGCATCGGCATCTCCGGTTGGCTCACCAACAAGGAAGATGTCGTTGAGCCGTGGAAAGTCATCGGAGTCGAATTGGAATCTTTCGCCCTGCGATGGGAACTCGAGGCTCTCATGAACCTGGGCAACGGCTTGTTGACTCTCGTCAAGAGCGCAGCATGGGGCTTTGCGAAGCGGGAAATCATCAAGCAGACGGTCTTTGCCGCTTTGATGGCCGGACTGTGGCCTCTGGGCCTTCTCAAAGTCTCGCGCATTGTCGAGAACCCATGGTCAGTGGCTTCCTACCGTGCGCAGAAGGCCGGTGAAGTGCTGGCAGATGCTCTCATCAACAAGGCCCAGGGTGAAAGACCGGTCACTCTGGTGGGCTACAGTCTCGGTGCAAAGGTGATCTACACGTGCTTGCAGCGACTTGCGGAGCGCAAAGCATTCGGACTGATCGAGTCGGTGGTGCTCATCGGCTCACCATCTCCCGCGGCGTCCGCTGACTGGCGGGTCATCCGGACGGTAGTAGCTGGCCGTGTCGTGAATGTGTACAGCACAGAGGACTACCTGTTGGCCTACCTTTACCGGACAGCAAGCATTCAATACGGCGTTGCAGGCCTGCAGGCGATCGAAAACGTCAAAGGCATCGAAAACATCGACGTCACCAGCATGAGCAACGGCCACACCAACTATCGCTTCTTGACCGGCCACATCCTCAAGAAGATAGGATTTGAGAATGTGGACATGGAGCAGCTCAGGAACGAGGAGAAGGCACTGGAAGAAGAGCAAAAGAAGGAAGAGCAAGTGGTGGAGGGTGGGGATAGCCAAAATGGCGACGTTAGCGAGGAGTACGTGCAAGGCCTCGAGAAGGAGGTGGAGCAGAAGAACGAGCAGTCGTACATGGGCTGGGCGCAGGAGAAGATGATGGCTGCCGGTACGAGTGCATCGGCGGCTTACGAGAAGGCGAGGTCTCAGATTCAGGGCGGGCAAGGAACGAAAGACCACTCTCAGGAACAGAGCAGAGGGGGGTTGCAGGCACGTGAGGCGGCTTGAGTGCGAGTCTTATCGCAGATACCAGCAGCCAGCCTGTGCCTCTTGCCCAAGGATGTTGGGAGTTGGCCTGCTGCTCCTACATGAAGGCACGCACCTCGAACTGCCCCAGATGCACTTGACAACTCGACGCATCGCGAGTTCCGCTAGTGCTCATCACACCGATATCCCGCCGCAATGCCAACACCACTCCACGATCCTGGTCGAAGGCCATTCAGTCTGCATATCAATCTCAATATTCATCAAGCACCTGTCGCAGCGCAATGATGCTCAGCCAGACTCTTCCTGCACAACATCAAGGTGCATCCACGCCAACTCTCAATGCAGCAACACCCACCCCGACTCCTCCATCACGGTCTCACAATTCACTTACCCCGATACTCCACGAGGAGCGAATTGCAAGCGGAACCTCACTATATAACCAGCAAAGCAACGCCAATGGGCATGATTCCGCGAATGCGATGGTGCCAACCTTTCGTGCGGGATCTCGAGGGGATGGCAGTGAGGGAAAGGGTGACGGCAATTTGACTCTCTGCCTGCGTTGCATATACGTCTATGGATGGTTCACGATCATGGTGGTGCTACTGGTCGTGGCTGTACTCGTTTGCCTTCGTCCCAGCAAACGTGAACGCAGCTATGAGAGCAGCATGGGCGGAGTGCAGCCTGTTTTGCGGATGGGGGTAGTCTGAATGGTGGTGCCCCTGAACCCAATTCGAGGCCTCGAGAGTGAATAGTGCAGACATTCATAGCCAAGAGAGAAAGAGAAGTCTATTCGTTATCAGCGTACAGAGGCCAACTCTGCTATAGTTAAGCCCCAATGTGTTCGGCACAATAATAACACATGGCCCGCCAAACGTGAAGCACTTTTCCTCCAATCGCTCCTCCCAATCATTCAAGATGTATCACATTCCCCCGGTCTATTCCCGCTTACTCTTCCACCAAGCTCCACAGTCCAATCCCACCCGCCACAAACATGATGGCGCTCCTCAGCGTGTTGAGCGAGTTCCACTTGCGCAGAAACTCGACGGCATTCCTGCGCTCCGCATGCCGATCGAGCGGCGCATCTTCATACGGCTCCGGCTTCTCCTCCACACCACCAATCTGCGCAATCTTGTGGTCAATCGGCACCATCAGGGCGCCGGTAAAGGGAAAGATGGAAGCAATCAGCACCGCGACCGCCGTCCACTTGTAGCCGGCAAACGACGCGCCGAGCTGGCGGTAGTGGTACGCGAGGTAGCCCGAGGCGGCAATGGATAGGAGTTCGGGCGGCACCTGGGTGGCGAAGGCGGTCTTGGACATGTTGACGAACTGCTTGGCGGGCATCTGGTAGCCCTCGTTGGCGGCGGCGTGGGCGGCGGAGATGTTGCCGCCGTCGGGATGGGGCGTCAGGCGCCCGCTCTCCAGCCGGCTCATGCTGGGGCGCGTGGAGGGCATGGTCTGCGCGGCTTTGATGAGGTTGGGGATGAAGGAGAGGGAGGTGTTGGCCATGCCGCCGGCGATGAGCAGCGTGCTGCCCGTCACCGCGGCTTTGATGCCGAGGATGGTGGTGGTGTCTCGGGGAACGATGGCCATGGTGGTGGGAATTTGACGCGAATGGAGGTCGAGGTGGTGTGTACAGGGTGGGTGAAGGACGGCTTGCACGGTGTGAGGATGGAGGAGGTGTCTTGGTATGGTGGATAGGGGTCCGGCATCGCATGTGAAGGCATTGACTAAGCGAGCACGCCCCGGCCGTCTTCCAAGCGAAGGGCCGAAACACCGCCGCTGGCATTGGCATTGGCATCATGTACCCGTACTCTCAACCGAAGATACCAAATGAGGTAGGAAGTGGTATGGCCATTCGATCAACTCGATCAACTGGTACCTTAAATGCTAAGCAAATGACGCTGCAAAGCCTTTCGTGACATCGTGAGCTCGTTCTCGTCGTGTTCATCATGTCATCCCATCGCACAAAATCACAACGCCACTACCCATTGTCGCGCCTTTGCTCAATCGGACCCGAGAGTCCATACCCATTTCTGCCGTTTAGCTCGGCCAGCGACCGGCGTGGTAGGACAAGCGCGATCGTCGGTTTCCTCGAGATCGAATGAAGCGCGCTTGATGCCCGGGCGAGGCACCGCCTTTGCTGCCTCCTGCACACCATCCCTCGCTCGAGCTGGTTCTTCTGTTGCCAATTCCTGACTTCTGGAGCGTGACGCCTCAGAGACAGACATCAGTGCCGGGGACTGACAAATGTCGGAATGCTTGAATGTATACATCGTGGTCTTGATGTCTTCGGTTAGATCGATTCGGAAGGCGACTCGTTTGGGCGACGATGCTCGTGATCGCGATGATTCCGAGTCCTGACTGCCTGGTCGCTTTATCGGCCCGTTGGTCAAAATGGACGATGTGTTTTGCGGTAGGATGTATGGGATTTGCGAGGGCAAGGAAGCGACGGGCGACGCAGTGAGCACTGAAGCATCGGGAATCCCATGGCATAACACGCTCTCTGCCGTGGGTTGGCTGGCTGAAATAGGCGACATGTTGGTCAGGAGAGGCGTCAGCGTGACTTTCCCGCGCGTTGCATCATCCTTCGCCTTTGCTCCGTCTCGGTTCTGAAACGTGTTGCGAGCTGTCGGAGAGGTGGCAGACAGAGTTTCCAGTCTCAAGCTCGTCACGCCCTTGCCAAAGCCAGAGGGGACGGTGGAGGTGTTGAGGCTCAGCTTCGGTCTTTTGGATGCTGAGGGAGACGCTGCCAGAGCTTCCTGAATCGATGTGCGGCCAGAGGTCAGCGGGGTTGAAGGAAGCAAGGCCAGGGACATGGTGCTTGAGAAAGAGGACACAGGTGTGTGGAGCTCGGGTAGAGTCTGATGTCGTATGACGGCGAGCATGTTTTCTGATCAAGCGGTCCAGCGAGGTGTGGCACAGCGCGAGTGTGAAGGCTGATTTCCGATCCTCAATCCATAGCAAAGGGAAGAGTACCACGTTGCTGCATGCACGCCGGGGGCGTGATGAGAAGATGTATATGTATCAGCCATCAAAACCAGCGGACCCCGACATGGGAATAGATATATAATCGTTGGTGATCAGCAAGCGCCTGCAGCGCTTCCCAGGCCCTGTCACCAGCTGGTGGCGCGTTGGTGCGCAGAGGGCCGAGGCATGCTATTTTTGCGACGGCGTCCCGCCGAGCGGCCCGATGGGGGCAGGTCTGGGGTACGCCAAGAGAGCCGCCTTGCCGCTTTGGACGAAAGGTCCGAGCCAGAACGCGAGAGGCAGGCAAGCCTTGCCGGCCGCTTGGTCACGCATCAGCTGCTGCGGAGGAGCTGCTTGCGTAATGTTTGGTCGAGAGTTGTCAGACCTGCAGCAGGCACTCGTGTTCAGTTCACTTGCTGGAATGCGCAACGCGAGGGTGGCAAAGCCAAGAGCTTGCGTCGAGGCAGGCGTGGCGCGGTAAGACAATTGCGCAAGGTCGGTTGGAGAGCGTTGAACGCGCCCGGCAGAAGCCGTCGCAGATCGCCGCGCGCCACGCCACGAAAGCCTCTCCTTGCCGACGTTGAATAATGTGAAAGACTCGTCGTCACCCCAGAATGGCCCGTGTGCGATTGCCCCAGATTGTGGAAAACGAGGAACAAGCACTTTGAATCGAGGGGAGGCGTGGCATGATCGTATTCAACGCCGATGGACAGACAGAGGCTCGGAAGAGACATCTGCCGGATCGTGGTTTGTAGCGGGTAGGTACCTTCCGAAGCGTCAGGTATACATGAGTCCGGCGGCAAGCACTTTGACTCGTCGATCAGTGCCTCGTGCAAAGTGGCCAACGTTACTATATGTGTCAAGAGAGAGGGAGGCGCCAGAGTGCGTGACAAACACGAATTGTTTGTCGCTTGCCTGCATCAATGACCTGGGAGAACGGCCATCGCGGGTGGTAAGTGTCCAGTTTGACATACTACATATCCCACAGATGGAGGAGTTCGACATTCTCAGTCTGGCATGTTGTATGTGCTGACATTCAAGGATGAAGGAGAGGAGTTGTACACTTGCATGAGGCGGACATGAAAAGCTTAGGTAATTCCACGTGAGTTGCTAATTGGGGTTAGACTGGCAAGGGGCCGGAAGCATGTCTGAGGCCGCCAATTGAATACGAGTCGGGACCCCCTGAAATGAGAACCAGCCTCCTTCTCGCGCGCCCAGGACGGGTAAACCGCTAGTATGATTACCGGAACGAGAACCCTCCTTCTCTTCCCTCACCCATTGTTATCCGTCCCGTCCTCCCTTTCTCTTCCTACGCTCCCCACCCTCGTTTTGGGCAGCGACCACGACATCCTGCCTCTCACACACCCTCCTTCACCACACCCTCCACTGCAGTCCCTTGACCTATTTCCGGCGCAATGCAGGTCCCCGTTAGCTCGGATGACGTGCCTCTGCTATGGACACAGTCCCCGCGTTTTGTCCAGATCATGCGAAACGGCTCGGGCTTCCAACACCCTCATTACTTCTGGAACCAATCCGACAAGCTCACCTGCCTCCTCACCCGCCTCCGAGAGGACACGACCGCCTTCGGGCCGAGTGACGACTACTACCAGGCGCAAGAGCTGCTCAGCCAGCTGCTCGGCGAGAGCCAATGCTACTCCTCGCTGACGCGCGAACAACTACGCCAGCTCGAGCCCAGCGTACGCGTGTTTGTCGACAAGGTGCAGAACCTGGATCACTTTGTGGCGCAATGGGACGAGAGGAGGAGGCTGATGTGTGCGAAAGCCCCCTCGAAGAAACGCGGCCGGGGAGATGAGGAGGAGGAGGAGGAGGTGATGCAGCAGGAGGTGTATGGGAGCCTGAAGCGGAGAAGGAACACCGCTGGCTCGCAGGCAATGGAGCTGGAAACCTTTTTCGCCGCGCCTTTCGAACCCGTCTCGCCGTGGATCCAGGCGCCACCGGCCCAGCCCGCTCTATGGACCCCCTCCTTCTCCACGTGATGGCCGGGCGAGAATCAATGCACCTTTCAGCATTGCCGGGACTCCCGATTCCCTTGCAGAGCACTGTTTTCTGCCTTGCACAAGCGCATGGCGGTGAGGTGGACCGCATCGGGAATGCCTGAGAAAGTGCTTCCTGCTTCCCGATGTGCGGACTGGCATGAACTGTGGAAGCAGCTCTGGTGGCTTTGATTGTCTGCAACGCGCATTGTTTGGTTTTACTAGCAGCGGCATGCGATGTGGTTAGATTGCCGTGGCTCAACGTCAAGGTGATGCCTGCCGGGTGAAAAGGGCGGGCAGAAAAGTGTGTGATGGATATGCGCGCCAGCGCAAGGAGACCGTCAAGGCCCCGTGTGTAACAACAAAATGTATTATGCAGAGTGTAGCATAGAGATATAAAGTCAACCCATTCGAATACCCTACCGTCCGTAAGGTGTTGTACGATCGACCAAATGGATCGCCACGAGATTCGGATGTGCCACCCCGCGCTTTATTGCTTTGACCTCACCCTTCAACATTCATGCCTCGCATCTCCCTCACCTTCCACCTACTCACGCTCCATCGCCACTCTCCTCCCCTGCGATCCTCCGAATAGCCCTCCATCATGAAGGGAAAATGGAGACCCGACGCCTTCCCGCTCGCAAGGACGGGCGGATAATCCTGCACTTCGACCACGACTGCTTCTACGCCGCCGTCTTCGAGGCGCGCAACCCGAGTCTGAAGAGCCTTCCCTTCGCCGTCCAGCAGAAACACATCATCGCCACCTGTAATTATGAGGCGCGCAGACGCGGCCTGCACAAGCTGATGCTGGTCCGGGATGCGAAGAGAATATGTCCCGACGTGATCATCGAGCTTGGGGAGGACTTGACGCGGTTTAGGGACGCGAGCAAGGACTTGTACAACTTCATCAAGGCCTACTCATGGGATGGAAAACTGGAGAGGCTCGGGTTCGACGAGGTGAGCAATCGAGACACATAGAGTGGGATATACGCACTCGGAAATGGGCTAAGATCTGTCTAGATATGGATGGATGTCACGAGCATGGTCGATTACAACATGGAATTCCTCAATCGCAATGATTTACAACACTCCTTCTTCGTGCTCTCGAAAGAAGATCCCACGCTCGGCTTTGCTTACGATGCTTCTGTGCTTGCCGGCCACTCGTACCCCAAAGCCCTAGGCCCCAGTGGAGATGGAGATGGCAGGCTGGACGAACTCAGCCTTCGCCACCATCTCGGAAGCCACTTGGCATTGCACATCCGGCACCAGCTAGAGGAGCAGAAAGGCTACACTTCGACTGTCGGCATCGCAACCAACAAGCTGCTGGCCAAACTTGTCGGCAACTTGAACAAGCCCAAGGCTCAGACAACTTTGATGCCGCCTCTGGCTTCCTCTGACCTCGACTCCGACTCGCTCGGCAACGCCTTGCTATTCATGGACGACCACGAAATCGGCAAAATCCCGGGGATCGGCTTCAAACTCGCGCAGAAGTTGCGCGAATTCATCGTTCAGCATCCTGTCGAGTACGACTTCGCCAACGGCGGGGCTCAGGAACAAGTGTCCGTCGCTCGCGTACGGCAGCACCCCGATATTGACTTTGAAAAGCTCGAGGCTCTCCTTGGTGGTCCGGGGTCTCCGCATGGCATCGGTTACAAAGTGTGGTGTCTGCTGCATGGCGTGGACGATTCAGAAGTCAGCCAAGATCGCCCAGTGCCGAGACAAATCAGTATTGAGGACAGCTACTTACGATTAGACACGATGACCAAGCTTCTGACCGAGCTGAACACTCTGGCTCAAAGTCTGATCAAGCGTATGCGGATCGATCTTTTGAGCACCGAAGACGATTTTGTCGAGGAGAAGTCAACATCCGAGGTCGATGCATCCGAGGCCGTGGACCGGGTGGTCGTTGGTAAAAGATGGCTCGCTCACCCCAGGACTCTACGTCTCACGACTCGTCCACGCCTCCCGCTCCGTGTGGACGGGACACGCGAGCGAACCATGAAGCGCATCTCGCATTCCTGCCCCTTGCCCAACTTCGTGTTCGACCTACGAGCAAGCACAGAGGCCGTGGCGGAGAAACTCGTGCGCCAGACGGTCCTGCACATGTTTCGTCGACTGCATCCCGAGAAATCCGGGTGGGATTTGAGCTTGGTCAATCTGGCGGTGACGAATATGGCCGAGGCGGCGGGTGAGAGCAAGACGGCGAATGGCAGGGACATCAGCAACATGTTTAAGAGGCAGGATGAAGTGCTGAAGGACTTTAGAGTCACCGAGAGCCCGCCCGAGCTCGTGAGTTTCTCAGGCGAGCTCAGCGAGGAAGAGGGAAGCCATGTCGCTGCATTTGGCGAAGGGGTTCCGATGTTCAACGACGACAACGAAGACGACGACTGGAACGAGTGAGGAATAATTCAACCTCTTTGACGTTTTAGATCCAAGAGCCCTACGGTCCAAATACTTTCTGTTGCTATGCTTACAATTCATTTCTATGTTTATAATGTATCTCGTGTACCGCAAGATCATCAACCCTGCAAACAACACGGGCATCATAGGTCTGCATCCCTGATCTGACTTACGCTCCTCCATAAGTCAGACGATGGATGTCCAGCGCCACATCTCCAACCGCCGAGACAGCGTCTGCGCTCCAGGCGGTCATCTGCAGCCAGCCGTGAGTCATTCCGTCGTAGTGTCGCCAGACCACTTGGTTTCCAGCCTGCTGCAGCTTGCTCGCGTACTCGACTCCGACATCCCGCAAGGGATCAAATCCAGAAGTGTAGATGGCGGCAGGCGGCTGGCCTTGGAGATCTTTGACGGCTTGCATGCCCGGGGAGATGTACCTGTTGCTTGGGGGGACCCCTCGGGGCAAGTAGTGGTCGGCAAAGCTGAAGATGCCGTTGCACTCGAGGTAGAACCCCGAGTTGTTCTCCACCGCGGCCGGCGTGTCGAACGGCACTCTTGCTTCGGGGTAGAGCAAGATTTGCGCGACCAAGGGCTTCTTGCCGTTGTCTTTTCGTCGCAAGGTTACCGCGGCAGTCATGTTGCCTCCGGCGGAATCGCCTCCGCCGAGCACGTGCTGGACGCCGCGCTGTTGGCCGAATTGGCCCTGCAGCGCATCGATGACTGCGTCGTACTCATCCAGCTGGACGGGGTAGTGATGCTCCGGCGCGAGGCGGTACTCGACCGCGTACACCTGAACGCCGCTCTTCTCGGCCAACAAGCGGAGCCCATTTTCGAACTCGTCGACGGATCCGACGGTATACCCTCCGCCGTGGAAGTAGATTAGAGCGCCGGCCTGCGACTTTGCTCGATGCTCCTCGCCGCTGGTAGGATAGAGTACACGAAGGGGGATAGTGCCGTGGGGCCCAGGGATGGCGGTGTGTTCGACACGATGAATGGGGTGGATCTTGTCCTTTGGAATGTTGTGGATCCCGAACACCTCTAGGTGGTGTGAGCGTTCGTCGTGGAAGTCGCCGCGGCCTCCGAGATGCAGATCGGGGAATTTCTTGAGGAAGGCCGAGATGGAAGGGAGCAGTTCGCTCCGGGTGCCGGTCTGAGGGATTTTCGTGGTCCCGTTGGTCGCTGCCATATTGCACTGCAGGCTGATTCAAATGGATGGAGGTGTGTTCACCCGGAGTGAGGTTGATTGAGGAGACGAAATATATATCAGAGACACATACCGAGTGAAGCCTGAGGATGTCATATTGACGCAATACGCCCAGAAGGCTTCGTGCTGCTTCGGTGTCGATCCACAACGACGTTAAACTCAAAGACGCTGGGGGTTATTTGATTTGATATGCCTCGAGCGAGTCGGCAAGATGAATCAGCGAAGCAGTCGTTGTCTTTGGGTCGGGCGGCGCGCCGCGAACCTGTCTTTGATTACGATGATGTCGTTCGCCACTCATCCTCCAATGCTGCGGTCTCACCGTCGCTGCTCATATACTCCACTCATCGTCGGCATCGTCCTCTAAAACCTAGAGCGCACATTCACGGGCCTCGGATTTCAATGCGGTCCAAATGCCGAGCTGCAGTCATCATTCTCGTGGAGTTCATGGATGGTGTTGATTGGCGGCGAGGGTGTCGTCGGTTGGGACTCGACTTCGGATTCGGCCTCGACGCCGAAATTCTGTCATGACTTCACCTCCATCATCCTCACTTCTTCTCAACTCACATGCATGACATCAAAGCAACATGACAGCTTTCTCACTCAGATGACGATGATCCAGAGTGACCCAAGCGCTTCACATTGCTCTCATCGACGGACGCAAGCGCGAGAACTGCCTTTCCCAACCCAGCCACCGAGTCACAAAATCTTCCCGTACTGTCCGTATGTCCTCCGCTCATTCATGCCTTCGTCCATGTGTCCTCTCCGCCATCCATCCGGCTTCCTGCCACTCTCGCCTGCCGCTGCCCGCGCGCCCTTTCTCGCTGTGCAAAAAGAGCGTCAACACTTACCTGTGATAATAGCCGGCCACCGTTGCGTTCGATAGCAAGGAGACTTGGCCGAACAGGCGCGAGATCTCCGTCTCCGCGTCTCCCAGCTTCTCCACCTCCAGACCCGCGACATCCTGTCCTCCCTGCTCGGCAATCAACACTCGGATCTGCCTCACCACCGCCGCATTCCCTTTGTCCTTTCCACGCAAAAGCTCCCACTCCGGACTTCCGAACCCTGCCCATTCCTCCGCTTCCTGCTTCTCGGCCACGAGGGTCTCGATGTGTGCTGCCAAATCTCTGACTTCTTGCGGGTAGGTACTGTCCTGTGTGGTCTCTTCTGCCGAAATCTTCTTCTCGGAGGCTGAGTTCTGTCGACCCATCTGATAGATGGTGGCATTGAGTTCGGTGATTTTTTTGTGCAGGGCCGATTTCTCGTCGATATGGCGCCCATCGCGCTCGTCCATCTCCGTCATGTATGCTTGCGCATTGGCCTTTCGTCGATCTAGCTGGCCGATGTGCTCTGCCTGGGCGCGAATCTGCTGCTCCAGGTGCGTGATACGAGCCCGATTTTCTTGCTGCTCGCGAACGAGCTCCCACTCCGCGCTGGCTCGATGCCCGATCATCTGGGCGTTGTCGTGGAGAGTCTCCACCGCGAGCGTCAACGAGTGGATGGCCTTGGTGTTGAGGGCGGCGTTCTGGCTCCTCAGATTCTCGTTTTCCAGCCTGAGTTGGCGGACCTCCAGGCTGATCTCCTGGCCTTCTGGCGAGCTGGGAGCGGCGGAGGGAGCGGTATGTGGCCTCGTGGCCTGGGTTGGTGAGGGGGACGGGCCCTCGCTGGCAGCTGCCTTGAGGATGGACTCGTCCACCCCGAGGGCGTGTTGCAGATGGTAGGACGGGCGGCTCTCGCCCCCGTCCGTGTTGATGCCGGTGGTCTGCATCGAGCGAATTGGCGCTGTCGTCGATGATATGGCGATGGGAAGTGGTTGAAAGGCGGAGGCAGAGGTGTAGAGAGGTAAGTGCGAAAATGTGTGTGCGGCATGTGATATGCAGGTGTGTTTTGGATTTTGAAATGACTTGCGCTCATGAGGAAGGAGCGACCCAGAAACAGCACGTGATTTCACGACCTCGCTCCTTCCATTTTCGGAACAAACTTTTGTTTCTCATTTCGGGATTTCCGTCGTCGCACACAAGGTCGCCTGATCACGTTTCGCCCCTTTTCCATGTACTTCTCCACCATTCATTCTCCTTCACCATAAAGACGTACAGACCACAAGCACACGCCTCTTGACAGCATGGCTTCGTCCAACTCACCCCCCGCGGGTTCTCATTCGGCAATGAAGGCTAACATCAACAGCCCTCGCACCCCCTCCTCGAGCTCCTCATCCAACAGCTCCGGTTCCTCTGAAAGCACACTGGTCGCAACGCCGGCATCCTCTGTCTATGCCAGGCTGACCGACGATGAGATTGCCGCCGTGCAGATCCAGAACCTCAAGGACGTCGTCGACTTTCGCAAATCGGCCGACTGGGTGGAGCAGGCGGTGCAGAACACGCTCGTCACTCTCCCCACCTACCGTATCGGCGTCCGCTACGCGCACACTCGTCTCAAGACCCAAAGAGAGACCATCGATTATCTGGAGGGCGAGTTCGACAAACGCTCGCTCTCCGACGGCCATCGCGGAGTGAGTAGGAACGTGGAGGCGGGCGTGAAGGAGGCTCAGCACCTCGATGATGATGACTGGTTGAACAACGCCACGTTCAAGGAAATGAAGGAAGAGATCACGATCGCGGCGTTCGAACGGAGGGCGAAAGAGTTTTCGGAAGTCAACATGAGGCGCATGTTAGAGGATGTGGATGTCCTCGAACAGCTCAAAGCGCAAGGGCGTGGGCCGGTGAGTGCAGTCCTCCCCCTTGCATTGTCCCCTTCCGTTATTCACTGTGCAGATCCCATGCCCTCCAGAAGGCCATCCCGACAGCTTTGCTGCACGCGAGCATCAGAAAGCAAACAAGTCAAAAGTCCGTGGAATCACTTTTCACCGTGGCGGCGGGCGGGCTGCTATTGCCAGCGCTGGGACTGGGCGGGGTCACGTTACGGAAGGGCCAGGCGTGAACGGATACGGGGCGGGCGACGGCAGCCGTGCAGGGTTTGGTGGAGACATGGGCAGTGTTCGTGGTCGTGGTGAAGGATTTATGAACAATCATCGCGGACGCGGCAGCCACGGTGCGAACTCCTGGGGTCGCAGTCGCGGTCGTGGCCGTGGCATCTGAGGAGTTTCCCGCTGGATCTCTCTTGACCTTGGTTTCAACGATCGGTCTGGACACCGACCTCAGAGGGGGCTGCTGGTCTGGTTATGTGCTCCTGGGTCCGCTTGAGATGCGATGAGTGTGTGGCGATGCTGCATAATGGGTGCGACGACAGCATAGCTAAGCTCGCTCTAACGGCTAGCGACGAATGCGACAGGCATAAGATACACTTCCGGCATCTTGCTCTCCACATCCACTATCGCGCTGCGCAGTTCCCCTCCACATCCTCTCGCTCGGTCAACACCAAGCACACGCCCCTATTTCTTGGCCTTGGCCTTCCCCTTGCCTTTGGCCTTCTTTCCCGCCGGCGCGTCATCGTCCTCGTCCTCATCATCCTCCGCATCCCCCTTCTTCCTCTTTTTCGCACCCTTGCTCGCCGCAGCAGCCGGCGCCTTCTTCTTCTTGGGCTGCTTGACGTACTTGTCCTTGCTCAGGTCCAGGTCCTCTTCGCTCTCGTCCTTCGCCTCCGCGGCATCAACTGCTTCGTCTTCGCTCTCCTCAAGCGCCTCTTCCAGGTCAGGCTTCTCTTTCGCCGGAGCGCGTTTCGGTGCCACAACTTGCGAGGCTTTCATGAAGGGCAAGGGATGCGATTGCTGGTTGTAGCTGTGGTTCGTCGAGTCAGTAATCGGCTTCGAATGTAGCGGGAAAGACAGGCAATACTCACATTCTCGTGAACGCCGACTTCGCGGCCGTCTCGATCTTCACCCTCTCCATATCATTCTTCCCCACGCCCAGCTCCAAGATTCCGTCCCAATCTTCTTTGGTCAGGAAGTATGCGTCCATCAACTCGATAATCTCCGGCACAGCCTCCTTGCCATCGTCCTGCAGCCTCTTCACCAGCAAGTCAAAGAGCGCAGGCAAGTATGTCTGACGGATCTCATGTCGGTCGGCACTGGTCTTCAGTCTCATGTGTCCCTGAATCTCCTTTACGATCCGCGAAAGCTTGCCCTGCGAACTGTTCTTGCCCAGCCAAGCGGTGAAGCGCGTTTGGTGGCCCGCCATGCTGCCGTAGACAAGACTGGCCGGGCGGACGAAAGAGAACATGGCGTGAGTTGGCATCAGCGACCACTGCTGCTGGGATCCGTGAATCATACGGTCGACCAGATCGCCATCGCTAATGGCGTCTGCGGCCTTGGAAACCAGATCCAACTTCGCAAGTGCCTTCATTCGCGGATTGTCGTTGAACTGATTCGTACGAGCCGGGTTGGTGCCCAGGTAGTTCTCCTGCAGCATGAGCGAGGCGAATTCGTGGTCGTTGAAGTAGAGCTCTTGCTTGTCGTTGAGCGTGCTCTTGCTTGCTGGATTGAACAACCCGCCACCCAAGATCCTCGAGACCATGTCCCACGGCTTCAAGACGATGTGTTTCTCCCATGCCTTGCTCATGTCTTTGCCCTCCTCGAACGTCATATTCTGGCTGTCCAATTTGGCCGTGCTGATCATGTTCACCACCTGTCTAATATCCGCCCCGCTGCCCTCAATCAACGCATTGACCACGGTAGCGGGAATCTCAAGCTTCTCGCGATACGCAATGGTCATGATGCGGCTGCGGATTTGATCGGTGGTCGGGCGGCGGAAGGGGAGGTCGTAGGTGCAATAGTCGAAAGGCTTCATCTTGGGCAGCTTGCGATCGTTGCAGATGAGAATCATGGGAATCTGGCTCTTCTTGCACACAGCCGCCAGGGCACCGACGCCGCCGCGATCGCCAGCGCTCATCCCGTCGACCTCATCCATAATCAGCACGAGCTTCTTCTTGCTCGCTTCGACCTCTCCGCCGCCAGAAGCGCCAAAGTAGCCCAGCAGACTGGTCGTTGAAAGCACTCCTTTCAGCCCCGACTCCACCATTTTCTTGGACCGCGTGTCAGAGGCATTGGACTCCACCACATCGTAGCCTTCGAGTTTGGCGACAAGATGAGCTGCAGTCGTCTTCCCAATTCCAGGCGGCCCGTGGATGATGACCGCACGAAACGTGCCGCTGGCATCGGGACCGGGAAGGACGAACTTGGTGCGTTGATTCTTGGGAAAGGCACGGAGCCAGCGCTGCAACTTCTCCACCGCCGTCTTGTTGCCGCAGATCTGTGATACTTGTTGCGGTGCGTAGCGCACCGTCCAAAGACGGCTGTCGGGCCCTTGAACTGGTGCTTTGGAATCTTTCTTGCTGGCCGACGCTGCAACAGCAGAGCTGGAGGTGGAGGCGTTGGGCTGCGGCTTCGGCTTAGCGGCTGTCATTTTCGCACGCTCCTGTTTCTCCATCTCTGCCGCCGCCTCGCGGATTGCCTTCTCCTCATTTGCTCTCTTTTCAGCGTTCTTCTCTGCTGCAGCCGAGTCTCCACCATTGGCTGGCAGACGCTTGATCAACTCGAACAATCCCTCTTCGTTGATGACTTTGAGGTTGTGTGCTTTGATGGTCTCCAACTTCTTGGGTCCGGCATCCTCTCCGAGGACTACGTAGCTCGTCTTTTTCGACGGAGCACCGGTGACCTTGCCGCCGTATTGCTTCACCAGATTTTGGCCTTGCTCTCTGCCGAGGCGTTGGAGCTGGCCAGTGAAGACAAAGGTCAGACCGGCAAGACAATTGTCTGCGCCCGTGGGAATGTCGTTGTAATCGAGGGCGCCAGCAGGGACTGCAGAATTGGCGTGCTGCCCTCCGAACTGAAACTTAGGCTTCCCTTCCCCGTCGGCAGTTTTGGGAGGTGGCGATGGGGCTTTAATGGTTGGGATGCTGTCGAAGATTGCAGTCATCTGAGCACTGTCTTGCGGTTCGGACTTCTTTGGCTTCTTGGCCGCAGTGCTCTTCTTGGCCGGCGTCGAGCGTTTCTTCGCTGGCTTAGCTTCTTCAACCTCCAAGTCGTCGTCATCATCTTCCAGTTCTTCCGACTTGCGCTTTCTGCCAGTGCCTCGAAGCGGAGTTTTGTGTGCGGGTTGGTCTTCAACAATCTCTTCATCGTCGTCCGGCACAACGAAGTCGTCGGTGGGATGCGTGTCTTTCATGTCGACATCTCCATTGGGCTCGAAGTCCTCATCATCATCGTCTTTGAGTTTCTTCTGCTTGCCACGCTCCTTTTTCGGCAAGAGAGGGAGGTCGTCCTCATCCTCGCTCTCCTCTTTGTAGCCATCGCCCATTTTCCTCCCTCTCTTGGCATCTGCTTTGAAATTGTCTTCCTCTTCGTCAACGTCGTCATCGGGAAAGTCGTCTTCATGCACGTCGAGGTCCACATAGCTCGTGGTCTTCTTGGCCTTCCTCGCCGAAGATCGCGCACTTCCAGTCCCGTTTGTGGCTTTCTTGGGGGTGCTCTTGGTGCTGTTGGTGGTAGAGTCGGTGGTGGGCATGCCTCTCGACTTGGGGCGAACCGAGGGCTCACTGCGTTTCGGCTTCGTGCCTTTGGCGAAGAAGTCCTCAGCAGTCGTCTCCATCACCGGCGGAGTGGCATCTTTCTTCTTCCGAGGTGTAGACTTCTTGCTCGTCACCTCTTGCACCTCATCGTCATCATCGTCGTCCTCCACGACTTTCCTCGCTCGCCCGCGCTTCTTACTCTCCTGAGGCTTGGGCTTCTCCGCTGGCGTGTTTGCGGGTTTGCCTCCGAAGAAGGAGCGTATATCGGAAGGCATTGTGGGCCAAGCAAGCTTCGCAGAAAGGAGACGGGCTCAAACAGCGAGGTCCGTACACGGAGATGCGGAGGAGTCTGCAAAGGCGGGTGAGGAAGGGTGAAGGATGAAAGTCCAGCTCCTTCCGCCTAGAGGGCTTCGAACGCGTGAGAGTCGCGAAGGCACGAGGCGGCGTCATTAAGCAAATTGAGTTTAGCGCGGCGAGAGCATTGAATTGGCGAAACCTTAATGAAGACCTTCGAAAGTCCCCATGTGCTGCACACTCCTCATGCATGCGTCTGACAATACTATTTGGCACGCAGCGACGTCGCGTGTTATTGTGATATCTGGCAGGGAAGCCCAGTGATATCGAACTTCTTCCGACAAGCTGTACCATGGCATCAATCCGCCTACAGTTAGGGCGCGAAAAGCCCTTCCTTTCCTCCTTCACCACGAAGGCATGCTGTGAGTCCTAAACCTCCTCAGCACGCTGGATTACGCTCACACTTCTCATCAAGGCCTTCGTTCGACGCTGCAAGCTCTCACTACGGTCACTGCTCCCTTCACGCACTCCTTCTCCACCACATCGGCCAATCTCAACTGGCTCATACCAAAACGCGGCGAAAGCACCAAATCGCGCAAAGGCCGGCCACGTGTGCCCACCGGTGGCAGCGTGCGAGGGACAACGGTTGTGTGGGGAGACTATGGCATTCGACTCAAAGACCACGACCGGCGCATAAGCGCTGCGCAGCTCAAAATCGCCGATGAAACGATCCGCCGCAGACTAAGAGGGATGAAGTACCGTTTGTACCATCGCGTGAGCGCCAACATCGGCGTGTATACTTCCGGCAACGACCAGAGAATGGGAAAGGGGAAGGGCTCGTTCGATTACTGGGCAGCAAGAGTGGCAGTGAGCAAGGTGCTCTTCGAGTTAAGAGGCGAGATTCACGAGCAGGTGGTTCGAGACGCCTTCCGCTTGGCGGGCAACAAGTTACCCGGCACGTACGAATTTGTGCGGAAAGGAGATCCCCCCGTGATGGGCATCACAAAGGTCACGGAGAGCATGACGGAGGAGATGTTGAGGAGACCAAGAATGCCACCCAAAGACAAGCCCAACGCGCCAATGCCGAATTTGGAGGCGACGGCGATGAGGATGCCAGCCACAACACCGCCATGAGAAGTTGCAATAGCGTTCGAAGCGGCGACTCTCCCAGTCTCGAGAGTCCGCTTAACGGTTCGTGGCCAGATTCTTCCCAAGTTGGAACCGACAAGCCGCCAAGGGCTGTGTAGCGGGAGGCAATGGCGTTGGCTGCATCACCAAGGGTGACGACGGAGGTCTCTGTGACTGTCGAGCAGCGACCGCTGGGCGGAGCGGGCATCACGTACGTCGTGCTTTCGCTGAATGCCGAGTGAATCGTGCAATGATACGATCGGAGCCAGTCACGAGATGGGTCAAGGAGCTATTCCAATAGCTCTGCTAAACCTGAATGCATATGTCCTGTACTTGTATTCGGTCGTTTCCGTCTGGCAGCAATTTCATGGGTTCGCCGGCCGGGCTGTGATCGGGCCAACGGTTGTCGAGCCAAACAATTCTAGTGTCGGAGAATATTTGTGCAACGTGCGCCATGTGTCGAAGCATCGTTGCCATCTAGTCACTTCGTGATTTTAGGGACTTCACCATCATAACAACATCGACGCAAAGGCTTGATTTGAACAGTCTGTTTCCTTACTACTCATCGCCCTCCCCACCACCACCGCCGTCAGATGTGTATTGCAAGGCGTGGCGCACATCGTAGAATAGATGAATCAGATCCTTCGGTTCCGTCGGAGATTCACGTCGGCAGAGCAGTTCTTCGCTTGCGTCGTCTACACAACCACCAGAACCACTCTGCAACGCCAACACGCCTCATAAAAAGACGTCTTCCCTCCCAATTCTCGCAGCTCCTCTCTCCTCACATCACTCGTCTTATCTATTACTATTTACCTCACGTTACTACTACTACTACTTCTTCTCATCGTTGCCAACATGACGAAGCTTGCCCTCCTCACTCCTCTTCTTTTCCTCTCCGCCGCCCTGGCCCTCCCGGTCCCCGGACACATCCAATACCGCTTGGAGAAACTGGAAGTCAGCATTCTGGGCGTGGTGAACGGCATCAACAGCCACGAGGCCACCTTCACGCACGCCGACTACCATGCCGGCGAGGACCATTTCAACCAACTGCTCGGCAAACTATCTGGATCGTTTGCTTGTTCCTCCTCCACAGCCTCCTACCAGGCCGACTCGGAGGACCGTGTTGTGGATTCGCTGCTGAGTGCCCGACGGAACCTGCTGGAGCTAGCCGATGAACTGGTCGCGGACGACAAACTGGCCGCGGAATCAATACTGACTGACGTGTGTAGGGCCTTCGATCACTATCGCGCGGTACACCCGTACATCAAGAGCTTATAGAACAAGGTGGGTAATGGGTAGGTGTTTTACAAGGAGTCTGCGAAGAGAAGGACATTGTACGATTACGGGTCACGACGAATAATGATGGGCTGGAGATAGAAACTACTAATGACTATAGATGCTATATAGAGATCCTTAATATCACGCTTTTTCCCTCCTCACTTCTTCTTCCAGATATCAGAAGTCACGCCGCCGACCTCAAACAGTCCTTTCTCGGGCGCTTTGGCGCTCAACAGAGGCTGCATCTCCGGATCGCCCTTTTCCATGGCCTTCTGATACGCAGGTCGCTGAGCAATGTCCTGCAGATAGCGGACGATGTTTTTGTAGGGGGACAGATCGGCTTGCGGGCCCCTAGTAGATGCCCTCCATCAATGCTGGTTCTCGCAGAGTATGGTGTATGGTATGAACTTACCAGTAGCGCTGGGTCGTCAGGCTGTAGACCGTCATGATGTCCCCGGCAGTCAGGCTATCTCCAGCGAGATACTTGTTGGAAGCAAGCTGCTCGTCGATCCATTTTAAGCGCTGGTCGAGTCTGGAGTACGCCATCTGCCGCATCGGATTGTCTTTGCCAGCGCCCGAGCCGTCGACGAACATGATGTCGAGCATGGCAGGCTGCAACGTGCCGTTCTGTGGGCATCGTCAGATCAATGACTACACCTTGATATACTCATTTTTGACATGAAGCGGCTTACAGAGTAATGGAACCATTGGAGATACTCGGCGTAGCGTGGATCATCAGGTTTGAGAGCCAGTCTGCCGCCTCCATACTTGTGGATGATATAGTCGACAATCGCTCCGCTCTCGCTCAACTGCACTCCGCCATCGTCTTCAACGAACGGAGACTGACCCAGAGGGTTGCCGGGTACGCTCTTCAACGATTCCGGGGACAGGATGGGGTCGCGCATGTACTTGATCATTTTGTAGTCGACGCCGAGTTCTTCGCAGAGCCAGAGGATGCGTTCGCACTGCGAAACGCTGAGGTGGTGAATGGTGAGCATGGTGTTTGCTTGTGCACTGCAATGAGGTCTGATTGCTGATTCAATGGGAATGAACAATGGTCTGGTAGGGAATAGCAAAATGTTCCGGGTTGACGGAGGCTTCGTCAAGTGACGTAAGGCTGTGCTGTGCCGTGCGAGTCTGGGCGCGTCGATCTTCTCGTGCATACCCGAGGAGCGGACGTAATGTATTTGATTTCACACCAAACTTTATCACTTGCACTGAGATCTTGAAGCAAATCGAGAGCAAGATGAAGCCTCATGCTGCATGGGCACTGAACAACGCAGCAGCGTCAACTAGATCTTCGCCCCCTTCGCGCTCTGCCAGACTTCTTTGGCAAAATCCTCCATGTCCTTGACGAACAACTTGGGCTTCTCCCAAGCAGAGAAATGCCCGCCCTCGGAGTGCTCGCGATGCCACACTAAGTTGCCAGTCTGTCATCGACGTTAGCCTTGATCGAGGGAAGACATGGTCGGTTCACTGGAGGAGTCGACTGACCTTCGCCACCAATGGAACAGGAATGGGAGCAAGCTCCCAGGGATGCCACGAATAGCCCAACGGCTTCTTACAGTAGTACTGCGGATCGTTGTGGAAGAACTGCGGCACGGCGCCGAAGAATTGTCGATAGCCATAGATGGCTCGGGGAAAGGATTTGGTGAACCAGTACAGACTGGCACCGTCGAGCATCTCTTGCATCGACGGATTCTCGTGCGTCCATTGCTGGAACTTTTCGCCAATCCTGAGTAATATAGGTCAGTGATCCATGCTCGAGTTCTCGTGGTGGAACATACCAGGCGAGCAACCCGATGGGGCTGGAGGACAACACCAGGCCAATGGTCGCGGGCCGTGTGCCATGCTCACGAGCATAAGCATTGCCCATCGTGGCGAAATCGTTTGTTCGGGCGATGCCCTTCTGCTCGTGCTCCTTGAGGCTCTTGAGCTCCTCGTCGCTCTCGGGGAAGATGCCGATGGCCAAATTCACTGTGCATGGTGTTAGTCAATCAAAGCAGAGATGGTTTGCAGTCAGAGCAGCATACAGTGCACAGCTTTACAAGCAGTGCTCGTGGTGCCGAGCACGCGCGAGATGAAGGATCCGATGTCGCCACCTTGTGCGATATAACCATCGCCAAAGCCCAGACCGATCATGAGCTTGTCCAAGACAGCCGAGGCGTCTTCAACCTTGAAGTCTTTGTCGAGCGGAGGGCCGTTGGAGTAGCCATAGCCCGGCAGGCTGGGAACGATGATGTTGAAGGGCAAGTCCTTCTCGGAGTACTTGGTGCGGAACTCGTCGAGCGCGCCGAGGAACTCGAGGAAACTGCCGGGCCAGCCGTGGGAGAGGAGCAAGGGCGCGGCGTCCTGCTTTTGGCTCAGCAGGGCGATGAAATGAATCTTGTGCTTGAAGCCTTCGTGGTCAATCTCGACGGTGTAGTTGTTGAAGGAGTTGATCCGCTGCTCCGTCTTGCGCCAGTCGTAGTTGTTGATCCACGTCTCCTTTGCCTCTTCCAGCCACTTGCGCGTGATGCCCCAGCTGGTGAAGTCCTTGACATCCGTCACCCGGTTCTCATACGTCTCGGGGCCAATGGGGGAAACGCGGAGCAGCAGGCGGAGCCCCTCCAGCTCCAAATCCGTCACCTGAGCCTTGAACGGCTCGGGCTTGAGGGAGGCACTACGCGGGAAGTTGTCAAAAGGCATGATGAACGGGGAATATTTCTCGATTGATTTGAGGAGATGGGAGGAAGAAAGCAGAGCAGACCTGACCAGACAATTAAAGGAATGACATTACCGTGTGGGAGCGTATCAACCCCGCACCTTCTTATAAGCAGCAGACAGCTCTCTCGTTAACGAAGGTTTCGGTTGATGATGATCATTAGCGATTGCCCCTCTTCCAGCTCCTCTTTTGCTTCTTTTAAGGCTGAACTCTGTCCCCGATGTTGGTTGAGGGATTGAGGGCAAGACGCGGGGAACCGACACTTCCGCATTGGCGGATTTTGGGTAGGTAGGTAGCTGGGTTCGATCCAGGGCAGATGGAAGTTGAAGATGAGCAAGTTAACAGGGTTCGGTGTTTGGTGCTTTAGGAGCATCCAGAATGTATGAAGTAGGGAATCATCTATCAGAGACTCCACGCTGACCCTCGCGACAACGACCTATCCCCAGGAGTGCGAGTCCAAGTCACCCAGGTACTACCCTCCATCCCAGGGACTTCTAACTTCTACGCCGACTTGATTCCATCCGTGCTTCCCTCCACTCTCCCCTCCTGCCTCTGCTTATGTCGTTGCCTCCACTGCCACTCCACCAGCACCGGGAGGAAGTGCCACAGATCAAATTCCGGCCACATGCAGTCCAAGAATTTGATCTCCGTCGTCTCGTGGCACTGCCACAGCATGAAGTCGCTCAGCCGGTTCACTCCCGACGTGCGAATGAGTAGCTCGGGCGGAGGAGCATCGATGTAGGTGTTCTTGGTGAGAGTGTCGGTGGTGATGGTCTCGGGGTCGGGGAGGTGTGAGGACGACGCCGCACTTTTGAGCCGCCAAGAGGAATTGTCTGGCGAGAGTGGCGTGGTCGGTTTCAACGTGGGAGATGCGCAGTTGGACGTCTGTGATGAGGCGGGCTGTAGGACGGAGGAGCTGTCGAGATCTTCTTGTTCGGAGGCTTCCGTGGAGTCGGCATCGGAAGCGTTGCTCAACCCGCCCGTAGTATTTGGTGGAGTGAGGTATTGCTGCTCTCCTTCTTCGGCCACACTGGCCAGCTGCCGGGTGCGGAGATGCCTCTGGATCTGACTCTCACTGAATGCCCGCTTTTCCTTGGGTCGCTCGGGCGGCACGGAGTATTCTTTGACTGTCTCCCTGATACTGTGCGTAATCTCTTCCCGGCCCGTGTAGGGGAAGCACACATTCAAGACGGCGCGATCATTCTCCCTCGTCATGTCCACCGCGCGATCGACCTGCTCCAACACATCCGCCCGCACCAGACTCCGATCCCCAAGCACACGTACGGAGGCACCATATCGATCAAATAGCTCGCCGTGTTGGCTCATCTGCACCAATCTTGTCTTGGCCATATCCATCAATCCGTCAACCTCGTACTTGCTCCTTTTGAAATTCTCAATGCTGAAGGCGTAGATGGTGACGTACTTCACGCCGCTCTTGTAGCACACCTCGAGCACGCGGGCGAGTGCCTCGAAGCCCATGTTGTGCCCTTCGACCGTCTCGAGTTTGTGGTCCCGTGCCCATCGCCGGTTGCCATCCATCACAAAGGCAATGTGGTTGGGAATAGGCCCGCATTTGAGCGAGCCGATGAGGAGTTCGCGGACGTGTTGGAGGAGATACTCCACGGGTGGGAGAGAGAGGAACCAGCGCCGAAGAGAGGCACCGTCGGTAGTGGCCATCTGTTCGGAGCGTCGAGGGAAAGGAATGGTGAAGGTGAGGGTGGAGAGGGGTGGAGAGTTGGTTGCGGCTGACGTGTTCGAAAGCAAGAGGTGGTCAGTTGCTCATTGCCGCATGTTGGGATGGGCTCAGCAATGCCGACGTGGACGACGCGATTAACCGCTAGCCCTTGCGCCTCAATCTCCGCGTTCGACAAGGTAAAGGAATAGGGCGACAGGCGTGGCTGTGTAGGGCCAGAGTCGTAAGGCTCCCGACGTCTCAAAATTCCCACGGGACGATGACGAGCCCAGCCCAGCCAACATTGGAACTTTGGGACGGCGGCGGCGCATGATCGGCTTACGTAAGCGGTGCCGGCGAAATATATGCCTCGCGCAAGGCCCTCCTGCCGCGCGGTGTTCACGTTCTCTATTAACACCTACGAGAAGCGATTCAACTCTCAAAGTCATCCTACAATGCCCTGGGAAATGCTCGGTCTGCGTCTCGGACGCGAAGTGTACAAACACCACGAACGGGAGAAGAGGCAGGAGGAGAGAAGGCTGCAGATGGAGCAGCGACAAGCCGAAAGACAAGAGAGGCAGGAGGAGAGGCAGGAAAGACAGGAGGAGATGCGGGCGCAAAGGGCGGCGCACAGGGGCGGTGGTGGGCAGGGAGGCATGCGGGGTGGAGGTGGCGGACGGGGTAGAGGAGGCGGTGGCCGTGGAGGGCGGGGAGGCAGAGGCGGCGGTGGGTTTGGCGGCGAAGCGTCGAGGGATCCAATGGGAGGAGATCAAACCCACCAATACGATGACCGGCAGCCCCCATACGTCGACAGACAGCCCTACGATGAAGGGCAGTCCTACGACCAGAGGCAACAGTACGCCGAACAGCAGCAATACGGCTACGAGGCTGAAGGCCAGCAGAGATAAGTCAGGTCAGTGCTGCGACGTGTTTTAACCTCGAGCTTGTTACCATGATATTGAGCAAGTAATTCCAGCGCAGAACGCATTAATAATGCAGGGTTTGTTGTCGATGGTCGGAGAAAGCCTGATGAGTTGCTTCAACAAGTGCAAGCGGCCGGGTCAAGTGCATGTGTATACGAGGGATGCGTCATCTCCAAATTGACTTTCCTGCTACGACATGCCATCGAACCTTAAATGCTCCCGCAGCCTTCTCGTGCTCCGCATGCAGTTCCAAGTTTCCCACTTCACAGCATATTACCCTTCCCCGTATGTTGCACGTTGCCACAAATGATGTGGCTGCGCCGGTGTGGCAGGCCTCAGGGTACAAATGTTTTGCTAGGCTGGGATTGACACCGCGTCATTCTTACCACGCCTTCCTAGCTCTGCCAATCTTCTTTTCACAGCCTCTGGGTTTATAAGCTCCAGGCTCGACGTGCAAGTGAACGTGCAGGAGCTGCAGCCAAGAGCAGAGATGGCAGAAGCAAACCCCAGTAACACTGCCCGTCCAAGCCCACGAAAGAAGCCCAGTTCGCAAAATACGAATGGTGCAAAGGAGAAGGCAGACGCTGCTCGCGAGAAAGAACGGAAGCAGGAGACATCGAAAGCGGCGAAAAAGGCTCTGGCCGCACAGAAGAAAGCAAAAGAACTGACCCAGGCTGCGGCGGCTGCCGGTGACCCCGATGAACGTCAAAAACTCCTCAATCAGGCGCTGGAGAAGGAAGTCGAGGCCGAGACGTTTGGGAAGACGGCGAAATATCTCAATTCCGGCACCTGGCAAGGCCTATGTGCGGGCTGCGGCTTGGGAGGCAGTGTGGGAGTCTGGCTCGGCATCGTCACCGGCACTCTGGTCGGCGGAGTGACCAGTCTCGTGACCGGGGGATTGGGAGCGGGCATTGGGGCTGGCGTCGGGGCGCTGCATGGGCCGTGGTTCAAGGTTGGCGAGTGGATGGGCGAAAGCATTCGCAAGATCACTGGAGACATCCCGGGCTGGAAGGCGACGGAAGAGCAGAAAGGGGCGCTGGAGAAGATGGTGAATGGGGTGCGAGAACAGGATCGGCCTGATGAGGAAGAGCTTACGGTGATGAGCGAAGAGGGTGGCAAGGTCAAGCCGGGACAAGGCTTCGTGGGGAAGCGAGAGGAAGATGAAGGAGAAAAGGGCATGCTGCAAGGCGGCAAAGGCGCGTTGAAAAAGGCCGTCAATCCCATGTCGAGCTCGGAGACCAGGGACGAGAGTGCTGCATCGAAGAGGAAGGCGGAAGTCCAGGCTACTGCTGCTCGTCCCGACGCTCAAGCAGACCCCAAGCTTAGAGAGCAGTATGCGAAGTTGGCGGGAACGGCAACGACTCCGGATCCCCAGGCGACGGTTGCAAAGAACGGCGCCAGGAAACAGCCGCGGAAGCTGGAGATCCGGTCTCAGCAATCGAATGCTACTTGAGAGGGCTATCAAGAACTCGGTGATTCATCAACTCTACTCTTGTTGCTTCCACCGCATCGAACAACTCGGGCAAAGACAGATTCGAGGACTCGTCGAAGCGTGTGACGCGGCGGCAGCAACTATAGCGGAACCGCCATGCGCCAGGCGATGATAAGGTTGCAGAAGGTGTAGTTTGTTGAACTGCATGAAGCGAGTGCGTCGTGCATGATATCGGTCTTTTTCCATGCACAGGTGGAATCAAGATGGGTTGTGTACCTCATGTAGTTGATGAAAACATCGTGAAGGGCTGCCTTTGATGAGGCGAAGCCGGGCCTCATACTGTGGCCTCAGGCAGCAACTTGCCGCGCCTCGGCCTGTGCACGTCAGCGGGCTGGGCGACCGGTTGCTTGAAATCCGCTTCCGACAAAGAAGCAACATTCCATTCTTCCCATCACGCACCACCAGCTCCATTAAACTACCTCTGCCCTGCACACCATGGCCTGAAGATCCAGACCACCGCGTCGCAACTCCGACTGCCACCCGGAAGCCCCTGCAGCCCGCGTCACAGCCATGGACTCGGCCAGCATCGACGGCATCCTCGACCGCCTGCTCACCGGCTTCGAAGCCCTCCAAGATGCATACCAGAAGCTGCAAGGACAACACCAGGCATTGGAGAAGACTCTGGAGAAGCAAAGACAGCAGGTACGTGTGTGTCCGCGCCACGATCTCGCCCCGTCTCCCTCCTCACCCCACTTCCTCACCCACCCTGCCTCCTCGCGTTGAAAGATGATCTACCTTTTAGCTCTAGACCTACAGCCGCTTGCGGCGTTGATAGACACTTGATTGGTTTCTGACTGCCGCTCTCTCCTCTATGATGCTTCATTTGGACCTTCTGGGCCTGCGCATATGCTGACATCCCGTTCCACAGTTTCATGAGCTTCGCAAATCAAGCACTTCGAGCGCCGTCACGAGTCCTCCCCTCAGCCTATCATCTTCCATTACACAACGAAAACGGGGTACGCAGGAACACGCCCCCGGAGACGCACCTGCCTCCGAACGACTTGAACCTTTGTCGAAAGACAAGAATGCATTGATAGAAGAAGCATCGGGCGCGGCAACCGTGCTCAGGGAAGCCCTCTCTCGCCGGCCGGGGCAAGCAGATGGAGTAAAGATCTGGTCGGGCAGATCTGCAGACGACACGAACCCGAGCCAGCCGTCGATACCCGAGACGTCACAGTCCCCATTAGAGCAAGACTTTACTATCGAGGGCGTCCCCAGCAAACTAGGATGCCCCTTCGCAAGCATGGCCAGCAAAAAGCTATCATCACACGCGGCTAGCGTACTCAACAGGTACGGTCAAAACGGCCGAAGCGCCGCGGCAGCTGCAGCAGCAGCCAGCCCATCCGTCAGCGCAGCCAGTCGGATCAACGGGCGAGAAAGTTTCGCAAATCGACAAGGCAACCGGCCCAGCACTCTTGAGCCAGGAAATTCGCAACTCGACCACGAATCGCCACATTCCGAACGAGCACTCAAGGAGCATGTGGAAAATCAGGAGGAGGCCGGAGTGGGCATGTGTCCTATTCGACTCCTCGACCAACGCTCCCCCGAAGAAGTTGCGACTTACTTTGAACAACACAAACACGAGCTTCCGCGGTCGCACGAGGTTTGCGTGAAACGCTATCAGAACAGCGAGCAGCAAATCAGGAAACTGGACGCCAAATACGGAAATATGGTCACCATGATACAGGGTCTGGGTGCCAAGCACCAGAACTTCCTCCCCAAGGAGCCTGATGAGGAGCTCTGCAACGACCCCACGGAGGAGACCAAAAGCGATGAGAAGGTGCGGAAGTGGGCGAGTGGCGTATCCGAACAGGCTGCCGTGGGGGAAGATGCAGCGGCGAGCGCGGATGCGGAAGATCGCCAGCCGCGCTTTGAGCGGCCGCTGAGAGAAATTCGCGTTGGCGAGTCGCCCAGTCGGCCCTGGGGCATATCTGTCCCTGCGAAGTATCTGGATCACGTGGATCAAGTGGATGAGAAGGCCGCAGCCGTCTCCTCCCCCGAGCCTCAACTTCCCCCCGCTGGACCCGCGGCGACGCTGTCAAAGTGTCCATTCAAGCCTGCTGCGGTCTCTTCCGCAAAAGCGGCGTTCGTTGACCCCGCCACCACTACCGCTCCTCAGGGCGCGGAGCGGATGGTTTTTACCGGTCCGGTCTTCATTGGATACAGCGCCGAGGATGCGGCAAGGATTCTGCAGAACAATGGTTCTAGAACGAAATAATGGCCTTGTTCTACAAATTGGTAGCAGTGACACAGTTAGCATGTATCTCAAGCAGCGTGTATGTATGAGAATGTCGGTGGAATCAGCTTCTGAGGCTTCTTTCTTCATGTCATCTTATTTACAGCTTCGTATGTTTCGGTCTGTCAGTCGCCGATGGCTTCAGACCACTATCCGCCGAATCTCGGTGGCGTTGTATCGATCGGTAGGTGTTGCTACTCCCAATAAATCCCTTGTCATCATCTCCTGCCGCCACCACCCTGTCTGAAATTCAAATTCGCGCGGCTCGTGGTAGCCAAGCGATGCACCGCCATCCTCCGCTCCCAGACTCCCGAGCGGCCTTCAACGACGGCAATGATCTCGTTTGCGACGCGCGTTGGAAACATGTCTCTCCCACTGCCCCGATTCTGCCGCTTGTTCACTGCATCCAAGATCCACATGAACGCTGTTCTCCGCCTCTGCCGTAGGCCCAACGGCACCGGGATCTGTAAAGCGACACCACCGCCAGCCGCACCACGCTGGCTGCGAATTCGCATAAGAGGTGCAACGGAGTCGACGGCGAGGGTGAGATAGGCAATCGGATGCAGGGGAAGATAGGACGCGGGCGGGGCGCCAGGGAGAAGGGCCCTGGTGGCGGAGTAGGTGGGGGCGGGGGAGGTGCGAAGAGTGTTGAGGATGACAGACATGTTGCGCTGTGCGACAGATTTCTTGCCATCTCGCATCATGAAGTTGGTAAGCTGGACCACCACGGGGTCGTAGCGCTCAGCTTTGTTGACTATGCTGTCCATGGCCGGGAGGGGAAATTTGTGGGAAAGTTGATTGGAGGTGGCCGTAGGTGTGTCGAGACTGGATCCGGCGGAGAGATTGGCACCTCCGAGACTTGAAAGCATAGCCGGATTGAAATCGGAGGGCGATGTGGAGGGCTGAAGCTCAAGTCGTCGGCGGATGGAGGTGGAGAAGGAGCGAGAGCCGCCGGGGTTGGTGGACGGCTTGGTATTGGACGATTGCTGCTTGGAATTCATCTGTTGTTGGAGCACTTCGGGCGCTTGGTCGCGTTGTTTCTTCTCCTCCTTCATGATCTACAATGCCCGGGTTAGCGAACAGGAGCGATGCGAGACACGCAAAGGGACAGTACATCTTGCACGGGGGTGCCCTGGTTCATGTCCGGCCCCTCTTGGCCCTGTATCTTCGCCATCTTGGCGGCTTCTTCACTGACATGTTCCTGCTGCTGCGTATTGGGACCTGGTTGGCCCTTGGGGGCTTCAGGAAGCTTGTCGGGATTGTTCTTCGATGCGATGTGGCGGAAGGGGCCAGGGCCTGCTCGGAGCGCCGTGCTTGCCAGCCGAGGCCGAAGTACGAGCGGAGTGATTCGAGGAGGCATGGCTGTTGTTGAAGAGGGAGCACGGTAGGTGGGGAGCACAGATGGCAGACCTTGAATGCTTCAGATTTGAAGATGCGGTCATTGGAAGGCAATGCATCACGGGTGTCAAAAGTCGAGGGCCTCAGCCAAGCCCAAAGTCAATCACGCTCGGCGCCGCGGAAGCTACGGCTGGTTAGTCACCTGGCAGCGCCAAGCAATGGCATGGAGCATCATGGTAGCATTGCGTAAGGCCGGCGTATACCACATTCTCTCGTCTACCGCCCTCGCCTCGCGTCTTCCTCACCTTTCTTGCCACTCTAGTACTCGTCTGCTCAGCTTCCTCCCGAGCCAGCACCCGTGTCTGCCCATCGCCCGATACGCCTGTGCTGCCTGGCAGCCCACCCTCATCATGTCGAGCGTCATACGCAGCGTCAAGAATGTGACCAAAGGCTACTCGTCGGTGCAGGTGAAGGTGCGGAATGGTAGGTCAACTCGCCCCCGGACGCCCTCGTTCCTTTTGCTGACCGGCCGGCGCAGCTACCAGCAACGACCCATGGGGCCCCACGGGCGCCGACATGGCCGACATTGCCCGCATCACCTACAACAGGTACCTCTCCCCTCCGTTCCCTCTGTGTCTTCCTCTACCTTAATGACGAGCCGTTTAGCACTTTTCCTGCTGACCTCCCCAACAGCTCCACCGATTTCTACGAGGTCATGGACATGCTCGACAAGCGCCTCAACGACAAGGGCAAGAACTGGCGCCACGTCCTTAAATCCCTCAAGGTCCTCGATTACTGTCTGCACGAAGGCAGCGAGTTGGTGGTGACGTGGGCTCGGAAGAACATCTACATCATCAAGACTCTGCGCGAGTTCTACTACGTCGACGAAAGCGGCAAAGACGTGGGAGCTGCCAGTAAGCCTTCGACCACTTTCCCTTCGTATCAACGTCCGCAGCTGCTGAAAGTGTGGTAGTCCGACAATCCGCGAAAGAACTTACCTCCTTGATCCTGGACGAAGAACGTCTCCGTGCCGAACGCACGAATCGCGGCTCATGGAAGTCGCGCGTCACCGGCCTCGAAGAATTCAACCATGATGACCACGCGCAAGCTGCCAATACCGAGGGCTCCAACACCGCCCGTGCCGATGCCCGCGCCGATGCCCGCAATCGCCGCCGTGCGGGTGAAGATGACAACGACTTGGAGATGAGACTCGCCCTCGAGGCTTCGAAGAACGAGGCCGAGGCTGAGGCTGCCCGCCGGGCTACTATCTCTGGCGATGAAAACGACGCCGACTTCCAGAAAGCTCTCAAGTTGAGCCAAGAAGAGGAGGAGTTAAGAAAGCGACAGTTGGAAGACCAAAACCAAGAAGATCTGCTGTTTGATGATACGCCTGGCGAGCAGGTCCCACAACCCACCGGCTTCAACCAAGGCTATCACCAGCAGCCGCAGGTGGACTGGTTCGGCAACGTGGTTGGAGCACAGCAGCCACAGCAGACGGGCTTCTTGAACAATGCGTACAGCCAACCGACTGGGCAGCCCTTCCAGAACGGCTACGGCTACGGCCAACCACAGCCTTCGGCCTTTGATCAACTGCAACAACCGTCCCAACAATTCTTGCAGCCGCAGAATACCTACAATCCCTGGGCGCAGCAGCTGAACAACGGTACTTTTGGAGCACCTCCTCAGCAGCCCCAGGCCCCAGCAGAGCCGGTGGTGCAGGCGGGCTCCAACAATCCTTGGTCGAGCTCGAGTCCCGGACCGAATTCCTCCATCGCAGCCCAGCCGACGGGCTCCAACAACCCCTTTGCAACCCAACGCCCGGTTCAATCCCACGCCCATTTCAACAAAGCGCCCACGCTCTCCACCCTGCAAGAGCAAGCGGCTACCAACCAGTTTAACGCCCGGCCCAATCCCATCGCCAACTACGCCTCACCAAGCCCCTTCCACGCCAGCACGCCCTCTCCCCAGCCTCGCATCTCCCAACCTCCGCCCCCTCAAGACCCCTACCAAGCCAAACTCAACGCTCTTCTCGCCTCCGGGGAGGGCCAAGACACGTTTGGCAACGTTGGCGATCTGCGTATCCCCTCCCAACACACGGCACCCGGCACGTTCGTCAACTCCGCCGGGGCGGGGTCGATGGGCAGGCTGGAGAGCAGCCGCACCGGCACTAATCCCTTTTACACGCAAAATTCGGCCGCGTCGGTGCAGTTTCCTGCTCAGACAGGGCCTGCGCATGGGTTTGGAGGCAGCGCAAACCCCTTCGGCTCGCGGCCGCCGGGACAGCAGAATCAAGGGCAGCAGGGTGGGAGCCTGATTGATTTATGAGCGGAGTGAAGTTAGCATGACTGCATTGCAGCCGTCTCAACAGTTGGGCAGGATGTGAGATGTGCACTGGCGTTCTACGGCGTTTTATACCCGGTTGGTCTTCTTCTGTAAGCCCAACCGCGAAAGGCTATGGGTTGGACGGAGCCGTGACTTGTATGTCGCGCGTCTTATCTAGGTATTTGTGTCATACAGAGAATGGAAAGTCTTTGCAGTTCACAATGTCGGGGTTTCCACTGCTCATTGTGTTGCAACCGTTATCCGCCAGGCCATGAGTCCAGATAGACGCACAATGTGGGTTCGGCAACTTCTTCATGCCCAGGCTTCGGACACATGATCATGAAGCTATCATGCTGCAATATCCGTCCACCGATGCTAGCGATATAACTTGCACTCCAGCGCTCGTTTGCCCAAATCGAGTCCGGGCAGACGGACGCGGCAGTATCGACGATGTCCATCAAATCGCCCGCTTGCCCTGGCTCATGCCCCGTGGAGTCGTCAATCGGCTCACTGCGACTGTTGTCGACACGGTGGGAGCCGAGATGAGAATAGCACAGGGCAAGTACCCACACATCCTCCTCCCATTCCGCCAGACGCAATTCCGTGAGATCTGTGGTGTTGGCACTGGCGCCGATGCCCGTTAGGAAAGCATCATCAAGCGTGCCGGACGATTTCGAAGCGTCGATGAAATCTTGCAGACGGATGAGGCAGGGGTGGGTGGGCATGCTCTGGTTCGGGGAGGGCTGCCAGAGAAGAGAGCGCGTGTAGGTCTTTAGGGTATTGATGAGGGCGTTGATGATGTCGACTTGTCCCTGCCTGTAAATCGCTGCCTGCTGTTGTTTGCAGTTTTGGGGTTCAGAGGGTAGCTTGGCGGATTGGAGTCGGACGGCGGTCGCGTTTAGTGATTGAACTATCATGCGAGCAATGTGTGGTAGATAACGCCTTCCTTCCGAGTCGAGGTACTGGCGAGGTTCGTCTATGGCGTGGAAGGGCAGGCCACGTTCGTGACGAAGGATGTAAACGAGTAGTTCGAGCAGGGCTTCGGGGAGCTCTGAGAACAGATGACTGGCATGGGACAGTTCGCACCGTGGACGTCCAAGGCGAAAGGTGGCCTTCTCCGAGTTCCAGTCACCGCATGCGTTGAGATATGCCGGGCGGGCTTGTTGTATTTGTAACTGCAGTTCTCTGGGCGGGGCTTTCAACGTCAACGCCACAGTATCATGAGGATTGTCGGGAATGCAGAAACCGTAGCCGATGAGCAGCTCTCCGTTGCCCTTTGGACCGTAGTTGTTGCACACTTCAGCTCCAGCCTCGATGGTTTCGGCGACGATGACGCTGAACTGTGCCACATCAAACACCCAGTCGACTTTGGTCCTCGGGTTGTGGTTAGCGGCGTCCAGGCCCGGAAACAGGACGGGAAATTCAAGATCCTCGCGGGGAACTGCAGACATGTCGAGCAGCACAGCTTCCCGGCGGCCATCCAGCGTGGATTTATACGTCGTCCAGAGATCGCTCTCCTCCGGACGTAGAGTACGAGAGGTGAAGGAACGAGAGGTGAAGATGGCGACAGCCCACTTGAAGAGATGCCTAGTCGAGAAATAAATACTCACACGCAAGCAACTTACCCTCGTTACCGTCGAGCTTACCACGTGTATGGCTGTACATCTATCCCTTCTTGCCTGAGAATGGCAATTCCATCGTCGAAATAATTTCTGTACACTTCCTCGCGAGCGCGTACGGTGTGCCAGACATCGGTGCCTTCCAGCCAAGCCGTGTCTGCTGCCTGCTCGAAGAACAACGGCTGGGAAAAGTCGGCCTCGGGCGTGGGAAGAGTGTCGAGATAGGCTTTCCAGAACGAAATTTCACGGTTCACCCACTGTGACATGAGGTAGAAGAAGCCCGCGGCAGCAACGGGGAAGCGGTGCCTCTGCTGCTGGAAGACGGGGAAGTGCTCGTCGACCAGCGCATTGAGGTATGAGAGAGCGACGGCGTGGGAAGCCGAAGCCACGCAGACGCCGGCCTCAATGGTAGCACGTGTTCGGTAGTGCACGCCGAAGATGTCGTCGTGCTGGAGGTGGATGCCTGGATGGAGATGGCCGTGGTTTGCACGGAACCATTGCTCCAACGCTGCGAGCTCGGTAGGCGACGCCGCCATTCCAAGCCGTCCTTCGTCCGACACCCAAAACCCCTCGCGAGGCCGAGCGAGAGTCGACACTTCGCGAGAGGGAGAATCACAAATGAGATGCAAAAAGGCTTGAAGAGAATGATGAAGAGGCGTGAAGGAGGAACGGGGCAACACCCGAGCCGAAGCCGTGCGCGCTAGCACGTGCACTAGAGAGACGTGGAGTCGAGGAGGTGTGGCAAGGCTGCACCACACCAACGCCACCCCTCCTCTCCTCCCGCTCGTAACGGATTGGCAGCCTGCCATTGTCTTTGTGAGATTGGCACATACTACACCACAGCATATCGAAATACGGCAAGACGAGGTTTAGCAACAGAGTCCCGCCAAAGTTCTGAGCTCGATACACGAATCTTGTCGAGCTACATACGGTATCCTCCTCTCAGCTCCCCCTCCCTCCCTCTTTGCTATCCCGTCGTCATCCATGTGTCGTCCTCGTTGTTGCTGACCCGGTTGGTCGTCGCGTCGGAAATCGTCACGGTGGTTGGTACAATGTATAAGCATAAGGCTTTTCGTCGCGTAGTGCTGAGCCTACGCGTCGTCGCTACTGTCTACCCATAGTTGAAGTGCGCATGCTGATGGCTCGGCTGTTGTGATTGTTGTGGTTGTTGTGGTTGGTGTTGTTGGTGTTGTTGCTGCTGATGCTGCTGCCGCCGTTCGGTTCCACTACGTGAAGCGGACACGGGAACCTCTGCGCCGATGGGAACTGTCCCGTCCACATCCGGCCCTCGCGAGTGGTCGAGGAACTGCCTGGAAGACGAACCAGACATCCCTGCACCCATGGACACCACACCGTCCATTTCCGGGTTTCGCAGATTGTCGTGGAATCGCGGGGACTGCTCGATCGACGCGCCTCCCCAATACGAATCCGTGCCGCCCGTCACAGAACTCACATCAAGCTCTCTGCTTAACCGGAGGCGTTTGAGCAACTGGATGCTCTCTTCCTCGGGCAGGGTCAACAGCGGCTGCAACAGACTGTTGACTTGGTTCAGGCTCGTCCTCAGGCTCTCGTTCTCTCGCCGGAGCGCGGCAGATCGCGTCTCGTCCGAGCTGCCCGTATCGTACACACACACCGTTCCTGGTCGCGCCGCACACCACCCGCACACCGGGCGCTGGCCGTCACACCGGATCTTCTTCGCTCGGCACGCCTTGCACGTCACGTTAGTTGGCGGTCATGCCCGGCTCGATCTGTCGCGTGGGTCGGCATGGGCTCACGTACATTGCACGCCACTCGCACGGTCGAGCGTCGGGATCGGGGGGACGAGGTGCTGGACTCCGCGTAGTCGTGGGAGCCTGCCATGGACAAGAAGGGGGAAGGATCTTGCTCGGACATGGCGGTGACCGGGGAACACGCCCCATCAGGTGTGAGGGCAGACACAAAGGCGCCGCGGGTTGGCTCTGTTAAGCCGTTTTCAGCGCGTTGGCACTTCGGGAAGCGGGGAAGGGAGGAGGGTGGATGGTGGCGACAAGCTCGCTGCTCTCACGTTCACATGCGGAGAGGTGAGCATGGTGTCATGCGAAGATCGCAGTACGTCGAGTCTCGCGCCGCCTCGCCCGCGCACAGCAAACCTGGCCCTTCTTCGTGCCGCACGTTTGAGCCTTCGCGTCCCACTAAAATGCACCTTCCACCGTCGCTCCACGGAGTGCGCTCCGCGCATGACCCACCAACCGCATATACACACCCAATCAACCCAGGCGTCGCCTTGACGGTCAGCAGGGGATTCGGACTCCCATACCGCAAGTGGAGCACATTCGGAGTCGAGACCGGGAAATGAATTGCTTCAGTGGCGCTTGCCTTTCAGCCTAGTCGGTGGTAATCGTTGCACGGAGCCTCCGCGTGCCGAATGCATCCAGCGTCACGTGCTGCTGGCCGTCGCGCGGCGGGCTCGCGAGACAAACAGCGTCAAAAGGGCGCTCGGCGACGCGTGAAGACGGCCGCGCGCCAGGATGTCGTCGACACCGCGCACCCATGCACACCCAACAAAGCGCATGTCGTCCAGCTCTTCCCCACATTCTGCCCATCAGCCACACCAGGCCGCGAGCAGGATGAGCGTCGAGTGACGTTGTTCCGCCACCCGCTTGACCAAGTTTTGCTGCCATTCGCTGCAAGCATTCAAATACACGCGACGGAGTAGGTGGTCAGCCACAGGCGCCTCTTTCCTCTCTCTCCAATCCGCCTCTCTTCAGCCTTGTCTTGTATGCACATGAAGTCTGCTCGCAATGGCAGACTTGCAGCTCATTCCCGCTCGCCATGCCACGGCCACTTTTGTCCCAGCAGGCCAAGTCATCAAGATAGTCAATACCTCCGGCACCCAAGTCATCGATACATGGGCCTTTGCACTGCCCAAACCTGACCCCAAACCGGAAGGGCAACAACAGGATCAAGGCCAGGTTGACGAGGAACAGCAGGCCAAAAAGACCTCCAAGCAACGCGCTTCCCAGCCGACCGCTTCCAAGACCAGCAAAAAGCCTGCTGATCTACCCAGTCAAGAAGAGGCTGAGAAGGCGACGCAGCAGGCGCGGGCGGAAGAAGACAATGCCCAACCAGCGCAGAGCTCCACCTGGGCATCCTACGTGCCCACCAAGATCTGGCCCTTGTCGAAAGGCGATGCTTCCAAAGAGAGCAGCGCAGACACGGAGACGGAGCAACAAAAGAACTCCCGCACGTGGAGCTCCTACTTCCCCTCCGGCAAGGGCATCAGTAACTACATCCCCGGAACTGCAAAGAACACAGTATCTGGCTTTGCTTCCCTGGCAAGTAGTGCACGTGTCGGTACCCTGCACAGCCTTGCGACTGACTGCCCACTCATAGCACAAGCGCGATCCCAACAAGAGTTACATGGAACAACTGCAGGACTTCTCGCGCACGCCTGTCGGAGCAGCAGGTTGGGGCGGTAAATCACTCCCCCGTACTACTCTCGCACTGACCCAGCTTACACAGGCCTCGCAGCTCTGACGGGTTCGGGCTGGGGCGGCTCGACCTTTGCCGGCTATCAGGCCTGGAACGCGCAGAATGCGGCCAATGCGGCGCCGATGGAGTACATGAGCATGCAACACACCCGCGCCGCCACGTTGCATTTGCGGCCCAAGGTCAACGATACCTTCGTCTCCAACTTTCGCGAGCCACTTCTGACCTTGATTGAGGACTCCTCGTCCGGCATTCACGACACGTTGATTCCGGCGTGTGATCCTGCGAGGTACAAAGGCCTTGGGGTGGAGAATTGGGAGGTAAGTCTGCAAGGCAGTTGAATCGCGTCCCAAAGCCCCAACTCACCTCAATCTGCTCAGGAGCACGGTTCCTGCGCCGAGAACCTTGTGTTGGCCCTCGAGGAGCTCAACAAACGCGCTGGCCTCAAAGGTGCAAAAGGCGTCGGCGCCGATCTCACAATCAACTCCGTCCCCGCGCCCCTGAACCTCTTCATGAACATCCCGTGGGACGAGGCTGGCGACATCGACTTTGCGAAGCCACAGTGCAAGAAGAACGATTTCGTGCGTCTCAAAGCCGAGCGGGACGTGGTGGTCGTCATGAGCGCTTGTCCGCAAGACATAACCGACGTCAACAATAAGGAGCCGACCGACGCGCACTTTGTCGTCGAGGGCGAAGAGGATGCCGCGCCCGCGATCAAACGGACACAGCACACACGAAAAAGGCCGCCGCCACGCAAGATCAGCTCGTCGCATGCCACCTCTACGCAGGGGACAGAGACGGGCGCGCCGGCGTCTCAGCGGCCACCGGCACCGCAAAGGAAAACCGTGGCCCAGAAGCAGCAGCCGACAGCGGCCCCAACGCCGGCAGCGAAGCCAGCATCGACGGATGCGCCAAAGAAGAAACCCGTGCCTCCCCCCGTGGCACCGCAGAAGAGGGCTGCCAATCCCACGGGGGGATCTGGACAGGCCAAGCCCGGTCCTGCGCCCGCTACGGTAGAGAAGAAAAAGCCTCGGAAGTTGAACGCGATATCGAGGACTGCAACTTAGTGTCATGGTTCGAGAATACAAGAGGCGTGTGTGAGGTCAATAGTCAGCAAGTCTAGTACTGCACTGAATCCGGGCAGTGTTCTAGTCAACTGTCGGGCTGACTATTAGAGTGCAGCGCGTCACGCGTGGGCCAATCAGTTCGCAGTCCATGGCACTCTTACGACTGCATACATGTAAGAACGAGATCTGAATCACGACGTGAAGCGCGGGAGGTAGTCAATTCTGATAGCGGCAGGCACTGTCATCAATGTTGAATTTTCCATCCACCGTCGTAATTACACTCATCACAAGAGGCCGTCGGACGCGTGCTTCGTCACACATTCTTCTTCGTTCCCATCCGTAATCCCTCCCCGTCTGTCTCACTCGTTGGCGACGGGGTCCGCTCAAATTCAACCCAGCCCTCCGCATCACTGGTCCGCCTACGTCCGCGCTCCCGCATGGCGGCATGCAGGTTTCGACTGACTTCCTCCAAGTCCGGCTTGGAGACCGGCGCAGCCTCGTGCATGGCTGTGAAGCCTCGTAGGCCGCTCCCGAACCGCGTCCCAGACAGGGCTGGTTCCGATCCGCTGTTACTCCTACTCCTAGTAGTATGTGGCGTGCCTGGTCGTGATGCGAACAGACCGACCGAGCCGATGTTTTTGAAGCTCTCGTTGCGCGGGATAGACGAGGCGTGCAGTGGTTGGAAGTGCAGGCCGGGAGGGGTGGGTGGGGGGAGGTTGAGGACATCAATGTCGCTGCCGTCACGTCTCTGCGCGGGTGTCGCGGGTCCTGCCGAGTCTGATGATCCTGCCTCGTCCTCATCCTCCTGATCCGGGACGATGCGCATTCGATCGAAGTCGGGGAACAGCTCGGGCCCGAGATCGTTGATGAGGTCGTCGATTCGGTGGGCGAGCTGTTCACGCCGCTTGCTGAGTTGCACGAGAGAGTTGCTGGAGCTCGGGTTGATGGAGAGGAATAGCGGGCGCAGGGATTTGAATATGTCCATGCCCACTTCTCCGAATCGAAGCGCCATGAAGCACATGGCGGGGAAGAAGATGAGTCCAAAGACGTACACCGACCACAGTGGGATCCAGAGTGGCACCCGGCCCCCAACTCGGTTGTAGTACGTCCACCACGTCAACAGACTGGTGTATGTGACATCGAGGATCGGGGTGAGGGCGAGTGCGACCAGGATCTTCCACGTGGCCATGACATCTCTCGCCTTGATCTTGACCGTCGACGCTGCCAGCGCTTCCTTGGACTTGCGGATGGAAATGATCTTGCCCGCGATGAACACGGGCGCAAACAGGACGGTACCAGGGAGGACGGCGATGCTCAAAGCGGAGATCTTCAGTACGCGCCAGGTGAGGAGGAACATGACTTTCCACCAGGGGTGCTTGGCATAGCCGACTTGGTGGTCGCGGAGGTTGAGGCCGAATAACGTCCGGTTGTAGTCAAGCACATCCTTCCGCAACTTGACGACGCGCGGATCATCTTTGTATGTCGCATAACCTTTCATCAGTCTCCGGTTGAGCTCCACCACCATCGACAATGGCAGCTCCTTGCCCTTGGAGTTGTATAATCGACGTACAGCCTGGATGAGCATAAGGGTGTCGTAGTCGGGGGCGAGGGTGGTGACGGTCTGGAGGCCTTTGTACACAGTGTCCAGCACGCGGCTGATGGCGTCCCTCCGATTGCCGTTCTTGTATTGCTGCACGAGCTCCGGATCGACGGTGATTGGCTTGCCGAATTCGATGACGGCGCGCGAGCGGAACTTGTGGGGGTGGAAGTAGTTCATGCCCACCGGCACGATGGTGACGCCACAGTCTGGATCTTCGGCCAGCGCACCCAGCGCCATGATGGCGAGGCCGGCTTTTAAGGGCAGGAGCTCGGTGCGATCGTGGCTGCCGCCTTCGGGGAAGATGCCGATGCAGCCTCCGTCTTTGATTTTCTTGAAGACGCGCTCGTAGACCTTGCTTTGATCGACGTGAGGGGCGACGCTGAACTTGGTGCCCTCAAAGTCTGAAGACCCTTTTGCCTCGTCATCCGACGCGTTTCCATTGCCGTTCACATTCGGTGTACGTCCGGTGAGCTGCTCGAATGCCACGTCACCAGCAAAGGGATGCTTGAGTCTGATTTCGTCGGGTCCGAGAATTTCCTTAATCTCGGTATTGGCTGAAGCATTGTTGACACTCGGCAGGACGAGCAGGCCGCCGGGCATATATATGTTTTTGTCGTCGAACTGCGTGCCCTTGCCCTTGACCAAGGTGGGGTCACCATCCGGGTCGGGCAGGTAGATCTTCCCTTGGGCCGGCTTCTTCAGATCCAATGCCCTGCCCACTGACACCGAGCCAACAAGGCTGGCCGCCAGGCCGATGAACTTTCGGCGCATGCTCTTTTCGGCGATGAGGAAGGAAATGCGGCGTTTGGCGTCATGTCGGACGGTGGAGCCGAGGATGAGCGGGTCGACGAACTGGTTGGCATGAGGCGCGGCGACGAAGATGACGGGCGAACGGCGAGGGATACGGTATGAGGCGCGAGGGTGGACTTCACGGAAGAAGAGGTCGACGACGACATTGGAGATCCAGAGCATAATGTCGTAGACGAAGTCGTCGAGCCATGATCGCCGCCGCATAGTGGGGGGTGTTGTGTGGTGGTGAAGGAGGTGAAGCAGGACAGGTTGAGGCTTTCACTTGCGAAGCCGTGGCGCGTGCAAGAAATGGTGTTGCATCTCGGGAAAGGACTAAGCGGCCCAGGGTGTTTCAGTGGAGGTGATGGTGCGGAGAGATGTCAAGTCTGCAGACAGGCGGGTGAAACGTGTCGAGGTGTTTTCCCCAAAAATGCCAGCGACCAAGTCGATTAAGGTTTGGGTGAGAGTGGGGGGTCTGGGGAAGTGATTTGGGTAAGGCGGGGTGATGTCACGTCGATTGCAATGGAGCCTCACCTTCCTACCTCACCTGCCCCTTCGACGTGCTTGCGGTGCATAGTCTCAGGCCTGCTCAAGTAGTAAAGCCTCGGAACACCGCCGAAAGCAGTGTAATCCCCCGACTCCCTCACGCGAGGCACAGGTTAGAGTTCACGTTAGGTTGATGGAGTGGAAGGCAAGGAGGGTCCGGAAGCGGCTCTGCTCTGCTTTCACATGATCCTCTCGGCACCGAGGCATCTAAGAAGAGCCAAATAAATACATAACTCCTCTGGTGATCACACTTTAACACGTTACTCTCGAGAATACTACCGCTCCCTCACGCTTCGTGCACGCGCTTCCCTACAACCTCACATCCATCATGTCTTCCGCCCAAAGCCGCGCTCTCGAAATCAATTCCCACCTGAACCCAAGCGGACGGGCAGGCCTGTTGGAGAAACGGCCAGATGACATTGTCGTCACCGCTGCTCTCCGCACTGCAATCACCAGAGGCCGGAAAGGCGGCTTCAAGGACACCGCTGCCGCCGACCTGCTGCATGGCGTCTTCACCCATCTCATTCAGCGCTCCGGCATCGATCCCAGCCTGGTAGAGGATGTTTCCGTCGGTTCCGTCCTCGCCCCTGGCGGAGGTGCCACCGAGTTTCGCGCCGCCGCTCTTGCCGCCGGCTTCCCCGCCTCCACCGCCGTCAAGAGCTTGAATCGCCAATGTAGCTCCGGCTTGCAGGCGTGCGTGGAGATTGCCAACGCCATCAAGTCTGGCATGATCGACATCGGCATCGGGGCAGGCGTCGAGAGCATGAGTCAGCAAGTGAGTTGATAGCCATTTGATATGCGCCGCTGAGGAAGAGTGCTGACGTCCGACGTAGTATGGCCCGCAAGCAGTGACAGAATTCAGCGACCTCCTCGAGGACAATGCAAGCGCCGCGGAGTGCAAAGTGCCCATGGGAGTTCTCAGTGAGCAGATGGCGAAGGACAAGGGCGTCAGCAGAGCAGATCAGGACCGCTTCGCCGCCAACAGCTACCAAAAGGCTCTCGCCGCGCAGAAAAACGGCTGGTTCGATGAGGAGATTGTGCCCCTCACCGTCAAATCCGAAGATCCCAAAACCGGAAAGACCACCGAAATCACCGTGTCACGCGATGACGGCGTCCGAGAAGTCACCTCCGAGAGCCTATCCAAGATCAAGCCCGCCTTCCACAAGAACGGCACCATTCACGCGGGAAATGCGTCGCAAGTCTCCGACGGCGCGGCAGCCGTACTGCTCATGAAGCGAAGCACCGCGGAACAGCTTGGCCAGAAGATTCTGGGGAAATTCGTTGCTGCGTCGGTAGTCGGAGTGCCTCCTCTTCTCATGGGAATCGGTCCATGGAAGGCTATTCCCGAGGCTTTGAAGAAAGCCGGGATATCGAAGGACGACGTTGACATTTTTGAGATCAACGAGGCCTTTGCATCGCAGTGCCTATGGTGCGTCAACGAGCTGGGTCTTCCGATGGAGAAGGTCAACCCGAAAGGTGGTAAGTCGCATTCTCATTCTCCTCCTGTCATATGCAAGCATGCTGACTTGTCAAGGTGCCATTGCTTTCGGTCATCCTCTCGGATGTACGGGCAGCAGGCAGGTCAGCACGCTGTTGTATGAGCTGAAGCGTACAGGCAAGCAGATTGGTGTCACGAGCATGTGCGTGGGGACTGGCATGGGAATGGCCGCGGTATGGGTGGCAGAGTAAGAGATTAGCGCGTCTACTTCTTGCATTGAATCGGCGCAGACTGGATCGGGTATGCATCGTGCTGGAGAACTATCACATGGATCGGTACCCGCATGAGCAGACTATCGCTATGAATGTCAGGGGAAAGATGAGACTAGAATCTGCCTCTCAAGCTATGATTGTGTTTCCACGAAAACCCGATGGAAACACCATGCCCGCCGCAATAGCTGTCATTTTGGTATGAGACCCATGAAAAATCCTCCTGCCGTCCGCCAGCGTTGGATCTTGTCGCGAATGATGGAGTGTACTACATCGGTAGTCATCGCAGATGTGTGTCCAACTTGCTTGTCATTGATTGCGAGGCATTGTAGCTGAGGGAACTGGTGTAGTAACACGCCAGTCTGGAGCAAGACCTCGACGATTTCGAGAAATTCGCCACTGTCTACGTAGAAGCACAAGCGCGTAACGTTTTGGACAGCCTGGCCTGCGATGACACAGGCGGCACGCACTTCCTGACCGCTGGTGCATTCCGTCGTTGTGATGCACAAATCGAACCGCAACCCGCTGATGAAGCTAGCCTTCCTGTGAGCAGATCTTGAAACAAAGAAGGATTTTGGGCGTGTCCTTGACTCACGGTGATAGACCGGTGAGACGACACCGAAAACAAAAGCCTTGCAGTTGGCGCGAGCTAATGAAGAGCGACTCCTCGGAAATATATAGGCCCCAGATCTCCCCTCGAAATGTACGACACGTACGAGTTAATGGCGGCGGTCGTCCAGGGTAGTGCAGCAGGTGCTGACGGTATATCTTATGGCGGACCTCGAGCGAGAGTGAATGCCACAGAGCCTCGCCTTTGGTGTCCGTTGGGTAGGCCTGCGTAGCCGCGGCCACCTGAGAAGTCGGGGGAGTTGGGACTGTGCTATCTTGCCGCATCGAGTCCAGGCTGCAGTGGTACGGTCTGAGTTCCGGATGGCGATATATGGTGGGATGTGTCTGGGTGAATTGGCCAGTGTAGCAGATGCCGTCGCTAAGCATCATAATTGGCGTAGCAGCTGCACAAGTATTTGAGATTGGTGAGCCCAAAGTGGCTCCATAGACCAACACGTTCTCTGGCTGCCGAAGCAAGGTGGGTTTCAATTTCCCTTGCCGTCGGGAGGCATCGACTCGATTGGCAAGTCCAGGCCAACCCGCCTGGCCGTCAGACGCACTCGCTCTTCCTCTTCCATGTTCATCCCCGGGTTGTATCTCTCCAGCAACGTCGTGTACACTCGCTGTGCCTTGAGATACTGCACATATTGCTCTGCTTCTTCTAGTCTGGCTTGGGCCGACTTTTGCGTCTGGTGTTGGAGAGAGGCGGTGGAGGTGTCGGCTTGGAAGTCGGCTCGAATGTGGCGTTGGAGTGGTGATGGGTTGGCGAGGGTGGAAGGGGAGCGAGACGGGAGTTCGCGTAGGAGGCGGCGATACAGCGAGCGTGCATGAGATGCCTGAGCCATTGTGCACAAAGATAGAGGATGGAGCGTGCATGGATTCAGTTGCTGAAGCCTGCATGGAGAGATATCCATCGATTACATAATACATCTAAGCACGTGACTCTCACGTGACTCGACTGGACTCGCTTTCCAGGTATGTGTAAGGTATCTATCGAATGAACTGATCACCGTAATCCACGCCGAGGCCGACTCACTCGACTTGACTCGCTTTCCAGGTATGTGTATCTATCGAATGAACTGATTAACGTAATCCGCACCCAGGCCGACCTTCTCGTAATGATCCCGGGCCATTTGCAATTTGGTGAAGACATCCTCAATTCTCTCCGCCTTGCCATGCGGATCGACATACACATATGCCCCGGACACGACGAAGACTATTACCGTCTGGTCGACGCCTTCCGGCACGACGAGAGTGTGAGTCTCGCCCGGGGGCTCCATCGAGTAGCCTCCAGCCGTCGCCCACCAGTCGTGCTCGAGGTAATGCCATTTCCCACGGAGCGTGAAGGCATGCACGGTGCCGGTGTGCTTGTGGCGGCTCAAGACGCCCGACTTTTTGACCTTGAGAATGTTCACGAAGTAACCCTGCCTATTCTAAGGTTAGCAAACATGCTCAGTGCCCTACTAGATTGCGCGAGGTTGTCTCAATTGCTGCAATTGATCTCGAGGTAGTTAAACAAGTAAAGATTGCTTACGAGGTGCCGAATAGCAGTGGTCTAAACCACACATCGGGCGCTTGAGGGACCTGGTCACTGGTGTCAGCGCGCCAGTCTTCAAGGAGCATATTGAGTTGGACTCACCCAGAGTCGTTCGTCCGTTCCGTCAAGGTCCATGACATTGGGAATCACCAGATCATCGGGCATACCATAGGGCTGCGCTCCCTGATAGGGCATGTTTTTCTCATCTTTGGATTGGCCATTCGTTTCAGTCGCAGCTGGAGGCATTGTTGTCGTTGTTTTTATTTGTTCCAAGTAATAAATCGCGAATGTCGGATGGTTGTGAAGACGGAAATGCGAAGAAGCAATGCAGAGCCGCAAGACTCCCGTCCACACTCAATGCCTCGAGTGGCGACGACGTCACCGAAAGCTTGTTCCTCCAATGGCGTTTGACATATGGGTCAGGTAAGAAAGTACTTGATTCGCGTACCTTTTTCATGGTGTACAGCGAATGCCCTGTACACACGCAACCGACAGCATCAGGTTAGGACGAGAGGAACGGAGAGGGATCAAGCATCGACGTGCTTCTCATTGTCATCTGCAGAGGCATCTATCTAAATCATGTCGCCCGCTTTTGCTAGCCCTGAGTTCTATCTCATCAAATTCATATCAGAACTCGCTAATCTGTAGACGGACCTCCACGTCTCCGCGGAAGCCTCCTTGAAGTCTCCCGGCCACATCTAGGACAAGGTGGCCTCGACCTTCTTCAAGCACTCGGGGAACTCCTTCCAGTCGTACATGACGGAGATGGCGTTGCACTCGGAGGTTAGGGTGTTGGCCATCTGGTCCATCTTCTCCTTGCCCTCTTCAATGTTGTAGATGCCGACGTAGGCGATGAGGGGGATGTTGGCACGCTTGGCGGCGGTGGAGCCGGATTTGCTGTCCTCGACGGTGACACACTCCTCCGGCTTCACCCCGAGCTCTTTGCAGGCGTGCAGGTAGATGGCGGGATCGGGCTTGGAAGAGGGCGGGTTGAGGCTGGTGACGGCGGAGTAGACGTGCTCGTCCTTGAAGAAGCCTGTTATGCACGGTCAGATTATTATACAACGTTGTGGTGTTGGAGGCACTCACGCATGAGACCAGTCTTCTTGAGCGAGGCAACGACACGAGGCTTGGCCGAGGTGGACACGACAGCCATGGGGTAGCCCTGGTCCTTGATCCACTGCAGTTGCTCGTCGGCACCGGGGCACTCCTTGCACTTGGCAGACAGCTTCTTGGTGACCTCGTCGAGCTCACGGGCGACGAAATCGTCCTGCTCGTCCTGGGACATCTTGAAGTCGTGCTTCTTCTGGATGCCGATGAGCATGTTGCGGAAGTTGTGGCCGACGAACTCCTCCAACAGCTGGTCGACGGTGTAGGTGGCGTCAACGTTGTGCTTCTTCAGCACCTCGTTGGATAGGTCGGTGCATGCTTCGAACGCGAGCCTCTCAGACTGGCAGAGAGTGTTGTCGCAGTCGAGGAGGACGTATTTGACCTGGACACAGGTGCATTAGACCTCTATTCAAGCCAAATGTAGAGGGATGTGCTGGTGGCCAGCGAAGACGGGTGACGACGACACGAACCTTGCCCATTGTGACGGTGTTTGCTTGAGTGTGAGTTGGATTGTGGTATGAGGGTGTCTGTGAAGTGCAATTGACGAGCTTTGAAGGCAAACAAGGCAGTTGTTCAGAAGAGAGGAAAGTGTTGAGAGAAGTTTGAGGGAGGAGCAGAATATAATTCCAGGGCAAACAGCCCCGACACCCCACGGTGGGGCAAGATCGTCATAGAAGCTCGGACCACCCTTGCTCTGCCTTCCACTTTCGGCCACTCCATTAGGGGCATGTGCGAGGCAGCTGAGTGAAGTCACCTGCTGCGAGGGAGGTGAGGACTGACAAGTGAAGCTTGAGGGCAAGTGAAGTTCCGACAAGGTGATATCTCATGGCAGCGATGATCGCACTCTCCACCACGTACTCAATGTAGTGCACACTGGACCCTGTGCAGCGTTACACCGACGCCAAATAAACCTCCACTTGCTCACCCGTTCGCACCACCTTGACTGTGACTATTATCAAAATAGCAATGCTTTTCTCGACCTTAAACCCAATTGCAGGGCTACATCGGCCTGTGTGTAAAGCGAGTCGGATCTCTCCCCGTAGCGGCAACTCCTCACATTGAGCACACGTGCACATGTATATGTAGGCAACTCTCCATGGCGAGTGCACCAGTGCAAGCTGGCCTAAGCATTTGGAGGAAATCGAACATGAATAAACAGATCCTGTCATTGTTCTTCGATAAGACTGTACGTCTCTGAGGGCGGCCGGCGATATCTTCCTCGCATGTGCGTGTAAAGCCGGGCTTTTTCGCCCGTCAAGTCGATACCCATTGCTTGATGACCATGACCGATTCGTACGCCATCGCCACCACCCCCAGCACCAGGAGCAATATGTCGAATGCCTTGGTGATCTTCTTGGTAGCCATGCCTTTGTAATGTAGCAGCGGTGGATAGATGTACACCAGCGGGATGCATGCGAAAGCGCCAATGAGAGACACGAATTTGTCCAGATCGCTGGCACCGACTATGGCAATGCCACCACACATGATCATGAGGGCAGTGCGCAAGGCATTCTTCTTCCACTTGATCGTTTTGCTCTTCTTGCCCGTGGCCTTCTCGCCGAATAGGCTGGTCTCGATGATACGCGTGGCGGGGAACAGCTGCACCGGCTCGCCGGCAAGGATGGCCAAAGAGTACAGGAACTGCACCGCGTTGACGAGTTTGCTGTCTTGTGGGAAGTTGGAGATGATCTGAATCTTCGTCTCGTCGCCGAACGTGGCGTAGCAGAGGGCGCCAACCGAGGTGAAAATGACGGTGATGATGGACATCACAGCGTAGAGCAGATAGCTGAACTTTTCGGGCTCTTTCATGGACGACTGGATCGGTAGAATAAGACCGATGCCTTCGAACGTGAAGATTGCCGAGCCGATGGTCAGGGTGAAGGAATTTGGGTTGAACAATGTCACGCTCGGCGCCACGCCGATCGAAGACAAGCTGGAAAAGTCGTAGTAGTAAATGTAGACGAGGCCGATGCCGATGAATACATCGGCAAGTAGTGCGTACGGGCCGAGTTTGGAGACGTTCCGAATGAGGGCCAAGGGGATCAGAAGGACGAACTGGATAGCGATGAGGGCGTTCGTTCCGAAGGGCTGCTCCAGATTTGCAGAGTATGTAACGGCATTCAGGAAGGAAAGGAGGTTCTCTGCCGTGAAGATCAACCCGGCACATACGAATCCCAGCTGCGAGAGGGTGATGGAGCCGAGGATAATGGAGCGCATCTTCGGGCCAACGACCGTTCCACCAAGCTCGCCGTAGCCTCCGCCTCCATACTTCTGGCGGCACTGTAGAAGCAGGGTGAAGCAAATGGTGGTGACAATTGAGACCGTGACCAGTGTGATGGAAGAGAAGAGGATGCCGCCATTTCGGAAGGCTTTTGGAAGAAACATGATTCCCGTGCCGACAAAGGCTTTGAGCAGAGTGAAGAAGGTTTTGGTGGGGCCTGCATCGCCTGCTTTGATGCGGCGTTGCTTCTTCTTGTTCCGGCCGAGGAGTGGCTGCTGTTCGGAGGGACCAGACTCTTCGTCGATAGCGGATTCGTCGTCCTCGTCAGTATCCTGGAGATCTTCGCCCGCAAAGCTCCCATACAGCTCGAGGAAGGACACAAAGTTGCCGGTCATTGGGAGTGCAGCTTCGCTCATCGAGCGTTTCAAGGCTTGCTGCTGGATGTATTGCCGGCGAAAGCCCTGCGGTTGCCGCTGCTCGGCCACGCTACGATAATCGACGGCGTGAAGGGAGGGGCTGTGCATGGCGGAGAAGGTGTTGGAGCGTCTGGGGCGCACGCCTCGCGCTTTGATCTTAAAAATGTCGCGGTGCATATCGCCGCCCTGCAGGGTGAGAGAGGACTGCACGGGTTGCTCACTCGCCTCTGATGCCGGAGTGGGCGCAGGGTCTTCGTCTCCGTACGTCAGCGCATCCGAGGTGGCAGCATAACCATCAGGCAGATGTCGATCCACTATCTCGGCATCCCTCTGGTCTTGCCCGCTGTCGGGCGTCTCTGCTCCATCTGGAGTCGTCGGCAAGCTGCTGGAGATTCCGGGGGTAGACATTGCGGAGCGGAGATGATGTGTCGGATGGGCTGCAGCTGTGGGGAGAGCAGCGAGTGCTGTTGTCCAGAATACGTGGGAGATACCTCAGTGTCAATATGGGAGGTTACATTGTATGCTCTGCGAACTCCTAGAGGTGTGGGAGGGGAAGGAGGGAAAGATGGGTCAAGATTGTTGGAAGCCTGAATGTAGTGCCTGCGGGTTGTGGGTGCTGTGGCTAAGCTGGTGTGGCTGATCGACCTCGCTTCCAACGACACCTCCCGCGAGTGCAGTTGTCCTGCCAGCGTGCCGCTTCCTCTCCTCCCCATGCTTGTCGACGGTACATGTAGGTAATACTGGCATCATCGATGACATACAGAGGCAGTCGGTCAAGGACACCGTAGGATCCTCTTTTGTACACTTCTATTCACACTCCGCGCATACATAGGTGTTACTTCAACTCCGTCATCTCATCCTCCAGCATGATCTTAAAACTGAACGGCTCAAAAGTCACACCATCGCCGATAAAGTGCTTGCTCATTGCCTCGACCCAGTGCAAACGTAGGGAATGCAACATTGCGCTGGTGCCCTCCATCACCACCAGCACCGCAATCGTGAGCGCGAACCAGACGGCGAAGAAGCAAAAGATCATAAAGATGCCGAGGGGCCCGTCGAAGCCGAAGGCGTTGTTGAGAGTCATGTCCCACAGCACTTTGGATAGTTGCTGATGAGCCAGGGACAATGCCCAGAGGCGGAGGTACGAGGCCGTATGCGATACGCAGTTGAGGCAGAATTCTATAAAGCAGGTCAGCCGGTCGGTCTGTTAGGTTCACGTCTTGATAGCATACCGATGGTGTGGATGACTTGGTGGATCATGACCTCGCTGAACTCGAATTCTTCGTGTTCCGAGTCACCGAGAGCTTGAGTGATCACTGCCCCACCGTCCATGTCCGACTCGAATGATGCCCGTCCGTTGGGTTGTCCGTCACCTCCGGAAGTCCGTGGCTCGTCATCATCCTCCAAGGCCGACACGGTCGTCGTCTCACCGATCCCGCGGTAGCCTTGCGCACGCGCTTTGTTGTGCTCGTACCGTAGGTAGAACGGCTTGAGGAAGAGCATGACGGGCACCATCGAGACCGCGAGGAGCACCAGGACCACTTGTACGCCGCCTTGGCCGGAATACAGTCGCACATCGTCACTAATCGTGCCGGGTTGCAAGAACATATAGATGAGCATGTTCAATAGACTGGGTGGATTCTCCCCGATTGCGTACCAGTCGGTGCTCCATTTGAAGATGATTGCGAAGACGAGGTAGCCGAAGATGCCCTGGAAGAAGATCATGCCGGGAATGAAGTTGCCCCAAATATCGATGGGAGTCTTGAAGAAGCGCGCGTTGATGTAGGACAGGCAGAGCGAGTATGTCATCTACAACGTGTCAGTCAGCTCCAACTTCGTGCACCCAGCTTCGACGCAACTTACATGTGCCCAGCCAAGAAGAATGGACAACTTCATCTTGTATGAATTGCTGAAGAGCAAATCATTCGACGCATCATGCCACCTCCAATCCAGGCCAAACGGGTAGGTGTATCCCTCCACCCTCGTGGCCTTGACAGTTGTTGGATCATCGGGATTGTAGTTATCCGGAAAGTCCCACTGCCACATACTCGGGAAGAGGCTCAGCTCCTTTGAGAATGCATCGCAGTAGATGATGCCCGTGTACATGGAGTAGATGCCCATCATCAGCATGATGTAACGCCCGTAAAACGCCATGCCGAACAGTTCGTCCTGCTTGCCTCGTTGTAGGGGCTTCTCCCAGTAGATCATCGCCGCGGCTGCCATAGTCATGATTGCTCCGTGACCAAAGTCACCAAACATGACGGCGAACAGGAAGGGGAAAGTGACGATTGTTGGCAGGCCGGGGTTGACTTCTTGATACTTCGCTGTACCATATGCATCGATGATGGTTTGGAAACCAAGAGTGAACCTGTTGGTCTTGTTGTAGGTAGGCGGTGTTTTGGTGGTCTTGATCTGATTGACAATCGTGGGGACGGAAAGACCAGCACGCTCGTTGACGTCCTGGAGGGTGGATTTGACCAGGCCTAGCATGTTGGTGGGACACCACGCTTCGGCCACGAGAGTCTTGCGGGCGGGATCGTAGGAGAAGCGATTCAAGGTCTGATAGACGCTCTTCTCTTTCTTGACAACAATCAACCACGCGGCCAACGACCGACCGATCTGTGTAAGTTCGGCGTCCAGAGTGCGCTTGGTGTTGCCGAGGACGTTGGAGAGATCTTGCAGACGGCTGTTGACTTCGTGGATCTGGTCCCTCCGCAGCTCGCTGTTCTCATCCACACTGTATATGTCCGCGCCCAAGCTTTCCGAAATCTTGCGGATCTTTGCGATGATCTCTTTCCCGTGGGCAAAGATGACGAACACGTTTTTGTTCACCTCCTCATTCTTTTCCGGGTCGATGATGGGGTCGGCGATTTCGGACTGATTCATGTAGAGATTGCCACGAAGGGTTCGCCATAGAATGCGCTCAAAAGCTCCCATGCGCTCTCGGGGGATGACGCCGGCCACAAAGCCAATGTTCATCACACTGAAACTCTGTTGCTGGCCACCCTCGGAAGCGCCGTTGGCCTGCTGCTCGACGTCTCGGAGGAGCGGGGCATCGTCCGTCGATTCGAGCGACTGCCGGATTTCCTCCGTCTGCCCACGAGCCCGGTCGAAGAAGCCTCCAGCCTCGCGAAGTACCCATCGCCACTCGGTAAGCTCGCTCTCGCGCTTCTTGAGCGTCTCGTAGCTCTCGTTGAGGCTTTGAATGCGCTGCTCCAGACTTTGACTTCTATCCGCCAGCTCGTCAATCTCGGTGGCGGTCGGTGCAGCCATTGTGTTGCTGAACTCGTAGATGGGTCGCATCTCGATACCGTTCTTCTCAATCTGCGTACGAAAGTAGTTGAGCTGACGCTCCACGTTGTCCAGGCGGCGGATCTCTTGCGTGAAGGTGCGCTGAAAGGCGGTGGTGTTGGGGTTGAGCTGCTCTGCGTCAGTTTAAACGGTCATGAGCGCATCTCAGACTCAAGGCCACTCACGTCTCGGAACTGCATGGCACCCAGCTCTCCCAGCGCAGAGACAACCTCGCGTCCGATTTCGTTGGCCACATAGAGCTGCGTCAGCGTCATGTCCGCCGAGCGGAACAATGACTCCTTCTTCGCCATCCTGATAAGTGCTTTCGGGCCACCGTCCGGGATGCTGGGACTCTTGCACGATGAAGAGGGAGTGGATGAGCGAGGTAGAGTGGCAGGTTTGAGCTTTCAAGGGTGATGACGGGGACGCCAAGATCTAGGGTTAGGGTTACAGACTGCGATGCGTCCCCTAAGGTACAAAGCAGTCTCGAATGGCGTGGAGGCAGCAGTATTCACAACGGTCGACTACAGCCATTCAGAAGCATAGGTGCAAGTGTAGCGATCATGCTATATCTAGTTCGTTATTGCCACCTCCAACAATTCGTACTGAAACCCTGGCACAACCCAAGTGGTCGTAACCAGTTCAATCGGCTCACGTCTGCGTTGGCTCAACGACAGAAGACTAAGTAGACTTGCCTGCGAAAGCCTTGTGCTTCTTCAAAATCCTCTCAAAGCCGTCGAGGCCGGCCTTGAGTGTCTCCATCTTTGGACCATACGATACACGCACGAAATGGTGGCACGGACTGTCGAAGAGATCGCGACGACGACTCGGATTCAGGTCGAAGAAGATGCCGGGCACCACAATCACCTTCTCCTGCAGACACGCCTCGAAGAAGTTGAGCCCATCGTTGATTTCTTTCGGCAGTTGTTCGAGATCGAGCCACAAGTAGAAGGTGCTGTCCGGGCAGTAGCCCACGGTGAAGCCCATTTCCTTCAGCCTTTTGAGGACGTAGTCGCGCTTGTCGCGGAAATGAGTTTGGAGCGCCTTCATCTCCGCGCGAACCTTTGGAGGGTCGAGCATTTTCACGGCGGCTTCCTGGAAAGGCACATTGGTACCGCCATCCAAGTATGAGCCGCAAGACCCGATGGCTTTGATGAACTCTTTCGGCCCCACGATCCAGGCAACACGCCAGCCTGGCAGACGGAAACGCTTGGTGAGGCCGTCGATGATCAAGACATCGTCTGTATTCACGTCTTCAATATTGTCGGCGGCACTGATGACGGTTCCATCGCAATTGGTAGAGTAGTTGTAGCCACAATAGAATTCGTCCATGATCAACGTTGCTCTGTCGCGGCACAGGTCCTGGATCCGGGCAAGCTCAGGGTTGGGCGTCATCAAGCCGGTAGGGTTTCTCGGATTCGAAGTGAGGATGACCGATGTTCCACGGTGGATTTCCTCCTCGATCTTCTCGGCATGCATGTGGTAGGAGTCCTTGCGGTTCAAGGGGATGGGAATGGCCGCGAAGTTCTTAAACAGGCTCAACATCTCGTTGTACGCGGTGTAGTCGGGGATGAAGAAGCCCAAGTAGGCGTTGCCGATGACAGCCGCGATGCGGATGAGGCCGGCGCGGCCGCCTGGCACGATGCACACATTCTCCCACGTGTACTGCGAGGCCTTGCCTTGTCGGTGGTGAGCGTTGTAGAGATCGGCGACGGCTTTGCGTAGCGGCTTGATGCCGGCGGTTGGGCCATACTCGCGGCCCTGCATGGACACCTCGATACTTGACGGGCGTGGAAAGGAGCCTTGGATGTCTGGATTCGATCAACACCACGCTCGTCGCATCAGATCCACGACGGACTCGGACGAGACTTACTGTCGTCGACCTCCGGTGCACCCTGGCCTAAGTTGGCCCACTTCTCGGGCTCGTCGAGAAAGCCATACTCGTAGGCTCTCTCGGTCGTCCACACGACACCAGTGGAGGCTCGGGATGGGTCGAGGCCAGCATGTGGCTTGTGGCCTTCGTGAGCCTCACGGAATTGGCGGTGAATGGCCGAGTTGAGCTCTGTATCAAGGGCATCGTTAGAAGCAGGGAATCCGGCACCAAGGCCAAGCACATTAGTACGTACCATTGGAGCTGGGGCCCTTGGCGGTGGAGAAGCGGCGGTCCGATGCCATTGTCACCGTGCTGCGGGGTGTACAAGTAGGGGAAGAGGAGGAGGCGGGCTTGGCGGGGGAGGAATGATGCGTAGATGTCTCGATAGAATCCTCTACGGTACGAGGCCAGCAGGCAGTGAATGTTCTGTAGTCGTTATAGGCTTGGCAGGATGGCAATCTTGATTCTTGACAGGACTGGAGGGGAGAGATCAGCGAGTGGCAGCTGTAGGCAACTAGCGCATCGCCGGAGTGCGTGTCGCGCCTTCCGTCACTCCCGACACAGCCTGCCTCCAATAGCGCACGGATGAGACCCCGTTGGGCGAGTGCCGCATTCCCTGCAGCGCCTACTGCGACGCGCTATACACGAACAAGTAAACACATTATGCAGGTAAGCACATGGAGGTACCTTTTTGCGTTGAAGGTGTTGGGCTTCATCCAGCGAGGGAAGAAGCAGGGTCGACGGCGTTCATGTCTCAGATCTCCCTCATCCAAGATCCCTCCCTGAGATGACCGATGTCATCGATCGAATATGTATTATTGGCGCAGGGCCACCAAGCCACCCGCCGTTTTGCAATCCCCAGATTGACCCTTGCACTGGCGCGCTCGCTTGGGTTTGACCGATGCGTGCATGTGCCTTTTTTAAAATCCACCTCGACCGACGACCGCGGTCATGTGCACCTCCCACCACACCGCCCTACTCGTCCATTCATTCGTTTGACGTGCTTGCTGCCTGATCTGATTGATCGATTGTCTGCCTCCGCCTCTCCCTATCCCTCGTCTCTTTCACCATCCACTGCCCCGACGGCACATTCCATCCCTCCCTCTTCCAACCCCGTGCCAGAAATGCCCTCTCCTTGATCTCACCACAGTCTTCTGCTCCCGGCCTACCCATCATGGCCGTCCAGTCCTTCAAACGTTCGGCGAGCGTCGTCGGGTTAGGCATGAAAGAGCTTGCCTTGGTCGCGGTCGGTGTTCCCCTCGCCCTATACCACTCTCAAGTTCTGTCTCCTGACTCTCCCTCGCCAGCTCACGCTGCAATCTTCGATTCACATCCTCGTCATGCACTACTCTCGAACCATGCCTCTGGTCAACGGCCGGCGATACTTTCCCTCGACTGCCGTTTTCCTGAACGAAGTCATCAAGCTTGCCATCTGCCTGACCATGGCCCTCTACGACATTGCAACCAACCCTCGCACCCCGGACACCTCCACCGCCACCGCGTTGTTTTGGGAAGTGGGAAGAGCGGTGTTCACTGGCGACAGCTGGAGAATGGCCATCCCTGCCGTCCTTTATACCCTGCAGAACAGCCTGCAGTACGTGGCCATTGGCAATCTCGATGCTGCGACCTTTCAGGTCACGAGCCAGTTGAAGATTCTCAGCACCGCCATCTTCAGCGTGCTGTTGCTGGGTAGAGTGCTGTCAGGGCGGAGGTGGTTGTCTTTGTTGCTGCTCATGCTAGGCGTCGCCATCATCCACATCCCGGGGAGCGCTTCCTATACCGCGTCCCTCACCATCAAAGACCTCCGCAGAGGCATCCAGCCTCGCAGCATCCGCGACTCCCCCGCCTTGGCCGACGGGGTTGCAGGCGTGATTGGCAAGCGCTCGGCGACCTACCAGGGTATTGACAAAGATTTCGCCGATGCCAACCCCGAGCTTTACCCCTCCTTTGGCCTCGCATTGGTGACGATTGCCTGCTTCATCTCGGGCCTGGCGAGCGTGTACTTTGAGAAAATCCTCAAGCATCCCAAGAGCGAGTACGGAAGCTCGGTGTGGATCAGGAACGTGCAGCTCTCCTTCTACTCCCTCTGGCCCGCGCTGTTCATCGGCGTCATGTTCAAGGATGGAGAGCACATTTCCAGGCACGGCTTCTTTGCCGGGTACAACTGGGTCGTGTGGGCCGCCATTCTACTGCAATCCGCCGGCGGAGTGCTGGTGGCGTTTGTGGTCAAGTTCGCCGACAACATTGCAAAGAGCTTTGCCACGAGCATCTCCATTCTGCTGAGCTTTCTCGCCAGCGTCTTCTTCTTCGACTTTGAAATTACCCCACTCGTACGTCACGCTGATTGCTTGTGAACCACGCACGGTGACTAATGCGATGCAGTACCTTGCCGGCACCACGGTTGTGCTCTTGGCCACGTACCTGTACAATGCGGGCGTCGATGGCGAGCAGCCAAAGGCGCCCGAGATCCGGATGCCGGCGTCCGAGAAAGGAAAGGAGCAAGGCTCGTATTTTGCCCTGGCTCCGGCCGCCACTCCTTCCAAACCCGCATTGCGAGGCGAAGCCCTCTCCACCAGCCGGCCCACGACGCCCACTGTGGAACGGCTGCCTCACAAACTGAAGAGTCCGGACTCGCGGCAGGCAAAGCGAGAGCAATAGAGACGGACGGCAATGATACCCTTACCCCTCCGATATGCAGCAACGATTCCATAGACCCTGAGTCTATGACTATTTCCGCCTTTTCAACATATCCCGCTTGGATCATAGGCAGGTAAGGTAAGGTAAGGAGTCTGCGTGCATCAAAGCTGTTGGGTGGAGGTGCACGTGATCATGCACGTGATCCCGCTCTTTCCCCATGTGAAGCCTCGCCATTCGCGACTTCCTCTTTCATCACTCTTCCTTGTGACAGCGGTATGATGCCTAAATCTCTGCCTGATTGAGGTGAGCTTAAGCCTTTCTCTCTTTGACTCCTCCCCCTTGTCTTCGTCGGCGGCGTCATCCTCAACTCGACTCTGTTTGGCTCCGGTGGATTGCAGGGCGATGGACGACTTCATGCATCGACGGCACGGCGGTCAGAACTTCCACCGCTTCGATGAGCACGACGCTACTCGGCATGGAATAGCCGACCACCATCATGGCTACGGTGATATGCAAGACGCTTTTGCCGATGAGTCGATGGGTTTCAACTCTATCGGTGAGTCGCCGGGACTGTCAAACATGCACAGACTTATGCTGAAGATGTCCAGATGAGCAGCTGCATCGCCTCGCAGACCAGGGCAGTTGGAACCGACAAGCGACTCACAGAGGTGCCGGAGTGCCTCTAGCATCTACATCCGCGCGAGCTCCACCGTTCGCCGTTGAGTCCTACTACACATCTCCACCGCGCTGTGCTCCATATCGCGCCGTGGAGTGCCCCTCGAACATTTCCACCGGCCTTCCATTTCGCGAATCTTCGACTTCCTCTCCATTCAATCAACAGATTCCCTCCTCCCCCACAATCAGCGCCCGCCAACGCCAATCCAGGCCTGTGGAATATGGAAGAGCATTTCAATCAACCCTGTTCGAGCAGCAGTCTACAAACGAAACAATGCACCGTGGTCGCCGTGAGTCGAGTAAGGTGGAGGATTCACACAACCCCTCGCACATGGCGCATCGATCGCAGCATGAGCCTGCTCAACCTTCCCGGCAACCACCTCAGTCCGCCTTGGTGACTCATCGACCGAAACACAATCCGCCCGTGGTGCAAGGCATCGACCTGGTTTCCACGCACACGCTACCGGACCGCTTCCGTTCAATATTCCTCTTCCCGCTGTTCAACGCCGTGCAATCCAAGTGCTTTGACACCATTTACCACTCGAACAACAATTTCGTGCTGTCAGCACCCACTGGTAGCGGCAAGACAGCGGTGCTGGAGCTCGCCATCTGTCGTCTCGCCAACAGCTCGGCGAACGGAAGCTTCAAGATTGTATACCAGGCCCCAACGAAATCGCTGTGCGCTGAACGCCAAAGAGACTGGGAGAAGAAGTTTGCGCCATTGGACTTGAAGTGTGCAGAACTAACGGGTGACACCGAGCATGCACAGTTGCATAATGTACAGCACGCACAGATCATCATCACCACCCCAGAGAAATGGGACAGCGTGACCCGCAAGTGGAAAGACCACCAGAAGCTTATGCAAATGGTGAAGCTCTTCCTCATCGACGAAGTGCACATTTTGAAAGAGGAGAGGGGTGCGACACTTGAGGCAGGAGTGTCTCGGATGAAGTCTGTTGGATCTGGTGTACGTTTCATCGCGCTGAGTGCCACAGTGCCGAACTCTCAAGACATTGCGATCTGGCTGGGAAAGGATGCAGTAGAACCTGATGTACCAGCCGTTCGACAACGATTTGGCGAGGAATATCGTCCAGTTCGACTCCAGAAGCATGTCTGTGGCTATCACACCGGACCGAACGATTTCGCGTTTGAAAAAAGCCTCAATGGGAAACTCCCGGCAATTATCAGCAAGTGGTCGCAGCGCAAGCCAATCATGGTATTCTGCTTTACTCGCGGTTCTTGTGTCGAGACTGCCAAGGTGCTGTCCAAGTGGTGGAGCTCGAGTGCAGCACGTGAACGGTACTGGACTGCGCCGCGGAAACGGTTGGTCGTGGCGAACAAGGAATTGATGGGTGAGCATCCATGAGCGTTTGACATTGTGCGCATAACTGACTACGAGCAGACGCCATCGCGACTGGGGTAGCATTCCACCACGCGGGTTTGAGCCCCGAAGACCGAGCTGCTGTGGAGGGTGGTTATCTCACCGGGGAGATCAATGTCATCTGCTGCACGTCTACTCTGGCCGTGGGCGTCAACTTGCCTTGTCACATGGTCATCATCAAGAACACTGTCGCCTATCAAAACCCTGCTGCTGGCGGCTGTAAGGAATACTCGGATCTCGAAATCATGCAAATGCTTGGTCGCGCCGGACGTCCGCAGTTCGATGATAGTGCCGTGGCTGTCATCATGACACGCCTGCCACGAGTGCAATATTACGAGACGATGGTTGCGGGTCAGGAAGTACTGGAGAGCTGGTGAGAATCCACAGCATGTCGTCGGTGCAGCGTCCGCAGACTAACCATCTCAGCCTTCATCGCAACCTGATCGACCATTTGAACTCCGAGATTGGACTTGGAACGATCATCGACGTTCCATCGGCAAAGAGGTGGCTGATGGGCACGTTTCTCTACGTCCGACTCCAAGTCAATCCAGAACACTATCAGATCGAAGGAGATGCCCCCGGCCGGAATCTCGACGAACGCTTGGAGACTATCTGCGGCAAAGCCTTGGCCTTGCTTTCGGACAACGATCTTGTTGCGGCGTCCCCGAACCTCCAATGCACCGAATTCGGAGATGCCATGGCCCGGTATTACGTTCAGTTCGATACCATGAAGACCTTTGTAGCCTTGCCTGCAAAAGCAAAGGTCTCCGAGATCTTGTCTGCCATCTCACAAGCTGCAGAGTTCAAAGACATGCGATTCCGCTCTGAGGAGAAAGCCAGCTACAAGACCTTGAACCAGAACAACTCGATCAAGTATCCAATCCCGGTAAATCTGGATCTCCCCGCGCACAAAGTGTCCCTCGTTATCCAGTCCACCCTGGGAGGGGTTGAACTTTCTGCAGAGGAACAGAAGTTCGACTTCACTAGTGCCAAGGCTACCATCTTTCAGCACGCAACTCGTCTGGTGAGATGTATCGTTGACTGCAAGCTCTATCTTGAAGACTCAGTGTCAACACGAAACGCCCTCATGCTTGCTCGGAGCCTTGGAGCGAAAGTTTGGGACGACTCGCCCCTGCATGTGACGCAGCTGGACGGTGTTGGCATGGTCACTGTCCGCAAGCTTGTCAATGCAGGGATCTCATCGATCGATGAGCTAGAGCTCACTGATGCGCATCACATCGAGCGTGCTCTCTCTCGCAATCCCCCTTACGGTACGCAGCTCCAGCAGAAAGCAAGAGCGTTTCCAAAACTTCGTGTCTCTTTGGAAATGATGGGTGAGCCTTTCATTCGCCCAGGTGAGTACGTGACTGTGAAGCTCAAGGCCGATGTGGGATTCATGAATGAAAACGTACCTGAGAAGTTCCAACGAAAGGCAGTGTATGCTTGCTTGCTGGTCGAGACCTCTGACGACAAGTTGCTTCACTTCGTGCGAATGAGTGCAAAGATGCTGAAGAAAGGTCACGACGTCCCGATCAACGCCAATCTGACAACTCCGACTCAATCCATTCGTGCATATGTCATGTGCGACGGCATTGCTGGTACTTTGCGGCATGCGGTCCTGAAACTCCATGTTCCAGCTTCCTCGTTTCCGTCGCCAAAGGCTGCAGAAGACCGAGATGAACGAGCTGGCAACCTAGCTGCTAGCCACGCGCGCTCTTCCACCAAAAATCAGTTGCGGTTGACCAAGGACTCCACACAGACCCAGAATGACGAATTCGGCGACGGAGACATCGACGATGCCGATCTTGCCCGTGCTGAGGTCGACGACTTTGTCGACATCGATGAGCTAGATCTCAGCGGTGCTACATCAGCGCAATCAAAGCGGAATCGACAGAATGCCGACTCCCCGAATCGCGCGAATGCGAGCCGGGAGCCTCAGCAGCTGCCCAACGGTAAATGGGCGTGCAATCATGCTTGCAAAGACAAGAACAAGTGCAAGCATCGTTGCTGTCAAGAAGGACTGGACAAGCAACCGAAACCACCAAAGGCAAAGGAAAATCGGAAGCAGCTTGTGCCAATCGCGGATTCAAAACAGAAGCGGCTAGCTATGCCTACCAACAAGCCCGCGATTCCCAAATCCAAGAGCACATCATCTCAGGAAAGGCCTGCTGCGAGACACCAGTCCAAAGAGGCTCATGCTTTGGATTATCTACACAACAGTGTCAAGACGAAGATGCCAAAGATACCAACTCTTGGCCGCGCTCGAGCTAACGACCGGACCGATACGAACGCCTCGTCGCCGAAGACGAAGCAGTCTCGGCTCAGCTTTGTTTCAGGAGGGCGCAGCGTGATGAGGGGACTGCAATTCGACGATCTTGACGATGGCTTGTGGAGCTCGAACAGTCTGGACGACGTGAACGACGACATTGCTTCCTCGCACGAAAAGGGTAGAGCATCGCACGGCATCGGCGACGACTTTCGAGCCGGTGAAGAGGAGATGCTGGACGAGATCGAGGATTTCGATGAGAGCTTTGCATTCGACCAGCCTTTCCCAGACAATGCAGGAGAAGAGTTGATTGATCTGACTCGTGCCGGGCGTCTCAAGAAGCGTGGTACAGCAGAGTACACAGGCTACGACACTGGGATTACAGAGCCAGCTCAAGCTCAAAGTGCGGCTGGTGCCAAGTACGATGAAAAATCCAGTCCGAAGCTCTTTCTCAGCGATCTCTACAATACGTGGGAGACTGGGCTGGGAGACACTCTCACCTCGACCACGCAGAAACGTTCCGCAGAAGATGATTTGAGCGAAGCTGGCGTTGGTGTCATCTCATGTTCGAAGAGACAGAAAAGAGACTCCTCGCTGCAGCCGACGACGGATGTAAAGATGCAAGCTGACATCCTCGATTCCGTCACGCCGTTGGAAGCTGTTTCTGCAGCAGCAGTGTCTGCCCCAAGAGCAGAGACACATACAGCTCCTGACAACCTGGAGGAATGGTTCACCGAGACTTTTGGCTCGCGACTGTTCGAGTTAACCAATTGAAGGCAGGGCCGAACGAGAAGGGCTCGGCGATATGGCTTTGTCGGACGTTGCTGATCGAGAGAACGAAGGGGACCATGGAGATGTCTGTGTCACCGTTCTGTGTCTCCACGGGCACACTAGCTATGTGTATACGCAACCATGTTTGGCCTTGGAATTGAAAACATTTATCAATTTTCGTACTTAATTCCAATCAGTGGACCGGCTATGATCTTCCAAGTCCGCAAAGTGACGATTGTTACCCCAACACCATCGCTAAGTCATCAGTGTGCTCACGACCTCGCTACTTCTTGGAATAATCTTTCAGGATACCCAGCATATGACTGTTAGTAGTCTTGCCGCCCTTCCGATTGATCCTCCTCTTTTCCTTCCTCTTGACGTCGAATCGCTTCACCTCCTTCACCTGGCTGGTAGGCACCAAGCCCGCCCTCTCCAGCTCGTTTCGGATCTCGATTTCACTGGCGGGTAGCTTCGTCTTTGCCCACACCTCGACAAACTCGGCGTCAACCTTTTGTGGCATTTGCGTGACTGAATTGAGAATGTGGTAGGTGGGTGAGTCGGGCCAGACGGTCTTGGGTGCGTTGTCTTTCTTGTTGCGCGCGACGAGGAGGAAGCCCTCTCGTTCGAGCTGGTCTATGGCGGGTACACAGTCTGGCCAGCCATCTTTGAGGTCTTTGACAAAGATGCCTTGCGCGGTGGGTTGGATCGCGAGGTAGGACTTCAGTTCTTCGGCGTTCGTGACGGGGTGGAAAGGGCGGTATTTGAACCCTTCCTTTCCCATCCCGCTCTCCGCTTTGGAGATGTAGTCCACGCGTTCATGCTGCAGGAGGGCGCGCTTGATGAGAGGAATGTTCTTTTGCGCATCGTTGGGAAGACTGAGATAGCCGATCAGGTTGTCGAAAGTGACCGGCTTGCTCTCCTTCTCTTTGAGATATTTCACCGCGTTGAAGACTTGTGTGAGGAGTTCCGTCCCTGCATGGCCGGCTGGTGCCACGGTAGCAGGAGCAGGAGCGAAGGCAACTTCGTGAGCGCGCTTGTTGTTGTCGCTTCCGGCCTTTGAAGTGCTTGAACGAGAGGCGGGGTTGTTGGATGGTGGGCGAGAATATTGTGCGTTCCGCGCAGCAGCGTCGGATATCTCGCTACGAAACTTGGAGAGAGAGTTTGCGAGCGACATTATTATCCGCGTAGCCCTCGCAAAGTTATGTCGAGTCGGATGTGTGAGCCTGGAGGATTCAACAAAGAGCTCCAGGCGAGTCAAGGTGGACGATTTGGCTGGCGTTGCTGCTCCAGGCGGATCGTGTGATACTGAGCGGTGAATACCTTCCCCCGGCTTTCACTCACGTGGACTCGCTTCACCGTGGTCGTGGAAGTGAGCGAGCGACGAAGGTGATAGCAGGAGGTGGAAGGCAAGATAAAGTGGGAGCATGTGAGAAGTGGACGAGACGAGGTCCGTCCTCAAGTCCTGTCGTGTACGGATAGACGGGCCGTCCCGAATGCCAAGACTCTACGACAGCGCCGACTCGCGATGCCGCCGCCCATCCGGCAATGACCTCTCCTCTCTGCAGCACGCCCTCACCTCACCCATTCCCAGGATTGCGCACGACGCGCTGAGTTTCCGCACACCGACTCGCCAATATGGGCGTCCCATTCGAGACCCTGCTCCCGTATGCGATCATGGTACGTCCTCCACCCCAATTGACCCCCTCGCTTCGTTCGACAACCGCAGGCTAACACCGTACATAGATAGGCGTAAGAACCCCCGGAACCGCCTGCCCGCCACCGCCAGTCAGACACAGCAGCTAAAGAGTGGAAACAGATGTTCGGCATCACGGGTGGCGCCTTGACAAAGGTTAAAAACATGCAAAACGGCGGCAAACGGCCGCGGCATTCCATCGACGCATGGGACAGGCAGAGTGCGTGCTTTCCCCTTCCATTCGGTCCAACACGCTGCGGCATCTTCCCACGCGGACGTGAAGTACAGGCATCTGACACCTCGTCATAGTGATGGAGAGAGATCGTCGACTCACAGGCTGGTTACGGGGACAAACAGACAACGTGAAAGCCCCGGCGGGTTTCGAGCTCAACAACCCCTGGAAGGTAAGCTCAACCACCATTCCGCCTCATCACCGGGATAGCATTGACAGGATTCAGGTCGAGCCGTTGATCCAATAAGAAGGCGTGGCAATCCGTTCGCTTTGGACTGTTTGATTGTGAGTCGTCTCAAACGACCGCACCTAGCCTAGCAAATTCGTCACGAAAATCCATCTATCGCACAGTGCCCAAGAAACTCGACTTGGACCGCAGACTAGTGCTCTCCGAGCCATGTACACGCAAACATCTGGCCCCGGTAGTGACTTGAAGCGCCACCATAGGTCTCATTTTATTTGCCCTTCGGCCGTCTACATAAACTTTGCCCAAGCATATGCCAATGTAATCTCAGCAAGATCCCTCCAAACGCCCCTGTATGTATATGGGGCTTCCGTGCATGCACATCCCATGCCAAATCGCACCCGTGCGATGTTCGGCGCCAATTCGTCGCCATGTGAATGAATGCCCAATGTCCCTAATCCCGCGAGTTCTCCCCCCAGGTCCAAATTGCCAGGCGCGGCAATCATGCAGGCGTAGTCGTCCCGCTACTCGTCTGCAAAGGCTTGCGCAAAGGTCCGCCCGCCTGTCTCAATTTCCTCATTTCGGCCTCGAGTCTTCGTCGTTCTTCCTGCTCGGCCTATAACAGTCATGTTAGCAAAGATGGAAGGACCGTCGTGCAGAGTCGCGTCACTTACCCTCAATAACTTGGCCCCTTCGGCCCTCTGCTCCCTCATCATCTTCTTGAACTCCTGCTTCAGCACAAGCATACTGCGCGCTTCCTTCTCCTCCGATTTCTGCAATCCAATGCGCGCCACTCTCTCGTCGTTCAATGAAGCCTCGAGACTGTCGCACTTGTCTCTGAGACTGTCGATCAAGACGTCCAGCTGCGCGCGCTCCTTCTCCATCGCGATGGACTCTTTCGTCATTTCCTGGAACTCGTTGGCCATGTCTTGCAACTCGGCCCGCATTTGCTCCAGCTCCGACTCCATGTCCTTGTTCCGCGTGTTGAGAGATTCTACTTCGGCCGCCTGGGCGCCAGCTCTCTCGGCACGAGTGCCATACGCGCCGTCTAGCTCGGCTCTTGCCATTGTCAGTTCCGTGGTGAGTCGCACAATCTCCGACTCCAACTTCTCCATGTTGTGATGCATTTCGCCATGTTTGGTCTCCGCAGCGCCCTCGTTCTCCCTCATCTGCTCGACGGTCCGCCGCATTTGCTCAATCTCGTCCATGACTTTCATGAGCTCGGAGCGAGATTGACCCGCATCGGTAGAAGTCTGTTCGTGCTGGACAATGAGATTAGCCAGCTCCTGCTGTACAGCGCCGTGGTCTGAAGCGAGCTGATCGTGTCGCCCTTGGATTTCGGCGATTTGTCGGTCCTTCTCCAGGTCCGATTTCCCACTCAATTCTCGCTGTTGCGAGACCTGTCGGCGAAGTATGTCGTGCTGCTCACGTGCGGCTTGGGCATGCTCGTACAGACGCTGCACTCGTGCTTTAAAGGCCGAAAGAGAGAACGACTCCTTCGTGGTCGTGACTGCCACGTTCGCTTCATCTTGTTCACTTGCGCCGGCACCATTGAGTTGGATGATATCCCAAAGCCCCGCAAGCGTGTCGTCATAGTCGCTGGTCTTCTTGGACAGTTCCGCCACCTTTGCTTGAGCATCTGCGAGTTCCGCCGGATTGCCACGTTGCTGGAGTAGTCGGTCCAAGGTAGTCAAACCATCCTCCATATATTGGAGCTGGTCTTGGTAGCCGTGGCCACCCGCGGCAGGAGGGTCCTGTACAGCAGGACCAGCGTGATCATCGGAGGCCTGGAGCATGGCCGTGTGGAGCTGATGATTTACGCCGTGCATCTGCTCTTCGACTGCCTTCGCATCGCGCTCCAACTGCTCGAGAGTGTGCAAGTTTTGTTCCTCGACCTCTCGATAACCGCGCTGTTGGTGTTCCAAGGTGCGCAGGTTCTGCTCGAGCCTTGCGAAACAATTCTCGATCCTCCCATCTTGATTCTCCCTCTGGTCCAGCCCGACTTCTGCAGCCGGCGCTTTACCTAGTGTCTGCCCTGCCTCAATGATGACGTTTCGAAGCTGGGAATTGAGTTGTTCCAATCGACCTTGCATGGCGGCCAGCTGCTGTTCGTACTGCCTGGAGTTTTGCGCTGCAGCGCCCGCTGGCTTGCCGTGGAGGATGTCCCGAATGCCGTCGAAGTCATTGACGGCGGAATGGGAGTCGTATTCAGGTTCGTAGTGATGGCCATTTGCGACACCCGGCACGGCAGACTCCGCCACGCGATTCGCCTCCTCCGCCAATACAGCCGACGTGTGCCTTAGAAGTTGCCGCTCCACCTCCTGCCTGCGGTCCAGCAGCCGCTTCATCTGCGCATGTAGATCGTCGACCTTCTTCACGCTCTTTGCAAGCTCGATGTCGGCCTGCCGGGTGGAATCTGGGGCATTTGCGCCGCCATTCGTCGTTCTGCTGGCGGGAAGGAGGCTGCTCCTCTTCTTGTGCGGACTGTCGGGGCTCTGGGAGGTATCCGGACGCTTGTCGGTGGAGTAAAGGCGTTGTAGATTCTGGGCGGCGTCTCGGACCTTGCTTTCGAGCACCAGCTTCCGCTGGATGGCATCGATTTGGGGGTTGAGCCTCGCCAGCTCCTTTTTCAACGAGTCGACCTCGTCCATGCGCAGGATCTCGTAGTGCTGCGTGTCCATGAGGGCGGTCTCGTAGAGGAGGTGACGGGCAACGCCGTCGGTGTGCTGGGTGCGGAGGGCGGAGGTGGTGTCGAGGTTCAGCGTGGCGACTTCATTGACGGGGGTGTGGTGGAAGTCGAAGGCGTTGAAGTCGCCGCCCTGCATGAAGTGCGGCGGGCGCCAGTTGCCGTTGCTATCCCTCGCCGAGGCGACGGAAGAGCGCGAGCCGTCGTAGTGCGAGCCATCGTAATGGGAGCCGTCGTAGTCGGAGTAGCGGGGGCGAGGGGGGGCTCGGCGGTCATATTGCTGCTGGGGGGGATGGTAGCCATTGACCTGCATGATGCCGTCCGATGCCGTGCCCGTCGGACGTGGGCGCGGTGTGATGTTATGTGAATGGAAGGGGAGGTCGAGCGGCGAGCGGCGAGGGTGGACAGAATGCTGCACCCAGAGGGGTGGGGAGTGACAAGATCAGGCAGGTCGTCAGTGCCTCACCCATGTCCGTGAGGTCAACTAATAAGGTTCGGTCAAAAACACGCAACGGCGCCGCTACTCCCGCCTTTTGACGCCCGTTGCCTTACCCAAAGCGGTCGGACGGCTGGGGGCGCCAGGGGTTGTTCCAGGGGCGCTCGGCGCCTGCCGCTTCCCCTCTACACGCTCCCAACGACGAGAGGCAACGACCACGAGAGGAGATGGAGTGTTGGAGAGGGCAATGGGTGCAGCACAGCGCCTACGTGTACTCGTCGGGGAAAGATCAAGTGGCTGTCCTCATCAAATCCTGCCAGTTCGCGGAGGCCCCCGAAGCCGCTGGGCCATGTGGCCGCGCCCCTTTTCAACAACGACAGCACGCAATGCGCGGGAGTCAAGGCTGCTCCCGTCTTATTTAAACCCTGCGTAGAAAACGCGTCTCTTCCCAATAGGGGTAGAGTGCTTTCCATTTCTACGCGTCGCAACATGGCTTTCATACGGCCACAAGTCGCGACTACACCATGTTGGCATACTGTAGACTCGCTGGGAGACAGTTGCGCGGTGGTGATGATGCTGCAACGCTGCTGCGGGCCCACATTGACAGACTGCGATGACTTCCAACGACACCGTGCTCGCGACAGGAACCGCTTCGGTCTTGCTAGAATCGATTATTAGCAGTACTCGCTGGCGCCATCCTGCAAATTCCAATACTCAGGTCGCTCTTCTCTTTTTGTCGTTGGATTGTGCTGCTGCGATGCCCAGCCTCGGGGTTACTTAAGCCGACGTCACATCCAATCCCCAGTTGTGGATTAGGTAAGCCGGTCTTGCTCGTGAGCGCCGAAAAAGGTGCTGCTGCAGCTCGGTGCTGCCCTCTTCACTTCCACATCACCCACCTCCGTCACATCCTCCATTCTCCCCGTCTTCACTGACAGATTGACCTTCTCTTCCATCATGCTGTAGCCCACCCAACATCCTGCTCCCTGCCCTGCCCCGCCGCCACCGCACTCCCCCAACTTCGTGGCGCGTCGCTGCCAACCCCCTCAGACAATGCCTCCCACATCGATGAATGTGCGGAAACCGGCAGCAGCGACGGCCGTCAGCGACCCCAGCGCTGTCTCCCGACGCACGACTTCAGGTCGAGCCGTGCGCGCCAACGCCGCTCGTCCCGCCAATTACTACGCCCGCCCCTACGACAATGCTGATCCCTCAGGCGGGGCAACGCGACCTTCGCAGGGCCTGGCACGCGCCGACGAGCATGGATTCTTTCCCGCCCTACAATTTTTCTCCGACGCCATCGCTGCCTTGCCAAAGGAGGTCATCCGGCAGTTCACGCTCATGAAGGAGGTCGAGGCCAAGATTCATGGGCCGAATGAGAAGCTCGGGGAGATGGTGGACAACTTGATGCAATACCCCGTGCCGTCAAGAGCTCGTGCGCTCCATGCAGCGCCATCCGACGGGCAGGGCTTGTTGAGCTTCACTGCGAACAACAGTGCGACTGGAAGCGCGAGCGCGAGCATGGTGAACGGTATTGCGAATAACGCCTCTGCCCCAACTTCTGTTCCGGCTTCCGTGCACGGAGAAGACGTGGCGCACGCTGCAGGAGAAGACGATGTCGAGAAGCGCACACGATTCTACGAAATGCGTATGCTTACGCATGACCTCCTCCCCAACTTGGACGAGAAGAATGTGGTGCTAGCGGAAGCGAACCGCGTTCTTGCCCAACAGCTTGCGCGTCTGGACTCGGTCATGCCGTACATTGACGAGGAGATCAGCGCAGACGCTCGACTAGGCAGCATGACGCACTGGGCATACAGTGACAACAGACAAAAGAAGCAGTCGGGCGCAGCAGCGTCCAACAGAAGAGATGTGGCGGCGACGAACAGTCTCGCCGCCGCAGCGAGCGCAATTCATGAATCGGATATTGCGCAAGCTCGGCGAGACGCTGTTCGCGAGACGGCGCGAGAGAAACACAAAGGAAAGAGCAGGGAGCATGTCGATTCGGACTTCGAGGAGCGGCCGAGGAAGACGACCGCGAAGACCGCCAGGAACAAGGCGGCTGCACACCTGCTAACCACTTCTTCCGCCGGTGAGCCAGTCAAGAGGAGGAGGATGGACAAAGGTCTTGCAGCGCCGGGGATGGAGCGTTCGCTGAGCGGCGCGTCTAAGTCGGCAAAGAGCCTCAGGGAGATACCCCGAAGTGTGGCGGCAGAGGACGTTGGGAGAAAGGTACCAAAGGCCAAACCTGCGCCGTTGTCTGCGAAGAGAAAGGGCGTGGGTTCCGCTCAAGGCAGCCCCGCGCTGGCCAGCAGTCCACTCCACTCTTCCTTCAACCCTGCAAGCGTGGAACAGCCGCCCAGTGGGAGAGCGCAGAGTGCGAGGCTGCGGCAGAATAGTGCCGCCACAAACCTTAGGCACGAACGACTGCCTGACGAAGATGATGGAAGACTGACGGTCGTGGCGACAAAAGCGAACGGTGAGAAGACGAACGGCAAGCGAAAAGCTCCGCCCGACGCGCCCGAAACGATTGAACACGAACACGTCAACGCCACGACTGAGCGGGAGGACAAATTGGCGCCCGTGGAGAGCCACGTGGCCGACACCATGCACGCATCTCGGTCGACGTCGAACTCTGGCAAAGCTGGTCGAGGCTCGACTGCAGGCACGCCAAAGGCAGAGAACTTCAACGACATTCCTGCGTTGATACGCGCGCGGAGCACCCGAAGCATGCGTGGGAATCAAGAGGAGAGCTCCACGGAGCCACAGGGCGCGCGGCAGCACAAACGAAACTCCAGTAACAGTCATCTGGTCAAGCAGCTTGCTCCTTTCAACCGTAGCCCTGATATGGGCAGAGAGCCGCACGACGATATGGATGAAGATCTCGACAGCATTGACGGGGAGACACGAGCGGACCGAGAGGAGGCTCACGCTTCCCGCTCGCCTTTAAAACGACAGCCACCGCGTTCCCGGCGAGGCACGGGCAACCTCGCCCCCATCTCCTCTCCCCCGGCCTTCGAAGAAGACGAGGAGAAGGTAGGAGAAGATGCAGTGATAGTCGAGGTGGATGGGAAAGCCGAGCACGCCGATTCCCCCGCACTACCAGACCTGGAGCCTGACGCTGCACCCGTCGGCAATGACCAAGAGTTCGACGAGGAACTTGAGGAGGACGACGAATCCGAGGAGCCTGGCGACCCCGACGACCCCGACGAGCCGAAATACTGCTACTGCAATCGTGGGAGTTACGGCGAGATGATCGCTTGCGACAACGAACTCTGCGCGCGCGAGTGGTTCCATTTGGGATGCACGGATCTGAGAGAGCCACCGGACGAGGCGGTCAAGTGGTATTGCGAGGACTGCAAGCCAATCATTCTCGCCGAAAGGGAGAGAGGGTCCGGCAGGGGAGGGCGAGGGCGAGGTCGAGGGGCGGCGAAAAGGTAAGATGGTGCTCACGTTAGTTTAGTTTGGATAAGGTAGAAGGCCAGATTGAGTCGAGGGACTGCTTTGGAACTGTTCCGTCTACGTGGATGGGATTTGTTTTGCCTTTCTATTCTCTCTCGTTCCATTGTTCACATTCGCGCGAAGCAGTGTGCCGATATGTTGCGCCGAAGGGGGTGGTAGTTACAAAGCGGTGCACCCAAAGCACCGAGTCAGTACCCAGGCTGCCGGAAGCAAACCTCGCACAACTGAGATGGCCTACTCATCATCCTCGCCACCCTCGCCATCCTCACCACCTTCCTCCTCTTCCTCCTCGTCTTCGT